CTACTCAAGAGGACTCTTTAAAACTTACTTTCGAACAGAACCACTTGGCTTACCGCCCGGTTCACAGCGGTTCACGGTCTGAATATTCACAGAATATTGAAAGATGTATATGAAAATGCTATTCTACTCAAGAGGAGTCTTTTAAACTGATTAACGAGCCAAACCACTTGGCTAACCGCCCGGTTCAGAGCGGTTAAGAGTGGTTCACGCTCTAAGTATTCACAAAATGCTGAAATATAAATATCAAAATGTATCTCTAGCTTTAGAAGTCATTTTAACAGATATTCGAACCAAACTACTTGGCTAAATGACTGGTTCGTCGTGGTTCAAGACAGTTCATCTTCTATTTACAGTCCCATTCATAAAATTGAGTCTGCGACGGGGCGAAGCCGATCCGAAGGAGAGGCCAGTCTCGTTTATTCAATTGAGTCGGTGGCGGGGCGAAGCCGACCCGAAGGGGAAGCCAGTCTCGTTTATTCAATTGAGTCAGTGACGAGGCGAAGCCGACCCGAACGGGAGGCCAGTCTCGTTTATTCAATTGAGTCAGTGACGAGGCGAAGCCGACCCGAAGGGAGGTCAGTCTCGTTTATTCAATTGAGTCTGTGACGGGGCGAAGCCGACCGGAAGGGAGGCCAGTCTCGTTTATTCAATTCAGTTTGCGACGGGGCGAAGCCGACCCGAAGGGAAGCCAGTCTTGTTTATTCGATTGAGTCTGCGACGGGGCGAAGCCGACTCGAAGGGAGGCCAGTCTCGTTTATTCAATTGAGTCAGTGACGGGGCGAAGCCGACCCGAAGGGGAGGCCAGTCTCGTTTATTCGAATGAGTTTGCGACGGGGCGAAGCCGATCCGAAGGGGAGGCCAGTCTCGTTTATTCGCAGACTTAATTGAATAAACTGGACTGGCCATTCGGATCGACCTGGCCCCGTCCCAGACTGAATTGAATAAACGGAACCGGCCTCCCCTAGGGGCGGCTTGGCCCCGTCGCAAACTCAATTGAATAAACGGAACCGGCCTCCCCTAGGGGCGGCTTGGCCCCGTCGCAAACTCAATTGAATAAACGAGACTGGCCTCCCCTTCGGGTCGGCTTCGCCCCGTCGCAAACTGAATTGAATGAACGAGACTGGCCTCCCCTTTGGGTCGGCTTCGCCCTGTCACAGACTCAATTGAATAAACGAGACTGGCCTCCCTTCGGGTCGGCTTCGCCCCGCCACAGACTCAATTGAATAAACGAGACTGGCCTCCCCTTCGAGTCGGCTTCGTCCCGTCGCAGACTCAATTAAATAAACGAGACTTTCCTTCCCTACGGGTTAGGGTTATATTTCAGCATTTTGTTGATACTAAGAGCGTGAACCGCTTTGAACCACTGTGAACCGGGCGGTTAGCCAAGTGATCGAAAATCAGTTTGAAAGACTCTTTTTAGTAGAGAAGCATTTTGATATACATATTTCAATATTTTGTGAATACTCGGAGCGTGAACCGTTCGGAACCGCTGTGAACCGGTCGGTCAACGGAGTGGTTTTGTTTGAAAATCTGTTGGAACTACTTCTTATCAAAAAATATGCATTTTGATATACATATTGCCGGATCTCAATCCATCCAAAGGTTTGGACCGCGACGAACCACCAGAATGACCAGCTGGTTCAAAAATATCACCTCGATGAATTCAGTGATTACTTAGCTTCAAGAAAAGCTATCGATCGTAATCATAGCACGCCTAGAACAAAAGTTCAAATTCTTGAATTCTCGTATCTGGTAGTTTCAGTCAACTTCGAGGCGCTAGAAAATCTCAGAGGATACCCAGATCATTTATTTTCCCAGTTATGAGAAGAAAACGCTTTGAAAGCTCCAATATACGCCATTGACCATGTTTCTAGCACCTATAAACCAGAAATAATTCTTGGAGATTCCTTTTAAAAACGTGAAATTTTCCATATTTGTCCTGTTTGGACATAAGAAAAAATTTTTAAAAATATTCCCAATAGCTATGCATAAAATTTTTATTGAGGATAAAAGCCAAGTGTCTGTTATATATAAACACCCATTATTGAGATTGCGGCTTTTAGATTTTTTGAGATAAGGCTGTTTTAATATAGCTATTTAAAGAAAAATATGTCACTTGAAAAGTAAAAGGCGTCGCAACTGTCCTTATTTTTCATTTCTGCCTCTGAAATTTGTCTCGCATATATTTTGAACCCTTTACTGCAAATAACAAAGAGAAAATAGCTCATCAGCATTCATTATATATTGAATTCGATTTTTTAAAGCTTTTTAGCCAAAAAATAGCCATTTTTAGGGCTTTTAGCCTCTCTAATCCAACGTTCACCACCAATGGTGCTAAATTTTTGTGGGTGGGGTTTTTGACCATGCTGAATTCGGTACTGATGAGAAAAAACGGATTTGAGAACTTTTTTCTGTGTCCGACCCTAATCTGGAGGGATGAAATTTTGTGGACATTTTTCTTCAGACCTCAAGGTCCTTATCAAGAAAAAATCAAAAAAATCGAAAAATTAAGGGTATAGGCTATACCGTATAGGTGTCAAAAAATCGGTTTTTATTTTTGCAAAATTAAGCCTGATAAAACATAGAAGACCCTTTTATAAGTAGGGCCAGCGCGTGAAAAATCAGCATGCAGAACCCGTTGAGGTAAAGGGCTGAAACTTCGGGACAATATAGATTTTGAGCGAATCAAAAAATTGTAATAGAAAATTTTTGGTCTGGTCAAGTGATCACGTGATACAGGCCCTCGAAAACCTAGAAAAGCTTGACGAGCTCGATCCCCTGGTTGTAGTCGATCACATGATAGCTCAAAAGAAAGAGCATAAAGAGTACTACCTAGAGAGTCAAAAATTCTGGGCCCGATTGTAGTTTAGGCGCTAAAAGCAAGAGAAGGCCTCGAAATGGGTGAAATTCGGGTAAAAAATGGACATCATTGGGTGATTTCTGGGCCGTCAATCCCCTTAAGGGTAATCCTATACATCGGCGCGGCGCTGCTCGCTCGATCCGCGCTCCGCCAGAACCTATTTTTCACTAGCCCATAAAATCCGAACGAAGTGAGAGTTTTCAAAATTCAAAAGATTTGGGATGCTTAGACTCTTCACTATTCTTCTAGCAAAAATGAAAAAATTGGCAACGAAAAACCATCTGAAAACCGCCGGTTTCCTTCAAAAGACATTTCCCGCCATATTTCTCATTCAAATTTCACAAAAATCAGATGATCTTGTAGAGAATCGTCTGCTCTACAATTCCTGTTTCTTAGATTTTCTTTTTGTGTTCACAAAAATTCTCTATGATAGTTTGAAGAGAATGCTATTCTTCTCTGCGCGAGCGCGCCGTGAGAAATAGGAAGCGGAGAGGCGCGAGGGAGAAAAGCGCTCTTCTCAAATGACCATATAAAATTATTGAGAGCGCAAAATGAAAATCTAAGAAACAGGAATTGTAGAACAGACGATTCTCTACAAGACCATCTGATTTTCGTGAAATTTGAATGAGAAATATGGCGGGAAATGTCTTTTGAAGGAAACCGGCGGTTTTCAGATAGTTCCTCGTTGCCGATTCTTTTCATTTTTGCTAGGTAAATAGTAGAGAGTTTAAGCATCTTAAATCCTTTTGAATTTTGAAAAACCCTCACTCCGTTCGGATTTAATGGGCTAGTGAAAAATAGGTTCTGGCGTAGTGCGGATCGAGCGAGCAGCGCCGCGCTGATGTATAGGATTACCCTTAAATTTAATAATCAAGGAACTGGGCTGAGACGGCCAGAAGGGCCGTCAAGCCCCTTAAAATTTAATTATCAAGGAACTTGGCTGAGATGGCCCGAAGGGCCGTCAAGCCCTTAAATTTTATAATCAAGGAACTGGGCTGAGACGGCCCGAAGGGCCGTCAATCCCCTTAAATTTAATAATCAAGGAACTGGGCTGAGACGGCCCGAAGGGCCGTCAAGCCCCTTAAATTTAATTATCAAGGAACTGGGCTGAGACGGCCCGAAGGGCCGTCAAGCCCTTAAAATTTATAATCAAGGAACTGGGCGATTTTTGCAAAAATGGAAATTTTCAAATTGGCAGCATTTCCGTTACCGGACATTACCGGACGAGGTTACAATGTATTTATTGAGAGCATCGTCCGCACTTTCTTTGGTGGTCTTGATTCGGTTGTGGGTCGTTGTGGTTTCGAGTTATTCGACCAAATGTCCGTTACTCGTGGTATTTTCCGAAAAAATCGCTATGCTACCATCAAAAATGAAAAATTTTAAATTTTCACTAATTTTTATAGGATCCCCTTTAATTTACGTTTATGGTCACTTGGTTTCAGCGTTTTTTGAAAACAACACGTTTCCGGCCGAAATCCCACCAGCGCAACCCCATCCATTCACAATCGTGGCGTATGTTTCCGCGAGTAATCCGGGATTCTCCGCTACCCTTTTCTCCGATTCTACTCGCGTCGCGGGCTACTCGCGATTTTCCTTTACTCATTTACCCGATTTACACGCACGGGTCTCCGCGCGAGTTACCCGTGTAAAAAACTGCGGGTTACCCGGAGAAAAATTGCGGGTAATTTCAAAGGACTCGAAATCAACAGCCATGATCAGCGGGTCAAATTAAGCAAACGATGAAAGTTTCAGAAAAAAGTGATAACTACCATTTTCCCGTGAGAAACCCTAGCGATGCTTCTAAGAGCACATTGTTTATTAACTTTTTCAGGTCGAAAAAGTGCTCCACGAATTGACCAAGGGCGAGCTCGGCTCTCTCCCGAAGCAGGAACATCCGTCCCCGCTCAATCCGTCGCGCAGCCCGCCCAAGCCGAGTCAGATGACGAAGACGACATGCTAGAGAGATTGAACGCGCTCAAGAGTTAATGATCTTCATTTCTTTACAAAGCCATTCCACTACGGTTCTCAATTTGTCTCGGCAATAACAACTATTTCTGCACATATTCAACAATTCAAATAATTCTTATTCAAAAATTTACATTAAAAATCTTTGTTGTTTCACTCTACCTCTCTAAGAATGCCCGACCAGGAGGAAAGCGGGCAAGTAGACCTTGGTTTCCTTTACAAAATGTTGGACACTCGGGATTCCTCGAAGAGAAGGGTTAAGCCAGCTGATCCTGCTTTTCTCTGTATTCCCAAGGTAAATCCCTCTCTTTCGACTAATCCTCAATCTCGCAGACAACACATGACGACACGGATTCCGACTACGAGCCTGAAGCTGATCCTGAAAACCAAGTAGAATCCGAAAAACCATCAAATAAATCGAATGATGATGACAAAAAGAAGCTACCAGAAGAAGAAGTTCCAACGCCAAAAAGCTCGAAAAACAAGGTGAAGCGCTTTTGATTTTCAAAAATCGACAATTGATGTTATTCTCATCAGAAGCGAGGAAATGCTGCCAAAACACGAAATAATTCTAGCGACGCCGCAGCAACACCGAAGAAAAGGTCAAAAGCGACAAAAAAGCCCTCTCCAACGAAAAAGTCGCCAAGCCAGAAGTCGACGAGAATGACAACGCGTTCATCTTCTCGAAAATCGTGACATTTTTCCTCCTTTTTGCTCAACTTCGGAACATTCTTCTTCGCGCTTCATTTACCACCATTTTTACCAAAGTGAAATCTCGTGACTGATCCCTTTATACTTACAGTTGCCATTTACTGTAATTTGTTTCGTCTGTTTCTTCATTTTTTATCATCGAAATAGCATTTATAAATTCGTTTCTTTTCTTACCAAGTAATTACTATCGAATTATTCCAAACAGTGTATTTTTGCCTGCTTTTCGTTATTTTTCTTGCTCGCAATACATTCAGTTTTCTTGTTCGCAACTTCTGCTCAATATTATTTCAACCCTTTCTTCAGATCACTAATCAGATCAAAAAGAGGGGAGTCAAAATGGACGAAGATGATATCGAGCAATACAAGAATGACTTGAAGGATCTCAAATCCAACCAAAAGCCTCTGATCAACATGTTATCTCAAGGTAAACCCCTTCTCTGTGCCTTTTTTGACCCAAATTATCAGTTGCTGAAGACTACAAGGACACGGACGGAGCAGAAACAATCTCCAAGCTGATAAGCGCTCGTATCGCAGAGGTTTGCAGAAAACAAAAAAAATCGAAATTTTAACCAGCTCGTTTTATTCTGTATTCTTCAAGAACATTACCCATTCCAATGGAGAAATTGGAATAAAAAGGATACCAACTTTGTGTTTCAGAGTTATAAAATCATTTATAAGTTATAATTATCGCTATTCATTTATATAAAAGTTCATATTTCCTTATTATTTATAGCAGGATGCAGTGTCAAGGATTAATTTGAAAGCGGTTGCTTGTAGAAAAGTAACAAGTTGATCTCGTTTTTTGCTTGAAAATTAATGGTCACGAGAAATTTAAAATTGAGAACTAGAATAGCTTTAGTTTTTGTGGCACTACAGTAACTGAAGACTACTCAAGTCAAACTACTGTTGTCAAAAATATGCCGTAATAATTGAGAAGAGGTTTTATTTCAAGCTCGTTATAGACTAGAACTGTTGCTTATGGAAGTAACGATCGGCAACTGTAGCTTGAAAGGAGGTTTAAATAAAATGTGCTACAGTATCACCGTTTTTTTTCGAAAGAATCGCTGTGTTACTGTAATTTAATGTGGTTGAGTGAAAACAGTGCTGGTTGACGAGTAGTGAGATCTATTTCAGGCAGGGTTGATTGAATGATGAGCTTTTTTCCTTCGAAAATATAAATTAAAAGGATAATCATTCCAACCTCTTGAAGGTGAAACCAGATCAGAAGCTGTACCTTCTCTATCTTACCGACTCAATAAGTAAAAACGTCCGTGGAAACTACATTCAAATATTCGAGAAAGCTATCGTTGCCAATTTTGAAGATGCCTTCAAAGCTAACGTGAGTATTTTCTTTACCCTTGCTCGCATCTCAACTTTTTTGTTAGATAAATCCGGACATCAGAAAGAAGCTATATTTCCTGCGAAAATCATGGCAGGGACTGTTCAAAGATGCGATTCTCAAACGCCTCGACCGGCGAATTCGAATGGTGGATCCTGGCTGGCCAATTACTGGTCCAACGCAGCAAGAATCCGTACCTGAAATTATCTCAAAACCAGTTCCAGGACCAGCGCCCAAGTCAGCGCTAAAACCGACCGTTAGAAAAGTCGCAACTCCAGAACCACCTGCACCAAAGCCAGCGCCAAAGGCAGTATCAAAGCAAAAAGTTGTCCAAGCTCAAGCCCAGGCCGCTCCCATCGCTAGGAAGGCACAACCAGCTGGAAATGTCCACGTTAACCCAGCATTTTTAAACAAGGTAACTCTTATTAGTAGTCCTTATCAACAATTTTCGTATCAGAAAACGGCCGATTTGAAGGCAGAGAAGCTGGAACTGCAAGTAAAACTGGATATCTGCGGCGATGAAATCCAAGAAGCGCGCGAAAAGAAAGCAAAACTAGAACGACAACTGGCGAAGAAAGAAACTGCTGCAGAGAAGAAAGCGATCCGATTCAAACTTCTTGAAGTCAACAAGAAAATGATCAACCTCGATGATCAGAAAATTGAACTCGAGAACGACCTCAAGAAGCTCGAGGCGCTCGGAAAGGTGAGTTATCAGAAGCCAGACTCGACAAAACAAGCATCGCAAAACTCCCAAAAATCTTCAAGTCAAAGCGCATCGTCTCAAGAGTCCACCGCTTCGGCTAGTCCGCCGTCGAAGCCCGTCAAGAAAATCATCAAAAATCTCGTCAAACCAAAAACCACGGAGAACCCGCTTATCGACATCCTCGGAGCTCCAAAACGCCGGGCGCCAACTGAGAGTCAGAAAAAGAACCTGTCTGTCGCTTCAGAACTCAAGAACTCCCTAAGCAAGAAGAAAAAGTCAACACCACCGCAAGGGCCACCCTCGAAAATTGTCAAATCAGAGTCGAGTCTAAAGAACAACGGAGCGCCTCTTATTCCAAAAGGAAGAATACCGCTCAAGAAAAAGACCGAACCGAAGGTTGAAAAAGGCGATGCGCCAGACATCATGGACACTTCCGTCGTCGAGCCAGCTCCTCCAAAGCTTGCGAAAGTTTCAACTTCTAGCAAGGGATCAGTAAATGTCAGAAGACCGGGGGGCATGAGCACTAATCCAACAGAACTTCTCAAGAATTGCTCAGTAAGACATTTCTACTTTTTCGTTTTTTTAATAGACATTTTCAGATACCCCAAGTTCGTGAAATGGCTTATAACAAGCTCAAGACCGGCATGTTGAACAGGCGAGACTTCGATGTTCTGATCAACAGACTATCAGTGCTAGAGAAGTACGAAGCAGAGAAAAAGTAAGCAAAAGAAAACTGTCCGACCAAACTTATTTGTCAATTTTAGAGCTGCGAAAGAAGGTAAAGAAGTGCCTCCACCACGTGATGAGCCACGAGACGAAGACAGTCGAACTCGCCAGCCTTGGTACTCGCACGGGACTCCACAGGACAGAGAAATCTACCACGAGCACCCGCAGAGGCAGCAAGATTGGCGAGACACTCTTTGGGATCAGTACCACCACGTTCACGGCGACCCGGAGCCTCGTGGTTCCGCTCACAGACCACCTCCTCATGATCCGTGGAAATACGACCCTAGAAACGAGCGGCCACCGGCAGATCGGCAAATGATGCCAGATCCAAGACGTGGAGATCCACGAGGGCATCCGGGTGAAATGGATCATCGTAGGTCAGTATCGCCGAATGCTCAAAACAATGTTCCGTCTTCTCGTAATTACATCGTTACTGACGACCTGCCACAGTAAGTGTTCGCTCAATACGTTATGATTCGCATGTTTATATGTTGCATGATTTATTTTTTCTTTCCTCTTTTCTGAGCGCATTTTTCTAGGCCTCCTCGGCCCCCAATTGAAGAGCGCCCAGCGCCTGTTAATCCCGCTCCAGAAAGCTCAAGTGGCGGCCTCGACCTCCCAATCGACTTGGACACAATCAAAGATCTACTGAAGTCGGTTGAGAGTAAAAACGCCACTTCAACGAGCCAGGAAAAACCAGTCAAGGCTGATTTGGACGAGTTGCCAAAGAAGTACATCGTTTTACCAGACAAAGAAAAGCCAAAGTCGCGGCGAACGCCTACACCAACGCTTGAGGATGAGCCTGTGCCGATTGCTAATTTGGAGGATGTTGGAGATGATATGGATGACTCGAAGCTCCCGAGAGTGGAATTCACTGAAAATGCCATCAAAAAGTATGCAACTCAGTAAACCTTTGGTTTTATAGTACTTTTAGCCGAATTAATCCGTTGATAAAACGGCTTTACGCTGGGCTGCAATGCTCTGCCTGCGGGATGCGATTCAAGAAGTCGCAAACGACCCGATATGCTGACCACTTGGACTGGCATTTCAGAGTTAACAAGCAGGTCAAGAACGGGCAGATCGATACCCACAGGAAATGGTATTACAAAGCTTGGGTAAGTCCTCACTTTTCGAACTAAAAACTCACTGTAAAATAAGGACTGGATCATGTACGAGGAAATCGAAGATGCAGATAAAAAGGCCGATCCTTCCGCGGAAGACAACGGAAGCAGTCCGAAGGGACAGGATGAAAAGAAAGAGGAAGCTGAGGTGGAGGTCAAAGTGAAAACCCTTCCCGTCACTGCAGGTGATTCCAGCTGTGCCGTCTGCGGAGAACGCTTCCAAACAGCGTATGACGACGATGAAGATGAATGGCACTACCAGGATGTCACCAAGCACGAAGATTCAGGTAATGATACGAGTAAGGGGAGATGATTAATTATTGAAGGCAAACTTGTACATACGGGATGTCTGGAGGACGCTGGAAACATGCACATTCCGCGAATGGTGAGAAGCGATAGTATAGACTCGATAGAGCTGGACAAGACGATGGAAGAGGAGGATAATATTGATGAGGACACGGCGCAGGTACACTCCTGGTTTTTGGTTGAAATATTGAATATTTTCGAAGGATATTGGAATTGAAATGGATAAGATGAATGTTTCCCCTTCACGAGAGAAAAGTGAAATCAAGGAGGAAAACGCAGAACCGAACGATGTCGAGATGAAAGAGGAGGAACCTCAAGCAGACCTGCCTCAATCTCCCAAAGCTGAACCAGGATCTCCTGCTCCGCAAGAGGTAGATAGAGAGCAATTTTAGCAGCTCGATCATCTTTCAGCCGATGAAAACTGAAGTTGCCGAGCCAGATCCACTTGAAGAGACGAATCTTTACGGCGATTTGGAAGACGCCGAGCTAGAAGAGATCAACATGTCCTTCGATGCGCCAATTTCACCTCCTGCTGTTTAAAAAGTTCATTTTACTTTCTACTCATTTATTTTATCAACTCAAATGTTTTTCCCTTTTGCGCGCGTTCCTAAATCTGAATTCATGATGGAAAAACTGTCTTGAAATATGTGTATCTACCTACTGCTGCTCCATCATGTTGTCATACTTTTCATAAGTCGAGTTGTTTTCGCGCTTCTTTGGAAAATCAAGATTTTCAGATGATTTTCGTCGATAGGATAAATTATATTGATATTTTTGCGGTGCAAACGAGTTTTGGTTGAATTCGAAAACCATTGTCTTGAATAACAATTTCCAAAGGCGCGTTTTGAAAACAGCGCTCTTCTTTAAAATCATTCTACCGTTTTTCCTTCTTCAAATTCAATTTTACTCTATTTCATTGCCGTGCCCGTGTCGACCCATCGTGGGGTCGCACAAGGAAAGAATCAAATCCAACTTATTTTTTTCCATGAAAAAAGAAGAATATTTCAAATATTTGGACAAAGCTAATAAATTGAGATATTTCAGCGGTGTATGGGTTCACTCAACTATATTATTTTTGGCAAAAAGCGCATGTTAAAATTTTTAAATTGCATTTATCAGAAAAATTGAAAAGTAATAAATATATTTCGCGTCAGTTAGCAGCATAAAAAACTTCTGTTGTTTGAGAATAAAAAATTTAGACTTAAAAACTTGGAATGGGTGGGAGCCAGTTGCGCGGCGTGATTTTGGACGAGTACTGGAATGAAGTTCTAGCACTGATTGCGGATTGCCACCCAATGTCCACAACGGAGGTAAGTTTCGTTGTTTGGAAAGTTAACAATGTAGCGTTCAGGAAGTGGAGGCGAAGCGTCTCGCCGACAATTTCCTCCAAATAATGGCTTCTGAATCTCCTCGCTCCGTGAAAATCCGCGACTTTCTTTCAACCTCTGAATCCGTCAACGTCTCCGGCCACATGCGCGAAACGCTGGTGAAACACCTGTCCAGTCATCTCGTCCATCATCGACTCTGGCACCAAGTTTTGACAAAAGAACGCGACGGAATTCAGTTCCACGAGCGCAAGGTCCTCTACGAACCAATCGAACCCGAGCCACTATGCAAAGCAGTTACCGAGGCGCAACTAAAGACAAATCAGAAAGTCAATAAAATCGTGGTATGTTTATAACCAAAACTGAAACGCCTATTTTCAACCGCTTTTCATAGGAAAAGAAATTGGAACAGGCGAAAAACCTGCGCAAAAAACTCGCTGAAGACGTCGTTAAAGTATCGATCGAGATCTCGTCAGAGCTGCACGAAGTCCTCTCCCAAAAAGACTCGCAAATTCCGAAAGCAGAAATTGCCTCTATCGCTGCGAAAATAACAAAAGACAAACTCGACGACATCCGAGAAGAGCTCGAAAATCAAATAGAACTGATGCGCGCTGATCTTCCTCCTCCCCGAATTTCAAAAGGCAGCGCGCCCAAGCCTCGAAAAACCGCCCGAAAGAGCAAGGGCAAATAAATCTGTACTTTTATTTTTGTATCACATCATTCTCTAAACTTATATTTTTCTATTCTTGCGTCTTTTATTGATTCGAGGAGGTGTTTAGATGGACTCGGATGCTTCCGCGAGTCAGAGTACTCGCGGAAAAACGCAAAAAGAGCTCAGAAGTGGGAAGAAAGTCACACTTTTAGTAGACAACCCAGCGCTAGAACCACCGGAGAAGAAGAAAAGGTCCTGGGAGTCATGGTCCTTCGAGGAAAAGTATGGAAAAATCACGAAGATGAGCGTCTAAACTGACTTTTAGAAACTGCTTCTTCGACGCAATAAAAGTCCACCGTCGTGACTTTGAGCAAATCAAGAAATACATGTTCTCGCGCCTCGGCAAAAGCGGAACCCAAAAGAACAAAGACCAGATCCGCCACATGTACTACCGAACCCTCGGGACGATTCAAAAGAGTCTTACGGACAGTCAACTCGTTTATCCGACCGTTTTGAGGGACAAACTCGATCAGGAGTTTTACGCGATGACGGCGTATGCTGAGTTGAGGAAGAAGATGCAAAAAGATCCGCCGAGAAAGCTATTAGAATCGAAGCTCGAGGAGCTTTTGAAAACACAACAGACAGTTGTCAAAAGCAGAGGTACCTATTTCCTAAAGAGAAGCCATTTATTCAATATCTTTTTCAGGAAAAATCGCCAAGGTCAAGATCCCCACTCCAGCAGAAAAGCCCGTAACGACCCTAGAAAAGCGAGTTCTTGAGCCTCTCGTTGAACTTCGACTTTCACCAGAAGATTGCTACACCCAAAGATGCGTCCAAGCTGCGGCTGCGACGCCACGAATCGTCATCAACATTCCAATTAGAGCAAAAATAAGCGAAGTGAAGAAGCTTCTGGCCGAAAGATGGGCGACAAAAGAGGAACGAATTACGCTTGGTTTTTATGACAGAGCGGAAAAGATGCAGACTGTTCTCATCGAAAGGCAAGTCGTTAATCAAATCCATCATTAAATTAATACCCCCTATTGAAGGATCGTCGCCGAAGATCCCAAGTCGCAAACACAAACAATTTATTTTTCTTTCTCAGAAGAGCCCCCTTTCGACCCTCGAATACCGAACTATCAAGAGACAGAAATTGTTCTTCTTCTGCTTACATCAAAAAGCCTCCATCTCAAATATCGTTTTCTCAAAGATCGCCCGTTTGTCGAGCCTGTTTCGCTTTTAGTCAAATGTGCATCCTTATTTACCGAAGGTAAAAGCCTTGAACTCTTTGAGAGCAACATCCAAGCCCTGTTTTAGCCCTTACGAATACCCTCGCCAGCAACAGTACCTGTATTCCAGTCTTAGATTCGAAACCGGACGAAAGTGCTCTTCGCACCTTAATTTTTACGCCCCCTCAGACTAACGGAGGGCCCTCAACTTCTTCCGAGAGTCCAGGTGCGCGCAGGAAGCGCTCTGTTTCCAACTCTTCTGGAAAAGGAAAGCCGAAGAAGAGCATGGCTGTAAACTCAAATGTTGTTGAACAGCATTTACAGGTATTGTGTCTGCTTTTCCCGATCGATTAAAAAGCAATTTCTTTGCTAGTTACTCAATGGACTTACTGGCACGAGCAAGCCTTCCCGATCTCCAGCGTACAACGTAAGATAGTTTGGAAGTTTTTCGAATTTCGATTTTTTCAGAACGAAGTTCCCGAAGTTCCAATTCAATTCATTCAAGAGGAGATGCCCCCTGCTCCTTGCGATCAAAACTCAAACTCGTCCATTTCCAATATTCTCCATTCAGTCCTCAACGAGCACGAGCGTTCCACTGCGCCCGAGCTTCACAATCGCACAACCCGATCAACCATCCATAATTCAGTTACTCTTTCCCCTTCTTCCGCCGATGACGGAATCGCGACGAACGAGATCGACAGTCACGTGGGACTGATGATGTCGGAAAACTCGGTCGGTTTTGCGCGCGCGACGAACTTTTACGATATCCTAGAAAATGATTTACCTTCCTGAACAAAAATCAACTTATTCATTCATTGTTCCTTTCCTTTTCCTTACTTCCCGAAATTCATATTCAAACACACTTTTTTCTATAGAAAGCTTTCCTCGAAATAGTCGAATTGTCAGTGATAAGATTGTCTACCCTTCGAGGGTCATTTTTGGTCGTCTTTTTGGCCATATTTTCTAGTCAAATGTACAAAAAGAGTGTTTCAACTTTCAGTTTCAGAAATTATCTTTGACTTTCATCCTTTAGATAAGCAAAAGATGGATGTTGATAATTACCTGAGCATCAAAAATTCCGGGTGCACATTGACCTGACGCGCCTGAACAAAGGCATTCTCACGAAAGAAGAAATTGACAGTAGGTGAAGTGAGCGTAAATCAAAATTACCTGAATAAAAGAGCAATGTATCGATAGCATTTTGCAGCCTGACAAAGACAATCCTCTGCAGTACAGCGGAAAAGAGGCAAAAACGTATTTCGAGGTCGAAAATGCGGGCAATAAATCTCTTGGAAAGGTAAGTAAGCTTTCTTTTCATCTTTGATTTTCACAAAGTGAAGTCACGTGACGCAAATTAACCGCGCCTTCGCCAGTCATAAATATTAACCTTTAGATTGTCGGATGGATTACAGACGTCTTTGCAAAGCTTGAGGCGAGGAAAACAACCAACGAAAACGTTGAATTTTCTCTTGACGACTTGACTGGTAATTTCAATCGTGGAATCAGATTTTATTGCCTTTTTTATGCAGAGTGGTTACTCACGGACTGCGTCTCACTTTTTGCGGTAACAGAGAAAATAGGCGACCAGGGAATAGGAAAGGGTCTTCATGGCGACATAGAAGAGAGCGGGGTTCTTATCGGTTTTTCTAAGTCTCTGATAAAACGACCTCTCACAAAGAAAATCACATGCATCTTCTTCCAGCGTCACGACTCTGCAATATTGTCCGTTGCTATCATCTTATTTCAGCAGTTTGAAAGACAACCGCGAAAAATTTTCAGACACTGCCTTGCTTCAAAAATTCGCCAAATAACAATTTATTTACTTTCGTCTTGCATTTTTAGATGGTCGATGATCGTGATCGGCTCTTTACGACTTTGACTGATGAGGATGAGCCTTGCTCGTCCGGGCTCAACAGTGAAAATGACACGCTTCTGAGATCAAGGTTTTTAAAAAAAGGTTTTCATTTTTGATTTCAATTTCTCGCTTTCAGGAGTATAAAAACTTCTGTTGGCGAATCGGGCTCGGACGCTCAACCTTCATCGCTCAACACTTCGGCCGACACTACCAACACAGCTCGTTTCGACGTTGCAAAACTCGTATGGGACGGCAGTTGGCACGTTGTCAAGCATTCCGACCTGCCTCTTTGGCTTCAGGACAATGACTATCTTGTCAACTGGCATAGACCGCCTGTGAGAAGCTTTGGCTACTGCTTTTCGTCGATTTTCAGATGGCACACCGAAACGGGGAACATTTGGACTCATCTCATCGGCGGATTGGTACTTCTGGCTTTTGGATTGTGATTTAAAGAATATTTTAGATCTTTATTGGACTAACGTCTTACTACATGTTTTTACCGACAGTCCGCTTCGTCGCGCCTCTGGAAGAAAAGCTCGTCTTTGCTCTTTTCTTCATTTCGGCGATGCTTTGCCTATTTTTCTCAACCTTATTCCACACTCTCAGTGAGTAAGATCTTATAAGGGCTGTGCTTAAATTTCTCCTAGGTTGCCACTCTGAGCGTATTTTACATATCTTTGGCAAATTAGACTATTCTGGAATTGCACTCCTTACTATGGGCAGCTTCGTTCCTTGGGTCTACTACACATTTTACTGTGAAACTCAATCAAAAATTGTATATATGGGTAAGCAAAGTTTCGTTGTTCCCAACTAATTCGATGTTTCAGTAACGATTTCTATCTTGGCTGTTATTTCTGTGATTCTGAGTCAATGGGACAGATTCGCACGTCCCGAGTATCGCGCTATCCGCGCTGGTGTATTTCTATCTCTTGGCCTATCCGGTGTTATACCTATGATTCACGCTTTAATTAAAAATGGTGCAAAATGTAAGTACCCACCCCATTTTCTCCCCGTTCATTGTTCTTCAGTCTCTTTTGGGGAGGGTCAGATTCATTGGATGATTCTGATGGGAGTCCTCTATGTCGGTGGGGCTACCTTTTACGCGACGCGTTTTCCAGGTAAAGTCTACTATCATTCTTTGTCTTAACATACGGTAGAATGCGTCTGGCCCGGCCGCTTCGACCTCGTGTTCCAGTCCCATCAAATTTTCCACGTCGCCGTTGTTGTAGCTGCTCTTATTCACATGTACGGAATTTCAAACCTGCAATATTACCGCTGGGAACAAGGAAACACCTGCACGCCTGATCCCAATGATTCTGATGTTCTTTAAAAAGTTGTTCGTTTTTGATTCTTTGCCCTTCTTGCAAAAAATAATTATAATAATTGAACTGTTTACGAGCAGGTCTCGTGTTCAGTCCGATTCTTCATTCCCTGAAAAATTCAAATAAAATTCATTTTCCAATTCAACTTTCTCTTAATTCGTTCGTCAGCTAGAATGTCCGCCGCTCGACAGCTCTCTCGACACCTCAAGGAGCTCCGAATCCATCTTTGCCAGACTTCCTCTGCTTCCAAGGGCGCTCGGGAATTTATCAGCGCCAACTACACCACTTTGAAGTCAGCTAACCCTGACTTTCCCATCCTCATCCGCGAGTGCTCAGGCATCCAGGTAATTTCGAAGCCCTCTTCTTCGACCTTCAAGCGCGTTTAGCCCCGAGTTATTGGCCGATACGCTTACGGCCGAGAAGAGAAAATCGTCTTGAGCGACATGAGCGCCAACGAAGTCGACCAAGCCATCAACTCCCTTGCCGCTGGTCCCTCTACCAACTAGATCAAAAGTTCAATTTACTGGCAATTTATAACTTATATAGTATTTATTTTTGTCTCCAAAGGCAAAAGGTCTCAAAGAGTCTTCACAAAAAAGTTTTACTAAAAATCATTTCTCGACACTTTTCTTCTTCAGAATGCAGGGTAGAAAAACGGTATGAAATGGGAAAAGAGGAAAAGGGCCACCTGAGTATTGGCAGAGGTGGAGTAATAAGCCAGTATTCCGGCCGGGAGAGAAATGTCTCCGAGATTGAGGAGAAAGGAGAGCTCGTTGATCGAATCTGCGAGGCATTGAGATCATGGAAGAGAATTCGCCTTGGCATCAAACTTGGTCCGTTTATTCATTTTTGCCTCTTTCTTATTTTCCAATAGAAAGTTCCCATATTGCTAGTCATGATCGTTGGCTAATGCTTGTTGCGGATCACTCGGAGGATGACGGATATCGATATTTTCTCGTTGGACTTGACATCAAGGAAGAAGAGATTACAATTGGCTTGTACTTGCCTATCACAGTGAATACTCGAGTCTCTCTTGATGGCGATGGAGCCATTGTTGTTACTGGAGATGTGCAAAAGCCAACAACTCTTGCTGCCTTCAAGCCTATTTCTATCCAAGGTAAACAATTCGACCAAGACTTTCTGCTTTACAGTAACTAGGTCTTTGGTCACTTTACACAGTTCTTTGCCGACTAACCACCCAGGCGCCTTGCAATACCAACCCAAGACCAAACTCAGCACCAGAGGTCAAAAGTCCATCATCGATTTTAACCTCGACGCGGGCGGAGAAGAATTTATGGGAGTATGACTCCGATTTGTGGTCGAAGCGGCCCGACCGCGTGCAGCACCAGGTTATTGACGACTCAACAGGGACGGCTTCAATTATTTTAACGCCCCGTTTTACTGCCAGTTGTAAAGCATATGGAAGTGTCAGGTTTCTGGATAGATGGGGCCTTGACCGCATGTCCAGAAGTAAATTAAGTTTGCATGTGTCAATCAAACTAGAGCCTGTTAAAGACTTGGAGATAAAAAGAAACATCAGGATCACCCTAAAGTTTCTTATGAGCAAAATGGATCTTGACATCGCCACGCCGAAGGAAATTCAAGAATCCGTTGTTGAAAAAATGCCCAACGTCGATTTGGAAGCGTACAAAAAGTATATCGATACTGAGGTTTTATAATCAAGTATCTTTCATTTTTTATCGTTATTTGTAGATGCTGACAGTTTTGGGCGAGATGGAAAGCTCCGCTCAAATTCTGGATTTTCTCTATCTTGGTTCAGAGTGGAACGCAGCAAATTTAGACGAGCTAGAGGAAAACAAAATTACGCACATTCTCAATGTCACCAAGGTGTGTTTTTCCCAAATTTCGAATCATGGAATGTCTTCAGGAAATCGACAATTTTCATCCCGAACGATTCCAATACAAGAATATTCTCCTGTATGATCTTGAAAGCTCCAACCTCCTCGATCACTGGGAGACGACTTTTCGCTTTATAGGCGAGTCTTCAATTCGAGAAAAAAATTGAAATTTGAAGCTTAGATTCCGCGCGAATGAAAGACGGACGGGTTTTGGTGCACTGCAAGATGGGAATATCCCGTTCTGCCTCGACCGTATGCGCCTATTTGATGAAAAGTCTCAACTGGAGCCTCGAACAAGCCCTTTCCCACGTCAAAAATCGACGTCCCATCGCCAATCCCAATGATAGCTTCATCCAACAACTGCAGATTTACGAGGGAATGTTAGCCGCGCAGATTTTTCGCGATGAACTTGATCATGGAGGCGGAGTTGCGGCAGAAACTGTTTCAGACACAGACTTGATCGACATTGAAAAATCTAGGTAAGGAGCTGGTCTTGAACCATTTTCATAAAATTTTAATAGAGTAAAAAAACTTGTCAACAATTTTCATAAACGAGAAAGAGCCATCCGAAGGTCGAATTCCGCCAATCATAAAAAGTAAGGTCATCATTCTAAATCTTCCTCTATAATTTCTCAGGAGACCATTAAAATTCGGTCGAAATGGAACAACTCTCCAAGACGATGACGACATCCCAACACGACTTGTGATGAGCCATTCCGAGGGAGAATCGAGCTCCAACGAAACAGATTTCCGGAACGGCCCGAACCTCCGCGAGATCTCACTCAGCTCGGTTTCCGAGTATCCTACTTCTGTTGTCGAGACGTCTGATGTCTTCGACATTTCTCATTCTCTCTGTAAGAGTTCAAAACAAGCTCTCTGTCCATTTGTCATTCTTTAGGTTCTTTGAGTGAGTCTGAATCTGATGCAGAGCCGTCTACAAACGATTCTGTCGTGCGTCTCCGTCGAGCAGGACTTGTCCGTCTTCGAACCCGTCAAATCGAAGCTAGAATACGCCGAAGAAACAAACGACGGCCGAAGAACTTGCCAACTCCTTCCCACCAACCTACCGCTCTTAAAAAGCCCGAATCAAAATTTTCCTTTTTGAAAAGTCAAAGTACTACTACTGCTGAACCACCTTGCCATTACGTGTGCCATCCCTTCAAATTCCGCGCTGCCGGACCGAGAAGCCTTTCGCTCGAGCTAGAAAGTGATCGCCACTTCTTTTCCGACCATGCTTGCTGTCTATCCGAATCTGCCTGTCTTTACCAGAGTCATATTTATCAATCTGTATGAAACTATTATAACTACGAAAAATAAATAAATAGACAAGGAGAATGAAATTAATAAATTCATTCTTCCATAAATTGTGGAAATAGATATGCTAAATAGTCATTATTTAATATCTTTTTCAGTCGATATATCATATATGATGAGCAGGGTTTCTTTTACTGTCAGAAATCGGAAGAGCAGGGCCAAATAACGTATATATTTTGGTAAAACAAGCAAAGTAAACGACGCAAAATACAGAGCTAGCCTTTTGGTGACCTTGACGCACCGACAGCGCTTTTTAGGTGAGATTAAAAACACTTAGAAATGAGGTAAAGAGTAGACGAAATAGAGTAACCTTCTTGGAAGAGGGAGCGTAATTGAGTGATGCCGGCAAGGTCGAATGAGTTTGGCAGATTATAAGGAAATATAGGTAGATACTGTTGTCTTCTGGGTTACTTTTTTCGATCTTTTAGTTTCAAACGACCTAAATTATTTTGAAACTTATCTTTATATTTAAGATTCATAAATTTTACATGTTTTGTAACGAAGATTTTTAAAATGCCTCACAGGCTCATTATAATCGACTTCTCAAGGAAGTAAAGAAAGCAGTCTTTTTTCGTCAAAAAGTATCATTAAAAATATGTTCGCCAGAATGTGCAAATAAATCTTAAATCTGATGATTTCTTTCCCGTAGCATAGGCCAGTTGCTAATTAATTAAAGTTTGAACAGATTGTTACCACTGACGGCGCTGGCAGGAGCGAAATAAACTAACTGGCGGTAGTGGTATTTTTTCCGAGCCAAATCAATACATTCCATTTTTCCAAGCTCACTTTCAGCTGCTCAGAATCGGAGAAAAGAGAGCTTGAATTTATTGGCGAAGAGAAGGAGAGAATAAATCAACAGCTGTCCATCCCCCAAAACCGGCTCGGCTGCGTCAAATGAGTTCGATAAGCTGAGCAAACCAGTCCTATTTTTTCTCAAGAAGAAAACAAAGAGAAACACTGAAACAAGGTCGGACAGAGGATAAAAGGATGATCGAAGAGAGTGGACTTGGATTCGAGATAAAGGAAGGGCTTCAAAAGTTAATTGATTGTTATTGCCTTTGCAATACAATCAATAATGAAAGTTGTCCTTTGAAAGCCCACTTCTAGCTCATAATTTGCACTATATCGTCGTTATACTTCATTTTTCCGGTGATATGAACGGATCAAAAATATGATGATAAACAGAAATTTCATTATCTTAAATGTTTCATTGATTGATCCAGTGAAAAGTATTAGCGATATTTCTTTTGAAAGAATTCGAACTGCGCGACATTTGTAATGGAGAATCGTTTTGTCGAATTTACAACAAGTGCCTTCAATGCTTCACATGTCGAGGTAAATTTGGATTAACTGGCTAATCGCCAGCATGGATTATAGAAAGACAATTATTGATTAATCTGATGCTGATTGAAAATAATGATTTTCGTCAATGACCTTCAAAGGGAATGTCAAAATGTAAAAATTAAGTCGAAACCAAGTTGATTTTTTGATTACGTAACTGATTCAAATGTCACTGTTCTTGACCTCAATTAATTTTTCAGATTGCCGATCCAAAAACAGTTCTACAACCGACTTCTCAAAGGCGACGGTACACAGCTGTGGCAGCGATTCTCGCCTTGAACACGTATAAAAATTGAATTCATTAGTAATATGTTCTGTCTGTATGGAAATTCTTCCACCTTACACTTATTCGGGATTTGAGGATTCAAGTACAGCACGAGAATAATTCTAAGCTACCTCTTTAGTCTTCGTTTCGGAAAAGTAAATAAAGGCTAAATATGTGTTCGAAGCTGATTTTTGTATAAAATATTTATTCACCCAGAATTTGCCTCAAACAGAAGGACAGTAATGATCGGCTGGATTTTGATCAGCAGGAATAGTCACTTCTTTGCGACATCTAAATTTTCTATTCAGGGTACATGTCGTATCATTCCATTTTTTGCCATTTCCATTTGGCGCAGTCATGCTCCAACTCTCGATACAGGCTTCGAAGGAATTCCCATTCGGCTCTCCTGACGCCCAATGTGTGATCGTCTGTGGGGATCCATCGGCAGCTACGAAGCCGCCTGAGCCGTCTTTAGAGATTCCAAGCCACTCGGTTGTGTCAGCTGAGATCGTGTTATAGGCATCTAACTCTTCCTGGGTCTTGAAAAAAGCGATGAAAGAGCCCTCACTAGAACAAGCTTGCTCTGCGTCAGCGAAAGAAACCGGGGTGTCGTGAAGCTCAAACTGAATACAGTCTTTTGTTCCAACAGGCTCGTAGCAAACAGAATCGGTAGGATCAGCCTGATCAACGGGAACCTCAGTTTCAATTCGACAATGAAACTTTGGGATGGGTCCAACGCACCCGACATCATTCCACTGGTATGCAAGGGGGTCTGTTTCTTTTTTGCTCATGATGCAGTCCTGTGAAGGAAGATGCGCAAAATCAGGATTGTGCCCATTTGGTTCTCCAGCAGCCCAGTTTGTTATTGCCTGTGTTGAGCCATCTGCTGCTTGCACCCCTCCTAGATTATCTGTTTTGCTTATACCGAGCCACTGGATTTCAGGTGATGGTAAGGAATTGTACAAATCAAGTTCTTCTTGTGTCTAATAATCGGCTGCAATATATCATAAAATGTGGGAAACGCTCGTCTAAATTACCAATTGGTAATGCATTACCAATGTTGGTAATCCATTACCAATTTTTTTGTAATGCATTACCAAACTTCCCGAAAAGTGCCAATTTTGTTTAGTCAAAGAGCCCTTGTGCGCTCCGCGCCTGTGTGATAGAAAACGTTTGGGAGTGATTTACTCATTTTTTGGACAAAAAATCAGAACTTATGAAAAAAGTTTGGTAATGGATTACCAATTTTTGGTAATGCATTACCAAAAATCTTTGGTAATTTAGACGAGCGTCCCCGAAAAATGTCACTTTGATCATTCTCACTCAAGGCAAATATTTCTTATATAATCATGAAAAAAATTCTGTAACCAAGCCTTGAAAAATGGAAGATAACCGCCGAGGTTGGCACAAACGACTTCTGCATCCGCAAAAGCCATAGAAGTATCGTGGTATTGGAAGGAGACACAGGTCTTGGTTGGTGGTGGATCGCAGCGGATTTCACTGCCGGCATTAGTGAACTGAGAATTTTCGCAGACAATGGTCGACTCACCGACAAGCGTGTGCGTCGGGTCCGCGCAGGTCAGATCGCAAGTTACTGGAGTCGTTTGATAAAAAGACTCGATTCCTGAGCAGCTTATATTGAAAGCGCTCTTATCGATGGTAAAAGCTGAGTCGATTTGCCCGCAGGGCGTGTCGTATTCGGGCACACACTCGACCATTTCTGATTGAGAGTCGTGAACGTGCTGGTAAGTACTACTCGCAGTGTCACACTGAAGAGTGAGATAAGTTGGCATTTCCCCAGCAGGGCAGGAAAGTGAGCATGAATCACCAGTGCAAGTAGAAGTTAGTCCTGTATTGTCAACGTTGTAAAAGTCTTCAAGACGACCGCATGAAGTTTCGGCACAGTAGATTTCCGAACCACCAGGAGGCGTAAGCGCTCCATTTGAGCATGAAACTTCGCTGACAGGGTAAGGAACAGGTCTCGAAGCATCTCCGTCGCATGTGAGAGAGCACGTCTCTCCAGAGCAGGTAGCGGTGACATCAACCCAGTTTTCTCCATAATTGAAGTCCGCTGGATCACCGCAACTGGTTGCTTTGCAAGTGAGAGTCATTGAAGAAGCATCCGTTGGTGAAATTTCTCCTGCATTGCATCCAACAACGGAAGCTGGATATGGGAAAAGAGAAGTGTCGGTGCAGGTTGCCGTACAAGAGTCGGCGCTCGAGTCACAAGTGAAAGTTCCATCAGCGAAGCTTGATTCGAATGATGAAAGATCGCCGCAACTCAAGGATGTTGATGGCGCGGTTGTTGGAGCGGCCGTTGTTGAAGCCACTGGAGGAGGTACTGTTGTTGAAGCAACTGGCGGGGCTGCTGTTGTTGTTACGACAGGAGGAGAGGCTGTTGTTGTTGCGATCCCTGATAGATTTTATGAGGAAAATCTTTTGATCTTGACTCACCTGGACATGTGAAAGCTGCAACGTCAGCATCAGTGATCATGCGACTGAATTTCTTTGCATTCCAGCCACAATTCTTGCCGTTCCATCGTGGACAAGTACAAACCGCTGTCAATTGATAAGCCTCGCCGTTTGGAAGTTGCAATTTCTCACCGTTCGCGCATTTGTAGGTACATTTCTTTCTGTTCAGGCCGTTGATCCCGCAAGTAACAGTAATACCTTCAGGTGGAGCGGCAAGATCAGTCGCGCATGTGTCGCATTCACCGAGAAGTCGCTTCCAGAAAAAGAACTTATGAGGATTGAAGCGGCATTTTGTACGACGCCTTCCAACGGCGAGATAGCCTTTTTGCCTGGTTAAGCTGTTCTACAAAATAGAAAATAAACCTACCTTGGTCACAGACAAGAGCACAAGTAGACTGATCGCAGACGACTTGTCCGTTAACAGGAGTCTCTAAAGGCTCGCAAAGACTGTAAAGAGCAGCGATTCTTCCAGCTGGAGCTCCCCAACCACCCTTTTTTTGGTTTAGCACATCAAGAAAATCTCTATATCTCGGCTGCTCGTAGGAGAGTGCTACTGTTGTGAGAGACGAGAAAAGCTTAAAATTGAAATTAAGTTTTCTCGGCGTTTTCGTACCTTCATTCTTTTCCCTTTCTCTGCTAGATAATATAAGCCAATATTTGGCTTATCTTCGCATCAGCACTATGTTTCGTTCGAGATGAAGATCTCTGCGAGACAAAATATCATTGAATATTATTCAACTGGTCATGTTGTTGCGGTTTATTTTTGCGAAAATATTCTGGGCGTATCGAACTAATCAGACATAGAAAGTTCAGTCAAAATGTAAAACTAAAACCTTCTTTCATTTTTTGAGCAATAAATATCGAGCTTTCTATTTGAAAAACTCTGAGTATTTGGATAACTAGGAACGGGGAAAATGACGATTGATTAATGATGGAACCTATGATAGCTACGTTCAGTTTCCATGTTTGTGTCAACAAAGGCCACCGCAGGATGACAGAGTTTGTGTCAAATGACAGTCCCCACTCATACAGTCATTTTCAAGAAAGAAGTGAGGTGAATCAACGTTATTGTCGAGTTTTATTTTGATCGAAAATAAAGGCTAAATATGTGTTCGAAGCTGATTTTTGTATAAAATATTTATTCGCCCAGAATTTGCCTCAAACAGAAGGACAGTAATGATCGGCTGGATTTTGATCAGCTGGAATAGTCACTTCTTTGCGACATCTAAATTTTCTATTCAGGGTACATGTCGTATCATTCCATTTTTTGCCATTTCCATTTGGCGCAGTAATGCTCCAACTCTCGATACAGGCTTCGAAGGAATTCCCATTCGGCTCTCCTGACGCCCAATGTGTGATCGTCTGTGGGGATCCATCGGCAGCTACGAAGCCGCCTGAGCCGTCTTTAGAGATTCCAAGCCACTCGGTTGTATCGGCTGAGATCGTGTTATAGGCATCAAGTTCTTCCTGGGTCTTGAAAAACGCGATGAAAGAGCCCTCACTTGTACAAGTTTGCTCTGCGTCAGCGAAAGGAACAGGGGTGTCGTGAAGCTCAAACTGGATACAATCTTTTGTTCCAACAGGCTCGTAGCAAACAGAATCGGTAGGATCAGCCTGATCTACGGGAACCTCAGATTTAGTTCTACAATAGAACTTCGGGTTGGTTCCAACGCACCCGACATCATTCCACTGGTATGCAAGGGGGTCTGTTTCTTTTTTGCTAACGAGACAGTCCTGTGAAGGTTGATTGGCAAAATCAGGATTGTGCCCATTCGGTTCTCCAACAGCCCAGTTTGTTATTGTCAGTGTTGAACCATCTGCACCTTGCACTCCTCCTTGATTATCTGTTTTGCTTATACCCAGCCATTGGCTAGTAGGTGATGGTAACGAATTGTACAAATCAAGTTCTTCTTGTGTCTAATAATCGGCTGCGATAAATCATAAAATGTCACTTCAATCATCCACACTCAAGGCAAATATTACTAAAATTATTAAAATCGGGAGGGAATTCTGCAACCAAGCCTTGAAAAATGGAAGGTAACCGCCGAGGTTGGCACAAACGACTTCTGCATCCGCGAAAGCCATAGAAGTATCTTGGTATTGGAAGGAGACACAGGTCTTGGTTGGTGGTGGATCGCAGCGGATTTCACTGCCCGCATTGGTGAACTGAGAATTCTCGCAGACGACGGTCGACTCGCCGACAAGCGTGTGCGTCGGGTCCGCGCAGGTCAGATCGCAAGTTACTGGAGTCGTTTGATAAAAAGACTCGATTCCTGAGCAGCTTATATTGAAAGCATTCTTATCGATGGTAAAAGCTGAGTCGATTTGCCCGCAGGGCGTGTCGTATTCGGGCACACACTCGACCATTTCTGATTGAGAGTCGTGAACGTGCTGGTAAGTACTACTCGCAGTGTCACACTGAAGAGTGAGATAAGTTGGCATTTCCCCAGCAGGGCAGGAAAGTGAGCATGAATCACCAGTGCAAGTAGAAGTTAGTCCTGTATTGTCAACGTTGTAAAAGTCTTCAAGACGACCGCATGAAGTTTCGGCACAGTAGATTTCCGAACCACCAGGAGGCGTAAGCGCTCCATTTGAGCATGAAACTTCGCTGACAGGGTAAGGAACAGGTCTCGAAGCATCTCCGTCGCATGTGAGAGAGCACGTCTCTCCAGAGCAGGTAGCGGTGACATCAACCCAGTTTTCTCCATAATTGAAGTCCGCTGGATCACCGCAACTGGTTGCTTTGCAAGTGAGAGTCATTGAAGAAGCATCCGTTGGTGAAATTTCTCCTGCATTGCATCCAACAACGGAAGCTGGATATGGGAAAAGAGAAGTGTCGGTGCAGGTTGCCGTACAAGAGTCGGCGCTCGAGTCACAAGTGAAAGTTCCATCAGCGAAGCTTGATTCGAATGATGAAAGATCGCCGCAACTCAAGGATGTTGATGGCGCGGTTGTTGGAGCGGCCGTTGTTGAAGCCACTGGAGGAGGTACTGTTGTTGAAGCAACTGGCGGGGCTGCTGTTGTTGTTACGACAGGAGGAGAGGCTGTTGTTGTTGCGATCCCTGATAGATTTTATGAGGAAAATCTTTTGATCTTGACTCACCTGGACATGTGAAAGCTGCAACGTCAGCATCAGTGATCATGCGACTGAATTTCTTTGCATTCCAGCCACAATTCTTGCCGTTCCATCGTGGACAAGTACAAACCGCTGTCAATTGATAAGCCTCGCCGTTTGGAAGTTGCAATTTCTCACCGTTCGCGCATTTGTAGGTACATTTCTTTCTGTTCAGGCCGTTGATCCCGCAAGTAACAGTAATACCTTCAGGTGGAGCGGCAAGATCAGTCGCGCATGTGTCGCATTCACCGAGAAGTCGCTTCCAGAAAAAGAACTTATGAGGATTGAAGCGGCATTTTGTACGACGCCTTCCAACGGCGAGATAGCCTTTTTGCCTGGTTAAGCTGTTCTACAAAATAGAAAATAAACCTACCTTGGTCACAGACAAGAGCACAAGTAGACTGATCGCAGACGACTTGTCCGTTAACAGGAGTCTCTAAAGGCTCGCAAAGACTGTAAAGAGCAGCGATTCTTCCGACTGGAGCTCCCCAACCACCCTTTTTTTGGTTTAGCACATCAAGAAAATCTCTATATCTCGGCTGCTCGTAGGAGAGTGCTACTGTTGTGAGAGACGAGAAAAGCTTAAAATTGAAATTAAGTTTTCTCGGCGTTTTCGTACCTTCATTCTTTTCCCTTTCTCTGCTAGATAATATAAGCCAATATTTGGCTTATCTTAGCAACAATATTATTTTTTCGTTCGAGAGGAAGATCCCTGTGAGAGAAAATGTCATTGAATATTATTCAACTGGTCATGTTGTTGCGGTTTATTTTTTGCGAAAAAATTCTGAGCGTATCGAACTGATCAGACATAGAAAGTTCATGCAAAATGTAAAACTGGAACCTTCTTTCTTGGCGTTATAGAATTTTCAGAGCAATAAATATTGAGCTTTCTATTTGAAAAACCTTGAGTATTTGGATAACAAGGAACGGGGAAAATGACGATTGATTAATGATGGAACCTATGATAGCTACGTTCAGTTTCCACGTTTGTGTCAACAAAGGCCACCGCAGGATGACAGAGTTTGTGTCAAATGACAGTCCCCACTCTTACAGTCATTTTCAACAAAGAAGTGAGGTGGAACAAAGTTTTTGTCGAGTTTTATTTTGATCGAAAATAATTTTATGCTGTACACTAGCGGCTTTTTCGTGTTTTTCGAGGATTGGTCGTTCTTGTTTTTATTTTGATGTAGTCGTAGAATTGATGGATTAGAAAGAAGAAAACGGATATTCACAAAAGGAAAACAACAGTTCTAAAATCGAGATTTACGACTGTTTCTCCAGATCTTCTACAGTTTCGTTTCTGAACAAATAATTGGCGTTAGTCTTCCTTGTTTTCAAGAAATTGTTTTTGGCCGTCAGACAAGAATCAGAACAGGAGCTAATCCTCAAGATCTAACGCGAGGTCACTTTTACGAGTGTTTAAATTTATGCTTAGCTTAGCTCCAGTTTTGAATACGATTTTAATCTGGCTTGGACTTACTTCATCCTTAGAGTGACTTGGATCTTCGTGAAGATTAGACCAAACGATTCGAATAATGGGTCGAGGAATGTTCTGACCATCAGTCCCCAGACTTTCTTCACGAATTCGGCCTAGATATCAATTTACTGAATGCTCGCTACGAGCGCTAGAATCTTTACCCAAATAACGAAGCCACGGATGAATGGGACGACACACCAAATCGAGCAGAAAGCGAGGAGAGCAAAGTAGAGACCCCACATGATTGACATGGGCACGGCCAAAACTGCTGTCAAGATTCTTAAACAAAGTAAGCGTAAAAAGACCTAGAAGAGGGTTACCTGTAAGTCCAGTATTTGACAACAGAGTAAGATTTGTAAGATGTTCCCCAAATGGTTGCGAAGGAGTGAGCACCGTCAGGCTCGGCGATGACATCGGAAAAGTTGACCTAAACGATTCTTTTGTTCAAAGAGGCTCATAAATTTGTCGGCCCCTGAAAACTGCCCTGGGAGAGACAATCAAGCTATTTTCGTGAAATCAAAAGAGAAGATGTAAAACATTTTAGGGACTTGAACTTTTTCGATAATAGAGAGCGATAAATGCCGAGTACGAGAAAAAATAATGGCTTGGTATGCGGAGCTCATCTGATTTATGGTCCCAATCATTAACGATCACTCCTGGCAGAGGATTTAACGATAATGATAGAGACCCCTGCGCAATGATGGTTTTAGCACTTGGCATTTCTGACATAAAATTCTGAGAAAATACCAGCCAAGGGTCTTCCAAAGCATCTATGTCGGCAACATAGACCCTGGTAGTCTGTTAAAGTTCAGGATTCCGCAAGGTCAAGTTTGTTTACACAATTTAAAACGCTTTAGTCAGACTCTTTTGTTACTGTACCTTGATGTCCGGGTGGAGATTGTGCTGATCACGGTTGGCGTATTCGACATCTTTGTAGTATTTTGGTGTGAAGCTTGGCTAGAATTGAAAATTGAGTCAGGTTCGGGAAGGTTGGTTCTTTCATGGTGAGAGAGAAATCAAAAAAAGCGCATGCTTTTTAAGAGTCAGTGAAAATTCGTTTCACGAAAAAGTCACTTTCACGAATTAACCCCGTGGCTGACGTTTATGAATGTTGTGTGGCTTGGCGTTAGGGGGTTAAAAACAAAGATGGACATTAGTTACAAATTCAGAGGCTGAATCTTAACCAGCAATTGTATGTGTTTGTTTTCCAGGAGGTTAATTCACGGCTTTGATGTGACTTGAATCGGGCCAAAATTAATGTTTTCGACAACATACAGTAATTATGTTAATTTAGCGTGTGTTTGTTCGAAAGAAGTGTTTCTTTACCTCTGGAAGGGCACCTTTTTTAAATTTGCATTTTACATCAAGGTTAACCTTGAAAGAAACTCAGTCAGAGAACTGATTCGAGAGAGCGAGATCGATTTTGTTCAAGCGCGATTTTGATTTTTTGAGTTCTTGAATTTTGAAGCCTAACCCAAACCACACCTAACTAAACCGTGCGGGGGATACGGACGGGTTGAAACTTACCTTTGGCAAAGTGAAGCCCTTTTTCTCTTTCTTTTTTGGTGCCTCTTCGGACTGGAGAAGAACGTCTCCGGAGGTCTCGGCAACTTCAACTTTCGCCTGAGCTGGGGCGGCTTCGGCGGCTTTAGTTTGTTCTACAGGTGCTTCCTCAGTAGCAGTGGTGGTTGCAGGGGATCCTGAGCGGGAGTAGTTGTAGTGGCTTCACCTTCCGTCATTTTTAAGCTGTTGTTATATTGTTTCTTGTACACTTTTGAGGCGATGAGGTGTCAAAAGGGAAAGTCTAAATTGTTTTCTCTTGAAAAAGAATTAATGGCAAGCTTTACCTAAAATATTCTCGGGTGGTGAAGGGAGTTATGCCGAACTCAAAGAGTGCTTGGGGTGAGTAGCGCACGAGAGAACCAGAACAAGGGAGAGATCGTCCCGAGAGCTCCTTACCAGACTTTTCTGAAGCGAGATTAAGCCCAGGTCGACGGGCTCTCGCTGCTCTGGTCAGGTACTTCTGCTTGATCAGGTACGACCACGGCTCCGGCTTGAAAAGGGGCCCTTTCCAAGTTTTTGTCTGGTAGCTCTTGTGTGTTGGATGTTGGCGATAATCTATTTAGGGACTGAAACAAAAAGGGCTGACCAGGTTCATTGGCAGAACGGAAAGAAAAAAAAGGTTTGGGAACGTGTCAACTCTCCCTGGCAGTTTTCCAACAACACGTGGTCAGCGTCAGATTCGGTAGTACCCACTTATTGAGGAAGAATGTTAAGGTCAAAGGGCATTTCTTCGAATAGTACTCATCCATATGGACCATCCATGAGCGGGCTGTCTCCGGGACATTGCGGGTTTGCGCATCTCGTTTATGCTTGATTCCAGAAGCCGATTATTTATTGGCAATAAAATAAAATATAATAAAATCAATTTGATTCAGAAAAATAATTTTTGTTTTAGGAAGCACCTTATCTAACGAAAAGAAAGTTGAGGAATGTACAAAAGTGCGGACATATAAAAGCGTTGGCATTTTTATGAAGTTCATAAAACCAAGATCAGATGCGTATTGATTGATTCGCTTGAGCCCTGAGCGCTGAGTCCTTTCAGAAAGTACGGACATCCGCGGCCCGGGTGGAGAGGTTATAAATCTATAACGGCACGTCGTAATAATCAAAACTTCAGCGAAATAAATTTATCTCATCTGCGTCTCAATTAAACTCGCAGCAGCTAAATTTTATCACCTGACAATCACGTTTTATTCGAATGGATAAAATAGCTCGTTTTCCTTGCTTGGCAAGTTTTACTTTCAGAACTAAGAAATAATCCTGCTTGATTGAAAGTAAGCCCTGGAAAAAGGTCAGAACTAGGGAGAACGAATAGTTGTCGTTGAATATTGACCTTGTCTTCAGAAACGGACCCCCCAAGCCCATCAAAAAAGAGCAATTAGACCGTGATAAATCGACAATTCAGAGTTCTTTTTTCCACGCTTAACACTACTCTCCTATTACGGAAATAAGCCTCACAAATGATGACATCAACAAGAACTGACACGACTGACGAAAGTAAAGATAATTTCTTTATTTTATTTTTTTTTATTTTTTTCTGGTTTCGAAATATTTTTAAGTTATTTTATGAACAAAAAGAGTAGGTTTTTTTTCAGACAGAGGAGGTTGACTTTGGTGTTTATAGTTTTAGGAGATGAGGATTTTCGTTGTTGATCTCACTCGTTGTTGTTGTTGTTTTAATTGTGTTGCGTATGCTGTTTGAAAAGTTACAGTTGTCGTTGTTGTTGTTTACACGTCTTCGTAGTTGAGCTTGGCTCCGCCAACGCGTTCCACTCGTTTTTTAATGTTGATTGAACTGAAAGCGCGGCCCAAGGACTCGAAGAAGGGATTGAAGACGACTTGCAGGATGATGCCCCAGAATTCAGACATGCAGCCCATCTTGATCTTGTGCGATCGTTTCAGCGGAGAATACACCCAGACATGAGCACAAGCGACGCAAGCTTTTCAAACGGGTCAAGAATTTGAATTCATCAATAATACGAGCGATCATTTGGTACGCTTTGTTCTGATGCCATAAAAATCAGAGAGGATATTTTTTTGACGCTAAACAAGCTCGTTAAACAATGTCAAATTCCAAATTATTGAAATAAATTTTTCCACTTGACTAACTAATAAAGTTTCCTAATCATAATTAGTCTAGTAAAATTATAAAAAATAGTTGATGAATAATAATTTTTGACCCCTTGGCGAAAATTAAACCCCAGAAAGCAGCCAGTGGAATTCCAAAGATAAGGGACAGAACTTGGTAGGAGGCATCTTTGAAGAAACTGAAAAGAGATTCAGATGAAAAAAGAATTTCTAGCAAGAACAGTTTGATGTGTGGTCTTCTATTGTAAGATTAACTTACACATAGACTTCGTTACTCAAATGCCAGATGTATTTTGAGGAGTGGTAACCTTCTGGCTCAGCGATAATTTCGTCGAATTTAATCTGAAAATTTTTTTGAAGAAAAAAAATTATCAAAATTTTAGCTGAAATTCTTCAAGAATGAAAATGAACATACTCTGACATCGTCGTTGAGTTTCTTTGGATCTCGATCTTCAATTGCTTTGAAATCCTGAACCGTCTGATCGAGCCCGGGCGTGTTGACAGCTTCTTGCGACATGGTTGCTTTTGACTTTCTCTTTCTCCCTTCTCTGGTGGCGATTGAGGAGTATTGCTTTTGTTTTATTACTTTGTTGTTTTGATAATTCTCGATTTGCGTGCCCGTGGAGAGAAGGGGCTGCTGCTCGTGGGCCTCGACGGTGCTCTGGTCGCTGAACTCTGTCTCGTCACTCCTGAAAGAGGCCGATAGAGAAGCCATCGAACGAGGCCAGAGAGTAGTACCTAACTCAATCTTAGGGTAACCTGACTTTCTTTACTACCACACTCGCGGGCTAACGAGCTAGGCGACCCTACCTACCTCCAACGACCACGCTGCTCAGCGATCGACGTTTTTTCTGGTTCTAAATTCAATCGCCACTAAATCGATCTGGCGCTGTCTGAATTTTTTCGAATCTTTGTCTCTCTGAATTTTTAGAATTTTAGTAAATTTTTATGACACTATAAAAATATTGAAAGAAATATTAAAAGGAGCTGTCTGTATTATGATGGGCGAGCGTATACGAAAAAGGATGAAGGTGAAAAGACCAGACGCAAGAGAGCTCAAGAATTCTTATCGCGGCAAATGCAGCCTAGATAACCATAAACAGATCGACGACTCTAAGACTTAGAGTCTAAGTACTGAACGTAGTTGGCTTTCTACCAAAAAATATTCAAAAGAATTTGAGCTTTCAACTGATACAACTTGACTGTTGCGATAAAACCTAAGGGATTGGATTAAAAAACTTCTAATTAGGAAAGTCTTATATGACTGAACAAAATTCTTGTCAATAAAATGATATAAATTATTAACCTAGCGTCGCAAATGTCAGACTTTGTCATTCAGGTTCTCATAGTTTCTTCAAAATGTCAAATAAGAGGTTAGTTATACACACATCTCTCACGATAAAATAAAGATCTGAACCAGGGTCCACGATAATCGTCAACTTATAAAGGTCCTTCAGATAGAAACCCTTAACCGGTGTCCTCCATTTCCCCAAGGAAGGACTGTATGAAGATCTGGTGATACTATACCGTACAGTACCTTTCTGTGGAATTTCGATCTATTCTGTAAGTGCCCAATTGATCATCGTTGGCTAATGATCTTGGCCTCGACTTCCGAAAAAGAGCGTCAGAAAAGCCAAATAATTTGGGCCCCATTCCATTCCGCGAATCATGCTCCGTCCCCATGCCAAGAAAAATAATAGTACGTCGGAATTAAGAATTAAGAAATGTTCGTCAATCGACGACCACCGTGGGAGTCAATTTTAAAAATATTCAAGAGGTGTCACTTTGAGTTATTACAACTGACAGAGTGTCATCACATGAACTTGGCCCCAGAGGAGCATCAGACCCCAGAGAGGCTACACGGTGATGACAGATACAGGAATTTGAGAAGAAAGAATCATCAGCAGCCTTCTCAGACGACTTTTTTGCTTCAAGAGACGATCATTTCGGAATTTGGCTTGACGGGTCTCAATTATTTTTAGCGCTGTTTTTATAGCTTCTGCGATCTCCCTGATAAATTCCAGAGCAGTACTTGTAACCTAAGAAAACCACAATTTATTCCCAATAAAGGCTATCCATCAGCGCTCATAAACACCTCCTTTCCTTTCTTTTTTCAAAGATAGTTTTTCTAAAACAGGATGGTACTTAAATATCTCCGCGTGTAGTACCAGAATGTCAAAATAATGAGCCCGGAATGGTTGTGTTTTTTATTGCTGCACAGGTGTTGTTTTCGATTATTCTGATTTGTAGATATTTTATTAGATTTGGCAACTGATTGATGTCATTTGAAGGATGTGATCTGATGAACTGGTATTAAAAGCATCAAGAACTCAATTTTGTGAGTTCATTGACGCACTAGTGGTTAGTTCGATAGGCCTTCCTTGATTTCAGTTTTCTTCAGATTAGGGTCGGACACAAAAAAATTTTTTGAAAGTTGCACAAGGGAAATATACATGAATCGAAAGAGCAGAAGCTGGCGATTCGAATGATACATATCTCGATGCCGTGAGAGTTGGGAATATTTTTTAAATAATTTTGAAAGTTAAAAAAAAACGTGTTAATTGTACGGGAATTCCACTTTTATCGAATTTGTGTTCCTTAGTTGAATGACTGTTCCTCGGCCAGAATATGGCCACTCTAGGCCAATTTCGGTCACTTTGTGCCGGAGGACCTCCCGGAGGACCCCTTTGCTGGAAGAAAATATGCTGGAAGAAGTATTAATTTTAAAAGTTTCCAAAAAACCTAGTCGACACCTAAGCACTTTTCAACTTAAAAAAGCTACGAAATTTTGGAACCAGCTGGTCATTCTGGCGGTTCGTCGCGGTTCACGCTCTGAATATCACAAAATGTTGAAATATGTAAATCAAAATGCTTCTCTACTCAAAAGGAGTCTTTTAAAACGGATGTTCGAACCGAACCACTTAGCCTACCGCCCGGTTCACAGCGGTTCAGAGTGGTTCACGCTCTAAGTATCGTCAAAAGGCTGAAAGATGTATATCAAAATGCTTCTCTACTCATAAGCAGTCTTTTTAACAAATATTCTAACCAATCCAATAAGTTCAATGACTGATTCGTCGTGGTTCAAAACGGTTCATCTTCAATTAACGGGGAGCTTCGTTTTTGAATCAAGTCAGAAAAGGGACCAAGCCGACCCAAAGGCAAGTCTCGTTTTTGAATCCAATCAGGGAAGGGGCCAAGCCGATCCGAAGGACAGGCCAGCTCCGTTTCTTGGATCCAGCATGGGAAGGGGCCAAGCCGGCCAAAAGGGGAGGCCAGCCCCGTTTCTTGAATCAAACCTGAAAGGACCAAGCCTTGAAGGTGACCTTGGCGCCTTCAACTAGATTCAAGAAACGGGGCAAAGCCAGTTAAGGAAGGGGCCAAGCCAACCCGACGGGGAGGCCAGTCCCGTTTCTTGAATCCAGTTTGGGAAGGGGTGAAGCCGACCCAAAGGGGAGGTTAGTCACGTTTCTTTAATCAAGTTTGGGAAGGGACCAAGCCAACCAAAAGGAAAGGCAAGACCCGACGGTCGGCTTGTCCCCTTCCTAAACTGGATTCAAAAAAACGAGGCTGGCCTCCCCTTCGGTTGGGCTTTGCCCCTTTTATAAACAGGACTCGAAAAAAGGCCTTCCCGTTCATTGAAGATGAATTGTCTTGAACCACGAAGAACCAGTCATTGAACCACGTGAGTTGGTTAAAATATTTGTTAAAAAACTCCTTATGAGTAGAGAAGCATTTTGATATACATCTTTCAGCATTTTGTGGATATTAAGAGCGTGAACCACTCTGAACCGCTGTGAACCGGGCAATTAGCAAAATGGCTCGGATCGTATATCTGTTTCAAAGACTTCTCTTGAGTAGAGAAGCATTTTGATATCCATTTTTCTACAGTTTGTGAATATTCAGAGCATGAACCGCTTTGAACTCTTAACCGGGCGGTTAGGTAAGTGGTTCTGATCGAATATGTGTTCAAAAGAGCCCTTATGAGTAAAGAGGCATTTTTGTATAGATATTTAAGTATTTTATGGACATTAACAGCGCGAACCGCTTTTAACCGCTTTGAACCGGTCGGCCAACCGAGTGGTTTGGTTCGAAAATTTGTTGGAACGACTTGTTATCAAATAATATGCATTTTGATATACATATTGCCGGATGTCGGCCCTTCTAGAGGCTTGAACCGCGACGAACCGTCAGAATGACCAGCTGGTTCCAAAAATATAGTCTCGATCAATTCAGTGATTCATTAGCTTCAAGAAAAGCTATGGATTGTAATCATAGCACGCCCAGAACAAAAGTTGAAATTCTTGAATTATCGTATCTGGTAGTTTCAGTCAACTTTGAGGCGCTAGAAAATCTCAGAGGATCCCCAGATCATAAATTTTTTTCAGTTATGACAAGATTAGACACTCAACTATCATAGAGTGTATTTTGAGCGAAATCGATATGTGGGAAAGCTGATAAAAGTCGACTTGACAGACATAAGTGCATTTTTTCTCATCAAAAATCGACGAAAAAAGGGCGAAGATAAAAAATGATCCGCTCGTTAGTCCAAATATGTAACAGATTATTAAGTGATTAGCAAAATTTGTCAATTTTTGTCATGTTTCTATCATCTGTAAAAGAGAAATAGTGCTTTAAGCCTCCTTTTCAAAAATGTGAATTTTTCCATAATGATCTTTGTCGGACTCAAGAAAAAAATTTTTTTAAGTTCAGATTGAGTTGTTTTAGTAAATTTCATTGCTTGAAATAGTTCTGATGAATCATATCTGGATATCATATCCAATGACAACTACTTATCTCTTCGAAAAATTAATCGAAATAATTTTTGCCTGAGATACTCACGTTTCAAAATCGAAAGTGAAGCAAAAAAGAGAATGAAAACGGAGACAAGACTGTCGAACTGTCAGAGAAAGCAGTAAAAAAGACGAGCTCAGACGAGCTTGAGTCTGTTATATCTTTAGAATTCTACAGAGATAGCTCAACATGGTTATCGAAGAAGAAACAGAAGCGCATGCAAATGAGATTGAACAACCCAGAGTAAAGGTGATTAATGCAAGTATGATTTGAAAATATAAAATGTAGTGCATGGATTGCCATTGCATTGGCGTTCTCAAGCGAAAGAGTAAAAAAGTTTACTTGTTTCCAGACAAAGTTCTATCTTCAAGGGGCATACACACGCAAAAACGAGACTTGAAGGAATGGTAGTTGATTTTTCATAAGCAATGACCATAATGGTACTTATCTAGCAATACATTACTACTCATAATTTATGAGGTTGAACTATCCAGGATAGTCTACGCTTTTCAAGAAGCCAAAATACGTGGAAAAAATCCATCAGGGAATGAGAATAGCAACGCATGGATTCTCGACGGAGCGTCAGCGGCGAACCTATGTTGTAACTGGCTCTCTTTTCTGGGCAACCATTATTCTAATAAGTAAATTTTTTCCATATTTTTTCCGTTCAGGAATTTTTAGCAAACTGGTACTCTCTTCAAATGTCACGAGGAGTCACGACTTTTTTGACTTCGACTTGCCATCGAAACTACAAAAAGTGCGTTAGAATCGCGACAATGGACTACTGCGGGCATTTGATGAAGCGATGCCATAAAACAGAAGAGTTCATTCTTCCTGAGCCAGTATCTAAAATTGAACATCCCGAAACAGAACTTCTTATCTTCTCCGAAGAAGAAAACGAAGTGAATCTCCGACGTTGCCTGAAGAAAAAATTTTACGATCAAGCAATTTGTCGGCATCTCTGTTCGAAAACGCTAGTTTTGGAATCAACAAGGACCAACCCGATTTCAAACTGTGAGTCGATTTGTTTTCAATTGACCAAATCTTCTGATTCCGCTGGAGAGGTCTGCCCAACGCAGAAATATTGCTCTGGCGGCTGTCCGTGTCCTTTTTACAATTGTGAGAAAATGGAGTTCCGCCAGAAAATGGTTCCTGTTTTTGATTTACCAGGGAATACAACAAGCGCCACCATAGCGAGGTCTAATGGGGACCTGCAATTAATTACCAGTCGCTGGGACGACCGAAAAGATGAAAAGCATAAAATCTTCGAAATTAAACTTTCCCATTATGGTGGTAAGACACAACAAATTGATATTGATACTGCAAACTCATTTTTACCTTATGAACGTTTTTACAGATAGACCTTGGTAGTACCTGGTAGGTACAGATTCCCATGTTATTTGCATGGATTTCGAATTCTAGCTTTTGCAAAAAATCTGATTACTAAAAACGGGAAAGACAACTGGTGCTACTTTTCTCAATGGGGAACATTATTTGGTCGATGCTATTGGAAACATGATGAAAATTAAAGAAAGTGGGGAGCCTGCCATTTTCATTCCAAATAGAATAAACATTAACGGAATGTAGGAGCATAAATTGTTAATTTATTCTATATTTTAAACTTACAGCGGATTTTTCGTTTTCCACTTTGGCTCATCTATCGGAACCCATCAAATTGAAGTTCGTCGGAAGCATGAAGAAAAAAAGGTCTTTCCAGTAGTGACCATTTGCAAATGGTTAAAAATTAAAATTTTGATCTTACTGACAAAAGCCTCTTGTCAATAGTTTATTGACAGTGATTTATTCAATAAGTCTTATCGTTGACTTTTGTAACCATTAAAAGTTCTCCAACCGGAAGATCGGAAAAGTGCTTTTACTACGCCCCAGATTATAATTTGAACCGATTCGAAGAAGCTCAGGGCTTCATCGCAAGCAACCATTTCAACGCTAAAACATCCTCTATCAGCTTCAAAGGTGTTTTCTATCTAATGAGTGTGAAACTGGGAGACTATTATGTCAAACTTTCCTCTACCGTTGCTCTCAATAGCATTCGAAAAAGCGAAGAACTAGAGAAAGGATGGAGAAAAAATGAAATTGGGCTGCCTGCGGAATTAAGAGACTTGGATCCGGTCCATGTTGTCCCATTGAAACGGGTTGATAAAAGTAAAACTTCGAAGGAAATCATGAAATTAAATTTGTACTCAACTCAAAAAAAGACAGATTTAGGACGTCTGCTTTTGATTCTTGTCACGAGAAGTGTTACTCTCTCAAATACATTGTATTCAGTATTGTTGGAGGCGGAAGGAAAGTTTCTGACTCTTGGTAGCGAGTGGATTGGATCCCTTGTTGAATACGAAGATAGATCTAACTGTTACTCCAAATTGTTTTCTTCGTATGACCCCTACTACACAGAAGAGTTTGGAATGAATAACGATGAATGCGAATACTTTGGAAACGGAATCGTCAGCGATGACAAGATATTCATTCAAAACTATGTGTTTGATGCGAAATTTGAAATCGTCTTTGATTTTGGAAAGGGTCAAAAATAATTTCTTGTAGTTCCTTCAGTATTATCAATTTAAACCCAACTGAAAGAACAAATCGACGTCGAGTTCATTCAGCAAAGAGCAGACAAGAAAATTCACGTGACCAGCAATCCCTTTTTTGCTTTTCACGACGATGTCTTCCCCGCCTTTGCGAAAAATGCTGTGTCCCAGCCACAATTTGCTCGCCCAAGCTTTTATCACAAAACAATTATTCCGGATAATTTCTTTTCAGCGCTAGAAGAATTGAAGCATATTTCAACTGTTGACTTGAGAGGAGCAGAAACATTTGAGCTCGAAGTAGAATTTCAGCAGCAATTTTTCGAAAGCGAAGTCAAAACTCTTGAGTGGCAGTTTTTTGATGGAACAACTCTCCTCAGCTTCGGATGTTATAAAAACAGCTCCCTTTGGATTGATTCTGATTATTTTGACGAACGTTTTCCTTTGCGATTTAATGCCTCTGAGTTGAGAAAATTTAAATTTTCTTTTCAGTCAAATTTTTCATTTGTCGAAATTTTTGAGGAACAGTTAGAGTTTTATTGATTTGTTTTTGCAAACTCAATTCAAAACTCATAAAGAATGACGAGAGTAATCTTCAAAACGACTCTATAGTTGAAATTAATGGCGTTGAAAATATCAAAAATAAGAAAATCCGCATTTTAAAGTTTGATCCTGCCACAAGAATCAAAAACTTTATTTATTCTCTCGATCAGTCAACCCAGATTACATCATTACTTGACCTTAAATCTGAGTATATCCAAAAATCTGATCAACCCTCTTATGCTTTACGTAATAATGGATACATCAACAAAGTTTTCTTTGCCGCTCCGGTGGACTATACAGATTTATATAGTTATGTATGGAACTCTATACCCGCGTTAGTTTATGATCAGATTCACGTTTTCGGAGGATATGTTATTGGTTCATCGCAGAGGGTAATTAAAACATTACAAAACGAGATTAATCTTTACTTACAGATAGCTCGATTGGACGGGTGTCGATTCACTGAATTACCTGTTCGACTTACTCACCATTATTATAATGCACATGCAGCTTTAACTGTTGACCGAGGCAGAAAAGGTTAACTTTGTTCTTGTATACTAAACTTCGGTCCCTCTTCCTTGTTTTCAGCTATTTTAGCTATTATTTGTTTCGATTATTACGAAAAAAATTGTGAGTTATTCGATGGATCAACGACGAAAACAATTTTTGCAACGAGGAAAACACACATATCTGGAGAATTGGCCTTCTATAATGGTCGCCCGACTGTAGTTGGGGGAGAAATGGGTTTATATGAACCCTATCCAAAAGGATCAGTTGAGACATTGACTGAAAACGGCTGGATCACATTAAAATCTCATCCAAGGTAGAGTCTACGTTGTAGCTGGGTATTATTTTGAGATCTGATGTGAATCATGTGCAGTAGAAACTTAAATTTCCGCCGCTTTTTAGGTCCGAAATCACACCACAAGCGGCGGAATTTTGTGTTTTTCCAAGGGTCGTCAGATTCAGCGAAATTTTTCTTTGTATATTCGTTAACCCATTTTAACTCTTATTTGACGCGTTTTTATAGATAAATAGAACAATAAACGAAAATTTTTCGGAGTTAGCGGAAGATTGCGAAGAATTATATCAAAATAACCCCTAAAAAAAACAAGTTAGTAAAATATCTGATTTTTCTCCTGAAAACTGATGAAATAAATTACGTTGTGAAAAGCAGCGGAATTTTAAGCTCATTTTAGGCTCAAAATATGGCAAATTTTGGGAAAAAGCGGCGGAATTTTGATGCGGGGAAATTTGAGTTTTCACTGTGGAGGTTTTCGTTGAATATTTTAGATGGATACTTTATTTTTCCGCAGTTGGTCTCCCTTCAGGGGGCCTTTTGACACTGGGAGGTTTATCTTCTAACACTGAAAATGTGAAAATGGACGAAATCTGGAGATTGATGAACAACAAGTGGTCAAGAATCGGCTTTCTTTCAAAAGTAATTTAAAACAAACCTATCTTTCTCAATTGATCACCCTCGAAACAAAACAAAAAAATCTCATCGTATATTTCAGGAAATTTTGTTTTCAACGGCAATTTTATTTGACAACGCCATATTTTTATTCCCTGGCTGGCATTCCGACTCAGACTCTGGGAGTTTTTTCGTACAAAAAATTGAATTAGGTCAATGTTTCAAGGTTACTTGAAAATGACTTTTGCGGAGCAAAATTCTAGCCCCTATATTGCTTATGCTCATTCGAAAGAACAACACCTAAGGATTTGAATGGTATAATTTTGAGGGTCTGAGTCATCACATATGACGTCATAAAGGCTCCCCCTTGAAAAATGGTCATGAAGCCCTGTATCTCCGAAAATTTTCAGAATTATATGGAGATTTTGATATCGTTGAAAAGCTCAGCTCAAACTGTGTATGGGCACCCACTGCGCAAGAGAAAATTCCAAGCGAAAAAATATTTTTTGAGACAAAAAATTTTCACTCAAAATTTTTTTTTCAAATTATTTCTTGCGCACCAGGTGCCCATACACAGTTTCAGCTGCGCTTTCGAATGATGCCCATATATCCATACTTTTTTCGAAAATTTGTGGAGATACAGGGCTTCATGACCTGTCTTTTTCTGATACTTTAGGCGCTAGAATTTGACATTCTTCGTGGCTTGGACACATAAAAATTGTACCATTCGACTCCTTAGATTCTGCGCTACAAACTAAGCACTAAAAATATTGAGGTCAGGATTTTGCTCCGCAGAAGTCATTTTCATCTATCCAAGCTTCTTTATACATTTTCGCAATAACTAAACTAAAGTAATTATTATTATTTCAACTAATTGTTTCTTCTGGAACAAAACCAAGATTACGAAGAAAATGTTGGTGCCATCCACCTTATTGACGTGAAAGAGTACCATCATTCAGAAATTAACGAGTTCGCTCCTCCGATTATTTTTGAGACCCCTGTTGGTTACTGTGCTCTATAAAATATAAAAATTATTATATATAGCTTGTTGTTCGTTTTAGCTGTCAGCTCATTCATTCTCATTATAGACATACTTACTAATGCAATTATAACAAATTTATGGCAAGATCTTGATTTAAATTATGAGCTGACACAGTAAAAGTGAAAGAATTATGTAGGTCTGAGAACTTTGGAAATTGCAGTTCTCGATTTTCTCGTCGTTTCTTTGAGGCTGATTGTGATTACGTCGAGGATAAAGAAGACTATCGAAACAATAGTCATGATTGACAAGTAGGCGAACATGAAGCCCTTCTCGTAGCTTCTTGGAACGGTGAATTTGATGCCATCTCCTTTAGGAACTGGGTAAGTGTCCATGAAGCTCTTTACTTCTTCTGGTGTGGCGGTGCAATGATACTCATGTGGAGGTCTCATTTTCTTGTGGAAAGGCATTGGTTCGTGGTTGTGCTGATTGTCGAGAATCTTGTAAAGAAGATATAGGAAGACCATTTCAATGACGACGGAAACGATGCCCGAGATGATCTTAAAATTACTTTAAGGTTGAAGCGTTTAATTTATGTTGCAAATCAAAAACGACAGATTTTTAATTGAGCCAGATGAATACTCGTAAAGACCATCTAAGCCTCTTCACTTACGTTGCAAACAATCATTGAGGTTTTGTAAGGAACTGTCTCTGCCCTGTTGTCAATTCTGACAACTCTTTCTTTAATCGGTTTCGTATACTTTTCATCTGCCTTTTTCGCCCTCAATTTAGCAGTCAATTGCATCGCGTAGCCATAGTAAAGAAGTCGCGGAAGCGATATCGCAAGAATCTTAGCCGGAGTTTACTGAATGCTTTTAAATTTAAACGCACCTGCATCGTAAAGAATCGTTGAAAATTAATTGGCTGAAACTTGTTGAAGCAGAAATTTCTTGCTCCGGTGTATCCACTCGTTGGTGTAGCGAAATTAAGGGCTTCATCGCCAAAAAGCCTAAAAATCATTATTTTATGTTAATTTTTAATTGCTAAATCTTTATTTTGGAAGTTTATTTCGACGAAAATGCAAACTTTATTTTGAAAAAGAAGCGATTTTCTTCCATGATTTCATTATTACTTACTCTCTTGTCAAACTGATGGGCAATAATCTGGCGATAAAGTTGGTATAGTTCCAAATTTGCCCAAAAACCGAGTTGAATTGGGTCGTTTGCTCGATTTTCTTTCTCAAATCATTCATGTTTTGACTTTAAATCTCTGTTTCCTGGCTAATCGATCCGTGAATTCACGTAATCGTAATTGTTTGGTCGGCTACAATTGAGGACAAAGCCACTTCTTCTCTGTTCTCCAAATACGCGTTCAAAAAATCAGAAATAAAACGGAAAAAGTTAAAGAAAAATGAGCCACGATGGGCGCGACCTCTAGTTTTTTCAGCTAAATTATTATCAACGAGGACTTCAGCCATGATTTAACGATCGAGCCTGCTAAGACTAGAGATAGTAGCGGATTTATCGAGGCTTCGGCACTATTATTTTTGTCGCCAAAGTAGGGCCATCAATCCATTCACCTCGAACGCAAATTGACCATGATAAATTGCTTATGTATATTCATTATGAAAAAGTAGTATAAACAGTGTTGATTAAATCGGATCATCTTTGTATTCGACTCCTTCGAGTTCAAATAGTGCTTCTTTCAGAGGATCCTTGAGCCATTGAGATGGTTCCATGTCATTTCTAGCGATCATATGCTGCTGGAGAAGAGTAAAATGCTCTGGAGGCAGAACCTTAGGAGCATCTCCCAGATATTTTGGCTGAAAAATGGTTATTTCAATAGAATTATGGCATCCTCACGGGAATATTTGCATCGTAGTAGTCAAATTGATAGATTTCCCTCAACAACTCCTTGAGATCATCTTTCCAGCCCGTCGTGTTTCCAAAGAAAATCGCCTCCCGATACATCCCTGGCTTTACGAACCGTTTCGCTGTCGGATCTGTCCAGTCAAAATCGCTCAATCTAAATTTATGATCGTTTACGAACACATTTACGAAGAGGATGATAAATTTACCGATCATTCAAAGTGTACTTCCAGTAGGGTCTCCGGTCCCATTGGAAGTCGCCCTTTTTGACTCCATTGTGATACATCGTATAGCAGCATCCAGTTATGACCATAACGGTGTAGCCTTGAGGACATGTTAAAATTTTTGAAACCGGCGAAATGCGGAATAATTTACTGATCAGTATAATTTAGATTTTGGCGATCAAGGTCAATACCTGTAATAATGATAATTTCATTGCCATGCTTCAAAGCCTTCTTGTAATTCTCTAAGTACTGTAGCAGAACATTCCTTGGCCCTTTTGAAAAATACGTTCTTCTGGAATAAATCAGAGTCGGCCGCGCTAGGAAATTTCGCATCATAAACTTCCTGTTTGTGTAATTTTTAATTGAGAAAGATAATGACGCACTAATTTTTTTCATCTTTTGAAGCATTTATTGGTTACTCAATATATTTTTATACAGGTAGAGTTTCTTGGTGAAGGTCGATTCTTGATGGCTTGTCGAAAATGTTTAAAACCTTCAAAAATATGTCAATACGTCGACGTCAATGTTGTTTTACCTGTATGAGCTCAGAATGCAACTCCTCGAGACGCAAATCTGACTCGGATACAGTCTGAGCCACTTGTGTACTACTGTTTATCGGCTTTCTTTGAAGTGATCTCATCGATCGCGTCCTGCCAGGTTTTCGCGGTGCCGTGCCAACTTTTTCGCAATTTCGCGCAGATTCAGACGTCCCGCTGTTGGGTTGAGACTCTGGCTCGTCTTCCTGGCAAGTACGTGGCATTGGATCTAAAGAAACGATTCAATTTGATAATAAGAATAAAAATTTATCTGAAGCAATATCGGCAATCTTCGACCGACAATACTGAAGTCTGTTGGATAGTCTTGAGAAGTTATCTTTTTTGATAGGTTGTCTTCTATGATTTCAGTATTTTGTGTATCAGCTGACTTACGAAGACTCTTGGCGATCAAAATCGGCGAGTTTGGCACATCAGAAACGAGCAATTCGTCAGGGATTGAGACCGATTGATTGATGGAGGAATCCACTGACGAGTTGAGAATCGTCCCCGTCGACGATCGTTTACAAATCTGATCCAAATCGGAAAGCCGGGAGCGCAACTCGGCCAGACGCTTCGCATTCTGGGCCCGGGAAGAGATCAGACTTTGCGGCACGGATTCACGGGGATTATTTCTGAAATTCGATTAAAGGTCAAATTTAATTTATCCTCCAAAGTCTGGGTAGCGGTTTTTTGGAAGGGTAATCAGCTAATTAGCACCATAGTGCGCGTGTTTTTTTAAATTTATTGATTGTTGCCGCTGCGATTTTGCAAAAGGTCAAAGAAGGAAACATAAAAAACCACGTGACCGTTGCCGGCGGAGAAGATTACCTGTATAAGTCGTGCATTTCCCTGAGCGCTTCACACTCGATTTCAAGCTTTTCAATTTCGTCTAGAATTTCAGCGCGACACATGTTTTGGGCGGGTATTTCGGCCACGTTCCGCACAATGGGGCTGCCTTTTTTCCTTCGAAATGGGCTAAAAACAGATTATTATTAGAAAAAAAGGGATTAAAAAGCCGCGTACTCCCAGGGGCGAAAATAGAAAATCGCACACAAAGAGGTGGGTTCTATTTATGCTCGATGGGGATTATTACCTGAGGCTGAGGCGGGCGAGATTTTCGGTGGATTGAGAAATCCCCTTCGACCGTTTTCTCAAGGTACTGAAGGCGTCTGTAAGAGCGGGTCGACAGCGCTTACGAAGGCGGGAAAAGGTCTCGCCCATTTTCGAGACTCGGCTGGTTGATTTGGTTGACTCTGATGGACTAAAAGACGATTCATTGCTGGAGAAAATAATCATTTCTTACCTAAGCGAAAGGGATGACAAACTATGCTCTTTATGAATTCTTGAAGCGAGTTTCTGAAAAGACATTGCGAATTTTTCCAGTATCTCTTCGAAGTTAACAATCTGTAACTCGTCCAGGCCCACAAGCTCTATTCGGAAGAGTCTATTCCACCTTGGCTCTTTGTTCAGCGATCAGAAACCATTTTACTCTTTTGTTAATTTCACGAGTTGGTAAATAACAATTTTTTTCTATCTGAAATCGTCAAACAATCTCGAATCTCGTAAAACAATCTCAATGAAAAAAAAATGAAGTGAAAAATCGGCGAAAAGAAAATTTTACGGGAAAAGCTATTTCCCGACCGGTTCCTTGGACAATATACAAGCCGGGAACAGGCAGCTTCTGTATCGAACAATCACACAAGTAAATCTTCTCGTTTCCGAGCGAAATCACATACGCTGCATTACTGTACGGCGTGCTTGCTTCTCCAATATGAATCGACCCTTCGAGCTCGTGAAGATTTCCTGAAACAACCTCGTATTTTTCTCTGCTTTTTCGGTTTTTTTTTCAAAAATGAGCACTTGGTAGTTGGGTATATTTTTTTTGTCTAGCTATTGATTAAACCCTCCGCGGCGACAGCGCGATCGGCTTTATAAGAATAATCTCCATTTTAACTGTTCATTAAGAATTTATCAGTAATGAGCAGATTGCCCTTCGTACTCATCCTAACACGCCCGGGGCCCCTAAGGGTTACGTTCTATCAGATGCAGTCAGCGCTGGTTCCAAAATTGTCAGTCCCAAAAAGAACCAAACTGGAGGATCAAAACATGGTGCCGGTAACGAATTTCGAATTCGACAACTTTGGACCGAAAAACTCGATGTTTTGTCAACATTGTCGATGATGTCAGCGATGTTAACAACAGAAATAGATTGTCGAGGATTTTTGAAGAGAATTATTGAAATAAAAGGTTTAAATTTTCAATAAACAAACTGCTAAACCTAATACGAATATAATCTCCATTCAAAATTGATCAAGCAATTCAAAAACAAGCATTTTTTAACAAAAGAGCTTTCCACTTTTTTGAAGTACACAAAATCGAGTTGAGTTTGTGTAAAAAATAAAGAGTTGTCTTTTGACTCCGGAAGCTTTGAATAGGCCCTCGGCTTCGCCCTAGACCGTAAAAATCGCAGTTGCGTGATGAAATGACGTTGAATCGGAAAATTGGAGGGGATTGCTGAGGAGGGGATTAATCAATAGCAGCGTGGAAAAATCAGAATTCAAGGGAAACAACACAAATAATAGAGAGGTAGATTGAGTCCTGACTCGGCTTAGTCAGAGTCTAAAAGATTTAATAAAGATTTAAAAAGCCGCTTTTGAGAGCCTCTTCGCTTCTTTCAGACCCTGACTCAGGTTTTTGTAGAAAAACTTTTTCTGAAAATATCATTAAATCTTACCTGCAAGATCGACAGAATGCATTTTGCACTCGTCTCGGCTGCAAGAAAACTCGACAAAATCTTCATCGTTCAAAAACATCTTCAATTCTTTGATTCTCTTCTTCAGTTCTTCTCAACTTTCTCGTCTGATAATTGTCTCTGCCGCATTCTTCAATTTCACTAATTGAAACTGAAAGGCACTAAAAAGGGAAAAATATTGAAAATATCGGGAACAGACGTATCGCGGTTTCTTTTTTGGCTTTACGAGGAAAACGCGCTGCGGTAGTTCGCGGCAACGCGGATGGGGGGTGAGTAGCGCCACCAACTGAATGCGCAGCCAGGCGCAAGATTTTTTTGAAATTTCTGCCTTTTGGGGATGATCTTATATGAAGTTTCATTTTCATCAAGATTTCGAAAATTGGCATTTTGAGAAATCAGTCTTTCAAAATTTCAATTACCGTGGGAATACCTGATAGAGGGGACTTTTTTGGGAGTTCTATGATTGTCCGAAGCTTTTATCTGTCAATTTCATGAAGAAGACTGTTTCATCAATTTTTAAATTCGACAAGTTTCCTCACTAAATCCCTCGTGTCCTCTGTGTTATCAAAATACTTTCAAAATCTTGCCCGCAAAATCGCCAACTTCCGCCAAAAAACACTGATTTCTTCTTTCCTTACCCAATATTCTTGACCGCCTTTCCGTCGTATAATTCCCCTCTGCGGAAGCAAAAATTAAGGTCAAATTTTATGAATGCCGGCGATGTTTGGCAAGCCTAAAAATCGCAGTCATGGAAAGTCGAAAACGGCGTGGGTATTATTCAGCTTGGCTTATTCAGCCAGGGGAGGATTATAAAGCAAATTGGACACATTTCGTCGATCTCGTCAGATTAAACCTGGGCTTGGTTACAGTTACAGTCACTTTCGAAGCACCAGTCAAGCTCAGGTGAAAACTTGAGAGTCCTAATAATTGTTATGCCCGTGAATCACTTGAAAAGGCAGCCACCGGGTCCGTTTGTCCTTTGACCCCGTTTCCAGCAAAGAAAAACCGAAGAAGCGAGAGGACGATTCAACTGGCTGAATAAGCACACTGATCGGGTGCCAAAAAGCAGTTTGACAAATTTGCTAAATTCGGAGAAGCGGGACGCAAATAAAAATGTCCAATCGCTCATTTTTTTTTCAGCAGCGTGATTATATCGTCCTGATCGATTATACCTCCTCAGAATTTTATAAGAGACGACAATTTATTTTTCTCATAGTGACACCCTTATTCTTTCTTTTCAGAAGATTTGATCAAAAATACTGACTGTTAAACCTGTATTACGTCTTTCAAACTCACCTTGAACTTGTTCTTTCAGCAAATTTCTATGGTAATCTTTGCGAAAAAAGCTGGACAAAGCTCACATTCAGATTTTTCTCCTTTGAGGATACCAACAAGCAGGATACAATAAAACCGCAAAACTATCGCGTCTCACAAAAAAGACAATTGGGGTCAACTTGAGGCGACAATTTTTCCGGTCGCATTTTGTTTCAGGGCTTGATTTCAATCTACAGTTACTGTGCTCTTCTGGATATAGAAGTGGCGGTGCTTCAGAGAAGCTTTATTATTTTACGAATCCAAATTGAATGAAAAGTTTTCCGTCAAGATTATTTGTTCCGAAAGGGCGAGGTCAGCTGCTTCATTTCCCGGGAAACTTTTATTTTATTGAGTGCCAAATTTGTGCGTTTTTGTTTGAATAAACAGATTGATCAAAAGAGTTGGAACTGAGGATGACTCCAACTGCGCCAATTGAATATTTTTCGACTTGTTTTAATTTTTCTTTGTTCTTCTGAATTATTAAGACTTGTTTGAAGTTTTGAAATGTGGAAGCATGGGGCCATCGATTTTTCATTAGATCGGGGGTCTTGGATGACAGCTTTTAGCTCGTCTTTTAGCGTAACTTTATCTATTATTTATTTTTGACACATGCTTTAAGACTTTTATTTAAAAAAAAAGATGTAATCAATTATTTAAGTTTTAAACAAACGAAAAATTAATAGAAAGTATTTTATCTGATTTCTTCTTTTTCAGAGCGGTGGTAGATTTCAAAAGATAGTTTATCGATCAATCGTCGAAATTTGAAGCAAGCACCATAAGAGCCGATCGCGGCGGAAAAGACTGTCCTTTTTTGCATCTCCCCTGGGTCAGCTCTGGTCTCTCTTCAAAACGTATAATTCTTTCGCCTTTTACTAAAGAATTCCGTGGAGAGGGACACTCTTATGAGTATTTGAATTTTTCTGAAGCCTCACACGAGGCAGTAAACCTGAACTTTGACCTCGGTCCAAAAAAATCAGCCCTTCCTGAGCCCCCCCCCCTTCAGACCCGTTGACTGTGACCTCAAATTTTGGCTGGTTACGTTTCAAGTTTAAGGCTCTCCATGTCGTTTCATGCTTTCGTCACATCATTAAAACCAGCAATCGTTAAAAATCTGATCTTAATTACTTAACGGAGTTGTTTACTTCTCATCCAAAGAGAAAAAAAATTATAAGAATGAGAGCTCTATTTCTTCTTTTTTACTTATCAGAAGCAGTGACCAACCTCAGGGTAAGCTCAAGAAACAAGTTAACATGGGAAGAAGAAGATCAGTCAGTTGCAACGGGAATTAATCAAAATAACACTTACTATTTGATTATCGTCCAAAGCGGGTCGCCGGAGCAAGACTTTAAAAAAGCTGTATCGAAAAAGGCTGAGTATAATGTCAAGCCTTTTCAAGAGCCAGAAAAAGGGAGACCCGAAGGGGCAAATCATCTGACAATAATGCCTCTTTCTCGAGAGAATGGGATGAAGAAAAAAGTGGTCCACATCACGCTTGAGCAAAAGAATTTGCCAAAACTTCAATCTTTCAGGAAAGATTCTTGAAAAATCTAAAATGGTAAGAGTTGCGGACAAACGTATAAATTTTCAAATCTCAAAAAGCGAAAATAAAGACCTGCTTCCTCCAACAGGTTTATACTCGTCAAACATCGATTATTTCCGGTTCACTATCGACTGGCGCCCTTCTTCTAGCGACGAAAGACAATTGTTCTATGTCAGACTATACGAGCTTGGTTACAGTATGTCTAATCCAAAAGAAACTTGGATTAGAGATTACATGACTCGATCTCCTTACTTTTCTCCGTTCATGCTGAAGTCAGCGATGTATCACAAAATTGAGATCTACACCCTCAAAGACTCAACTCCTTATGGCTACGAACGGTCCGTCTCAGCTGCAATCTTGATGGAAGTCAAGACTTTGGGAGTTGCCCCGCAGATCGAGAGCTGTGAGCATTTCTACTGCGACCAGGATGATAGCGAAAGGCAAGGAAGACAGGTTAATGTTGATAGCCAATCATGCAAAGCGCTAAATTCGCTTTGCTGGAATGATGCCGACGACAACTCCAACGACGGAGAATGCTATACGAAGTTGTCTAACGAAGAGTGTCATCCCAATCCCCTCTGTCGAACCGTGAAAAAGGATCAAATCAGCTGCCTAAGAGTTAATGGAACTTGTCCCATCTCATGCTGCGAATCTGAAGATCAGATCAATTGCTACAAAGCAAGAAAATGTGAAGCTCGATATTTACCCGACGGTCGTTACGTCTGTGATACTGAAAGCATCGAATGCAGAGCCATCTGCAATCCCGGATTCATAAACATCGGCAAAGACATAGTCACGTGCACAGACAACGGTTGGGATGGACGAGGTGAGTGCGTCCGTCCCAGCTGCGGACCTCCCCAGCTTCTTGCTTCCTATCCAGCAACTTTCTCCAGCTGCACGAATCAAGACTTTGAGGGAAGCCAATGCATGATGGACTGCGATGACATCACTGAAAACGGAAAAGGAGCGCGGCAGTTTCTTCATCCTTGGAATAACAAGAAAATTACTTGCAAAAAGGTTGGCGAAAGAGAATATGAGTGGCAAAATGAATATTCAAACAAGGACAAAGTCCATCCAGGTTGCTTGAACTACACGTTTTTTCTTCAAACTGAAGGGGTTGGTATTGAAGCTGAAAGTGAAGCATCGACGTATATTTGGGCACACTGGCTGTTGAACATGAATAACATCTTTGTCTGCGCTGAAGGGGATGAAAACAGCTTCATTTGCGACGTCGGAACTTGTATTGCAAGCAGATTTGTCTGCGATGGCTTCGACAACTGCGGTGATGGTTCTGACGAGAAAAACTGTGAAATAATATTGAAAGATAAGAGCGGATCAATCACGACTTCCTCTTTCGAGTTCTATGTCGAGCCTAAATTTGTCAACATTAAAGTCGTACGAGAAGACGGAGTTGATGACAACGCCCAAATTGACAGCGGAGTTGAAGTATTAGACATCGTCGACGGCCGATATAAAAAACTTTATAAAGTCACAGGGGCAACAACCAACACTCAGTACCGAGTCACTGCTAGCTGGAACAATTTAGAAAAGAAAGAGCTTCTGGTAACAACTGCTCTCATCAAACCGGTTCAAGTTAATCATGTCAACAAGGATGAAAATGTAGAGATAGAATGGTCGATGGATGAGTGGAGTGATGATGATGTAGCTAATCTACGTGAATTCATTTATAATGTGATTGTTTCCGACAGTAGGTCCTTGGTAGAAAGTTCCCGTAAGAGAAGAGAGGATGAAAAAGAACCAAGAAATTGTGTCAACAGCTGTCGGGATGTGAACATTGGTCCGAACATCCGCAGTGTCAAATTCACTGTACCACTTGATAAGGAATACAGTTTCAGGGTAACATTAAACAAGGAAATGTGATTCATTCAAAACCGTTTTTAGCTGACTGCAGTCTTCAAAAACGGCAAACAGACCGACACCCTCGTTCTCAATGGAGAAACCCGGGAACCAGCGATTAAGAAAATAACTCAAGTTGGAGGTCGGTCAACGATGGCGAGTTTTGAGGTTGAAGCTGAGATCGGAGCTTCTGTTGAAGGAGTCTTGGGAAAACTTATCTCAAATGAAGACTGGACTTTTGAAGTCGAACGAGAAGATGACGCGCCAGAAAATATTATCCAGCTTAAAAACTTGCCTGTCAACGAGGCGGATCAGATAATTCTAGCGCCGAAACTCAAAACTTTCCACGATCAGACCTTGCGATTGGGTGCTGAAGTGACCCTCGACTTCCGAACACTGCCTCTTCTCAATCCAGAAATTGTCAAACGAACCAATGATTCTCTGACTGTATCTTGGACGAAGCATGAACAATTTGTCAAATATGAAGTGTTTATTTCAGGAGTTTTTCCAGATATCGGCCAAAGTCAAGTCCAAGAAACCGTTTCTTGCATAACAGAATGTCAGAATTCAATTCTCTTTGAGAACCTCAATCGAGAAACTTTTTATAAAATCGAAGTTTTCGGTTATGAAGACGATGAAAATTATTTCACTGATGGTGAAACGATTACTGTACCTACAATCGGCACATTTCCAACACTCACAATCTCGCTGACGCGCAAGACGACTACTACAGCCGATTTCTCCCTCTCATTTTCGTTCCCTTGCAAAAACATGCAACTCGTTGAGGAATCAAAAACGCCTGGCGGATACATTCCTCACCCTTCAGTATACTTAGAGGAGACACGAGCCCTCGGATTAAAAACAAACACGAGCTGTGATTCGGAGTCAATGACTTGTCATGCATCAGGGCTTGTTCCAGAGCTTGAACACACGATAAGACTTTCGGCAACGTGTGGAGAAGAATCAAACAGAGCTACAGTTCGGTCGACCTTGAAATTTGTTACCAACAAGCTTCCTCCCTTTTTCGACGATCTTCGCATATCATCAACTGAGATCACTGGCTTTTGGACAGAAGACGACGAAGCTCAAAAATACATCATAGAGATCGAATATCCAAATGAAGATCCGATTAAAATTGAAAGAATGAATGACAAAAGTCAAACTTCTTTTAACATCAACAATGATTATAGAAGCGACAATTTCACTCTCAAAATCAAATCATACTATAGCGAAACAAGCGAAACTGACTACGGAATCATTCCCAATCTACAATTTCAGCCTCCAATCACTGATTTCAAGCCAACATATCTCAACCCAACGATGGTCAACCTTTCCTACGATCATCAACAACTGGCCGTTAGAGTTGAAAGTCAGATATCAGAACTTCAAGATGGATTTTCAGGAGAACCAGATATAGAGGGCAAGTACTGGACTTTGTTTCTAGTTAAAGATGATCCAGCTGAAATAATTGAAGCGAGACTTCGGGTATTCTATGAAGATGCACTGACGAATACTCTTTACAAAAATTCATATGTCTGCAAAATGACATTTCTTCCTACTGATAAGGAGCCATGCGTAGGACATGAGACAGTTGTGACACGACTTTCTGATTGGAATATATTGACAGTGGAAACTGCAGTGCGGATTTTTCCGGAAAAAGTAGAAGGACAAGGTGGCTTCGGGTTGATTTCTTGGTCACATGAGCGCAATTATAGCGACACTCTTATTCCTATTTACAATATCAGAATCTGCGAAGAAGGTGTGTGCACAAAAGCATTCGAAGAAAATGGAAAATGGGAGGATGCAGGATCGACGACGGAAACATTTTTCAATGCAACTGGTGATCCAGAAGGTTGGCCCGCTATTTTCACTGTTCAAGCAATTTATCAAGAAGCTGATCCGTTGATTGAGTCAAATATTTTATTCCCGCTTCAATTCGAAAAGGGAGTCGCAATTCCTGATATCGAAATCATAATTGACCATGAAACGATTCGCTCAACCTCGATTTTTGTAAAATGTAAAACGCCATATTTTAAAGAAAATAAGGATCAGGAAAACGAAAACGTTATACCAGCCAAAACAGTTGTTTTGAAAGCGACGAATGAAGACGATAAGGACTCTCCTCATGAGTGTAAAGTGAAAAGATCTGATGATCAACAATCGGGTGATTGTACGTTTCGAGGACTCCTGCCTTCTACAACTTACGACTTCAATCTACGAGTGGAATGGGATGAATTCGGAGCTTTATCGATCCAGAAACCAGCTACAACAGCTCCTGCCCCACCATACGCAATGGAAGAAATCGCAAAGACATCTTCCATCGAGCTCAAATGGTCAAATAGATGGAAGAGTAAAGAGATATCCCGTCATCTGAAAGGATATGAAATCAGTGCTATAACCGCTGATGACACAGAAGACAGGGCCGAACGAAAATTTGGGACAGAAATTGCCGAATGGTTAGACGCTAATTTAACGACGACGGCAAAAATATTGATCTCGAACAGCTCGGAAGCCACTTATCAGAAAGAACTTTTCCCTCTTACTGGTTATAAGATTACAGTCGTCGCTGACTTGGGTGAACTTGGCAAAACTGACGAGTTGATTATTGAAGGACGAACTGCTCTGCCACCACCTGATCTCAAATTTTTCAGCGTTGAATCTTCTTCCGTCACCGTATTTTGGCCTTTTCATGAGGTAGAACCTATTGGATTTGCGAGTACCATGGACAGTGAGGCTGACAATGACGAAGATAATACAATTAACGGAAATCCGATAAAAAGCAAAAATGACGGCTATTACCTAACTTACGTAAGCGATCTTTTCCCAAAGAAAGACGTTACCATTAATGTCTCTGTTTGGACTGAAAACAGACTCACAGATAAAGACAGTAACTGGGCAGAGTATCCGTGGAAACGACTTGAATATTCTGATGATGCGTCTATCTTAACCACCTGTCCTCCTCAGATGAAGATCGAAGTTGGCAATGTTCGAGATATTTCAACAACTCTTGAATGGGAGGATGTTGATGGTGCAGATGAATACATCTTAATCTATGAATACAATACTACTGAGGGAACCGGGAAAATCAACAGTCCTTACTTTGCTGGCGGAAACATCGTTCATTTAGACAGCGGAATCACCAAGAAAACGATCAGCCCTCTTGTTCCTTTCACAACTTATAATTTCTTAATGAAAGCAAAGTTCGACGCGAAAACTGAGGCAGATATCGATAAATATACAGACATGCTTCGGCTTTCAATTCGAACCGCAACTGAAGCTCCTAACATAACCCTCTTCAACGAGACGCTCACTAGCTCTCTGGTGACTTTCAACTGGCCTAATTGTCATGAACTCAAATGTCCTTCTGAAGCGGGTTGTCCTTCTTGCGCCACAATAGAAAGAAGAAAAAGACGAAAAAGAGACACGCATTTTTTCGACTTCAAGTACGATGTTTATCCCATTCAGTGGCAAGTGAAAATAAACGGTTTGAACATCACCGGACATGGAGACAGCTACATTGATGATGATGAAAGTGTTCAAGAATTAGGTAATGGTACAACCTGCAGAGTATATGATACATCGGGCTATCCAACTCCCCAGTTTGAAAATCTACGTCCCGGCACTACTTACAAAGTAGAAATCATCGTCGAATTCAATGAATTTGAGGGCAAAAAAACTCTTGTTAGGACGGACGAAAATAGCGAAAACCCGGAAATTATCAAAGAAATCGATGCCAAAGTTGAAGTTATCTACGACTTGCAAACACTGGATCCTAATGTCAATGTTTTGCTTTTGATCGACAACACAGATGCAGTTGATGGGCGAAAAGAAATAGAAGAAGATGTCCTGGCTTCGTTGCCATTAGTACTGAGACAGGAGCAGATTGATTTCGCAGTAGAACAGGCACTGAAAAACAGGTTTGTTTAGAATTTCTACTAACATACCCCACCCCCAAGTTTTCGCGCATTCCTCGGTACATTTTCCGTAATTTACTCTTCCTGATTTGTTCAAAACCCCCGAAATTTACGCCGCTTAACTTTTCTGCGTGCGCCCAAATTTACTCTCGCGGCGCTGATTGGCTTCGTCGGTTAATTTTCTGTGTGCGCAAAAGTCTTGTTTTGCTCGCTCCGGGCAAAGAAAGGATGATCTTTTATAAAAAGCCAGATTCCCTTATAGGGCAGCCCTATCTTATGTTATCTTTGATAAAATTATTGTTTATTGTTACAGTGAAGTTTATAAATATTTGATAGAACGTTATGCTACCTGCGATAGATGAAAACGACTTCTGCGGAGCAAAATCCTGGCCTCAATATTTTAAGTTAATGGTACGATTTTTATGTGTCCAAGCCACGAAAAATTTTCAATTCTAGTGCCTCGAGTTCCTGAATAAGACTGAAATCCCTTGGTTTAATATGGCGCTATGATTGAATAACGCGCCCGTTAATGAATCATTAGCGTTGACGCCTATTTCAGCGGGTCGCGAGTAAATTTGGGCGCACGCGGAAAAGTTAGGAGAAGAAATTTGGAAACGCGGGGAAACGCGAGGAAGCGTAAATTTCGGGGGTTTCGGAAAAGTTATGAAACGTAAACTTGGGCGAAATACCACGAATTGCGCGGAAATTTAGGGGGGGGGGGTATGTTATGATAAGTTTGTTCTTTCAGTGTTTACTGGAAACGCCAGATGAGCTTCTTACAAGAACTGATGTCTCGACACAAGTATATTGGTGACGATTCTTCTCGTTTTGCGATGAGTCTTTACGAGGGATATCAAAACTTGGACGAAATTCATACATTTGAGTCTCTTCAAGAAGTAGAATATGTAAAAGAACTGCTTGGAAATGTTACTTATAACGGCGGAACATTTATGCCCTTTCATGGGCTTTCTTATGCGGTAAGATTACAATCCAAGAAATGCGTCAAAAGAACTATATTTAGGCGGTCAAAGGCATTTCAACAGGACTTTTGAATTCTACCCAGACTGAAGAAAGACCAAATGTGATAGTAATGACCATTTCGAACACTCTTTATCTTCCAGCTTCAATCGCAAATGTCATCGAAGAAACCATCATTAAAACCAGCCGTCTTCTCAGATTCTGCTCGGATGCTACGTTGATTCCGGTTGGAGTCCATCCACCTAAGAGTTCTAGGGGCATTTATGGCGAGAAGTTCGAAGAAATGTTGAGATTGCTTGCCTGCTGGGAAGAGGAAGAACAGAGCATGCTGGAAGATGAAAACTTCAAGTGCGATGTGAACACTGGATTCTGCACCTATGAAAAAGGCGGTAACGAGGACTACCAGAAAAACAAAATCAATGAAATAAAGGGGAAAGAATGTCCCAATGTCCACTTCGTCCCACAAGATGGGAACTACATAGAAGTCGTTGACAGGAAATTGGTTTAGAAATTTTAGATAAACAAATTTCACTTAATTTCTAACCAATGAAAGCATAAAACAACTTATTGTTGATAAAACTCTTGAAGCTCCTATTGATCCCAATCAACCGAAATACATCATCCCAAGAAAGAATGACGACCGGCAAAGAACTTGCCTAGCTCTTCTCGCGAAAATGACGGGAAAATCTCTTGAAAGTCGAGCCTTCAAAACATTTCGCGAAGGAGAACTGTAATTTATTCAAAATAAAAACAAACGCTTCTCTTTGTTTTCTCCGTCATTTCTTACGTTTTCTTCATCTTTCTCTTGGGCAACCGCGTAGATTTCTGTCCATTCTCGAACGGTTAGATCGAATTTTTCACGGTCGTTTAGGAACATCGACACTTTAGTTAAAATTTAATTCAAAGTAATAACTAACCAAATAACCGACTGCATTTTGACTGAGTAACGTACCAGCTAATCTTTTCGTCCGTATCTTTTACATTCAAAAGGACAAGATTGCCCTACTTTTCAAATCTGTCTAAAACTCCTTGATTGATAAATTATCACTTATAATAGGGATAAGCTATTGGCCACGTTATCTTATAAATAAAGATAATTTCCTCTTTATTATTCGCACGTTAAATTCAGTGCGAAAAATAAAGATAAGCAATTACGTCCTATTAGCAAAATCCAGAAGGTCCGTAAATTGGCGGTCAATTAAAGAATGTTATTTCTATTCGGAGGTTTTTAATTGCCAACTTGGTTTCCTTGAAACAAAAACAAGCTTGGTTGACCAACGAATTTCGAAGATGATATTGGATCGGCCCTGTTCATCGTAAACTAAGGGCGCTTTCTGAAAAATGTTTTCGGAATATTTTTCTATTTTCAAGCTTTTGTGAGACATTCATATTCGCATCGCCACTTACTGTCACTGTTTGTATAAAACTTATATTGACAACTGTCTATCTAAAGCGTGCGAATATCTATTCTTGCTTGATGATTGAAATTGAGTTACGACGAGCGGGTTCGTCCTTACATGACACATGATGTTGAACGGTTGGGAATATCTCTCATGTACAAAGAATTTTAACAAATTGAACATAGGATTTAATCTTTTCTATCGTGTTTTCGTCGATCTTACTTATCTTGCGAAGAGTTTATTTCTATAATAATGTATTCTTTTACAGAGAGACTCCCTGTCAGAGAGTTCATAAAAAGTAGGTCAGTGCACGACGGGAGCGAGTTTCAGAATTGGAAAACATCGCACACTTCGTATTTTGACTGAGTAACGTACCAGCTAATCTTTTCGTCCGTGTCTTTTACATTCAAAAGGACAAGATTGACCTATTTGACCTAAAACTCCTTACTGTTGGTGCCCTAACTAAACTTGGAGTCCTACTGAAAAGACCCATTAATTACTGTCACCAAGCTTACTTGTATAAAAATAAACGTGTAACTATACAGTAGAGTCTCTACTTACCATGCTTGCAAATAACATCATAATATGCATTTTCGAACCGTGTTCAATAAGACCATGGCAGCACTAGAACGTGAATGAATTTGCCCTAAATAATTTGCAAATATCTCAGCCAGCAGACTCAGTCGAGAATTATAGACAGCTCAAATATGCGAAAAAATTATCTTGTAATTATTGTCTTTTGATTCCACCGCAAGTTCCTTTTTTTCGGAAGCAGTTCATGTCATCGTAAAAGAAACTTTGACTACCTTTATTTTACTCCACGTATTAAGCCAACTTCAAAAGGAAGGATTTTCCGTTAAAAATAATTACGTGAGGTAAGATAAAAAAATGTTTTGTTTTGACATCCGAGATGATCCGGTGACTGAGCCGTATCAAGACTTGTCTGAACTGGCTATTTCTGGGTAGATGAATTCTGGGTGGATGTTTCTCATTTTTGGAAGGAAAAAATACGGTGCCGTATAGTCTATACGGTATAGATTACACGGTATACAGGGTAGTTAACACGTTCTATCGAAAAATTGGTACGTTTGTCACTTTAGCCGCATTGTTTTCCTTATCAGATCCGTAACTAGCGTTTCAGTGAACGTGCGAGCCTTATCACCTTCCGACAATATACTCAAGAGTTCTTCTGAAAAACCTTTCGATAAACAGCAAACTTCGGTCGAGACTGGGCGAGACAGTGATTGTCAAAACTTCTCACGGCGCAAACCCGCGGCGCGCATCGCTCTGTAGCGCCGGAACCCTTTTTCGGATTTATGCGAGAACTCTTCGGTACTCTTTTCACTTGTAAAAATTGAAACTTGAAACTCGTATGTATAGTTATTAAATCTTCCTTTTTTAATATATAAGGACAAAGAGTATATTTATGAAGAATTGTATATTAACGTTTCTCCTCCTTGGAGAGAACGATGCTACTTCTGGAAGAAATCGTAAGTCGAAATGATTTCTTGTCTTTAGGGTTGCTTAGAGATAGGGTTAGTGTTAGCGTTATTTTAAGAGTCATTGAAAATATTAATTTTTGGTCTGAAATGAGCTCAAAAAATAGAGAAAAAGAGCTCTTTTTGATGGGCTTGAGTCTATTAACTCTGAATAGAAAACCTGTAGAAACCTATTTTTCTGATGATACTACAATAAAATATTTCCTCTTCAAGATCAACCTGTTTCTTGTCATTCTACATTGGGAAAATAACTAACAGTTAGGCCCCTTTCGAAACCACTGGAACTCAAGAATCGAACCAATATATCATATATTATATATGTAATGAACGTGACGAGATTTTTACGTTGGCTTTGTTTTCTTAAGCTACGTTTGAGTGTCGTATTTTGCAGCTGCGGTAAATTGAGTCAAGTATTTATTGAATTTCAGGGCATTTGCGGCGAAGTCGAAATCACCTAAGAGCGTTGCGGAAAGACGAAAAGCGCATCAGCAATTTAGACCCGAGAATAACATCAGGATGCACTTTGACAAGGAGCGACGATGTCGAGTTGTTGGAGACCTTTCAGTTCGTAGAACCGGAATCGGGGAAGAAGATTTTCTTCGGAACGAATATTGACGTTGAGCGCGGAAATCCACAAGCAGCGAAAAACACGGTCCCAGGAGCTTTCCCCGATGACGTAATCTGGACGCGTTCGAATGGATACTGCGATAAGGGCGTCTACAAAAGCTGGAACAAATGCAACATCAACGGAGAATGCTTCGTCGAATGCACCGACGGCCTTTGCCATGAACAGCACAAAAATGACGGCGAAAGAATCAACGTTCCTGGCCAGTGCGACGATTGGTACAGAAGATGCGCGACAGAGTGTAAAAATGATCCCAATTGCAAGGCGTTTACGTTTTTGGATACGAACGTCTTGGGCCATCCAGAATACACCTGTCATTTTATGTCGGAGCTTCTTTGCAAACATAGGTCGGGTTTTTAGAGCGATAATGTTGAAGTCCGCAATAATTTTTGACTGAATTCAAAAAATTTAAGATAAAGACTGAAATTAACCTTTGATAAGATAAAAAAATATTATCGCGAAAATTCTTCACAAAATCGGCTTTTTTCGGTTTCAAAGAGTAATTTTTTAGATAGATTGCTCTTATCCCTTTTAGAATTTTAGAATAGCTGTTTTTATTGTAAGGTGAAAATAAATCCCTTTGTCTAATCGCTAGAATTCTAAGGAAACGTTATAAAACCCTTTTAAAAGCGAGATGAGCCTGAGTGATCCGCGCTCTAGTTTCCAGGTCAAAGGGGCACACATGGCGGAGCTCTACGCAAAATATGGCTCAGGCAGCTTTACAGAGCTCGACAATGCTCTGGCTAATGATCCAGAGTTCAAGTTCGGCCACTGGTCCAGCTGGGGCTACCACGAGTGCCGTAATACGCCCGCACCGGCTTGTGGCGAGGGAGTTCAGCGACGAACGAGAGTTTTAGAAAATAGCGGAAGTGAAGTGGAAAGTCGACCTTGCTCCTTTTCCGACAACGATGGCAACTTAATCCCCTGCGAGACGATCTCGGGCCCAGAAGAAGGCGAGCCAGGCCATGGCTGGACAAGCTGGGGTCTTTGGAGTGCCTGTTCAAAAACTTGCGGAAATAGCGGAACTAGAACACGTTTTCGCGGCTGTGCCGAGTGCCCCAATCCTGATAGCGATGGCCTTTGCTCCGCCGAGAGTTTAGAAAATTACAGAACAAGAGCTATTGCTTTTAAAACATCAGAATATGAATTTTGCCCAAATGGGGGAGAGAAAGAAAGCGAAAGCTGTCAGCTGGGCCGTTGTCTTCCTTGGACGCATGGGCGAAATGGATGGAAACAAAATGGCGTTCCTGAATTTAAAATTAAGCATTTGTGGAATATTGGGAAGACTTCTAACTTCAGTGGAGACGAAACAGATTGGGAAGGTGGCTGCAGAAATTACGACGAAGCTTACAAAATCCTCAACTTAGATTCTGGCTCTCAAAGTCCTCCCTTTCACAATCAAAAATACACGTTTGCCGAGTGCATCCGAATTTGCCAATTAGAGGAAAAAGCAAATTGTCTCTCAGTCATGTTCTTTCCATCTAGTTCAAGGTGGGGACAACCTGACATTACAAGATTTTATGGAAACGACGGTGACGGTAATGCGCTTGCTGGAAACTGCTACTTGTTCAATAAAAGATGTCACGAAGATGGAGCGCCACGTGATGCTGCGTTCTTGGATGATCTCAGGTAAATCAACCGAATGTTATGATTCTAGCGCTAACTATAATCAACCGCCATCAATGGTAGTCTATCATTAACGAATTGTCAAGTTGACCAACATTTACAAATCCATACGTCATAAGATATATTATATTTTCATCATTTCAGAGCGCAAAAAGAAGCTGCCGGCGAAGAATTCACTGGCAAAGAAGCCGCAAAGTCCTGGTACGCTTACAAAGATCTATGCAGCGCGCCGAAATCTTTCCTTCTGAGCCCTTGCAACTGGCTTTCGAACTACTACGCCGCTGAGTGCGATTCTTCTGGAGATCGTGGTTTTCCAAATACTGATGTTTGTCGATGTCCAATGTCTGGGGATAGATGGTCGAGCGTCCGAGCATGGGGAAATCCTTACGCACCGCGATGGCAATACGATCCGAGCATCGGCGCGATTCAGCGACGAGATAGAAATCCTGACCTAGGAAACGGCCCTGTATTCTACTCCGTGCAAAAGTACAACAACCGAATCTTCAATGGCAAATCACTAGAATTCTACGAAGAACACATGCGAGAAGGAACGATGGCTTGTCACAATCCATGTGACCATAATCGCTGTCAAAGTGGCTCCCAATGTCAATTGAACCCCGACGCCGAGTTTGGTTACGACTGCCTCTGCGAATGGCCCTATGCCCCGGATCCTGAGAGATTTGGAGAAGGTAATTACCCGCGTCAGAAAACAACTTCAGCACCTTGCAATTTACGTTCATTAGTTTCTCGTTCCAAAAATGAAATTTTTATTATCAAAAATAAATCACGATCGTAGACGTGTAAACATTTTTTTTTATTTTCCAAAATTGATGTGAACTTTTGTCACAGTACCTGTAATTGACTTCATGGACGCGTTGACTTTTCTTTTTCGCCGGACCCATATTTTTCTAAAAAAACGCCGTGTGAATTTTTTTAACAAATTTTACCGTATCGAATCCCGAGGAAAAAGGCAACTGCAAGAAGAAAAATAAAAAGAAGTAAAAAGCGAAGTAAATCACTGATTTGGGTCTCTTTCAGGGACTCAAATAAGGTCTTCTTTTTGCGTTTATTCTCTTCAGATTTTAAATTTTCCTCATCTTCAGGAGAAATGTTTGCTTCTTTCAAAGTCATTTTCATTCTTTGGATAAGCTTGGCCTCAATAAAAGAGAAATGTGTAATCGATAAATGAGGATATATCGATTATTTAACAATTTGTTGGATTTACGATCCGTTAATTAAAACACACGTGGAAAATAAGCCCTTTGAAACCCTTTAAAATATCTAAAATTACGCAATAAGTACTGCCTAGAAATTACTGTTCCTTTAACATCACGAGAAGCGTAAAAAGCTTTTTTAGAAAAAATTATCGTTGCTGCTTGTTTTGAAAACCAACAGGTCGATTAGAAAGCTTAGATTAAATTTTAAGCTTATCAGGTTGAGCGTCGCCTCTAAATACTTAAATTTTATCGTGTATTTTTAGATAAACTTCCACTTGGACTAGCTGGCTATGGCGATAACAACGGTTGCGTAAGCGTCGATCACAGAAATACAGCACCAGATTATAAGGATAATCTGATTCTCTTCGGTGGTGGATGGAACCCACAAACAGTCAGTGGGGAGACCCTTCCGAAACCACACTACCAGTATTATGGGTAAGATTAGTTAAATTTACATTTACATCTTTTCATATTCTAAATTTGCATTTTTGGGTTCTAAAGAAAAAGTTCAGTCTGAAATCCGAGTCGCCTCACAAATTCAAAGTCTCGTTTGCACCCCAGCGAATCCCAGCTACCGATCCAGATGCGCACAAGGCCAAGTTCTACAACTGCATGATGAATATTGATGACAACAAAGTCATGGTTGTCGGCGGTCGCCCTGGGCAGTTCTTTGATACTTTTGACGACAAAACGTACGTGTATCAATGGGACGAGGAAGCAGAGGGAATCGAAGAGGGAGGAAAATGGATCGACGTTGATGGAAACAGAATGGACGATTCAAAAGAAGCCTGCGAGGGTCTAGCCGGCTGCGTTCGACAAAATGAATGGCCGGACTTGCCTTCAGTTTCAGTTTTGAATTGCCAGGGACAGTGTCGAAACGGCGATGCAGGCAGAGGTCCTACTGATCCTCGATGGCTACACTCCTATTGCACCGTCTCCGCCGACTTCTGGAATGGCAACGACTGGGAAGCAAGAACTTTTGAACTCTGTCAAAATCGACTGCTTGAGACATCATCTGAAGATGGAATCGCTGTCCGAGGGCTTGAAGGATTCTGGACTTCTGAAGAAAATCCAAATTATCACAGCAACTGGGCCGAGTATCGCCGCCTCATTTTACTAACAAAGCCTTTCTACCATCAATCAAATCTGCACAGTCCTGATATCGAGACCGCGCAAATGCTCAGCATCATGACCTATCAAGGAGAAGAGATAACAGTCACTCGAGAGCTCCGATGGAAATATCCAATGAACTCGACTCTTTACAATCCCATTCTCGGTCCCGTAACCTTTCGGGACATTATGGCAATCAACGGTTTACCAGACACTCGTCGGCCAAATTTCCGCGAATCGTTTAAAGACTACCTCGGCCCGGGACAACCCGCCTGTGGCGTTATGGGAGACAAAGCGTACGTTGGATCTGGAAAATTTGCGAGACTGATTTCGCTTGAATACAACAATGCAAAGAGCGAAATTTGGCGCGTTGAAGAAGGATCAGAATTTCCATTCCCATTTAAAAAGAGCGATGGGTCGCAATGCCTCATGAACAATTTATGGGGAACAGACCCAGCTTTTTGGAGAAAAGATCAACTCCCTAACTTTAGGCAAAACTACGGAACAGTTGTTACTAATCAGGGTCTTTGGATCATTGGAGGATTGATGGCTGCTTCTTCGGATCTTCCTAATCGAGATTTGAACAAACGATACAACATTGAAGGTTGCACTAAACATGGTCACTTGCGAGACGTTTGGGTTTTCAATCCAAATGGCTGGTCCCGATCAGAAATTCTCGGAGAAGCTGCGGGGAAGTACTCTGGCCTCGAAGCTAGCGAAATTCTCCCGCAAAAGATCGGCTATCCTTTCGGCCAAGACATGAAATCACGAATATCGACGACCCTTGACCAGGATTTCGAAGAGTTCCATCTTTCTGACACTGCTGGCGGTAATTTCTCCCTGACAACCGACATCGCCATCGAAGAAGGCTGGCAATGCACAGGAGTCCAAGGGAAATGGTGCAGAAAACCCTACCTGCCGAGAGAAACAAAAGGTGCTGAAGCGTTTGTCATGTGCTTTGAACCCGGAACTGGCTCTGAAAAATTATCTTACACGAGAAGATACGCTACAAAAACGATACCTCGACGACCAAGAGTTTGTTCGGTTGAAGAAACTAAACACTCGGTAAGTCATTTTCCCAAGATTCTAAATAACAGGAGAGTTAGGATAATCGATGCATCTGCTACATTATGAACGTCTCTGGTCAATCAGGCCCAAAACAAACTGAAGGAGGCGCCGGTTTTAGACCAGAAGTAGACTACATCGAGATTCCAAGAGCTGATGGAACTTATGGCTCCGATCATGAGAGGTAATTAAATTTTCCCCGCCTTCTAAAAATTCCTCCTAACGAGGCGCACTTGTGATGACATTCTTTTTTAAGTTACGCTGAAGAACTCAAGGAGTATTGCCCAAATGCCGAAGCTTCTTTTCCAGAAGTCGATGAACCGATTGTTCATGGAAACGAATCTCCAGTAGCCGACTATACCGAATGCACAAATATCTGCGACGTGGAAGGCGCTCCAGATTGCAATCGAATTTGGAAGAAGAAAAATCTTCGACGAGCGTGGCACGAAGCTGGTAGAATCAAGCACGCAAGAATGGGCTTCCTCGCTGGCCAGATCAAAGGAGAGATCGTCATCTGGGGTGGCGAGTGCTACGGACCAACGACCCAGCGGCAATGGAATCTTGACGGTTCTCCAAGAGCGACGAGGGTTAATTTTCAGCCGAGAGCGTGCAAGGCCAACATTCAAAATGGAAAAGTCTTGAACGATGACTACATGGAGGTAGAGAGCAAAACATAGACAAATCATTCAATAAATTAAGGTCTTCTCGTTCTTACGAATGAACGCAGCTGGTTTCATTTTCGGCGAACGTCGGTACGTAGAACTGGAAGGCTACGTAAATGGACGAGTGAATCATGACGAATCTGCTGTTGCCCAATCTTATAATGCCTTCAACAAAGCCTTTTAAATTTTCATCTGCCCAGAAATCGATAATTTATAATTCAAAAGAGGCCTGTAAATATTAACTGTATAAATGAACTTCACAATATTATATTACTGAATAAAGAAATTCGCGAAGAAATAACGAAACTTTTGTTGATTTAAATCTGGTCTCGCTAGGACAGCTTTTAAAATAAACTGAAGTTGGAACAACCTAGATTACTTCACGAAATCTTTCCGGTGCAAGATAAGCCCGGGGATTCCAGTTGCCGAAAGTTAACTGCCTGGGAGATTGAACTCGGATTATTTTTTATGTAAGTTGTCTCATCGCGAACCAGTTGGACACAATTTTTTGGAGAATTGATTTGATTTGAAATAGAAATGAAATTTCTACTGTTACTGCCCACTTTTTATTTTAGAAGCTCTCCGCGGTCGTCATTATTACGGTTTATAATCTCCATTATCTATATTCCGCCGGTGAATTTGAAGATTACCTGCTCACTTATCCGCCAATTTTTGGTCACAGGTGCTCGAATTTGACATTTTCTCTGATAAATTTTAGATTTCATTATTTGTGCCACTATTTCTATTAGAAACCAATTGATTGCCAAGAATATGCAGGTCATGCAGAATTCTTTCAGTTCATCAAAAATATTAATTATGCTGTTTGGCAGTTTATTTGCTCAAAATACAATGTACAGTCAGAGTTATCTGATTTTTTTTTTGATAAAATAGAAATAGTAAAGTAGAAAGATTGAATAAGAAAATAGGATTCTGTCAAAAATAAATAGGTCCCAGCAAAATTCATTTCTCAAATATTGATTTGATGAAATTTTTTCTTCACTGGATATTTGTACAAAAATAGACGAATTCATACAAAAATAGGGGATTCGTAGCAAAATAAGGCTCTTTTTGGTCGTTGGGAGAGATTTACAAGAGTAGAAAAATAGAGTTTTCTTTGAAATATTTTTGTTGTTTTTTTTATAAAATGATAATTCAGGTAGCTCTCTGTGTATAAAAATAAGGATTTAAATTAGTTTGTGGTGATGCTGTAAGCAGAAGTGGGCGATTCTTGCTCGGACTTGTACCCGTCTACCATGCGCCGGTACTGTTCAGATTCAAGCATTTGGATTTCGATGGCGTTTTGTTGTTGGGCAACGCGCATTCGGACTGTATCCCATCGATCAAGAAGCATTGATGAGATGTTTTTCGCGATGTTTTGCGCTATAAAATTTAGTTTTTCAAAGCAATCTAAGAAAGGGGCCTCCTCTAACAGGGGTTTAAATCCTTCGAGTTAGTACAGTAAAACTTACAGTTGAAATCCGGCGCTTTAGCAGCAATCGAGCTTGTTTGATCGTCGCACTTTTCGAGATCTGGGTAGATATCATCCAGCCGATTGCTCAACAAGTCCGCTCGTTCCATTTGAGCATCGAGTGTGCCGCCAGATTGGGTCTAGTCACAGTTTTATGACTCTATAAATTACTGTAAGTCTCACCTGTAGTACTTGTTCGCACTCATCAAGCGCCGTCGCCGAGTTCTGGCATAATCTCTGGAATTCTGGCGCGAAGGTGAGTTGCTCCAGCGCAGCAGCCAAATCTGTCGATTTCAGGCTTCTGGTGGAGCTGGTAGTCGTCCTGTTTGTAGGAGGACCTTGCGCATGGTGCCCATTAGCGAACTGGGGCGAGGTTGAAATCGTCGCCGGCGATTTTATACTCGCTGGGGAACGAGATGGCGCCACGCGAGGGGTCCAGCTGCTCTGCGGGCTGTCGTTGTTCGTCCAATACTCGGCCGAGGCGCCACCAGTATTGTTGCTCGCTACGACGAGCAAGGGCTCCAATTTGGTCGCTTGAGGAAGTGGAGCATCACCGGTTCCATTTAGCGCAGGTGCAGATGTTTTTTGAACACTTGAAGTTGCTGGCGAAATGGATTTATTGGAAAACCTCGGCGAGTGCTTCTTCGGCGGGTTCGATACCTCCGAGATTTTCTGGCTCATCTTAGCCGATTGGACAGCTGCTTTGAGCTGCTTATGTAGCTCTTTGTAATCCTCGAGCTGCTGCGACAAGAGCTTGGACTCGCCAAGATCGGCAAAGGTAAAACTTCGGAGCTTTTTTCGCAGTCGTTCTACTTCCGAATACGACGCTTCTGGTGAGAGTTTGCTTGAAACTGGTGTTTTGGAGCTGGTTGTCATGGGACTGGGCGTATCTGAATTTTAAAATATTTTAATCTTCCGGCATCAAGAAAGAATTTTTTAATGAAGCGATTAAATGTCCGAAAATCATCAATCGAGAAAATAAAAATTCCCTGAAAACCGCAAAGACGAGCAAATATAAAATTCGAAATGGAATTCGGCCTCGGGAGGCATAAAAAAATAACCTCGACAGTAGACTATTTGCAAGGTTATTGACTACAAATGAGCACTTAAATATCACGTGAGGGGAAAATTCACGGCGGTATTTGACGAAGGAAATAGGGAGACAAAGGTAGCCCGGGAGTGGGTGTCAGTCTGTTTGGTAAGGGAACGAATCAATGATGCTAGCTAAGAATGAATTGCTTACCGTTTGGTGGTGTAATTTGAATAACAGGGGTCGAAACAGTAAGTGGCTTGTTGACCGATCGAACGAGTTTATCCTGCGCTTCACGGATATCGGATCCCCAGCTCTTCGCATTACTCGACAGCTCTCGAAGCTTATCGGCCCGTGCACGCAGTCGCGAACTTGTGCAATTCGCGCTGTCTGCTGCTAGCGATAACTGCTGCTCCATTGGTCTTCGTTTTTTCGATTCCTCTGAAAACTCGAGTCAAAAAGCTGTTCTGATAATTTCAAAGCAGTAATGATCAAATGGCAGTGCTGGCATTGCCCGAGGCCTGTGTTTGCTCGGCAGAGACAGGCACATAGGGCATAGTGTCTTTTCACGCTCTGTACAAATACAACAGAATCAGAATACAGCCGATTTACAACAATAGTCTTTCTTACGAGACAAGTGGCCTCTTGGGATTATGATTCGCTAAAGACTTTTGAGTCTTTGAAAAATACTCTTCGTTGATTTCAATTGACATTCGTACCTTTGAGTTGTTTAGAAACGCCAGAAAGTCGGTCGGCAAGAGCAACAAGCTCAAAATACTTCTGGTCAATAGTTGAAGCGTTCATTTCCGGCTCAGCTTCCCGCTCGATCGAGTTCAATTCCGATGTTGCTAAAGTGGCAAGATGGTCGGCTTTGCGCAGCAGGGATTCTACTTCCTCGTCCTTTTCCGCAGCCTAAAAAGAACATCGATATTATGTCAGTAAATCTAGGAACTGAGTGCTATCAAGATCTTGAAAGCTCATAAAGCGCATTTTTGCAAATGTTGATTTTCTTTATTGCACTTTTTTCTCACGAATGTAATTCTCACCTCACAAAATTCAATTCAAACACGAGATTAGAAGTTCCGTTCAAACTTTGAAGGACCAAAAATAAAGCTCTGAGTTGAGCATATTTGCGCAATAAATATTGCCAGTCCAATTGAATTGACAAAACCAAAAAATGCTCTTTTGTCAACGGCGGGAGGCACTTATCATTCAGTCAATTACTGTAATTCACCGTAAAAAAGTGGCTTTCGGAATAGAGTTATCCTATTTGAGCACAAAAGAGGCAGTTTTAATCCCTATTGTGAGATTTTTCTTTGCGGTCAAGTGATTTAAAAGTGTCCCAAAAAATTTTTTGTACCTTTTCAAGTTGTTTATCTCGAAGATCAGCTAGCTGTTGCACTCGGCTCATCTGCTGACAGGCTGTTTTCAAGACCTCAGGAAGAACAGAGTCCTAAGAATGAGAATCAAATATGATCTAAGCATTCTGAAAGATACCTCTTTAGTACCAGAAGTAGCCTCCGCTTCGAGTCTCAACAATTCAAGATGGAGCTCGTCCAGTTTGCTGTGTAGTTTTTCTTGCTTTTTCGTGGCGACCTTGAGATCTGTATCATCGCCGACAGGATCTGATAGCTGTAGCTCTGCATCTTGCAAAGCAGTCATCAACGTCACTAGTTTAACACCAGCTTCCTCTCGCTTGGCAACTGTACTGCGCAACTGAGAACAAGCAGATTCGATGTTTTTCTTGGCAAGAGAGAACTCTCGCTGGAGGGATGAAATCATTGAGCCGAGCTCTTTTGGTGGGGTTTTGTCAGAATAAAGCTTTGCGGCTTCTTTCCCGGCTGCAAAGACTTCTTTTTCCTTTTGGCAGATTTGACGATGGAGGGATTTTAGTTGGTCAATTTCCAAATGTTCCAAATCAGCTAAAAATGATTCAATTAGTCTTAAATACTGGAGATTTCTTACATGGATCAGTGATAACCGAGAGGAGGTTTTCATCAAACCAAGATTTTAGCTGGTTCAATTTTTTGAACGCCGCTTCTTTCAGCTCTGCTGAATCGATTTCATCCTTGACCAGGTCTTCCAAGAGATCCTTCTGATATTGCGCGCGTGAATGTAAACGCTGATGAAGAACTGTGCCCACGTGACCGAGGGGAATGCTCATGTGTTCCAGTTGCAAGATTTCGTCGATCGTCTCGTTAGATTTATCCAAGAGCTTCTCGAACTTGTTTTCGGAAGATTTGAACCCGGAAGATTTTTCTTTATCAAGAGAATTGGCGATTTCGTCGAGCGAGGATTCAATTTTCGCCGCCATTGGCTCAACAATTGACCACCTGCTTGCCTTAGCTTCCAACTCTGTTCGAATCATCGCGGCGTTAGATTTCGTTTCATCCCAGCGCTCATTGAGAACCTGAAAAGAAATCTTATTGTTGCAAAGTACTAATTTTTTACCTCGTATGCAGAAAGAAGCGATTGCTGAGAGCCAAGCGCTGCGGCAACTTGATCGAGTTGCTCCAATCGTTCCTCGCAACACTTGCTCATTTCATCGGTGTAGCATCTGAACGCTTCAGCAAGATTCGTTGCTTCCGTCGCATTCTGAGAATTGGCGTCTTTGTAGTTGTTACAGAATTGATCCGCCATTTTGAGCTCCTCGCGAATTTCATTGATGACTTTCTCGCAGCTCTGCCATGCGGCAGCAGCATCGCTGATGTCTGATTTCATTCCAGAAGCTTGGTTCAACAGTTGATTCGCTTTTTGTCGTATGATAGTGATAGCTTCTTTGACACGGTCTTGGGCGAGATGATTTGTTGATGGAGAGAGGGAGAGACACTGGCTTGCTGCTTCGAATTCGTTCAATTTATCAATCAGAACTGATTGAACATCTTCCAGTTCTTGATCAGTGAATTTGAGCTCGTCCTGATCTGGCATCACAAAACCATTACAGTCAGATTCAATCAGATCTAATCGAGCAGAAGCAGCGCCCAATTGACCGGAAACAGAGTTTAATCTTTCAGCGTAGGTCTGTCTGGCAGACAAAGCTTCAGACATGAGTTTCTTTTGCGAATCAAAGTCGGATAGCAAGCTTGGTTTAAGAGTTTCCAAGGTTTTTCTGGCATTGTCACGCTCATCGTCTGGAATTCGCTCATCTTCCTCCACTGCTAGAAGTTTTTCGAGATGATCAAGCCTCGAGACGGTCTCGTCTTCCAGAAGGTTGAGTCTCACGATCATTTTTTGAACTTCAGAGACCTGCAGTGGGAGACTTTGCGGCGCTGTTATGGCGATTTGAGTCTCTCGGAGCCATTTGAGCTCACTAGAAATAATTGAACTAAAGTCTCTGAGGCCAGCGAGTTTTGACTGGCACTCGCGAATGATCGCGTTGCACTCAGCCATGTGTCGACCGACTTTGTCGTTGATTTGGCTGATTCTGTTAGGCTCATTGTTTCCGAGTTTCTGTGCGAGAATCGTGATTTCCTTCAAATCTTGGCGAAGTTTCGCAAGATCTGCGATTGTCACGTGGCAGCAAGCGAGTTTCTTTTCAATTTCATCTTCTTTTGGCGAAGACATGGAAGAAAAGGCGACTGGGGTGGCAATATCGTCAAGAGTACTAGCGGCTGATTCATATTTACATTCGTACTCTTCTTTTAGCTTTGCGATTTCTTCCTCCCTGGCGAGGAGTTCACGGGCGATGTGCTCTTGTTGATGGAATTTTGTCAAGAGTTTCAAATGCCTTTCTGCTTGCCATGGCTGTCCAGCTTGCTTGAGCGACTCTTTCATCGAACGAAGTTCTTCGATATCAGGCCGGATTTTGTCCAGCAAGTCACTCATCTCCTTCGGCGAGGATTGTTTAGCGGCTACTTCTGATAAGAACGCTTCGACTTGGGCAGTTGTTCGCTCGTACTCGCGGCGGGAAGTGATGAGTTTCTCAGTCATTTCTGCTTTTTTCGCGGCGTTGGCTTGTATGCTAAAAATGTGTAATCAAATGCTGGTTTAAAAAAATTTACTTGTCAAGTTTCTGTTTTGACTTTTCAATGCGCTCTTGGAGAATGTTGATTTCTTGAGGAGGACTTGTGTCTGAGATCTCGTGGGCTTTGGATTTGACTGTTCGAAGAACATTTGCAATTTCAGGGATTTCGCGCTCCAGCTGATTGTATTGCTATTTTTGGATATTTAGATTACAGAGAAGTTGTTTTTTTATGAGAAGAAAATAGAAGTTCTAAATGAATTCTATTGATGATGACGATTTCAACGTGAAATGATGGGATTTTTACAAAACATAAGTTTTCACGATGCTAAAAAATACCGGTTGATCTATCCACTGTTCCTTTAGCTGCGTTTCTAGCTCAGCGATGGTGCCTGCCGACGATTCTGGGGTCAACTGAACTTCTGCTTCTTGAAGCCATCGCTTGACTCTGTTGAAATCGGCGTTGCACAATTCTCGCATCGCGAGTGCATGTTGCAAGTCCTTGGTGATATTGTCGCACTCGGATCGAAGTTTTTGGTAGCGCTCTTCAAGATCTAACGCAAAGTTTTAGTAAATTATTTTAAAAGAAAAAATCAATTAGCAAAAGAAAATATATTTGTTAGTGTCCACTCTGCTACAGAACAATATAGAAAAAGCAAACCCAAACATATTTCACCTAAGCCACCTAGTGGCGCCCCATCACGTGCAGTTGAAATAATGGTGCGGAATTTAAGAACCCTTCTTAATTTATTCTGACCTTTAACATAAACCGCATCGTCAGCTGTTTCCTTCACAAGGACCTTAAAATTAATTAAGACTTTGAAACAAGATGTAATTACCTTTAGTGAGCCAACTTTGGCCGTCAACTCTTCTAGTGGTTTTTGTCGACTAAGGAGCTCTCTGGTAAAGTTCTTGTAGTGGCTGATGAGCTTCGCCATTGAGTCCGGATTGACAGGGAAGAGTTTGAGGCGGAGTTCCATTCGTTTTTCGGCTTGGTCCATCCAGGAATTCAGCTCGCGGCCTTGGTTGTACCACCGCTCGTGATGTGCTTTGAGTTCCTCGAGCTTTGCGATCCGCTCATCTACGGCGCTCATCGCCGAGTCAAGTATTTCTTCTGCTTTAGAATCAGTCGAATCAATCTCTTCCTGCTCAATAGTCGAAAAACCAAGCTTCACTGCTGCTAATTGAATCTGCCGCAATTGCTGGAATTGTGAGTTGAGTTGAGCAAGCTCCTGCTGCGCTGCACAAGCTTTTTTCAATTGCTCCTCCAATTCAGCGATTGAAGAGTTTTGCTCGACGGGGATCGTAGTCTCCGCCAATTTCTTCTGCGCTGCTTCGATGAATTGTGCAAGTTTCTTTACAAAATCACACTTTTCATTTATCAAATCGCGCAAATGAGCCGAGCGGTTTTCAGAGCGGCTGATGATGTCAACAAGTCGAGATTTTTGATCGTTGACGATTGTTTGCCCATTCTCGTATTGAGTCGGCTGAAGCAATGATCGAATGCTACCCAAGTCGGTGACGACTTTTGAAATTGGACCGGTAATACTCTTTGCTCGATCGACGAGCTCTTCGAACCTGGCAAGCCTGGTTTCTGAGTTTTTATCGATCTTCGAGTTTTCAGAAAACTCAGACTGAAGTTGCTCAAGCTCTCGGTTGTAGGCAACTATTTGGACTTGAATACCTTTCGCCGCTTCGATCGATTCATGCATCTCATCGAGTTCTTTTTCGGCTCTTTCTTGAAGCACTTCGAGTCGGGCTTTCAGCTGCTCAACTTCCTTTACTTGATCGAGCTCGTTCAATTTCTCCTTGAAATCCATGCACTCGTGAATGATGATATTGAGGTCTTTAGCCTTTGCTTCCAGAATTGGAACAGCTTCTTCGAAGGATGATCCGCTATCATGGAGATCAGTGAGCGATTCAAGTTGATTCTCAGCTTTGTGGAGCCAGGCGTCAATGTCTGCGATTGTTTCTTGCTCGTGGTCCCATTTTTCGATATCTCTCTTGATGGATTGAACTTTTCCAAGTCTCTGTTGATCCACGGCTTTTGCCTCGTTCATGACATTCTTGCCTTCTTGAGAATCAGGTTGCTCGTGAGTGAATTCCTCACACCAGCGGATTATTTCCTGCATGTCAAATTTGATGTTCTCAAGCTGATCGAGTTGGCGGGCTGCTTGAGCTTGATCCTGAGCTTTTGGCATGTTGGAGATTGCGTTTCGTGCTTTCGACAGAGTTTGCATGTAATCCTTGACTTCTGTATTGCGATCTTTCGACTCGACAATATCTCGTTGGCATTTAGCCAGAAGTTCCGCGACTTTCTGGTGCATTCCATTTGCTGCATCGACCAGTGGCTGCATTTTTTGATAACGGGAGTCGTCTAATTCTGCCGCTCGGGCTGCAGAAACAGATTTTTGGAACGCTTCGACGTCTTGAAGGAGAATGGTCGCTTGAGACTCGCGTTCTAGCGCTGGCTCAGAGCAATTGAGTATTTGCTCCTCAAGCTCTCCGATGTGAAAAGATAACTGGAACATTGTTCGCTCCAATTTTTGAATCTCCGCGAGATAGTGATTGACAGCGTCGATTCCTTTGGATACATCATCTGCTTGTCGCCTGAGTTCCCTACCAAGCTCTTTGAACTTTCCTTGTTGTTTGTAGAAATGAGGAGCAACTTTGTCTTGAATTTCGAGGGGCATTTTCCCAAGACGGAATTCGGCCTCGATGAATTTCTCCTTCTCACGAGCGTGATCTTTGATTTGAGCGCTGAGCTCTGCTTGCTTTTTCTTCAGCTCGCCGAGTTCTTTGCTCTCACCGATTGGATTTGAGTTCAGTTTCTTGTCCGCTTTTTCGAGGAACTGATCGATGTGTTTCTGAGCATGATCGTAATCGCACCAGTGAGCTCTTGTTTTTGTCGTTCTTCGCTGAGCAGATTGAAGTTTAGCGTAGAATTCTTGATAGCTGTCGTTGACCGATTTGCCCATTTTCTTGATGTCGCAAATTGTCGACTCAGAAAGAGGGGAACGGTTTCCTCCAGCGACGACTCGGTCACATTTGTCAACGAGACCGACAATAACGGCCCTTCGAGTCTCGCACTCGGTTATTAGCTGGTGAAGTGTTTGGAGTACTTCTTCTAAATGATCTCCCGGGTAGGGAATATTTTCGGGTGGAGTGATGGCCTCGATGAACGTTTCATTGCTAACTTGAATCCATTGTTCGATATCTTCGATATTCAGTGAGATTTCATGAAGAGCGGATGCGGCGAGTTCGGCAGATTTTAATTTTGACTTCGTTTGTCCGAGTAAGTTTTGGAACTTGGTCGATAGATCGTTGATTTCGATGGTGATTGCTAGATCAAGGCGACTTTTGTCCATGAGCTGACTTGCTGTTTCCGTGATTGCGTCCTTAGTCTCTTTCTTCGCCATAAACTCGTTGACCATCGATTGTAGTTCTGAGACGATGACTGGAGCATTGTTAGATTTGTCTTCGTTGATGATGATCTTGTTTCGGCTGGAGTCTTTGAGAACATCATTTTGTGATTCAAGCCATTTCAATAAGTCTTGAACACTTTTTCGCAAAAGCTCGATTTCAGTCTTCCTCTCATTGAGTTCGCAGATTCCTGATTTCACAGAACTTTTGAGCTGCTGCCACTCATCGATGATTGGATTGTTGTACGCATCCTGACATTCTGTTTCCAAAATGTTGCATTTTGCGTCGCCTTCTGGAATAACTTCGGCTTCAAAAGCAACGAGCCCGGCGAGTGATGTTTCAACATCAACACCATTTGGTTCCATGAAACCAACAACGATGGGTCGTTGATCTGCAAGCCAATCAGTAAAGTCTCGAAGTGCATGTCTTCTATCTTCAAGCAGTTCAGCTTCGCTCGCGGAAATTTGAAGCTTTTCGTTCGCTGCAGCAAGAAGAATTCTATACTTTTCCTGGGTTCGCTCTACTTTTTGTGCTGCATTTTCACATGGACCGATTGCCGCTGTGAGATGTTTTGTCTGTTTATCCAGTTGTTCGATGCAGAAGAAATGGCCATGATGATTGAAATCGTCGACGATTGTTTTCAGTCGATGCATCGTCAATGTCGGAGATATGGTGGACTCAGAGTTGTCCGAATCAGAAGTATCACCAACTCTTTCATCAAGATTTTTCGCTGCCTTTGACAACCAACTGTTTGCCGCGGTAATTGCATCTTCCCAAAGCGACCATTGCTGAAGATTGTAGCTGAGTTTTTCTTCCGAATGACGCAACGAGTTCAAGAATGTCGACCAAACTTCTTTCAAGCTTTGAGCTTGAAGCTGAACTGCATGTTTTCCGTTTTGAGAAGTTCCCTGAAGCACCATTTCTAATCGGCTCAATGCTACTTGGACCATTCCTTCGCCTGTTTGTTGTTCGTTGGCGATTCTACGGGAATCCTTCAGTCGCTTTTCGATGCCATTCTTATCAACACCTTCTAGACCAGGATTAAGAGAGTCAATGCACTGCTGACGTTCTTTTATCCACTCCTCGGCGCCGGCGATTTCTGTGACGAGAGTCATGTGCTGCTGGAGACGAGTTTGAGCGTCTCTCTTTGCCTGTGACGATTGATGACAGAGTGATCTGTATGATGTCTGTAGTTCACCGACTCGAAGGGTTCCTCCTGGATATTGAACTTTGACGGCTTTTCTTTTTAATCGAAGGAACTTGTATTGTTCGTCGGTTGTTTCTTCGTCAATAGCTTGAAGAGCAGCAAAATTGGACTTTTTCAAACCGATCGTTGCTTTTAAACCGCTCTCTGCTTTGAGTCTTGATTCCATTTGACTCAGCCAGTGGAACAGCTCGAAACAAGACTTGTCAAAGTCCTTGAGTCCGTCAATGTAGCCTACTACTGATTGTTTTGCTTCATCCAACTCGGAAACAAAGTGCTTCCACTTTTCTTTTAGTTGCCGGATTGTTGAGCGATTGAGATTGACCTGTTCGCTGATGAAAATTACTGTTCCTTTGTCGGCAAGATTATTGAGGTCCTTCAGCTTATCATTTCCTTGCTCTAAGCAGGCGCCGGTTAACTCGTTCAAAGCGATGATGATTTTCTGTGCTCCTTCCAAATCACCTCTCGGAGTCGACAACTGTTGTAGCTGAGCAGTATGTCGCCGGATAAAACTGTCAAACTGACTTGATTTGAGCTTGAATTGAGAACGAAGATCTGTTTCGATCTCATTCCGGATCTTTCCAAGCTCTGTTTTCTTGACTGTAAATTCTGATAGCGTTTTGGTAACGGCTTCAGAAATCTCTGTTGCGTCTTCATTCGCAAATTTTCTACAGAGAACGTTCAATTGAGTTCTGATTGGATTTTGCTTTGATGAGAGTTTTTTCATTTTATGCTCTGCCTCAACCAGCTCCGGGATCTTTTCAGTGATATCTTCACTTGTTGGTAGAGAAATTGCATTAAGATCCTCGGAGAACTCCTTCAATTGGAACTCGATCTTTTCTTGCTCCTTTTGGAAGCCATCTTGGTATTCTTCAAGTTCAGCCAATGCATGACTTATTGATTCAGAAGCTTCATCAATTGAAGCTTCCCATTCTTTCCAAGAAGCTTTTTGCTGTTTGGTCTCTGTCGCGATAAGATCATACCCAGCTGGAGCAGTGTCATTCTCAAGAGACTCAGCAAGTGTTACAGTCGCTTCAAGCCTCGCCAGTCCATCAATTTTCGCTTTTTGAAGCTCTTCAATTTTCGCCACTTTCTTTTGAAGATGATAACGATCCTTTTCTCCGACAAGATCAGACCAGCGACTTAGCTCTTCTTTCGCTGAATTGATCCATTCTTCGAGCTCATCGCCTGCAACGATCCATCGCTCATGCCGGTCGCGGATTTCACTCGCTCTTCGTATTTTCTCATTAAGATCAGCGCGGATAACGTTCACTCTATTCGTCAACGGGGCTAATACATTGCTTGCAACTACAGAGGAAGCTGTACTCATGTCCATGTTAACTGGCTCGCCGGGAAGATCCGATGTAAAATCGTTCGTTTGGTAGCCAGACTCGAGCATGAGCGTTTCAGAGGCTGTTATTTTTGCCTCAACTTCGTTCAGATCATTTTCCAGCTCAATTAGTCTCTCGACCCGCTGTTTCTTCTCCTTGAAATCGGATGGAACCGGTGGATCTTCTTCGAGAACCGCTTCGATGTCAGCTAGTGTGTTCTCAAGTTCAACGCAGGATTTTGCTAACTGCGAAAGTTCAGAATTTCGAAGCTCAGATTTTGCACGTAAGTTTTCCAACTTATCGACGAGCTCTTCAAAAGCATGCTTCATGATTTCCATGTCTTCTTGTTGTTTAGTGCGACCAGTTGGAGACATGAAGTTGCAGAGTCGCTCTGCCCGGCCTAGGGCCTTGTGGATCTTCACTTCTCCTTCTTGTTTCTCTAGAAGAACGAGATCAACAAGATTTGTGACATTTTGGCACTCGGTAACGCTGGAGACGTTGTCGAGGTCGGCATCAAGGGTGCTGACTCGGTCGAGGATAGATTTGATCCATTTTCTGAGATTTTCTTTCGAAATGTTGAATTCATTCAGCTGCTCCTCGAAGGAAACGAGATTTCTCAGTTTATCATCAACTTTCTTTTCCAAGTTGTTGAAGTCGTTAACGGTTAGTTGGATTCTTTTGCCCGGGACAGTTCCAATGTCGCCATCGGCGATGTCCATCACTTGCTGTTGAAGAGTTTTGAAGACATCTTTTTTCGCATCAACTTCGCTCTTCAGATCTTTGAGCGCTTCAATGAACGAATCAACCTCTTTTACATCATCAATGTCCTTGTCATGCTCGTCGAGCTTCGTTTTCGTCTTTTCAAGCCACGTCTGTAAGGTAATTCGATTATCCTCGAGAGTTGAGACGTAAATCGAGGCATCTTTGAGCACACTAACATAGTGTTTAGCTTCCCGAATGATTCCCTTGAAATCTTGCATGTGTTTTTCAGGCTTGCTTGCGTCGAAATCGTTAGATTCAGCCAGTTCTTTCAGCCATCCTTCAACCTTTTCTTGACTTTCGAGGACCTCTTCTAGTGAGTCAATCTTTGATTGGATCTCATGCGATTCTCCAGCTACATCTTGAGCTTCGGCAATACTTTCTTGGGCCCGTTTCTTCCAGATGAGGAATTTTTCTTCGTTTTTTGTGAACTCATCGACAAGAGCTTGTTCGAGTTTGTTCAGAACAGAGAGTGACAGCTTGCAAACAGTCTCATATTTCCGAACAAGCGCAGTTACTGCAGTTGTTGTTTCTTCCAACTTATCAGCGCCATGGAAATTTCGGCAAAGTGAATTGAGATGATCCTTGGCTTGTTCAACATTGTCGCGTTGTTTGATCAACTCAGAATTGATTTCTTTACATTTCGGGATGTTATCTGCTCGGTTTGTTTTCTCAATTGTCAGCAGTGTGTTCTCCTTTGCTGATAACCAAGAGTCTAGATCAGCAATGTACGCTTGAAGCTGACCATGTTCGCCTTCGAAAAATTCTAGCTTCTTTATTTTCGCGGCAAAGAGTGTCTTTGATCTTTCAAGTCGCTTGGCGATTTCGTCTAAAGAAGTCTTTTGCGAATCGTTTTGAGCACTCGATCGCAAATGTTCGAGTTGGGCTTCGTGGTCTTCGATTTCCATCGGAAGCTGTTCAAGCCGTTCTGAGAGGGATTTACTTCCATCGAGGTTGTTATTCAATTCATGAGCAACTTGACGCGCCCATGCGTCGATGGTATTTTCAAATTCGCTAATGTTTTCGTCGATTTTAGCGGTGTTTTCATACTCTTGAATGAGCTCTTCGACTTGATCTTGTAAATCCATGTATTGATCTGTCAGTAATTCGATTGAAGACGCGTTAGATTTCGAAGACTCTTCATCAGAAGATTCTCCAGAGCTGTCTCTCTCGAACTTTGAAGCAACCTCTGCCGGGATACTTTTCAGAACGAGGCTTTGACTCAGCTCCAGGGTTTTGACCTTGATCTGATTTTTCGACTTTTTGAGCTTGTCAGCGTTTTCTTGTTGCGCTTCGAGATCTTCCCTTGCTTTTCGCAATGAAGAAACGACATTTGACGCGACGTCCTCTTCCTTGATTTCACCAATTACTTTTTCGACGTTTTTCAGAAGCTGCTTGATCGTAGCGATTTCGTCTTTGTACTCATTTTCAGCAGAATGCAATTCAGTCAAATGCTGCCTGAAATCAGAAAACTCCTCTGATGTCGCGTCAATAAGTTTCTGAAGAGCGTCAATCTTGGCATTGACTTCATCAGACAGTTCTTTCCGTTCTTGACAGATCTTTTCTCCCTTTGCTCGGATCGACTTCATTTCTATTTCGTTGAAGTTTGACAGTTGTTCAACCATATGAGCAAGTTTCCGTGTTTTTGAGTATTGAGTCATTTCTTTCGCTTTTTCGAGCTCTTCGACCTCATCTTGGAGATCGAGAATTTGCTGCTCGAGTTCTTCAGCTCTTCGTTTGAAGTTATCATAGGCGAGATTTTTGGATTCCTTTGATGAACTTTGGAGAGAAGCAAATTGCAGAATTTCTTCCACTCTTTCGTCTAATCTTGTGATTAGCTGTCGAGCGAGAATTGTTTGTTCTTTGAATACAAATTGCAAGTGGCCTTGGTGGGCTTGGTTGTCAAAGTTTATCGCAATTTTGAGCGCATCGACGAGCTCTTCTGTGATGTTTTTGCAGTCTTGAATCATTTCAGCGTCGAATTCTCCGTTTTCTTTCATGATAGCAGTAAACTTCTCAATCTCGTCCATCAGGGGAGAACAGCGAGCCTGAAGATCTCCAAGCATTTCTGCAGCACGCTTTCTTCCCTTGAGAAGAAGACTCACTCGCTCAGATAGTTCTTTGAACTCGACCAGTTTTCCGGAAATGTTTCTAAAGTCCTCAGTTGGAATAAGTTGATCAATTTTCCGAACGAGAAGAGATACTTCATCAACACTTGCAGCCGCGGAAAGAGTTTGAAGAGTCTCATCCGAGGTCTTTTTCATTTCTTCTATGAGTTCGATTTGAATTGTCTTTTGAGATCTTGTTTTAGAATCGATTCTCAGGACTTCATTCATTTTTCGATCCATAGTAATTGCAAACTCTTCCGTTGCTTTCTTCACCTCCTTGATCTTTTCTACCATATCTTCGAGTACCTGGGGGATTCCGGTGAAAACGACCTCAAGACTTGCAGCTTTGGTTGTCATTCGATCAGCTTCGCAATTGCACAGCTTGCAGATTTCATCGACTTGCGATCTCAGCAAATCTGGTGTCTCCTGAATATTCTCGTATTCTGACTGAAGAGATTTGATCGCAGATATGTCCGACTGCCACTGAATTGGATTCACAGCAATTTTCTGATCCGCCACATCATAAACAGAGGCTCGATCAATAAATGCTTGTATAATTCTAAAGTTTTCGTCGCTTTCCAGCCATATTTTGTGCGCTTTTGTCAGATCGGACTTGAATTGGCTTTGTTTTTCCTTCAGAGTTTGCGCCTTGCTCTCGAGTTCTTCGATCTCTTCTTGAACTTGAGCAGAGATCTCGTGCGCTTTTACGGTGCTTAGCGTGCCCAAAGAAGAGTCCAACAAAAGCCCGGCGCGTGTGTTTTCTTCTTTCAATGGGACGATCTCATCTGCCTGGGAAATTTCACTTTCTTCTACGACTCGTAAAATGTCTTCAGCGGCGTTCAAGTTGCCTCTTACTGTCGCTAAGTTGTTTCGAATTCGCTGTCCGGCGGAGACGAGTTCTGATCCGAGGCTCAGGAGCGTCTTAGAAGCATCCGAAAGTGTCTCCCATCGAGCGCGAAGATTAGCCGCCCGGGTTTTGAGCGAACTGCCAGGTTCTGTGTGCGATTCTAACTGAACAATTGAATCGTCGCACTTTCGTAAACGAGGTTCAAAAAGTGGAAGTTTGGCCTCAAACTCGGTAAGCTGCTGGTACCAAGTTTGAGGTGCTTCTCGAGTTTCTCCATCTGCCTTTGACTGGGCGTCAAGTTGCGCGTATTCCTGCTCGTTTTCTTCCAGCTCTCTTGATAGCTCGTGTAAAAGGGATTCAGTTTCGCTCCATTGAGAGCGCAGGTTCCTCAGAGCCTTGATTTTTCGGTCAAGTTGAGCTTAAATTTAAATTCATAAAATCAAATTATAAATCTTCTTACTGATAGCAGCATCTTGCCGTGATTTTAAGTCGCTCATTTCATCGGCCAAGTTCTTTTCACCAGATGGCGAGCATGCTTTCTCTAGCTCATTGAAGCATTTCTCCGCCAATGTCTCTCTGAGTTCTTCCGTTTTCACCTGAAAGAGTTCTTTTGAAAAATAATGGAAATTGAGAGCGGACACAATTTTTATAAAGCAAGGCCCTGCTTTACCTACACTTGAGTTAGCAAAGAGCCTCTGAGCAACTTCAACTCAATAGAATCGACAAAGAACGCATAAAATCACTTCAATAAGGAGCTTAACGTACTGTCGCAACATGTTTTTACAAGTTATTTATGCAGAAATTTTCTGTTAGGGTTACAGTTTAATCTTAAAGTTCAATTTATTATTTTTAATAAGCGTTATTCGTGTCAAATGAGTACTGTATGAGTTCAGCTTAACTCAAATTGAGCTCACAATTTTACTAACCAGTGATTCCTTGTTGTCTTCGATAACAGAAAGATGCTTCTCTAGGACTTGAAGACTATCATATTTTGATTTTCCTTTCTCAGCCTCAATTTTGTCCAATCTTCTGTTAATCTCATCAACCAGCTCTTCAAATCCGTTCCACGCTTTTAGATTTTTTTTCAGGAAGTCGCCCCTTTCGCTCATTCGGATCTCGAAGTTCTAATTTAAAAATGTTAATTTATTCCAATTTCGGAGAAGTTTGAATTCTGCCGCGTTGCAAAAAGTTAAGATCAAAGACAATAGATGAGAAAATTGTTGAAAAAACAATGGCGGAATAATCACTTCTTCCTTTGAACTCTACGTAGAATTAATTTACCTTTATTTTCTCCTTCAAATTGTCGGTAGAAGGTCCAATAATCATATCGCAAATTTCTGCTGAATCTCCTGCAAGAGGCTTTTCTAGCTCTAGAATTTCAGCAAGGACAGCTGTCTGCTGCTCCTTGTAATCTTGGCAGAGGCGTTCATGCTGTTCATTTTGCTTTTTGGAATCTCGGACGGAATCGATGAATCTCTTTTGGCCATTTTGATCGAGGGCGAGGTCTTCTTCCATGATTTCAATTTCTTCTATCGCGGAATTGATTCGCTCCTTCATCTTGTGCGCAGCTCTTGCTTGGGCGAGCCGTTTCTTGAGCTTGTCCATTTTAGACGATTTGTCGCGAGCTTCAGACGCGAACGCTAGAATTTGCTCTTCTTGCTCTTCGCGGAAGGGTTGAGGGAGTGACTTGCTGATGTTGTCGAGATTTTTCTTCGCGTCGTTTACGCTTTCCTCGATTTTGTCTTTTTCTTCTTCCCATGTTGCCAGAACTTTTTCTGCTTTGTCCAGATCTTCCACCTTCACAAAATCAACTGGCTCATCAGATTTTCCCGCGGATGAAAGCAAATTCGAAATGTCATTCATTTCGTTCATGAAAACATCCACCTTCTCCGGCAAACCATCAAGCTCCTTTGCGAGATCCTTTTCATTATTCGCTAATTGGTCAATTTGCGTTCGTAAATTTTCAACGAGTCGTTGGTTTATCTCGTCCGGTTCAGAGCGAAATTTCTCGCTGACATTTTCAAGCAGCCGTTTTGCTTCGCGAATCGGATTTGGGGAGCGTTCAAGCTTCTGTTCGCGAGTTTCAATTGCGACCTTAGGGCCGTCTGATTTTAGCGTTTCGCGAATGTCGTTTAGAACTGTCTTTGCTTTCTCGATTTCATCTTGCACTCCTTTTACGAGCTTGTTAATCTCGATTCGTTCTGAAATTGTAAGTAACGCATCAAGAGTTTCTTTCATCAACGGCACTAGTTCGTCGCAGTGTTGTTCATGATCAGCAAGATTGGTCTTTTTCTGGCTGAGATCTTTGGTTCTTTTGCGATTAAAACGCTGTGGGACAACACGAAATCCGAGTCCGTGGACGTATTGAACTTTTGGATAGTAAATTCCATTCTTTGAAACTTTGTTGCCCATTTATATAAAATAAATTGGGCGGAATAGTTCTTATCAAATCATTTTCTGTCGCATTTCTCTACTCTCTATTTGCCACAATTTCATATTTTAAAGCTCTTTGCTCCCGAGTAAATTTGCTTTAAAAACTGATAATAAAGCAGTATTGACAAGCGACCGCAAGCATTTTCTATTCGTTTACACTGGAAAAAGTCAATGATTTATTTATTTGCACACCTTACCCCCTTGGATTGTATTTATATTCTGAAATTAATCTCAGCCGTGCCAGATTTTGCTTGAGGTCTTCAAAATCACACTTGATCATCGGCGCTTTAGACAGCAACTGCGAAACTGTATCGGCAAGTTCTTCCAGCTCCTCTTTTCCTGGCGCCTCTTCCTGAGTCAGGAACTTTTCAGAATCGTTAAGAGCATCTTCCGAGTCCTTGATCCACTTTTGAAGATCGTCCCACTTTTTGGAAAGCGATTCGATCCGCGGCCCCCAAGTTGCCGCCTGTCTTCTGATGGTTTCGACCGCGCGATTTAGCTGGAGTACACGATTTTCGACATCAGAAGAGTCCATTGATGGCATTTTGACTTCATTGACGGTTGTGACATTGCTCCGCATTCGAGAAATATTTGCTTCGACTTCGTTGAGCACTTCCTGTCCGAACTGAGAGGCGTGCAATTCTAGCAGACGGTCGACGTCCTCTAATCCACAGTTGGGGTCTTCGTATGACTCTAGAACTTCTTCAGCTTCGTCGTGCCAGGATTGGACATCGTTGTAGATTTCTTCCAACGAATTCAGGGGCGTCTGAAGATTACTTGTGGATTCCAAAGCTTTGTCGACTGTTTCTCGCACGGAAATGTAACGATCTTTGATTTGCGACATGATCTTCAATTTTTGCTTCGTCAGTTCTTTGCTTGGGTTACTTCTGCAGACAACTTGAGCAGCCGTTGATGTTTTTCGGTAAAGCTTCTCCATTTCACCCATTTGCTCGTTCTTGACAATTGCCAGTGCTTGTTCATAATCTGCAATTTCATCGAGTTGAGTGACGATGCTCTGTTGCAAAAGCTCTTCTGTTTCCGACAACCATTTTTGGATCTTTTCGACGTTTTCACGGAATCTGTCTTCGTTTGCTCTAAGTTCGTTCTTTTTCACAATTTGGCGCATGATTTCCTGAAATATTAGGTATAAAAAATCACAATATCATCTTATAAGTCGAGTTTAAAAGGTCTTTCCGGTAAAATTGACTGTAAATGTACCTGTAGATCGTTCCAGCGCTGATTCACACCATTCGTCTCTTCCGCGATAATTTCCTCTTTTTCCTGTTCCACGTGCTCTCGAAGAAACTCGCTGCAGGCATTCAACCCCTTGATGCTCTTTTGCACCTCTTCGATGCCCTCGTGCGTGAAAAATGCATTGCGCTGCTCGTCGCCTCCATCGCGCACCTGCTCAGCTTCGTCAAGCCATTTCTATTCACAAAAGCGGTTATAATTATTAAAACTCCAAGGTGGTAAATCGCATACATACCGTACTACTGTCGAGTAAATCAATATATTTAGTCCAGCGCTCGACGGTGTTTTCTAAAAGCGCTTTCGTTGAGTTCATCTCGACAAGGATCATCCGCGCTTGAGCCGTTTTGTCCTCCGTCATTCTTTTAACTAAAAATGCTGTGAAAATATGTTCAGCCTAAACTGGTAAGGCCTTGAAACTGTTTAGTTACATGCTAAGCAAAAATATTTGCACATTGCGGAAATCTTGTTTTCTCAAGTGTTTCCTTTGACTTACCGTTTTCGCGTTCTTTAGGCGTGATAAGACCAGTTTTCACGTAACAGTTGGTCTTTTCTTTCAGATTCGCAGAGGCCTGTTCTAGTTTCACTCCAAACTCGCCGAGGTCCATGAGCTGCTGCCAGTCGCGGAGCTTGTTCTCAACTTCCTCAACAGAACTCATTGGACTTGTCCAGTATTTTAACTGAGCTTGAGCCGCGGCAATGTATCCTAAAAGTCTGTATCTCGCTTCGGAGTACTCCAACCAAGCAAGGCGATAAACGCTTGTTGACTCAATTTTGTCCAGTCGGCCTTGAATAAAATCGAGTTGTTGCTGATCAAGAGTGCCATTTCGTCCAGCGGCTTTGACGAGTTCGATCATTTCGCTCATATTTTCGAACGTTTCGTTGTGATCTTTTATTCTGGAGTCGAGCGAGTGGATCGAGCTTTCCGGATCTTTAGGCTCATTTTCGCTGAATTCTTCGCGGAGCGAATTTTCTGATTCTTCAATTTTCCGCACTCCTTTTTCTGCCTTTTTCAAGAAGTCGCCGACTTTTCTCAACTCTTTGGGAAGATGCTTGTCAAATCCGTCTAACCATCTTGATTTAGACTTTTCGAGGTTTTCGAAGCATCCAGCGATGAGTTTAACTTGCTCAGGGTCGCATTTTGGAGCTATTTTTTGAAAAGAATCTTCTTTCTCGTCAAGATCGCGTTCGAAGTCTTTGTAGTCGTTGAAATCCTTGGGCGTGTATTTCTTCAACTTGTGTTTTTTCTTCAGCGCTTCTTCGGCCCCAGCTGTCCAGGTCATTAACCGGTCGAGTTCGATTGCAGTATCGGTTAGGTCTTGACTAACAGCGCCGCTGCTTCCTAGGCGAGCTTCTGCGACCTTGATGATTTCGGCCACGTACATCATCACTGATTTCTCATCTGGCTTATCCACATCGATGTCTTCCGCGTCGAGAATTTTTGGAATTCCAAAACGCTCCTCTGCGATTTTGAACGCCGCCTCTAGTCGCTCCTTGTTACTGCCTCGATTTGCCACTGCTGGATCAACGGCATCCTCATCAATTGCATGCAAAAGCGAGTGAAAAGCGCGACCGTCGCGGAAACTCGGCCCAAAATCGTTGATTTCAACATCGATCGCGTCTGGCGTCTTGACCTTTTCGCCCGTCTTCCGGATCCATTTTAACATCGCCTTCCGAGCTTGAAGATTTTTATTAGATATTTACGGTAAAACGACTCTTTTTTTATTGGATCAAGTCAAGTTCCAGTAGAAACTCGAATTGAATAAATCCGGAAGAAGAAGTTTTATTCATTCACTTCCGCTTGAAGCTGAGATACCTGAATCTGCACTTTTCTTCTTGTTTTTCGTCTCGACCTCGATGTCTTCGTATTTCTTGAGTTGCTCGAGAACCTCTTCAATCTGAATAAAGCAATAAGTATCCAAAGGCCCCTTTTTCTATTGCCGCCTCTTCTCAAACACTACATTTTTCGAATAAAAGCGATTACATCGATTCCTTTTACTTTAGGGGGTAGTCCTAAAGAATCCGGATTTTCGGTGGCACTACGCTACCTGGAAATTCAAGACCATTCGCCAAATAAGTCCCAAAACTACTGATGTCTTTCCATCGACGATATCCGAAGGGTTGATTCCGACCATTTGAACATCTGGACGAGCTTGTTTCAGAGCATCCAAAGCGTTTGAAACAGTGTTGATTTGATGAATTCGATTAGTGCTTCGTTGCCCGGGAAGTCTTACACGGTTCTTTTTCTTAGATTGAACGAGATCTACAGTCAAATTTCGGGCAACTTTGATGCAGGACTATTTTATGACTGCATTAAGCCGCCGGTGTGATAAATCAAATAGGAAAACATATCCTTGGTAACGCGAAATCGTAATTTGACAAATTATGAAAGTTATTCCTTCTCTCGAATTCCGAAATATCCAAACCGTTCCTGCCACTTTCTGTGTCAATCCTGCAGCCACACAGGATTTCCAGCAACTTGGCCATCTGTTCGGGACCATTTTTGAAATCATCGACGATGTCGTTCAGTTTAATTGGCGGCTTGCGCTTTGAGAGGTAAAGATTCACCCATTTTGTGTACGTTCTTCTTTGGGTCTCTTCCCATTGTGCTGAAAATAACAGTTTTCAATCAAAGCTTCCTTTCAGATCGCAAAGAATCGATTTTATTTTTCCCGTACCCTGAGATCCTCGAGACTTCCCAGAGAATCTCCCGCCAGTAGGGGGCGTCATAAAAAGTCGGTCTTGTTCTCTGAGCGCCTTGATTTATTTTCCTTTTAAAAAAATTTAAAAAATCGAAGCAGCAGCACTCATTATGCTTTATTTGCCTGCTTTTGACTGTTGTGCTGGGCCCACTAGTCCTATCATAGTAAATACGCTTTATTTGCGCAATGCAATTGGATTTGAGACGGGGAGAGATATAAAGCGTTTCCCGCCACCAGCTGGTCGTAAATAAAAAATATGATAGAGAGAGGAGGGGAGGTAGTATTTGAACGTGAATGAGTGCATTTTTTTTCATGCATTTTCGTGAAGCATGCTTTGTTTCAATTCAAATTACAGTCAGAAAAATAGAGAACAGGGGCAGTGAAATTTCTTTACATGCGAAGATCACGATGTACGACATTTAAAAGTACTCGACTTTGAACAATTTACGACGGCTAGTCTTACCCTTGAGCTCTACGATGTAATCTTCTATGTCATTATCCTCTATAAAAAGGACAATTTTATACATTTTTTCATTGCAAAAAATGTCGACTGAGCGATGAGTATATAAAAAAGTATATTGGTGGAGATGGCTTTGAGCTTGAAAAAAGGGGGGACTACCTTTTAGAATTTCGATGCTTCGATTGAAATCGCGCTCGGATTGGAGCGCTAGAAGTGAAGTTCGCCGTCCCCGGGGAGTTGGGCCATTTCTTATGGATAGATGCAAAATTCAATTCGAGGGAAAATCAAGGAAGAGAGAATTTTTGATCAATTTTTTTTTCAAGTAAATAAGAGATTGAATTTTACGTTCTCAAATATTTGCGAAAGTGCTTAAAACCAGAGTCCAATACTAGGGTAGACGGGCTGGTCAGAATCTCAAGATAAAAAATATGTGTAAAAATGACTTTCTCAATTGCTTTTCGACCGTTGCTCCTTCTGCCTGTCAAAAAATGTACTCTTCCATGATTTCAAAAATTTTTTCAAAGATTTTTTGCTGCATCGTTCCTGTTTTGAGAAGATCTAGGGACGGGTCGAGGAGGTCTGAATTCTGCTTCTTTTCCCATCTCTTCGAATCTCTTGTTGTTTTTTATCTCTCTTGAGGTGTGTTTTTTACAGCTGATTTCCGATTTCCGACTTTGTCATTTTCCTGTTTTCTTAAGAATTCATTTTCAGAGCATTATAAAAAAATAACGCTTATAAAAGCAAGCTTCTGTTAAACAAAATTCATTGTGTTATTCAGCGCGCAGTGGAAGTGAGCAGCTAGTCTCTTCTCTTTTGTCTCTTTTTGGAAAAAATATGGAATGAATTTTTGTCAAAAAAATCACTCTCACAGCGGCACACAATGGTCCCCCCGGATGGACACTACTATCTGCGCTCCCAAAAAAATCTGCTTCTGAAAGAATTTTTTACCCGCGCTCAGCAAATTCCAAGACACTCGGATATTTGCACAAAGTAGTCCGTCAGGGGGATAAGCTAGAGATTAAGTAAATAGTAAAAATTATGATAGTGATTGTTGAGACAAGATTGAGGCAATTTGTGGGGAATTATCGTTCTGAATTGGTACAACGGGTTCTAAGGGGTTAGGGTTAGGACAAGGCCTGGTGCAGCACTTGTGGCGCTAGAATTAGGCGCTTGTTAGGGGTTAAGTTAGGTAAAAGAATGGGTTAGGCCCTAACCGTTAGGGTTAGGAAAGAATTTGAAAAGGTATTTTTTTTTTATTTTCGGAAGTTGACCGACATGAAACGTGGTTTCAAAGTTAACTAAACATGAAATCTTAAAATTAAAAAAAATATGTCAAATAATAAAACCGTATTTTTAAAAATTGACTCTTCCTCAAAATTAAGCCACGATGATAGACAGAATTGATGGTTTTACAGTTGATTTACGACTGTGTTTGAGCGAATGACTTTTTCCTGCTGCGCAAACTGCGGATTAAAACTTCCAATTCTAACAGATTTTGGTTGTTGAAGTGTATCGATTTCGCGGGTCGTAGAAATCTCAAATATTTTTTCTCCGTAAGTATGTTTGACTAATCTCTTGAATGCTCTAAGCGCGGGAGAGAGAAAAAAACGAAGAGAAAATAAGAAGATGAAATTGGTGACTTTGCTGTGCTCAAATAAATGGCTTAACTCTCAAAATCGACAAGATTTCGTTGCTCCGACGACGAGGACTAAAACTACTGCTCGCGCAAACATCATTTCGCGAACTTTCTTTACAGACAATTACCCCAAAAGCCTCTGTTTTTCGAAAACTTGGAGAAATTAGAATACTGCGAGGCATTTAACCACCAAAAAAGATTTAATAAATCATCAATTCCAAGGCGAATTTTTCGTAAAACATGAAATTACGATCGTTTGATTTTTAGAGCTATCTTAGATAGCCTATCTACAATACCCTTATTCATGAAAAGAATCGAGTTTTGCGTCAATTTATTGTCTACCGGCTTTTCGAATTGCTGAAATTATGAGTAGAAAATGCAAAAGTGGCCGGATGCGATTGACGGGGCACGCCAAGGAAATTCTGATAAGGTGACTGTAAAACTTCATGAAATGCGGTCTTCTGTGCACTGATTAATTTGCCAGTATCATCAGCAAATAGAACGTCCGTCAATAGATTGCCAGAGTTGGTCATGAGTTTAATCATATATTTATTTGAATATTGATAGAAGATTTTTAGGGAGCAGTCGCAAAGATGAATCGTTTTTGTTTTCTTTTTTCGTTTCCCTTGATGTGGCGGATCAAAACTTCGTCGCCAATTTTCGGCGCTGTTCTCAGGTTGTATCCTTTTTGAACTTCGACGATTATTGTTTGACAGGGAATGCCGGCGAAACAAGGAGTAACTTCCACTTCTTTTATCTTCCATCGAAATTCTTGCCCTTTATTCAAATTGAAAACAACGACGAGTTTGACGTTTTCATGAATTTCTCCCCGAGCCCAGCCGATATCGCCACTTTTCTTGTGCTTGACCAGAACTCCGTCTTTTTTGCCGATTTGACTTACCACAAAAAGAGAGTTAACGAGTTTACAGTGTATTCTCAACGGAACATCTTCCAATACAACTTTCTAAAGATCGCATTCATCATCAAATTTAGAGGAGATTTGACTCACATTTTCCTCGAAGTCAACAAATGGCTTTGCTGTTACCTCCACCAAGAAATCTTCTGGAGGCATCTCAAGCATCAGTTCACTCGGAAATTTGTGCCAAGGGATAAGGTCATGCTCAAGTAGGCCTCGAAGCTCACGTGGTCGGACGATTCGGATTCCAAGTTCAGAAAGTGGAAGGCAGACAACTTCTGGCCTTAGGGTCAGGTCTACTCCTCCTTCAATCATATCAAGAGGGATTTTTTCTTCAATTACTTCAGTTGCTTTTATTGTACTATCGGATGCGCCAGTAGATGGCTCTTCTTCAGCTGAGGTTCAATATAACTCAATCAATTATATATTCTAGTATTATTTAACCCGTTAACGGGCTCGTGGAGATCTAATCTCCACGGCGCCTTTGAAGCGCTATAAAATAGACGCGTCTGATTATTTTTTGAAAATTTTTTCATTTCTGAAAAATTCAATCGATTCTCTATCCGCTCGTATAATTTTGAAAAATTTTTCGCGTGAAATTCTGCTCAGGAGAAGCAAAAGAAAAACTTCAGTCAGCGAAAAAAAGGGAAAGAGTAATGCAACTCGTGCGCCTTTTCCCTTTTGTTGAATCTCAGCGCCGAAAATGACGTAACTTTGACCCCGATTTTTAGCCATTAGACGATCAAGAATAGAAACAAAACAACAATCAGATGAAAGAGCAGACGCTTCTGAATCATGCTGTTTCCTTAGAATTTGCTAAGATGAGCCCTATTTCACAGAAATCGTCAAAACGTCCGTGGAGATTAGATCTCCACGCGCCTGTTAACGTATAAAATCGCGCGCCCAGTTAACGGGTTAAAGAACCAGACCTAGGTAAGTCTGTAGAGAGATTTTCGGGGAGTCATGTCTTCTTTGACCGGAAATTATAGGGCCGTAATTGTTGTAGTAAACTTGATGTGGTCGATGACTTTTCTTCCTATTTCTTGCTTCATCTTTATAATAACTAGTGTTTCCAGATTCACGAGCTCTCATTTCTTTCTGATTCGGAAGAGCATAAGATGTTACAAACTGCACCTTCAGTGACATGTCTTTGTATCGATGGAGGAAGACCTTCAAATCATCTGCTTCCTTCATGTTGTCGAATCGCGCAAAGAAAGTGCATTTTTTATTTTCTTTTTGAAACCTCGGCTTGTGAATTCCCTGTAAATTTATTTATAAAAATAGAATCTTCAATGAAGTCGCTTACACTCCATGAAGAATAGTGCCGCAAAAAAGCATTTTGTAGTGTTTCCTGGGAGCAAAATCCAAGCGACGTTATTAAGATCGTCCAGGGCGGGCCTGATTGCTCCCATTTTGCCTTCGAAGAATCTTCGGATATCTGGTTCGAGTACGGGATCACATCGTTTGAGCCTTCTAGGAATGAACTGCTGGGCTAATGAAGGATAGAGAATATAACCAGAGCTGTTGTAGAAATAGATTCGGTTTCTATCCGATCTTAGGAGCAGCGAAAAGAATTCGCTGGCTCAGACATTGTCGAGAAACAACATGAATGTGCTCACTGTATTTTTTCTCCAGGAGTGTTTGAACATCTCTATATCCCTCAAGATCCAGCCCTTTTTTGGTTCTTTCTTTGAAATGAAATAAAAAGCCGACGTTGAACCACTTTCCTGTGCAATAAGTATCTCTGAATTCAAACTCAATATTGTTCAGCGCTATGCCTCCTTCTGATGTAAAAATCAAAGCAATAAGCTCTTCGTTTGCCATTTCTCAAAATAAAGCTCAAATCGAAAACCGGGCCGTTCATTCACACGGCTTTATCATTCACGATCTAAATGAGAAGATGCGTCATTTAGATGTTCTTTCTTGATATCAAAGCTGATCTTATAAAAATGACATATTTATTGCACAAAACAATTTTAGCAGTGTAAATTTAAACGCGCCCAGTTTTGAACGAGATTTTCAAATTCTTGCCTCCATATCTTGTGAGTATCAGATAAATGAACAAATAGAATCCAAGAACAAAGAAAGCCACAAGAACACAGACAATAAAGCAGTTGCCGGACTCGTCCCGTTCGTAACCATCATCGACACCCATTTGCATTCGTAGAGCCAGACGTTCGTCTTCGTCGAGATCTTTTGGGTCGATTTTTTCGTCTCCTGAATTTAGAATACTTAGACTTATCATTAGGCTTTAATCTACTGTAATTTCGACAGCACTCATCCAATTTATATCTTTTCATAGGTAGCTTTGTTATTTTATAATATTTATAAAAGACTTCCTATCAGGAAAAAGAAAAGGTACAAAATGAAGCTATGAAGCATTTGCTCAAAAAATGAAGTTTCTTTTTTTGATTTTATGTTCCCGATCAAAGGGTCAAAACATTCTAGAGAGCTGTTTGGAAGATAGTAAAGACTGTTCATTTTATACAGTAAATTTATGAGTGAATTTAGCTCGAACATACCTGACGAGTCCCCTTCAAAGATTTCTTGAACCATCTCCCTCAACTCTTCATCAATTTCAATCGGCTTCGCGCACTTTCTTATCCTGTGATTACCCAGACAATTAAAGCACTTATCAAATCGTGTTCCAATTTTCTTCTTCAGTTGCAAGTGTCGTTCTTTCGTAAAGAAAAGCTCATTGTATTGTCCTCCTCGAACATTGTCAATTCCAAAGTCGAGCATGTACGAAAAGATCACTTCTTCAAGATCATCGAGGGATCCAGCGCAGGATTTTTCAATGATGAAGGATTGTGGCTTGTAGCGTTGAGTGAAGATACAGTCAGCTCGACCAGAAACATGTTCGTCAAAGACAGCCTCGGCTTCCTATAGTTTTGGTTAGTTCAAATGATCATACAATAACTAGAAATGCAAGGGATTTATGAAATTTCAAAAGTCTTGAGGTTGATAAGCAGTTTTCATTCTTGAAAATAATACTAACCTTATTAGTTCTTTGAACCAGAAATCGATCTTTTTCCAATTCTAGCACAAGAATAATCATTTTTTCGCAATTTTCTTGTTTCAAATCATCAATTCTTTGAAACTTTTCTTCTCCCCAATTTTCAATTCGGAATCTTCATTTGCCGCTCATCCCTCTCTTCATTTTCTCAAATCGATTTTCCTTGAGTGAACTGGCTACGTGTATTTTTCACCATGACGCGGCGGCTTTTCTCCGCGCCGATTGGCGGAGAGCGCAACAATGTCTGATTATGGATTTTAGAGAGAAAATGTGAGAAATCTTGTTTACTGAAAAAACGACCTGCGAAAATGAATAGAATAGAGAATTTTGTGTTTCAGAATGAAGGAAAAATACCGACCGGGAATTTACGTGGGCGTTGAGACTGGAATGCTCAAGGAAAGGCTTTAGTTTTATTTACTAGTAAAATAATTACAGTCATTTTCGACCAAAAATAACCTTATAATAGACCGTCGAACTTGGCCGAAGAACAGCAACAAACCACTTTGGCCCAAATGAATTGCAAGCTGACCAATGTGTTCAAGAAATCGCCTTTGCTAGAGAAAGAAAAGTTCTTGTCGCGATGAAAAATGGCGAAGCGAAGCTTTTCGATACCGAAAAATCCGAATTCGACTACCCAAAAAAGCTGCTGGATGACGAACAAGAATGGGCAGGATTGGGGCTTTTGGAAGACGCAATTATTGGAGCCACGGGCAATGCGGTCGTGAAGGTTTGGGAGAAAAAGGAATTTGAGGAGAGCAGTGAAGAGAAAATTGCGCCGAAAGCGGAACAGACGATCAAGTCGGCGGGGAAAGTTAGAGCTGGAAAAGTGAGAAGAAAGACAATGGTCATCGGTGGGGAAAGCACGCAATTGCAGATGGTGGATTTGGAGAATTTAGACAAGGTAATCTTTTTACTTTTCTTAGTCCCGAAAGCCTATCAATTTTTGCCAAATCTGAAGCTTATTCTAGGGCGTCGTTTGGTCAGCAAAAAATGTCCGTCCCGACAAACTGCAGCTGCACATTCCGATCAATTTTCCAGCAATCGCCCTTCCCGAAAAGACCGAAACAATCGCATGCACTTCCTACGGCTCGTTGACGAACCAAGCTCACGAACTGCGAATTTACGATCCTCGACAAGTCCAGCGTCGACCTATCAAACGAATCGAATGGGGAACGTATCCGATCACTTCTTTGCTTTCCATGGACGAAGAGGGGCAAAAATATGTGGTTGGAACGGCGCGAGGGAAAATTGCACTTTTCGATATTAGATTTGACAAGAAGTTTTTGTCTTTCAAGGGCGCTGCAGGTTCGAAAATCTTTTATTTATAAAAGCCCATGAAAATTTCAAGGAAGCATACGAAGCATGGCCCAGCATCCAGACAAAGAAAATATATTTTGTGCAGTTGGATTGGACAGATTTCTACATATTTATGATGCAAAAATTAAGAAGAAAATTCACAAGGTAGGAACTATTTTCTTTTTTTTTTGATTGAGAGAGGTCTGAAGGTTTATCTGAAATCTCCATTAAATCGAGTGCTGATCGAAAAAGGCGCAAAGATCGAAAAAGACACGGAAGAAGAAAAAGAGGAAGAAGAAGAGCGTGAAGCTGAGAGTGAGACTTGGAACGAAATGGACAATCTTGAATCTGTCGAAGATTAAATAACTTATGAAATTATTGATGGGGTCTCGTTTTTAGAATGAAATTGTTAAGTTTATTATCGGTACTAGAAGTCGCCCTCGCTGGTCGAGAGAACTGCTACAAATATTTAGGTGTCAGTAAATCGGAAACCACCAAAAAGATCAAGTCTGCTTACAGGTAATCCCTAGTACCAGGGTGGAACGTTGGGGCAAAAAAATTGAATTTGGCCGCCCGATTGCCCGCCCGATTAAAATTTTCTTTGTCGGCGCCGCCCGATTGCCGCCCGACTTTTTGCCCGCCCGATTTGCCCGGGCGCCGACTTTTGCCCGGAAATTTCGGCAACCCCCAAACCAAAAAATATGTAAATTTATTGAAGAAAAAGGATTATTTTGTATCCCGAAGGAAGAAGGGCACTCATGGAGAACCGAAACCGGACGTTTTAAATAAAATTCCAGTATTTATGTCCCTTTAGATGCCATTTTTTCTTCTGGGCGCCGACTTTTTTCCCGGGCGCCGATTTTTGCCCGATTGCCCGACTTTGCCCGATTTTTACCTCGTAAAATCGAGCCTTGCGCCGCCCGATTTGCCCGCCCGCCCGATTTTTTGCCCGGTACGCCCGACTTACCCGGTCCCAACGTTCCACCCTGCTAGTACCTCAATCAGAGTCGAATTTATTTAGAAAACTTGCCGCAAAAATGCATCCAGATAAAAACCAAGACGACCCTTCAGCCAACGAAAAGTTTCAAGATTTAGCTTGGTGCCACGATGTTTTATCGGACGAAAAGAAGAGGAAAAAATACGATAGAGGTGGAGAAAAAGCTATTAATGAGGATAATGGAGCGTGAGTAGGGCTTTCGAATGAATGAGAAATTGATTTGTTTTTTTCAGTGAAGATTTTGATGGGGGAATGTTTGGAGGCATGTTTGGCGGCATGTTCGGTGGAATGTTTGGCGGACAGCAACGAGAAGAGCATAGAAAGGTAAAAATGAAGGAAGAATACTGATTCTAGCATTGTCTTTCAGGGAGATCTAGTTGTTGTTCCTCTGATCGTCACTCTTGAAGAGCTCTACAACGGTGCAATCATCGACATGACCAGAACAAAACGCTCGTATCGGGAAGCTCCTGGCCAGAGAGACTGTAACTGCCGGTAAATTTCTCCCCCTACGTATCAATTTCTCAACCTTTTTAGCGTCGAAATGCGACAGAAAAGAATGGGCATGGGCCAGTTCCAAATCTTCCAAGAGCAAGTGTGTGACAAGTGTCCGAATATGAAGCTGATTTCTGACGATGAAGATCTCGAAATCGAGATTGAACGAGGCATGGATCACGGTCACTCGATCGAGTATTTCGGAGAAGGAGAACCCAAACTCGATGGCGAGCCTGGAGATCTTCAAGTTATCCTTAGGTAGGAATAAAATTAAAAAGAGATGGATTTAACAGAAATATGAAGATTGGTCAATCATCCGCTCTTCGAGAGAAAAGGCCACGATCTCTACACAAACTTGACGATATCATTGGAAGACGCTCTTACCGGCTTCGAGACGACTATCAAGCATCTAGATGGCCACATCGTCCCGGTCAAACGATCCGACATCACCTGGGCTGGCTTCAAAATGCGAATCAAAAACGAAGGAATGCCTGTTCTTGAAGACAACACCAAGGTACAAAATGAAACTCTTTCTTCATTCCAAACAATTTTCAATTTCAGTTCGGTTCGTTGATCGTGACGATCGACGTTGCCTTCCCAAAGAAGCAGCTTTCCGAAGAACAGAAAAAAGTCATTTCCGAAATTCTGAGCCAAAGTGACGTTCAGCCCGATTTCTACAATGGCATCAAATACCCAAAGAAACGCCTGTAAATCGCATTCTTGAGCGCTAAAGCAGTATTCCAAAAAAAGATAACTTTGCCTTTGAAATTTCTGTAGATTACCGTATTGAACCGTACATTCGATTACCAGAAAAACCGATTTTTTCTCTGTTAGCTTCTGTTTTCGGCGATTTGTACCTCAAAGATCAATATTTAGATTCTAAAATTTAGAATTATTCTATTTTTCGTTATGTTTAAAAATGTGTGATCCTCCTAACTGTGCAATATAATTATTATTAGTAACGATATTCTTTTATTTCAATTCATCACACAGCCTTATAAATATACGCTCTACTATGAGCACTTCCCAGAAATCCTTCTTCTCATCCCTTTTTTCAGCATTATTTTTTATGAAAAATGAAAACGCCTGTCGCAGTCTTCCGGCAGGCCCTAATATCGCGCTTGGGAATAATTGCAATTGGCACGGTCTTTAACTTACTGATACCAGACCACAAGCCGGATGCATTCAAACTTGGAGCTTCTCCGCAAAAAATCGGCGATTATATTATTGAGTTCTTTCTCGGCAGTTTCGGCAGATGGGATTCGCAACATTTTATTCATATTGCAGTGAATGGGTACTCTCAAGGGCAGGTTCTTTTAGCTTTTGATAAGCTCGGGTGGTCTTATTTTCAGCAATAATTCGTTATTCATGTCTTTTTGAACCAAAGACAGTAGAGAACTTTGCCTTCTTTCCTCTGTTTCCGATGATGATTCGAACCATCGCCGGTGTCGTCCTCCTCCCCCTCTCAGGCCTGATTTCCGAGTACTACAGAGCTCTCCTCGCTGGCTGTTTTCTCAGCAACTTGTGTTTCTGTTTCTCTGCTGTGGTCCTCCACCGGCTTTGGATGCGCCTCACCCAGAAAATGCCCAGCTCATCGTTCATCATCGCCCTCGCCGTCATCAACCCAGCGACGGTTTTCTTCGTCAGTTGTTACACAGAATCTTTATTCTTCGCCGCCACGCTAATGGGCATCTATCTTCTTTGCATGGAAACTCCGAAGCCCTGGCTTGCTGCTGTTTCTTTTTCATTCGCTTCGGCTTTTCGTTCGAATGGAATTTTAAACGCTGGATATATTGCTCACTTTGGACTTTACCAAATTATGAAAGAATGCGCCCAAATGCCCCAGCGACCAGAATCTCAGCTTAGTTTCCTAAGTGAGTAATTAAAACTCCTTCAATCTGATGATGAAGTTTTTTTCAGTTTTACGAATGCTAGTAGAAACAGGTCTACAAGTATTTTTGGTGATTTCCCCATTCGTTATTTTCAACATCTATGGATGGTTCCATTATTGCCACTCGGCTCATTTCTGCGAACTCTTCAAAATGACCGACTGTCCAGAATTAAGCTCCCCAGACTTCTGCAACTGGGACTACCCAATAATCTACAGCTACGTCCAGACCCTCTGGGATAACGGATTCTTAAAATACTGGCAACTCAAGAAGATCCCTTTATTTATTCTCGCGACACCTACAGTTTGGTGGTGTCTCAAAGCGATTTCGAAGTCGGCCGAGAGATGTGCGTTGTTTGATATTTTCGCCGGGAGATATGCGAAAAGAAACAAGCCGTGGGCTGGCGAGCCGTTTATGATTGCCAGCTCTTTGCATTTGCTTTACATGGGTGATTATATTTTCTCAATTCATTATTTTACTATTTTTATTAAGTCCTTTTCGGTGTGTTTTTCATGAACGTCGAAGTCACAACTCGCCTTGTCTGGAGCTCGTCACCATACTGTAAGTCTGTTTACCGATCGCACTTTATGAGTCACGACTTCAGTGTACATCTTCACTTGCCAAATCCTCCATTCGCGAATTTCCAATCGCCTCCGTCGAAAATTTCTCTCTTATACATTCCTTTACCTCATTCTTGGCCTTGCTCTTCACTGTAATAACTTTCCTTGGACATGAAAATCAACGGTACAGTCCATTCAATTTAACTATTGTTCAGATGAGGCTTTTTACAAAGCTCTTCCTGTTAAACATCATCGGAATTCGTCCAGCGAAATCGGATCTGGACGGAACATGCGATAAAAATGGCGATTGTACTCGAGAAAGCGTCGATGTCAATGAAGTCCTCGAGAATGCATCTAGCTCCGCGAAGTTTGTCCCTTTTCGCTATACTAGCAAAAACAGATACGTTGATGATTGGGAAAAGTTTATCACGGCTTATGGGAAGTGGCAGAAGGCGATTTTAGACAATCCGAATATCAAATGCTCTGGTAAATTGGTTTATTTAATAAGCAATTATTTTTTATTGTTAGATTATCAAGCAGTGGTGTTTAAAAATACTGCTGGCTTGGGAGACTCGGCAAATGCTTTGAGTGCTGCATTCATGTACACAATCAACGCAGGGTTGATGTTTTTCATTGATTGGAAACCTTGGGCTTGGTCGGAGGGCTTTTCGGGTCCTGGATTTCCCGTTGATTATCAATCACTTCTTGCGGACAATCAAATTTGCCAGGGGAAGAACATCATTCATCTATCGGGGCATATAACTGCCAAACATCGGCTTGCAATGATCAAAAGAGGTAACTATTACTGTGACAATTTATACTGGCAGTGTCAAATGGCTTCTGTAAATCAGTCATCCATATGAGAATTTAAAAAAACAAGTTACAGATAAATATCCAAAGATTATGATTTTTTTAAATCGAATCGTGGAAAGAGAAAAGGCAGGAATGGCAAAGTCCAACCATTTTTTATTTAGTCAACATGGAAGTCAACTTTCTTGCCACTCGATTCTTCCAAGATTTCTTTGCTCCCAGTGCTGCAGTCCAATCCATCATTGATTCCTTTTCTTCTCAAATATATGACAAAACCGTCGCCCTCGTCATCCGAACCGGTTGGGACGACTGGCAGCAATTTCTGCTCCCAGAAGATCCGGATAAATTCCCACTTTGTCTGAAGGGATGGCGAGAAAGTGGCGGTCTACCGAGTGATATCAACGTTTTTGTTACTTCGGATCGCGAAGATGTAAAAAAAGCTACACTTGCCAAATTGAAAGAAATGAACTTCAACGCCTTTGCGCTCAAAGACTCGGCGACACATGTTCAAACGCCCGACGACATTCAAAAAGTTCAAAAGACCATCGCCGAGTTTCATCTTTTGTCAAAATGTGGATACGGCCTTTTGACTTCTTCCTCCCTTTTTGGGTCAGTTTCTTTCCCGATTTTACCTTTCTAAAACCTTCTTATAGCAAAGCAGCAGTAGCAGAGCTTGGAGGAAAAGACACATACTCTAATCAAAACTTTTTCTTCATTTCCGCTGCCGATTGCGACCGCCAACACAAGGGATATTACCGCTGCGCCAATCCAAAATATCCACCTTTCTGTCCGACGGAAAACACTGATTACGAGTGGTAATCAAGTCTCTTTTCCAAAATTTTAGTTGATTTTACCTGACTCTTCTGCCACGATTCTTAATTTTCTGTATGTAGCTACTAATAAAGTTATTAAAAATAGAAGAAAAAGCCAAATACTCCTCTTTTCAGAAAAAATGACGGAAGAAGTTATGAGCATTTTGGCATACCATGGGTTGTCCATCGATGATTTGTCCCAAGTCCGCATCGTCAATCCAGAAGCAGCTGACGCTACCCGTAAGGTTTTTCTCTCAACCCTCATTTCATCCAAATTCAGAGACGCTGAAGACAAACAACGATGAATTCGTCAGTTCCATCGAAGATATAAACAAGCTCATCAAAGATTTCAGCGAAAAGTCGTCCAAGCTCGCGGAGCAAGTGAAAACTCGAAAACTCAATGCTATCGCCGTCAGGACTCGTTTGCAAGCAGCTCAGCGACAAACTGATATTGAAAAGGTGACTCTTCCATTTCGAAAGCAAATTATGATCTGACGATAAGAACTCGTTGCTGGAGAAAATCGAAGAATACAAGCTTCTATCAGAAAGACTCAGAGCCGAACACGATGCTCTTCGAAAAATTGAGCAAAATCAAAATGCTTTACTTCAGCAATTCAACAGCTAATTTTTCTGCGAACTCTTTCTATTTTTAGTTTGTTTTTTCGCTCGTGTATAGTTTTTCAATATATTTTTATTTTCCATTTCCTTTATTTTAATCTCATCAAGAATGGGCGCAGTAGACGACAAAACAATCAAAGTGCCACTTTCGGACTCGCTGCAAAACGTTAAACATGATGCTTTCCAAATGAAAAAGCAACTCGACGAACTGAACATCGATGAAGCTCTCAATCACGCAGCCACCATGCTTCAACACCTCCAGAAGGCATATTACACGCCGAAAGAGTACAACGAGCTATTTTTGACGGTGACAAATGAGTTGAGAATGGTCGACGTCATGCTAAAAGACGCGTTCGAAAAAGACGCGGGCATGGCAGGAGGAGAAATGTATGAAAAAGTACAGTACAATCCGAGCATCCTGCCGCGACTGTATCTGATGGTGACAGTAGGAACCGCGATGGTAAAGACACAACCGGAATTGACAAAAGCTGTTTTGGATGATTTGGTGGAAATGAGTCGTGGAGTGCAGCACCCGCTCAGAGGTATTTTCCTCCGAAACTATCTTCTTCAATCAATGCGGCAAATCCTCCCTGATACCGCGCCGAACCAAGAAGATCCTCGAGAAGCCTGCGTTACAGACAGCGTCGAGCTGCTGCTCAAGAACTTCGCTGAAATGAATAAACTCTGGGTGAGAATGCAACACCAAGGTCTTCAACGAGATGCGCCAGCTAGGACTGCGGAAAGAAAAGAAATAAGGAATCTTGTTGGAACAAATCTTGTGCGAATTTCTCAACTGGATAATTTAACCGTCGAAACTTACTGTGACAAGGTGTTGCCGGAAATACTGACACAAATTGTCAACTGCCGAGATCCACTTGCGCAAACGTACTTGATGGAATCGATTATTCAGGTCTTCCCGGACGAATATCACTTAGACACAATGAAACCATTTTTAAAAGCAGTCGGCGATCTTCACACACAAGTGAATGTGAAGAACATCGTCAATGCTCTTGTTGATCGTCTGAGCAACTTTGCTACGAATAATGAGGGGACCTTGTCGGGAAAGGATGGCGACGTCTTTTCCGTGTTTTCGGGAGCTCTAGGAGAAATTATCGGAGGCAGAAACGGACTTGCGCTTGAGAATGTTCTTGGTATGCAGATTCCACTGATTCAACTCGCTCTTACTTGCTATAAAAGCGAGCCCGATTTCATCAATAAAATTCTCCACACGACAGCGGAAATGGTCGCTACTTACCTCGAGAAGAACAACCTGACTTCTATTCCATCATCTTCCCCCGCCTCTCGCGAGACTGTAGCCCTCATGAAGCTCCCGATCACGGTTTATGCGGCGGATGGCGCTCCACTTAGAATTCTCGAGTTGTCGAACTTCGGCGATGCTTTTGGAATCATGGCAAATGAGACAAAAAAGATTGTAGCGACGTTTATTTTGGAAAAGATTATGGAAGCAGAAGCATCGATTGATTTAGATCATTTTGATGCGGCTCTTACCGTCGTTAAATGCTTGTATAATTCTGATACAGATCAGCCTGATAGGAATGGCTGAGAAAAATTATCTTTAACACTTGAAAGTTTTGATTTTCTTAGCCTTTGGAAAGTGAAGATCTCGATCTTGCGGCTCGATTCGCTCTTTTGCTCGACAATTCATCGCCAAAAGACAACTTCGAAATGACCATCAGGTTATCCGAAGAATTCTCAAATGCAGATACTGGCGTGAAATCATTCCTTCTTCCTACTATCTTCGCGCGATTCTGTCAAATTGGACGAGATTGTTCATCGGAGAATCCGGATATCAGTAAAGAGGCGTTCTCAAAAGCTCATGAATTGGTTCAAACTCTCGCCGATTCTGAACTGCCACTTATTTCCATCAGACTTTATCTACAGGTAGAACTTTTGTTTATTTTGGATGATGTTTTGACAACTTAGGGCGCTGCTTCAATTCAACACTGCAATTTTGATGGATCAGTTGACCTCTGCTACGAATTCTTCACACAGGTAATGGACGATTTTCTCCTTGATTTCAACACCTATTCAAGGCATTTGTGATTTACGAAGAAGAAATATGTGACAGCAAAGAGCAAGTTGCGGCATTGCAGCAACTAACCAGTACTCTACTAAAAGTTGAATGCTTCAAAGAAGAAGAACATGCGTCACTCCGCTCTCAATGTGTTCTTGGTAAGAATTCTGAATCCTCGATATAATAACTGGCCACTTTTTCAATCAATTTTAAGCTGCTTCGCGTCTCCTGAGAAAAGCAGATCAAGCACGAGCAATCCTCTGGACATCCCACGTCTTTTGGTCGAGCAAGGTGCTTTCTCCAGATGCAAAAGAATCATCAGAATTGCGAAATGAAAAGAAAGTCGTTGATCAACTGAAAAAGGCTTCAAAAACAGCTGAAAAGTGTCTCGAAGCCTTGCTCAGGCAACAGCTCTACATTGAAATTCTTGAAAAAGCTCATTTTTACATTTCCGATGGTCTCGAAAATGCTGACCTGCAAACACTAGCGGATTCTATGAGTCAGAAAATCAAAGGTTAATTCATTTCCAAATTGTAAATTTCGAGCAATTTTCATAGAGAAACAAGCTGAAACGCAAGCAAATGCTGACGCCGAAAAGCTCGCTGCTCACTTTGAAGAGCTAGAAATTAAAATGAAAGGACCAAGCCCACAGGTTGAATCTCAAGGTGAAGAGAGCGCAGTTTCAGATGAAGTTAATCAACCGGAAGAAGGTTAGACCGTTTTGTGTTCCTCTTTCTTATGATTTATTATTTTCAGAAGCCCCTGAAGAAAGTGTAGAAAACAACGAAGAATAGCCCCAGAACAAGTTCAATTAGAAGATTATTCAAGTCCACTTCACTGTTCTTTCCTGTATAAAACTAAAACTAATCATCCCCATTTACCAATGACTCATTTCTACAAGCTTATCTGCCACCCGAGCGTCTTCATTCTATTTAAGATGAAATTCCATAAGAATTTTTCGGCAAAAAAATTTTTTTGTGAGCTATCAGCATATTCTGAAAGCCCGTATCAGAATTAGTGGAATCCCCAAATTCTAGCACTTGATGACGTCACGATGACGTCATCACTGATGATTGAAGGTGAAGAATCCTAGAAACTTAGGTACGCTTTTAGAGAACGTTTTTGTTGAAAAGCAATTTTTTTCTTTGCGGGAGGTTATTCAGCATCAAAAACTACGTGGGAATCCGGAAGAATTTTTCCGAACCGACCGGTTACAAATTGAACCGCCAAAATGACCGGCTGGTTATGGCCGGTTCGAACCCGGATTCCCGTGTAGTTTTCGATGCTGAACAACCTCCTCCAAAGAAAATTATTTTTCGACAAAAACGTCTTCAAAAAGCGTACCTAAGGTTCCGCGGTTCTGGACCATCAATCATCAGTGATGACGTCATCGTGACGTCATCAAGTGCTAGAATTTAGGGATTCTGATACTAATTCTGATACGGGCTTTCAGAATATGCTGATAGCTCACAAAAAATTTCTTTTGCCGAAAAATTCTTATGGAATTTCATCTTAACTATTTCTCATCCTTGCGACATGTTTAAAAATGTCTGATTTTCTTCTCTGTCTATTTCAGAATAAAGTTCATTCACATTCAAAACTCCTCAATGTTCAAATTTTAGACCAGTAAATGCGATAAATATGACGGAAAACGGAAAGTTAGCACCTGGTGTTTTTCGAAATGTTCTCTCCCATGGGCTGGCCATGGCGATTTTCCCACTGATTGCCTTTTTTCTTATCAAGGCGATCGGTTTTTCTGGAATAACTGCTGCTGTTGGTGAGTTTTTCATCTTTGAGAAAATATTCCAGGAAATGAAGGAGTAAAATCATCAATGAACACCTTTTATTTAGTGGCTGTAATAATCGTTCACATTTGCCTTGTCAAATTCGTCCTCTCTGCTATGAAAGAAGACACCAGTGGCGGTGTCGGCGGATTCGAAAAAGTCGCGGAAAAGGACGACTAATTTCTCCCCAAGGATTTTCTCTCGCCAAACATGTTCGTAGTACACTCCCTCTCTGTACCTATCCTCTTGTCTTATGTGCAAATACGCTATTTCTTTTGGTATTGATAATTATTTCGTTGATTTTTCAAAGAACACATAACTGCTGTAGAAACATCCTCCTTATTTTTTGAATTCAGATAGAATGAGTGCGAAGAGGAGCAGAATGATGGACACAGACATGGCCGAAGACCATGACTCGTCGGACGATGAGGTTGGAATGGAGATGGAGGATCTAGCCGACCAAAAAGTTCCTATGGAGCTCAAAGGACTTTCCATCGAAGAAGACGATTATTTCGGAATAAAGGTACAAGCAAAAAGCTCAAACGAGCTGAACTCAATTTATTATTTTCAGCAACTCCTGCTGCCACTTCTTCCCAATTCTAACGTCACTTTGGCTGATGTAGCCAACGACATCATCGCTCAAAACTTCATCGGCCACATCATCAAACAAGTCGATCCCCAAACCGAAGAAGCAAATGATGAGGATCCAGTTTTGAGCCTCTCCACCATTCTCCCGTTGAACAATCAGAAATGGGCGCAAGATCTGGGAAAGCATTTGATGAAGAAAGCGGAGGGGACGAAGGATGTTAACCCACTAGGGTTGAGGAGCTTCTTGGAGGGAAAGAACAACGCGTGGATGGTGAACTCGCGATTTGTAAATTTTCCGGCGCGGGCTGAGGGACTTCTATCATTGTTACAAGATGTAGACGGTGAGTTTTGTTTCCAGAGTTAGGGTTTAAGAAAATCTTCAGATGCGTCGAAAAAGAAGCATAAGAGCTCGTGGAAGTTCGACAATGTCCTGTTGATCGTCCCAAGGATGCACCCAAAGAGCGACAACGAAATGGAGAGCGAAATCGTTTACAAGAATCAAGAAGATGAACTTCTTATTCAAGGCGCTGGTTAGTCCAAATTTTAATATGAACAAATTGACAGCGAATTTTGAAGAATGGTCGATGGAATGGAACGCAGAGAGCGACTTCAAGCAAGAAGAAGAGAGTGTCGGCTGGGACGATGAGGATCTTTACGTGAGACACATGATGGTTGTTGTGATTAAATTTGAAAAGCTGACGGAACTTATTTCTTTCCTCCCTAATTGGTTAATGGCTACGCAATAAAATCACCTCCTTTGAAATCATGGAATACTCCTCATTATCCCTTTCTAGAATCACTTTTTAAAACCCTTTTCCTGAGTTTATTTTGTTACAGTGAGTGACAACTGTACGGTGAGTAAACAAAAGCTCTTTTTCAGAATGTGGCGTTTGGCTTTTTTCATCCCTTTTATTGTGCTTGGGCAGACTGAAAAGGATCTGTATGAAATTCTCGATGTTCCCCGTACTGCTTCTATCTCAGGTACTTTTTTTATGAAAAAATGTTTGCTTACTATTTTGTATAAATAGAGATAAAAAGCGCGTACAAAAGCATCGCTCGACAGTATCATCCGGATAGGAATCCTGATCCAGAGGCGAGCGAGATTTTCCAAGAGGCAACTTACGCCAAAGAAATTTTGACGGATGACGAACTTCGATCTAGATATGATAGTTGCGGGCATGAATGTTTAAAAGGTAACGACAAAATAGGAGAGAACAAAGGATCAGACTGATTTAGACGCGCCAACTGGTGGTGGAGGGGCAGATTTTTCTGATATTCTCCAGGATTTGTTTGACTTTCCCGGACAGGGACAAAACGCAGGACCAAAGAAAGGAGATGACGTTTTTGTACCTCTTTCTGTTACTCTCGAAGAACTATACAACGGGGCAGAGGTCAACTACGTCAGAAGGAAACTCGTTCCAGAGACGGCCCCAGGAACGCGAAAATGTAATTGTCGAGTTGTGATGAAACAACAGCAACAAGGCATTTACATCAATATGGTTCAGGAAGAGGTAACTTCACTTTTACAGTCAGATATCAACTCTTTTCCAAGGTCTGCGATCAGTGCCAAAATATAAAATGGGAACCCGAGGAAGACACGGTCGAGATCGAAATTCAACCTGGAATGCCAGACGGCCAAGTCCTCTTCCTCGAGGCTGAAGGAGAGCAGAGCGCGGATGCACCACCTGGTGATTTGAAATTTGTTCTCCATGAGCTCCCTCATCCAATTTTCGATCGAAAGGGGGAAAATTTATTCTTGAATGTAACCATTTCCCTCCAGGTAGATTTACCACCAGATTCGTAGAAGTAACCGTCTGTAGGACTCTCTTACTGGTTTTGAAACGGAAGCCACTCATCTTGACGGAAGAAAGATCAAAATCCGACGATCAGGAATCACTCGCCCCGGATTCCGACAAAAGCTGGCCAACGAAGGAATGCCAAAATACGGTGGCGGGTTCGGATTCCTTCTGATCACCTTCGACATTGATTTTCCGACCAAAACACTTTCAGAAAATGAAAAGACCAAAATCTCCGAGATTTTGCAATCCCTTGAATCCTAAAACTTTTAGTCTAAATGAAAACTCCTTAGATTATCGAAGTTGCCAATTATTTTCCTGGTGCCGAAAGTAGATTCAAATCATCAATTGCTTCCAACTTAGAAAAACTTCTTTCCCATTGTGACGGTTTACGAGCATTTTCCTTTATTCTGACAATTTACTGTATATCTTCAATTTTATCTTCAACTATTGTGTGGTTCTTTCTTCAATTATTATATTTTTCAAATCTCAAACTCTGCCTCCAAGTGATTCCGAATATTCCCTTTTTCTTCAAAGTAGCAAAATGATAGAGATGACGACTCGATTCTTCTTTTTAGAGTGGGATGATTTTTTTATATTTAATCACGTGGATCAGTTTTATTTTACAATGCGCTTTGGGCATTCTCTCCCTTGCAGCTGGACTTTATTACATTGCTGAAATCATAGAAGAGTACACTCAAGCAACTGAAAGGTAAGAAAACACGCAGAAGCAAGATATCTCACGGTACTTTCAGGCTTTTGAGATACATGATTTTCGCATCAACAGCGATTTTCGTCGGACTATTGCTTTTCGAAGGCTTCCCTTTTCTCATGATCCTCGTTGGCCTTTTCTCAAATCTTGTCTATTTCGGTGAAAATGGAGGCTATTTACCCTTTGAGTTTATGAATTTTTAGGTCTTTTGAGAACTTTCCCGTTGATCGAGCTTTCCAGCCCGAATTTCATCCTTTCGCTGATTCTGCTGGCTGCGAATCATTATTTTGCTTTTAGCTACTTCGGAGATGTAGGAGCTGTTTTTTGAAGTATGATTTGATGGTTAATCTCTAGGTGTACCACCCATTCAACGAAGTTCTGGCCTACTTTACTCTACAAGTTTGGTTCGTCCCATTCACTTTCTTCGTCTCCCTTTCTGCCGGCGATAACGTATTGCCCTCGTATCAGCCTTACGGAGGTCAGGAAGATGTCATGAGTCATTATATTGCAAAGGGCAAGAAGCAGCGCTCTGGAATTTTATCCATTCTAGGACTGGTTTTAGATCGCTTTTTTTGAAAATAAAACATTTTAAGAACCTTCGGGTCTTTTACCTTTACAGGCAATTTAGGGGGCATTTTATTAAACCTTTCTGAAAGAATTCGCCCGAGAAGTGATCCTTCCGTCTCGAGCAAAACGATTCTAGTGCTTCCATCAAGCCTACTTTACTTCTGTTACCTCTGTAGATTTTACGACTTGTGGAAAAAGAACAAAAAGATCAGCTTCTCTTTTTTGTCATGATAGTGTCACATTCTTAGCCTCAATTTTAATTCTGTTCTAGCTGCTCTTCATATTTAAAAAGAAAGATATTTTTTATATATTTTCTCAAAAAGTAAGGTTGCGGGATTTTAGATTTTATACTCTACAATGGCTCGAGGAAATCAGCGAGAATTGGCAAGAGCGAAGAATCTCAAAAAGCAAGGAGACAAGAACAAGGGAAGAAAAGATGATAATCTTACTCCGCAACAGCGAAACGAACGGTCAGTTACTGTCTGGGCCCAACAACCTGCGTAGAAAAGCTCTAAAAGAAATTGATAAAATCCGCCCTTATAAATTCCGGCGGCGCTCTTTCGCGACTTCTTCTAGAACTCTGAGTCAGGTTTTCTACACAGATTGGCGAGCTGAGCTTACTGTCACTTACAGTTTGATGACTCGTCATTTTTAGGGACAAGAAAGCTCTCGAAGAAAAGGCCAAGAAGAAGGCTGAAAAGGCAGCCGGCGCAAAATAGAAAATAGAATCATTTTTGAGCTTGAAAAAATGAAGAAATATTAACAATTCGCTAATTTCCAATTTCCCTGTCATCCTTTTTTTTTCTGTGCAAGGGCCCCTAATCTTAATTCTTTCCCTATCGGATAACTAACCTCTCCTAATCCAACTGTAGGTGAAAATAATGATAGAAAAAAGTAGTACTTTTCAAAGTAGCAATTCTGATTATTTGAACCCCCGAAAATCCCCTTATTCGGACTGTAATTAAAAATTGAATAAATAAAACAGATGCTGAATAACTTGATTTGAATATTTTAAATTTTTGAGAAGCGATTCGAGAAGGCGACGTTTCTGAAAAGTTTCTAGACGAGGTAAAATTTGAGCGAGCAGGGGCGGCCCCAAGCGACTTGTTGTTGAGTTTTGGAGCAACTTGGCAAATCGGAAATTGAAATTCAGAAAGAGAGCTACCCTCGTCTCGGAGACACCAGTTTTGATAACAATTATCAAGAGATTTTTTTATAAAATGAAATGTAAAAGCAAAAATCCTCCGCATATTCCCTGAATTCAGAGCCTGATCCTATTAATTTCTTTTCGCAAATTTCGCGTTTTCCTATCTCAGAGGCTATCTGTCTCCCGCTTTTCCGATCTTTATCAGAATCTTTGCTGATAAGAAGCGGAAATGATGCATATGTGTACCTCCGTTTTCATCTTTCTTTTTCATTCAAATAAAGTGGGGTTTATTCAGAGATTTGTCCGCGAAAAAAAAGAGTCGGCTTTTGCAGAATTCTAGCGCCAAATTCAGAATCAAGCTTCACGGAGAAAACCGACAATCGATCGAAATATCGGATGCAAAAATGGCATCTTTGGAAGAATCTCTCATCGGCCGAGAATTGATCAATGCGCTTGACAAGTCGCCTGAACAAGGAAGCATCTTTGTAAGCGGCTATCAGAAGTCGTCTTACGATTATCGACCACGGTAAGGAGAATTCAATCGAATTTGAAATGGAACCTTTATTTTAGCGTCTCCTCTAGTGATCAACCAATGAAGCAGCTTCGGAAGTAGTCTCATGATTCAGGAAAGTGTTTGAATAAAACTGTAACATATGATATGTTGATCAATCATTGGTGGCGGATGAATAATTCGTTATCGGAAAAATAAACGCTGTCTCTGTAGAAAATTTCTTTAACACTTGAAAAGGCTTCGGTGAGTCGCTCATTTCCGAAGACCCGGAAAACTTGGACGAGTTCGCCTTTCCTGAGCTCGAAAACGAAAGCTCGAACCTGACTTTTCCACAGTCAGAACCCGAAGCAGCCGTTCCTGTTTCTGAGAACCAATCCTGGGCCGATCCAGACGTCAACCCTTGGAACGAGCTCGAGAAGAAATGTGACGAGGCGATGGAAGAATACGCCCAGCTTTTCCGACCCCATCCGATGATTATTTCTATGAAGTTAGAAGCGCGAATCCAGTTGAAGTTCAAAGAACTCGATTTGCCTGACGAAGGGCTTCCAGGAAAGCAGCTCTTGGAGCGATACATTGGTCAGTTGTCGAGCCAAAAAACTGAAGAAGCGCTGCGAAAAATCAAGAACATTCTTGACAGTGAGTACATATCAAACCAACTAAATGTAGTCTCTAACTCCCTTCATAAGATTCGCAGAAGGCCGCTCAACAACTCGTCGCTGCCATCAAAGAAAATCTCCCCCCACAATCGTTTCTCTCCGAAAAGGTACCTTTCGTCCTCATTTCAAAACTAAAAATAAACTTAGATCAACTTTTCGGTTTGTCAGACAACCTTCACTGCGAGCAAACTTCGCCAGCACCGGGAACTTTTTACTGAAAACATTCAAACCTTCGTTCCTAATTTTCCTCGATACAAGTGCGCCGATTCTCCAGTTTTCTCAATCAAAACTGCTTTCTCGGATCTGACAGATCTCAAGATCAAGATTTCCGACGAAATGGCCGCTATCAAGGTACCTTGTATTGTGCTGAATCATCCACTTTACGGCCAACTCAGGCGATCATCTATCACATCGAAAGTCTTATCACCAATCCTTCCTCCTTTTTGGTCTTGTGCCGGGACCGATTGAAGATTCATCTGTCTGCTTTTGACAAAACAACGACGGTATTCCCCTCTTTCCATTTCCAATTATCAATTTTACCAAAGGATCTTGGTCTCATCCTCAGCGCGAGTTTCCACAATAAAGATGCCGTCGAGGCAATTCCTGGCTTCAATGAGTGTGTTGCAGAGCTCAATCAGGTACCAAAACACTCCAGCAAGTGACGCTAATAGCTTTTAGCACGCTGAATCATTGTACACGACCTTCACAAACTTCGTGCGACTCATCATCGACCAGGTCTCAGCCGAAATCAATGCTCTCCCAGTCCCAATCTCCAGTGCCAACCCCAGCAACTGCCTGTACTCCTCTCAAAACCAGTTCTTTTGAGCTCTTACTTCCCTCCCTTATTTTAGCCTTCACTTAGCTTTTTTTTTAACTTACATGTACCTCATTTTTTTAAAATTGTCTCTTTCTTTCTCTTCTTTCTTCTTTTTTCGATAAGTTTCACTACCGACCACCCCCTTCTTCCTTCGCCTGTTCTTATACAAGTTCATTTAACCATATTTAAAACCATTTACCAAGCAGTTAAAACAAGCAGTATTATATCAACGGTACGTATATCAAGGCACTATTGATAAAATCAAATAAACTACCAAGAAACAAGCTATTTATTATTTATTTCTTCAAAGAAGCTTCTTTTTCTTTTTTACTTCCTGATTTATGGACGGTTGATTATTTGCAAAAGTCAATTGTGCCTCAGTCAAAAATGTCTCGTTAATCTTTTCCCATTTTTACTTCAAAGAAGCTTTTAAACATCGTGATTTTGTTCACTGCCAATAAATCATACATTTTATCCACGTCAATTCTTTGTCTCCAAAGTTGTTCTTCAAATTATTAAATCAAGAATGAAGCCATTTGTGAAATTTTCTATATTTTGGACACAGTTCATATATTTCTTTGAAATCGCTTTTGCAAACAAGGAAGAGAATGTCTTCGTTCTGTGTAATTCCAGGTGGCCGGGCAGGTTATATTTAAAAAGGCATAAAAGATGGATGAAGTGTATTTCTGAGGCGCTATTCGTTATATTCTATTGACTTGGTCAAAGAGAGAGAGTGAAAGGGTCTTTGATCCAGCGCAGCATAATGAGAGCAGAAAAAGGAGCCACGAGAGGGAAGGGTAGGAGGGAGCCACTGGAAGAGCGCAAAGCATGAATAATGGGTCTTTATAGCTTTAGTATTTTAAACTCTCTCACTGCTGCTCGTAACCCAAACTATCAAAAACCGCGCTGCCGCTAGCTTTTTAATTTAGAGTGAGAGGAGAAAAAACATCCAAAATCGAGAAAGAGGCCGTAAAAAGCAGACAGAGACCGGGAAGATTTAATCGAAAATGGACGAGCTTACAGACGAATTTCTAAATGGACTGACTCCGGCCGAGATCGCTCAAATCGTTGATCAACTAGACGAGTTGGATCCTGACAACGCCCTTCTACCAGCTGGTAAAATCGAAAATTCAGTGGTCATGTGATAAATTACTGTAGGTTATCGCCAATCGAACCAGACGGAGAAGAAAGAGACGGGCGTTTTCGACCGAGAAGCGCTGCTTGAATACCTCGAGGAGCACGCCCGATCGATCCCAGATAAAGAGGATTATGTGCCCTACGTGCCCGGCCAAAAGCGCGGAAAAGTCTTTGAGAAGAAGGTTCAGAAGCAGACCTACAGCGCGCTCGAGCCTGATATCGAAGATGCGCTCAAGGATATTGACGGCGCGGATCTTTCGGAACTCGCAGAAATCTTAGGCGAGGCTACTATCCAAAGGTATTCAACAAAAACGATCCATGTTGGATTGACATCTTAACCCATCTTTCTCATCTCATGCTAACCCATCATTTCAAAAAATAGCGATCAATTTATGGCCGATATCAACAGGTTTTCATGTGTTTTTTTATTTCACTCTTCGCACAGCTCTCTTTTAGCAACAGTAGTTACAGTTTGATTTCAACAAGATTTCCGCACTAATTTTTATCGTCAATTCTCGCATCACCTATTACGCTCAATTTAACACTTTGTATCATTTAGCCACGTCGAGCTCGGAGCAAAAGGCTATTCAATGGGAGAAGATGCCGGGTTGAAGCGTATTTACAGACCGGACTATCGCGATCCGATTGTAAAGCCGGAAGAACCGGAGCTGAATCCTGCTGATGTTGATGACGACTTGAGAAGAGTTCAGAATCAGGACGAGACGATGACCATCATCAACTGGAATAATCTAAGAGACACGCCGATTACGACGATTCAAGCGCTTTTCAGAGCACTTGAATACAATCGTTATGTCCGAGAAGTCTCTATTGGTAAAAAAATAGCCTGTATCCCTCTTTGATCTTAATTCTAGCGAATACGCGGGCAAATGATACAGTAGCAGAGACGATTATAAAATGTATGGAGGAAAACAAAACAATCGAAAAGCTCAATGTCGAGTCCAATTTCATTTCTGCCAAGCCGATGCAAGAATTAGTTCACCAATCCTGCCAAAGCAATTGCCTCACCGAACTTAGAATAGACAACCAGCGTAACAAGTAAGCCGTCTTTCCAAAAGGCAATCGATTTGCGGCAATTATCTAGATACGGCGAAACGACGGAGAATCTGTTCTGCGACTCGTTACTAAACGGAGCCGGGATGGTTAAAAAATTCGGGTATTCGTGGAAGAGCCCTGGACCTAGATCACGTGCCCAGCATATTCTGATGAAGAATTTCGACAAAAGTACAAGACAAAAGCGTCAAAACGCTTCTTGAATTGCTTCTTCTATCGAAGAAATGTGGATAAAAATGAGATTCTACCAGTTTTCCAACTTCCTTTTTTATATACTTTTGAGTGTGTTTTGGCCATTTTACATCTTATTTCATCTTACGCAGCATTTCAACAGAGAAATTCCATTAAAAAATAAACCGTTTGTTCACCTAAATCACCAAAATCAACCCGATACTTCCCAGTTCTTTGAAAACAGCCTTGAATCATGAACCCATAAAAATATATTTAACTAATGCTTGCACAATTCCAGTTCTCCAATTTCAGCTTTCTACTTTAAACTTTGTCAAATAAACCAGCAACTATGTGTGAAATTTCAAATCTCGTCAATTTAAATCAAGGAAGAGTACCGCAGATTGATGGAGTCTTTTGTTTTGTAGACGAAGTCGGTAGCGAGGTGTAGCTCCGCCTAGGGTCGGCTCTACCCGCCGCCGATGATGGGACGGTTTGACGGAGAAGAGCTGCCCAATGAAGTTTGGGCCCTGTGATCGGGCTTCTTTATGCTTTAATCTCTTCTAGATACAGAAATGTTTATAAACAAAATCATATAATCTTATGTAAAAAGATGAGCCTAAATAAAGATAATCAAACGGTCGAAAGTATCTGAACTTCTGCAGCTTCGGCAAACTTCCCAACGGCTATTTGACCTCGTTGAAGATTCCGATAACTTTCAGTCTTACCTGGACGAGGAGGATAAAGTTTTACACTCGTTAGGTACGCTCGTTGTTGAGTAAGCATCAATACAGAATCTTAACAATCGAGTATTGAGTCAATCAAGCATAACTTGAATAAATAGGGATTATACAGCAACTCAATTATTATGAAACATTGAGTAAAAGAAAACCTATTCAGTTGACAATTGGCTTGGCTCTCCTTTCGACGATATAAAGCCGCTACAAGACGATGACTGGGAAAAGATTTCTCCCATTCTCAGGTCTATATTTTGACGAGAATTATGAATCGTTACATAACGCTTTTTACTCAGAGCGCGATTTCGAACACTGGCAAAGCCTCATATTGATCAAGTCACTTCTTGGGCAGAGAACGGACTCGACACAGTCCTCACTTCGAATAAAGGCTGGCTCTACCGCATCTTCGTGCGTAAACTCCACGAAAACCAAAGACGAAAGATTATTGAACCGCTGAGGCATCGCTTCCAAGATGTTTTGAAAACCAAAACTTTTATTTGCAAGAAATGTGGTGGTGCCTTTATTCCGTCAGAGGAGCAACCCTGTCTCAGTCACGTGGCAGAAGAGCCTGTCAAGTCAAACATGTTCTTAGAAAATGTAAGATAAATAGATCTCCTAAGCCCTGTTTCTAAGCATATTTTCAGGTTTGGTACTACCCCTGTTGTCCAGAAAGGCTGTTTTTCGCCCGCTCGGGCCAGCCGATCAGCGATGTCAAACGTGCCTTAGGAGAGTGTCCCAAAAATCAAAAACAGACGAGTCACATTTCTGAAGAATTCAAAAATCTGACGTCGATGACCTCTACGATCGATTTAGAAAAAGCCGCCGTGCTTAGCCATTATTCCAGAAAGCTTGCTCTTGAAGGTAGATATTGCGAACAATTCATTTTCTTACTCTACTTATGTTCAGATCCGGCCCGTTTATCCGGATTGGGCAGCAGCGCCCTTATTCCCGCTTATCAAAATAATCATCAGAATCAGAATTATCATCAGCCAGTCCAACAACACATCAATGGTAAAAGAACAAAAAGAGAACTCAACTGACTCTCCCCAATTTTAGGTGCATTGCTAACGAACTATCATCCCCAAAATTGCGCAGCTTATTACGACCCGTCATACTCGCTTCCATACAGACCTACGATCAGCAGTAGCTATTCGATTCCGCAGGGCGGAATGATGACCAACGGCGAACCTGTTGCATTTTCAGCTCCGCACTCATTTCATGCTCAGCCTCATTCTTCTGCGCAGATCCAGTTGAACAGCAATTTTCAGAGTCAGTTAAACTTGAATGGAGATCATCCCAGAAGTGTTGTCTCGAGGTAAGTTTGATCATGACTGTACCTGGGCTTGTCAGTGGGCTCTCCTCTAAAAATCTGCTGTAGGTTTCCTAATCCAAAAGATAAATGGCGCTTTGGCGCAGCCGATTGGGAAGATTTTTTCGAAAACGATTGCGGAGAATGCGATTTTTCCGACGAAGAGTCTTCCCGAAGAAGACGCAGTCGCTCGAAAAAGAACTCGAAAGGAAAAGGTCTTAATGAAGCTATGACTACCAGAAGAAATAATCATTGTCTTTGACCTTCGAAAAGGCAAACAAAAAAGCACGAATTTCGGAATTCGTTCCCGCGCAGATCGCGTCCCAGAGCCACGTCTGGAAGACCTGGTGCCTCGTCCAATTGACAATCCTCCTGGCGAGTTTGAAATTGGCTTTTGGAAGCCTACGAACTCTTGAAATGAGAATGACACCTATCTTTTTCTAGCAACCCAAGCCATAACAATCTTCAATTACCAAAAACGACTATTCTTCCTGAAACAAATCAACCAAACTCAATTGTTTCGACTACTCGCATTTAACCTTTTACCTTGTGCCCTTAAAAATATCATTATCTATCCAGAAATTACAGTTATTTCAGTATTAACATCTAACTACAAGGTTTATTATTTCTTATTATTTTTACCGACTATTTTTTATTCTATTTCTTGTTCTTCACAAGCTTTATCACTAATATCCTTACATTTTCAATGCTTGGAGACAGAAAAACAGCAGAAAAAAGAGGATTTTCTGCAAAATTGATCTGAAGTCTGTTTTCTCTTTTTAGTTTTCCATATGTTTTTTCTTTATTTCTGTAATTCACGTTTTCACCAAATTTTGATTTTTATCGCTCTATTTTTAGGGAACGGGCTCAAAAAGGACGAAAATGACGATAGCTCCAACTCCAAATAAAAAACTCAAAGCATCAGGAAGCAAAGAAGGTGAACGAGATCGTAAAAGACCGCGACATATTCCTTCTACTTCGCACGATCCTTCTATTAGAACGAAAAATGCGAGGAATCAAATCGGGCCTCAGTCAAAGGTGAGCTTTTCTATGTCCTTTGGTGCGATCAAAAAACGTTTCAGAAAAAGCAAAAAGTTCGCCGAGATCCGCCGCCAAGAAGCGACTCGAAGCTTGGGCAATGTGACCCAAGCGTTCCCCTTTCTCCATGTCTCTCACCACGAATGTCGCCTCTTTCTAGCAACTCGCAAACAAGTCGAGTTGCATCTCAACCCGAGCAATCCGGCTACAACTCAGAGGTACAGGCCCCTCCTTATTCTTTATAACCCCTTTTCAGGACGAGTACGATCGAGCGGCAGAATACAGCGAAGAGCGAGAAAAAAACTTCCGCAAAGTTCTGTTAGAAGAACGTGGCTTCGAAATCATCGACGTACAGGCAGACGGAGCTTGTATGTTCCGATCTGTCGCCGATCAGGTAGCTTCGTTTCATACCGATCTTTTTTTAATTCATGATTTTTAGATTTACGGGGACGAAAGTATGCACGACGTTATTCGACACCGATGCTGCGATTACATGGCCCTGAATGCCGATTATTTCAGGAACTGGGTAACGGAGAATTTCGAAGATTACATTTCCAGAAAGAGGCTGTTGCATACGCATGGGAATCATATAGAACTACAGGCGATGTCGGAGCTTTATCTTCGAAAATTTGAAATATTCGAGTACAGGTTCGAAAAGGTCATTATTTCTTGTTCAATTCTTGAGCCATTCTTTAGTCCAATTGCTAATCAAACCTTCGACTGTTCGGAACCAAGCCATTATACTCCTATTCGCCTGAGCTATCACAACGGAAATCACTACAACTCAATAAGAAACCCTCTTCAAGCTACAATAGGTATTCACTTCTCTTCAACCAATTTTAATCGCTCTCAGGTGCTGGATTAGGAATACCGGGAATGTCAGAACATGCATCTCTCCTCTCCCAAGCGCTAAATCAATCGGAACTCGACGATACAGAAAAACGCATGTTACTGGACAAGGCAAACATGACGGACTATCAAGCCACTGATCAAGAGCTTCTAGCACAAGTTGCACGGTAAATTTCCCCTTCTATCCGACTTTCTTCAACTCATGTTTTGTAGAGACTCCCTGGAGGAATTCTACAACGTCAGAAATCAAAACAAGAAGCAGAAGAAAAACCAAACAAAGTCTCTCAACCGTCTTAGTCCTTCAACAAGCCGTCTTTCTACACCTCCACCTCCGATTTCACCATCTTCGCAGCCATCTTCTTCAAGCTCGTGAGTTGCTTTCCCTCAATCATTGAGGCTCGATGAGTTTTATTAACAGTCAATAGATCCTCCCTCCCGTCTCCGGAAAAAGCTGCGAGCAAAGAGGACATTGAACAGAAACCATCATCGTCAGCGAGTTCGCCAAACGCGCAAATGGCCATTCGACAGTCACGTGTCAGCTTGAGTATAGATGAACCCGGACCAAGGTAAGATAGAGACAGCTTCACGATCCTTGACTCTTATTTTATAGCTCTCGTCAAGACCCAGTAGAATGGGGCGTATCCGACTGGGTATCCGAAAACGACGAAGAATCAATCATGGCCGCCATTTTGCAACAATCCGCCCAGGAATTCTACTCCTCGTCTAAAGAATAATGACCCCTTGATCGCAAATTATCGCTCCGCTAAAATATAAATATAATTTTTACTCGTGTTCTTTGCAAACAAAATTCATATAAAAACAAGAACAGAGCGACATGTTTCTTCAACACCAGATTTTCTGAAATTCTGTCCCTGTTTCGAATAATCTAAGAGTCCAACAATATTGATAATATGAAAAAAATGCGTTCAATATTGAGAAATATTGACCAGCGATCGTTCCGCCACAGTTCTTACCTTGTTTCTTACAAGTTGTAAATTAATTTTTTGTCTATTATCTTTTTCAAGCTTTGAACAGACTATTACTGTACTGAAACAATAAATATCACACACAAAACGATGTAATTTACGAAAAAGAATCTCACTAGTTTCTTCTTATTCGTTGTTTTATCTTGCTTTCATTTCAGGAGTTACAGAATTGATTCAGTATTTTGTCAGAACAAGCTTTTTTCGCAGGGACGATTGAAATTCGCAAACTTGATTTCTCCCTTCTTCTTCATCCTCACCAGCAACTTCCTTCTTGAGCATCTCTCGTTGCACCCGCAAATAGACCTCGTAAATATCTTGATGGTTTTCGTTAGCAATCGCATCGGACAACTCATTGTACAAAATCGAGACGAAGCGAGAAGGAAATCTTCCTTCAGATGTGACTGTTGCTTGATTGATTCTATTGCCAGCAAGGGTAGAGTAGAAAAAGGCCCAGTCTCTGCCCATTGACCACTGGAAGTGGGTTTCTTCTTTTTCTTGAGTGTTGGCAACTAAGTCTGTTCCCCTGCTGCGGCTTTTCCTCATTACTGCCCCTTCTATCGCTACTTTCCTTGAAGTAACATCCTTTTCGCCTCTAAAATGATGCTCAATTTTCAACTCAACATCAACATCAACCTTGGAGCATTGACAATCACCAATTTCGGCTTATCGATCCATCCAGCACAAGAAGTTTTTGTCAAAACCGACAAGAAGTCATGGATAGTAACTTCTTCCGTATTATACGAAGAGTCATTTCCTCGGACGACGATCTTCAATTTGCTTCCCGGAATTCCATTAGACAGAATCACTATCGTCAAAGATCTTACGGCAGCAGCCACATTTTGATCATTCACAACATTTTTGAGGAACAAGTTGACATCAGTTTTTTTCATGTCCGAAAAGTAGAAAATATTTTCTTTATAAAGTTCTCCTTCCGTTACGTAGTAAAGTACCATTAAATATTTGAGATTTTGAACTGTTCCTTTATCAAACATCTTTCCAAAAAGAAGATACATTGCAGATCCATCAATGTCTTTTTCTATAGCGTTATCAGAAGATAACCAGTTCTTCTTGATCCCTGGGTATGAAAATATAACCACAAGACCTTTTCTTTCATCCCCGGTCGGTTTTAAATCGTAAAACTGCTCAAAGTCATCGAATGGATTCTTCACTTTCGCAACTGGGTTGATTTCTCCGTCGACATCAGTGTCTGTTGAAAGCTTTTTGATGCGGTCTTTCAATTTCTTCAAGAGCTTTGTTTGCAAAGAACATGCTTCTTTCTCGTTTTTCTCGGCGCAAAGATAGTTTTTGAAGGCTTCCTCATCCTCGAATGGTACTTTACTGCCTTTTTCGTGGTAATATTTGAAATAATCGCTGTTTTTTATTGCCTTTTCCATCTCTGTACCGTTTTTCGATCCGGAACAATAGTTTATTTTGGCAAAAACGGACTTGGCAACCAATGAAAAGACGTCTTCAAGCTGAAAATTTATTTGCAGTGTCGTTAAACTGGACGAAAGGAGTAGTTTACGATCTTTACAAGCTCATAGAACAAGTCTTCAGTAACATAAGAAGGGAGCCTTGTGAATTTCAACAACAATTTGTCATGGGGTTGTCCACTTTGTGTTCGCGTAGTCTTGAACAAATGATGAACTCTCTTGACAGACTGGATTTGAGTATTTGGTAGGGGGTGAACAGTGAAAAAATGAGCAAAATTAAAAGTTTAGAAAACTAATTTGAATCGATGTATATATATAAAACACATCATAAAAAACATTTAATTCAATAATTGTAAATTTAAAAAACGCTGTTTTCCATCATAAACGCCAATTTTCTCATGAAGATTACAGTTTTTTCACGATAACTTTTGATCTCAACCTTCCTCAAGCCTAAATCAAAGATAATCTTAATCTACAGAAAAAATGCTTTCAGAAACTTATAAAATCACTTTGTGCACTTGTGTGCAAAAAATTCTAGAGCTAATTATTTGTCCAAACTCTATGAGTTGGCCCTCTAGGGGTGTTCGAATCCCGGCAATGACACTTTTTTTTCATTCCGATTTTCCTCGAAACATTGCGTTAACTTGATCACGTGACTGAATTTGAGTCATAATTAGTCCTCCGGAGGACTTTTTTGCTTGGAATCAATTCCTGGACGACTGAGAACTTCCGCTTATTAAATTCTGTCAGCCCCGTCCCTGGCTTTTAAATTGAAATGGGCTTGACGGCCCTTCGGGCCGTCTCAGCCCCGTCCCTGGCTTTTAAATTGAAATGGGCTTGACGGCCCTTCGGGCCGTCTCAGCCCCGTCCCTGGCTTTTAAATTGAAATGGGCTTGACGGCCCTTCGGGCCGTCTCAGCCCCGTCCCTGGCTTTTAAATTGAAATGGGCCTGACGGCCCTTCGGGCCGTCTCAGCCCCGTCCCTGGCTTTTATATTGAAATGGGCTTGACGGCCCTTCGGGCCGTCTCAGCCCCGTCCCTGGCTTTTAAATTGAAATGGGTTTGACGGCCCTTCGGGCCGTCTCAGCCCCGTCCCTGGCTTTTAAATTGAAATGGGCTTGACGGCCCTTCGGGCCGTCTCAGCCCCGTCCTGGCTTTTAAATTGAAATGGGCTTGACGGCCCTTCGGGCCGTCTCAGCCCCGTCCTGGCTTTTAAATTGAAATGGGCTTGACGGCCCTTCGGGCCGTCTCAGCCCCGTCCCTGGCTTTTAAATTGAAATGGGCTTGACGGCCCTTCGGGCCGTCTCAGCCCCGTCCTGGCTTTTAAATTGAAATGGGCTTGACGGCCCTTCGGGCCGTCTCAGCCCCGTCCTGGCTTTTAAATTGAAATGGGCTTGACGGCCCTTCGGGCCGTCTCAGCCCCGTCCCTGGCTTTTAAATTGAAATGGGCTTGACGGCCCTTCGGGCCGTCTCAGCCCCGTCCTGGCTTTTAAATTGAAATGGGCTTGACGGCCCTTCGGGCCGTCTCAGCCCCGTCCCTGGCTTTTAAATTGAAATGGGCTTGACGGCCCTTCGGGCCGTCTCAGCCCCGTCCCTGGCTTTTAAATTGAAATGGGCTTGACGGCCCTTCGGGCCGTCTCAGCCCCGTCCTGGCTTTTAAATTGAAATGGGCTTGACGGCCCTTCGGGCCGTCTCAGCCCCGTCCTGGCTTTTAGATTGAAATGGGCTTGACGGCCCTTCGGGCCGTCTCAGCCCCGTCCCTGGCTTTTAAATTGAAATGGGCTTGACGGCCCTTCGGGCCGTCTCAGCCCCGTCCCTGGCTTTTAAATTGAAATGGGCTTGACGGCCCTTCGGGCCGTCTCAGCCCCGTCCCTGGCTTTTAAATTGAAATGGGCTTGACGGCCCTTCGGGCCGTCTCAGCCCCGTCCTGGCTTTTAAATTGAAATGGGCTTGACGGCCCTTCGGGCCGTCTCAGCCCCGTCCTGGCTTTTAAATTGAAATGGGCTTGACGGCCCTTCGGGCCGTCTCAGCCCCGTCCCTGGCTTTTAAATTGAAATGGGCTTGACGGCCCTTCGGGCCGTCTCAGCCCCGTCCCTGGCTTTTAAATTGAAATGGGCTTGACGGCCCTTCGGGCCGTCTCAGCCCCGTCCCTGGCTTTTAAATTGAAATGGGCTTGACGGCCCTTCGGGCCGTCTCAGCCCCGTCCCTGGCTTTTAAATTGAAATGGGCTTGACGGCCCTTCGGGCCGTCTCAGCCCCGTCCCTGGCTTTTAAATTGAAATGGGCTTGATTACGGCTGGGATTTGAAGAAAAGATAGAGATGATCAGTCTCATTTCATCCCAAACCCCGCCCACACCCATTTTTCAATAAACTTCAGTTTGTCGTTCCCGATTTTTAATTATGGTTTTTGAAATATTAAGTTTTTATATAGATTTCTCTTCTTTCTTAATTAAATTCTTCCATCAGATGAGATCCTCCGGGGTCCTCCGAGGGTCCACGTGATCAAATTATTAGATTTATCAATGTTCACGTTTCGGTTGATAACCATGCCGAAGGAGTCCCTGAAAAAGATTTTTCTTCATTTAATTTGCTTAAATTCTTCCATCATCTAGGTCCTCCGGGGTCCTCCAAGATGTCACGTGATTAAAATTCAGGAAAAATTTACATGATCAGTGATAATCAGCAATCAAAATCATGCATAGAAACCCTAGTTACGTCGAGTTTGGGAAAAATCAGATTTTGACCTCAGCTGACCCCGCGTGACCTTTGATGACCTCAAGTCATGTGTCAAAATGATCAGTGGATCAAGGGCTTTCCATCGATGTGTTATTCATCTCTATTAGAGGATGATAAAAAAATCAATTTTTTCACCGTTCACCCCCTAGTATTTGGTCAATGCACATAAAGATTTTGTCATAATGCAAAAGTATACTCATTTTTAATATTTGCAGATACTTTGAAAGATGCTGAGTTCCAAATCTGTTATTTATTCTGAATAAAACCATTCCCAAAAAACAATCTGCCTGGTCCAGAAGTCTTCAAGAGATGTTGGAGCCTTTTGATGAAGAGGTTTCTTCGTGCGTTGCTACCAGAGAGAAGCCATTTCTATCCGACTTATTTGAGTCGTTTAGAAATCATAAGCTGAGTTTAGCAAATTTAAATGAGTGTTAATCTGATAAACCTTTTAAAACTTGGATAAGCTGGTGAATTTTGCTCAAAATAAATTCCAGGAGATCAAGGCTGATGTTGAAAGAGAAGCATCGATCTTTTTCGATGGGGAAGCTGAGGTTTTGAAGAAAGAAAATGCATGCCTTCTTGATGCCATTAGGGAGCTTGAAAAGGATTCTGATAAGCGAATGTTCGACGAAACAAAGCGTATTAGGCGACTGATACGGGAGCATGATGCTGAAGCCAGGCAAAAAGATGACGAGATTTGTGATCTTCAGGCTTTGGTTCAGAAAGTTTTTTAGTCGAATAGTCTGATTCTTTGAATGAACCTTCCTGAGTACGAAAATAAAGAACTCAGGGAGCAACTGAGTCCAGTGTTTGAAAAAATGGTGAGCGCGAGCCGTGAGCGAGCGTGAGCGAGTGAGCGAGCGCTCATGCTCGCTCGCTCACCATAAAATTCCATGCCGCCGCTCCCGCTCACTCGCGCTCGCCAACAGTCATTTTTAGTTAATCCACCGTGGAGACAAGGTATTACGATGTTTGAGAAATTTCTCTTGCGTTGGAATGCCCGAAATTGACTTTTTATATTAAATTATTCGTGAAAAATTGTAAATATTTGAATTTTCAAGGAAATACTCGCTAGAAAGTCCCCCGAAAAGCTACGAGTGAGCGCGAGCGAGCGAGCGAGCGCTCGTGCTCGCTCACTCAACAAAAAAATTTCGGGTCTGCGCTCACGCTCACTCACTTACGAAAAAAATTGAAGAGTGTCTGCTCGCGCTCGCTCACTCACAAGAGCTATGACCATTTTTTCAAACACTGACTGAGTCAACTTGAACGCTCCAACTCTAAGTACGAAGAGGCAAAGATCGAAATCTACGGATTACAGGCAGAGACAAAAACGCAAAAGGCTGAAATCTTAGCTCTTCGTAAAGAAATTGAGAAGATGAAAGAAGCTCACGAAGAGGAAATTGAAAATATGCTTCAAAACTTCGCTCCAGCGGAAAGTCCTGAGAAGAACAATGATTGCCCAATCTGCATGGAAGAATACGACAGCAAGGAGAACATCAAGTGCACTTCAAAGGGATGTGGTCATCAAATGTGCTTTTCTTGTTTCGAAGAAATTCTCGGCAACAAGAATCCTTCCGCGCGAAAATGTCCTTTCTGCAACAAAAAAGTCCAGCCAAATCAGATCCTGAAACTGTACTAAGAATACATTTTCCCTCTGAAAGAGACTTTTTGAGAAATTTGTGGCCCTAAAAAGGGCCTGTTTTAGTGAGTCAAACTCGCGCTTAGGCTCGTTCTCCTCGGATTCGTCGGGCGAGCTGGATGTCCTTGGGCATGATGGTGACTCGCTTGGCGTGGATGGCGCACAAGTTGGTGTCTTCGAAGAGACCAACGAGGTAAGCCTCGGAAGCTTCCTGGAGGGCCATGACGGCGGAAGACTGGAATCGGAGGTCAGTCTTGAAGTCCTGGGCGATTTCTCGGACGAGTCGCTGGAAGGGGAGCTTTCGGATGAGAAGCTCAGTCGATTTCTGGTATCGTCGGATCTCTCGGAGAGCAACGGTTCCAGGTCGGTATCGGTGGGGCTTCTTGACACCTCCGGTGGCTGGGGCGGACTTTCGAGCAGCCTTGGTGGCGAGCTGCTTTCGTGGAGCCTTTCCTCCGGTGGATTTTCGGGCGGTTTGCTTGGTTCGAGCCATTGCTTTTTCTTGCTTTTTGACTGATGTAAAAAGTGACTTGGAAAATGATCCGGCGCGTTTATATACCTGCGCGCCCGCCTACGCAATTTGGGTTGTCTCCCGCACTGGCCGCCGCGCCAAAAGCCGTTGAATCGATTTTCGCTCGCGCCAAGGCAGTTTGCGTGGGCTGGGTTGTCTCCCACACGTGTTAACTCGCCGCGTATAAACACCAGCGCGGCCCGAGAGAAGCCACAATTTTCTACATTTGTCAAATTTAGAAAAAAAGTAAAAAATGTCCGGACGAGGAAAAGGAGGAAAGGGCCTTGGAAAGGGAGGCGCCAAGCGTCACCGAAAGGTTCTCCGAGATAACATCCAGGGTATCACCAAGCCCGCTATCCGACGACTTGCTCGACGAGGTGGTGTCAAGCGAATCTCCGGCTTGATCTACGAAGAAACCCGAGGCGTCCTCAAGGTCTTCCTCGAGAACGTCATCCGAGACGCCGTCACCTACACCGAGCACGCCAAGCGAAAGACTGTCACCGCCTTGGACGTCGTCTACGCTCTCAAGCGACAGGGCCGAACTCTTTACGGATTCGGTGGATAAGCTCTGCTTTCCCAGCTGATCCCTGCCAGGATCAAACACCAAAACCGGCCCTTTTCAGGGCCACAAATTCAAAACCAAATCAATTTATCTGATGAGATTCATCAATTGGTCTTTACTAAAAATAGCCTTTACGTCGTGAACTGAAATAAATACAGTAATTTGACTCTAATAAGTCATCTTTTAATTATTTATTCTGTTGTTTTGAAATTCTAAAACGGCAGAAATAGTTTCGAGAATCACTAGAATCGACTTGTTTTCGAATTTTTTAGCAGCGCCGAAATCAATTACAATTTTACAAAAATTCTCTAGAATTTTTGCCTACCTCAGGGCTAAAATCATCACTCAATCAGTCTTCGGATTTTCGAAAGTCCGGCCAGATGATAACTGGCGGTAAGTTTTTACCTCACTTTTACGAAGGTTTCTAACTTTTTCTTTTTAGAAAGTATTCGCAAACGCGAGTTCAAAGCGAAAAGGGATCCAAAAAGGATCCCTTCACGACAAAGAAGATCACAATCGCTAAGAGCGAATCTCGAGAAAATTATTGCAAAAAAAAGCAATAAAAACCTATCACCTTCAAATTCTTTTTTGTCTTTTTATTTGCAGGAAGTTTGCTTAGATAAGAGGAAAGAGCGGTTTAGAGTTTCTGATGTCAAAACAGATTAGTTGCTTCGAAAGAGGATGAAAACCGGCGTTTCGGTAGCAGATTTCACGGTTGAGCAGTGACACTGCGCGAAATATTGATTTCTGCGCGCTTTTTCATTGAATCGATTGAAATCGTTGCGAAAAGGGTCTGAAAGTATTGCTATGAAACGCTTATTTTTGACATGTTGAAATATTTTATTTATTCAATAGAAAATACATTTACAGCAACATTACGTTGCCAACAGAAAATCAGATGCAGCATGCTCATGTGATCATTTTATGGCAGTTATGGGTAAATTTGTGGCCCTAAAAAGGGCCGGGTTTGAAAATTCCTTCGTGAGAAGAAATTTATTTGTCGCCAGTCTTCTTGGGGAGGAGGATGGCTTGGATGTTGGGGAGGACACCACCCTGAGCGATGGTGACACCGCCGAGGAGTTTGTTCAATTCTTCATCGTTTCGGATGGCGAGCTGAAGATGTCGTGGGATGATTCTGGTCTTCTTGTTGTCTCGGGCAGCGTTTCCAGCCAACTCGAGGACTTCAGCGCTGAGGTATTCGAGGACAGCGGCGAGGTAGACTGGGGCACCGGCTCCGACTCGTTCGGCGTAGTTGCCCTTTCGGAGCATTCGGTGGACTCGACCGACGGGGAACTGGAGACCAGCTCGGACGGATCGGGACTTTGCCTTCGCCTTGGCCTTAGCTCCTTTGCCTTTTCCGGACATGTTTCAAAAAGCGACTTTTTCTTTTTCTAGATGAGAAATTGAAATGGTGAAGAAATGGCGTTCGGAGACGGTATTTATTTGCTTGGGTGAGAAGCGCGGTGGGAAGAGTAGCGCTAATGAGCTGTTTCTCAGTTTGCTTCCCCGCCCACGCATTCGGGTTTCTCACTTTGCTTCACTTCGCCGCTGAAACGCGCCGCGCTGTGTGGGAGACAACCCGAATGCGTGGGCGGGGAAGCAAACTGAGAAACAGCTCATTAGCGCTACTCTTCTCAGCGCGCTTCTCGCCAGCCCACATAAAAAGCGAGGTCGACGTCTCATTCTTCACCATAACTTATTTTTTTCGAAAAATCAAGTCAAGATGGCCGCCACCAAGGGATCGAAGAAAGCTATTGTCAAGAAGGCTCCCCCAGCCGGAGACAAAAAGAAGCGAAAGGCTAAGCGAAAGGAGTCCTACTCCATCTACATCTACAAGGTCCTCAAGCAGGTCCACCCCGACACCGGTATTTCCTCGAAGGCCATGTCCATCATGAACTCGTTCGTGTCCGACATCTTCGAGCGAATCGCCAACGAGGCCTCCCGACTCGCCAAGTACAACAAGAAGTCCACCATCTCATCCCGAGAGGTCCAGACCGCTGTCCGACTCCTTCTCCCCGGCGAATTGGCCAAGCACGCCGTTTCTGAGGGAACCAAGGCTGTCACCAAGTACACCTCCTCCAAGTAAATTTCCCTCTGGGATCTTTGCTAAAAACCGGCCCTTTTTAGGGCCACAAATTTTCAAAACAGTTTACTTCTGAATCATTACCACTCTCGTAAAAGTCTTTGTCGAAAATACTAAAGCTTTGAAACACAATTGTGGGATGCGACAATTGATAGTTGTCAACGGTTCTCACGAACGATTTTATCTTCTTGAAAAACCAGACGATTGATCTTTCTATGGAAAAGAAAATTTTGTCTCCACTGAGGATATTGGCGAGCACTTCGGTTGGAGTCAATATCTTATCATTTTTGCTACCTCTATTGATTACTGTTAATTTTGAAGACATTCGTCAGTACCTATTTGGCCTTTGACGTTTTTTTGTTTTGCATTTTCTCCCGCAAATTGTGTTGAATCAACTGTTGATCTTCTTTTTATTTAATTATTGGCTTTCAATCAAACGTGTTAAATTTAATTAACCTTTTTAAAAATAATCGATAACTGACTATATTTGATGAAAACAATTTCTAAAGCGCGTTTCCGCCGGCGAGTGGCTCATCCATCACGAAAAAGAGGTGTTGATCATCTTCAACCTTTTCTTTTCTTTTTCTCCGCCAAGGCAATCAAATCAACTCAGATCATTCCAAATTAGAGAAATTCAAAAACAAAAATAATAAAATGAAACTTCTTGGCATTTTTCTCACACTTGCAGTTCACGCTTCTTACGGGTGTGCCGATTTCGATGAAAATGAAATTAGTGTTTCGATGCCAGCTCTTTCGATAAAAATACCAGGAATTGAAAAATTGCAAAGAGAACTCGTCAGATTCAGAGAAAAATTCAAGCTCGCCGATAACGATCGAAAACGGCTGCGTTTTGAAATTATAGAGCTGCGAAAAAGCATCGACGAAAGCCGGAAACAATCGGAAAAATCGGCGGAGGAAATCAAAGAATCAATTAAAAACTCGTTCACGGAAGAAGTAAATCTCCCTCCGGGATCTTTGCAAAAACAGGCCCTTTTTAGGGCCACAAATTCTCAAATTATTCTTCCACTTTCCAAATTGAAAAACAGAGCTTTGAAGTATCGTTCTATTGGTGTAAGATTGGGAGGTGACATTTCATTAGACAAGGAAACCGGGTGGAAACCGTCGAACTGTCAGAGCAACCAGTAAAAACGGTTCTCGAACGAGTTTTTTCTTCTTTATCTTTAGAAAATCTTTTTCTCTTGAACTCGAAGTTGGAGAGAGACTCGTTATGACAATAGAAGAAGAGAATTTTAGAAAAATCAGCCCGATTTTTCAGACTCGAGTCAGGGTAATTGGAAGTTTAATAAGTTATAAAAAGAAATAAATTTGATAAAAAGTGCATTGATTGCGACTGCATTGGTGTTTTGAGGCAAAAGGGGAGGAAGGTTTATTTACTGCCAGAAAAAGTATTGACAACCCGCAGCATTCATACTCAAGAATATGATATCAGAAGACTAGAGAAGAAGAAAACGTGGACGAAAAAGGTCACCGAAAAAATGAGCCTGGCTAAACATGGAAACGCTACGGATCCACAGCAATACAGTTACCTCACACTTGGCTCAATTTTTTGGATAACGGTGATGCTTATAGGTAGCATTCTTGTTGGTATGGTGAATTTTCATCAATTTTAAGCAAATGTCGGATCTTTGGAGAGATCACGCGGTCGCACAACATTTTTGAGTTCGACCTGTAATCGAAATTACAAGAAATGCGTACAGATTATATCGATGGACTATTGCGGTCATCTGATGAGACAGTGTCATGAAACAAAAGAATTCATTCTTCCCGAACAAATTTCGATAATAAAATCAAATGAGAAGAAAATCCCTAAGTTCGATGAAGAAGAGAATCAAGTGAATCTCGACCGCTGCCGTAAGAAACAGTTTTATGATCAGAAAATTTGCCGTCATCTTTGTTCAAAGACACTGGTTTTGAGATCAACAAGGAGAACGGCGTTGTCCAACTGTGAAACGATATGTTTCCAGCTCACTAAATCATTTGATTCCGCGGGAGAAGTTTGCCCAACTCAGAAATACTGTCTCACTGGCTGCCCATGTCCTTTCTACGAGTGTGAAAAATTTGAGTCACGTCAAAAACTCATTCCTGCTTTTGATTTGCAAACTTACAAAAAAGGCAATGCGTCGGATAGCAGAATATCGAATGAAACGAATGAAGACATTGGAGCGATAACTGGTCGTTGGTACGATAGAACATTTAAATACGAAAGCTTTCCTATTATTTTGTCTGATTTTCGCGGAAACGTTAAACAGATTGATACTTCTGATTTGTTCCTTCATGAATGTTTTTCTGATATGAAATACCTATATAATTTATATAATATACATCAAGTCAATAAAAATACGAAAGTCAACTGGTGCCACTTATCTCGAAGGAAGGCACTATTTGGTCGATGCTTTTGGGAATTTGATGAAAGTAAGAGAAAATGGAGATGATACGATATTTATTGAGAATCGAAGAAATGACATGTACGTTTATAAATATTTTAATCACAGTAGTAATCTTACTAGGGGATTTTTTATTTTTCACTTTGGATCGTCTATCGGAACACATCAAATTGAGATACGTCGAGAGGATAATGGCAGAAAAGTGTTTCCAGTGGTGGTTATCTGGAAAAGGTCGAAAGAGATAGAGTGACTCAGTTACATTATTTATTTTTTTGACCGGTTTAAGTTCCCCTACCGGGCGTGATAGCAAATGCTTTTACTACGCTCCGGATTACAACTTGAACCGGTTAGAGGAAGCCCAAGGCCTCATTGCGAACAGACACTACAACGCGAAAGTTTCTTCAGTCAGCTTTAAAGGTGTTTTCTATCTAATGAGTGTTAGAATGGGGGACTACTACGTCAAGCTCTCAAAAACGATTGCATTGAACAGAATTCGAAGAAGCGAAGAATTAGAGAAAGGATGGAGAAAGAGCCAAATCAATTTTCCAGCAGAATTTCGTGACTTAGACCCTGTTCATGTGGTGCCATTGAATAGGGTTTGATTTCGTAATTTTTCTTTATATTTCATATTGAAAACTTATGAAAGATTGATGTCGGAAGAATGCTACTGATTTTTGTTTCGAGAAGTATCGAACTTTCTAATACATTGTACTCAGTGTTACTCGAGGCAGATGAACAGTTTTTTACTGTCGGCAGCGAATGGATAGGTTCACTCGTTGAATACGAAGAAGAATCCATCTGTTACTCGAAGATGTTTTCTTCGGACGATCTTTTTTACACAAATCTCGGTGGGATCATTAACGATGAATGCGAGTACTTCGTCGATGGAATCATCAATAACGAAAAAATATTCCTTCAAAATTACGTTTTTGATGTTAGATTTGAAGTAGTATTTAATTTTGGAACGGATAAACAATATTTAGTTAGTAGAAATAACGTCAATACCATATTTCGAGTCCAAATTAAATTCTCTTAAAAGAACAAATCGAGATCGAGTTCATACAGAAAAAAGCGGAGAAAAAGATGTACGTGACGAGCAATCCATTTTTCACTTTTCATGATGATGTCTTTCCTGCCTTTCAGAAAAATGCTGTGTTTCAGCGAAGATATCCTAAGCCGAGCCCATATGAGAAGACAATAATTCCGGATAAGTTATTCTCGTCGCTAAGAGAACTTACACACATTTCAACTGTTAAAATTAAAAATAATGGAACTGAATATTTTCAATTCGATATTCATCACAATAAGAATTTACGCCTTTCAAAAGAAAAAGAAATTATTGGATGCAAGTTCGTTGACGGAACGACTGTTGTCAGCTTTAGAATACGAGAAAGGGGCTCGATTTGGATTGATTCTGATTATTTTGATGAGCGATTTGTGTTAAAATTAAACAAAGATGGATTAACAAAGTTGGGCTTCCAAGTTAATTCAAATCATTCAATGGAATCGTCATTTTTCGAAGTTTTTGAGGGACTTGTTGATTTTTATTTAGAATTTATAATTCTCTTCAAAAATCTCAACTTTTAAAGATTCATAAGAAAAAAAGAGAAGTAAAATCAAAGAGTGAAATGACGGGTCTTGCAAAAATTGAAAACAAAAGACTCCGCGTTTTTAAGTCCGACCTTGCCGTTAATATCACAAATTTCATATATTCTATCAAATCAAGCCAGATAAATGTTCTTCTTCCTGAGGCTTCTGGACTTGACCGGTCATATAGTTTTATTCCTCATGGAACAATCATGAGCAGAATATTTTTGAACGCTCCCACTGCTTTTTATAGAGGAAATATTGTATCTGAATATATATATTTCTCAAGACATGCTCTTGTTAATGATCAGCTTCACGTCTTTGGAGGCATTTATGATGCTCAGAAGGTAATTTCAGCAATTTGAAATAGAGCAACGCAAATTTTCACTTATAATATTTTATACAGATTGCTCGGTTGGACAAATGTCAATTTACGGAATTATCTGTGCGACTTGGTTTTTCTTATCTCTTTGGACATACAGCGTTAACTGTTGATAAAGGAACCAAAGGTTAAATACTTTATCAAATATTAGAGCCCATGCAAAAAGTAATAAATTGGTTATCTCAGATAACTTATCTGACAAATAATATTTTTAACAAACGTATTATTTATTTTTATTTAAGCGATGATATGTAACGGTAATAAGGAGAAAGCTTGTGAGATATTTGATGGATTTACCCTGACAATAACCTTTCCCACGAAAGAATCTTACTACTATCGTGAATTGGGCCTTTACAATGGTCGTCCGACTGTAATAGGAGGACAGTTAGCAGAAGGACTAGTGCAAATGCTGACCAGTGAGAAGTGGATTTCATTGCAAGATCATCCAGAGTTAGTGAGAAAATCGTTAACGCTGTGAAATAAAGTTAAGATCGATCTTCGATTGTTCGGTGGTCAGCATGGATTCTGGAAGCCTTTTGACTATTGGAGGATCAATTTCTTCTTTCGATCAACCTTACGATAGAATCTTTCGATTGACCAACAATAAGTGGACTTCTTTAGGCTCCCTTTTAAAAGTAAAATAAGTGTATCTTTCTTGAAGCTTTCAAAACTTCATCTTTATTCATTTTTAAGAAAGTTATCTCTCCGTCAGCGATATCATTTGGCGATTCTATTTTCGTATTCCCTGGAAAAGTAAGCAAATATGTCGGAACTCAGAACTTGATTTCGGAAAAATATGAGTTTCCAATTCAAAAAATTCAACTAGGTCGAGGTCTCACCATATTTTCTCCTGTTAACTAGTGGCAAGAATGTAAAGAAATCAGAAAGAACTAAGCCTGACCCTTGAAAAAGATTCCGACGAAAATTTTCATTCAACTTATGTGATTGCCGAGCAAGGAGCAGAAAGCTTTAATCCGATTATTTTTGTTACCCCTGTAAATTACTGTTATAAGTTAAGAATCTGATATTTTACCCTCTCAGTTTAATTATTGGCTTTCAATCAAAACGAGTTTAATTAAATTAACCTTTTAAAAATAATCGATAACTGACTATATTTGATGAAAACAATTTCTAAAGCGCGTTTCCGCCGGCGAGTGGCTCATCCATCACGAAAAAGAGGTGTTGATCATCTTCAACCTTTTCTTTTCTTTTTCTCCGCCAAGGCAATCAAATCAATTCAGATCATTCCAAATTAGAGAAAATCAAAATCAAAAATAATAAAATGAAACTTCTTGGCATTTTTCTCACACTTGCAGTTCACGCTTCTTACGGCAGCGGCGATTACGATGAAAATGAAATTAGTGTTTCGATGCCAGCTCTTTCGATAAAAATACCAGGGAATGAAAAATTGCAAAGAGAACTCGTCAGATTCAGAGAAAAATTCAAGCTCGCGGATAACGATCGAAAGCGGCTGCGTTTTGAAATCATAGAGCTGCGAAAAAGCATCGACGAAAGCCGGAAACAATCGGAAAAATCGTCCGAAGAAATCAAAGAATCAATCAAGAACTCGTTCACGGAAGAAGTCAGAGAAAAGAGAAAAAACTTAGAGGAGGAGTTTAAAGAATCAATGGAGACATTTCAGTTTGAGCTGAAAAATTCGTTGGTTGATTCAGAGAATGGCTTAAATTGAGTTGAATCGAGTTTGTTTTCGTGAAAAATAAAGCCAAAAGAAAGTTGGTAAATTTGGAAACGACAGTACGCTACTAGGTTATTCAATTAATTAGAGCCAATCAATGAGTGTTTGTTTTAGCTAAATCGTTGGTTTCGATGACCTCGATGATTGACATGGTCACACGCGACTTTCAGAAATACCTTGATGACTTTCATGAGAAGATTTCGAGCCAGAATTATACATAAGGGTTTCTCATATGAGCTTCAAATGGAACATATTTATTTGTCTTCTTATTATGAAACGGCTATTAAACCCGAAATGAACTCAGTCCTGTCCTGAGCCAACACCAGTTAATCCAAGTTCTAGCCAGCCTCTGAAGTACTCCTCACCATCTCAGTCAAAGTTATCAAGACTATTTCGAAGTCTTCTTCAATAATTGTGCCTTTAAATTAATTTGCTTGATAATTGAATGAAAGCAAGCTCAAGTGAAAATTGACAACGAGGTAACTTTATTGCATATTTTAATGATAAACAGTCGTTAATTTTAGAATTCTGGCGCTTCGATTCTCAAGTGTTATCAGTGTTGCGAGGAAATCCCAATCACGAATGATATGATTGCAAGTCTTCTAGGTCTCCAACTGCCAGGTGATCTTTCATTTTAAAAGTAAAAAGCGTAACTGAAGACATAGACGACTCATCCTTGATGCAAGACAGTGACTCAACCTCAAGTACCTCACAAGCGCAAACAGTCACGACACAGTCTCCAACAACAACTAAGACCAGTTCGACTCCGAGCTCAGTTTCAAGTCCGGCATCAACTAGCACTCCCAGTACGGATTCATCCACGGCTTCTGTAATTACAGCTGATGATGATGCTTTTGACGATCACGGTACTTCCATAGGTCCGGGTTCTCATAATTTTTAAAAAATTTTTTGATATCGAAAGTCGACAACTCGAGATAAGACAATGCCCCAGTAGACGTATCAACCAATGTCGCCGACAATAAAGACCCAGAACTCAAATCAATCAAACCCAGTCCACCACCAACCAAATCCCTAGAAAAAATCTGCAACGAAGACTGCCTCAGCGATTGCGCAGAGTACCACAGAGCTGGCTTCACAAAATCCGGAGTTTATCGAATCAAACTGGCAGTTTACAAAGTAATCGAAGTCTTCTGTGACATGGATACTGATGGTGGAGGGTGGACAACAATTCAGCGAAGAGTCAATGGCTCCGTCGATTTTAACCGACCTTGGGCTGATTACAAAAATGGGAAAAGGTCGAAAAGGTCGGTACTGTTGCTTGAATGAAAGTAACGCAATTTCTCTTTAAATTGTTGCTGCTACGTAGTGATTTAAAAATAATTCTCCGGAATTGCGTCATTGCCAAAAATTAGACAGTGAAAAATTTCTACTTTTGTCCTCAGTGCCCTAGATATTCACAAATAGATCGAGGATAAATAGTTATGAGCATGTTAAATATATTTCCATCGATTCGCGCCGGAATGACGAAGTGGTTGCTATTTTTGGTCGAGCGTTTATTTTGCATCGAGATTGATATTCAAATGATTTGCTGATCCCACTTTTCACGTGAAAATGTAAAGCGGCAATAAACTGATTTAAACATTTCTTCCTCCGAGACTCAATACAATAACTTTTTTCTCTAACAAAAGAGTAAAAATTGAATGCCCGAACTATAAGTTAGGGTTAGGGTTATGACACGGATCTCAAGATTTTTCATCTAAATAACTCCTCATGTGACGAATTTGACCAATAATTTCTTGATTTTGTTTTTAATGAACGAAACAAGAGACGTTTAACTACAGTTCTTCAACTTTAATATTAAGGGGATCACTATGTTAAGCCTTGAAAACGATCATGCCTTTTCTGAGTGTGAAAGCATTTTCTGACCTTGTGAAGATTCGGTGATATCGAAGGAGATCACTGGCTTGGCCTGGAGAACATGTACAGACTGACTCGCCAGGAAAAGTAATCAAGTCTTTTTTGAACGTGAAAGTATCGTTTTAGTTGGCTTCTATTAATACTGTCTGGTTGAAAGTTTCAACGTCTAATAATAAGTTTAGATCGACGCTGAGAATAGACCTCACGGATTTCTTAGAAACGGTTCCAATCATGACCTTCTTTTTTCCATTTTTGAAATGACAGTAATGAACCATTTGTACAGGAAACTCACGCTACGCCGAGTACGCGCGCGTCCGAATCAACTCGGAGAAAATGTTCTATCAGGCGCGGTTCTAAAGGGAAAAATACGAAATCACGTGCGTGAATAGTCAGAATAGCCTTTTTCGTCAAGTGTACGTAAGTTGATCGCTTATTTCTGTCGGCTGCCACGAGGTGGAAAAATTAAACTTTTCGCGTCATCGTGGAAAATAAAGCGCGCGCTTTTCCGAAAAAGGGGAAAAACTCGCTTATCATCGTTGACTAGATCTAATTGATAACTGGAACTTCCAGGGTAATTCTCAACGGGAATTTATAATTGATCGTAAAAATCATTCTTCTTATTAAAAAAGGGATGACTCTTCAGGGGAATATGGAATCTCTTAAAATGGGGTTGGGTTCGGGTCAGGGTTAGGGTCCCTAACCCTAACCCCCGGAATCGGCAACTTTCACTTGAAATAACTTTCGTTTGGCCTTATGGATTAATATAATTCAAATTGCATATAGAAGTTTATACCTTCATTGCAATTCGCAAGTAGCTTTACTCATTTTGAAATGTCAAACATGCACTCAGGGGCTCTTGAAAAATTCGAATTTTTGAAAAACGCCTTTTAGGGGTATTTTCAACGCGAAATAACTTTTTATTGGGCTTTTGCTTTGCTCTAAAAACTAGAGGATCAAGAAGAATGGACGCTAATCTACAGTTGCAAGTAGCTTTAGCATGATTAATCAAGTTATAAAATTTTTTTCCCATGAAAAACTTTTCAAGTCCATTTATGCCAATTTTCGGCATTAAATTGCTCTCTAGCGGCAAATAACGGCCGAAAAATTTTGTGCGGTCATTATATTCTTAATCAGTACATTCTAAGCTTTCTATAGACCCCTTATTTGTCTATTTTCGATGACATTGAAAAGTCGAAAAAAATACGATTTTCACACTAAGTACAATTTACATGCATTTTTGCAATTTTCGAAGGGCAAAATTTCGGGTTAAGATGTTTGTTAGGGGGTACTATAATACATAAAAATGATCCTCAGATAACGAGGAATCTAAATATGCGACAAAGGGACCCGTTATTAAGATTTGAAATTCCGGGGGAGGACCCCTTAAGGTTGGGTTAGGGTTAGGGTTAGGGTTGGGGTTGGGGTTGGGGTTTTGGGTTTTTATTATTGTTAGATCCACGAAAAAGCTAATGGTTTGGGGAAAATACTCTGGCACAGTTCAGGACTCTCTGGAACGGCTCAATCTATTTTCAATTCAATTTTGCTCATCTTTTTTAATTTTATTTGCGATTAAATTTTAAAACAATAGAGCAAAAGCCCCAAAATAGCAATACTCGTCCGCATTCGACCATAATCAGAAGAACTTCACTACATTCGATAGCGACAACGACAATTACGGTGGAGATATTATTTTTAACCCAACCGAAGCAATTATTTCTCAGAGAAGGGAAATTGCGCATCGCACTACAAAAATGGCTGGTGGTTTGACAAGTGCTTCGCTGCCAATCTCAATGGGAAATTCTACCACGAGCCGTATGAAAACAAAATGAGGGATGGAATTTACTGGGGTCGATGGCCAAACAAGCTGGAAGGGAAATACATGGTCTTTACTGTAAGAATCTCATGAGCAACCGGGTTTTGACAAAGTAATTTTAGTACATCGACATGAAAGTTCGACCAGAAGATTTCAAGTCAGCGGCAATGAAAAACGCATAGAAAAGAGAATCTCTTCCTTTATGTACAAGAACCTTCTCTGTAAATACAAAAAGCATACGAACGAAAGAAAAAATCATCTGAGAAACGCGTCAGAAAGGGACCTTCCGTCAGAGAGCAAACAAAAAAGTCAGACGATGGTTTCCTTTCGAACACGTTCTCTTCATACTTTTTTTTGAGAAAGAGAGTGTTCCAAAAATAGTTCCGACAGCTGACGAGAGTGATTAGGATTTAGGTCATATTCAGGTAAGAAAAGGTTCTTCGAGAAAAGGCTAAAAATTTGATTTTTTGATTATTTTGAAAAGAAAACCTCTTATTGAACTTTCAACTGTCAAAAATACTGAGTCCAAAGTTTCCTAGGTACTGTACGGGGAGGGTATTTTTTGCGTCTCGTCACTTCCTCTTCTGTTATCAGCGAAATAAAGTACAAGCTCGCGCAGACTTTGCACTACTGGGACCAGGTGATGGGCACGATCGCTACCCTCCCCTGCTTGAAGCGTGCTTTGCTTCTTGTGGCATTTTGAAAAAAAGTGAGAAAGAGACAAAACACGTGAGTGGACCCACAAGCCTCGAGGCTAGGACCCCGAGAACCCTAAAAATAGCCAGGAGGGGTATTTTTAAACCCACCAGCCAACACGCGCGCAAATCCAAGGGCACAAACTTTTCACACGCAACCCATGAGAAGGAATCGTTAAGGGTGTACCCAACGCTTTTCACGTTCGAAATTATCACAATAATCTCGATCCCTTAACCCTTAGAGACCTCCATAATTTGCTGGCAACGCACTTTTTTACCCGTAATTTAAATTAATGAAAAGATCATTTACGCTTTTTTTCACGCGTATTTACGAACAACAGGTGGTCTATTTTTAGGTGAGATACAAGTGATTTGCAATTTGTTTTTTACTCAAAGATATTTTGCGCTAAACTTGTCACCTTTTCCGAATAATCAAAAGAAAGGAGCATGTGTACATAATCCTATCTACAATTGCAATTTGCAACGTAAGAATTTATCAAAAAAAGCCGGCAAGAATGTTCTATTTTTATCTGAAAATTCGGAATAAAGGACGATTTCATAAAATCAGGCGCAGTTCTTGATCCTTCGAGTTTGTCAGTCAGACAAAATGTCAAGGGATCATGCTCGGACTTAAGGGTCTCAACAGGGGTTAAAATCGCTGGATGGGAATTCCTAGGTTGACATTTGAAAGGAATTTTATCGGTAGAAAAATGATTATGATTTAATTTGAACTGATAATGACATTTTTCGAGCAGAATCGGAACACCAAAATATCCATTTTTTCAAGGAGATAATTTCAACTTGCGATAAGCTCAGCAGGAGCGCAAGATGACGCATTTTAAATGTGATAAGAACTTTTTCAGCAGTTTGCTTTATTGACTGCTAGAATCGATGATTTATTAACGATGAAACGTTGTTTATCGCGTTAAAAAGATGTTCTGACGTTCTCCGAGTATCAGATTAACTCTGGGATTAAAAATATCGTCCTATTTTGAATCTGGAATCTGGAAGTTTTTAAAAAAAGAAAATCTGTCCGTTCCAGCAAGGCATCATTTTGTCCGGCGTTATTTTTAAATCCGGGCGGATCAGTTTCTTTAATTTATATTTAACTCGCTTCTGTAAATCAAGTTCGATTGACGATCTGTCCAAAAGTGTCAATTATCGGCAGCGTTGCCACTCATAATTATCCATTTTAAAATGTCATCCAGCGACTCAGAGGTCGAGACCTCATAATCCCCTTCGTACGTATCTTTTATACAATCAATAATTGTCTGAAAACTGGTCAATAAGCCTGGAAATGTTCTTTATTATCAAAAAAGGGACGCACCTTATATAGGGCCAGGGGAGCGAAGCTCTTAGGTTTAGGCCTTAGGTAGGGCCTCTAACGAAGCGGGAAGCTATGCGGGCAAAGCCCATTGCCAATGGGCCATTGGTTAGGGTTAGGGTTAGGGGCAGCCCGAATTATAATCGTTCTTACTAAGCAAATATGTTGAAAAATTGAAGGTTTTGAAAGCTTTTATGGCAATTTATCTTGGTGAATTATTAATTTAAAGCAGGAGAAAAAGTGTCCGGCTGTTTTTTTTCTTCTTGTCTAGGAAAAAAGCGGAGTTCCGGTTCGTGGAAACAATTAGATTACGATTGCGTGTTGTGTAGCAGTTCAGGTTGAGTAGCGGTCTTTCAACTCAGAATTCGTAATTACATTTTTGAAGCGAGTTTATGGCTCCTGGGTCTGATTTTGTCGTTACAAGTTAACTCAAACTACTACACACCTCAGCATAAGAGATAGCCAGCGATAACTAACTACCGGAAGAGGGAGAGAGAGAAAAATATATAGATTGTGTTATCTACAGGAATACAAAATAAGAAAGAAGTTTATACAGAGAGATTTTCTTCGACAAAGAATTAATTCAAGGTTTGAGGCTTTTCATTGATGAATTTAAATATTTTTCCCTGAATATAAAGTGTTTCATCTCTTAGCTATCATCTTTGTAAGAAAAATTCAATCAAAGAACAACACTGAGGCACTTAAAATCTTAAAGAAAGTGATAAAGAAAAAAGGTGCAAAAAAGAGCATATCAGTATTTTCTCTCTTGTCTATCATTTGCCCTGGCTTTTTGAGCTCTCGGAAACAGGGCACACTTGTAAGTTGGTAAGTTGCGCGCACCGCCGATTACACAAAAGCCTAGAGCTGATAAGGGGTCGTACTGATAAGGCACGCGGGAATTGGGACAATTAAGGTTTTCACTTTTCAATTTAAAGGGGGCCTAAATATCGATGTTTAATAATTAAGATTGTTGTTGATTTTTGTTGTTTTTATTAATCGAAGGTGGGCCTGTTTAGTAGCGGAAATAAGGTTCACGATTTATGATTTTTACAAGCTTCGGCCGGATGATACAAGGCATTATGCTCAGATGGTCAGCTGACGAATCTGAGGCACTCTTGCTGAGTGTTGATTTATAAAGCGAAAATGTAAGAATGAAACGTTCCGGAAACAGGAACGAGACATATAATGAAATGGATGACTCCAACGGGTATTCTTCTTTTACGATACATGTCATAAATCTTATCTGAAAACTCACACAGACAAAAAGAAGAATATTATTTACTTATTACGACCAGGCTTAGCTTAAAATCATTATTTTTCAAATGGGACTTATTTGTCTAGCGAACAAGGATAGTCCCATTTCTTGTCTAATTGTTTTCGCCTCGCCTCGTAATGAAAGGTTTTTCGCGTTTTGAAAACTTTTCCAAAATCGTGTTCAAAATAAATCCTTTCTGGTGTAAAACCAAATTTTGCGCAAAACGCGCTGGGCCTTTTGATTTTCGTGATTTTCGCGCGAATTCTAGTAAACAGTATTTTGAGGAAATAAGGAGCTTTTGAGATTCTTGGCTGAGCAGCTAGTTATAAAGTGTGATGATTTTAAAGTTATATAAAGCCCGGAACAAGGGATTTGGCGCTAGGCGCAGAATTACGCTTGTTTTGGTTCGGTGGTGCTCGCACCAAGCACCAGCTTCTTTCTCCAGCCACCTTTCTGGAGAAGCAGCCATCTGCCAAAAGTGCGTCTGACTAGCCACTTGAGCAAAGACCTTCAACAATAAAAATTTTCTTATAAGAGCTTTTACCCGCGCCCTTTATCATCAGGTAAATTTGATAGGAAGTGATATCAAGGAAAACCGAAAAATTATCGGAGAGTCCAAAATTTTCTTAATTTTTTCGGACAGGACATTATTTTTCATAGCTTTTTTAAAGAATAAGGCTCATTAAAATTTTCTTAATCCGTCAATCCTGACCTCTAGTCCTGTAAAATTCTTCTTGTCCCTCAATTTATCACCTCATTTTGTGAACAAAACAAGCTTCTCACGGTTGTTTCTCTCGGGAGCTTATAGAAGTGCCTTGGGATTAGGAGAGGGGCTCACGCGAAGCTAAAAATAGAAAACTGTAGCGGACTTCCGGCGCGAGGGTTTTTGATTAGGACAAGCGGAAATTACTTAGAATTGATATTAGAAAATGTAATGAAAGATGGGTGAGAAGATTGTGACTTTACAGATGGGGGAGAGCGACCAGCTGGTTTTAGATTTTTATCAGGAGTAAGGGAGGCTCAACAGATTGTGAGAAACCAGATGCGCATTTTTATGAAAAAATATATAAAACTTTTCTTGATTGAAATTGTATTTGACATTTTCTAAACTGATCTTTCTTCTAAATATTATTCAAAACCCTTTTAGTCGACATTTTAGAGTTTTAATTTCAAAGAATCATGTGATTCATGTGCAATATCTTTATCATAAATAATGTTTTACCTTTGAAGACCCATTTTTTATTAGAAGATAATCAGTAGTTATCCACGAATATACAGTGATAAGCTTTCCCCCCTCAGCAGGTTCTTCTGACCGGGTTGTAGCACCATGGGCGATGGGGATTGGTTAGCGCTGGCCCTGGCTTGGACCCATTTGCGCCCCCTTGAATGCGGTGGCGCCAAACGCGCTCGCCGTCTTTCCGCTTCCCCTCTCCATGTTTCCAGCAGGATTCTATAAAACACCTCTCTCCTCTCGTATTTTAACACAAATCAAAATACCCAAAAATAGCCAAAAGCATCCCTTTTTCGAACGTGAAATTGAATAACACTAAAAGCTTAAAGAAAAACAGCAAGAGAGTCAAGTCAATTTTCAGAGCTCAAGAAACCTAAAGAAAAGACAGCGAAGAAAACATGGGAAGAAAGAAAATCCAGATATCAAGAATCGCCGATGAGCGCAACCGACAGGTAGTAAGAAATAATCTTCCCCCTTCTTAACATTTTTCAGGTGACATTTACAAAACGTAAATTCGGACTCATGAAGAAAGCATATGAGCTCTCGGTCCTGTGCGATTGCGAAATCGCTCTCATCATCTTCAACAGGTACAAAGACTCTCCCCGACCTTGCTATAACTTTTCTTTGTAGCTCAAACAAGCTGTTTCAATACGCCAGCACGGACATGGACAAAGTCTTGCTCAAGTACACTGAGTATTCCGACCCACACGAATCTCGAACCAATTCCGACATCGTCGATGTAAGTCCTTCTCTTTCACGATCCGTTCTAAAACTTACCTTCCTCAGATGCTTCACAAGAAAGAGCACAAGAGTTGTGACTCCCCCGACTTGCTCCAGGACTCGTACGACTCGAACAAGTACTCCAAAATCTCCAACACCGATGCCTACGGCTCCGCTCCTGCACTCGATCACATGGTAAGAAATGAAAACAAAATGCTCAAAATCCTGAAATTTTAATTTTCGTATCAACAGGCCCCGACTTCCGTGTTTTTCAAAAAGCAAGGGGGCTAAGTAACACACACAGCCGTCAGTGGTTTATACATAATTTCCCGCTTCCGCAATGATGGGAAATTCGGAAGTGCTAATTTCCGATGAGCAGAACACGCTCTCTGGACCACCCACTGAATTATTATTTCATTCTTTTAGGCGGTGAACCCTCAGCATCTCTACCAGCAGCCGCCGCTCTCCTATTTACCCAACAGCTTGTTACATGTGAGTACTCGGCAGCTCAATTTTGCCCAAAATAAGGCCATCTCAAGGCGCACTTGGCCACTTAGACGCTTTCATTAATTTCTACATTTTCAGGCTCAGCACCAAATGGATCAGCAAAAGATGCTCTCTCTCAACGGCCGTCACTCTGTTTCTCCTCCGTCCAACTCTTCTTCCAGCCCATCCCAACCAGCAAGTAAGTCTCCTTTCCCTTTCGTTTTCCTTTTTCATTTCTTGAAAAAGACGGCTCGGTGCCGGGTGCTTTCCAATTTTAGAACTTCTTTACTCAACTAATTAGTCATTTTTTCAGATGATTCTGGCATGGTCAGCACTGGCGCAGATACAGGCAGCGCATTGAGCTCGACCTACACGGACTTGGACTCGAACAAAGACTCATCAAAGGACAACCAGCAAAACGGACAACGGCACGCGGCAAACAACGGACAAATGACCTCGATCATCGGACAGAACAACGCAATCGGCAACGGACAAGCTACAGTAACGAACGGACAGGCAAACGGATCACCACAGGATGTGCAGGAACAACTCAGACGAAAGTCGCCAATGCGATCTCGACCGGACTTACGTGTTCACATTCCCGCATCGTCACACGCTCCCACCGTAAGTCCCCACTACTGTTTTTGATAATAACAGGACAGTTAAAAAGACCCGAGTCTAAATTATCTCTTCAGTTGAATCCATCTCTCGTCGGCCAAAGCTCTCTCCAGAATCCCTACTCTCAAGTGCTACCAACATACGGATCAGGTAAAATCAATAGTTTTTCTTCATCAAATTCATTCTTTTTCTTTAGATTACATGCTCGGACAACCCCACCTCGGCGACATCGGCTTCAATTCTCCCTTACTCACTAGCTCGGCCTGGCCTCATCCAACTCCTCTTCATCCTTTGTCAGTAATGTAAGTTTTGGAAATATAACTTGGAATGAGTATTAACACATGGTGTTTTAGGAAAGACGAAATGAGCGGCATGAATGGCAACGGCGAGTCAACCATCAAAGCGGAGCCGGGCAGCCCTCTCAACGGAAGTGATGAACAAGTGTCCCCGCAGAGCATCACCCATTCTGGGTAAGTCTCATTCCCAAGCGGTAATTAAATTGCGCAAAAATTAACCGACCACCAAGTTCAAATTTTATATCATGGGCTCCACGTCCGGCTGCTCTTTTTTCCACACCACTGGTGTTGGATGAGCTTGGGAATAACCCCTCCCTACCTTTCCACTTTTGATTTATCATTTTTTCCGTAGCCATATTCTTTTTTATTTCATCGAAAGTCATCATTAGTGTACAGAAGGGTGAGATATTTTCAAATAAAAATAAAACGGAATTGAATTTCTTTAAAAATAATAAAAAATCGGACGATATTTTTCGGTCATATTAAATCGCCCCTGTGCCAAGGTCAACCCTTGTTTATCTCGCGGGGTATCTTGCGTGGTATAATTAGACTCGGAAAACTTAATATTTCACGTCTTTCACGCAAATATCCGTCTCACCGTCGTATTTCCCGATCGTGTTTCCATCTATATGACTTTCCAAAACGGTTACCACGGGATTTTTTCAATTCACGTTTTTCCTATTTCAAAAAAAATCAATTCTCAATTGATCAATTTCTTCAGAAACTCGCCCATCGCAAGTAACCACCTCCAATCGTCCTTCCACCCGTCTTTCCACCACCAGCACCAATCCCTGCACCACCAATCACAGCATCTGATGGAGCTGGGCTGCGCGAAGCGACCTCGCCTCGACCACGGAGTCGTCCCCAGTTGGGCTTCCTAACCATTTAATGTGCTAATTTATCAACTCAACTTTCTTGTTCAAAGTGCGACCGCTACTCTCTGCAAAAAACAACCACCGTTCTCGTCAACGTCAACTTTTCGTAAACTTGTAAAAATCTATAACAACCAAAACCAAATAATCTCCCTTTTTCTATCTCTCTTTTGATGTGCTACTACCTTCTATTTATTATTCTTCCTTCCTCTTTTATGGAAGTTTATGTTTTTGTAAAAAATGTTAAATACAAAATAAATAGAAAAGGCTGATTTTGTGATTTAAACTCGCGATTCTTTGACCTTTTGCAAAATTGTTTGGCAAGTCTTATGTAAACCGAGAAGAAAAAAGAAGGATGTATAGATTTGCAATGAGACGAATAAGAGAAAGCTTTCTCAATTTATTAATAGGCTAGTGTTTATTTTCAAAAATACAAAATTAAATTCAACCTTGAGTCTGCTTTCAGGAATTTTACTTGGCAATAAGATTGGAAATGTTCTCCTCAAGGTAATTATTATATTTCCGGCGGGTGGGGAAGGGATTAAAATTTAATCTCGTAGAAGATGTTTTTTGTGTGTTTTTTAGAAAAGATCATACTTTGAATTATCTGTTGTTTAGAGACAGCGATCTGTTTGCGAAAACAAAGTTGCCGGTTCTGGATCAGAAAAATTAAGGCACAATGCAAGCGTTTTGATTGGGATTTATTCCACTGATGAGCTCCTTCAAACCCGAGGTCGGGCAATAATGGATACTTGGTACAACTCTGTCGATAAAAATCAAGCTGAAATCGTCTTTTTCGCGAATTCGACGAGTCCAAAAATGAATATTGTTCAACTACCGGGTGTGAGCGACCATGACTATCCGCCACAAAAGAAGTCGTTTCGCGCATTGCAGTATATTCTCAAAAATAGAAAGGACATCCATTGGTATTTGCGAGCAGATGATGATATAGTCATAAACTGGTCGAATCTTCAGCAGTTTTTGTTCTCACTTGACCACGAAAAATCCTACCTGATTGGAGCTCCTGGCTTTGGAAAACATGAAGAGGACTTTATTCAAGAAGGCTTTGCATTTTGCATGGGTGGGCCAGGAGTTCTAATGTCGAAAGGATTACTTGACAAACTGAGGGGAAGAATCAATGAGTGTCAAAACAGTATACGCATGGGTTTTATACTGTCGTTCTAACAAATCTCATATCATCGATAGGGGTTATTCATAATAACTTTTTATACAAAACCGACAACAGTAACAGAACACGAAGACATAGAGCTAAGCCGGTGCATTTACCAACTAGGAGAGGGATTTTAATATTTCTATATCTCAATTATCTTTATTTATATCTCCTTCCTCATTGTCAAAAACACATGTGAGGCGCAATTAAATCCACCACTCAGCTGAAACAATGTGCACAAAAGCAACGGATGTGCAGAGCTATTTTTACCAACACTACGTGAAGCAAAAGAGTGGAACCGACGCTCAGAACTCCTATGGAAGAAATATACATCCAGCAACGGGCAGAAAAAGCTAAAAATAAAGAACGAACAATGCATTTTATATCCGTTTTCAAGACGATCTTAGACCTTCTACAAAGCGAAACGCACTGACTCTCCATGCAAATAAAGACCCACTTGGACAATTCAACACTTACCATGCCATTCTTCAATCGAAAATTGCAATTCTAAATGCTAGAATTCTCCATCTCAAGACATCGATCAATTCGACAATTGAAGAATCTCCGATAAAAAGAGTCAGAAGTGATGAAATCTGGACTTTTACGAATCGCTTCAAAACATATCGAATCAACCCGTCCTTAGCTCAAATCGTCAAAAATGAGCCGCATTCAGTCAAAAATATTCTTGAAGAAAAAATAGAAGGAAATTTGAGAGTCAAAAACTTCAACACAAGAGTTCTTTCAGATCGAGTAGAACATATTGTTAGATACCGAGAAGATAAGAACACTGGACCTGGAACTTCAGAGCTAAAAGTTGCTTATGCTCAGAGATCTCTGGACAAAATCATCTTCAACGAACGAAGCCCGATTTCGCTGAGAAAGATGAGTGGCGAGAAGCTTGTTTTGATAACACCCGTCTTAGGAAACAGCTTTTTACTGGCCTTTTACTTCAGCGGGTGATTTTAAATAGCTGAGGAAAGGGAGACTCGATTCTTTCGAAAAATTTCTCGACCGATTTTTGCAAATTCGGGCAAAAATGAAAATAGAAATTGAGCTTGTCGTGGCTCTTTTCTCGTCGGATACAGTGTTGGAACGATTAATTACAGCAATTGAGCGAGTGGAAAAGGATCAAGGTGATCCCCACGTGGTGCGCTTCGTTGTTGTGGACGGTGCTTTTTCCAGAGGCCGGGGGATCGCCCAAGCGATAGACGCCGTCCATGGAAACGCGCTGTGTAAGCTCAATTACCGAATATTACAAAATAAGCGATTTAGTATTTTTCGTCGACATCGATATGATCCTTAGCCAAGAAACACTAGAATCGGGAATCACGTTGACGGTTCCTGGCCAAGTTTATTTCCCAATTTTCTTTTCGATCTTCGCTCAAAAATGCCGTGCCCAGCAAAGCGTATCAGAAACAAATGGATTCTGGCGGATATATTCGACTGGAATGGTTTTTATTTTTAAACATGATTATCTGAAGACCGATGGCTTCGACTTGACAATTAATTCTTGGGGACAGGAAGATCTTAGATTCACTGAAGCGGTCATCAGTGCTAAGCTCAAAGGAACGATAAGATAGTGAGCTTACAATATCTTTGATTACGGAATGTCTCCTAGGAGGATATTTCATCTTTTTATGTTATCCAAATAAAGTGATACGAGTGAAGGATCAAAACCTCATTCATCCTTGGCACCCGAAAAATTGCAAGAATCTCGTTAACAAGTTCTTTCAAGAGTGCGTTCCTGTCAAAATGGCTCACTACTGTAGCTACGGGATGCTTTATGAAGAGTGGAAGTACCAGCAATCTCCCCTCTTCGAAGAAGCTAAACTCAAAAAGAAGCATTCAAAAATCGCTTTTCAATAAAATTGCAAACACGGAAAACTCTAATTGATCCTGATTTTGTCACCCCGTTTAGCGTTTCGTAATCCGAGTGATATTTCGTTTTCTCAACCCGTTTTCTCGCACATCACTCGCCTGCGGCGGCGTGGCCAACTTCCTGGAGGCATGCCGCTAAAATAACAATGAAAAATGTTGCGACTGCCCTCTTCTTCATTCCCGATGGAAATTACGCTCTTCGAAAATTTCAATCTCATACTTTTCGTCAGAAACAACCACTTGAATTCAAAAAGAGAGAGTGAAGAGTTTAAATACTTATTTCCTCAATTTGCATAAGGAAACAAAACTACAACGGCGAGAAAGGAAATCGCTCGGACTACAGGAAATGGACAGTGCTGAGCCTCTTTTCTTATATAACCACAATAGTCCGAAAGTAGAAAGGTAACTTTATTACGTATCTGTATTTCGTGTTCACCTTTATTAAAAGTCTGAGTCTTGATCATCGCAATAGGCGCGGGTTGTTCGCCAGTGCGCGCGCAGTATCGCACTGATAGCATTCCAAAACATGGCCAGAGTTGCCAGAATTGACGCGTTTGCTTCCGTGATTCGCCGGGTGCACCTGCACTTTACCACATGATGGAGCTAACTGACTTTTTCTAGGACGATTCTGGAGTCAATCACCGAGGATGAGCAGCAATCACTCGCACAAGCTCAAACGTAAGAGATACACAGAACATGTTTTCATTTTTCCCGAACTGCAGTTGTTTGTCCTGCAAACAATCAGTTATTATCAATCAAATGATAGCTCACTCAATGAATTGTAGTGATTACTGGCAACAAGAAAACTACTACGGTGAAGATTATCAACGGTAAGAGAAGTTTTTCAGATACTCCTTCTTGATTTCAACGACTAAAAACCTCATTTTAGCCAAGCCTACGGAGCTTATTACGATGATCAAGGGTACGAAAACTGGGGACATGATGGGATCGTTGATCTAACTGGCAGAAACGATCCTCCACTCGTGAATAGAGGTACAGTCATTTACCAATTTTATCTGAAATTTATTTTTTCTCCCAGAAGCTCAGTACCAAGAGTACCAAGAAAATTTCGCGCAGCAGCAACAAGCGTACGAGCAGCATCAATATAGTAACTACCAAAATTTTGATCATGGAATCGACGTCGGCCTCCCGCAGGTTCATTCGATGGGAGGTGGTTCTTTCCATGGATGGGAAGAGGAAGCATATCATCAGGTAGGATAAGCTGTTGGTGACAGATATCATGTACTTTTATAGCCAATGGATCCCTACGCAACAACGACCCAAACGATTGTCTTTCCTCATCCCCATGAAGACTCGAGCACGCCTCCAGAAAGCCCATCCCCTCCGATTCGCGAAGAAGGATGGATGAGAGAGTTCCATCAAAACTTCCCATCGGGTCAACATCACAGGTAAGAAAAGTCCTTCCTAGCCTTTGATAAAAAAACTTTAATCAGGTACCCTTACGATAAGAGCTACATGGATGAAAATGACAGCGATGGATCATACAATGGAGCATCAACCTACTCAACGGAGAATCCTTACAAGAAGTGGGAGGAATTCTGCACAATCTATGCCAACCCGGGCTCTACTCAAATTCAGCTTTGGCAGTTTTTGCTTGAACTGCTAAAGGTAAAACCTCAAAAATAATTTGTGCATATTTTTACTGTAAATTTAAGACACCGAAGCATCAGCATTGCATCACATGGGAAGGTGGAGAAGGTGAATTTCGCATGATCGACCCGGACGAAGTTGCAAGACTTTGGGGCGATCGGAAAGGAAAGCCAAACATGAACTATGGAAAGCTCTCCCGAGCTCTCAGGTAAAATTCATCTCCGTTTTCATTTATCAATTGGAGCATAGATATTACTACGAAAAAGGACGAATGACAAAGCTCCATGGCAAACGATACGCGTACAAATTCAATATCGAAGTCATCAAACGCGCGGAAATAGATGGCGCTCAATAAAAATAATTACGAACTATCTTCTCACTGTATAAAAAGCTGTATCACTGTAAATAGGAAAGAATAAACAAAGTTATTATAAATTTTAAAGAGAAGTCGCGTTCTGAATAAGCAAACTTGCGTCAGACTTGATTAAAAAGGGATCAATCGATGATTCTCCTCTGCGAACCACCCATTTGGTCTGAATTGTGAGCTTAGGCGATGGAAAGTCCCGCGAGCGCAGATGAAGAGAGAATTTCGTTGAAAAGTCTTCAGAAGAGGAAAATCATCGTTACCCCCTCTGAACTCAAAGAACCGCGAATTATCGTTCCAGAGGTACTTCGATAGCCCCAGAATGTTACCATTAGTTTTTAGGCTGAGCAATGGCTTCATGCATTTTCGGATATGACACAGAAAGTTGCGTTGCTAACGCTTGAAACAGAAACGCTAGCGGAAGAACTTGGCAAGGTAATTGTTTCTTTGAAATTTGATGATGAAGATTGAATCAAAGTTGGAAAAGCTCAAAATGGACCGGCAGCAGGAAATAGCGAGAACTCAGAAAGCAGAGCTCCTCGACGATAAAAGAAAAGGTACCAAAAGTCGATGATGTCATAAAAGACGCTAATTATGTTATTTTCAGAACTCGATTACGCCGTTCGCGATCGAGAAAGGAAAGGAACTATTGGAATCGACTTTGAATCGATTTATTTCTTGTTTCTTCTTTCGGAAATCCCTTTTTGAAAGAACCAAACTGAACTACGAGATGGCACAGGAAAGATTGATCAGCTGCTAATTGGCTCAATACTTTATACAGGTTCTTTTCTGACCTTATTTTCTACCGTGTTCTAGACCTTCTTTCGGTTAAAGATCAGGTGGTGGTTTAATTGGAGAGCTCTAAAAATAATTTAACAAGTTTATGGTTTGATGATCAGTCACCTTTTCCCCAATTACAGAAGATATTCCCATTAGCAATTTATCCGATATCTGATAATACACACATGACCACATGTCATCATTTTTAGCGATATTTTTATCGGTCTGGAGAGAAGTTTTTTAATAATTCTGATGTGGTTTGAACGTTCGAAAGCATTTGCAAAAAAGAACAGCTGCCATGATAAGAGCAAGCATTACAGACATGTTTGATTGAAAGTTTGAACTGGAACGTGCTCTCTATCAACCCCCATTTATTGAATAATAAAACACGGAGCCACAGGAAGATCCATCTCAAAAGCTACGTAATCGGTTGCAATTAAAGACCCCAGTGGAGGATGAGGACAAATGCCATCTCGAAATTAAGGATCAGGTCAATACAGCATGGAATTGATCCTTTACGGTTCAAGGGGATCTTTTCGCATTATTCGGAAAAGACCTTTTTACAAAGAGAATAATGGACGAGTACGCACAGCTTTATCTTGCTTGCAAATATATCGAATAAAATTTATACGAATTTACACGCTTTTCAAATCAAGTCAACCATTTTTCAACTGAAGAGATGTAATATTTAATTTTGAAAAACGAAAAAAACTGACTGGATATTTATAAATATTTATCCTTCCCACGTCAAAGTAAGCAGCTTATTGGAGAAGGTGTAAAAACGATAGACCGTTATTCTCTAAAATCGTCATTCGAGGGCGTCCGAGCGCCGCAGTCTTCAAAGTCGTCAGTTTTCGCGGAAGAGAAGCTTTCAAAGAGAACCTTGAAAACTATCCTAGAAAATTATCTTTCTGAAACAGAGAGAAAGAGGGAGAGGAAGAAGATATGAATATCAAGAACAGAAGTTGCTCTTCGAAAATATCGTAAAGGTTCACTGACTTCTTGATTTATTGACTATAAAGCAATTTTATATTTATGAGACCCAAATTTATTTCTTTCTGAAAGCAAAATTGATCACTTTATTTTCAAATTTTCTGAAGAAAATAAGGCTGAAATGATTTTAAACTCACCTGACGTCTTCATATGACTCTGTCCTCGTCCAGGATAGAATTTCCATTTCTTTCAGGAATTTGAAGAGCACATTAGCCTAACATAAGCCAGTCGTTTCTAAATAAAGCAAAAACGCCCTTCAAGGGCGTCTCTTTCAAGTTTTTCTTTTATGAAATAGAGGCACAAAGCCGTCAGAATATACAGTGATTCTAGCACCAAAAAAAATATTTCAGTGATGAGAAGACTTCCTCTGATTGCTGCTTTTATTTTTCCTTTTGTCTTCTCCTCAGGTAATTTTAGAGGCTTGTAATCCAGACTTTTGAGCATTATTTGCTTTACAATTTAACATAGTGACACCCTTATTTTATTAGATAAGATGATAGTTAAAGATTTAAATTTTATCTTGATTAAATAAAATAAGGGTATCACTATGTTAATTTTTAATTCAAAATTATTCTTTCAAAAAGAAAATTGAAAGAAAAAACTAATCTTCAGACTATGCGGAGGTTTTATGCGCTCTTGGGAAAGAATTTGAGTTCTGCGAAAATGAAATGGAAAAGTGGAAGAGCTCGGAAAACCGCAGAGGTACAGAAACTGTCACTATCAGTTACTCTGATTTGACGAATCGATTAAGAGTACTGTGAGCCTTTCTTTGCTTCTAGTCGCCACTTGTGTTTGCCCATGACACTGAAAGGCACTGTAGCTGCCATTGAGTGTCCAGGCGCGGGATTACGCGCTAACAACTATCGATTAATGGGGTATTAATTCAATAATCCCTTGGAAGATTATCTGATGGTTTCGAAGCTCACGAATCAAACTTTTTCAAATGTTCATTATATTCAAATCGAATGCGGAACGGATCTTCTGTGGCGAATCGAGGGCAAAAGGTAATACGATTAGGATAAAAGCCCAAGCCATATTATCATTAACTCAAATTCAAATTAAAGAATATTACAAAAGATCGGAAATGAGTGGGATTTGAACGCTATTGGAGATGATCGACTGAAAAAAGGAAAGTTCAATCTATATAAACTACAGTATCAGAAGAAGGTAAAAACTGAGCTTCTTGAAGAAATGAACAAATGCACAAATGAAGCGCCTGTCGATCGCTATCGCCGAAATACCCAATTTTCGAATGAGACAGAATTCACTACGGAGCCTCCTCTTCCTCAAGCAGAATGCCTCGACAAAGAAATGTTCCACCACCAACCTTGCCGAAAAGACGCGTATGGAAAGATCACGTGCGACTGCCGCAACTTTAACTTTTGCGCTGAAGACTACATAATTCTGGTTGGGAATTCGATCTCAATGGTGCCATTGTTTCTCTCCATCGTGATTCTTTTTTCTTTTCCGTAAGTTCATTAATTGTACCGGCATTGTTTTAGAAAACCTGCTGCAGGTGCCTAATTAGATAGTTCGTTACTGTACCTGAGGTTTAAGCGGAAATTTCGTTCAGGCGATTGAGAAATACAAGAAATCTGATCCATGCGAATCTGATGACTTCTTTGTTTTTACGCAGTGCGCTTCAATGGCTGAACTATCACGCTGTTATTTTCGGTGCTTATCCTGATGCGGAATGTATGCTCAGTGTTCAGCACCTGAGCAAGGAGGAATACATGAGGATGACGCTGAAAATGTGTCCTGGAAGCCAGTTCATAGCTGTAAGTAGCGCTTAGCATGAGCTTTATGAGAGCTTTTGGGGTAAATTTGGCCAATAAGACATCAGTATGTTCTGGCTTAGCCAATCGCGGACCCCCTCACACGCTCAAATTCCAAAAAACAGGGCTCGTCCGGGATTTGAACCCGGGACCACTCGCACCCTAAGCGAGTATCATACCCCTAGACCAACGAGCCACAAGGGATGAAAATCCATGGTACTATTTGTACAGTCAGTTCCGGAAGTAGGTTGACTGTAATTAAATTTGTCTATTTGTACTCGCATCCTCGTGGCTCGTTGGTCTAGGGGTATGATACTCGCTTAGGGTGCGAGTGGTCCCGGGTTCAAATCCCGGACGAGCCCTGCTTTTTTTCTCGCTGATAATGGCGATGCCACCCCGAAGATCGAATTTTTCGCAAATTCTGAGAGGAGGTGTCGCTATAAGTTATAGCCTATGACTATCATTATCATTTAAGATCGGCAAAGATAGAATGATTTAATTTTAGTTCTGTCGCGCTTCTATCGTCTTTCTCCAGTGGGCAAAAACTGCCTCTCACTTCTGGGTCTTGATCGAAGGAAAGGTTCAACTGTTGTCGAGTGGGCGCAGTCCGCTTCATCCTCTTTCAAAGCAGCTTAGCAGAATGAACACAAATAAAAGGTGTGCAGTTGTACGCATTAGCGGTTGTGACTGTGCTCAGCACGGCTAAATACTTTTACGCGTACTTGGCATTCGGCTGGGGCTTTAGCTGGATATCCGTCGTTTTCTGGGTCGTGCTCAAGTACAAGTACGAGAATAGAGGCTGCTGGGATATCACTTACAGGCAAGTTCATCAATCAAAAAGCTTAAAAAGACACTTTTCAAAAGGGACCTGCTGGAAAAAGTGATAGAAGTTCCCATTTCAGCAGCAATCACATTGAACGGAATTATTTTCATAATTCTCATCTGGGTTATTGTTCTCAAGCTGCGGGACGACTCTCGACTTACAAGGGAACGGAATAACGCACAGAGGCTTACAAGAGCCACCCTGACGCTGATTCCGCTCATGGGTAAGTCTCCCATTTCCGGATGCTTCATCTGTTCGTTTTTTTTAGGGACGCAGTATCTTCTCTTCAGATATACGCCCAGTGAGAAACTTTTCAACATCAGATACAAATACGACCTCTTCTTTGAAGGACTTCAGGTAAAAAATTTTATCGAGATTTTTCGCAAAAGTGTTGAGGGTCTCTTTGTGTCTATTTTATTCTGCTTTATGAACCAAGAAGTCCAACGCGAGCTCAAGAAATGGTATAGCCGCCGAATGCAGCCTGTAAGTATCGACATCCATTAGGATCAGCATGCTTAGGAGATAAAGGCTTTAAGCTGCATGATATTCTCTTTGTTATACGCATGCATTGAATATGTCTACAGGCACCATCTAGGCTTTGACGCACTTTATTAATGTTTTATCTGCACGATTTTGAATTGTCAACTGATCTATGTTCATCAAGTGACTAGAAAAAAGTTGCTTCAGATTTGCGCTGCTCAAATCCAAGGCTCATTATTAACCTTTGATAGCTCGACGGGCATCTGCTTCGACGAGGAACATTCGGCTCCGGCATCGAGGAAACCCTCAACACTAGAATTATGGAGGGATACACGCCTAGGTCCTCCATCGCATTCGTTCGTAGTTCCACTGGGCAGACATCGTCGATAGAGAATGATTCCAATAGCATGTAATCTCTAAGGTGTAAATTAGAACATGAAACGCATTAAAAACAGGTTCTTTCATTGAAACAACATCAGAGCTAAAAATGGTCTAATCCGCGTTCAGAGAGGAGATCGACGCCAATCTGTCTGGGATGAGCGCGAAACAATAACTACTCAAGGTAGATTTTCTTAGAGCGTTCTAATCTGTTACATGCTACCAATGCCAATTTAACAGCTTATTGAGATTAATAATTAATTTAATCGATTATTTATTCTAGTCCGCCGAGAATCAAGTTCCGCCAATATTGTAGCTTCAAAGAATCCACTTTTGCCCATTCCTGTGGCAGGCAGCACGCCGCCAACAACACTGTAATTTTTTTTTTGAATGTAAATATATCAATCTTAAAGTTGCTAAAATTCATATGCTACATAAATGGGAAAGTATTTAGGTACTAGAAAAGAGAGTTTTTTTTTAAATAAAGATTTATTGATTCGTCTGGAGTTTTCTCAAGAATTTTTTCTGTAAACCAGTGTAAAACCAAGCGGATGCTCCAATTGCAGCGACAGAAAGAACTTTCAGCATAAAAACGCCAAGATTCTTGAAAAACTCGAGCTCAACTTCTCGCTTGAATTCTTCGTTCAGGATGAATTTTTCCATGAAATTTTCTCCTTTTTTCGTTTTGTTCACATGCTAAAATTGTGTAAATAAGTGTTCGTGAATAGCAAACAAACGGGAATGGGAATATTTGGGACTTCTTTTCCGAGGAATTTGCAAAGCGGCTCCCAGCCATCTTTCACGTTCCAAATCAGAAGCCGATCTTTGGGCACAGTCCTGATCACTCGTTCATTATGCTCTTCGTAGTACGCCTTGCTCTCAATCATCGAATCTCTGAAATTGGCCAGGTGCTGACTCGGCCAGAAAGCTTTCCATGGGGCGGGAAGAAATGGACCGTGTTTCTCCCAATTAGCTGTTCTCATCACGGACTTTCGGAAGCAATGGTTGCTTATCGCGAACTTAATTTTTTTGAAAAATAATGAGTTTAGAGAAGTCAAACCATTTGAAAGAATTTTCTTCCGAACCAGCCAGCGTTGTGGAATCTCTCATCAAGCCAGAACCTGTACGGATGCGCGTTGAATTCCTTTTCAAAAAGTTTTCTAGTGTTTTTAATTTCGTTTATTCTTCATCGTTCGACTTTTTCCTGATCCATAAATCTGACGAGACTTCTGTTCCAAACATCAACATTGTCCCTAACAGTTAAAATCACTTTCGCATTTGGGGACGCCTTGAAGAGTTCTTCCCAGTAAATGTTTCCCGGGTGGTCTTGATTTACAGTGTATCCTCTGCTCGTGTACTCTTCTATGACCTGCTCAATGGGGACTTTTCCATCAATAAAATCGGTCCAAATTTGAGTCAGGTAAAAGAGTGTCTCTGGATAATCGGCAACTTTGTATCCAAGCTCTCTTGAAAGGTGTGTTGAAATCAACAAAGAGAATTTTTGCTGTTACCTGAGTGCAAGAGAACAACTCTTCGTTGATGTTTTATTGATTCCAGCGCATATTATCTCCATTTTCTCTGGAAAATGTAAAGCAGTTCTTCAATTTCGACTTTATGGTGTCGACGAAAATAGCACGGACAAATCAAATTCAGAGTAACAGTGCAAACAGCGGTGCGCTCTGGCTCTCATAAAATATCCATCTGAAGCTCCTCCGAACCAAGCGAATGGGAGTGGACCTTTTTTGGTCAGATTGAAGGGAAAATACACCCAAAAGGCAGAGCGCACCGTTATTGATGCTGAAAATTGGATTTCGATTCAATCATAAGTTTATTTGCGAAAAGAACTGTAAAGAATCAAATAATTCGAATCGAACCTCAGTAACAAACTGCTTTCTGATAAATCGATTGTTCGACAATCTTAAGTTTGCCTAGAACTGAATTTAAGAAACCTTTTCTTAGAGAAGCAAAGCTGACCTAATTTTTCGCCTGAAAAAGGATAGTCACATTCTTCACCCAGTAAAACATCTCTTTCCATGCATCCCATCCACGATAACGCAAACTCTAAATTTCGTAGAGTATGATTTCTTATATTTTAATAAAGATCACTTACTTCCTTTTGTTATAATTGTGAGATTTGTTTTGCTTTGGTCGAAGTCCTTTAGTTTCATACCATAGTAGAAATTAATATTATATGGAATAGTATTTCCTCTGTTGAAGTAAGTTTCTAAGAAGTTTTTTGTGAGGACCATCGGCTTGCAGGGAAGATCTTCAATAGTTTCACTACAAAAGGTACTTGGTACTGTCGAGGCTATGAAATCCTACGTGGCATGAATTTTCAAAATCCCAGTTTTTTCATTGAACTTATCATTCTCGCAGATGAATCGAATGTTCTTGTGGCTCTCGACTTGCCCTGGTATGTTGTAAAAGAGGTGATTAAATATATATCCGCCGAAATAATCCTGAAGGACCCAAAGAGGCTCCTCAAAGATTCTTGATCTTATTTCATCAAATCGCTGCTGCATGTCTGGGATGCCTGAAGACTTGTTCTTGGAAATATCCATTGAAGCATTAATCCAGACAAAAAGGTCGTCAATCGTTCCATATCCAGGTTTTACGTGAATTTTGAAGTGATCAGCCGGCATTTTTCTGTTATTTTCCTCACAGAATGCTAGTCCGTCCTCAAAAGAGAACCTTTCAGTCGAAATGATCCCCTCATAAATCTCTGTATCAATTTCGATTGAAATGTTAACGTATTTGCTTGTGTTCAGAGCATTGATTTCACCCCCAATCCAAACCAAATCTTCGGTTTCTTGAAGAGGTTCTTCGTTTTTCAATTTCACCAAGAAAAATGTCAGAAAAATCGACAAAATTAGCAAAAAGAGCGATGCGAGCTCTAATTTCATCGTTCCAAATTGAATTAAATTGCGCTTTCCCGCTTCTTTCCCGCTGATTATATTCAGGTAATAACGGATTATTACATCTTGCGAGGACAAGTTTGCCTTCAAATAAATCACTTCAGGCCATAAAATCCTTTCTTGAAGATTCGAATTGTTCATGAATATATTGACAGTCATTGGCAAGTTCAGTTCTGGAGCGTTCTTGAAGAACTATATTTTTCAATAGCATATTACTCGTCGATAAGTTGACTGTGCCGCAATAGATAGTTTTCCTAGAAAAAGATAGAAATGAAATAATGCCTTAGAAAAGCGACTAACCTAATTTATTGTTTGAAAAATAGAAGTAACATTCTTCCTGACGGAGATTTGGGTCACATGCTTTCGAAAACAATGCAAACCCTAGGTGAACTGATAACTGATATCAATCCATTTAATACTTACTGACTTCTGCCATAAGCAACAGATTTGTTTCGCCTGGATCATAGTCTCTGACCTTCATGCCAGAAAACAGATTTACATGCGAAGGAATAGAGTTGCTTCCGTTGAAATGATTGTCGAAAAACTTCGATGTCAGAACCATCGGCTTGCAAGATACGTTTTTGAAAGATTCACTTAAAAATATTCATTGGATGATGGTAAGGATCTGAAAACTCCGGCTCTCTTACGTTTCCTTGAATTTCACAAGTCCCGTGATATTATCGATTCTGTCGTCGTCGCAAATAACATGAAATTCACGCTTTTCCTTAGTTTGCTCTGGGACATGAAAAATAAGGCCGTCTCGCGCTTTTCCTCTCCAAAAATAATCACGAACAACCCAAAGTGGTTGGTCGAAGATTTCTCGTCTAATCTTGCCAAGTTTCTCTCGCATCTTTGGAATACCGACAGTCTCCGTCTTCGTTATATCCATGGATGCATTAATCCAGAAGAACAAATCGTCAATGGTGTTATTTTTTCCTCTTTGGTTGATTTTAAAATGATCCGCTGGCATTCGTTTGTAATTTGTTTCGCAAAAACTAAGCGCGTCAGGAAACGTTAAATTGTCTGTCGAAATAATTCCCGGGTGAACTTCTCCTTCAATCTCAATCAGAACGAGTTCCATCGAAATAGATCTTATTGCTCCATTCAGTTTCTCGATCGGTTCTTTTTTTGTTAATTGCACGACCAAAACGGTAGCAAAAATAACTAAAATTGGAAAAATGCTCCACAAGTATTCAATTTTCATCGTTTTGAATAGAGGTTTCTATCTTTATCCGCGACCATGCTTTGCATAATTGCTATACTTATGTTATTATTCATTTGCCATGAATATGGGAAGACCATGCGTCTCGGAAGGAAAGATTCTATTTTAGTTGTTTTGTCATGTATATTATTTTACAGTTTTTGGCAAGATAAAGACTCGAAATTAAACAGTTAAAAATTAGCTTTGCTCTTGGCAAGAAGACGACATGGCGCGAACAGAAGTTGAAATTCTCGTCGATTCTTGCTTTGGATAGCTCCTTGAAAAGCGAGAGCCCGAATGTCTACCAGAAAATGCTGTCGAATCTGTTGCAAGAGTTGGATTCCGTTGTGAGCGGCCTCTGAATCCGAAGATTCTCTAAAATCAATTGAAAAGGTTGTTTTGAGGTTTTTGAGTGTGTAGTGACTGTTTTTATGATGAATATTGTGCGAAAATGACAGTAAATATTCATTAAATTCATTGTGAATCGACTCTGATGATGATGTTTCAAAGTGTGAACTGACCTCGTTCGTGAGTTGGGCCACGTGGCCTTATCTAGAAAGGACCTATTTTTTATGAAAGGATGTTGATGCACCATTTTGCGAAATCAAAACCAAAACTGTATCAAAACACGAGTTTGATACACGATGCTTGAAAATGGTGACGACGATATGATGATGTCAATCTAACACATTTAAACTCGTATTTTGTCAATACCATTGATGTTTCCTCTAAGTAAGAAGGCTTGAATAAATAAAAATCGATTGATAAGGACAAATGAGAGCATTCATACCGTAAAAGTCGAGAAACATTCTTCCCTGAATTTTCTTCCAAGAAACGAGTAAAGAATCGCATTCAAAATCGGACTCATAATTAGGAAAGATTGAGAGACACTAAACAAAATTAAATATGAATTAGGCTTCTGGTCTGCTACTTTTTGAATCCTTCGCAATGGTAACTCGATAACGGAATCATGTAGAAAAGAATGATCTGGTAGCAGATGTAAGGAAGGAGGCAGATCAATGTCGCTACTAAAAAATCGCTGAAAAAATGACCTAGAATATTGATTTACTTACCGAAAAATATCATAATCGTCCGGTTAAAATTTTTCCTTGAATCTGCTCCATCATTTTTCGTCCCAATTTTTTTGATTTGAATGCGTGACTTGTGCACCTTTTGCATGATGAAGTAGTAAGATGTGATGATCACAATCATAGGGACGATGAATCCAACAACGGTAAATGTTCCGTAATAAATTTTCTCGAGGAAGTACTTTGGTTGTTCGCAGCGACCGAGGGTAGAGTTGTTTTCGGGACATTCGATCATGGAAGCTTCTGGCATCGTTAAAAGTTCTTTCTGGGATAGAATATGAATTCAATAAAAATGGGTCTTCTGATTCGAAACCAAAGATATCTGATTGATCAAAGAAACAAAGAGAAGGGTACTTTTAACCAATCAGATGGTTTCGATTTTTGATGGGAAGATTCGTTATCGAAGTATCTAATTGTAAGACTTATTTGATCCCATAACTACACACTGGTCTCTAGATTGCATCGTCCATGCAACGATGCAAGTATACTCGTCGTTATTCTTAATTGCATTTGCAAAATATAACATCGGAAACGTCAGTAACAATGAAAGAGTCCAAACAGTGCCGAAAATCATCGAATATCGAAATCCAGGATTGTCGCCAACGCCCGCTCTGACGATTGCATAAAATCGGTCAAAAGCAATCGCTAAGCGAAAAAAGGCATTATTTATTTACTCGAAAAGGATTAAAGTTTAATTACCCGATATTGAAAAGAATGATACGCAGGCGAAAAAGTGCGGACATCCGAAATCAAATTTGCACTTTTTAATGGTCATCAAAATTAGATAATTTAAATCATTATTATTGTTTTCAACAAATAAGAACCATTCCTGTAACTGCGGAAATCTAACGTCACCTAAAATTATCAAGTAAATTTCCAGTATTAAACCAGGTCTTACCGTCGATCGTTCGATTATATTTGGAAGCCTTCAAAATCGTCAAAAACGCTGAAACAACCAAGCACAAATCCGCCACTGCCAGATTCAAAACAAGCCAGGAAGAAGATGATTTAGTTCGCCAGTTGAACGCTGTGATGAAAAGAATGAGGATGTTCGCTGGAAGGCCGATTATAAGAGTCCCGTATGAAACGATCATCTTCATCTGTTCGAACCAGGGCGTCGGTGGAAGATTTTCAGCGTTCCCGTTTGCCAGATTTTCGAGAAAGTCAATATCAGTCGCTGAAAAAGCAACTTCCGAAGAATCGACAGTCGAATTCTGGTTGGCAGCTGCGAATTGCTTGTAAAGAAATAATTTTTATCGTTCTTTTTGATGATTTTCTTACCAGTCCCCATACATGCTCGCAAACGCAGTAATCTTCTCTTGCAAAAGAAAAATTCATTGCTTTTCAATTATTTCTATCTTCTTCTTCTCTACAATGCAATTACTGAAATTACTATCCAGCCGATTGCCAGCTTTAGAGTTGATTACAGTTCAAGCGTGATAAAAATGGATCAAACGATTAAACTCTGATCAACGACAAATTAAGATCTTTCCTCTGGGATTTCGACGCTACCATCCTTCTTTTTTCACGTGACGTGGGTACTCTAATATTTCAAAAGGCGCGTATTTCCTACTTGTTGACCGGGCAACTCAATAGCCCTCACTTTTAAACACGATGCCGCAGAATGAGAAAAAGAGCTTTCAAAAGAGCAGACTCTGAAGAGTCAAAAGACAGAAAAGCTACTAGGATTGTGACTTTGTGGCTCTAGCTGACTGCACTAATTGTAGATGTTTGTCGCGAAACTCCAGACGAATGTTGACAAGATAATAGCTAATTTACCTGTTGCTGGATCGGAAAAAGGACTCTCTGTGTTATTCTAAGTCAAGTTGAACTAAAGTCATCAGGATACAGAAAAGTCTGACGGGTGGACAAAAGAAGCCACATAGTGAGTTAATTTGAGAGATAACCTGATTTGATAAATGATGTTAAACCAGCTTCGCGAATTAGATCAGAGCTGTGCGAATAGCCACTAATCTTATCATCCAGAGTCGATCACAGTAAAAAAAGAACGTCAAATGGTAAGTAACAAAAACGTCAGAATAATCACATGCGGCTTAAATCTGGCATCGTGCTTCACTGGTCAAACTCACTGCAAATATTACTGAAGAATCTTCCTTCTTGAACTTTCTCTCGTGTTAAATATCATGACTTAAATGCACCAATAATAATTGGATGCATGGTTTATTTGAAATAAACGCAGATTTTTTATAACTGGTAATTCATTCTGATTCTGATGCATTGGTCTCCCAGAAACTGCTCTTTTTTGTCAAGACTTATTATTTATTCCGAATCGTTAACGCATCTCATAAAGCATACAAAAGCAGTGAAACTTTAAACGGAATCTGTTGAGCGTCGGGGCGTTGGAATTTGACGCCAGTTTGCATCGAAGAAAATTGTTCTTGGTTTCGGAGAGGGCTGTCAAAAGTTTCGATGATAGGATCTATCTTTTGGCGTCGTTAACCCTAGCCGGTCGAGGTACTCCAAATATGGCGCAGGTTTTTACTCATTTCCAAGTACCTCACAATATTTAAGGTATAATTTCTAAGAAACTCATTCTGGAGCGGTTTTTTCTATTGCATCTTGATAGGCAGGGTTTAATCTATTTCCCAAAGACCATATAATTTGACCTTTATCATTTGTATAGTCTTATTTGCAGGTAAATCCTTGGCGCCAAATATGGAGTATCTTGACCGGTACCCGAGAAAAATCATTTTTGGCCGGCTAGGGTTAATCAATCATCAATTATCGAAATGAGTTCGTTAGAAGTTAAACATTTTAATGCCTAGTTCTTGTGAATAAAAACGGCCCCAGTAACTCTTGAATTTGGTGAAATCTAACAAGTGTTTATCTTATGAATCGGGTGTTCAAACTCATTCCGGAAGTCGTTCAGTAGGCTTCGGGCTTCCTGAATTCAATTGAGAAATCGGCCGGGGCGATTGGCGGGCTTCCTTTGATGGTTCTTCAGATTCGCTTGTTTCAGGAGATGATTTCTATTTTCAGCGTAAAAAACTTTGAAATTGATTGATAGATCCTCAATCTTAGACACTGGCGAACAGTTAATAAGCCTCGTCAAATGTTACTGTATACAAAAATAATAGAAAAAGTTCAAGCAATTATTGAACGAAACAGACATTTCTGGCCGTAATCAACTTACTTTGTTCTTGCCAAAAAGAGACATCAGCTCATGTACAGTTCTTCGTCTCCCTTCATCTGTCGGGGCTGTTTTTCTCTCCTAAATTAACTATCCTCTTTTCTTCAGACAAAGCCTCTAACCTTGTTCCTAAGCCGGACAGCCATAAGTAAGTTTGAGTTGTTTAACCTTAATTTTCAAATTTGGGTTTGGGATTACTCGAGCTCCGCGATTTTTTAATATTCTCTATTTCCCTTTCAAAGGTGGGTGCGATATTTGCCTTTTCGGATGACTCTATTGTACACTTACTGTACGTTTGAATTGTACTATCAAATAAAATCCCGACTTAGAAAAAAAATCGCCTCCTTAGAAATTAAAACACGGTCTCCACCCCAAGTTACGTCAATGTTTACCTCTATGAGTTGATTAACAGTTTACTTTTCTCAAGCAACAGATCATGGGATTACCGAGCTTTACCTTCTGCTTCCGGAAGTCTCTCAACCTTGCTCTTCACAGAAGACAAAAGAAAAAGATTTAATTTGCGGCAATCTGAGTTTGTGGAATCCTGCGATTTACTCGCTACTTATTATTTTACGACAAAAGAGACTACAAACTTGACGGCAGATAAATATCTACAGCAGGAGGATAAATTGCTAAAGAGGAAAAAGAATAGCTCAATCAGTCATTCATCGATGCTTACTTGGCAAGGTGCTTGAGGCACGGGCCACTGCGTCAAAAATATAATCATTACTCGTTCTCCTTGATATTTTTGTTTTTATTCGCAAAGAAAGAAAAGGCTCAAGATAATCTTATAAAAATAAGAAAGAAGATAATTTCATAAAACAGAGGAAATCTTTTTATGAATTTTCACCAACGAAAATAAATCACTCGTCGGAGCACATTCGCGCCTGGAATTGACGGTTGTACTTGTTGAAGTGTCGGACGAGTCTGTTGGCAGATCCCTTTCTACAAGCCCATTTTCGAGATGCCGAGACAAGCGCACTGTTGATTTGGGAAGCAAGCTTGCAATTTGTCTCTCCGTCAAACACTGCGATGTCTTCTCCTTCTCCATCGGGTCGGTCGGATCCATCGCATCTGAACTTTTCCTCGTTTGTGGCGGCGTCCAGATGCTCAATTTTTTTCTGCATCTTTCGAGTGTATTTATTTGTGTAGCGTGTTTTCTCCAAACTATCAATCAGTCTCTAAAAATTAATAAAAAAGGGTATTGATTCTACAATATACAAGTAGGTAAGTTAAGATTACTCACGGTCAAGTGTTCATTTATTTTTTCCATTCTGATAGTGTACTGAGTCTCCTCAGAACCATCACGGACACACGTCTGGATTTCTTCTGCGTTTATGACAAGATCGTAATCGTCAGCGCATTCACAGGTGTAGCCGATCGGTTGGTTCAGGCATTTGTGCCTCGAACCGCCACATCTATCTTCTCCGGCGTCCGCGCATTTGTCATTTATCTCACATGCATGGAATGCGTTTAACTGGAACGCATCTTGGTCGGACATCGGCCATTGTCGATGAACAGGAGCCCCGATAGATGGATCACTTGCGATGCCGATTGTTGGAAGTCCGTCGTCTTCGGTTTTGACGGTGTAGTGCAAAATTGAGCGGAAGTCGTATGGACTGTCGAGGTCCTCCCAGTCGCTCAAAGGTAATTTTCTATAGTTGCTTTCGTCCACCAAATTGGGATGGATTGAGACCCACTCATCGCGATCTGGTCGAGTGTGCTCGTGGCGAAATCCCAATCGATGCATGAACTCGTGGTTGACAGTTGTTTCGCTGTGCCACTTGTGGCAATCAGGTCGCATAGAAATTTCACAAATGCCGGTACAGCGGCCGATGCCTGATGAGCAACGTTTATCAGGGTCATCCCAGTGGACTCGAATGACTGATTCGTACTCGTCCTTTTCTGCTTCGGTGATGAGCTTCATTTTGAGACAAGTCAATGTCTCGAAATGAGCGACGTTCTTATTGATTCCAGCCATCGACATCACTCCAGTTTGGGTTACTCCCCGATAAGGATAGCTAAGGTCGGCGTAACCTTCCGCATAGTAATATGGGATGATGTACTTGTTCTCTTCTGGATCCCACATATTTGTCCATTTTGAATACACGCTCTATAATGAAAACAAACATGAAAGTAGGCGCTCTAAGACTTTAAAGTTTCCCTTATTACTAATACGTAGTTATAAGAAAACTTACACTGGCTGCGCGGACATCCTCCATGTCACAGTCATCTTCAATGATCATCTTAGGATCGACCTTGTAACCTTGGCTTTCAAGATGTGCCGCTTGGCACTTATTATAGAAGATATCATCAAGCTCTGGTTGATCAGTGGCAATTTCGCTTGAGGAAACTAAAACGCGAAATCGAGAATTATTGTCAGGCTATCTCTTTAATAAACTAATTGCAATATATATATTTTTATAGAATTATGAATATTTGTGTATATGAAGATATAGTATTACCAGCAAGAACTTCGAATATTTTCATTTTCTAACGCTTAGATATTTAAGCTGAGTTAAAAATTCGATCTCGTATGCGCCGTTTTATACCATTTGGTATAGCCACCGGGTATGCTGGCGCTGTAGAGGTTCTGTGCTGTAAATCGCGCCTGACCTTCACGGGCTAATAGCTAAAATAAACTGGCGTCTGTAGTTCTAAAATACTGTGATAATATTTCGGCAAGAGTCTTTGACCACGTTATGATATGATTCCAAGCACGTGTTCATTATTTGAAAGAAAATTTAAAAAAAACGAGTTATTTCTGAGATACGAGTCTTGCTCGACAAGTCAATTATTTTTAAAATTTTTCAATAAACTTGCGTAAACTCGTTTGATGAAAATGACGAACATCTTCGATTGATGTCCGAGCCACGTGAACTTTTCATTGAAAAACCTTGGGAAATCTGCGGGGATGTGGATAGAGTTGGCTGGCATCTTAATGATATGGTACGGATGAGACTCTTGGTAATTCCGATGCAATCTGTGACAAGCTGACGGAAGGTTGCGTTTACGTAGTCCTGCTTATTCTCACTTTTGAAGAAAAATAAGGAAACAATAAAAAATAGCCTGAAATATAGATGGAAACGAATGTTTCTGCAAATATACTTTTTCTGCTTTTTTTATGAACCATAACGATGGTGTATTGTAACTGGCAGTGAAAAATGATGAAGATAAAAAGAGAAAAAATGAGAAATTATCCAGCCATCAATTGACCAGCGGTGTCGCGAATTTCGTTTGGGAGAATTGGCGACGTGCAAATTGCTTGATTCAAGTCAGCCAGAGTGAATCTGAGTCGAGTTGGTTGATAAACTTTCTGAGTTGCCTTTTCTTTCTTGACGTATTCAATGACTCCGAGTTGGAGAAGTCGCTCGAAGCATTTCTTTACTTCGGTTCTTGGAATCTCGTACTTTTTCTGTTGATGCTGTCGTTTCCAAACTATTGAAATATTGCTTATATTGCTTTTAGAGGCTTTGAAAGTGTACCTAGATATTCTTGATAGACTGCGATGAGGTGAATATCTGCCGTATCTTTCTTGATCAACGAGGCGTAGCAAAGAAGAATAATCAGTTCAAAAACCGAGCAACCAAAGAGTAGATCTTTATTGCTTCTTGATTCTATTTGCTGGAGGACGATTTCCGCCGGTAATTCTGGCTTCAAAAAGGGATGAGAAAGAGAAACCTCTCAAAAAGTACCTGTTGAGGATCAAGAGCAGCGATAGCAGGAACAAACAACGACTTGAAATCGGCTATAGAAGTCGAAACCCTAGATTGCTTTTTGAAAAACGGAATATGAAGGAAAATCATACTTTGCGTAGTCGATCAAATGGTCGTAAAGTCCCATGAATCCATCTTCTACGGATTCTTCCCACAGTTCTCGGAAATTCTTTTCCCGCGGCATGACAGACAGTAAATCTTCTTTTGCGATTTCGATGAGTTCTTTGTCAGAAGCTGGTGGAATCAGATGAACGGCACTAGCAAAACGGCTCCTAATTGAAAATCATACAATCGGTCAGAGAATGCGATTCTAACCTGATTCGCTTTTCCAGCGCCTCGAGCGCGTCAATCTTCAAGGAAGTCGCCACTACCAATTTGCTTGCTTTGCGCGCTTCCTCCAGCAGCCCATAAAGCCATCGCTCCTGAGCAGCCAGAATTGTTAATTCTTCTAAAATGATCACTTCCGGTTGATTTGGATCAAACTCAAAATCCAGCGCGGAGGAAATGTTCTTGATGTCCGTCAAGCCAGAAATGTACGTTTCTTTGATTTCGCCAACTTGATCCGAAGCTTGCTCTGAATTTCAAAATCAAAGTCAATGAATTTCTGATTCTTTCAACTAACCGATCGCATTTTTGATGATAAAGGACTTTCCAGAACCAGGAGCGCCAATGAGCAAAATATTTCCACTTTCTTTTCGTTTGATTCTTGAGCAAATTATCGAACAAAGCTTATCGCATGTTTCTTTTATCGAAGGCCTAACTGTAGAAAAGTGATTGATATTTATCAATCTTTTTAGCAGATCTTTCTGAAACTCGCTCATTCTAAATCGCGGTACAGTTTTAGTACAGGGCCAATCTGTATCAGCTTATCTTTGAAGAATAAAGGCAGTAAAATGGGCGAAGTACTGGTAGAAAATCTCAGGTGTTTGCTGAAGCTGTCTTACTATCGTTTTTCAAATTCTCTTTCTCCCTCAACACCGGGCTTTTCCTAACTATCAAATTTTCCCTCTCTTCTTTATCCAACAGAGCAAGACAGGTGCATTGAATGAGCCAGTCGTTCACCTTCCTCAGATGTCGCAGAAGATTATGTTCGATAGCCAGCAATTTCATGGGAAAGAGTTCGAGGACTTCTTCTGATTCTAGTTCTCGTTGAATCGTTGGAAACCAATTTAGAACGTTATTCGTTCCGTTATGTTGGAATGGTTTTTTGGGGACCATTCTTCTGAGAATGTAAATGATATATCCGCGCGCTGGAATTATTGGTTCTACGCTGTCGAAAGTGTTGAAGAGAAGAACGAGTAATTGAGCACTCAGCCTAAAAATAAGGACGGATAAGAGAGCCATTTTTCAAGTTGTCGGAAAACAAGTTGACCAGGTTTTAGTTATGTAACAAGAACGCGTGTTCTACCTTGAAGCAAACGTAGTATGGTTAATTTCCAAGATCAAGTGTCCATTCTTGTCCAAAAGCCGAATCGCCTCCCTCAAGTCCGAAATGAAGTGGTTGCGAATGATTAGTTCTGGCCAGGCAACGCCGACGCTGCCCTGCACCTTGACGTGGACCATTTTGAAGCTGGAATCTTCTAACATTGATGTGTTTTCGCGGGACAAGTTTAATGTCGATGGATCGTCAATAAGTCGCTTAATATTTCGCGGGTAGGGGCATTCATCTGAGATGAGTTGAGCTTTATTGAATAATTCAGGGCGGTATTTGATCAATGCGCTGTACCAAGACATCCAATGGTCACTAACTGTCAACGAATTCGTGATTTTTTCTAAACCGGATAAAACATCAATTCTTTCAAAAAAACGCAACAAGTTCTATCCTCCTTTCCTAATCGTTTCGGACTCTTGACGATCCCCAATTTTGTAAATCTAAATCGACACGTCTGAAATCTTTTGATATTCGGCAGCCGTTGATTTTTCATCTTTTCCAAATCACTCTCCAGTTCTTTGAGGCAAAGAACTAAAAATCTTGAAAAAATGGTCGTTGATGTTGCCCTACGTTCACGATTCTTTCTTTCGTGTAAGTTTCCTTGTCGTCTGCGTCCATCAAAGATAGTTGTGTTGAATTTTATATGGCTCCACGGGTGTTCTTTTCACGAGGTTTCGCTTATCAAAAAAATTCAATCAAAATTTGGGGCCTTTCTATAGAACCAGGGACAAAATTTGGCAAGTAAGGATATATTATATTTCGAGTAAATGTACAAATAAATATAAGGCTCTTCACACATCACTAATGTCGTCTCGATTCGTCACTTTGACTGTAACTTCACGGCTGTCGCGTCGTTTTCTATGGCGGAAGCTTCTGAGGCAGTATTGTACAAACGCGAAGATGAGCAAAAGGCAGGAAAAGACCATCAAACCGATAGAATCACTAGATTTCTGATAAAATAAAAAATGGGATGACGAACTTACCGAACAAGGCCATCTGGGGGCATTTCTTGGGCGAGGACCATGAATAGTCCGATCATACCGCAAACGAGATTGAATACACCGCAAGTAAGGCACACACATCCTGGACTCGTCTAAAGAAAATACTGATTAACTCGAACTAAAAATACCTTGAGAAATTTGCATCTTTCTCTTCAGACAAGAGTTAAGACTGAGACGACAATTTGGAATTAAAAAAATCAAGCAATTCCCAGTACAGTAAGCTCTACAAGCCCTAAGGGGCCATAGAAAGCTTTATTCGAATTAGATATTGGATTTTTAATAACATCAATCGCAAAACATTAAATTAACGAGTTTAGCTTACCCGGGATATTCGCTCATCAGAAGCTATTTCGACGATTTTTCTTTCTTGTCCATAATTTTGAACAACCATCAATCAAAAGTCAGGAAATTGCTCATTTGAAAGTAGTCTTCTTTTCTCAGTTTTTCTTTTCAAAAGTCGGGGTATTGTTTCTCTGGTGAAATGGGAAAAAGTCGGATAAAATGTCAGCGTTTTTTCGGATTCCCGCGTGGGTGGTATAACCTACAGCGACGCGCAGCGTGAGCCCAGAGTTCGCACTAAAGCGCCCTCTTTTGAAACTTCACCCCAATTCAAGCGCGATCCCTTTTTGATGATAAATTTAAACCTCGTTCCTTTCAAATTAGCGAGGTTCATTTTGTTCGATAGAATTTGCTTGTTGCTTAGGACGAATTGCGACATGTCGATGTTCCAATCTTTGTTGCATTTCTCGAACTCGAGATTATCCGCAATCGCTTTTCTTTGTCGATTTATGAAAAATCTATAATGGCTTAAAACACATGCTGTCGATAACTATTGACTGTCATTGGACTTGAGTTACCGCAGATGACTAGCTAAAGATGCGCATTAATGAGAAACGATCCTCCATTTTAGCCATGCCTTATCACATCAAGATTGGCTTCGAGAAACCCCGCCGAGTTCTCCAGCGGTGCCATTCTACCAAAATAGCCCCGCATGATCAAATATAGCTCCGAGTTCCCAGCCTATTTTGGGATTACCAAAGGGCCACAAATAAAACTGATACACATGAAGGATGAAACCACTTTTTAATCCCGTGCCTTGCTGGACGCCGGTTTCACAAGCTCAACGATTTGAAAAGACGACGCAGCTGACTCCAGGATCTTTAGCGAACTTTCGTGGCAGCAGCAGAAGAGTTTTAACACTGCGTTTCCCTTGTTTTTCAGTTTGTAGCAAATCGCTACAAATTGCTGTTAGGGTTCACTGGCCGCAAAAAGCACTGGACAATCGATGAGTTTTGATGGATTAATTCTAATCTATGCCTTCAGATGAAAATTAATAAACAAAACTATACCATTTTATCGACCAGTGATGTAAAAAATACCTTTATATTCGGATGTTTTAAGCTCGGCACTATTCTCCTCCTGAAATTCTGGATCAGCGGAGCAATCAACCCCACCATCTCCTGTCACCAACGAAAATTGCTTCCCCTTCAAGTTGGCGAGAGAGCCGAAATTGAAGATATTACCAGTGTTGTCCTAATTGAAAATGGTCATCACTCAAACTCGATTTGGTTTGAAATCGACTTACTGTGCCAAATACCCATCTGTGAGGGAATTCTAAAATAAGAGTGTCGACTCTTATAACTGCTCCTGGATCGGACTCTTCATGGTGGGGATTAAGTGTTGCTGCTCGCCAGTCGGGGAAGTAATTGTATCTGCGATATTCAGATGCCCAGTACTGCAACAGCGCGGATATAAACGCTCCTGGAGCTTCGCATAAATGCAACGAGTTGAAACCACCTTTCCCGACGTTCGGAGAATCCGCGATCAGCTCCGGAACATTCCAGAGAATCTCATAAAACTTCAACCAAGCTTGCGTTAAAAGAGGAGCTTTGATTGTCTTATCCTCTCTTAGATCTTTCAAAACTTCTGATGCTGGATGCAATTGAGTTGTTGTTTCATGCCACTTTGTTATTTCCAGGCCGCTTGTAAAAAATACATGCATTGATTGATTTCACGCTAGAATTACCTTAATTGCCTTTGTTGCTCCAATAATTCGGCTCGTAATTTAGCGTACTGCCCGTAAAGCTCTGCTAGTCTTTCCGGCGTGTTAGTAAAATCGTTATCCAGCTCATTTGCGATCACTCTCTTGCGTTTCAAAGTACTGCGCTCGAGTAAAATCTCCTCTAATTCCATGCTAAAAATTCAAAATTGCCGCTGCTTCTGCAATCAAGTAAGAAAGACCAAAAGAAGACGAATTGCTCTCGGACTTATTTATTATTGAATCTCAGATATTTTTACAAAGATTGGGAGTCAAAATACCCCAGTAAAGCTTTTTTTAAGTTGGCAGAATTTGTTGTTTTTTTTTTCTTGAATTGGGTATGGATAGGGGATGGATAAAAAATGGCCGGGTGGATATTTTATTCTTTTTATTTTAAAGTTTTAAAAAAAATCTTTCAATGCAATAGCAGTCGTAGTAATGAGCCTGAACTGGGTTTCAAAGCCGTTTTTTTTCTTGTTTGTTTGTTGAACACGGTAATACAGAAGAAGTAGAAGTAGAAGCAAAGAAAATAGCGAACGCGTCTTCATGAAATCAGGACGGTTGAACTTTCTTTTGTGACAGAAAAAGTAAAAATTAGAAGTGTCTTGTTTGTTTATATAGGGAAAGGGTTGAACCCAGCTCAACCAACAGCGTCAGGTTCAACGCTCTCGTCAATTTGGAGCTCGTCTTCGGATGAGTCGTTCTCAGGTGGAGGCGGTTTTGGCAATCTGAAAGGGAAACATGAGAGTTAGTTTTTCGTAATTAGGAGTTACTCTTTCGCCGGGGGAGGAGTTTCTGGTGGTGCGGATTCTTCCGTTTTAGTCTCGCTTTTGGCGGGTATGCTTGTCTTTGACGGCTCTGGCTCTGTTTCAGTGGGTTGATTGTTGGCAGCTGAGTTCTGTGATTCGGGAGCTTTTGCAACTTCGTACTGCTGAAGAGCATTTTCAGATGAATCGGATGTCTTCTGCGATGGCGGATCCGGTTTCACAGGAGCCACCGGTGGAGCCGCTTGTTTGTTTGGAACTTTGACGTTAGTTTTAATTTTGACAGAGGCGCCAATCGGTAGCCCACGGATCGGCTTGAGACCTTGCGGCCTGGCTTGTGGATTCAAAGGAGTTCGGGGCGAAGGACTCTGCACCGCGCGGATAGGAGCTACTGCCCCTTCGGGTCGTCCTGGTCTGACTCCAGGCCCTTGCATTCCTGGCCTCGATTGAGGAGGCATGCTTGGTCTGCTTGATGGACCAGGCGCAGCGCCGGAAAAGTGCGGTCTCTGGGGACGCATTTGCATACGCTGCCCTGGCTGAACTGGTCGTGGACCTCTCTTCATGTCAGGTCTCATTGGACCCGCTCCTCTCATCGGCGCATGCGGATGTTGGTGTCTTGGTGAATTCGATGATCCTTGAGAGAGACCCGGTCGGCCGGCAGGGTTGAAACTCGGCCTCATTGGACGAGGTCCCCCTTGTGGCATCCCCGGTCGCACCATTTGATTTTGCATTCCAACGGGTCGTGGGCCTGTTCCCATAATTGGCCTTGCTAGATGACCCGGTGAGGTGTTCGTCCCCGACTGGTTGACGATCGGACGACTGAGGGTAGGCGATGCTGGTGGTGGACGATTTCCGCCTTTTTTAATTTCAATAGGCTTTCCTAGTGGAATCCCGCGAATTGGCTGTTGTGTTTTCGGTGGCTGTGGTTGTTGACTACTTGTGGGTGGAGCGTGATGGCTAGTGTGACTTGGGTGTGTAACTGAAGGCTGTGAAATGTTCTGAAATGAGGTGGTTATGGAAAAAAGAAAGGGAGATCGAACCTGGCTGGACATCCTGGGGAAGGCGACGAGCCAGGCTGGCTGGTTAGATTTGGAGTTACGTAACGTGGATGAGGTGGTTTTATTGGAGATGTCAGTGGAGGTTGACGGGCAATTTGAACGGGCGATTGCGAAGGAGAAGAAGTTGGAATCATTTGAGGAGGAACCTTTTTCGGAGTCGGGGGCGAGACAGGCACTGTGACTGAAAAGGGAAATTGATAAAATGTTCAATATTGGATTTTACCATTGCCATTCGTGGAATTATCTGGTTTTGGTTGTGGTTTTGCAGTTTGTAGATTTTCTAAAAAAATTTTTATTAAGAAACGAACGGACTCGTTACCTTTTTGTGATATATCTTTAGCAGGATCGGACTCGCTCTTTGTTTCGAGCTCTGATTTTTGTTTGCTTCTTTGCAAATGCTCCTTGACTTCTTTAGTCGTTTCTAGTTGTTTTGACATTTCAGTGGAAATTTTTGGTGGATTCTTTGGATCAGTGTTCTTGAATGCGTTTTTGAACTTTTCTTCAAGGCTAGAAGAACCGATTAAATCAAGGAAGAGAAAAAGAGCTACGGGTACCTTGGCGGTTTATTTTGCTTCTGGTGTAATTTTGAACTTAATTTTTGAATTTTAGCGTTGACAGAGGCGATTTGCTTTGCATCTACTTCAGCCGGAGCTGCCTCGTCCTCAAGATTGGCCTGTTGGTCAGAGGATCTGGACGGGCCGGGCTCGTCTTCTCCTCTTTCACTTTTAACATCTTTTTGCGACGCTACACCGTTCGAATTCTCACTCGATTTCGACGAGTTTTCATGAGCTATATTTTCGCTTTCTCCATTTTCAGTTTTGACAGTGACTAAGAGGATATTTTAATCAACTTGCACAGAGTTTGAGAGTTTATTCAAAACCTTTTTCTGCACTTTCAGGACTAGGCACTTTTGTTTTATATTCAGTCACTACAAATGACGTGCCGCCGTAAGTTACAGTAAAATCAACGCCGGAAGATCTGTCGATGTTTTCGTGCTTCCCGAGAAGAGCCAATTTTGAATGAATTTTTCGCGCCAACATCTTAATTTTTTATGACTACAGACGTGGAATAAAGGAGGACGTACTTTTTGCATCGCATTTTCTTGTCGTTTTGGCGTTTTAGATCGTTTTTTCGCTGGCTGCGAACTAGAAGTATTCGGACTTTCGGGAATATCTCCTTCACTTTCGGACGACTCTTGCCTAGGTCTTCCTCTAGGCCTCTTTGCGGGCTAAAAATATCACAATAATGGCTTGAGGAGATAATAACTCACAGTTTTCCTGACAATCTGCTCTTCTTCGGAGGATTCTTCCTCCTTTTTCTTTCGCCCGCGTTTTCGCTTTTCATTTTTCGGCTTTCTTTTCGGCCCTCTCGATTTAGATTCTACTTCGACGGATTCCTCGCTTTCAGATGGTTTTCTTGAGTACTGTCTTCTACCAGAAAGCCTACTCGCAGGCCTGATAGTTAGATGAATCCGTCGAAATCGAATGGAAGACTCACCTTGTATCACTAGCAATCGAGGACTGTTCCGATATCGATTCGTCATCATCTTCAGATAAATTTCCATTGACATGTGAGCCACTGGCACCATTACTGTCCACCATGCTTTTGCGTCGTACCTCCTTATTGACGGATTTAACCCGGATATTCAAAATAATCAAAACAATTTTCTTTTTCTTTCCAGAAAAAATTAGTTAAATTTTTGTACTGTAGGTTATCTAGAAGGATGATCCTAATTTGGATAACCCACAGTAACATGTTACTTTGTGAGATAAAATAATGATCGACAAAACATATTTTTTCATGCATGTGGAGGTATGGGATAATCAGTAACATGCAACGTACACCAAACTCATTTTTCGTTCGTAAAATCAACAAAGAAAAAATCGAAAGGCAAAATCAGGCTGGTGATCAAAATAAATGGTCAGTAACACTACTGGCTAATCTAACACTAATATCAATCAAGAAGTAGTAGCGTGTAAATGTAAATGTGTGATGTGTTGGTGAAGCGCGCTGTTACCTCCATCCCACCTCTGGGTTTCAACCCTGCCTCTATGGTGGATGTCGAGCCATCACCGTACTGAGCAAAAAGCTGTGTCTGCTGTTGCTTCTGGATGATTTGCTCGGCTATGCGGCCGCCTTTGCGTGTTGATGATCCTCGCGGTGCCTCGCAGATCTTAATAATTCCTAATTAAAAAACCGAAAGTTCAGTTCTCTTCTATGTCTTCAAAATTACACAAAAGTATCTCACGGTTATATTCTCACCTGGCATTTGTACGCTCCAACTTTATTCTGGTACGTGCAAACTGTGCATGACCACTGGTCTTCATCGAAATCTATCTGTTGTTTTTTCCTTACTTTGCCGCCAAGGCGCGGCATCTGAAAAAAAATGATTATAAAACAGAAGGATCCTCAAAGATCGAGATCTGAAGAAATAGCGATGGAAACAAATCTGTGGCAGTTTCTAGTGAAGCAGTAAAAACGTTTGAACTTATTTGGCTGGATTCTTGTATAGAGCTGGCTTCTTTATCCTCCCTCCTGATTGATCAACTCCCCGGCTATGTAATTGCGTCCTAGATTAGTCAAAATATTATAAATGGATTGAATTTCTATTACTTTTGGATAAAGAACGGCGCCAGGCAAGATTTAGCCACTTTGCTTCGTAAAATAATATGTCTGCTTGCATTTATAAACTCATCCTGTGCCTCTATCGTACTTTTGAGGGCAGATTCCTTCATATCTCGTGGTTCTTGAATTATTAATCCCCCGGCATAGTCTACTCTCGCTTCGATTCGCCCTAAATGCAAATAAGTATTAATCAAAAAAGGATTTTTACCAGACATAATCAGTTGTATCACTTCATCGATCAAAACATCTTCGTCGCAGTCGAAAAAGTTCGACATTTTTGAGATGATCGCGCTTTGATAGGGCTAAAAGTCAACTTCAAATTTGGCATATTAGAAACATAACTTTTTATTTTAAAAAAGAAACTTAATAAGACCGGAAATAGCAAACAATCTTTGATCTTGGATATCAATTAATTGAAATTTGAAAGATTTCACTGACCAAAGACACTGTTTTTTTTATGTTTCCGACAACTGGGGAGTCTATGTTCTCCGACCAGAGAAGTCGCAGAGAGTCCCCCAGGGTACCAAAATGTAGCTAAGGGTCTGATCTGTGGCGTAGGGACACTGAGCAAATGTCAATGTCACGTGATCTTTGACAAATGACGTCATCAACCCGAATATACCCGATTTCGCCAATTTTAACCTCATATTGGGAGTCTATGTTCTCGGAGTACAATCATCGTACAGCGTCTCCAAGGGGCTCAAATGAGAGCTAAAGCTCTATTCTGTGGCGTAGGGGGGTTAAGATAATCTCAAGATATACTCATCCCTTTTTTATGGAGGGTCGAAAATGGCGTCGGAAACATAAAAAAAACAGTGTCAAAGAGTAACTACGATTGGTTTGGTCCGGCTGTAAGGAAGGATATATAAATAAAATGTATAGGATTAGTTTCAAATTTATAAAATGAAACAATTACTGCCAGGAAAATTTAGCTTGACCTAAAGTTAGAATAAAATCGTTACCTTTAAATAGTGAATCAAGCATTTCGTTCGAATCTCGCTGTAGAGATATTCCACGTGTGGCGACATAAAGTAATCGAGCCTCAAAATGTTGCGCTGTAACTCGAGATACTTGAGCGCATCGGAGTATTTGGACTCGACAAAGGCTATAAATACAATTTTCAAGTAACAGTAGTATCTTTTTAATAAAGATATTGACGATTTTAAAATGTTCCTTTTACGACTGAGTGCGTCGAGGAAAGTCTTCTTACCGATAATTGCTTCACGCATGTTAGGCTCGAGTTCGAGGAAAAGTTTGAAAGAAGCTCCGTTGATCACAGTTTCTTTGAGCTCTTTTCTTGTCTTCAAAGCAAGATTCAACAACGCACCATACATTCCGAGGTCTTTTGGCGAAATCAATTCCCTAGAAGAACAATTTCTTTCTTGAGAGCGATTTTCTTAAGACTTACGGATAGTGGAAGGACTCAAAGTCGACCAACAAAAACTGATTACTCGCTGCGAGGTAATTCTTTCGCTGAAGCTCTCCGAGAGCATTCGCGACGATCATTTTTCCCTTTGCCGCTGTGTCCTGGCATTCTTTTGCTTTTTGCGACTTGAGTTTTTCAGAATAGCTCGCGACATGGGCGTAGTTTCCCAACAAAACTAAATAAAGACAGGTAAAAGTTGAAAGAAATATGTAAATTCAAGTCTTACCAGATGTAGTGATGACGTTGAGACACATGTTGCGAATGTGCGTCGGCTGGAGACAGTAGTCCCTCGATTGGTAATAACATTTCAGCGCGCCGGTCAAATCGCCTGCTTTAATTTTATGTTCAGCGAGTTCTTCGTAGCCTCGTTTTATCGATTCCTTGAAAATTAATGCGCTCGTTTTTATTTTATTTCAGGCAATTTCGTACCTTGATAGCGCTATTTTTATATTGTTTAATATCATTCTCCAGTCGGTCCGTGATCGTCGCGACTTGACTCGTTACAGTAGCAATCCAGCCTTCGCTAAAGCCATGATCGCGCTCTGGAAATCTCTTTCGCAGAATCGCGTGGAGCTGTCTGTACATTTCGACGTTGTAGGTCGACTTGACCGTTTTCAAGGCGACTTGGGTTGTTTCGTAAACTGATTCTGCCGAGTGATCGATGATGAATTTCAGGCGGCGCAAAAGTATAGTGCCACGGTAGATGGACGGGTACGCATCAATGTCAATTGTGGACGCGCCAGTGATCAAAAATTGAGTTACATCCTCCTCAGAGTCTGACTCCATTCCCTCCTGCTCCTAATTTGATCAATTAGCATACTGTTAGTTCAGACTTATTGTAGACGAGATTTTGTGTAATTAAAATATGGTTTTTTGATTGGTTCTACTGCAATTTCGATCATTTTGATTGGTGAAAATAAAGAAAAAACCCGTAGATAAGTTAAAGAATCAGTAAAATATCGTACCATTTCTGTTGATTCTGAAGTTGCCCCTGATCCTACAGTTTCAGAAGAAGAATTTGATTCTAGCGGCGTGGGAATCACCGTATTGCTTTCACTAAATCGAACAGATCTTAGTGGTTCCTGAGGCATCAGATCTGGTAGGACTTCCATATCGCCCATTTTTACAATTTAATGACTTTTTCTGAAGTTTTTTATTTTGAAAGAGATTTTTTTTTGACAGAATATGTCTTAATCGTAATGAGTATAACGTAAATCAGAAGGAAAAAAGAGAAAGAGAGAAAATCGAATAGAAAGAGTAAAAGATATAAAAGATCAATAAAAGGTTGGTATAAATAAGCGAACAGCGAGACAGCTCAATTTCGAGTCCTACGAACAACTGTACTAGTAAATAATTTTCATAAATTAAATTTTCTGCTTTCAGGAGAAATTTTATTAAAAAAAAAAGCTTTTGTCCTCATCTATATTTTTTTAAGTTTTAAAAATCAATTTTAGTAAAAAGCATGTATGTACTGCCTGAGAAAAAATATAAATAAATATATTCATAAAGAAAAAGCAATATTGATAGTGGATCTAAAATTGATAAAATTGTTCAGGGACGAGAGTTGCAAAGAAAAAAAGGGCTAGCATTTTTCATGTTTCTTTAGTTTTATTTTATTTCCAATGGCGGCAGTAATGCTTAAAGTTTTCAAACGGGAGGGTTCTTTGTTTTTACAAAAGGGTGGTTCTTTACAATTTTATTTCCACAGCTTCAAAAGCATTTTATAAGGAAGAATAACGCCTACTTTCGAATAAGCTCAAACAGATGTACATGATAATAATAAGTTTTTTTAGGGGAAGAGATACGTACTCATACAGGCTCTCGAAAACTTAAACTCAGGCCAGCTTAGGGAGGAGGTCAGTCATTTTCGAGGTTGTTTTCTATTTTATCTAAGATAAATACGGTTTTTGAAACTAAAACAGGCCTGTTTGTGGCTTCGAATTGGGAAATTTGGTCCCAAACTTTGTTTCCATTTTCATACTTTTTTCTACTAGCTACAATTGTGAATACAGTATGAATGAGCAGGACGAAAAAATAAGAGTACAATCGAGTACATAAATAGGAGAGGGGCGAGCTATATTGATATAATAAATGATAAAGAAAAATAATCTTGCCAGAGGCTGCATTTGTCCATTTATACATGTTTACATTTTACATGCTTACATAACGACAGCAAAAGATACAATTTTGAAGGCAATTCCACGACAATGGAATCACAATCAGCAAGTCAGTAAGATTTAGATTCAGATAGTATTGAACACGGAAAATTGCAGAGAAGTTGGTTACTTTTTACTTTGATTCGTAGATATTATCTATCAATAAAAATGTTATTTGCAAAGAATAATGATAAATGAGAGAGGATCATGATAATGATGATGATAAGAAAAGTCAGTTTTTCGTTTGTGGAAGAGAAGCGAAGGTGCTTCTAATTCAAGAAGAGTAGAGTTTTTAATTGTTCAAAACACCAATTTTAATAGATACTACTGTTAATCAAGGATGTTAAAAAAACAACGAAATAAAGAATATAAATGAATGATTAAAAACATCTACGGACAGTATATTTTGAGGAGGTTCAAAAGGGGATCAGAGATCAGCTCTAGAAGAGGAGGGAGGAGGAGATAAATATATAATTTACAAGAAACGAATCTACAATTTTTTCGAATATTATAATTACTAAGATGATTATTATAATAATTCCAAAACGGGCCGGGCGCTGAGGATATGTGCAGGGTCAACTATTTCGGAGCTAGTTTTTTGGAAAGAGAGATAACTTTCAAAAGTTCACGAAGTGGGACGGATCTCGCCGTTCTGCGAGTGTAGAATAATTTTCTCGAGCTTCGACAGGATGTGCTTGCCGTACGTGAACCTCTTCAAATTGGACACATGGGGCTTCATCTTTTGCACCATTTTCTGGCGCTGGGCGGCATCGCCCATGTCCAGCATTTTCTGGACGACGTAATTCGCGAATTGATCCTAAATTGGCAAGTGAGCTACAACAGTGTGAAATTTAGCGCCTGAGGGCAACTTCGCGGGCGCTTTCTACTACGACTCTGTTAACTCGTTGGCAACAAGCCCACCTGTTTTGTTATTTTTGTATATTCATTTCAATATGTTATCTTATTTTCATACCTTCATCATGATAAAGAGACTGTCAGGATTCTGACAGACCTCTTCGATCAACGCTGCTCGTTCAGTTCTATTCGACGTGGTCACACATTTCTCAATGACATTTGAAGCGAACTTGTGCTGAGAAAGGGTGACGATGCGGCCCATGACGGCGCGCAGGATCATCTGCCTGTCTTCCATTTTGCCGCGGTTCAGGATGTGCTGGATCACATAGTTTCCGTACTGATCTTGGATCAACATTTCGTGGTTTTTGTGGATTTCCTGAAATGTTTTTCATTATTTTCTTCATCAAAAATGTACAAGAGATCCCTCTGCGGAATCCCAAAATATGACACTTACCTCCATAATGGGCTTGTACTGTTCCTCCGTACAATGCTCGAGTATTCTCTGCACAACTCTGCAGCCATAAGCATGCGTAGAAAGACCAACCACTTGGCCATTGAAAGCAGAGATGATAAACTCTAAGTTGTCAGCAGGAAGACATTCAATTACTTTTTGAATCACGTGATTTCCATTTTGGTCCTTGACACAGCGCAGTATCGAGTTTTGCAACTCGTTTACGATGATCATTTGTTGTTCCTAAGACAAGCGTTTTCGACCGTATTTAGCTTGTTTTCTTTACCTGGTTGAGAGATTCTAGCGCTTTCTGAATCACTCTGCATCCGTACATCTGAAGCGATAACTGCAGAACTTTTCCCTTGATATTATCGACAATTTGTTGCTTTTGCTCGGCGGTGCCGAATTCCAGGAACTTCTGGATCACGTAATTTCCAAAAACGTCAATGATCAACTGGTACGAGTGGGAAATGATTTCGTTGAAGACTAATTGCCTGTCGGACGGATTGCAACGCTCGAGTTTTTGTTGAATAAAGCGAGATCCATGCTGGTCTTGGCTGAAAAGAAAAGATTATGGGACGGTGATAGGGTTTTTCTCACCTAAATTCGACCATATGGTTGAGCAAGTCGCGCAGCTGCGGATTGGTAAGTCGGTTGTTTCGGAAATCTTCCAAAAGCCTTGATCTACCAGAAAGTCCATCGAAAGAGCCCATAGATCGGGTAGCTGGGAAGCCGAGGGAATTCGAGCTGTATCGGCCAGAATCGCCATGTGCCAAACCCAGGCCGAAGGTATTCACGCCAATTGGTGGCGGTGGAGTAACAAGATCTAAAAGAAATGTAGACAGAAGTTATTTTCATTCTGTATGGCTTACCTGGCCCAGGGCTTGTGATTCCATTGTACATGACCCCAGAGTTCGATCGCATGTGCAAATTATACTGTCCCATTCTTGGATCAGAATCCCTCCTCGGTACGTGATGCGGCGACTGCAAATTCGGCGACGTCGGATTACCTTCGTTCCCCAAGCCAAAGCCGGGTGTCAACCATGGGCTCAGAATATTTCCCGTGCCTAATGAGTTCTGCGACTAGATTTTTGTTTCAAAAGCTATTAGGCTCAATGAGATACATACGGGAATGAGCCGAAGTCGGGGGTCGATTTGAGGAGCATTCAGATTCTGATTCAGGCCGTAGAGACTTTGTTGATTTTGCAACTGCGAAGCGAGATTCAGCGGATTTGAGAGAGCACCGAGGTTGGTTTGATTGAAACCGGGCACGGACTGCATTGACAGGTTTTTTTTTATATTGCACAAGCAATTTTCGGGTCTCTCTAGAAAAGGGATGAGCAAGTCACATGACTTTGAAACTCATTCAAACAATAGTTTGGAACCCTAGCTACATTTTGCGCCATTTGGGGAACCTCCACGATATCTATGTTCGGAGTTATTAGACTCCCAAAATTGAGCCGATATTGGAAAAATCGGCGAGTTCGGCGTCGATGACGTAATTTTTCATAGATCACGTGATCGAAAATTTCCCATATTACTTCAAACAATAGGTCAGACCATGAGCTACATTTTGAGCATTTTTGGGGCATTCTACGATATCCCTATTCGGAGTTATTAGACTCCCAAGCTTTGTGCAATATAAAAAAAAACCTGTCATTGGATTTGGCATGCCAGGCATTGAGGGGCCCATAGACGATGGGGGAAATTGCTGATTGTACAAAGACATGTTTAGCATGTTGTTTTGCTGGGAAAGCGCTGCTGTTTGAAGCTTAGACAGATGTAAAGATAGAAAAACTGGACTTTAAGCACCTGTAAAAGCTGTAGCTGCTGAATTTGTTGGTAATCTTGAAGCATTGGTGGAGCACCAGGATTCTGGCCTACAAGGGGATTAGGGAGCTGAACTCCAATATTGGGGTCTTTCACGAGACCTGGCGCTTCAGGTGGCTTAAGTCCTCCATCCGCCCATAAGTCCGCTTTATCCATCCCATTCAGAGCCCATGTCTTGTTGACGGCATCGCCGCTGTTGTTCGGATTGTGCTCGTTCGCCCAGGCCGTGGAGGGAATCTGCCCCGTTTGAGCCCCGAGACTTTGGGGCATCTGCTGCGGCGGGGGCCAGTTGCCTGGAGAAGGAACGGGCTGCTCAAATCGGCCACCAGATGAGTCAAATTGACTTGAAGGCATCGTTCCATCGTTGGCCGACCAAATTCCTTGGTAATCATTAGGCTTGGGGTTTCTTATTATTGAAGTCTTACCTTCACTAACTTCCCGATCCATACTTATATTCTGCATTCCCTTGGCGAGTCCATCGATTGAAATTGACGGAACGATCAAATCGGGATTCGTTGTCGTCGTTGCCACTCCTGTGGGCATTGACGCCGTCGACTGAAGCCCTAGAATCGCAATAAAAAAACAATTTTTTATAATTTTTGTACCTGTGCCCTGGGTGAACGCATCAGGACTCCCCTGCTCGTTGCCGTCGTTTCCGACGGCACTCCAAGAAGGATGTGTCGCCGACACGGAAGACTGCATCTGACTCACTTATCCGACACTTTTTGAGCTTTCTGAATTCATGAATCCATCATAAAAACAAGAAATTTTCTTTTCACCAATTAAAAAAAATAAAAGTTTGTGAGGAATAGAAAAATAGATCAGTATCAAGAAGTGCAGTAGGTCAGTATAAAAATAAAATAAAAAAAATAATTTGAGGTGGGTTTTGAAAGTTGAAAATTTTGATTGGAAGGAAAACGGAACTTTTCAGAGAAGGGCAGAATTTTTTGAATTTTTAAAACACGGATATGGCAAAAGCGTCTTCAGCGAGGTTATTTTCATCTAAAAATATTGCTCATTTTAGGAAGAAGGGGGAAAATTACCATTTATAAAAATGTAATATTTCCCAGTTACGCCGGAAAGTATCAATTCGATCTTTCCATTCTCGTCGGCGCCGAGTTGAATATCTGGTCGAGTGACGATTGCGTTTTTAGCACACGAAGAGGAGATTTTGAACGTCTTTGGTTGATTGTAAGGATTGTGTAGGGCTACTCTCTTTCGTACGTTTTTCGAGCCTTTTAGATAGAGCTCCATTTCTTTTGAGATTTTCGGCGGCTGGACGTCGAGGTGGAATATGTAATTTTGCATCACGCTTCCAGAATTCGTTATTCTAAGCATTCTCCTATAAAAATATGTAAAGAGCCTTCTAAAGGCAATTTTAATCGACCTGAAGTTTCCAGGACAGTGAGCATAAACGCCGAATTTAGGATAGTCCTGGACAATCGGAAGCGCTTCATCGCAATATCGAATGTTCATATTCCTAATTGCATGCGAATAGTGAAAGGTAGGCCTGCCACTGATGGGGATCTGGAAAGGAACGGACATGTATTTGAACGTTCCCTGATCCAGGGTTTGGGATCCAAGCGAGACAGCAGCTTGAATAGTCATTTTTATCGAGTGGCGCCATCGATGACCTTCATGAAAATGGAGCCAGCCGATAATTTCGTCCGGGGCATTTGGAGTTTTCATCGCGAATTCTATCTCGTTCGCCGATAGTTTTTGAAAACGATGGCCGATGAGTGGCTCGCCAGAGATTTTATAAAAGAAGTAATTGTGGAAAGTCGTAGAGGAGGAAAGAGCAATTGGGAGGGGAATGTTTTTCTTCAGAATGGAATTCTCGGCTTCGACTAGGTTTATCGTCGAATACTGACGCGGAGGGAGCACAAATCCACGGAGAAAGAATCGATGATAGACAGAGCCACAACTGGTCCGAAGGTCTAATGTGACGTTAATCTGCGGCTGCGGATTAATCGGGAAGAAGTCGAAAAGAATCTCGGCCTCGATCATTGGCGGCAAGCAAATTGAATAGATTCCAGTACTTGAGCGAGAAACATAGCGAGAAGGGCGCATTGAAAACTCCTGTGGTAGAGTATCGAGCATCAAGGTGAGTTCTTTGTTCTGTTGATTGTGAAATGGCAGTTTACAGGGGACGCGCTCTCCAGCAATGCCGATCAGGTGGATGTACTCTGTCGCTGATTCAATGAGCGTTGAAAATATCGCAGCTTGTTTCGTAAGAGCGAAATCGGAATCGTCAAAAGTCTTCAAACGCGAAACTCTGGCGAGACGCATCTTTTCCGCCTGGGCAGCTTCGTGATCCTCAGAAAAATATTTTCGAAGCTTTGAAATCTTCGGCAATAAGTCCTAATCAGAGTTATATTTTTATCTATCAGCGTAAAATCGAGGTTGATCATCTGCCTTACTCAAAAAATATAACTCCATTCCTTATCAGTTGGCTGACCGGAGAAAGTCATCGTAAAGTTCGGCCTATTGACGGATCCACCAATCGTGCTGAAATTTACAGAGTTTTCCGCCGATTGATAAATGTTAAAGGTGCTTTCTGATGGAATCAAGTCCATCTTTAACGCTCTCAAGTTGAACAACTCGAAGTCCTCCGATGCGCGGCATTCGACGACAACCCTCGCTCCCGAACCGCTTTGGAGGGAATTCAGGTCGATGTAGGCGATATGTGTTACCCAGCTGCTCTGAGCGTCAAGTATTTCTAGACATACTTGTCGATTCATCGCGTTGTCCAAGTTGAGGTGGAGGCGCTTCGGTCGCGAAACCGCGTGAAAGGTTTGACCTTCAACGGGGACAACGCGGATTTCCATTTCAACTTCTTCAGCAGCTTGGGCTCTAAGACGGATTCGCGACGGTATCCAGTTCACATTTCCAGGCTCAGAAATCAGGTGAGTGACGACGATGTCAACTGCCGAAGGGACTGTAACAGAGTTGGATTTTGAATCATAGATCAGAAAGAAAATAGAATAACTTGAGCCAGCTCTGATCAAAATCTCGGAAAAAATGCAACTCTAACTGAAGGGCCGGCGGTTTCAGGTGCTATTCGCGAGATTATCTCTTTGTTCGGAATTGGATTGAGCACTTTCATTAATTCAGAATGATGAACTCTAGTCGTTTCGATTTCTGTCAATTTATTCGGTTCCACGTGATCGCCATCTGTCAGCGTCACTTTCAGCGTCGCCTTGTTGTCAGTAGAAACCGATCGAAGAATCACCGATCTATTGCCAACTTTGGCTTTCGACTTGCAATTCATGAATCCAACTACTAATGTTGTTGCTCGAGCCTCATCCTCGCCGAACCATTCCAGTTTTTCGAGGACGAAGCGGAGCTGCGTGTAGACTGTAATAGTCACCCTACTGTCTGCTTGGAAAATGTTCACATGTGCTTGATCCGAAGGAGAGTACGTCAAATTGACTACAGTCGGTGCAAGAACCCAATTTTCTCCGTTATGCTCACCAACTCGTAGTCGAGTTTCATTTTGATCCAGCTTAAAATCGGGTTCTGTTGAAAATTCGAAGATATAACCGATGGTAGAAAATATACCATTATAAAAAATATTTAGCACATGTCTCCTGAGTCAGGAGTCCTGACATATTTTCTCTAATGGCTAGTTATGATAAGTGGGAAAGGAAAGGGAACTTGGAGTGGCGATATTAAACCCGCGCCTGACCACAGTAATCCACCACAAAGTTCGATAACGTGATTTTGCGTTCCCTTGGTAGGTGTTCGCTTATTGCGCATTTAGGCCCAAACAACTCCGGATTGCATTTCACTGTCTACAAATCCAATTGAAAAAAGAAAGGGATGAGAATCGCTCGTACCGTGAAATCCAGATTGACATGGACATCAAGCAAGTTCACCGGTTGTTTCGAAAGGGATTGGCGCACTTGGCGGCTCTGTTTAGCTGCCGGTTGCCCCCAAGTCAACAACATTGGATCAAGCTTCGGTTCGCTGCGAACTATATTCTTGCCATGCATCAAAGGTGGTAAATGAAGCCAGAATTTCACCTTGTCTCTTGCGTCTGGATCTCCATCAACTTTGAATTGTGTCCTTGCTTTTGAGCGTTGAACAATCCGTAAAGTGGGTAATCCCAAAACGGGGATGCCGCTATCGTATCCCAAAATTGAAGAAAAGACAATTTCACATTTTCAACTTTCCTGTAACATCAATTCTGTAACCCTGCCTCGCGTAAAAGTACCCCCCAGGCTTGATATTCAAGGTGTTGGAAACAACAAACGACTGGCTGCTGGAAATCTGTCTCCTACACGTGATCCGATAGTAACAACCACCAAGCGCAACTCGATTTCCCTGCGAGTCCTCTACATTTCCAAATGTGACCTTGAAAACATCTCCCAAGGGTTCACTTGGAACAACCCTGGCGTCTTCCGACGAGCAAAGTGTCATGTCATCACTAAATCGATAAAAATAAGATGAAAAATTTAAAGAAATATTGAATTGTGATTGATTTAATAAAAAATTGTGAAGAAAAGAAAAATTGAAGTGTTTTAGAAGCTCGTAAAAGCAGTTTTGAAGGAGCAGCGAGGCTTGAGTTGGAAGTTGAGTAAATATTTAGAAAAAGACTTCTGGGCCTTCGAGGTGGACAGTGATTGATTTGATGACTGGCAATGGTGCTTGTTTGGTTTTTCGCTTTCTTACGGGCAGGTCGTCGAGTGAGAGCCCCTTTCCTGAAATAAAAGATAACATAATTATAGCCCTCTCCGTTTTTCTTATCGCACTTATACAAGAAAAATCTTGCTGGCCGCTTTTCAAACTCTGAAATTACTGAATGTAATACCTTTACGTCGACCAACAAGATATCTCAAAAAGAAAATTTGGCTAGTCAGAATTCAGCTGACTCCAATATATTCGTGCGTACCTAGATAAAAATGAACTAGATCCCATTCTTTTCGACGAAACGCTTGGCGCAGCATCGTGACTGGGTTTATTTTCTGCGTTGCTCCTGTTGTTGGTCGAATTTCAAGCTGATCTTCTTCCGGATCGCGGACAGGGGGATCATTATTGTTATTTCCCTCTTCGATCATCGCAGACAGCTCATTCTGGCCATTGAATGGGCGGCTGTAGTGCAGCATCGACATTCTTCTGAATCGAAAGAATCGAGAAATCGAAGAATTGAAATTGAACGAGAAAGCAGACACCTTTTTAATAAAGTCTTTCGGTGAGTACATGGTAGTGAAAGTGAAATACGCAAATGTAAATACGGTTAAACAAATGAAGTAATGTTACAGGCGCATTTCGAGTAGTATTTTTGTTTGTTTCATCGTTAATAGAGTTGAATTTAAACTACTGTATCGAGCATCTGGGTATTTCCTGCCAGAATCCAAGCATGCAATAGTTTGAAGAATAATTGAAAGGGATAAACGCAAAATCAGAGTATAAAATAGATGAAAAAATGGGACGATGAACTTGTTCAAGCAAATTTGTTTTGTTTTCTCAAATCGGTAAATATTAGCAAAAAAGTTAATCGGGATAACTGGGTTTTATTTGTTTGACTCGTGAGAATTTCACTGAAAATTAAGTACGAATGAATTGGTTTTCAAGAAAAATCAATGATCAGTTAGAAGAATAAATATAGTTACTGTATGAATAGTATGAACTGTATTTAGCACTAACGATGCATGAAACGAAAATATATAACATATGTTATATAATATATATGTTATGAATATGTTATATATAACATATTCTATAGAATAACTCTTGGAACTCTTGGGACATGTTCGAATGGTGAGACAGTTTATTTTTGTTTTTTTATCAAATGATTCCGTGATTGAAAATCGTTCGATTACTTCTTCGGAAGATAAGATCATCAACTAATCCGTTGGTGATCAGCTTCCGGAAGTAGTTTTCGAAGATTATCAAGTAAGGGTGCTTGTTTAATGCTTCTTGAAGGGCGTAGGAGTACTTTGTTGTCGAGAGCTGCCGAAAGCGAATGTAGATCGTCATAAAATCGTTTGTCGAGATCACCAGATCATCGTGGAACGGAGTTCTGTCGCGATAAGACCTTATCGTCAACAGCTTCCCGTCCAGTTCTTTTTCACGGTGGGGCGTAAAGCGATCGACTTCCTCCAGCGATTTTTCAAATGACCGCATGAGAAAGTGAATCTCCTGCGAGACGAAATTAAGGCGTTGCTTGAAGTATTTCTCCCGGAGCGAGTGGCAAACGCTTCTGCCGGGGAGGAAGACAGTATTGATGGCCTTATGGGCTGCGAGGTCTACGAGGCGGGGTTGCTCGACTGAAAGAAAACGGTTGAAATCAAGGAAGAGGACAACAGATCACGGAATTTGCGATTCTATTAGAAGATATTTGTGACTTACTCTGAAACTGAAGATTGTGTTTCGAAAGAATTTCCTCGTCATCTTCGTCGCTTTGTTTGATCGCGCCCCCGATGACGATAAAATGACCATTGTAATTGTTGTAATTACATGAGTGCCACATCCGTTTTTTCTCGTTCTAGGGCAAAAGTGATAAAAAATAAAATACATCGACCTACGGTTGGGCAATCCTGCCAACTTCTGTGGGCGAAGTCAATGTTAACTCTTTTCCAGAGATTGGGAAAAGCGAGCGTGCGCGTTGCGGGGCTGGAAGCAATCGATGAGGTGACGAGGTTTTGGTCGAAAATCCAAATGTCGGAAAGCGCGATTTCACTGTTGCGCTCTTTTCGCGAGCTCAGCCCGCCGAATAACAGCATGCAATCCCGACCAGCTAAAACACCATCAAAAATCAATAGGAAAACCAGGCAATTACCGGTTAGCGTCATCCAGCTTCGATTTTCAGGAGTGGCTCCATTTGTGAGCAAACGAGTCCAAACATGGTGCTCCAAGTCGAAATGATAAAGGTCATTAGCTCGACCAGGAGCACAACGACCCCAAATAAATATGCGTTCTTTTCATTTTGAGCTGAGCCGAATGCAGCTCGTGGAGCAGGCCTTAATTTTCATCAATAGAAGATAAGTTTAGATTCTACCTAGGACCAAAATCTTCGATTGGGATATGTTTCTTTGCCACGGTGTCAAAAATGAAGAGATCATCATTCCAAGCTCTATTATCGTCCAGATCTTCTATCACTTCGTATTTCGTCTACAAAAACGCGTCGATTAAAACGTTCTAAGGAAAAAGCTACACTGCAACCTTTGCATGAAGCGGACAATCATCCTTATTCGGGACAGGGCCAAATCCGCCGAAAATAATGATATTATCCTCATAAGACCAAGCGCTAATTAAATGTATAAAATACGATAGAATTAATAATAAAAGTTTACCCATGCTTATTTCGCGGGGCGGGGAGACTTTTGTGTTCTGGATTGACGATTTCCCATTTCCATGTTCTCAGATCCAGTTTAAGGATGTGATTGAGGTCGCGTTTTTGAAAGCCATACATCAGATACAACGCACCCTTAAAATATGGGAAAGATAAAGGAGAGCCTAACGAATTAATATATACATTGACAATTGCACCAGCAGCCCCGCAGAGACCATAACTGAGGACTTCTGGCCGGCCAAAAGTAGCTATGAGAAACCATTCATTTGTGATCTTGTTGAGTCGCCATACATCTCGCAGAGGCCTGTAGATTTGCTTTGGCTGGTTGGCCCAACTGGAATGGTGCGGAATCGGCTAAAAGGGAGCTTGATAAATAGCAAGATTGAACAAACTTACTCTGTATCCACTGACGATGTAAATGAAGTCGCCTTCCGATACAGCAACATGGCCGTAGACCGGCAGCGGCTCAAATCTACTTCTTGGTAGCTCTGTGTTGCTGTATTCGCTGCTAGACAAGAAAAGCTGGCTCCTGGTCGCCGCGGCGATGTGGCTATCGTTGATGGACAAGTTACTCTCGGTGGCGTTTGGGTTTATTCCAACTTGCGTGACTGAAAGAATTTCTGCGGGCAAGACTCTGCTTTCATTATTTTCATTCATTAACTGAATTAATTATTCTTTTAAACATGTGTAAATTATTCATTAATTAATAAATGAAGGAACAGGAGCGATTGTTAGTGAGGAAGAATTGTGCAAAATTATAATATGAGTGAAGTAGCTTTAGGTATTGGAACATGAAGGCAAATATAAGCTAGAAATTTTTTTTTGTTTCCGTCGCCATACTTTTCAGTGTTTAGTTTTAAGGTTGATTGAAAGTTACAGTTACAGTGTTAAGGGAAGACAGTAAAGGTGGTAGAAGGCGGTTGTTTGTTGTTGTATAAAAAATGAGCTTTTAATAAGAAGGCGGAGGGGCCTTCTTGTTCTGGAACATGTATGAAGTAACTTGTTCGGGAATTTCTGCGAGCACTTGCATAGCGAGCGAAGTTTTGGCGTTGATAGTGTCGGCAGCGAAGTCACTGCAGTCGCTAAAATGTAAAAAAGGTTCAGAGAAAAATTCATTTGGAGAGCGAATTTCAGGCGATTAATCAAACCGGATATACGGGTAATTAGATTTCATGGATTCATGAAATCACGAAAAAGCCATTTTCCGAATGCTAGATTGCCAATGCATTAGTTTTGTTAATTTTTGACAAGGCTTTCAGCTGAATACTGTTGAAAGCTTTCTCCATCAATTTTCAATTACCGGAAGGGCACAAACTGAACAATATCTCTCTTCGCCGTAGCACCATCAAGCGACAAAAGCTGATCATCCGAGTCCAGTTCTTCCATTCCATCGAAATCAGCATTTCCCACTCCGACGATGATGATCGAAAAAGGCAAATTTGAGTTGTCGATGATCGCTCTTTTCGTCGCCTGCATGTCAGTTATCACGCCGTCTGTGATGATCATCAGTACAAAATAGTCGGGAACAGGTTTGGATAGGTTGCTCGGGTCCTTGGCCATTCTTGCGACCTCCAGGATCGTTGGGGCGAAGTTAGTCGGACTAAAAGCGCGCTAGAATGGCGAAGAAACGGACTTTTCAAACCCATAGAGTTGAATTTGAGGTAGACATCCATAATAAGCCTGTAAGATTCCGTCGACTCCGTTCATGAACGGATTACCAGGGTTGAAATTACAAGGGAACATATGGCTAACCGCGCCATTTGGAGGTATCTTCGCACCGAATCCAAAAACTGGGAAAAGTTTGTCTGTATCGTAATCTTTGATCACTTCTCCCACTCCAACAATGGCTAAAGGTGAAATTTTCTCTTGAATCTACGCTAGAAATGGACTTGCCTTTATGGTATTGCGTGGGTTGATTAGCTCCTGAATAATGAAGGCTTCTACTATCGCGCGGGTCACCATTAGACCCGGTGTAATCAATAGACACCACGAAATTCATCTCCATCCCGCCTTGCAAGAAATCGACAAAAGTGTACTTCGTTTCTATTTCTTTCCTCAAAAGTTTGATTGACGCCTTCTTGTCGATCCTCCAAGTTTGTCCTTGTTCCAGGTCCTTAGCAGCGGTCTCGAACGAGCCTTGATATTGGATCAAAATTTACCAAAACCCATAATTTATCAAAATTATTCTAAAATCTACATTACGGATTGAAGAATCGGAGAAACTTGTAAACGTTGTTTGTCTGTTGATGATTTGGTTGTTGTCTTGCCTAAGATGGATTGAAATTTGATATCCATTCCTTGGATTTTATGACTTCCATTACCCTTATACTTCCAAAAGCCGATCCTCAAGGTCCTCGATAAATCTCCATTACAGAGCTTCTCTCCACTTATCGGAAGACTCCAGACATAAGGGCCAGACGTCAACACCTTGGACCTCGTGACCACTCCAAAAGAGCCATCTTCGTTTGCTCTTTCAATTTGAAAAAAGAACCCGGAGCCAAAGAGACCTTTCGAAACGCCATTTGCTTCGAATCGCAGCTTGAAGAATTCTCTCGACTTGAGCAATTCCTCTGCACGAGCTTTTAAATGGCCCTGGAAAATGGAGCCGTCGCGCTGCTTTAGAGGAATACTGATGCCGTTCGGATCACAGACTAATTCTCCAAGATTGACTTGACATTCGCCGAGAAAGTCGTGCTTGTCAAGTTTTGAGGAGGCTTCATCTAAATCGTAAACTTCGAACTTCAGCGTCTTTTTTCGGGGTTTCACGATATATTTATGAGAGTTTGATAAAGGTATATAATATACCGTATATTTTTTATAATAACGGTATTATTTGTTATTAACGTAAAAACAAACCCTTCCTGCACGACTTCAAAGACATAGTCCAAGTCAAATTTCTTTGAAAATTTCGGATTCAAATTATTCATGATCACCTCGGTTCTTCCAATTTCGTTCCATCTTCTCGATCCACTTCCGTTTGATCCTGACTGCATATAAACAACAACGAAGGGATCACTCTTGGAGAAGACATCGGCATCGAAGAGGCCGGTACACTCGATGCTGAGCTCTATTCTAGAATTTCCTCGGTTTGGGTTTAGCGCTCGTTTTTATGTCAGATTTATCACAAATAACGTGGTCTAGCCAATCTGCCCCGAAAACCGCAAAAGAAGCAATAAGCTATCAAATTGTATCGTGAGAGGATATCGTACGATACTCTCACCATGGATGCCCACCATGCATGATGCTCGGTGATATAATTATCACATTCAAAATAAGATGAGCCGGGAGTCTTGATAGACAAAATAACAAGTCATGATTTTCATTCTGCTCCTAATAATTATAATTTTGTCTGGCGCTAGAACCCTTTCCTGCAGAGGCAGTCCCCGGACTAAAGACTGCCATTCTGAACAAAAGATATCAATTCAAACCTATTTTTTCTCGATTTTTGAATAATAAAAATAAAATATTTTTGTAAGATATAAAAATAATTTGTTGAAGAACAGATTTAATGATCAAAGCAGCTTGTTAAGCCGCCTCTGGATAGAATCAATATTTGAAATGGTCTCATTGAAAGCCTTGCGCATCTCTTGTGGATTATTCTCTATCTTTTTCTTCTGCTGCTCTGAAGAATAGCTCTCGACGAGGGAAATGGAGGAAGGATTAAATTGTTTCTGACAGAGATCACTAATAATATCGTCTTTAAAAAAGATCGAGACAAGACAAAAATAGGCCAATAACTTCGTTTTATCGAGTCTTATTTTCGGGTAATAGACTTTTCCGTGACTCCTGTCTGTTTTCAAACGCTCTGACGCAGAGAGTTGTCAAGGCTTTTCACAATAGAAATATTTCCATCATAAAAATCGGGAAAAGCTAAAATCAATATGAAAGGGAAAAGAATTAATCCAGCGGTAAAGAAATCTTTTGTGAGTTTTTCTTCACGCATTTTTGATTTTCAAGTAAAGTCAATTAATCGTCGGTTAGTAAGTTTCTGATTTCGGCTCACCAAAAAAACGTCGGGATAGAATGAGGCCTAGATTTCAGCCACTCCACAAGACACACCAAATGAATGAACTTTAGCGATCCTAAACATATATTGATTCAGGCACACTTGATTCTACATTTTTCCTAGAGCAAACTACAACTTAATCAGATATAGACAGAAGAAAAACATTTACCCAAATGTTTTTCATAGCACCGAAATATTTCTTGAAATATTTATTCACAGCATCAGTAGTAATAAACATAGAAATGCACCTCACCAGAAGAACACCAAAACTTCTTTCTTACCTTTGCAAAAACATGGAGCCAATAAGGGATTTTTAAGACCATCCAAGTCACTCATACAAATTCTACAAACACATTGATCCACTGGCAGAACCACTGCTTCTTTCGCTTTTTTAGCTTTCTTCTGTTTTCCGTTTTTGTTTTTCGATAATCTGCTGCTCATCTGTAACAATTTCACTCGTAAATGACATTTGGAAAAATTGAAACAACTTTTGTTGGGCAAAATTGAATTTTCTCGGAAACGAAAAGATAAGAGCAAAAATGAATAACTACCTACAAAACGATTGATTTAACGAATAATAAACAGTCGTGCAACTTTTTTAATTCTCGTTGGTTTAATGTTTTTTATATATATTTTTGAAAAGAAGATGAAAATGATTTTTATCAAAGAATGGTGGAGTGGCAATTGGACTACTGTAAGTAACAAAAGAGGATGGTTGTACATGTTGGAATCGTTGTTGATATCAGATTGGTAAATAAAAGTGGGAACGGCGGAAATCGTTGGAATTGACGGAGTGATTAGTATTCATCTTGTTCTTCTTCTGAATAAAAGTCGTTAGTTTTCCCATTTATTTTACCCTCAGCACCTTCAGGCACTTCAAAACCATCAGCAGTGGCGTAAAGAACATCGAGGATCTTTTTGGTGACTTTGTAGACTTCCGATTCTGGGTCTGGCTCTTCTGCTGCTTCCTCACCGCAGACGTTATTGCACATGAGTTCGATGTCTCGCAGTTTTTCGAAGTAGAAGTCCCGTTCCTGAACGAATTCAAGGCCTGTTCAGACAACATTCTTTTCTTTACCTTTTCTAGGGATTCGAGGGAGTCTTTCAAAGTGGCGAGTTGACTGTTGAGCTCGTCAACTTGTCCCTGAAGTCGTTTCGAATCTCCACCAGCGCCAGTGTTACTGGGTCGAGTCGATGCAGGAGTTCTAGGGGCAGCGGGGACCCGAGCAGCTGGAGCTCCAGCTCGAGCGGGTGCTTTCTTTGCTGTTGTAGAAACTGCAGCGGGTTTTGAAGCGGGAGCCACACCAGCGTTCGCTCTCGCATGAACGGGATCATAAGGTTCTCCCTTTGAAATTGGAATTAAAAAAGGATTTTGCGTTATTTTTGATTTACCTGATAGTTAGCGTCGAAAAACTTTTTAAACCATTGAACGAATTCGAAATTATCTTGGAATCTGCCTTTTACCAGTCGCTCCACAGGAATAACCTACAAAAAGAATTGAAAAGGAGGTTAAATATGAGAAACTAAACGATGATACTGAAACATCAAGTGCAGAGTTATAATTTTGATGAAGACAAACCTTATCTACGCCCATCTTTTTGAACGAGTTTTGCAAGACTTTGAAGTTATTAACATATTCGTGCTCGTGTTTTGCATTGTACTTTACTGTCTTTAGTCGGATGGAACCTAAACCAAATGTGGCTTGATTTATAACGGTTCGAAAGATGAGGGGTTAGGTGGAGACAACGAGGACAACATTTTTGTTTCACGAAACTAACATTGAAAAGTAAACCTTATCGACATTTAATAATTTGAAGGAAGCTTGAAGAACTTTAAAATTTGCCACATGTTCATGCTCGAGTTTCGAGTTCCACTTCACTTTTCGCAAATTCAAAGAACCTAAATTACGCCGCTAGCGTTATCGAGTCTATCCTCCTCTTTTCAAATTTGAGGCCGTAAAGGTACTCTAGTGTACCTGGGAAAAGCATATCCATAAACTGGCAGTAAACAGCGCCGCTGCAAAGTTCCTCAATTTTCTTGTGCTGAAGGCTGAGCGAAGTATTTATCCAAGAAATCATATCATGGCGACTGAGGTTATCGGAGGTAGCTGAAGTTAAGGCGACGTTGACAGCCATTCTACTGACAAAAATATTATTTACGATAGTTGATTATTAGCTGATATACTGATATATTTATCTGTTTGTTTAAACTTAAAAATAGTTTTCAGGAACGACTTTGATGCTATTAAAATTCATGCACGACTTTGCAATAGAATCGCCAACTTACGTCTCCATTTCCCGCACTCTGATTTTCTCAAAAAAATCCGCTAATGCGAAAAAGTCGGCGCCTACAAAATGACTCGAAACCGATTTGGTTGGTCGCCAAAATCTGGACCAACTGGTTTCGAGACATTTAGTGGGCGTTATTGTTTGGGCGACGCTATTGTCAAAAGGCTGTGCGAAATTTGCTTTTTTGAAGGTAAAGGTAAAACAAAAATTATTTTTCAGTTCGAAAAAATCCACTTGGCTTGCTCAAAACTGGGTTCTCTGATCTCATCTGTGATAGGGAAGTAGTCTGGATCTAAAATAAAGAGTAAGAATATATGAAAGGAAAGATTAACCATTATTTCGCAAATGATTCAGAGTCATCGCTTGAACTGGAAGAAGTTTTTCGACAAGAGTTCCTTGCGTAAATTTCAACCCATTATTCTGAAAAAGGGTGGGTTAAAAAGGGATGAAATGGGGGTAAGAGCGTACTCTGAGAAATGCCTTGGCAGTCAATCTTTTTTCAGGCGCTCTGGTGGTCAACGATGACACAAGTAAATGCCAGACTTTCGGGATTTTTCTCGTCACGTAAGGCTCGTAGACTGGGTCCTGGTACGCGTTTTCTACGTCTTCCATGGTCGACTTGTCCATGACGACTGGTTGGCGGCCGCGTAGCTTATCAAGCATGATAAGCGTCGCTGGGTTGTTTGAAAAAGGAACAATGCCGTTTAGTAGCTCGCAGAGGACGATTCCAAAGCTAAAAAAATAAATTTTACAATTGGCGCATAACAGCTTTTCTTTGTTTTTATTTAATAATAACTATTTAGTTGCGCTTCAAATCTGTTGAGAAGTTAACTCACCTGTACATATCGGATAAAAGCCCAAATCCGCAGCAATTCTGTTCCAAAATCTCTGGAGCCAGCCATGGTAGCCCTTCTGGATCATAGACATATTTGAAGCTCTTCTTTTTCTCTCGCTGGCGCGTCAAATCAATCGAGTAGCGAAATCCGGAGAGTTTTACGACGCCCTTGGAATTGACGAGGATGTGGGAGCCACGCAGCGATCTGTGCACGATTTCGTTCGAGTGGAGGTAATCTCAAATGGGTGGAGACGTGCGTCGTGAAATTTTGACAAGTCTACTATTGAATAATTGATCGGGCACCATCTGGAAGAGCGATCCCACCCATGTGCCTAAACCAAGAGCCACGCCGCGAGCAATTAGGCTTACTGCTTGCAAATCGAGGCCGTGTTGAAAATGTGCTGAAAATATTTAATCAATTAGAATTATTTTTTTCAAAATAAATGAACGCGCTCTAATAAATTACCTGAGATCAGAGTTCGAAACTTGTTGGCAGTACTGCCACGACTGCCACTGGCAGCTGCCAATTTCGGCAGTCACTTGGCAGTGGCAGTTACATTTTACAAGTGCTGGCAGTTACTGGCAGCTGCCAACCGAATGCCACTTCGAAAGATATTAATTTCTTTCTAAAGTTTTCTTTCTAGAACCACAAAAAACAACGCTAATGATTCAAATTCGCTCCTTTGACCTGTATTTTTCAATTTTTTTAATCAGAAGAGATATTTAAATTTCAGATATCGTCTCTTTTATATGCTTTACTTGTGAATAAGACTGTTTTGAACTAAGTTTGACTTTAAAATTTGTTAAAAATAGTATTGAAATCGGCAGTATTTGGCAGTCGATTGGCAGCTGCCAGTGGCAGCTGCCGATTTTGGCAGTCACTTGGCAGTGGCAGTTGCAATTTACAAAATGCTGGCAGTCAGTTGGCAGTGGCAGTCGCCATTCAAAAAAAGTTGGCAGTCGCTTGGCAGTGGCAGTCGCCATTTTCTTTCAGATTTCGAACTCTGCCTGAGATAATGTCGCTTATCGATCCAAATTGACAATACTCCGTATCCACACATATTCTAGAGCCAACGACCTTGCTCCCAAGAATCCTCACAATATGCGTCGAACGAAGCTATAACTACTACTTAGTCTCTGATCCCTTCTGCGAGGCCTTTTTCTACCTTTCGTTGCAGCAAAATCTCATTACTCAAATCTTTCAGCTGCGCTGTCGTTAATTTTTCATGCTCGGTGAGCCTCGAAATCTGTATTTGCCCCCGATTGTTCGCCCTGACATAAATCGTGGTGGGAAAGGTGTGGCTCTGTCCGATTAACCAGTTCATAACATTCAATTCTGAATATAAAGTCATTACATTTTCGTTACTCGGGACGTATTTTTTTCGCGGATTAAAATATAAACATTGAAAAAATGTTCGTGAGGGGCAGTTGGTGGTTTAATTTTTACTAAGACAATCAAAAATGTACTAAATGGTGACCTATATAAAGTGACAAAAGTATTTAAAGAGAGAAGAGTAGCGGAAAAGGGAGTAGATAGTTATTCAATTATTAATTTTTAAATGGACACGAGATTATTTTGAGCCGTAAATAACGCATTTGTAATTTACGAAAAGTTTTTTTGCTCTGAGAGCTAAGTTGGAGTTTGATGAGTTCTGATTTCCCCTTGAAATCAAGGAAGAGAATCAAATAAGAGGACATTTTGGATGATGAAATTAGTCATCCATCTTTTCTGCCTTGACGTACGCGTCGCCATTGGCTCCTGCGTCGAAGTCGGTTTTGACTCCAGGATCGGTCTTGATGTCAACCTCCTTGTCCCCTCGTCTTCGATCTCGGCGATCACGTGAGCGATCTCTAACAACGCTATTCATTATTTTTGGATGCCTTTAAAACTCACCGTCGGTCGCGCTTTCGATCTCTGGATCTTGATCGTTTCCTTCGACCGTCTCGGTCACGTGAGCGAGATCTTCGTGAACTAGGAAGAGGTTAAAGACGATTCTACACCTCGAAGTTACCGTTTTTCTTCGTCTTTCTTTTCTCTCTTGGAACGATCGAGCAACTTAGCCCGTTCCCTAGCCTGGTCACGTTTTTCATCCCCAGCGAAGCCGTAACCGCCCCGGCGACGGAGCTCGTCCACTTCCGCGCGGATTGGCGACGGGGCTCGGCGGGAGTTTCCGAGTCCACCACCGAGGCGTCGCGGACGCCAGCCCTTTACGGTTCGCCCGCGCTCGACGTCCACCAGCACCCTCTTACCGTCAATTTTTCGACCATCAGCGTATTTGTATGCAGCTAGCAAAAAATGAAAATAAAAGTATATTTTATCGAAATAACCGAAATTATTTTATTTTGCTTTTCCCTTTTTTCTAATCTTTTAAGTCGCACTCCAAATTAAAATGAATAAAAACCTGCTCAACATTTAAATACTGTTAGATAATGGATACTTAAGGTTACTCTAGAAATATCAGAAGATCATCTTTTTTTACCATCATCTCTTTTTTGACGATCAACTTTCGCGGCAACGAATTTTGATTTTTTACTCGACCTGGATTACTTTACCTGTACTAAAATCGCTACTAAAGTACTTACTCTATACTTACTGTACAGATGAGAGCACTTGTAGAAATTCAGTACTTAGTACTTATCGTAAAATGAAAGTGGTAAATGGAAATTGAATGAAATACTAACCGGCTGGTATACTACCCGAAATACAAACCGAAAAATTTTCTTTTTTAACTTTTTCAACGTAATTTTTTCGCCACTGCTCCCGTTATCGGGACAATCGTCTGGGATATACAATTACTGGTCCAGGCGAGTAAGGGGATTTTTGAGAAATAAGAAATTTACGGTTACTTACAGTGCATGTCACGCTCTTTTTCAAACTCAACGAAGGCGTATCCTTTCGGCTTTCCGTTTTTGAGGTTTTCGACCATTCGAATCTGGAATTTTTCAATGAAAGTACGGAATAGAAGATCGAAATTACCGATTTGATGCGGCCGTATTCTTCAAATTCTCGTTTGAGTTTCGACTCACTCGTTTCGAATTTTATACTGAAACAATGTTAAAACATGTATGAAGCAATTCATTTTACCGAGCAACAAAGAGGGTTTTAAACGGATCGGATTCGATCTTATCATCTTCGTGTGGATTCCACTCCTCTAGCTCTTCCTCCGTTTTCTTCATCCCCTTTTCTAGCTTGTCTTTTCTCTTTCGCTTTTCTTTCTCAGCCCGAGTTTCAACACGCACCTTGGAAGCATCGTAATTTTGACCCCCAAAAGCGTCCTTTACCTTGGGTGGCGTTTCAGTAGAAGGATCAAACTCGTTGACAAAAGGAGCGATTCCAGAATAGGGATTTTTCGTCCGATCGCGCTCCCATGGCAAATCGCCTGTTGGAGGCTTGAACTCGACCGGCTCCCGAGGCTGGAAAAGCGCGATCAAATTCGGCGGCAGAAATGCCGTCATTGTCTGAAAAATATGGAAAATGATAAGTCGTAGTTATTAAATATCCGTTTCTTTACAAGATAAGTGGAAAAAAATGTCAGTCGAGCAGAATAACATCATTTGTAGATGATGACTTGGGAGCAGAAATACGCCTTGTGATGACCTTCACTTTCGGGTTCTTCGGCGGTGTTATCTTTTTATCTTTTGAAGGGGCTTTTCTTTTAGCAGGAACAGTAGCCGCTGAAGAGCTAACAACGACAATATCGTCGTCTGAATCGTCAATCTCCATGATGGAATGCGCTTTCAAGTCTTCTTCGAGAAAAACTTCTCTGACGCGAATAATGAAGTCTTAGAATACTTAGACAGACAGTACTGGTGATTTTTTACCTAGATAAAGGTCCCACGGGCAGTCTCGATTGATGATTTTTGCTGCTGCGCTCCAAAGTCTCGCTGCTTCTTGCTTGTACATATCGAGACGACCTCCTACGATTTCTGGTTTTGCCTCTTCGTGGATATGAAGACCGATTCTTATGAGCGCTTCTTTTGCTCTGATAGATCCTTGAAGGATTTCATCAAAGTGCTCTTCGCATTTTGTCAGTTGAATCTAGCGGAAGAATGTTACAGCTATCTCGGGAAACAGAAATGATGGTCTCACCTTTGATAAACGAGAATTTTTCATCTCTTCTTGAGCACCAACTTTCATATCGAGCGAATTGAGCTTGTAAGTCTCTGTTAGTCCAAGAGCGAAAGCGCGTTGTTCAGCCATTTCCCGGTTGCTACGATTTTGAAAAATCTTGACTCGATGGGGATCGATTTTCGGCAAAGACTCTGTTCCTTCCTTTGCTGCTTTGCCAGGGGCTTCTTCTACTGGCTTTTGGAATCCAAGACCAGGTCGTTGGCCGCCGATTCGATCATATTTTAAATTCGGAGTGATCGGATTCCGAACTCCGGAAGCATTTTTCCGAGACCTTCGCCCCGTTTCCAGCCCATTTTCTGCATGATCTTATTCGCCTTCACTCCCCATAGGACCCCACTATCTTCTGAGTCCTTATGCGCTAGTTCTGTAATTTCAAGCTCCTCATCAGACGAATCGTCAACAAAGCAATCATCAGATTCATTTGGAAACTGTCGCTTCCTCTCGCGCTTCAAGAAATCTTCGCGAGACTGCTCCGTATCAAGACCACTGCTGATGAATTTTAAAGCACCATCTCGCTGCCAGAGACTTGGCTTTGGCTTGCGAGGTTTTGATTTTTTCTTTTTAGATTTCGACTTTAGACCATTTGGATTCATTTGCTCAAGCAAGGTCTTTCTATGATCATTCTAAAGCTTCATGCTTATGATAGTGCAAAAAGAGGTAAAAGGAACATCTCCTTGAAATCTAATTCAATTTATTACTGGTAATTCGGTGTTGTTGCTAAATGATGTGAAAGTGGCAGTTACATGAAAGATTATGAAGATAACTAATTATTGGATACAGAATATTGTCTATTTGATTGTGTCTTCGTTTTAGTTTCGGAAGTGTGGACGTCGATGATTGTCTCGCGGTTGTGGCTTGGTGAGCCAGGAGCCGATGAGTTCTTTGTCATCGTCGGTTCTGAAGGTAAAGTATCGTCGAAACTTCAAGCCCTGGAAGTCATCTCGCTTGCTCCCCTGGTTGTAGAAGCCGATGACTGAGCTGTCTTTTGCGTCGATCTTGTTTTTGCCGAAGTCGGCTTCGATGGCTGGTTGCACTCGTTCGCCGAGGTAGGGATCAGGGAAACGCTGGGTTCTTTTGGTGCCATCGTCAGTAAGCTCGTCAGAATTCTTGTTGTTATTGTCCAATTCTTCAAACTCGTCGATGATGAAATCGTTTGGTGTCTTGAGTTCTGGAGAAGATGGAGCCGATCTCTTTGGCATCAGTGGTGGTGCAGGCGCCTTTCTCTTCGGTGTGATTTTCTTATGAGTTGTAGAGGTGGCCGCGTTAGGTTTCATTCTTGTTTCGATGCTGTTACAAAACTGCGTTGTTTGTTGTTTTCTGATGGTTTTTGTGAACGCGCTCTGGTTTTATACTGGGTTACTGAGAAGGAGGGCGCTGCTCGCGAACTCACCCGCGGCGGGATGCCGCTTTCATGGCCAAAAATAGCCCCACCAGCTAAGCCTAACTTAGTTATCAGCTTTTTTTATCTGATCGATTCCCAGACGAAATGATTCACACATTCTAGTGGAAAATAAATTAAAAGCTTGAATCGCGGATAAAGCTTTATCGACGCAGTTTGAAATAAAGTCGCGGTGCGCAAAAGAAGACCCTGGTTGTGTGAGGAGAAGTGAGGCAAAGGGCCGATCATAGATAAAAGAGCGAAGCAAAGCTTTCTGAGAATGTTGAGTCAAATTAAGACCCTTCTCGATTGGCAGGAAAAACGTGTCAGAAATAAATGAGTGCAACATATTGATAAAGTGCGTGAAATTAACATAGCCTAACATAAATAATTATTGGCAAAAGTGTTTGGAGCGTAACTTCGTTGAAACAAGTCAGGTGTAGATATAACCGTAAATATTAAAAAGTGAGTGAAAGAAAAAGGTAAAGAAGTTGAAAAATGTGTGCACCAAAAGATTTACTTAGATTCTAAATTTTAGAATGAAAGCTATTCATTCTTGAGCTCCTTCTTGGCTCCGTCGACAACTCGATTCTTCACAACTTGCAAGATCAACTGGAGGGGGTGTTGCTCAAACGACTTCAGTTCCTCCTTTGTAGAGGTGATTTGATCGCCTTTCAAGCGATTGACGATAGAGCAGCAAACCACGGCGCCTGGAATTTTTGCCCTGTTACAGAATGACAAGAATACATTTGCCTCCATTTCCATGTTGAAAACACCCGCTTCTTTGTTGGCGCGGCGGATGAAGTCGAACTTGTCTTTGAGTGTGTAATCGCAGAGAGCACCGTCCAGTCGACACTGCGCTTCGTAAAAGTCATCGCAGCCCATGGTATTGCCAATTTGGTAGTCGATGGAGAGGTCCTCAGCGGCCTGGATGAACTCTAGGAGCAACGATTATCTCTGTGAAGGAAAGATGATCAGTTACCTTGATTGAGTTTTTCATCCGCTTTCGCTTCGTATCTTACTTTCTTGCCACAAGAAACCACTTCGTATCCTGGCTCACAAGTAGCATCGTACCCTTCTTTCGTAATAATTACCGTTCCTGGTTCAGCACCGAGTCCCCCAGAAGTGCCCATTCGAATGAAAGAAAAATCAGTTGCGCCTGCGTATCGCAGAAGCTTGGCCACTTCATGAAGAGCGATGTTGAGGGAGCCGAAACCCATCCCATGATTCAAGGTCAGGACTGGCCCTACTTTGTACATGACGAAACGACCTGCTCGCCTGGCAATGTCGTTTGTATGCGCATCTGGAGCTAAATAAACAGGATCTTATACTGTTATTTTATCGGAAGCTTACGCATTGAATAATAACCACTCATCGCTTCATACGCTTGTCTGGCGAAGTTCTCGACTCTCCCACGAGATCCTCCCATGCAGACAAACTTGACATCGCCGTATTTTCTTCTGATCGCTTCCAAGTCTGATGTATCGACAGCGAGATGGTACAGAATATCGACTTCGTCAACAGAAAGGTGCGGATTGAGCTGTCTAAGGATGTTGTCTTGTTTGTTTGGAAGCTCAGTTGATGGTACAGCTTGGGCCGCGTTGTTGTTCAAAGCTGATGCCATTCTTTTCTGAGCGATTTATTCAGTCAAAAATGCTTGAATTCATATTTCGTCTTACAGAAAAAAGAATGGCGGAACTGAAGGATGGCAGTACAGTACAGTCATGATTACAGAAAAAAGATACAGTGGGAATTATAGCGATCAAAATTAAATATTCAGTGAATATTCATTAGTTTTGGAAATAGTTAAATAGGTATTTTGTGTTAGTACTTGTCGAGCTTATTGGTTGGAATTCCTTGCGCTTTCATTAGTTCTCGAGTCCAGGGAAGCTCGGACATCGCCATTTGATAGCATAAAGGATCTTTGAATCCCTCCTCCGTGAGCTAGGAAAGATTAACAATAGCCCATTGGAACGCATTCGGTACCTGAATTCCTTTGACAATTAATCCAGGCGGCTGATAAGTCCGAAAATCTGGATGAAGCTGGCTGTTAGGTAAATATCCGTCGACGCATTTTTCTGTTAGTTGGTCAATAAGTGTGTGCATTTTTTCGACGTCGTGCGCAATTTTTTCCTCCCCGATGTGCGAAATTCGCCTCCAAAGGGTTCTATTGAAGTGGTCGTATAATCTAGCATCAGCTTGATTCCATTCAAGAAGCTTTTCTTGCGTCTTTTTTGACAACTCCGTTTTTTTCGGTCGAGCATTGGTGATGAAGCAGGCGATATCTTCGATTGACAAACACAAATCATGCTTCAGAACAGCGAGGCTTTCAGCCATGTGTTCTGTGATCATAATTAGGTTCCATTTCTGACTGATTAATTTCAAGTTTTCAGCGATTTTCTTCGGCTCCTCTTCCATCGGATCGAAGCCGAACTCGTAGGTCAAATGATTTCTTGAGAAAAAGGAGGTCATTTGCTTCGAATGCTTTATGTATTTGTGCGGATCGTCGAGGAATTTTTCTATTCATCTTTAAAAATGAGAGAAAAAAAGTAGTTCTTACCAAGAGTGCCGGCTGTTTTGAACTGCGGTGCGACCCCTTTCATGTAGTTGAAAACGGATTCAAACATAGACGTCGGATTCCGAATGATGGACAAGTGATAGACTGGCTCATCCATCGCAAAGAGCTTCTCAACGTCTGGGCTGTATCGAAGATGATGCGCAATGATATCTGGTTTAGGGCAACTCTCGCAATATCCGTGAACATCAGACACTTTGAATGACTTCCAGTAGCTGAAGATGGACTTTCCCGATTTGGGCAGAGCGAACGTTTTCTTATTCTGAAGAAATAAGGCTAGTAAATGATCTTTTCAGGTGTCCTACTTTTTGGCCCCAGCGAAGTAAGACGTTTTGAACTGTCGAGCTAGCCGTCTTGTGTGTTTTCAAGAAGATGATCTTCTCCGCCATCGGGTGGCAATGATTATCTTTGGCGAGTGGATCTTGATGAGGTTGCCCGTGATTTTGCCGATGTCTTGGGACGAGATCTCCCGCTTCGCTGATGAAGGCTGTTTGACTTTCAACGGAGTCTTCGAGCTTGACTTTTATAATATAGAGCAGTGGCAACAAAATGACGATAACGAGTGTCAGTCCGGTCCGGAACATCCCGCCAATTGAAATGGCGTTCATCTAAATTGATTACAAGTTATTTTTATCCTTTTTCCCTTCCTCTTGATATTTTGAAAACAAAGACAGCGTTTATTTTAAATGTAACAGCCTATTTTTCAACCCTCCTAGAAATATAAAAGCCTAATCATATCGTTTTATAAACCCTATTAGTACACAGATTAGACCTTGAGCTACATTTCTACGCGTTATCGGACCCTCTACGATGACTGTACTTGAAGGAGTCCTTGCTTTTATGCAAAAATAATAAATTATCTTTGATGATTTTCTCACGAGAATCAGCAAAGGATTCATCTATTCATTTCATTTTCATAATAAAAACACGGGTCTTTGAATGGTGTTGATGTATTATTCGGAGATAGTACGGAAGCCTGGAACATGGAATGGCGAGGGATTTATGTACAAAAATATAAATTTATCAAAGTAAGCGAAGTTCTTTTATTAAACTTTAGTTCGTTATTCCTGGTCTCGAAACTCCGGAAGAGAACAAATGAAGATATCCGTTTATAATAAAGTTTGTTAAATTATAAATGAATGTATAAAAGTAGGAACGGTGACAGAGAGTGAAGAACGATTCCTTTATACAGAATACGAATGCGTTGTGCTGTGAAAATTAACGGTTAGGAAATGCTCGAATAGAAAGGTCAGCTAACAAATTTCGGGGAGTGAGATGGGTGCTTTGGTTCATTTTTTCAGTGTTAAATTTTTTTTTGGAATTTGCGAAAAGCATTTTCTTGAATATACAGAAATGATTTTTACGGAAATAGAAGAAAATAGTGAAGAGTTGTGTAGGTTTACTTTAGTAAATTGGCAAAGAAATCGTCGTCAGGAATCGTCCTGACTTGCGGTCGTTTGGAACGGACACCAGGAATGACTCCAGATCGCTGCTCGTCGAGTCGCCCGCTTTGGGCTCCTTTCATCAGCACTTCGAAAATGTCATCATCTGCGAATTTTTCTTTCTTCTGAAATTGAAAAAGTTAAGATTCTCTTCCTTATTGTCAAGTTTTGCACTCTTACCTTTTCTTTCTTTGGTTTTTTGTGTTGTATTTTTTGAAGATTGGAATCTGACTGGCTTTGGTTTATGTGGTGTTGTTGCTTTTCTTGGAGTTCAGCGAGCGATACTCTTTGGTTTTCCAGTCTTCTGTTGGAGTTATTGGTTCCTGTTATCGCAGCTAAGAGTCCTTCGATGTCTTCTTTTTTCGTCACAAGTTTTTGGTCTGATCTTTGCTCATTGATCCTGAATAAGTGGGGTTGAAAGAGACTGTGAGGAGCAACTAGAATTCACCTTGATCTTTGAACTCGATCGAGCATGTCAAACATATCCTCTGTATTTTCCTTGTCGACGTCAACTGATGATTTCCGTTTTTCTGGTTTGTCTTTTGCTTTTTCTTTCGAGAAAAACGCTGCGAAGGGGTTTTTCTTTTTGTCCTTTGCTCGTGGGGTCATTGAAAGAAGATCTAGGTGTTCCATGCTCCTTCTTCTGCACAAAAGCGATCTGCAAGGCGACGATGGTGCTTCTGAGGCCGTTTCTAACTGAAGTAGCGTTTCCTCTGCGAAACAAGCTGCTTCTTCATCTCCTATCTCTCGGCTGATCTCCAAGTGTCTCTTCGTGTAAAACGCAGCGCGGTCTTTATTCCCCAAGTTTTTGTGCGCGTTCCCGAGAGCCCAGTAAGCCCGACCTGAATTAAATATCATGTGATGAACTTACGTAGAAAACAAGTAGGAAAACACTGATCCGAAAATTTATTAGCGCTAGGGTTGATAGAGCAGAGGTTAATGATCAGACCACTGTAAGACCGACTGTCTGTATCTGTCTATGTCTTCATATTTTAGTAACAAGGGGATTAGCAAAAGCTTGACAGGAGCTTTACCCGCTCCAAGTTTAATCAAATGAGAAATGCAGTAGTCCTCCTGCTGTTCGAAATCCCCGGGGGAAAGCGCCCTTTTTAGCCCCTGCGAAGTATGAAAATAATTGACCCTGCTTCAAAAAATAACAAGATAGTAATAAGAATGGACTTTCCTTCACCGATTCTGTCAGCGAGCCGCTGGGCAATGTGTAGATGTTCGATGTAATATTTGATGGCATCTTTGTAACGGTTCATTAACGAAGACGTCGCCCCTAAAAAAGAAAATGCCAGCCACCGTACAGCTATCTGACAAAATGGAGACAAAGAACCTACCTAGGCAGTAGCAGGCTTGAGCTTCCATTGCGAGTTCATTTGTATCTTGGGCGATTTGTCTCACTGCAAAAAATATTTAAAAAATATTATTATATATAAGTGACCGCACGGAGGGATGATCCAGAAAGGTCACCAGCCCAAAAGAAAGATATGTATGGTAATTAAATGATCGTTCCATGATGAGCACTCCTTGCGGTCAAATATATAAACGATAGGTATAGCGCTAATAGAGGCTGAACGGGTCCAACCGTCCGATTTACCGTTTTGATAGCAGACCAGCGCCTCCTCATAATTTTCAAGGAAGATGAATGAATTGCCGAGATTGGTGTTCGCCCTTCTTTGGGCTTGTTGGTCGTTCTAAAGTAGAATTTGAAAAAGAAGAGCTTCCTCTTTGTGAATGAGTGGGAATAATTTATCCCTCGCGCTTATTAAATTAATACCTGGCTCTTTGCAATTTCGAGCCGCTCCCTGTGGCATTCAACTGAAGTCTCGTACGATTGTAATCGGTAATGCGCGTTTCCTAGATTCCCGTAAGCCTTCCCCATAGACACCAGATCGTTCATCGCTTTCACTATCGCCAGATAATACTCGTAGTACGTGATCGCTTCCTTCAGTGCTTTTTGCGCGTCTGGACTTGATATTCCGTTCAGATCCGATTTGGCTTTGTTGTGAAAGATGTTTCCCAGATTATACAGTGCTCTTGCTTCTCCTTTTCTGAAATAAATCTTACAGAAGAAACCAAAAGCGCATAATTCTACAGAGAACTCTATTTCGACGAAGACGAGCGTAGAGAAAGACAATTTATGTACCTATTTCCGAGCTCTCTCCAGACTTGCAGCTGCTGCCTGCACAAGTCTGTAGCTTCTTCGAAAAGACACAAAGATCTCATCGTGTTTCCCAGATTGCCCAGTGCGTTTGCTTCTAATTCCGAGTCTCCCATGCTCCTCGCCAGCTCGAGCTCCTTCTCGTGGAACTCCCTGGCCAGGGCGAAGTTTTGCAAGTAAAAGTAAGCATTCCCGACTTGGGCGTAAACAGCAGCAGTGATTACTGGATCGGTGGAGCCGCGCGCTAGTGCTTGCTTGAATTTGGCAATCGCATCTTCTAGCTGATTTTCTGAAAGAAAGAAGCATTATTTGAAATTCATTTTGAAAAGAAAAATTGAAATTTTTCATGGATGAAACTTTTGAAATTTGAAAAATGCTAGAAATCGCCGTCTTCGTCCATTTCTGAACAAATAAAAAATGACAAAGGATTTGGCGACGAAAAACGGTTCTGTTTGAGTTTGTCCGTGAACTTCTCTGAACTTGGACCCTCGGAAAGTATCGGAAAGGTGATAATGAGGCAAAACTTGGCCGTGTGAAATGAGTTTTTAACGGATTATGTAACAAAAGATCCCAATAACCAAAAGAAAAATCTGATTCTTGCGCGAAAAAATACTGAAAACCGTTTATTAAGTCCACTTTTGAGAGAAATAACTGTATTTTCAATAAAATAAGACAGTAAGTAATCTTGTTGAGTGTATTAAATTCAAGTTTTCAAGAAAAATGGTCAGAAATCACCGAATTTTCGCTAGAAAATACAAAAAAATCAACGAATTTCGCCCCACTTTCCTTAGAAAATTACTGTATTGAAAGATAAATATAAACAGTACTAACCTTTACATAAATTTTCGGCCTCAAGGGCGAGTTCTACAAAACTCATGAGCCCAAATTTCTCTCTTCTTCTCTGATTTTCTGGCTTTTCTCGCTCTTTTTTCGATCTGACAGCGTTAAGTTTTATTGGCCGCCTTTTTCTCTCTCTCTTCCCGGCGGTTAATATTTCTGTGATTTGTTTAGTATCGATTCTCGAGTGAAGAGGGAATGTTTCCACTTTTTGTTTTTTTCGCTTTTTTTTCCGCGCGGGTCGCCGTGGGCGCTCGCTCGCCCCTCGTCCATTGGCCCCGCGCGAACCTCAACCCTAATCTGAAATGAGAATGTCTCTGTCGAGAATTTCAGTCTATCAGAATATGCATGCCGTAATTCTTGGTTAGGTTGAAAATAAGGAATGAAAAATCCGCCCGGCGTTATCATAGACTATGGACCATAGACTATGGTACTCTGATTCATAGCAGAGTTACATGACTTCTGAAAAAGGCCCGCTCAGCTCAGCTCAGAGAAATTTTCACTGAGGTCAGCTCAGCTCAGCAGAATTGAAGCAAAATATGCAACTCTGATTCATAGAACCAGATTTTCGAAAATCCTCTAAACTTTGGTACTACTGATTATTTTATGGGGCTTTAAATCGGCATAACTTGTCACTTATCAAGACTTACTGTATTTTTTAAAGAAATTAATGAAGAAAAGCGTGCATGTTGTTGATTACGATATGCGTCGATGAGAGCCGCTTCCAACTACTTCAACTGTTTAGTAGGAATGAGCAAACATTGTCGCCACCGTCGGACCATCCAAAATGGTGTTTGTTTGTTCCAGCTAACCAGTTGAACTTTTCCGAATTGGTTCCCAACCCGCCGCTTCTATTACGGAATTTCACTTTCGCAACGGGTCGTCTTTTCAAGTCAATTACTCGGGCCGCTCGAATGAGCACCTGCTGCAACCGCGGAAGTTCGCTAGCTCGGATTTTACGCGTTCTGCATTTTCTATTGATCGCACTGATTTCTGATTTGCAATCGGTTCACCTCGCAATAGCTCTTTTCTCAATCCACTTATCTCAACCTCGGCCAAAATCCTTTTACCATAAACTCTCCCTAAGATTGTCAAGAAAACATCGGCATTGATAGCACAAGATTGTTGATAAAGGGTTGAATTATTGAAAAAATTTGGAGACAAGAAGAAGTTCTTTTAAGAAGGAACGGTTTATTATTTACAGTTTGCGTGCAAAATTATACTAATATACAGGAACTGATAAGTTTAACAGTCGATAGGAGTAAATTTCAATTGAACGTTGTCGGGTGAAAGAAGCTGTCCCCATGTCTTTGGGCTTGGCTCGACTTCGCTGCCTGGCGCAATTTCAAACTTTCGGACGATCTGACTCGCAAAGGTGAAATATTCATCCCTAGCCAATCGGAGGCCAACGCAATTTCGGTTTCCAATTCCGAAGGCGCAGATTTTTGGATTGTGAACGAATCGACCGTTGTCATCCAAATGTCGAGTGTGGTCGAAAACTTCGGGACTTTTGAAGTTCTTGCCGCTGTGCATCACCGCTGTTAGAGAGCCGAGGACGAGAGCGCCTTTTGGAATCGTGACATTGTCGAGAGTGATGGTTTCTTTTGCCATGTGAGGGAGGGAATCGGTGACGACTCGATGTCGCTGGTTTTCGAGGAGGATGGCGCGAGTTTGGTGACAGCTACCTCTGACGATTCGGCCGTACTTGGCAATAGAAGTGTTGATTTCATCTCGAATGATCGCCTGCAATTCTGGTCGCTTGCTCAACGTCAACAAGAGCCAGCAAAGGGTTACGGTCACGGAATCGCTAGAGGCAACGTAGAGAGAGACAACAGACATGGAAGCGGAGTAGAAGTTCATTTCTGATCGATTTTGAGAGCTTTCGATCATACTGTCGATGAAGTTTCGCGCCTGGCCGGGCATGAATGATTCTTTGTGAATCTGGATTTGTTGGAGAATGTAGGGAAGAAGGCCTTTTACCAGGGCGTCGTTGAATCTTTTCTCACCAGGGTTGATCCAGTCGATCAGTCGAGACATGAAGGGGAGCTTGAGAATGCTCATTGGGAGGATGTAATGAATCACTTTCGTCAAAACTCGATGCTGGACGTTTCCGAGGATCGTTTTGATGTTGTCAGCGAGAGATTCGAATTCAGGGTCGTTGATGTCAAGTCGTTTGCCAAGAGCGACTTCGGTCAAACTGTTCAAAGTGGCGTTCATGAAAAGAACTCGTGGATCAAAAGCTTTTCCATTTCCCTCGCCAGATTGAGCCAGAATAGCGCTGCAGAGATCATCCGCATTTATGCTGAGCATTTCTTCCATTTGCTCGCTGCCTTTGATGAAGGACTTGAAAAACCGCGACGAATGGATTTATGGAAGTCATCGTAGTGGCCTGTAGAAAGACCTTCGGTTCCAGTATCGCCGTTTTTGAAGAAGGGGCAGTTTTCCCCGAGAATAGCTTTGGCGACCGCAGCCAGTCCTTGCTGGGCTCGCATGATGAGCGAAGCCTGGACGAGCTTTTTATTGACGAATCGGCTAGAGAGCTCGACTTTGTTGAATGCGTCTTTCATGATTTCATAGTCAGTGATGACATAAATGCCAAGATTGGATTTGTAGACTTTAGGAAGACGATTTGCAGCGGCTTCTTCCTTGATGTAAGCGAAGTTTTCGCTCTTTTTTGTCGGAAATTTTGGCTTGTAGCGTCTAAGATAGGGTTAGTCTTTGTTCGGAAATATGGATAAAGTACCTTTTTGTTGTTGCTCGCCATTTGTTGCAAACGTCTTTTATGATAAGTTCAAGGGAGGATTCGAGGAGATCGTTTAGGCAGATCATTATTTTTTACTTTAGTTTTTTATTCTAGCTTCTTTTGCTGATGATTCTACAACGCACCTCAGCCGGTTAAATACAACCATAAGCAGCGCCATCTCTATATCACCTGCCTCTTCCCATGATCTTCGGGAACATCCGATTCTTTATCAAAGAGTTGCTGTTTTTAAGTTTCAACTGTTCTCATGTACACTTGAGGGAGAGTGAACCTGAGAGTTCCTGCCTTACGTGCCAAGCAAACTTTTCACACTTTTACAGCCAAGTGCTTGAATGAACCATTTGACTCAAGATGACTTTTTTATAAGTTTGCTGACACGTAAAGACCCTAGTTATCAATGAAAGCATACAAGAATAGGGTAGCACATTCAATTATTTGCAATCAAGGAAGAAACCTGAAAGTCTTCAATCTTCGTAATCATTATAGACGCTTATCATTTTATTCAGCTAAGAAATAAAACAAATAGACGGAAAACGACTTGGCGCGATGTTTATCTATTCCAGCTAACCATTTGAACTTTTTAGAATTCGTTCCCAGGGTTCATCGCGACTGCTTATTTCGCCATCTTTTCGACTCCGAACATTTTCGCAATTTTCAATTGATGATTTCAATTATTGTTGATAATAGACAAGAGTTTATTGCGAACGCTCCTACCATTACGGTGTCGGCAGATTCTTTTTCAGGGCACAAGTAAATAAATAAATATCTGCTAAACAGTGTCTTCAATGTTTTACATTTGTTTGCATTTGAAAACTTAATCGAAACTAAGCATCTTCTGTTGAGCATTTTATATGGCTTCGATAATACCAAAGTTCTTCTAGGTAAGTTTCATATCCTAAAAATATTAAAATCAACAATATTCCATAAATAGAAACCTTGTTCGAGCGATTTCCACCGCGCAGCCATGTAATTATTCTGAGTATTTCTTGGCGTGCAATTCGGTTTATGCAAAATCATCGACTTCGAGCACCAGGCGATTCGTAAGTGCCCAATCGAGTCGACGAAAAATTCACGATGTCCTTTGTTTGTGAATTCAGGATCTAAAAATAACGATGATTCGTTTTTAAGAGCTTGGTGCAAGACTTGCCATATCTTATTTTGCCTGATGTAGTTGTTCGGGCGAGGAAGAAGTTTGAAATGACATCGACGACTTTGCATTCATTTTCGAAACCCGGAAGTGCGAAATTTTTATAAGCCTGTCGGCTGAAACAGAAGCCATTTTCTGATGGGCGGAGGTCAAGATGACTTTCCCTAGCCCAACCACTTTGATATCTCCTTAACATAATTCATTTAAAATGCTAGAACAGTTCGATTGCTTACTTGTTCAGAGCACCACCAATGATGTCGAATCCGCTTTCTTCCGCAACATCGACCATGTGTTGAAGATCTGTTTCTTCGTTCAAAACAAAGTCGTCATCGACCCAAAGATAAAACTGCGTTCGAACTTGTGATGCTCCAAGCGCTCGGCCTGCGAACCAACCCTCTGCTTCTGGCATTTTGTATTGCTTCACCGTGATTGATTTGCTCCTAAGTGTTTTGAAATTGCTATCTGGGTTGTCGTCGGCGACGATGATTGTTATTCCAGGATAGAATTTTTCGACGGACTTGATTAATCGCTCAACACATGGATATCTAAGGATTTTTAGTCAAATATTCGATATACTTGATAACCTGAGAAAAGTTTTTGTAACAATGGTGACTCTCTTCGCGATGTCCAAAGTTGGACGATGGTTCAGAACTGGCATTTTCATCCGCTCGATTGTTACTGGAAAGGAAATCTCAAAATCCAACTCGGATCCGCTAATTTTCAGCTGAACAAGATCTTCGAGTTTTCTGGCGTCGTAAGTGTTTGGAATGTATCTGAGCATTGCGCCGTTGAACCCAGCTACTGTCATTTCCATCGTTCGAGATTGTATCGGGGCTGAGTAAGAGTCAGAAGGAATGATGTCGCCATAACGAGTTGAAAAAGTGCAAAAAATCTTGATGTCATCTTCCGCGTCGATTCGAATTTTGAGCAAAACGGATTCGTCTGGTTCCACTTTGTATCCGCTGCTAACAAATTCGACAGGGAGAAATGATTTTGTAAGAATAGCTTCTGGCTTGACAATATCGTAGTAATTATCACGCTTCCAATTTTCAAAGTCTTTTAGATGCTCTTCTTTGTTCGAGACGATTTTTGAATAATCGTACTTTCCACAAGCGCAGGTATTATCTTTGAAGAGATTTTCTGGCGGAGTCAGAAGTGGCGGGATTTTTCTTGACCAAGGACGTAAATTCCTAGTTCCATGGCGCTGGTAGTCTATAATTTTGTTTACGATGGAGAGGTTAAACTTGATTGAAGACCTAGTTTTCCAAAAGAAGTTTGCGGTTGTTCTGAATCTCCTGTTGCTTCAATAAACTTCGGGTGTCTGACAAAACTGTACGGCTCCAAGTATATTTCAGATGTTTCGGAAGTGAGGACAAAGGCTTTCTTTGGTTGAAAATTTTTGTTAATTTTTGTATCTACTCAAATAAAACTCAAAATGATTGAACCAAAACTGCCAAAATAACGCCGAAAAAGAATGAAAGTGCTGGTAAAAGAAACTTGTTAATCCTGATCATCTTGTTTTCTCTAAACATAGTCTCTGTGAAACTGTCGTTTCGGTGCATTTTCTTCAAAAAACTGGTCGTTGAGTTTTGCACTCTCATGGAGTAAAACAAAAAGGCACGTAATTACAGAGTGCTTTATCCTGACTTTTGTTCGAAAATTCATGAATGAACCGAAAGTGATGAACTGAATTCGCGATCACAACAAAATTTTATCTGATTTATGAGCGCTCGCGAATTTCGTGGAAAAGGGATCTTGCAAAAAAGAAGTAATATAAAAAAAAGAAGAAAAGATATCCAATATGCACCAAAATTTGCCTTGTTTTTTCGATTCAGACTTTACCTTTAGTCAGTAAATATATCTACTTGGAGACATAGAAGATCTAGGATACTTTCGAGGTCTTCTAGAGATAATAGGAAATAGGTATACTGTGTCTTGAGCAGATACCTGCTGAGCTCATTTCCGAGGACATGTCAGATGACAAACGATAAATGATGAAAATGAAAAGAATGTATTTTAAATCATTGATTTGAAACATTTATTCGAGTTTATTTCAATTCATAAATGGCAGGAAGACAAGAGTTCTCGTTTTTTAGATCTCTTCGTTCGGAAAGTAGTCGTCTACCTCATCGAGAACTTCATCTTCCTCGTCGGAGTCTTCGAAGTCTTCAAAGACGTCGTAATCTTCGATTTCCTCGTTGTCATCGCTGTCATCGTAGGAGTCGTCAAAATCGAGATCATCATCGGAATCGTCTTCTCCATCATCTTCATCGTCCATTGGAAGCATATCGAGCGAGTCGAAGTCGGCAATGTCAAAAATGTCAACATCGTAGTCATCATCATCATCATCAGAGTCTTCGTCGTAATTATCAAGGTCACGGCGAATACGATCTTTCTGAGCAGCAATGCCAGTTTCTTGGTTCCGATTTTGAGTTTTCAAGGAATAAAGACACAATACCTTTGATATTGTGAAGGCTGAGTCCGTTGGCAAGGCCCATGAAAGCAACAAGGATGGAAATGAGCAACTTCATACTAATTTCGAGATAAAAAAAAGCAATTTTCAGCTGTTTCTCAGTTATTTTACTCTACCTTCAGATTGTATTATTTACTGAAATCTGGAATGGAACGAACTTTGAGCAAAAAACATAAGACTGTTTCTAGAGACTGTAAGTTAAAAGTAATCTGTCGTGGGAATTGGGAATTCTTGAGTTAGTAATTTATGTCTCGCGGTTCGAGTGTCCGAATGATTTATCGCACTCTTGTTTTACAAGTTCCAAAAATGTCCTGTCTAGTCATCTCACTAGAATTGTCGCGTTTTATGCCAAAAAACATTTCCTCAATGCAGTTAGTGCACCCACAGGTCACGAAAGTCAACCCTCTTAGCCGCGGTAGCGCGCTTATTCGACTCGATGCGCCTAATCATCCAACATTCCGCAGCTCAAGAAAAGAAAAATAAAGAAAGGGGATCATTATATTTGCGAGGGAAATTTACGTCTGACCACAGAGTTATGTCGTCCAGGCAGCTTTTGATTGATTTTTGCTTGACAATCGAGAGATTCAAGGGCTTTGGATGAGAACCAAGGAGTCTTTCATTGCAACTTTGATCTAATCATACATTTTTTATAAGTTTTACTATGGGAAAATTTCTTGTACGCGCTATAAATGCTCGTAAATACCATCAATAGCGTCTGAATCATCGTGTTTTCAGTTTTTCGGAAAAGGCTCCTCCGAAAGGACCTGGTTGAGAACGCAAATCTGGTCGGAAACCGCACCTAAATAATGCCTAACAAATCTAGTCACATCTTCATCCCTCGAAGCAGCATCAACATTAAGGACTTAAAATTCGTGCTTCTAACGAAACAACGAGCGCCTTGGTGTCTCGGCCAGATTCTGGTGGAGTTAGTCACCACCGCTTGAGGCATTTCTTTCTGTCATTTGCGCTTTTCAAAATGCTAACACTAGATAACCAGCCGAATAATACACGTTTTTATCTCCCTACTGAAGTAAGGAGCAAACCAGGTCATTACAATTCTGACGACACAGCAATTGACAATTGTTGTGCGTTTCAGATCCCTGCACTTTAAAGATATAAATTAACGAGCGGCGAGAAAATTCGCCACAGAGTCTAGTGACACAAGAGACAGTTCGAATTTCGAGAGCTTGTGACAAGAAGAAAGGGTGACTTTGATGGAGAACAAAACAATGGAGACAGATTCAAGTGAAACGAAGAAGGTCAAAAAGAGGTGGGTTTTAGATTTTTTTCTTTAGTGTCAACTAAATTCTGTCTCTTGAAATAAATTTAGTAAAGTAATTTAATAGTTTATTAATTACTTTAAGTAATTTGATTTCAGTTTGAAATATTTGAGAAGGAATTTTAAATTTTTTTATTTGAATATCGTAGGAATTTTCGTTGAGTCAAGAGTCCAAATCTGTCCACTTACTGCGGCTAAATAAACATAATGAGCTTGAAATTTCGAATATTTCGCGCGAATTAGGAGTGAATCATCACTACTGACTTTTGGAAATTCACTTGTCCGGATTTTCCACGGTCCCCGCCCTTGTTAATTCGATCTGGCAGGAATTTACAAATTGCTTCAGCTTTCTGGTCGATGAAAATCCATTTGACGAATTGTTTAAAGTGCTCGATTCTACAACGAGTACTCCGTCAAGCACACTAAGAAAGTTCTCCTCGAGAAATTTGCCGGATAGTTTTCATCGGCAGCGAGTTTTCAATCCAAAGCGCGAGGAGAGGATCCGCCAGGCTCAGCGAGGCCACTTCAAATCTCTTCGAAATCGTCACGATACTCACGTCAGGTCAGGGGCTAATCATAAATTTTCAAAAGAGCGCACCTGAAATCACGCAAATCTGATTTACTGTAGCACTTGAATTTGCCAAAATAATCGAAACAAGCCCATAAAAAGATCGAAATCGGAGCCAATAAAAGTTGTCACTGGGCCGCAAAATGCAGGCATCAAGTCAAGAATTCCCGAAGCAAGAGCATCACTGAAGAAAATTGTCTCAGATTCGACAAATCAGGCTTATGCTCGACGATTGAGCTTCAAAACTCAAGGAAAGTTCATCCAAGATCTAAATGAGCCTAGTCTCTTCCCAAGATTGTCGGGAAAAGACCTGAATCTTTGCCGAATAATTTGGATTCTCGGATTTGGCAGAGCAATATTTTTCGGGCAAAACTAGCTTTTCTCTCTTCCAAATCCCTTGCTGAACCAAAATAGACATTCCACTGGACCGAATTCCTCTCCCAAAACACTGGCTCAAGAAAGTACTCGTTATCGATGATGTCGTTGAGATTTACTTTCACAACACTCAAAGGAACGGATAAAACTTCTACCACCATGATTCACATAGTCCATTGATGACTAGAGGCGATTCCAAAGCCCACTTGTTGATAAAACATCCACGTGGATGATCGCTTACAGCTGCGGCTTTCATTTATTATTATATCGCCGGAAGTCCCAATCATTTTTAATTTCCATGGGAAATTTGTACTGTTATCCGATTGAAAGCAATCTCAACACGCGAAACGACCCTCGAGTGCCGATCAAAGAGCATTTGGAGGAGCTACACGTGACCCTGACTGCGCAAATGATCTCGATGATAAACAACTCGTTGGGAGCGGAAAAAGAGTCGGGGAGGAATAAGCAAGCCGACCTTCCGCATGGCTGTCGATGGCAGATCACCGAGAAGGGGGAAGTGTTTTTCGCTAACGACCTCTCTCGCAAAACGAGCTGGTTGCATCCGCGCGTCGAGAGTCAGCTCTTGCACCAAAAAGTAAATCAATATCCCACGATAATATATAATGGCGCCAGGACGATTATCGCCCGGTATTCTTTTTCAAACTCGTTTGCGGTAGAAATACTTCGACGATTTAAAATAGACACTACGGAAGTTCAACTTATTTAGCCTCTTCGAATGTTGCTTGTCTAAGCTGGTGGTTTCCAGAGAGACAACAAGCATCGATTTTTTTATCACCATTATTCACCCGATCTAACATTATTTCTTATCAGCTCCCGCCGCTTGTGCAAACAAGCTCTGCTTTTCCAAGTTCGGATAAAGTGGCAGATACGACGAACCGCCAAGTTTCCAAAAGCCTTCCCATCGTCTCAACTGTGTCAACAACTATCAATTCTAATTCCGGTAATTTATGACTAACTTAGTTTAGACCTTTAGCTCTGGTCTTTTTTTAGGGTCGGGCCAAATCCCTGCGCATTTCAAACAGTTCTCAATGGATTCCGGAGTTGGATCAACTTGTTCCGTTCATCCGACTGGCATTTACGTCAAAAATATTCCTCTGGAGACAAATCAGACAACGACGATTCTTCCAGCGCGATCAGCAGAAGTTGTGACGCCTAGTAAAGAAATAATGGAGACGGACTTTGGTCCGAGTCTCTTAAAATCACCAGGCATGCAATCGATGCAGTCGCAGTCCCAGGAATATGTTGTGTTAGAAGAAATTCCAACAACAAGCACTTTGACCGTCAAAACGTAACTCGTCCCATTCTTGCTCATTCCAGAGTTGCAAATTTGCTGAGCTTAGTGAGCTGAGCTGGCTGAGTGAGCTGAGCAGTCGCTCAGCTCAGCTCAGCTCACTGATTTTCGAAAATGAATTTATCTGCTCAGCTCAGCTCAGCTCAGAACATAATCACTCAGCTCAGCTCAGCTCAGTTCAATTATTCTCGAACATGATCTGTTCTGCTCAGCTCAGCTCAGCTCAGACAAGTATCATTCAGCTCAGCTCAGCTCAGCTCAATGATTTTAACACGATTTCAATACTAAAAAGCAGTAAAAAACAGCTCATCTCAGCTCACTCAGCTCAGCTCAGCTCTGTTTATGCCATAAACTTTATGGTCTGCTCAGCTCAGCTCAGCTCAACTACCTTAAAATAGGTCTGCTCAGCTCAGAGAATTTCTCACTCAGGGCAGCTCAGCTCAGCTCAGTGAAAATATAGCCAAATTTGCAACTCTGGCTCATTCTAATTACCGAATTTCTAGCCTGGAGCCTGCAGAAAGCCAAATAACAAAAGAAGTGAAAAATGTTTCCTTGGCAAATGATCTCGATTTCCTCGACGAGTTCGACACCTGTTTGAAAAACAATGGCACCGATGATGATGTTTTGTCGAACAACGACTCGTTTATAAATAGCTTGCTCAATGATAAATTTCTCTTTTTGTAGCTTTATTTCATTATCAATGATTCTGTATCTAGTTTTCAATAAATACGATTCTTCTGACTTTTCTTTTACACGAAAACTAATCCAAAAGTAAATAGGGAAACTGACAAGAGAGCTGCATTGGAAGTCGTTGTTGTTGTCGTCGTTGTTGTTGTTTCTGAAATCTCAGAAGCAAAAAGTCGGTCGAAATCTCCGAAAGAAGTCATTTTCGTTCGTTCTTGAACATCGACGACTGGATCATCTTGGCCAATATTGATGCCGAAGGTTGTTAGTCGTTCTACCTCCAAGATTCTAGCAATGATTTCAGTAAAATTCAGCATTTTTTTCATTACCTTGACGAATGAAGCTCTAGTTGTTCCTCCCACCAGGGTTTCCAGGATGTTTCCCAGTCTAGCCCAAGTTTGTTCAACTGGCAATTGAAGTCGGCAACATAAGTTTGTCGAACTTCATCATCGTTCACCACATTGCACGGAGTGTACCTATGCATATCGGCCAATCTCCATGGAATGAGGGCGGAGAAAATTTCATTCGATTTTGATTTGATGACGATGTAATAATGGGAAGGGAGCCATTGAACTTGAGTCTCTGAAACTTTTCTGTGGCACCATTTGTTGTCAGTTCTCCCTGTCCACTCTCTAAAAATGCAATAAAATGAGCCTGCAGCTTTTCATACTTACTTTGGATCTTGATAAACTCCGCCACCAGTCACATCAAAAGCTGCGCCCATTTGAATCCATTGAATTCCGCTTTCAAAGAAAAACGGAAGCAGTTGACTTTCAAAGCTTCCCCACCAAAATGGCTTATCGAAATCTTCATTGTACCAGGGCTCACAGCCTTCCATCTTATCACAGTAGTACCAGACTGAGTGACCAGATTCGTCAGTTTTGTGCGTCATCGCCGCCTGGTTCCAAGTTCGAGCCTCTGGGAGATTTGTAGGATTTTTCATGACAGTATAGAATTGACCAACGGGAGAAATTTGACGATCGAAATGTTCTGACATGAGTTTATCCGAGTCAGCGGGAATCTGCAACGTTTCCATTAGCAACTTATAAATATCAACATTTTGAAGCGACGGCAGCTCCACTCCTTTCTTGAATGCTGGTCCGTAGAGTGTAAGAGGAACCTTCATGCCGTCATATTTCGAATCCCAGCCATGTGTACCCATGTAGCCTTCATTGTTACAACTACTTCGGGGGTTGAAAGTTGATTTGTTGAAGCGATCGTTTAGAAGCAAAATGGATTCAATTGACGTCGACTCATCGTAGTGAAGGCGTTTTGGAAAGTTATATTTGTCAAACACGCGAAAGTTATTTTCCTCCTATCAAGAATTTATTTCCTTTTCTATTTACCATCGGATTAAATTCCAAACCTGTGTGCATTCGATTGAATCTATCGTCCTTGCGATGTCAAAATCGCTTCCTTGACCAGTTCCGCGCTTATTGCCGATTTGAGTCGTTGTTGATTTCACTTGAACATACGTTTCGTCAAGAATTGTTCCGTCGTAGTTTCTGATGATGGGTGCCATAGCAATTTCATCTTCACAAAGTCCCTGTTCCATTCCATGATCAGTTGCAAGGACGATGTTGACGCATTTGTCCAAATTGTACATTTTCAACCCATCCATAAGTTGCTTTTATCTGTTTTACTCCTGTTTTTTCAGAATTCTAGCAACAAGATGTAAACCATTCCTGAAGATGAATGTCCACTCGTTTTAAAGCACTATCCAATGCACCTGTTTCATCGTAGGGTCCATGAGAGTGACCAGTTTTGTCAGGCTCATCAAAGTAGAGCGTAAGAAACTGCGGTCTAAAACCTTCTTTTGGGCCTGAACCAGAGTAAGCAGGCAAATTTAGCCAGTCAAGAATTTGAAGGATTCTATGCCCGAATGGTTTTTCGCCCCAAACAGCGTAGTCCCAGTGGTAAGTGGCGATTTCTCCATTGATTGGATTTTCGTTGCCTGGCCAAAGACAACAGGCGGAGATCAAGTTATGCCTTTCAGCCATATTCCAGATTGGATCACCTCCGTAGTAACCATCTTCGACAACGTTACAGGGATGTTTTCCATCGTTGATGTTAAAAACACTGCATTGAGCATCTTTCTCCCAGTCGTACCAGGCATTACCAACGATACCATGCTGGCTTGGGAAAAGACCAGTAACGAGAGTGTAGTGATTGGGAAATGTTTTCGAAGGATAGGAAGGCTCCATGAATTCGGCAGTGGATCCGCACTCGCGCAATCGATTGATTGTAGGAATAAACTCGGAACGAGTCAGGTAATCTTTGCGGAAGCCATCAGTTGATATAAGAAGGGTAGTTTCTAAATATTTGTCGAGTCAAAAGCTTTCACTTGAAAGCTTTCTTACTTTCGTAAGTAGAGTCTGGGCACTGATGGCCTTCTTCGGCGAAACATTCTTGGTCGATAAAACTAGGCTCGTCGTGACAAGATGTCATGTAATCAGGGCAGCAGTCTTTTCGTTCCAAACACTTATCATCACATTGGCATTGGTTTTCATCATCGGACGGGAACGCTTCTCCGCATCGGTTCCATTCTTGATCTGGGTACCAAGGGCTTTGTTGTCGGTCACAATAATTATACGCAAGACAAAGTTTTCCTCTTTTAGTGTTGAATAAATATCAAATGCATCTGCAGAATCTGACCGAATATTTTAAGAGGAAACGAGATAATGTGGTCAGAAAGTGAAGAATCGAAATGCTGTGACCTTTCCTGTACTGATCTTTCTTATTCCTACATAAAAAGATGCTTGGTGGATCCGCCAGATCAGATCTTGGTTTCAGCACTTTTCGCAATATTTGCTAAAGATGCTTCAACATGACAGATACTTTTTTCTTTCTACCTGATGTTTGTTTATGTAATCCGAAAATGAAAAGCTTTCAGTAAAACTGAACTCGGAGTCAAAGGTGAGTGGAGAGCCGAACTCATCAAAGAATGATTTGAGTGTGTATGGCCGTTCTTGGGCGTTTTGGCGGAGATCAAGGTAGAGACCCGTTTTTTCGCCGGTTTCAAGAGTGAAGAAATATTTCATTCCAGTGGCGACATTATTCCGGTAAACAGGAATCATGGCAATATTGAGCGACTTGCTCGAGCGGAGCATCTGTGGAACAGCTAAGGTTAGGAAAAAGTTGTGAGCATTTGTTTCCGAGCGAAAAAGTTCGTTGAACTTCTGGCGCGAACAGATGAAGCTTCTGAATCTCCCAATTCAGGAAGAAAAAGAGGTTGGAGGCCATCTGATTTCATTCTTGGCGTTCTAGGGTCCTGAAACTCACATTTACGGCAAATCCTTATGCAACTGCACCTGGATCTTATCGAATGTGCGCAACGAAATGTCACGAAAGTCGGATACAGTCGCGAAGACTGAGTGAACCCGGCCATGTTTCGTGTCATAGACGGAGATGTACTCCTTGTTTTGGAATAACAGATAGTCTTCTGCATTTTCTGTCACTGTTTTTGACAGAATAAGCTGATGTTGATGCTCTAGTTTTTCAAAATCTTCTATTTCAACTTGAAATGTTGCGTCTAATCGTGTTTCTGCTTCTCTTATCCATGGGCTATTTGGGACTTTCTTCGTCAAAGAAGAAAAAGAAGAAGATATTAGAAAAATAAAAACTTCCAACGCATATTTGCCGTTTTTGAGGAGAGCCCCCAAGTAAATGAAAACGCACTGCTTTATTTGGCAGCTTGATTCCTTGTATATATAGAACAATTACACAAGAACTTTTTTATGGCGGCAAAGTGGGACGGAAAGTGGATCTTTTAAGGGGTGGTGGTCGAGAAAATTTTTTCGACTTTTTAAAATGTTGATATTATTTTTAGATTCCTTGATTAAAAAGGAGCATTTTTGTTCCCTAGCTTTTGATTGGACCAACTTTATTTAAGAAAATTTTCGATTTTATGTTGTGAAATCGCCACTTTCGAAAATTTTAAAACGCAATTTTTCGAACTAATACCAACTCAAAATTGATTTTTATTGTAAGATAATGTTTATTCATCATACTGCAATCATTAAATTCTTAAAAATTACTATTATTGTGTTTTTTCGAAAATTTGATCGAAAAATGAGTAAAAATGACGATTTATTAGAAAACAACATGTTTTCATTTAATATCTATTTTTTTTTTCTAACAAGGTAAACTTTGTTAAACATAGCCGCCCACACGCTAAAGGGTTTAAACTTTCCTCACAGTAAGTTTTATTTTGAAAAAAATGATAAGGGGATAGAGTTTTTAGGTCAAGAGATGGGTCCACTTTGTAGGAATTTTTCACCATATTTCCCAAAAATATTTTTTCAAGCATAGTCGCCCACATAAATTAGACCCTTTTAACTTATTTTCATTAAGAGAAAAAAATTTTCTTGAAAAATTTGAGTTTTTGGTTGAAAAAGTCTTAGTCTCGACCACCACCCCCTTAAGCACTTCTATTTGATGTTTCGAAAGCAAAAACATTTCCTTTCCACATCCGGCGGAGTCTAGCAATTATCCGTTCAGCTCATTTGACTTAAAAAGGGATGAAATGTAAGTAAACCGTTTTTCCGAGTCCACCTGGAGGGAGCCCAAAAGGTTTCCGCGCGTTCCGGTATTTTTCTAGTTTCAAGTTCACTTTGCTGGACAAATCTACCAGATTTTGCTGATACAATTAGATGGTATAATACTGAGTCAACGTTTCCTCCCTCTTTCCTCAACATCTTTCCTTGTTTTCGTGTTCGACAGAACTGATAAGCGCCAAATAAAAACGTTGCTCGAGAGTGGAGTTAGTCTCTATCTGGCGCTATTTTCGACAACCTTTATCTTTACCACAGAAAAAAACGATTCGCCACTTTTGCGCTTGTTGACCAATTTTTGTGATTTTGAAGAAGAAAAAACATTGAGAAAATATGAAGGTTATAAATGCAATTCTTCCCATTGTTGCGTACACTCAGGAAGAGATTTGAAATTTTCTACAACTTCTGGTTTCGATAATAAATTTTCTTGCAGGGCACTGATTGGTCGAGCTAAAGAAATAGTTTTTTCAAAATTGATCAATCAAAGAGGTATGTATCTTTGACGATTTTCAATAAGGAATTCTGAGTGAAATCCTTACCCCCTTTGTTATTAGCTCATTTGAAAGAGCGTAAAAAGTTATGCCAGATTCCACCAAAAAGGATGAAATTTTTGAAATTATGACGTCATAGCACGTGATTGAAGTTCCAAAAGTACCTTTTCTTCCGGACATCGGCATTTCCGACTACTCTTAGGTACGCAGGCATGCGATACATAAAAATGATCGTCTTGTCGAGCTCTACATCGGCATCAAAGTCTCAAACTTTTTCATCCCTTTTTCTCGAAATCAATATTTTCAGCAAACATCTGATTTTAAAAAGGGATGAAAGAATAAATTACAAGGGTTGAAACCAAGATGCCGATGTAGAGCTCGACAAGACGATCATTTTCATGTATCGCATGCCTGCTCAGCCTAGAGGACTTTAAAATGCCGATGTCCGAAAGAAATGGTACTTTTGGAACTTCAGTCACGTGGCACGAGGTCAATATTTTGAAAATCTCTGGATTTTTCCAGTGTTTTTAGTGTAACTTTTTACGCTCTTTCTAACAAGCCAATAAAAGAGGGGGGTAAGGATTTCACTCAGAAATCCTTATTGAAAATCGTCTTTAGAGGCCTCTGAAGCTGTTAATTGCTATCTCTAAAAAGGAAAGATGTGGGACTATAAAACTCGGCGAAAAAGGCCAATTCGCGCCAGTTAGTCTTTCCAGTTATCCCGGCTCCGGAAACACATGGGTTCGATACATGATTGAAGAGTTCACTGGATATTACACTGGCAGCGTTTTCCACGATGGAAAGCTTTACCGCGGAGGTTTCAAGGGAGAGTATGAAGATTACACAGATGGTAAGGTTATTGTAACGAAAGCGCATACATTCAGATCGGAGAGGCCACTCACAGACGCCATTATGCTCATCAGAAATCCCTACGACGCGTTTTTGTCCGAGTTCAATAGAGTCAACGGCGTTGGCGTCACTGGAAACGATCACACAGGAACTGGCTTCGAACACAGATTTTGAAATTCTTTTTGACGAATATTTTTCTAAACCAAGCAAAGGCAAAGCATCACTGGATGATTTTCTCTCGCCGAAGTGGACAGATATGAATTTCGGAAAATACGCTGTCCGGTGGTATCGGCTTTACTCCGGTCTTCTTGAAAGCGGCCACAAGATGCTGCCAATAATTTACGAAGGTAAAACTATGTTCTAGGAAAACTTAGCAAAAACGAGTTTTAGAAATGAAAGCAGACCCAAAACAAGAAATGGAGAAAATCGTCAATTTCCTTGATACACGAACAGACTACGAGTCCAAGTATGAGTGCCTCTTTGGAGACAACTCAAAGAGATTCAAGCGGTCCAGTGAGCGAGAATTTGACCCTTATGATTTTATCGATAACGGTAAGAAAAAACGTATGATTTTGTATATCCTCATCCTTTTACAACAGAAAAACTCGAGGCAGTGAATGAAGTGATCATCAAAATCAGCGAAACACTCAACCGAACCCACGGAATCACACTGCCAGAAACATATCTTCGAAATCTTCACTAACCATGTAAAAAGAGAAAACTGATTGTTTCCACCAAAGCTGCCATCACTAGAATACTGTAAATTGATTAATTTAACACCCACGTTCGCTTTGATAACTTTGTCGAGCAAAGTTTTCAGCCACCTTTTTCTTGCTTTGAGGATTTGTACAAAAAATCGAATAAAAATTGATGCTCTGTTTTTCTGGTCTGATTTTCTTGAGCACTAAATTTCGGCGAGACAATTTTAGTGCTACGTTGTCGATGTCTAGTTGACAACTTTTGGCAGGGGCATCTGTTGACCAACCGAGTTTTCTTTTCGCGTTGAAATTTTAATCCAATGAATTTGGCGTTTTGGCAAGCTATTTTTGACTCTGCTCTGCAACCGGGTTATGGTTAATCAAAGACAATTACCCGTTGAAACGGTGATTTCGAAATTAGCCTTCAAAAAGATGCAAGTAAACATTATTTCAAGTGCGTGGAAAAATGGTTTAGCTGGTATTTAAAAGAACACGTTTCGACCACAAGAGAAAGAGGCAAAGTTCACATTTCAAAATGCTTTGGTAGATTAGAGGACTTTTTGCTTTTTAAAAATCAGGAAGTGGAGGATCCGTAAAACCTCAATTTTTAGCATTTTTTGCAAGGTGAAGGGCTCGTGCCAGATAAATTCGTATCAATTAATGTTCTACAATCGGAATCTTGGAAAGCGGACAAGATAAAAAAGCAGAGTTGCAATTGGCACGGCCGGTTTTCCCATTTGATCTCCGAAGGTTTCTTTTATCTGCTATCTACTAGGTCATGTGAAAATTAGCATCGAGTGGGTGCAAAATCTTGAGTGTCCGGCGACGGAGAAATTCAACAAAATTGAGGAGTAGGAAGAGATTCGCAACACTTGGACTTAGAGAGGCTAAGTATGCCACGTGAAGATGGCTAAATTGACAGCTTGAAGAAAATCCTCCTTCTGAAACATTTTTTATTCTATTTTCTAAAGACTCGCAGTTTGAAATAGTTTTTTTTCTAATTTGCGAAGTAACCCAGTACTTCGAGAAAAAGAGCTAATCTGATCTAAGACATGCCATCGGATAATATTCGAGGAACGGCCTTGCTAACAAATTGAGCAAGATGAAGTACTAAGCCAGCGAATCCGATTTTATAAGACTCTTGCTCATTTTCTTTGAAATTCTAAAGAAGGACTTTCGCGATTCAGAATCGCCGATTCTCAAAATCTGACGATCGGAAACGGGTTGCTGTTAGTTTCTTATCGGAAACCTGATTCTATTGGCAGCATTTGTCTGTTCTAGCGAAAACCAAATCATTTCGACGATTTAAATTTTAATCACTGAACTTTCTCTTTGATCCATCGTTTTTTTCGGTGGGCAAAATATTAAATCTGAGTTATTTCAATTAGCTTAGTCACGGTCTCCCCTAAGACCAGATTGAAGTTAGTCTTATCCGTTTTTTTCAGACTTTTGGTCGAATGACCCTTCTATGCTTGTTTTAGTTTCAATGAACTTCCGAGATTAGAAGCATTACCTGAAGTGATTATGTATTATAAGCACCGGTGAAAACACGGCACATGGGTTTGCCACATGTAGCCTGTCGTTAAATCAAAGGAAAAACAAAAGATGGGTTTTGTAATGCTTCTAAACAAAGAACATGCAGGATGGATTAGCGTAGCCCTCTCGATTTCATTTTTCAAAGGGGCACTCTATTCGACCTGATACGTTTATTTGGCTTTGCCTCTGTCTGCTGGTATCAAGAAGTTAACTCAAGAAATTCAACAGTATAAAGCTCGAAAAAAGGATGTTCGTAAAACTTCATTTGTTAAATTCATTTTGATTTGAATAAACTTTTCTCTAATTAGATTCAGAAACCACTAGGCATCAAAAAAACTTAGTCTCCCTAATTTTCTTGTTTTCCGTTGGAAAACCGAAATATAACCGCACATTTCTCACGCCACTTTATGAAAATACTTGAAATCGCCATGAACCGCTACCCAAAGATAACATCCAGAAAATGAGCATTAGTTTTATTTTCTAACGAATTTTTGGTTGAACCTTGAAAATGATCGTTTCAAAGCCGGAAATTAGCCATTTTGATTTGCTTTCGGCAAGAAATATTGGACACCATAACGTATAATTTTTCACTTCGAGTTTGCATTTATATTTGGCAATCAAGCTGGAATAATATTTTCTCTCTTAATGACATTTGATAAGGAAGAAAAATTATTCCGAGTTTGATTGAATTATAGAAATGAATCGTGGCTAACAGATGAGAGTTGGCATCAATCGACAAAGATGCGACAATTTCGACCAAAGTTTTGGTCGAATTTCGTATAAATTGTATGCCCTCATTCCCATGCAACAAAGCGATTAACAAATGCGTTCCGATAGAATGCAGAGATGAGCCTCAAAGTCCAAGCGACAAGAAATGCAACAAGTTCTACCATAGATGCGCGTGTCTAGAGTGCGAATTGAGCCAGTGCCTAGAAAGGTACAAAGACTACCAATAACTCTCGGTTGAATTTCTGAGTAACAAAGACTGTGGTGAGCAAGCAAATTCAAGTGTTTAGTAAAGTCAAAAATCCCCGAAGTTCGGGGCCCGAACAATGAAATATTTCTGCAACAAATAATATAGCAGTCGACTAGTTCCAAACAGACCATGTTAGCGATTCTCAATACTTATTCTTCCGCTGAATCAGAGAGTCCAGCGCGCTATCAGTGAGCTCCAGCGCGCCATCCCCCCGGAACGCGACGTTTATCGGTAAGCCGGACATTGTAGATCGTCTTCAATCTTCCTTCGAGTCGTCTTTATCTTCTTCCAAAATCAACCCGTATTTCTTTTTTTTTAACTTTTACGAATTTTTTTTTCAATCAAGAGAAATAAAGAAAATGGTCGGAAATTCAACATAAATTCGCTGTTTAGAAGAAAAATTTTCCAACCTTTGATCAGAGAAATGAAGCTTTCAATTTTCCTCTCAATTGCTGGATTCGGATCACAAGCACAAGAACGATGTGGTCACATTCAATTCGGAAGACCCTCTCAGTTTGCACCAGTCAGTCTTTCCAGGTTTTTCCGTCATTTTTTCGGTTGAGAGATAAGAAATTTAAGTTATCCTGGATCTGGCAATACCTGGGTTAGGTATTTGATCGAAGAATATACAGGTTGTGGTTCCCATAAAAAATTCTTTTCTAAGGGCCTCCCCAACGATACTAGAGAGGCCCTCCAATATGATTCGAAAAAAAATAGACAAGAACCCGAATTTAAGGCTACTACACAGGAAGTGTTTACCACGACGGCAAATTGTATCGAGGCGGCTTCAAGGTAAAATTCTTGCGTTTAGAACATCGCCGGCTGGCCTCAGCTGCTTGTCTCTGATGCTCATTACCTACTGTAGTTCATAGTTTAAAGCGCCACTCACAAATTTAATCTAAGTTCGTTTTAGGGCGAGAAAGAAGACTGGAGCGAAGGTAGGGTAGTGATAACAAAGACACATACTTTTAGGCCAGAAGACAATCCGCTTACAGATGCTGTCATGCTCATTAGAAACCCATACGATTGCTTCCTTTCGGAATTTAACAGAGTAACGAGTGGAAGTGATCATACTGGGATAGCATCAAATGCTGGTAAGATTTATTTTCTAGCGTACTTTTTTGAATGTCAACTTATCAGAGCGCTAAGCCTAGAATTAATAAACAAGATCGAATTGCTAGAATCAGTCGTCTCTAACAAAGCTAGTCAAATCTGTGAGTTGCGGTCACATGACACCTATTTCGAAAATGTTGTTTTAATTAAATCGGCCAAGTGTAAATGTCAAAAACAAACTCTAAGTTGCGTTTTCACTATTTTAGATTTCATGGACTCGAAATGGGTAGAGCGAGATTTTCCAAAGCTGGCTTCTCGATGGCTTCGGCTGTACACAAATCTTCTCAGCAGTGGCAACGAAATTTTACCGATTATTTACGAAGGTAAAATCGTGAATCCGCATTTCCTAACTTTTTCAAAGAAATGAAGGCTGATCCAAAGACAGAAATGAAGAAGATCGTCGATTTTCTGGACGTTCACACGGACTACGAGTCCAAATACGACTGCCTCTTTGGGGATAATTCGATGAGATTCAAGCGTTCTAGCGACCGGGAATACGACCCTTACTTATACATCGACCAAGGTAACGTTTTCAGTAACAGTACCCACATTTCGTCATTAATCTAAACGCACTTGAAAGGTGATATTTTATCGGGCTAAAATGAGACTAGCTCAATAATCTACCTAAATCATGTATAAAAATCGTTGGTGACTCAATTTTTTAGATCGACTTAAGCCAGTAAATCAAGCAATCATGGAGCTTTCCAATTTGCTCAACAGTACCCATGGCATTGAACTCCCGATGACATATCTAAGGGACATCTACTAACTTTCTTTCTTCATCCCTTACTGAAGTTATTCCGGAATTGCCAAAAGCTCCCACTCCGTCACACAAAATGTCACTATCACTACATGCTCTTCATGACTGACCTTGTACATTATTATAATCGACTTGTCAAGCCCTGCTGATGCTTGATTCAATTCATATTCCTTTACCAACTATGCAAAATTCTGCTCCTACCACTTGATGTAAAGAACCACTCGATCCAGATTCATTAGATCTATCTAATAAACATTTGTTGAAATTTGAAAAAAACTATCCGTTTATTATTTTTATTGAAGATTATTTCAAAAAACGTGGCAGAGGATTTAATTTGTCAAAGGAGAATGAACGTGGACGCGGTTGACTCAGACAAAGAATCTTATATTGGAGCAGAGGCAATCTCCCGTTTCACGTTTTGCAAAGTCGTTAGCATTAGTGAGAAAGTACCAAGACTTCAGCGAGTAATTGATAAAGCGGTCTTTGAAAGTCTGCCAATTCGGGGAGGAGAGGAAGTTTTCTTGCTGCGTTCGCTCCCACATTTCTAAAGAGGGATTTTATTAACACGATCGATTAAAAAACCAGCTTACCGGATAAAGCAAGACTTCTTTTTATATTCGCCCAGGATAGAGTGCCAGTAACGTCCGTAACGTAATTATTATGCGTTCCAGAAATCTTCATCTTCTTATGATCCAATGCGCTATTCAAGTACTCCTCGCTCATGACCTCTTTTGACATCTTTTTAATTTTATCAAGGTTGGCTTTGAATTTTTCGAATCCCTCCTCGTCAGCGAAAAAGCAATCGTCCCGGACTGGATCGTCAAACAGCTTTTTAGAGGTTCTGTTTTGGCATAACTTTGTTTTGTTTCAACATGTTTTGTTAAATTATTTGGAATTGGCAATTAGAAGAGATAGCAAGGTGATTGAATGAGAACCGTTGGCTGAACGACAATCGAGTCATTGATAGAGATGGTGCCACTCAGAATATTGCTATCGTCTTCTTCGTCAGAATTCTCGTGGTGAAACATAATATCTTTAGCCAGTTGGATTAGTTCCTAAATCAGATGTTATAACAAAAAACGTGACGATAACCAGTTCCTCTCGCAATCGGACAGATCAGAACATCGTTTTTTATTAATTCAATATGCAACTAATTTCACCAAGCTCAAAATTTTCACCTTTCTTTTACTATTTCCGAAATTCCAAATGTCCTACATCAATTAATAAATGGCGTAAAATGATGAAATCAACAAGGGGAACATCGAAAATAAATCCCTACCTCATCAGACTCCGGATTTTCTTCGAGCAACCTGACCATAGCAACACCTCTAGCTCCGTAAGAATGAATCAGTTGCCTATTAAAGTCGTCTTTTTCAAGCATCATCAGAGCTCTATACTTTGACTCTTGAAATAAACGGTTTCTGAGAAACATTTTTGAGAAAACATACCCATGATATAACTTTGGAAATATAAGATAAGCATCGAAATGTTGTGCAAAAGCTCGACGATGCCGAATGCCCAAACGCATAAACTTGCTCGTTTGCCGATGTAAAGTACTCTTCTCGCAGCCATCTTTAGAGATGTAAGAAACGGGACAGAATAAGAAAGAGCGGAGAAAAAGTAGAAGCCGAACGTAGACCAGAAGAAAGTTTCAACAGCTGGTACCCTGAATATTGCTGATTACTTACAGGGTAGTTAGCTGTCTATGACAGGTGCATTTATGAAAAAATGGGGCTTTTCAGAAGATGTTAAGTGTAAAATATATTACCAAATATCTTTAATAACTTGCACAGCATCTTCGCTCTCCTTCACGCTCTCAAAAAGCTCTTTCTCCAGCGCCAATCTCGTCTCCGCCAGCTCCTCCTCCGTCGTCCTCGGTTTCGTCCCCGAGAATCTGATCGTTATTCTTTCAAGCTCTTCTGCCGACTCACGACGTTTGAAAAAATCGAGCAGCGCGGGTGATGATGATTTTCCAAGAGTAGCACTTAAAATTTCATCAAGCGGATTCGACGACTCAAGCATTGGAATCTCGACGATTTTGTTGCACGAAACAGACGATTCTGGATCAGTAAACATCGTCACCAGCGGCGGTAGTAGAAGAAGAACATAAAAACCGACCCAGAAAATGAATCGCGTGAAAATTTGAGAAGTTGTCTTTTCCATGTCTTTTTCGATCTCTGAAATCGCTCGAACAATCAACGGATTCGCCAGGTAAGGTTTTTCTTTGAGCAGAGCATTCAGCGAGTCTACGTGTTTGTTACTGAAGCTTTCCTCCATTTGGGCGATTTGTTCTTTTGATTTTTGCTCGAACTTGGGAAGCCAATCTTCCAAATTCGAGCTCTGAAACTGCCTCTTTGAAGCAGCAGATAATTCTTCATAATTGAAGCCCAATTTCGCGTATTTCTGGCGCACGGAATCGCCTAGAATTATCATTTCACAGTTGTTTACTCTGCTTACAGTACCTCCAATGACGCTATGAAACTGCCTGAGATTCTTGCTTACTCTCAGGCGAAGAATCTCTTTAGAAACTCGAAGCTGATTCATTTTAACTGTAATTTCGACTGACAGTAACTCCGGCTCCTTTCATCACCCAAATTTTCAACTTCGAGAGACCGATTTCTCTCTTGATTGTTCTCTCTAAATAACAGAGATTAATTATCTTTTTTTTATAAAAAAGGTTTTTGTTTATTGATTTTTTAAACAGTTGAGAAGAAAAAACGAAAAATAGAAAAAAGAAATAATCTGAAATATTGCAATTAGCCAGCGATTCGATTTTAGCGCGTTTCGGTTTTCAAAACTTCTTCTTGTGAAATGCGAGTCAGGTGATTTTGAGAGCTCCTCCATACAGAACAGACAGGAAAGGAGTTGATCTTTTAGAACTTTTTGAAGAACTTGGGAAGAATGCCGCGTTTCCTGCAGAAGAGGACCGTTCTTCTACAGAGAAACAGGTAGAAAAGATAGCGCAAGGGCTTTGCTAGCTCCCATATCAGGAATGTAGTGATAAACATATTTGCCGTTCGACCTTCGTACTTTATTTGACCCTAGAAAACTGTCAGCGCTTGCAAATAGGACTTGGACTTACTGTGACTCGATTGTTCATTAATTCGAAGTCATCATTGTTGTGAATTCTCTCAATAACTTTCTGCGTGTCTACTTTGAAGACTTTCGTCCAGTCCATCCATCCTCTTTCATCGAGCCATTCTACTGTTGGAACAATTTCCATGCCCAGACGAAAGGGAATCGTGAACACCATGAAAAGAGGCACAAACGTACTAAATAAGTCGTTCTTCACAAGACTGGATGGAGAAAATCTTACGCCCAATAAATGATGAACCAAAGAACTCCGTATTGTTTGATCGCTTCTTTCGTCTTTGTCCAAGCCCGACCAAGGCGACTTTCTTTGAAAGAAAATGATCTTCTGCTTGGATCGCTCAATCGCTGGTACTTGAATGAAGATGAATGAAGCTTTTCCTCCGAAGCGGCTATAAAATAGGGTTTTAGATTGTCAGTGAATATGGCGAAAACTTTTCGCCGAAAAGAACGAGGATGAGTTTATGACATGAACTTTGTGGTCTCGCTTGAGAACTAGAGAAATAAAAGTTAATGTGCGTGACGATTTTCGATATATAAAGAGGAGAATCACATCCTAAAAATAAAAGATAAATAAATTCCTCTTTAAGAATATCATAAAATGATATGCATCAACAACTATTCCAAGGTGCGTGTAATCGACAATGTGAAAGCATACTTTTGTTTGGAGTTGAAGAGAAATTCCTGATGAGATTTGTCGGCAAAATTGGAACGCGCTCGTACTGCGCTCCAGAAGCAGCGCTACTCCTGTGAATGCCGTTTCCGAACATGACGCTCTTGCGGAGCGCGCGCCTGACCGGGATCAAAAGCTGACTGCTCAAAATCATCTGAAAAACATTTCTCAGCATCGCTGCTATTCTCCAAATCTGCCATAGAAACCAAAAATAAACAATTAATTTAGATTGATTCTAGTGACTTTTGATTCAAAGACCACTCAACCCTTTTATGATTATTCAATTATTACGCAATATTAGCAAAAATTGTTAGAAGTAGAAAATGACTGGGAATCTCAGAATTTTCTGGAGCCTGCCTCGTCAACCTGTGTCCAAAACCTGAATCAGGACCTAAAAGAGCTTGAATGAAAAGTTACGCAGCGGCTTTTATGAAAACGAAGCCGCAAAGCCGCTTCGCCAAATTACCATCTCAATATATTCTTCATTCTACGTGGCTTTTCATCTAGGCTATCTCAGTACCTGACTCAAGTTTTGGACACAGGTTGGCGAGCTCAGTTTACAGCACCAAATTTCACCTGTACTCAATCTTTCTTTACATAAAAGCTGAATAAAAGCGCTCTACCATTTTCTTTCTGCGGGTATTTTATATCTAAGAATGTCTTTTAAATTGAGAGACGAGAAAATTGAGCATAAGAATCATTTACAATTTCAAGAGAAATAATTCTTATATCATTTTTGATAGCAATAGGGAGGGTGTATTTGAACTTGGAAGAAAATATCAGCAGTGACAGTAGACTATACCTTGAAGTTGACTTTAAAAAATCAAACAATTTGCCTAGAACTCGCGAAACTGCGAGATTTTTAAGACACAGATGGAGGATCAAAGTATTCAAATTTCAAGTAAAAAGATTCTCCAGTGATGTCTTCTCAAATTAGCCGCCAATAATAACCGGTACTGGTTTCTTCGTCTGCCGTATTTTCGGACATGTACCTTGCTCAGAGACGAAATCGGGGCGGCGATTTCGATTAAATAACAGAATCTAAAAAGAAATTTCAGTAACCAAAAAATTTCCATTTTATCTTACCATCAGTTTCAGGCCATATCTTCGTAATTAAGAATAAAGCACATTTTCAACGATTCAAAACCATTTTGAGAAAGTGGTTTCTTCTGAAAAACTCGACTTTTAATAAAAAATATGAAAATAACTGAAAAGAAATAAGTGAACTGGATCCAGCTGAAAAGTTTCAAGACTCTTGAAAAAACCAAAGAAAATGTAACAGAATTCGAAAATTCCAGAGAAAACTATCTGAAAGTCTTTCTTTTTCTAGTTTATCTTCATTTCAGGTGTTTTTTTGTGTCTTTGTAAGTGTCTCTCGGTTTACAACAGATTTTGAATAATTCACAGTTTCTCTGAGTCGTCGGATTCAAAGGAAACTACGCGGAGTGGCCTAACCCGAGCGCGCCAATTGGCCAATTTTGAAACCGCGCGCGTTCAAATTTAAAACTGTCGCGAGCTCTCTACCCTCCTCAAATGCTTTAGCCTTTAGCACTAGAATTATCACCAACCTTTTCCTTTTTTCGAAATTGACGAAGATTTATTAGTAAGAGAAAATAAAGAAGTAAAAAATAAGAATAAATGGACGACAGTTTTGACGATTTCAAGACGCCGACGGGCTCTCCTGTCAAAGAAAATCCTTCAGGAAAGTGTCATCAATAAAAATTAACAATAATGGCGAAAAAAACCGGGAAGGGTGCTCCTGTGGCACTGTCTCTCTTGTGGCACTTTCTCTCCTGTGGCACTTGCGCCCGCTGTGGTATACCACAGGAGAGACGGTGCCACAAGAGAGACAGTGCCACAAGAGAGACATTTTCAACTATCAGATTCTCGAAATGATAATTTTAGGGAGTCCACCGACCTATCTCCATGTGCGCGCCTCGCTGTTTTCCTTAGATAATTTTTTTCGATTTACATGAATTTTTTGGGTGGACGAAACTTTCAATAGACGATTGAGTTATGTTACAATGTAACAGTTTCATAAGTTCTGTATCCTTGATATCAAGAATCCAAATTTTCGGAAAAGCTCACCGTTAGTACCAGATATGATTAGTTGACGAAATGACAATGAAAGGTCAAGGAAAGTTTCGTCCACGTAGAAAAATAAATTTTAATCAGAAAAAGTTCTAACGGCAAAGATAGAAACTAAAAAACTGCGAGCCACGCGCGTGGAGCTCGGCCGGCGGATTCCCTAGGAAGAATACCATTTTGAAAATCTGATAGGGAACGCTTTTGAAAATGTCTCTCTTATGGCACTGTCTCTCTTGTGGCACTGTCTTTCCTGTGGTATACCACAACAGGCGCAAGTGCCACATGAGAGACAGTGCCACAGGAGGCAAATATGACGAAAGTGCCACAAGAGCACCCTCTCCAAAAAAACCGGCATCTCTTTATCTAAAATGATGTGAGGCGAAATCGCTGATTATAATTATTCTCATATCTTCAATAATTATTCCCCCGATGAGTGATCATCTGTTTATCCCTTTTCTCTGATTTTTTTTCTTTCTGGTTTCGATTTTGAAGTGAATCAAACGAGGGAAAAAATGATGTGTAACTATGGCAATGTCTAACACTCTGAAAAGCACTGGAGCAAATCGTATTCGATGGAATAGAACAAAATGCTACGAAAGAGGCGAAAAAACGAGCTGAACTTGACGGTAAAAACTGAACTTGAACCTTTTTCAGATAACACTAACTCATTTATCGATCTTCCTCTTTTTCTTCTATTTCTTACCAAGCAGCTTATTTTGAAGAGAAAGAGATAAATATGTAGATAGTTCTAATTAAATGCAATCATTTGATAATCACCGTTGAAGTCAGATAATTTTGAACCAGTTAGGGTTATTTTCAATGCCCAGAGGGATCAAAACTCGTGGCATTTTAAAAGAAATGTTCATTGATGCATTTTTCACTTTGATACTTGAATTTACTTTACGGCGGATTAGTAGCTACTTCCTTGAAATGTCCAGTCAGTAATAAAAATGTCGGAAAGTCGGTTGATCTTGAATTCTAGAGCTCCGTGCCGCTGGAGTCGAACTTTCCGACGATGATATGTACGATTCGGACAACGAAGCTCCTCAAACTGGCCCGATGGTCGAAGACGATCCAGATGGAGTCGATTTTGACTCTGACGACAACGAGTCCAACATGCTAGGTAAGAAAAACACCCCCCGCTGTCTGTGCGAACCCAGTTTGGATATTTTCAACGGAATAATTTTGAAATTCGAATTCTGATTTGAATCTTGAAAACAAGATCGATTATTTTTGTTTTTAGCGAAGCAAATGCAGTTCACTCCGGCAGACAGCACGATGGTGTTTGAGCTCAACGAGAAGCGAATTATGGAAGAAGCTATAATGCGAGAGAAGGAGAACAAGAGCCCGGATGGAGATGAAACTGCCTTGTTAGAGGGAACAATGTGTGACAATACGGTCAATATGAATGATACCGATTTGTTAGACCAGGTAAACTTCCATTTGGGCTAAGGTATTTAATTGCCAATAAATTATTAGGTTTTTTGGGCTACCCAGAATACCTTAATCCCAAGATGGAGACTTCAGTCTCTGCTCAAGCAATTTGTGAATTCATGTCTTTTTAGACAACAACTGGGAATGAGTTCAAGCAGCCGCCAAACCCAGCGGACATGACCGTTATTGACGAGGACGACGAAATCTGCATCAAAATCAAGTCATCCGCGAAAAAGTTCCGCACCCCCGCGTCGACCAGTTCCGATCGCGCGGAAGATAAAACAATTGAAGTTGGAAAACCGAACCTTGAAGAAACTGATCTTGGTTTGAGTGAAACGATCGCGGGAAAGACGGTCTTGGAGGTGACCTCTGGGGAGTTTGAAAAGACTGAAATGGGGTTTGAAAATGAAGAAGCAGTAACTGTCGAAGAAGCTGCTCCGGAAGAATCTAACTATGCTACAGCTCTCACAACGCCTGTTGTAGAGGCGTCTCCATTACACGAAGTTACTGAAAAGCCCAAAGAAGAAGCTCCAGTTGAAACTTCCGCGTTTCCAGCAGCCGAAGAAGCTCCAGAGCCGCCAAAACCGGAAGAAGATGAAGAAATTCCTCCTCCAGCAAAAGGTACTTACACAATGGACTTCGACAAATTCGACGATCCCAATTTCAACCCCTTCGCCACGTCTAAAACCGCTATGCGCAATTCTCCCGAGCCACAAGAAGACATTCCAGTGCCTAAAGGAAGTTATTCCGTCGATTACGATAAGTTTGACGACCCTAATTTCAATCCCTTTGAAAGTAAAAAAGCGATGCAGAATTCACCAACACCTGAGAATCAACCTAATACCTCAATTTCAACAGGTAAGCCCTCTTTTTCTTCTCATTTAGAAAAAAAAATCATTCAAGAAGCAAACAAAACGATTGAAATCACTGCCAAGCCCGAAGAAGTCACACCCGCCAAAAGTGAAAGCGAAAAAGAAAACAATCACAGTTCAGAAGATTTGCCAAGTTCAGAGAATGTAAATACAACAGTCACTATCGCCCAAGCTGACGAAATCGAAACACAATCCCAAGAGTTCAAATTAGAATCGGCTTCGACTGAAACTCAAGAAGAACCTGAGTCCCTTCCTCAACCATTAACGCGGACGCTTTCTTTGGGAGACAAAACACAGGAAGATCAATCGTTGCATTCTGTCATTGAACCAGCTACCGAGTCGGTGATGGAAACCTCCGCGATGAGCGTAGACGAGGAAGTTGCGAACATTTCTCAAGAAGCCGAAGCAATGGACGTTGACAACGATGAACTACAACTTCCAAAGGGCGCTTATTCCATGGACTTTGACAAGATAGACGACCCTAACTTCAATCCATTCGAGAGCAAAAAGGCGATGCAAAACTCTCCGACGCCAGATGAGACTCCTCTTCCTCCTAAAGGCGCGTACACTGTTGATTTGGATAAGTTTGACGATCCAAACTTCAATCCTTTCGAATCCAAACGCGCCATGGCCAACTCTCCCGTTGAAAAAGCACCTGTCAAAGAAACCGAACCTGCTCAGGAATCAGTCTCAGAACCTCAAGCGGCTCCAGTCGAAGCAGCGATTCCGGATCCTGCTTTGAACAGGACATCAACTCCTGATAATACAGAAGATCCAGCTGTTCTGAAGGAGATGGACAAAACATTCTCTCCAGTCAAAGAAGCGCCAACAGCGGAAGCTCTTTCTACAGAAGATCTTGATGAGCTAAATCAAACTTTTACGCCTCCAAAGGAACTGGTTACTTTTTTTATCTCTTTCTGATTCTCTTCAATCGCCTGAGACACCCTTTAATCTTAGGACACATTGGAGTAGACAATAAACTAGTGATTGATTATGACGGTCCGAACCCTCTTTGTCTCATAAATCGAGAAACAAAGCAAGACTCAATTTAGGACTTAAGCTTATTAAAAAAGTAACCCTAATGAAGCGAGCTCCGCCAAAACTCGGCCAGCGCAAAAAAACTACTCCGGTTAAAAAAGTCTCCTCCGAAACCGAAACCAAAAGAGCCAACTCCCGAACCTCCAGCAACTGAGGATGACGCTCCACTTCCGGCCAAAGGCGCCTACAGTATTGGTAATCAATTCTGAAAAAATAGCTTGATCAAGTTTCTTTTAGACTTCGACAAATTTGACGATCCAAATTTCAACCCCTTTGAGAGCAAAAAAGCCATGTCAAACTCGCCTACTCCCGCGGAGGATGAAATCAAGCCGAAATCCGGCGCTTATACAATGGATTTCGACAAGTTCGACGATCCGAATTTCAATCCGTTCGAATCCAAAGGGCCAAAAATGGCCAACTCGCCCCCGCCCAGCGAAGCCAAAAAGGAGGAAAAAGAGAGTGAAGCTGCACCCGCGAATGATGAGGAGGAGGTATTAAACGTTACCTTTGAGGCCCCCAAGGAATAGTTTTCATTTATAATTTAACGCTAGGGCATAATATTTTGGCTGCGTTTCAGAAAGAGAAATAAATCTGACAGAGAAAAAAGGGGAAAATACTTCAATTTTTATCTCTTTTACCTTTCTTTTTATCTTAAAAATTCAAATGGAAACCATTCGAAAGCGCGCACCGCCAAAACTCGGTCAAAATCGTAAAAAGGTCTCTCCGAAGGTGATCAAACCAAAAGCTCTCAAGCCAAAAGTACAGGCCGAACCAGAGCCTAAGCCCGAAGAAGAGGAAACGCCACTTCCTGCCAAGGGCGCCTACAACATCGATTTTGATAAATTCGATGATCCAAATTTCAACCCCTTCGAGACGAAGAAAGCGATGCGCAATTCACCAGAGTTGGATAAGACAAGTAAGAAACTCTTATTGAAAAGTCTCTAGAATCAAGTTAAATGCGATTAACGCAGGTGGCATCGAATTAATTTTGGGTTTTCGAGATTTGCAGATTTTAAATCAGCGTTTTTTCAGTTGAGCCAGAGCCAGAAAAAGAGCCTGAATTGGAAAAACTCGACGAGCAAATGGCAGATCCGGATTACAATCCCTTCGAAACAAAATCTGGAGTGCGCAACTCTCCTTCTCCAGTTTTGGCCAAGCCGAAAACTTCTGGCTATACAATGGGTAAGAAAAATTAGAAATGTGAAAAACAATGGCTAAAAACCGCTTCAGATTTCGATAAATTCGACGATCCAAACTTCAACCCCTTCGAAACCAAAAAGGGATTGTCGAATGTCGAAGTCTCTCCAGAAGAAGTTTCGCCGCAAAATTTGACGAAGACGATTTCAAAGAGTGATCTCAACACGACTACGGGAAGCGACGACTTCCACTCAGGTAAAAATAAAGCTTTGTAATAGTCAATTTTGAATTTCAATTCTGTTAGCTTCGGGGCTAAAACCAGGCCGTATTCCATATTTGTCAAAATACGCGACTTTTACTAAAAAGTCAAGGGCAAAAAAGAGAACTGGTAAGACAAAAGTAACGTTAAATTAGCTAGTAAAATATAGATTTGATTTTACTAGCAGACTGCTAGTAGCAGTACTTGAAAGCACAAGAATCTCTCTCTTGATCTCACAAAAATATAAAAACATGTTTTTTAAACAACTGAAATAACTTGTCAATCATTTTGAAATCCCGATGAATCATCAGCATACTGAATTTAATTCCCTCTAATTCTGTCACGTGATAACTGGCCCGTGAATAAATGCAGGGTGTCAAATCGCGGGGAGCGAGAAGGGATCGCGCTTAAACGCTCACGCTCGATCCCACGAGCGAAGGGATCGCTCGGGCGCCCCTTTGAACGAGAAGGGATCGCGGCAAAAGCAAGCCAAAGGCCGTGGGCTAGCGCCAGAGTTCATGCGCGAGATTTGCTACAACCAAGCTCGCGCCGCTTTTTAAATCTTCATCATTGTCTCAAATTTGACGAACTTTCCAAATCTTATGTAGTTTTTCCTCCTCTTTTTTCTCGAACAACAAAATCTTACTCAAATTTCTTTTGAAATTAAATGAATACATAATATGTAAGCTTGGAAAGATAAAATTTTGACTAATTTGCCCATAATGATAGTCACTCTCCCTTAGTATAATTTCAAAAAATTAGTCACATCATAGTTATCAGTTTCGCTTAGTTTTCGAGCTCGAAGACTACTGAAAACACTAGCGGCCAATTTACGGCCAAGATAACCTCCAGGAGTGACAGTTGCTAGAGCTCACTTTTTAGGACTAAATGAATTATATGTCGTTAATGACTCAAAATATTTTTACATATTCGGAAAAAGTTCCATGTGGATCCTATATTTCACTGAGATGGACTATATTTAGGCTTCCCGCACCTTTTTCTATTTTCCAGGTTCTCTGGCCGAATCTAACCAAACTTGCTGGACATATGCATCAAGACAAGCTATGAAAAACTGTACTAGCCGATTTTTCGAATTGAGTCTCTTTGACACCTTTGTCTATATTGAAACATTTTGAATTTTTACAAAGTTCGCTCGTTCTCGTAAAATTTTGATCCCTTGCGCGAAGGGATATCCCACGCGCGAAGGGATCGGGGCGATCCCTTTGTTTTTGTGAGCGCTCCCTTCTCGTTGCTTCTCGCTGCTGGGCGATCCCTTACACTCTGGGAGCGAAATGGCGCTGCGGCGCGCGATCCCTTTTCGTTCCCCGCGATTCGACACCCTGAATAAATGAATATTTACAGCGGACGAAGGAAATGATGAAAATGAAGATCCGAATCGTACTTTCGAAGTCCCACAAAAGGCAACTGAAAAAGGCGATTCAATTTCAACCTCTTTCGCAAAGGAAAAGTCGTTTATGTCAACTCAGTCGACCGTGTCACAAGAAAATTACATCAGAGGTAGAAATGGCATCAAACACATATATAAAAGTGTTCTTCTAGCGCTGGAGCAGCTTTTATTCGAAGTCGATGCTTCTTATAAAAAGAAACTGGCGGCTTCCGAGACGCTAATCTGCCGAAAAACGATTGAAAACGAGCAGTTGAAGGCTGATCTCGCAGCTGTTGAACAGGTAGTCCAACAAGTTAGCGCGTTGAATTCTATCATCTTCAGGCGTCGGCGGATCAACTTCAGCGACACATGCGAGTCAAAGAAAAGTGCATTCTCCAAGCTCAAAACGAAGAGAAACTTCGAAAGAACAACGACGACCTGCACGCTCGTCATCAAGAAGATCTCGACCGATTCGATGCTCTTCATGAGCGATCGAACAGGCTCGTGGCCAAAGCGAACGAAGAGATTGAAAAGATCGAGCAGGAAACGACCGTGAAGATTCGATGCTTGGAGGTCGATAACAAAAAGAAAGATGTAAGTGAGATAAACATAGAACTTCTAGTAAGAGATTTCCGTCTTTCAACCTTTTTCTAGCTCGAAATGAACAGCATGCGCGAGCAAATCGCCCGCCTGGAGAAAGAAAAAGCAGAACTTCTCACCCTCTGCGACGAACTCGTCAACAACGTCCCAAGATAAGCCTATCAGCCCGCGTCACACTTCTCCTCTCAATCACCCTGCCCAGTTCTACGATCACTTAAAAATTTCAAATTGTGTATTTCTAATAATATTTAAACAAAACATTCACCGACATTTCTGTTCACAACGCACTACCTTCAGTTTATCAAAAAATTTTTGCTACGAAGAAAATAATAAAACACAGCTACACCTAGAAAGGTTTTGTTCTATAAGAATTTGCATGAGAGTGTCTCAAGATCACTTCTTTATTTTGTCAGGAAAAGTGAGTTATTGAATGATTCCAAGATGCTTCATCTTCCTTTTGCTTCACTCTCTCAATTCTCAATAGTTAGTATTAGCAATTCACGAAAGAAAAATATCGCTTCTATCAACAAGTGTCCAGATGAATTCTTGATGGGTAACATTGTTAGAGCTTTGTCTTAGATGCCTCCGTTCAATCGGAAACTTCCAAAAAGCAAGCAAAATCAAAAGAGAATTTGAGACTTGGCACAAGCATAACACGAGGTAGTAAGTTCTTGATTTAGCAATTACTCTGGTTTTCAAAAATACAAATTGAGGTCTCAATAGAATTTTATTCATATCCGCGTGAATTAAAAGGTTCTAAAGTGAAGCTTATTAAACGCATAATTACGGCTGAAAAGTTCATTTTTGATACGCCCTAAAGTGCCATATAAACCCAGATAAAAGGCCTCGATGCCACTCATTAGGAAATTGAGGGTAATCCCCTTTATCCCTTCTTTTTCCCAATTTTCCGGCCATCTGCGGGGTTCTTCATCAAAAAGAGAGAGTGTGGCTTCAGATCTGACATTGATAAACGCTCAAACTCGTTTTATTCAACTCATAGCCCGGTAAACATGGTAAAACCTTGAAAGAAAGAGAGGGAGATCCTTGGCCATTAATCAGAAGAGTTGACTTCAAAGAGATTTTATTACGTCGATCATTTGGAGAAGTACCGCTCGCGCACGCTACGGAAATTGTCCTCTTCTTCTGATCTTTGCTCAAACAAAACGTCTGTAGTGATACTGACACAAAGAGAAGTACTTTTTCGCCACAGGAGCGTCTTATTAACAGGTACGAATGCTACTGTAGGATGAATAGAGGGTAGGAAAACATGTGATCATCGAATTCTGCAAGAGTAGTGTTAGTGTCCGCATAACCGGGGAGCTAGAATATTGTGCCGTTACCGGGTAGAGCTACTCGCCCTTTGCCGAGGAATATAAAACTAGCATCACTAACATTAATGACCGTCCCTAAAACCGGTCTCTTTTTACTCAATAATAACATAGTAGGGTTCTAGCCCGAGTCTCTATTTTATTATGCACAGCTTCTGTAGTAGGTCTCTAAGTGCAGTGGCATTTCGCCGATAAAAATGCAGGGAGCTCCGCTTCTTGCGAAGGTGCGTGGATGAGTGAAGAAATCGGCGTCGCTGGCAGTGGGTATCTTGAGAGCGTAGGCGGGCGGGGGCCAATCCGCGGTCAAGGAAGATTCACGCGGCAGGCTCGGTGTGAGAGAGTCGGAGGACTCGGAAATGATAGGTGGAGGACTTTCACACAGGTGGAAATCCGGACACTAATATAGTCCCCTCTATCATTTTCGAGAGCTGCTACTGTCGGGCAGTGTTCTTCGCGGTTTCGAGCTTGTTCTTCTTGGCAGTGTAGCTCTGGTCAAGGCTGGAGACGAAGTTATGGTACAGCGACATGTATGGGCCAACGGAGAGCCTCTTCATCAAAGTTCGTAGTGGGAGCGATTTTTCAGTCGACCAGAATACTTTGGAGTGGAGTCGATTTTGGTACCATGGTGTTTGATCAGCTTGAGGAGCTGGGTAATTCGTCGGTGGCATTCCAGAGCAGCTTCCGGCGTGCGCTGGATTCGTCGAACATCCTGGCCTTCGATTGCGGAGCCAAGGATTTTTGCGTTTATTTTCTTTCGCCGGAGGTGAGCTCGTCGGGCCGCTCGTCGTTTTCGCCGCTCTTCTTGTCGAAGATAGTCAGCGATGACTTTGGGGATTTCATCTTCGTCGGACTCTGGGTCGCTTTCAACGACGCGCGTTACTTCGATTTCGTCTGGTCGCGGTTCACGGGGCGCTTCAACCTTTTTTGGTGGAGGTGGAGGCGGCGGAAGATTTTCTTTCGCTGGAAGAACCGGAGTTGGCGCAGATTCGTCGATGACTAGTCGTGGAGTGTAACTGCCGGGCGACCAGGTTGGAGATAATCCATCGTCGGACGAGATATCGATGTCTGACTCATCTGGTGGTGATTTCGATCGTGGGGAGTCTTTCGTCGCGGTGTTTCGGATCGTCGTGGCGGAGTCTTTCGGCGTGGAGTTTTGGATCGTCGGGCTCGGCTCGGTGGTCGATCTCGAGGGCGGTTTCGTCGATCAGTTCGGGAGCGCTCCGACCGTAAGTTTCCGGACCTTTCGGTCTTTCGCGAACGGGACTTCCGTGTAACTTCGAGAATGACGCTTTTCAGCCGAACCATTCTAGAAATCACGGAGATCACTTTTTGTCAGCCATAAAATGCCTGACAGGGTATTTTTACGGGGGCTTTTCGCCAACACTCGTTCGTAGTTTTTTACAGTATTTTTCGATTTTTTTTTGTAATATTTTTTAAATTTTTTATTTTGGAGGGCAGAAAATTGGTCCGAGTAAATAAATGGGTTAACATGCGGTAGGTTAACGGGGCTACTTTAACAAGAAAAAGGATTTAGAAAATAGTGAGTAGAGTAAGACAAAAAAAAAAATTTTGGTAATTTTACGTCGATTGGTTAAAATTAAGAAATTCTAGATAAAATTGGTGACATAAAGAACTCGTAAAATTTAGTAAGGGATAATTTGAACAGGTAAAAGGGCCGTAAACGGCGCTTATTGAACAGAGAAAAATGGGCTCAAAGAGCGCGAAAAATTTCATTTAAACGGCTAAAATGGCCGGGGAAGGGTCGAGCGGGAATTTTATTTTGGGGGTTTGCGGTTTCTTGATGATCTTCTAAGTTGAAAGGGGGCGAGATTCTTGAGTAGTTCTTGTGTCTTCTTGTCCTCTCCTCTTTGAATTCTTGATCGGCTTCTCGTTTTCATCGGACCTGGTGACATAGACCGTCTCGCAATCCTCACAGGTGAGGTTGACTGTGCCCTGGGAGGCGGAGAGCAATCCTTCACAGGTGAAGTTGGAGGAGTATGGAACTCATCGGTTGTCAGGTCGAGATTTGGAGTCTCGGGCTCAGTGGGAGCCTTTTCCGCGGTTGTGCTGTCGAGAGAGTCCCCTGGACTAGGGTCACGCATCTCGACTCTTTCAGGTTCGTTGAGCTGTATTTTTGGCGGCTCGTGATGGTATTGCGTTGCTCTGAGAGGGATTCTGAAGTCCGGGAACCACGGTAGCGGGCCTAAAGCCGGTTTTCGTTCTTCGACTTTCTGGACTTGTGTTCGGTGGACCCAATCTTCGGCGCCTTCAACGTCTTTGATACGGACGACGGAGCCGTTACTGGCAGTAACTTCGAACGGACCGAGCCATGTGACTTTGGTCCTTTTGGCGGTAGCAGAGTTGGGTCGATGAAGGAGAACAGAATCGCCTTCGACAATTTCAGGAGCCGGAACCTTCGGCTGCGTTTGTTTTCGTAACGCGGCATCTGCTTCTGCTTGAAACTTCATGATTTTCTCGTGAAGCGTTCTTTTCGCTTCGTATCGTCTCTTCGTATATTCGTCGACCGTCAGATCTTCTGTTTGCGTGACTAAATCGTATTCACACAATCGCGGTTTTTCCAAGTATACGACCTCGAAAGGTGAGATCTTGGTGGAGCAGTTCGGAAGTCGGTTGATGGTAGAGACGACGTGCTGGAGACAATCAGTCCACTCAGCTTGAGTTTCGTGGACCATCACAAAGAGTGCGTCTTTTATGGTTCGATGTTGAACCTCGAGGAGGCCAGTACTTTGTGGTCTGTAACTCGTGTGATATCGCCAGGTGATGTTATGTAGCTTGGCGAATTGTTGATTCATCTCCGCGACAAAATGTCTTCCTCTGTCGCTAGAAATTGATACTACCCGCGGAAATCGATGGAGCACGTGGTCTCTGATGCCTTTAACTGCGTCGACTGCGCGGTGGTTTCTGCATGGTACTGCGATCAAAAATCGCGAGTATGTGTCGATGACAGTGAGGATGTATTTGAAACCAAGTTTGGTGACCGGCATGTCGACGAAATCGCATAGAATGTGTTCGAAGATGCGCGTTCCTTTCGGAATGCTTTGCGGTTCAGGTTGTCGAGATTGACCTCGTCCACCTTTTCGATGCTGGCAGTTGATGCAACTCCTGCTGAAGTTGACTATATCGTCGGCTTTCTCGGGCCAAGTTAGATGGATCATCGCACTTTTCATGCGCGCGGCGCCCATGTGGTTGTTGTCGTTATGATATCGACTGAGTACATCAGGGCGGAGGGCTCTGGGAACGTAGATTTTACCGTCGACGAGAAGTGCGCCAGTTTCTTCGCACCTGGTGAGTTTATTTCGGTGGCGGCGGAGCCAGCTTACTTCATCGTCTTCCTTAGCGACGGACAACTGCGGGAACTCGAAGTTGTGTTCAACTGATTCCAAAATCTTCTTGATGTTTTCATCAGCATATTGCTCGCTGCTGATTCTGGTTTTAACGCTGTCGTCCATGATCGGTTCGTTTTTGCTCACCAGAGCGACGATTGATTCCGGGCAAGTTAGATCATCGCCGTTGAGTTTGATCTTGTCGACACTTTCTGTGTCGGCCCAGGACGGGATGTAGACTTCGAATTTGCCGATATTCACGAATCTACCGGCCGGTTCTGACGGGATATCCTTCGATGTGCGGCTCACCGGTTGTTCAGGATTTCTGCTGAGGAAGTCTGCGATGGAATTGTCTTTTCCGGGGAGGTAAGTAACTATGAAGTTGAACTGGGAGACGGTGTTTAGCCATCGCGCTAATTTATCATTCCGCGGTAGTTTGCAGTCCAAAAAGGTAAGTGCTCGGTGATCGACTCGAACAACGAATTTTCGGCCGCGGAGGAATACTTTCGCATCCATAATCGCCCATACAACTGCTAAACTTTCTCGTTCAGTAGCTGAGTATCGTGTCTGAGCGTCGTTGAGCGTTTTTGAATTAACGCGGATGATTCTCCATTTCTGTCCCTCTACACATTGGGTCAGGCAGTAACCCATTGCGTATTTTGAAGCATCCGTGGTAAGTGTAAATGGAAGCGACCAGTCTGGGTGGTAAATCATCATCGGGGAGCAGAGTCGTTCCTTGATGATTTCGAGGGCTTTGTCGGCTTCGCGAGTCCAGGTAAGCTTCTTTCCGGGTTTATTCGTTTTCAGCAGATTGGAAATGGGTTTGATGATGGCAGAGAATGACATCTTTGCTACATTTTGATCTTCGCGTGCCGCGGCGTATTGTCTAAGCCAGTTCATGGCGCCCAAGAGGCTTTGGAGCCCTTTGTACGTTTTAGGAGGGGCCATTTTCCTGAATGCGTTTGCGTTTCCAGGATCAGCAATCGATCCAAGCGGGGTGATCATCCGGCCGAGCCACTTGACGCGGTCGTAGAGAGCGTGAACTTTGTTTCCAGCGACAACCCAGCCGAATTTGTTGAGACAGCCAAATATTTCGTCCACGGTTTGGTAGAAGACGTCGAAATTTTCGGCAAAGATGAGGATATCATCTATGTAGCATATGAAGTTTTCCTTGTGAGTGACGCTTTCGAGAGAGTGGGCCAGGGCACGACTGAAAATCGAGCCACTGGTCTTAAGACCGAACGGTAAGCGCGTAAACATCAGGTTTTGCGACTTCCACATGATGGAAAGCTTGTGTTGGTCGCATTCTTCGACGGGCACGTTCCAGTATCCAGCTCTAACGTCGAGCGTGAGGAGGTACTTCTGATAGGGCGGGATGATCGACTCTGTTCCGAGGTCTGGCACGCAGAAGGAGTCTTCTTCGCACAAGATCTTGTTGAGGGTTGCCTTGAAATTCATGACGAGTCTAGTAGATCCGTCGGGCTTCGCAACAGGGAGGATCGGGGTGTTAAATCCCTTATTGTTTTTGCATTTTGCGAGGACGGTGATTTTCTTTAGCCGTTCCACCTCGTTGTCCATCGGTTCGTCGTAGGCAGTCGCGGTTTTATACTGGTGTGCACTGGCAGTTCTGCCTTCGATGGTGGGGATTCTGGCCTTGTATGATGTAAATTGACCGATTGGGCGGTCTTCCATCGCAAAAACTCTTTTATGTTTCTCCATAAGTCCGCCAATTTTGACGGCTTCTGGGGCATTGTCGTTTGTACAGTTGATATCTGGGCCGAGTCGTGATTTTATTCCTTCGATGTATTTGTAGGGGTCCTCTGAGCTGCTGATCGCGTAGAACTTGTGCTGTTCCGTTTTCTCGTTAAAGGCGTCTCGGGAGGGCGCACCAATGTACGGCACGCGGGCCCATCCGGCTTTGTTTTTGAAGAATAATGTACGGTTGACGGTGTTGTACGCGATTTCTGAGCATCTCAGATTCATTGGATTTCGACCGAAGATCGCATCGAGTTGTATCATATCGTTGTTGACAACGTAGAACTTGACTCGAGGCCACAGAGTGTTTTTTCCTACTTTGATGTCGCAGGTGACTTCACCGAGGCATTGCTTATTATTGGAGCCGACGCCAGAGATTGTCTGCGTAGTTGGTTTGACGTCAAGTTGAAAGTGTTGTACGACAGATTCTCGTAGCAGGCTTCCGAAAGAGCCAGGGTCGAATAGTGAGTTGATAAATGTATCGGGGTAGGGGCTTTCTGGGAAGAAAACCGGGATGAATTGAGGGGAGCAGCTGCGCTGGACTCGCCTTGACAGGATAAGGGGACCACTTGCGTTTTCTATACCGGACGGTGGTCCTTCACCGGTGAAGTTTAGTTTTTTGACGTAGCATCGGAGTACGCAGAAGCCTCGGATGCGTCAGAGAAGTATTCATCTTCTACTTGAGTAGGGTCTCGGAGCTGGTAGCTTCCGTCCTCTTCGTCGGAGGGAATTTCTTGGTTGCAGCTTGAGTAGTGGGCGCCATACTGCTGCTGGGATTTCGATGGCTTGGAGCCGACGTGGCTTCTGCGGCTGCCATTTGATTTTTTGTCTTTATCGCCACGCTTTTTGGAATTGTTGGCGTTTTTGTCGTCTTTGTCGCCCTTATCTGCGTTTTTGTTCTTCTTTCTGCGGTCGCTGCTGCCGGGACGGCTGTTTCGAGGACTATCTCGAGGACTACCGCGGTGAGCTGCATTGAATCCGCTGTTGGAATGAACTTGCTGTCGAATTTGCTCAGCACGTGTCGCCAACTGGGCAGGGGAGGTAATTGAGGTGAGTTCGATTGAGATCGCTCTGAAGAGGGACTCGTCTTGTGTGCGCACTTCAGTCAGGATCTTCAGGAAATTTATTAATTCTAGGCAATCATCGTAAGAAGGAGCGAAAACCTTTTGCTCCTCGCTACCATTTCGTGAAAGTGAAGCTCGACGCCTCAACCACTCCTTATGAATAGTAGCGATAGAGGTGAGCGATGCTTCAAGCTCAGATTGGTATTGAGGGAAGCTGGTTTTGTAGCTCTTTCTCTTGGAGAAAAATTCTTCTAATCGTTGGAAGATGTTGGAATGGCTTCCATATGTCGCGGTTATTGCTTGTTTTAACTCGTCGCTAGTCGTGATGGTTTTACCAGCGAGTGTTCGGATGATGGAAGCGGGCAAGCACGGTTGCACGGCATTCCAAATTTCCATGAAGGAGATTGAAGGGCAAGCTCGGCTAATAGCCTTGATTTTGGTGAGGAGATTGCTGCAGTCCTCATCAGAGCGTCCGCTGAACTTCAAGCTTGTAATGTAGCTTGTCATGAGGAGGCCTCCCGAAATGCGTTTTCGTTGGACATGGGAGCGTGGACAATTTCGGGCTTGACGTCCGCGGTGGGGTTAGCCAGGTTATATTCGATCACTGCATCTTCGGCAGCTTTCAGATCGTTTTTGAGCGCTTGATAGTGCGCGTGTTGCGGATCGGATTCTTCGGGTGCGACGGTGAAGCGCTGAATCTGCGTCCGGAGAAGTTTGACTTCGCACAATTTCATTCGAAATTCTTCTGCGGTTGTAGTAGTAGTAGACATCGTAGAAGTAGACAGCAGAGAGGGTACCAGAGGTGTCGACTTTGACTCTGTGTACGGGCTCATTTTTATCTATTCTAGTAGAAGCTTTTCACGTGAGTCTCCATTGGTCCGAAAAATTTTCGTCCCCCAGAACGTATTAATATTTTGTCCCCCAGCGGGTAAATCCGTTTAAAATTGGGCATATCTAGGTATAATCGGGCAACTGTAACGTAGAATAGCTTTCACTGCCTTCAGCAGGAATATTTTTATTCCGAATCCGCGGAAAATAGGCGTGTTTGCGTGTACCGAGGGCTTATGTCAATGTTTACTAGAAAAGAATTGTTAAATTTAGATTTATTGAGAAAAATCCCTTTCCTCAAATTAATTTTGAAAAATTTCGAAAAATTTAAGCTCGTGTCGATTATTCGCGGTTATTTCGCCTTTTCGGCTTGATTCTGGGCTGTTAAGCATGAAAATAGGCATTTCTAGCTTAGTTGGGGATTACCGGGTCGTGATTGGCTAATTTGGAAATACTGGTCGCTGATTGGACGAGAGGGAAATTCACGTGCGGCTAGGGGTCCTAATCGCCTGAGTATTTCGCCAGTGTTCGCTAACCGCATAACACTACTAGCTAGCTCGCACGTGGGGGCAGTGTCTTTCAGGCGTTCTGATTGGTTGGACTGGGGCCGCGGGTGTAATTTCATTTTTTGGAAAAAAAATTTCGTTCTGGATGGACTTACCTTTGGAGAGCTCACGTGGTGCGTTTCCTATGGGCTGAACTTCCGGTACTAGGTTACTGTGAGTTAAGAGTAGATTAAGGGTAGGGTCAGTCGAGGAAACTTCCAAATCCGGAGATTTGAAAATGACCAGGTATCTGACACCATTTGTTAGTGTCCGCATAACCGGGGAGCTAGAATATTGTGCCGTTACCGGGTAGAGCTACTCGCCCTTTGCCGAGGAATATAAAACTAGCATCACTAACATTAATGACCGTCCCTAAAACCGGTCTCTTTTTACTCAATAATAACATAGTAGGGTTCTAGCCCGAGTCTCTATTTTATTATGCACAGCTTCTGTAGTAGGTCTCTAAGTGCAGTGGCATTTCGCCGATAAAAATGCAGGGAGCTCCGCTTCTTGCGAAGGTGCGTGGATGAGTGAAGAAATCGGCGTCGCTGGCAGTGGGTATCTTGAGAGCGTAGGCGGGCGGGGGCCAATCCGCGGTCAAGGAAGATTCACGCGGCAGGCTCGGTGTGAGAGAGTCGGAGGACTCGGAAATGATAGGTGGAGGACTTTCACACAGGTGGAAATCCGGACACTAATAGTAGAGAAATTATTGGCAAATTGTTATTCAAAATCGCCGTTGATTCGGGCCTAGATATCCGATATAACAATATTAGTTACGCACTAAATCTTGAAAACATCTTTTGAAATCTTATCTTTTAGACTATTATTTCTAGCAAAATGAATTTGTCGATTTTCGGACGATTTCTAATCCATTTGGTTTGAGGAACTCTGAATAGAGTGACGCCAAGGCCGGAAGCGATCTGGATACGTGAGATCCCCTTCCTTGTCAAGATCTGTTTCCGGAGTGAGCATCATAAAGTCCTTTACTAAAATGGAGATTGAGAAGAGAGAGATCACGTAAAAGGCCAGTGGTTCAAGTTTCAGGTTAGAAAAACTCTTTTACCCGGAAAGATACACAGTAAATGCTTCCTTTGAGCATCGTCGAACTAGTCAGAAGTACCAAAGAGTGTATTTTACGAGATTTTTACATTATTTGTCGATTTAATAACTTCCCGCTCAGCTGAAAGACCAACATTTAATAGCCCACCCAAGCTTGTTGATGGTTGAAATTTGATTGAGAGAATGCTCTGATTCAGAGTTCTTTGAATACGATTTTAATCGGTAAATTTTACCGGTTTTGTTTATCAATCATTTTAGGGCGGTTGAAAGGGGTTGCCGTGATTGTATTTCGAATGATGTGACCCGTATCGGCCGAGACTCGGAAGTTGGGGTCAGTTATTTGGTCGATTATAAGAGGGCGTAGTCAGCAGCTCGTTTAGGTTCGTTGATTTAGAGATTTGAGGTAGTAAGCCAGTGCGAAGTGATGAAAAACCCTGCGGGTTGTCTAACTACTCATACTCAGCAAACCCGTACTACAGACAACGTCAAATATCGAGAAATACAGATTTTAATTCAATCAAGAGATTCTTTCATCCAGAAGCCCCGCGAAGCTAAGACGGTAATTTCATTTACTCTGGTGAAAGAAAAGAGGCACTTTTGTCAAAAAAAGTTCAAGAAGAATGTCATAGCTTAGCCCCTTCATTTTTTGACAAGGAAATACGTAGGGGTTTGAACGCAAGGTGCAAAACACCGGCTTGTCTTGGCATTTACTATGGTATCCTCGCCATAAATACTAATTGTCGGTTTTATTTTTATTGCAGCTCCTCAGATTTTGTAGCGGCCGGTTCAGCTTAAACTCAACTTCAAAAGTTGAGAGAAGAGACTTGATGATTTGCAACTAAACATAGACGGTTAGAATTCCAACATTCCAAACATTCTTAATTTTTTTATTTTTTCGACCTCAAATATCTTAAAACTCGGCATGGTCCTTAGAAGGCTCTTTCAGACAATGCCCTTATGAGTCAGTTTTGGTACCATAAAAATATTCGCGTAGCGCTTCTTGCACCGCTCTATTACAAATATTGAGCCCCAAGGAATTTCTTTGCAAATTGCAATAGAAATATTTTTCGGCAAAATAACTTACTGAGCGATAATTCCTTCAAAAAAGAGACTTTCGCTACTCCCTTGAGCCTTTTTTCTGATGGACACATAGCTTGATATACGAGGCTACCTACCACAGAGTCCTTCAAAAGAGAACGAAAGAGAGAGGTACATTTTACCACCAGCTATTTGATAGAAAGCCATCTTTTTAATTTTAGGTAGGATTAAGGATGTCATAAGTGATTAATTATTCTTGAAAGATCAATAAAAAATTCTGCATTTTATTTCCGTTATTGGCATTTTGTCACAAGCGAAATGTTTTACTGACCATTATCTATGATTTTATAATGTCTTAAACTTGTGACGTCGATTTGCAATTGCAGGAATTTATAGATGTCTTCCACAGATCCTTGCATCGACAGTCCGAGACGATAGGAATGTCTTATTTTTGTCAACCATATGATCGAGTTGATAGGAGAAACTGAGAAGAGAGTTCGTATTTTGATGATTAAAGCGATTTACAGCTCAATATTAATATATTCACTAGGGTATATAAGTACGTTTTCAATAGCGATTTGTTTATGTATAAAGTATCTTAATACTTTTGAAATAAACTATGACAAAATGCATTTTATTATTATCAAGATTTTCAGAATCCTAAATTTTCCCACACATGTACCATGGTAGTAGAATCATATTCTATAATGGGCTGCAAGAAAATAAGTAAATCTCATAAATTCTCGATAAACAGAAAAACTTGGATTTGAAGTACCCTTCAGTAGTGCAAATCTTCCTCGTGGGTGCTCCCCTTGGCAAAGTTTTCAAGTATTTGCCGTGTCACCTGTCGCCACATTTTTTCAGCGTTATTATTTGCATTTTCATTTCATCTCATCATCAATTCAATTTTTATTTTTTTTCCTTTCCGATGCTTCTAGATTGACCTGCCTTGCATTTGGTAGAGAACAGAGGTTATTGAAAATGCAAACAGTTACTGCATTGTAAATTATTATCCGCGATAGTATCCCAAGGGGCCCTCTACGGAGAGGATTACGGCTTTGCTGACATTGCTCGAGCGCCGTTTTCGGGTTTTTGAAAAGACTTAGACCAGATCTTAAAATTATTTTTTGTTGAAAAAGGTAGAGACATTAATGAAATGGTTTTTCCCCAATGACGTGTATTTGATGTCCTGTCTTTTTCTGGACCTTATCGTAGACAATTCACTCACTTTTCCCTCTTTCAAGACGTATATCAGCCCGATAGTTGGCGTAATTGCAACAAATAAAGTGTAGCTCCATATTTAACCAATTTGGTTTTATTTTTAATAGATCCATTTCAGGAAACGCTACAAAAAATCGACAAAAGCGCCCAAAATTTTAATAAAAGAAGATGAAGTCAGCAGTGTTACTGACACTCCTACAAGCGGGCGTGGACTCGCATAGAAAACAGAGAAATAGCAACTGCCAGTTCGCAGTCAGGATAGAAGATGAGACGACGGCAGATGCAATAGCAGATTTGCTCAATTTGAGAAATGAAGGCATGGGCACACATCAAGGATTTAATTTGAAGGTCTTTCTATGAGGGGAATCGGCACCAGAATTTAAATTGAAGCTTCTGAAAACGTTTTGTGAATATCATTTTTATTCCATTTTGTGTCCCAAGAAATGGTCCAATACTTGAAAACTACTGGCACTTTGTCTGCCACAGTCATCAAAAGCGACTCAGGCGCCGGTCGACAAGTTCAACTTCCATCAATCAATTGGAAGATTTCAAAAAGGTATCATCCCTTTGGTTTCCTCAAAAATAGTCTTACTCTCATCTATTCAGTTGTCACTGATCGCCGACTTCAGTAGACAAAAAGTCCTGAAAAGGGTAAAACGGGATCATCGGGAAGAAGAGACTCGAAAAAGCAGTAATAAATCTTCGAGGAGAAGAAACTTTGGCCATGAACTCGCTCGACATAGGCGGAATAGAGTCTTCTTCGGTGTTCACGGGCCGAGTGACATCCTCTACGATGCGATGTGGTACATCAAGGAAGACTTCAAAAACCGCCAACACACGACAAATATTCTTCAGTACAACAAGGACAAACACCTGCGGCATATGAACGTTGAGGCAGCGTGGGACCGGGGCTACTCGGGCGCCGGAGTAGTTGTCACGATTTTGGATGATGGAATTGAAACGGATCATCCGGACCTAAAACGTAATTACGACAAAGATGCCAGTTGGGACATGAATGATGGTGATGACGATCCAATGCTGAGGTATACTCCTGGAAACACAAACCGGTACAATTATGATAAATTTACAAAATCACCAACAAAAATAGACATGGTACCAGATGCGCTGGAGAAGTCGCTGCAACCGCAGATAATGGAATTTGTGTCCCAGGAATCGCCTTCAATGCGAAGATCGGAGGTTCGATTTTGCCTTTTCATCTTTTATTCAAGAATCTAATTAGGAATTCGTATGTTGGACGGGGAGGTAACAGATGCTATCGAAGCTCGCTCGCTCAAGTACAGAAATGACTACATCGATATTTATTCGGTCAGCTGGGGCCCCGAGGATGATGGAAAAACTGTCGATGGTCCGGCTGACTTGACACGATCGGCGTTTAAAAACGGAATTAATCAGGTAATATTTTTAAACAAAACTGGATTGTTGATAAATAAGCTCAGGGAAGAAATGGAAAAGGTTCTATCTTCGTCTGGGCATCTGGTAACGGCGGAAAAGACAAGGACAATTGTAATTGCGATGGATACACTAACCTACCGTATACTATCGCTGTTTCTTCGACGACGGAGACAGAGAATATTCCTTGGTATTCTGAGCCCTGCGCTTCAACACTGACGACGACTTACAGTTCGGGGACGAACAGTGAGAAGCAAGTTATAACAACCGACATCAACAAAAGTTGTACAGAGCATCACACGGGTAAATTGACGTCAATTCACTTTAGTAATAGCTATGTAAATGATTAAGGTACTTCCGGTTCTGCCCCAATCGCAGCTGGAATAATCGCCTTGACTCTGGAAGCCAATCCGAATTTGGGATGGCGAGACGTTCAGCATATTATTGTGCAGACTTCAAAACCTCAACTTCTCACTGCTCCGGATTGGCGAACAAATGGTGTTGGCAGAGAGGTAAGAGTCGATATTTACAGTTTCGAATTGTAATTCTGCTCTTTCAAGTATTCTCACCGATATGGTTTTGGGCTGATGAACGCTGGCGCAATGGTCGAATTAGCGGAAACATGGAGAAATGTTCCTCCCCAGCGCAATTGCATCCGCCAGATTGTCATCAACTCTAAGGGTTCTTCGCTCTATCCAGAAATCACGGAAGCCGACACAAACATTCCCTTCGACCGCCCGCTAGAAATCGAATTCAACTTCGACTGTCCCGAAATTGACATGATCGAGCATGTCATGCCCGAAATTTCGCTCAAGTTCAAAATGCGCGGACTGCTCGCCATGCATCTCATTTCTCCGTCGGGAACGAATTCAACGATTCTGGGGCGAAGAGAGCACGATCAAAATCAACGAGGATTCAGTTCTTTTCAATTTCTGTCGGTCCATTTTTGGGATGAGGACCCTAATGGGACTTGGAAATTGCAAATTTTCAATACGGAACCAAGAACAAAATTCACAGGTTTTTATTCTCAGAGAAATTCTGTTCAGGCCAAGAACTTAGACAAAACCTCTTGAAGACATAGAAGAGTACACAACTCACTCTATTTTAACATTCCAATTTTAGGTCAACTAAGAAAATTCTCATTTCACGTGACAGGCACCTCATCATCACAAGAAAGAGAACCAATGATCCCCCAGAATCAAGATAACGGAGAAAGAACAGTTCAACTGAGAAACTCGAAACTTGAATCTGACGATTCGCAAAACACGAAGACCAGTCAAACATCGAGGATAATGACGATGTCTTCCACTTATGCCATTTCATCATCAATAATTCTACTCATCCTAAGCTTACTGTCGCTTTTCCTGTAACAGCCTGTCAGAAAAAGTTCTATCAGAAAGTCGTGATATGAACGATTTGTATACTCCTGTAAATAACTGTACAATACATAACTTGGACGTACCTGGCTACCTCAGCAGAAAGAAAAAATAACAACACTGTAACAAATCAATTGTAAATAAATTGTCAAATAGAAAAACTTGTCTCCGCGATTAAAATCAAAACTGAGGGAAAGAGTCTGAAAAACAGGCGAAAAGTAACGGCTAGTTGCGCGATTGAAATCTTAGCCGGAGCGCGAAACCACATCACAATACGCATCACTCCGTAGTTTTGTCACTTCACCGAAAGAGCACCTATTATTCCACTTTCACGATGGCTAGCAAGTTGAAGGAGCGCCAGTTTAGCTGGCAACCGACTTTGATTGAGGACTGGGGATTGGAAGAAGCGGATGAAGCGAGACCACTAGAGACTACAGAGAGCCCAGATAAGAGCAACGAACCGAGCGGAAACGTTAGAAAGAAGAAACTCTCCAATCAATTTGCCTTTGACATGGTAAAATATTCGACTAATAAAGAAAATAAATATTCGTAAAGGACATTTCTGAAATTGCGCGACCAGCCGAAGACCCGGAGGAAATCTTCGTCTTCTATGGACCATTGGACGAGTCGGAGTTTGAAACCGGCAGGTCGCTAACTGCTTGCTCGACTCCACGACCAGCGTCAACCGACGTTGACTGGCCCCCAGCGCCTGCGAGATGGTCTGATAGTAGCAGCCCTCAAGGTAATTTTCCCTCGATTTTACCCCGTTTTCAAGATTTTTAGAGCCTACCGGCCTCTCCGCTCCACCTAATAGCTCTGTGTCGAGTTCTGAGATCAACACTGCGGACCTTTTTGCGTCGTCGCAAGAATCATCGTCGATGGAAGATGAGTCCAACTCGGCCCCCCTCTTTGGAATCAGTGACGTCTCAACGCCAGAAAGTGAGTCCAACTCTGGCCCCATCGTTGGAATTACTGAGCTCACAACGCCAGAAAGTGAACCAACTAGCGACAATGTTTTCCACCAGAGCAGCCCTGCCCAGAATCAAAAATCGCCCTCATACTTTCAGTAAATCGCGATCATCCCTTCCACTATTATCAGTTAGTTTCTTATTCCTGCCGTCACATTCTTTATTAATACACTTTCGAAATTCTCGCAACTTTGATAGTTTATTAGTACTTTGAAGATAGGAAAAACTTAGTGAACAAGGAGTGGTGTTAATGGAAGCTCGGAGATTTTTTCAATAGTAATAATGGTCATGATAAAGTCGAAAATGCAGGATATATGTACAGGAATTTTAAAGACACTATGCATGTTTTTGAAGAATTTTAAGAGCATAATCCGGATCGAAGTTTGCTCGCTGAAGTGCTTTTTGGCAGATGTTTTCGGGAAAGACTTGATATAGTCGTTGAGTCTAAATGAGTCTGTAGTTGTAGAAAAATGACGGAAGAAACCTACCTTTAATTGTTTAATTGCCTTAAGGGGGTAGAAACAGCTTTTTTCCGAAAAAGGCGATTTTTGACCGGCGCTTCAGACAAGAGAATCTTACATTTTCAAATTTTCTCTTCAGGTTTAGATAGATACATCTTAGATCTAGGAACATCTCTCTCGAAATTTGTTTTAGTCATCAAGTTTTTGAGTAAGCGGGCTCAAAAGCAGCTCAACTCTCCGAAATTCTCGATTTTCGCAAATTTTTAAACACGTATATCTCGAGTCCCTTGATAGTTAAATATATTTCATTCATGTTTTTGTGAAGCTCAACCCTTTTTCTAGGAGCATTTATAAGGAGATTTCGTGAACATAAATAAATCTCAGGTTTTCTTTTATGTAGCTGCAGTCCAAAATCGAGAAAGCTGTTTCTACCCCCTTAAGGGTGTCCATATTTGTCCGTTCTAGGGCTTGTTTGATAGCAGCTTCGCTGGTAAATGGGCACTTTGCTGCAACACTGTCGATTTTCAGCCTCATCGCTTTTTGCTCAGTGATTGATTCTCGCTTTCGTCCTCTAGCAAAGATATCCCTTTCTTCCTCCCTTTCGGGAATGCTCTTCGGTTGTGAGTTTTCTTTCACTTCGGAAGTTGCGAAGGCGGAAACTGGCTGGTATTTCTGTCTTAATGCACTAACTGCATCAGAGGCTGACATAAATGCTAGTTTCGACATGTCGTTATTGATGGATTTCTCATTTTCTTTGGCTTTTTGATTGGGAATTCCTATTGATGTCTGACGGGAGGGTGGAATTACTTGAGCTGTTTTCTGTGGGCTGATCATTGAGTTGGCTCTTTTTGGAAGCGACGATCGCTTTTCTTGGTTTTCAAGGTCGAGGCGATGAGATGGAAAAGTGTTCATGCTTGATTGAGCTTTTCTCTCCAGCGTTCTAGAATAAAATTGTAGGTGCTTGATCTAATGTAAGGAAAACTTACGCTTCTCTCGGTGAAATGATAGTTGAGTTTGTTTCTTGATTATTTTTGACAGGGAAATTTCGTGGCGGCTTTGAAGGAATGATTTTTTCTTCGGAGATTTCTTCCCTTGACTCTGTCTCTGGTGGTGGAAAGCTTGGGACTTTATCTTGCGTTGGCGAGGAGAAATCAACCCAATCACGAGTTAAATTGTCATTTCTGACATTTTGTGGATTCTTTGTTTTTACGATCTCTAACGGAAGTTTCAGTGGAGACGATTCTTCGTTGATTGTTTCTCCAGGACTCTCTTTTCGTACTTCTTCGACTGGTATTGTAACTGGCTCAGAATCAGGCTTTGTGTTCTTTTTATTGAACCAGCTAAACGCATCCTCGAGGTTTATTTCTGGCTTCATTGATTTTTCCTCGTTTCTGGGAGAATACTTTGGCGCGAAGGGATTCGTATCTGAATTCAACCAGTTTGGCTGTTTTGTGGGAGACTGAGGCTCCGGAGTTTTACTTCTTTCTGCTATTGCGGGATATGAAGGTCGTATCGGTTGAGGCGTGATCGATCGATTTTCAGTGATGGGATTGAGGGGTCGAATGGAAGGGGTCAACACTGGAAAGGACACAGGAAAGTGATTCGATGAATCAGGCTTTTGAATGGGAACTAATGCTGAATCAGCAGTTGGGAATGACAATGAGAAATCAACAGGAAAGTGGTTGCTTCCAACGATATTTTGATTACCATTCTGCAGAAACTCTGGATTGTGGTTGAAAATATCTCGTGTCATTTGCCCTCCATCGGTAATGGTCAAGTTTGATGCTCTGTTGATCAATTCTAGCTCTTTTCCAAGCGCATCCATTTCGTCACTATCTTCGTCCGTTTCTGGAGTTACTTGGTAGACTTCGTTATAGTTGCTTGCGCTTTCTCTTGAGTTGGTTTCTGTGAGGTTTTGCGATGAATAAACCTCATTGTAGTAATTTTGATTTTGCGCCATTCTGCTGCCACTTCTCGTTACGTCGATACTCGATCCTCTATAGAAAGAGGCATCAGATTCAAAACTGTCGACCCTCTCTGAAGAGTAAATTCGAGGTTGCTTGTTTTCATCGTCAGACGAAGATTCGAATGAATCGTAGGTCCTGGTGATTTCAGGCTGAGGAGCTACTTTATTGCTTGATGCTCTGATTTGCCTTCCTATTTCTCTATGCATATCCTGGAATGATTTCGGTGGCGCTTTCGGAGTTGGTTGTTCTTTATAAACAGGTCTTTCCGCTAGCTCCTCGGAGAGAGAGCCGAGAAGATCCATCCCCTGCGCCGTAGGATTCACTTGATTTTGATTCGGCTCGGGTTGTTTTACCGAAACTGGGCCACTAACGGGCCTTGGTGGTGGCCGCCGTTTGGAGACAGTTTTCTTTGGAACAATCGGATTCTCCAATATGCTCGGGTCAATTTGATCCGCTTTGCCCCACGATGTTCCTCCCTTTCCATCTCCGTGAGCTGCATGGATGAAACTGTCCGGGACTGGCGCTGAAATGTCGCTTTTGCTGACTCGCGCTCGCCCCAAGGATCCTGCTTTGCTCCCTTTGGTCCCAACTGGTCCCAGGAGCGTCATAGAAATAGGACCGATGGCGAGGCTCGAAGAATTCTGAGCAAGAGCGATTCCTTCGCGAGTCTTGATAATGTGAACAGTATCACCAGCGTTGACCTTCAATCGATTAGGATCGCTGCATTGAGCGTTTACTTCTGCTTCTTTTGGCATTAGCTCGCTCAGAATCTTGTAAAGATCGCTGAAACTAGGCCGTAGTCGCGCATCGCTCAACCAGCATTTCTGAGCAACCACCCAAAAATCACTAGTGATTTTTCCTGGCTCGGCGAGTCGCTCGCCAATTTTCAGTTTTCGGACAATTTCGACCGCCTTTACGCCAGACCAAGGGGAGAGACCGTAGTTGAACATTTCCCATACAGTCACTCCAAAGGACCAGACATCGGATTTCTCCGAAAACGTTCTCTTCGTCAGCGATTCAAGGGAGCTCCAAGCGATTGGGATTTTGCGATCTTCCGACATAAGATATTCCCCGTTTTCATTCACTCTTCTCATTAATCCAAAATCGCCGACCTTGACTTCATTTTGGTTGTAAATCAAAATGTTGCGCAACGCAAGATCGCGATGGACAAACTTCTTTGAGGCCAAATAATCCATGCCTTTTGCAATTTGAACGGAAAACTCACACAATCGGAGGACGCTGAAATCACGCTGCTTTCTCAGTCGGGTTTGGAGAGATCCTCCTGGCGCGAGTTTCATCACCATCTTCAGCGGTTGGGAAAGGACGATTCCGTAAAGAGGGAGGAGATAACGATGGTCCAGCTCCGCCATGACACTGATTTCTTCGAAAAAGTCGTAAATTGCGTTCTTGTCCGCTTCATCGCCGAGCTAATCGAAAAATAATTAAATTCTTCTTGACGATTCACCAAAGATAGGAATTCAAGGAATTCGGAAAAGTACCTTGAGCGTTTTAATAGCGACATCGATTTTGCCGCCTGGGGAAGTCCATACGCCCTCGACGACGATTCCAAAAGTTCCATCTCCGAGTTTCTTTCCTTCCGCTAAGGAGGATGGGTTAATCAAGGCGCCTCTCTGGTCGATGGTTTTAACAGAGTTGCTGTGGTAATTCAGTGTTGGTAGATTCTTTCCATACTGAAAAATGACATTTAAAACAATAATTTCAGCTGGCTTCTAGTGGGACCTGTTTCAGATGTTTCTTATTCCGTTTCTTTTCTTTTTTCACCGCTGCAAGAAGCCGTCTTTGAGCAGGTTCAGATAATCCAATCGAGCTCAAGAAATTTGGAGTTACATGGTCGAAATGTTCCGGAAGAGTGATATCCGCATCCTGAATGAGTTTTTTAGTTTTTTATTGATTCTTTTGAAAAGCCAATTTTACCTTGAACTTGAGAAAGTAGTTTTCCAAGCGGACAGAGACCAATAAGTCACGCAGCCAAATACTATCCGTCATTCTTCTCTTTTTGCACTACTCATAACTTAGACTCCTAGTTTTAGAAAAAAGGTGTTGTTGCTTTCGCCCGATTTATTGTCTCTCCAAATATATGACCTTTCGCGTCATCTCTCGCTTTTCTGAAAAGAACAGCAACAATTAGCTCAATTATTTTTAATGAAGCCGTTGAAGGCCTCGATTAAAAAAGTACTCGTCAAAAAGTGACAAATCTGATGGATAGTGAGTCGTTTATGAATTCATGCCAGGAAGATTGAGTGTCTTTATTTTGAATGAGTAATTAGTTTATTGAAAGTTAAACAAGAAATCGAAAGGAATTTTCAATACTGGAACTTCGAAAAACATCAGTTTTACTTTTGGAACGGCTGTTTTACAGTGTTATTGAACAGTTAGTTGACTTAGAAACAGGTAGACTGAGTTGGAAAAAGGACTTCGGATTTCTTCTTCTTCGTTTTTAGCAAGAAGGAATGTTGTAGTGACCTTCGCTAGAAAGAAGTCGATGAGTTCGCAAGTGTTTCTCAGTGGTGCAAGCTGCAGGTGGAGTAGCTGGGACGCAAATTCCTTGCCAAGTGCCGTAGTCTTTAGTTCCAGTGCATTCGTCGAGGTATGGAAGGTCCAGATAGCCAGGAGCGTGAGATCCTCGGCTTTGGCCGATAAGCATAGGAGAGGCCTAAAAATTAATTCGATAAAACATTCAAAGGCGAAGAATCTTAATTTTTCTACAAAAATCAACTTAGACTTTGATTTTACCTGAAGAAGACCAACAAGGGCAGCAAAGATCTTCATTCTTTCTATCTCTATATTTTCTGAATTCTGAACCCGTCGTGTTTCTTGACTTCTCAAAGGCGCTAAAAGATCACAAGACCCTCTTCAATCAATGATTCATCCGATTTCAATCGCCGCTGGCTACTTTCAGGCGCCTACGTCATCTTCCCACACGGCGCGTCATTTGTGAAAAACGCCCACGCCAGTTTTTCTTCAAGGCGCATTTTTTTCCTTTTTTTGAACGAGATTTTTCGATGAGAAAATGATAGTTTATCGAGTGATGAAATTGTTGTGTTTTCTTTTCGTAAATCTGGCGAGAGCAAAGGATGAGTTCTTCTCTTCTTTCGCTCACATGGAGAAATTAATGGAAGAAGAGGAGATTTTAATCGAAGAAATTTCAGGTAAAATGAGACTTCAAATGTATTTTTTATTCAACAAAAAAGATTTGAAAGTCAAAATAGGATTCTTACTCTTCAATTTTCGCTTTTAGATTATCTTTCTTCGGAAATCCATCGACTGGACAAGCTCAAAACTGTGATTTCGACAATACAATCAGAACGCGGGTCATCCTCCTACCAAGACCACCTTTCCCATCCAGTCAATCAATATCGCCTGATCCGTCGTTTCACGAAAGAATGGGTAGATATCAACCGCCTCCTGGAGAACCCCGAAAATCCTCCCGAGTTCGAAGAATTGCTGCTCAACCACGACGAAATCACTGGGGCTGCTCAAGCGTTGTCCCGCCTTTCCGACGTCTACCAAATCGAACCAATTCATTTTGCGACGGGGAATGCCACCAGAAACGCTCCGCAGCTCTCGTTCGAAGATAGTTTCAAAATTGGTAACGCGCTTTACAACAAACAGGAGTACTATCACTGTACAAAGTGGATGCGAGCAGCGAGAGCGCTTATCCCCCAGCCGGACAATACTGTTTTCCCGAAATACAGTGACTTACTCGACTACGAAGCCTTCTGCTCCTCGCATAGTGGAAACACGCCGCGCGCGCTGGCCCTGACGGAAGAAATTTTAAAACGAAACGATCACAGCGAGCCAGAACGAATCGAAAGCAACTGGCGATATTACCAGAGCAAAATTTCAGACTTTGACAGCTTTCCAAACGATTATCTCGAGCGACCCAGCCATTATAACCCAGAAGAAAGACAAAGATACGAAGAACTTTGCCAGTTGGGCTATGATAACGAAAACATCCTCCGAGACAACAACGATGATGAACTTTCATGTTACTTTTTCAAAGGTCATGAAAATGACTTCTTCTCTCGATTGGGGCCATGGAAAGTGGAGGAAATCGCCAAGAAGCCTTATGTTGTTCGTTTCTATGAAATTCTTTACGAAGATGAAATTGATGCCCTCGAACGGTAAATTATCTCCTTTTTACACTTCGTTTCAACCTCGATTTCAAACACTGAAAATTCAGTCTTGGAGAAGAAAAACTCGCGCGAGCGACTGTATTCGATCCAGCAACACATAAACTCGTCAATGCCGACTACCGTGTTTCGAAATCAGCTTGGCTCAAAGACGAAGACTCCAAGATCGTCGCCACTTATAATCGACGTATTTCGCGACTGACAGGGCTCGATTTGGAGTACGCCGAGCAGCTGCAAATGTCAAACTACGGTATTGGCGGACAATACGAGCCGCATTTTGACTATTCTCGACGAGAATGGGACATTTACAACAACCGGCGAATCGCTACTTGGGTATGTTTTTCTTGATTGAAAACAACAATCGCTAACTGAAATTTAGCTTTCATATTTGACGACAGTCGAACAAGGCGGAGGAACAGTCTTCACAGAGCTCGGTCTCCATATTCGATCGATCAAGGGCTCGGCGGTTTTCTGGTACAATTTATTGCCAAATGGCTCTGGCGATGAAAGAACCCGGCACGCCGCTTGTCCCGTTTTAAGGTACACTCAGGGTTTTACGAGCAGATTAAACAATGATTTAACAGGGGCAACAAGTGGGTCTCGAATAAATGGATCCATGAATTCGGCAACGAATGGAATCGACGATGCCGCCTCGACGAGGAAGCTGACAATCTTTTCCTATAAAAAGACCAAGTTTTAGAATATTTAAATCGCAATCTTTGAAACCCTTATTGACCTATCTTCCAAACCAAGCAACTTACAATCTGTTACACATGTCTACTTTCCCTCTACTGACTTACACAACTTGATATCTTGCCTTATCTTTGCTTCAACAACATAATTTCTTCAAGCCATATTAGTCCCAATCCTTCATTTTCTACTTTTAGACAGAGAAATCCGTAAATTCTTCCCGAACTCATCGATAAAACTCGGTAGGTAAAATTGCATGCACCCTCCTCATGTCATGAACATCACTGTTAGTTATCAATTTGTGTTGTCGTTTGTTCGACCATTCTTCTTTTAACAGTTAATTTTCATAGCGAAAAAGAGAGAGAGAGTCCTCGTGAGTCCCCAGAAGCTATGAAAAACAGTGAGAAAACAGAAACCAGAACTAGAAAAATAAGAAATAGAAAAAGCCGCCGAAGAAGCGCAGAAATCGCAAAGTCATCTTTTGAGAATACAGAAAACATGAATTTTTGATTGACTGAGTGAGAAACCCAGAAAATGAAGAAAGCTAAAGAAACTAGAAACATGAAAATTGAAAGAGTGAGGTCCGGAAGACGAAAAAGAAAAATACTTTTTACATGGCCATTTTGCACAATTACGTTTAAGAAGATAAAGATTTAGGAATAAATCAAGCAGCAAGAATCATGGGTGGCTCCAGAGAACGTTCGCTAAGCCACGATTCCGACAGCAGGTAAAACTTCGTAGTCAATTATTTTCCTTACTAAAATCATAGAAGACGTTCCCGCTCGTACTCGCGAGGTCGCAGAAGCAGATCTCGATCGGGGCGACGAAGCCGATCCCCTGATCGACGAAGAAGATCTCGAAGTGACTCCCGGGGATCGCACCGCGGATCTCGACGAAGCCGATCTGCTTCTCCATCCAAGTACCGAAAGCAGCGACACTTTGGCGATCGAAACGATCCCAACAAATCTCGATGCTTAGGTAAACTCCCACTACCATACTTTTTCTCATCATTTTCAAAGGTGTTTTCAACCTTGGCCGAAGAACAACTGAAGACGAGTTCCGACGAACCTTCGAGCGATATGGAAAACTCGAGGTAAAAGTTCTTTTTTCAATGTCATTCCTCCTTTTTCTAGAGTTGCAAACTCGTTTACGACCAGAAGCGAGAAGAATCCCGAGGCTTCGGCTTCGTCACTTTCGAAAATATTGAAGACGCGATCTACGCCAAGAAAGATGCCACAGGCATGGACATCAGCGGTCATGAGTACGAGTCTTTCTTTCACTTTCCCTTCTTAACTTCGTTTAGAATCCGAATCGATTACAGTATCACCAAGCGAGCTCACAGCCCTACTCCTGGTTGCTACATGGGATCGAAGGGTGGCAGAGGCGATCGACGAGGTAAATAACGCCTTCTTTTTTTTCGTTACTCATTCTTTATTAGGTTACCGACGATCCCGCAGCCGTGACCGCTACTCTCGCCGATCTCGCTACAGCCGAAGCCGATCTCGGGAGCGAAGACGGTCTCCCTCGCCTTACCGCCGCCGATCGCCATCCCCTTACTACTCTTCCCGACGAAGCCGATCCCGCTCTCGCTAAAACACGATTTTGTCCATTGCCCTTCTTGTTAATTCTTGATCTTTTAGGCTAATCATTATTCTGAACTCCTGTCGCATCAAACTAAATCCCAAAAACACCCTCAAGTCTCCTGTCTCGCTCAATTATTTTAACCCTGAATAGCAAGTAAACAGTAGGATCATCCTGTCAGTACTGATGTTTGAAAGTTACTTTTACTGAAGTTGGCGAGCATTAAAGCGTAGTTACAGTAATTACAGCTCTATTTTTCCTTTTACGAACTTACACAGCCATTTAAAATTTCAATAAAATTGAGTCCATGAGGATTACCGTCGGATTTTTACTGTAGAATGGATCCAGTTTCTTACAGCGGTGATGCGCAGACACGCAGAGAGCAAAAGAAAAAGTTCCTCGAACGAGCAACTCGCTCATCGTTAGAAATCATGGAGCTATCACTTTATTTGTACCTCTATTACAGAAGCATTTACGCAGAGGAGCTGTTTCGAAGCGTCCGCAGATTCAGGAAAAGGTCAGAAATCAAGGAAAAGCAGTTAAAACCCTCACTTTTTGTTGATCTTTGTAAAAGCGTGATCGTTAAAGAATGTATTTCGCCAGAAGTGCGGGACTACGTCAACCAAGCATTGAAACCTGCGGAAGAACTCATTCAAAATGGACAATTGCGGGGAGTTCACTGCGTCATTTCGACATCTGATGGGATGGAAATAGAACGGCTCTGCTTTGATCTCAAGGATCCAAAAGATCTGGAAGGGCAAACAAGCAGCTTCTTTCAGCACGCCAGATCTCGTAAGAGCCCTTTTCAAACTAAAAATAACTTCTTTAACTTAGATGAAATGGAGAAGTACTACCAAATATTTCTGAAAAAGATCCAAGGGGAGGAAGAAATCAGAAATGTCTACGCTGAAGCGAGTTATCATTTCACTCGTTTGTTGTCAACCCTTGCTTTGCTGAGAGATTTACCGGAGCAGCACAACTGGCATTTGGAATACAAAGTAAAGGGAAAAGATGATTATCTGAAGATTTCAGATGAGAGTGGCCGATCATTAGTACCAGTTGCTTCCAGGAATGGATTTGATCGCAAAAACTAGCTAAAATTAATAAAATTAGGTTCTTTTCCTTTGAAAGCCAGTCTTATCCAAGAATAGAAAACGCGAAAATGAAGCAATTAAACCGATTTCTTCAAACTTTTATGGATTTATTCAAATGGAGTCCTGTGTTTGTCTAAAACCCCTTATGTAAAACTCATTTTTCTCTTTCATTGCCAAAACAGATATTTTCATTTTCAACACCCAATACAGATTTTTGCTTTTTTATAATTTATTTTTTTTGCTTTTCAGTCGTACATTTCATTAGATGTAAGTTTTGTAACGGTTTTCTGTCTTCGTAACAGGGACGATGATTTGATTGTTGGTCTTGGGGATGATTCTTCGATCTCGCAATTTGAAAATTTCAGATCGTCTTTGGCGGCTGATTTGCTGAGCTCGCGGGATCGAAGTTGTAGAAATGTTGCGTTTCTTGATATTTTTTCGATCTCTTCTGATAGGGATATTCTTCTTTGCAAAGCGGCAAAACCTTTGCTTTGAAGGATAAGCGATTGGGATGAAGGTTCCAAAGTCGGATTTCGCGTCGAGCTCTTCTAGGGAGCTTGTTCTTGCTCTTTTTCGGGTCGTAGTAGGGAGGAAACAGCTTAGTAAGTTCAACATTTTTATTGATTTATGAGTAAGGACTGAGATTTGTCCGGTTTTATAGCTGTTCAATTTCCGGCGCCCGATAGTGGCCGCAGCTGATTCTCAGCTTTGGAACTCCGGCAGCTGTGACTGCTCGATAAAGATCTCCCCTTTGAGCAAAACGTAATTGATTTCTCGTGATCAGCATGGAACAGTAATATCCTGCCAAGATCTGATAAATCAATCAAGAAGGAAAATGAAATGTGTGGTACAAACGCTAGAAAATTACTTCCTTTGAGGAATGTCTTGGGAATCGAGCGGGATAACCCTTGATGAAATTGACGAAAATTTCCTTTTAGACGGTAAAAAGAATGTCTCGATCGGAATCACATGCACAGAATATTGACTTCGTCAGCAACAAGTGGGAAGCGGTCAATAATCATGTCATGGGCATCAGGTACAGAAGTCCTCCTCGATCCTGGGAGATATTTCTTTTTCAGACAAATCAAGACGCGGTTCGCTGGGAAACCCTACCGAGCAGTGTTCTACGATCCAAGAGAAGACAACGAAAACATCAGCAAAGGTAGAAAACGCCATTTTCAAGCCCAAATAATGCGGGTTTTAGACTTTGTCCCATTCGATATTTCAAAACTGACGATGAAATCAGATTCGTCCTGACTATAACCGTCAAAAAGATCTTTCGTTTTTTCTTTGTAATTTTTGCTCCTACTGTCGACTGCCCTCCCTCGTAGATGTTGAAACAACCGGCAAATGCTCCCAGAATATCGAATTTCTGAATGTTCTATTTTCTTACTTTACTCCCTTTACCATCCATTATTTCAAATTTTTCCTGCTCGTAACTTTCTGTAGCCCCGTTTTACAGATTTTCTTCGACTTTTTTTCATTTTTTTTTCTTTGAATAGACATGTCACTGCGATAAATAAAACTAAAATTCTTTAAAGAAATGAACGAAATCGCATAAATGCGATATTCAATCGTTTTTTCGTCGAATCAGAATGTTGAGCAGCAATATTTTTTGTTTTGAAAAGTAGTCTAAGTTCCAAAATAGCGGTCTCCGAAATTTCCGAAGCCAGGAATGATTCGTCCGCTTTCAGCGTCGTATTCTGGGTCGAGGGTAGCAGTGATGATTTTTACTTTAGGGAAGGCGTAGCTTATCGCTTGTGCACCACAGTTGGCCATAAGCAACGATACTAATAAAATATTTTCTTCTTGAAAGTCGTGATCTAGCAAAACTCTGAAAACCCGATCTTTTATTGAGTCCTACTTGATTATTCCGTGACCAAATTATTGAAATTATCGAAATGAGAGCGGTTCCTGATTGCCATCATAGCAGCATGACCAGTACTGATCGTTGCATCCATTAAAATGACAAAGTTTTTCCGCGAGCTTTGCGGAACTCGGCAGTAGTGGAGACAGGGCGAGCCGAACTCGTCATTTTGAATTAGAATCTTTCCTATTCTGATGTCTTTTGTCACCTAAAGTGATGTTAAAAAAGTTTTCTTTCATTCAGATGCAAATGGTAGCTATCTTGAAATGATACCTTCATAAGAGCTTTTTCCATGGTTTCTCCAGCTCTAAGAATTGAAATGCCACAAAGGCCCTTTGTAAGTTTTCTAAGCCTTTCTTGAATCGATTAACATCTAAGCTGGTATTTTTCAAAACTTTCCTGACCGGCGAATCTTTTTCCTTGATAGGGAATCTTCTCCGTACTATCCCTCGGTTCGAGAGTTATTTCAACTTCCCTATGTGGCAGAAAATTAAGCGCATACTCGAATGTCAATCGCATAAGCCGCTCTGCGTAGAAAATAAAATCATCCCTCGTCGTTTCTTCGTTTCTCAACAATGTTTGGATTGCTATGATTTGATTGTTGACGGGCAAAACGTATAGGTTGGAAGGCTTGTGGGCGCTTGTCATGCTCACGAGCTCATCGTAACTAGTTTTGATGTGTCTGGCTTCTAGTTGGCGTTTTATATGCTGAAAGTAGTTTTTGAGAAGTTTTTATATGATTGAGTCGCGAGTTCTGGGAATACCTGAATAATGAGATTGATGGCGATTTTATTTTCCCGTCCTCGAGGGATAACTACGTCAGCGTTAAGTATCGTTGGGCCAATATACTTGTCAAAGCCTGTATAAAAGAAGTAATATTGATAATGAAACAAAGCACTAGCCTGGCTTGACAAATTTATCATATTGATGAAGAACATCTGGCAATTGTCGGCCACGTTCAGTTAAATCGCGCATCAATCTTCTAGCGAGTCGAATGTCCGAATCTGTATTGACGAAAACTTTCAGGTCGAGTAACTCCAGGACTTTACTGTTGTGCAATGTGAAAATGCCATCAATGAGGACAACACTGGCACTTAGCGAAGGATTTATAATAAAGACTAAACCCGGCTCAGCTCTTTAGCATTATGAATCCCAAGCCGTAAACCGTTTGAGTTTTGGATTCGATCCGGCGGTGTTCGATGAAAGAGTAATGAGGCACTTTTGTGGCTTTGCCCTGTTTTAATCTGTTGATTGTTTCTAGGAACAAATCCCAATCAATTGCATCGGGGCAATCGAAGTTGTAATCACCGATTGCTGCAGCAGCTTTTCTTTGGTTTACAAAATGAGACTTTCTGTTTGGCAGTCGAGCATTTTAGTCGATATTTTTTGAATCTCACTAAAATGAACTTTTTAAGTGAAAACCGGCCTTTGTCCACTTCGGTAACGACACCCTTGAAGAAATTATCCATTGAGAGGAGGACAACATACGGGATATTGATTCCCTCTTTAATAGGGTCGATTAGCAACGGACTTAATGTCCGACGAGTTGAAAATTACCGCAGCTTGCGGTCCGCTGGGATAGCACCTTCTCTCAAAGAACTATCGACCGTGCCTATTATCTGACGGCTAACAGAAGTCTTTCCAGAAGCAGATCCTCCAGCAACACCAATTACATAGCAATCGCTAACTCTGGTTCCAACAATTTTTTTGTGATTCTACATCGCTTCCTGTCGATAACGACCTACTCCAAGCATAGGTATAATGCGCTCTGATTGATTTAGCTTTAAATTAAAGCCTTTAATGCTTGTTTTATGAACCAATAAGAGCGCTTTGAGAGAGAAGTCGTTATCGTAGGACCGCTCTGTAGTATTTTCATGTTTGCAACCAATCTTGATTCTCCATCAATATTGAACCACAGTGGCTTCCCTTTTGTATAGAGCTCCCTTCTTTGCGAGTTAGACGAGATAATCGGCGGGATAGAATTCTGAACCAAGCTTTTTCTCCGAACAATGTTCGTTTTCATCATCATTTCAGCTTGAAAAGCGCTCATTTTTTACTCTTTTGTTACTAATAATCACGTATTCTTTGAACGGAAATCTTGAATCGTCATCAAAACATGAAATTTGTCTACCGTAAAAAAAGATAAATAAAATGAACCTTGCCTTGATTCAATGAGCCGCTATTGGACTGGTTTGCCATTGACTCGAGGTGCTCTTCTTTTACGGAGCTCTTCCGCCGCCCGATCTGAAGCGGTTTTGACATCAGGAGCAAAAAAGAAAACTTATTCGAACCCTGATAGATCTGTTGGAAGTGAAAACAAATTCTAGGCGTATTTGAGCGCGTCCTCAGGGCAGGTGGATTCCGTAAATATCTGCCAACAGCGTCCCCCTCCTCCCTAACTTCTTTCAGATCACTTCAGAACATTTTCTATATGCTGATTGTTTGATCTCTTTTATCTGGAATCGAACATAAACCGCTCCTTTTCTATCAAATTTCGAATTAGATTTTTCTCCTAGCGTTTTTTCTCCAATAGCGTTGAGTAGATTCAGATCGATATTCTTTAGTCAAGCTCTTTTAAATTATTCGATGGCGAAATTTTCTCTTTCCGCTGTTATTTATGTAAGGGATCTTATAGGAACTTAGCCAGGATCGTTAATAACTGTGGGCATTATCAATCACTGGAGCGGGTAATCTCGATTGAGCTTGAAAATTGAGCTACTGTTCAGTTGTAAGAGCTTTTAGTTGTCATCTCAGAGATGCTTGAAGACACCTTACTACTTATGATCGTTATCAAAATTGAAGTTTTTATGATTTTTCGGCAACTTTGACCTAAAACACAGAAATATTAATGGATTTTTTTTTGCAAATCATCATCTTTGTCGAAGCATGAAATGATATTTTGTCGGCAAGTTTATATTTATGAATTGACAATTCGGGTTCATTAGAGTTAATTCAGCCGCGCTCCAAAGTAATTGCTCATTAGCAGTGACAAGGATACGCCTTGACGCCGATGGCGGTATCGACAGTGCAATGATTGACTGTTTTCTTGAGATGTGAGGGGCTGGAGACTTGTGAGTGTGGTTCAACTTGGGCTGAATTATCGCCCACGAGGGGCGAACACACTGCTGCCGGGGAGAGTTCGATGATGCGCGGCGCCCGTCAGCGACATGTGGCTGGGTGTGTGTCCTTGGGCACACTCTTACTACTCTTGCGCGAGACTTTAACTTTCCCCGCCCGGGCTATCCGCTCCAAATTGTTTCTTCCTTTTGTCATTCAGCGAAAAAGAGAGGCGTTAATTGAGCACGTGCGTGAGCGAAAAAAGGGATTAGATCACTGCCAGTGGCACCGAAAATAACGTATCTTTCATTCTTCGACGTTTAACTTGCCCTTGGAGTCGGCGCATATTCGAAAATCGGAAAAATCAAAAGCCCTGAATTTATGATCGACAGAAGCTGAAACGTCGGATCATTGATTTTTATTGACGCATTCAAGAAGAGGGTCAAATTGGCAGAAAAGCAGACAACTGAAAAATCGCAGTTAAGAAGAATTAACGCGCAAAGAGAGAGTCTGTTTTGAAAACAACGAAGATACAAGTTATCACAAAAATCATGGGAAACTGCTGCGCAAGACCCAATGGAACAAAGGTAGCAAAACACTCGTCAACTCATTCATTTCGAACTTATTATTGTCGGACTAGAAAACAATAAGACAAAAAACGACCGCATTTTGGCCATCCAACGTCATAAATTTTTGAGGAGCCATGGCCCATGGGCTAGTGTCCGCAGTAATACATAAATCAAAATCGATAAAGTGGAATGGAAATTTTAAATATTAATTCTCATCCTTTCTATTAGCGTCCGTTTATCTGGACTACTCGATCTCTATTCAATTAGCTATTGTCGAGCTTGATTTAGAATTTAAATTTTAAACACTTAATAATCGTGGCCGTTAACTGATTTTTGCCGAAAAGAAGAGGTCTGGAGATCAATTTCTAATCAGGCATCATTCTCGCAAATCCACACTTGCTAGTTCATCATTAGTTTCTGATCGATTGCTGCTATTAGTAGATGAATATATATGTATGCAGAAGTTTTGACGCAATGTGAATTTGAACCTCGTTACATTATTATTAGAAATGTAATTTATTCAGATGAGCAGTTGGCTGCCGATACGCTCCTTGAGAGAAAGAAAGTACAAATCAGAATATGCAGCGCCGAAAATTGTAATCGAGCCTCCCACTCCTTCCCCTGGTGCATCATTCACAGAAAGGAAATGGTTTTTTAAAAATTTAATCAGCAGTATCTTCACCTCAATTCTTAATTGATCAAACAGAAGTTATACCTAATTAGTTTATTTAAAATCCGTTTCGATAGCCCAAGAATGTCAGTTCAAATGGAAAATGGAACAGTAAGGAATTGATGCTTAAGAAACTCCCTAACCTTCACTGTCAATAAAACAACTGTAACTTGCTGAACTTTTACTGACGAACACCTGCTTTGTGCAAAATATTAGCAACTCATCAGAAAAAAAACTAAAAGCTACTCCTATCTGTAGCTCAGAAAAGAAAGAAATAAAACTGTTAATATTATCAGTTGTCTGATTTATTCCTTCATCAATTTTGGGCAGCGTGTGAGCAGGGCTGCACAATTGGATTGGAATCCAATTGGTTTCCAATTCCAATTGGATTGGATTGGTAAATTGGTTGGAAAAAAGGCGGGAAAATCAGGGTCTGTCCAATTGGACAGCCCTTCCAATTGGAAAATGGGGGTCCAATTGGCACCTGGTCGCCAATTGGTAAATTGGCAAAATGATTGGATCGAAGCACCTCTTTCCATGCGGAAATGCCAGATTATGCTTGAATCAGTGGCTCAAACGACCAGTTGGGCAATAATTTTCGATCTTTAAGTCAAAAGAATTGGACTGATGGTGGGATTTTCGATAGATAAGGGCTAGAAAAATAAGTTTCGAGGGACTATTGATTCAGTTAGAGGAGCAAGAGGGCAAAAATAGTTGTAAAGAATGCAAAAATTAGCGAAATTTAGGAATTTTCTTCGGCGAGGGCTTGCCAAACTGCCCGAAAGCGCCGAATTGCCCGAAAGTGCCCATATTGCCCAAATGTCCGAAATGCCCGCTCTTGCCCGGCCAAATTTTAGGGGCTTAAGCTAAAGCTCCGAATGCTCGGCCGAACGCTTTTTCCCCGAATGCCCGATGCCGATTTGCTTTAAAAATTCCCTCGTTTGTAAATTTTAAAGGATTATTTTAAATGAACTCATTAAAAAAACTGAGTTTTCCAATTAGAATCCGATTTTTTTCGCGGACCAATCGGCAATTGGAATCTTGCTTCCAATTGGCAAGAGTTTTCCAATTGGACAGTCAAATTCCAATTGGAATTGGAATTGGATTGGAATTTGGTTGGATTGGCAAAATTTGGGTTGGATTGGATTGGCAGTTGGTTGGAAAAATCCAAATTTTTTTGCCAATTGTGCAGCCCTGGTGTGAGACAATCAAATGTCTAATTTTTCATTTTCAAAGTGAGTTCCTTTCGCTAGTTCTTTAAATTCCGCCTTGGCGGCTTTCAGTTCTTTTTTCAACCTTGCTGTTTCACTCGAAACAGAAGACTTGAAGAAAACGCTGCTGAAAATCGCCTTCATCAATTTTTACTAAACTCAAGCTACTGTAAGAATTAAGTACTGTAGAAAGGATGATAGACGAGTTCCTATTTGGCTGCTGTCTATGGACGGATAATTTGCTTGACTTCAATTCTGCCTCTGCGACCTTTCAGTCCGAGTTGATATGAATTTTTCTTTTCAACAAATGAATACTCAATGACGACAGAATGACTACTGCAACAACTCTGCCTGCATCTCTCGAATGTTACGCAGTCGGGCGACCAGAATATTTTCTTTTTCGTTTTGAGCACTTAGGTGGACTTTCAATTTAATCTGCCAGATTTGCTTTTCGATTTCGGAAAAAGTTTCCATTAGACCCCCAAGTATCATACCTTTTAGAATCGTCTTTAGCTGCTCTTTTCCCATATGGAAGCCGATTTTTGAATTTCGGACTTTTTATCGGATTTTTATCGGTTTTTGTGATTTCTAATGCATTATTCAAGTCCCTATAAGTTCCAAACGATTCTAGTTTTTAATTTTTTGCTCGATAAATAAAAATATCTCGTCGAGAGGATTCTAAAAGGTGTTAAAGTACTAGATTGGGACAATCAGGTGGAAATTAAGGTGCACCCTTGGCAGATTAAATTGAAAGTCCACCTTAGCTCCATTTTTATTACTTTTCTCCTCTGAAATCAACGAAGAGATTATCATCAAACAAAGGGCAGTAAAAAGGCAGTTTACAGTACTAGTCAAATACAGTCTCAAAAGTCAGCATTGCCCTCTTTGTACTCTTTCATTTGCACAAGAAATCGTTCCTCTAGCAGTGACAGTTCTAATGAACAAAATTGATTGAAATAATTTGAAAATGAAAATTTACCAGAAAGAAGATCAGTAATCGCATTTGTGAAAGCATCTTGAGGAGTGTAATCCTTCGTGGTTTGTACCCTGATGATTACTTTGTTCTCAAGAGGATGAGGGTTTTTGTAGCCGGCGAAAAGAACCTAGCAATATTTCGGCTAATCAACGAACTAATCCAGCAAGTGCTACCTTGGGATCTCGAAGAAGCTGAGTTTTGAGAATATTCCCCAAAGTGTGATCCTCTTTGTTCAATGTGAACAGGCACGCGTCTAAATTAAAATCTCAAGGTTACAGACAGCCAAGTTTCTATTACCGGGAACATTAACTTCCTTCTTGACTTCGATCTTCTTCTCTCCATCATAAAGCATAAACGATTCGAATCGAGGAGGAGCATTCATTTTTCTTCACTTTCTTGAAAATTAAATTATTGAAGTTTGAATGGGAGATAGTTTCTTCAGCTGAATACTGCAAAAACGAAAAGATAAGATGGATAAACGAGCGAGTGTTTCTGAACACTTGGAACTTGGAATAACAGGTAGAGAAATAGAGAAATCGTTTAAAATGAAGAATGATCTTGGGAATTAGTGAAGACTGCGATTGGTAAAAATCTGCTTTGAGTGGGCTTGATCTGAACATTTTATGTTAAAAACTATTGAAAAATTTCTATTGACCTGGAAAAATGAAATATTTTCGAACTCCTGGCCATCGATGGAAACTCGCGCTGTAACTGACTTTTCCCTAGGCTTGAAGACGACGCGCGATGCAATTTCTCGACGCTCGCGGACACTCGCGTCATTATCTAATAAAGTATTCAATGATTTACAATGATGGGAAAAGTAGTTACCTTTTTTCTTCAATCCCGGGAGATTAGGACGCGTTCGCCGCCGGGAAATGAACTTCATTAATATCGATGATTTCATCGGGTGGAATTCGAGTATTTTCAGCGTCTCTTTGATGCTGTGCTTTGTCTAAAATTTGGTTAGTACAGTATGAATGCGCAAGCCAACCTGTTTTTCGTCATCAGAAAGCCAGTACTCAACAACGACGTTGAGCTTTTCAGAAGATTGTATCCCGCCGTATCCATTAGCATTTGATGTATAAGGGCTAAAACAGATGTAGTTTCGTTAATAACACTTTTTTTCTCTACCTAGAAGTCGGACTCAAGGTAAATCGACCATCATCAGACTCGGAATCGTCTTCGGTTTCAAGGACAGCAAGTTCAACACAGAAGGGAATGACTTGATGCCCATCTGATTGGACATCCGATAAAGATAGCATTGCTTCGGATACAGGAAGATGTGCAACGTGATTCGCGTCTATAATTATTTTTAAGCGAATTTTATCGGGTTTCCTACCCAGTTGAATTGACGATAACTTCTCAGAAATCCGGTTCAAGTCATTGGACTCTAACTCGCTATCAAGAAACAGTTTCTTGAAGGTCCCACATGTCTCGCCTATCTTCTTACAGAGATGGCTTTTTCCCACTTCGTCGAGAGGGATGAAAAAGAAGGAGATAAAGTTTTCGTTCATCTTTTTCGAGATTTTTTCGAAATAAAACTTGACTACGAAGTTGATATCTGGGGAGGTTCCGTGGACGCAGAACTTTAACGGGTCTTCTGGAAGATTATCGGGATCGCTTTCGAGGAGGACTTGGAGGAAAGTTTCGAGGAGAAGTTGGAGTTGATCCGGCGCGACGTCGATGATTATGAAGGAGGAATTGATTGTTGACAATTTATCGATTAAACTTTCTGTAGCTTGAGATTGGACAATAACGAGTGTTGGTTTCAAGTTTTCTACTGCTTCGCTGAGACTTTGTTTTATCTTCTTTAGTTTTTCTGGATTCTTGTCGCACGTGATTGACCCGCGCGCTCGCGATGGAGGCTTTTCGCTGGTTTCTGGGAAATCATCTTGAGTAGTTGAGCTCTCGGATTTTGTTCGTTGATTCTCTTCGATAAGCCTTGGCATGGCTGATTTATTGCTACCGCTTCTTCGGCCTGATGAATAGGCGCCAATTGAGTTTCGAGCATGGAGGGAGCATTGTGAAGCGCTGTCAAAATATGGCTGGAGACTTGAATTCAAATGAGGACCAGTTGATGGTTTTAGTTTTTACCTTGGTCTTGGGGTCGAGGCAATGCTCACACTATCGGCAAAGATTTCCTCTTCGTCCGAACTAACACCAAGATCGTCCAAATCATCGTACAACTGCAGCTCAGATAGATCCATCGTTTCGACTTGGTCCATGTCAATATCTTCTGGATTGATATGGGGGTTCTTTTTGATGACGCGTTCGAGCAGTTTGCTCAAAACAGCTGATTTGACCCTTGATGCCATGGAGAAAGAGTTTTTCATCTTTCTATCGTTCGGATTTGCTTCTTCGTCGTCGGAAGAATCCGATTGTGGGAAGTTTCCGTGGTCGTCTTCAGTTGGAATCGAAGAGACTTCTGATATCTCCAACTCGCCGATCTCATGGTGCTTTATGTCCCTCGAAATGCTGTCTGATTTGAAAAGTTTGATTGAAAAGCTTTTTGAAGGTGGAAGCTGAATAATTTCGTCCAAGTTTATTTGTCCTCGCGCGAGTGTTTTGTAACCAGGCACAGCTGCAGTTCTGTATCTCCGCTTTTTCTGCAGCGAAATATAGAGAATGTTTGAGCGGTTTTTCGTGAAATGCTGGTACTCGAAACTCATGTTCTGGGCGAACTCTTTCTCCAAAGAAGAAATGCAGATTTCATCCCTTAAATTTGAGTTCAAAATCATCAAAAGAACGTTTCGATTTTTACCCTCTTGCTTGAGGTCTTCTGCTGTTCGCCTGTAAAGTTATGAAGAAGGAGAGGCTGTCCCGCTTCTCAAGAGGCTTGGCAAGAGTGAGACGAGATATTTGAATGCAGCAGCTTCTTGGGACCGATGGGTTTGACAAAAAGTCCCCTGCGCGTTGTGCAAAAGTCCGACTCATATTCTACGATGTTGCATTTTTCTCTGAAAAGAAAACATCTATAAATTGACAAATATTCCATTTATTAGTGAGAAACAAGAATAAGCAATCAATTTTTCGGACAATTTTAATTTTAAGAGAAAGAATTAAAGAGAGAAGACGACTTTGAATCGATGATAACTGGGGCATGAAAATCTAAGAAGATCGAGACGATCGGTCAGCGAAGATGGTCAGAGTAAAGGCAGTTGAAATAATTGGAAACTAGTATCGCGATTCAAAGGAGCCATTGCCGCCGTAGGAAATTCCTGAGACACCGGTGTTGTAGCCTCCCTCAGTGTTGGCGTATCGAGACTTTGGCGGGCTGGAGCGATAGGAAGAGCGGCCGTAATCGTAGCCCTGGGAGTCGCCTTTGCCTCGAGAGTAAGGAACGATCGGAGATCGAGATCGCGTGGAACCGCCGAAGCCATACTCGTCGTCGTCTTTACTCAGAAGGGTCAGTTTTCCGTCTTTTTTTGTTCAAAAATCGTTATTTATTATTGCCTACTTTTAAGGGACCCCGCCGACCGAGCCGCGCGCGCGTGTCACGCTCTTTTTCCTTGCAACTTTTCATCAGGATCTTTTCATTCGATTTTAATGAAATTTTACATACCAACTAAACTTTTTATTCTCTTTCTCATAGACTTTTTAAAATTCTCATATCTTTCGGCTACGCCGAGTTATTGCTGAATCTTGGGCGCCCGCTTTCAAGTGTACATAAGTACTCGAAATCTTCGGATTGACACTTCGAGACTACCATCATTGAAAAGCCCGGGCTTTCTTTGACAAGGCCTACTTATTGAGATTTCCTGGAAGCGTTTACTTAACTCGGTCGGCGGGGTCCCTTAAAGTGGGTCCCAGCGTGGCCTTCCACTAGACAAGTTAAACGGTCCAATTTAGAGTAAATATTTCTGATTTTCGAACCATTCCTAATTCAGCCTGATGGAGAAGAATTTGCGATTTGATTTCAGCTCTATCTCTGATAAGACGCAAGAACTCTGGTGGAGGAGGAGGAAGATCTCGAGACTCAGCTGGGTAGGAAAGCAACTGACGCTCATAAGGATGAATGGTCTAAAGCGGTTTAAAATCGGATGGCGGTTAAACAAGTGTAATTCGATTACAACTCGCTCAGAAGAGAACGAAGAGAAATTGAACTTTGGTACCTCGAGTCTTTTTCGACGAACGATAAGCCCGTCAATATCGTTGGGACGAACGAGACGGACATTTGGCCGCTGCCCGGAGAGCTGCGAGAAATCATCGTAACAAAACCGAGGCGGGCCGGCGGGGCGAATTGGTGGGGGAGGACCGCCAAAACCACCGCCAAAATCATTAACACCGGCAAGACCCATTGGAAGATTTCCCATCATACCGGGACCCTGATTACGAGTTCAAAAATGCGCGAAGAAGGGGAACCATCGAAGCTCGAAAATCAGATGAGCTTTGAAATGGACTCAAATAGGGAAAAGGAGGGACTGTGAAACTCGATCCTGACGATCCTGACCGCCTTGATTGTGTTTGGAAAACTGGACTTTGATAGTCTTGCCGAAGAAGTACGAGTTATTGATAGCATTGATAGCACGCTGGGCATAACGCTCGTCGATTCGGATAAAAGCTAAGGAAGATTGGATTAGCAAAATGAGATTTTAGTGGATATCAAAGATTCCAAGATTTTCCGAATCTCAAGGGTTCCAAATCAAGAAGAAATGGCCTGAAATGCGAACTTCTAAGAGCGAGTTCAACATGGAATCCTATTTTTCTCGAAGAAGAGAAGACCTAAAAGGGAAGAAAAAGATGGACTGTACCGATATGCTTCGACTTGATCATTTCCGCTTCTTCAACAGATCCATACAAATCAAACTTTTTCCGCAAGATTTCAGAGTGATCCAAAGAGCAATCAGGCAAATTAGCGACGTGAAGCTTTGCCTACAAAAAACTTTAAAACCTGTCTTCAATCAACATTTTCAGTACCTTAGGAGCGCGCTTATCATAGTGCGGTTTATCCTGAAGCGTTCCATACTCAATCTTCAATTTTCTTCCATCATAATCTTGGCCATTCAAACCGACCATCGCAAGTTCTGGGGCTTTTTCATCGATGTGGACGAAAACAATATCGCGATTTTGAATCGAGTGGACTTCATGGACCTTTCCGTACTCCTCTGAAAGAAAAATTACAAATTCTTTAAAATGTGAGAAAGAACTTGCTCACCGAATATTTTCTTGACTCTGTCGACATCGGGATTCATTCCAACTCCGGCGACATGAAGCTTGACAGTTCCATTGTTGCTTCGATCACGATCGAAATTTCGATTCTCGCGGTTGTTTCCTCCTGAGTTGTTACTTCCACGGGGCTTTCCAAGCGACATTTCGACATTTAGCTGCCTTCCTGAAGGGTTTGGGAAATTATAGCCCTTCCAGGGATCCAGTAAGCTCTCACCTTTGAATTCAGCATTGTCCATCTTTTCAACAGCGAGGAGAGCTGCTTCTTCCGTGTCGAAGCCCACAAATCCATAAGAACTAGAGAGAAACATGAAAGAACCAACCCTTTTCCCATGACTTTACCCTTTCAAATCGACTTCAGCAACTTTTCCAAACTCCGAAAACTTCTCTCTGATGTCAGAATAAGAAACCTGCTGCGTGTTTCCGACGAAAATTCGAAATTGTCCTCGACGATCTCCCATTCTTTCAAAAGGGACTTCTCTTTCCGACGAAAGTGAATTCGCGTGAGTCTGGAAAAAAGCGAAAGTTTTTTTACAAGCGGAGCTGATTGGAGGAAAAACGCGCGCTCTTTCTCGAGATGATCTGAATTATGAGGATCGATCAGAAATCTGCTTTTTTCGAAGAGGAAGATTTGGGGAGGCTAAAAATGACATTTATTCCAATAAATTTGAACTTTCTTTCAGAAACGGTTACTAATTTGCAGTGGCAGGGGAAAAGGGCTCTAGTTTTAGTCGGTGGTATCGTCGTCAGTCTCCTCGTCTGTGTCGTCGACCTCGGATTGAGTTACAGGCATCTCGGCGTTGAAGAATTTGTACTTGGCACTCTTCTTTCGGTTGTTTGGTTTCCAGGGAACGTAGCCGAGCTTCTGGCAGATCGCCTTTCGCTCTCGCCACCCCGAATCTGGACCCTCGTGGACGTTTGGATATGGGGAGATCATCTTGTCCTGAAGTGCCTTCTTGATATTCTCCTTCTTCACGTTAACCAAGTTTTCTTAAAAAATAAAGTAAATGCATGTAATCAAATAAGGAGGGCGCTTTGAATCTTACCCTGTTTCTCAGCCGACCAGCGGAGCCCATCGTTGTAGGCCACAGTCCATTTGACCCAGATTCGGTGCTCCTCGTCTTGAAAAAATATTTTTGGCTCAGTTTTAGTGTGATTTTTACCTGGCTTCAAGTAGTACTGGGCTTTCATTACTCCGTCATCGTTGCGAACTTTTCGCTTTCCCCAGGACAGGCTCAACCCGCCGAGTTGCTAAATAAATAAATCAATTTTAAATTTGATATTTTTTAAATAAAATTACCTCGAGTTCCCACTCGGCTGATTCATCAAACTCCTGCGCCGCCTTCTGAACATCTTGATCATCTTCCGACTCTTCGTCGATTGACTCTCTTTCACGCTCCTCCTCGGCGTCTTTCGAAGCTCTTGAAAGTCGTCGTTTTTTGTTGAGACTTTCGCGCTTAGTCACGGCCCCGCGAAGAATCTTCGACACCTTGTTCTTCTGGTGCGTGCTCTTTTTCGCCTTGTTCTTCATTTTTTCAAAATTTAAAAGCGAGAGCGAATATTTTGAAAATGAAGAATTGTCCGCAGATCACTGGATCGAAGAAAACAAATGGCCAATTAGAATCAAGAAAGTATATGCGTGGTTTGACTTCAAATCTAGAAAGGCATATTCTCGGCGGTGACTCTCCAACGCTGTTGTGTTGGAGAATTTGAAATCAGCAAAAATCTGAAATAAATTTTTGACTCATTTCTATGTCAAAATTTTGCATCATCTCAGAATTTTGCAACAACCGAGTCATTTTTTTCCATATTGCTGAGATCTCAAAATCTCAAATCCCAAAATTTGGGAACCGCGCAGGGGCCGGAGATAAACTTCGCGCGCTTAGAGCAAGACTCGTGATTGGTTCAGATAGGTCCGAAATGCTTGAGATTTCAGAATCTCAAATGTCATTTAATTGCAATGCGCGTATCCAACTTACGCCGTTTTTGAGAAAATTAAGATCCAAGCATTTCAATTACAAAGTTAACTCAAAAATTGGCCACCCAAAATTTGGCCGCTTTTTGTCTAAATTCGCTATTTTTGGAACCTGAAATCAACCCAAAAATTAGCCGCTTTTTCAAAAATAAGTAATTTTCCATCATCATTGGGCCCAAATGATGCCATTGTGATCATTTTTTGATTTTTAAAAGTGTTTAAATCATTAAAATGACTAAATTCTAATAAGAATGTCTTCAAACAAGCAAAAATTTGAATGAAATTCATCAAAAATGTGAAAATCATGCCGATTTTTGAAAATTTCGAAAATTTTTTAAAAATTGAAAATTGAGATTTCAGACAGAAAATTTGCTGAGATCTCATTTTTGACATGGTTTGAGATTGCTGATTCATATTTTTTGGGTGTCTGCTCCCGAGAATGCGAGAGGTCGTCATTTGCCCAAGTCGTCATCTGCCCAAGTCGTCATCTGCCCAACTTGGGCAAATGACGATCTTGGGTGAAAGACGATCTGTAATTTAATTATTATTTAAAAAAAGCTTTTCTGTGTTTCACAGGAACGGACTCATCACTGTCCAATTCCGGAAGTCCGGTCCATATATTTTAATAGCAAAGACTTACTCAGTTGGGCCTCGATTTTCTAAAAAATATCCTGAAATTCAGAGTATCATACTCTTCCATACTTGGAACTAGCTTCCGGAGGAGATTCATAACTTCTCTCTACTTTTCAAAAGTTATTACTCAAGATCAAATGTGAACCAAGACTCGGCCCGAGTACCCTCGGTTCCACTGGGACTGTTCCACTTCGACATTTTAATTCAATTAATTCAAACAAAATTTCATTCAAAGTTCAGACTAAACACAAAACCGACTTTAGCACCTTTTTCCGGCGCCAAGCGTCAGCAAGGCGTATAGGTACGCGCAGTTTATTAGAATAGGCTATTGTTGGCGAAAACTCATTACATCTTGCTTTACGAAACGATGCTAATGTCCCAGATGAAATTGTTTTCTCAACAAAAACTGTCGAATTCGAAATGATAAGAGGCCACCTTCCTGCGAGCAGTCTTCTTGCAAGTAGTCAGTTAAACTTTTATCTTGCTGCATTTTTCTTAAATTTTGAATTCAATTGCATAGTCATTCACGCAGGTCGTCATTTGCCCAAGTTGGGCAGATGACGATCTTGGGCAGATGGTTGGTAACTGAGCGTGAGCAAGCGGAGCTGCCTCTCAAGCTCCGCTCGTTCCGAGAGACACCCTCCGCTCAGCGGGTATCCACTCATGTAAGCTCACTGGAAATCTTTCACCTCACTTTCGGGTGATGGTGAAAGAATGAACTTGGAACTTTGATTCAACTTCAAATAATTTAGATTTTATTTTGGAAATATCTTTGCCAAATTGAGACAGAAATAAATAACGCCTCCACTGAAGAGAGCGACAGTAACGACAATGATGAGCAGATCCTCTGTCGGCATTTGAATCTGAAAATCGGATTGTTATTCAACTCTCAAATCTAACCCTGTATCTCCTTTCATCGCTTTTGAATATATGCCGCAATTCTAAATCGACCTTTTTGAAATTTTTCCAACAAGTTTTTATCATAAACTTCGAAATAAACGAAATTCGCTGGGATTAGTTTTTATTGTAAACATTCTGTTTCATTGAACGGCTAAAGCGTTAATTTGTTGACGAGCGAAACCGTTTCAACTTTTTCTTTCTAGCGCTAATTGATGGTAACTTGATTAATTTTTACGCTGCGACGATTTTCGTCAACCATCAACAAAAAAGATAACGAGCTCTAAAAGTGAACTTACCTCTGTGATGGATTGACTGCCGCTATCAAAAGCGATGGTGCTCAAACCGAGTCCTCTGAGAAACACTCCTCCTTGTCCCTGCTCTTCCATCTTCTCTGCAGAATCTACAAGTATCCCTATCATCTCTAAAAAGATATTCTTTTCCTACTTGATCTGGTCAGTTCAATAGCCCATTCAGCGTAGCGACGATTTCTGATCGAGCTGGGTAAGTACATAGAAAAATAGACGGCCGGCGCAGTGTTGGAAAAAAGGTTGAAAGATAGAACAAACAGCTAGAGTTAGGTACTGATTCGATCTGAAACGAGACGATCAAGTACAGGGGGAGTGGAACTCAAACAAATGATGATCGAAATCAAGTGATCTAAGCGTCTTCTCAGACCTATTTGAACCCTTTCCAGTCATGTCGAAATGACACGTTCTAGGGAAATGATTGAATATCCGCAGGTTCTTGGTTTATTGCCAATGAATACGGGAATCTCATTCTAGTTCTTGTGTTATGCGGCATAACTTATGCCTTACAAAAATTTCCTTCGTATATGTATTGATATGACATAAGCAGCAGCGCAAGCTTCGTAAGAATTATTCCTCAGTATGAGTTAAAACTAAATATTTCTCCCCTCATATTTTTGTTAAAAACTGACGGAGCATCTCCGTTCAACTCAACACAAGAAAGTACTCGCGCGCGCCCTCTGAGCGATCCTAATATAAAACCTTTCCGTTATCTTTTTAAGATCCTTTATTCCAAAATAAAAAGAGAAATGAAGATATTCTCACTTTTAATCGGAGGAATAATTTCACAAAGAGTCGACGAAAATGCGTCCGAGCTCTTCAAAAAGCTCAAAAAGAGAATCGAATTGATGGAGGAGCCTGGATCTGCGATAATATCTACCAGCCGAATAGTAGTTACAGTTGTACGGGAACATGTGATGACGGGAGTGAGCTGAACGCGAGGATTGCTGTTGAATGCCCTAGAAACATTTGGCAAAATCCAGTGATTGAGAAAAATTTCCTGTTCACGCCTTCCTGTAGTTCGTTGGCAAGATCATCGAGAACTTCAACGAAATGCAGCGACTTCATAGACATAGCCGTCGAAGGCGGATTCATCAAAAAGACTGGAGACTGGAAAGGAAAAGTTATATTTTACAATCTGTTCTGCGGGGAAACGCTAGAAACTGCAGTGCTGAAGGAGCCGAAGCATAAATTCCAATGCAAAACGAAGCGGCCATTTCTGAAAGCATTGGACGGTGCGAATAAAAACGCCTGTGTTCCACCAAAACCAAAGGTCAAACACTGCCTGGATGAAGAAACATTGAAAGAGATTCATGACATCGGAGATGGAACCTGGTCTTGTAATGGGAGAACAAGGAGATCGACATGTACTGCAATGTGTAATCATCCCCATGCGTCCGCAAACTTGGTCGTCAAATGCATTAGAGGCAACGTTCTATCTATCTGGTCAGGGACGAAAGGCAGCAAATGCGAGTTGCCAGTCGTCGATGAAACCTTTCTACAGCCGTTGAAGGCGATGCCGGAGCTGAAAAGCTGTGATGGAACTACCCATGGAGTCGGTGAAATGCCTTGGGTAGAAGAACTGAATATCACAACGGTAAACCACTGAATTTAACATCGTTTTCAGCACAAATTTTCAGATAAACGGTGATGACGTTACCTGCCGGGCTTCTCCTATAAACACCAACTGGTTGATGACATCTGCCAGTTGCTGCCACAAGGCTGCGGAAATCAAAAGATCTACTGACGGAACGAATCACGCTGAAAAGCACATCCATTCGTTCTGGAATGACCGAACTGACGGAACGCTCAGAAATCACGACTTCTGTCTCGTAAAATACGAAACACCGCACAATATTCCTGTCCCTTGTTTGGGTAAAGAGCAGCCGCCATTAGGCGCAGCTTGCTGGGCTTTTGGAGAGAATTACGGAGCAGGAACGGGTCATGAAATTTTATAATCAATAGTGATAAGCAAGGACCTTGCTGCAAGGTGATGCTTGTACCCCATGAGTCAATGGGCCCTTCACGTTTCTGACAGCTTTCGGTTTTGTTGAATAGTGCTTTGTTTATGAAAATAACACGAGATTCATATTAACAAGGACGATGCCTGACGCCGTGCCCGTTTTTTAGAAATGGCCAACAAATAGATAAATTCTTATCGATGTTAGGTTAAATATTCACATTATGTTGTGACTAATATGATATTCAAATGAACAATTTCTGATCCAAGGTAAAAGCTGCTGTTAACTACTTGGGTACAGACTATTGTCAAGTTAAATCCGCAGTAAAGACCGAAAATGCCGAACTTTGCGTTGGAATCAGAGACGACAACCAAAACTTCATGGTTGATATTTTGCCTGCTAAGCTTGTCAGAGGAACTCCTCTTATCTGCGATATCGGTAAGATTGATTAAATCGGACGACTGGCTAATTATTTTCAAGATGGAAATGCTGTTCTTTACGGAACTGGATCCATTGTTGACGACTGCAATAGCTTAGAAAACTTCCCTGCTATCTTCACTGACTTGTCCGAAGCGAGTGACTGGATGCATACGATTTTATAAGCCTTTTATGGAAATATAGTTTTTCAATTTTATATTCTGTAAATAAAGAAAACTCGTCGCCTAATTCTTTGATTTATCTGATAAGTTGAGTTTGTTGATTTATTTATCAATAGGAAAGTTTGTTGCAAAGTTCTGAAAAATGATGAATTTTGAACTATTGTAGGAGGTTGAAGACAAATCTTTGATGTTCAAAAACAAGATGATTGGAAATTCTGCTTGTTAATTATAAATAAATAAGGACGGACTTGCTTCCAGCGAAACAAACACAGGTAAAGATGAAGCGTTTTCTTCCACAGTCACAGTACGTTCGAGCGTATTACAAGTCGAGCAACAGTCGTCGTGGGTCTTCGATCTTTTGCTTGATGCCCTTGAGGAAGGTGACGGCTTCACGGCCATCGACCAGTCTGTGGTCGTAAGTAAGGGCGACATACATCATTGGTCGAATCTAGATTTCAACATAAATGACGGCGGGGGATTAGACTTTCTCACCTCAACTTTGCCGTTGACAGCGACGGGTCTATCAAAGACACCGTGCATGCCGAGAATGCCGGACTGAGGAGGGTTGATGATGGGCGTTCCGAAGAGGGAGCCAAAGACGCCACCGTTGGAGATGGTGAAAGTGCCGCCTTCCATGTCTTCAATAGCGAGGTTTCCAGCTCTTGCGAGGCCGGAGAGTCGGGCGAGTTCTCGTTCAATCTAGGTTAAAACTCATTTTGGGAATAGATGAAGTGGACATACGTCGAGGAGAGACATGGATTCCACGTTTCGGATGACGGGGACAACAAGGCCCTTGGGAGTAGCGGCGGCGAAGGAGATGTCGGTGTAGTCGCGGAAGATTATTTCGTTGGTAGCATCGTCGATGACAGCGTTGATTGCTGGCTCCTTGACTAGGCCGACGGACGAAGCCTTGATGAAAGCGGACATGAAGCCGAGTCGAGAATCGTGCTCCTTTTCGAACAGATCCTAAGATAATTAGAAAAGTAGATTTCTTGCAGTTGTTTTTACCTTGTATTCCTTTCGCATCGCCATAATACCAGACATGTCAATTTCGTTGAAAGTAGTGAGCATAGCAGCAGTGTTCTGGGCGGACTTGAGTCGCTGAGCAATTCGAAGTCGCATTCGGTTCATCTTAACTCGTCGTTCTCCTCGGTTTCCTCCAGCAGCAGGGGCTTCGGCAGCGGGAGTGGGCTGTAAACAAAGGTTTTCTTTTTAATTTTTTGGAAGGTTACCTTAACATCGGCGGTCTTGGTGGTAGAAACAGGCGCGGTTGGGACAGCAGATGGAGTTGGGGCGGCGGTTGGGATAGGTGCAGCTACGGGAGCAGCGGCGGCGGGAGCTTCTTCTAAAGAGAAAACATAGCTGGAGAATGAAAGAAATTTTGGGTACCTTTCTTTGCTGGAGCAGCTTCTTTCTTAGGAGCTGGAGCACCTTCGCCTTCTTCCATTTCAAAAAGAGGAGTTCCGGGGGTGACAGTTTCTCCATCTTCAACGAGGAGCTATGATTTCGGATGAATTTGCGAGTTCACATTAGAATCCTACCTTGGTAACAACACCTGCAGTAGGGGCATTGATAGGCAAAGAGGTCTTATCGGTTTCGACTTCGCCAACAGTTTCATCTGGCTGCACAGAATCACCGACCTCCTTGATCCAGGAAATGTCACCTTCGGAGATTGAGTCGGCAAAAGCGGGACACTCGATGATCTTGGCGAGGAGCTCGGGAGACATGTGAAGGGAGCGGGACATGCTGACGCTGTCCAGCTGGAGCATGGCGCGCGAAACACGAGCCGAGTGGCTCATGAAACGCGGCGTCAGTTTTCGACACTGGTGCCACATTCTAAAGCGCTGCTGTTGAGATAGGAAGCAAGTAAATGAGTTTGAAGGTTAATTTACGACTAGAAGTTTGCTCCTGTGCTGGTGGAAGGGTCAAATTCTTCCTTGAGACACAAAATACAGTAGTTGACAAGATTTTCGTTAAAAGATGTGTTGCTTTCTTGAAGGAATGTGAAGAAACTAGTGTAGATTTTTGAAGATCTAGAGTTTGACTGAATCTTTGAAGGGGCTCTCAAACAATCCATTATTATTTTAATGAAGAGCAAATTCATTGATCCAGATTGAGTAACCCTTGCCTAAAATTGCACAAACAGTCTCGAGGCCAGAATCAATATGGTCCGTCATCTTTGGTGAATTTTTCTTTGGGCAGGCGTCGGAAACTTCTACCTTGGATTTTTCGTACTTGTCCGTGAGTTTTTCTTTCGCCCATTTTACTAGTTTGAAGCAGCTTTCTTTATCCTCTGTTGTCACTCCCTTTAGGCTAAAAAAGAAAAACGTTAGCTCTCAAAAAAGGGGGCTTGGTTTACCCTCTGAGCGTCTCGCAGACTGTGACTAATCCAAGGAGCGCTCTGTTTGAGCTGTTTCCTGAGAGGCGAGCAGCTTGACAGAAGTGCATTTTGGAAATGAGATAATTCTCAGCGCCGCCAATTGTGTATCGAACTTCCGCGTATCTCTGGAAAAAAGGAGCGAGTTTTAGTATTTTATTTTATTTTCATGGTACCTGGTGGTATAAATAATTCGCGGGGGAGATGAGAATGAGCTCTTCGAAGCAATAAGCAGCTTTTTCGTACTCATACTCGCTGAGGTACAGTTCTGCTAGTTCAAGCCACGCCTCATTGTCGCATTTGTACGTTTCCAAGTACGATACAAGCAACTATAGAAACGTTTTATTTCTTAAACAAGCTCGGCCGCGAAGAAGTACCTTAACGGCTTCGACAGTTTTTCCATTAGTTTTGTACATGCTGATAAGCCGTTTCGTCATCGCTGCATCGCCTGGGTTTTCCTCCAGCATCTCTCTTGAAAAATCGATTCGATTCAATGAAAAGCTCTTTGAAAAGACTCACTTGTAGAGTTCTTCCGCTTCTGCCAATTCTCCATCTGCTTCGTGGAGAACTCCAATCAGTCTGTAAACTCTCTTCGACTCCGGAAACTGCTCCTTGATTTGGCGAAGGTAGGAAAGGCCGATGTCGTTGATTCCCAAGTCGATGCAGGCGAAGAACATTTGCTCGTAGACGTCCCAGACTTCGTTGCCGAGTTTTGAGGAGTAATTGTCGCACATGTACTTTCCCAGTTTGTAGGTAACTGTTGCATTTCTATTAAAAATAATATTAATTTTATAAAATAAGGAGAATCTCCTTAGAGATATTGTTATATTAACTAATTTAGATAATAATTGATCAATTAAAATTTATATTTATCAAAATTGTCTATCAAAAATTGATAAAATTACCCATTTTATCAAAAAAATTTAATCTTTCCTACCTAGTGCCATTTTCTCTAAATTTTCTCAGCGTCTTCCTAAGTTCGCCAAAGCTCATTTCTGCAGCATCCGTACTACTGTTAATTCCTTCCATCTTCTTCAACCCTCTTTTTTGAAAGTTCGTTTCTCTTTCGACCCGTTTTCGTCGATGAAAAATTGGCGCGGCGCTTTTTTGGCCAATCAGCGCGTCAATTTCCGAGGCAAAAATTGATCACTGCGGAATTGGCAGAATCTTCAAAGAGAGAATATGGTGAACAGAAGAGCTTCGCATGCAGGATCTTGGTATTCTGGAGATCCAAGAGAATTGAAAAATCAACTGAAGAATTGGCTCGAAAAAACGAAATTTGAGGTACGTTTTCAGTCTTATTCTCCCCGATAATTCTATAACTGCCTTTTATCCACCAACATTTTTCAACCTTACGTAAACATCTTTCCTCTAGAATTCTTTCTAGAAAAAAGCCAAAGCCGTGATCGTGCCCCATGCTGGCTACGCCTATTCTGGTCCAACTGCTGCTTGGAGTTTTGCTCAAATCGACGCTCAAACGACCAAGAAAGTCTTTATCATCGGACCATCCCATCATGTTTATCTTCCGAATTGTGCACTTCCAGTTGTGAAAGAATACGAAACGCCGCTGGGAAATTTGAAGATTGACAAGGATATTTTAAATGAGCTTCAATCTACCGGTATATTCACGGTATATACAAGATATTGCCATAAATTGATGTCCCCTGATTTCAAATGACCATAATTCAAGGCTTATTCTGCACGATGGATCCTTCAACAGACGAAGACGAGCACTCAATCGAAATGCAACTGCCATACCTCGCTCATCTCTTCCAAAACCGCCTTCAAGAAGTCACATTTGTCCCGATCATGGTCGGCTCAGTGAAGGAAGAAAAAGAAGCGCAGTACGGGCAAGTTCTGGCAAAATATCTAAATGATCCAGACATTGCTTTTGTTATTTCTTCGGACTTTTGGTAAGCCCAAATCTTTCTTCTCCATAATCAGCGTATTCGTAGCCATTGGGGAAAGAGATTCAGATATACGTTTCGTTTGGAAGAATACGAGCAGATCTACGAATCGATCGAGGCTGTCGATCGAGAGGGAATGGACCTGATAGAAACGAAAAGCCTATCGAACTTTCACGATTATCTCCGTCGAACGAAAAACACAATTTGCGGTCGAAATCCTATATGTTTGCTTCTAGCCACAATAAATTATCTTGAGCAAAAGGTAAACCCTGGAAATCCGGCATATTTCTACTCGAAAATTCTAGGGCCAGATGCAGTCGAAAATCAAGTTTTTAAAGTACGACCAGTCGAGTCAAGTTCGTTCGCCAAATGATTCCTCTGTTTCTTACGCTTCTGCTGTCTGTTATATTTGAGTTGGAAATTCTTACTGCTACAGTCTGTAGTTCCGAGATTAGTATTCATATAACTTCACGACACCACAAGATTCACGTTCTAACATACTGTGCGGCACAGTCTGTGCCCAATACACTTCAATGTTTTCGGTATTTTCATCGGTAAATCACCTCTCTAGGTGATTGTTCTCTGAAAAGTTCGGGTTTGAGTCTCATTGAGGGCAAGTATGTCCTACATCACCCGGCGGTTGAGTACGGTGCCGGTTCGGTAGTAACTATTGGATTTGATATAATCTTCGACTACTAGTTGTTGAATTAGACAACACATATTTTTGGTGGAGCTAAAAAGTAGAACATATCCTTATGGTGTTTTTTCCTCAGAATGCCTCGGAAAATCTGTGAAAATTGCAACGAAAGAGCAGCTTGTGTTCTTCGATATGATCGGAGCATCCTTTGCAGGGAGTGCTTTTGCCGAGTTTTTGAAGAAGAAGGTATTGAATCTCATGTTGCTTTTGCTCAAATCGTTTTAGTTCACCAAACCATCACAAAATACGAGCTATTCAAGCCCGGACAAAAAGTAGCAATCGGCGCTTCTGGCGGAAAAGACTCGGCAGTGCTCATGCAAGTTATGAAAATCCTTAACGAGCGGTACAACTACGGCTTGACGCTTTATCTACTGTCGATTGACGAAGGCATTTCGGGGTACAGAGATCATTCGCTAGAAGAAGTCAAGTTTCACTCGAATAATTACGGACTGGAGCTGAAGATTTTGTCGTATAAGGACTTGTACAATTGGTCGATGGATGAAATAGTCGCGGTTGCCGGGAGAAAGTCGAACTGTACGTTTTGCGGCGTTTTCAGGTTTATTCCCGACCAGTGATTACTCATAACAGCTGATTTTCTAGGCGCCAGGCTTTGGACAGAGGCGCATGGCAGCTGGGAGTGGACATTGTCGCCACAGGCCACAACGGAGATGACGTCGCTGAAACTGTCTTGATGAATATGCTCCGTGGAGATGTAGGGCGACTTTCTCGCTGCACTGGTTCGTTCTCTCTCTTTTCGCTATTTTAGACTCAATTTTCCTCAATTTAGCAATCACGACGGCGGACGATCCCAGTGGAATACCAAGAGTCAAGCCATTAAAGTATCAGTACGAGGCGGAAATTGTCAAGTACGCCAGACACTCAAAAGTTCGATATTTTTCGACAGAATGTACTTATGCTCCAGGAGCGCATCGAGGTCACATCAGGTAATTATAAATATTGAATATTCAGACGTCGGAAAAGTTAATTATTTTCTCGCAATCCAAAATGATTACTGCGCGTTTTTGCGACGGATGAGTAGGCCTTTTCAGAGAATATTTACGCGCCGCTACGAAAATACGTCCTCATGTCGTTTTGGATATCATCAAAGCTGGAGAGAGTTTCGAAGTCAAAGACGGAGTCAAGGTTAGACAGAATCAGGGAGCCTCTTATCGATGAACCTATTTAGCTGCCAATTAAATCGCGCTGCACAAGATGCGATTACATTTCTTCCCAGCCAGTTTGCAAGGCGTGTCTTTTGCTTGAAGGACTCAACACGGGCAGACCTCTCCTAGGAATAGGAAAAACAAAAGAAGGAAGAGTCAAGAAATACAAAACCATCAAAATTGAGAGTGGCGAAAAATGTGGGAAGACAGATGATTGCTGTTCGAAAGAGAAAGAAAAGAAGTGCGAAATTAATGACGATGAAATAGAAACTTGCGGAAATCCTGCAGCAGGTTTGCAGGCAAAAGATTTGGAGAAACTGAGTATAGCTGCCGAAGCCTCAGATCTGTTCTAATTTATTCAAGACTGTTCATAGAATATTACTCGGAGCGCTGACACTGATAAGGCTTGACGGATCAATCCACATATGTTTTGCGTGACAGTCATCTTTTAGAATGGGCAATCCAGAAGCAGAACCACTTATTCACCAAAATAAGCGGCAAGAGAATACTTCAGAGTCTACTGAAGCTCCCCCTGATTATTCTGAAATCTCTACTTTACCAACAGCGCCGACTTTTCCGACAGTTGAAGCTCCATCTGATTTTACAGAAAATCCCGTCTTTGGTAATGAACCAATTTTGTGCACTTGTCCACACTGCCAATATGAGGTAAATAACAAGATATTTTCGCCTAGTCTACAATAAATCAGGGAGTTTCTCGAACAGAACATTCGATGGGACTCCTAAATTGGCTTGTCTGCTGCTGCTGCTGTATCTGTGTAGCGTTTTGCAGTGATGGGCTGAAAAATACGACGCATTCTTGCTACCGATGTGGAAAAACTATTCGTGTTCATAAACATTTATGCTTGTAAATAGGCCACATTTTCTCTTCCTTGATTTACTTCTTGATTTGTCCAACTGTTTTCGTCATTTCTGCCTGTTTCTTCAATGAGTTCCAATTCCAGTTCGATATTTGTACTATAGTACAGAAGATTGAAATCTCTTACAATCAAATATAATTTCTTAGAGTGTAATCTTTTAGAATGGGTAATCCAGAAGACGAGCCAATAAATAAGCAAAATCATCCCCCAGAGAACTTTTCACAAGCGCCTAGTGCACCTCCTCCTGCTTATGCAGAAATCGCTTCAGCCTCGATTATTTCTCCACAGCCAGCATTTGCGCCTGGTCATTCTCAAGAAACACCGACAGCTCCGACAATTCCGATCATTCAAGCGCAACCTAGCGTTACAGTTAACCCTTATTTTGGAAATAAACCGACTTTCTGCACTTGCCATCACTGCCAATATGAGGTTAATAATAGTTAATAATCACTTCATAAATAAATAAGGGAATTACTCGAACAGAACATTCCACGGGACTGCTAAATTGGCTTGGCTGCTGCTGTACATGTATCTTTGGCTGTTTCTGCGGTTGCTGCTTGGTCCCTTTTTGCCTTGACGGATTGAAAAATACAACGCATTATTGTCACCGATGCGGAAGAGTCATTCGCGTTCATAAACATCTGGGTGTTTAGTAGGATAAGAGTACCTTTTGTCTTTCTTGATTTCAACAATTGATTCCATCCCTTGATTCCCTCCACTGTATTATATTTTCTGTACGTACCTTTTTTCTTCAATCAGTTCCAATTCAAGTTCAATGTTTGTTTCATCAAAATAGTATGTCAGTCTTAGAATGGGAAACCCTGAAGAGCAGAATCCTGGCTACCCTCATCAAAATCTGATGGGCGCACCAGACCAGCCGTACCCTGCCTCAGCTCCTCCAATGGGCGCTCCTCCAGCATATGGCGATGTCTACGGAACCCAGCCAGCTCCAATGGGCGGACCTCCTGTTGCAGGTAAAGGCTAATAAGTCTATCTCTATTTATTTCTGTTTCAGGAGCTCCTCCAGTTCAAACTCAACAACCAGCTTATGCTCCTGGCTATGCTCCTCCTCAGCCGCAAGCTGCCGGTTACGGAACAGCTCCAACAACAGTGATAATCCAGCAACAAGCTCCGCCAACAATCATCAACCAGCGATTTGGCAGTCAGCCACAGCATTGCATCTGCCCACACTGTCAGCATCAGGTTCTTTGAAATCTCTATATCTGAGGTATCAATAAGATTATAAATTATCTGCTTTCTTCTGTACTAATGGTTTTGAAGGGTGTCTCAAAGGTTCATCATGAATCTGGCCTTGGAACCTGGCTTGCTTGTGGTGGAATTTGCCTCTTTGGTTGCTGGGCCGGATGCTGCCTCATCCCCTTTTGCCTCGACGATCTTAGAGTAAGCTTTGAAATTAAAATGAACAATTTAAACATTTTATTTTAGGACACAGTTCACAAGTGCGAGAATTGCAACAAGCTGATCCGAGTGAAAAAGCTCATCTCCTAACTCCTTTACTCCTTCCCTACTGAAAGTACAGCCCCTTTATTCCTATAAGAGCATTAGAAATTGATTTTAATGCCTTTCTTCTTGTACATTTGCCCAATGAATTCAATTCAATTGAAAAAGAAAATTCCTCGTTTCCAATCATTATTTTCAAAATACTTGAAGGCACGAAATTTCAGAAAAGAAAAGCCTCTTTTAACCATCATCTTTCATAAATATTTTACCTCGTTCACAATTTTTCTCTCTTATCCATCCGAAGATAAAATGCGTGTTCTCTTCCTTGATTCCATCAAGACCAAGTAGCATTTTTTACTAACATGTACTACAACCCATCATTGCTTCTCTCAATAAATACTTCAATAACCAAACAACCGACAAAAACGTCCACTATGTAAGAATGACGCGTGGATGACACAAAATTGCGAGCCTTGTCAACCCTTTTGTGGACGGAAAGTATGCTCAGAAGATAACTCAACTTCCCTTCAAGAATGCGGCCCCTGCCCCTGGGGCTGGCAGAACACCACGATCAACTTGAGCGAATGTTCCATTTGCCAACCATGCTCGGATCAAGTGGATCTTTATGACTGGCTGTTTTTTTGTTTTCATCATGATTGCCGTGTATGGAATTCATTTTCAAGCAATCATTCGACTCTCCGGTAGATTAATTCTTCATTATCTCGTAGACACATTTTGTAGTTGGAAACATGAAATTCATGCTTTTCGAAATGATGTCTGCTTTTTTCGAAGTTTACTTGGGCTTTTTGGTCACGATTCTTTCTTTTTCTCCTCGTGGCTCGCTTCAATTAACCTCTTGCTACACTTCCGAGGTAAATTTATCGCACTGTACAATTGTGTCACATCTTTAAAGAAAGTTTATCTGGAGAAATGGTACCCTTTCGTGGATGCAGTTCCTGGAAGATACGAACTGTTTCAAAGCCAAAAAAGCGAGTTCAACGGGGAAGGATGTCTATATGAAGTTGTTTATCCCCGATTTTGCCTTCCTCTCTTCTCGATGCTTCTGTCTATCGTCCTGACTTTATTCGGCCGGCCAGCATTCCTCTACTTCAGTGGGAAAACTGGCGTAGAAAAACCAATGGAACCATATCTCTTCAGCCCATACCTCGAAGCGCTTCATAGACTGCCATATGCTATTTTGACATGGATATCAAATACTGATTAGATTAGGAGTTTTCAAAAATATTTGATATCCGATTGGAAGATTTATTTTATCTCCTGTGGAGTTCTCTACGTCTCATTTCCCTACGCAGTTCTGATTTTCTCTGTTATCGCTCTCAGGTAAGTCTAAAAAACACCATCCGCTTCTTCAATCTATTCTAGCGCTTACATAGCTGCCGCAATCCAATCAACTCCATCGCGGAAGATCCCGAAACATGTCCCGTTCATCTACTTGAACATGCTAGCCATGCTGTTCGGCCTTGGAGGAGTCATCTACGCGAATGGTTTTTCCTTCTGGTTTCTGTTTCTTTCCACGTTTCCGGCGTTCTTTTTCTTTTCTACTGAAAAAATGAGCGATTTACATGTCTTGCGCGCTGAAATGGCTTATACGATCGCTGAATAAATAATAAATTATTCTTAATTTAAAGAATATTTTGATTAATTTGCATTTTCTTCGAAACCATGACGACTGACTGAAATGATGAATATCATTTGAAACAAAAGAATAGCAGCACTAGTCTAAGAGCGTCGTAAAATGCTTGGAATAACAATAAATTCGCTCGGTCTAGTGATTCTTGTGAGCGTCTTTGGCATTTATCTGAAACAGAGCGCAGAGACACAGTCTAAAAATGGCACAAAACCCAGGCTACAATCCGAACTTTGACACTCAGTGGAGCACCAATCAATGGAGCAGTACTACTGCACCTCCACCAGCTTATGGACACACCCCACTTCCTGGCCAACAGCCCGGTTAGCAATATGGTATTTTAATTTCTATATTCTATTCAAAAACCCATCCTTCATCATAGTAATTTATCAAATTCTAGTGTTCGCACAGCCGATGCCAAATCAACCGACAAATCCGAGACATCTGGGATCAGAACCGATGTTCTGCGTTTGCCCTCACTGTAAAAAAGAGGGAATGTCTTCTACTCAAAAAGATACAGGTCTTGGAAACCATCTTGGTGCTCTCGGATGCATCATCGTCGGATGTGTCCTCGGCTGCTGCTTCATTCCTTACTGCATCGACGATCTGAAAGATACTGTTCACACATGTTCAAGCTGCCAGAGAGTTATCGGCACAAAAACTCATTTCTTAATATTTTGAATAAATGACAAAAATGTTCTAAATCGACTTTTAACTGGATTCGTAGGATTAATTAGGAAAAAGAACCGGAAAAGTCGCCATGGAGAAATCTTTGAAGTTCGGATCTATTCGCTTGTTCCATTATAAATTCAATCACTTCTCGGCATAAGCATAGATAGCCAGGGAGAGAAATGACTGAAGTTCATCCAGAGACAAAAACGCCAATCGATGATCCTCCACCACCATATGCCGGAACCGAACTGAATACTGTTGCTCAGCCTCCTGTCCAGGCCTATCGTGCCTTAATACGTCAGCCTTATGGATCGCAATCACCTGAATGCGCCTGTCCGTCTTGTGGAACGACGGTATAATCAAGTACTAATTCCCCTGTAACAAATATAAATAAGGCACGACTTAATTTGAAAAGAGAACCCGGCAATGGAAACGCTCTCGTCTGCTTGTTCTGCTGCCTAGCCGGATGCTGGATTTGTTCCTGTTGCGCATTCTGTATTTCCGAGTTGATGGACACCTTTCATGAATGCAAAAGCTGCAAAAAACTCACTAAAGTCGACGAGTTCAGATTTTGTCAGAAAACTTTTGTGAATGAATAACTAAGTTACTTTCGATAACTGAGAATGACTTTAAATAAAATTGCGTCTTGACTCACGTCTTAAATGCCAGAAGAGCTTAGTGAAATCTTCCCAAAATTGACGGGTCGTTTAAAATATCATTCTCGCTTTCCTGTTAGAGAAAAATGTCTTCTTTGGACGCTGAAGGACAAACTAAGATTGCTGAGGAGCAACCAACTGCAAGTACACGCATTTTTCTTGCAAAAATAATTCAACCGTCTTTTAGTAACAACACCAGCTGGGGAAAAATCCGATCTGGAACCAACGAAATGCTAGCTTCGAAGACTCCCGCGTTGCCGTTTATGCATTGAGATTCGAGCGGGGGCGGCGCTCGCCGCTCGCGCTCCATAAAAGCTCAGAACGCCCGGGCGCTAACTCACTCCCGAGTAGGTCCGGGGCACGAAAATATACTTTGATTTTATTGTCCGCCAAGTTCACCGTCCCCGGAATAAAATAGATACAGAGAACTCTTCTCGACTCCTTCTTCAGCAGGCAGTAGCTTAGTTCAGTGAGGCGTAGTAAACTAGCCGAGCAATGCATCTTGGGGCTGCAAGGGTTGTTCGGAGCTAGTATTGGTGTCAGATTTGTCCTTGACTTATTGACTCCTTAGATTGGCTATCCTAAGCGAGTCAAAGTGGCTCTCCCAGCAAAAGTACGCTGTATTTTTGCTCGGATGGCCGCGGAAACTTTGTTTATCATAATTATAGTTACCCACTGGTCTAAGAAATCAAAGACTCAGGATTAGGGAGCAGACGCGCAGAATAAGACTTATTCTGCGAGTACTGTGACGATCCGGCAGCAAAGTAAGTACAGTTGCTAGGATTACAAAACCACTGTCGTCGATGCGCGAACCAATCACGGCGCGAGTAGCCCCGTGCCACGTCACCAGTGCACAGTGGCGACCCAACGGTCGCGCGCGAACCCGCTTGCGGGTGGGCAGCCTAACTGCCACGCAGTGCAAAAATTTAAAAATATTTTTCGCGCGGGCGATGTAGACCTTAGGCGAAATACTAGTTTTAGGTCCATCGAGGGCACAACTCCAGTCGACATACAGTTGTAGCCCCTGGCCCCCAACAGAATTTTACGATAAATCAGTGAATTCTAAGCGCGCTCAAAGTCTGAAAATTCCTTTCGACTTAGAAATTTATTTTCAAATTAATTTTTCCTTCAAAATAATTTACACACGTCGCGGGTAGCTGGTCATAGTTTTTCTAGTGGTCTTCTTCGGTGAATTTATTTAAGGACAGTAATTTTTCATGCCCTTACAGAGCCAACTTCCATTCATTCATCATGACTGGAGCTAACTACGCATCATGGGATATGCAGACGCTTACCATGGAATATAAACTTCGTGAACAACTTATTAAGAGCTACGAAGAGAGGCCTCCTGAGGATGACGAACATAAGAAAAAGTTCGAAAAAGCCAAGAAAGATGAGGCCACTCTGAGAAAAGAATTGCTCAAAAGGGCGATGAGTGGTCAGGTCGCATCCTCTCAGCCCTCTGGGGGAGCGAAGCGAATTTTTACATCGATTCCCAGATTCTCACTAGTCATATGTCGAAGTTGGGCCGATTCACCGGTAGCAACAGCGAACAAACAGCGGCTTTTACCGCAAAAGTGAAAGGGATCATTGACGCCTGTCCATCATTTACCTGGAAGAGGATCTACGGTGCCATAAAGGCAAACATCAGCCAGAATGTTCTAAAAACATTAGAAGCTTCGGATGTCAAGGATTTTAAGACCTTCGAATCGGTTCTCAAAGAGCACTATGGCATACTTTCAAACACGTATCAACAGCTGGAAGACTGGCTTACCAAGTGTAAGCCAATCGGCCAGTCGTTCACGCATCATCAGTCAGAAACGGCTCAGGCCTTAGAGCCAATAATAGATTCATTCGAGAAAGAGTTGATTAAACTCAAAGAGGAAGCTGGAGTTAAAAACTACCAGCCTACCTTCCGCGACGGATTCTCCGCTCTCAGGATCCTGAAAGTGTTGCAAGCCGTTCGCCAGGATTGCGACCAGACATATTCAGCGATCGTGATTGAGCTCAAAGGGTTCAAGACTGCTGAACAGATTGCGCAGCGCGCTACAAGCCTCTCTGTTCAGACAGCATTCAAATCGGTTAATACTGCCGAAGGGGGTGATGCGGCTTCTTCCAAGAAAAAGCGCAATAATCACCGCAATAAAAATAAAAATGATAAAAAGGATGAGATGAGCGGTGACGATCGCCAGTCCCAACCTCACAATAGTAACAATAACCGCGGACGTGGGGGTCATCGCGGTGGATCCTCCCGGGGCGGCCACAGCGGCCGTGATTCCAACGTCCAAGGCGGCTCTTATCACAACCACGGGGCGGGCCGCTCTAACGAGGGTCGCTCTAATGGTGGTCAACGAGGTGGTTCTCGAGGCGGTCAAGGGGGTCACCGTGGCCGCCACTGGACACCAAGCATCAGGTCAGATGGTGTCTACGGTGGATCCAACAGCAATGCCAATGCCACCTTCACCGACTACGAGTACCAGCCATTGGGATCTTATAACCATGAGCAAGATACTGCACCAACTGGTGATTACTACCAGAGTAGCCAGGCTTACTACGGCAATGATGGCTATAACTATCATTCGTACAATGGATCCTATTCTACCTTCGGTGCCAGTCCAAAAAACTAGGTGAGTCCGACATTGTTGATGACTTTGTCGGACACGTGAATCCTCAATTCAAACAATACTACCCAGCCAATTCCGGTCCGATGTACGTCCCCGTTTATTTTTCTGAGCATCCACGATTAATAATTAAAGCACTTGTCGATTCCGGAAGCTTTGCTACACTAATCAGTATAAGACTTGTACGTGATTTAAAATTGACCATGTTTGCAACTACTCAGACAGTAAGAGGCATCGGTGGTGTTCAATCCAGAGCCCTTGGCAGAGTTGAAACTGACATCAGGGTCGGTCAAAGTTATTGGCCGAAAGTGGAAATGTTTGTCCTTCCCGAGAATTGTATCAGTATTCCCTGTATACTTGGCCGAAGGCCCTTGAACGAGCGTTGCTTAGAAATCAACCAGGATCTCCAGAATCGAACGATCACTCTGCGCTCGCAGGGCAATCAGATTTCTAGAATTCCGTATATCAATGATCCGAGAACTGAATGTTTGAAGGGACCCGGTGAGACTCATGTGGCTCTCGATTCAATGAATGCGACAGAGCTTGTGGAGCTTGTTCTGAAGGAACTTGGAGCCACAATCAATGTTGAAAACATCGAAGAGGCGCGCGCGGTCGCTATCATTCTGCTCAAACGCCGAGGAGCTTTCAAAACTCCCGATAAGCCAATTGGCACGTACAAGGCTTATGAAGCAGAGATAAACACAATTCCCGGTAAGTCAAAGCACGTTCCCCAGTTCAAGGTGGCTGAGCGCCATATCGTTCCCATTAACAACCAGATTACTAAGCTCAAGAAAATCAAGGTTCTCGTGCCTTCCGACAATAGTTGTGGATGGAATACTCCCCTTGGGGGCGTTCCAAAACCAGATGGTGGCACTAGATTGATCCTTAACTTGAACTTAACCGTTAACCCCTTGTTGCAAAATTCAGACACTTTCGCGATTCCTAACATAGACGCTTCCATGGAGTTGCCGCTAGGCATACGCTATTTTGGCGTTATGGATATCGCAAATGGGTACTGGAATATAAAGGTCAAGGAGTCAGACCAGGTCAAACTTAGCATTTTTTGGAACGATGAATGTCTTAAATTTACACGATTACCCTTTGGCTTGAAGAGCTCGGGGCACTTATTTGTCCGAGCTATCACCCACGCCCTGAAGGGCATGAAGTACAGGGAGAACGTGAAAATTTTCGTTGATGACTGTCTCGTGTTTGCGAGGGATTTTTCAACCTATTGTGCCGCACTCGCGGAGCTGCTGGAAAAAATCGAGGAATACGGATTTGTCGTTGGAGGATCCAAGACAAAATTGTTATTTCCGGAAAATAAGTGGCTGGGCAGAATTGTTGACTCTAATGGCATGCGAAGCGATCCTAGTAACGTAGAGGCCATTGCCAAAATGCAGCCGCCTAAAACGTACAAAGATCTACAATCGTTGATCGGGTTACTGAATTGGTGCAGATCCTTTGCTTCAATCAAGCCCGGTGACACTGTCGGTAGTGCGAGCTTCTCCCACATCGTCAAAGACATCACCGAGCTCCTCAAGGTTAACAAGCCTAAACAGAAACTAGTCTGGTCTCCGAGGGCAAACAAGGCCTTTAATAATGTCAAAGCTAAACTTTCCTCCGATTCCATGATTTGGTTCCCCGATTATTCAAAGCCATTTATGCTCGTTACTGATGCTAGCGCAGCAGCCGCTGGATGGTGTTTGATGCAAAAAGTGGACGGTCGCGATCGGCTCATTCGAGTCGGGTCGCGCACCTTTACTGAGACTCAGTCAAGATATTCGGCCACAGAGCGTGAAGCTAACGCCATTATTATGGCAGTAAGTGACTGTAGAGTTTACCTTCTTGGCCGGAATTTTGTACTTAAAACGGATCATAAAGCCCTAACCTTCATCGATTCCAAGATAGCCAAAAATGACAAATTGATCCGTTGGTGGAATTTACTAAGCGAATACAATTTCACTTGCGTATACATCGAAGGCGCCTGTAACACAGTGGCTGACTATTTCTCGCGCCCACCGGGCGTCGATATGTCCCGCCCAACTTACAAGGGTGAAAATGAGCCAGCTGGAAAATTTCACAAGTTCCACGCGTTCGATATTTACGTCCCATCTTGGTGTAAAATCGATGAAGTGCCCAAAATCGAATTCAACAGTGATGATCTTACCACAAGCGACAACGTCGTCGCCCACGTGTGCCATAAGGTCCCCACTGAAAAAGGTATTTTTGAGCGTATGTCCATCACCAGCGAACAAGCTCAGAACGAAGCGTGTCGCGCGGCGATAGACGCTCTGACTAATGACAGTACTATGAGATACGATAGACATTGCGAAGAAGCTGGTTATCTGTGGCGTCATTTCAATTCTCTATCTATCTGCGAAAAGACCGGCGCCTTGCTGGTTAAGAGTAAAATTTACGTTCCGAGTACGCTGCGTCCGAGAATATTGATGGATTTCCATGATTATCGAAATCACAGCGGCGCCGAGCGCATGAGGGACAATATGAGTCACCTGACTTGGCCCAATATGTCTGATGATATTAGTGCATATTGCAGGTCCTGCATTTGTAGCCACTCAAAAGGGGGTCGTGGACACCATTTGGACCCTGGGTTCTTACCGACCGAGAAAGGCAAATTTCCGTTCCAACTTGTTTATGTAGACTTTATCGAGCTCCCTGTCTCTCGCGGAGGGCTTCGTTATTGTTGCACTATGGTAGATTCGTTTTCAAAATACTTGATCGCCGTTCCGACTCGTCGAGCGCGAGCAGTTGACGCTTGCCAGGCGATAACGGAGCATTTGCTCGATCATTACCCTCATCCCGAAGTCATTTCGAGTGATAGGGGCACTCATTTCACCAGTTCATTGAATGCCACTTTCAGCGCAATGAACGGCTTGAAATGGCGTCACCATATCGCATTTAGACCTCAGGCGTGTGCACTCCTAGAAAGTAGGCATCGTGAGTTGAAGAATGTCATTTTTATCGTTACTAACTCCTCCAACCTCGATTGGCCTAGTGTCATACAACGCGTCGTTTACATAATGAACGCCTCGAAAAATGCATCTACAAAAACTGCTCCGTTTGAAGTTGTTTTTGGTAGACCCGCAAAGTTAAGCGCTTTTGACAAGGACTTTGACCCGCCATCTGGTGAAAACATTCCTGAGTTTTTACGTAACAGAGCGCGCGTCACTGATCTTCTCTTCAAAAAGATAAAAATTTGTCAGAAGATGGCCGACGATGTGGTCCGCTGGGGCCGGCCTCGTCATCACCCAGAAATCCTCGAGCCAGGAGATGAAGTATTTCTCAAGCGAGAGCACTCAGCCGTCGCTAAGTCAAAGCATTTGAAATGGCTCGGTCCTTACGTAGTTGTCCGAAGTAACGGACATATCGTACAACTCAGCGATCAGGCCGGTCACCTTGACTGGTTCCACAGATCGGATATTCTCAAGAAAGTTCCGCGCCCTCCTAGGTTAGGAGCGGTGCCGTACTTCCCTTGCATGAGAGTACCTCTGCCCCAAACGTTACCGACGCCACCAGTCACGCAAAAACCGCTGATTGATAGCGCCCCTGACAATGTAACTACTCTTCCTGAGCTCAGAAATAGCGAAAATCCGATTTCCGAGGCGAATCGCCCTGAGGCAAGTGCTGGCGAAAATTTGACCCCTGGCGAGAGCCCGATTGGGTGCTCGCCTGGACCGTCAAACGACAATAATCTAAATCCGCAGAGTTCTGGCAATGCTAGAAGCTCTACATCTAGAAAACGTAAATCACCTAGTGAGCCCTCAACAGATTCAAAGAAACCAAAAAGTTGGCCCGACTCGCGCTGCGAGAGAGCCTCCACTAGATCACAGTCGGCAAAAGCAGCAGAAATGCTACGTGAGGATGAAATTTATGCTCAGCAGCTCCAAGATGCTGAGCGAAGAAGGTCGTCAAGAAAGCCACTGTAAAATAATTTTTCTGTATTTTAGTCGATTAAAGTGTACCCTCCTGTTTAGGGGTAGTACTATGATAAACAGTTGGATAAACTTTGTGCTTTTTATACAGTGATTTTACATGTACTGTACATTCAGCTCATCGTGCTTACCGTGTAACTTAACATCTGTTCAGTTAGATGGTTCGTATCTCGGAAATGACCGACGCGCTCGACGTCGGCCTCGACTGCGACACGATGGAACTCGACACTGGTTCATTGATGAACCCCACTATGTCCTCGGAGGCCGAATCGAACGAAAGTCCGGAGCAGGGGGTCTCAGAAAACCCTGAGCTCGCTGATTCAGGTATTTCTAGCCCTCCGAAGGTTCCTCCACTAAAAATCCCTTAGCACCTGAGGCGCCCGCGGTTGCGGCTTCCTCAGCGTCAGATCCGGCCGCGGCGTCGACTTCTGCGCCGTTGGCCCCGACAAACGCAGTGGCCACTGCTTCCCAGACTCACCAAACATTGCACCCACCGCGCGACTGGGAGGACTTGTGGAGTAACCTCGATGGACGAGAGTTCGAACTCTCCATCTACTCCGATAACGCCGCGGTGGGCAAAAACTGCTCAACGAGCTCATCTCCAAGTCCAAGCAGCAAGGCAAAGTGCTGGTCATCAATGACGTGGTCCAGCGGACTCAAGGTGGAGTCGACCGTGTCAAGTACCTCCAGCAGATATTGCTCTCTGAGCTCGCCGAGCACTCTGACCGGTTACACTTAGCCGAATTTCGGGACGGTCCGGCAATGAAAAGCATCGTTGCCCTCGCTCAAACATTGTTTGCGAGTGGTTCCAAGTACGCCGAAGTCGCCCACTTCATTGTGAAGTCGAACTTGGAAACAGCGAAAAATCGCCAGAATAAATACCGTGCCGGACCGCCGCCAACACCGGTTATCACTGTCTCAGACTCCCCACCAGCTCCTCGGATCGTTTCAATGAGAAACAATTTGTTGGCGTCGCCAACGGTCGCTCCTGCATCTGCCGCGGTTGCGGTGGGTGCTGGAGTAGCGCCAACCACATTGGCAACTGTCACTGGGGCAGACTGGCCCGCTCCCTCATCGGCACCAGCCGGTTGGGGTGCCCCATCGACATCCACAACTCCCTGGCCCGTGCCGGTTACCACATCAGGCTTGGTAGCCCCGCCGCGGCCAGCTACTCCCATCCAGGCCCAGGGTGTCCCACTTCAGCGTCAAAATGAATTACTCCGTGCTCAAGTGGACGCCTTGATTAGTACGATCAATGCTTACACCGAGGACGCCAGTGCTCCGCAAAATGGCAACCGGAGCGACCGTGGATCTGCTCGAGGCCGAGGACGTGGCCGAGGCCAGCGCCGAAATCAACGAGGCCCATATGTACGAGGCTCCTTCCGTGGCCGCTACTGAGCCGTCATCGCAGCTGCCTTCACCTAGTCCCTGCCAAATTTCACCTCGATTGCCTAGATCTTCACGAAGCGCTGCCATTTTTCACCTGCCCTGCTAAATTTACACTGTCGCTGCTAGTAATTCCCGCCGAATTCGATGCAAGGGGGTTGCTAGCTTCGAAGACTCCCGCGTTGCCGTTTATGCATTGAGATTCGAGCGGGGGCGGCGCTCGCCGCTCGCGCTCCATAAAAGCTCAGAACGCCCGGGCGCTAACTCACTCCCGAGTAGGTCCGGGGCACGAAAATATACTTTGATTTTATTGTCCGCCAAGTTCACCGTCCCCGGAATAAAATAGATACAGAGAACTCTTCTCGACTCCTTCTTCAGCAGGCAGTAGCTTAGTTCAGTGAGGCGTAGTAAACTAGCCGAGCAATGCATCTTGGGGCTGCAAGGGTTGTTCGGAGCTAGTAGAAAAATCTGAGCTTGGCGAGGAGCCTCAAATTTGCGTCTGTCCTCATTGCAAGTATCAGGTGAGCAGAATCGATAACCGGATGATGAGCAAGGTCGATTTTAGGGCTATTCCTTTGTCGAAAGAGACCCTGGTTGCTGCATCTTTCTGATGTGTACTGGCTGCGTCTGCATGGGCTGCGTCGCTGGTTGCTGTCTCATGCCCTGCGTTGTTACTGATTTCAAGGATGTCACTCATTACTGTGTCAACTGTGGCTTGAAGATCGGAACACATCCGATTTTCTTCTGTTGAAATTCTGATTCAATACACTTTTCTTAAAATAATTCTTTGCAAAATTGTCTTTTATCGAATTTTCTTTAGAAAAATCATGGCTGAAGTGTTGATACCGGATCAGCCTGTTGAACCGCGCGTGGTCCGCCGAAACCGGCCGGGTTCGAAACGCTCCGAGTGGTGCAAATGGCCCGATCAGCAGTTTAATCAAATCGAATCAATCCACGCGCAGCAGATGCTCATACAGCAGCGCATTCGCAATAATAAAAACAATGTCGAGTTTATTCTTACGCCGCCAGAAGGAGCGGATGAAGATGTTTGGAAATACGAGCACTTGCGTCAGTTTTGCCAGGAACTCAACGGACTAGCCACGCGATTACAGGCTGAATGTTCGCCGGAAACTTGCAACCAGGTAAATATCACGACGCCTACTCATTTAAAAATTTATTTCGTAGATGACTGCTACTGATCAATGGATCTTTCTGTGTGCCGCGCATAAGTCCCCTAAAGAATGCCCCGCCATTGACTACACCCGTCACACCCTTGACGGTGCCGCTCTTCTTCTCAACTCATCCAAATACTTTCCCTCGCGAGTTAGTATGAAGCAAACTTCTGTCGCGAAATTAGGCTCTATCTCTCGGCGAATTTATCGAATCTTCTCTCATGCTTTCTATCATCACAAGCCAATTTTCCTGGATTTCGAGGTAGAATATACCTTTTTTCGCTTACTTACTGTATGTTCAAGAACCAAACGCAACTTTGCCGACGATTCAGCAAGTTCGTATTGACTTACAATCTCATGCCAGCCGAAACTCTCATCGTCCCTGTTGACTCTCTCGAAGCTGGACTTCCTACTGAAGCTGCTGTTGAAAAAGCCCCGGTAATTGACCGTGCTTTATTCAGTATTTTTAGCCTTTCTCAATTTAGGAATTTGAAGGCTACGCTACTGCAACAATCGCCCGAGCAACGGAGCCTGTAAAAGGCGAAGGAGGGGCTGAACCTAATCTTGAATCACCGTCTAGCTCCGTCATCTTGGACTCCGGAAGCTCTGGAATTTCACTTATCACCCCAGCGGAAGAGGCCTCGGTTGAAAATTCCATCGGGGAGTTGTCCCTCGACGACACCGCCACCAACTCCGGTGAGCAGACCGTCATCGAAAGCGAAGACGTTTCCACTGCATAACATTTCTATCCACCCACCAAGTCCATTTTTCCATTTCATCTCAAACTCAAAACTACCACTTGTTTCGTAAGCAATTGTTTCTGTTTCATTCATTTCGAATTAAAAATAAAATTGTCGTTTCTATTTTAAATACTTCTTTCTTTTTGAAAGCCGCAAAAAAGGCTTCAAAGCGAAAGATCCTCTAAGACGTGTTCAAGATTTCTCGATAAAAAGGTTGACACGAAAAAATACCGGTGCGACCATGATTCTTCATTGCCACCAATCGCATAAATGAGGTGGTGACATTTTATGAATTCATGTTCACAAGCGCTGTTTACATCAAAACATGCGAAGGTGACATTTATCGTACCGTAATTTAGAGCTTCGTCTAATCGAATCTAACCTCAGTGACGCTTAGTTGCGAGAATTACCCTGAGACAGTCAGTGCTTGAAAATTACAGAGACTTGACACGAAATACGAAGAAGTATGCAGGGCCTGATGTTTATCATTACTACTTTAAACAACTAAAAACGGCTTGCAGACAGCCTTCACAGCATGTCTTCGCATTCCTAACACGATCAAATACGTCTGTAGTGAATTTACGTTACGAAAATACTTCGGGAGAGAAAAAGTGAATGCATTGTATGAATCAATCTTTGAAACCGAATCCCAGCCCTGTGCAGCTTGATGAAGTGGGCAACTCAACCAACAGTTGTGCAATTCTTTTCTCGCGTTGAGCATTGGAATTTCCGTAAAAATCCCATCTTGATGGATGTTTTTTACATTTGCTGACGATTCCTTGAACCATGGCTTTTTGAACGTCATTTATTGACCGCGTTATTAGTAGTTTGGCTTGAGAAATGGTTTTTGAGTTTACCAATCAATCATTTTTCATAACACTTCAGCTTTTAAAATCTCTTGAGTGGGGTCCAAGTGGGCTAATATCAATTTATTTGCGGATAAGTGATAGACTTGTACTTATGTAATTTCAAGTAGCCACGCATGAATATGACAATTGCAATAACAACTGCGGAACGTTAAACGATGTTAATTTTGTTGATGCAACTTTCGAAGAAATGCGGTATTCAACTTGAGTGCGACAATAACAAGTGAAATTGGCAATTTCAAATTGCATGGTTAGTTGGTCGTAAATCTTATTGAGGATGAATTACAGTCACACACAATTTCCTCTTCGTATCGATTTTTCATTCTTATTGGGCCACTTGAACATCTTCTTTGGTGTTGTTAAGGGTGTTAAACATGCAATTTTAATATCCAAAGGATTGCTCTACTGAAATAAGAGCCGTTTCAATTGGGATATAAAATGCATGTTATTGGTTTTTCCCAAATGTTTGCGGTTTTGCAATCTTGACGTTAGTACTGGCCTCATCTTGAAGTGCCCTGAGGCGTGAACATGACCGGGCACAAAATCAATGGGGATTCCAAATAGGCCTACTTGAAGAGGCCTTTGAGCCCAGACATATCATTTGAATATATTATTGGTATTATCAATAATATATGCGGGGGATGCATCCTAAGACTTGCCCCCAAGCGAGAGAGTAGACTGGGATTGACCACGGCTCAATTGGCACCACTGAACGAGCAGTGACAGTCCCAGATACATAAATCCAATTACTTGAATATTTTATTTTCGTCTCTTTTTGCTTCTTTATTTTCATTCAGAAAGCAAAAAGAACAGTTGGGCCCAGAGGGCTCATTAACTTCTGCTAAAAAGGAAGAAAGGCAGATAAAAGAAGAGATCCCTTACTAGCTGAAAAGAGAGCGAAGAACCAAGACATAAAAGTAAGGAGGGAAACACTTAAATTTTTACGCAGGTGTAATATTGGATAAGCTAAAAGAACAAGTTTGTCAATGTGTTGAATATTTTATTCAATCTCACGTCACAGCTTGTGAGAACGCTGATAACTGTTTCCGAAAACCACACTTCATACGTGAGCAAAAATGTGGCACTAGAAAACTGTATATTACATGATTTGCAATTGAAATTTGTGCAAAATTGTTTTTGCAAATAGATTTTCTGAGTGATATCGACAACTACTGTAGCTTTGTGTCGTTCGGCTTGGCCCTTAGCCGCGGCTTATCCGGCTTGATAGTTGCATGAATTGATGCATTTTGGCGCCCCGTGGACAACACTTCTCCACTCTAGCTTGGGCGCTTCGATAAATTGCCGATCGGGGACAGACTTTTATGGCCCATCAAGTCAAAAACACTCATTTTTAACACTCTCATTTCAGCAAAATTGGACAGCGTTTGAGAATAATGAAACAAAGATGAGGAAAATTCAACCCAGAGGAAATCTTATCTGCTGCATTCTATTGTTACGGGCTCAAAAAATAAATCTTTAAATTTTTCAACGAGCAACTTTATTTGAGCCTTGACTAAAGCTTTTCTGTTCAATAATTTTGATAACCTTGGTCAAAGAAATTTCCATACCACCTGGAGCTAGAGCAGAAAAACTCGAGAGAAAAGCTTTTATTTCGAAGAAAGAAGCAGGAACTTACATAAAACAATCAAAAGAGTTCCACGAAGAGAACGTTTTCGATCCGATTGCCATCGATGAAACAGTGGACGATTACGATACTGGCGCTAGAATTTATGCTAAAGGATTAGAAATGCGACTTTTAGAAACTCGCTGACTCGTTTAAAATTGTGTAAAAAGAAAGACGCTAGCTAATCCAAACAACAGAAACCGATGATGACGATTACGAAACTCTCCAACGCAAAGTTCGCCAGTATTACGAAGCATAAGCTGTAAATACGCCTCTATTGCGGGAAAAATTGAAACTACCGCCGCTGAGTTTTGACTACAAGCAGCTTTGTTCACAGGCAAAATGCTTGTTACTGGATCATTATCTGTATATTTTACCTTTTTTAGGCTTCTTCGAAAATGAATAAATTTTACGGAGGCTAATTTTTTAAAAAAAGGACTTTATTCACAAAATACGGAGTAATCGATAATATCTTAAATAGTTCTTTCTTCTACGCTTCTAATGCTTCTTTCATCCCTCGATTGCCACCATGAGCTTATCAATCTGTCTCCTCATGCCAATTGTCATGAGCGAGGATGCATTGTATCGATCAGAGGAAACACCGTCTAAACATAAACTTAATTAAAAATTGAAAGGCCTCAATTTCAAGCCTGTCTGTTTTACCTCAAATCAGAAGAAAGGGCTTATAAACAAAATATCATTACTTATTCATCAAAAGATTGCTCCTAATTTACTTTCAAAGGAGTCAGTAGAACTTACTGTAAGTTGGTCTGGGCATGGAAGATCCTCTTCGACGAGATTTTTTGCCACTTTTGCTCGAGGTAGTAGATCCTCGTCGGTTTTCCTTATCTTCATGAAGCGAAATCGGAGTATTTCGAACCAACTCTTCGCATTTCGTACAGTCAGAGCATTGAGTACAAATGGTTTGCTGAAGTCGAAGATAGGATTTTAAAATTGGCTGTTCGTATTCCTCCAGCTTTATTTCAAAGTTTTTAATTTGGATCTTTTAAAACGGTGATTTTTTAAAGGTTCTTGGCGCTCGTTAGAACTTTTCCTTGGAGTTAGACGAGCAGATGCCGCTGCCAGTTGAGTGTCCGTCAAGAGAAGACATTGATTCAATGCCAGAGGAGCCCGAGGAGACAGATCGGACAAATTCAATTTCCTTCTTGGCCGCGCTCGAGCGACGACGCTTCTGAAAACTCAAAGTTTAATCTCAGACACCTACCACCTTGACGTGTTGTCTGGTTGCTCTTTTCTTTACCTTTTTGGTTGAACTTTTGATGGAGGAAACAGATTTAGTGGGAGCCATCAAATTTGATGAATAATGAGACTCTGTCATGCTCAAACTCTTGAGCGTCTCATTTTCGTCCGAATAAGTAGGAGCGGAATGACAGGCGTTTTTCCTGCTCTGCAGCGTTGCTGACTTCCCAAGCGAAATTCTGAACGAGAAGCTTGTAGTTGAAATTCTTGCGGGGGCTAAATGGGTTCCATACCTGCCAAAGCTCCGCGCAAGAAGGTCATATGATTGGTAATTTGGAAATTCCAGCCCCATCCGGTCGTACAGCATTAGAGAGGCTGCCTCATTTGATGTTGAGCAGAGACGAGACAAGGGGGGAGCTGTTTTTTGGTACGACTGGTAAGCTTCTTAGTTTTGGATGATTCTAGCAACAAAAAAAAAAAGCAATTTACTGTCCGGAATTTTTGATATATTTCAGAAGATGAAACTCCTATTTTAATGTCTTCATCGTGAAATTTAGGTATTTGACTGTATTTAATTTAGAAGGACCCTTTGGAGCGTTTATTTTTGATGAGGTAAATTAAGACTAAAAGCTGGAAACGACTAGCTCCTCAATTTCCTGATTTGCTGCAAAAAGTACTGCCGGCATTTTGGCCGATATTTTTTGAGCGCTGATTATGCTAAAATATTTGGGCAAACCCATCCGGGGTCGCCGATGGGTATTTCTTATCGAGCACGACTTCCGCTTATCACTCCACGTCGCTTCTACACACCTTTTCATACAGTCACTCGAAAGATGAGTTTTACCCAATTTTGGTATTATTGAGAATCTTTATCCAGTCCTAGAATTTCCAGCGTTGGCTGAAGATGTCCATTTTCCCCGACTTTTCTAAGCTTTTTCGGGTCGATTACAGACTGTCACTACTGTGAGACCTAAGAAAACAGAAATTTTCACCCCTAGAAAGCCGCTGTATTAGTGATAAAAGTCCGCTTATCAGTATATACACGTCTTATCAGAAATGGACCCGTGCCGAGTTCGTTGTCTGCATGTGTTTAACATATTGATATCCAGGGGAGACTTTGTGGAGCACACGGCCGAGCTCGACCACTTCGCGGACAGCGGCGTCACTTTCTAGCTTTTCGCTTTTTGAAAATTTCGATCTGATGCATTTCACTTTTCGGAAAGGAACCATGATGCCGTAGCCAACTTCGCACTCGAAATATTTCTCAAAAAGCAGTTTGAAATTGGATTTTTTCATAAAAGAAGTTGTTAAAAAACAGATTAGAGTTTTCGTTAAAACGTGAGTCACGTTACGTGCTAGATTCTAGTAGCTTAGGTCAAACTGATTCCTTATCATCGAATACCCCGCTGTGCCGGGTGATGCAGTCGTCAAGTCGGATTCCGACGAATACTTCTTCTGTATTGACTGCGCCGATGATCGGACCAACATATTTGCAAATGCCTGGAAAGAATATTTAGACGCAGTCGAGATGAAAAAAAGAGGATTGGAAGGTGCAGAATTTCGCGTCTAAGTCATTTTTCGTGCGAAAAATTATGATAAGACTCCGGCCGTGAATTTTTAAAAATTTAAATTACAGTGGCACGGTGTCATTTTGGGAAATCTTGTGGTAAGGTGGTATCCCACCGAGTGGCGTAATTTAGACACTCAAACGGAGCAGCCGATTAGAGCTCCCATCGAGTGGCTGTTTGAGCCGACTCCTGCCGAGAGCTTATCACGTGGTTACATCAGCGGCCAGTTGAGCTGGATTTCTGGAGCTACTCTCTTTCATCCACGCATTTAACTATAACTCTCTCTAATCGATAAGCCTCTTAATTAGCCGGTTTATTATCAAAATAAAAATTACGTTTTTGCCGCGAATTATCGCGCCAAAGTGTTCTTCAGTCTCTCTAATAATTTGTCTACAAAACATTTATTGTTGCTCTCCGGCAATTCTTGGAGAAAGAAATCTATTTTCGGTAAATACGGGTACTTATCGGAAACCAAATATTTTTCGAAAGCCTTATCAGGGGCCAAGAACCCGCCAGTGCCTGTAGCGCGTAATTTCGTTGAATCACAGCGGGAGATCATATTTTCATAATCCTTACCTGTATATTTGCCTTTGATGATAACTCGATCGCCTGGCTTGATCGGGCCGTTTTCGTATACTTCCAAACTAGAAAAAAGAACGGTAATTATACATTTTTAACGAGCAAGTTTAGTATAAGAATCGGATACGTGTAGCTGCTGATAAGCCCAAGCGCTGGCGATATTATGTAAAATAATAGGACCCTTGTTTTAATGAGTTCCTGAGATCCGGTCGAGCCTACTTTTTCATTCTCGGAGGTGACGTCTTACCGACGAATATTCAAGCAACTCCTCGGCGAAAGTATCAAACTGATAAAATTTTCATAAGCTCCCGCCGAGCGCGGTGATAACAAAGCCGAGCTCGTTGAATTAGAGGAACATGTCACAAGGGTTGGGTAGACAGTTTTTGGGCAGAGATAATGGTGGATTTATGACTCAAAAACGATCTTCTTACATCCTTTACGAGGGTCAAAGAGTAAACATTCATAAGGCAAATAACGACTGTTTGCCAAACTTTTCTCTATTCTCTGCTGTTTGTGCTCGTACGCCGGTCTAGATCACAGAGAAAATAAAAAAATATATAAGATGGGGGATATTTACGAGAAAGCCAAAGAAAAAGTGAACGCCGAAATCGACAAAATCAAAGAAGAGAATGAAAGGAGGCTAATTTCAAAAAAGGATGAAATACAGGATAAACTCGGCGCGATTTCATTTGTAAAGCAACAAATAGATGATGATAACAATGAGATAGAAGTAATGAGGAAAGAAATGTGCAAAATCGTCGAAGAAAAAACGATGCTCGATGAAGAAATGAAAGCTTTGGAAAGTCGAATGAACGAAGTTAATGATAAAATGATGAAAAAACATTTCGATATAGGAAAAAAGAGCAGAAACATTTCTACTAAAGAGAAACATCTGCAAGAGCTTGAAGACGAAAGAAAATCCTTAGAGAAAGAGCTCGATGATGTCGAACAGGAGAATATTGCAAGAATGAATGCATTTTCTTTTGAAGAAACACCATTTGCTCCACGAAATATTGCAGCAACGGATGATAATACGTGTCAAATTTGCATGGAAGAATACGACAAAGAAGATCACTTCCACAGCTGCATTACAGTCTGTGGTCATAGATTCGGTAAAGCTTGTCTCGAAAAACTTATTCAGATCTCGCGATATAGGACTGCGCGATGTCCTAACTGTAACAAATCCTTTAATAATGGGCAGATTCTTCGCCTGTACTGAAAGTTTTAGAAACAAAAACTCTTTGAAAATTCTTGGCCGTTTATTGCAGGGCACGAGAGGTCGATAAAGGCGGGATAAAGTCGTTAAATTAGTAATAAAAATGAGTACACGATTCCCTCACAAACATTAATCTACTAGCGCACCGTTGAATTTAGCAATGGCAGAGCAAAATATCTATGAAAAGGCAAAAGAAAAACTCTCAAAAGAAATTGATGAGCTTGAGGAGTCATACAAATCTGAGATATCTCAGAGCCAAGCAGGCATTGATGAAGAGAAGACAAAACTCATGAAGCTTGAAGACGAGATAAAAGAGTCCGAGAGCGAGGTTCAACAAATGACTGCGGAAGCTCAAGGCCTCGGCCGAAGAATTCAAACGCTTCAAGTTCAAATAGCTGGTCTTCAAAGTGAGCTGACGGAGAAACACTTTGAAATTCAGTCGAAAGAACGGCTGGTCAAAGCCAAAAAGACCGAATCCCAGAGGTCAAAAGACAAGATTACATCCCTAGAAAGGGAACTGGACGAGAAAATCAAAACTAATGTTGAAAGGATGAGCTCTCTCTCCGTTAATGTTGAACATGAATCTTCAAATGAAAAAGTGTGTGATATTTGCATGGAAGAATACGACAAGAAGGACCACTTCCACTGCTGTATTTCCCTATGTGGCCATCGATTCGGAAAGTCTTGCTTAGAAAAACCTTGCTTATTCGCAAAGGATGCCCAATTTGCAACAAAAATTTCAAACCTGTCCATATTATCCGACTCTTCTAAAATAAAAAAAGTATTCGAGTATTTTCGCCAGCATTTAAATTACGGAAATGCATTCGGCCAGCAACTCTTAATTTCAAAAATGCACTTAGCGGGCTCGCATCAGACATGCTCTCGGAATGTTTTTAAATAATTTCGAAAAGTTACGCTCAAGATGTCGAATTCCTCCAAAGCCACGCTTTCCTCCACCTCAGTTTTTCGTGAACGCAAAGGGCAAAAACAAGCGGTGGAAATTACCGCCAAATAAAGTTACGCAAGGGCGAGCTTTGCGAAACAAAAGGACTACAGCAGATTTCCGGGCAAAACCGGATTTTCAGATTTTCGACGAAGGTCGAATAGTCTCTAGAATGCAGGTTGATGTTTTGGGAAAAATGAAAAAACTCGTCAGTTCTAAAAAATCAAGTTTCAACAAACATGTTCGTTTTCAGAAGCGCGCTACGAAGAGGCGCTGCTTCAGTTCGTTTCTATCGCACAAAGCCTAAAATGCTCAGGTAAAGAGCTTTTCGAAAGAGCTTCTTTTAACCGACATTCAGCGAGTTGGCCAAATCCCACGGAACCGATAAATTCGCCGTCTACGTCTCCACCTTCATGCTCTCCTACATCGGAATCATGCTCACGGAAGACATGTCCGCCGACGACATCGCCGAGAGTCTCCACAGCTTCAAGCTCGCACTGCGAAACACGAACTTCGCCGATGAAGTTGGGGAAATAACCAAGCACTCGACAAGCTACTTGGCAGATGAACATCCGCGAAAGACCTTTTTGGCCGCCACTCTGGGCATTTATTTTTTGATGACGAAAATAAATTCCATTTCCTTGTAAAGTCAGAATTCCAGTGGTAAGAAAAAGTACACGGAAAAGTTCAATAAAGTACTTTTTCTTTCGATTTTTTTACCACTGATATTCATTTTATATCTCTTTTATGTACTTATTAATGCTTCAACGAGATGATTATGAGGGTCATGAAAGTTAGGGATGAGCCGATGTTCCGCCGACCAAAACATAATAAATAATATCGGCAGTTACAAATTTTGGGGTCGCGCGTTGACGAGATAGTAAGTAAACTTAAATCGCACTAGAATAAAAGACAATTTCTCTCTCTTTGCTCATCACGTTTTTTTCTTGTGAAAGTGTCGTGGAAATCCGTTTTTCCAGTGGCGGGATCTTTTGCGGCCCTGGAGATTTTTAAGCGCCTTGGCTCAAGCGTTTTTTCTCACAGCTACTCAAATTTTAAAAGTCTTGATCTAATTATAATTTTAGACAGGATCTCACCTAGAAAAGAGGGGTATTTTGAGACGTTTGTTTTCGGATGAGTTGGAAGGTGTAAGTTCAAACGTGGCGCAAGGCAGCGAAAATGTATAAATTCAAGATCTTGGACTACTTTTGGGAAGTGCAATGAAACTGAAAAGTGACCGGAACTCAGCGTGACTTGAAATTGATTGGGTTTTGATTGACGTTACAGTTTTTGGGTCAGTACGTGTAGATGGGTTAAAAGTCTTAAACTAAATGTTCAACACCGTGTTTTTAAGATTGCTTTAAGATATTTTTGGATCCTAAAATTAGCCTCAAACACATTTGCGCGAAAATTTAGGTCAACCTTTTTTCCTTTTTTTAGTTTTTGGTTAACTTTTGTACAAATTTCTGGTCCAAAACGCCAACTCCAAATTTCCAATCCAATTACGAACGTCTCTGACCTTTTCGTTGCCATAATTCGCTACATAATACTTCGTTACAACTCACAACTCCTAAAATGTTTATCCAAAAGCAGCACTTTTGGATTCTTCTAATCGCCGAAATTCTAAGTATTTTCGCGAGGTGATTTCTAAAGCTCTTGACCAGCCATAATATCAATTAAATCTTTTTTGGCATTTTTCATTGCTGGCTAATTTTAGGCTTCCTGTCTTTTGCGGTTTTGAGTTTTCGGAAGCGAGATTTCGCGATTTTTTGATTATTTGAAATTTTTACCTGTCGGTTTTCTTCATTTGCATTCTCTTTGTTGATTTCAGCTCTCAAGTACAAAAAGATCTAATACAAAAAATAGGGAGCTCCTCGTCAAAGGGATGAAAAACTACGCGCGGCAGAAAAACGCGGCGCGGCGCTCAGGTCGGACGGACTTTCCTCCTCGCGAGCGCCCCCTGAGCCTTCTCGATCCACACTCTTTCTTTTTCAGAAGATTCAGAATTAGTGGAAGTAATAATGCGCACGTAACCCGCCACTCGCGCGAATGTAATCATAAGCCACACTTGCGGAGATAAAAATTAAAATAACTTGCCATTATTTTCATTTTTCACGTTTAACCCTCTAAAAATGGATCGTTAATACGTAGGGTAAATCCGTATTTTGGTGAAAACGAAGGCGTTTTTATTTGAAAGCGGAAGATTCTTTCATTTATAATGCAAACTTTTTAGAAATTGAAATTTTCAAAAATCTGACCACCTGATTTTTGCCCTGAACAAACATAGTGACACCCTTATTCGATCCTTCCGAAAATGGCTTTCGAATTTTGTGAGAATAAACCTTTTTTTATTTATTTCTTGAATCGCTTAAAAAGATCAGAAGCAAACCCTTTTAGAACCAATTTGTTGGTCCAACCAAAATTTCATAGTTAAGGCTTTGTCCAGCATAATTGCGTAATTATGGGAATAGAGGGTGCGTTGGCGGATGGCGATTTGCATAATGCAATCGTTCGGGAGCATTACTCGCCAATCCCGGCTTTGAACTTCGCGGAAAAACGTGAATTTAACCAGCTTATCCTTTCATCATTTATTCAAGATTCCAAAAACGTCTGAAGCATCTTTCAAAAGCGCGAAATTCAAGGCAGAACCTGGCTTACTTCCGGCTTGGCGAACAAAATGACGTTAGGCATGCTTCTGAACAGGACGATTTCGCGAGTTGGGACTTCTCCGAATCTCTTGTAAATTAAGTCCCATCTGGATTTTGTCGACATTTAATCCTACGTGCGATTTTATCTAATCCCTTGTGAAACGTGTGAATGAAATTTAAAGCCCGGTCATTCCATCCGCGGATAACTTAAAAAAGTGCATGCCACTGCTGGAATTTCTCACATGTATATTCATCACTATACTCAGACAGAACTGCAGAAATCAGAGTTTGTTTTAAATACGATGGGCGCGCTGTACCATGTCGAAGTAGAAAACGAATGAATAAGTTCCGAGCTGGTAACGACGCTTCCATTCCAAGAAAGTTTTTCTACTGTTCCGACTTCTGAATCTTTGAAACCGCTGATGGCGAATATTGAGGCGCTTGCTCTGGTCAACAAGTAATTGTTTAAAAAAATATGAATCTCTTTTTGACCATTTACCCAAATGACAAAGCACGACTGCCTTCATCCAGACGATATTGAAGAGAACCAACTGTTGTCCAAGCATCATTTCTAAGCAAATCGATGCGTTGAAGCTCATTTCCGTCTGAATTTATTCCTCCAAGAACGAGAACTCCATTCTCGACCTCCATACATGTATGACTTCGGCGAGCACTAATTTTTTGATAAACAGATTTTTTTGCTATTGAAATGAATTACATTGGATGTTGATAAGCAGTGTTAGTCCAGGTTAGATCGCTATCGAGTTGTTCAACTATCTTGTTTGTTATAGATTTTGAAGTTTGACTTCCACCGACTACCAGCGGCAAATTTTTGTATTTGATAAGACATGATCCTTTTCAGGAGTTCTTTCTTTTTAATATTTTACAATTGAAGAATGTATGAACCCTTTATTTTATGATTGGCGTTTGTCATCGCGCTGAAGGTCGAAACAGAAGCACCGTCGAAAAACTCGCAAGTCTTGGTGTCATCAGAGAAACAGACTAAGACCCCAGCATCGCCCTTATGAACAATTCCCGATGATTTGTTATCCGCTGCAAGGGTGAGTCGAATTGACAACTCGGAGAATTCGCAGCAGCTTAATTTCGCAATCTCTTTTTTATGAAGTGGTTTTACTAAAAAAATACTTACCTTATAATAATCCAATGTTCCGCCAAAGACGTAGCTTTCATCTTTCCATACAATATGGAAAACTTTTTCAAAATAATAATCGGTCGGAGCTGAAATACTTTGAGTTGTTTTTGTCGACCCATCAGTCGAGAGAACATAATTTAGCCTTGTGGTTGCATCTTTATCAGCAAGAATAAATATTGAGTTTCGCTCCTTCATTTCCGTCGAACATTCAAGCTTGAGGGAGTCAACTTGGTTTGCTCGTGTCGTAACGCGCATTGTTTCGAATTTCCTGTTTCGGCAGACACTTGCAGTCCTAAATATGCATTTAAAGTTGTCCAAAAATAATCGATCAGTACCTTAAACTTAAGCCTACAGCAGTTACGGCTTTGTTATCAATTATCGTAAAATTATGTCTCTGAATAAGGAGGTTACAACTGTTGATGTAGACATCGTAATCTTTCATCGTTATAGCGGCTTCAAATGTCATCATCTCCCCCAATTTGTCTCCCCCAGATATTGACAGTGTAATATTAGCTTGCATGTCTGGAGTTTTCCCGCTACTGGTCTTCATCGCCAATAATTTTACTTCCTTCTCAAAGCTCGCAGTGATGTTTTCAGCCGCGGCTTCTGTACAAGTAAGCTCTTGAGCCGATGTAAGGTGAACAATATCTCCATTTATGTCAATCAGGTGGACGACAAACGCTTGAGTTCCATCAAAACAGCTACTGTAAGATATTGTAGTCGTTCTTTGAAGCTGACATTTTTACGATGTCTAATGATCCTATGAAGACCTGCATAAATAAATTTCGTCTGACACTAGGTCTCTTCCTGACGGTAATAAACCTCTCGAAAGTAAAATTGTTGAACAATGAAGTGTGTATTTACAAAGAACATGTGTGAGTATTTTTCAGTTTAAACTTTCTCATGAATTCCTTCGATCATCTTGATCTTCTCTTGAATCAAAATTTCCAATTCCTCAGCGAGTTGTTTTTCTCCAGCTTTTGAAGCAAGAGCTTTTCCTTTTCGAAGCTGCTCTAGTTCGAGATTGGTTTCTCCTTCGAGTTCAATTAGATGATCACGGTGACGAGATTTGGTTGCTTTTGTCGGCTGACCATTTTGCATAATTGCCCTATAAAAATTGAATTCAAAGTGAAAAATAAGAAAAGTTTACCTTGACGGTTGTTCAGCGACAGCAAGCTCTTTCTTTCGATCGTATCTTAGATTGACAATTCCATCCTTGATCGGCTGGTAGCCCAAAGCAGGACCATAGACTCGTGATTCAAGAAGATCGTGATCCGCGGCGGCACGTGGATGATTCATGGATGTCGTCTTGGCAGATAGATGCAGCAAGATTCGGATAGTTTCAAAGAAAGCGGAAAGGAAACCGAGGTCGGAATCGTTGGTAAACTCGTTCACTTTCAAGTGCGCGGCAAAATGCGCGATGAGAAGAGCAAGTTGGCCTGGTTCTCTCATTCTTGAAACGTGGATGTATCCGAGGTTGGCTCTAGAATCGAAGAAATAGGAGTTTCTGAAGACATTATGACTGTAGTTCGTATGTGGTAGCGTTTCAGCGATCAGAAGCGTCGGAATCTGAGCGTTGACACGGGAGCAAAGTTCGTCCATAAGTCTCGTTGCCATTACGAAATTGGGCTTGAGCTCTTCAGGGCACTTTTCAATGACGGTCAATTCTCCATTTGTTGGATTTTCGATGTCGAAGACGTCGATAAACGGCATTCCAATAGATCCTTTCACCGGTTTATTTGCATCAAGCGTCATTTGCTCGGCAATTCGCTTTTCAAACTCTTCAATGCTCTTCATTACAGGCAATTCTTTCAAAATCGCGAGAGGATTCGCTGCGTACTCGCTGACGTCAAGATGTAGAACTTGCTCACGAAGCTCTTCTTCTGTAGGAAGAGAAAAGTCAAGTTGGTTGAGATCGGATAACTCGGCTTCAAGCTGTGCTTTCTGGGCATTTTTGACTTGTCGAGCTCGGAGACGCTCTTCGATTTGTTTTCGATGAGCAGCGTGTCTGTTGGCGTACTTGGCGTTTAGAATGTCTTTTTGAGCATTGAGATCGGCCATAAGCTGATCAACGTCTTCGTCTGAAGCTGCTAAATTATCAGGTTAATAAAAATTTAAAATAAACAGTATGAAAACTACCTTCTCGGATCTTTGATTGAGTTTTCTGCTCAAGTCGTTTTTCCTCCATCGCTTTTCGTTTTTCTAATTTTGCGCGTTCCGCAGCAGCTTCTTCTTGCGCCTTTTTCGCCATTTCTTCGTCCTTTCTGCGCTGCTCCGCCTCAAGCTGTTCGAGCCGTCTGAGCTTTTCTTTCTTCTGCCGTTCGATCTCAAGAGCCATTGCCTTTGCTGCTTCCTCTCTTGAGGCTTTTTCCATTTCAGCTTTTTGCTGCGCTTTGCGTTCTGCGTCAAGTTTCATTGCATACTCAGGTGATAGTTTTTCTAGCGCATCTTGGACCTCCTTCATTTGCCGTTCTTTCAACTCATTTTTGCGTCGAATCAGCTCAAGTTGATCTTCTGGTGTCATTTTGGCTGCTTTTGCAAGAAGCCGTTCAGTTTCAGCGTCGAATTTAGCCAGTTCTTCAGGATCGGTTATGTTTTCGCGAAGTTTCATGCGCTCTTCTCTGATCTTGTTCTGTTTCTCAAGTTTTGCCATTTCTTGGTCTCTGAAAAATGCCTGTTCTAAATCCTCCATTTCTCGTGCGTGTCGTTTTGCCATTATACGATAAACTTCTGCTGGATCTGCTGCACCGCCGGCAATGTTCGCAAACTCTTCATTTTCTCGAGCAAGATCTTCTTCGCGTTTTTTCTTTGCGGCAGCTTCAGCGGCTCGTTTCGCAGCTTTCAGCGCAGCGAGGTCTTTCATTCGTTTTCGGAGAGCTTCCCGCTCTTGTTGTTTTTTGAGAGCTTCAGCGTCGTATTGGTCTTGAGCTTTTCTGAGGTGTTCTTGCATCAATCGCTCTGCATCAGAAGGATCGAGGTTTTCCTCTTCAGCTTGTCTTTTAGCTTCTTCTTCTGCCGATTTCAGCATATTTTCCTTCAGTTCATCATTCATTTCAGAGTCTTCCTGCTTTTCATCTGATTCAGATGCATCGTCAGACTGATGAATATCATCAAGGATTTTATCCGCTTCGGAAATACTCATTCCACGCTCAACCAGACCTCGTCTTTGCGCCAGCCTATCTCGGAGACGATCTTTTTGTCTCTGTCTTGCAGCATCAGCATTTTCTCGAGCTCTTCGCCTAGCTTCTTCAAGTTCTCGAATGAGCCTATCTTTTTCAGCTTGCGAGAGGTCGTCGTTGTCTTCAATTGCCTGTTGCATTTGCTTGAACATTTCAATTTCCGCGATGTTTTGAGCCAGGTCGTTGATTTCCGACTGATGAATGTCAATTGAGTCCGTAGCGAGCTCAATTTCTGAAGCTTCAAGGTTCGCACTTGCCATAAGATCGGAGAACATGTCGTCAAGATCGTCTTCTTTGAGACCTGCTTGCTGGAAGAATGGCGCAATTTCTCGGCGGAAAATGTCTTCCCAGAGACTGTCGTCGATCTTTGACAAATGTTCGATTTTGTCTCGCGACATTTCATGGATCGCTTTGTGCCGTGCGGCCATTTCGTCGACGTAATCGTCCACTTCCTGCTCAGTTAAAAGATTCGACAGACCAGCCTTGTCCAGCTCGCTTCGATGATCATTTTCGAATTTCCTTACCTTGAGTTTTCCTTCCCGTTTAGCCTCATCAACAATTCTAGCGGCTGCGATTGCTTTTGCTCTTTCGTTTTCCGCAATGATTCGTTTTGCTTGATCGTTGAACTGTCTGAAGCTTTCTTTGCGTGCATGTTGATCCGAGGGAATAGTGGACAAAACTTCTCTTCGTAGCTGTTCTAGCTCATCGCTCGCTTTTTTGTCGTACATTTCGTATGCTTCGTCCAATTTTTTGCCGTATTCCGCGTCAAGCATGTGTTTGAGAGCGTATTTGTTCTGTTCGACCATTTGGAAGATATCATCAGATGAAGATCCTTCTAGGTTCTTACTACCTCCTTCAACAGCGATCTTGTCAGTATGGAACAAGCCATATTTACTGTTAGGTTCGAGAATCGTCACCATTTCTTTCAGCTTTTCAAGGAACTTTTCTCCGCGATCATCTCGTTTCTTTCGAAGACGGATATTCATATCGGCATTGATGACTGAAGAAGACTCGTAGATTGTTCCGCGAACAAGATCTTTGGCGATATTTGCGTTGACCTTTGCCATATCTTCGATGTATCCAAGAAGATTCAGCTGAAGAAGAACGTAGTGCAATTTGATATCAATTTGCTCGACAAATTCAGAGAAAACTCGAGCTTGGGCAAGTTCGTGTCTCCGTTCAAGCATAGCTAGTTGATTCATATCTTCAGTTCCAACAATATCAGCAAGGCGGTCTTGATAATTTTGCTCTTCATCTTCAACTTTTTCGATGTAGTTGTAAAGTTTTCTATCAAGTCGATCGAGAGCGCTAGTTGCGTCTTCCAAGATTTTCTTTTCTATTTGATCGGAATCGGTCAAAACGCTTACGACATTGCTTGAAACGGAGTTCTCAAGCTGCATAATTTTATTCTTTCTGCGTTTTTCTTCAATTTCGAGTAGTCTTCTGAGATCTTTCGCTGTCTCCCTTATTTGCTGAGAGTAGTACTTAATGTCATCTTTGTCCAGTTTGAGGTTGACTAGATCATTTCTTATCGGAGTATTCTTATCAGCCAAGTCGACAGCAGTCTTGTCAGCAATGAGCTTTACTTTTTTGATGAAATTCATTCTGGCGCCGTATTCAAGTTCGAAGGCGTTAACGTAATTCGGAGTGTGTCTCGGTAAGAAAGGCCCAACTTGGATGACTTCCTCAACCACCTTCAACTTGTTGGACCATTTCAAACCAGTAACGTAGCCTGATTGTCCAGACTTGTTCTTAGTCTCTGTTCCAATAGTTACTGGCTCGCCAGATTTAGAAAGATAAAGAGGAATATCTTTCTCGTTTTCGTAATCGTAATGAATATTAAGAATCGGACAATCATTGACCTTCCAGCCGTGAATAACAGGAAGAAGCTTTCCGGTGTCCTTAAATTCCATGTATCCGATAACTCCGCCGAATCTTCCCAAATTCGTAAAATTACGCCATTGAGAATCAAGCAGAGATAATTTGGTCTGGGCATATTCCATTTGGCTTTGAACTGCAGAATTGATTCTATCAATAAGACTCTTGATTTCGCCAAGACTTGGATCTTCTTTTTCAAGCTCGTCGAGAAGAAGCTCAAATAAATGAATTTTTCTTTCGGCGACGAAATCCTGGTGATCTTTGGTTTCGAACAGATAGAGTTGTCGCTGATCATCTTGATGATCTGTCATTCCGTACGGCTCTTGTGGAACAAGAAGGCCAGTGACAGCAGATGTTGTAGATTTGCCGACAGGAACGCAGCTTTTATCGACAATTTTCGCGGCCATGATTGGGACAGTAAGACCAGTAGTACTGTCGATTACACTCTTCCAAAGTCGGAAATTTGCTGGACTCTGAACTTTGACAGTCTGAAGAGCTTGATCGGAAGAATCGAAGGGTATCAACAGGCAGTTCGAAACATCTGCAGTGATTTCGTCGAAAACAAGAAGTCTGAGGCGCCCTGGATCGAGAAGAACATTTCCACGAATAGGGAAAATTCTGCCAGTAGCTGGTGAGATGCAGTGATTTTCCGTTATTGTGATAATAGCGTCTGTTTTGAGGCATTTTGCGCTCGATCCCGTGGCTGGAATAAGAAGTCCAGTCGATGCATCTTGAGAGATAAGATCAGACCTGAGCAGTTTTCCATCAGAACCGAAAAGTTCTTCGCGACTGTATGTTTCTTCGTTATTTCCACCTTTCATTAATTTGAAATCGGATGTAAGCAAATCGCGCTGCTGGGACTCAATTTGACCACGCATTTTCGAAGATATCTCGTCTTTTCTGTTCTCAGAAGTTGATGCCATGAGCTCAGTAGCGAGTGCCATGAAATTTGCATCAAATTCAGCGTCAGCTTTCAGTTTCTTACGCTCTGCTGTTGAAAGCGCCTTGAGTTGAGCAGCATTCGTTTCACCGATTGCTTTTCTGCGGGCAATTTCTCGCATAATCTCAGACTCAGTTCTTGAAAATTCGTCGAGATCATCTTGACTTATGCCCTGGTTGTCATTATTCTTCATCTTGTTAAGTCGATTCTTCCAGATTCTCTTGAGAGACTCTGTTTCTGCTTCAGTCTGAGCATATGCAAGGTCAGCATTGGCAGCCTGGTCATCAAGTTCGATCTTTGCACGGTGCACTTCAGTGTCAATTAGACTGAAAACATTGTCAGCACGGAAGTCCTCGACCTTCTTTTGCTCTTTGTAATCAAAGAGTTCGTCTTCTGGAAGCTCATCTTCTTTTACAACTCCGATTTTTGCAGAAGGATGAAGTTTGTGTTCCATCTTTGTGTCAGCCTGGCGGCTGTGGTAGCCAAAGAGGTTCATTCCAAGATTGAAACGATGGTACCAAGTATCGGTGTAAACAGTTTGGTACCAACCATATCTGTCGGTAAGCCAATAAATAAATAGGCAGAGGAGAATAATGAAGAGAAGAAGACCGATGAAAGAGAAAATAAATATCCAATCGGGTTCGAGTAACAATTGCTGATTCTGCTCAACATTCGCTTGGTTCAATGATCTTGGACTCGCAGAAAAGAATGGGCCTGTGCTAAAGCATGTGCCTTCCTCTTCCATAACTTGGATGTAAATATGACGGGCAGCGTCATTCTTACCAAGGCGAATAGAGAAAACACCGGGGCTTCTGAACTGATAAAAGAAAGGAGTCGGCTCTGTAACGGACTGTAAATCTTCTTCGAGCTGCAAGAATGCGCCATTGTCGAAGTCTCCTTCATTGAAGAGGATAGAATCATCATAAACAGGGAAGTTGTTTTGATCAACCATGAACATGACAACTTGATTTAGCTCGAAACAAACGACTGGTTGTTCAATAATTGATGCTCCAAGTCCTTCTCGGGGGGAAATTTGATCAGCTTGTCTTCGTTTTCGTCGAGATGAAATGAGTAAATCAACAAGTTCAGAAGGATCAGGGTTGTATAAACCTAAGAACTGCTCATTCTCCATCGAAACGATAAAAATTGACTGATCTAATTCTTCACTGTTTTCGCATACGACAGATTCGATATTCAGACCACCGATATCTGTTTCGATTCCGTCGATAACAAATGTCGGTTCATCTCCATCAAGCGGATCTGGACACTTGAACTTGAAAATTTCTTCATTTGCTCTTCTGCAGTTGATATCACAGGTTTCGTCGAGAGGACTAACTTTGCATTCACAGATTCCAAGCTGAGTATTGACACCGACAAAGGTACCCTCTGGACACCCGGAATTTCGGCAGTCTTCTTCAAGCGCATCTTCTGTTAGGCATTGACCGTTTGACTTTCGGAACTGATCGGAAGCGCAGATTTCATAAATTACTCGTCGACAATCACCTTCCTCGCCATCTTCTTCGGAAGCTTTATAACCTGTTCGACATGGGCATTTTCCACTTGATGGTTGGAACACGCGGTTTTTGCCATAGCACTGACATTTGTTCATTCCTTCTTGTTTTTGTTCAGCAAGGTCGCCACAAGGAGAACATTCAAAGGATCTTTCATAATTTGAAAACGTATTTACAGGGCAAAGCTCGCAAACTTCTTCAAATTCTAAGCCGAGATTGTCAGTCTCATTCAGATTGTAATATGTTCCTTGAGGACAAGGTATCGGCTCGAGAGCTGCTTCTGGACAAAAGTAGCCATCAGGACACTTGATAGTGTTCGTGTTATTCGCGATCGTTACGTTCCATAAGTCAGTAATTGCTGGTGAGAAACAAAGAACACCACTTCGGCATGGTAAACAAGACTCTGTTACGCGAGTGTCTAGCTCCCTGTAATAACCGGGTGGGCAAGCTTGGCAAGTATCATCTTCCGATTCTCTCTTTGACTCTTCAAGCTCAAAGTATCCGGAAGAACATCGGCAAGGCGAAGTGTTATTTGCAGAAATACCGAGATCTTCGCCTGTAAATTCATCATAACCACATTGTCCGTCTTCTGGACAATATGTTCCGGGAGGACAAGTTGTTGGGAACGCTGAACCTTCCGGGCAGTAATAGCCAGCTGGGCACTTTTCGATCTTGTTTGTTCGGTCACAGAAGTATCCTTCTGGACAAAGTGCTGGTTCGGTAGAATTTAAATCTGCCACAGTTTCAGTTTCAACGCAATAAGAGCCTTCTGGGCATCCGAGCTGATAGTCCATTGCTTCATCGGGACAGAAATATCCAGGAGGACAAGGAGTGCACTCCAATATATCTTTCGAAGCTGTCTTCGCGAGGAAAAATCCTGGTAAACATGGTTCTTGAAAGTCCATGCTATCTGATCCTGTCTCATTAATGAAATAACCGGCTTGTGCTGGGAATCGCTCGGGCTCAGTCATTCCTTCATGGGGACAGGTGTGACCGACTGGACAAGGCTTACATGCACCAGCTTCAGATTTTCCTGATGTTTCGTCATTGTATGTACCTTCTGGGCAAGGAAAGAATTTTCCGTCTTCGCACCAGCCTCCTTTTCCACACTCAGCTACTGTTTTGGCGCTTTCAGGACAATATTCACCATCCAGACAAGGTTTGCAATCAGCGTCACTTGGCTGACCGGTACCTTTGATGAATTCTCCGTCATCACAGATTTGAGTTTCGTTTGTGCCCTCAGGACAGTAGTACCCATCTGGGCAGATCTTGTCGGGATTGTCTTGATTTGGAGTTGACGAACCCCCGTAGCACATCGTTCCGCCATAACAATCTCCTTCGATAAAACCGTTGTTACAGTACTTTCCTGCTGGACAAGGCTTACAATCGCTCTGACGACCCATATTATTTGATTCATCATTGTATGTTCCTGGCTCACAAAAGGACGAGAATGACGAAGAACTGCAGAATTTACCAAGAGGACACTGCTCGGGGAAAGCAGTTCCGGCCACGTCGGCCATCGAACCCTGTGGATTTGGAAGACAGTCTCCTTGGCCGGCAGCTGATTGATATCGAGTTTCTCGGCATTCTTGGTGTCTTCCAGCTTGGCAGGAGCTACCTGGGCGACAGATAAAGTTCATTGGATCTGGAACTGTAATGAGTGTATCATCAGTTACATTTTGTGGGTCGCAATAGAAGCCATCTTTGCATTTAAAGCTGTTCAGTGGATATTCCAACGAGTTCATCGATTTATACGGACAGTAGTTGCCAGCAGGGCAAGGATCACACGAATCCGCAGATTCAAGCAATTTTGCCTGACCATGACGGCCAGGAGCACACGGTTTCGGAAGAACAGTTCCGGCTTCGCAATAATATCCCCTCGGGCACTCGCCATTGCCGTTTTGGTCAAATGATGGTTTTCCTGATGAAGCACCGCGCCTGCAGAAGTAACCAGCCTCACAAATATCTATGTGATTCTCACCCTCGCAGAAGTGACCCGCTGGACACTGTTTACATTGACTCGACTCATAAAGACCAGTGACATTAGAATAAAATCCAGGAGAGCATGGGATTGGGTTTTCAAGTCTAGCAGGACAATAATGACCGACTGGACAAACTTCTGGCTCGTGTGTTCCAAGTTCTTGGCAAAAATAACCTCTTGGACATGGCTTGCAGTCAGATTGAGCATATTGATCTTGGTAATATCCACGAGCGCAGATGTCAAGCTGCTGTGCTGCTGATCGTTGATGACATCGGAATCCTTTCGGACATGGGAATCCAGTGTATCCAAGGTCGTATGCTTTGTCGATACAAGCTTGTCCGTGAGAATATGTCTCATTCGTTCTTAGGCCATCGCAATCAAACGTAGGGCTAAATGGATCTGTGCTATTGTCATCATTTGGTGCTGGAAGATATGCTCCTTCAACGCATACAAAGCCCTTCTCGCAGCGTGTCTCAGTTATACTCTCAACATCACCAGAATCACCAAATCGGCAGTAATATCCAGCTGGGCAGGGCTTGCATTCATCAACTGAAACAGCTCCAGCTTTGCTTGATCTTGACGTTCCTCTTGGACATGGATGATAACCAGAAGATCCCGCCTCACAATAGGCACCTCCGGGACACTCTTCTTCGAATTTACTGATAGAACCAGCTGGACAGTAGTATCCTTCCTCGCAGAGTTTTTCAGTCGGATCGTCATTTGTCTTTCCGTCACCTGTAGAATGGCCTTCACTCGGACAGTAGTAACCACCCCAGCAAGGTGTGCACTCAGTTGGATCAGTTGCACCAAGAACTCCGTTGTAACTTCCAGGTTCACACATGGTCTCGGAATAGTCACCTGTTTCTGGAGGGCAATAGAAGCCAGCTGGGCAAAGCGCAGGAACAACAACTCCAGTTTCACCTGAGCCATCGTTGTTCACATAGCAGTAAAAGCCAGCGGGGCATTTCTTACAGTTTGCCTGACCTCTTTGATCTTGATATACACCACCATCAGAGTCGCCAGCTTCGACGTTGCACGCAATTGGCATTTCACTACCTTCTGGGCACATAAATCCTTCGGGACAAACGAGTTGATTTCCTCGGTCGCTTCCAGCAGGGCAGTAGTAACCAGCCAAACAAGGTTGCATAGTATCTGGAGTGTTTCCATATCCAGGACAGAAGAAACCCTCGGTACATTGTTCGCAGTCGCCTTCGTCTGAGAGACCTTCTTGAGGTCCGTAATGACCCGGTGGACAAAAAACTGGATGCGATGTTGCTGGTTCACAATAACTACCGATAGGACAACTGATAGCGTCTGATGATACACGCATTCCGGTTGGGCAGAAAAGTCCTGGTGGACAGGGATTCTCTGTGAAATTTTCGATTCCCCCTTCAGAGCAGTCGTATCCAGCTGGGCAACGAATAGGAGAAGCACCAGCATTATTCTCTGGTAAGTTTGGACAATAGAATCCTTGAGGACATAGTTGCTCGATTGCAGATCCTTTTGGACAATAATGTCGCGCTGAGCAAAGGTTATCCGCTGTGACATCAGACATTCCTGAGTTAGGGCAGACGTATCCTCTTAGACACGGAAAGCAATCCAATTCTTTTGATATTCCATATGGTCGCGGATTATATGTTCCTGGTTCGCAAGGAATTTGTATGAGACCACCAGTGCAAATATATCCTGGTTCGCAAGCGTAATCCTCAATATCAATAATACCAGAATCATTGCAAGCATAACCATCAGGACATTCGATACATTCACTTGCTTTTCCATGTGGCATGTAAGATCCTGGGTCACAAGGAGTTTGCCTTGCACCGTCGCACCAATGTCCAGGCTCACACTCAGCTGATGATGAGGAAGGAAGGCAGGCAGTAAAATTAGCGGTATCAAATGGATATTCAGCAAAGCCACCACTGTTGCAAACAAAGCCACCAGCACAATCGCCAGTTGTGTCCCAAGGTTCTGCACCGTCACAATATTTACCCAATGGGCATTCAAGGCATTCACTATTTCCTTCTCGAATTTTATATGTTCCTTTCGGGCACTTTTTGAGTGGTTCATCCTCGGAAGCCATTTTGCAAGTAAAACCTTTGGGACAAGGAAGAGTTCCACCTTCGCGAGGATCACAGAACTTTCCATCTGGGCACTTTTGACAGTCGGGCTGACCGGTCTCCTTGTTATAAAATCCTGGTTTACAATCTTGTTCATCTGCTGACCCTTCTGGGCATTGCATTGTTCTCCCGCACTTATTCCTAGCTGATTTGCTTCCAGCTGGGCAATAATAACCTTCTGTACATTCTTCACTCACGTCGGTTTGTCCGTCGGTCTCACAATAAAATCCAGGAGTACATTCTGTGCAGGAAGGATCGTCGTTGTATTCTGCGGCATTGTAGGAGCCCTTTTTGCATGGACTCTTAGAAGTTGAAGTGCTTCCTTTTTCGCAGTAATGACCTGCTTCACAAGGATTTTGATCGAAAGGAAGAGACGGTGGCGCTAGCTCCAGAGGATCAAATGAACTTCCAAATTCATCTATAGCTCCATACAACCTTGTTGAACCTTTGATATCACAGTTGAACTTTGCTGCGCATTCAGTTGTAGCATTTGGTTTTATATCAATTCCAGTTTCACCGCAAAAGTGGCCAGCCGAACATGGATAACAATCATCCTCGTTCTCAGCACCACGTCGATCTCGATAAGTTCCAAGAGGACATTTGATGGGATAAGTTATTTTCGAAACATCAGTATTATCGCAGAAAGTTCCGGGCTCACATCGACCTGTCAAAAGGAAGCCTCCAAGCTTAGTCGTTGATGGATTTCTTTTTGTTGCACCAGAAATGCAGGTGTATCCACTCTCACAATCTTCCATGTCAGCTATCGCAGCAATACCTCTATCAGGACAAGCTTTGCCATTTGGACATCTATCGCAGGAACTGACATTAACTTGCGCTTGAAGACCTAGCCAGGCGCCTTTCGGACACAAGGTCTGTTTAGCATTAGCGCAGTAGCTACCTTCTGGACATGGATCTGCAAACGGATCAGTGAAGTTTTTCACGCAGAGGAAACCATCAAGGCACATTTCGCATTCTGTCTGACCCTGTGATGGCTGGAAAGTGCCTTCAGAGCATTCTTTAGCTTCTGAACTGTCATCTGGACATTTTGACCCCGCAGGACATTGTTTGAAATCTGGTCGGTCCGCTTCTTTATCACAGTAGTATCCACCAAGACATGGGGTGTCGATATTGTTCAATGTGCCGCCGAGGCCAACTGCATCACAAACTTCATTTTCACATGGAGTGCACCCATCGATACTATCTTCAGATATGCCAAAGTTTGACGTGCCTCTATTACAGCTGATCGGATATCTGGAGATAGTCGCATTACAGAAGTGACCCTCAGGACATGGAAGAATGACAGATCCTATCTTGCATGCATCTCCTGCGCCGCAATCAACAGCATTTGTTCCATCACACTCATAACCTGGCGGGCAAGCGGTAGGAAAACGCGATCCCGACGGACAGAATGATCCAACAGAGCAACTTTCTTTAGAAATATCCGTGTTTCCACCTGCACAGTAGAAGCCGGCATCACAATCAAGAGCATTGGAAGTATCGATTGCTCCTTCTTCTGGACAAATTTTACCAGCAGGGCATGGGATGCAATCCTCAAGAGAACCTCCAGTCGTGTAGCTATTATAGGTTCCAGCAGGACAAAGAAGAGCTCCAGCGCTAGTACAATATTTTCCTTCTTCACAGTCTGTCACATTATCACCGCCATTACACTTGTAGCCTTTGTTACACGGAGAGCATTGAGTTGAACCGACTTCGATAGAAAATTGATTTTCTGGACATTCAAATGTAACTCCATTATTGCAAGCATTTCCTGCTGGGCAAGCTTCTTGAGCTTCAACTCTACTTCCCTCTGGGCAGTAGCTTCCATCGCCACAATTCTCCAGGTTATCTGTTCCTTGACCTGGGATGTTGCAATAAGACCCTTCAGGACATGGTTTGCAATCATCGGCTTGAGCTGCTCCTTGTGATGGGCCATATTTTCCAACAGGGCATAGATTTTGACCCCCAGGCGGATCTGAAATAGCACCATAACCAGGACAGTACTTTCCGTAAGGACATGTTTCTCTGATCGATTTTCTCTGCCCGTTCGAGTCAGCATCTGCGTAGAAGCAAGTAAAACCGCTTTCACAGGGATCACAACTTGCTTGCCCTGGTCCAGAATAATGAATAGGCTCACATTCCAAATAGATTGAACTTCCGACGGGACATCTGAAACCTGTCGGACATTGTCTTTCAGTTCCTCTTGACGATCCTTTTGGACAGTAGTATCCTGGATTGCATACATACGATGAGCTTATGTCTGAAAAACTAGCAAGAGGTGGATCCCCATCAACGCGTTGTGGGCAATAATATCCCTCTGGACAATCGTAGCATTCATCCGCTGATTTGAGTCCGAGACGATCAGTCCAAGTTCCTTCAGGACAATGCGCTTTTCCGACACCAGGCGCGCAGAAATATCCAGCTGGGCATCTCACAGTAGCATTCGCACAATCGTAGCCTGCCGGACACTGGCTATCAGCAGTCATTGCTTCATATGGACAATCTCCTGTACAATCGATGCAGTCATTTTCAGTTTTGGCACCTTGAGATGGATTATAGGTTCCCGGAGGACATGGTTTTCGTTGATTTCCATCTTCACAGAAGTATCCAGCGGGACAGATAGCGGCATCATCGATGTATCTACCGGATGGCTGAGCAGCATCACCAAGCTGTGTGCAGAAGTATCCAGGCTCACATTCATTGGTTGTATTGAGTATGCCGGTTCGATCGCAGAAGTAACCTTCTGGGCAAGTAAAACAGTCCTCTTCGGTGACGCCATATTTAAGATCTCTGTAATAGCCAAGATTTGAGCTTCCACAAGTATTTTCTTCGCCGTTCTGACAGTATTTGCCTTCATCACAAGGCTCTGGAATAATTTGCTGATTATCACACATGAAAGCATCGGGGCAATCAATGCACTCGCTAGATCCTTCAGTTGGAGAATACGTTTTAGCATCGCATGCTTCTTTTTCTCCGGTGTTACTGCAGAAACTTCCCGGCGGACAAATGATTGAAGTTGCTTCGTAATTCGGCTGAGAATCAGGACAGTAGTAGCCGTCATCACAGATGCTTGAAGAACTTTGAGTTGTGCCGACACCTGGACAATATCGTCCATTACCACAGTTTTTACAGGCGACTGACTCATCTGATTGATTGAACTGGTCATTATATGTTCCCATATTACACGGTTGCGGGTAGACTTCAGTGGAATTACAGAAATGACCTTGTGGGCAGTCGGACTCATTACTTGTTGGAGCACAATAAGACCCATCAGGACATGTTGTCGGAGTTGATGGGTCCAAGCACTCCATGCCAGGAGGACAAAGTAAAGGCAGTGTTGAATTAGCAGGGCAGAATTCTCCAGCTACACAAGGTGTTTCGGAATCTGCTCGGAAACAGCTCGTTCCAGCAGAACACATTTGAGGTAAGAAATTAGTTCCACCTTCACAATAATGACCTGGACGGCATTTTTCGCAGGCATTTCTTGATGTTCCACGATTATTATCATTGAACTCTCCAGGACTGCATTCTTTTGGAGGTCGTCCTCTTTCACAGTAACTGTTATCAGCGCATTCATTGAGGGTGATTTTATCATTACAAGAAAATCCTTTCGGACATGAGAAACAAGTGCTTGTTCCAGTGAAGGGACTGATGGTACCATCTCTGCAATCTGCTTCTGGCTGGCCGGATGAGCAATATTTTCCTTCTGCACAAATGTCTCCCTCTCCAATCCCAGGACAGGATGCGTCTGGAGCGGCATGATCTGATCCTGCGTTGCAATTATAACCAGCCTCGCAACGGGATGAGCTAGAAAGACCGATTGTGTTGCAGTATTTTCCAGCCTCACATGTTTTGCATGTAGCACTTGTAAGAGCACCTGATGCTGCATCGTGATATGTTCCTGGATCACAAGGAACAGGGTAAATATAATCAGGAAGAAGAGTTTGTTCGGCGCAGAACCAACCGTCATTGCAGTTTTCTGGGCTTGTTCGTCCAAGATCGGAAAATGGACAATCTTGGCCAATACCGCAAGCAATGCAACTATCCTTTCCAAAATCAGGTTGATAAGTACCTTCAGGACACGGTATGTACATTGACATTTCTTGTGTCGGACAGTAGTGACCTTCAGGACATTCGAATTGCTCTCCATCAATACAATAAAAGCCAGCTGGGCAAGATTGCAAGTCATTGTAATCGCTAAGTGGATCCGTGGTCCATTCACAAAGCTTTCCTGCTGGACACAGTTGACATTCTTCTTGACTGGTTAGTCGTTCTCTATCAGACCAAGTTCCTTGAGGACAAGGATTGATATCACCTCTGCTCTGCAACTCTAGACAGTAATAACCGGCTGGACAGGGTTCTTCTCGTGTTGATGTACTGTCTGCAGGACAGTAATAACCAGCTTCACATGCCTTATCTGCAGCGGTGTTACCATATCCGGGACAGGCGTAGCCCTCTGTGCATGGGAGGCAGTCTGTGTCGGCATCTTTTCTTTCGAATTGATTATAAGTTCCCGGTTCACAAGCAACTGGATAAGGAGATCCTACAGGGCAATAATAGCCTTTGGGGCATTCATATTCGACGTTGGTTTGTTGAGATTGGCCGTCAGGACAGTAGTAACCAGCGGTGCATGCTGTTTTATGAGAAGCATCGATTTTGCCACTACCAGAACAAGCAAATCCGGCTGGGCATAAAACACATTCATCAGCGGACGCGAAGGGGCCGTTTTCTTCAGGCCCATATGCAGGGATCCGAGATTTTGTCGTCTGGACGATCGCGCACCTAGCGCTTCTCTTCAGCGCGCGATAATGATTTTCGCTGCTAGGCGCGCAGCGCGAAAAATTCCCATCGGCGGGCTGGATTAGTCAAAAATATGCCGATGGGTTCCCTGCGCCCTCGCGCTTCAAGAGCGATGATTTTTCATCGCGGTGGGCCCGAGAGCGCGATAACTTATTTTCGGTCACCCTGGCTGCGCGCGACATTATATTTTCGCCCATGAAAATTTGAACATGGGGGGACCCCTTGATACTCGATAAAACACTGTGATTTTGGAGTAAGCTACACGATTAAACGATGGCGCGTGGTGTTTAGCCAAAATTTGAAGGAGAAAAAAACATTTACAGTCGGAGTCCAAAATAAGGGACACCAAGATAAGGGACTTTTTGGCTCAAAATGCCGAAAATAACCGGCAGAAAATAATCTAATTTAAGGGACTTTCTGAGATTAGTAAGCTTTTCGGTTAGTTGAGAGCCGATAAGTAGTATCAATAATTTTGATTTTAACCAGTTATGCCGCAAACTGAAGTGATTTGTCTTTCAGTATTTGGTTTCTTCTTTCAAAAATACCATCAAAGCCACAAAAAACAATGAATTTAGCTCATTTGGCCGCAAAAAATATACTCTGAAAAAATTTTGCAGCGACATATTTTTTGCTTTGATGACCCAATTTAAGGGACTTTTTTTGAAAATTTTGGAGCAAAAAAAGTCCCTTATTTTGGACTCCGACTGTATAAGGAGATTTCGATATATTCAATATAATTTTTATGAAATTTTCGAAATCTGCATGTTCAAAAGCCAATAAAAAGATATTTTTCAGTCAGAAATTGGCTTAACATCAGAATCCAATTACTGTAAAAATTTTTCTTTTGAAAAATAGTCAGATTTTACGGATATTTCCGATGCCAAGCGCCACTGTCAGCGATTAGCACAACTTATTTGTAGGCAACGTTGCGGGAGGTTAGTACAAATTTGCATTTTGTTTGTCGGCTCTCTTATGAGGAGATGAACAACTTAGTCGAATTTAAGTGTTAACAATTGTTAGGCATTTATGTGACATCCATAAATTGAATTTTCAAAAAAATCTGTCAACTAAGTCAGCAATCTCACGCTGATCATTTGATTCGTGCGCCGACTAGGTCGGCAAAATGGAAACCAAGCGCCACCATCGCACTCCCGCTCGGCAGATTTTCGACCCTTTTGAAGCGTGTGAGTATTATTTATCGGCTTCATAGGGCTGCGCGATCGAAAGTCATCGCCCCCACGCCGAGAGAGCGAGTTTATACCATCGCGCTTGAACGCTGCGCATTTGAGCGCGCGAGTATTTTTGTCGGCCTGATAGGGCTGCGCGATCGAAATTCATCGCCCCATCACCGAGAGAGCGAGTTTTTGCTATCGCGCCTAAACGCTGCGCATTTGAGCGCGCGATCGGAATTTTAGCTCCTGCGCGATAACTCAAATCGCGCCTGAAAAGTGGGCGATCGTCCAGACGACAAAATCTCGGATCCCTGCCCATATGTTCCTTCGGGACAAAGTTCTTGAGTCAAAGTTGAAGACCCGCTTGAGCAGTATTTTCCTGCCGGACATTTCTCTGGTTCAGTTTGATTGTTGTCGCAAAAGTATCTCTCTGGGCAAGTATTACAGATCGATTTGCCGTCCTCTGTTTGAAATTCGCCAGCTTGACAGTTATTTTCACTTCCATCGCTACAAGAGCTACCAGCAGGACATCTTTTGAGCTTATCTGTATAGCTTGCTTCTTCACAAATGAAACCCTTAGAGCATTGAACTCCTCCACCGCTGTTGTCGATCTTTACTCTATCTGCTGGGCAGTATGTCTTTTCAGGACACTTTGAACAGTCGTTAACAGTTTGTCCTTGTTGTTGAGATCGCCAGTATCCTTCAGGGCACTCGATAGCAATCGGTGTGCCGGCTTCACAATAGGCACCGGTAGGGCAAGGTTCCCCTTGATCATCTACTGATCCGGCGCCACAAAGAGCTCCAGCACTACAGTCGGAGTAAATTTCAACATTCGATTCGCAGTATTTTCCAGGTGGACACTGAAGCTCTGTTTCAGATCCTTCAGGACAGTAATGACCCTCTGTGCACGGCTCAGTTTCACTTGAGCCAAGAAGACAGAAGCTGCCGCCAGGGCAAACTGTCACATTAAAAGTCGTCATTCCGGAGTCGGCACAAACAAACCCAGGTTCACAAGGAACACAATCCTCATCAGAGAGCATTATTCCGCCAAAATATGTGCCTGGTTGACAATCACCATTTGGCTCAGCAAGTTCGGCAACAGCACAGTATTGGCCGGGAGAACATGGATAAGCGTCAATTTGTCCAGTTTCATTTTGAAAATAACCAGCTACTGTCTTTGAACAGTCAATAGTTCCTTCTATCGCAGTAAATGTTCCTACACTGCAGCTTTGCGCAAGTCCAGCTTTGCAATATTCTCCTGGTTGACACTGCAACCCAACAGGAACTGGAGAGTCTATGCCAGAACCATCACAGTGGTAGCCATTCGAGCATTCTTTCGCGTCGGATAAAGTTGTGGCAAGCAATGGGCAATAAAGACCTTCAGGACAGTTATCACAGGATCCTGAAGATGTGCCTCGTTTTCCGTCGTTATATTTTCCAGGCTCACATGGCTGTGGATTTGGTTTCGTTGGATCACCCTCGCAATAGTACCCCTTTGGACACTGCCCACATCTGTCTTGATAAATTGGATCATTTCGACTAGGCAAATCGTCACTTAATGGATTACAGCTTCTGGTGTCGATTGGTGATGCCGACGCCGCTGCAGATCTTGAAAAATAGCCAGGAGAAATATCCGATCTGATATTGTTATTGCAAGACTTTCCATGCTCACAAACGCTACATTGCGAAAAGTCACTAAATCCAGTTTTTCCAGTGGCACCGTATGTTCCACCAAGACAGGTTGTTTGAGATGCAGTTGGATTATCAACCGATGGTGGTCCTAGGCAAACAGTTCCTTCGTCACAAGCAGTTGGCTCAGTTAGATTTGTGGTCGGACACTTGAATCCATTAGGACAAAGCAAGCACTCACTTCGACCGATTTCGTCATTGAAAAACGCTAGATTGCATTGTTCTTTTAGTCCATCGGTGCAAAACGAGCCCGCATCACATTCATCACCGGGCTGATCTCCGTCGCGTGTGAAATCATCAGGGAACGGATTTGGTCGCATCGCTAGTTTATCACAATAAAAACCGTCAGCGCAGGTCCCTGTTGAAGAATCTTGTCCTCTGCCTTCGCAATATTCTCCAGGCAAGCAGTCCAAGCATTTATCTTTGCTGTCTAAGCCTGTTATTGGATTGTATGTTCCGTAATCGCACTCATAAAGTTGCGTAGCTCCTACAGGGCAATAATGACCTACTGTGCATTTCTTTCCAGTAGTATCGGCAGTGACACTGTTTTCGTCAGCTCCAGGGTTAGGAACATTTGCGCCGGATTCACAGACAAAACCGCCGTTGCAACTCCGATCATTACTGTCAATGATATCAAGAGCAACTTCATCGCAGTAGTGGCCTCTTGGACAGAAGACACACATTGCATCTGTCGATGCTCCTTTCTGTGAAAGATATTTTCCAACTCCACAGTGATGCTCTGGCTCGATTTGACTGATTGTTCCGATGGATCCGAGTTTTGTTGAAATTTCACCGACGCCGTTAGAAATGTAGCAGTGATAGCCAGCATCGCATAAGATTGGCTCAAGCATTCCTAGACTTGGGCATTGAAAACCAGGGGGACAAGGCAAGCAAAATTCTTTTCGATCTTGAGGTTGATAGGTTCCACGAGGACAAGGAATTGGAAGATCTGATGCTTCTGGACAGTAGTGTCCCTGTGGGCAAGGATCTTGACACTCGTGATAAGCACCTTTGTCGGGTGATTCTGGCGTTGCACCTTCACAATAACACCCTGCGATACATGCACCAGTTACAGAGGGCTTTCCTGGCTCGGAACAGTAGTATCCTGGCGTGCAAACTTCACAATCACTGGCGTCAACTTGTTCTGTGGAGTTTGAGAAGGTTCCTGGTGGGCAACCCCAGGGTTCGTAAGTACCAGCTGGGCAGTAACCACCTTGTGGGCAAACATATCCTCCCTCTGCTACAACTTTTGGATTAGAAACAGAAGCTCCAGGGCTTGTTCCTGGACAGACGTAACCAGGATCACAAGGGCCTCGAGGTTGTAAGAGTCCAACTGAATCGCAGTAATATCCCTTTGTACAGTCGGTGCACTCGTCTGCTTTTACTAGATATAATTTTTCACCAAATGTTCCAACTGGGCATGGAACAGGCTCTCCGACAGCTGCTGGGCAGTAAAACCCAAGAGGACACGCAATCATTTCTGGGGATCCTTGAGGACAATAATATCCTTCTTCGCAAAAGTTACAATCATCTTGTGTTTCGCCACCACGTTCATCTAAATATGTTCCAGGCTTACATGGGACTTGTTGGGGTCCATATGATCCGATAATATCAGGTCCGTAAGTCATGTTACTGGTACCAGTTGCGGATGTTTTATACGGATTTTCGATGTCATCCGGGCAATAGAAACCCTTGTCGCAAAGAAAATTTGTATTGTAGTACCACGATGCCTCCTGGCAAAAATAGCCAGCTGGACATTTTTTACAATCAGAATTTCCAGAAGAATCTCTTAGTATGAATTTGCCCTTTTCTGACTGAATTGTTCCTGGAGGACATGCGATGGGTTCTTCGATGTTATCTGGGCAAACAAAGCCTCGTTCGCATTCAAAAGTGTCGTTTTGATCAATTGTCCCTTCTTCACAAATCCGACCACCAGTGCAAAACTGATTAAGCATTGTCTCAAAAGATGTTCCAGGATCGATGCAGTAGTATCCTTCCCAGCAAATTTCACAAGAAGACCAACCTTCTTTGCTATAGAATCCAGGCGGGCAATCTGCAGGAAAGACTGTCCCAGCGCCACAGAATTGTCCAGCAGTACAAGTTTCGCAGTCACTCTTTGCCGTATTTCCAGTCGTATTATAGTACGTTCCGAATGGACATGGCACTGGTTGAGCAACCCCTTGCTCGCAGAAATTTCCAGCGTCACAGGGTAGACACGCATTTTCATCTACCTGTAGAAAGTGTGGTTGATAAGTTCCGGCGTCACATGGGTTTTCATTTTTTGATTGCGTTCCGGCAGGACAGTAATGACCCGGTGGACAAGGACCAGTCGGGACACTTGAGCCGAATAAGCAATAATATCCTTTTGGGCATATTGTGCAGTCAGTAGCGTCTTCCAAGCTTGCATTTGTAGAATAAGTTCCAGCCGGGCAGGGAAAAAGACTTCCATGAGTTGAGCCTTCAGGACAGTAGTATCCAGGGTTGCAGTCCATTCGCACAGCTGCTACTTTCGATGTCATATCCTGGGGAGACTCAAAACCAGTGGCAACTGGACAGTAGAACCCAGCTGAGCAGGCTTTACAGTCTTCGACCTTCGTCATTCCAGTTGAAAACTGTTGAGTACCCGCTGGGCATGGATATTGATTTTCTGAAACAGTTCCTTTTGGACAATAATGACCTTCTGGGCAAATATTCAAAGCACTTGCGGCCTTAACGATAGCGGGTTCAGGACAATACCTCCCTTCCTCGCATGGATGACATTCCCCTTCATCTGAAAAACCGGTTTCACCAGGAAGTACATAAGTTCCTGCTGGACAAGGAATTTGTCTAGTTGCAGGATAATTTTCAGAACCGGCTGGACAATAATATCCAGCCGCGCAAAGAGTGCAAGAACTAGGATTCTGGGTGGGGTTTAATCCATTGCCAGTGACATAATATCCAGCGGGACATTTTTCACGGAAGCCGATTTTCTCTCCTTGTTCACAGAAAAAACCATGGGGACAAGGTTGCTCTATCGTTGATCCTGCGGGACACCATTTTCCTTGGCTACATTCACTACAATCTGATTCATTTTTTCCTCCAGTTGTCGTTCTCATAGTTCCTGGTGGGCACGGATGAGCTCGGCATGATGAATTTTCGTCATCAGGACAAAAATATCCTGCTGGGCAATCGTCTCTTGTTGTCGAGCCTTCTTTTTCAGTACAAAATCCTTTTCCAGCTTTCAAGCAATTTTTCCTCGATGTCAAAGAAGGAGTGCTCGAATATGTACCAGCAGGACAAGGAGTCTCGAAATAAGACCCTTCAGGACAATAATTACCCGGAGTACAAGGGGTACCGTTTTCTACGCCAGTCTCACAAAACTGACCCGCGGGACAGAATTTACATTCGGACCCGGAGTCAGGAATCATACCCAACGGACAAAAGAGAGGTGCATCAGTATTTCCTGGGCAATAGCGATCAGTTGGACACGCAACACATGCTCCGTTAGCATCTCGGTACTGTCCTGGACTGCAGTATATTATATTTCCACTTGAATCACATGATACGCCAAAACCACATTTCGTACAATGAAGCTCGCCTTCTTGGGAATATTGTCCAGTTGGACATGGATCTTTCTTCGTCTGGTCAGTGCAATAATGACCAGCTGGACAGACCGTGCAAACCGCCGCGCCAGCAACAGAATAATGTCCATCAGGGCATCTTATTTGACTCGTTTCGGTGGTATCAGGACAGTAATAGCCAGCTTTGCATGAGCGGCATAAGTGATCTCCAACAGAACTGTACGTTCCAGGCGTGCATTTAGTAAGAACACCTTGCAGAGTACATGCAAATCCAGCAGGACATGGTTGGCAAAAAGCTTGGCCTCCTTTGGAAAAAGTCCCTTGTTTGCAAGCTTGTTCCACATTCGGATGCGGGCACTCAGAACCTGCAGCACAGGGAGTGCATGCACCTCCTCCTGTGGATTTTTCACCAATCGGACACGGTACTGGAGATCCAGAGCTGCAGTCAGATCCAGAAGGACAAGGCAAACAAAAAGTGCCATCAATGTATCCATTGGGGCAACTAACACAAGCACTTTGATCTGTATTCGGCACTTTACCATTACCACAGGAACTGCAAGACGCTGCACCAGCAGCAGCGACTTGATTATCTGCGCATCGTGTGTAAGTGTTCGAATCGCAAGAATGACCAGCAGGACAGCTTTGACAACCGCCACTATCAGTAATGTACTCATCATCATTGCATTGGACCGCTCTTCTTGATCGATGATGATCATGACCTGGTGGAAACTCACATTCTTCGACTCCATGAAGACCTAGAGCATCATCAGGACACTCGAGGACAAGATGAGGTTCTGGACAGAAATGTTTCACGGGACAAATTAAGCATTCTCCTGAATTGTGCGTGGAATAAAAGCCTCTGTCGCATTTTTTCATCCATTCTCCAACACATTTGTAACCAGCTGGGCAAAATTTGTGATTATTGAAGTCCCATCCCAAGCCAGGAGGGGGACCTCTTATCTTTTCCTTTCTTCCGTTTTTGCATCTTATTCAACTTTATTCAAAGAAAAAATAAGGCTCTACTCACTTGAATCCTTCAGGACAAGGGACGCATTCAAGAGTTTTAATGTTTATAATTTCATCTTCTTTGCAAAGATCCATCAGATTTCTCGCTGCTTGACCAGAGTCAAAAAGCAGCAAGATAATCCCTAGCCTTCCCATTTTGCTTTATTTCGGGAAGAGGGTTTCTCTCGTTTGAAAAATCTCTTTTAATTCTTTGATTTTTTTCTTATTGAAGACGTCTGTTTGAAAAGAGAGAGTAGGAATAGTTTTTCTTTGTTGCTAGGCAGTTCTATTTGTCGATGAATTCGAAATAATAGGGAACCGTCGAGAAAGAAGGTAATTATCAAATAAAAGAATTTCTGCGCAAACAGATAGATGCAGATCATTGTCGAGTTGTTTATCAAGTTCTCACTTATGCTTCTGATTGTTTCCTGCAGTGAAATCAAGGAAGATTCTGGTGCAAATAAATTTTATTAGAAATCTCTTTTGCATTTTGAGCGAATAGGTAAAAGGTTGAAAGACAGAATTATGAAAGAAAATGTTCTTTTGAGCACTTAGTTGATTGGCAGCGGCACTCCCTTGGACTTGTACTCGTTCACCTAGTAATCAAGTTTATCAATTACAGTCTCGGACCGAATTTCTCACCAGGCGGGACTCTTGGGATCCCTCTCGTGGAGTGAGCCTCAACCACGTGTACACCAGTTCGGATTCGCGCATCCCGAAGAAAGTATCATATCCACCTCTGTACTCGTCATCAGCAAAAATCTTTCAAAAAAATAGAAATAAAAGATTGAAAAATTTCAGTACCTGTGGAGCTAGAATTGGAGGTTGAACTGTATCGGGAATCTTTTCAAGCATTCTTTTTCTGTTGCTTGGTCCTCCAGCGAGGTCGATTACTGTATGTTCTATCTAAAGATATTTTAGTCAATTGATAAATATAGGTTTCATATCCTACCTTTTGACCTTGAAGATACATAATAATCTCATCACACTTCTTTTTCATCGATAAATTAGCACTCAAACTTGTCGTGTAAACCGTAATCATTCTAAAACACAATCGATTATTTCTCTTTCTTAGCAATAAAATTTTTGAATATCCAAATTATTTGAAATTTGGTTCTCTTGGAATTTGCTCAGTGATTCATCGACAATATCTTCTGAAGAGGGTCTCGCTCTTCTCGTTTAGAGCTTACAAAATATGTAACATGGGTGCTATTGTTTGTCCCTCGACAGGTGTTTCTCTGAATAATCTATCTGAAGCGCTGTTTTTTTCTGAAAAAATAAGTAGCTTATTCTTTCGAGGAAATGAACCGAGCGCTCGTTTGAGGATTTATAATTAGCGGGAGCTTTTTTTCTCAACTTGAATTCATTCAACCGGCTTAAATATCTTAAAGACCCTGAAGCAAAAACTTAACAAGAAGAGGGACGACGTTAAAAACGGAAATTACTCAGCCCTGAATATATTTCGTCTTGATGGCAATTTTCGAAGACAAATTGATAAAAATTCAAGTGTCTGCACAAAATGTTAATGTTCTCATAAATTAGCTGCCCATTAACATCTGGCATCAATAAATAATCGTTAATTTTTTGCCTTCCTTTCAAACCACAATCACCAGTTTGAGCTTTTTTTTTTTTGAAAGAACTAAGCGAAAATTAATTCGTTTTTAAATCACTGTCTAAAATTGAATGGGACGGCCCCGGTACCGGCGAAATTTCCGGCGGTATTGGATGGCGGACGTGCGCAATTACGAGTCTAATTGCATGTCGAATTGGCGTTAAATTCGCTTCGGTCCTCATTCTTCTTCTCAGTGCATGGGAAAGAGGCTCTTTCCCCGTCCCAGCTCTTTCAAAGAGCTGGGACGGGGAAAATCGCTGCTCGGTGGTGGTGGAGGAGCCTAGGCCGCGGGGCATCTCAGCGCTACCGCCGCCCTCGTCCAGCCTCGGCCCGGCCGCCAATCACGCCGAGCCTAACTACCTGAATAGACCGTAAAACATAAGCAAAACATTTATGAATGAGAGAGATGCGATCTCTGAGAAGACCAAGGAAGGATAACATCGATAAATTTCAGCTGAAATCATAGAGGAGTACCCTAATCAAGAGGAGAAAAGCGCCTGTCAAATGTTACGAAGGCTAAGAAAGGTCAATCTGGTTAGTTTTTTCCTTCAGTTTCTGTTTCAAAACGCTAAAGGATGATAAAAAAACCGAACAAAGGTTTTCAGAAATCATGATTCGTAATAGCCAATAATTTAGCTCATTCAAATAGGTCTTATGCTCCAGAAACAAGAAAAACTTAGCCAGTGAAAAATAAACACATGAAATTAATGGTCGTTAAATAATCTGGTTTCTCATCGTTTTCTTCTTTTCGGAAGAAGATTTATTAGCCAGGCGCTAATCGTTTACGGTACCGAATGAAGAGAGAACGTTTTTCGCGAAATCAAAAATGCGTTGTTATCTTTCACCAAGTCAACTTTGTAAAAACCTCGTCACACTTTTTGCCATCGCCGTCGTCTTCCAACTCACGAGATTATTAACAGACGAGCTCGATGCAGAAACGAAGCCTCCACAGAGTTCCTCACTCACTGCCTCAGGAAGCCACAAAGAATATGTCAGGGTTATGCCTGGCGCATCGCCGGACAAGTCCGGAAAGTACTCCATCCATCGTTTTTACAAAGCGGAAGGTTTTGGCAGTCATATGAAGGCTAAAGATATCACCATGGTTTCACATGTCACGATTGATAAAATGCACCTTCTGTTTTGGGGCTCGAATTTTTATTTGCTTATCAGGGCGTGGTCCTTATCCTTTATTTAAGGGGAGTCCTCAACAAGATTATTGACGAAATTTCTCTCTTCAATTATGAATTTCGAAAGAAACAAGCCAAATTGTAAAGCCGCAGTGCGGCTTTTTCACGATCTTACCTTTTTCTCGAAACATGAAAGTAACGCTGAATGCCCAAAAAAGAGAGTGATTAATTATTCGAGCCCGTCGAAAGATGGAAATGTCTGAACGCTGGGATGGACCGATGTCAGTATCAATTTTCGCACCTGGCCTTGATGCGAGTTTTGCTGATGATGCGATCGACGGCTTACGACTCTGCTGGCCTGTTCTCAGAGAGTTTATGACATTTCATCTTGGTATAAAAATTAAGGATGATCGATGATCAGCTTATTATTTTAGTGTATCCAACCGATACGCCGGCAAATATGACAAATACAGGCACATTCGCGTACCTTTCTTGTAAGGACATTACGAGGCGATTGATGACGCAGAAATCTGTCATGCAAACGGACGAAAACCTCGCGTACAATATTCAGTATCCTCACAATCTACTGCGGAACATCGCTAGAGAAGGCGCTCTAACTGAATTCGACCTCGGTACGAAACGCAAAGCGAAACTCTTTTAAATAATTTCTCAGTTGTCGACGCGGGCATGATTCCATCGGACAATCTTCGTCCACTTTTCATCGAATTCGCAAGAGTAAATGGGCTCTTTTCGAAAGTTGGAGAGGACGAAACTCCTCAAAACATTGCATACGTTCTACCTACTTACGAAGTTCGGTCGGAGGTCCGGCTCCCCTATACGAAGAAAGAGCTCCAAGGTAAAAATTCAAATCTCAAATCCCTTATCAAAACTGTCATTACTGGCAAAAGTACCAGTGTAGAAGATGCCATTTTGCCGAAGATTTTCAAAGAAGAGATTTTAATAATAATTAACCTAGGACTTGTAAACGATAAAAACGCCCGAATTCTGATGCAAGAAACTTGCTGGTTCTGCCAAAAAGCCACCGACTACGATAGATGGATTGCAGAATCTGCACAAACAGACTTTGGTGTTTCTTATCCAGTGCCATTTACGAAAACTTGGATGCCATTTTTCATTTCTAAAAGAAAAACAACGCCGAAATTCGACGAGAACTTTTACTACTACGGATACGATCGGCTGATACAAGTAGATTTCATTTTCTTTTCGTCCCTTTTTATTTGGATTTTTCAGATCTGCGAGATGAAAATTTCCAGCTTTTCTTTTCAAGTTCTATCTCAAGGATTTCTCGTCTCGAGGGGCTACAAAGTAAAGGCATCTCTATCAGCAGAAGAAAAACGAGTCAGGGATGACTGGAAAGAGTTCAAAGCGGACTTCCAAAAAGCGCTAGAAAAACATGGACACACTGATGAGGCGTATCAACAGTGTTAGGCACGCGGTCTTGAAAAAAAAGCTAAATCGTTACGTAAGATGAAATCAAGGAAGAGTACCCCCTTCCGCCCAGAGAAAAAAGATTTGCGATGGCCGGGAATCGAACCCGGATCTAATGCTTGGAAGGCATCAATGCTGACCATTACACCACCAACGCTTGGGAGCGCCTCTGTTTATTTTGAATATAATTCACGACCGCGAAAAAGACTTTCAAAAAAAAAAAACGCCTCTCTACAAGTAGAGGTCGCTAAAAATGAATACTTATTTAATTTTACTACACAAATCACCGCCACTGTCAATACGATGATGTAAATATCCAGCTATCTTCAAAATTCGACCATTCAACGATGGGAAAATATATATCCGCAAACTTTAGAATACTGATTAATTATGTTTATTTTTAATTTAAATTTTGTCTTTCATCAATTTTCACACCATTTTCTTCAAAAAAGGTCACCTGCTCGGCCAAAAACAGCCACGACCAAAACCACCATTGATTCTATTTCTCAAGCGAATCCTACTATTTTATACTTTCTGTAAAACAACTCGTCAAATCGTCAAAAATGCACCGTATTTATAAATATGCACTATGATATTTAGTCTTATTGTTTTCTGTACTTTTGAACATGAATAAACAAAAATATAAAAATGACGCTGTTTCTTACAAAAATATATATTCAAAGGTTTAGTTAGAAAATGAACTCAAGCAGAAACCAGTCAATTCGTGAAGAAACTTCATCAGTTATTGCTAGGGTCCAAAAACTGAATAGTCAGTTGTGTTTACTTCCTTATTCCTCGTCGCTTGCTTCGTCTTTTTCTACAGTTTCGACATCAGCGATTTCAACGGTATTCTTTCGGAAGAAAAAGTACCACACACCAGCGCCACCAAGGGCCACAGCAGCTGTGCATCCAAACGTCAACCCAAGGATCAGAGCCAAGTTTGGACCTTCATCTTCTTCTTCTGTCGTTTCAGTTTTTAGTGGCTCCCCCGTTGTGCCAGTAACTGGTTCTTCAGTTGTCGTATTTTGTCCTCCGTCTCCACTGGACTCTCCAGACCCCTCTGGCTCCTGGGTCGTCGTTGGTTTTGTACTAGGCTGTTCAGGGGACTCGGATGTGGTCGTTTCCGTATTAGGGTCTTCAGTACCTGGAGCATTAGTTTCCTGAGGAGCTTCTGTGCCAGGATTTGATGGTTCTTTCGTGGCAGTAGCACCTGTAGAAAATTCAGGATCGGTGACAGCTTCTGTTCCAATTTCTGTTTCCTCTGTATTAACAGATTCAGACGTCTCAGGTTCGGGTGTCGTTACTATTTTTGCTCCAGTTGTTACAGTTTCATCTGTAGGTTCAACGTCCGCAGCTGTAGAATAAAATTCAGGCTCAGTTGTAAGGAAAGCGTGTGCACCTATCAGCCCGAAAAGGATCTAAAAAATATAAATAAAGCCATCAAAAATTTAAATTCTTACTAAAATCTTCATGGTGACGGTTTGGTATGCGTGTGTTCAGAAGAAGATGATCCTGTTTTATAGAGCTTTCGGTTTGTTTACTGTTACCATGGCGGAAATCGGAAAAGCAGGTACCGCATATGCAGGCGACATCTTTAACACTTTCACATTCCCATAAAAACGCAATAACTCTCTCAAAATCAACTGAGTGCGACCCTGTCACAACGGCGCCGCATCTTGATTTTCACGATACTGTCTGAAGTGAAGTGGGTACTACTTGTGTTGGGGTAATAAAACACATACTATTACCTTGAATATTCAAGTGAATTACAACAGTAGTCTCCCATTCCAACTATTCATTCATGAATTTGTCTTTGCCAACACTTCGCCGGGTCGTTAGTCGCGGCAGATATGGTATCAATCAACCAGTAACTGACACAATATCGTATTTTATAACGCCGGAAAGTAGTACTGTCACAAAAACGCCATGAAACACGGATGCAATAAAAGAGTCCTGCCATTTTCTTCTTACGAAACATCTTCCTTCCTAGGAATATTTCGATCTCGTTTCCAAAACAAGGAAGTACAATAAAATGTTATTGAATTTATCCGACTGAAAAAAGCACTATTGTATGAACTTCTGAATTGCTTACTCCGAGTAAGTTACTCGCCTGAAAGGGTCTCACCTGTAGAATCTAAAATCGGCCCGCTAAAACAACAAGAATGAAGAAAACAACGCATTGTGATGTGTGAATTTTTCCATGGTTTTACAAAAATATATATTCAGAATAGCTAAACACGCTGAACTCTTGCAGAAACCAGTCAATTTAAAAGCAAAACTTCATATGTTTTTGCTTGAGTCCAGAAAGAGAGTCGCTGTTCAGTCATCTTTTTGATCATTTTTGGTTTGTGTCTCCTCTCTTTCCTCTTCTTTGTCCTCGGTCTTATCGTCTGACTCTTCTTTTTTCTCATCGATTTCTACCATTTCAACATCTGCAACTTCAACAACGTTCTTTCGGAATAAGAAGTACCAAACTCCGAAAGCGCCAATGCCAACAGCAGCAGTGCATCCAAAAGTCAGGCCAAGAATTAGACCCAAATTTGGTCCATCGTCGGCGTCCTCGGCCGTAGTAAAATCTTCAGTTTCTGGTGTTGTGGTTGGTTTAATGGTGGTTGTAGTATTTGTTTTACTGGTGGTTGTAGACGTTGGTTTAATGGTTGTTGTAGGAGTTGGTTTATTGGGGGTTGTAGACGATGGTGTATTAGTGCTTGTAGCAGTTTCAGTAGTGGTCTCTACGCCGTCACCAGATCCTGCACCTGAACCTTCAATCAACATGATCTCATCTTCAAGTCGGAATTGGAAAGCATGTGCGGCTATGAGCCCAAAAAATAGCTAAAAAATATTTTTAAATAGTCAACAAACAAATCTCTTACGAAAATCCTCATGGTATTGGTATTTGGGAATGCTTCTGTCAGCAGGAAGGGGTCTTATTTTATAGACTCCAATTTGTTTACTGTTACCATGGGCAAAATTCGGAAAGTCAGTACCGTATCTCCGGCGTTTAAGACTCTCAGAAGTTCATAAATAAATAGATTTTGCTCGCTCATTTTGAGAGCCCTTCTTTCAGCCTCAAATGAGTGAAGATTTGCGACAATTTAATGATGAGCTTACCGTTTGTTAGGTTTTACTACACCCGCTCTTTAGGGGGAACTACCAGCGCAACCCACTGTAGTAATTCTTTGAGTGTATTCAATACAGTCTTTCAAAATACAACTTCTGGTGTCCCCACTTGGCCACTAATTTATTGGCAATAAAAGTGACTATTTGGGCTAGACCATCCCGAATGTGAATTTATAGCCAAAAAATTACAGCATAAGTTTGAATTGCAAATAATTCTGAGTAGGGCTTAGCTGATAACTCAGCTCCTTCTCCAAACTGACTCCAGAGAACGCATTTTTCTTGCGAAATTGTCCTACGACTATTTGTCGCATTGTCTCCAAAACAAGCAGGCGATAGTATAGGCAAACAATCTCAACTGGACACAAATACCGTAAGAAAAAGTATAAGAATGTGGACTGTGGATTGACCATCGTGGGATTTTTCATGTTTTCTCTTCAGATTCTTATGGCTTAGTAGCTCAAGCTCAAGTCAACCAAAAAGTCTGCTTCAACATCAAAAATATTGAATCGAAACATTATGAAACATAATTTATGTTTATTCCAGAAAAGGATCGGGTTAGGGTTAGAATATCGGATTTCCAAGGAGATATTTGGATTAGGGTTAACCCGGTTAGGCCATCTCTCTGACAAATACAAAAATGTATCAAGAAAAGTACGATAGCAATTTTTCTGTAGCAAGTTTCATGAAAAAAATCGGACTCGTACTCTTACTGACTGCAATTTACAGTAGAGCCATGTAACGCGGATGCTACATTATCATAAAACCATTGGTTACGGAATCATTTTCACACAAAATCATTGTTTGCTTCTTTGTTTAGATGAAAGTAGGAAAATTCTACCTTCCTAGGAAATTCCTCCTGGTCGCCAAAACAAAGAAGTACCATAAAACTTCATTAAATTTATTTCACCTCACTATCTTTCAAAAGAAAAAAAGTAAAAGTAAATTCTAGTAACGCCTCAGTACGTGACTAAGACATTTTTGATTTGCTTGGCCGACTCATCGCAAAAAATTCGATGACTAACCGGGTTAGTCTAACCCAGTTGATTGAAAAAATACCGCGAAAAGAAGGGAAAATAATTTTCAGTTTTTCAGCCATAATCAACGCGGGTTCTTAATTTCAGAGATGGAAAATAACAATCTGGGCAGAGAGTTTTTGAATGCTGTAGATCAGGCGATGGGAGTTGATTATCAGGCCAACCGACGTTATCCACAAGATGGGAATACAAGAGGCGTTCCAGTGCATCCGCCTTCGCGTAATTATGTGACAGTCAATATAAATGCCAGCGGAGGATCTCAGCAACAAAGGTAATGATTTTTCGCGAAGCGTTTTTCATCATTATTTCTTCATTCAGAATGAATCATTCCACATTTTGTAAATTTCAGATACAATAGCCAGCCGTCTACATCAGGCTTTCAAAGCAGCCAGAATCAATTTCAAAACCCAGGAGCTTTTAATCAACAGCAACTGTACCCTACTGGTATGATGCCGCAGAACCAACCTATTCCAGGGAAAGCTACAAATGCTCTTCAACCTCTTCGACCTCTTCAACCGGGATCATTCTATCGCATGAAAATGAAGGAACTACTAGGGAAAATACAAGCTCTTAGTGGAAACAAATACCTTCACCAAGATCCAGAGCAAATTGCTTACATCCAGTATGGACTAAGTAACACAGGAGGTATGATCATTCTCTCGACGAAAAAAATATAAATTTATACGAAAGACGCGGCAAAAATGTAGAGTGGAGGACTCTCGCCCAAGTGGACTCTCGCCCAAGTGGACTCCCGCCCAAGATGGACTCCCGCCCAAGTTGGGCGAGAGTCCTTTTGGGCAAGAGTCCATGTGGAAATTTTCAACAATGAGAAACAGAAAGTTGGGCGAGAGTCGATCTTGGGCGAGAGTCCTCCACTCCAATTGTTAATGACTATTCAATGACAAAAGAAAGCAATGAGCTGTATATAATAAATATGCAATGTGCTTTATATAAATTAAAGTTAGGGTTAGGGGGCATTGGACAAAATGACAGAACAACCTTACCCTTCAGTAACCCTAACTAACCCTAGACTAGACCCCGGCATCTTAGGACCTAAGGGGCGAAGCCCCGTGGTAAGGGGCAATTAGATTTGATAATTTCGGCTGAAAAGTGGTGCAGTAGGACTGACCTTCTCTTTCAGCCTAGTCGAGGATTAGCACTTTTTTGAGAGTTCCAGTTTTATTAGCGAAGCGCTATATTTTCTCACATCAAAGAATTTATGCTTTCGCTTATCTTGCTGGACAAACCGAAACTGGAACTCTCAAAAAAAGTGCTAATCTTCGATTAGGTTTAAAGAGAAGGTCAGTCTTACTGCACCACTTTTCAGTCGAAATTATTAAAATTATTTAAATTACCATCAGTAACCCTAACTTACCCTAGCCTATCCCTCTCGGGTAAGGTTGTTCTGTCATTTTGTCCAGTGCCGCCTAACCCTAACTTTAATTTTTATCAAGTACATTTCATATATATTATATACAGCTCATTGCTTTCTTTTGTCATTGAGTAGTCATTAACAATTGGAGTGGAGGACTCTCGCCCAAGTGGACTCTCGCCTAAGATGGACTCCCGCCCAAGTTGGGCGACAGTCCTTTTGGGCGGGAGTCCACTTGGGCGAGAGTCCACTTGGGCAAGAGTCCTCCACTCAAAAATGTACAATCGATGTTGTCTTACAAAGATTGAAAACCTAACGAAACACTTGAACGCTTTACAGTATATAACCAATTCCAGGAAATGGCTGCTTGATGATATTTGCAATAAAGAGGATATTATACCGTTTTGAATCAATTCCAGCCTTTCAAAGACGTCGATTCGACCTTCTCGAAGATTTCGAGAGAGATTCTTTCGAAACGCTTGTAAAAGACCTAGATAAACGACATTTTCACAGCTCACCTTATAATTGTGAAGTGGGCGGTGTTTTCAATTATCATGGGGATTTGGCCTACACTGAGCGAGCATACAGAATGATCCGCGACTTTGAAGATACCATGCAACAATTTAGTAAGAAAATCATAGAAAAGGCATCTTTTATTTTTTCATTTTTAGACACTCAAAGTCAAGTAAAAAAGCTCAAAGATCAAATCGCCAGGGAAAACGCCCGAATCGACGTGGAAGAAAGAAAGCACCTGGAGGAGCAGAATATCAAAAAGTGGCGAGACTTGAAACAGTGCGAGGAGATTCTGAAAATTGCGTCTAATTGCGATCACGAGAAACAAGACTCCAACTGTTGGCTAAAAGAATGCGCCGAGTAATTACTTTATACTCGAACAAAATTAATCGTTGTTATTCAGAATGAAGTTTTTCATTAAACACTCAAAGGACTGTCAAATATCAGAGTGTTCGATGTGCAACGGGGTAAGTTCAACTTTCTATGGCATTTGATCATTCGATCTTTCATTGAAGTTTTTTGGTCTGTGCACCTATCATGCCAAAAACTGCGAAAACAGTGCTACTTGCAAGACGGTCTACTGCAAAGAAATCAAAGAAAGAATCTACGAAGAAGAGCTGGAAGTTGCGGAAGAAATCGCTGGAATTCTTCAATGAATTAATGTTACTTTCGTCAAAAAATGTGAAGAATGAAGTAAATAAACTTCTCCAAGAAGCTTGAATAAAAGATAAACTTCATGATTTATTGCTCAGTAGAATTTTTTGCGTAATGGCAGAGTTTGTTTCAAGCTGAGGCTTTTTTGGGATCAGCTTTTTTTCATTATTAGAACCTTGGCTAATGAAGAATATTTAAGATGGATCCCGTTATCATAGGTTGAAGAAGGTTCTCTCTGCTTTCTTTCGGCACTGTGCATTCGTCTTTCGTTTTCAAGGTGCTTCGGTCTGTTGCTCGAGTAGCATGGCTAGCAGTTCTGCTTATGTAATGGTGGAACTGCTGGCATAGAATCTTTGAAGCGGTTTTCAGATTTACTCTTGCTTTTGAAAATGATGAAAATTTCTGAAAACGATCATTTTTGGAGAATCTCTTCCAAAGCAAAGCAAGGCGATTTCGGTAGCCGTATGACAGGAATGAGTAGATGACAGGATTAAGAGTTGAGTGGACAATCGTTAAGCTATAGTTGATTTTAACAAGCTTGATTATCTTAAATATCCTACACTCGGGCTGCCTCGCCAAATCGTTTGCAATTTTTTGAGTCTAAGATCCCTCCCATTGTCTAAAAGAGGCAATAGATATCGTGTTTGAACTTCCACTCTAACCTGAAGATAGCCAAATAGATGAAATGGGGTCAGTGCGAAAAAGTAGCACATGACGAGAATTGCTATTAGCAAAGTCGCTCGTGATCGGTAATTTTTGCCGCCAGATTTATTCAGCATTTTTGGATTAGTTTTCTGCAAAACAATCTGGAGCATACGATTAGTAATCAAGAAGGGTAATCAAATCTTCTTACCAGGATATTCGAATAGCAAAATACGATCGTCAAGAGCGGTAATAAATACCCAATAATGAACAGAAATCCTCGCCACTAAAATAATGGTCATCAAGCCATCTAATAAAATTTGACTGACTATGACGATCTTTTCTGGCTGTCGACACAGACATTCGTTGAATTGGTGATCGTCGGTGGCCTCGTATGCTAAATAAGATTTGAAAAATAAAACACAGAAAACCCGGTACCTGACGAGTTCAAGTATGTCTTCACGTGATCCTCACAATCGGCCTGCGTCAGAGATGATGATTCCAGCTCATCTTTGCTTAGCTGCTGGCAAACTTGGCCGTTCATTTTGACATCCTCGGGCTCAACAAGGATAATGCCACAGGTATTCATTTCCTCTCCACCCGCATTAGACCATTTTCCTACATCGGTCATTCCAGGCAGAACTTTATTTCGGATTTTCAGATTCTCTTCCTTGTTATCAAAAAATCAACGATGAAATCTCTCAATCCGTTCCTAGAACAACGGCAATTATCCAGACGACTAGGCACAAGGCAGTCATTTTGTTCGTTGAAGTCCTGGAAATTTTAAGACGAAGATAAATTGTCAAAAATACCTCAGCTTGCGTGCGAGTTTCAAAAAGGCAGAACGGTTAGTTGAGCTCATTATAGCAACGTATCTATCAATGGATAGAAGAGTGAGCATAAGGACTGATACGAAGAAGTTCGCTGATTGTGTGAAGACTTGATATGTACAGGAAACAGCGGATGCAGTGAACTCTTTATTTCTCCGTGTGGCCATTGCAAGCGGAATCGTCGTCTAAAACCGATTATGCAATCAACAAAGAGCAATCAACTATTGCTCACAAGATAAAGCAGGTCTGCCATGGCCATATGTGTCAAATATAAACTAGTTGGCGATCGCTTGTCTCCTGGATCACCTGCCAAAAGAACCAATAAAACGAGCATGTTCATCTTTTATGTTGGATATAAATTGGTTTGCATTAAAATTCTATATAACATTAAGACATTCGGCATCTGTCACTTTATGTTATTTATCTCACATCCAAGCCGGAACGCCGAAGACGAAGCACATCCAGTAAATGACTAAAATATATCCGCGTGAGCGTGAAATGACTGATTTACATATAGATTGGCACTAATTTGACGGAGGTCACGATTAGAGCGAATGCAGATTTCACATACTATTTTGAGGCTGTCCTGATGTCACGAATTGACGGTTTGCGCTTTCCATTTTTCCTAGTATTTCGTCCATGTCTGAATTGACACGTTAGAATTACAGCAGTCACCAGCTAACGAGCAACAGTTCATTTTACTCTGACTTGTAGACAAAAACCGAAGTCAAAAAATAATACTGCAAGTCTCACCGAATTCAGCATTGACAACAGTTTCGGTTCCATTAGCGGGCATCAACTCTCCTGATCCAAAATCAGACGGCGGAAAAGTTTCCGGTCCCATAAGCTTAAGCAATCTTTCTTCGTCGAAGACCCATTGCTGGAATTCATTTGGGAACTTTTGCCGGCAGATTTCCGTGTTTCCTTTTTCGGGCTTCAACAAAGAAGCAGACCATTTCTCTTGTTATGTTAGAAGCCGTGGCTATATTAAAAGAATCCATGCCAAATTGACAGTCAGCTTTAGTCTCTCGCTTTCATCTGAAATTGGAATGAAAATGCAGATCTATACGCTGTGCGCTTGTGATGCGTATGCATTAGGGTTAAACAGGTAATTATACAAGGTATGGAATCGATCATACTGTTTTCAAGTTCAGTTTGATTCACTTGACTCTCTTCTGAATTCCCGCGCATATTCGGAAAAAGCTTAAACTTCAGACTGACCTTATAAAATAAACTCGGCTCCCGTCGAGAGTTCGCTAGTAACAGTCAATATTATATTTCGCCTCTATGTCCTCTTCACTCTCGCGAAAATTGAAAATGAAGACCCTCGTCCCCTGCCATTTATTAAAAATGAGAGTTACTGGTTGCGTGGTGAACTATATAGTCTAGTATTTATATATATAACGTATTAATATTATGCTGAGAACCACCAAATGGGAGAGAAAGCCCTAAATTTTTAAGCACTCTTCGTTCACGCGAATAATCCTTTATGTCAGTCAAGCTAAGTAGTTCAATACCTGCAGTTGAGGTCAATTCTGATTTTTTCTCGGAAAGCTATTAATTCTCTGTGATACTGATTTAGCGTCGAATAGAGTCGAGTTAAAAATCGTGGAAAAAGTAAGAGAATACGAGGGAGGATATCAATTAACTGCGGAGTATTCCAGACCCATTATCTCATACGGCGAAGATTAGCCGATCTGAACACCGCTGATCGGTCTCTTGCTCTGGCAATCTAACTCTGGACTTACGCAAACACTGTATACGCGATGCAGACTGAAAACACTCAGTGGAACTAGTTCGATTTGCTCAGATGATGAGAGAATAACCCAGCGGGAAGCACTTTAGTCAGACTCGGAAAAGTTGAAAAACATAAAAACTCGACAGGGGTGTTGTGAAGGGCCTATTGAAATTCAATTTATCCTGCTTATTTGATGAACTCTGAATAATGATATACAGGAATTTCGAAGAGAGATGAATCAATTTATTCACTTTTATAAGTAAAATTTATGAATATGGAATGAACTTTACTCTGTTAACACTTCCCACTGAAGAATATAATCTCAAGGCTATCGGGCTGTTGTTGGTAATCGCAACAACATCATCTTCACCGTATGCTGGTTTTGAATTTCGAATATAAAAGAAGCCGTCCATATCTTCTACTTCGTCAACCATCCATTTAGTGTGATCACTTTTTTCTAAGATAACGTAATTGTTGCCACTACTCCACATTTCCACTATTTTCCAATACTCGATAGGATTTTTCATGATGCTGTTATTTTCAGTTTTTATAATATAGAAGCCATCAGCATCCTTTTCAACAACATATGCCTCTTTTTTTCCTTCACTGTGACCAACGCAATTCTTTTCACCAAGAGATGTGTACCAAACTATTCTTGAAAGTATTTTTCCAGCTTCAGACTCAATAAAATACTTTCCAGGTTTTAATGAGTTATCCACAACTGTTGTGAATCCATCTGTAGTGGTCGTTGGTGCGATAGTGCTATAGGCGACTCCTGCTGAAGTCGTTGGTATCGAATTCGTCGAAGGGGTCGTTGCTTGAGATGTTGACTCTGCAGTAGGATCTGGAGTTGACTGTGATATGATTGAATATGGGGTTGTTTTGATGTCATTTTGTGTCTCTAAGAAAGTAGTAGTATCGGTAGCCTGCGTTGAAAAGAAAAGTTCAGTTGTTGTAGTGAAATAATTTGATTGCGACGTTTCATCAGGGAAATATTCACGTGTTGCTTCTGATGGTACTTTTAGCGAAGTTTGTAGATATTGATTGGTAGTTTCTGCAGCAGAAGCTATTGATGACAGCATCTCAGTAGTTTTTGTCGTTTCTATATTTTCAGAAACTTCAGTGGTACTAAAATATGCTGTCGTCTCAGAATTATTTGTTGTCTGAGTTTGAAAGGTTAATCGTGTTGAAGCTGTTGAAATGCTGTATTCTGTTTGAAAAGGTTCAGTTGTATTTCCTACAATCTGTGTGCTCTTCTGAGATACAGCCGTCGTTGTGTATAGCGATGTTGTTGGATTAAAATCGATTGCTGTTTTTGGAAGCATCGCTGGAATGGATAAAATTGTTGCCAAGAATACTACGGCAAGGAATAAAATACGAAGTCGTCGATTGCCCCTGGTTCGGACTTCAACAAAAGAACTTGTCGAAGAATACGAAGAAATGCTCTCTGTTTCTGTATCACTACTCATTTTGGTTTGAATGAGTTCAAGCAACTAGAATTTCTATTTTTGATCAGTTTTCTATTAGTACAGCTTCTGAGATTCCTTTATGCGTATGCGAGTTCTTGACATAAACGAAAGCTTCCGACAAAACTTTCCCATGCTGTTTCTCACCCTTGGAATAAGGGCCTTCATTGACCTGCGTAAATACAAAAAAACGCAAAATTCTGTCTTCCTAGAGAGTCAGAAATCTGTCGAAATATTTACTTTGAAATGTTGTTTTATTTCAAGAGAGGTGACACGCAAGTAATTTTAGGGGAGGGCAGTGGGTAGAACTAAATGAACTTTTAAGAAAATTGTGCCTATAATAAATTACTGTCAAGTAGCAGGTACGGTACGAATTTTAAGGGAATGGTTGTGAGGGACAGTGAAGGTTCTTTGGTGGCAACGCAAGTAAAATGGCGGTGAGAGATTAAAGAGTGACGCCGGCCGAGTCCAAGTAGTTCTTCAGATGTCCCTGTGCTTCTGCGTCGAGTTTTTGGAAGATCGGAGTGATCTAACAATGGAATGAATAAGAATGCACTAGAAAATGTTCATACCTGTCCAGGGTTGGCTTTGTTGAGCTTGTCAAGAGTCTGGACAAGGTAAACCTTTGGATCTGGGCAGTTCTCCTTCAAAGGATCAATGGTCGCCTTAGCAGCGTATGTCAGAATAGCAGTAGCATTACTGTATCCTTCCATCATCGGCTCGACAATTTCATCGTCTCCTTCTTCGACTGGAAGCTCGAAAAGAGCGATGACTTCCTGCAAAAGAGCTCCCCAAAGATCTGGAGCAATATTTCCTTTCGTTAGAATATCCGCAGCAAAAACGCCCGCCATTTTTCGGTCGACAGGATTTCGAACTTTACGGATGTGCTGGGTGACTACCTTCTCGCAAATCATAGAAAAGCATCCTGGTTGGATACTGTTTGTAATGTCGCGAAGCTTTTCAGTTCCATGAGCAGCTGCGTAGCACGAGAGGAACTCGACAAATGCGGAAGCATATTTGGCGGTCTTGCTACTTTGTAGACGACCGAAGAGAACTAAAAAATGGCTGAGAACAAGTGAGAGGACTAAAAAGTTATACCGATGAAAACGCTTTTGATGTACTCAGCGACAACTTTTTCTGGAAGGAAGCAAACGATTGCCTTCAAAAGGACGAATCCATGGACGTCATTTGTTCGTGATGCAATCAGTTTTTGGAAAACACCAAGCAATGGGTTGAGCTAAAAATAGTAAATAGAAACGTGCAAAAGGTAAGGAACTTACATTCTCAGCTGGTTTGGACGGACATCTCTCAATAATAACACAGAGAAGAGTGACCAGCGGTTGGGCATTTCCAGATGCTTCCCAAAGCTGAGGAGACAGAAGCGGTTTGTACAATTCTAGGTAAGTATCGGGGCAACCACCTTGCTGCTGGAGAAGAAGTGACATAATTTGGAACACGTACGGGACGATTTCTCCGACGTCCTTTTCCAAGACTTGAAAGAAGAGTGGGAAGAGGCTAGAAGAGTTTATTTATGATGAGGTGAGCGAACAATTACCTGTCTTCAAAGCTTTTCGTGGCATCAGGCTGCGCTTGGCAGAGAATTCGAATACAAAGGGCAAGACACTCGAAGACATTGTGGTTGAAGTTTGGCCTTGCTGGATTGGCGCAGAGCTGGGTTATTCGCCCGTGGATCATCTGCACCAAATCTGGAACAGAAGACAGGAGAAGCTCGCGCTGAAGTGCGAGGAGCTTGCAAAGTGCCTTGGCAGCGAATTCATTCTCAGAAGACGATACAATCTGTCCAAGTTGAAGGAGCAAGTCATTTTGAACTGGCTGGACGAGGGCTTTGGTGACCAAGGGTTCTTTAGTCTTTGGCATCTTCGTCATCATAATTCGCTCAACAGCGTGCGCCGCATAAGCTGCCACGACGGGTGAGCTGTGCGTCAAAAGCTTTGACAGAGCGGGGAGAGCTTTTCCCACGCGATCGCGTCCAATGATTATTCTGAAGCTGGAGAAGAACTTCAGACACGCAGATGCAAGTTGTGGCTTGTCGCTAGCCAAGTCACTCTCAATATACTGCTCCCAGAATTGAACGACGGGCAGAATAGACGAAGTTTCCGTGACGCCATGTCTTTCCGTCTTCTTTTTTTGTTCCCAACGAGGCAACAAGGAAAATAGCAGCTTCTTTGAGCTTCCATTGGCTGTTGTCGGATTTGTAAGACTCGAGAGCTTGGTTGATGTGAGCACCGAAGATTTCAGTAATCTGAGTCAGGGGTGACCATTTGGGCAAAAAATCATCGTCGGGCCGACCAATTGCCCGCCCAATACTAAAAATCAAGACCCGGGCCGACCAAATGCCCGACCAGTCCAATGTGCCCAGAATGCCCAATCGGGCAATTGGGCAATTTTTCGGGCAAAAATTTTCCCGACATTTCGGGCTTGTTAAAACTTTAATTTTTTTAATTTCTCTCAATAATTTATTACAGTTGAAGAGTTGGAAGGTTTGAAATATATTTAAAAAGCGGTTAAAAAAATAATTTTGTAAAAGATCGATCAGGTTGTCAAGAATAGACAGCTAACCATAAAGGTCCACTTCACACACTCTTGCATAACCGTCTCGAAAAAAAGGGTTCAAAAATGGGGTTGGAAAAATGAGGGATAAAAAGGATCTGGAGGTCAAGGGTAGACAGCTAACCATGAAGGTCCACTTCACACACCCTTGCAGAACCATCTCCGCAAAGAAGGGGCTGAGTTAAGGGACCTGGGCGAGCAGCGCTGAGCCAAACTTCACGCGCTCGCCGTTCTTGTTAGAAATAAGATTTTTTGAAATTTCTTTTTGTAAATTATATCTCCAAATCCTCAGCTTTCTGTTCCAATTCTTAGTTTTTCTCTATCATTCTTGGTTGATGAGCTAGCGAGAAAAAGAGAAGCCCAACTTCAAAAGGCATCAAGTCTTGCAAACTTAATTTTTTCTTCATAAAATTAGCACCATTGAAAAGCGCGTTAAATTCTGAACAGATCCCACTCCATCAGCTTAACTAAATGGGTACTCATTGGCGTGTAAGGCCAGATAAACAAGATAACTTAGCGCCCGCCCAGCGGGAATCATGTCCAGGAAGCCCAAAATAGCTAAATCGGACTCCGATTATCGGAGCGTCCAGCCGTGCCGCGACCAGCTGCCCGCGCTAAGTAGTTCTCTTTATCTGGCCTTACACGCCAATGAGTACCGATTTAGTTAAGCTGATGGAGTGGGATCTGTTCAGAATTGAACGCTCTTTTCAATGGTGCTAATTTTATGAAGAAAAATTAAGTTTGCAAGACTTGATGCCTTTGAAGTCGGGCTTCTCTTTTTCGCTAGCTCATCAACCAAGAATGATAGAGAAAACTAAGAATTGGAACAGAAAGCTGAGGATTTGGAGATATAATTTACAAAAAGAAATTTCAAAAAATCTTATTTCTATCAAGAACGGCGAGCGCGTGAAGTTTGGCTCAGCGCTGCTCGCCCAGGTCCCTTAAGGGTAGGGATAATTTCACAAAAGGATCAAGAGGTCAAAGGTAGACAGCTAACCATAGGGGTCCACTTCACACACCCTTGCAGCAGCTTCTCCTTATATCTTTTTCTTGTTTGTGAGCCTAACGACAAATAAGCGGACAGGAAAACGCCCACGTTCATGATTTTCCCTGGTGGGCATTTGCCCAACTGCCCAGAAAATGCCCAAATGCCCGACTTTTCCAATGTTGCCCAGCCTATTTTCAGGCGTTGAGCCGACCAAATGCCCGCCCAAAAGCGTTTTGCCCGAAAATTGCCCGATTTGCCCAAATGCCCAATGCCCAAATGGTCACCCCTGATCTGAGTCTCAAAGTTGCGTGACAGAGATCGAATGAGATCGCAGGCTGCTCGTCGTCTGGTAGCCTGGTCAGAGCCTTCGAGATCTCGGCGAATCCATTCTTCTGGATTGTCTTCAAAAAGTTCCTGATCCTGCTGACGGAAGCCAACATTGGGCATGATGACCTGCTCGCAAATGGTCTTGAGCGCTTCGCCTTCAGAGAAAAGCTTGTTGTTGCCAGTTTGATCAGCGACAGATCCAAGGAAGCTCAACGCGTTGGACACGAGGAGGTCATATTTCAATTCAAGACCAATCGACGTGAGAAGCTGCCAAATGGCCTGGACGAACTTGGGGAGATGGTTTTCAAATTCTTCGCCGTATTTTTGAGTGTACATCGAGGCAATTTCGCAGATCTGCGCCTTGAGCTGCTCTTGGACTCCAGCTTGCTCGTCATCATCTGATTCGAGGACTTTGATGCTTGGTGCAGTGAGAAGTGCGTGAAAACCGTCCATCCATACGGCGATATTGTCTTCGAAAAACTCTGGAAGATCCTGGTAGTTGAGGGAGTAGAAGACCTTGGCGATAAGGGCGAGTGTGTTGTAGAGCAGTTTTACTTTATCGTCTGCGAGCTGGCCAGAGTTGATGATCGTGAGGACTCGTTTGAAGAGCTCTGTGAGTGGCGTGGCAAAATTGTCGAGAACGTATTTGATCTCAATCCACAGCTCGTTAGACTGAAAGTATCGTTGAAATTCATGCACAAGTAATTTTACTGCTGACCTTGAACTCGTATCTGTAGCGCTTGAAAAGTGAATGGCAAGTGTGAAGGCATCCGTTCACTCTGGAAAAGTCGTCGGATTGAATGTGTTGGCAGATTTCGGGGATGAGATTCAGCCATTTCTCATGAAAATCGACTCGTCCGATGATTGTGATTGCTTCCGAAAGCTGTTTGGTGATACTTTGAGGAGATTTTAACATCAGCTAAAGAGGCATGAGAAAATGATAGGAAAAACTTGATTTACCTCGACAATATGTGTTTTCACAGCCGACCTATCGTCCTCTGATAACTTGTCGGTTTGATCCCAGCATCGTTTGACTACATTTTTAAGTGTGATAGCCGCAGCTGTTCGGACAGTCAACTCTGTGTCCGCTCGGTCCATTGAGGTCATAAGCAGTAAAGTATAACCTGAAGAAATAATGAAACGATTCACAGTCAATGAGGAAGAGTACCTTTCTCTTTTCGCATTCTCTTAGAAAGTTTTCGGCCGTCTTTCTCGTCTCCGCATTTGAGCTCAATGTCTGCTGGAGATACTGGCCGAGAGCTGCGAGGTTCTGATCATTAATTTCCATTCTGATAAAACTCTAAAAATCAAGAATAAAATGTCTAAAGATAGAAAATAAAATCGGCAGTTAAATGATGTCGACAAAGATTGATAGAGTATGGGATCAGAACTTTGAGGTTAGTAAGGAACGATGGCGACGTTTGGAAGGAAGTCTTTGTTTCCACAGCCGCCGCAGGAGATGAGAATCTTGTTGTCGATAACTGAAATACTGTGTAAGTCGGTTTGCTTTTATATCACGACACTTACTGAAGACATCAGCTGGCCAGGTACAGACTTCGATATGTTTTCCAAACCACGCGTTGTAAATGTCGCTGAGATTCATCGGCGGGTTTGTGGATACGGTGGCTCTTATACAACACTTATTGCAGGTCAAGACAGCACCATCATCGGGAAACGAGTTTTGGCAGCCAGGACAAGGTGGTCCCCCAGGCGAATCATCAATTGGTTCATCGTAACCCATCGCAAGAGCTGCCTCCTCCTGCAAAAGCTCTTCTTCAATCTCCTGGAAGAACTTGATGTCAAGTTCGATCAACTGGTCTGGTGTCATGCCCATATCAGCAGCTTCCGACTTCATGACTTCTTGAACAAGGCTTATGCCGCGGAATTTATCGACCAGTTTTGTTCGATTATCCTGGAGACGCATTTTGCAGCGATTTTTGTAACGCTGCTTCCAATCTGGAGTCTTTCTGTAGTTCTCCTAGAAGAAAAACGGTAAAGAAAATTCACTCATGTGTTTTACCATCTGTGATTTACGTCGAGGGCTCATAAACATGTTCTCTTTTTCGTCCATATTTGATTTTTCTCTCTCACGCACCAAAATAAAATCCGTTACTCAATCCCGGGCGCAGCGAAGTCGATCAGATCTAAAAATCGTTATTTGACACAGCTGCAAGTTTCAATTGTTTTTGAGATGCTCTTTCGACTGACTTGATTTTGCGGGTTTTTAGGCAGAAAAACAAGCAGGAATGAACTTGAACATTTGAGAAGGTATTAATGAACCTAGAAGGTAATATATCCTAAGACTGCCCGGGACGAGCAAAGATAATTTCTAACTTACTCGCCCCGGGCTTTATCCTTTTCTGCAGAGAGGGGTCTCTACAGTTCGCAAGCATGGGGGTGCCCAAGCTTGAGTTACGTAGAGAAGGAGGGGGGTGTTGCACTTCTCGGTAAGATCCGGTTGAACAGTTATACGATGATTGGTGCAAGGGTGATGAACAGGAACAGTTAATGAAACAGAGTTATCTAATGTAGAAGATGGTTCCGGTTGTTTAACAGAATCCGGTTCAGGATTAGCAGGTTTTGCTTGAACGACACGTGTTCTTTTTTGATGATTTGAGTTAGACTCAAAACCGACGGTTGTTGTTTCGAGACCAGTCTGGGATTGATTGAAAGTAAGGTCGGAGAATGAGTATAAGATTGATTACCTCTCATGCGGTTGGATTGGTAGAAGGCGGTGAAGTTCGATCCCTGCTTAGATTCACAGAGACGCTCGTTGCTTTCAGTCAACTGATTGAGCCGCGAAGCAAGTTGGAGAGCGAGGTTCTGAAGAAAAATGATATCGGTGTTTATCGCTTGTAATTTACCTGGAGTCGAGTTGGTTCAGTCTTGTGAAGCACAAGGGATCGAGATGGCTCGTCCCAGGATGCCTTGAGTTCTTCGTTGATCATCATCTTGGAGACAGCAGATTGCACTTCAGAGGAAGACATGTCAAAGTTCTCAGTGATCCAGTCGATTGAGATGTTGTCGTAGAACTGAGAGTACGAGAAGAGATAGACTCGGAGCGATTGAGTCTTAGCGTACTTCTGCAGCATGTCTAAAATTTCAAAAAAATAGAAATAGAAGAGGCGGACTAATACAGTACCTTTGACCTTATCAGTTTCGGCGAAGAGGTTCCAGACCTTCTGGTTCATCTTGGGGTTGATAAGGTACTTGATGCACTTCTTCCAGTCACCGACCTTGAGTGCCTTTGCTGCGGCAAGAACGTGCTCTCGCATGTTATCTGGAGGTCCGACAAATGCCTGCTTCTCAGAGTTACGGAGCTGGTAGTGGAACTGCTTCGAGATCATTCGTCTGAAAAAGAAGTTAGAGACAGGATCAAGGGATAAAGGATTACCTTCGGCTATCGAACTCCTTCTCGGCCATGTATGGGATTTCAAGGAACATGGCAGAGACAAGGTAGACACACTCAAGAAGCTCGGTGTTGATATGAGTGTGGTAAGGTTGCATTCGTCGTCGTTCGGTCTTTTCTTGCTCTTGAGTTCGTTCTCGGGCCATGGAGAAACCTGAAAGCTCAAGAAATAGCTCAACTCGGCGGTGTCTTACCTTGGGCAAGGAGTTCTCGAGATCGGTTTCCAGACTGAATATCAGTAAGTGCTTGATGAGCATCTTCCATTTGTCCCATTCGGAAAGCACAGAGACCGAGTTGCACCATTGTTCGGTTGTAGATGATTTGAGTTCCGATATCAGCGTTGTGAATAGACTCCTGCAAGTGGCTCATGAGCATCAAATCGCGAGCCTGGAACCATTTGTCGTGAAGGGCAAGGTTGTAGATATTGTAAAGGATTGCCTGCGTTCGGATTCGCTGCGTCTCATCGTTGGTGTAGATGTACTTGCAGAACTTTTCAATAAGCTCCTGGCTTCCTTCAGCGCCCTTTTGTGAGTCGTGTCGGTAGTAGATGTACTTGATCTTGAGGAGATACATCTGGCAGATCTGCTGTTTATCGGCCTGAAGAAGTGCCCAGTCAGTTCCTTCGTTGAAGATCTGCATGATCTTGCAGTTGTTCGACAATCGCATTCGGTACTCTTCGGAGTGCTGGTCAGAGTTCTGGAGAAGCTTGGAGTACTCAGTGTCCAACTTGGTGCAAGTGTGGACAAGTGAGCCTCGGCAGTGCCACTTGCCATCTTCGTTTGGCTGATCAGTCAAGCTCTCTTCGTCGTCTTGAACGTTATCGCTGAGGATGAGGGTCTCGTGGTTCTTGTTGAGAATCTGGACGAGTTCCAAAGTCTCGCTAAGCGCGTTGGCGAAAGATTCGTCGCTCATGTAATCCTTGTGCTTCGGATTGTAGTCGTAGCAAGCGGAGATGGTGCTCAAGCGAATTTTGATTTCTAAACCGAGGCCTGTCTTCGCCTCGATCGCCATTTCTCGGAGCTTCTTATAGAAGAGAATCTTGTTCTGACGATCAGCTTCTTTTGGAGTTCGCATAGCAGTGATTTCGGCCAACTTTTGGACGACATTCTTGGCATTAATTTCGACATCCTTGGGGAAGATTTGGACTTCGCCAGTGAGCAGAATCTTGAGATCACCTTTACCAACAGTTCCAGGGTCGACGGCAGTCCAGTCATCATCTTCTTCTTCCTTGTGTTCTTTCTGTTCTCGCTTCTTCTTTTCTTTTCGGACCTTTTTGTCGGCCTTTGAAGAGGTCTTGTCCTTCTTGAGGAAATACTCAATCGTGTATCGGGCAAACTCGTTGTCTGGATCGTCACCGATGTCTGAGTCGAAGTCACTGTCTGAGTCACTTTCGCTTTCATCAGACGAGCCAGAGAGTTCGGATCCAGAGTCAGAGAGGTCATCATCGCTCTCGTCCGAAGTGCCGCTCATTGAGTCGTCGGATTCATCAGAGGCAGAGCTGGCAGCATCTACCTCTTCTTCTTCCTCGGAAGCGTCGGGGTTCTCTCGGTACTTGGTCAGCTCCTCGGCGGTTTTCGGCTCCTCGGCGAAGTACTTTCGAAGACGCTGTCGAAGAGTAGTAAGACCTTTCGAACCCTGCTTGGAGAGCTTCTTTTTGAAGTCCTTGTCGTCCCACTTGGCGTTGATGTAGTCGTCAAGCTCGACAAGTTCCTTGATGTAGAATCGCGGGAGACCTTCCTTTTCGATAACTTTCGCAGTTTTAGAAAGAGTTGTGTGGTAGTCTTTGAACGTATTTAGAAGAGCGGAGAAATCGTTGATCTTTCGCATGTTTCGGGCCTGAATCGAGGTGAGAGATGAAAAAATGATTCTTTTTAACCTTTTTAATATGCTCAGAAAGCTCATCGAATCGTCGATCCTTCAAGTTTCGGACAACGCGTCCTTCGTCCTCAGATTCGTCATCAGTGTAGATCGCCTGGACGACCTTCTTCTTCTTCTGGATCGTCTTCTTGACAACGATCTCCTCAGACTCGGTCTCGGAGCCGCTCGAGGATGAGGACTCGGAGGCCCAGTACTTTGCTCGCCCGGCCATTCTGAGAAAGAAAATGATAAGAATAAAGAGCTATAGCTCTTCGATATCGAATTTGTGCTAGAATTGTAGAAATATCAGAGTCAGTTTCAAGTCGAACGACTTTTGTGCGGCTCGTAGTGCCCGATTGAATTGAAAGCTTCGAAGAACTAACACGCAACTTTTCAGCAAGGGCGCCTAGAACAGCCTCATTCGCCTTTCCTTTATCTGGTGGGGCCGAAACTTTAACATTGATGACGGCCGGATCTTGACTATCATCAATAGTTATTGAAGCCTTTTTAGATTAAGGAGTAACGTGACAATTTAGCAGAACATGATTGAACTTCATTCAACTTGGTGCAACAGCATACATGTACAAATTTATCTGAAATGGGGACGAGGAAAATAAAGACTTTTTGAACATAGAAGAAAGATTGACGAAAGGTTTTTATGATGAGAATGATTTTTAGGCTGCTGGACATCGCTAAAAACGATTTAGGAAAACGAGAATGGTAAGAATTTCTTACCTTTTTGAACTCAAGAGGTTGAACATCCACTTTATTATCGCTGCCAAGTTTATATCTGTAAAGCGTACACGCAGAGCCATTTATATCCAGCAGGGCAAAAGCAGGCTGGCATTTGTCCCCTGAAGACGTTGAAGCACCCGTTAAACTCCCAGGATTGATGAACAAATTTCCGTCGATTTCATCAACCTGAAATTTTTCTTAGAATTCATCGAGTTTTTTCTAGAACGCATGAATGTTTTTCATCCTTTTTCAATGTGAACATTAGTTTGAAAAATCGCAAAATGAAAGGAGCAACGACCGATGAAGACATTGACTCCGAAGGGATGGTCAGTGATGTCGAAAAAACTATCAATAAACAGAAAATAGTCTTGAAAGGAGAAATGGCTTCTATTATTGGTAAGTAAGAAAGGATGAAATGAAGCTAATTTGATTTTAGATAAAAAGCTAGACCAGAAGATAATCGAGCACCAAAAGGAAATAAAGCAATTGCAAGCAGTTATCCACAATTTGAGAACGCAGAATCGCGACTTTAGCAAGAAAGCTGACAAGAAATTGAAACTGTTGAACATGTCTGTCGACCAAATGAATCAGTTAACAGAAGATATTCAAACGCTTAAAAAAAAGACCGACAAGCTTGAAGATGGTAAGCTAAAACACAAAAGAGTTCTCTTCTTTGATTGCAATTTCATTTTTAGAGTGCCAAGAAATCCGTGACAAATTTGAAAATGCATCCACAAAGATTTCCAGCAATTTGACAAATCTGAGCGATCTGGTACACACGAAGACGGCCGAACACGAGGCCGTGTTCAGCGACGTCCAAGGTGTAAGAGAAGACATGGAAGCGCGAAACAACGCTGTTGACGCCAACTTGAAAAAGAACCAGGAAATCGTGGACAGACAACTTCTCTTGCTCAAAGAAAAAATGCTCATTTCGATAGACGACGCCAAGGCAGAAGCCATCGAAGTCAGAAAAGAGAAGGGCGGCTGTGTCATTATGTGAATAACTGTACTTGCAATTTCTGTATATTCAAACTTCATCGAGGCAATAAACTATATCTTTTTACATCAAAAAGAGTCCTACCTTTTGTTCGTGTGTACTCCCATGAACAAGAATGTCGACTTGCAGGGATCTTCGTACAGCTTCGAGGGCTTTTTGGGAGTTGTTAGGGAAGACTTGGTGCCCGTGAATCATGCCAATTGATAAGTTTCCAATTCGAACAACTTTTTCTAGAGAAATCTTATTTCATATATCCCGATCCCGACTGACAATCATCAGCTTATCAAACAAATTCGAACCCTTCGCTAGTTCGTTCCTCGAAAACTTACCATCAGGCCACGAAGTCTCTGATCTATCGCAATCGCCCCTGACCACATGGACATCTCCAGCGATATTCCTCAAGAAATCAAGGCTCGTTCTTGAGGTCAAATTTCCACTGCAAAGGACGTGTTGAATCTTTCCAGGGACGAGTAGCTCTCGGAACTTTTTTGGAACATTTGGTGATCGTTCTGGCATATGTAGATCCGATACGAGTAAAACAAGCATTTTTATCTGAAGAAAATATAGGAAAGATTTCGAATTGAGCGAATGTGCATTTATACAGTATTGGAGCTAGAATTACATGTCATAGAGAGTCCCGTCAGCAGGACCGATGTATCCAGAACAGACTAATAAAATATCAACAACAGTCCAAACTCCCAGTCCCCCGAAACTCAGCAATTTTCCGACGCCACTCTTCCAATGACCCAAGTAAAATCGATCAACTCCAAATCCTCCCAAAAATATCGAATAAGCACATGCACTTGTTCGCTTTCTCCCACTCGTGAAATTGCACGGAAATCGACGAGAAAAGTCCCTTGAGCCGATGCAAAGATGGTCCTCCTTAACGCTGACGCTCATTTTGAAATGTGGGCGTTTGAAGAGATGACCAGCGTCTTTTGGCATTGTCCGGCAATTCCCAATTCGTGGGTCGTGGATCAGGGCAAGAGCGGCGTCCTTTTGAAGGTTGTTGAGGTATTTGGGGTCGGACATGTAGCACATTTCACACGTAAAAGTGAAGTTCTTCGCGGGCCGTTTAATTCCCAGGTCTTCGAAAGTTAGAAATGGTTATTCTTTACTTATGAAAACCTCGCATCTCAAGAAATTCTAACTCTTTCCTTTGAGTTCTTTTGAAAGGCGACATGAAGTCGACTGAGAAGATCTCTTCTTGCTCACTTCGCAAATTGTCCAGCTACTTTCTCCTTGAATGCATGTTCGGTTGGCAAAGTCACCCTTCGACACTTGATGGACGTTTTTCAAGGGGATTTCACAAGCTTCTTTGTTCAGCGAGCTGGTGAAGCACTCATCTGGCAATTCTTCGCATGGGTCGTGGGGCTTCCAGCATTCACTTTTTCTCGGCTTTAGCTGCTCTAGAAATGCATTTTTATCGCAGCAAATCATTTTTTTTAATATCTGACTGTAATATCGCTACCTTCCAACGCCGCAATACAATCATTTCTGCACTGACTATCGACCAACGGACATGTCTTCTCAAATAACCCAGCGACTTTCTCGAGTACCAAAAACTCTAACAATCGCATTTCATTTTTACACCAGTCTTTTCGAATTTAACTCTGAAAGGCCAATCAGAACGCCATAAAGCCAGAGCGCGCTTTTCAAACTTTTTGGATAGCGATTTTCCACGCGCTGCGCTCGTGGGCGACGAAATACGCTAAAAATGCGCTTTTCGCGAAAAATTTTATCTAAAAGTGAAATGACGAACGAAAGAGAATTCTATTGAGACAATGGACTCATCAGAAATATATATTTTCTTTTTAATTTTTACTGTAAAATGAATACACTCATTTTTGTATATGTTTTAGATACAGTTTCAGATACTTCAGAATCTTGCAGAAACTATCTTCTGTTATTACTGTATTTAAAATGAATTAAATTCCGATAAACATGTTAGATCACCGTCATGTTGATCAAATAAATAAATATTATTAAAGTAGATTTATATAAATATATTTCTGATTTTCGTTAAATTAGATGACCACTGTGTCGTACACGGTGGAGGAGGCGCTTCAAAATGTGGATTTGCTGGAAGAAATGCCGCTGCCGGACGAGCAGCCGAACATTGAACCCATGCCCGCCTCGTTGACTTATTCCGTCAACTTCGACACTCGATTCGAAGACAGGAGAGCGTATGTGCTCGGCAGCGCGAGATACATCGAAGAAGCAGAAATGCACGCAGCGATGCAGAAGATGCTCGAACAGGGCGAAAAATACGCGGTTATGCTTTACACGTGGAGGTCTTGTTCTCGTGCGATTCCGGCCGTCAAAGCGAACGAGCAGCCAAACAGAACGGAGATTTACGAAAAGACGGTGGAAGTCCTCGAGCCGGAAATCAAGAAATTGCACGCCTTCTACCACTTTACGCAGCAAGCAGTGGATGAGTTCATGAAACAAGTGTCAACACTCTGCCATGTAAATAAGAAAAACGACTTTGTTTCGGAAGCATATCTTTTGACGCTCGGACGGTTTATGAATATGTTCGCAGTTTTGGATGCGTTGAAGAATATTAAAGCTTCGGTGAAGAATGACTACTCTGCGTACAGAAGAGCGGGGCAGTTTTTGAAGAGATTTCAAGATCAACAAGGAAAGGTTCAGAAATTTATTTTCACATCAGAACTGCTAGACTCAGGAGCAAACTTTAATCTTTTTTTTGAATACTCATTTTATGATGATAATCTTTTTTTTTTTCATTCTCTGCAAGCCGTGGTGCATTGTTCAACCAATTGATTGGATAAATGCCTCATTTTAACAAAATAGTAATTTCCAAATACAATTTTGTTTGTTGGAATAGGCTGTCCCTTATATACGCAATTCTCCCGATTACTATCATTTTATCAGTATTTTTTATCGGCCTCTAGAATGGTTCAATCTCTCCCGGGGAGTGTCTCATCCTTTCTGAATCTCTTATCAAGCATCATCAGAGTCCCAGGCTCTCTCGCTCTTCCTTGCCTCACACGATCAAATCACACAAGAACTGAAAAAGAAGCTCCGCCAAGTTCAAAATTACGAAGACCTGATGCTCGACATCATCAATATCTGCATGATTTACTACGAAGAAAAAAGATATCTCGTGCCAGAAGACAAGCACATGCTCTTGAAAGTTATTGGCTTTGGATTGAATATTTTGGACAATCCGGACGGTTCTTTGGGAAAAAAGGAGAAGGAGCAAATGTCGATTTACAAAATGGAGAGTAAAAAGAAAATTGACTTGAAGAAGATCGACAAGATTTTCAAAGAACTTCAAGGAATGGATAGACAAAAAATATCGTTAGTACGCAGTCCCTGTCTGCTAGACGATTTTTATCCAATAAATAGTCGTAACACTTTTCGGCGACATGCAGATCACCCTTTCCAGTTACATTCGCAAAATGTCCGATTTCAAGGAAAACGAGTCAAAGTGGACCTGCACGCAGAAAACGTCAACTGTTCAAGAACTACCTCAATACAGTCTGCCATATCAACTCAAAATCATTAAACAACAGCATATCAAGTTTATTTCAAAGTTATCATTGGTCTCCAATAGAGCAGTTGTAGCAGGCCCTCCTGCAGGTTCAGGAACGGGATTTCAGGGGAACGTCTATATTCTAACAAAACGCTCGGTAAATCCCTCCGAAGCAAATGCAGATACGAACCACAAGGAAAAAGACGCTAACTCAAAGGAACACTACGACCTCGCTTTGGAAGGATTGAAGCTTCTGAGTCGGTGGACAGCTACTGTAATGGAAGTCTACTCGTGGAAACTCGTCAATCCTTGCGACACAGAAGCTCAAGGCAATAAATCGTGCCCCAAAGACGCGGAAGATTACGAACGAGCAACGAGATATAATTACAACTCTGAGGAAAAATTCGCGCTCGTCGAGATTATTGGAATGATCAAGGGTTTGCAAGTGCTGATGTCCAGATTGGAGCAGCTTTTCCGACCGTCGATTTGTCATCATGTCTATGCGGCGATTCAGAATTTCGTGCAGAAAGACATGAGAGAGCCGCTCAGGGCGGCGGCGAAGAAAAAGAGGATGAAACTGAAGATTATTATAACTTCCATCATGTCTACTTGTGCAGGTAAGCAAAGACTAGATTTTCGAAAACCACTCGAAAAATTGAGATAGAGATCTTTTCATGCACCATCCGTAAAGTGGACCGATCTAAGTAGATCGATCAATATCTGACCATCAGATTCTGATGAGCAAACCCTTTATATGCTGATCTTCGACTCGGAGGTTCATTCTACAAAAATATTTAAAATGAAATAACTTATATAGAAAAAAGAAGCGTTGTTGCATGTTATTGTTAAAAATTTAAGCAGTAACCTATTGAAACTTGAGAATAAATGATAAGTAATATTATCCAAATTTGTTGTTACTAACTTGATGTCAAGATGCTTTCTCAGACTTGTCTATTGATCATGTTCATAATATGATTAGTTATCATTAATTTGAAAAATTTGCGAAATCCTAACTCTATTTTCTTTCTTTTATTTTAGATTATAAAAATGGAGAAGCACCAAAGGATGACCCAGCATTCACCGGAGCAAAAGATCCAAAGCAGGGCTACACAGTGCATGTTCATCGCCGAAGTGTTGGTCCTAGTTCAACGCAGGTTTGTATTTTTCTAGGAGGTAAACTTTGAGAGCGTATTACTTTCCTGTAGCTTTACTACGCGCGGCTCATGGCCGAGGCCCTTTTCAAGGGCACTGAAGAGCGCGCAGAACTGGAGAAAAAATTGAAAGTGAAACAAGAGGTTTTTGACAAGATTGAGAATTTTGTCAAAAAGTCTGTGTTTTACGCAAAAATGCTCCGTTTCAACGGTAAAGCTCATTTTTCCCCACATTTTCTCAATCAACGCGCACCTCAAGAAATAGTCACGTGATTATGGCTACTTTCTGAACTTGATTATTCAGCTGTACATGATCCGCACAATGCTAGAATCGATGATCATGGTTCGCCCCTCGCAAGCGAAAAATAGCTCCGCGGAGGCGAAACAACTTCGCTCCAGTCTTGATTCTTCAACAATCGACCTAATCGAAAAATTTCACAAAGCTTCACTCTATTTCAAACAAATGCTTAGCTTCACACGTTAGTAACACAATTTTAAAAGCATCATTGATTTAATCAATTTGATTAATCCAATTCTCCACCTTCTTTCGTCTTCCTAACCGTACCTCTAGAAACCCTGACGGAGTGCTGCGACTTGTCGCAACTGTGGTTCCGAGAATACTATCTCGAACTAACCATGGGAAAGCGAATCCAATTCCCTATCGAAATGTCCCTTCCCTGGATCCTCACCGATCACGTGCTCGAGTCCAGGAACCCCGGAATGATGGAGTTCGTGCTCCAGCCACTCGATCTTTACTCTGATTCCGGTCACTTTGCGCTGACGAAGTTCAGGAAGCAATTTTTATACGATGAAATTGAAGCTGAAGTGAACTTGTGTTTCGATCAATTCGTGTTCAAAATATCAGAACAGATCTTTGACCATTACAAGTGCAGAGCGGCGGCGATGATTTTAGACATGCAATTTCAATTAGAGGCGAATAGAAAACATCATCCAAGAGGTCATCTTTCCCTGCATTAATCGTTTGTGGATAAGCTGTTTTAGGAAATCGCTATGAAACGCTTTTGCAACAGAGACACATTCAAATTCTCGGCCGTTCGATAGATCTCTGCCGATTGATCACCCAACGAGTTACTCAGTATCTTCAGCAATCCATCGCATATGCAATCGATAAATTCGAGTCTACAAACCTCACTGGAATCATTGAGCTTGATCACATGATAGAAGTTAACCGAATGACCCATAAGCTAGAGTTCTAAAGCCAGAATAATCACTTCTTTTCTATGAAATATCCATCCTCTTAGATTCGATGAGCTAGGGTATTCTTTCACTAAAGGAACGAATGAACGAGGGCACTCCTTTTTCTTTCTTTTTCTGGAACTCTAAAAATAGCTACTTTCTGAATACCTTCACCTCGATCCCTTCAACAATATTCTTCACGAAGCAAATCAATCCGTCAACGCAATGGGTCGCATCACGGGCCACGTGATCTGGGAATTAAACTACGACTTTTTACCTAACTTCAACTACAACAATTCAACAGAGAGATTCGTCAAGTCTGAAATGTTATTTTCCGAAGAGACAAAACTAAAAAGAGAAAAAGCGCCAAAGACTGAATACATCCTTGCGTACGGCTCGAAAGAGGTACAAAAAGATTCTTTGATGCCCTTGAAATGAGTTGTTTTAGTTGAACAGAGATTTCGACATGATTCTATCGCCTTATTCTGGTTTTATCGGAAGAGATCATTTTAAAAGCATCGTCAAGCTGCTGGGTTACTCTGGAATTGCCTGGACAGTGAAAGAATGCGTCTTAGAAACATGCAAGTCGCTTATTCAAAACACAATTCATCTTTATCTTCAAAATTTCAAGGTAGAAACGCTTTCCTTTTCAGTTTCTGATTTTCTCTTGTAAGAGAGTGTTTCCCGATTCAATCAGAACGCCAAAACTCGACTATGGAACTGCAGGCGTTTTCCAATTCTATCAAAACCATCTTCGGGATTTTCTGTCTTACCAGGAGAAATCAGCAGCGATTCACTATTTCCGCGAAGTGGGAAACGCGTTGGTTTTTGTAATGATGCTAGAAAGAGCGCTCAATCAAGAAGAAATGTATGACATGCTACAATCCGCGCCGTTCAGAAGGCAGTTGCCAAAGTTTCATCTAAAAGCGGATGAAAACTATCAGCAGAAATATAAACTCATGGAAAGAAAATATGAAAACTTAGATGTTGTCTCGCTTTCACAGGTAGAAGAAAAAGAAAAAAATATCTTTAAGTATTCTCCTTTCGTTAGAAATATGGAACAACTGATATTCATCGAGCCGCTGAAGATGGAGACATCGTTTCGGGCGAAAGACTTTGCTGTGGACTGAGCTTATTTGGATACATGCTTCGTCAAATGAAATCGTATCTTTCAGGTATTTCTGAGGGTTAAAATGAAGATTATTCTCATTACTAATTCTAGATCCAATCTGGCGCGGGGAAGGCGGCCCACCAAATGGCGTCATGTACATCGACAAATGCGCCGAGTTCCAGCGCATTTGGTCGGGAGTGCAATGGTTCATGTGTCTCCGTGAGGGCCAAGGCACTAAAACCGCAGAAGATATGTTCGGCGATGGACCGCAGTTTTGTGCTCTAGCGATCATCAATCTACTCGGCCAAGAAAACCGCTTCAACGCTTTTGACTTTTGTAATCATTTTGTCAAAGGTAGTCCTTGTTGATTTTTGTTGTATTGTTGACTTTCGTAGTTGCGACCCGAGACAAAGAAGATCGAAAGCAAGCCGTCGAAAGAGTCGAGCAATACAACATGAACGAGTTCCTCCAACGGATCGTTCGCATCCAAAAGCTCAACACCTCCATTTCCAACCTTCTCAGTCGATTTCACTCAAGTTCCGCCGAGGACAACGCCACTGTTCAAAACTTCGCACCACCAACTCACAAAAACTATCAAAACATCTAAAAATGACCTAACCCTAACCCACTCACATCAGGGTGGCACAATTGGATTGGAATCCAATTCGGAACCTTGTCCAATTGGAATTGGATTGGAAATTGGTTGGACAGGGGCATGAAATTTCGGGTCTTTCCAATTGGAAAATCAGATCCAATTGGAAAATTGGAGTCCAATTGGACGATTGGATTTTTACTCTCTCAGGCCCCAAAAAAGTGCAAAAAACGGGGTATTTCGTGATAAAGAGATATTTTTAGGCGTTCAATAGTCTAGGAACATTAATCATCGATCAAAAATCAGGGAAATAGAGTTAAGTTCCGTTAAAAATATGACTTTAACTTCTAAAAAATCGCCTTAACTTTAGCGGGAAGGGCTTTGGATCCTATTTTATCCGCTTGTTTTCCTTGTGAAGCGGATTTTTCAGTCGGAAAGGGGATGCAAATGGGCAATTGGATGTTCGATTGGTCAAAAAAGGTTTCGATTTGATCGCAATTCCAATTGGAAACCTATTTTCCAATTGGAAAGTAAATTTCCAATTGGAATTGGAATTGGATTAGTAATTGGTTGGATTGGACAAAAAGCGATTGGATTGGATTGGCAATTGGTTGGATTGACCAAGAATTTTTTTCCAATTGTGCCACCCTGCTCACATCACCACTAACGTCTATGTTACTCCTTGTTTGTCCTGTTTATGTTTATTCTCACACACTTTTCTCCCAAAAATATACTTCACCGCAACAAAGTTCCAATTAAAAAGGGTCGCTGCAAAAAATCACATTCCACTACTATAGAATATTCTAAATGACACTTATCCTTTTGCTCTTATCCTCATTCAATCTTCCTTCACTGATCTTTGTATGTACATATTCCCAGTCCTGATTCTTATGACTGTAATTCATTCTAATAAACGGTTCTGCTATCCTTCTATATAAAGAAACACTAGAAAACGAGTCACTTTAGATGGAGAGTGCAAAGCTTGAAAAGATCACAGTGCCCGCACAGTCAGTTGAAGCCTCTGCGGAAGATACAGTCGATCGACTCAAGAAGCATCCTTGCGGAAGCCAACTTGCTTGGATGCTCTTCCGTGCCATGGACGAAGAAAAGTTTCTGTCGTTCTTTGATTCCCTGATGCCTCTGAACGATGGCCCGATTGATCATCTATTGAACGAAACTCAATGCATGGGTTTCTTATTGAAGCGTTTCATCGACAACGACTTGTCTGGTCGAACACTTCGGTATTACAACATCTTCAAGCAAACGTACGAACGAGAGCCAAACTTGAGCGGAATTGCGTGGATCTTGAAGGAAGCAAAAGTACAAGAGATCAAGGAAAGAATGGCAAAACGAAAGGTGTGGATAGTTATAAATCAACGAACTCACCAAATAATTTCTTCAGGCAGACATTCAAAGAATCATTGATTGGTTTCATGATCCTTTTGATGAAATTGCTACAGAATTACGAGAGGCGTGCGATCAGTCTGTCCAAACAGAAGATTATTCCGATAATGATGAGGAAGAATTGACTGACGATCAAGACTCGCCTGTTTTTTACATCTTTCATCCCGACGCTTCATAAATTCCCATGCACATCGCATCACTACCAGTTATCGCCACAGTTAAAATTACAGTAATAAAGCTCAAAAATAAACATCGTCATCTTTTATTGCGTCAAAAATGACGGGCCTCGCACTTGCGCGAACTTGCGTTGCATTTACTTTTCGCATCTAAGAATAAATGGGCAATGAATGCATCTTTTTGGCCCCAGGCGTGTGCGTCAATCATTGATGAGTTGTCATTCTTACTCTGAATTATTTGTATTGACGGGTCTTGGCAGAAAGTCGGTCACTGAAGAGCAGACAGTTTCAAACTGTTTTCATTGATTTTCTATTTAGACTTAACTTTCAGTAGAGTACTTTTTAAAATAGAGATTTATCTTTTCATAGTTACGACTATTCAAGCCAAGATTTTAACGAGTTCTGAATCGGAGCTTATTAATTTTTCAGTGAATGTTTTAACAGAGTTGCTCTCGCTTCATTGAAAAGTATTGAGTAGTATCTATCATTTTTCGCCATCCAGTCGTACTCGTACAAATCGCGATATTGATCCACGTTGGCGCTCTCTACCCAGCTGAATATGAATATTATTCCCCCAGTAGCTCAAATAGACCATAAGGAATCACTCAAGACTCACACACACACACTTGCCTCATACTTGCCAGAAATCAATTCAAATCCAATCAAACCCAAAAACTTGATGGAATTAAGAATGATAACGTGACATGAGAGATTGAGGAAGAACTGTATCGAAAGATTCGTCGAGAAAAAAAGATGTTCGAGCTGGATTTCATGGGCCTGGCGGTCCTAGACCCGGAGTTCTCTAGACCGATGCTGCCTTGGGTCGTAAGAGAAGTCATCTTTAGGTAGGAAAACTTTGAATAATTATAAATGATCATTTATCACTGCATCATGTTCATATGCTGAATTCTAGAGCAGAGCCACACAAAGTAAACCTGTCCGTTGACAACGATCAGGTGAAATTCCAAGACGCAAACGACTCCTCGCCCAAAGTAGAGAACTCATTCCAATCCGATGGATATAAAATCAAAGGTTACTAACCCCCCTAAAACCGCATTTAGCTTCATCCCCAATCGATAGACAAAATAAGCTGATTCTGGATTTAGACGTTTACCACCCTGCTCATGAACCAACTTCATTTGCTTTTGTCACTCGCGAAGCTGCCTCTACACCGTGTTCTTGTTATGTCTTTAAAAATGAGTCCGTCGAACTTGTTGAACAAATTGTCAAAAAGTTGAAGCACGAAATAGGCTCTGGAAAACGAAAAAGACTCGGGGAAACGTCAGGTTTGAATATTTTTCAATTTGGCTTTGAATTTAATGATTCAATCAGGAGAAAGCGAGGTGATATCGTATGAAGTGCTCCTTCTGAACAAAACGCCAATCTACACAGAAAAGCCCTCTCAGGACATTATCGATAATTTAATTGAGCAATCCAAGTCTCAATCTGCCACGAGCACGCGCCCAGAAAGTGCCAATGGCACGAACGAGTTCTCAGTCGACATTTCCACCAGGAATCGTGGCCTCATATCCAGTGATATTTCAACGGGCGTCTCTGACGATCGAGCTGGAAGATCTGTTATTGAAAACAAACGAAAGGAATTTACGAGACAGAGAAGTCATAGGAAAGGGTCAATATTTTACTTTTTGTTGTGTTTTTCATTCATTTCTTGGCCTAAAACAAAGCTACGATACATCAAACTACAAGCACGAAAACAAGACAAAAATCTTCCAAATCGGAATCGACAGATTAACCGTCATCGATACCGATGGCCCTGGTGTGATTGATGTCAAGTTCACACGCGTGTCTAGATGTGTTCAAGGCGTCAAGCATCCGAATTCATTTGGTTTCGTCGCCCGTGATCCGCGTAAACGAGCTCAAGTCAATGGCAATACAGGATCGAGTTCATCTAATCTCCTGAGAATATATTTTCTTTATTCGAAAACGGCCGAAAATGAGCTCGGGCAAGGTGGCCAAATGGAGTTTTACTTCTACATCTTCGAGTGCTTCGACGAGCAGACATGCGAAGACATCATGGGAGCCATAAAACAGGCGTTCTCTGCTTCTATGCGCCCCATCACTCCTCTCCACACCTTTCACAGACTATGCGTCCGCCTTAACCACACTCAGGATCTGAATCAACGACTCAGCCTCGTCTCTGGCGTCATTGAGCAGATCTCAGAAGGGGAGAAGTTCTATATTGATCAGAAGTTGAAGGTATACATGTTTGTTTATATATTCTTAATAAAAGATAGGCTATCTTAGATAGCTCAATTTCAATTTAGGAATTGAATGTATTTGCGCATCGCAATTATTATCGATTTTTCAGTCATTGACGCCTGGCAGTGGTACTGAGAGATTAGTCTTTCAAGTCTCAGTATTGCGAGAAATATTCGAAGTGAAAAACAGAGAGATGCAACTGTCCATGAGCTCCTCAAAAAAGGTAGGATTTTGTCTGATTCGCTCAAGATCTATTAGCTTTTTAGTCGCCAATTGGGCAAGGGCAAGGTATCAATGTAAAAAAAGTCGAAGACTTGGCGAATAGGCTTGGGAGTAAGTTCTCCCTTCTTTCTCGGAATATGACACAGAACATTCAAACCATGAGTGATAAGCTCGGCGAGTCGGGGATGAACTTGGCTGACAAAGTTCGCACTGCAAGAGCGAACAACTCGCAGAGGCCGGATTCAAGGGTCTCATTATCCAATACATTCCCCGTTAGTAGCTTGTGTCGTAAATTTGTTGTCTTTGGGTTCATTACTGTCTCCATTTACATGTCGTTTCAATCAGTTATCAACAGTTTGATTTAATCAAATTAAATTTGCATGTGATTAGCAAAAAGGTTGTTAATTAGTCCATTCGTACTGTGCAGCACAGTCTGTGCTAGTTGAAAATCGTTTTTATAAGCTTACTTGTAGGTGGAGCAAAACTCCGTCATTTCCGACGAAAGAAGGACGAATGGATTGAGCACTCCTGTCAGAGACTTGGAGGAAGTGAGCTTCGAATCGAATGATATTGACTCAGTTCAGCATTTCAGGTGAGGAATATTCCTATAGTCATTTCATGACCATTGTTATATGCTGCGCTTTTGATGTATTGCCATTTTAATGGTCCTTGAATTAAGCCCCGCGAAATCACTGCGTCAGCAGATTTACGAGTCCGTGAGCTCTAATGCTACTGTTTCAAATGTAAGTATTCCCTTTCATTTCTTCAGCCCAATTTTCTTACCCCTTCATTATTCAGAGTCCTCGACCGTCGTATAAAGACAAAGAAATAAAAAAAGACCTCTCAACGCCGGACTCTATCAGGAATTCACTTCACCAAATAGAAGAAGAAAACGCACTGCTAGAAAGAATAAAACAAAGAATATCCGAACTCGAGAAGATGTCGCCCGAAGAGGCTGGTCCTCTTCAACAGAAGCTCTGGGCGGATCTTGGGCTTGATACTGTAGCTGCCGAGAGTAAAGTTAATGGAGCTGGGGAGGGGAGGAAAAACGAGACTGTTAAATTGATCCCTCCAGGGGTGATACACGCCGCTACGAGCCACGCAGGTATTGTTAAATCTGACTTTTACAACTGTCGAGGCGTTTTTATTGCAAATTTTTCAATGCGGTTCAGTTCCCGAGGAAATCCGAGGCGAAGTTTGGAAGTTCCTGATCAAGCAGCGAGAGCACCGCCATGGCGTCAAATTCACATCTTCTTTCAAAACCCTTATCAATCAACTAGCACCGCCTGGGCAAGCGCATTCTATCCTAATTGACCTCTGCCGCACATTCCCTAAACACCGACAGTTTCGTGAGAGTCTCGCTCAATCAAGTGGTCAGAAAAGCCTCTATAATGTTCTCAAGGCTTATTGTTTACTCGACGATGAAGTTGGTTACTGCCAGGGATTGAGTTTTGTTGTTGGTTTGATTCTTATTTACTTACCTGCTGAGGAAGATGCTTTTGCTGTCCTGAGGTAAGATTCATTGAGTATTCGTGAATAAGCACGTCTCGAACGAGTCCCAAGATGAATCAAATTTACAACTTATTTCAAGGCATTTGATGTTCGAATGCAACATGCGCCGATTTTACATGCCGGACATGGCGGCGCTTCAAGAAGCAATGTACCAACTCTCGCGTCTCCTAGCAGAACTAGAACCAACTCTTTATGAATTCCTGGAATCGCATTGTGTCACTCCCGTTCTTTACCTAACCCCGTGGTTCCTAACGCTCTTTGCTTCAAACTTTCCGATGTCCTTTTCCAGCCGTGTTTTAGGTAAGATTTTTTTACAAAAAGCAAAATAGATAAATGGCAGTCACTGACAGAATGATTGATTTTTCAAAATTTTATTCATCTTCAACGAACTTGATTGAGACCATGTCTTCTTCAGAGGAAGATGTGTCGAACTCTTCAATTCTTGGAAATGCATCTTCCAAGTCTTGAATCGACCGGTGATTTTCTTTCTTTCTTTTGCTCCTTGAAAATTGAGGCTTTTTCTTTTCCAATCGCTTTTTCAACTCTTCCAGGGTAATTTCATTGAGTGTTTCGAATTCGAGCATAACTTCATTTGTAGTTACAGACGCACCGGGCCAAGCAGGGCCTAAAAGCCTCATTATAAGTGATTTTTTTTGAAACAACTTACTTGAAAAGACGATAACTGAAAGAATCGTTCCATGAGTAACATCTTTAATCTTCTGGTTCGTGCTCTCGTATTCGGGCCAGTCGTAGATTGTGTTGATTTGCTGGAGATTATAAACAGGGCTTTCCGACTGGGGAATTATTCGATAAGCCCCGATCCAAGTTGTTCGTTTAGCTTTTGGTCCAAGGCAGCTTTTTACTTTGAAATAATCTTTCCACCACTTCGGAGCGTCTTTTTCGCACTTTTCAACTGATGCGTTGAATTTCCAATGCGTCGAGAATCCGCATTGAACGACCAGCTAAAACCTCTTATTGGAAATCATTGCTCCTTTACTTACGTAAGACTCTCTCTTGCAGCAAATCGTCTTTACGTACAACTCGGAATCAATGTATCGAAAGATTTTGATCATTCCAGAAAGATTCGGGGCCTTCTCAAAACGACTTCTGTAGAAATCCAGCCATTCGACGACGCACTCACATTTTGACTGACTAAGTTTAAATAACCGTTAAATTGTTTTTATTATTACATATCTAGTACCACAAGGTGTTGCTTATCAGAACTGGCTCATCATTGTACTCTTTCGCATATTTTTGCAGCAGCAGATCGCACGAATCTGAACTGAGGATGTCGTCGAAAGGTGGATTTTCTTCGTCGACTCCGAGGACTTTTTCGCATTCAAGGAACTCCTTGACATTCATCCTTGAGAATATCAGATAGCCGAGTTTGTCAGCTTCGGGGTGATTGCGAATCTTCATCAGAGTCTCGCGCTGGATTTTGCAGCTGATCATTATCCAATTCCAGTAATTCTTCGAGCTTGGGTCCTTCGTCTCATCATCGCCCGAGCGGTATTTTATCAGTGACATTTATGATCGTTTTCTTAAAAAATAATGTTTTCATTGAATTTTGTTCTAGAGAGCATTAAACCCTGTTTTCAGATCTTGTGCTTGCACAAGGCCCCTCTGCCATATTCAAAATCGCCCTCTCCTTATTCCAACAGTACAAAGAGTACATCATCAAGCTCGACGGGTTCGAAGCCGTCGCTGACTTTATCAAAAATCGAATTAACTGCCCAGATGAAGAGACATCAAAAGAAATATTCCAACGCGCAGGCAAAATCGACCTTAGAACGCGGCTCGAAGTGTTTGGGGCTGAATACGTCGTTTTGTCCGAAATGGATATGATCAAGGAGCCTGGACAGGTTCATTGGTCGCCTAGTAAAAATCTCGTCAGAGATCTGAGGGTGGAGAATAGAAAGCTTAGAGAACAGGTCAGTAATCGGATATCAAGATGCTCTCAACATCCTATATTCAGCTGACAATCCAAGAAACTCAAATCCAAGCGCTTCAAGACTCCCTCTCCGAAATCCAAGACCAAGCCCTTCAACAAAAAGATCATCAGCAAGTCGTCTCCGATCTCGTCAAAGAAAGAAACGAGCTAAAAATCCTCGTCCAAAAACTTTCCGAGCAGCTGGGAAATCTCTCCGCAGAACAAAGTCTATCTGGTGGCGCTTCGCGGGTGGCAAGTCCGACGTAGCTTTAATTTAATTCATGTTTTATAAATTTGCAATCTTATTATTGAATAAATATTTATCTTTCTATGTTCAAACACTTCTAAAAACAACTATCTTCAAATGAAAAATCATCCAACCCTTCTATTCTTGCATAGCAACTTCATGTCATTTTTACTACTTCTAGAACTGCTTCTAGCGATATTCAACCTTTCTCTTGTTGAGAATCTGTTCATTTTTTACTACCAACTATGCCATTGTATACCTATTGAGAAAATGTGCAATCTGACGTAAAACGCTTTAGTAAAAGAATTCCTTGTCACGTGCCAGGAAGTAAAAAGATCGCAAAGTAAAGAAAATCCAATTGTTCAGTGCCAATACTACAATACATATATTATTATTCAGCAAACAGTCAAGTCTTGTGATTCCTTTTATCGGCTAAATAATTATGACGTGAGTAGTAGCGTAACGCGTGGTTTTTATAGAGATGAGTTAAAGAAAGAAGTCATTTCGAGGAAGACATCGTTATTCGAATTCAAAAATTTTAAGAAGAAAAAACACAGTTTCAAAGGAAGATTCTGTTTTTACGGTGAGTTTATAAGAATTTCTAGGAATATTATCGATTAAAGGGGGCAATAAATTGTGTAGGAATACGAATCCTAGGCGTGTTGATTATTTTTACTAGTCGGATATTTTGTCAGAAAGAGAAATAATCTAAAATAACTTTGATTCCGTTAAAAATATCACGGGATCGATGAATCGTTTCTGATAAGAGCCCTAATTATCCCATAATGTCTACCAAACAGACGAGTGTGTTGTTGTTTCAAAATTGCTAGATTTTATTTGCTTTTCGCACATTTTTTTTGCATTTTTGACCGCATTATCCACTTTTGTTCATAACGGTCTTTTTCGCACTCTGCTTGTCGGCGGAATAGAGCCCTCTTGAGTTCACGGATGTTGGCGCTCGAATACTACTACTGTCGACTACGCTTTGTTGCGAACTTTTTAAATTCAGCAAATATTAGCACCAGCGAGAGAGCAGTAATCAGAGAACTAGTGCATTTTTTGAAGAAGCAGTTCTGTACTTCTCGTGAAAGTAAACAATTGATTTAGAGATGGGTAAAGATTGGAAGCTTATCAATGTTGTCCTGCTTGGATTGGGTTTCATGCTCGTTTTCACGGCGTTTCAAACGACTTCCATGGTTGGAAAGTATGTGACCAATTCCGTCAAGCAGGAGAAGATGGAAACTCCGGAGTTTAATGAGACTTTCGTCGCGTTCAAGGAGGAAAATTACGATGAATATAAAAGCATGGAAGATGAGATTGTTCAAGGTAATTTTTCGATTGAAGTTCTTTTCTACTGATCAATTCAGAGGCTGCGGAGGCAGAAGAAACTGATCCAAGCACTTACAATGCCACTCAAAGAGATGCACTCGTCATTGAAAAGATGAAATCGGACTTGATTGACCAGCAATACGGCGATGGTTTCACTTCCATGTCGATCGTTTATGCCGTCTTTGCGCTTTCAAACTTCACTGCGCCCGCTGTAGTTAAGCTTTTTGGCCATAAAGCGACAATGGTAAGCTGTTTTCTTTGTTAGCTCAGATTTAGTACTATTGTATTTGTAAAGAACATTCTTTTCGAATATAGAAAGCGGGATTATTATCTAACTCACATGTATTTCTATCAAAAGCAGCTTTGACATTTCGCATCATAAAATAATTAACGATGCCGTAGTTATTCTACGTCAACGTTTCGCTTTCCCCTTCCGTTTTCGTCTGTTCCCTAATGACCTATTTATTTAGTTCGTCGCTGGATTGACGTACCTTCTTTACATCATCACTTTCCTCAACCCGACTCCTGTATTTCTCTACACCGCTTCTTTCACCCTTGGTTTCGGTGCTGCGTACATTTGGACGGCGCAAGGTGACTTCCTTCACCTGCAGTCTCCCGATGAAAAACTCATGTCCCGAAACACTGGAATCTTCTGGTGCATGTTCCAAACATCCCTTCTAATTGGAAACATTTACATCATGATTGCCTGGAAAGGCGAGAGTTATGTTAGCTCCGAAATGAGGACAACTCTTTTCACGATTTTCGCTATCTTGGCTTCTGTTGGTTGCAGTATTTTCTTGCTCTTGAAGGGCAAATGCTGCGGACCAGAAGAGAGATACAATGCAGGTATTTATATCTTTATGTTTTATGGAAGATAAAGCGCTTTTATTTAGTCCCTGTTGAAGAGCAGGAACTCCAGGGCGAAAATGAAAAGAAAACTTCTGAGGAGGAAGAACCCCAAGGAGCTATAAATACCATCACTTCTTCCATCCAAGCCGCTTTCAAGCTTCTAGTTACCAAGAAAATGCTTCTTATTGCGCCACTTTTTATGTACTCTGGCTTTGAGCTGTCTTATTTCTCCGGAGTTCACCCGACTACTGTTGGTAATTCGAAAAACATGGCTGATTCGTCTTCTGCTGTGGGAATGGCTGGTCTGTTTGTTGGCATCGGTGAAGTGCTGGGAGGTGGTATCTTCGTATTCGGCGCGAAAATGATGGAGAATATTTCGAGAACGAAGATTTTAATGGGGTTTGAAATCAAGGAAGAGAACGCGGTTTTTAATCTTAAATTTTAGCTGTTGTCTTCTTCATATCGCCGCATATGCCCTCTCACTTCTCAACTACTCCTTCAGCGCCAACTTAGATCCAACGGATAATCCACCCTCTTTGGGCATCTTCAGCGAGACGAGCCGCCAAGTTGCAATCGCCATCGCTTTTCTCCTCGGTCTCGGAGACGCTGGCGTCAACAATGTGATCTACACTTCAATCACCAAAGGATTTCCTGAAGACACTACTTCTGCCTTCGCGCTAATGAAGGTATTCATCATTGTTTTCAATCTTCTTTTCATCCCTATTTTTAGTTCATCCAAAGTGCCACATGCGCGCTTTGCTTCTTCATCAGCAACAGCATCAATCTTTTCACGACGATTGCCATTCTCCTCTCGTTTCTGTTTATCAGCGTCGCAACCTTTATCCCCTTCATGCGTTCAGTTACTGAGCCTCCTAATGCTTGAGAAAGCAGTTCTGTCGCTTTATAATTTGTTTAAAATTTAATTATATTATTATCAACTTTCAATCCAAAAAAGCTCCTGTTTCATACTTTTTATCAAAAACCAATTCTGTTCTAACCAAACAAATGCCTTATTCAAGAAAGAATAAATCATCAACGAGTTTTCTGTACCATTACCTTATTTACAACTTATCGACCTATGTGCAATTATTCGAGCAAAAACAATCATTTTTCACCTAAAAAAGCTGTCATAGAATATTTATGTATCGTTATTTATAAAAATTAAAATGCAGAAGTTGTTCTTTTGAGAAATGCCAGAAGATATATTTTTTTCTATTTGCTTATAAAGAGATCAGACCCTTAAATTTTCATAATTTCCGATTTTTACGTTTTTCAATAATTCCATAATCGACCTCTAGCAAATATCGAAATGACATTTTCCAATGGCGTTTTTATGACAAGGAACATAGCCTGCACAAACGAGTAGCTTTCGTATGAAAATATTTACAGTTGTGTCATAGAAAAGCGTAGAATGAGCGACTTCAAGGTCATCAAGGTCGATCGATTCTATTCGAAGGCGGTCAAGGATGGATTTGATGATATTGTCAGGCAGATCTTTAACAATCGGGTTAGTAAACAAATGATTATTCTTTTAATGTCGATTTTTAGGTCGAGGGAGAGGAAAACTTTCGTTACTTCGACCAGCGACTTTTGATATCCACCATTGCCGTCCTCTTCAGCGCTTTCGGTTGTGGATATGACTACTACGATCCTTACCCCAACTCGAAATACGTCCTTGCTACTTGCTCCATCATGTATTTCATCCTCACCGGCCTCATGCAGCTCTACCAGTATGCTCTTTATTTTTACTGATTTTCCTAACACTTCCCTTAGGTGGTACGTCGAGAAGGATATCTTCCTTGTTTTCAACGAAAAAGTGGGAAAGAAAAATTTGCGCTGGGAGATCTCCTCGACTATCGGAAAGTACGATAACATTTACAAGATTGAATTCAAGACGATCAACGATCAAGGTGCTATCCAAGGTATTCTCCAGTTCTCAATTATTTTCCAACATCGAAATTTTAAGAATACAAGGCGGAAAGATGCTGCTCGACTTTTATGGACGTCAACGGTCAAGTTCTTTTCCAGTTTTTGGAAGAATGGATCATGAAGTGCCGTTCAGAAGTCAAGCCCGAAAAGAAATCGAACTAGTCTTTTTCCTATTTTCTCTTTTAGGCATTTCTACCTATAATTGTTACTACATCTCTTTTCTCCCCTGGTTCAAGTTTCTTTCTCACTGATTTTAAAATAATTTTATGTGCAATATGATCGTCTTCTAAAAATAAGAATACGATTATCCATTTAGAGCCATTTTGAATTTAATTAACTCTGCAAATCGCCATTAAAAGTTATTGTGATGGAAAACTTATCCTCTCTGAAATTGACCATGAAAATTTTAAAGATGATTTTAAACTTGATAGTTTCGGCGACGCTGATGCTCAACGCAGCTGCTTTGTTCAGATTGACTGAGACTCCGAAAAGGTAATTAGAGTCAATTTGGAGTCATTAGTAAATGAGCATTTTCTTGTTCATTGAAATTGTGTCATTGAAATTTTAGGTTTTCCTCCAAGCCGTCGGAAAAACTTGCAATCGTCGTGCGCCAAGTGCAAAAGTACGCTCCGCTTATCGGGCTCTGGAATATTCTCATCATTTGCCTTGTTCTGTTTTTCTATTGATTTTGAGATTCGACCACTTTCTGCTATTTTCTGTACCCAACTTTTCCTCCGACCATTTCAATAAACAGCGATTACGTTTTGATATAAAATGATGATTTTCTTTTTATTAGCTTCCATATTTGGTAAACGCGAGGCGCATATTCACGAAAAGCGAAAGTGAATAATTTGACTTTGACGGGGTCCCTTACTTTTCATCACTTCCACTCAGAGAACTAAGAGCCAGTTCTTGAATTATTAACTTTTTCCTACATCTACATCACGCATATCAATTTGGATTCCACTTGAGATCAGTCACGATTGTCAAAAGTGGCGATAGTGGACTGAGTAAACCAGCCAGAGAAGTGATAAGCTGTTTTAAAACAGAGTTAGTACTCTGCTCACGTCGGCACAAGAATAAAAGCCACAAGAATTTTTAACTAGAGCGAAAAGTTCTGAAGGAAACTGAAGAAAGAAAGAACACTTTTTATATAAAACAGGTTCGTTCTTAATTTATTTCTCAAAGATTTTTTGAGCATGATTCATGCTCGTATTATTTTCTGTTTCAAATATTCAAGCTTCACAATTATGCACGAGAATAAACATAAACTGAATTTGAACTTTCGTCGAAACCAAAAGAAAGCCGTGGGTGAGCTTGTCTCAACTCGCCAGTTCATAAATTTCCCCGTAGGATTACGCAGTTGCACTGGGAGAACCGTGCACCTTGCGGGTGTTAATCATTTTTGCCATATACCCTGGCCAAGTTTTTTATGCTCGAGTGCAAGAGTGAATTCCAGAGATACTCTACTTCTCCAAGTCATCAAGTTTTGGTACTGTATTTACTTGTGAGAGTCGAATTTCCTAGGACAACGTAAATTTGCTATACAAATGTCTTCAGATCATTAAACTTGTGAAACTTTCTCAGTCATTTCGCGTGACGGAAGTAGTTGATTTCGTTCAGAAGCTAAATAGTAATTTTACAAGAGAATCCGTTTTACTGTAGATTCTACAGTGTAGATCATAGAGTTGCTGAACGATCTAATTATCTAAGTAAGCATATTCCAAAATATCCCTGTCTGGAGAGCACTGTAATAAAAAAGCTCAATGACGTCGATTATTTATCTTGCTTTGATGCATTGCTGGAATTCGGCATTGTAGAGTGTATGCATTTGCTCCGCCACTTTTCGGAATTAGAAAACTTGTGTAAATGTCACAGTTATTGTCTTTTCGTTTCAGTAAACCAAAATTGTTCGGCTTCACTTTTTCGTGATTCAATATTTTACATCTCGCTGGAAACAGCAAAAGCTTCTGCTGACTCAAGTCCTTTCAATTCGAAGCGGTGTGGAGCTTTGTTCCTTGAGAGATAGTCTACCGGGTTTTCAAGCTTGATAAAAATAGCCCGCGACTGTTGAAAAGGGAACGAGGAAGTTCGAAACCGCGGGCGCTTTCCGGCTTTTTTATTTAATTATTTATTTCGGCAGAGAATGGACATTTCGGAGCGTAATTGATCCTCAAAGCGAAAGCATCTTACTTGGAGAAAGCTTCGTCTTAGAGCCCTGAATATTTTATTGACAGAAAAAATCAAGAATAACAACTGAAGTCTCACGCAAAAAGTCTCTACTTTAAATAATGTCACCCCTAAGAAAATATTTTGTTATTTAGTTTCAATACTAACCCCGTGATAAGCCTGGTTAAAGTGCCAACCTTGTTATGCTGGGCGAGATAAAAGTGCCTCGCCGCTAATTAGCCGTTTCACTGACGCCTCAGTGACGATGTGAGCCAAACTCACACACCTTGATTTCTATAGCCAGAGAGCGCAGCAGCTCCAAAAGCGCTGAGTTTTGACACACTCCCATTTTCAGATTGAGAGAAAGAAAAAAACGAAAGACGAAACAGACATGAGCGGCACGCGTTCAGTGACACTTTCGGGCGGCGGCCCTTGGGGCTTTAGAATTCAAGGAGGAAAGGACTTCAACTCGCCACTCACAATTAGGTAGGATCTCTTGAACTTTTTCTCTTGTTATTCTTCCTTGTTATCAATTTGAATGAAAGTACGGTGTTTTCATAATTTAATTAGAATTGATTTGCGACCCAATTAACTCGCAAATTAGCACTTCTCATAAAGAGTTATATATAAATAATTAGGTATATTTCTTGAGAGATTTATGATAAAATTTTACAGTAATTCTTGTATGGAAGAAAAAAGATTATTCAGAAAAAGCATCTGACTCCTTTTCTTGAGCATTTTATGAGCTCACCTGGGTCGCGACTAATCTTTTTATTTGTCCTATTTACCTGATCGAAACTAAATCCCTGATTCAGCCGTGTGAACGAAGGCGGCAAGGCCCACGCTTCTGGACTCATAACAGGAGAGACAATCAAAGAAATCAACGGAACGGAGACGTCGGGACTCGTCCATGTCAGATGCCAGCAGCTTATCAAGAATACCGGTTTGAGTTTGACTCTCACGCTCGACTCCAGCACGGCGAAGCCTAGTCAAGCTCCTGTAAAGTACACTAGTCCCCCGCCAAAGGTCCCCGTCGTGACAAAATCGCAGTTTACGACTCTTCATCAACAAGTTTCGTAAGTTCAGTTTAGTTGAGCTGTCAGCTACTTCCGGTAGAAACACGATGAAACTCAACGACCTTTTAGGGCTCCGAAACCAGAGCCAAAAATCGAGAAGCCGTCAGCCGTCGCAGCTGCACTGGCACGTCGCTCACCGTCTCCGCCTCCAGTTCCTTCACCGCCGCCAGAAACTGTTGATTTTCCAGCTCCACCGGCTTCGGATTTTCCAAAGCCACCGCCTTCTTTCCAGAATGACTTCCCTAAGCCGCCGCCGATGATGTCTTCGCTTCAGCCCGACCCTGTCAAGACTTACTCCATTCCAAAAGTTTCCAACATAGTTGGTTAGCAACTCTTTATAAAAACTATATGAAGAAATGTCTTATGTTTTATTCTTTCCTGCCATAGACTAAGTTCCTCTTCCAGATCGTCCATCTGTTTTCTCGAGCAAAAACGAGATCGAAAAAGCTTCACAAAAATTCGACGCAAAACCAATCTTTCCGAAATCGTTCAACAAGATCCCCAGTTCAACTTCAACCCCTCTTCGTACACCCCAGTTACTCCATCATTTTCTTCAAAACCAAAGCCTTCTGAACCATCAACGTCTCCATCATACAAGCCTACTCCAGTTCCAGCAACTGTGAACTCGTCCTCGCCTCCGAGAGTGTCAAACTTGAGCTCGCAGCTTGGCGATATCAAACTAGCAAATGATCCAGCAGCTAGAAAATTTGTATCTCCAGCTCCTCCCCAATCTCCAATTAAATCTTCTCCACCCGTCTCGTCCCCTCAAAAGTCAAACTTCGAGCCACCTATTCCAAAAGCAACGAGTCCGCCAAGCAATCCTCCACCACAAGCTCGAGGAGTTCCCGTACAAGCAAAAGCACTGAACTCAAACTTAAATACTTCTGAGGACTCTAGCGAGCCTACGTGTGCAGTGTGCTTCCAGAAGATTAGGTAACGGAAGCAATTAATCAGACACGTGTGTTAACTCCTTGTTTCATTTTTAGAGGCCAATACTGTCAGGCCATAGGAAAAAATTGGCACCCTCAGTGTTTCAAGTGTCAATCGCCAGGATGCCAAGTTTCACTGCAAGCCACGGGCTTTATTGAAGACGCTGGATTTGTGTATTGGTATGTAATACTTATTTTGACAAAGAAAATATCTTTCATTGACCTTGTTTTTGGCCGATCAAGCTGTTCCATTACGCACAAATTTTAAAACTCACATTTAGCCGTTCCTGTTTCGAGCGAGACATCGCCCACAGTTGTGCAAAGTGCAATAAAAAGATTATTGGGGTAAGAAATCACGCTGTCATCATATTCTCCTTACTCTTTCTTTCGTAGGATACAATGCACGCTCTCAATCAGACTTGGCACATGAACTGCTTTGTTTGCATCAAGTGCAAGAAGCCCTTTGAAGATGGCGTCTTTCACTGGCAGAATGAGCAGCCCTACTGCGTCGACGGTGAGTCTCTTATTCTGTGTCTTGTTTGATTGAGTGTTTTCTTACTAGACTATAACCAACTGTTTGCAACCTTTTGTCGTGGATGTAACATGCGTGTGGAAGCAGGAGACCAGTATATCGAAGCTCTGGGAGAATCCTGGCATGATAATTGCTTTACCTGCTCGGTATGTATTTTCTTCTTTGATTTCGAAAGCGAGCAATGCTAATGAATGTCCTTAGACCTGCCACATCGAGTTGAAAAACGTCGGTTTCTACAACCGAAACAACCGGCCAGTCTGCAAGGCGCACGCGCGTTGAGCAACCACTTTTCACCACCACTTGGTCGTCCGCCGCCTATTCCGCCTCGCAACTTTGACCGTTCGCACTCTTGCCCTGCTGCTTCATCATCACCCGGAAATGGCGCTTGGCACTCTTCCTATCACTCAGCAAACTGTAAAGCAACCCCTCCACCACCGAGGCGCCAAATTGGCGGTATCTTTCTCCCCTCCCAACGGATGCAGGAGAAGATAGCTGCCAGATGGAGCCGCATCAACCAAATCAGCTTCAACTATGACGTCCGTGCCTCGCCAATTCCACACTATCAACGAAATTTCTTTTCAAATAAATAAAAAATAATTGCTCTTCTGTTTCTCCTGGAAATAAACACTTCTTTCTTATCGCACTCTTTCATATATTTCACTGTTTTCCTTATTCAATAAAGGAGAATTTCCAATCCTTTTATTAGCAAAATCCTTATCAGCATTCTTTTCTCGTTATGTTCAATGTTGCATGTGTAGTAAAAAACCTTTATAATTCCAAATGATACGAAATCAACAAGGAGTTCAATCCAACTTTAGTTTATTTTTCTGTTTCAGCAAGTTTTTCATTTTCCTTCCGCATCAAGTTCACCCTTCTTTATTCATTGTTATTTCTTCTGTTATATTTCCCAACTGACAAAAACGCTTCTCTTTCAAATATATATTTCCATGTCTTAATTGTCTCTTAGATATCAGAATACAATTAAAACCATTCATGAAATTACTCTCTATTCTGTGTGTGATGACACTACTTGACGAAAATCCTGGCTTGGCGCCAGAATTTGTCACAAGAAACAGCGAGTAAGGAGCAGAAATTGACAGAGCAAAGAGAAATTTCTTAGTTTTTTCGTGCCACTGTGCAGATAGGGAGCCGTTATTATAACAGTTGAAAGTAGACAGGTAATGAGACTATTGTCGTACATTTCACTTGTTATGAAATGAAAAACAAAATCTCTTTCAAATGTCCCGAAATCAAGGAAGAGAATCGAATTTATCAGGCAAAAATCATCCTTCAAAGTGAATGAAACTTCTTTATTTATGAATGATTTGACTTTGAAAATTGGAGAGAGAAAAATTAGAACAAGGGAAAATGTGAAGAAAAGTCGTAAATGATGGTCGCTTTGTTGCCGCCGAGTTGCGGTCCATTATTACGAAAAATAAATTAATTGACTTTTTCGCTACTCCAAGTTAACTTCAGACTTCAAACTACTCTTAGAACGACAAACAAAGAATGTCGTAACGATGACGAGAGCTCGCAAAAAATGGACCGCCCAATAATGTCACTTTTCTTCTACTGTTATTCTTCCTAGAGAGAAAATTTTCGAAGAAGTTCTTCTGATTTACGCATTTGACCTTCAGTTCAGTATTTTCCCCAAGAGATGATAATTTTTATTTACACTCGTAAAAATATCTGAACAGTCTTTGCTAGCTGCTACCGTTCTCATTTTTATTGATACTCGACAAGAGAAGCACGTTTACTTTTTCCTACATTATGACGTCTGCCAGAGAGAAACGTCGCTTTATAGACTTTGAATATAAGCGCTAAATCCGCGCAAATTATTATTCACTCACTCAATTTGAAACATGAATCATTCTATAATCGGTCCTCCCCGAGAACGAAAGAGCGAGAGGGGGAAAGAGGAGTGTCACTCAGTGACAGTCACTGACTAAACAGCCAGTCTACTACTCAGCTTTTTAACAGAGACTTGTTGGTACAGCAGACTTGTTTTTTCGCGCTTCTACTTGACTAAATCTTCAAAAAAATATTCTGACCTAAAAACATTCGCTCCTTTTTCTTACATTTGTCGCTAGTTGGCGCAGTTTTTTCCCAAAATAACGAAAGAATTGGAATTTAGAGAGGAACTCGGGTTGAGTGAAGGGACAAAAAAGAACTCAAGCAATCATGGCGGGCGGCAATGCTGGAATGGAAGGAACGGTTGAAAATTCTCAAAAGAAATATTCATCGAAAACTTTATTTGAAATTTCTATATCGAAATTCAACCTAAAAGGGCTCATTCCGATGATAAACAAGCTGCAAGATGCATGTACGAAATCCGGGCAAGCTTTAGACATTGATCTACCTCAAATCGCCGTCGTTGGTGGCCAGAGTTCGGGAAAATCCTCCGTGTTGGAAAACTTTGTTGGTCGTGATTTTCTCCCGCGAGGAACTGGCATCGTAACGCGTAGACCCCTCGTTCTCCAGCTGGTGAATAACTCTGGTGGAGAATGGGGCGAGTTTTTGCACAAAAAGGGACAGAAGTTTTACCAGTTCGATCAAATCCGCGCTGAAATTGAACAAGAAACAGACAGAACAACTGGTCATAATAAAGGTTAGTTTCAGAGCTCTAAATCCAGATCTAATAACGCGGATTATTCAGGCATTTCGCCCATTCCCATCAACTTGCGCGTCTTTTCTCCAAGGGTGCTGAACCTGACACTTGTTGATCTCCCGGGAATGACGAAGGTAGCCGTGGGAGACCAGCCGCCTGATATCGAGAGGCAAATCCGCGAAATGATAATGCAGTTTATTACCAAAGAATCTTGCCTGATCCTTGCTGTTTCGCCGGCTAATCAAGATTTGGCAAACTCAGATGCGCTCAAAATTGCCAAAGAAGTCGATCCGGAAGGAATGAGGACGATCGGAGTCTTGACAAAGTTGGATCTGATGGATCAAGGGACAGATGCGAAAGATATTCTTGAGAACAAACTGCTTCCTCTTAGAAGGGGATATGTCGGTGTTGTCAATAGATCTCAGGTTTACTTTTTACTTTCCTGTTCATAAATTGATCGTTTTCTAGCGCGATATCGAGACTCGTCGAAATATCCAAGACGCAATCCAAGCCGAGCGTAAATTCTTCCTCTCGCACCCTCGCTACCGCCATATGGAATCAAGAATGGGCACGCCCTATCTTCAAAAAGTCCTGAATCAACAGCTCACCAACCATATCCGCGAATCCCTGCCCAAAGTTCGAAGTCGATTAGCGAAGCAAATGACCGACATTGAAAAAGAAGTCAAGGACTTTAAAGATTTCAAGCCTGATGATCCGGGAAGACAGACGAGGACGATGTTGGGGCTGATTAATCAGTTTATGAACGTCTTCGGCGAGACGATCGAGGGCCATTCAGGTTTGAGGGTTGTAAGAAGACTAGTATAATTCAAATATTAATTTAGGTGTGACTGTCAGCGTCGACGAGTTGAGCATCGGTGCTAGAATCAACAGAATCTTCCACGACCGTCTTCCAATCAAGCTAGCTGAACGGACAATCGATGAGAAACATCTTCGGAGGGAAATCAAGATCGCTATTCAAAACATTCGTGGTGTAAGGACTGGTCTCTTTACACCGGATATGGCTTTTGAGCGAATTGTCAAGGAACAAATCACTGTCATGAAAAACGCTCCCCTGGAAATTGTCGACCAGGTCACGAATCAGGTGCGAAAGTCAATATTAGGTATGAAATTTTGGAAAATTTTAGCTCACTGGTGCCATCCGAGAATGCACGAAAAATATGGCCAATTTTCCGACTTTGCGAGAAGAAGTCGACCGATTAGTAGCGTAAGTTTTAAGGATACTCTCGTCGTGATTGACTGGCTAACTCCTCATTCAGAACTTATATTCGACAACAAGAAGGGAAAACAAAAGACTTTATCGATAACCTGTTCGCGTACGAAACTGCCTACATAAACACCAACCACGATGACTTCATCGGATTCACGCAAGCTGCTGCCAACACCACCACTGAGATTAAAAAGAATCCCAACCAACAACCCAAAAACATGGTCATCAGAAAAGGATGGCTGAGCATCAACAATCTTGGAATGATGAGAGGTAAGCCCAGAAAAAAACTGTCACAAGTGAAATATTTTTATTTCTATAGTTTTTCACGCAAGCAACAGTAAGTTTATAGGCTCTAGCGGCAACAGTAGCATAAAATCATAATTATATAAAAAGCAGCATTTTTATTAACAGTTTCTAGTATTGTACAGCTTGAAAGGTTAACGGATCATTTTTCTCATCCCATTCTTGATGCTGGTCTAGATTTTTTGATAATCGCACCCAATTCCGCTAAAATCCGATTTGAAATCAGCAACGACTATTCTCTCTCTCTCTTACTTACCAGTAATCTCCTAGCTGCATGATCAGGAGCAACATAAGAGCCGAGTAGATAAGGTTTTTCGTAGCTTTCTACATTTTGTAAAATCAATGACACGAATAGTAAAATCATGAACATCAATTTTCGAAGCATTGTTCTTTGCTAACTCTTTGCTAAGTACTATTGAGCTTGACGCTTTACCGGGGGAAGCTTTTTAACCAACCGCGTTATTAAAAATTCAACCAAAGATATCCCTTGAGTTGTAATTCCACCTTGCGGCGAAATCTGTATCTTGGCCCTCACTAGACTCCGTATCTTTTGAATAATCGAAAGATCTCACAATAAACAGACCCTTTAATTAATCCGTTACTTATTTAACTGTAGCTATTTTGGAAGACAGACCGTAGATTTCTTCAAAAGAAACCCTGGCAATACAATCATAAAAACTCATATAAAATAGCAATTTTCTTATAAAACGTATTATTTTCATAAATTATTTTAGGTGGCTCCAAAGAATTCTGGTTTGTCCTGACCGCCGAGTCCCTCTCCTGGTTCAAAGATGACCAAGAGAAAGACAATAAATACACAATCGTCCTCAGTCCCGAAATGCGCCTCCGCCCAGTCGAGAAGAAATCCGTTTTCGGAGCTCACTTCATCTTCCAAATCTTCAATACAGAAAACAAAAACATCTTCAAGGATCATAAAACTCTAGACCTTTCCTGTCGCGATGCTGATAGCTTGGAGACCTGGCAGGCTTCATTTTTAAGAGCGGGTGTTCTTCCGGAGTACAAGAAGCCGGAGGAAGAAGGTATTTATACAGATATTTATATTGTGCCTAAATAACCAATATTTTCAGAGAAAAAAGGTTTGCCGTGAATGTCTTTATTAACACTTAACCAAATCAAATTACACATTTAAACCGTACCCATCACATCCTAAAACTAAACCCTCTTATGAAACTACACTAGAATCCCTAATCAATCGTCTTGACCCGTCCTCAAGACGGTAGTCAATGATGCCCTTCTGTATGTTCTTGTAAATAAGATATATGTGTCGAAAAGGCACATATATACAGTTGTCCAGTTACAAGCATGCGTGTTTCCTGTCCAGTTAAATCCAATCAAGTTCGAAGTCGTGTTTTCAGGGACCGCCGCAGAAGAAGACTTAGATCAACAGATCGAGGACTCGAAAGACCCGCAACTTGAACGTCAAGTTGAAACAATTCGTAATCTGGTCGATTCATACATAGGAATCGTCATCAAAAACCTCAAGGTAAATAATCAAAGAGATTACTCTTCAGGATCTCAGTAAGAGTCCTTAAAAGAATCACGAACTACACATTTTGAGAGGTCAAGTGTGACTCAACTACAAACAATTTCATGCTCCAAAGATGAAAAAATCATCATGAAAAGAGCTCACAACAATTTAACGATAAATAAGCATAAAATATTGAAACTGAGTGTTTTATTAAAAACAAACCCTTTGATTACACACTCTGGTTGCACATTTTTATTACAACCTTGTTTTAGGATCAAGTTCCAAAGATGATAATGTACCACATGCTGAACGCTACCCGAAACTTCATCGCGGAAGAACTGCTGGCTCAGATCTACGCCGAAGTAAACATCAGCGCAGCAATGGAGGAATCGCCGCAGGAGCTCGAGCGCAAGACCGAATTGCTCAACATCTTCCATTCACTCAAAGAGGCTGTTAAAATTATTGGAGACATTAATATTTCGACGCACTCGACACCGACCCCCGCCGCGGTCGATTACAACTGGGTACAGGTATTTGCTCTTCCTTCTTTTAATTCCATCTTCCTTTCTTTCACTCTTTCTTTTTCTATCCTTCCTTCTCTTCTAGTCCTCATCTGGTCCTCTCGTTCGTTACGGGCTCTCGAAACTTTCATTAAAAATCAAGGCGGCTTCCAAAGATTGTCGATATCATTGTAGTGGATAATCTTCGAGAGCTTAAAATTTCTTTCTGAGCCCGTGAATAAGACGACAAGTATCTCAAGTCACGAGTACTCCTCCTCCTCCTTCACTTCCGAATTCTCGCACGCCTCCTATTCCTTCACGGCCAAGCAACACTCAACCGCTAAAGCCAACTCCCTCCCCTTTACTAATCGACTTTCAGGAAAATCAAAGGCAAGCGCCGCCGCAGCAAACGCCATTTAGCCAACCACAGCTTATGCCAGCTCCTTCGAATAGCTACGGCGGATATGGAGGCCCTCCAGCAGCTGGTGGACTTCCTTCGGCCATGGCTCGCCAGAGCAGGGCGAGTCCCGGTCCGGGCATGGGCAACAGAGCAGCTCCAGGTAAATTTTTAATCGCTTGATTTTGATGTACCGACAAACTTTGTCAAACAGCGACTTGATGTCAGGACGACAACAAGGAGTACTTGATAAGGGAACATCAGGATGTCAACGTGGTTCATCGAAAAAGTCCAGGAGCAACCTTTTAAACTGTCTATTTTAGCCATTCCTCCGCGACCCTCTGGCGGTGCTCCCCCTCCGGTACCGAATCGACCAACTCAAACGCGAAACAACTTTTACTGACGAGACCTCCTTCCGAACTTCCTCCCCAACTTAGTGCACTTGAAGAGCAAATACTCTCCCTCTGAAAAAATGAACGGGCCAGCGAAAATGAAAATCTGCTTCATTTCTGACAGTGAATTTGTTTAAAAACTTCTTATTCTTTGAAAAAGAATCGTCTTTATTCCCTTCGCCGCTTGAGTCTTCCTCTTTCCAACAAAAAAAATTTGTTGCCAATGTCTAAAAAATAAATCTAAGACTTTGAAATATAAAAATTCATACAAAAAACCACCACCAATTCAGTTTCCCTGCTTCATTTTCCTTTGCATGCGTTCCAATAGTCGAGAATACTCAATTCTAGTGCCTTTCACTTCAATCTATTTTTTTTCCGTTTTCAAACCCAAGGTTCAGCTCAAAAGTTCCAATATTTCCGATTTCGATAATTTTCAAAGAAATGAGCTTTTCGGTCAAAATTTCAAATTTCGCCGAATAGAGTCCAGTGTTAAAAAATGCGATGGCTTCATGAATATGAAAAAATATTTCCTGCTGTGTCGAGTAAAATTCTAAATAAAAAATATACTTCTTTCTGTTGCAAGGATAGCGAAATTATAAACATTAGTGGCTCCTTTATCGCACCAATACTTTTATTTAACTGTGTTTTATATAATTTTTATAATATAATATTTGAACAATACTTTCTGAATAAGACTTCTGTTCAAGAGATTTGTCAGTTCTACTTCTATATTAAAATCAATGCTGTATTAAAATAACCTCGATCCAACTTGAATTTCAAGCAATAAATATCCTTCAATCTAGCAGAAATCTCAGAAAACACTTGAAAATCAAGGGTTTTCTAGAACCAATTTTTCATTTTTTTAACCGGTTAGTACTCATTATAAAGAAGTCGTCATTATAAAGAAGTCGTCATTATAAAGAAGTCGTCATTATAAACGGCTTTATAATGAAGCCTTTTTTATAATGAAGCCTTTTTTTATAATGATGCCTTTTCTTTATAATGAGTCCAAAATTTCTGATTATATGCGTAAACAGAGCTGACTGTACTTATTTACTTTACTTGTATTACCGGAGATAATAAAAGATAATAAGAAAACAAATATTTTATGAATAAATCGATCGCGTAGTTGGCGTAGACTTCCTTTCGGACGATGAAGTATTCTTCGGAAAGAGCTCCTTCGACTTGAATAACGCCATTCGCATTCTTTTTGATGCTCACTTTTTCGTTGCAAACCAAATTTCCTCCTGAAGAACGTTTTAAAAAGTTGCTTGAGTAATCAAATCTTGCCGATAAATTCTGCTTGCATGCCCATTTCGATTAGCTTTGACTTGAGATCTGTAAGCTTTGTATCGTTTATGAAGATAGTGTCGTCCCCACTTGAGCAGGTATTTGAAACAGGCTAAGAAATAATAACGAACTTTTAATTTTTCCCTTTACTTTACCTGAAAAGTTGGAATATCATCAATTTCAAGCTTTCTCGGCTCTTCCAACTCCTCCTGCAGCTCGAGTCGACCGCCAAAGTAGTCCAGTCTTCCTCGAATTCTCGCGACTTCGATATCTTTGCTTCCAACGCGAACGAAATTCAAGTAGCTCTAAAGAGAATCCTTCGATTTCAGCTGGTAGATGAAGCTTTCCTTCGTTGCGTCGATAAATTCGTGATGCTGTAAATTTTCCCGTTAAATTCTGGTAGATAGAAGAAAGAACTTACCACTGGCATGTGAATTTTTATTCCCTGGACTCTTGATTTGATATCTTTGATGAGCTTGTCCTTGTACTTTTCTTTCGTGCAGATAAGGATCAATTCTTTTGGCTTGATTGTCGACAGGATTTGGAGTTGAGATTCGCCGTCGACTCGTCCTTCGAAATCGATGAATTTGATGTTGCATCTTATTGAAACCTGGAATTTAAAATGACTAATTGGACGAAAAAGGTTAAAGTTACCTGTTCTCGTGATTTGATACACTTTGTCGGCATTTTTTCTTTTTCTTCGGGAGTGTCAGCTTTTCTCTTCTTCTTTTGATTAGGATTGTGGCGGCCAAAAGTAACAGACTGTTCTCTTCCAGCTAAATCGTCATTTGAAGGATGACTTTCAGGAATTAGCTCGTGCGTTTTGTAGTCGTCTGGATTGATAATTTCGCCGTAATCGTCCCATTTTATTCGATTCTCGTTGAAAGGAAACATCGGGAACTTCTCCTTTCGCGCCTTTTTGAAGAAACCGCCTTCTTTCTTTTGCTGATGATGGGGCATCATGATGTCGTAAATTCGCTTTTTCTGAAATATTCCGTCAAAAAAGGCCTGAAGGAAGAGCTTTTACCTTGACGATTTTTTTCTTGGCAACAACGTTTTCATTTTCATTATCCGATTCGTCGCTCGACTCTTCCTGCAATCGCTTGATGAGTTTGGCGTGCTTTTCTGACAGCCGGAACTCTTATTTTTTAAATTCTGCCTTTTTCATTGATAAATCGCGTCTTATAAAATGCAAAAATATAACAACTTAAAATTTTTGATAAGGACCTCTCTATAAATAGAGGGGCCCTCAAAAGCCATAATAGTTTCTTTGATTTCTTTGTTTTTATTAACAGTATAATAAGAAGTCCATTTATAGATTCATCTTTTACCAAATTCTCTGTATGCATCCAACATGTCTGAGTTTCTATGGTACGCATGTTCATTTTTCGCAGAATGAAAAATTTTGTCTTCATTATAAAGAAAAAGGCATCATTATAAAAAAAGCTTCATTATAAAGAAGTCTTCATTATAAAGCCGTTTATAATGAAGACTTCTTTATAATGATGTCGTTTTATAATGACGACTTCTTTATAATGAGTACTAACCCACCAGGCAGTTCAGAACGTACCGCAGGAAGATAATGGGGTGTTACGTCATCCATTACTAATAAAAAAATTACTCATCTTAGGGTTCAACAAGCAAATCACAGCCACGAAATTCCGTGCGTAAACAAACAAAAAAATTGACGGCAAAAAGACTCTGAAAAAAAAGGAAAGAAAAAGTGAGAGTGGAAATGGCTTATCGGTAAGAATCTGTAAATTATAGAGTCTATAATATAGACAGCTTTTACTAACACATTTGAAATTTTACCTAATGATCCGCCCATTGAACCGGAACCATCTGGTGGCCACGCGCACCGGGGGATCGCAGCTTACTTTTTTCTGAGAATAGGCCGCTCAAATATTACTTTGGGATTTTTATCTGATCCCGCTGAGATTTCACGATGATAATCTTTACAGCGCCACCATATGATGGGGCCAACTGATTATATAAGGTCACTCGAAAGTGTGAAATTAGACAATAAGAAATAATTCAGTAAAGGAATGAAGATCAGCAAGCGAGAAATGCGATCCCTGCAAAACTCCTTCGGTAAAACTCCTTTCACCCAGCCGGACATCCACCAAGCGAAAGAGGTTCCAAGAGAGACTGTTTTGACGAAGGTAAACATCTTCGTTATTTTTTCCTTTTATCAGATTTTTCAGAACGATGGTGGCGAATGGGATCGTACGTGGCTTCAGCAAATGGACTTGCTGTCCATCTTCTTCGAAGCCCCCAACCATCCGAAACCAGTGACCGTTTTGGATCCTCAGACCGAGGAGTTGTACCGACGCTTGGTTCACGAACAAGAGATGGAAATTTTCAAGAAAAATGAGATTGAGCGACAAGAACGTCTAGCGCGCCTTCCGAAAGATCCCCGAAAGAGAAAGTCAAGTGAGCAGCAACCGGCAGAGAGCAAGCGTCGAAACATTGAACCGTCCCAAGATCAAGTCGTCTCAATCGTCGATAGTCCAAAACGCCAAGAGAATACCGAAAAGATTGAAGTTGAGAGCACATTCCAGTCGGAGGATTACCTCCAATACAAGAACAATTTGCAGTTCCGCCAGCAAATAGCCCAACTTGTAGATGAGACCGATTCAGAGGAATCTGCAGTTGAGAAAGATGACGCCGTTGATGTCTTCATTCCAGGTAAATTTTTAGGTTAAACAATCAGATCTTATATTGAGCTTTAGGTTTTGATGATGACTCCGACGAGGCCGATGACGGCTTCAATATGCAGAGTATTGAAGATGAGGTTGACACCATTGAGGAGGACTCTACCGAAGTCAGCGAGGTTGACGTTTCAGGTGAGAAATTACTTTGGTTTTATTCATTTTTTGATTTTTTCCGTTGTTTTTTTTATCATCAATCATTATTCAGAAATGGACTCAACCCTCAACGCGACTCCACCGCCAAAAACATCTCCTTCAGCTCGCCGATCTTGGTATCATCAGCACGAAATGCTAGAATCAAGCGACGATGAGGATGAGGAAGAGGAGAACACAACCATCATCAAGAATGAGAATCAAGTCAATACTGAGATCGCCAAACAACTACCTGATGATGCTGACGAGAACAGCGACGACGACGATGATGTTCAGTTCGTCTCTGAGACCATCGTCATCGACTAATTTGTAAAAAAATATTTTGTACATTTCATTTTTCACATTCGTATGCAATATTGTACCACGCAATAAAATTTCATTCACTTCATTTTAATGCTTAGTGTTTTACTTTTTTGTGTGTTCTCAGAGCATTTTAAGTTTGCATAAGAAAGTGTGAGGAATGGTTTCGCAGGTGGTAGAATTAAGTTATTGGTGGTGAGTTCGGAAGAAGTGCTTGGTTAGGTTATCGTCTCTCTTCTTTCGTTGGACTTATCCCCTCGTGCAGGGCCCGTCGTAGCCTTTGAATCCACCCTGCGTTGATTCAAAGTTGAACGGAATCGGCCCCCTTTCAGTTTGAATCTAAAATCGAACGTTATTCCTCATGTTTACTTCGCCACGAAACGAAGTCTATTCTCCAATCTCTTTCTAATTTAAATGTTTATCAACAATTTTGAACGGATTCGTAAGAAAATCTTTCCCTCCAGCGATAATATTTACAAAAGTTTATCCCTCTTCCGCTGTTTTTCGCTCATATTCTGATTTTAAACGTTCACTTACCGGTCTCATGTAATTTCTTTCTTTGGCGTCGACGACGAAATTGGGTTTTCTTACGTTTGAGATTCCGCGCATTTCGTTCTGCACACGTTTTGCTAGACAGAAGGGTTAATAGACACACCTCTAAAATCCGCTTACCTTTCTTGTCCTCGTTATGACATCGTCTAACCAAACAGTAAGACACCAGCGAGATGACAAGAATCGCCGCTGGCCAAAAAAGTGCATGGAAGATGTGGACCTTTTTAAACTTCTTTTCGGAGATCACCTAAAATAATTATTTAGCGAAAACGCAGGTGGGGCTTTAGCGGTACCTGTGTTGAGTTGTTTGGATTGTAGAAGCACTTGTAGGTCTTACTTGGCTCGCCCCATTTATTTCGGAAGTGCTCGACGTCGATTTTGTTCATTCTTGAATCAGACTTGCAGGCTGAGAAGGAGCATTCGTTGGAGGTGGACATCATTTGAAGCTCATTTTCGAAGAGGACTCCGTATTTGGTGCCGCTAATAATGTGGTGTTAGGAATAATAACGATTCCGGCTTGTTTTTAGGGTCGGAAAATATCGTTGCAGCTAATTGGTCTATCTGCCGATTTTTGCTAATTAGATTTGGGCTAATGAAGTCACTTACTCTTCATAAGTATCAGCAATGTTTCCATATTCTGTTTCGTTTTCAGCGTCATAATCTGGAAGAGGAATGATTCTACTCCATGGATCGTTGAAAGTGCTATCTTTGGTAGTGTACGCAACTCGGATTTGCAAGCAGGAATATCTTTATGTAATTTTTAATCTCACTTTCTTCATACAACTTCTGATAACTTACGTTGACATGCAATAAGGATCGTCGTTGGTGAAACCTCCACATTTGCACTCCCTTCTGCCCAAATGCTTCGTCGTGATAACCTCACAATCTGCTTCGAGGAAATTTTGCGTGACAATGGCAGGCTTCACGACCATAAAACCAGTGAGAATTAGAGCGAGGGAAGAGAAGAAGATCGAAACGACAACTAGAATTTGAGATTTTTATTTGCTCAAAAGCGGAAGTACAAAAAATGGTGCGCTGATTCAATCATGCGCGTCTATTAACGTTAGAAATGACCCGCTATTAGCCACGTGATAACGCCTTTAGAAGGTATTTTTTGATTGAGTGATTTTACTGCTCCGTTAATTGCTATAGCAAATATCGTAAGTCTTACAGTCACTATCTGTGCTTAGAGCGCGAATGCATTTTTGACCGCTAATTCAAAATAGCAATGATTGGGTTGCATTTTAGCACTTCTTCTAGAAGGACCTAGGTCAAACCAACCAAGTGGTGTCATCTGATTCTTGTAAGCACCGTAATCGAATACGAAGGCGGATGCATTAATCCGATGTGAGTTCATGCCTCGAATAAGACGTGTAGAATCCGGCTCGGAGAAAAGGAACATTATGAGTTTTAAAATGTTCTTTTTTATCGAAGTCTTTTTATTTATCATAACATTTTTTATTGATTTACATCTAGTGTTTCTTATCAAATCAAGCTGAAGCTGTTGTATCAAAACATACCTAAAGAAATGCACCAATGCTGCAATTCACAAGCTGTTCTTTTCGACTGCAGAATCGCATAATTCGATCTGAGTTCCTCCACTGGAATAATCGGATGTTGGCTTTTCGGTGCCACTATATTTCCGTTTGCGTCTCTAGGCATGTCCATCTTCTCTGTGTGCGATTTTATCTTTGTTCTCTCTCAGTCAAAAATCTATTTGGTAATGAATTTTCTGCTAAGCAATTTTATTCACTTTAGATTCGGAGTTCTGCAAAAAATGGCTGATAACAGGAGGTCTGCAGGAGGGCGCCGCGGGCGGTGGCGGTGGTGAGTACTCGCGCCAATCAGGCGGAGCCATAAAAGGGAACAGGGAACCAGAACACCACCAGAAATGGAGTATTACGGGCGTAATACCGCCTCGTTTATTGGATCACGACTATTCTCATTCACGTCACTAACCAATGTCAAAATTAAACGCGAAATAATCAGAACTTCTAAAATTAGCCTCGTCGATGAAAGATTTATTTTACATTTATTTATTCTTTTTGTACAGTGAACTATCAATATTGAGGTATTTCTTACAAGCTGAAGATTGAAACTAAAAGAAATTTGTTAAAATAACCTCAAAATTTTGGGTTTTGACAATCGAGATTTTCTGAAAAATCCTTGATTCAACTTTTGGGTTCGATTACCCTCTACTTTGTTCTATCACATGCTCAATTACCAGCAATACTTTTAAAAAATCGTATATTCCTCTGCGTCGAGTCTCTTTTCTGAGGAAACGTAAAATATTGAAATCAACGAAGAGTATTTACCTTGCGAGTCTTGAGTTAGTCTTTGGCCCGTGACCTTGCTCGGGCCAAAGCTGAGACCTAATTGGGTTAGTCGGTCTACTTCTTCGTCGGATAGATCGGAAAGGTTGAGGCTCTCGCGGGGAGGGCTAATTTTGGCTTTTGTGATGATGGAATCTCGTCCAGTTTGAACTCCAGCTTTAGTTATTTTGTTAGATATTCTCTAGCTTTTTCTATAGTTTACCGGTTACTCCGATTGGCTTTGGCGGCGGGTCATCACGAATGGTACTCTCATCTTCAGACGTAAACCGTTCATCCTCGGATGAAGATGAAAGTTGGTTTCGCACCGGAACTGCGGTCATATTGTGAGTTGGAGCGGCAGCTTGAGTTTTATCTGTTCTTTTGTAGCTGAGAACTTTAACCGAGTTGTCGCCGTTGTGATTTGGAATCACCATCTTGTTCGTCGAAAAATTTTAATAATGTAAAGAATATGATTTCTTACCTTTTTCGACTGTGACGATCCCATGCTATCTACACTCGGTCTTGGCTTTGCATTTTCATATTCTGGTGGCGGAGGTGTGACTTCGTGACTTTGCGTAGAGAGATTTCTCTGCGGTGGAATCGGCGGACTCTGGGCGATTTCCGGAGTCGGGGATTTCTCCACTGTGTGAGCGACTGAAGATTTTTGTAAATAATTAAGACAAATGCTCAAAAATTAATTCTTTTCCTGGAGCGTAGGACAGGTGCACGGCTAATTAGCAAATAGAGAGCACCGAATAGATAGACGATATGAGCAGAAAATACCTGATGGTTCTTCAACAACAGCAGAAAGCTCGGACGAAAAACTCTCTCCCGAAGCGCTATCTCTTTTCGGCGTCACCCCAGCGCCAGCTTGCACAGTCTCTTCAAAATATATTTTTAAAGATCAACAATCTCGCGTAAAAACCTTCAAGCCGTGTGGACGATCCACTCGAGTTGCGCTGAAGTGTCAGGATTGCTTTCTCTTCCGAGAGTCGTTTTACTTCTTTCAACAGCCGGCGAGCTTCCTCAGCTACAAAAAAAAGTAGTTTTGTATTTCTTTTTTTTTGTGAAAGTCGTACCTTGCGCCTCGTCAAATCCATTATGCGATTTTTGACTTCGATCCGAGTATGATGACGACCTTCTTTCTCGTTCCCTCTGTTCTTTTTCTTTTTGTCTCTGAATAAATATTTTAAAACTTTGTCTCATTAACTCTTTAATAAGAATAGTTACATCCAAATTTACCTTAGCTTTTTCGAGTTTTCTCTGAAACTCTTTATCTCTCTTCTTTTGCTCAGCTTTTTTCTTCCGAGCTTCTCTTTCTCGTCTCCTCTTCTCTGCTATTTCATCGGCCTGAGAATGAATTGAAGGTCGATTTATACTGTTTTACTTACAGCTTGTTTTTTGCGAAGCGTGTTCAGAATATTTTCAGCGTTTTGCTTTGCCTCCTCTTCTTTCTGCGATTTCTCCCGTTGATTTCTCGTCTGGAGCAGTTTTTGATTCACGAGAATTGTTTTTAGGTTTTGTTCAGCTTTTTTTCTTTCAAAGTGCTCGAGAATTGAAGCCCTTCAAGTACGTCAACTTTATTTCTCGAGCACCTTCCTTTGCTCTTTTGACAATGTTCGGAGACTCTCGTCGCCTTTTTTCGGGCTTTTAAACTTTTACAAAACGATTTATAGCCTGTTCTCTATTTTGAATGACCCATGATAACCTCGGTAAAATAAGCAGATATATAAGCCCTGCCTAAATTAGCTGATAGCGCAATAGAAACAGTGTCCACTTCCTTGATTCTTGGAGTCGCGTACTCATCGTCTTCAGAAGACTTCATCGTTGAGTCGAATGAATCTTCATTTCCGGATGCTGGTCGATGAGATTGAACCGGTGGCCCCTTCGGATCAGGAATATTAAGCCTCGGTTTTAAACTCGGACATCGCCACAATTGCTCGTGATAGTACTGTGGAACGTAAACTCCGCCTTCGATAAAGTAATTTGGATCTTGGCCGGGAATCATGTCTCCATTTGCTGCCCACCGAACGGGTTCAACTTTCTTAGCATTGGGCGCGACACGAACTGGTGTCTTTGCCAAGGGATTTTGATGGACCTTCTGGTTCTGTTTTTGTGATACAGTGACTGGTGGTGTAGCAGGAACTGGTGGTGGAATGGACTTAGCAGACGAAGATGCTGACCCGAGTCGTTGGGAGTTTCCCCGATGGTATTTTGCGTCGACATCCGCTGACTGGGATCCTTCGTATTTTAGCGGTACTCTGCTTGAAGGGCCCTTTTTAGGCGGACTACTGACATACGTTGGGGGAGGCGGAAATGAAGGATTTCGTATTGACTGTTTTACATGAACAACTTGCGGCTGAACAGGTTTCGGTGGAGGAGGACTAGCATATTTCGGCGCGGGAGTGTGGTAAACTCGAGAAACGCCAATGGAGGTTGTAGGACTCGATGAACCGTAAGAATATCCATCGCTTGATTCCTCCGAATCTTCCTCAAGGTCAAAGGTGGCACCTGACCATTCAGTGTCACAATACGCAGTCGTTCCGATCGTATTCAGGCTCATCTCGCTGCCATTCCTTTTACTCGAGCTCGGAAAAGTTTCTGACTTTGTTTTCAAAAATTTTAGCATTGTAATTTAAAAATTATCACTTTTTCTCTTGCTTTTATTTTTTGATGAAAGAAGTGAGAGCAAGAGATGCTAAGCTAAAACGATTTGCGTGGATAAGATATTGACCCATTAGAACTGGTTTTCGTTCAATATGCTTCCAGCTCGATAAGTGGAGAATTATTGAAATAGTTAGCACTCAAGTTGTTCGTTTGCAGATCATTCCGAAATTGAATATTCGAAAGGCCACTATAAAAATCCCGCAGGTTTGCGCATTCCGACCTTGTCCCTTGTCAAGTAGTATTTAGGAAGTGGCTCTGCGCCGGTTGACTTCTGAAATGCCAAGTAAATTTCTCTGACACAGAAACTTTTCTACTTTGCTAACGCATGATTATTACCTGCGGCTCGCTAGAATGAGGATAGCCCATTTCGGAGGCCGTGTGCGCGTTGTACACATTCATCGATTTTCGCCCCGGTTGCTCCCACACAGCCTTCGGAACTCCCACTTTCTGTAAATTATTCTCCATCGACTTCACTTTGAGCGAGGAGCCCTTGATCCGCTCATAGGAGCGAGGCTCGATTTCTTCGTAATCAAGTGAATTCACGGACTTTTTCCAGTCGTCCTTGTCGGCAACAGCGGCAGATTTATAGGCTCCTGCGACTCGGTTGTAGTCTTCTTGGAGCTTTCTTCTGCTGTTCTTTAGGTTCAATTTTCTCGAAAATTTTTTCGAAAAGAAAAAGTTATAAATACTCTCTTCAAACAAATAATTTCTGTGGGACCCTCTTTTTTGAAGAGATTTCTTGGCAACATTCCATTCAAAGTCTGACATAGAAAAGATTGACAAATAATAAAAGAAAAAAAAATCCAAGAAAAGACTCAGATATCCCGCTGGTTAGATGATCGCCCGCATGACTAAAAACACAAGCAGCAGAATCAATTCAGAAGGATAAGCCGAATATCTTCTTGTATGAGGACAGTTCAGTTAATTAATTATGAGGCAGGGTGTAAGTTAGACTTAGGGTTTGGATTAGGGCTAGGAAAAGGCGAAATCCTGATATAATAAGGGCATTTTTGAACCATTCCTATCTCTTGAGCTTGTGTGGCTCATAGCTTCTGCATGTTTTAGCATGATTTCCGTGCCCTTTTCTTTTTTTCTTCGTTCCTCTTCGTTGATTTCTTTTGAAATTTATTCTCTCTTTTTGCAAAAATTTCAGAGTATATTTTTCAGATTTGAAAAATTCTTATCTGCGCCAAGGTCAATATAGGCCTCTGCTCTGCATTGTCAGAGTTTGTTCAGGCCAAACATAATAGTAAAACGTCACGCGATCGTTCTTTTTGATTTTTTATATTTCGCGAAATCTAAGCCACACAAACGGCCATTTATACGATGATTAACTCGAGGGTCTCCTCCTCCTGGCGTCAATTATTGAAAAATTGCATTATAAAATTGACTCGAAATTGTATTCGCTCAAACATAGGGCTAATTACTGGGGATGGGTTTATGATCTTGTGGGGAGAAAACAAGCTGGACGCTTGTCAAAACGGAGGGAAATGGAGTTAACGATTTTTTGCTTTTATAGTTTTCCAACCTCTTAAAATGGTTTTTGCATGAAAGTAGGTGATATTTCTTTATTTTGTTAGATTGGAAGGCGAAAACGAGGATGATTATATTTTTACAGATCGTGTTCCCGAATAATGTCTTGGTGAGCAGCTTGCCGAAGGAGATTTTCGTGAAGTAGAGCTCTTCGTTCAGCGATAATTTGATCCACACTTCTCACAACTGCTCTTTGTTTCACCAGATTTGCGGAGTTCAAGTTGTCCAGCGGGTCAGTGTCAACTTCTTTGTCTCCCATTTTAGCGTACCATGAATCCTATAAAAATTATTTTTCTGTCTAAAAATAATGTCTGAAAAAATTTACTTCAATTCGCAAAAAACAGACTAATTAATTATCTAATTGTACTTTTTAATAATCATCAACATAAGCTCATAAATAGCTATTAAAATGTTCTTAATAACATGAAAAGTAGACTCAATCCAAATAGCCTCAATAAAAGCGAGAATATTTACCTTCGAGTGATAAAGCTGTGCCAATTCTCCCAGCTCGTCATTTTGACGCAGATCGAGAATCTCCAGCGGTTTGTCTCCTCGGCTTCGGCTCCGGGTCAGCGGCATGTGGCGAATTTTATTCTTGTGCAAGTCAAGCACTTTCAGATTCTTGTTGTCGAGGATTTCAATCGGGAACTCTTCCAGCTCGTTTTCATTGAAATAGAAGTTTTGGAGCTCCGGAGTTTCGGAAAATAATTTTCCATCAATCGACGCGATTTGATTCCTGAAATTTCGAAGTCCTTTGAAGTGGCTCAGAAATATATACCTTGAAGCATCGAATGTCTTTAAAACCGGCTTATCCTTTAGCAAATTTGATGGAATTTTCTTCAGCTTGTTTTCAGATACGAACAAAAATCGCAACTCCGTGCAATTTTGCAAGAACTTTCCGTTGATATCTTCCATGCCGTTTTCTTTTATGAAAAATGCCTTCAGCGGGCAAGAGTTTGGCAAGAAGATTTCATCGGCAATCTTCTTGATTTTATTGTTGTCGAAAATGAGCTTCGTTAGCCTGTAATTATAATGGATGATTGAGGAGCCAGGCGCGCTTACTTTTGGTTAGGGAAGAAAGTACCGGTCTTCAGCTCTTTGATGTTGTTGTGCGAAAGATTCAGAGTGAGGAGATTCTTCAAACCGCTCATTGCTGCTTTTCCTTTTGAAGGGCTTTATATTTTCTACGGATTTTCGTTCAGTAAAATTGAAAGAGCCCGTTCCTATCCAGCTCAAATTGTTATCCTCCAAATTGAGTGTTTTCATCATCCAATGCTGCTTGTCAAACGCGTTTGTGGACATTTTTGCGACGTTATTATTCGAGAAATCGACGTGCTCGAGGTTCTTCGTACCATCGAAGATTTTCCCGGGGAGCGCTTTGAGCTTATTCCCAGCAAGGCTGATTGAATTGAGCTGTGGGAGCTTGCGGAAACCCCATTTTGAGAGTTGGAAAATATTGTTTCCGGATAAATCGAGCGTCTTTCATTCGATTTAAAAAAGGGGGATTTTTGAGGATTATTTGATTTCGCTAATACTTGAGATTGGAACGAAATTTCGGAAGTGACATTTCAAATCGTGTCTTGAGTTTGACAGCATCCTTGAGTAGTTTTTTATTGAGCGAGCCAATACGGTTGTTTGACAAGTCCAACTGCTCCAACTTCTTCAATCCAAAGAGCAGGTCCGATCGGATGTTTTTCAATTGATTGTCCTTGAATTGGGTTCATTTAGCAAAAATGGTGCAAAGTTGATTTACCGAAAGGTTAAGTGTTCTGAGCAAATCGTTGGTTTTGAACATGGCTTTTGGCAAATAAGAAAGGAAATTGTGGGACAAATCCAGCTCTTCGAGTCGGTAAGCACCTTCGAAAATCGGCTTTGCGATGAGAAGAATTCCAGCATTTCTCAAATTTGCCGAAGTTGTGATACCAGGGACAATGAGCTCAGAATTCTGGAAGTTCTCTTGTCTCACACCTTCGCAATCTAAACTTGCTCTAGCCTCTGCAACGAAATTATCGTCAAATCGGCACATCGACGTTTGATTAACAGTTGGGGTGAAGCACTTGTCCTCTTCATTCCAGCCAAGTGGGCACGAACAGCCACGATTTCTGACGAGCTTCTTTTTTCCGTGCTCAAGGTTGATGCACCAAGGTAAAGAGGGATTGTTAACTTTTCGTCCGATCGCGTTTCCTGATACTGGAATGCACTTCACGAGAGCATTCTTTACCCAACGACATTTGTTGTTTTTGCACACGCATTTCTTCACCTTCGGAGCTTTCTTTCTCAGTTTGAAGCCTTGAGAACAACTGCTTCTGCATTCAGCCCCTTCTTGAAATCTTCCTGCGCCACTTTGCTTGTTCTTCCCGATAAAACAGTCGATTTTTCCATTCGGCAAATCCCATGCTTTGCAGGAACCTGTTGTTAGTGGCGACTTTTTGAAAGATCGAGCCATGATCTGGGAATTCGACTCTGACATTTCGACTGCTTGACTGTATTTGGAACGTAGATCCGCCATGTGCGCTTTTCTAGCGATGGCACGCTCGTTGTTAGGCAGGTGATCGAAGTCTTCATTTTGCTGAAAGAAAATATCAATGAACCCGACCAGAAATAAACCCTACCTTCGCAAACTCTTTTTTGATCTCGTCAAAACTCTTCCCGACGAATGGATCAAGATCGAATTCAGATGTGTCCGAAGTTTTCAACTTCACTGAAAATGGCTCCTCCAACTCTGCGAACAATTTATCTAAAAAATTGTTATGAAAGAGAAATTTTCGGGGCGGATTATTTTGAACAATGATTAAATTTCCTGTAACAGGATTTTCTAGCAATTAGCTTCCACTGTTGAGCAAGTGGAGGTAAAAGTTAAAAAGGCGCTGACATTTTGATCAAGGCAACTTGCCCCGACCACACGGATGACAACTAACCTTGTTCGTAACAGTCTGAGAAGCGAGTAGATCCGAGCCAAGTACAGTCACCAGTTTCTTCATAACAGCTGCATTCGTCGACTCCATCGCCAGGGCCGAGGAGATCGAGTCCTTCTGGACAGGAAAATCGACATTTGGATCCAGCAAAAGCCGAGTTTGTGCACTAAAATAATCAATATTGACGGGACTCACTGATTCCGAATCATCATCATCGAAACGAACCTCTACAATGGCACTATTTTCAAACAACTCATCAATCGGACAAAACAAGGCTTCTCTATCCAAAACCGGATCTGGATAATTAAATCTCTTCTTGAACCTCAACTCTCTTCCCAATCCCTGCGATACATAAAGCAAGGAGCTCAAAATCTTCATCAAATGTGATTTTGATGCTCTCCGCTATTCAAACTCCCTCTCAAAAGTCCGATATTAAGTTTTTCTTCAAGCAACCTTATGTCCGGGATGATAGATTCCTAGCGCGAGAGCGCCACCTGCGATTTCACGAGTACCACAAATGACCGACTGGTGACCTTTTTAAAACGTGATTTTGGTGGCTGGATATCCTTGCTCGTATTTAATCATTATGATTAGTAAATTTCTTTTTAAATTTTATCACCACGAAATTTAAATAGAACAAAGGAGTCCTCCTTGATTTCAACGAAGAATTCTTCCATGAATAGATTCTCGTAAAGCTGTAATTATGATGACTATTGTTATTTCTGGTATGCCAAGTGCGCAAGTGATAACTCTACTTATCAATTCAATTCAATCGAGAATCTACCTCGGCGATCGAAAAACAACGGTAAGTTTTCAAGCAGAAAGTCACGACGAACTTAGATCAGCAAAGTCTGCAGGCCAGGAATCGTGCCGTTGAAATCGCTTTGAACTTGGACTCACCAATTTATATATGATTCCTTCTCTTTATTATCGTTAACAGACTCTTCTGAATATTAGTGGTCGGTTTCTATCCACATGTACCGTCTAAGTAGATACAGTATTGCATGTATATTTTTACTTAATCATCATTTCCGGTCAGAGTATGCTTCACAGCTTCCGATTCAGAAGAACAATATTATATTGTTAATATACAGAGAGTTATAATAAAAAAACTTTTCACTTTTTCACTTTTTTTAACCTTCCTGAGCCTATTTTTTCTATTTTTTCGGATGCGTTGGTCATGATGTGAGTCCCGATTTCAGATTTGTTCGATCAACAATTTGTTCATAAAATACTGTATGAATGTGTCATGTGATAATGGCTGATTCAGCCGTTTCAAACGGAAAATCCCCCGATGGATATGTTCAACCTACGCGCCTTCGATTCAGTGGGAACCTCACGCACCCATTTAACATGAGTCGGAGTAATCTACTCCTTCGATTTGAGAGAACGCACCACTACTTCATCCTTTTTCGGAATTTTCCAGAAGAATCTGCAAATCATTTTTCTGCCACTGTCATCGCCCTTCTCCCATTTCTTTTCCGAAAAAAAATATTTTTGGAACATCAAGTTGCAACTTGGATGAGTAAAGTTGTTTCGGTGTGAGATTGATTCATTTGGTTTTTTAGGGAGTGGATGACCATAAGGAGGTGATAGTCTAGCAGGGGAGGCTTTCAGTTTGATCTTATTGATTGTATGAACTTGCCATTTTGAAACTAAAATAGAAAATATTTTCTCGCTTTAATTTATTTAATACAATTTTTATGTAATTCACAAAGTTCTGATTAATCGTAATTCATGTTATTGAATATACATATGTAATTAACGAACCAGTATTTATTCTGAGTCAGAAGTTCTAACAGGATGTCTTTAGTAAACGCTAGCGTAAAAATCTAATTTCTCCATGTAGTAGGGTGAACCTGCCCTGGGCTAGCTAAATCCAGTGTTGCCATAATAATGAATTGCTGATGATAACAACTCTTGATAGAAAACGGCCTCTGATCAGCTCAACTTTAGCGCGCTCAAGTGGCGCAGATGAGGGCAGAAGAGCGCCCTCGAACTGTTCTTTTTATAAACAGCGGTTTTCTTCGACACACCTTCAGATAAAGTTCAATTTCAGACACCACGCATTTGAAAAACTTTTTACAAAAACATCAAAAACACTGAAACGAGCGATGGGAGGCACAGAGCTTCCAGAAAGTCAAGCGCAGCTGCTGCAGAGTGGGAAGTTGGACGAGCGAGAGAAGCAACTCCTGGACGATACGACTTCTGGTTCAGATGAATCCAACTCGGTAAATTTTCTTATTCTTTTCTTGTCAACGAAAACACCCCCGAAACTGACCCGCGCTGGTATTCTATGATCCAAATTTTGAAGCTTCAAGTTTTCATTGATTACTGGAATTCTAGGGCGATATTTAGAAGAAAACACATTTTTCTCTAATAAAAACACACAAGCATTAAAACTAACAGTATCAAAAATTACCTCAAACTCAATTTTCTAACTTCAAACACTGTTATTTTTAATACTCCTTTTTTACATTTTTTCTTCTACGGGGTCTCAAAAATCTATAACTGGCTTTGAAGCTCCCTCGACAACGCCAATACACTAAATTTACTGTATCACAATTTGGCGTTTCCATGTTAAAAAGCGTCAAATTGAGATAGTCGGTGAAATATTTTGAATTTTATGCGCTGGCCAGGGAGTATTTTTTTCGAACTATCACCAGTTATACACTAACTTGATGTTATTGTACTAGAATCGCGGCAACATTACAGATTACAATCACAAATTCGATCATTCGCGCCCTGATCAAGCGACGAATTGGTAAATAAGTACTTTTCAACTATCACGGTCTTACTTTTGACTGTAGCTATCTTCGTTCCCTTTCCGCTCATTTCTTTCACACGTACTTGAACTTTAACCTTTCTCGAATTGTGATTTGATCACAAATCTATCGAGTAGGGAGACGGAAGGCGCCGCGAGGGCAGCTACAGATCGCAGAACTTTTTCTAAATGAGTGTTCAGCTTAATGATGACTTAAATGACGGCAAAAGTCCTTTGACCCGCCAAAAATGGACTAAACAACGAGAGTTCGTTTTTACGATTGTAGGGAGCGCGATCGGGCTCGGTAACGTCTGGCGCTTCCCCTACCTCTGCTACAAGTACGGTGGTGGTGCTTTCTTCGTCCCCTATTTCATCTTTCTCTTCGGAAGCGGCATTCCTATGGTAAGACATTGAGATTGGATTAGCATCAATAATCCTCTTAAGATGCTGCTGGAAATCTCCCTCGGCCAATTCATGTCCCGTGGAGGCATTGAGGTAAGAAAACAGTTTCACGATTAGTGAGTTGGATTCTCAATTTGCGAACTTTTTCTAGTAGACACTCGACAATACCGCTCCCCTTTATTCTTCTTGTTCCTTTTCTATCTTCGATCACGCACGTGCGCTCTTCTGAGGAGGGCGGAATTTCCCCAAGGTCGTACTCCTAGTCATTGAGCACTACAGTGTGTGTGACGCACTGTAGTTCACTTGCCCCATGAGAGTAATTGGCCTTTTCTTTACTTTCAACTACAGCTTTCAATATTAAAAAGCGGACCCGTCGCTTTGCACTCCGTTTGGATGGAAAGCGGACAATTATATATTTATCCTTCCCGAGTCGCAGGTATTTTTAAAATGAAGTGCTTACAATCGAGTCATTTTAAGGATTTAGTGGGAGGTACTTTGATGAACCCAGAAACACTTGTCAGCTGTCACTTCGGGAATATTCTAAATTCAGAACAAGAATTCATGCGCAAGGTTATTAACACCACGCCAACACTTTAAATCATCAGTGAAATACTGTAAAGCTACGAATGAACACGAATTTCTGGTCATTAACTTTCGCGGTGGCATTTTTTTCTGAATATAAAATTCATATCAAAGGAATAAGCTTGCATTTGAGATGTTTTTGTTCATAAAAATACTTTTGATTTTCCTTGAGAGCACGTGATGAGATCTTTGCTCCTCTTAAACTTTGCGCTTTGTTCAACACTCTTCTTTTCAGGCTTGGGATATTGCGCCCGTGTTGAAAGGCGTTGGCTACTCCTGTCTTGTTCTCGTGATGTGGATCAACATCTACTACATCGTCATTCTCTCCTGGACTCTGATCTACTTCCTCAAATCGATCACGTTGGTGTCTTTCAGTATTTCTTTTATATTATTCCTTTTTCAAGCGGTGCAATGCCATGGAGCACTTGCGGAAACACCTGGAATACTGAATGCTGTTCGTCAGAAGTCAACAGTACTACTGGAAAGTTGGTTACCCCAGACGATTGCAATGGAACGGTAGCATTTCCCGAGAACGAGTACTGGTACAATGAAATGCTCCAGCTCACCGACGGTTTTGGCGAGATGGGATCGCTTCGACCTCCAATCGTCGGAGCCTTGGTTTTCCTCTGGTTCATCACGTTCTGCTGTATCTTCAAAGGAATAAAGAGCACTGGCAAAGCTGCGTACGTCACCGCTACTTTCCCACTCGTCATGCTGATCATCCTTGTTGTCCGTGGCGTCAGTCTCGATGGAGCATGGATCGGAATCAGCTACTTCCTCAAGCCCGATCTCACCAAGCTCAAGAACCCCGAAGTTTGGACTCAGGCTGGCTCCCAGGTCCTCTTCAGCTACGTCAGCGGCCAGGGTGTTCTTACTTCGATGGGCTCTTACAACAAATTTTCCTTCAATGTCTTCAAGGTATAACATAAGCCTATTTCTTGTAAAAAATTTAACTCAGTGGTCAACTCGACTTTGTCTTCTGAACTTCTGCGCGTCTATGATGGCTGGTTTGGCCATTTTCTCTGTACTTGGGAACATGTGCCACTTGACCGGAATGAAAATGGAAGATGTCGCCCAGGGCGGTCCAGGACTTGCGTTCATGACATACCCAAGAGCTCTTTCCAGTCTCTGGTGTCCTCAATTATGGTAATGATTATCATCACCAATGCCCTATTGACGCATTTTTCATAGGTGTGCTTTATTCTTCGGGATGATTTTGATGCTTGGAATCGCCAGTCAGTGCGCTGAAACGGAATCAATGATTACAATGCTGACAGATTTGAAGCCCAAGTTTTTAACAGGCGACCAAACCGACGAACGGCCTTTGTTGCTCTCGTATGTCTGACATGTTTGTCCTTTGCTCTACCAATGGTTACAGAGGTAAAAAATAATCCATTGAATTCCGATAAACTTTGAAATACTTAGGGAGGAATGTATCTCTTCCAGTTATGCGATAGCTACGGTGCTAATGGAATCTCGCTTCTAACGATTGTCTTCTTTGAAGCTGTCGCAGTGGCTTGGGTTTATGGAAAGGACAAGTTCTACCAAGACATGTTCAATATGTACGGCCACAAAATGGATCCCCGTCGAAGACCATGGACTTATTTTGGTTTCGCATGGAAGTGGGTTACTCCTCCTATGATTCTCGCCACTCTTGGATATGCTTTCGTCGCCTGGTCTCCTCCAACTTATGACCGAGCTGATGGCACGTACACTTATCCTACTCTTGGTACAATCGTTGCGGTTCTGATGACGATGTCGAGTGGAATTTGCGTACCGATTTACTTCTCGATCGCATTTCTTCGAAAATACAACAAGATTCGATCAGTTCGAGAGGTAAAAGCTTTTAAAAAAATTGTGAGAAAGTTACATCAAAATTAAGACGTGGAGCTGGATAATTGAAGCTAGACTACCGAGTGACCATCCCTACTTGCAAATTCATTCTGAAAAGAAAATCGTGCGCGATGACGAATAAGATGAACAGATTTCCATCAGGCTTTTGGATCTACTCGAACATCATGATTCATGCATCGATTCGCTCATCAATTAGTCTAATTCCCAAGATGGAAGTTCATTCCAAATCTTCTAGTTTCTAAATGATCCGTTTCCTGTTTCTTCTCTTCTCGATTCCCAACTGACGATAACTCTAAACTGGTATATATACTGAATCTCTGACAGCCATAATCATTAAAAACCGCCAGATGGGAATGAATTACCACTTCATGGCGATTACAAACACTGCTGATATTACATATACTCGCTTTTGTTTCTCCCTCCTTTGTTAATAATAAACTTTCAACTACACGTTCAACAACACAAAATTTGCTTTCGTTTCTTTTTAACAGCACTTTATTGACAATTTTAATCAACATCGATGTCTTCTGTGACCATATCGGAATTGCATCTGTTACAGGAGCAATCAAAACCTAGCTGTGTCTTCAGCGTTTCTTGGCGCATAAATCGACTTGAAACGTTTGATACATTTGCAGCACCAGTAGTGTAGTCAAAACTTTTGCGGACTGAAAAACCTAACTCTCACGACAAGGATAAAGCTTTTTCTATCAATTTCAGCCCGTGGCAAAGCTCATCTTCGAGGGAAATCGGAGTCAAAGCGATGATTGCTACTTTTGACGAGTTTTCGAGCATCTTTACTTTTACGTTTGGAGAGCAGCTAAAGTAATATGACAACAAACGGGTTTTCCTTTGTTCTTACCTGTGATTAATCTTCGAATGCATAGCATAAAGAGCACGGAATTCAGAGGCAATATGAGGAGCAGCACTCTGAGTTGGTTGGGCCCCGGTATTACGAAGATACTCCTGGTATTTCTGAAGATCAAGATTGTAAAAGTTTTACAGAAACTAATATGATTTAACGAGTCTACTTTTCAGAGAATCAGGTTAAAAACATTTTTTATTTACGCGTTTTGGTTTCTGACCTTTTTTGCCCTTGCGTCAAAGTCTTTGAAGTCCTTCAATAGTTTCGCGTGCTGAATTCGTTCGAGGCACTTGATATCCTTCAGTCTTTTGATCCAGGGCGCGATTGCAGACGTCGTTCCCAGTTGAAAGTTAGCTCCACAGATTTCAGCGTATTTCAGAAGATCTGAAATTTCATAATTATATTAAAAGTTTAGAGAATTTTTTTACCATAATGGGAGTTTTCAAGAAAGACGTTTTGAGACTTGAATCGGGTGTGAACTGCTTTCGTAAATTTTTCGATATTCGGGAGTGGTCGATCTGATGTCATGTCTTCGAAGTCCTCGACGAGTTTGCTCTTTTGCTGTTTCATGCACATCATCTTCGTTATTGCCAGTAAAGTCGCCTTTAATAAGCCAATAAAATCAAGAAAGAGAACGTGCCTACCTGATCATGAGGAGGTCCCTTGTTGACTCGAATCCAGTTTTCAATGGACTTGTACTCTTTCCACTTTCCTCGTAGCGCATTCAAATAGTTATCGTTTGCTTCTTTGAAGCACTTAGTGGAGCAGAACTTGAGTTCAGTTGCTTGGTCCTCGATGACATCGGGCGTTTCGTTCATGGGAATGATTTCGAAGATCTACATTTTTGATTTTGCGTCATTCAACTTCGCAAACCTTTATACGTTTCCGCTGAAGGCGACTTGCTGCTTGGTTGATGGATTCTAATGGTTTTGCGCAGTGAAAACAGCTAACTTCGCGATCTCGGGGAGCCATCACGGCTGGCATCTCGTCGAAAATGACGTCTCCGGGGGCATATTCTAATCAAAACCGTCTTAGATCTTATTCTATATCAATACTCTTTCAATTTCACTATTCGTGGGAGAGGCACATTCTGATAAATTATATCTTGCATGTCTGGCTGCAATAACTTGCAATAGTTTACCTTTAGTTGCAAAAACTCCACGGCCTTTCTGGGAGCAATTTCTTACTTCGTATCCGCAGCATTCTTCTCCTTCGTCGTCTATCAAAGTAAGAATTACCATTTTCCTTCAAAATTTTTCTCTCTTTTGCCTTTTTTAAACTTGGACCGTGATAGGTCAACTGATAATCCGCGCGTCAATTGCGATAAATGCACTTTTGACACTGATAGTACTTTCAGTGATGTCTTTCACAAAAGATGATGGACAGAGAGCATGAATAAAATCCGTATTATCTCGCCCTAGAGAATCCATAGTTTGGACATAATTTATTGAAAAGGTAGCAAATAGTTATAGATAAATATGTTGGTTTCACTTTCAGTCAGTTTGAATAAATTTATACATCGTTTATGAGATAGGAACTGCGAGAACTCTGGGTTTCTTGAAATGAATTCTTTTTGGAAATTGAATCTTGCCTGGAACAGCATTGACGACTTTGTTTTCTGACGGCCAAACAACCACACATCGAAAGGGCGAGTACAATGATTCCTAAACTTGAGTATACATACGCTCCATTTTGGAAAAGAGTGACTTTCAAGGTTGAATTTCAACAGTTGAATAACGTAGGCTTTTGGACTGAATTTTTCAACCTTTCCTAAAGGAAGCTCGGAAGTGCCTGCTTCTCCTTGCTCGGTATCGTAGACTATCTCTTGGTAAAAGTCGACGCCAATGCTAAAATAAAGCTAAAAACTGTATTTATGAGGGGCTCAGAACTTGTCTTGATTCAACTGTAAATTCAAGTAGCTGTCTTACATTTTTGACGTTGTCGAGTGCATCGCGTCACTGCTCATAGCTGCTGGTACTGAAGAGAAGTCCATCGAAACGGGAGATTGTGTTAGAGCTGCCACATTCTTTGGCGTCACTGGTTCTTCACGGGAATTATGTTTATTTTTAATGCTGTTTTTTCTAGAAAACTTTTTGTCAGGATGAGGTTTTCTTGTTCGATGCTTGCGACGATGTCGAGTGGAACTTGTTGTTGAAATTGAAGAAATTGTCTGATCATCAGTTTTGGAATGGTCGTTGTAGCAGCCAAGGGAGTATTTACAGGGGATTTGGGCATTTTTGCTGATTCAGACTTGAAGATAGAGGTAGTTGATACTGGGATTGATGGAGTACTCTCGATTTTATCTATTTTTGAAATGGAAGTTGACCTCTCCGTTGTTGAATCCGTCGTTGTTGACGTTGTTGAAGTCGAAGTTGTCGTTTTGATCGTTTTTGTTGACGTCGATGTTGACGTTGTCGTTGTCGCTTTTTCTGTTTCTCTAGCTTTGAACGTTGTCGACGTTGTCGTTGCAGTCGTTGCTTTAATGGTTCTTGGTCTTGTTGTTTCTTGAGTCGTTGTTGTTGTCTTCGAAGTCGCTGACGTCTTTGTCGTCGAAGTTGTATTCGATTTTTTCGTTGTTGTCGACGGCTCTGTCTTCGTCGTCGTCGTAGTAGAAGTTGATGCTGTCGATGATGGGCTTGTTGTTGTTGTTGATTCGATCGTCGTTGAAGTTCTCGCTTCTTTTGGTGACTCTGCTGTTGATGTCCTGTGAGGTGTTCCAGTTGTCCAAGTAGATGTTGAAATGTGTGACGACGTCGTCTTGGGCTCTGGACTGGTTGTTGTGGTTGTGGTTGAAGTTGTTGTTGTTGTAGCTGTGCTGTTGAGAGTTGCTGAAATCGATCTATGAGTATTTGGTGCTGCTGAAAAAGGTTTAGCCGTACTTAGTGATGAAATGGTCTCTGCCGCCGAGTAGACCCATTCGATTGGTGGTTCGACTACTTCAGTGTTGCTACTGCTTCCATAACTTGAATGAGCTATAATAGGAACTCTGTCCTTTTCTTGCATTATCGATATTTCGAAGGGAATTTCTTTGACTTTGGTGTCTTTCCCTAACTCATCCAAATACGAGTCTGTTTCTGAAAATATTATCGGGGCTTCTTCGAAACTTGTTTCCGCTTCTTTTTCTTGCCAATAATCGCTGTCATCATCGACATAGAAATCCGAGTAAGAGAAGTAATCACCAGATTTTTCGTTGAAAAGAGCACTGTCAGGATCGACAATAGGTGGAATCTCAAAGAATCCGGCTCCATCAATAACTTGAGTGTAGTCATTTTCATTGTCAAAGTTTGGGAGTAGTATTTCACCCATGTTTGCCGACTGGTCCCGTTTCCCTGACAAATTAATACTCTGAGAGTCGCTCGGTAAATCTTCAATCAATGCTGGCGTGTGAGAGCTATCAGACGTCAAGAAGTGAGCGTTGATGTTTTCATTCCCATTCATGTTGTCAACCAACATTGTAATATTTGTTTCGGGCTCAAAAGGCCCTTCTATCGCTTCTGATAAATCGGAGTTACTGGCAGAGATAAACTCGCTGGGCAAATGAAAGTTGCTTTTATCGGCATCGACTTCTGTAAATTCTTCTTTTGGCGAGGAATTTGTTTTATTTAAAATTTCATGCACTTCTTCTGCCGCTGCGCTCAGCTTTTCCCATTTGACATTTTGAATTTCTGGGGACACTAAATCAGTGTCGATGCTTTTTGACGCTTCCGGTAACGATTGGGCTGGTTTTGTGGTCGATTCTGTAGCCAAGTTGACAGTTTGAAAGGTCACCTCGGATGTCGAAGGAATTTCAACAACTTTGCTAACGTCGCCTACAGACTCTTGGTTTTCTTCTTCTTGTCTATCGAGAGACACAGAGTCAAGGTGCTTCCGCGATGTGACAAAAGCTGCTCCTGTATCAGTAACGCTTTCAGGGAGAAGAGAGCTTAGAGTTTGTTTTGTGATGCTGGAAGTCGAGACAGATGGAATTAGAGTCTTTTCTTCCGGAAGTGTTTTGTTTAAAATTGACGGAAGTTTCGTGGGCTCTGCGCCAACTTTTGGGGGCTCCGTTGGTGCAGAAGAATTTTGAGAAACATCTGAAGAAGCGGTAATCTTGATCGGAAACGATTCCAGCTCCATGTGTTTCTGAATCCACGGGAGAATCGAGTGAACTTTTTGGAAAACCAGTGGATTGTATTTCTTTTATTTGGGTTATGCCTCACAGATGATTTCAAAAAAAATTTCGCGGGCCCGAAAATCGTCAAAAAACCTCTTGGCTAGTTTTGTAGAGCTCGTCGAGACGAGTCGAATGATATATCAAAGTCCTGAAAATTCTAAGATTTTCCGCCAAAACAAGTGATAAGAAGGTGGCCTATCAAAAATTTTCTGACCAGCGCCGTTTTTGTTCTAGAATAGCTGCGGTAACGTTTGACCCCGGAAAATGTTCCTCATGATCTGTTTTACTACAGCAAAAAATTTCAGCCAGTCATCATCTACCCAGCCGAGTTTATCAGTATATTTCATTTTCGAATGGAAATGGGACTGAAAATGGGCCAGAAATTAGGAACGAGCAGCGACAACAAAATGCACTAAATTTTTAATTTTTCGTACGGCAGGATATGTGATTACGAGCTGAAATTTTTTGCTGTAATAGAACAGATCATGAGGATCATTTTCCGGGGTCAGACATCACCTCAACTTTTCTAGAACAAAAACGGCGCTGGTCAGAAATTTTTTGATAAGCCACCTTCTTATCACTTTTTTGGCGGAAAATCTTAGAATTTTCAGGATTTTGATATATCATTCGACTCGTCTCGACGAGCTCTACAAAACTAGTCAAGACGTTTTTTGACGATTTCCGGGCCCGCGAAATTTTTTTTGAAATCATCACAGTTTTTAAAGGAATTTCGCTATCGGTATTAAAAAATAAATACGAGCTCGAAAGTTAGCTGGACAAATTAATGTCCAAACTTCGAAGGAATTTCTCACTTCCTGACGAATAAATATTGAAAATGAGATTTAAAATGTCAAAGGTCGTCCGGCTGTTCTAACTCAGGAACCGAAATGAAAGGTACTGCGGTCAGTGACTGGCAATAGGAAGCTCTTATAACCAATTCCTTTTTGTATCTGCCGCACCGTCCTCCCCAGGACAAAATTCCAACTATCGTTGCGTAACCATCGCTGTTGACAACCAGCGGCGAGCCAGAAAATCCATCGCAAAAGGTGATCCGGTCTACTTGCAAATTTCCCTTTTCGTTGATCGTTTTCAAATTGCCAATGCAGAAATGTCCGCTGTGAAGTTTCTTTTTCTACGAAATGGCACTTGAGATTTTGTTCCGAGCGAAGTGCGCTCACCTGCATGTTTTCGTGGAGCAAGCACATTTCTTCCGTCAAAATAGAACCCGAGTAGTGGTCCAGTGTCTTGCTCAGCATCCAGGTCTTTCTTCCAAAGCCGGATGAAATGGCAGTGTAGTTGGTGAAGCTTTCAACTGGAAAATTGGGCAGGCAAACCGGCTCAACGCAACCACTAAAGAAGAAATCAATGTCGAATAGATGGAAGAAAACCACAAAGTGCTCCTATCAAAATGACACAAAATTGGCACCGTCTTCGTTTGCCACAGTTTTATAGAGTTTGTTCTCTCATCTCATGAACTGTGGTTCAAATTTTGAGTAAATTCGAAATCTCTAAGCAATTCGAAATTTCATGTGCCAATAAAACTCTGGCTTTTATGGGAGCGGGTATAAATCCAAAAGGAAACAACTGTCACTGACGTACCTTCTGGAGCAATTTTCTGGCATGACGTCGTAAATCGAATCGTTCAGAAAAACCAGGCAGGCGTCGAATTGTGTCGGCAAAACTCGATATTCTGGATGAAGGATGACCTTTCTAGCGGTGACATTGAAGCGCAAACTGAAAATACAAATTGTAACATTATGTTTCTTCTATTTGATCAGACAGGGGCGTTTACAAGAGCAGTTACGCTGGAATAATGATAAAGTATCAATAACTGACTATAGTAAAATTGTTAACAACGTCCTTGATGAAGCCATTTAGTATTAACGATGGGCAAACATTGGCTAGTCGCTTCTGTGCGCTCTTCTGATTGTTTAACCGCATAATGCGAACATATGGAATGCAAGGAAAATCAAGCTTGGCGATCTTTACCTGTCAAAATACGGATCTCCTCGACGCCAAAATTCCCCGAAATACACAGTCGGATTGTCTTTGATCTCGTGACAGCAATGGCCAGCTGAACATGTAGCATTAGCAAATTTAGAAGCAGTGATTTACGGAGCAAGGGCCGGAGCAATTCGAACTCATTTAAATATTTTTTGATAGTTTTATAATACGCTCAGCTGAGCTCGATTTCGCAAGAGTTTTCAATTTCTACAGTATTTACCCGTTAAAATTGTCCGTTCTTGAATAATGGATCCCGAGCATTGTTGCCTGTTGAACTTGAGTTTGACGGAGTAGCTGTTGAATCCTGGCGGCAAATATTCACGATCCTGGAAAGAAATGTTATGACGGGCGAATGTCACTTCCATGGGAATCGGCGGCGTTTGGTCTTTATGGTCAAGTATGTTTTGCGATTTCCGGTCAATGCCCTCAGCAATCAAACAGTGAACTAACCTCAAAGTCTTCTGTTTTCTTCGAACCACAGGTTTTCAATGAGCTCAGATCATCGATGAGTAGCGAGTCAACCCAAATGTTCGGAAAAAGCAGCAGAAAGAAGACTTTCAATTTCATTCCTTCTTTTTCAGCTGCCGAATTTGCCTCTTATTGCTGCTTTTCTTCATCGAAAAAAGCGTGATCTAAAGCAAAGGATTTCGTTTCTCCTTGTTTTCGCGAAGTTGCTGATAATGAGACTGGCATTTTTTTGCTGTACACTGCCGTTTTCTCCGCAAAGGTAAATATTTATCCTGCGCTCTGGCCGTACCCTTATTGCGGAAGAGAGCGAGACTTCTAGTGACCATTAATAAGCCTTTTCCTTTTCATGGGCTGACTATTCCTCTGACAAAATTAACAAATAATGACTGTCAATGGACAATGAAATGAACTTTGACCGAAGCGGAAAATTTGTCAATGGGACTCAAGGCAACAAAAAGCGCAAAACAAGTATAAAGACGAGTTCTTTTGGCTTGATAGAATCTCCTAATCCTGGATTACAAGTTGAATGCAATCATTAGAATTTCCAATAAGCAAACATTTGGTTTCAAAATGTCAAGGCTGGACTTTCCTTATTGATCTTTTTGGGGTTATCAGGGTCACTTTTGTTTCATTTAAATTTGTGAACTTCAGTGATTAGTGTATTACAAACTCATGAGAAAAAAACCGACAAAACCGACACCGACAGTCTGACCGACAATTTGGCGACAAAACCGATAAATTTTTGTAGGTGCGCATCCTTGTTGGAATGAAGTTTTAGAATGAAGTTTTTGAGTCGTCATTAATAGTAGAGCATGAACGAATATTTGTAATTTGGGATCAGTAGTTATCATATTTACAGATATGACTGGTTATTGTTACTGTTTACCAAATCAGTGGCCCATAACAACATGCTTCTGGCGCCTCTCTATTTAGGAAAAAATCCCAAAGACTAGCTTAAATATTAACAAAAATGCACCAGCCATAAACATAATAAGAAATTACCTGAACAGTAGAGTGTCGATTAAAATCCAAAATTTTATCTCTTTCGCAACTGGCAGATGAAGAGCTTCTTCTATAAATCTAACCTTATCCTTCTTTTGGGCATTTCTGCTTTCTTTGTTCAGTCATAAACGCTCGACAAACTCTGAAAAAGCGTAAATTCGCTCAGAAGCTGCTGGGTAGCACCGCGTGTACACAAATCCTTGTTGCCTCCGCGCAGAGAAAAAAAAGAAAGATTCCATCATCTAAATCTTTACCGGGGAGGTCAATCACCGGGTAGCGGCCAAATTTGGCTTTATTAATCTCCGTGGACGACAATAGGACGCCAGCTCATTTTTCTCCCTGTTTGCAGTCTGAATCTTTACTGCCAAAGTTGCCCGTTGATGAAATAGATTTTTGTTGATGAAGATACTGTGCCTATTCCAGCTACAGTACGCGACCGTACGCCGCTTTGACACCTACTATCGAAGCCCTAACAGTCTCAAAAGACAATGAATAAAACCACAAGAATAACCTTCTATTTGTTACAAGACAAATACAGAAGTATTGATTGCCATTTCTATTCAGAATACGATATCATTTGAATTGTTTCTTCCAGGCAAACATCCTCCTTGAATTGTCCATTTTCCCGCTTTATATTCTCAAACTCCTTGACTCACTCTTACAGTAACTTTACTACAAAGTGGTTCAAATAACTTGCAAAAGGCTCACTTCCTAAGCTAGAAGACCTGCTGAAAGAAGACAACAATTTTGTAGTTGCCAGAGCCAAAGAGCACCTGGACTTCAAACATGTTATGAACAGAACTTGAAAAAGAAGCTCACCTGTGGGTTGACTCTCTTGGAATGAGGTCGTCAACTCCACAGGCAAGATGCACAGCTTGATAAACAAGGGCGCCAAACGCGAGACTTCAACCGAATTCGATCTTCGCTTGATTTCGTCGCTGAACTCTCGTGAAGGGTCGAATATGCGGGTCGCGTGGCCCCCCAAGCTTCTAGTGATGTCGAGCGTTTCGCTTCTTCTTCTTCGGTTCGACGACTTCTTCCTCCATGATATCGAGCAGTTCGCTGTCCGGCGTTTCAAACTCATCAGACTCCGAGGAGACAACTTCCTTCACGATCTGGCGTGACCGCTTGTTCGCCTTCGTTGTAGTCGTTACTCGCAGGGAAGATGTCTTCTTCGCCGACTTCGAAACCGCGTTCCGACGAACTCTCTTCTTCGGTTTTCGCGAAGTTGTACCTGATGATGTTCCTGGTTCGTTAATGAACTCCAGTTCAGGCAGAGGAAGAAGATCGTCGTCGCTCTCGTTCTTTATTTCAACTCCGAGCTCTACTACTTCCTGCAACGATGTTTCGAGCGTTGCATTCAACAGCTGCTGGTCCTGTTCATGAACTTCATCCCCAGGGTATCCGTGGGGAAACCAAATGGCGTCTCCACTCGCCATCACTTCGCCCTGAACTTGAGCTAGCCTGACGTAGACGTCCATCCGGCCCGACAAGCAGTTCCAGATGCCCAACGGGATCGCCTTCTGAAGTCTGCGACCCTTGGCACCGTATTCATCGCCGGATTGGATGGTAACAGCTTCCGAGAACTTGGCTTCCATCTCGAAATGACGACGGTGCGCCAGTTCCCCCATCAACGACGGTGACGAGAGCTCATCCAAGTCCTTCTCCAATTTTTGAAGAATCTTGATCGCCCGGCGTGTGGATGGTCCAAGTTCCTGCTGTCGTTTCTCGTCAAACTCGTGCGGTTTGAAAGCAGTCCGCAAAACTGCTCTGCTATCTTCGGTGTTCAACATCTCTTGAACTTAGTTCGGCTCTGACTGGCGGATTTTCCACTCATCGACCGTTTTTAAATGGCGATGTTTTCCAGCTTCAAATCTACCTCGAGCGCCATGTTTTCCAGCTGAACTTGTTTTCCAGTCATCGAGTTCATCCGATTTCTCGGGCTCGAGCCATTTTCAAAACACGCTCGGCCAATCAGCTCGCTACAAATGGAGGACCGTTTCTCCCATTTCGCTGCACTTGCTTGACCTACAGATCTTTCATCTTCATCCTTCTGCCAGAGAAATTTTCCAGAGAAAACGTCTCCTATGAAGATTTCATCAAGTTCAACCTTCTTCGTTCTGCAACTTTGAGATGTGTACCAGTTCTTGCACTTTCTTCTTTTTATATTTAAATTTTTTTATTTTTCGAGAAAGAGTTCTTTCCTTCAAAAACTTCTTTCTTCAGCATAGATCATCGAAGTCCGTTGTTGTGATGCCTGTCGTTCGATATGTCTCGACCGGCACTTCTGACGACTCCAGGAGCGACTCTTCGTCTTCCCCGCCGTCTTCAACTCCAACTTCCCTCGTTCTCCGCGACCACTTCTATCCTGAAATGTCGGGGATTTATCGTCGAGATCCAGGCGTTGGCGGTGATTCGCCTTCCTTCTCCACGATTACCGGTTTCACCGGCATTTCCAGTTCCACTGGCTTCTCTCGCTTCGTTCCGGATGAGCCCGTGCCCATCTTCTCGCTCGCAGTTCTCCCTGTGGCGCAGCCCAGCCTCCCTGACTACTCAAAGCGGGTGCCCTGTATCGCCAGTCGCCCGAATGCTGACCTCGGGTACGAGCAAGATGAGCTAAGTCGACTACTCTTCGCACCTGGTAACCCAGCGTCTGGAACCGAGGATTGGATTACTCCCCCTCAAATTCTTGTTGGTTTCCTCAACGCTCGTCACATGGACTCGTCTCATGATGCCGACTTCTCTCATCCTCGCGACGTGGAGCAGCTTCATCCATCTACCGGAGAGTTGTGGGCTGTGAAACGAAGACGTCTCGGAGCTCCACCACCTACTCCTCGAGTTCTTGCTGTAGATTCAGGTCGTCCCGCGAACTCCTGGAGTATCCATCCTTCGTTCAGCGCACGATCAACTGCCCGTGATGAAGCTGATCAAGAAGCTACTTGGCGCGTTGAGTCTGGAACTGTCGATGCTGCCCTTGCCGTTGCAACTCATCGTTCCGTCGGCACCGGGACTTCTTTGGGCTTTCCGGATCTGCTCGCCCGCGATGTTGATTCCCTTCGCAGAGGTACATCGCTTCTGGCTCCGATTGAAACCCCTGTAAAATCGCGAAGTAAGTTCATCAATGTTGAAATCAACTAGTAACTTCGGTCATTTAGATTTGGCGTCTGCTAGTGAAGTTTCTCGTTTTTGCGAGACTTATCGTCATGACCGTGTTTATCGTCAGCTCGGGTTGGAGCGGTATCTTCCGGTTCTCGGCCACAATCAGCCTATCGACGATACCTGCCACGCGCTGTTTCGCCCAACCCCTGACTCTCGGTTCACCGTACCACTTCTGCCGAAGTCATCATCGCTTGGTCTTCCCGGTCCCGACTACTATCCTTGCGAGTGGCCTGATCGCTTCTGCTCTGACCCTGACTACGCTGGATACGACATCGAGGAAGACATACAAGCTGCTCGCGACGCGTTTGCTGCTGCCGGAGGCCAGATGCATGTGCTGGAGCATACTCGAGTTCGTCACAACGTGGAGTTGTTTGATCACTCTCGCGTCTACCGAACTGTAGTCGTAGTTCCTCCAGGTACGATGTGAACCGTTCAACTAGTATTCAACAAGTTCTAGATAATGATGTCCGAACGCAGGGCAATCTTCTTCCTGATCCGCTCGAAGTTGGCTTGTTCGATCAGCTGACCAAAGGTGGCTACGCTGATGCTTCTGTTCTTGATCGTATCGACTTCGGCAAGTCGCTCTGTACTCTAGGATCTCCAACCGTTCTTGATACTGCTACCGGAACTGGTTTCTTGGTGAGTCATCGTTTTCGCGCAGATTTTTGACTTCTTCTTTTCAGTCCGAGCTGTTGGATGATCCACGTTACTGGGATCCAGAGCGCGGTGTGACCCGTCTTGCCGATTTGTTGTCGCCGATTTTACGATCACGGGACTGGTTCGACCCTTCTTCTCCTCTTTGGCGCCCCGATATCCAGCAGATTCATCATCGGAACGACTGCTTGCACTGGGGTTATCCGCTCACTGAGGGTCTCGGTGAGAATCCCTTCGGATACGAAGGTTTCACGTTAGTGCTTATTAACTTCTGCACTTTCTAATAATTTTATTTTTCAGGTTGGCTGACACGATCTTCGCTGCTTGTCGTCTTGAGCATCTTTATCCGAAGGAGACTGATCGTCGGGTCATCTGCTTGATTCTTGGCTTGGATGTGAACTCGATTCGTCCACTGTTCCTCATCTCGCCATTTGAGATGTATCAGCTTCAGCTCGCCAACATGATCCGCCCTTACACGCTGGTCAATCGAGATGACGGTGACGTACCACGTGATCCTGAGTGTCCTCTTGGACGAGAACGACTCCGGCTTCTCGATGTTGGTCATTGGTCGACCCAGGCGGCTGATGTCGACGCACATGGCTTAGGAGTCCTCGAAGTTGCCTTGATTGGACTCTCCGTTCTTGCAGCTGAGTTCTCCCTGACGCCAATCTGCTCTCTCGATGGTGAACCGGCCTTCTATTTTGATCATAGGGCGCGGTTTCATGATGGATTGATCCTCAGCGGTGGCAACGGTGGTCTCAAGCGAGGTGCTTCATTTCTCGCAGCTCTACTTTGTGGCTGTCGCCCGTCCACCGATGCTGATCCGTCAACGATTCGTGATGGTGCTTCCGGTTCTGGAACAAGCAAGGAAGTGTCGGCTCCGAAGTGCTACTACGATGCAACTACTGGACGCCGATTCCCGCCCGTTCCGTCGTTGACTGGACTTCGTCCTGGCGAGTCCGTTGTGGCCCCGTACCAGTCCAAGTTCGTGCGATCCACCGCTTTCTCCGACGAAGCCGAACCTATTCGTCATGTTGGCATGACTGGCTACTCCTTGAAACGACTTGACGGTGGTGAGTCTTCCAGTCGAATTCTTCTTGGAGTTCCTCGACTCACTTATGTTCGTGAGTTTGAAGGTGAGTCGACCCTCTCTGTACTTCATTTCGTGACTTGTGATCTATTTAGCAACCGGAGCCGCTGTGTACGCCACTGTGAAGCATTTGCAGCAGAAGGGATCGTACTCGATGGGTGAAAGAACTTCCAACCGCTTCCCATATCGTAAGTCGATGAAGACTAGTGGGATGAAACCCATTGAATCTTGAATTCAGAGCTTCTTCCTGCTAGTTTCCAGGAGTGGTACGCGGCTGGAGCTCATTGTAAGTACTATGGAGGTACAACTCGCGACGTTGTCGACACGATTCTCGGTATGTTATCCGATGCCGAACGTCTGACTCTCCACGGTGGTGAATGTCTCTTCCCCTTGTTTCGAGGTCGAGAGGTAAATGTTTCTGGTAAGTGTAGTTTGTTGGTGATTTGATGTTTTACATGATTTGTACTTGATCCGTTGGTTTTTCATCTTGTTTTAGTTCACTTCGGACGCCGTGCTACGTTCGCCAGGAGCTCGACTCGCGGCTTGTGTCACCGCTACGCTTCGGGGCTTGCCAAGTATCAACTCGACGAACGTGGTGATCCTGTCGGTCTCAATGAAGAGGAGCGTGAAGCTCTGCTACGACGTATTGATGCTGATAAAGCCTCAGCTCTTGTCCCTCTGGCGAATCCAGCCGGAGAAACTGGAGGAACTGTTGAATCCTCGACTGCTGAAGATGATTCGAACTTGGCCGATTGAGCATTATGCTCAGTACTCCGACCTCATCCAACGTAAGTTTTATTGTACGTCGTAGCAAGTTGACAACGGAGTTTGTAGTGATGGTGTCCTCAACTGGTTTTCACCCAACTTCCGACTGTTCCATCTCTACAGAAACTACCACGGCGGCGGCGAAGAAGCAAGATGAAGAAAAAAATTTGAAGAGAACTGTTCCTACTCTGTAGTTCCATGTACCAACGCTTGATCGAGTTCCAAACTGCAGGCGTAATAAATTTACCCGTCGTGGCCACTTACATGTAATCTTCACTTCTGTAGCGATCTGGTTCTCTTCTTGTCCTTGAGCTTGTGCGGATCTTTAGTTTATCAAGATCCGACTCATTTAACGCAGAAGAAGATGCTACAGAGTGGAACGAGCAATCCTCGCTCGACTCGTTGTTTTGTACAGTTTCGTCTGTCTCGTTTAGATCTGTTTCTGGTGAAGCTGTCCACACTCCCGTGTCTCCTGTTGTTAGTAACCGGCTCACGATGTTGTTCGAACACCAAAGCCCGAATGAGGATTTCAGCGTCTTCGACGGAGTTGATTGCTTCGGTGAAACTTCAATTTCTGGTGCTGGCGTCGGTGGTAATGTCGATTTCGGCCCGAGGGAGATTGCTGAGTCATCGAGAAGGTCGATTCGATGAGCTCTTGGTCCCAGATGGTTCTCGTCGGCTTCTTCCCATACTGACACGTCTTCAGGTTGCATCAGCCACAATCTAGCCATCGGATTCGACAGTAAGTTATCGCTGACTTTGCGGACCGTGTCTGACACGATTGTGTCAATGATGTCGAAGGATATTTCTCGGGGTTTGACGTCGTTCTTGGCGTTGAACTTTCTAGCGAGGCACGTGCGACTCTTCCAGTTTATCTCGACTACTTTCCATAATCTGTCGTAGTCTTGCTTGTCCCATCTCGTGCTTAGCCTGATGATATCACCTATTTTTAGAACTTGTTCGTCTTTCTCCGCCAGCTTCTTGTCGTCAACGATCTTCAAGGGCTTGTTTTTCAACTTCTTCGCCGCGTTCCTTGAATCAGCTGAAGTTCTTCGCCCTTCTCTCTCTTTCTCGATCTGAGAGACGAGGTCGTCTACGCTCATCCTGATGTTATCCTGCGTGCCGATCTTTCTACCCGTGAATAGTTCGACCGGGGCAAGCTTGCCGTGCCCCAGCGTGTGGTTGTACGAAGCGATGGCGTTCTGTACAGCTTGTGGAAGTTCCAATGATCTGTCGTTCAGCTGAGCGTTCAACAACTTGCTCAAGACTGCTATTCTTCCGTCTTGTTCTGGAATGATGTTTTTGCTCATGTGCGTACTCTCGTACAGCTCGACTTCCATGTTCAGCTTCGCCAGTCTCGACTTCGTTTCTGCGCTTCGATGAGCTGCATGTTTGTCACATCTAATGATGATTCTCGTGGACTTGCTCTGTAGTGGCGCTAGAAGTTGCTTCACTAGGGTCATGAAATCGACGAAGTTTCCTGTGTTCACGCTGCTTCTGTCGGCCAGTGCTACGCCGAAGCGTGTGATACCCTCGGTTGCGAAATACAACTTGAAGGGCTGGTTGTTCCTGTCCGTCCTGTTGATTTCGTCCACCAGTATCAGCTCTCCGATCCTTTTAGGCACTGGAACTGCCTTCAGAGGCTGTGCAACCAGATTGTCTGGTTTCTTCATCAGGCTGCACTTGTAACAAGATGTTGTGAACCTCAGCGCGTGCGTCTTTATGTTGGATATCTCGAAGATCTTCCTTGTTTTATCGGCTAGCTGTGTTGGAGATTGGCAAGTCGTGGCGTTGTGAACCATTCTACACATCTTTACAGCGTGAGGCTCTGGTATTATCACCAAGTCGTATTCTTCCGTTCCGATCCACTTTTTCATCCGCAGATGGTTGTTGACGATCCTGGCTTTTCTGCATAACGTCGCCAGTTTCATCTTTTTCGGAGGAGGATTGAGCTTCTTCTCGATGTGTCTCAACGCTTGCTTCAGGACTGGATCCGTTTCTTGGATTTTCCTGATTGCTCCGCCGTCCTTCAAGAATTCCTCCAGCGATCTCGGCTTCCGCTTCGACGTTACGTAGCAGACTTTCTCGAAGGCTTCCTTCTCGTAGTCAACTTCATCTACCCAAGAATCTGTCATGTTCCATGCTACATCTTTCATGCTTTCGTCGAATTGGTGAACTTGGATTCTTCTGACCGCTTGGTAGTTCTTCAACTTGCTGACCTGTGTGTCGATTTCTTCTAGCTGCTTTTCTGACACGAATGGTACTTCGTTAGAGCTGGGTGTTCTTGCGATTTTGCAGATCTGGCAATCGTCGTTGCAGTCTTGCATGTGACTCTTGCTTCTCGATATGAAGTCGCACCCAGATATTTCGATGGACTTTCCTGGAAGGTGAACAACTGTTACTTGAAGTCCGATGATGCTGCGAAACAGGTTGTTTATGGTCACGATGTCGGATGGACATCTATTCTCGGCCCACCTCTTCGCGATACAGTATAATGGTCTCGAGTCCGTGTACACTACTGTAGGCCATTTCGACTCGATGATATACCTTCTCCAGTAGGTTAACGCGCCTATCATCCCTGCCGTTTCAAGCATGCAGCTGCTCGCCTTGAACTTTCGTTCTGCGTCTGGGCGTTTTCTCGAGTAGAACTCGCAGACTACGTTCTTGCCGTTCTCGTCCTTCTGGAACAGTATCGCGCCGCATCCGTCTGCTGATGAGTCTACCACGATGTACGCCTTTTTCTTCGCGTCGAATGGAGTTAGTTCCATCAACTTGTCCATTGATTTCTTGGCTAGTTCAAGTGCTTCTTCACTTTCTTCCGTCCAGTTGATCTTGACTTTGCCGTCGCCGTCAAGCAGCTTTCTTAGTGGCACCAGGTACTCCGTTGGTCTGTTCTGGAACTTCGACAGTGGAACGAGTACGCCCAAGAAACTTCTCAACTCGCTGACGGTGGTGATCTTCTCTCTCGAATACTGGCGGATTTTGTCTGCTTGATGAGGGCTTGGGTAGATCTTGCCGTCTTTTATCACGCTTCCCAAGAAATTCATGCGTTCAGGACAAACGAAGATCTTGCTTCCTTTCAGCGTGAGCCCGTAGTATTTGCATATGTCGAGAAATCTTGAGATCACCCTCACGAACTCATCTTCCGTTTCTGCAACTAGATGAATATCGTCTGCATACCTCAAGCACCATTTCTCGATCGGGCTGAAAATCCTCAAGAATGCTTCGCGCATGAATCCCATCGAGGCGATCCATCCTTGCGTGCATCTTGTATACACCATTACGCCTTGGCGCGGGTGATATACGCCGAACCATTTCCACAGGTCTTGGTTCATCGGTAGTTGGAAAAACGCGTTGCTGACGTCGCACTTCATCGAATACTTGAACTTTGACGCCTTCGCCGCTTTCTGAAGAATGTCATGGAGATCGTCCGTTACCATCGGCGGTGTTTTGCTCCATTTGTTGACCGTGTTGTGCGCTTGTGTGACGATTCTGGCGCTCTGTGCCAGTGGAATTGCGTTCCCATCATCGTCTTTCTTGGACACAACCATCAGCGGTATGATGTTACGTGGTCTTATGCCGTATTCGTCGGGGAACACCAGTATCTTGTCCCTGTACAGCTCGTCGAGATGGTCACAGATCACGTCCTTTTTCTCTTCGGACTGCTTTTCGTGCTTTCTTCTTGGACCGATGTTCTCCTCCTTGATTTCAACGTTCATTTCAGCGTTTATGTTGAAGTTTTTGTTGAGGCATCCGATCCTTTTCTTGAACACGACTGCGTACTCATCGCTCTTGAAGACTGACCACAATCTCTTCGCTGAAGCTTCGCCTACATCTCCCATTGTTATATCATCAACCGTGGTAGAATTCTCGGCTTTTTGGCGCATCTTTTCGATCTTCGCCTTGTAGATCTTCCTCGAATCTGGTTCGAATTTGGTCTTGTCCAATTCATCTGCTTCTCCAATCTTCCACACCTCCTCGGTACCGTAGAAGACTTTGCCAGCATCGTTAAACGTGACCGACTTCTCCACAAGATTGACGATGGTTTTCCCCTTCAGATGTGGGAGGCCCATCAGCAGACCTTGTAGATTTTCGATGACTACAGCTCCTTCGATCCAAACTCGTTTGTTGTTTATCACGATCGCGAAGCTGGCCACCTTGTTTCTGTTGAAATTGTCGAATACGCCGAGTCTTTTCCCGGCGGCGCATCTTATGTTCCTGCTCTCCCATCTGAACAGGTGCTTTATCTTCTTTAGTGGTTCCAGCCCGATACATGTACATTCAGCGCCAGTATCGAGCTGTACGTGCAGAGGAACGAGGCCTTCGTCATTACCAGATTCTGCTTGAGTCCAGAACATTGGGATGTCCTTCTTGTCTGTCGCAGTAATCTGGTTGACGCTTTCTAGTCAACTCAACTGCCACATTCCAGCTCCTCCGTTTTCTGATGCCGAATCGCTGGAGCGCTGTTCATGGACTTGTCCGACTTGTTCCTCTTTCTTGTGCATCGTTCTTATCATCTTCAACGCCTTCTTTCTATTAGGGCAGTCGTAGGGCTTGTGATCGTACACGTTCCATTTTCTGATGGCTACTTTGCAGTGCCAACATGGAGTGCTTTCTTTCTTGGAGCCGGCTGAGTCCTTGTTGTCCTCATTGCCGTCCTTTGGCTGCTTCTTCGCGCGATCGCTGTCATCTCGACCGTTGGAATATCGACCTCCGCGACCACCGCCGCGACCTCTGCCGCCGCCTCCGCCTCTTTTCGACCCTTTTGACTTATCACCGATCTTCGCTACCAATTCCTCGTTTTGATCGTGATCACCACTTTCTTCAGTTATCTTCTTGACCGTTGCGATTCGCTTCGGGCATCTCCTGATTTCCGCGGCTGCGATTTCTTGGTAGATCTTGGCGTTCTTGAAGAATTCAACTGGAGTCGACGTCTTCCCCGTTTTTTTGTGGAATTCGTCTTCAATTTTCTCGATTGTTCTAGCGTCCACCGTGATCAGCGCACAGCACGTTGCAATCCTTGACAAGATCTGGGTCTCAGCTTCTTTCTCGCTCAACGTTTTCTTTGAGCCGATGGCGTTGTTTCCTGATATCTTGTCCGTCCCCTCTGACTTACAGAGGTTCTTTTTGAACTCCGTGAAGAACGCTCTAGTCATCGTGGTGAAGTTCAACCTGCTGCTGTTGATAGCCATCATATTGCGGAGGGACTCCATAGTTGTGACCATGTTCCTTCCTGTATTCAAGCATGCTGCGCTGTCGTTGTGAACGACGGTGTTGGTGAAGTGTTCAAGTGAGTAGAATTGACCTCCTTCCGCTACAGCATCCCGGAGTACTCTTATCTCACCTTCACTCCCGTTTAGTAGAGCCAACATGGCTTCCCGCGCTAGGCGAGCCGCCTCTCGAAACTTGTCTGCGGTGCTCTTCTTGGCGTTCTTGATCTTTTCGAAGAAGTGCGATGATTTCTTGGCTGCTTCTTTCTTCGCTTCTTCGGATGATATTCCTGGATCCCTGACTTCTAGCCAGTTCCTGGTTTCCAGTACGTACGCTCCATTCGTCACGAATTTTAAGTAGCCGCTGTCATCGTCCTCTACGTCGTCTAAGTCCTGCAGGACTTTCTCGCTGACCATTTTCTCGAGTTCCGTCATCGAAACTGGGATCCCGTAGCTTGGTAGAACTGCACCGCTCGTGTCATCCGTCGACCATAACCACCGGCTGTTGGTAATCATGTCTCCCGGAACTTCCGCGGTTCCTGCACTTCTCATTACTGCGATGATCTTGTCCTTCAGACGGTTCCTATTTGCTAGATCGCGAGGTTCAATCATGCCACTTCCCGCGGCGATTATCGAGCTTAGGTTCTTGCTTGTCATGTTCTTCGGGGTAGTTCAACTTTACTCGTGAGTTCAGACCTTTATCAGTCACCACAAAGTGGTTCAAATAACTTGCAAAAGGCTCACTTCCTAAGCTAGAAGACCTGCTGAAAGAAGACAACAATTTTGTAGTTGCCAGAGCCAAAGAGCACCTGGACTTCAAACATGTTATGAACAGAACTTGAAAAAGAAGCTCACCTGTGGGTTGACTCTCTTGGAATGAGGTCGTCAACTCCACAGGCAAGATGCACAGCTTGATAAACAAGGGCGCCAAACGCGAGACTTCAACCGAATTCGATCTTCGCTTGATTTCGTCGCTGAACTCTCGTGAAGGGTCGAATATGCGGGTCGCGCTATCTACTGCAATCTGCAGTAATTTTAAAGAAATCTTAAATCCGGATTTATTCTACACATTTGGAGTTGCTCAGGTGTTTCATGACAAAAGGAGCAAAAGACGGAGAATATGGCTGCAGCTTGTTTTTGTTAGAATTTCTGGGACGGGGCCAGTTACGATACTCTTTATGAAATTGTAAAACTCGGGCTAGGGAATACCTTCATCTTCATCCCAGCTTCTTTCTCATAGCTGTCTCTAGAATAATCTATCCTTTTCGGCTTATCTAGAGACTTTGTGAAACTTTGATTCTAGATAAGTTTGAAAGCTTTCCTTTCTAGACTTGAAGCCGTGGCTAAAGAAGTTGTCTTTTTCTTTCTCACTTTTGAAATGGCAAGAGCGGAGCAGGAGACGTACGAAGATATTGAAGAGAGACTATTGCGATTAGAGGAAGATGAGTGTCCGAGTTACCGGAACATGCTGTTCATTACTACAGTGAATGCTACCCACTTTGTATGCACAAACTTTTGGTTCACATTTCCGGACGGGTTGAGAGTCTTCCTTGTTCACCAGTTAGGTGGTTCATGTCAACCGGAGGATCTGAAGGAGAATGAGTTCCCGATTGGAATCAAATGCCAGAACTGCGACGTCCGAGGGTGATCTACGTCACCGACAAAGAACTCGTCGTCTCAAAGAGAGAACTAACCACGAAAGACGGCTATTATCCAACTCAGTACCATTCGATCAGAAAAGACTACCTTCGACGAGTTCGATTCGATTCCTATTCCAGAGTCACCATCCCAAAGGCTAAGCACACTTGTAAAGCGAAGTCGATGGCTTATGGATTGACGATTTTGCTAAAAAGCAAAATCTATGCTCGCACTGAGTTGCCGATAACTCCGGAGGACGCCGCTAAGGAATTACTAACTTGCCCCATCTTGCGTCGGATAGGAACGGAGTGATATTATAGATAAAATTTAGTAATAGGCTATTAGTAATAGGATTCTGAGAATACTTCTTTTATCATCTTCAACAAAGGTTTCGATCTCAAAATGATCAAAATAGCGTGTGAAAACAGAACGAAAATGATCAAGAGAGGACCGAAGAAACCAAAGAAAGAACCAGCAATAATGGATTCTGAAGAAGAGCAACTAAAAATTGCAGACAAGCCAAGCTCTTCGTCTCCAATCCTAAGATCTCAAACTCGATCGGGCAAAGAATTTGTCGGGGCCAAAGTATGTAAACTGGAGAAAGAAGATGAAGAAGAAGGAGAAATCAGGTAACCTAAGGAAACGAGACTAAATTACAATTTTATCGATAGAACGAAAGAGCTTGATGAATTATTCGAAAGACTGGAAAGGAAGAATGAGTCGGTTAAAACAGAAAGGTCAGAAGTCAAAGTTCCTGAGCTTGAAGTGGATTTACTTCCTTTGGAACCAGTTCCCTCTTTGGACCAAGTGCCATGTCTAGAACCCTTGCCACTCTTTGGACCTGAGCCACCTCTAGAACCATCGCCACTCGTTGGACCTGAGCCACCTCTAAAACGATTGCCACTCGTTGGACCTGAGCTACCTCTAGAACCACTGCCAGCAATGGAAGAACTGGAAGTTCAAGTTAAACAAGAAAAAGAATCACCGAGGGACTTTTTTCTCAGAGAATTTCGACTGGAGATAGAAGCTCTTTTTCAAAAGTCTTTGATTGACCATGAAGACTTTGCGACAGCTTTCATTGATCGGCGGAAGACGATCCTCCCGGAGTGGATCTCGAGCGATCGCTGTGGTACAATTATTGATGCTCTCAAAGGTTTTTACTCTTTTCTTACTTTTCAACTAACATTCCTCACAAGACATGCAGAAAATCCTAAACAATGAGGATATGGAAGAAGAATGCAGCGAAAAAGAAAACTTGATAAGTTTGGAGACGACGATGAATACTTTGATGGCTTTGCTGACTGAATAAAAATGCTACTAAAAATATTTGAAATCAAATTCTTTACATTATTGACTTATTCCGAATAAGTTATTCGCATTATAACACACGCAGTCGAAGTCGTACTGTTATAACAAGATTAGCCTCAGTAAAATCAAATTATCAGCGTATTTAACAGTGCATTGTAGCAGTGAGCTTGAGGAGAAATAAGAATGAGTGAACTTTAAAATGGCCTTTTTTAAGAAAGAATCTTCGGGATTCAAGGGGGCAATCCATGAGTTTGGCAACAATGTCGGGCCTCACGGGACTTCCTATTTACTCCTGGAGAATAAGAAGCGTCAGTCGATTTGGCAAGTCATCTTCATCCTCGGAATCGTTGGAACGTTGTGGACATGTGTAGAGGAACCAGGCTCATTTCAGTTTTTTTATTTCATCGAAAACAGCTGATCCTCGAAAAAGTGTTTGAACCATTTCAACAAGTATGAATCTAACATAAAATTCCGCAAGAAATTCGGCGGCAAAGACATCATTCTTCCTCGCATAGTTCTCTGTCTCAACTCGATCCACTCGCCAAAAAAGATTGACCGCAATTACCCCTGGATGCAAAACATTACTGGTTTGCTGTACAGTGGGGCGGATACTCCAGCTGAACTGTTCGACTCGTACCATAATGGAATCCTTCCGCTTTCTCAATTTATCAAGTCTGAGTTCACAGCGAAAAAGATTCCCGACGAGAAGAAGCGCGCGGATATGATGAATTCGTTCATCCATTTAGTTCCCTACACAGATCTTTTGAAGAACACCAGCGTCTACAATTTTATAGAAGAAACGAGCTCCGACTTCCACGTTTATGCCTGCCGCGTCGGCCCGGAAGATTGTTCAAAACAGTGGAAAAGCGCGCATTTCCAAGAAGGAAAATGCAAAGTCTTCAATCCGATGATAAACGTCTCCACTTTGAACATTGTTGTCGGCTACGAAGGTGACGACTGGGGCCCTGGATGGACGAACTTCATGGAAGGGTTGTCGATGTTCTATACTGCAAACTATCAGAAAATTCTGAACTTTCGAAAAAGCCTTCAAGTGACTTCGAAATCGATTCCGATTGTAAAACTGGTGCAACAGAAGAAACAAATGCTCGGTGCTCCTTATTCTATCTGCAGACATCAGAATGAAGGACGCTTGAAATTCCTGCCAGAGAATACGACCTACACTGAAAAACACTGCATTTTTGAGTGCAAAATTCAGATGGCCAAGTTAAAAATCTCACTCTTGACTTAATTTTCATTCGATTTTACTCGGCCCATGTTAGTACTAGATGAGTGCTCCTGTTATCTCTCCTTTGCTCCTGCCGAACGTCGCGATCCAAATATCCACAACTGCACAATCTTTGACCATCTAACGTGCATCAAGCCCATTTTTCGAGTTTTTCAAGAAATGCAACAAACCAAGTGCAATTGCGAACCTGACTGTGAGTCAACAGAGCCTTATTCGCAAAGAATCCACTACGGGTAGGACAGTTTTAATTAGATTTAGTGATCCTTTTAGGCATGCACACAATAAAAACTCTGTTATCGCGAGGATGAGCATTGCATCGATTCTTATAATTAGGGATGAAACTTAAGCTAAGAATCAAATAATGTGAACTTACGTTCTCATCCCTTTTCAGCGATGGATAACGTTCTCGAAGAACGAAATGAAACAGCTGACTATCCTTTTGCCAATCGTGTTTCCAAACGCTTCTTTTTTATAAAGCTATCATGTTTGTTAACCCGTCAAAGCTAGATTTATCTCTGACGTTGGCGGAAGTCTAGGTCTCTTCATGGGCATCTCCGCTGCATCATTATTTGGCATTCTGGAGTTGTCAGTCATGCTCCTTGTCACCTTGAGCCAGCGAATTTTCAACGAGTTCATGCCCAAGTTGTTTAAAAAAGAGAAGAAATTGACGAAAGAACAGAGCAGGAATGGTTAAACTTACCTTTTTTCTTGCTAGAAACTTGAGAATATAAAGAGAAAAACAAAAGTTGAAACTAAAAAAAGCTACGTGAATAACATCAGCTACGGAAATGTGATGCCATACGATTATGGAATTTCGAAGGACTTCGAATACATCACGAATGCGAGCAAAACAGTGAACTCCAAGAAGCGTGATATTCGACCAGTTGTCGTTAAAAATATCTAAACAAAATAAATAGCAGTAGCAGTTCCCTTTATCAATGTTGATGGTATGTGTTTGAAAACCATAGATTTCAGCGCTCGAGAGCATGATAATATTTAACTTACCTGTTTCATAAAGATATTTAATTCAGTATACCTGAAACAAATGTCCATGGATCGGTATTGACTGCCTCAGTTGTTGCTTCTACTGAGGATGAACTTTCAGTACTCGTTGTGGATGATGATTTAGTTGTAGTAGTTGTTGTCTTTGTAGTGGTCGTTGTTGTTGTCGTTGTTGTGGTTTTAGTTGTGGTTGTGGTTGTAGATGTGGTTTTAGTTGTGGTGGTTGTGGTTGTAGTTGTTGAAGTTGTTGTTGTCGTTGTTGTTGTTGTGGAAGTAGTAGTTACCCTCTTTGTTGTAATTGGAGTAGTGGTGATAACTGACGTTGTTGTTTCTTCTTTGAGTGTCGATGTAGATGTTGTATATTCCGTAGTTGTGCCCATACTTCCTCTTGTTGTCGTTGACCAAGTTGTTGATGTTGTCTCTTCGGCAGTAGAAGTCGTTGTAGTTGTAGAAGTTGTCTCAGGAAGCGTTGTTTCAACAAACGGAACAAATTGCGTAGTAATTTCTTCCGGGTTCACGCAAAATTTATCCGAAATAAAAGGCATATCATCGGCGCATTGATCCTCCGACTCGACGATTTCCAACAAGTTTTTCAAGTTACCGGCGATCTTCTCGCAGCTCCAAGGTTTGCTTCCATGTCCAATCATCCAGTGGCCAATGCCTCGCATATCTCCACAATTTCTGCTTTCTCTTCCAACATAGTAGCCGTAGAAAATGACGAATCGCTGGGACTCTGGCCAGGGGCCACCGACATAGTAGGGACGATTCGTTGTTTCGTCGAAGCCAGCATAAGTGAAATAAACATTTTTGACGCCACGGAAAGAGACTTGGAAGGAGCCCGTACAGCAGCCGTACTCCTGAAGACATTGGGCACCCTCGTCCGATTTGTCTGAGCACTCAATGAACTGGTCGCATCTTCTTCCGTAGAGCAAGGGTCGCCCATTTCGACATGAATCTCTGCTGAACTCGCCAAACTTTTTGCAGCTGTACATGTTGTACACTTCAAGAGCGTCGATAGATGTCATCATTTCGAAGTTGCCAAGCTCGAATTTGTCCTTTCCGCCGCGCGGCGTGATCGTGTCTTTGTGGTTCATCGAGAACACATGGAAGGGATACTGCATGACGGATCGAGTGTCGTAGGGCTTAGTTCAGGAATGCGAAACTTTCAGAAATAAATCAATTTTTGAAAAATAAAAAAAATAAGCTGTTTCATTCCCTTTCCGTTTGTAAATCCATAAATTGGTATTCGATTCCTTGAATTTTCGCGAACTGTGGCTCCATTCCAGGAAACACATTCTGCTCATGAATTCTTACATATTCGTCTCTATCAGGTCTCATGTGTTCGTGGAGGAATCCAAGGGCGTGCATGAACTCGTGTTGAATGGTACCTTTATTCATACAAGCTCTGAATTTCGGGTCTCTGTTTGTGCTGCAGTCTGGAGTTTCAAGTGACATTCGTTGCGCTCCTCCGACCATTCCAAGGCTTGACCAGCAGCCTTGATTGAAACCACCTGTTTGAGGATTGGCACACGTGATCTCAATGAAATTGTCGTGGTATTTCTTGTTCTCTGTATCGTCTTCGAATAAAATGCAACCTTGAATGTATGAAGACACGCTTTGAATCGAGTCAACAACGTAGGATCTCCATCTTTGCGGAAAGTTTTCGTTAAAGCGAAAAGGAACGATAGTCTGTCCATTCGAATTCGTGATATTCCATCGAGGTGCAATCGTGGCAGCGCCTCGAAGATCCATTCTACCGACCGCGGAAAAATCCGTTCTCCAGCTAGCCGCGCTTGTTCTTGTCATTTGCGAGATCTTTTCAACTTGGAAGGGCGTCAAAAACAGATCGTCGTTGATTCTTTGAAGGGGTGTTTCTTTCTTTGGATCAACCATTTCTATCGGGTCTAAAAGGGCGCTCCAGTTTAAAAGTTATGAAAAAACTCACATTTTCTGATTCGTCTGTTCACCATTCTTCTTAATTTGTTCGATCTCTGAGGCTCTTTCTTGACGAAATTGCCCTTGAACTGTCCATACTTTTCTGCTTCCGCCGCAAGAACAAAAACTGCGGCGAACAAGTTCCACATTTTCGTTCTCTTTTCTCAAGAGGAAACTGTTATTTTCACTCTGGAGCAGGGGTTGCTTCTCTTGCTTTTGAGTGAAAAGAAACGCGCGGGTAAATTTGAGGTAGCAATTTTAGAAGGAACGAAACAGGCGGGATGAGCCCCCCGGATCAGGTTATCAGCGCAGAGCTCACTCGGACAGAAATCAGAAAACTAATAGCAGAGTGGTTAATTCGCCGCTTATTACACAAAGCTCATCGCGGCATCAAAGCAGTTGTTGATGAAATCGTATTGAGTAATCAGCATCATGCTTCTCTAGAATGTTTTTTGTCAACCTTGAAAAAAGCAATGCTCATCCTCAGAAAAATGAGATTCCCGCTGGACTCGTACAAGCAGCTCGAAAATAGACTCGAAAAAATTGAAAATAACAAGGATTCCCCATTCAAGAACTTGTGGTTCATTTCAATTACTTCGCCGACTACCTTTCTTAAAACAACAACTTTTTGGTTTCATTATTCTGATGGTTTAAGAAAGTTCAAGGTACACAACTTTAATTAAAGCGAGTTTTTTAGAAAATAAATTAAGATAGCCAAATGCCAAAGAATAGGTACAACTGAAAACGACGCTGATGAAAAGGAAGAAGTTGTCCAAACGGAGTTTCCCATTGAAATCGAGTGCCGAGTTTACAAATGCCCTGCCCGTGCAACAATATTCGTAACTGACCTCAGCTTGATGAGAGGAACCAAGTTCAACGAAAAAGCTTCCAGGCGAGCTTTGATGCAAGCTTACTCGAGAGTCACGATGGAGAACACACAGCACACTTGCTCGCCTCTTTCACTCTCAACAGCTTTGACTTATTCAGTCAGGGATCATTTGATGGCAAGAGATGCCACTCCCATTGAACTGCAAGACGAAATAAACGACATGAAGGACTGCCCGAGACTCAATGAAATAGGAACCGATTTAGAATAAAAGAAAATTTTAGAGTAAAGAAAATTTGAAATCCGAAAAAAGGATTTGACGAGAAAGAATGCAATAGGACTTGCGCACACCGGGAAAAGAAAATAAACAAAGAAATTCAATCAAAATGGTACAGTTCCTGGGCAAAAGCGCAAAAACAAGCTGAAGAGTCGGCGTTGAAAAGAGGTACTCTTCCATGTTTTCAGTTTGGGTCAACACTTCTTAGTTTACGATAGTTCTGCGTCTTTTCTTTCGGGAATACCGTCTGAAGGCTGCCCCATGAGCGGAAGCAACAACTCGAAGAAAATGAAAATCGAAGAAGATGATTCTGATGATCCGGATCTGATCTCCACTTCTGAATTTTTCAGCATCGAGGAAGAAAATCAGGATTCGCAAGAATTCGACTTCGCTTCAGATATTTGGTAAGCCAACCTATTTATGCAAATGTTGATGATGATGATCACAAAGGTCTGAATCGACCAGTTCCACTCCTGCAGCTAACGATACGGAGAAGACGAAAGACCTGCAGACAATGATGGCTGAACTAAACGAATTGCTGCCAAAACGAGAATAACTTTTTCCATGCCACTTGCACAAATATTATTTTCCTTCAATAAATTTTTCTAGAAAAACTTTCGAGAACGAAAGCTCTTTTGACTCTTATCAAGTTGCTTGAAACGTGTGACATCTCTAGATTCTTGAGCAAGTCTGACTTTCGCTTTAAATTTCCCTCATTTTTTGCGAAGATGGGAGTCGTAGAACCGTACATAGAGATTGAAAAGCGTCTGGGAATAATCAGCAATACGCCGTGGGAAGGAATCCCTCATGAAAACATGGTGTTCATCACCAAATACGCGGTAGAAGAGATCGGTTTAGTGCAAAATACAATCTTTTGGTTTTGGTATCCCGATGGTCTCAGAAGGTTCTGGGTCGGTCCAAGCTTTCTCAAATTTATTCCTAAGCAATTTTATAGATTGGCCCTATCCAAGACAACAACCAGCCAGAAAATGTTAAATCAAATGAGTTCCCGATCGGGCTGCAATGCTTCTGCCCGACATGTGCGATCCGAGGAGTAATCTACATCACCGACGTTAATTTGAGAGGAAATAATAAGACTTATGCGAAAACTGGAGACTATTTGAAACCAGCCTATTACGACATCAACCATAAATACAATCTGAGATCGCTTTTCGAGTGTTACTCGCGAGCCAAGGTGTCCAGTGGTCTTCATTCTTGTCAAGCGCTTCCAATCAAAGATGGAGTCACTGCCTTGGTAAGAGATCACATCTTGTCGAAAAAAGAATCGCCTGTAACTATTGAACGGGAACTTGCAAGGATGCAGAACTGCCCAAGGATACTTCAAGCAGGGAGGGATCAGAAATGTATATTCTCATCTGAGTGATAAGGAAATACTGAGGAGTATTTGTTATTCAATATATCCCGGAAAGGCTTTGACGAAAATGAGATTCAGCGAATATTATATTTTCATGAAAATCGGCTCAAGAAACAGAAAGAGAAGGTTGACAAACCAAACATCATTCAAATTGGACCAGGAGTGCAATTTTATCGACCAATGGCGCCACAAAAAGTTTATTACACTAGCGGTTATACTGTAAAGACGGTCGGAGGACTAAACACGGGAATGTCTGGAGGGGTTCCGATGACGAGACCTATCACGTCCAGGGTTCCAAATTTGGCCAAAAATTTTTGAATTTGAGCGAGCGATGAGCACGGAGAATTGGCTAGTGAGTAATAAACCTCGCTTAAGCGTCGCTCAAACCTCGCTCGAGCGGCGCTCAAACCTCGCTCAAAAGTCGCTCAAACGTCGCTCCAAAGTCGCTCGGATCTCGCTCAAACCTCGCTCAGCTATCATATTTTTTTACCTTGAGCGAGCGAGCGACTGAGCGGTTCTCTATGAAAATCAGTTGAGTGAGCGGAGCGTGAGCGATCGCTCGCTCGCTCATCGCTCGCTCACGCTCAGATGTCGCTCAGCGCTCAGCCAGAATTGGAACCCTGATCACGTCACAACCACAGCATTATTCCCTGTCTCTGAATCTCATGGCACCTCCTAAGACACCAATAAGGTCCTCCTGGAAAAAGTAAGCTGAATTATAACAGTTGAGTAGTGGATCAATTCTTCAATCAATTCAAGGAAAACTGAAAGTACGGCTTCGAAATCAGGGAAAGAAGAGGACAAAAGTCCACCTCCCTTTGGTTCAAGGCAGAAGAAAAAGTAAGCAAAATAATGATCTCTTTAACTTGACAAATTAAAGAAAAGCGGAAAAAGCACGGACTAGATGGCCCTGTAAAGAAGATGAAAATTGGACACCAACGAATCGAATCCATCGAACGAGAAGCACCATCGTAGACGTCAAACAGGAACCAATTGATGAGACAACACAATCTACGGTATCAGAAAACCCACGCCGTCGAAGTCTCCGGAGTGCTTTTCGAAAACCGAAAAAAGCCATAGTCGATGATAAAGATAATGATGATGAGGTAGAAGAAGATGACGATGAGAATAACGATGAGGATGACGATGTTATTCTTGTTGAAAGTGATGTTCCATTCAGGTTTTCTTTCTCATTTTTATGCTGGTAAAATTGTTTTTAGCGATATTGCTTCTTCTTTGAAGACTCCTGTTCAAAACCAAAAGAATAAATCCGAACTTGTTAAAGAGCCACTGCCTTTGTCGGACGAAGATTCAATCAGTGACAGTTTGATTTACAACAGAACGCAAGATTGGATAAACACGCAAAACCCAAAGCTGTCACCAGAGAAAACTGCCACAGAAAGCGAGGACCCACCAGAAAAAGTCACACCAAAATTCGAGTAAGGTCAAATATTGCTTTCGAAAAACTATGAGTAACTTTTAAGTTCAACTTGGCGGAGCTCGGAAATTCACGAAGTTATTCACAATTTGAAGAAAAAACACTTCGAAAGGAAAAGAAGCCAAAATGTGGGCACTGGTGAGCTTCTACAGGAGGGATCAGCGATACAGCCAGATTCCGCAGTTCACAAGCTTCAAATCGAGGGTGCCAAGCGAAATCTATTGGACGACCGGGTGTTCTGCTCTGACATTTTCACTGAAGAAGAGATGAAGGGACGCAGGCCAACAGTTAGGAAAGCTCGATCGGTAATACATCCAACTAAATCCTGTTATTTATAAGTTTAAGGATTTCGCTGGAATAGAAAGAGTGAAGCGAAATCTTCTGAATGACAAAAACTTCTCCGACATTTACAAGCCTGAAGAGACAACTCCAGTGACCTCTGAGAAGTAAGCGAACTTCAAGTTCTGGAGGAATATAGAATTCTTAGGGCAGCTGACGAGGCAGAGACAAAGCTTTTGCCAGTATCTCTGAGAGAATCGGATATAAGTTCATCTACTCATCGACGGAGAAAACCAAGAATAATTACACCTCGAAAGAAGGATCCAAAAGACGATGTTGAGAAATCAGAAGATGCTCAAGATCCCGCGGTCGAAAGAAAGCCGAAAGGACGAAGTCGTCGAGTTGTGAAAAGCGCAGCAAGAATCCGGGAGAGTTTCAACCAGGGTCTTCAACAAACGAAGCTTCAGAAGCCGAACGATGAAACGAAGAAAGAGATCTTGACTTGGATTTCGAAATTGGGATGGGCCAGGAATTGGTGCGACGATGTCATCAAAGTTTTGGGAGGTAAGAATCCTGATCTCACATTTTTTACAAAAAAAATAAGAAATGAAAACGGCTCTGAAGAGTTTCCAACCCGCCAACTCCGATTCAAGTGACACTGAAATCGAAGAAAATAAAGCTGAAGGATTGGAGAAAAGCGACTTAGAAAACATGATGGACGAGTTTGATTCATTCTTGCAGACCTGATACTTTTCAATGCCGTGTTCTCTGTCACAAAATAAATTTTCGTTCAGAAACTCTATCTACTTGAGCCCTGCAAGATGTTCTTATAAACCTGCACGAAAGAAAAAAACACTTCTCAAATCAAGTTCTTTCTGAAAACGAAAGAAAATGACTTGCGAAAAGAGATTGAAGTAGGCAGAGTCGACAATTGTTTATTTACTTGGACTTCTTGGCCTTGAGCTTTCGGACGTAGAACTCGAGTTCTTTGCCTTCGAGGATGTAGCCGTCGCATCGGCCGCACTGTCCAGGTCGGGAGGAGACTCGGGCGAGGAGTCGACCTGAATGCGTTTTACAACGGCGCTAGAATTCGGTGTCTTACCTTGTCCGAACTGCTCGGAGAGGTTGGGGTTAACTTCAGCCTGCTTCTGTCGCTCGGTGAATTTGACCTGGGTGCTCTTGGATCGCTTGGAGATGTCGAGAGCGGCTTCTTCTTCGGCGGAGAGCTTGGCGTTCTTCTTTCGGCCAAGGGGAGTGGCATAGTGCGACTCGTACCACTAAATGACACAAGTCAGGCGCGGGACAAAACTTTTACAATTCATATCCCGCCAGTCGAGCGACTGGGGGAGTCTGATTTTCATCCAAAGAAGCACCGTACTCAGTGTTTAGCATTTGTTCAATGAGTGGCACAAGCGTTCTACCTGTCGGAATGGAGCGCAATCGACGGTGACGATGGCGCCCTTGACGAGGGTCTTGGTTCGGACCAACTCGTTGTTCGAGGCGTTGTAGACAACGTCGATGATTCGGCACTTTCGGGATACGGCCTCGGTAGCCCAGGAGAACGATCCCTAGAATGGAGGATGAGGGAAGGCTCGAAGAGTTATGAATTTACCTGGTCGAGTCGAAGTGCTCGGTACTTGGTGTTTCCACCTCGAGTTCGGACGTTATGAACTCGCTCAGGCTTGAGGGAGGTCATGGCCTGTGGCCGGGCCTTCAAGAAAGCTCGCTTCTTTCGGGTAATTGGCCGCTTGCCGCCGGTGGCACGGCGCTTGTGCATTGAGTCACGACTGACGCCCATTTCGAACTGAAAAAAGTAAAATTAAGAATCATTTTTTACGAAAATAGAACGATACTTTATAAAATATAAAATAAAGAAACAGTTTTTTCGAAGTCCGAGGTTAAGAAAACCAGTGAATGAAAATTTTCATTTGCGAAAAAGGCACTTGCAAAGTTTTAAGCGAAGTTTGTGGATATATGTTTTGAAAAGTGGTGCTAGAATGAAGCTAGGCGAAGGTCTTTGAGAAATTCTAGTAGTGCTTTGATTTGATTCCGAAAAGGTTGAACGTCGTATTCTGGCGAGGAACAGTCGCCCCTCTGTGCCTGCGTATGCTCGTTTGGCTGTGAAGGGGGACATTTCGCCAGTGCGCATTTTGGACGAGATCGGACATGTTCTTCCTTGAGGCGAGAGCGCTATTTTCAGTTCCAAATGCGCTGCGTTTCGGCGGATCCCGCGGTCCGAGTGGCTCCGGGAAATTCGAATTTTTATTCTTGTCGATCGCGGGAAGGGAGGTTTTCGAACTCGAATTCGTCGAATTGCTTGAAATTGAACCACCGGTTGATCCTTGATTTCTCATTTTGCTCCACGAGTTTGAGCGTTGAAAGAGCGCAGGTTCTTCGTGGCGTCGTTTTTCGCGAAAATCGTCGGTCAATCTGTTGCGCCGCGTTTTCGGCTTGTTGAAGCGAAAGAAGCCGTCGAAGATGACGAAGTTGTTGATTTGCGGAACGCTGCCGACAAGCGAGTAGTGCTTGCGGAGGAAACTTCTGAACTTGGAGCTGGGCCGATCGATAGCGAGTTGCGCTGGATGAAGAGACAAATCCTGCAGCATGAATTCGAAAAGCCGACGGCCGCAGCCTTGACGCTGGTGAGATTCGACGACGAAGAAGTCTAGCACGCAGACAGGACGGGTTTCTGACTGGTTGCCGTTACGGTCCATGATGAAAAGCGGCTAAAATGAATGGTTGGCTCTCAGAATTATTTTGCTTTTGAAATTACCTTGTAACCGAGTTTGATAAAACCGAGGACGAGATTCTCTTGTCTCAAAATGTAAATCGACTGTTGATCTCCAGCCGTCATTTGAAGAAAACTCGTGATGGACGACCCAAGACCTTGAGCGTCCGCTGATTTCTTTCCCAGACGATCTGAAATTTACTTTACCAAATGACTAGCAAAAGACTGTCTCACCAATGATAAGCTGAATCTTCTCGGCCTTGGTGTACTGGATTGTTGTATTTCTTCTCTCGTAAGCGGAATGGTACCTCCTCGGCATTGAATAGTTCAAACGGGTTATTTCTTCTTGTCGAAAAGGCGTGATTTCTCGGGGAAGAACATCCAAAACGTCGAAACCCAACTCCATTTTCGAACTCCAAATTCGATTATTTTCCGTCTAGAAATCAAAGACTGTAATTATTTGTCCATCTAAGAAACTGTCTCATACAGGAATTCTGCTCTGAGATCGACAAGAGGATTTTAGATAAAAAGAAGTCGAGTAAATGAAACAGTAAGAAAATTTAACGAATCATGAATTACACATGTGATTAATTAAATTAAATGAAATTTACAGTAACTAGAACTCATTCGTATTATGAAGATTTGAGCATTTTTTTACAAACTAAAAAGGTTCCCCGAGAGAAAAACTACGAAAAGACCCATCAAGCAATTTTTGGCACCTCCTCGTCTTCTGAAAAGATCTCTAATCGTCCGTAAATGACTCTAGAACGTTTCTAGCACCGTCAGGTGTTCGTAAATTCTCTGGAAATCTTTCTAAACGTGGTAAAGTTGATTGGGTCTTACGATTGGGCGCAAAGCTAAAGCAGTGACGCGCTCGGCCAATCACACGCGGAGAAGCACCCACGCGCGACGCATTTCGCGACGCAAATTTCTCGAAACGCGCTGATCTCCGGAAAATCAGATATTCTGATACCTTCTCTGCTCTAGAAAAATGACTTTCTGAAGAGGAAAATCGCGTTTCGTTTAAAATGCCAAAAAGTGAAAAATCTAGTTTTTAAAATTTATTTATTTTTGAACTCTCTGTCTTTTTCTGTTTATTTAATTTATTATGTCCCAAAGGAAGGATAAAAACCGTTCGTTTCATGAAAATTTGCTCGCAGTTGGGATTCGTCAAAAAATTATTATTTTCTGAAGGAAGTCACGTGTTTAATTCTGTATCACTACAATCTGACGATTTTAACATTGAAAATGGCCAGTGAGAGAGAATCGGAGATACCGGTTGATACGATATAAAAGCGGGAGAGTGGAATGTTTCTAGATGAAAAAATGAAAATTCAAATTGGCGATTTAGTCAAATGAAATCGAGTTCGACAAATTTGCTCTTCACTTGAGCTTTTTCGAGAAAAAAATGCCCTTTCGTCAAACTTCGAACCTTCCGATAAAACCCGTCAAAAGATCGGAAGGAGAGCTGACCGCGATCTTACAATTTATAAGAGAGAAGGAAGAGTTCGGGCAGTGGCGGAAAGTTGAGCTGGAAAAGATCGTCAACGAATGTCGCGAAAAGTGGAAAGAGCGAGATTTGCCGGGAGAATGCGAATTCGAGTTTCAGGAGTTTTTTCTTCACGGAAAAGCGACGCAAATGGTCAGGTGTAGTCAAGAACAGTGCAGGGACAGAGAAGCTGTTTTGGATTTGAGGGGGAATGGAAGTTGGTACGACTTGAGGCCCATTTCCAGACATTTGAGGACTTGTCAAGTTAACAGCTTCAATCAGTAAGTTTTCGAGTCTTGAAGGGGAGATGTTCTTTCTCAGAATTTTCTTTCTGAGGGAAATCGTCGTAGATAACGGAATTACGCGTTACTTCATTCGGAAATTTTAGTTTCACTGATTTTTTCGATCCCTTTTTGACAGTTTTGTAAAAATAGAAATTCGCGAAAAGCAGATTACTCAAAATTGGATATGTTTTCTTCTGAGTGAGTATTTTAATTTTTTTTTTGATGATCTTCTTCTTTGATTTTTGTGATTTTGTTATTTGATTGAAAAATTTTCGAAGATTCAAATTTGATTCCAGCACCGTTTATATTATTTTCTTGAGTTTTTATCCGTTTTTACAGTCAACTGCAAGTGACCTTCGAAGTTGCGTTTAATTTGGACACGGTTTACAACTTGGACTTGTTCCAGAAAGGCTGGTATAAGATCAAGATCATTCCAATCAACGAAAAATGCGTCGAATGCATGAGACATCCCAGTGGCGCCCAGGAGAAAAACGCCGAATTCTCCCCTTGTTACATTCGTTATCGAAGAGAAGAGCGCAAAATTGGTAAAGAACGGGCTGGTAGAATTGATTGAAATTTCTGTTTAGCGGAGAACTGGTTATTTCGAATCCACCGGTTGGTTTCGTCGAAGCCTATTTTGGGCGATAATCCGCTCGAAATCGAGGCTGAATTTTCAATCGAACTCTGGTTTGGCGAAGACGACGGTGAGGAAGGTAGACTAGTTGCAGTGGAGACTGATTCGAGTACACTAGAATCACTTCGCTTTTCATTTTTTTTTATTTAAAATGATCAATTAAAATAGTTTGAAATTGATTTTTTTTTTGAAAAAATAAAAATTAAAATTTTTGAATTTCATTTCTACGGTGCCTTCATTTCTAATTACAAGAAAACCCAAACTGCAAAACTTGAAATTTCGCCATTTTTTCTGGTTCAGAAGCAGTTTCCACGCGCCGCCTGAATCTGGTCTTGAAGCCTACCCTTCACGACGTCTGCAATGTAACTTTCGATTATGGCTTTATGTTGAGTACGAGACTGGCTGTTCATGGAGCAATTACTATAATCAACCAGGTAGCTCCATTTACATTTAGTTTGTTTAGTCATCTTTCATTCCATCTTAGAAAAGTGACAGAGTCAGAAATTCGTTTCCATTAATTTCGGTAGTATTTTTATCAAATTCCTTTCCGTCGGAAAGTTTCCGAGTTGCTGAATGCTAAATTAAAATTCCAACTGAAGGATTTTCCTGGAATTTTTTTTTGCAGAAGAAAACGATCTCGTTCAGTCGTTTTCTTAGGTCTCGAGTGGGCACTTACTATGGGGTTTTATGGGGCTGAGGCTGTGTTTGATTCGTGCAGGCACCAAATATTATCTTACTGGCTGACAGCCTCCATATTGCCCATAGAAATATGCCCACCCTAATTGTTATATAGTGAAAAATTTTTCAGAAAAACCTTCTTCAAATGCTAAATTTCTAGCCTTACAGTCGAGAACTGATAGTGGACGAAGAACCAAATCGTCTGGAAAAAGCGCTTCTGAATCGAGCCGAAATCGAAAACAGCGAAATGAACGAAGAACAACTTTTTTCATTTATTTGCTCGGGACAGCTGAGGATCATCCGGCAGCTCCATCGGACAATCAAAGGTTCTTATTTCTCTAAAAATGATGATTAAGTTTTCTTTTCAAGCACTGAAAGAAGCTACGCGGCTGGCCCAGCGCGTGAGCGACAAAAATCCGCCGAAAATCGAAAGCGAAGAAGAAATCCTAGCCGACGACAAAAAGTATTTAGACAACGTCGTCGACAAAACCGCAAAACTGCCAAAGAAGCCAAATGAAAACGCATCTCTTCAGGAGAAAAAAGCTTATTCCGATCAACAGGAGAAAATTCGAGCTGACATCATCAATCAAGTAAGTTAAAAAAGCGCCCTTTTGAAGGGTTAACGCTCTTTAGATTCAAGTAAATCTGGCGAAAAGCAGCTCGAAAGTGATGAATGTGTGGAAGGACTTTCTCGATGTTTATTTAAAAGACAGGAGTTGGAAGAGAGAGCTTTCGGTGAAAAATCGTGGCCTGAGAATGGAAAGATATCTCGGCGGCGCGCTATCGTTTATGAACATCGTCAAGCTCAGCAAAAATAAACACACGCGTAAGATTTATTAATTAAAAAAAAAGCAATGGATAATTATTTTATACTTTCAGTGGAGTATTACGACCAGCTACGGGATAAAATGCTGGCTTCGACGTTCTGGGCGCATTTGCCGCGTCCGCCCGTTTTGGTTCAAGAAACGGACGGATTCAATTCAGACTTGCCGATCATTATTCGAGATTGTTACGAAAAAGACCCTTCAGTTGGAACGACGCCGGTTTCGATGGAAGACTTGGTTATTAACGACGTTTTTGATCACAGCAAAGTGAATTACGACGTCGTGGACAAGTTTATTTCGAGCAGGAGGAATCCAAACGACGTAGAATTTGAAAAAGAAGAATTACGAATCGCCCATTTGTCGACTTTTGAACCGAGGAATCATTCCTTTATTGCCCAGAGACAGAAAAACATAAGAGACATAAATGTTCAAGGTACGAAATCGACGAAAATCTATCCAATGTCTCCAGATGTCTAAAAGATGTCAAGAATGATCTAAAAATGACTAAATATTGCATGAAAATTTCAGGATGTAGGGCGCGTAGGGTCTGCATGCAGACCCCGGGTCTGCAAAATGCAGACCGCGGGTCTGCACATGAAAAAAATTTATCAGAATTTTACATTAAACAGGCGCTTTGGTGCGCTTCGCGCTTGATCTTAGAGAAAACTTCATCTTTGAACATTTCTAAATCAAAACGGGCCAAACGAGCCAAAATTTTGTTCGTCAATGCAGACTCCGGGTCTGCATTTGCAGACCCCGGGTCTGGCAGACCCTACGCGCCCGACATCCAAATTTCATTAGATTTCTTCAGATGTCTATAGATGTCCAGAGATGTCGATTTACCCTGATTTAGGTGAATTTATCCGTCCAGTCAGCAACGTTCTCGCTGCAAAAGAATCGCATCTGATAATCATGCTCCACGGCCTTGAAGGAAACTCAAACGACCTCCGACTCTGGAAAACCAGCATTGAGCAGCTGTATCCTTTGGCCCACTTTGAGTACCTTCTCTGCCAGTCGAATCACAATCTAACGCAAGAGACTTTCGAAGAACAGGGCAAACGAATCACCGAAGAAGTGTCCGAATTCCTCCTGGCCAAGGAAGTGCTGCCGCAGAAGATCTCCTGGGTCGGGCACAGCATGGGCGCTTTACTCGTCAGAATCGCTGCCAATTCCGCCAAATTGGAACCCTTTCAGCCGCTTTTTGAAGATTTCGTTTCTCTCTGCGGCCCACACACGGGACTGTACTACATGGACTCGGCCGTCGTCGGAGCTGGTCTCTGGCTTTATGAAAAGTGGAAGAAGGCGGCCAGTCTCAAGCAATTAGCTCTCAGAGGTAATTTTAGATCATAAATTAATAAAATAATTACATTTGTTCAGACGCTAGCCAAGTCTCCGAAACATCAATTTTCAAAATGGCTTCAAACTGCCCGTTGAGCGTTTTCAAGCGCGTTTTACTCGTCAGCGCGGCAGGAGATCGCTACGTTTCGCCCCACAGCGCGCGAATCGACACTCCCAAATCCGCCTTTCTCGACAAAGTGGCCGGCCCGTCGAATATTCTTCTGACGGAAACGCTGCAAAAGAAACTGGAAGTCAACAAAACGATTGTTGAGCGATACCACGTCTTTCACCAAAATCTACCTCAAGGTAAATTCATTCCTCCTTATCACCTGAAGCTTTTTTTGTTCAGATACGGCGACGAAAGTAATCGGTCGCGCCGCGCACATAGCTGTTCTAGACTCTCAAGTATTCATTTCTGCATTTCTCGTCGCTTCACGCGCCTTCAACTCTGGCCACGGCAAAAACGCTTTATAACGTCAAATTTTTTAATCTGTATTTTTCTACTTATCAAACTTCTTTATTTCTATCTAATAAACCTAATCCACCATTTTCATTCAATTCTCCATTGAAAATATTCTTCTTTTCAAATTCCAAAAGTTCCTAATTCAATTTCTCTCTTCGTCTTTTTTAATGTCAAATAGAGTTCTTTTAATTCAATCAAACTTTAAACCTAATCCTAAACAACCAAACATGATCAAAGGAAGCATGTATTTATTACAGTGACGCGCTTTTTTTAAGGTTGGGCAAGTTATTTCACCCACTTTTTGCCTTTAAACCCTGGAACACCATACATATTTGGAATCAGCAGGAGATTTTAAGAACTTTGACCGTTTTAGTTTCCAAAATTTCCACTTCCGGTCCGATTCTAGAGCCGGAAGTTGACGAAATTTTTGAGTTTGGGCAACTTATGACCTATCAAATTGATGCTCAGAAAATTTTGAGTAAACTCATCTTAAAATCATTCAAAAAAACCGTCCCAACCGCAGTCAAACCGACCGGCAAAACTAGGAAAAAAGGCATAAATTTCTGATTTTTCTTTCAGTTTTTAGCGGTTGATTTGACCGCGGTCGGCATCGATTCTTCTCTCAGATGATAGGAAATCTTCTGAGAATCAATTTGATAGGTCACAAGTTGGCCAAATTCAAAAATTTCGTCAACTTCCGGCTCTAGAATCGGACCGGAAGTGGAAATTTTGGAAATTAAAACGGTCAAAGTTCTTAAAGTTTCCTGCTGATTCCGAATATGTATGGTGTTCCAGGGTTTAAAATTAAGAAGTGGGTGAAATAACTTGCCCAACCTTAAAAAAAGCGCGTCAGTATTATTATCAGTACTTTATTTTTTAATTCCAGTTACACAAACTTACAACGCCAACTTCACTCATCAAAAACAGGAAGAAAAAGTTAACTTCTGAAATTTTTAATAAACAAAATGAAACTCACCATTTTGATCAACACGTAATCAAACCAAAATATTATTATTCCTCCATTTTCACGAGAAAATTTAAGAAATGAGAGTCAAGATAAAAGGATGAGAAATTGCTTTTTATTCTTTCTTTCGTTGGTGAGCTCGGTACCGGAGGTTTTCTACAAGCTTTTTCACCAAACTTCGTTGACTCAATGTACTTTCTACGAAGATCAGTCTTTTAATTCTATCGTCGAATATCTGGGTACTGCGAAAATACAATAGTTAAATATTTATCTTGAGTTCAGCTGCGCCTCGACCTCCACCAGGATGTTCCTCAAAAGGGTCAACAACGACAACGATCATTACTCCAACAGGGCTACATAACCATTTGAAAGAAGCTTCCAAGACGAAATGCACGCTCGTCATGTTTTTCTCATCCAGTTGTCATTTTAGGTGAGCAAAGTTTTATTAGAAATGGATGAATACAGAATTGAGTTAAACGTTTTGGCTTTCAATTTGATACTATTCCCCATCCGGTTCAGGATTTTGTAAGTCTCTTTGCGGCGGAGTTTCGCCAGGAAATAAATTCGGCAAAAACTGTCTGAGCTTTTCGGGGTCTTCTTTGACTGCTGGCCCGCCGAAAAAGATGAAAAGGTCCTCCATATTGTCCAATTTGTACATGATCAGAGCAGAGTTCCAAAAAACGCAAAATTCTCGCGTGCGCGTGCGTGCGCGTGCGGAGAAATTTAGAATTTCGCGTGCGCGTGCGTGCGCGTGCGGAGACGACTTTCGAACACGCGTGCACACGCGTGCGCACGCGTGCGTGATCGTGCGCGTGCGCAAAAAGGGATAAAATTGCCAAATCTGACCAATTTTTGGCATCTCTAATTTTATGCATTGAAATTGACTCTAGAAATTTTTTCGGCATAAATAACATAAAAACGCCAAATTTTCTAGGATTTCGAGCACGCGCACGATCACGCACGCGTGCGCAATCTCAATCTTCGCGTGCGCGTGCGTGCGCGTGCGCACAAATTTTCAAAATCTGCGTGCGAGTGCGTGCGCGTGCGCACGCACGCAAACACGCGCACGCGTGCGCACGGACGCACGCGTGTTTTGGAACTCTGGATCAGAGAGTCGTTCCTAAGAATATATATTTTTCCGCGAAGAATTTTAAGCAACTAGAGGGACCCCACTGTACATGCATGCTTTGAAAATTTCCGCTCGGACGACAGGAATCTTTTCTGGATGAATTGGCATAACTTCGATCTGGGTTTCTAAAGCAGCGTCAATGGTTTATCCCATTTCTCAAAACCCGAGCCTGTCATCATCGTCTTTCGCTTTATATTATTGACCACAGTATCGACATAAGTAAAGCCTTCTCCTTTTTGAATGGATTCATAAAACTCTTCTGGCGTCTCCATCTTTTTTCAATTTTTTTGAACTTCCCGTATTTTCGAAAATTCGATGACAACTACCATTTGTTCTAGAAATACTCAGTTACTCTTTTCAGTATGCGACTGTCTCCAATTTACAACCGCGTTGCGATCGGCTATCCAAATGGTCTCCTGATCGCTGGGGTCGAGATAGAGCGAAGCTGGGTGGCTGAGCTGAGTCCTGGTCCAGCGGAATTCGGTGTTTTAGGCACACCGACTGTTATCTTGTTCCAGGGAAGGAAAGAAATAGCGAGATACAACAACTCGGACCCCAATTTCCAGCAGTTCAACAACTGGCTCCACAAGCACTCTAAACTGCCTCTTTACGAAATCAAGGAAGAAGAACTCAAGGAAGATTCAATTCCTTCTGAGCCGATTCCGACCGAGCTGACGAAGCCCTTTCCATACGGTGTTTGGATAAGCTACCTCTCACTAGCGCTCGTGATTTTTGTGAGGAAATGCTTTCCGCAAACTGTGTGAAAAAAGAAGCATCTTCAAAAATCGAATGTGTCAAATCGTGTTTCGTTCGTTTTCGTCATTTTTGTAAATAAAACTCGCTGTGAACATAAAATACTGAAAGAATCGAAAATTTAATAGTCATTTTTGAAGAGAATTTGAAAGAATGTCGGGCGAGGATATTTTGGTGACGCGATTTCGCGAGTACATTCGTGTCAATACGATGCAGCCGAATCCAGATTACAAAAAGGCGGAAGAGTTTATTAAAAAGTACGGCGATGAGTTTGGCTTAGGTTCCGGTTACAGAAAGAGGTCATCAAAGATACAAAGCCTTATTCTCGATCTACTCAAGTTCTTTTTTTTAACCGACGATAAGAATTTTCGAAGCACGAATGCGTCGAAGGCAAGCCATGCATCGTTTTGACTTGGAAAGGAAGCGAACCTCCTCTCCCCTCGATTCTGTTAAACTCGCATATTGACGTTGTCCCGGTATTTCCGTCTCAATGGGATCACGAGCCTTTTTCCGCTCACAAAACGGACGATGGTTGGATTTACGGGCGCGGCACTCAAGATATGAAATGCGTCGGAATTTGGTATATGGAGGCGATTCGAGTGCTCAAAAAACAGGTTCTTCTGTTGAAAAAATCATTATATAATTGTAAATGCTGCTATTTTCTTAATCGATTGTATTCACTTAATCTTTAGAATTTCACGCCGAAACGAACAATTCACGTTCTTTGGGTTCCTGATGAAGAAATCGGCGGCCACGACGGAATGGAGCTTTTGATCAAAACCGACTTTTGGAAGAATCTTAACGTCGGATTCGCACTCGACGAAGGGCTTGCCAATCCAGGGCCAGAATACATGCTCTACTACTCCGAACGAATTCCCTGGTGGATCGAGGTTACAGTCAAGGGACAGCCTGGACATGGGTCGCAGTTTTTGCATGAGACAGTCGGGGAGAAACTCAACAAGGTTGTCCAGAGTTTTATGCAATTCAGACAAGGAAGGCTTTTAAAAATGATACTTTTATTGATTCATTTATGCTCCAAGTAAATCCAATGGGAGACCGATTTGTTTAAAAGCCGCCTAAGAAAACAAATCGAAAATGGAAGCTGGAAATCTTCCTATCGGCGAAGTAACAACTACGAATCTGACAATGCTTGAAGGAGGAGTTCAATACAACGTCATTCCGGACAAACTCAAGGTTGGCTTCGACATGCGAATCACTCCAACAACCGACCTCGTCGAACTCGAAGAAAAAATGAACACCTGGTGCAGAGATGCTTGCGGCAACGATTACGAGATCAAATTCATTCAAAAATTCACGGACCCGAACATTACTTGCGTCGAAGCTGGGGACAAGTGGTGGGACGCGTTTTCCTCCGTTGTTGAAGGAGAATGCAACGCAAAGTTGATCAAGACTATTTTCCCAGGTGAAGAAAAAAAAATAAATACTCAACTTTCCAACAATACGAATTCTAGCTGCAACTGATGGAAGATACGTTCGCTCGTGCAAGATCCCTGTCTTGGGATTCTCGCCCATCAAAAACCATCCGATTCTTCTGCACGACCACAACGAACGAATCCATGAGTCCTGCCTTCTCGAAGGTCGAGAAATCTATGAAAAACTCATTCCCAAACTCGCTTCTGTCGAGTAACCCTTCGAAAAGAAGGACTTTTCAGCCACTTTTCTCCACTGTTCAATTTTGATTTTTCCGATTCTCAGTAGCCCAATGAATGATTGAAACTCTTTGATTAACGTAGCTTCTTCAATACTTTCAACTTGATTTCTTATTCAGTTCAACGCGTTTTTGACAATTCTTTCCTTCATGTTTTAACTTTCAGAAAATGGAACTGATTCCGTGCCATTTCTATGAAGACGGACAGCGAAAAGACGGAACTCTCCAGGTTTGCTCTTTCTCCCAGTTATCTTTATCAAAATCGCATTTAGCTTGACGAGAACCATTTAGTTTTCCAAGTCGGTCGAAGCCGCGAAAAGACCAAACTCGCCTATCAAATGATCAAACTCGCGCAACAAGACGATCAACAACGACTCATCTCTCAAATCGACATCATTACTAAAAGCTTCAAAAAGTTCACACTAGACGTCAGTCCTGCTCCTTTAGGAATGGGTGGATGCGATTTCTTTTTCTTTATTTCAGTTTTCATTCAAATTTTAATCAAGTGATTCAACAGAAAGTTGGCGGCTAAGATTGATGTGGTAATCGAGCAATTGTTTTCGCCGTTTTTTGCTGTCGTACTTAATAATTTTTCGTGGTTTTTCTTTTTCCGGCTTTTGTGGCTCGTTTTCTACGTTGTTTTCAATTTCAAAATCGATAGGGAACTCGAGTTTCGGTGGATTTTCTTTCTTCTTCTGCGCTTTTTCTCGGTTCAATTCTTGCTGCCACTTTGGCGTTCCGTAATTGTAGAAAGTCGGACAGCCGTACTGGTCGAAATGGGGAGACCATTCGTCAGTTATAGGCACCCGAATGACTCCCACTCGTGGCAACTCCGACTTTGCCTCTTGATTTTCAGTATTCTCGTTGAGAGCATTGGTAGTTCCGATCGCCATTGCTTCCATCGACTCTTCAAGGATACTTTCTTTAAGTATAATCTTCCGCTCTTTTTGGTTGATCAATTGCTCTTCTTTTGGTGTTCCTGTGTTGAAAAATGGTGCAGGGCCGGGTATTTGATCGAAGCCAGCTGCATGAACGTTCGAATATTGATCGCCCTCGTTGGTTGAGCAGTGGGTGGTATTTTCGATACGGGCCAGAATTCGAGCAACATTTTCATGATTTCCTTTTTGGCGACTTCGAGTGCGGACTCGTTTCTCTGTTGAGTTAATCAAGCTAACAAGAGGCATCTGCACTTCCAAGGCGATTCCGTAGTATCGCCCGTAGCATTCCTTCTTTACAAAGTTTAGTGTAGCCTCCATTTCTATCTAGACTTACGATTACGTCAGAATGGTCATCGAGAAAGTCCGGATCGCTAATTCCGGAGTACCCAAAGCCAGTAACAGTCGCCCGTAAATCTTCGCCAATAACATCGTGAAACAGCTGGATGACTGTGTTCTCACTTGCACCGTTTTTCTCGAGCAAGAGAATGGCCCGCAATCTTTGCAAAAATTCGCTCTTTTCACTCTTCATTTTTGCGTTTGCAACTTAAGAATGATTTTTACCCCTTCACTTCTTTTTATACCCGCTTAAAAAATCTTGATCTTTCAAAAGCAGTATCGGGCGATCAGAGCTAAACTGAACCACTTGAACTTCATCGCGAACTTTCCTTATCAATTTCAAGCAATACGAAAATATCGTACCACCCAAATAAGGAACAATACTAACTCGCGTCAATTCACGTAGCAAAGCTCCTTCTCTGCGCGAACTTCCTGCCTTCAAAACCAAAGAACCTGTTACAGTCGAAGAATGGGACGAGTTCACTTTAGAAACAGAATACGCCATGATGAAGTTGCCAAACAACGAATGGAAAATCACCGATCTCAACAAGAATTTCGGGCTGTGTTCAACCTATCCAAAAGTGCTCGCCGTTCCGACTACGGCCACTGATTTTATAATTCAAGGCTCGGCCAAGTTCCGCTCTAGACAGCGATTGCCGATTCTTACCTATCTGCACGGCTCAAACGGGGGATCTATTGTCAGATGCGCTCAGCCGATGGCCGGGGCAAACAACAGATCAGAAATGGTGAATTAAAATTTTTCTTATCCAAACTAACGCATTTCAAAGGACGAGAAACTACTAGAACTGTGCGTGGACACGAGCAGAAGTCGCTCAAACGGGCTGATTGTAGACACACGACCAATGATCAACGCAATGGCGAATCGAGCCCAAGGAAAAGGATACGAAAACGTTGAACACTACCAAAAATGCTCCTTCGAATTCCACGGCATTGAAAACATCCATGTGATGCGCAAGAGTCTCGAGAGTTTGGAGCAGAAAGGTTGGCTCTCTTCCGACTGGCTCAAGCATATTTATGCGGTGCTGGATGTTTCGAACACGGTGAAGAAGGTGGTTCAAGAGGGAAGAACCGTTTTTGTCCATTGCTCTGATGGATGGGACAGGACTTCGCAAGTTTGTGCGGGTAAAAAAAAACTCTTTTCTTATTTTAAAATAATCCATCTTAAAAAGGCGCTGCTCTGATGCTCTGCCCTCGGTACAGAACATTCTCCGGTTTCCTGTCTCTCATCCATAAAGACTGGATTTCCTTCGGTCACAAATGTGCAGATCGACTAAATCTTTCCAGAGAAAACAGCGACGGAGAAGCGTCTCCAATCTTCCTCCAGTTTCTCGAGTTCGTTTACCAATTGATGCAGCAGTTCCCGCAGTCCTTCGAGTTCACTTCTTCGTTTTTGATTGAAATTTATGAAAAGGCGATTTCTTGTAGTTTTGGCGACTTCTGTGGAAATTCGATAAAGCAACGGTAATTGTAAACGTTCGATATTCAGCTGCTCAACATTTTTAATTAGAGAAGAACTTGGTGTTTTCAAGCTCACGAAATGTCTCCTCACGCATCTTTCAAAGAACAGGGAACAGTTTCGAAACCATCTTTACGAAGAATACCCGTAAGATCTCATTTCCCAGCGGAAAAAACTAGCGATCGTTTTCAGAGGAGTGCTGGAGCCAGAAGTAGACATGTGCTTCATTAAATTCTGGAGCGAGATGTACCACGCCGTGCGAGGAAATTTGGTCAATGACGCGATCGAGCGACTAGTTCACGAAAACGATTCTTTACGAGAAACAGTAAAAATGCTAGAAGAAGCGGTAAATGGTGGACCTTCAACAAAAGACCCAGAACCGGAGAAAAACGGCGTGAAAAATATCGAAAATGTTCCGCCTCCGATAAAAAAGAGCACCTCAGGACTTTTAGGGCCATTATAGCCCTAGACAAAGAAACTCTTTTTCAAAACAGCATTTCAATTCCTTCTTCATTGTATTTTTCTTTCGAGCTCCGTTCAACTCAAACTTATCTAAAAATTTATTTTAAAAAACGGAGCTATTCTGTGCCAAAGATCATTTTCCTTTTTTCCTTCTTCCTGTGCAATTGTTCATCAAAAACTTTGAAATTTTGAAATGACCATTCGCCTAATTTCAAAAGAAAAGCTCAAAATTTCAATTCAACCCTCAAATTTTGTTTTCTAGAAATTTGTGTTTTGGTATCAGAGTTTCGCTTATCAACTCACTGAGGTGAACTCTTTATTGGCTCCAAGCCAAATATTATAGCGCCTACACGTGGCTCCGCCCATTTCAATGGCATTCTGAGTTTGCTTCAGAAGAAACAAGAGCAGTCACTTTTTACTTACCATGGCTTCCGTACGTAGCCTATATCTCTATATTATTATATAAATCACTTCATTAATTATGCTATTAATATTTTATAAAGAGATCAATTCAGAAGCTTGTCAGGAGAAATCTCCTTTTCGCGCCTCAAAAACGAACTTTAAAATCTTCGGCTCTTCGCTCCTCCATTCCTTGGCTTCGAAAATCGACTCCTTCGCTCAACTGGGGCTACAACGGATCCGAATGCGACCCAGAAGATTGGCCGAACGAGTACCAATGCGGCAACTGCCAGTCGCCAATCGACATTGACTTGAGCAAAGTGACGTACTCTTCCGAGCTGACTCCCTTAGGAAACGCGTGGTTAATCAGCCGCGAATTATGTTTTTAATAAGAATGAGTTGTTTTTAATCCGCGATAGAATACTCTTACCCAGACAAGTTCAAATACATGGTCAACGATGGAAAGAATATCAGAATTCATTGGCGAGGAGAAACAGCTCTTTCTGGAGGACCGCTGAAGGGAACTTACGAACTCGTGCAGCTGCACTTTCACTGGGGATCAGGAACGCAGTTTAACAAATTGATAATGAATATAATATTTATACAATTATAAATAATACTCAATTTTATTCCTCTTTTAAAACTCCGAAAAAGCGGTCGGAAAAGGAGCTGAGCATCTCGTGAACGGAGAATCAGTCGAGGGAGAAGCTCATCTGGTCCACTGGAATCCGAAGTATGGTTCGATCCGCGAAGCTCTCAACCACCAAGATGGATGTGCTGTCGTCGGCGTTTTCCTGAAAGAAGCAAAAACTGACGCTGAAAGCCCACTTTCCCCCATTTTGAAGCGTTTTCCCACCCTTTCCAAGTTCAATGAGAAGTACACCTTCGAGAACGACGTTTTCAACGTCGGCGACTTGATTCCAAAAGGATCCGAGTTCATTTGCTACGACGGTGGTCTGACTACGCCGCCGCTGACGGAGTGCGTCCAGTGGATCGTCAATCTGGAGCCACTCGTTGTTTCAAAAGAAGAAATGGACGTTTTCAGAAGTCTGGAAGGCTCTTTCGGCCACAATTTCATCGACAACTTCCGCCCTTGCCAGCCGGTTGGCAATCGAGTCGTCTCGTCCTCCTTCGAGCCTGAAAAGTGAAGAAAAAATAAAGAAAAAAAGGTGTCTGTCTGTTTTTGAAGTTCATTAATTTTGAAAAAAGCCAATCGTGGAAATCGTTAAAAATAACTATTACTAGATTACACATAAATTAAACAAATGCTCTAATGTTCCTTTTTTCTTCTCTTAGAAAATTTTAAAGCTAAAAGTCCTGACTAGCTTTTCTGATTGTTCTGTTTGAAAATTCGAAGAGATGAATAAATATATTCCTTTTTAAAGTTACTTTTTGATCAAAAAGATTTTGGTCATAAAAACTGTTTTTGTCATTTTTTGCAGGCTGAGCATAATTTTCACGGATCGCTTGATTTTCAGTCAGTAGGTGACTCATTCCAGCATTCGAACTTCTCCCAAGGCAATGTTTGGTATTATGTGAGTGACTGTTAGCTCACTCGTAAACGGCGATATTTGAGATTTTGCGGAGAGAACAGTCGCCGAAGCCAAAAAGAGAAAAGTGGCGGCGATGCTCCTCTTTTCGTCCTTTTTCGCCGCGTTTCTAGCGGCAGAAACAAGTAGACCGAATGTCATTTTGATTCTTGCCGATGATCTTGGCTTCAATGATATGCCTTGGAATAATCCAGGAAGGGGTTTTTCCAACGGGTTAAAACTTTATCTGAGAAATTTTAAAATCACATAAAAAAGACATTATCGCCCCGAATCTCCATGCTCTCGCCAAAAACGGGACGATTTTGAGCAATTTTTACGTCCAACCAGTCTGCACTCCTTCGCGATCTGCTCTGATGACCTCCAGGAATGAGCTTTTTAATTTTTCAATAAAAAATCTGACAAATTAGGTATCCAATTCGACTCGGTCTTCAGACAGATGTGATAACAGCACCGCAGCCTTCTTGTCTTCCGTTAGACGAAGAAACAATCGGCAACGAGTTTCAAAAGGCCGGCTATTCAACCCACATAGGTAAATTCTGAAAAAAAGCTCATGAAAAGATACCCAATTCGTCTCGGCTTGCAAACTTCCGTGATAACAGCTCCGCAACCGTCGTGCCTCCCACTGGACGAGGTCACTTTCGGGGATGAAATGCGACTCGCTGGATATCACACACATATCGGTTTTTAACTAGCTATAAATAGAAATATTGGGCGATCATTGAATGAGCTTTTTTGTTTTGTTCTTCAAAGTCAGGAGTTTTTTAATTCAGTGGGGAAGTGGCACCTCGGTCACTACTGTCCACAATGTCTTCCAAATAACCGAGGCTTCGACACTTTCCGTGGCTATTTAACTGGCGCTGAGGATTACTACAAGAAAACCTTTTGCATTCCGCTGATTCCGAGCCAACGGCCACCTGCTTGTGGCTTTGATTTTTACGATAATGAAGATCGAATGCCCCAAGCGAATGGAACGTATTCAACTTATCAGGTACTACTGAGTTGTTTTCATCTATCATCCAAAATTTCTAGTTTTCTGATGCTTCCCGCGAAGTGATTAAGAATCACCAAGGCTCAAAAAATCCCTTCTTTCTGTACCTCCCTTTCCAGTCCGTACACTATCCTGTCATGGTTCCTAAAAACTACTCGGATCTGTACCCCAACGAGAAGAACCACACGCGCAAGGAATACATGGGCATGGTGACGGCGATGGACGAAGCTGTTGGGCACATCGTCGACGAACTCAAATCAGTTGGAGCTTACGAAAATACTTTGTTTTTCTACGCGACGGATAATGGAGGACTCGTCGGCGCTGGTGGTAGAAACGCGCCCTTCAGAGGGCAAAAAGCTACTCTTTGGCAAGGTGGATTGAGAGTTCCTTCGTTTATTACAGGCCCCGGAGTGCCCGCTGGAGCTGATTATAAGAACATGATGCACATTGTCGACGTCCAAATGACTTTGTTGGAAGCGATTGGTCACCAACGAAGCGGGGAAAAGCATGTTGATGGAGTTTCTCACTGGTCGGCGATTACGACTACCAGTTCAGAAGAAAGAGAAAGTTTCGAATTACTGAGAAGAAAACGAGAAAAGACGTACTCGGAAGTAGAAGAGAGAATTCAGAAGAAACTTACTGTCGCAAAGAAACCTAGAACAGAAATTCTGGCTCGGATTTGAAACAAGTCAAACTAAATCATTTTTGAGACTTATAAAAATTCGAGGGACAAGTTGAACATTGATCACTTTTACTTGCGAGCCAACAACGGGCTCGGTCCTGATCCCCAAAATCTTTCTTATTACGAGAATCCATTTTTCAACACCAGGAAACATTTGAAAATCTGACAATAGCTAAACATTGACCGGGAGTATGATCGAGGCTACTCTCCTGACCCGATTAATTTTACCCACTATGAGAACCCATTTTTCGATACAAGGTAGTGTTAAAAATGATATGTGTGTGATACTATTTTAATCTGGTAACTGTCGGCGCTTTTCGATCAGCTGGGCTAAATCAGTTTTTCAAGTTTTTAAAGCATCCACGCAGCGATTGTGAGCGAACTTGATGGGGTCACATGGAAATTGTTGACTGGAGATCCTGGTTGCGAACTTTACGATTTTCCTTGCCACGCGGATCACAAACTGCCGAATCCCTTCCCCAGTGTTTGGCTTTTCAAGTAAGTTTTCCAATATTCATAGCATAATTGCATGTTTCTTCTAGCTTGGATACAGACCCCTACGAGAAAAACAATATCTTTGAAGAAAACAAAGACATCGTCTGGATGCTACTTGAAAAACTCGCGCAGTACGACGCTAATTCTGTTCCAACTTATTATCCTGACAGAGACCCTGCAGCTGACCCGGCAGCCCATGATGGCTGGTGGGGTCCGTGGAAGGCTGGGCCAAATAATTGGCCACGATAGAAGTACTTTTGTTGCGAATAAAATCCAGTTTCATCAGAGGAATAAAATGTGATTTAGTTTATTTAATAATTATTTTTGGGTCCGCGAAAGGCAGTGAGTATCAGCTCAAAAACTAGAAAAGACATGTTCTAACGTTTAATTCTTTATTTCTTCTGGGATTTCGTCGACAGCTTCCTTTTTGATTTTTTGATCCTCTTCAGAAGCCGCCAGATTCAAATCAGTCTTTTCCGCTCCTTTCTGAGAGTTTTGAAGAGTTCGCATTAGCTCCAAAATCTCCTGTGCATTTGTTGGTGTCTTTGCAGGAGCTGAAGGGATTGGAGACGCGGATCGGTTTTTGAATTGTTCAATCGGCACCTTATTTATGATTATGAGTCGAAGGTAATTTTTGGTGCAATACCTGGCCACTGAGAAGCTTTTGCAAGAGTGTCGTTTGTTCAGAATTTTGAAGGAGATGAGCAAGCGGATTCTTCTCTGAATCAAGCTGAGGTGAGCTAGAAACAGAGCCTGCTTGCTCGAGAAGTCTCTGCGTCTGTACCACTGCTGATGGAACAGGAACTGTCCCTCTCGGCACTTGAATTTTCGGCTGAAGCTTTGGGTACTTGTCAACGTTGAGTGATTTTCCGTCGTCGTTGAGGATCTTGTTTTCGGTGATGTGTTGCCGCTTTTTCGGAAGACGGAGCTTTGTTTCGTCCATTTTATCCCGAGACATTCCGACCTGAAAGGACCAATAAATATATTATAACGTACCCCCCCCCCCCTAGCTCGCTCACATTTTGTGAGCATTTTTCCCTTGCTCGCTTAGTTAAATTTTATCAAAGTCCCCTTGCTCGCTCTCATTCTTGTTTCAGCGCGCTCCATTAGTCGCCATCCTTCTTTTTACCTCGCGCGCCTCTTTTTAAAGCGTCCAGTTAAATTTTTATATCTTGTAGCAACGCTGTATTATGCCGTAAACTTGATAGTTTGACTTTATATGTACATTTATACTCAAAATAGTCGAATCTTCATGTTGACACTGGTTCCAGAGTTGCAAATTTGCTGAGCTGAGTGAGCTGAGCAGTCGCTCAGCTCAGTGATTTTGGAAAATTATCTGATCTGCTCAGCTCAGCTCAGACAATTTTCACTCAGCTCAGCTCAGCTCAGCTCCTTTATTTTCGAACATGATCTGTTCTGACCAAAAAACAGTAAAAAACAGCTCAGCTCAGCTCTAATTAGGGTCCGCTCCGCTCAGCTCAGCTCAACTCTCTTAAACAAAAGGTCTGCTCAGCTCAGCTCAGCTCAATGACCTCTGAAAAAGGCCAGCTCAGCTCAGCTCAGCTCAGAAACCTCCGAAGTAGGCCACCTCAGCTCAGCTCAGCTCAGAGAAATTTTTTCGCAGGTCAGCTCAGCTCAGCTCGGAAAAATTAATCAAAATTTGCAACTCTCGAGGAAAATGGCATTTGATTTTTTTATAAAAACAGTCTCAAAGTTTCAATCCATGTATTTCGAGTACTTATGTTTACTTAAAATGGAGTGTCCAAATTTCTTCTGATTAAGAAGATATGAAAATTTGACAAAATGGACGTGAAAGAGCATTTAAAATAAGTTTGCTTGGAAAAAATCATGAAAATCGAATTTTGAGACCATTCTACGAGTTAAAAAGCCTTTTAAAAGTGAAAAAGAAAATGAGCTACGCGTTATAAAGCGTTCTCGCGGGGCTTCAGGAGCGAACAAGGGATAAATGACGGAGAAAGGCGGGCGAGCAAAGGTGCGCCGTCGAAACCAAGGAGGGCGAACAAGGGGTCGTAGAATGCAAAAGAAGGAAAGCGACCAACGGATCTTGGTAACAAAAAGCGAGCGACCAAGGGGGGTCTTGTTGGAGTTTAACTAAGCGAAAAAGGGAAAAATGTTCACAAAATGTGAGCGAGCTAGGGGGGGGGGGTACGTTAGCTCAACAGTTGAAATCATGCCTGAACGCATTTAGCGAATCGACAAGAAGGGCATTGAGTTCTGTTTCGCCTGTTGATTCGTTTAACACAGCGGTTATCGTTTGAACAGAGCCGCGGAGTCAAGTTATTCTGGGTTATGCGTCTGAAGAACCCTTTGCAGCCCTCACAAGTCTCTGCTCCGTAGTGGACTCCAGTGGACACGTCGCCACAAACCACGCACAACTCATAGTCGCCGAGAAGTTCTTCTTTGCGGCGCTTCACCGCTTCGCTTTCTCCCAATGCTGAGACGGCTAGATCGGTTAGCTTTACTTTTCGCTCCACGGGGCTAAGTGAAATGTTAGACGATTGTTAGATTGGGAAGAAGAAACGTCGAAAACGAACGACTTTGGAAATTGATTGAATAATTTACTTTCTTGTTTCAAAATCGTCGTTTTGGGAGATCGATAAATGGGAAAGTACACAGGATAACGGATTTGCAAGCGATAACTGATATAAAAAAGAGCTTTTTGGCCATTAACTTACTGACTGACGCACAATTTTGACATATTGACAATATGATATTGTCAAACCCGGAAATATATAAAAAAATTTAGTTAACTCAATGCCCTGGTAAAACTGCGTCCCTGAAGTCCTTGTCTGACAATTTTATAAAACAGGGAACAAAGACTTCTCCGGTTTCTGATTTAACCGGAGCGGGAAGGCTAGGCAGCGAACTGATTTAGTAGAAATCAAGAAGGAAATTGCGGTTTGCTTACATTGGTGGAGATTCATAATTCTGATGAGCAGTGCTGAAGGGATGACGGAGAGGACTGGCGAGCTGCTTCGAAAGCGCTGGAGGGATAATTTGCGAGGTCATTTGACCGGACATCTGTGACTGAGCTTGAAAATTAATCGAAGAAAGTGACAATAACAAGGTCACTCCGGACGAGATTAATATTGATAGATGATGAACTCTTTAGCTCATTCCTGTAGGCTGGACATCTTCGGTGAGCTAAGACTATTGACCACTGGTTCGTCATCATCAAAAACTTCGACTTTGACGGTATCATCCTTGCCCACTTCTTGAATAGTGTCTTCAATCAGTGGCTGCATCATCTGTGGCTGTTCCTCCGCCATCTGCTGCAGTTGATTCTGAGTAACCATGTTCTTCAATTTCTCCGCATAGCTTCTATAAAAACTGAATGAAGAGAAGACAAGGAAGAGAACTCAACTGTTGTGCTGGTTGTTGATGAACGTGGCTGTTGAAAATTGCGTTTTGACTTTGGCCGTGATTTCCGTTTTGTAAAGTTCCTTGGGTAAGTCGCTGGTGGAGAAATTTGTAACACTTGCAGATGGTTAGAAAGAGTGAGTCAGATTCATTGGCGCAGTTGTTTATTCGGGCGAATTGGCGGATTTCGTTTTCCTAACAAGATCGTTTTAGCAATTCAAGGGCATAAGTGGACTTGTAATTTTCTGATTCAGGATCGATTGGTCTGAATTACCTGATTTATTAGCTCTGAGATGATATCCTCAGCTCCAAAATTCGGATAACCAACTTCCGAGCACACGAAGACTCCTCTAGCAACCCTGCGATTGTCCAAAAATGTGATCACATCTCCATATTTTATATTATTTCCGACAATTCGAATCGGTGTCTGTTGCTTCAGAGCTGTTTCGGAGACATAGATGTTGCCGAAAATGATCTGAACGAGGGTCAGATTCGAACGTAGTAAGATTTCAAATTTGTTTGGATTTTTTTTTTATCGAAGTGGGCGTGAATTCGAAATCAACAGTTCCCTCAATTCAGTATTGACATGAAATTCATGACAGTACTTGATTATTGACCCAGTTCCTGTCGAATCTTTCGTTTCAGCGTACATTGAGCATTTTGCTCGACGATTTCCAGCTCCACACAGGTCCATCGAGGAATAAGACCAGGGTTCATCTGACTTCTTGCCATTCTCTCTAAAAGTTATAAAAATAATTACTTAGTAAGTCTTTTGTCTCAAAAATATACATTTCGATGTTTTATTTAAGTAATTAGTAAAGTTGTGATTAGACTTAATATATTTATTACCTTTTTATTAGTTCAATTAAAATCAAACTCTTCGTCTTCCTCTCTCTTTCTTTGAACAATTTATTTACTGATCTCTTTCGCTCGAAAAAGTGAAAATGTCCTTCGCGGCGGGGTGACCTGCGTTGCTCTGGGTCACCGCAGCTTTAGCATTGGCCGCTTGACACCGTCCCGCCCGCTTCTGATTCGCTACTCTCGGCTACGCTCACCTCACCAGACCCGCCGTACCACACTCACTCGGGTCACGCTCCGCCAGACTGACAAATTCACTTGACGCGTGTTTATCTGACCTGCGCTGACCCCTGAGCATTCCTTTTTATCGAAATTTTCAACGAAAAGTAAAAGGAGCTTTTATTCAGTAAAATATAGGTTGATTTCAGTGATACGAATAATTGAGCAGTGAAGTTAGAATATCCCGGATTTTCCGGCAGAAATGGCGCTCTCATCCTCGGCAGCTTGTTTTTCATTGGTTTCGGGGGCCTTTCGTCTTCGTTTTTTAGTGATGCCTTGGTCCAACTTCTCCAGATACTCTTGCACAATTAATTCGCAGTTGGTTAAAAGTGATTCAGGTTCCCAAGTTGCATCGGATTCAGGCCAGTCTCTCCAGAGCACCTGTAAATTATAAATTTATTCGATAATAAGTCCCGAAAGAAAAGAAGTGGGATGAATTAAAACTTTCCTTGAATTTCCTCTTTCCTCCTCGAACGAATTTGTGAGCCAGAATTTTTTCGACTTCCCATTCTTCATTATCGTGGTCTGACTTATCGTGGTTAGGCTTTTCTTCTTTTATCTCCTGTGCTGTGTTCACTTTGGCCGAATCTTTGCGTTGTTTTCGGAACGAGGCCTCGTATTTTCGGACTTCCAGCATCTCCTCTTCGGTCAAGCTATCCAAAGGAAAATATGCTTCTTCTCCACCATCTGCGCTGAACTGAAAAACGCAGGATTTAGAACGATTTTCTGGAAAAGTTTACCTTGTAATGAACGATTCCGAGGATGATTCGTCTATCTTTTATTCGCCCGCCTTCTCCATGTGTGTATTCGTTATTCTGATTAACGGATATAAAACCTCTCAATTTTTATTAATCAATCATCAATCTTTTTATTTCTTTTGATATCCCTAACTTTTCATCAATAGCTTCAGCAATTGCTCTTCGCGATGTTCCCGGTCGATCGTTTTGCTCCAACTCAAGAAGTTCTGTCATCCGCTTTGGTCGTCTTAGAACTTCTTTTGTACGAACCATTTCGGCTTCAGGAGGGTTTCTGCTGAAAAGGGAGGAAAATATTTGAAACATGCCGAGGAGTCTTTTGAGTTCTCTTCATGCTTTGATTTTATCAATAAATTTATTTTGCGCTCTAGAAAAGATACCTGCTTAATTTTGTTCTTTGAGCTTCGTTTCTCTCTCTCAAGTAAATAGAGAGATGCTCTTTTCAAATCTTGAATTCGAAGGAAAAATTGATCCTTTTGGAAGAATAACGAATTATCCACTGTTGTCAAAGCTGCTAAGAGTTTTGCTCAAATCGTGAAACCAATCTGGCTTAATTCGATGAATACATAGAAGAGAGTCAAGGTTTGTTTCCGTATATTAATCTGTAGGAAATATTTTATTGCAATTATAGAATTTCAAACGGATTTAGTTCGGGATCAATGAAAGGCTCGTTGTTACAAAAGTCATCGAAACAGATGTAGTAACACAGCTCATGGTCGAAATCAACTCTAACAGTGTCACCATCATCGTCCTCTACTGTATCTCCTTCCTAATGAAACGAACATCCATTCGCAGTTTTATTCGAACTCGACAAACAACCTTTGGTGATCGTTTCCACTATAAAGTTATTAGTTTTGCTTAATTCAACCTGCATTTACAGAATCCGCCAGCGTAATTTTCGGAGAAATAAATAAAATCACTCGTAAAGCATCCGATATCGCTTTCGCAAAATAGGATTTGGTCCTGTTGCTCAATAGAGTCACAAGAATTGACGTCGTTAAAGGTGATTGAAGAACACTCGTAGCACTTGACAACTTTTCCAGCAGCATCATTAGCGAGTAAAAAAGAGAGTACTATTCTCTGACTGAGCTTCATTTTTTTGAGGTGAAATTTGCTGGTTTTGCTCCTCGCTCTGCTTTTACAATCGATAGTCGCATGAAAAGACCGGACATTACCAAATAGCATCAGACTGAATAAATATTATCTTGCTAGCATTAGGAAACCTAGGAATTACCCAGACGACAGGGTGTCAAGTGCCTTTGTTTCAGTATCATTTGTTTAGCATTATTTAATAGAGATAAATTATCGCCATTCTTTCAGTACCATCTTCGGAACAAAACAATCATCATTTTTTTCGTAAACTTTTCAGAATCTCGATCAGCAGTAAACTTCTCTTGACATTTTAAAATTTCCGAAAAATGTTCCTTACAATCGCTACTAACATTTTTTCTCGTTCCATAGAGACATGCAGAGTCAATCAGAGAAGACTTTTTTCGATAGAGAAAAACACTCAGGGAAATTGAACCAGCTCAAAGATGATGGTGATTATTGATGATGATATCAAAGTTTTGACGACTATCGAGGTGATCCTTTGTTAAAATGACCTGAAACACGTGACAAATATATTTCAGAGAATCGATGTTGCACTAGGAGATGACGGACCACTTCTCTTGCCAGCAGAAACTTGTTGCATGCAAAACGGACAGAGGATCTGCTACGACATCAGGAAAGCTTAAACCCTAGTGCTCCTCTTGTAATGGGTAAAATTCACAAGCTTCGAAAAGCAAAGGACCGCCGTGTAGTTATCTATCGAGCCAGTCCAGTGATGATGGCCTTGAAGACTGGGTTATTGTACTTTTGATTTTCTCGCCCATTTTTCTCATTGCTCTGAGCATTTTCGGCTGCTGGTTGTTCAAAAAGTGCAAAAACGATAAACAAAATCAACAAAGAAAGGGTTCAAATCGTATTTATAGTAAAAATTTAAATAATATCTACTTTTTGAATCCAAAATAGCCTTCAATTCTAGCGTTAACTGTTCAATTCCTTTCTTCTTTATCGTTAATAAATTATAGAAAATGAATCAATGAGCAAGTAAAAATGGCATTATATTATAAAAACTATATTTGTTTTCTGCTGACGAGCAAATTGACCAGTTGATCGCATTTTTCTTCGGCTGTGCATTTTTTCTTCCACGGTGTTTCAATTGAATTTTCGCCAAACAGACCTTAGGGTTAGGGTTTGATCAACGGAAATTCTTTTTACCCGAATAAACCACTTTATAATTACCTGTTAGACATTTCGTGTAGATTCTGCTCAAGTCGTAGACAGTCCAAGCTCGGGCAGATGCAAGAAAGAAGAAGAAAAAATTCATGATTACTGATTTTTAGTGATTTATAGTGCGAAGAAAGCAGAAAACGACTGTAGTGCACCTTTTTAATTGAATGAAATTCGGTTTTTCCCGTAGTTAAATACTGTTGATCTTTTTATCTGATTAAGAAATCATGTCCGAGAAATATTTAATTTGAAAAAATGTTTACAGAGGGGAATCTACTAAACGAGGATGAATTGCTGAATCATCGAATGGAAAGAGCCAAAAAGTCGGATAAAAAGTTTTATTTTACAAAGTCAAAGACAACGATTTACAAGTTAAAAATACAGTGTCACCGAGACAGAATGTTATTTCAGATTCGGAAAGATGTTTAACTCGTGAGAAAGTGCTGTAAATGAAGATGTGTGGATAATCTGGCGCTTTCCGCTTTTGGTTTTCGTTTTCGGCGAAAAGACGAACGCTTTTTTGCTCTTTTTAGTCGCCTAAAAATTTGTATTCTGAAAATTTTGATGAGATAAAAAATAAGTCGCCAAAAGCTGCAATCAACAAGGAGAAAGTTCAAAATGAGATCCGAGTCTATACAAGTGTGAAAAGGTTGTAAATCAGAAATAGAAAGTGCGGAAATTACGTCAGCGCTTTCCCAATGTTTTTATTCGCATAATTAGCAGTTTAATTTGACAGCGCCTGCGCTATAAAACGTTCGCAGGTGATCGCCTCCAGAGTTTCATTTTCCTAATCGCTATTTTTATTCCCACCGCTCTTTTTTCGTTACTCAGGAACTTTTTTGAGCGCTTGTTTTCATAAAAAGTAATCCTTTTTTCACAAAAAAAATAACTTTATCCCAAATTTAAAAAAAAAAATGATTTTTTTCAGCTATTTTATGAAACAAATTCTAAGCAAGTTTACTGTTGAACTGCTGAAATTCAGCGATTTATTTGTTAAAAGAACAAATTAGTAAGTAAAAAAATCGCTCACAAGATGAATTAGATGGCAATAAACATTTGCGATCGTTTTCTGTCACAATTGTTCAGGTGCAGCTGTGCCTTTACAACTTCTGACAGACTTGCCGGATGATCTTTCTATTTTTGCTCTTTTTTGTTTTGCAAAATTACGCCTCGTTCGGCCGTGTGCCTGAAAAAAAGATGGCCATCAATTATCAAATAATATTACATTATCATTATATTATAAGTTCATTAACTGTCTGAAAAATTCCTAGGTGGCGATATCGTTAATCTAAAAAATAAATTATAATTTCAGTAAAAGAAAATCTTAATGGATTCAAGAGGGCAAAAGGTCCCCTTTCGATTAGTTAAAATTAGTGCGTGAATGGGGCGCATTTACGAGATGTGAATAATTCTGCGGATGAAAGTACGAATATATCAACGGCGCTCATAAAACACAATAATTCGTCTTTTCCAGACAACGAACAGTCACGTAAAACCCTACAGCCAGGTTTTCAGCTCATCGTTCAAATTCCACCTGACGACGTACTCGGAGAATCAAATCTCAAAGTCAAATTTTCGAAGAATTAAAAAAAAGAGAATTTTTAAAAAAGATCAAAAGGGCGTAATCAAAAAACACCTCATCATCGTAAAAACTGAGTGATTGGGTACCGGAGAGGTTAAATCACCTGTTTAGGTAGTAATAACTCTTCTTTTTCGTGAATTCTTGGGGGCGCGGAGTCAGATTTTCAATACCAAATAATAAACAGCTGACCCAGATTCATAAATAAAATAAAAAAGGCGCTTCCTGTGTTGCTTTGAATCGGGCCCCCGTTATCAGCATTTCAAAGGGCGCCTGAGGCGAGTGTGAAGCGCCCTGCTGCGCCCGCCCGTTTTCCAGGTCGAGTACTCTCATAAAATTTCATGGCTATTGTGGGCACAGTTTTTGACAATTTACCGAAATTCCTCGATTGGAATTCGCGGCTGCTCGGCACACAACGGGAGCTCAAATAATGGACGCGTCTTTCTTCATAAATAATGGTCCCTTTCAATTTGAGTTTCAGATAATAATGGACAGACACTTTTGTGGAATTAGAAAACGGTAGCGCCGTTTCCCACGATCAAAATACCGGCATCACTAAAGAATTTCATTTTCTTATTTCTTTCCTAACGAACTCTCATTTCATAATGAAGGGTAGTCTGTTCTACCCCGAGTACTTCTATGCGGCTTTTAATGAAAGGTCTTTCAGATCCTGAGTCAGTTTTAGCCCATGCCTTTTAAAATATCAAAGAGATCATCAGTTTTTGACATTGAATGAATTTATGTTTGTCTAACACGTGATCTAAGACGGGTCGCCTTTAGCTTCAGCGGCAGAAAATGTTAGAAAGGTGTGACGACCCTTGCGGGATTTGTTGTGTTGTATTGCGGTGGCGCATTAGGATCGCCCGCCGAGACAATGCCGGAGAGAGCGGGGCGCTCAACTGGTGGCGCCAGCTGACACACTTTTTCGCCTATCCTATCCTCCTCTCGCCCCTGTTTCGGATAGCCGACTCTTCTTTTCGATTCCTAATGTGCGTGTCGTAATTTTTAAAATTTTCTTCCAAAAAAGAGATTCTTGAAAAGAGATTTTGAAGAAAAAAGAGCAACGGTAAACAAACATATACGGTCGTTCACAACAATAATCAGCCCCACCACAATCAGCACCGGCACCACGATAGATTTATATGTTCCTTCGGCAGCCCCGGGGCACAAACGCACTGATAACTATGCCCAATTATCCGACTACTGGACGATCAGAAAAAGACTTGTCTTTTTTATCAGTTTCGAGGACTGTCTCTTGATAACTGTCCATTTTCAGTTCATATTTGACATCTCTCCCCGTTCTAGTTCGAATTTGAGTTGATTTCATATTGTATATAAGCAGATACTATTTAAAGTAATAACACCAGAAATGAGTACAATGGGTAGGTTTAGACTTGCGCAGCCGCGGGCCCAGTTGATAAAGAAAAACTCTTAAAAATGAACTTATTCCTTTTTTACCTTCTCTAGTTTAACATTCGGTTGGTGCTCTTGAATTCAACACGTCTACGTGCGTGACTTGTTGAAACCACCAGTGTCTTGTCCTGGGACGGGGAGACAAGTAGGTCAAGGTCGCCATCTCCGGCTAATTTAAAATTAAATGATTGAAAAAAGGCGGCGGTGGAGGAGCGTGGCGGCGCGCTCCGGACACGAGTGCGATCTCACTCCTCGCTTCACCGAGATGAGTGACTGAGATATCTGTTGAGAGGATAACGCCCCAAGGGCACTTCCCGCAAATCATCTCAAATCGAAATTGCTGCGCCAATTTACTGCTACTCCCCCAGATAGTAAACTCAATATAAATAGTAATACAAGCTCCAGCGATAGAGATTAATCCGAGAAGATACCCTTAAGAATTGCGTCAACTTGAGAGAAAACACCAGAATCGCGGAAATAATAAATTTAACATTTCTTTCTTTTTCAACCTAGAGAGTCGTAAAACGAAGAAAAAAAATATTGGATGCATACAAAAAAAAAATGAAGCACAAAAGCGCCTGTTGAGATGACCCCGATTTTAAATCACTCCCTGCCAAAAAAAAGGGAGACAAAAGCCAACTACCGGAAAACGGACGGAGTTTGACGACCATATAGGTTCACATCGGCTGCATAAATTTGCTCAAGCGGCGTAAAAATCGGAGTATAAACAATAATAAAACTCGGTAAATTAAAAATCGGAATTTGAAATCGGAATTCGAAATCTTTCTCTGATTTACGATATTTTGTTCTTTATCAAGATTTTATTGCAACTCCTTTGATTGAAATCTAAAAAAGAGTTGTTTACCATCAAGTTATTCTATGACTTAAAGTAGAATCTACGCTAATTACAGTTAATTTTCTAAAGCAGCTGCTTTCGCGGAATTCGTAAAATGCGTTAATAAGCCTCAACTATTTTGCGAGTATTTTCTTCCGGCGCTGCTCACACCTGATCAGAGCAACTTTATTCATTTATATCTTCCAATAAATTGGCCAAGGCCAAAGTGAGAAAAACAATTTTATCACTTTATTTCGCATCTGACGATTTAAAAAAAAAGATGATCGTCTTGCCTCTTTTGCGAGTATTTATGGGAAGAGCTCGATTCGCGGGTCTCAAAATTTTTTGATCGATTAGGTGGAAAATTCTCGGTCAAATTGGCAATTGGGGAGGGCGAACAAAAGATGCGATTTGGGTTAACTGTAATTTGCATCGATTACTGACTGGAAGACGCCGGTAATTTTGAAGACTCACAGTCATTTTCCGACAGTTAAAGGCTCTGCTTTGAACTGCCTGGTCTTGACCCTGAACTCCCATTGGTCGTTGGTCGGGGCGATGCGCACCACCTGGTGGCTGAAATTTTCTAGCTGCCCCGGTATTGCGGGCTCTAGTAGTACGTGATTAATTCTGGTGTGGGTGGCCATATTGTTGGTGAACAAAGACTTTCAAAAAAGCGGCTCGACGTGCTCATCAAAGCCTGCTCGGCCGTAAAATTGTTGCCGTTGCTCTATTCTGCTCTGTGCCCTAGCGTGTAGCTTTGGCCAAGTAAATCTTGCCCTTTTTGCGCCGCGAAATCCCCTGTCCGTCCTTGCGGGCGTAAAAACACGCACACTCGCCCAGGGCCACTCCAATCCTTTCAACTTTTGCTCGAGAGACACAATGCGAAACGCGAGACTCCAATGCTCCTCCAAACAGCCACGCACAATGGAATTGAAAATTTAGAGAGACAAACGCCGAAACAGAAAAAAATCATACCCACACAAGAGAAAGAACCCTCCCCTCTTCACTCCTTTTATTTCCTTTTTCGGCAAGAACTTATCGAAGAATATTTTCAGAAAAGTGAGAATCGGTGCTGAGTTTCAGTAAAATTTGGGAATGAAAGTCGCGCAGCTGCTCCTAGGCGCCGGCGTTTGGGCACAGCAAAATGCTCAAGGCGATTCTGAACATTACAGTGATTGCTCGACGGGCCACTGTTTCCCCGGTAATTTATTTTGGTTTTATTACGATTTCGATTAAATTGTGTGGTTATTTCATCATCGTTTCAGCCACTGGAGATCTATTAATTGGACGAGAAAGTAGATTATCCGCCACTTCGACATGTGGTCTCGAGGGCGAAGAAGGATTCTGCATCGTTTCAAATACAAACGGACAAGGTCCCTGTAAACAGTGTGATACCAGGCGGAAGTGGTCGCCGTCCGATCCATCAACCCACAATGCACATAATATCGAAAACATCATTGCCTTCAAGTCAGAGGTACAAAAAACCATTTCATAGCAAAGAAATCACGAATTTTTCTAAAGGATATCTCGCCGGCTTACGAAAGGCGTTGGTGGCAGTCCGAAAACGGCAAAGATGAAGTGTCGATTCAAGTCGATTTCGAAGCCGAATTCTTGTTCACCCACCTTATCATGACTTTCAAAACATTCCGACCCGCCTCCATGTCCGTTTACCGCTCCTCAGATAATGGCGCTAGTTGGAAACCTTACAGGTCAAGTTCAAAATCATTTCTGAAATCAAGGAAGAGATTCTCCAACTGAGAATCGATCGATTTTGAACTTGAAAATAGACATTTCGCAGAAGACTGCGCCAGTAGCTTTCCCGATGTTGAAGCGACCCCAAATCAAGATACCATCGATCAAGTCGTCTGTGATGATTCCTACGGCAAGAAAGTACCAACTACTAATGGCGAACTCGTACTCAAGGTAATATTCTAAGCGTATGATTATGCGCTTGAGTCAAAGGAGCTCGAGATAGATCAAAAGAGTATTCAGCTGATTTGTGAACTTTTTAAGCGTTTCCCAAGCTGTCATAAAATAAAATGTTATATTCATTGCCTCCTTATATAGACTTAGTAGGCAAAATACTAGGTAGACCATCATCAAAAAGGAAAATTTCGATGCTAATTTACAATTTTGAGCTCAAATCACAGATTTTGAATTAGTATGTTACGAAAAAATTACAGTTTTTCAAAAAAAACTTCAGGTTTTGGATCCCCAATTGACGGAATCAATGGACCCCTATTCGCCCGAAATCCGCGATTTGCTTCAAGTAACCAACATCCGAATCGACTTCCACGAGCTGCACACGCTTGGTGACGATCATATGGATAACTCCCACGACGCTACCAATAAATACTACTATGCCGTTTACAACTTAGGTAATGGGTGGCATCAAACGCCGCGCTAAAGTTCAACTCAAGTTTGCCAAATCGTTAATTATAACTTTATTTCGGCAAAATGAAATAACTCATACTTATACTCTATTCTAGTTCTTCGTGGGTCCTGTTTCTGCAATGGTCACGCCAGCCAGTGTGTGCCCAAGGACGACGAAATCGTCAACGCGGATGTTTATGGAAAGTGTAACTGTCAGCACGGAACTGCAGGTCTCAACTGCGAAAAGGTAAGAAACGAACGATCAAAAAAGATCATCAATTTTATTTCTAGTGTGCCGACTTCCATCATGACCAGCCTTGGATGCCCGCTCGAGCTAATCAAACCTTCGAGTGCAAACGTAAGTCTACGACTATGAGCGATTTAAAACGGCGTTACCCCTCGACGGATAATCATTTTGAAAGCAAAGCGTGAGGAAGTGGATTGTTTTTACGAGCGACTCTTCTTCTCACTCATGCTTGTTTCACCGTTTGATCGGGAAATGATTGTCCAAGAAGGAAAATGAATTGTAACGGAAGTTCTTTTCAGGATGCGAGTGTTACGGGCACGCCACCGAGTGTCACTTTGACCCGGCGGTTTACGAAGCTACGGATAGGACATCAGGAGGTGTCTGCGAAAACTGCAAGCACAACACGGAGGGACGCATGTGCGAACGATGCATTGAGGGATTTTACCAAGATCCACTCAAGAACATCAATGATCCCGTAAGTTTCGCAGAAATAAAAGAAAACTTGAAGTTCACCTAACTCGTAAAAAGTCAACTCCCGTATGTATCCTCCGAAAAATGGAGCACAGACAGGGCGGTAAACATAAGCATATCCTCATTTCAGCGATGAAGCCCCAGAGTCCAGGCCCAGACATGCTGGTGCCAGCAAAAGTAGCCACTCAAGCGTGACTCTTTTTTGAGGCGTCCGCTTAGGAACAATACTATTATCAACCGTAGCTTCTTTAGTTATAAGAAAATAATTGTTGACAACTCAAGCATCCGGAAATTTTTCCTTCTTTCCTTCTTCAACCTCTTTTCTTCAGGAAATCTGCGTCCCGTGCGATTGCGATCCCGCTGGTGTTGTTGGCGCTTGCGATCGTGCGACAATTCCCGGTCCAGATGGAACTGTTGCTGGTCGATGCCGATGCAAGGCAAATGTCATGGGCGAACGGTGTGACCAATGCAAACCCGGCTTCCACTCGTTGGATCCCAACAATCCCGACGGCTGCTCCCCTTGCGACTGCGACGATCGCGGCTCGGTGACCCGAGGCGGCTCTGTTTGCGATCCGCTCAACGGCCAGTGCCACTGTAAGAGCAATGTCACGGGAGGGCGCTGCGATACTTGCGCGCCGCACACATACGGCTTGAGCTCAGGTGACGCTGATGGCTGTAAAAAGTGCAGATGTGATATTGGTGGCTCGCTCAATCAAAACTGCAACACTGTTGACGGTAAAAAAGCCTCAAAATTCTGCTCTAAATATATTTCAAGGAAAATGTACTTGTCGACCAAACATCACTGGCCAGCGCTGTAACGATGTCAAGGAAGATCATTTCTTGCCTAATCCCTTCCTTGTAAGTCGAAAAAACCGAAAAGAGAATCAGCAAAACTTTTAATAATGCAATCAAAGTATTATTATTCAGTTTTGAGCTTTACCGCTAAAAGCAAGTTTCTCACGCGATATTCAATTGTTGTAAAAATCTCTTGGATATCGCTAAATACGGAAACCGACCTTCTTTTGAAGCGCAAACTTCAAAAATTCTTAACAAGCGAAAAAAATCAAAAAAAAAACAAAAAAGGGATAAAACAATGGATTTTAGGACACTATGGTCACTGGGCCAGATGGCCTCAACAGTGACGGGGTCGAGTTGATTCCGATCGTCTTGGCGCCCGTCGCCTACTATCCCCCTCAGCCGGTAAAGAATCTACCACAAACCCATAACATAAAAAAAAACAACCCATAAACCAACCCATATTCCAAACTTTCGTTTTCGACAAAAACATAAACCAAACCGGCCATTTCAAACAACCAAATCTCATCTTTTTGGGGAACTCATTCGGGGAATTTCATTAAAAAATAATAAAATAAGATCATCAACCAAAAAACCGCTTTATCCGCTTTACTCATGCTCTAACATAACATTTCGGTGTCATCAAAAACAAACTCGATCGTAAAATTGATTTGTAGACGTCTGGTTTCAACGAGGATCCTAATGAGTACTACGACGGGTACCCTCATTATTCTCGTCCAATTTCTGATAGCTACTCTCTCTGTAAGTATTTTCTTGCAGAACCAATCTTTCAATGTATGAGTAGCCAATCATGGATCCACCTACGGCTATGAAAACATCAACCAGTACGTTCCAGCCCGACCAGGCACTTCTGTTCTCTTTGAAGTCGGAGATCTCCCTCGATCGTTGCCTTATTCTCTTCATTTGAAAATCTCTCCACAGGTACAAAAACAAAAATATCATTCTCTGGGGATTTTAAATTTGTGATTTCTTCTTTATTTTGATCGTTTCATTATAAAATTATCAGGCTCCTGATCGTATCAGACGTGAAGTCCAGGATACGAAGGTAATGTATCTAGTTGCTCATCGCAAAAAAAACAGCATAAATATTTCTGACAACAGAAATCTTCATTCGACGCATTGTCTTTCGTTTTCTAATAGGTTTGCTTGTAGAAGAAAATAAAAGCGAGGCCGCTGTTTTTATCAAAAGCAAAAATATTGAAAATGAAACAGACATGCACCAGAAAATTCTTGACCAAATTTTCAAAAAGCCCTCTTTTAGAAAAAAATCCAAAAGAGAAATGAATGCACCCAAACTTGGACACAATTTCATCGGTTTCAAGTTTGGTGCCGAGATTCTTAATTGAATCGAGAGCATTCTTTTTTTGGATATATTTGCTAATGAAATTCTAGCTTTTGTTAAAACTCTTTCTAGGGAGGAAACTGGTCTCCAGTCGAAGTTGAAATCATTCGACCTCCAACGGACACTCGTGACATTGATAGTCCCTGCTTCAACTCGAAACCCGAGGATGATTCGTGGACAGCTACTATTCCCACTGATGAGCCACTCGTTGCTCTCGGAAAAGACAAGTACACCTGCCTCGAGACCGATGCCGACAAAGGAACCGTGACTCCCTACAAGTTCAAAATCACTCTTCCAAAAACTAACAACTATGGAGATGATGAAGAGGACGACAACAAGATTTTCTGGATCGAACGACTCCAACTTGTTCCAAAACTTGACACTGAAAACGGCTACCCTGGATTCAAGGAAGAATTCAATGCTGAAGCCCCTAAGCTTATCAGTAAGTTATACTCTCCAATTCTTCTCCTAATTTGATTTCAGCTGCATACGAGAAGTGCATGTTAAACACAATGGATCTTCCAGATGTTGGTGTTCTCGAAAAAGACTGCGACGCAATGACTTATTCAATTTCCTCTTGGTTCCACCAAGGCGCGAAATCATGTGACTGCGACCAGACTGGTTCTATTTCTCGCTCTTGTGATCCTTCCGGTGGTCAGTGCGAGTGCCGAGAAGGTGTTACTGGCAGAACTTGCAACCAGTGCGCGGCTGGCTTCTTTGGCTTCTCACACACCGGCTGCCAAGTTTGCGATTGCAACAGACGCGGAACTGTCAACCAGAGCCAATTCTGCGAACAACAATCCGGCCAGTGCCAGTGCTTGGACGGCGTTGGCGGGCGACAGTGCGATCGATGCTTGCCTGGCTTCTATGACTTCCCCAACTGCAAAAAGTGCGAATGCAACGGACACGCGAACGAATGCGATTCCGTCACTGGCGAATGCTTGAACTGCGCTCATGACACCACAGGTCCCAATTGCGAGCAATGCGCAGATGGCTACTACGGTGATCCGACTTCAGTAACCAACAGCCAGTGTTCTCAATGTCTTTGCCCCGACGGGCCAAAATCTAATCGACAGTTTGCCGACACTTGCAGTTTGTCTCGAATGCGAGGAAGCTCCAACCGTGAAGATGAGCAGCGAGGACCACGACCTTCAGTCGTCATGTGCAATTGTAATCCAGGCTACCAGGGGCTTCAGTGCGAGCAGTGTGCGCCTGGGCATTTTGGAAACCCAATGGAGCCATTTGGAAGCTGCAATCCTTGCGAGTGCAACGGAAACATCGATACTTCGGATCCAGATGCCTGCGACGCTAGAACTGGAGAATGCCTCAAGTGCTTGTACAACAGAGGCGGCGCTGACTGTAGCGAGTGTGCCGATGGATATTATGAGCAGCCGAATGCCGATGGAACTGACTTTACTTGTGTTCCATGCGGATGCGACGAGCGGGGAAGAGATCCTTTTGTTGGAAACACTGTAAGTCCACGACTATAAGTCTTAGACCTATTAACTAACTGAAAATTCTAGTGCGACAAGAAAACTGGCCAATGCGCTTGTTTGGACAAAGTAGAAGGCCGAACTTGCAACTCCTGCCGAAACAACTTCTTCGATCTTGCTAATGCTGTTGACAACGGAGGCTGCCAAGCTTGCGGCTGTGATCCAGAAAACTCAAAGGACATCTCCGGCGAGCAGCCTTGCGATATGGTGAGTATATTTCGAGAAATTTTAGCATCTAACTAATATGGTAGTTATAAATGTTAGCAATTGAATGGAGCAAGTTTTATGTGACACTCGCGGTTGCTCATATAAAATGGTCAAAATTACGGCCATTAAAGCTCGATTGCTTTGATGGCCTGTCAGCCTGCCAAGCTCGTGCTCGCTAGCTGACAATTTACCCGTTCAAAATAAATCCTAAACATTCCTCAACAATCAAACTTTTATTTAATGCACCCGCTTGTTTCTGCATTTAGACATGCTGCATGTCACGTGCCAAAGAAACTATAATTCAAATAAATTAGGAAAAATTTCAGACTTACAACTTTAATTAAGGTTACTGGCCAATGTCGATGCAAAGATGGATTCGGCGGTCGCGACTGCAAATCTTGTGAAAAGGGCTACTACGGCGATCCCAAAATCGGAAAATGCGAGGCCTGTGACTGTGACCCAAGCGGTGTGCATGATCCCTTTGCCTGCAATGCATGGACTGGTCAATGCGAGTGCAAGCCTGGAATCGGTGGACAGCATTGTGATCGATGTGAACGAGGCTACCACGGAATCGCTCCTGATTGTGAACCCTGCGGCGAGTGCTTCGACAGTTGGGACGGAATCATCGGAGAACTAATCGACGAAACTAAAGCCGTCCTTGCCACTGTGGATAATATTCGGGACAATGGTGTTACAGGTAAAAATATTTATCTTTTCGAAAATATCTAACTCTCATTATTCAGGAGTTTACAAAGCGGAATTCGACCAAATCGCAGCCAACCTTGCTAATGCTCGCGACACTCTTTCTCAAAACGAAGAAATGAACCAGCTCGAGCGATTCATGGCTGAAATCGAATCAGAGACGAATTTGGGACACAGCCGTCTTGATGACATCAAGGACTCATTTGGAGACATCAACGCCCTCGATCAGCGACAAAAACAGCAACTCGCCATTTTGAAGGAAGAAATGGACAGCAGAAGACTTGAACTTGCTGAACTTACTTCTGCCTTGGACGAAGCTGAAGATAAGGATCCTCATGTTCTTTGGGGACGAATCAAGCAAGCTGTTGCTGATGCTGCCAAATATGAAATCCTCGCTAAGGTATTTTCAATTAATTCACTTCAAAAACTCATAATTTTCTTAGAAAGCTGTTGGTGTTTTCCATAATGCCGATGATCCCAAAACCAATTTCCTCCTTGCTTCCAAGAATATCCGCGAGTCCGTTGTCCAAGGAATGAACCAGCGAGAAGAAGAATTCCAGCAGAAATCGCAAGAACTTGATATTCTCATCGATGATGTCGAACCAAAGATTCGGGAGCTTTCGATTGGCGAGATCAACCAAGCTGTCTGCGGCGCCTACACTGAAGACTGCGATGAAGTCTGTGGTGGCGCTCAGTGTTTGACCTCCAACGGAAAGGTAAAAATTTTCACATTAAACTAAATCTATCAAAAATATCAGCAACACTGCGGAAACGCCAACTACGACGTTTTCAACCGAGGCCCACGAGTCAACACCTGTGAAGAGTCAGCTTATCAAATCTCTGTTTCTGCTAAAACTCACGCTGAAAACGCTCAAAAGCGACTTGAAGACATCCGAGAAAAAGTCGATGAAGCTCTCAATGACACTAAAGAGGTCCGCGAGGATGCTTTGGGAGCAAAGGAAGCTGCTGAGAAAGTCCGACAGAAGGTAGAACTCATTGATCTTTCCAATTTTCTTACTTTTCCATAGGCAACTGATGTCGAAAAGAACATCCGCGAGTACACTGATCGAATCATCAACTTGGTGGAAGAAATCGAAGACTTCCTCTCAGCTGATGAGCATACCGATCCCGAAGACATCCTCAAGGTCGCCAAGCAAGTTCTTGCGATTGAACTTCCAGACTCGAACAAGATCAACGAGCTCAAGGAGAAAATGAACTCACTCAGCATTCGACCTAGCGATTCTAGCTCTCCTGATGATAATCTTTCCCTCACTGCGGTTACGTCCATCGCTCAAAAGGCTACAAAGGTCTTGCGAGAGGCTCAAGAGCTCTCCGACAAGGTAAGAGTTGGAAAAACGATCAGAAGTTATATTTTGATAAAAGGTGAACCGAGCCGCTGACAACTTTGACCTGAAAGAGTCAAACTGCAATGAGGCAACAGGAAAGAACCTCGAGGCGAATGAGGTTAACGACGCTGCCAAAATCAAGATCGCAGAAACGACCACCCTGATCGAAGATTTGAAACTCAAGCTTGCTGAACTTGCAGGCCTCGTCGACGACCAGACCATCCAGCAAAAGCGTACTCAGCTCAACAACAAGATCACTGAATCGAACAGCAACATTGTCATGGCCACTGAAGAATTGACAGAAGCAGACGAGCTGTTCGAAGAATTCCGACCTCGATACGAAGAATTCAAAAACAGCGGCGATCGAGACTACGCGATTGAATTTACTGACAAAGTTGATGAGCTTAGGCACACACAGGATAGCGCCAAGGACTTGGAGGCGAATGTCGGCCAGCTTTTAGAAGACGTGAAGGAGTGGCACAAGAAACTCCAGGATCTCAAGGAGAAATACGAGAAAGTCAAGGAAGAAGTCAACACGAGCACGGTAAGAGACTGAGTAAAAATACTTGGTAGAATAAACTCAAAATTCAGACAAACTTGGGCGAGCTGAAACAGCGAGCCGAGAGTGTCCGCAAGAACATCTACCAGAAACTGTACAATCCTGAACAATGCGGCAACTAAGTCCGTTTACCACGCGTACCGCTGCACCTCAATTTCAAAAAACAACCACATCTCGTCAACAAAAAATTCGGTCAATTATTCGCTACTACCACTATCTTGCCATTTTCCGAAAAAAAGGGAAAATGGTCTAAAAGTTTGGTCAGATGAGACTGGCCTATCAAAAAAGTATCAAAATATCGTTTTACCCAACTCTTCTTGAAATTTAACTATTGGAATAATTTATTGTCGAAGATAGCTCTGTCTCAGCGAGCGCTATCTTTACTGTAACAACTGGAAACACAGCCCTTGTAATTCTCCCCACAACAAACTAACCACATGTGTGTTCAACACCGCAATATTACGTAATACTCGGATAAAGAACAGATTTCATTGAAAAACAAACAAAAACACTCTTTGCACTACAGCATAAGCCGGTTTTTTGGTTTTCTGACAAAAAACAAAATTGTCCAACTTCCTATACATTATTCCTTTTCTTAGCCAACCAAATTTTAGAGAAAATTTATCCATAAATCTAAATACCGAACGGAGCTTTCTGATTGGGTGTCGAATGCCCCAAAAAAAAACTACTGCACCTACCCCTCTTACGCCTTAGAATTTTCAAAAAAAAAGTTGCATTGTATCTGTTTATATATGAATTCATCTCAACCCCGTGGCGACTATCCGATCAGAACGGTTTACTCGACAGTTCAAGCGTTTTCTGTACTCTACCTCACTAACTGTTTTGGACTAAGCATGTTGATTTACAGAGACCAACAATAAACGAAATCGCGCAGAGAGCATCTCTAATTCTCTTCTTCCTTTATAAAAAAAACATTAGCAGGCTACTTAAAGACAGCATCAAATCATCAGTACTGTTATATTCTTGAGCTTTATTATCAACGCTTTGGAGTCAGAGGATCAAAAACATCATCGTGTAGCGAAACCGGTGTCCCCGGTGTCCGAATCGATGTAATTTTCGTTGAGACATTCGGGCTCTGTACAAATGGTGATATCTGCATCTTTGACGTGCGTCTTCGTGAGCTCGAGAACTTAAAATGAATTAATCCCTTTTCTTACTTCTTATCTCCTCTTACCCTGGATAAAATAAAACTAGATGGCCGAGAAGCAGATTTTCGTTTTAGATACTCGACAAACTCAACCCGAAACTTTTTGCCAAGAAGAGAATAAAGCACCGGATTGAGCACGGGCATCAATAGAATGAACTGTTCTTTCGCAGGGTTAGTTTTGATTACGTACAGTTTCATAATATCCATTACTGACCCCAAGGACCTGAGAATATCTTCAATCGTTTACAGTTGCTATGTCCAAGAGGAAAATTGAATAATCGCACCACAAGCCAAGCAACGTGCGGTAACAGAGATACAGTCGTGCCCACAAAGAAAAATATAAAGGTATATTCGACAAGAAGATTATTGAAGGAGCGAATGCCCATTTTTATCAACGATTTCTTCGAAATAGCCACGTCACGCATAATGCTACAGTAGCAGAATATGACAGTCATCTAAATTTATTGAATAATATCCAGCCAATCTGTTTTAATTACCCAAGGAATAATGAACACTGAAAAGAGAGAGAAAAACCGATACCAGGTTTCTGTCGAGTTCATGGGCTTTTCGCAAATACTTAGCGTATTGTTACTGTTCAAGAAGGTTCAAAATTATGCGAAAGATTATAGACTATAAGCAAGTTATTCAATAGCGATTCTCGGCATTGATTTCGCCCGTCTGCCTATACAAGCAATCGGTAGCGTCAAAACGTGTCGTCTCAAGGATGCGCTTACATTCGCCCTTGCTCAGCAACGTCCACTTGACCTTGCATGTTCCATCTTCGAAGTCGCTCAAAATAAAGACAGGCATCGTCCATGTTATTGAAAGGATAATCGAACTACATGCCATGACAAAGAAGCGCTGCCAGCTTTTAATCGAGATTCATTGCCATTTTTGACCGACTTTTGCGGTCGTCATTGAATCTCTTCCTTGATTCCGCTCTACTCATCAGTTTTTTAAATGAAATAGCGCGATCAATAGCCATCGCTGAGATACAGTAAACACTAATTGTTGCTTTGAAGAGTCAATCAAATGATAATTAGTGAATTATTTATCGTTATAGCTTGAACCAGGGTTCAAAATCACCTCACCTAAAGGTGCACCTTGTTCAATTTAGGTGAGGTGCAAATTGTCACCTCACCCACCTCACCTAAAATTTTTCAGATTTAAGCTTTTTTAGGTGCACCTAAAAGGTGCACCTTTTTTGAAATCATCACCTCACCCACCTCACCTAAAACTTTGAAGATTTGGGCCTTTTCTAGGTGCACCTAAAGGTGCACCTTTTTTGTGATCATCACCTCACCTCACCTCACCTAGGAATGTTTTGATTTTAGGTGCACCTTTTTTCTCGGTGAGTTGTTTTAAAGTTTGAAATTAAAACTTAGCTGTTGATTTCGAGTTGTTTGGTTATACCCGGCATTTTTTTACTGGGCAACCCGCAGATTTTTCAACGGATTACTCGCGCGTAGAGCAGAGTTCGAAATTTGTTGGCAGTACTGCCACGACTGCCACTGGCAGCTGCCAATTTCGGCAGTCACTTGGCAAGAGCAGCTACAAGAGACTACCCGCGGAGAGTCTTTTCACGGGCTACCCGCTCTACTAGTTTTATCATTTCTGCCGAGTAGCTCGCGATTACCCGCAACCCTTTTTCTCGAGGCAATCAGACGAGCGAATTTTCTTCTTTCTAGGCGAAATTTTCGCGAGTAGCTCGCGATTATCCTTTACCCATATACTCGATCTACTCGCGCGGAGACTCGCAGAAAAATCTGCGGATTACCCGGAAGAAATTTGAGAGTAACTTCAAAGGACTTGAAATCGAAGTCAGGAGCAAAATCCGTGCCCACACTTGATCAATTATCACCTAAATTTCACCCACCTCACCTAAAAAAACTTTCAAAATCCGTCTTTTTAGGTGCACCTAAAAGGTGCACCCTTTTTCAGAATATCACCTCACCCACCTCACCTAAAATTTTTCAAAAATTGGCTTTTTTAGGTGCACCTAAAAGGTGCACCTTTTTCCAATCTATCACCTCACCCACCTCACCTAAAATTTTTCAGATTTGGGACTTTTTTAGGTGCACCTAAAGGTGCACCTTTTTTGTAATCGTCACCTCATCTCACCTCACCTAAAAACTAGGTGATTTTGAACCCTGGCTTGAACTCTTTTCCTAATAATTGAGTTGCTCCTAATCGCATTCTACAGGCGGCCAAACTCGTGATTTTATGTCGACTACTCGTTCTATTTTCTGAACTTTGAGTTCGCCATTGAATTCGATTAAAATAGTTTTATCATAATTTAAATTACGAACTCGTTCTCGATAAGCGCCATCAACAAAAGCATCAGGTCGTTAAAAGCTTTCAAATTGATTAAATTAGGAATTAATTTCTCTTTCCGATCGATTTACCAAGGAAGAGGATGAATGCAGTGTACATCTTGCAACTCTTCCAATTAAGCAACGTGATGAAAATGACGATTCCGTTGAGCGGGACGCCCAGTATTGTTGCAATGGAAGCTGTCCATATTGGAATTTTGTCTTCTGTCTGGGAAAGAAGCGGGTTCTCGGAAGAGTCGAGATCGTCGAAGTTGAATGAAGCAAAAAGATCATCAGGAATCGGAGCTTTGAATAAATGTCTGATAAAGGATCGACAAAAATATATTCTTGCGACGATAAAATCTCGCTAAAATCCTTTTCCATAATATTCATCGCAAGTACAGACATCGTCAAAGGAAGCTTCAGTCATAATTCTATTTTCTCTTTATCTTTCTTCTTGTCTTCGAAAACATTCTCTCTTCCTTTTGAATATTTGTTGTTTGAATCGTTTTCTCTTATTTTCAAATTTTTCAGTCCTCAAAACGAGCCGTATCAAAACGCGCCAGCCACAACAAAATAATGATCCTGCTCTCTTCTGCCTACTCGCCAGTATGCTTTTTCTCTATTTTCATAATGGCTGTTGCAATCAACCAAATAATCAAACAATTTAACCTTCAGTATGCCGGTGTACTGATTGTCTTGGGGAAATAATTCACTTGTCTATTTTTCGAAAAAACGAAGAAGTTTTGAATTTTACGGGTTTGGAGCCTCGATCTATCTTTCTCAGTCGGAAGCCAAAGTCATTAAAATATTTAAGATCTGGGATCAATCAATCTTTATAACTTCGAAACTGTAATAAATCACACATCATTATTGCTTCCATTATCGATTCAAAGCTTTTGTTTTTTGTAATTTATTATTGAATCTGAAGATAATAATAATAATAATAGCAATAATAGTAAATCTAGATCTTGAAGCTAGATAATGGCAGTGCAAGAGGTGGTAGAATATAATTTAAATTTCGGAAATTCATTTTTCGGAATACATTTTTTGAATAAGCTAGTTTTTCTTCTTCAGCCACTTTTGATACAGAATCGGCTGAGAGGCGATGTGGGAAGCTCGAGTTCGGAAACAAGAATCTCTTTGAGTTTGGCTGAGATCTTCTGCGCAGAATTTCGGGTGCCACGGATGGACCAAACTTGCGGCATTTGCCCGCATGATATCCTGAAAATACGAATTTGATTCTGATTTATCTATTCTTGAACATATGTAGCACGTGATATGTTTAAAATAAATTCGCCTCCTTTATCAATTATTCAAAGAGACAGGGCTCTTTTCCAAAATTGACGTTTATCCTCATCAGCGGAATAGAAAGTAATCGTCTTACCTTTCCCTTTGCAACAAAATTTGTAACTAGATGGACGTCTTCTAATCCCCAGCCATGAAGACTCTGATCGAAGCCACCAGATTCAAGGAAATCGGCTTGGTAAAGAGAAACCATTCCAAAACCGTATTCTCGCCAGAAGCCTTCCCGCTCGGAAATGTGAAAGTTTCCCTTTTTCAGAGTCGAAGCTGGATCGTATTTGGAAAAGACTGTCGGATAGAAGGCCACTTCTCCTTGGACTGTAAATTGACGGATGTGGCGGAGAGTTTCGGTGTTGAATACCATGTCGATATCGCAGAAGAACAACAAATCATCGTGTTCGCATGCTTGGGCCCCGGTTTGGAGGCCTTTTCCGCGGCTGAATTCCCCGTGTTCTCTAAAAATCATTTATTTTCTCCAAAAAATTAGAGAGAGCTGACCTAAGGAGCTTGATTTCTGTATTAGATATTTTCTCCTGGTAATTTTTGAGTTCATCTTTCAACGCTTCGAATTCAGCATTCGATGCGGGAAAATCAACAATGATCAAATTGAGAAGCTCATGGTGATGCTTGACTAGAGAGGAATATGTCTTCATGAATCTATGCAAGGCATCTGATCGACCAGTCAGCGGAACGATAATATTCACGGTAATTTCATCGATGACGTTTTTACATAAAGCCGGGTTTTTCTCCTTTTCGTTCTGAGTTATGCATTTTTGGATGCGGCTTTTAGAAAGAAGGACTGGCTCGTAATAGAAAGGTCGATTGAGAAATGATCTTCTAACACGGACACTAAAATAAACGTTTAGAAATTTCCTACTCAAGCTTTTCAGATAGCGAGTCTTTTCATCCTATCTCTGATTGGTCAATTTTTGAGCTCAGCTAATTTTGGTGCAAAATAAAAATGATCGCTATCCTTAGGAGCTGCTGTTAGTTCTGTGAACTTACCTGTTTGACACAGTTTGTTGAATCTGTTTTCCATTCTCCAGATGATTGTGTCTGACAATAATTGTCCCGACAAGCTCAGAAGAAGTTTCCGTCAGTCGGTGATACATTTCCGGAACTTGAATTCGCGTTATTTTTCCTCCAAGACCGAGTCGTTTGTAGATTGACTTCGCACTTTCACGAGCTGCGGAACTGATGACATCGACCCAGTAAGGCTGGAGTTTGTGTGTGCTTGTGCGAAAGGAGAAGAACTTTCCGCTGGAAAATTGATCCCAAATGTCTGTTCTATTTAGCCCATTGGGGATGCCGACGGCGCTCTGTGATTGCTCTCTAAATTTTTTTGTCATGAAAAATACCAGAAAAACATTTACTTTTCATTGAGGAGATCTGTCATGAGAGCACGTTCCATTTCGACTTGAGTCGTTTTCGCGATCAAATCCGAGATGGACGCGATTTTGAAAGCTCTGTGAATTTCGAACTGATACTGAGGCTCTTTGTTCGGATGATAAGTAGCAATGGACCCAGCTGCGAGATCAGAAAAGTACCGAAGCCGCTCTTCTTCGGTTTGCTTGTTGTAGCCATAGTTTTGCTTGAAAAGGCGATTCGCTTCGTAGGCTTTGATGCATGAGATCTGCAACCGCTCCTGAAAATTCGATATTAACAAAGTTTTTTAACTGAAAAAGCACCTGAATGCAGCGCCCAAGTTCCAAATCCTCATGCTCAGTGTATAGGCGTTTGAGGCAAGAAGGAAGATGCGGACTAAGATTTCTCAAGAGCTCACGTGACATCACTATCCCAGGCCCTCCCATACAATAAGTCATTTCTTCTTCGACATAGTCCCCGTCGTCTTTTCCAAAGCCAGGGGAGCCGATGTACAGTTTATCTGATGGATCGAGTCTAAAATTAAAAATACAGATTTAAAATCTTTTATTGATTGTTTTTTAAACCGTCTAAGAAGCTTTTCAAGGATCGGCCAACTGATGTAAGCATCATCGTCTAATCGCATAAACCAGTCGTATTCTTCCAAATGATGCTCGGCCAGATAGCGCATCATCGAGAACGACTTGCGCTGCGGGGGGATAAACATTGTCCGCGACGCCCGGCAGAGCGACGATGTTCACCCCGTCAACGCTGCCACTCTCTGCCGCGAAAATTTCAACCTTGATCTTCGCGCTTGGATTCTTCACGCGAACTGCTTCTGCCCAAGTTTGAACAGCGGCCAGAGCTCGGTTGTCGAGATATTTTCCCGCCGACATCATGGCTACGTAAAGGAAGCCAGAAGAAGTACGTGATTTTTGAACATATCGATTTTCCGCGTAGTCTTCTGGCCATCTTAGAAATCATTGAAAAGCTTAAAAAGAAAGGGGATTTCTTACTTGTAAATTTCTATAGTTTTATTCTGAGCAGCATGTTTCTTCAATATTCTCCTATGATGGATACTCCCAGCACTTTGTTTATAAATACACGGTCTTGGAAGAAGCGTCTGACCGAGAAATCCCAGCGTGTATCCAACCACCACCCCGACAATTACTGGAAAGAGCCATCTGTAGAAGTAGCGAGTTGTGAGCATCCCGCTCACCACCTGAAAATCATAATTTTTTTTTCTCTATTTCTTAGTTTGTATTTATTTCGCACTCTACTCCCAACTGAGAAAGGTGGATTTTGGCATCACTTGGCAGGGGGATTAAGAATTTATCCAGATGTAATAGGATGCTGATGCATTTTTTACATCTCTCTCTCTCTCTCTCTCTTCCTCTTTCCATGCAAATTCATAGTAGAAAAATTGTTCAATTCAGCTTTTTTGTCACATATTTTTTCTTTCTTTTTTTTGAAAATTCTTACCGCTTTTATCAATTTTTTTTTTAATTTTAAAAAAGACAAAATATCAAAAAACTCTTACTTTCTTTTTCCCGGAGTTGAACTGTATGTCTCGATCTATTTTCCCGACCGAAAATGAAAGAGGAAAAGACAAATCAATAAAGCACTTCAAAGTGTGACTCGAGAAATACCTTAGAACTTGCATTAGAACTTGTCCGTTTCTCCCTTTTCTCCTCTTTTCCCTGCTCCATCTTATGTTTTTATCGCAGTCGGCTATTGAAAATTTTCAATCGAATCTCAATTACTCTCGAGGACGGCTTCATGTTCTAGCACTTGAGAATTCTCTCTCTTTCTTTCTCTCTTTTTTCAAAACCTTTTTTCAAAAACTTATTGTTTTGGCGCCCCATTTACTTTCTAAACAGAGCGAAGCCCCAGGCGCGTGCTACGGATTACTGTAGTCTAACCACAACTTCTCACACGTCCCATTACTCTCACTTTTTATTACATCACTACTTCATCCTCTTTTCCAAAAAGCAATGCAAATTAATTCATAGCGCGAATTCGAATCGGCGCGGGAATCAAGCTAATTACCTTATTATTCATTTCGCCAGTTCTTTTCTCTGTTTTATTTTTGTCCGGCTGATCTAACCGGGGGAGATAACAACCGGTGCTACAAACGAAACCTGAGCGCTCCCAGATCAGCCCTCAAATGCGCCCTGTTGCTTGAATTATCATAACGCGCGAAATGAAGAAGTTTTTGGGATGATATTTTGGGCAAGTTTACTTTTTTGTTTTTAATTTCCGCCCTCGCCTAAAATGCTAAAAATCGCTTGAAACAATTATATGCAACGTTGCTTCCCTACGATGACGGAAAGAGAATTTCTACTGAAGCAAGAAAAAAATATATATTTGCAAATGACAAAACCATTTACTAAATGAAACAACAGGAATTCCATTAGATATGAGTATTAATTTTATACTATAAAAGAATGGACCTGAAGTATCTTCGAGGGTGTTTAACTTTTTGAACTGATAAAAATAAAATAAAAATATCTATTTTATATGATAAGACTTTGACTTACTCTGAGTATTTTCATTTCATTCGCAGGACATTCGTTTCTCGTTGAATCTTCTGGTCACTTGCATGTTAGTATCTTGTCTTTATTAGTATTCAAACAAGGTCATTGTTGGCTTGAATCGGTGATCCCTTTTTTCAACGCTAAAATACGAACGCGGTAGGTCCCCCGCCCTCGGGGAGAATATCCCACTGGAAGGTATCACCTTTTTGCACCTTTTTGCAAAACCATTCAAAAAACTAGTAGTCTATCTTCATTCATAGTATTTGCTTTCATTTAGCATTCAGCTAAGTCGTCCGTCAATCTTCTTCGTTGTCTCCAATTTGATTTTGAAGTATCGACTCAGCAAGTCTTGTCGATTTATTTTGGGTTCAGGGAAATGCGGCATTCAGACGGGTCATTCAGGTAAATCGGCCGGTTCCACCGGAAGTGGCAATGACCGTACTTCAGAGAAATCAAATTTCCTTTGCTAAACACAGTTGATTGATAACCTTGCTCGGCAAGACTTGCCGTGACTTTGTATTTACTAAGACGGCTGAAAGTTGGAAGGCATTTTGCTTATATCGCGATTCATACCAAAAGATGATGCAGCTTTCAAAAGAAGTCAAGAGATCAAATATAGTTTTTCTGCTCTTTTCTATTTTGACAATTCTGTAAGTCCGGAATATCCAACCTTAATATTTCCTGCATTTTCAGCACCGATGCAACACTTTTATCGACACAAATAAGAAATGGTCTTTTACGAACTTTTGGTGTAGGCATATTTGTCGGTCTTTATGGTGTTTTGACCGGCAGTTATCGAATTTGCTCTAAAAAGTCGGACATTTTCCGTGCAAAATATAGCAAAACTGGACATTTGGTAAGTGAATAAAAATTTTTTTCTGAGTTTCGAAGCATTTGTTGAAGAAATAAATAGGCTAACGTTATGAGTTTGATGATTTCAGAAGTTTCCTTTAGTCTATCCTTGGTTTGATCTTTACGCTTCTTGGTCTTTTATGGCTTTCCTTTGCTTATTCATGTCATGTAAATTTGGCTTTGATCCTGCTAGGTATTGATGTCATTTCAGGTTGTGTGCATTCTTGGATATGGAGAGGCTGAGCCAAGTACGTTTTATAGAATTCTTAATGGTGAAATACCGACTCTTGGGGATAACGAGATCATTGCTGGAAGCTGCGTCAATTTTCAAAAAGATTGGACTGCTCACAATGAAATTATAAGGGGCAATATAAGCGTTACATTGGTTGATATGGCCAATTTATTCGAAACTGATGATGCTAATATTGGAGATGAAACCGACTTGAAGACAGTTGATTTAGCCTCAGATGATCTTGATGAAGATCTAAAAAGACAACTTGTAGTGGATGAATTTATGAAGCTTTTTGAGAACCCAAGTACTCTCGGTCGAACTAAAATAAATTATATCTGGGCTTTGCTTTTAGTTTACGTGAAGGTTTACATGGTCTTGTACTCATTTGAACTCATCCTGATCTTCATTCTCCTTGTTTTCTTTGCATTTAATGTCTTCGACGTTGACGGCGACGCATTTATCAGTCGAAAAGAGATCAGGTAAGCAATCTACCGTCCTTGATAATACTTGGCATGTCAAATAAGGGTGACGATGTCCAGATTAGGTCAAAATTTGACGTCGAAAGAGCTTGACGAAATGATCGCAGAATGAGGGGTCAAAAATTACAGATTATGAATTAATAAATCATTCTTGATAATTCATTTATACAGAACTTAATATGCTACCAACGCTATGACACCAAGCAATGAAATTGTCAGAAAATGATCCCAGATAAAGCATTTGATTTTGACGAAGACGGAAAAATATCATTCAAAGAATTCAAACAATTTTTTCTCCAGGAAAGCGAAACTTGACAGAATGTCAAAGATCGACTTTATTGTTCTTAGCCTGACTCATACCATAACCCTGACCCTTTCTTCTGCTCAATGCTTGTTGACATCGTCGCGTTCAATTTGGTTGAACAATAAATATCAAGAAGCTCAATCTTACTCTTCATTGTTTCTTAAAAAACATCTTTGTTGCTGAACTGCTACATTACGCTAAAACATTGTACAAAATTTGACTGAATTTGATTTTCAACCTCATAAGCCACTTGTTAAAAGTGCAAATATTGATCATCGCGAACGAAGAGCCCGGAATAGCTCAAGAATTTCCAAATCATTGGCGATCGTCAATTGTAAAAGAGACAATCATCGCGAGCACAATTTTACAGTAAAATTTTTACTGGCGTCTTTGTTAAATCCCAGGCTCCTTTTTATGCCCTGAGAGGATGCATAGATAATTTTATTTGATTAAATCTCAGACAGAGAGGTCATTTGGGCGCTCTCTAGTGAAGTAAGTGAGTCACCCTCCGACGCGCCCTGGTGAGTTTATCCATTCTTGCGCTCGAAATTCAAAACTCAACGACTCCGAGAGAAGAGGCTGCCTCCACTTCTCAGTGAGAACAAAAGAGCTGCAAAGTCAATGAAAATGATATGATTGGAAGAAAAAGTGAAAAATTATAAAAACCGAGAAAGAGAACTTCGGAATGAACGAAACAGTAAATTTCCCAGGGAATCAGGCTGATTATACGGGCGTATACGCTGTTACGAAGAATCAGGGACTTTTGGCCTGCCATAATGGACTCAATGATTCTGCCTTTCCAGGTAAATACGCTAAACAAACACACTGGAAGCTCAATATTTGATAAAATTAAAGTTTAATTGATAAATACAGTTAGTTAATTAAAAATAGAGTCCTTCGGGTAGTCTTCCAATTCCTAATCAAATTTACGTACAAATTTACTTGGTAGAAGCTGTCCAAGGAAACATCACCTGCGCCGAATATCATTTTCCAACGTTTGTCAAGCCCTTTGTCAAGTTTTTATGGGTTATTTTCTCCTTTCAAATGCTGCTAACCGTCTTCTGGACGCGTTTCTTTTGGTTGTATCCGAAAATCCGGCGGAGTATTTTCAAGTTCACGGATGCAAACAGAGGTGGTTCAAAATCTGCTATCAGTGGTGCTCGAGATTGGATTCAGCGCAATATTTGTTGTTTTATGCCCAGAAAACTTATCGGTCTTCCAACCACAATTTTAAAGGTAAGCAAAAATCGCCCGCAAGCTCTGCAAAATCGACAAAATAAAACAGGTCATAAACAATTTGATAGCAAGCAACAGGCGTCCCGGAAGTAGACGGAAACGCTGAGAACAGCTACGCATTTTATCGCGATTTCTGGGCGCAACCGATCACCGAGCAGGACGTTCGATTTGGCCACAAGATCTTTCGTCTTCCCAATCCCTTCAAGTGGAAATGGCTGTTCAGGCTCGACAGCTCGCTTTCACCCAAAAGTCGCATTATCATCAGCTACACCCTTATTCTGACGTCAATCCTTGGATTACTTGCAGACTTCTTCATTGACATTATGTTTTTGCAGGATTTGTCGACGGAGACCCTCATGGATATTAAATATATTCATATCACACCTGGAGCAGTAAAGGAGCGGTTTCGTTTTAAAAGTTGAGTGCCCACAAGGGCTGAACAAAGAGAGAACGATGAATAAATGATGAAGAAAGCTAATTTTGGACCGTCAAAGTTGAGCGATGATAATGGCCTTCCGCCCATTACTGTTAAAAATGCATTTAATCTGAAGATTTACATCAGTAGATCTCATACGAATGCGGCATTTTAACATGCCATTCATTTTTTAACATCCTCCCAACTTTTCCTCCTTGTCAAAATTCAAAACCGTTTGAAAGGCCATGGCATTATACGAAATCCCAGTGATGTTTGCGACACCTTTGACTGCCTACGTCGTTTACAAGATGGCTTGGTCGCACAACATTCAGTCCAATCTTATTGGCGAAGTGCTCATTATTTCTCTCGGCTATGTTCTCGAAGACGGCCCAGAAATGTTCCTCCAGTACTTCTACGTCGACAAATATTCCGGGACAGATTACTCATATCCAGACAATTTTGCTACTTCTGGGCGAGCGACGGTTCTGATGAGTTCCTTTATTTCCCTGATGATCGCCTTGTTCAACATCGTTAACCTACTCTCACTCTATGGAGAATTCCGACTGTATCTTCGATTCAGAAGCTTTAGAAATACGCTCAATCCTCGAAGCACCACTACACTTCTCATTGTCCCGGAGACTGGATCTACTGGACCCGACACACTTCGTCAGGCAGCTGATCCAGAAAGGGTTGAAAAGCTCATTCCCATCGTTGCTGAACTCCGGCAAATCGCTAAGGAAGAACAAATGAAGGAAAAACTCGCTTATGATTTGTACCTTATCGAACGCGAACTAGAAAAACTGGACAAAAAGTCGAGGCGGCCAACGAGAATGACATTCCGGGAGCGATTACAGATGCAGGAAAAGGAATACGAAAAACAGCTGAAAGAACAGGGTCAAGCAGCGCGGAAAGAAAATAAGCGAGAAATAAGCAAAATCATCAACGAGGAGCACGATCAAATCAAGAGCCTAATCGTCGCTGTATTTGTTCTGATCGGGGTGCTCCCGTTCATTGCGAATTTAATGCGTTTGGCTTCGTCGGCCTATCAAATTTTCAAATCTCGTAAATACATGGACAAGTGCTTGAAATACAACTTGGTTCAAAACGCCACAGATCCATCAAATTGGATCGCCACCGTCACTCAACCGGACATATTCGACTTTGCTTGTTACAAAGTTACAGATTACCCGCTCGTCTTTGGAAACTTCTTCGCTCTTGGTGCGCATTTTATTCTTTTGGTTACTATTGGAATAATTTATATAATCCCGCAGTCTCCTTTGAAGGTAAAACAGAGCTTTAAACAGTTGAAATAAATCATGATCGTAGGAGTTTATATCCGAGGACTCAGACACAGAAAGCGAAGACTCTGGCGATGATCAGAATAGAGAGTACGGGCAGATGCGCCGCAAAGCTATCAAAAGACGAAAGTCCACTAGAACTCCAGCTGGCAGAACTAATCGAGCAAAAAGTGCCTTGGATGGTGACTTGAGGAAGAAATATCAAAAACAAGTTTCTAGGAAGGGATTTGGACGTTTCTTTGAAAGCTTTTTTTCTGTCAATTTAAACGACTAGTTGCATATAAAATCCCAACAGATCAAAATCAGTCATGAGTTCGCCGCAAAGCTCCTTCAAAAATTTCAACAAGCCGTTGCCAGAAGAGCCGCGATCAGACGGCGTCATCATCAGAAACGATATTCTGGAAACGAGGGGTAACTTAGAATCGTCGCCATTGTGAAGTGGTCGGAAATTTCTCAACCTGAAAAATTTTCTGTTTTGTAAATTTTTATAAATGCATGTCGAGAATGTAGATATCATTTTTGCCATAAATCGTAGCTCATTTTAACATCAGCTTACGCGCTTTTCCAATAATATCCGACCTATGAGAAGCTGAACGATCTGTAGCCAGCCAAAGACTCCAATCTAAAGTCAATGCTTATCTAACAATCTTCTGCAAAATCTTTTCTGTACATTCCACACCTCAAATGCCTTCAAATAAATCGATCAATCGACGCGCTCTCTTCCTTGATTTCAATGAAAAAAAGAAGCATTTTTCTCCAAAACAAAAATAAACCTACGCTTTTGGAAAGCATTTTTATTCGCTATTTTGTTTTCTATGAGAAAATTTATTTCAGAATGATTTTAAACATAGTCCGGAAAATGTGTTTTGAAGAAAAATAAATACGAAAAGGTGTAAAAGAATAATAACTACCGCGAGATTCTGAATCAAAGTTTGTTAAGTGCAGACGGTAAAGAAAATGGCAGAGAATGAATCTCAGAATATAATGGTCATTAAATTTTTATATCAACTGAATCAATAGTGACGTTTTACATCCAGTTTTTGACCCTGAAATAGCGTGAGAATGAGGACGATCAAATCAATTCAGGATCTTCAGTTTCAGAAACTCAAACTCAAAATCCACCCGAAAAGTCGATTATAAAATTGCAAAATCGAAATGTTTTCTTTCTTGGGCTTGCGTTTTTACTTCTTTATACTGCATTTCAAACCATGAATGGAATCCTCCAGGTATGACTTTGAGAAAGTAATGGCTGAAACAAATGTCATATACAGATTCCTGTAGTCAAGCAATAAGAATTTCGCCTCCTAGACGGTGCTGGATAGCTACTACGCTCAGCATCCTGATCATGGAGCGGAAGTCAATGGTCTAGTCAGTTTGGGCATTTTCTATGGCGTCTGCGCTCTGTCTGTTTGGGTGAGAAGGGAAAAACCCTTTTACAGTAGTTTCTTATATTTTTTTAGTTTGCGCCTTGGGTGATTACGTTAATGTCTCCAGTAGCGGTAATGTTGATGGGCGCACTCATCAACACAGCTTACATGACGCTGTTCATCAGCGCCCCTAATGAGTACCGGTTGTGAAGTAATGCGTGGGCGAAGTTTAAGAAATACGTACACAACCGGCATGAGCACCGCTGGTTTATGTGTTTTCCGTGCTTATCGGAATCGCGGGCGCGTTTATTTGGGTTGGCCAGGGGACAGTTCTGATAACGAATTCTAATCCAGGAAAGCGACAAAAAACAACACACTTTTAAAGACCAAGAACAAAGTGTTGAAATTCGCTCAAAAGAAACGATCAGTAGAAATACAGGCATCTTCTTTCTCATGTTCGAAAGCTCACTCTTCGTCGGAAACACGTTTATTTATTTCACATTTGACGGAGCGGTAAGATTTTTCTTTATCAATCTAGGAGCAAGGGTGGATTTAGGAGTACATTTCCGACAGCACGCGGGTGGTGGTGTTCAGCTGCCTAACCGCTGTCTCGTTCCTCGGCTTGTTAACCTTGTTCCTGATCCGACCGCTGCCAGAAGCACAAGTTGCGAATTCCAGCAACGCGCTAGAAAGTCAAGACGAAAGTGACACCGCGCAATTGGTCGAAAACGATGCTCAAGTTTAGGTTTTAGAAATTACGCGATTTTTCTTGAAAACGTTATTTTAAAACCAAAGCAGATTCAAGTAGCAAGTGGCGCAAAGCCAGCGAAAGTGCTAAAACAGCGTTTTGGAATGCGATTCGAATTTTAAAAACTGAACAGGTCCTGTTTCAAATTGTCGTCTGGGCGTACAACGGCTTAGAGATAACATTTTGGAGTGGAATTTTGCCCACATGCATTGGCAACACCATGGGAAAGCGGGCTCCAAAACCGTGCGGTCGACTTCTGCGGCGGAATTTTTTCTTTTTTCGCCGGAGAGGAAGAAGTTTTAATAGCGATTAAACGCTTTTGAATTTTTTTTCAACTCTCAAGAAAAAGGTTTAAGCCCGGGAAATTAGCGCTACCGAATAGATACAGTGTTGTTGGATTGTCGGGAATCGTGGTTGGAGTTGGCGAAATGATTGGGGCCTTTTTGACGATGATAACAGGAAAAAGATCAGGTGAAGCAAACCGCTTTTTAACTAAAAAGAAAATTTTCCTCTATTACGGCCTCCATTAAAAATTTTACTTCAAGATCCGCCTCGTGGGCCTTTGATCATTTTCGGCATGATTTGCCAAGGAATCGGCTTCTACTTGTGCCTACTGTATTTGCCGGACGACAGTACGACCTCCCGCATTGGAACGTTTTCGCCGACTTGGGCTGAACCCTCCACCGCGTCAATCTTGGCGACCGCATTTTTCCTCGGATTAGGAAGCGTTTTGTATAAAGTTATTACTCGGCGGTCGTCGCCTCCTGTAGCTGGCCCCAGCGCCCGGCCCGGAACAAATTCAAAATATTTCAAAACGTTGCATAATAGGCGACTCAATGTATCAAAACCAAATCGTCTCCTTGATCGGATTGATTTTCCCAGAGGAGGAGAACGCTTCCGCTTCTTTTGCCCTCTTTCAGGTGATAAGAACTTTCAATTGCTCAGCAGTAAAAACAGTGCAATACAGTTCATTCAATGTCTTGCCGCCGCGATCGCTTTTTTCTACTCTGTCTATGTGGGACTAATGTACCAGCTGCTTATTTTGGTCGTTTTCATGCTCGTTGGAACGAGTTGTTTTCTATACTTGGAAATTAAATACGCGAAAAAATTCCCTGTCGGTGAAGAATCCTGACTTTTTCCTGTTGATTTGAAGCTTTTTATACGATTTCATTCATTTACTGAACATAGGTATAAAACTTGATTACTTGCCCAGAAATGAATAAAATAAACCAGAAACGGTGAATGATTCGAACAGAAGCTTGTGACCTTTGAAAAGTGTGACCAAAATGAATTCGCCGGCACTTAGTGTGTAGACTTTCGTGTGACGAAAATGAAATCATCACTTCCTTCTCCGATTACCGAGGATTCTCAAAGCACGTGGGCTTGGGACGTTCTTACTTTTGTCATTACAGAATCTTCCTATCTTTTTTATAATAATTATCGCTCCTGGCAAATAAAAATCTGCGATTTCGGCAGAGTTGGCGGAAATTGTCGAGCATCAATTTCAGCTCAAGGGTTTCTAGGACCGTCAATTTGAGGCTACTTGCTCAAATAAACCGGCATTTTGAGCACCCTTCAAGTTTCCGCACAAACAACCGGTGCAACTCACTTCTTGCCGGCGCGCACGTGAACTTGAAATCATTTTCTTATTTCTATTCCCGGTAAGTGTGGGATGAGCCCTCTCAAATGGCAATTTCGGTGGTTTTTTAAAATGACATGCTTGTTCAGCTAAGTGGAAATTAACAAACCAAAGCGTTTTGCTTGAAAAGGGCGAACAACCCAACAAGAGCGACAAAGCCATTTTTAAAAATAAGACTATTATTAAATTATATCTTTCTCGAAATAGGCGGGATATTTAAATCCTTCTTTGGCGCCAAAAGAATGATCCTTTCTTAATCTTATCAATCCAAAACGAAGATGAAAGGGAGAAATAATCATTTCAATGGTTTTTTCGTTCCTTTATGATGGGGTTGATAACCAGGAATATCTCGAAAAGCTCACATAAGCTCCCCTAAGGCAATATTGTTGTCACGGGCGTCTCCAGCGATTTCTGTCGGATAATCGGCCACGCGCGCCTGGCGATGAACAGTGGTTCGATCTGGAGGCAGTTGGTGCTGGTGGTGGAGCAAAAACGAAGAAGCCTCAACTCGAGGCGGCGTCGAACGTGATTGATTTCAACCGGCCGACAATGCGGTCGGCAAATTTTTCTTCAGCGGTCAGCCGGCGTGTTTGAAAATTGTTGCGCCTCAGGAGAGGCGACAGAAGCCCCCCACACGCTCAGTTACTGGCCGTTGAGAAGATTACTGTAATTCAATTCAAACAAGGGAAAAGATAAATCTAATTCAGTGACATTCTTTTTTAAAATCGGGTCTCTTACCGCTCAAAAAAAGCGGATTAAGTCAACATCTAAAATTCTGGTTCTAACGCTGTTCGTGATTATTGTCGATGATGGGATGAAATTCCAGATCGATTTTCTCGTGGTGCTATATTTCAAAACATAATCCCATAGAGCGCCACGCAGAAACCGTCTCGAAGCTCCCTATATTTTTAAATTGTTCTGCGGTTTTTTCTCCTTTTGAATCTGTAAATTTACAATTCTCCAATTTTCTCTTTCACTTTCCTTTTTATTCTTTTTAGATTATAGAATTTTCTCTAGCGAAAAAAAGCTTTTTTGCAAAAATAGAAGAAAACTGACCTCACGATTTCATGTATCGACTCAGGGTGGTTTTCTCGGCGACCGACTTGAGAAAAAAATGGTGGTGGCGCTGAAACGCCGAGCCAAGTGGCGAAGATGCTCCTCCAGCAGCACCAGAGTGAGCTGGCGAGGTACGGATTGAGCGATCCGCCACCCGCGCGCCCTACCAGCTCCACCGATTACCATGCCACTCACACTAGCCACACGATGAATCACAGACACCGGCCGCTGCGCACAAGCATACCCTTATCCCACCGTTCGGTGCAAACAGTGCTCATTACTGAAAATTTTCTCCTTTTCAATGATTTTTAACAAATTCATATCGTTCAACTAAAATACCAACAATTCATAAAGTCAAGCTAGTCCAAAATAGTTGGAAAAATATGCTGTAGGGTCCGCTTTTGGGTTAGGGTTAGTGTTTTAAGATCTTTTTCTCTTTTTCTGAATTATGGCAGTTCTAAGGCAAGATCTACTGATCGCGCAATAAATTAAGCCTTACTAATGCCGCCAAGCTTAGCATTGGGTTGTATCTCAGGACGATTAGGGCTAATCACAATGCAAAGTATTTTTTGAGGACACGGTCACATTTTTAATAATTCTAATTATTGAAGATGACGTTACTGGTGTCCTCTGCCGGCAAGAGATTAGGGATGAAAATGCACCGTGCGCGGGGAGAGCAGGGCGGTTCAGCAAATTACCGACCCCGTAGCTTATTATTTCGGTACACTTGAGCCCACTTGACCTTCGCGGGTTACGCTGCCGGCTCCTTCCTACTCCCTGCGAACCGCACAAAATTGATATCGTTTTTTGCTTATCAAGGGGAATACGGACGCACTTCAAATTCATATTCATTTATATCGGATATGAATAGAGTCCGTTTTAAAATAGCAAAATGTGACTTGAGGTCGTTTGGTGTCACTAGGGTTCAAATGACCTCAAGTAACCTTATATTTTTTCAATCGTTTTTCCGGATTTCCTGACTTAGGCTTTTTTACACAGTTCACCAAGCCCTGTAACTGACTGACATTCAGCCGCTGAATTTTAATTTTTTTGTCCTCTGAAAGCTCCAAAAAAAATTTGAATTTGAAGAAGACCGGCAATTTCCTAATTTTCTCTCTTTTGCCGATAAGAGTACGAGTGGCGAGGCTGGGTTTGTTTTTCAAAGATAAAATCTTTATATTGTTTTTCTACTTTTGGCAGCAAAACTCGAACCCGGAAGGTGCTAAGATGCGATAAAAATGGGAAGAGCCCAATTGTGTGCCAGACGCCGCACGAATTGAGCAAAACTGAGAACACAATAGAGCTTTAGCTAAAGCAAAGGTCAAAAATAATTGTTCAGAACGAACTACTTTTCTACTTCCAGGTTTCATCTAAAAAGACAAGTGACTCAAGAACAATATGATTATCTTTCATTAAAAAATTTGACCCGTCTATATTAAAAACTTGTTAGGTGGTATTATCATGAGATTTCTGTGTACTAAGATCTGTAAAAGGAATCGAAAACCATCTCTCTTGTGAATCAGGTACCGTAAATGCGGCATTTTCACGTACGGATGCTACCAGAGTTTTCAAAATTGGCACGTTTTGTTGACACCAAATATTTTGCAGATATTCCGGCTGATAACGAGCCCCATCGCAATTTTTTCACCAATGCGAAATCATCTTATTACTTCATCGAAATGACACCGCTTTTATATTTTTAATGAATTTATATATATATCATATATATAATATATGGGCCATATAATATGGCGCAAGAATAGGATGGTGGAGCTGCCTCTTTCCTTCTCAAACGCGCAGCCCGCCAACTTCAGCGTGAAAGCTCATTAGGCACCTGTTTATGGAGATTAGATTCACTCTACCGGTAAACGGAATCAAACCACCGCTGCGAATTGCGCTGATTCATTACCTTTCTTTTTCTCCTTTATCTTGAAGGTTTCTTATGAATATAGTGGATAGTCCTAATACCAGTATTTATTTTTTAGTTATTAGACTGAGTCTTACGATGGATCCTAGACTTACTCTTAGGTTTATGGGTTTATAATGAGTTAGGGTGGCTTTTGATTGGTTCAAGGAAAGAATCCTTGTTTCTGATTGACTAAAAATCAACCCAAGTGCCTTCGCTAATTAACCCTGTCGCAACGGTTTTCCAAGCTCTTGGCACCTTCGATAAAAACGGGTGAGTTTGGCCTACAAGGTTCAAAATAAAGACGACAGGTTAAAAATGATCAGTCGCCAAAAACTTTTTTCTCAGGTTGAACCGCAGGATAGAGCGGTACAAGATGGCGGGTCTTAGGGCTTGTCGCCGGGGTAAATCAGTTTATCGAAGCTGCGGTGGGCGAATTTTCCCCGTACTAAAATTATTCTTCCGCAAATTTGAAATTTAGCATAATCGAATTAAAATTGGAAATACACTGAATATGAAAATAGACTTTATTTATTAGTTTAAAAAATAGACTTTGAATTTCAAAAGTTTGGGCTAGAGTTAGAGAGTCACATAGTCTCACTTTTTAGCTGAAAGATAGATCGATTGAAGAGTGGAACTGATCCTTGGTTACGAAAAAGAAATAATGACATCTGATTCAGCTTTGGGATTTATATAATATTTTCCGCAACCATCCTTCTGAGGGAAACTCCTCCGACGAGAGCACACCTTTACTGACGAGGAGGAGGAGTGAGAGGAGTCAGCTCGTTTCACTTTTACGCAATGGCTTCGGATCGGCTTTCTGAAATGGAAATTCATCATTATGCAATGAAGCTCGTAAACGAACCGAAGGGGGAGGCAGACATCAGAAAGGAGGACATCTTTCCATCGCCCAAGGGTGGCGTCTCGAACAAGATGGGTTTTTGGCGGAATTTTGAGGAATTTTTCGTCTTCGTTTTGAAGGGTTACTTCTTTAATATTTCAAAAAAGGTTCCAGCTTTCTATTGAAAGCTTTTTTATAAAAGAAAAATTTTAATAACCCATATCAAATTGCGTATTCTTGAAATTTGCGTCGGGTTCATCGTATTCCTGACTCTTGCGGAGAGAGCCTTGCGCTAGAAAAAAATATGCAATTTTGAAAAATTTCAAAAACGCCGCTGTGGCTGAATTTCGCGGTACCTGACACGAAAGAGCGTCATAATCCGGCGTGTGCACATTTAAGAAAACTGTGTTTTTCTCGTGTTGCTGCTGCCGTAAATTGACATGATCCAAATAAGCCTCGTAGCTGGCTGATTTGGCGCGCGCGAATTGCGCCAGCTTCCCCACAACTTGCTGCAAGAAAGCGTTTAGCGTTTGTTACGTAAATTTACGGAAAGGGATTTTCAGAATTCTTATTTTTCCAACCTTGTTGATGCTCTTCGCCGTGGGTAAAAAAACGTTTTCATCCCACTTCTTGTGAAGTGTTTCTATCCTGCGGAGCCGCCTTAATTCCTGCCCTTCCACTAGCTTAAATAAGGGTTTGGAATTTCTCGCCCAATTACGCTGCTATTTGGATTTCTAGCTCGTTCCTTCGCCAGACCCTGTCTTTGAAATATTGCCGCTTATTTCCACCTCTTGTCGACGAAATCGCTCCAAATCTTCATCAACTGCTCCACAGACTTTTGCACTCAAAGCTCGTCTGCTGATAGTCGTTTCTGTTTTCTCTCTATTTGGCACACGTTCCTTCATAGTTTCTTTCTGATTCCAGCGGCACGTTTGGGAAAAGACAAAAAAATGCTCGAGCGATTCTGAAGAACTGCTTCTGTCAGAAGAGCGGTCACAATAACAACGACACTTGTCTAAACAATACACCCATTGTCGCAACTAAATTAGCCACTTATGCAAATCATGCTCGATAGGAAACGATCTAGAACTCCGCCCTTGTTCAAACAAGTTAGGTCACAAATCAAATCTTTTATTGCAATAATCCCAAACAAGGCAAAGTCATTTTTATAGTACACTTTTGTTACAGTAAGGCAGTAATTAATTTTCTTCTAAATTCAACACTAGTTTCACTTAATACCAGTTGCCAGAACTGATTTCTTCCGGCTTCCTCAATCGATAAACCCTCACTAGCCATCTGGAACTGGTGTAGACTTCTTCGAAAAATTCCAGCTCAAAGTCTTTGTTTCCAATTTCTGCTTTTCTGACTCGATCCCATCCACTTGGCTTTCCTTTCTGGACATTTTGCCCTCCATATCTATTCAAATCGGTGTTCATAAAAGACGAATTAAAGCTCTGGACGTACCTGTAATAAGAGAGTTTGTACAAAAGTGAGTTGAGCCACGTTTGCGCGCCCTCGATGTCCACTCGAAACTCATTATTCACGTTCTAGTAAAAATATTACACTTTGCGCAAAGCACAGCGGCAATGATCAATCAACGTACCTTGTAGCGTTTCTGGTTGAATTCGCCCGTCACATGTTCGCTATCAGCCAAACGCAACATCCAGAGGAATTTGTTGATGTCGTCTTTTGAGTAGCCCACTTGGCCGCCGAATTGCACTGAAATATTCCTCTTTTATGGAGAAAACATTCAAACTTGAAATTAATTTTAACGCCAAACCGAAAATCTTTACAGTAGTACAGTGGACTGTACTACTTTTTATCTCTGCGCAAAGAAATCTCAACTTGTCAATGTAAAAAAAACTCACCGTAAACATAATCGGCTCCCAAATGCCTCAGCAGGGTGGCTATTTTGGATTTGGGGGTTAGTTGGAATTGGATTGGATCCAATCCAATAAGGTTTGGATGGAATTTGGATGGCCAGGGTACCGGATTTTGTTGGGGAAAATTGGGCAATTGGGGGAAATTGGGGAATTGGATCCAATAAAAAATATATCGCTAAACTATGCAAAGGAAGGTCATTTTCATGATAAAAATGAACAATTTCGGATAAAAAATCATTGTTTTGGCTATGTTGATCCTCCTTTCGGATAAAAACTGACTGTTTCCCTTCTTTTCAAAGTACTAAAAGCCTTGGAAAAATTGGAAATTCAATTGGATCTAATTGGAATCGGGGATTTTTGGGGAATTGGGTAATAATTGGATTGGGTTGGATTTTGGATGGATAGTTCCGACTCAAAATTTATTGGATGAAAATTGGATGGCCAGACCCCAAAATTTTGTCCAAAATAGCCACCCTGTGCCTCAGCTTGCTCCAGCCCTGCTCTTCTCCACTTGCGAAGGCCTTTCCAATTTCTGCAATAGAAGTCTTGTTCCATGCCGAGTTATCTGCCAAGGTGCCGCGCTCGGCGAGTTGGTTAATTTGATACCCATAATCCCACCAGGCGGCAATTTTAGACTCCTGAAAGAAAATTCACTTTTGAAGACTTCTTTTACTAAAAAATGTCAGGAATGACTATTGGAGAGAAGAGAGGGGCACAGATGAATGTTATCAGTTAGTTACCTCAGGTGTGTTATGCTTGAGCCAAGAGTAAGACTCGCGAAAGTCGTCAAAGATAAGCGCTCGTCCATCACCAGTAGCTGCTGTTACAAAAATCGTGGCATCGCTAATTTGAGTTAGATTTTACGCCCGCCCTCTTGTTGGTGAAAGAAGAGTACCTGTAAATGTTTTGCGTAACCCAAACACCGTGTCTCGCCGCGTAAATAAGATGAGCGGCGCAAAGTGTGCCAGCGGCACCGGCGAAAAATCGCTTCATCGGGAAATTAATCTCTTCGTACTTTTTTTGCATCCTTCGCTTTGATTCCTGTTGAGTATCAGTCTTTTCTGTGTTCTTGAGCGTTTTCAACGATAACTGAATGATGTGGCAGAGGGTGAGGCCAGATGTGATGGAGACAACAGGGACTGAGAATATATTGTAACTACAGTAACAAGAGTTTGTTACCTAAAAGAATTTGGTTGCTAGTTTTCACCGCAGCGAGATAGAGCGCGATCACTGCATAAACTGTAAGGATCAAAGCGGCATTTGCATTTTTCTTCGACAAAATCGAGAGCCCAATTGGTAAAATCATCGCTCCGTAGTGATTGTCGAAAAATAGCGCGGCCCAGGCAGAGGGCTGAGCGTTTTGGGATGAAGCTAAAGCTGGTGGATTCGTTTTTGGAAGAGATGGATTCAGGTAAATTGCGTTTTCTTCACTGAGAGGGCTGATTATTCCGCTGCTTTTCATGTAGAAAAGAAGGATGAGCGAGGAAGTAAATGAAGCCTGAAGTGGGCGGCGGATCTCTTCGTTGTCTCCAGCATGAAGAGAGAGGGAAAAGTATTGAAGGTAGACAAAGGTGAAGAGAGGCAAGAGCCCCTCAGATGTCAGTAAATCGGATTTAGCCAAAGTAAGACACGTAGAGATTCCGTAAAATGAAGAGTAAGCAGTGTACAGCGCACGGTCGTAGCTGCCGCGGAAGAGCTTAATTTTAAACCAGAGTTAATTTTAATTCCGAAAACGGAAATCCACGGATCATGGACTTGAAAACTAAATCCTATCATAACAGCTAGGCAGATCTCTCTGACCGTCTGAAAAGAGGATTTCCGGCGGCTGAAATAGGATAGACTAATGTTTAGACAAGGTCTGGAGATCTAATCTTTTCGAAGAAAATCCGCTAGAGAAAATCAACGAAGATTTCTTTACCTTGCAGAGGACTGAGAAGGCTGCAAAGTTCATCAAGAGGAAGTGTTCGTTCCACAAACTAGACGAGAGAGAATATAGCAAGGATAATATGGCCACACTCTTTAGACATCCTTTTGACATTGACACATTCAGAAAATGAAGAAACCCAAATATTATGGCTGGGAGTAGAGCCTGCGAGCTTAGGCGGCCAGCCACACTGGCGAATGTATATCCTGGTAGGACAGCTACGAAAAAGGCGGCACAAATGGCTGGAACGGTCTCTTCGACGAGGCTTCGTGACACAAAGAAGCTAATCCAGGGAGTGACTCGGTTAGAGTTGCGGAGTTATGATAGAGATGGCAAAGTATGGTAACTTTCTATGCCAACATCCGGGAGGATTAATTTAAACGAAAGGCATCATCACTAACTGTCCTTGATTCGAGCAAAAATAGACAGTTTTGCCAGTGCCACTATGTTATATCATCACACGGTTCAAACTCTACGAAAATAGGCGTGAGATAGGGTACTAAAAATTAAGGGTGGACAACTCTTTCCTGCGCCACAGAAAGGTCCAAAATAAACACATGCTTCTTGGTTCGTCAAAGTTTTGAACAGAACTCCAGATAGAAAGCGAAAGCCTTGAACCAAACGAACAAGAACCAAGTCACCACTTGAATCTCCACCAAACGGATACCAAGCGTTTTCATCAAAATCCAAACTCTCGCCCTTTTCTAACAATTCCAACTTGCGCAAAATCCTGTAGCCTAAATTTCACTCTATTGGTCTTCTTTTAAACTGAAAAGGTACCTTCACTTCCATGCAAAACGGGCTCAAACTTCCTCACTCCAAAAGTCCGAATATAAAAAGCAAACAACGAAATTCCCAAAAGTGTTAATTTCACCAGAGCCCCTGAGCAACCAGAGTCTGCACCCATTTTCTCTCTTACTGTAGTGTGAGTACAGTATTTTTCCTTCAATTCTCTACGATCCGAAGCCTGAAAAAAGAGGAAAAAGTCTCTATTGTTTTTTGTCGTATTATTTGACAGGTTTTTATTGTTAGGGATTCAAGAAATGCCGTGTTTTTGAAACAAGAATCGAAAAATTTCGATGATTTCAGGTCTTCTTTAAAATCCGGGAGTCTTTCTTTTACCACCGCCTCCTTTTTTCTTTTGAGCACCGCCTTTCTTCTTCGCGCTTCGTTCCTAGAGTTTGGGATTAAGTTTTCGCTCTATCTGGGAGTCTCGTTTTTCCTCGTAAAAATGATGGACCGACCCTTGTTTACTGTTTACCTTTAAATTAGCCTTTCGTTTGTCTTGCTTGGCCTTCATTTTCTCCTGCAGCTGCTCGGTTCTCTGCGCCCACTTGGTCTTTGACTTTTCTTTCTTTTTCTCGACTCGTTTGAGACTTCGTTTCAACAGATTTGCATCATCTTTAACCTTTAAAAATCTCATATTCGAAAATCTCATGTCAGCGCATTTCTACCAAGAAGTTTAGCTCTTGTGGGAGAAAGCCCCTGGGCCCCCTTCCCCGTATCCCGCGCAAATCACTGTCGGGGAAGTCTAGAAAATTTCTTTACCACTTGCTTGGCGGTTTAGAAGAATCTCGAGATTCTGAAGAACAGAATCTGGAAAGTAAACGGGTCTGAGCCAATGAGAGAGCCGACAGGGGTTTGCGCGGCTTCTCCCCAAAATTAGGCGCGCTCAGAAATGCCCATGTCCCGGGCCAATATCTCCCGCCACATGTCTTCAGACATGGGCAGATTCTCCTATCTCCCTTTACTGCTCAACTTCATGGTACCTTTTCTCCTTTCATTCTCGTCATCGCATTCTTCCACTTTGCCTTTTCTCTCAAAGCTTCGGCCTTTTCAGGATTCGTTTCCTCTAGCTGTTCCAGTCTGGCTTCTTTGATTTCCGCCTCTTTGAGGCGAGTTTGCAGACTCTTCTTTTTCTACAAAAATGACATGAAACGAAGAACCAAACAAAAGGGCGCGTTACCTTTTGCTTCTCTTTTTCCGCTTCAAGAGGATCTTTGATGAGATCAAATTTGTTGAAAATGACTTTTCCATTTTCAACTGGTTCTTTTCTCGGGCTCTGGCTTCCGCGCTGCTGATCAGCCGCCGCGATTTCTTTAACTTTTGTTTTGAGTTTTTGCTTCTTTGCCTTTTTTCGTTCTCTTTCTGCTTTTCGTTTTTCACTGAGAACAAATGAAGAAAGGTTCTTCTGCGAAGTCATTTTACCTGACGATTCGTTGTTCCTCTTCAGTTCTCGGCGTCTTCGGCAGATCTCGTTTTTGGTTCGCTCTGATTTCCGCCATTTTCTCCGCGAACTTCTCCTTCAAGTCTGACGGCCTCAAAGCGTCGTTTTCAGTTGATCTTGGTGCGCTTTGTTCCGTCGGTGCATCTGCAGCCATACATTGTAGAAGCTTCTGAAATACACCGCATCAGATAAATAGCACAAAAAGATATCTTACCATGCTCGTAGTCAAGGCCGTATCTGGATTCAGTCGGAGTCGTCGCTTTTCAGCCTTGGAAATTCCTTCATTCTTCGCTTTTTCGGCATAATCAGTGGGGATCTAAAAATTCTAGTCAGCGTGTCCAAGAGTTACTTTTACGTCAAGCTTAAAAGAAAATGGAAAACCGACTTGTTTATTGTGTTGAATATATTGATGGGAATGAAAAAAACGAATTGTGAAAAAAAAAGCTATTAGGAAACGCAGCACGTGAGAGCGATTCACTGGAGAAAAGGGCGTTTATCGAAATAATTTTGTAAAATTTGCCGGCCCTCGTGGGACCGGCTCGCTCAGGTTTAAATTTAATTAAGTTTTACATTTTTATTAGTTAAACAAGTGAAGCAAATAAATTACTTCTCAAGCATCATAAATGGCTGCTGAAATAGCCGGGCCCTTCTGCTCAAGTTATCAAATAGTTTTCTTACATAAACAGAAGCCGGAACAAGATCGACCAGGTCCGTCACCCAATTATCGAAGCTGATCAATTTTTCCTCCAATTTCTTCTCGTCACCCATCGGAATTCAAGTTTTTGAGCAATTCCGTGTTCTAAAACCAATTATGCATAACTTTGATTTTGAATGGTTTGAAATGAATTCAAAGGACAGAATTGAAATGTTTTTGATTTGAAATCAGAAGAAAAGTTGAAGAAAAAATGATCGCCATCAATTTGACACGATGTCAATTAGTAACGATGTCGATAGAGTTTGAAATGAGCTGTTGAAGGTTGCTTCTTGGCTCGACAAGGTCTTCGTTTAGGAACTTCATGAGCTGGGAAAAGGTGCAACTGCGGATGCTCCACGCGCTTTCGTCGCTTGATTCAAAGATTTGGGCGGCAAGGGACTCTCGCGTCTCACGTGATAAGAGATCGACCGACTGAAACGATTAATTACTGCCAAATTTACGAAATTTATGATAGCACGTGATCAATAAATTGTATTATAAAATAAACCCCAGAAAAAAGCTCAAAATTGAATTACTCGATCGCTCAAGTGAATGATACCCTGACGCAATCACAAATATACATAATTTTCTCAGTGAAATTATCAAATCAATCAAAACGTAACTAACTTACTTTCTCTGATCGAAGAAGGGTGAGAGCTTCTGTCGGGCTTTTTGCTTTGATTTCAAGAAATTCTGCTTCGAGCAGGAGGCCCCTTAGTTTGAGCATGATTTCGGCGGGATCTTCATTCAGCGCTTGGAAGCACCAGAAGTCGCACATCCGGTCGTTCTTCTTGCGGAATAAGCAACATTAAGTAATATCCTCAGCACAATGAAACTATGCTGAGAATCGATAAGCATTCTGCTTTCTCGCTGAGCAAAGCGCTATTCCGCTCCTGATACTCTTCGATACCAGGGTTCCCACCGAACAAGAGCATCACCGAATCTGTTTTACCGGGCTCAATATATTGAATACTTTCTTCGAAAAACCGAAAAACTAGCAAAAATGGACAAACTTGAGAACCAAGAAGAATGGTCGAAACTGACAATGATTGACTATCCAAAAGCTAAGAGCCAAATAGCAGCAATAATGCTGGAAAAGATAGATGAGATGGAGGAAAAGTTACTCCTAGCTAACTGGTATCTGCAAAGGAAGGGTGAGATAGGATAGAAGAAAAGATAGAGAAAACAATTTCCCTCATCCTTTTGTAAGAGAGAGAACTGTACCTGGTGATCTTTGGCCAACAGTAAAGAATATTCGAGACCTAAATTATCTCAGGAGGAGCTCTATACTTTTCTAGGAGCAAACGATTCTACAAAAATGAACATGAGCGGACTGCTAGCCAAGTTTACGCACAAAATAATCATGAATCTCGTACCAGAGATCGAAAATGTCCGACTGAGCAAACTTCTTGCTATAAAATGATTCCACAAAATGATTCAAAATACCGTAAATGGAGCTCGATAAAGGCTAGACATGAAGTCACTCGACCTTTACTTCACGTGGCATGAGATTAATTCAGTCTAGGATACTCTCTCGTCCAATCTGGCAGTCAATTTGTCTCAGAGATCTTGAAGATCTCGGAAAAAGTCACGTGAGTATCCGGGTTCAAGACCAAGTAATGACGGCAGCGCGAAGGCTCGCAGGCTACTACGCAATAACTCTGGAAAACTTGAGACGATTTAATAATCAGAAAAGCACTGGCAGTACTGGCTCATGGTTATCTTCATTAGCACTGAGTAGGGCGACCAAGGAGGAGGGTAAGCTGGCAATGATGACCGTAAGTCGCTTGGAAGTGGGGATCATCTCTTGAGCCATTTCAGATGGTGGAAAAGTCAACGATCGAGAAAATCCGGATGGAAAGGTCTAAGATGCAGATGAATGCGATTATACAGGATCTCTATCAATCCTACGAACACCGATTCGAGTTATTTCGTCAGCCGCGGGTTTGTCAAAATTTTGTTGAAAAAAAAATCATTTGATATAATAACCCTGATTAGATGGAAGATAGAAGCAAGGAAAAGAACAACACTGGAGCTGTCGATATTTGCCGGCAATTATTAGCCCTACTTGGATGCAGAAGAGGAGTACGAGTTAAGCCTGTAACTTGAAACAAAAATAAAGAGTAAATTGAGCCATCCCTGATAGATTTGTTACTGCATGAGCTCTTCTAGCAATCGGACCAGAATTATGTTTCATTATCCGCCACTGTTTCTTGTCTATGGAATAGATCCACATGGCCAGACCTAAAAAAACGAGTTAGACGCAAGATTTAGTGGAAATTGTAGTGGACCATCGATGGTTGCGTTTCTTGACTTTTTGTAAGTTCTGCTGGACTGGACCGCTGAGCCAACAAGAACGCGAATTTGTCGCTTTTGTTGGTGGAAAAATGCCCTCTGCGTGAGTCCACATGGTGGCGCCAAAGGACCCTTCCCATCGTGAAGGGTTGACACTTGACAGCTGCTCAAGTCATAGGCGATCAGGTCATTCAGATCCGTTTTACTTTTCAGACCGCCCAAGATATAAAGAATCCCAGAGGACTGGTCTAGGGTCATTGCGTGCGAATTTCGCGGGATTATCGGAGTCTCCACGAGAGTCCACGAGTTATGATGCGAATTCTAGACATTTTTAATTCAATTATAGCAATTTTAAATGCTGATCTCAAGTAGTTTTTATGAGGAGGCTGAAAACCCTCACATAACTAGGAAATTGGTCGCTAAATGGTACAACTTTTGATGAGGCTTACCCATTTGTAGAAATTGCCATAATTGGAGCGGATTGGACTCGTCGGTTGAAAATCATCAAGACTAAAATCCTCGATTCTTGTCGTCCTTTGTAAGACCCGCCCACCAAAGCAGACCAAATCGCCCGTCTTTTCAGAAAACAGCATCTGATGATCGTAGATCAGCGGCGGCCCTCCTTCTTTTTCGACATCTTCAGAGATCAAAGCCCATTTGTTCGAGTTGATTTCGTATTTGTAGAAATCGTTTGGAATGCGTTTCTTTTGTTGACCAATATTGTCTACGTATCTACCAAGGAAAAAAATCGTGCCGCTTGTTCTGTCGATCGCCATTTTGTGACAACAGCGAGGAGAAGGGCCGTCTTGAACTTGAGCATCGTTAGTGACCATTTTCCACTGTTCGGAGAGGAAGTCGTACTGCCAAAAGTCCCCGAGCTCGGATGTTCCTGTCCAGCCGCCGTGGAGATACAGCTTTGAGCTGAAACAACATCCGTCAAAATGAACCTTTAGTACATTCGAGATCTTACTTATATGTAACCATTTGATGGCCTCCACGAGGGGCCGGCCACGAGTCAGTCACTTTTTTCATTTTGATTCTTCTCCATGCACCTATCGGTGTTTTTTGAACAAGAACTTCGGAAAATTCTGGATCTTGTAGAAGTTTCTCGACTGATTGATAGTTTCCTTCTGTCACTAGTTCCTCGAACAGCCTCGTTACTATGCTTGCTTCGAGTTTTCTTCCGTCTGAACTGGAGAGAAGAGCTCTGTAAGCATCGACGTAGCCGTTTGAGCGAAGATATTTGAGGGTCATTTTGTGAGCTTGAAGCTGGCTGTTTTCCGCTCGAACTCGGTTGAATTTTTTGACGATATCCGGAGCAGCTGTGCCTCGCAGCCTGAAATTGTGGAAATTAAAGACTTCGATAATAGGTGCAAATTACTTACTCTAGGATCATCGATCCACTGTCAAAGCTGTGGCCGCATATATCCGATTCTATGACGAGGGCATTCGACGGAATTAGACTTTCCGTTTTCTCCAAGATGGTTGAAGAAATGTCTCTGTATTGAAAGAGCCAAGAGCAGCTGAGCGGCGAGGTCTCGTGGTAGAGTTCGCCCAGCCGTCGAATGTTTGAGTCTTTCTGGCTACCGCCGACGTAAAAGGAGAAATCGGCATTGAGGACGTCGTTGATTGACGCTGCTGTTTCGGGCGGAAGACGGACAGAGATCTCAGTAATTATTGAGTCACATGGAAGACGGACATAGACGGTATGACGGCGGCGTTCTGGGCGATGTCTGTGACGTTCAAAAATTGATTTAACCTCGTCCAAAACTCCTCCTAGATTATCATCGTTCCATCATGTTCTTTGAAGAAGGCATCTACCTTTAGAGGCAGCAAAAGCTCCGGGAAATGGCCCTGGTGAGTAGGAAACGAGATCAAACTTCAACTCTTCGCATAAATCTTGCATCCCATCATTCATTCAAATAATTTCTTCAAAGAAAAAATACGATGATTAGGCTCATTCGGATTCAAAGAATTCAGTTTTTTATTAGTGCTGTGCCAATAAAATAAATAAATGCATCAATGAAAACACACAGTGGATCAGAGGGAGAAGAAGATAATTGAAGAAATTAAAAATTGAACGATTGAACGGTCGTTAATTAAATAAGACTAGCAACGTTTGAACTATTCGAGGCTATTATCATTGTTTTTTGTATAATTTGTAAGCGTTTATTAATTCGGTTTGGGTTTGAGCTCTTTGAGCTTCTTTTTGCTGTACAAGGTCATCATCAAAGTCGAGAAATTGCCCAGAGCAAGAATCAAATACAGCGTCGACATCCAAATGATCTAAGAGAACAGTTAGATTTTACAAATATTCACAATATGAAAACATGCATGCAACATAAAATTGCTGAAATTTATTTAGACAACGAAGAAGACGACTAAAATATCTTACATGCTTTCCGTTGTTCTGAAAATAAGCTTTAGTAAGTGCGATAAAGGAGTGTTGCGATAAGGGAGTTTTGTCTGATAAGTGGACATAAATTGAAACCTGTAATGAGAAGCTGGGGAACTTTGCGTCAAAATTATTATCTTGCTTTAGCTGAAACAAGATCAGTCCCCTGAAAAGTTGAAAACAAAGAGTTACAAACCTGCCAAGTATTGGAAGGACCATCTGTGGGCTCAATGGAAAGCCAGAGCATAAGTAGCGCGACGGAAAGGTAGAATTGGTAAGCGTAGATCATGATCAAGAACGGGGTGACGACATAGAGAGCGAGCGCGTCTTTCGAGGCAACAGCCCAGCTTGGAATTCCATCGACCGTAATGTGCAGGAAATCGACTTTTCGCAAACTTCGGAGGCGGTAAAGAAGACCAGATTGATACGTGTATTGGATGATCTAGTTTTGATGCGTAAAGGGAAAATTGGAGATGGAGAAATACCTGTACAAGGGAGATCATAAGGGAAAGAACGACGAATTTGGTCCTGAATCTCATGTATTCGTGCGCATCTGCCGGCCATAAAATATGAATCCCAGTGAGAAAGGCGCTAACATAGTGGTGGGAAACCCACCAGCCTCTGATGCGTGAACCGTTCGCCACGAGAATCGACTCTCGGATCGTCAAAGTGCAGTAAAACCAAAGAATAAGAAAATAGTGCAACGCATCTGTCAATCGATGTGAGAAGATCAAATTGAAAACGGAAAAGATAGCGATGGCGATGGAAACTCCTGAAGACGAATAAATGAGAAATCAAGGAGGAGTTTTTCGGAGTTACCTAATTTCCACTCTTCATAACTTTCCTTGTACTTTCTTTTCAGTTCAGAAGTAGGAAGCGTAACATTCAGATTTCCAACAATTAGTTGGAGATAGAGGCCATTATTCCCAGGCAATCGCGTCTCCTGATCATGGATTCGGCTCAACTAAAGAGTTTAATAAGCCAATTATAAGATATAAAAGTTGTCATACGTAATCTTTTATTTCTCGGTCGAGATCTCGGATTTGATCATCGTGTTGAGACTTCGGAATGTTTTGGATGTCGTTTTTAGGCCGCGAAATTTTCGCTTGTGACGGGTCATCTCAGCTACGAAATTCAAAAGAAGAAGTGAAAAGATCGCCGTACCTTTGCATTTAGACTGTAGCTGATGATAAATAATCGACTGTTTTGCGAATTCATCGCGAACTTGCTTTGTCGCCGCGAATTCGTCCCTCAAATAACCGAGTTCTTCCTCGATCGGCTTGACTGGGTCCTCCATCAGCCCCTTAATTTAACAAGTAAAGAGATATCCTCAACTGAAGACGAAGGATAGTAGTTTTAAAGTCATACAGATACAATAAAGTAAAGAAAACAATCTCCGTCAAAAACTCAAGAAAATACATAATGAAAAACCCCGCTTGATTTCAAGAAAAAACAAGCAGTCATAGTAGAGGATTTAAGGGAATTTAAAGTAGGCTAGTTTGGAGTTAATAAAAATGTTTCAAGACAAAAGGCAAGAAAGCTTTTTCCAGAAAAAGCTCTAGAAATTTTCGCTACTTGCTATCGAGATTTTTTAACATTTAGGAATTCTAGCAGTTCAGTAACTTGTTCAGTTGTGGACAGTTTTTTTTTTTATTTTTTGGAAGAGGTTTATTTTTTTATTCATTTTTATTGAGGCAAAGAACTTCTTTTTTCTGTCTTTTTTTTCTTGTTTATCAAGTTGAAATTCAGTCGTTTTCCATCGCTTCTTCGTCTTCTCCAACCATCATTGCCGAATCGTCCTTCGAAAGTGCCGCCCACTTAGAGCTTCCTTTCTTCGCCTGAAAGAAGGGTTTAACAAAAACGAGAAAGGGTTGTTTTAACCTGTTCTTTCTCAATTTTGTCGGTAATGTCGCTTTCTTTCGTTGCTTTGATGACTTTGCTTCGTCGGAACTCGGTCGATCCAGCCGCCTCCAGCTTCCGTTTCATTTCGCTCTGATGCTTCTCGATCGCGTTGAAGAAATCAACCACGCCTCTACAAAAAATACATCATCAAATTTGCTTGAATGCTCGAAGAAAATCACCTCTTGGCGATGCTCTCAAGTTGTTTATCCGCAGATGTGTGATGGGTTGGCTTGCTGCGGCTCAGATTTTCCCACTCCTTCTTTTGCTTGTTCGCCGATCGCACTTTCTTCTTCCTCTCTTTTTCCAATTGACGACGGTCGGCAGCGGAGGATGCTTTGAATCGACACAGAATTGCTAGATTTATTCACTTCAGCTTTCTTTACCAAGCGTATAACTTATACGGTATAAGAAAATTAATACTTTCAATAAAGTTATAATTATTTTCTTTTGTCTCCAATTCAGGAATGCTCGACAATTTTACTTGCAATTAGGATAATTCTTCAAATAAGTCTCTGTTCTTTGAATTCAGAGGTATGCTGATTGACGATCTTTGAGCATTTTAAATTTGATGCTATACGCTTCCATAATACCGTAAATAACACTTTAGCTTATCGAATTTTACGTAAAACTGCAATAAAAGCGCAGCAATTATTTTACCTGTAGACGCATTCGGAGGAAGAGGTTTGGCAAGAATCTTTCGGCAGCAATCGTGAAAAGCGGTTAAATCAACTTCCATGTCTTTTTCGTGAAGTGGCTCGTGGTCGATCATGAATTGCTCATCGTTGGCGGAAGTGGCCGACATCGAAGAAACGCGGGAGCCGGTGTCGGAGTCGAAATCGGAGGAGCCATAATCGGTCGAGCTTCCGTCGCTAGAACCCATTCGATTTTCTTTTTTATTCAATCTGAAAGGGAACCGATTGAAAATCGCTGTAGACGTCTTTGAGAAAGAGTTCAACTGACTACTTTAACTAGTCAGTGGAGAATAGAACTGTTGTGTCATAGTTGGAAAAATAATTGGGATTGGAAATGTCTTTTTTGATTTATAATAACGTCTTGTCTCAGATCTGAGACGTCTTTGTAAGTCAGAAAAAGTAAGAATCAGTGATTCTGAATCGCGTAATTTCTTTCTGGGGATAAGACGGTGTTGACTAATCGTCTTAACCTGATTTCTGGGTTCGAAGAATGAAAACTGAAGAAAAAGAACGAACCCAAAAGCGAAGAATATGATTTCTCACGTGATCAACTCATCAGGAAAACGAAGAAAATAGACAGTTTTCGGAATTTAGCCGTTTCTTTCCACTATTTTGAAGAAATAATATATCATTTGTTTGAATACTTGTTATTTACTAAAATCAAGGTGTAAACAACTAAATAGCTAATTGTCCCTAAAATTTTTTATCAGATATGAAAATCAAGTAGGCGTGTCATTCGCCCTAGTCGACGGTTTTTTCTCTAGATGGCAAAAGCGATTTTCGCATTTCTCCAACGAAAGTTTTCTCAGTCGCCATTTTGATTGGCCAGGAGGTGCGCGCCCGTCACGACTCCGTTATTTTTCGAGAAACAAGCTGCTTTTTTTTTTGCGATTTCTTGGGCCAATTTCAATAAGGAATAGAAATTCCAAATCCTAACCCCCCATGTTTTTGTGCTCGTTAGAAAGAGCGTAAAAAGTTACGTCAGAAAAAAATATTTTTAGGGGCTGAGTCATCATTAATGACGTCATGGCGGCTGGTTGAAGTTCCAAAAGTCCCAAACGTTGGGTCCCCTCTCATTTTTTTTCTAGAAATGGAAAATTTGAGTTCAATATATCAAAATGATCGCCTTGACCTACTCTAGGTGAAGAGCTATATATGAAAGATCCAACTCTAGAAAAAAAATTTTTTTTTCGATTTTTTCAAAATTTTTTCCGAAAAATAAAGCTCTTCACCTAGAGTAGGTCAAGGCGATCATTTTCCTGTATTTAACACAAATTTTCCATTTGTGGAAAAAAAATGAGAGGGGACCCAACCTTTGGGCTTTTGGAACTTCAACCAGCCGCCATGACGTCATTTGTGATGACTCAGCCTCTAGAAATATTTTTTTCTGACGTAATTTTTTACGCTCTTTCCAACGATCATAAATACATGGGAGGTAAGGATTTGGAATTTCTGTTCCTTATTGAAATTGGCCTTGGGTTTCCCTTGAATTACTGAAGACCTGACAGTTTTAGAATGCTTTTCAAAGAGATCTACCGGCTGATGAATGAGGGACTGCTCGGCAGGGACCTCCGCGGTACACTCAGACTAGAAGATTTGCGGAAGTAAGTACAGTCTATTAACTATGAGGACAACCAACAAAATCCTAACTCTTCGTTTGCTCAGGCCGACCCAGTCGACGGCGGTGTCAGTGTACATGTCAGCGATACAGAACCTGTCGATATCGTTCGAGAACGCGACAGTAGCTCCTTACACGGGAAACGACCCAGTCATGATGGAAGCGCTCTTCAGCGACGGCCACTACTACTTCAGCTACATCGTCTCGAGAATGAACATGATCTTCGAGAAGTGCCGCATCCAGTTGAAAGGCGACCCGAAGTGCTTCCATCTCGGCGACATCATCCACCCACAAAAGGACAGATTCAACGAAATTCTCTCACACTTGGTCAAACTCACACAATTTTTCAAACTCGCCGACGTAAGACTCTTTCTCTTTTATCCTTTTTAACCTTTTGACTTTAGGAGAAAATCGCCGAGGTTGCCAACGATTTCGAAGAGCACAAACAGCAGAATGAAAAAGACAAGAGAAAAGTCGGAGAAATAGAGAAGGTAAAAATAGGCGCTTTTAATTACAAAGTTTTTTTCTATACATTCGCCTCCTCTTTCAACGTCATTTTCAGCAAATAGCGGAAATCGAGAAGGAGCGTTCAAACCGAGAAGCAGAAATGAAGTCGCTGAAAAACGAGATCGATGAGAAACAAGTGGAAGAGCAGCGGATCAGAGACGAGTACTTCGAGAAAAACGAGGAAAACAAGCGAAATCAGGACGAGGCGTCGTTGCTGCGCTCGAACGTGGCGAATCAGAATCAGGAAATCCAAATCTTCACCAGAGAAAAGAAGACTCTCCAAGAGCTCGAAGTCGACGATCCCGAGATGTGGGATCGCCTCTTTGTCGAGAAAGCAGCTTTGATTGAACGACTCAAGAGCGAGAATGCGCAACTCTCTGCTGAAATTCCTCGGTAGCTTACCCTTCTCGCTCTATTTCTTTTCATCCCTTTTTCTTTTAGAACTCATAAGACGCACACGGAAGAGCTCGGAATCGTAGACCAGCTCAAGATTATGTCCGAGGCGCTGACTGCCTACGTCGAGAAAGTAAAGACAAAAGACGAGTGCGAAGCTACTTTCAAAACAGCCAAACGACGTCGTCAAGAAGTACGTATCCTCTCTTTATCACTCCCCTTTTTACCAAATTCGTAGCTCAACCAAAAACAGAGCAATCTCCGCTCGGACTTGAATGCGCAAAACGCGAAGTGCGAGAAAATGCACCGAAAGATCGTCCAAAATCTCGACTCTGCGAAAAACGCGCAGAAGATTCTTCAGTCAAAACTCGAGAAGGTTAACGACGAGCATCACGGTACAATCCTCTCACTCCTTCCGCCGATTTAATTTTCATTTAGAATATCTTTCGATGAAGGAGAATCTTGAGAACGAGCTGGCCCAGTACTCGCTCGAATACGAGGAGCGAAAAGAGTTCAACCAAAAGTCCAAAGCGGCGCACGACGAGTTCATGAACGAACTCAAGTTCTACGCCGACGAGTTGAGCGTCGTCTTCCAACAAGTCCACAAGAGCCGCCTCAACGTCATGAAGAAAACCTTCATTTCCTAAAACGTTCAGTTAGCGACACTGCCCCACTTATCGTTCACCAAAGTCAACCTTTCATACTCCACACATTCACCACTCACGGCATTCCCAATAAAGCCAAACACCAAAAAGCATTCCAATGGTTTGATTTTATTCTCGAATGTTCTCTTCTAGCGTAGCAGGTCGTTATTTCAATACAAAATGAAGCAGGGCTACTATTTTCTTAGTAAAAAAGAGGAAGTAATACCTACTCAACTGGTAGAGTATTACTGTTTCATACAGGCATTAAGAGAACATATTTTTCACAAAAATAGTAAATTCTGAAATATCTTTTTATTCTGAGATAAAAATTATTTCTAATCAATCCAATTAAGAGAAAATGGTAGTGGCAGAGAGCGTTTGGAACGCGATAGAGCTGGCAGAATCCTTTGGCTGTGTTGTAAGACGAGCGGCTATTGATGGAGAGTAAGCGCAAATTAGAACTTGGTTAATATTTTAATTGTTCTCCAATTGTTTATTGGTCTTTTGTGCATAAATTCTAATTGTCCCCCTGCAATTTAAACTTCTTTTTACAAGGCATAAAGATGTCGAGCACATTCCACTTACAATGGAGCCATCGCCGATCAGCAAGCAAAACTTCTTAGAGCTCGAAGCCGCCGAGCTCGTTTTCAGCGAATTGATTCATAAAATGTCCTCCGATCGGGATTTTATGAACGAGGCGCTGAAAGAAACTGCGGCAGAAGATGCGTTTTGGAGACGTCTTTTGGAGATTTACAATAGAGTGCAGGAGGAAGCGCCGAATCCGATCCTTCTCGGGCTGCATCGAATGGACTACTTGCTCGAAACAATCGGAAATGACGAGTTTGCTAGAATGGTGGAATTTAATACAACTGCCGCGTCGATGGGCGGCCATGCGGAGAAGATTGCCGAGATCCACCGAATAAACGGGCACAAGTACGGTAATTTCGATTCGATCTGATAATTGACAAAAGAACAATTCAGGCCTGAGGATAATTCCGTTACGCCCAAACTTGCCGAGCATCTTGCTGAATCAGTAAAAGCTTATTCGAAGAAATTCAATACGCCGATTGAAAATTTGACAGTTCTGACCATACGGGAAACGCCTGGATCTGTGAATTTTTCTGACCAACGGTAGGCGCATCTTTTTAAAGAAGTGGAAGTATGGAATCGTATGTAGGAAGGTGGAGTTATCTGTGAGCAAGCGGCTTGGATACAAATGTCCTGTTCGACGAGTCACTTTCACAGATCTGGCGAATAAGGAAAATGTCAAAATCACGGGCGACAGAAGATTCTTCTACCAGGGCACAGAAGTGGCTACATTTTACATGCGAGATGGTTATGATTTGGGCTCCTAAAAAGGATAATTTCAAATTTAATTATTTTCTTCGTGAAATTTTTCATTAAATTATGATTGAATAATATCTGTATTTTGACATGACGGTGAATTTATGGCCGTTCAGAGACAGCATCAGACTGTGTAATTATCATAATAATTTATTCAGATCACAATTTTGCGGCGGGAAATCATATGACACGATAATGAGTTGTATTTTTTTACCTTTGTTTCGAGCCTATCAAAGATCCAGTGTCTTTCCCAACGGAGGAATTGTGGAAAGCGCGAGAAAATGTAGATACCTCCGTCGCCGTCAAATGCCCAAGTGTTCAATATCATCTTATGACGAATAAGGTAAACTCCAGAATCAGAGCACGAAGACCATAAAGTCTACAGTCTGCCTTTTAAATGCAATATTAATCGTTCCCAGATTCATCGAATCAACGGAGTTTCCCTGAGTTACGGTATTGATTTACAGTACATCTCGGAGCGCACGACTCCTAGTATGTCGAAATCCTTCGTTGAGATCTCCAAGTTCTCTTCGGTGGAGCACAAGCATACTCACAGTAAAATTGGGCTTACAGAAAGGGAAGATGATCACATATCTTTCCTTAGAGAGGTTGACCAAACAATCGAACTATCAAGGACCATATAAAGGACCGTTACGAATAAATAAATGTTTTTCTGTGTACACAGATTCTCGTGACAAAGTTAAGTGTGAAAGTAGAGACTGTATTGATTTATGGTCCATCTATCATTTAAGCACTTTGTTTGGTGGAACTCGAGGTCGAAAAATCCCGTTTTGTCTCTTGAGGAATTGAATTTCAAACTGCCAGCAACTGTATCTGTAGTTAGGGTGGACAAATCTCTCCTTTGTTTTACCTCAATAACGGTACACACAATCGATCTTTTCAGGTCTTCCAAGCTTGTTTCTCAAATAAAAAACTGCTGCATAAATACATCAGCCAAGAAGAAATCGAATCTATCAAGAATTTCATCGCTCCCATGTGCTACGTAAGAAACGTTCCAAAGCGGCCTCAAAATCAACTGTTTTCCTTTTGTAGCTCACGGACTGGAATAATCCGATCGTTACCCAGGCGTTTTCGACGCCATCCTCATACTGTTTGAAGATATTGCGCGAGGGAGGCCATTTAGGTAATATTTTCGATGAAAAGGAGGTGCTAGAGACGCTGGAAAGGATGAAAACGGATAAGGTTTTACGGTAAGTTCTAATTTGTTCATTTTTCCTTGAATATTTGTGTTTTTTCAGAACGGAATACTGTCTAATGGGAAAAATCAAATCCGATGTTCATCCAAATACTCTTGGTAAGCCAAACTTAGTGTTGGTAACTGTTGTATTCATTCAAATTTAGTGAGAAGCGGAAAAACCGATGGTCCCCAACGAACGATCGCAGAATATGGCATTTTCGGTGGATTTCTTTGCGTGGACGGAGAAGTTTTGAAAAACGAAGTTTGCGGTCATTTAGTTCGAGTGAAACCGGAACATTCTCACCTCGGAGGCGTCAATGTTGGCGGAGCGTGTGTTGGTTCAATGAAAATTGTCGAAAACTAACTCATTTCTGTAAATTGAAAATATGATTCAAAACGCGATTTCTCCTTTCACTTTATTCCAATCAAGTTCCTATAAAAAACCAAATAAAATCAGCTTCAATCTTTCTCCTGAGCTGGAGGAAGAGGCAGGACTTTCTTCCCGAAACGCTTCAGATAATCGGCTCTCGATTGTTTTACAGTTTCTTCCTGAAAATTAAAGATAACGCGATACCGGTTATTTTTAAATTCTCCTTACGTTAGAGGGGTCATCTGATATCTTTGAGGAAGGGAATCTTTGCTTCAGCGAAGGATTGATAGAATCGCGTAAGATGGGTTCTTCCGTGCAACTGAGACTCGTTGTTTCTGGGTCTTCGGCGATTCTCGTTCGAGAATCTTCGAAATTTTGTAAAGGAGCTGGTGAATTGGAATGATGGGAGTCTGACGCGCCAGAATTTCCAATTTTGTCAGTTGATTTGATACTCGAAGGGGTAGTTTCTTCCTTTGGATCATCGTCATCGCAACCCAGCATCTGCAAATTTGAATTCGACGCATTCTCCTCAAGGGCAGATTCATCAACTTTCTTCAAGGAAGAATCTTCCTTCGAAACATTCCCAGCTTGTTCTGTTCCTTCTTCTATCTCTTCATAAGCATCAGGAATAGTCAAGCTGATCAAATGCGATAATATCGAGTCAACAACAGAAGGTAGACTTTCTTGAGGTTCGGATTCTTCTACTTTCATTAAATTTGTAGTCTTTTTATAACTGCTTTCTGTCCGATAATTTCATTTTTACAATTTTATATTCTAGAAGATTTTATGCTTGGTCTGACATGAGAGAATGTTCCTTGTGAAATACCGATAATTACGATGAAGCCGAGTTCTACTTTCGAAGAAAAAACCAACAAAAGTAGTTATTGTGAACGATGGTTTTTCCCCGAATGATTTGGTAGCATAAATATTTAGTATTTATTTATTATTGACAGATTGTATTTTCAAATCACACCAGAACTTAGGAATCATACTGTATTGCATTGGGTGTCGTGAGAAAGAACTTTTTACTGGAAAATAATGAAAATAAAAGGGATGAGAAAATGTAGAAATGGTGAATGGACATTTATAGAAATAATAAAGCACGAAAAGCGTTTTTTCTTAATAAAAAAGGATTTTTCATGAGTGCTTTTAAATCAAGAAGGACGCATCTTTCCAGGAGTATAATTTTTGTCGATGACTGTTTCTTGAAGGAATTGGTGGAGGGAGCGCTCGTTTTGGGCGAGAGGGTGGCCCGCGATTTTGTTGATGAAAACTTCGAGTCCTTGGCGTCTTACTTCGATGAAACCCGGGTCAAATATTCCGTCGTCGTTGCGGAAGGGTAGGAGCCGATTCAGCGCCTTTCCGGGGAGGGAGGGGACAACTACCTGAAAGAACAGTTACAGAATCTACAGACGAGAAGAAACTCTTTGAAAGTCTCTTTACCTTGCTGTCTCGTTCGAGTTCATTCCTGAGCCACTCAAAGTCCGAGTAGCGTCGTCTGACAGACAACTCCTTCTTCTTGAAAATGGGCAGATTCGTATTCAGCTTCACCTCGTAATCAGTGAACCGTTTCCTGCCAAACTCGTGCGTCTTCGAGTCGCGCACTGAACAACCGCTGGAATTAAACTTCGAATTAAATTTAAAAGATTGGGGATTATTCGCATACATGGGGGATTATGCAGCGTCGATTCCTTCTCAATCCTTGGCAAGGTTTTATTCAATCCGGGGAGCTAGGATTGAATTTGCTTGGGGTTTATTGGGTTCGTTTGAATGAACTTTCCAAAGCCATATTTTCTGATAAAAAAGCGATAGGAAAATTGCTCTAATAGAGAATATGATTAATATTCAACTCTCTTACATTCAAAAGTTTATGTTTATACAGTAAGAAAGCTGAATATTGATGACATTCTATAAAAGGGGGCACAATTATAACGGGCAAATTCTTCCCGCGGCACACAATTATAACGGGTTCAATATTCTTCCCTGGACTCACTTTAGTTAACTTAAGTTAACGGGTTTCAGATTATTTAAGGAATATCTCAGGTCAGAATGATCCAATATTCCTCAAATAAGGTGATAAACTAGCCTTTTCAAGGACTTGTTTGAGATGCGAATCAACAGTAATTCATCTGTACCTTCTATTTCGAGAAAATTGGCAGGTTCTGAATACGCATCAGCCAGGTCGACTTCTTTTTTCTTGCCTACAGGGAGTCTATCTGTGTTCAAACTCATTCTAAACAGCTTATATTAACAATCAGTAAATCAGCAATTGAATGACGAAAGAGTTCTCTGAGCCAGAGTGTAAGAACGTCTCGTTTTGATCGTTTTTTCAAGGCTTGAAAGGAGGAAAAGAGAGATTGATGATTCATCGGAGAGCGAGTGGCCAATCACAACGCGAGAGGAAAATTGCTTTCCAGTTCATCTTCAGTCTCTTTTCTCTAACGCGTAAGTGGAATAATGGTGTTTAGTTTTGTAGTTGGTTGTAGCTCGTTTTGTTTGTAGAAATAGCAATTTATTACGTAATCAAATTTTTTTTATCGAATGTCTCAGAAGATCGAGCGCTGTAATGGACTTTACAGGTTAAATACAGTAACTAGAGATTGCCAGATATTATTTTGAATCTTTCCTTTTTCACGACGTAGTTACGAATGAAATTTACTTTTCGATTGATCACGAAAATTAAATATTAAAAACATAAGATTTATTTTTTCATTATAGTTTTTATTTTACAGAACGTGATTTGAAAAAAATGGGAGTGAACAGTAGTGTGTGAATTGATTTTTTTCAAAATTTCAAAATCGAACGAAGAAATAATAAAGAACAGATAAAAACGCTCAATTGCTCAGTTTTTGCTCTTCTTTCGGGGGAACCGGAGTGGGCACCGCTGAGGGCGCTTTTGAAGGAACAGCTGAAGGTTGCTTCGACCCAGAAGGTTCTAAAAACAGTTAGTGTCTCAGGAAGAAGAAAATAACGCACCTTCGAAGGGATTCTGCGGAGCTGGGGATTTCGGTGGCGGCCCAGGAGTCTTTATTTCGAGTTGTCAATCAAAAGAGAGCTCTTAGAGCTAACTAATCTAACAATTTAAATAAACAATAAATAGAAATATTCTTTCATATGAAAGACTATGGATTCAACATATGACTCATATGATATGAGCTGATCTTAATTCAAATTGCTCTACAATTTTCTACGTAGATATCAAGACGACTATCTTTGTGGCTAGCCGTCAAATTATCCATTATCTTTAGCTACTCGAGATACAATGTGTAGCTATAGCATGACAAAACCGGCCTTTGGAGCGGGAGTTTTGCACGGTGTCTTTAGTCCATTACCAGTAGTCGTCATCGTTGTGACGCGGGGTTCAGGAATAGCCTGAGTGGAAGGTTTGAAATCGGAAAGGGATTCCGTCCCATCTGCCTCGTCAAAAACAGTGCGTTAGCGAATTACTTCATTATCCAAATCTCCCTTAAGACTGATATCAAAAAGCACCGCGTGCCTAGATCCGCCAAAATTGCGGCAAGTGCCTCTCTAGCCGCTGGATTAGCCGCCACTGCCATGCACAACTGCGGCTTAACTCAATAGGTCCTCAATTTTATTCGAATGTCGATCGTTTGGAATTTTGGAGGACCCTTCCGTTGAGGGCGTTTTTGGGTGCGCGGGGAGAGTGAGGACACTTTCGCGCCCGTTTTGCAAAGTGGACTTGGGCCGCATTTCAAACCCTCCCTTGGAATCGTCTATCGACGGCTTGACGGAGATCTCGGTTACTTTTCCGGGCTCGCTCGGCTGCGTCACCGTCTGAAAATCGCAAATGTCAAGAATATTGAGAAATATCGCATTTCCGCTTTTATTCTTTCAAGGAAACTCGAATTCAGATGGGCCATCTGAGATGGCTCGTTGATATATAATATATCATATATTCATAAATAAGTATTCTTTCCCGTGTGTTCGAATTATTACGTCAGGGTGTTTTTTTCAATATCCGCTCTTTACACTCGAATGCTCTTATTTTGCTATAACAATTAAAATTCGATTTCCAAGGCAGAGTTATTAAATCTGATATTTATCTGGTCTGGAGCATCAGACCGAGAAATTTGCGTCAAGAAAGACTGCTTTTCATAATCTTAGATAATCGAATGAAACGATTATATTTGTAGATAGAGTTCATTCTTTTCGCTTTTGTTCCTTGAAAGAATCAAAGCTCTTTTAAAACGACCGTTTTTCTATTTTGAACCTGGAGCTTGGCACCAGCCCATGGGTCGGTGTGACTCGCCCCCGGGCGATCTTCAATCTGTTGCACTTTAACGAGACTGACCTGCGCGGCTTTGGATCCGCCACAACCCATTTTTTCGGATTCAGACGAAAGAAGTCCTCTTTCTTGGTTTTGAAAAGAATGTACGAAAATGGGAAAATAAGACTTGAGGCGGCGGCGGACCGAGCGGTTTATACTCCTTCCATTAAAAATTGACGGAGCACCTGATCTTGCGGGGAGCGTTCCTCGCTCGTGGAACCATGAATCAAGTTATTGTTTAATTCAAGAGAAGCATCAGTTATTCAAGAAGTTAGAAGGTCTCGTTTTGGTAAGCACATGCTCTCTCCTTCATCACGTGAATTCGCGCATTATCTACGTGAGCAGGGTTCGGTAATTTGAGCTCACGCTAAAACTCAAGGAAACAAAGCTTGAGACTCACGTTTTTTAATTTGAGTTTTGAGAACTCAGAGATGAGAAATCAATTCTGGCGATCCATGAGCCAATCAAGGAAGCGCTCGCTTAATTTGAGTTTTGAAAACTCAAAACTCTCAAATCTCCCAAAAACTCAAAACTCTCAAAATCTCAAATCTTCTCAAAATGATTTCTCAAGTCACTTTGAGTTCTCAATTTGAGGAAATTTGAGCGTCTAGCCAAGATGAGTTTTAGCTTGAGCTCAAATTACCGAACCCTGTACGTGAGTGAAACTCTCTGTTAGAAGAAAGGCCATTGTATTTGATATATTTTGAACTTGTCAGGCAAAATTCAGTCAATCAAAGAACCGGTAGCAACAGATATTAAGCATAAACATTTTGTTCAAAGCAAATCCGCGGTCCATTCATCTTTTCGCCATCGAAGAGGGCTGAAATTAAATCGTCATTCAAAAGAAGGAATTCGTTCTAATTAGCCTCCTTTTGCCTATATAAAGGGCCTGGGCACAGCCTTCTTTTTTCATGATTCTTAATTTATCTTAAAACAATCGAACTTACTTTGGGGAGAGCGAGGATGGCACGTTTTTCAAGTAGCCCTGGCGCGCTAAGTTCATAAATATATTCTACTCTTTATGAAATTAAGATCACATGAGCCTCGGTGATTGTATAAAAACTATTTAACACTTGATTGCGTTTTAATCAAAATTCTGGAACTGCGTAACTGAGATGTGAAACAAGAATTGCGAGGGCAGCATTGGATACAGGTCGATTCTCCCGACTCCCAGTCGCATTTTGAAGCGCTAGAAATAGAAGTAGTAATGAAAATCTTCATGCTTGATTACATAATGCGTTCTTGATATACCTCTTGTCGAGCAGACAGCTAGGATGGTCAGCGCAGCCCATTGCGTAGCTGGTTACGACTCCATCTTCTAGTGCCAATTCAGGAAAAAAAGCGTTCCGACTTTATATAACCACAGATGTTCGGAGTCTATGAACCATCTATGGATTCATTTTCAATTGGGTGTGTCTTGAAATTATGGTGAAAACGGAGTGGAACGCTGCCTAATTTGCATCCGAGTTGATTTTTCGCGCACTAAATTATTTCAATAAGCGTAATTCATGGTGGAAAAGACTGCGCGTCTTTTCGAATGCTGTCAGCATCAGATGTAAATGAAATATTGACCTTATATAAGACTGAATATTAATTCTGCCGTTTCATAACGCCTGTTAGATTCATAAAAGAAATTAACTCTTTCTAGGTGCCCTTAACCCGTTAACAGGCGCGTGGCCGTCTCACGGCCACGCGTGGAAACCAGTAGCCAATAGCATGCCCGGATCCATCATTTCACTCAATCACAAACAGGCAAAAGCGTAGGCGAAATCGACCGCCCTGTTAACGGGTTAATGTTCGGCCCGGAAGAACAGTAACCCGCCTTGTTTGAAATCGGCCTACGCAGATTTCGCACTTGCAAAATTTTTTTGCTGATTTGGAGAGATGTTTGATCAACAAGTAAACTTGCTTATTTACGACTATAACATCGCTGGGACTCGTTTGGGGACTCATACAGCTGTTTTTGTTTATGACGAAGAGTTCTGGTTTTCCATCGAAGGGATCAAGGTAATTAAAGAAATAAATGAAGCATTTTTTATTGGAAAATAAATTTCAGAAACGATGTGGAGAGAAAAAGTACCAGTTTTGTGAAAAGCGATTCGTCTGGGAACCGATTTTACCAGGAGTGAGGTATCAAGTAGATATTTCTTTTCATGTCAGGTGAAACTAGAACAAGTGATTCAATCGAGCAATTTATGTAATTATTTGCGCATAACATCTTGGCTCAAAACCTCACGAGTAAAATTTTCTATCAGGAGTCCCTCATTCCTAGTGAGACTAATCGTTCTATAAATTATAGAACATAGACTATAACCCAAAGAATTAATTTGTCGATCATGTCTTGAAATCATTCCACTTGTATAGAAAAAACTCATGATGTCTTGGAATCACAGGATATTCAGGCTATCATATGCTATATTCGTCTTGAATTAAACCACCTCCTGATCCCTAACTTTTTGCTTTGCTCGTCAAGAGTCTAGTTTTTCACTATCACGAGGAAAGAAACCTTGTATCCTTCGACAAACTTGAACTTAGAAGTTTCTCATTTCTGAATTCCAAAATTGAAGTCGCGGCCCGGCGCAATTAAAAAATTAAAGCTGCGCAATTTCGATAATTACCTCTTAAAAAAGAAGACTTTGTTCCAAGTTTAAACATTGTCCAGAACTTGGAATCAAAAGTACGCAATCTGGGATCTGTCTCCAGCCAAACGAAAAGGCCAAAAGAGGTGCTTAATTTGGGACAGACACCGATTTCAAAGTCGGACTTTCTGCAACATCTGGAGTGCTTCCTTCTTCCTGAATTTAACAGGTACTGTTTTACGTCACAATATTCCCGGTCGAGTCAGTTTCTTGACGTCGAGACGTACCGTATTAATTATACAGTATAATATGTAATAAGTGAAAGTTTTGAGCCAATAAGAGCCCCTTGTTCTTCCGCTCAACCAATAAGAAGCTAGAATTTCTTGCTGTCTAATAAATTAATACAATTTTTCAGAAACACATATTCTCTAACTACACTGAACTGCAACACCTTCTGCAATGCTGTGATCACCTATCTCCGACCAACCAACAGAGAGCTCGGGAGAAATCGACTGAATCAAATTTTCGACGAGACGGATAAAACAGTCCAGGACGTGAAAGAAACCGCCGTAGCCGTGGTAGATCAATCGGGGCAAATGATCAAAACTGTAGCTGGCGTTGCGCTAGGATCGGGATTCTTCTCTCTAGATTTACATCATTTAGGCTCAATTTAATCGAGTTTAATTGCCCTGGCATCTGTGGGAGTATCCTTTGTGAAGAAAGTGGTTACCAAATGATTTCATCATATTTTCAGAAGCCGCCCAACAAGAACTGAACGCTTTATCTAATCTTTCTTTTCAATAAAATACAATAAATTTCTGTCACTAAAAGAACTATTACAGTAGGCACTGATGACAGCGTAATGAAAGAAATATGTGATGGTTTCTCGGTAAATTCAGAACAGAAACTCTGGATGATCCATTCATATTAAAACTTTTGTTCCAAAGAAGACTCGCGACTTAAAAACTTTAGCTACTATTAAAACAAAGTGAAGAAAAAGAAAAACGCAGCATTTCATCTTCGCACATTTGAATAGACACAGGACAAATAAAATGCTTTCTCAAACCCGGACATTGCCAGCTCGTTTTCAACTTGAAGCGACTTGAAAAAGATTTGCCCACGATATAAACCTTTCTTCGAGAAAGAAATAAAAAGGAGATGAGATCGAAAACTCCAACGTAAGAGAAATTCCTAAAATGATGTATTAAAAGAGTATTCTAGGGCGAAATCATGCATGATCGTTGTCAGCCTGCAGATTATTGTTGCAGCTCTTTTATTCATTCTTTACTACAGGTAAATCCGTATTACGGGCCTCAAATAAGGGGGTTTATGAGCCACTCAAGCTGGGGAAGATCTTAACCGGATTATACGGTATAATAAGTACGGCAAGAAGAAGATAATTCAAGTGCTTTAATGCTTGAATGGGTTAGGAAATGCACAATTTTATGGATAAATAAACCGTGTATGATAATCCCAAAATTCATATAAAATCCAGATTGATTCTTTCTCCACGTAACTGCACGTGAAATAAACCAACTCAACACTAGTCATCAAAGTCCTCTTCAGAGCTCAGTTCTGGGCAGTTTCAGCTTTCGAATACCACCAGTATGTACGCTGCGGGAGCGACTTGGATGAACTCGACGCCCGCTGGAAGAAGCTAGAGGAAACTCGCCACGCGGAAGCGACCATGGTCAGAAATATCATGAAGACGGAAAAAAGAAAATGCGCATCTGGGGCTTTCTTCATTTCCGTCTTTTATACGACTTGTATGACGAATGGATTCTGGGTACTGCAAGTTTATCCGCTCATGACGGCGATCGTTCAAGCGCTCATTGTTTGGTACCTCCAGGAAATGATTCGAACAAGATTCAAGAGTCGAGATAAACACAGTTTAATCTTGCTCTGATGGTATCGAAATCATAATTTTAGCGAGGCCCATTGACGGAGAAAACGTTTAGAAAGCCAGCATTTGTCACGTGTTTGCTCAGTTCATTGATTATGGTCTCTCTAAATGCCGTTAACTTGATCACTTCATGGTAAGAAGTCATTCTTATAGCGAAAAAATAGCCAGATTGAGTCTGACAGATTCAAGTTGAAGAAGTAAGCAGCTGCCATGCTGGAAACTTATCCACCCGGAAGTTTCAATTTCTATCTTTCAGCTTCTGTCTATCTAACGTTTCGTCAATGTCTCATGACTCCTCCGGCTGCGGAAAGGCCTCCTGTGGGATGGAAGCGATATCTTCGTTGATTGCCACTGGTACGAGCGCCATGGTAGCCGGTTTCATCGTTTATGGTAAGATTGAGAGTAAATTATCGCAATTCTGAGATAACCGCACGATCAAAAATCGTGATCCTAAACTACTTTTAAGCTTATATGACGAGATTACGCCAGCTGGATCATGCGCTTCAGGAACGTTCTCTCTTTAGAAAGCCAATTTGGTGGTTTTATGATCTTGATTGTTGAGGGGAATCTCAGGAGCTGAAAAATAAATCTGCACACGAATCGAATCAGGAACTTGATGAAATTTCGACAAATAACATCCCATTCCTAGCTGGCGCCAAGATCAAGGTAAAATTTAAAAAATCTAGATTAGCGAATCCTAAAAACGGGAGGGTCCATTTTCTTCACCGGAAAAGCGTCCCGTTTTAGAGCCATGAACTGTATTTTCGGGTAAATGATCCGAATAGATGATTTTTTACCGAGAAAGCTTATCTCAACGAAAAATCAACCTCATGTGCTTCTAATTATTTCAGACTGAACCTGGCCGGCGAGTCAGATGAGCTTCTTTCGTATTCACGAAACGAGATAACCACCGTTCTACCTCTTCCCCAGCCAGATCCTGCGTGATTTTTACATGGACCCGACATAAGCCCCAATTATCTCCACAGCCCTTTCTGAAAACCGATACTGATTCCTTCTGTCAATTAAAATCGACTCTCGACTGAGCGTAGTTACACGTGGAAAACTTGACACCAGGGAGCTACAACTTGAGAGCCTGTTTTTGAGATTCCTGTATTTTCCGGGATCAAAATATGAGACACATCATCCTTTCACTCAGCTTGAACCCGACAAGTTCAATTCATCATTCGACAAGACATCTTTTATGTTTTAGAAGAATTTTATGTTTTAGAAAATTTTTTATGTTTTTAGGCTTTTGTGTTCTCTGTCGCTCGAAACCTCAAACGATCGATTTTAAGCAGCTATTCGACTATTTTTTTGGATGAAAATTTGATCGAAATTATTTTCACATGATAATGAAAAACATTAATTAAGATGAGATACGTCAATTTTCGTGGACCCCGTTATTATGACGTTTTTTGTATACTCTCTGGCGAAATTATCATTAAATCACGTTGGTAGTGTTTCAGCTGTAATTTTCTATGTCATAGCACTTAAATTTCTAATTGGCTTAACTCTTCACAAACTATAGTGTATCGTAGACAAGGGATTTGGAGACTGTTAGAAGGAGCCTAGTAAGTCGAATGAAAACCGTAGTGCGGTCGAGATGACGTGTGGGAATCTACAGTAGTAATCTTGGAAGGTTGATCTCCGAACTCTTCGAAGACGAGTTTCGAGTTTTGCTTTCTGAATTCTGAATCACCGGTTTTCGAGCGTTCGCCGGCGAGTAGTGTTTCACTCGTCGAGAATCGAAAATGGGCATAAAAACATCCTTCTCAGTTTCCATCTCCGAGGAGCTGACGTAGCTCCATCGCCGAAGAAAAAAAAAACGGTCAAGCGATTGTCCGGCCGGGGAAGCTGACTCGCGCTCCGCGGATAAATGCACCTTCGATCTAGTCTAATTGCTCTCGCTCCCAATTATGAAGAAGATTATAACCATTTTTTTCGGCTATTTTTAAACTATAGCTGCTGGATTTAGAGACAAATTTCTCTGTTTCGAGACAGAAAATGGACCGAAAAAGAGCATAAATTAGACCGTAATTTACCTTTTGAAGAATTCCATATCTATTACAATCGAATTTGTTCTTCGCATCGCAGTTCCAGCAGTAAAAGACATCCGAATCATCAGAAGATACTATCATGAAAAGAACATAAAGAAGTATACGTGTAATCATCTTCTGTATTTCCTAACTGGTACTTTTCGAAGTTTCTCTGGATGAAAATTGACGTATTAGGCGGGAGAGATGAGCGCTTGACTCGGATTCGGACTCAGGCGCTTGACATTTTGAAGAAATTGGATTTTGATCTGCGAATAAATTTCAGCACTGCAATATTACCGGCGATGATACTGGCAAAGCGACCGGCTGAAGATATAAAAACAAAGTTGTGCCGGCTCAAAAGGGGCGGATAGAGCCAGTATAACTCAGACAAAGTAGCTCTGAGCTCAGTTGAACATCTGAAAAGTAGCAGCTCCAGTTGTTTCAGCGAGCCATTTTAGAATGAAATGATAATTTTATTTTCTGTTTGAAGTGATTCCAGACTAGAATTAAGCCATCTTCCATATCGAGTTTCGAGACCGGTCAGCTAAATTTGGTCTGTATTCCGCAGCGCTTAGGGTTATTTTTAACCCTCTCCGAAGGTGTTTTTCAGCTAGCAAGAGACGAGAAGACCAAGGTGGAAAACGAGCTGCTCGGAGGTTGGCCGCATAACACGACGCGCTTGGCTGAATCCGGAGGAAAACACGAAACGAATCGTCAATTCTTTCAGCTCAGGCTTCTCTCACATGGCTCAGCTGATCGGAGATCGCCGTCATTTATTTCTGGCTAAATTGATTATTTAATGGAACATCGGAGCAGTTTACTGTAAACACAAATCTTCAAAGATATTCAGAAATAAAAATCATGATAAATGATCATTTTCTTTATAAAAAAAAGACATGAAACGAGGCATGTAAGAGCATCAATACTGCGCCAGAAAATTTTGAAAGATCAAAGAAGGAAAGTGAGCACTTCAATTCGAATTATGACAATTTGTACGATAGACGATTGAGATGACAGTTGTATATGGCAGTTGTAAATTACGACAGTGGGATTCTCCCGAAAATGCCGAGACCGGCTTATCAACGAGAGAGACTAGTCACCTCCTACTCGTTGGCGGTCGCTGGAGTTACAAAAACAAGCAATCGTTTGAGACATTTTAAAGCTACCTTTCCATCATCAAAAAGAGATTTATACAAAGGTAAGTTCCGTTAAAGAAAGATGAAATAATTAAAAAAGGATTGACTCATCAAGTATAGAACATTTATCACTTGTTTTTGATGATAAGATTCAAAATTATAGGTCTAAAACTAGGTTATATATTTTCTGATAAGAATAAAAATTTGAACGTTCGAAATCAGTGTCGTCAAAGAAAGCGCCACAAATATAAATGTACAAAACGTATATATTGACTCTACCCTACATATACCTTTCATAACCTCTATGGGAAAGTGCGTCCGTTGCCTTTTCTCCCAGGCCTATTTTCTAATCTGTTTGTGAAACAAGTGGCTCAGAACACGTAGCTTATCGAAGTTGTAAATTCTCGTTGGTAAAGCAGAATATCGGAAATACTGAATCTTCTCTTCTTTTGTGGTGTTTGCTTAAAATCGCTCTATAATTATCATTGAGCCGAAAAAGAATCAAGCAATTTTTTATATAAACGTGGATAAGTCGGCGTTTTTCAGTCGAGAACAATCCATCGAAGTAAGTTTAACTAAAATATTATTACTAAAGAGCAACCTTTACTTACTCGCCATTTATCGAACGACATCGGAACGTTTCAATGCTAATATAAAATATCAAAGCTTTTTAATTCAAAAGGGCCTACCTAACAGTCGATTTCCAGACAAATTAGCAGTGGTCAGTCAATTCATTATTCATAAAGTTGACAATATTTTCGAGCAAATTGAGAAAAATGAGTATCATGAGGGATGAAGAGTGACTTTGTCCTAGACATACTGACCGACTGGTAGACTGACCGAGGGAGCTATAAAACCGTACATTAATAGAACGCCAGACAATTAAATTTTATCCGATTTTTTCGACCACGATTTTGAAGAATTCAGAGTTTTTCAGCCAAAATTTTCAGTTGGAGTTTTTTGGAATCTGGACACGGGACACCAGGCCGTGGTGTCTAGCTCCACCTCAGTAGCGCTCATCGTATCCGTTCTTTCCTTTAAAAAGACTCGGGCAAGGGCGATTGTTGAATCAGACCAAGTTACCGGTTAGCCATGTAACTCCTCTCCTTAGTGAGGATTCCAACCCTTTTCGACTATTTTTGAGGTAGGCGTAAACTCCTCCTTGATTTCAGTTTTCTTCTTGTAATCGGCAGATTTCATTTTGAAAATTGAGATTTGCCGGTTACAATTATTAACGATAGAATCTTAATAACGGCCAAAGATAACAACATTGGATAACCCTCAAAAAGACTGATTACAATTATTTAAACATCAACCCAAACTTTTGACGACGCTTTTATTTAAAGAAGATTCCTTCACAAATTGCAGTAAGTTACAGTTTCGTCTCAAGGCCAGCATCTGGCTTTCAGAAACGATTGAAACTCAAATATTTTTATTCGACGATTCTTGGACTCTCTTTTCGGACCCACTTAAAATTTTAAATTTCTAAATATCAGCGCCTCTATTCTACTAGAAAAGCGACTGTATCTATGCCTCCCGCAGTTACGTAAGCTGTTGTAAGCTCACACAGGGTTGTATTAACCCTACATAGTTCGATCCAGTGAACAATTCGCTGGCTCAAGGCCTAAAACGAACCAAAGAGCTCGAAAATACTTTTTTATGTGTGTTTTTGAGTTTTTGTGCTTGAGATAGAGGGTGGACGAACCACTTTAAAAGCTCAAAAAAGGCGAGATGATCATCTTTTTCACAAATTTTGGCAAATTCTTCCTCAACTCGCCCCACTAGAAGACAGACTCGAGCTAGAGATACTACATGTTCTAACTAAGCGAGGCACAGAGGAGCAAGGAATTTGCCAAGATCGCCAGGAAAACGCAGCAAAAGTGCGGACGAACTGGCCCTGCTTGGGCCAGATTCGCGGGTCACCGAACAACACTCACTAGAAAACCTTATTTATACTGTTCCGGCGAATTCAGTTGCGCAATTCAAATGTAAGCGGAAAAAATGATATGACCCAAGTGCAGGGGTCATTCATTAGATGACCTCCAGAATTCTCAAATTTGAACTGTCAAAAACACAGTTTTAGGAAAACACAGTCTTCGATTATAAAGACCTTATATAACCCCTTCTTAGTGTTCGGAATTCCATAGCATGAAATCATAATTTTATTGCCCAGGATACCATAGGGAGTCAACCGAAAGCCCTAAACTGCCTATCGGATAGATCATTATGTAACAAGTCTTCCAGACTGAACTACCAAATCTCCCAAAAAACGCCCAATTTTGAGAGGAGGGGCATTTTTTCTGCGTCGGGTACATTTTCTTCCAGTCCCCAATTTTCTTGCTCAACGACTTGTAAAATTATAGAAGTATTGTACTCCAATATTCTTATACGTATTTGCAAGGCGTGCCTTCGATAAAGTACTTGATAATTATGATTTATGGCACCATGAATAAATGTATGCATAATTTAATTTATGCTTCACTTAGCAAAGGAAATCGGCAGAAATTTATGCAAGGCCAATTATTTTTTTGGCAACATGTAGTTAGATTGCTTGAACTCTGTCAGTTTTTCGCGACGGCTACAACGGCTACAGATAGGGCCGGTTGTATGAGACACCAAATCATCATTATCAGTAAAAACAGCACGAGCGAGCGCCGTTTCAAAACAGCTCGGACCTCCTGCCACATTCTAGGACCAAGTATCAGATCAAATAAGATAAATTATCGAGAGTGGTCAAAATATAAAACATTTTTCTTCAGAAGGAACGAATTTTTGCGTCAATTTACTCAGTGATTACGTTTTTCCAAGAACTTTTCCGTAAGTGTTCCTTGAGAAGGGTCTGCCGCAGTAGACCACTCTTCTTTCCAAATAAAATGGAAGTTAAGATTGCCATGGTTTTGGTTTTCCTACGGTCAATATGTTTTTCTCTGGCGAGCTCCTCTAGTGAGCAAATTTGTTCTTTTGAAATTTTTTTTAGTTTTTTCCTCGTTTTTTGTTCAAAAGCGTTTTTGCATCGTCGATGACGGTCGTGGCGACATTCTACGTTAAATTATTCGAGATTTTTAGACTTTTTCAATTGCCCACTTGGTCATAAATTAAACGAAGAAACCTTTAGAAAAAAAAACAACAAAAGCTAAACAAGCATATTCTAGCACGAGACAAAGCAGCAAAAAGCCCGATAGCGACATGAATTTCTTCTTGACTCACCAACCCTCTCTCCTTCCCCTCTTCACTCTCTTCCTCCTTACGTCCGCCCAGTCCGGCGGCAACTCCTGCGACTTGAAGAACATTTGCAAGACTAGTTTGAATAGGGAGACGACCGATTCTTGGAACGCCCAGTCTTGGAACAGTCTTTTAAAATCGACACGCCCCAGACTCGACTTTTTCAACACCTTCATCGACGGCTTCCTGGAACAGAAAACAGCCATCACCAACATGGACTACGTTCATTGCCTTGTTAACTCCTGTGAAAATGAGCCGATGAAAGTCTTCAAACACCTGGTCCTCCAACTCAACAAGATCAGCAGAGAGAGCAAAAAAAGTAACTTTTACAACGCGTTTACGATGATCGAAATGGTGATGACCAAGAGACAACGAGAAGACTTGCACTTTTTGCTGAAGCAACAAGCTATGCGCTCGAGAAAACCATTCCATATCCCGAGTCGAATAACTGCGGAGAACCGCGTTTTCTTCAACGGATGGGAAAATGGCTTCGGTTCGCTGGACGAGAAAACTTTTAATAGACAGAATGAAGAATTACGGAAGATTATTATTAAAGATTTCTTGCGCTGGCCGATCGAGCACTGTGAGAATCATATATTCTCTCTATATAAAAAGTTCCGATATATATTATATATTTATTTATGAATAATAATTATTAACTACTTTTTAATAGATATGGATTATATTATCTCTGCGAAGGACGAAACATTCTCACTTCTTCGAAACCTTTGCCCTGGGGGGAACTCTTTGGCCCGCCGAGCTTTGAGCCGCCGAGGAGACTGGAATCAAAGTGTAAGTACAGGCGATAATTCTGAAACTGAGTGGCTAAATCGACGTAGATTCTCGAATTCTGAAATTTGATTTTTAGGTGAATCTTTCCCAGAATTATTTCGGCGTCCGATTCAGCGATTGCGAGGCTCGCAAGTCCACATGTACCATGCGAAATCGCGTCTTTGCCGTGGTAGCGCAGTACATACTCGAAACCCGACAAAGCTTGAACTCCCAATTCCTCAAGGACGTTTGCCAGTAAATCCTGCCTCCCGAAACAAATGAATCTTCCAAAAATTCTTGACAAGTCTCCAAGTTCTCTCACTCCATCACTCCATTTTCCTCGAGTTGAGTTCAGAACCCAGATGGTACATTCGGGTGTAGAGGCGGCCGCTCTCTCTCACTCTCGAGGCCGAAAAAATCGCGCCCGAGGACGAAAAAAGCGAGCGATGATGACCCCTATGTGCTCCCGAGCATGTCACCTTTTGAACTTTTCAACTCTCTCTGCTTCTGCTGCCAGAACTTCCAATACCACAACTACTCAATTCTCTACTACAGTATTTACCGAGGAGAACATCTATCTCGTCTTTTTCAAATAAGAATCGAAGATGCCTGTTCTTCGCGGTAACTATCTATCTTGCAAATGTAATTTTATGCTTATCACTATAAGAAAACTTTAAATATCTTGAAAACTCCTTCAAAAACCATCAATAAGAATTATACAGAACTCTACCATATATAACTATCTCTACTCTTCACTACCTGCTCGCTATCTAAAGTTTCTTAACCCACAAACTATATAATAATTTCTCCCCTTCCCTACCTTCGTGTCGTTACGGACCCACTCTGTTCTTTGCCACCCCAATTTTAACAAAAAAACTACCCGTCGAACCTTTGCTGAAATTGACTTTTTGAAATAAAAATCAAAATCTTTAATGAAGTAAGGTCGATGATTGCACGCATAAAAACGGAATGATCACTAACTCAATCTTCTTCCTTGACAATCTGAGCATCAGGAGAAAATACGGTAATGTAACTGTTGTTGTGGCAATCAAGAAATCGACAAAAAAAAAATAAACGCACAATTTTGTGATCACGCCTTCTTTTCCAAAAAAGCCGGCAACTTGACAACGAACGCAGTATAGGACCTGTAGAACATGTCTTTATTTGATCATCTTCTGAAGGGTAGATTCTTTAACGGATAACTGGAAAGCTTGTTCTTCCAGAAAGAACGTGTATTTGCCAGGATCAGAAATGAACCGAGTTCAAAGTTCAGGCAAAATATTCTTCTTTGGAATCTGAAAAACGAAAACACTGTCTATTGCCAACTCAATATCGGTAATAATATTATGGCAGCAGCCGACACTATAATGAGATATCTAAAGATTGTCTGAAAGCGATCGTCTTACTACTGCAGCTAACAGTTGGCATGCAGACGATATTTTCAACCCTTGTTTTCGACGTTACGTTTTCCGATGCGATTTTTTATCCCAACTGATAAGATATCCACGAATCAGGATATTTTGATTGATTTGATAATCCAGTCGTCTCGGACGTCTTTTTTCTCGGTTGATAGAACTGATTTTGTAAATCTGACCGAAAAGACGATTAGGAAATCGTAACTATATGGCCCGAGATTTGAACCTAGAGAGGAGGTTCATCGGGCGATTTGCTTAATCCCGTAATCACGATTCTTATGAAACAAAAGAAAAAGACCGGCAAGTGTATGTACCGACTCAAGATCTGCAGAGCTGACGCGCCATCTACTGCACGCCATCTAGCGCCATGCCTTCTATATAAGAAACATTCCAGCACCATTCTTTCATCATATCAGTCCTAATCAGACTAACTATCTACAACCGATAGAAAAAAGCAGCACCAAAAAGCAGCATGCAAATAGGAATCGTTACATTCGCTACTCTCCTTTCCTTCGCCAAAGCGATGAACTCGTGCAATCTCTGGACGAGAAAAATCGCCCGAACGGAACGTCAAAAGGTACAAATAGTCCACTCAAACAAGCCCTAACTAAATCTTCTAGTGGAATCTCTCCGGATCGCGCCCTCAAAAGAAAAACTGCCTAAAAACTTACGGATCGTCAGAGATGACCGCTGATGTTTTCTTCTGCTCCGATGTTTGCATCATCCCCGACGGATTCGCCTGCAACCCCAACCCAGGATACGGCCGCGACATTTGCGGCATCGACTCTTACTGCGATACTACTGAGCGAATCTGCAAGGCTCTTTACGTAAGAACCCACTTTTAATTCACTCATCTAACCTCAACTTTAGTTTGATGAATCCTCATTCTCTTCGTCCTCTTTCGATGATTTCTTCTATCCCGACATCATCCAATTCGACTGATTATGGTAGAATCAAATCTCCAAAGACTCAATTTATAACTCTTTTTTCAGAAAAGGATCCCAAAAACCGCTCTCAATGTCTCCCAACTTTTCTCCCAACAAAACCAACAAAATGTTCTCCCAAACGCGCTCATCTGTTTGCTACGAAGTAGGATGAAAGAGGAGCCCACACCAGACCTTCTATGGAAGCACTTCTTCTCAATTTAGACTACCCAAATAATTTTTATACTCGTTCTTACGTTTCTTTTCAATTCGCTATTTATACGCTCTTTATTAGCGCTCAAGTGTAGTTATGATCTTTTTATTGACCGGTGAGGTCAGCCTCCGACCAGTTGCTCTGCTGGTCAAGAAGGAGTATCTGTGTCTTGCTTACAGTTTACTGTTTACTTTTTCAAAGTTCAATGTATCTGCTGCTTTTGCTCCTTGTCCTAAATCGAGCAGTTGTTGCGACATAGAAATGATTGCTCGGTCGATTTTTTTATAAAATACCCGTCCGCTTTTAAAACATAAAAATAGATAAATAAAACAAAAAAAATGCGCTCAAATTTATTTTTTCTCTTTCTAAGACCTCAGGTTTATTTTCTGGCAGGAACAAACAGTTAAAAAACGGCTATCTTAAGGGGGTACACATCAATAACCGCGGCTTTCGAGCAGTATTTTTGTTGAAAAATAATAAAGTGACGCCCTTTTTGTATTTTACGAGAAGACTAAGTTCTTTCAGGAAAAAAATCTACTCAAAAATTCGGTTCTTGATGTCCAACCCTCAAAAATGTGTATAAAAATGTGCACAAGAAACGTTCCCTTTAAAAGATTCCATGGGAGCAGCATCCACCGCGTTTGAAAGAGTAGCAAGCTTCTTGGTAGATGACCCTTTTTTGAACTGGCGAGGAAGAAGCTTAATAAAATATCAAGAAGAAAAATTGGAGAACGAGCTATAAAAAAAAATGATGATCGGGACAATAAATATAAATTTATTGCCGTTCAAAAAATATGGTGCGATGTCACTGACAGGCAAATTTAATGTTTGATAAGACACCTCCCAAAAAGAATCATCAACTCTGATGCAATTTGCACGTTTGGAGAGTTTGAAGAACGTGCAAGAGAAACTCGAAAATATTGATTCAGGGAAGCAGCAAGACTTTTGGCCTTCTTCCCAAAAGTTCACTTCTATTTCATAAATCAGGCAGAAAACAGGCTGGAACAAGACGCTATATTGCGTCTCATAACAAGCTGTTTTATTGACCAACTCTTTAGTGAAGGCAATCTCTTTTTTTTTCTCATTGAAATCAAGGAAGAAAGCAAGTCGACTCTTGAAAAAACGGATAATTTATAGACTTACTGGTCAAACCACACTGACGACAAATCAATCTTCTTTGAGCCATCGGAAGAGGAAACTGGCAACTGCTGACGTTGGAGACCATTGAAGCCCTTAAAAATCATGATTTCGTTCAATAAAAATAGGCTTACCAAAATGAAACGATCGCGAAAAAATTCATATCTCTATTGATCAAAACTTTATTTGAAAACTTCTTTCTGATTGTAATTAATATTGCCTGAGGCGTGTTCTTGAATCTCTTTTTATACTGTCAGTGCTGCGCGGCGCTAAAGAGAAGGCTCGTTTCAGGGTTGACTTTTTGTTATTCTATTTCATGGACTTATTTGGTCAGTCACGTGTTTGCATTTAGATTCTATCAAAATGATTTTAAAATGATATTTATTTAATCTGGATTTGGCGAAAGAAGCGTTTTATTCGGCCGTTGTTAAATATTGTTTCTTGCATTAAAATTCTCTATAAAAAATATTGATAATTGTCGACAATCGTAAAGTAAAGATAGTCTATTTTAAATAGATCTTAAAGTTTATCAATTCGATAATACCAACATATATTTGAAATTCGATATATATATTGGCTGTGACGAGGAGAATATTTAATTCAATTTTGGAAAATATCGACTTAGTGCTTTAAAAGGAGTAAAAGGCTATCTCAAGCAAACTTCCTTGTTATCGACCTCTTCACTGTAATTGAGTCTGATTACTGTATTTAATAGAGATAACAAGGAAAAAGAGACAAGCGCCATTTCTGCGGTTCTCTTAAAATGTGGTTCAGTCGGTTTACCGCCAAAAGTCACTTTATTAATTAACTGAATCCATTTACAAAGACAGGGTTTTCCAAAAATGACGTTTAGCAAAGTAAATCGGAAACGAGAAAACCTGATCTGTCATTTATCCAAATTGCCCACTGACTTTTTCCATTACGCGCAAATCGAGCGGACAGGGACCATTTACGTCATGGCTAGAGACAGACTGTATAAAATCGGCTGAATTTGTCAAGTCAAGACTCGGATCGTCTTTTACGGAGCTTCTTATTGGCACTTAATCTTTCTCAATTCGTCAATTTCATATTTTATTATATGAATTATTGAAAATACTTACTGAACAATTTCTGTGACTGAAAGATTGATGAGTTCAATTTCCATCAGACAGTAAAATCCATTTTTTTCTTGATGAACCCACAAAACACTCGGTATTACATTACATGCCAGTACATGAACCTCGATGATTTCCAATAGGTAGAAGTAGTACTACTCATCAATTTCAAATACACGCAGCCATCTCATTACTTATATATTTTCACCAGGACTCGTGGACTCGAGTCATATCTGAACATATCGCGCGGCCGAAAATTTGCTGTATTGTGTATTATCCTCATTTTCGCACTGATTGAAATACAATTTAATTATCCAGTTGGATGCAGATTGGGGTAAGCAAGCGGTGTAAATAACGTCTCAACAATTCGTTTACGCGAGCATTGGCAAATGCTGCATTATTCATTCAATGAAGTCTGTCGAAAAAACCGCGTTTGATTAAGGCTATAACGTCTCTTTTGGCCTCTCTGGAAAACGGACTTCCCTTGGTCGATTTTGAAAATTTAAAAGGCAAACATACTTGTTTTCTCCTAAAAAATTCAAAAATGCCATCAAAAAATACTTTTTTTAGGTAATTTTTAGCTTTAGAATCATTCAAAAATCGCCGATCGGTTTTCCGAGAAAACTAGAGGTTAAGAGGTAGAATTAATCCGATTATAATATTAACTCGGGCAGATTCTATGATCCCTATGGAAAAAATTTAAAGAAATTGTCCGAATTATGATTATAGTTCTCTCTTCTTTTAAAACTCTTTTGTTTATAGACTGACGCTTGAGATCCGCGCAGCCAATCAGAGCGCGATGAATCGCTTGACTCACACGCTCGCCAACAGCGCTCTCTTTTCGGCCTGGAGGATAGCACTCCGCGCAGCGCGTACACGCGCATTTTTATCCTCAGGTGCCCGCACTAACATGGCGCTAGAATGAAAATTTAAACAGATATCGAAGATTTTTTCCAAAGGGATTGTAGAGAAGGCTTTAATCTATTAACTGATCGAAAAAATCTACCTCTGTAATGGTAAAATTCTTCGGAAAACCGATCGGCGTTTTTTAAATGATTGTAAAGTCGAAATTTCAAAAGAAAAATAATTTTTGATCGCATTTTTGAAATCTACGATAGATTTTGAGTATATAAGCTTTTTAATTTTTGAAATCGACCAAGGGAAGTCGGTTTTCCAGAGAGGCCAAAAGAGACGTTATAGCCTTAAGTTTTCAGGAGCTAACGTACCCCCTAGCTCGCTCACATTTTGTGAGCATTTTTCCCTTGCTCGCTTAGTTAAATTTTATCAAAGTCCCCTTGCTCGCTCTCATTCTTGTTTCAGCGCGCTCCATTAGTCGCCATCCTTCTTTTACCTCGCGCGCCCTTGTTCGCTCCTCCTCACCCATTTATCCCTTGTTCGCCGCGAGACCGCCAAAGCCTAGCTCGGCTTGGGTCGCTCTTACAGCTCTTACTGAACTTTCGACTCAAGCTTTTCATAGGGAACTAAATTTTCATTTTCATGAATATTTTGACAGTAACTAAACTTCATTTCCTCTTTTAAGCGTCCAGTTAAATTTTTGTATCTTAAGGGGAGGTCGACGAGAATCGGGATTTCTGTAACCAAAAATGCGAAAAAACCTGCTTAGATAGGCGAATTTTGACTTTTCACGCGGAAAGAAAAGGGTTTCAAAAATACAGCGGCGAAAACTAGAAAAAAAATTTTCTCGAAAAAATCTTGAAAAAATTAGGGCAAAGTGGGGGTGTCTCGTAACCAAAAATCTCGAAAACGGGATTATTTTTTCTCCATCAAATACTGTAAATAGTAAGTTCAAACCCTTAAAAATACAGCGGCGACAATAAAAAAGGGATGCTTCTCTTGAAAATTTTTTACTGTTGATTAAAAATATCCGATTTTCCTTAAAATCGTCATTTTTGCTCATTTTTTACAGCGAATTTTACAAAACTCGCGGAGACTCGTAATTTTTTACTGATAATGATAGAAAAACCATTAAAAACAATATCTAGCAAAAAAAATTCGGATAAAGACTGTTTTTGTGTGAGAAAGCCAACTTTAAAATTTCGTGAAATCTCGAATTCCAGACACAAAATCGAAAATTTTGTTAAAAAAAGTTTATCAATGCGCAAAATGCTGGAGACCAAAAATGCTCCTTTTCTATTAAGGAATCCAAAAATATTGTCAAAATTTTGAAAAAGCGAAAAAATTTCTCGTCGACCCCCTCGTTAAAGCAACGCGGTATTATGCCGTAAACTTGATAGTTTGACTTTATATGTACATTTATACTCAAAATAGTCGAATCTTCATGTTGACACTGGTTCCAGAGTTGCAAATTTGCTGAGCTGAGTGAGCTGAGCAGTCGCTCAGCTCAGTGATTTTGGAAAATGATCTGATCTGCTCAGCTCAGCTCAGACAATTTTCACTCAGCTCAGCTCAGCTCAGCTCCATTATTTTCGAACATGATCTGTTCTGCTCAGCTCAGCTCAGCTCAGCTCAGACGATTATCACTTAGCTAAGCTCAGCTCAGCTCAATGATTTGAATACAATTTTACTACCGAAAAACAGTAAAAACAGCTCAGCTCAGCTCTAATTAGGGTCCGCTCAGCTCAGCTCAGCTCAACTCTCTTAAACAAAAGGTCTGCTCAGCTCAGCTCAGAAACCTCCGAAGTAGGCCAGCTCAGCTCAGCTCAGCTCAGAGAAATTTTTTCGCAGGTCAGCTCAGCTCAGCTCGGAAAAATTAATCAAAATTTGCAACTCTCGAGGAAAATGGCATTTTATTTTTTTATAAAAACAGTCTCAAAGTTTCAATCCATGTATTTCGAGTACTTTTGTTTACTTAAAATGGAGTGTCCAAATTTCTTCTTATTAAGAAGATATGAAAATTTGACAAAATGGACGTGAAAGAGCATAAAAAAATAAGTTTGCTTGGAAAAAATCATGAAAATCGAATTTTGAGACCATTCTACGAGTTAAAAAGCCTTTTAAAAGTGAAAAAGAAAGTGAGCAACGCGTTATAAAGCGTTCTCGCGGGGCTTCAGGAGCGAACAAGGGATAAATGACGGAGAAAGGCGGGCGAGCAAAGGTGCGCCGTCGAAACCAAGGAGGGCGAACAAGGGGTCGTAGAATGCAAAAGAAGGAAAGCGACCAACGGATCTTGGTAACAAAAAGCGAGCGACCAAGGGGGTCTTGTTGGAGTTTAACTAAGCGAAAAAGGGAAAAATGTTCACAAAATGTGAGCGAGCTAGGGGGGGGGGTACGTTACTTTACTGTAACCTCTCTTGAATAATTTTCCTTTATTCTCGATCCCGGACATGCACTCTTACATCGCAAAAATACCTAGCTGGCAGAAAAAGCTCTTTTTTTCTTGTTCAAACAGGGAAACAAAGATGTTATAAAACTTGTGAAATCAGAAAGAAAAACTGTTTTATTGAAGGAATTTATTGAAATGAAAAGTAGTCAGATACTTGAGCTGTTACTTTTCAAGACAAACAAGATGTGAATAAACTGCGAGTTATTGAGCATTCTCCAAGACTGTAGCAAGAACTGATGAATCAGAGCTGACTTCGAGTGAATTATCTTCGACTGGAGGAGATTCAACGTTTTCCTCGTTGCTTTCCTCGTTGCCCGTTCCAAAGATGTTTTTGAAGAGGTCCTTTACTTGAAAACCATATCTATCAAATGTTGAAAATTAGCAAGAAGAAGAATAGTTCAAACCTTGATGCATACCAAGGTCGCTCGTTTCTATCGTTGTCGTAGTTTCTGTCCGAAATACTGGCCGATTGAAAGTCGGTTGAATCCGCATCAAATCTTCCCCCAGCTCGGCCAGTTTGCCGCTGCCCGTTTCTGAAAGCAGCGCAAGAATGTCTCGGACGAGCGGGGTTGTAAGGAATCCAGGTGCACACTTGCTCGCCGAATTCGACTACTTCGACGCCGCAGTTGGTTCCGCGCTTTCGAAGGCGAATGTTTTCCTGACGATCGCCTTCGGAGCAGCAGCTGCTCCATTCGCTCCATTGGTGCATTCCCTTAATTTTTTAAAGGAGAAGCAAGCATCGCAGCCTTACCTTTTCGCAACTTTCGCTTTCCTGCGCTTCATCTGCTCCGAATCCACACTGTCTCTTTCTAATTCTACTTCCAGTTCCACATTGCTTTCCTCCTTCGATTTCGCAATTAGACCAGTTAGACCAGCGACCACCAAAGCAAAAACTCTCTGCAGATCCCACAAAAAACGCTACTGCTCCTATTTTCATTTTATTTTTCAGCTAGAAAAAGACGAGAGCCTTGATTTCCAGCGCTTTTTATTGAGAAAAGGGTGGGAATTGCATTTCTCGTGAAAATAAACGAGCAATTTTAAACGTGGCCCGGTCACGTGGATGTCAAAAAAAACTGTGGAATCGAAGATAATCTTCAAAAATAATTAATAATGCTTTTGATCTTCAATTGTAAGTTTCAAGTGAAATTGAAAATAATTTATTTTTAATGTTTCACTTTTAAAGATGAGAATTTGATCGCTTTGGTCTCAAGCCTTGAGAATCCAGTAAATAAATACAGTTACAAATATTTGTCTCTTCCCCCAAAAAATCAAGTTTTTAGCAAGTTCCAGTCAAAAATGAGAAATATTGGTGTCCTGTTGGTTTCTGTTGCGTATTGTTCTTATTCTTGCTGGACTCCTGGAAAATTATACAGGTAAAATTTGAAGATGGGTAAAAAAAGTTGATTTGAAAATTGAGAGGATCTGTATCGAGAACAAAAAGCGGTAGAACTTGTCAACGATGGGGCTCGGGCTCAACTCATCAAGAGAACCCGATCAAATTGCCTCCTAGTTGGGATAGAGCCGAGAACTACTGTCGAAATCACGATTACAAGCACATGAGGCCCTGGTGTTACACAACCGACCCGAACGTACGGCATGAAGAATGCCCGATTCGTCTTTGTCGGTCTTCGAAACCAGTAAATCGCCCTACACGAAGACCAACAACCCTCCAAGCGCGAACAACAAAACCGCCCAAAGAAATTTATTCGAACTCATTTTGCGAAGACTGTAACAGCGGCTTATGCGGCTCAGTGAACGGTCCCAATGTTTTCGGGGAAAAAGAAAACGTTACCTGCCTAAACAGTTGCCACGAAGAGCACTTTTGCACAGAACGAGTTTATTGACGGATAAAACGAATTCTTATGGCATCAAATCTGTTGCGACTTAAAATATTTTATCCCGATCGTAGAATGGGTCAATTTCTAAATCTGATTTTTCATGGCCTTGGCAGGTTTATGTAAAGAAAAAAAGTTAACCACGAATTTCAATTTCATTTCAGCTTCCTCAAGCAGGATGTGGTGGAAGCTTGTTATCAGCGAATACGATTCTTACAGAAAAAGTTACAAAAATAGCTAAAGAAACTTTTTAGAAAGCAAAGTTTAACTTTTATAAGCTGCTCATTGCGTTATCAGCAGCCGTAACGGTCGCGATAAGAATCTTCGTGGAACCCTTGTTGTTGCTGGTGGAAAATCGCTGTCTTCAGAAAACCGTCAACTAAGAAGCATCGGAAGCATTTCCCTCATCCCGAGTACAATCTCCGTTCTCAACACAACGACATCGCCATTTTAAAAGTCTCAACTCCATTTTCAATCAACACATTCGTCCGCCCCGTCTGCTTGCCCTGTCACAGCAGACCTCTTCCAGACAAAGCGAAATGTATCGTCACTGGCTTCGGATTGACCGAACGGGGCAGAACCACTGAGGACAAGATTTTCGCTTCAGTAGAGACGCATTCAAAAGAATTCTGCAGCTCTCGATTCGGATATGGCTTCAAAGATGGTAATGTTGAAAGCATAGAGGTCTTGTTAGTTTGCTAGGAATGATGTGCGCCGGAGGAAGAACAGCGGATACATGCAGGGGTGATTCTGGTGGACCCCTCGTTTGCAGCATAAACGGACATTATTATATCTTTGGGATTACCTCCTGGGGCCAGGAAAGGTTTGAATGAAATGGTTCATCGAGATTGAAAGCACATTCGACCTCAAAAAGAATCCCAACTGCCAAGGTGGACAAGGAGTCTATACAAGTGTTCCAAGCTATCTCGAATGGATACATCAAAATTTTTGATCATAATTTATAAATAAAGTTTTATTGAAATTTATTCATTCATTTATGCAAGCAAATAATAAAACAAGAAGAAGCGAGGTACTGAAAAAATTACAGTAAAGCAAAAAGCACTGTCCTCTGATTGAAATTTCAAGTACAAAATTGAAACTAGAGGATTAATAAATAAAATAATGAGTAAAATGACAAAACTTTAAGCTGATAGCAATACTAAAGTAGCGGTAAAAATAAAGGTTGAAATTTGAACTTCCAGAAACAGGCGAGATAGATATAGTTTTTGTTCGACAGAAAAGTAAAGTAAGGAGTAGTATTAAGGTCAATTCTTTATTGTTAAATTAAGGGGACTTCAATTCATCAGACTAAAAAAGGATTTATGAGCGGCACAAGAGGATTTTGAGAAGGAAAAAAATATTTTTTTTAAGTTGCGACTCATAAAGCTAGCACAAAAAGAAACACAGGACAATCAAACATACTTGGACTGAAAAACAAAACTAGGCACTGTCTGGTAGACAGTCGTTGGGACAGAGGAGCTTGGAAGAATTTCGGAGAATGGCTTGATGAGTTAGGATTTGGGTGGTGCTCATATGAAAATGCATGTTTTTCTCGCATGTCGAGGTTGAGGTTTGCTAATTTTTAAAAGACTACTGTAGCAAAAGACAAGCTGTATACTTGTTCAAGAAAGCAAGCTGAAGTCAACCTCTGGAAGGTCTGTTTTCCAGTACTTGTAGCTCGAGACAGATTGGTCCGGCACTTCTGGTTCTGAAAAATGTCAATTTTGCGGACGTTTTCGATTTCTTACGGTTTTTATCAGGAAAAAAGTGGTCGCAGTTGTCCCCAAGGTCCTTGTAGCAAGTAGAGTAGCCACTGATCGAGCTCTGTTGTTCCTTCAGATGGCCCAGCGGATTCACGATGTAAATTCGTCGATCAGTTATGCCGACGTTTCTGTAGGACTTGACGTCGGTTGGTCGATTCCCGAAACCGGCCCAAAATGGATTGACCGTCTCATCCTTGTCTGCAAAAACTTGCCTGATACCGTGAAGGCAGGAGATCTTGAATTCCTCGGGGCGACGGACGATCACTTCTTTGTGGAAAGCGTTGAATAAGGAGGTCGGGTTGAGCATCACCGGCCCGGAAGGTAGTGGAACGCCATCTTGGATTACCGACTTGAGGTAATTCTTCGTCATGTGAGCCTGGAAAACTTGATAAGAAAATGAAATTTCTAAAATATTATATTGTTTCATGTATTTCATATATAGTTGGATTTTAACCTGGCCAATAGCGCGCGAGCTGAGGTATAAAATCTTGTATCCATTATTATGAATTCGTTGGTAGAGATGAGTGACGCCCTTTTGCGACCAATCCTTACCAATTGCCGGAAAGATGTTGCCCATCACATCCGACTTGGTGATCGTCCCGTCAATGTCGGAAATGACTATGCTATCCGTCGTATTCCATAAATAAATAGAAGCTGATATTTTCGTCGTGCCTTGCAGCATCGTCGTCAGCCAAAAATCAATAGTGTTTTCTCCGTATTTTAGGTTGAGCTTTTTGAGCTCGTCGGAGGAAAGAACAAGGGTCTTCTTCATAATTCTGTCGCCGTCTTGGAAAATTGGACAGAAGTCGGGGGAAGGGACGGAAAAGCTCCGCGATAGCTCGAGTCCGTTAGCAGCAGGAGGAACTTCTAGGGACTCGCTTGAGGCCGGTAGTTTTGGTTTACTGGGCATGCTGATAGGAGCTGGGTTGCGAGAGTAAGCCTCTGAAGTCGAAACAGAGCGGGGCCAGTAGCCAGCGAACCAGGAACGTTTTCTAAGACTCTCTTGTTGCAGCCCATTGACGGTGTCTTCGGAAAGGGGTCGCTGGTAAACCATCATTGAAAGAATAATTGCGCTACAGGCAGTCCAGTTGTAGTACTTCGTCCCCATCCGGACAACCAGTGATGGATGCGTGATGAACTTCTTGGGCTCCCGAGAAAACTGCTCAAATGTGACTAGATTCTTTTTGAAGCTATCTGGACATGAAATTTCATTGTTTTCTAATAGACCGCCACAGAGAGAGAGCGAGAACTCCGCCTCAAAGTCGTCACAGTCAGTGCCAGAATCAATCGTCTCTAGAATTAAAAATCAGCAAAGGACGATTTCAAAAAGGTTTTTACCGGAGAATGGAGACAGGGGAGAGGTTGGTGAAAAAACTTCCGGGAGGTCACTGGTCCTCATTTTCGTCAATGCAAGTGGCGGTTCAGAATCGAACCTCCTTCTCCTTGGAATTCGTTTAGGCACGGAAGAGAGGACTAAAGACGGAGGACGGCGATTTTGATTAAACCTATCTTCTTTCGGTACTTCTTGTGGTAGTTCTCCAAAAGGCCAGACCATTGTCGGGGTGTTGTTGTCTACTGGCGAGTCACTACTCATCGAGTGGCGACGACGTATCCGCCTATATAGACGAATGAAGATAAATAATTGTCGCCTGCTTTTATATTACCTTGGACTGTCCATTTTCAGACTTTCCAGTCGCTGCAGCAGGTTATCTGGGTTAGCAAATCGATCGCTCTCCTCAGAATCCCCTCGTTCATTAAGAGTAGGCTGATAATTTTCCATCCCCTGGCTAAATAAATAAAATAAGCAAAAATAAAAGAAATAGTCTTTCACGTTAGACACAACATGATAAATATATGATGAGTACACTTGAGCAAGCAAAGAGAGCAAAAGGAGCTTATTTTCAAGCTCCGAAGCTTCAAACGTCAAAGAGTTTTGAGGCTTGAAAATAGCTCTTTAGGAGAAATCTCGGGACAAGCGCGTGACGGGCTAATTTCATCCGCTTTTCCCGTCTTTTTGAATTATCTCATGCAGTTTTTGAAAGGAAAAGCACTCCCTTACTCTCTCGAGATGGTAATTGACTCCCTAGGAGTCTGGAAATAATTACTAAGATGATGATTTGAGCTGATAAGCGGGCTACTAGTTTTGTATACCTGAAGATGCTATCCCGGGGTGTGTAAAATGGTGGATGGTCGGGAGGACCTTCCTCGATACTGTTTGAAAATAGTTAAAATACAGAATCAAATGGTGATAAAAATACGTACAATTCTGTCTCGTCGAATTCCATGTCGAGCATGTCTCCTTCGGAACCATAAACATTGTTGTTCTCAACAACATTTGGACGCGGAGATTCAGGGCGAGAAGGGACAGGTGTTAGTTCCATGGGACTTCTAATCGGAGAAGTGATGTAAGCAGTTGGAAGAACTTCATTCACGCCTCGCTCAGTCACTGAAAATCACAGTACAAACGGTGATAAAAGAAGAAATCGATTGAAACCCCCAGAGATTTTGAGAGTACAATTGGATACCGTGTTTATTTCGAAGAAAGGAATCCCTTGGGATTCATCCTGACTTCTGACAAAGAATTTACAATGATGATTGATGAATTCTTACCAAAGAAAGCTTCGCCTTGGTCACCGAGTTTCATGTGAATGTCATCTACGACTTCGCCATTGATGGAGATGTTGATAATTTTTTCCTTGGGACTGAGGACGCCCAATTTGCCAAAGCGAACATGGAACGGGCTCGTAGTAAGCTCGCCATTTGGATGTTGAGCGACAATTATATCTATAGCACCAGATAATGTAGCTGGGTTGAGGTTGTTGTAGGCATCGCGGATATAACTGCCAAAGCTTTTTACATAATCCATTTCAATAAAGTCCTAAAAACAGTTCATTCTCTCCTCAAGCAATATTTCTTGAAAAAAATATATCTTTTAAATATTTATTCTTTCTAGGAATAAGGGAATGGGAAAGAGAAACGCGCTTTGTTTGAAAAATAATGGGGCCATACGCGAATACCTGGCATATAATCAAGTAAAGAGCGTAAAAAGTAAAGGATCAAAAACGATTTTTGTAGATTAGTCAAAAATTAACCCATTTCCTTCTCTAAAAATATTTTTTTAAAAATTTAGAGTACCCTAAGCAATGAAAAGCTTTGATGGAGAATAAAATTGAGCATTTTATGAAAAAATAGAAAATTTCATAAAAAAATTATTTTGAATGATTCTCTGTACTCACTTTTTAATTGTGATACATGTCTCTTTCTATTTCGCTATTTTCGAAGAAAAATTGCTATGAAGTTATTGAATTTTTCATTTCGCAACTGCGCAGGAGCGTTTCAGACAATCCTTGAGACATTCGTGGCGGTAAACACGCACTCATCGAATCTCATCATCGTAAAAAAGAGTGATTTTTTCTCATTCGATAAATATTTGTGAAAACCCCGAATTTGAAAAGAGGAGGGCTGTAGCTGACGTAGTTCTCTCTTAGTTGTAACAACTGAGTCACGTGAGCGGTCTATCACGAGTTTATGGCCCGTTAAACGGCCACAAATCCCAGCAAAAGAAAGAGGAAAAGGCAAGGGAGTAATATCAACAAACTGAGATGATCAACAGACGGCAATTCCCAAAGGATCACAAAAGAAAAAAACATTTCCCCAAGTTCAAAAGCGGTTATTCCCTTGTGACCTTGGATAAATATTTAGCCAGTGATCGTCGCTTCTATGTCTGACCAAATCGGACCATCTTTGGCCATAGTTGGACTTCGCCCAGTAATTTGCAACTGTTACTGTTAGTTTTACTATCGGGAATATTACCTATGATTTCTTATTCATCCTTTTTCAGACCACTCTTTATTGAAAGTAATAAATTACTCACCTACTCAGCAGCATTTGCGGACGATAGCAGCTCTATGCAATTTCCTCTATGATTTTCTTTTTCTCCTCACATGCGCCTCTGCATGCAAAGAGCGGTAGTGTAATTTACAGTCAGGTCAAGTTCTGTCTCTCTCTCCTTGGTTGAGAATTGTTTGTTGTCGCCGCGCTGGGGAGCGGCGTGAAAACGGCAAGGAGTTAGAGCTGGCCTCGCTAGCTCTGGCGCAAACTCGGGCAGGGCGATCAGGGGTAAGACTGGTCAGAGTTCAAGGTCACTTGGGGCTCCTACGCGCGCACCGTGGTTGGTGGCACCACTCGCTTTGCACCTTCCATTGGCCGCCGGCGGACAGTGCGACCTCCAGACAAGCCTCCCTCCAATCCCGTGACTGGCTAGTAGAACAAAGAAACGCCCAACTCAGCGAGAATCGTTGCATAACAAATTGGTAACATCCCAATTCGAACTACTGTAAATCCTCGCCGCCTGCTCGAGAAATTTACTCACCTCGCTGGATACAGTGATAATTCGCCACTAAGCTTGCGCACAAGATATTCTTGAACAGCCTTGGGAAATCTTTGAACGTTCAAATTAGAGAATCGAGGTCAACAACACGTTTTGGTTTACGGGCGCGTCGTTAAACTTTTTAATTGTGATTTCACACTGACAAGTACAATTTAAAATCCTTAATTTTTTTGGTCTGGAATTTGTATGATTCATACAGTATGAAAGAAAAACTTGACCTTTTCTACGGTAAAGTAAGGCGTTACATAATCAGCGCTAATCGAAGAACTTAGTTACCGTGCTTTTCAAATAAAAATTCAAGTAATTTTTATCATCGAAAGATACCACCGAGTCGGTTGGACCGACGGTAGATTACAACTTCCTGAGTTTTTATCATGAATCTAGATCGAACTGTTCAAGTTTTCAAATGATTGTGGCAGTGATTCGCAAGAATTATGCCATACTCTTTCTTTCTTGTCTATTTGAAGATGAATTATTTGAAAAAAATGGGTTGATTTAGTATCTTTATTTTTCATCAAACGAGACAGTAGCTATCTGGTACCAAAATAGCATAAGGATGGTTGTAGTTCAGGAGAGTAGGGTGTTCTTCCATGAGTTTTTCTCCTTCAATCGAGGTCCAATCTTCACTGAGGGTGTATTTTTCGAAGTGATGCTCCTGGCTGCCTCCAAGTATCAAGAGCTCGTTAGGAGCAAGACGAACTAGTCGCGCCTGTGCTCGCGTTTTATAAACACCACTTAAGTAGCTCGATTAGTTATTAGAATTTAACTCTACGTTTACTCAACAACAGTTCCAATAGTAGTCCACTGGTCATCAAAAAGCCTCCAAATCTTTCCAGCTTGTCTGAAATTTAAAAGAATAGAAAAGAATTAGTGAAAGATGCATCTTACCCAGAAGTGTAACCAGGGAACAGGATGATACCCAAATCTCTGTCCGAAACATGTGTGAACTGGTAAGTGTACCCATCTGGCCACACTAGTGATTCTTCAACAGACCAGCCATATAAATTCCTAAATGTTTCAGGTTTGCAAAGTCTAAGAAGTGATAATTCTTACGTAAAGCGTTCAACAACCGGGTGGTATGAACCAGTATCGGCATCTCTTCCAGAGATCAAGATAGGATTCCCCTCGTATGATGCAATCTGACCTCCTTGATATTGATGGCCTCGGTTTGGTGATTGACTGTCCCAAAATTTACTTCCATCGTAAGTTTGGACCTTCTTCATACCATCGTAGATCATGATGTATGCTTGTGGGTCATCTTCGGAAGGTAGATAGCCGACAGAACCTGTATTGCAGTTATGGTTGATCTCTTCTCCTTCCGCTTTAACAATATCGCAACCGTCGAGAATGTGCGGCCCGTAGATTGTCGGTCCACCGTCATTAGAGTACCGTCCGCCAAAAAGGAAGTTCATTCCTTTGTAAAGAACAGAACAGCCCTCATAAAAGAAATACTCTCGATTATCTGGACCGTTGTCATACCAAGAAACAGTGATGTCTTCAGTGTAGTGGTCGAAATTTGCAAGAGCGGGCACGTGAGCTGGGTATGTTCGATCAAGGATCAGTACGGATGTCAGCTGCTGCGGAGGAATAGTAGGGTTGACCGAGGGACACTCGTAGTTTGGACATGGACATCCATTAGGGCAGCCAGATTCACATGGACAGTTTTCGAAGTTTTCAAGGAAGTCCGTGTTGCACTAAAATTGTTGAGCATATTTTTTTTATAAATTAAGATTAAAACCTGAATGACACAAGTAGAACTCCCAGAGCAATCATTTAGGCACTGGATAAGGTCCAACTCAAGCTGATTGAGACACGTTTTGTAATCTGGGTTCTCTCCAGGTTCAAAACAAACGTTGCAGATGACTGCAGCGCAACCATCACAGCCCTCGAAGCAATCAGCATGACAAGGACACCCATCGACACAGTCGAATCCTTGACGAATGCAGCTATTCTCACAAGAAACATCTCCGGGTGCGCAAAAAGCTAAGCAAGATCGGACGCGCTCTGAGCACTCCGCTGAGCATAACTCTCCAAGATCTAAGTCCGTGCAGTTTTCATTGAGTCTCACTGCAGGAAAAGAGAACAAATTTCGATCGGCAACTTCCGAGTAAAGTTCCATAGCGTCAGGAATGAAAACAACGCTCAAAAAGAATTTGCGCCGGTTTCATTGAACCAACAGAAGGCTTATTCTCAGAAAAATTAGTAGCCTACCGGCGTGCTTCCGTGCCCTTTAGATACTCTTTCGTCGATTCGATTTTTTATCAGAAAAGATCTTTTATTCATTCTTCAGCTTTTTGGATTTCAATCGAGTAAGCTTGAGGCAGTAAATACCAAGTGTCTTTTTCCATTAAATCTTCGTTTGTCAGCGGAGCAAAAACGTTTGTTTTCTTATCATTGATTGCGCTCACGTTCGTTGTTGGATCAAAGAATCTGTTGTATGCTTCCTTGTCGACAAAATATTCTTTTGTCATCGGAATACACAGTTTGATAGAATGTTGCGCCGTAGGCTGGTTGTTCTGAATGATGTATTCGTTGTTCTCGATTCGATCAAGGATCATTTGATGAAAGAAAACTCCGGAATGGCTTGAAGATCTGAATGCTCCAGTGATCGTAAGAGGTCGGACAAATGTGAAATTTTGATTCAAATAAACTAAAATTGAGTTTGATTGGAATGGACCCTAGGCCTTTTACCTTTTTCATAAACGAAACTACTGCCAGCAAGAAGATCCATACTCTTGAGGAAATCTCTAGAAATCAATCGACGCATCCACTCCCACCCGGCTTCATGAGCAAAAGTTTCCATCGCCATTCTGTCTAAGAGAGTCTCGATCTCAACCAACTGAAATTTGTTTTCCGTCTCTGCTTTCTTCAAGCTGAGACCGGCCAAACTTCTCGGATAGACTCGCATAGTGATGAACTCCAAAATGAGTTGTATTGAAAACTTGTTCATGACTTTCTTCTTGAAGTACTCTTCTTCATTCTCAATAGCTTCTCGCAAAGCATGACGAATAAGAGTAGCGACTTTAGCAGGTTATTCTTTGATTGTGATAAAGAGAACTTATCTAGCTTCAAATTCAATTATTAAACCCCCTAACTGAAATCGGAACGCATAAGTTCGAGGTTTTCTGGTCGATAACATCCTTTGTGACATTTGTAAAGTTAGTGTTCCTCGCTTTTGCGAGCCGATTTTTCAACTGGTTTACTTTGATCGATTTCGTCAAGTTTTCGTCCATCGTATAAAGCTCCGAAGACTCTGGGAGAGAGATTACGGCAGATACAGCATTCATGTCATCATCGTTTACTTTCCATCGGTAGAATTGACCTCTGCCGAGCCAAGATGCATTCGCTTTTTCCAAAAGTTTTTTGACATCTTCTTCTTCGTCCTCTTCGATTGGGTTGTAGATCAAGGTCCACGCAGTTTTCCAGTCGCAAAAGATGAAGAAAAAGAGTCGCTTGCTTATAGGAGCATCTTCTTTTCGCCGTCTTCTAGGGCCGCCGAGAATTTGATTGGTGCTGCAAAAACCTGGGGTCCCGGCTTCTATAAAGATGATCAGCTGACCGTTTTATTGGGATCAACTTACGTAAAGATTGAAAGTTCCGAAACTTGCTCCCTCGTCTTACGTAGCCCATTTTTCTGTAGCTTTCTCGACCGGAGAATTCTGTCATGACGCCAAAATCAATCCACTTAGGAATTTTTTTCTTCCCAAATAAAATAACATTCTCCAATTTTTGATCGCTATGTTCCAGGTCAATTTTCCATAGATATTCTAAGCCGCCTTTGATTCCAAGAGCAATTCGTCTTCGTTCATCAATCGTAAGACTTTCGTTTTTCAAAGCATTTCGTAGACTTTCAGCTCCTTCTTCCATGATTGTGATCCACCCAAGACAGTCCTGCATTTTCTTATCCGTCTTCAGAAAAATCTCAATATTCGCAAGATGTTCGATGACATTTTCATGTCGGGGAACAATGTTTACACCGGTGTTTTCTTCGGTTCCAGCTTCAAAATCTTAAAACTCCAATCAATAATATGCGCGGGAAAAATCTTTACCTGATGACATATTTATTTCAAAGTGCATATCCTCGTCGGTAAAATTTCCGGCAAAAAGAAAAGGATCGAAACAATGAATCCGGAAGAGCGCATTGAGTTTGTCCGACTGTCTGCCTAAGATTGCTTCTCCGCCTTTATAAGATTAACCAATGCCTTTTTACAATTCAATATTCTACAATAGAATTTGAATTGATAGAAAATGCCAATTTTAAGTTTTAAACTTTTCCTGAAGATAGAATGTTCTCATCAAAAAGCCATTTTCCAGTTTCTTCTCGAATATTCGACCGTTTGAACATCTTGCTCATCAAGTATTTGTTGCTCTTCAACAATTTGCATTGAAAATGCGTCGCTTGCCACGTATCCAAAACTTCATTTTTCCAGTTGAAAATTCTCCCGACAATGCTCGAATCTTGAAACGAAAATTGACATTGAGACCACCACATAGCAAAATGATCGTCTTTGAAGGTCATTCGTTCGACAGACATGATTAGACGGCATTTGGGGACTCTGGTTGTCTCTCTTATCAATTTGGGTGTAATATCGTTTAGCCATTCCGCGATTGTCTCTTTACTTAGCATTTTGAAGCCTCTAAGTCATCGGTTTCTAAGGCGGTTGATTATCCTTTGATGATTTCAAAAAACTTTTTGTGGGGCCGGAAATCGTCAAAAATCTGTAAGTGCAGTTTTTTTCAGCTCGTCGAGACGAGTCGAATGATGGGTCTTACTCCTGATAACTGTCAGGATTTACCGGTTTACCGGCTGGTTACCGGAAAATACGTTGTCACCGGCCGTTTTTGTTCTAGAAGTGGTAAACAGATGATTGACCCAGGAAATTGTTCCTTATAGTCGGTTCTACTCTCGGCTGAAAGATGAGGCTCGTATCAATACTCTGAAGAGAGTTATCACAAAAACAGTAAATTTTACATGCATTTTGTTGTTGCTGCACGTTCCTGATTTTTTGTCCCATTTCTGCCATAAATAGTATTTTAGTGATAACTCTCTTCAGAGTATTGATACGAGCCTCATCTTTGAGCCGAGAGTAGAACCGACTATAAGGAACAATTTCCTGGGTCAGTCATCTGTTTACCACTTCTAGAACAAAAACGGCCGGTGACAACGTATTTTCCGGTAACCAGCCGGTAAACCGGTAAATCCTGACAGTTATCAGGAGTAAGACCCATCATTCGACTCGTCTCGACGAGCTGAAAAAAACTGCACTTACAGATTTTTTACGATTTCCGGTCTCACAAAAAGTTTTTTGAAATCATCTTTTGATTTCTGCAGATCATCCGTAGGTTTGTGACTCATAAAGGCCTTAGCGAATAGGAAAAGATAGAAAAACAAAGAAATCACAACCAGATCAATAGGTATCAGTGATCTGATAACGCATCACCCTGCTTTATTTTTGGATGCTGTTGTTGGATGGTTACTTTATCAAGATTGTTTCGAGAACTCCACGCCTACTCATGAGGATCCGATGATCAGATTGCGAGCAGGAGAGGCGAAAAAAAGCAGAGAATGAAAACCATTTTCGCTGTAGAAACCGGCCGACCCAAAGAACTGAGAGCTATCTTTCTCAATATCCCGCGTCAACCCAAGTCGCCATCATCCACTAGTGTAGAATCTACACTACACTGTAGATTGCACAATAAGCTGCTGGGGAGATGATGTTTTTTGGGTGAAAATCTCTGACCCAAAAGCCAAGTTCTCTGCAGTAAGTCTGGGCCCAAAGAATGGGCCTTAAACTGCTGGTATGCTCTACCATATGCTGCTCTACTACTTGAATCTGACTGATATTATTTAGAACCTTGAGATCTGCAGATCATTGTTTCGACCATTCTTCACGATTTGCCGAGATCAATTCCGTCTTCAACGCTTGGGAGTGCGTTCAATTTTAGCTAGTCTTACGAAAGTAAATTATAATTCTAACGAAAGGCTGCTGGCACTTTGTGGCGCGACGTTGCCTGCACCTTCTGTGACCCCAACTCTCAGGAAGAAAAAGTCAAAGGGCTTTCTTTTGACGAGCGATTTGCATGGCTTTATCCCAGGTGCTACCACAACGGCAACGTTTGCGACGCGCACAACAAGCGAATCAAAGGCATGATGCCACACTTCTACATCAACGATATGGTTTGTTTCTCTATTCTAGCATCGATTTGATTTATTGATTTATCAATAAAAATTAGGATAGCGACGGCGATCATGTTGGAACCGTCGAGCTGCGACCACTCTTCGACATGGGAACTCGAGCAGGATACGATACCCACCATTCTATGGGGAACATCCGTGGCTAGTCTCAAGTCTTCACTTTATATTACCAAGAACTCACTGTCACTCTACTATCTATACTGCAGCCCTTAATCTTTTCATTCAAAACTGGTTCCAAATAAACATGATCTTAGGAAGCTTGCTTCAAGAATCGTTTATTTTTAGCAGGAGGCGCTTACGAATTTAAAAAAATTGAGGAGGTACAATAGACAGTTGTCAGGAAAATGCAATCTCGATGATGTTTTTCTAAAATAAAATTTACGAGTTTTCGACTGAATATATTTCTAATTTCTACCTGTAGCCTCAGATTTCTCTCGTGATGAATCCGCAACCAAATAATAAGAACAAAAATGACGAGCATAACAATTCCCGTGCAAAAACCAGCGATACGAGCATCGTTTATATCTTCAAAAAAGCGAATTTCTATGTTTCCACTGTTGTGTCTCGACATTTTGAGATCGAAATTAGCAAGATACTTTGAAAAAAGTTCAGTAAAGCCACGAAACCTCGCAAAACCGAGCGAGAGATCTGCTTTCAATAGTTTTGTGGCCCTAAAAATAGGGATTTCTCAAAAATCGAAGCAATGGAGATGATGAAAAAGGAATCGATTTAAACTCCTTTTGAACTTCTCTAGATTTTATTTTATAAAATTTCTCTAGATTTGCTAATTTTGTCCTGCATCCGCCATTACTCCGGGCAAATTTCAACGAGCAATCCACGAAATAAACAGATAAAAATCCGTTAAAATGGACCGTAAGATCAACAACAACACCATGGCTGGTGTCTCGCGAAACACTTCTCGGGTGCTTGCTCCTCCAGGTGGACGATCGTAAGTACAAAATAAACTGACACTACTACAACACGTTTTTCAGAAACATTTTCTTCGGAGATGAATCTGCTCCTCCAGCCGCTACTGCAGCACCAAAGGTCGAAGAAGTCGCCCCACCCGTCAGCGCTGGTCCCGCCAAAACTACAGCTGCTGAAGCGAAGCCTGCGGAAGGCGCTGCAAATCCAGCTGATTCAGGAAAGGATTCACATCATTAATTTGAGCTCTTCTAAGGCAATCAATGAATTGCATCCTTTTTTAGCCAGCAATTCCGCCGCCCGAAACAAGAACAAGAATACCATCTCCCAGATAACTTTCTAACCGTCCTTGAAAAAATGACTGCCTTTTCTCGCGAACACCTATTTTTATCACAATTGTACGAACTAGCCAGAATAAAAGCAACACATGAAACCACACAACTCGTGTTTTGGGCGTCAATATTTCTTTCATACCAAACAACATCTCTATTTTAGGCATATTAAACTAGACATGTGAAATGTCTGCAAAAACTAGATAGATATTTTTACAGTTTCTTCCGGCAGCTATAAGTGCCCGACGGAAGTCGCCAGTATTAGCTTCTCCGCTACTTGAAATTCTCAGTCTTCGGAAATCCGACCTTTTTCAACCTTTTAATAATTTGATCCTTCATTGATAGAAATTTCAAAAGGCAAAATATCAGGACTCTCCACTGTCAGCATTTTCTGATAGTCATTATCTTTTGTGTATTCTTATCATGAGAAATGTCCATGCTTCTTAATTTTCGAAGTAAACTGTTTCTGTTAAAAATGTGTAGCCTCAAATCAGGGGACGATAAAAATGCTCAAGCGGGTTGATATCAGACCGATTACTCGACTCTAGTGCCGACTGGTGCACGAAATCCCCCCTCTACAGATTTGCCGCCCCAAGCGCTGTTAGCGTGCTTCCCTGGCTTTTTTAAAAGTACGACCGCTTCGTTAGCATAAAACGACGATAATAGAGCTCAATTTCACATTTGTTTTAAATGCGATCAACGTGGTTGATTTTCCTCTTCAAGGATAGCGAGGCAAATCCTTTTTGCGGGCCAGCGGCTTATTTGTAAGAGATCTACATCCGTTTTTTAAAGAGAGTTATGAGAAGTGTTAAGGCTTGCTGATCAAACTGAGACGTTGAAGAGTCCAAATTTCCCTAGTTTGTTTCCATCTCAAATTCAGTGCCTTTGGAATATTGAAACAGGTATGTGCTAAGTAATGTTTTTCATAATAAACACGCACGTTTACGTCAACGGAAAGGGGGTGAAATGAATTAAGAATAGATCATTGAGTTCAATTAAAAAAATATGATTAGATGCTGGTAGCCGTATCAAAATTGAATTTGCTGATTGGGACTTGCCAATGTCAAGGAAATGTCAAACATAGTAGACGGGACTTAGTTTAACTTATACCTACAATACAGGTGTATCAATTTTAAAAGCTCCTGTGTTGACTCAATCAAAGACTCTCAAGTGCATATATGGATGCGCCACAGAATACAATGTGTACAGCTGCATATCTCCAATTTACCTATTTTGACTTTAAAAAACATAAAAGCGAGGTGAAAATATGCGGCGCGAACCCGGGCTTTATCATTTCGAACGGCCCACGTGTACAGGTAGAAGTCTAATCGACAACGAAAAGATGATCAAAAAATTTCGTAGATACAGCTTCATGGATCTGATGATGGAAGAGGAGGACTTTTTCGACTAAAGCTTTCTCGAGCGCCAATAAATGCTCAACAGAGATTGCTCGCGACGGATGGAAGAAGCGTAGCGGAGAAAGTCAAGCCTAGACGACCTCAAAAGCCAATAGTAACTAGCTCAAGTTTTCCATCCGGAGGGTTTGCAACAGATACTCAATCAAATCAGCCGATGGAAAAGGAAGGCGATTCAAGTGAGCCGAAATCGAAACTTCCGGTCAAATGGTTCGCCATTTTGGGAGTCCTTTTTGGATTCATTGGAATAATTGTGCTAAAATCAAAAAAGAAGAAAACAACAACTGAGCCATCATCAGCGAACGGAGCTTCCGAAGAATCCGCCGCTTAGAAAATCTTAAACTGCCACACAAGAAAGAGCCTGATTTGTAAATAAACCTTATCCTGTAGCTAACAAAAATACGAACAATTTTCGGTCAATTTTATTTCATTTAGCAGCATTGAAAAATCCAAAGTCGTTTCGTTTAATTTTGTTGTAGAAAGGTCGCTCGTTTTTCCGGATTCCAATGGGCACTAGAAATGGCCCACTTCCTTTAAATCAAAAATTTTGACTAGAAGAAAAAATAGCTGGCTACCTATGTTTCCGCTATGAAATACTGAAGCGGCAACAGTTTTGTCGTTCACCAAAAAGAGACAAATTGCAGCTAAAAATTTCATTTTCCGATTTGACGATTTGATGTCTTGAGTTTTTCGTTCTGACAACAAATGCTTTTATACGAAGTGAACTTGCTTAACTAAGTAGAAACATCGCGTTTAATATTCACTGCTTTGATTTACAACTTCCAAGGACTTTGAAGAATAATTTATTGTATCATATAAAAACGGGAAATGAAGCACCAAATACAGTATGTGCTACAGAGAAACCAGCTTATCAATAACTTTCCAGCTAGTTTTATTTAACCCTTCGGAGGTTTCAGGCAAAAGAGCTTTTTGAGGCTTCGCAGTTGCCCTAATTACTCTAATATTTCTCACTCCCGGTGGGTACATTTTATCGTTGCTTGTTGTCAAAAAACGAAGGATCGATCCTTTGACTGGATTTCTAAAGATAAGCTGGTGTCTCTTTCCATTCTGAAAACTCGTCAGGAAGCTGTAACGCGCTACGCTCTTGAATCCCGTGTCAGTTTTTAGTTTTACAGAGACAGATGAACAGTTGTTGTCGACGAAGGAAATACTGTAGATTCCAATGGAAGCGCCGAAATTGGCGTCAACGGTGCCATCTGAGCTTGTTTTTATTGTGTAACTGGCAGTGTTCAGCTTCTAAAAAGGATTAGTTATGATTTTGACTGAATTATCTTACCAAGGAAGATTTAGGCAGCATCTTTTGAAAGTTATGCGTAGCTTTTGTTAATTGAGCCCTGATTAGAATTACTCCAGATGGAAGTATTGAGTCCTTGCGTCGTAAAGTTGTTGACGATATTTGAAGTCGTATTTTGTGAGTGCTGCTGGAAGCTTTGTGGTTGTTGCGAGAGGGGAGTTTGATTGAGGCTGGAGTTTTGGAGCGCTTGTTGAAGTTGGCTGTTGTTTCTGAAATTGTGAGTTGGAATTGGTGACTTGAATGGAATTTTCATGACGTGTTATTTACTGTTGATTCGCGCGTAAGGACTGTTTGCAGTGCGTGGATAAGAAAATTTTTCAAATGATAAAAAACTTACCTAAAAGAAGGATTGTTCCGTAGAATGGCGATCAGATCGTCTTCGGTGAGATTATTAACCCTTTGATTGACCAATTCTTCGGTGGGGACGCAGCACTCCTCGCACTCTTGGCAGTCACAGTCGCACAAAAAGTCTCCGCAAAGCTAGAATTTACTGTCAACGAATTAAAGATGTAAAACACCAGTAAATAAGTCTCGACCCGCCACATTCTACGAAACTACTTAACCTATTTGCGGGTTATTTCAAACCCGCAGCAATCCATTTTGAATGAAGGAGGCTGTATCTGAATCTTAAAAACGTAAATCTCACACTTGAAAGTTCTGAAAGTGACTGTAACCCGGGGTTACTTCCTTAAAAAAGGAACAAAGGATTAATTCAAGTAATCTCTGTTTGCTGAGTTTAAACTCAGATTAGTATTTTTCTCTTCCTTGATTTCAACTTTGAAAATCACTTTTCTAGAGCTACTTACAGGTGGTGCTTCTGGATCAGTCTCGCAGCAGGAACAGCACCCTTCGCAAACGGCAAACACTTAACAGCTGGTTACGAAAGACCTTTGCTTTACGAAATCCGCGAAAAAGAAAGACAGTTGGTGTTTTTCACACAATCGACGGAGGATATTGAATTTGATTAGGAGCCGCTCTGGAATAATGGAAAAGTGCACAATGGCGCCGGGCTCATATTTACACTTTTCTCGCGTTTTAAACTCAAGCAAATAAAGCGCCTCTGATAGTCGAGCATTTCCGGAAGGAAGGCGGAAATTAACCGCCAAAATTAAAACTGACAGTAAAGCGCTTGAGACTGTCATTAACTCTCTCGTAACCCGTTCCGTCGCAGTTGGTGTCTTTTCGTCTCTCGAAGCAGCCACAATCTTCGCAATCCAAGCTCTAAACTGTCTTTACAAAATCTTGAAGAATAGAAAGTGATTGTCCATTCTCAAGGGTTCTCTTTTATCGTTCTAAGTGCCGGTTATTCAGCACTGGTTGTATTTACTTTCTAGCCACTGTAATAAAGGTGAATTAATTCATCATTTTACATAAATGTTTTTGACTTATACCTTATATAAACAAATAAAGGTTTAAATTGGATGGTTAGAGTTGCACGCAATCCCATACGTACTCGAACATTGTATGGCTATTTCATTACTATTTATTGTCCATTATACGGAGCGTAATCGTGATTGATAAGTAAATTTACCTTGAGACAGGCAAAATCGCATTGACAGCAAGCTGCAGGGTGACATTTGACATCAGGTCCGCTCCTGCCCAGACACATCCAAACAATCACTGCAATCACAAACAAATACGCCAAAACGCCCCCGACAATGTACTGCAGATGGGTTCGGAGGGGGTTTTACTGTAATTAAATATTGACGTCTACTTTGCTCATCCTAAGTTATGACTTCCCAGAATAACTTATTCTGAACAAGAGACTAGCTAGACTTGAAATATTCAAAAGTTCACTTCGGATCGAATGAACTTTGTTGCTTCTTTGAAAGAATGATGATGATGGTGATGAAGATTCATTATTAAATTTAAGATTATATGGAAGTCATTGATATTAATTCATCGGATGGGGATGGCTAAACAAGGGCTTGAGATAATATTCTGTTACCGTCGATTAGCAACTGAGTTTACAGTTGACATTTTTATAAGATTAACATGGTGACTCCCTTATGTTTTCTTAGGTGCACATAAAAGAAGCAAACAAAAATTCATATCTTTAATAATTTTTTACCCACGAACCCATCCCACTCTCCAGTCGCTCGATTCTCCTTCTGTGCTACTTGTCAGTACTTCAGCAAGCACAGTTGTCGTGTCTTCGATTAGTTTTGCAGTACTCTCTATTACAGTAGTACTTGTGGTAGTACTCATGCTGGCATTTGAAAAGAGTCTCTTTTTCAAAGTTCGAAATTTCCAATTTCCTGATTCTCTTTCTTTCTAACCAGGTCGTCTTAGTAACGAGGGCAATTACGAGCTGCGTAAATTTACTTTTCAATTCTTCAAAGTCGAAAATCTTTTCTGAATAAATTTCTCGCCCCAGAGCGAGTTCCCGCTGAGAAAAGGCCTTTTCAGCCGCCAATTGACCAGAAAAAGACAATGGCAAAGAGCTTTTTTGGAGATATTACTAAACTTATTTTAAATCCTAATAGGAAAAAACGCTTTAGGGGTTAGGGTTAGCAAGTGATGAACTAATCTTGATTAAAGATTCATTCCAATAGATAAAAATTGTTCTTCGTGAGCAGTAGGTTAATAATTAAAAGGTTTATAAGCTGTTAGAAAGTAAGCATAAGCGGATACAAGCAGATCTTGTTCGACATATTGTTTGGCAGATTTTTCTTGCAAGTTCAATGCTACAAGCCTGCTGGAACTAAAAAATTAATTCAATTGAAACTGAGAACGTCTGTTTTATTTGAGTTGATGACTTCTCAAATCAGTATGAAAGATAAGAGTCGTTGACCGACAATTGTTATGAAAACGTGTCAGAAGAGATTTATTCTGTCTCACTTCCAAGATTAAGGATAACTACCAAACTGCGGTGAATATTTATTAGTGTGCCATTTAAAATATTGATGGCTTAACAGACCAGGACAACGCGCCCGAGGCAGACTAGGAAATCACCCGCCAATCCAAAATACGCCTTCCAAGAAAAGGTTCAAAAACTTTTAACACGAGAAAATCAAGGAAGAAAAATCAAATGCAAATATCAATAGATGATGATAAGCTGGTTCCGCTTATTGTGCTCTACACTTCGTCCATATTCTTGATTTTGTAAAGGATTTAGCATGTAAAATTCTATGATTGATAAAAAAAGAGTTTTTACTGATAAAAGTGAGAATAAAATTATGCTATTATACAAGTCATATTCAAATAAGTAGCAAATAGATGATTTTCATCTGAAGTCATTTTCGCTAAAGTACTTTTGACATAATTTAAAGTTCGTTTCAATAATTTGAAATGAGCTCATTTTGCGTTAACTTGAGCTCTTTCTTGTCGAATAATTTGTCTTATTTCGCAGAAAAAATAGTTATTTATGACACTTTTAGTTGTAAATAATTAAAGCGAGAATCGTTGCTAAGTCCTTGAAGATTGTCCTTTCCTACTTGGTTTTCCTTATGTACGTGTGCCTGGCTCCCTACACTCCTCCTGAAATTCAGATTTGGCTATAGCCACCTTGTAAACCCTTTCTGTAGAAATAAATAATGCACATACTTTCGAATTCCTCAGGTTTTAATCATGGATTGATCAAAGCATTTTTGAAATCAACAACGACTCATCCTCGGCAAACAAATTAAATAACCCCCAAGCCGACAATCTCTTTAAACTTGGCAGATCTTATGCAAATCCCATGCTTTCCGTAACTTAATTCTAGCGCCAGGCACGTGCGAGATCCAATTTGGGACCTTTGAAATTAATAACTTGTAGAAAAAGCGCACCATGTGGTGTTTTTGCTCCCAGAATAAATTTTGCGATGACGCAAGAAAACCAGATTAGTATTTTATTGTTTATTTCTGTGTGTGCGGCGGAGTTTGAGGAGAAACACGCGTTCTGGAGCGGAACTACACCAATACTCGCCCTCGTCAGATTTTGATACAGCGGAAATCGTGTACACAAGATTTCCATTATCTTCTTGCTCAGCAACTTTTTGCGGCTTTTCGAACATTTTCGTTATTCAATTAAAAAGACCTTAAAGATTGGATTATTTCCAATAAGCCGCTTCCTAGTCTCGCTTGTCCATTGAAAATCGCCTCGTCTGATCGCAAACATGAAAACGAAAAGCTCCGCCCTTGATGTCGCTTTACCGTCGTCTAAACACCATTAGAATACGCGCACTCACACTCGCGCTGGATGCTGCCTATTTGGCATCAAACTCAGGCTGAGTCTCAGCGGCTATTTCCACTTGCGTCAGATAAATAGACGATTTCACGATAAATTTATTATTTTCCGATGTCACTTACGACTTCGCGTTTTGGGCCTTGACGAGCGTATTTGGTAAGGAGCATCGGGAAACAGTCCCCGCAAGCAGGGTTCTAAATCGACTAGTCGAGTTTCGACTAAAGTCGAAGTCGAGTCGAGTCTTAGTCGAAAAGACTAGCTCGACTCGACTTGGTTGATTGTGAGAGAAAGTCGACTCGACTCGACTAGAAAATCATAAATATGTCGACTTAATTTCGACTAGTCGAATAAGTCGAAAAAGAAGTTAAAGATGTAGTCGAAAAAGTCGAAAATCAAGTCGAAAAAGTCGAAAATTGAGTCGAAAAAGTCGAAAATTTAGTCGAATAAGTCGATTTGAAAAGTCGAAAACATTCGGCAGTGAACTCAAATCTTTTCTAGATTTTGTAAACTGACTTTTCTAGACTTCAGAAATGAGCCTCGCGCCAGCATCATTTTCTCGCCGCTTTAGTCGAAGGCAACATGTCGAAGGACACTTCGAGGCCAAAAAAGAGGAAAATAGACCATGATTTTTCGCTTGATGAAATCTCCGAAATGCCGGAACTTTCTCAGGAATCGACCAATCAGAGTCAAGAGATCCAGCAGTCTGCGAGTCAGCAAGTTACGGCGGAAATTTTCGATTTGACCCTCGCAGAAGAAAATGTAGTCGACGAGGCTGCATTAAATGACCACACATGGGAGAAAATAGAGTCGACTACAATTATCAATTGGCTTAAGAGACAGGATAAAGAAGTTTACGATCTACCAGAAGCTTTTTTCGCCAAACTCGACAAAAACGGAATTTTTACCGGAACAGTAAAATGCAACCGTGAGAATTGTCCAACATTTGTGAGCCGCGAGACTAAAAACAAGAAGAATATAAATGTGAAAACATCTCACTGTAAGCTTTCTACGATGAAGTAATCATAATTCTTTTTAGTTTTGCAGCATCTCAAAGCAGCTCATAAAATCGAAAAAGAAAAAGATTTGCCTGCTGCTTTTTCACGATTTCGCGCAAGAAAAACACCGACGATTTCCGAAAAAAATAAACAGGAAATACTTGAAATCGAATGCTCTATCTTAAGCGAGTGCAAGCTTCCAATGAGTTTCTTCCAAAGGCACTGTTTTCAAATTACTTTATTGATGATAACCATGATGCTTTTAGAGAAGCGATCAAAAAACGGGACAAAGCGATGATGAGATCAGTTGGAATTAACGAGGAAGTGATCGACCAATATATGAGTTCAAGTCCTCATATGATGAAAGAACAAATGAAAAAAAATAATGAAGAAATGAAGAAGATATTCGTAGAGATTGGTCCTTTTCTCGTTGAAGATGGAACAATGCATCTCGAAATCGATCACAAGAGCATTAAAAAGGGCACACAAGACGAAGAGAAACACGGATTTGGAATCGTCGCGATTCTGAATTATGAAGAGATTCATGAACGATACATGATGAGTTTCAAAGCAACAGACTATACCGACACTGCAACGAACGTCATTTTATTAGAACAATGTTTGAAGGTAAGATTATTATCAAAATTACTCGAAAAACAATGAATCAAGGAATATGGGCTAATCGACGCCTGGAAAGAGAAAAGAATAATCATCAGTGGCGACTCAAAGATGGTAGGAACCATGGAAGCCCATGCGTGTCTCTGGACGATATGCCTCTCACACACTTTGGGATGCGCCGTTGATGGGATACGAGCAAAATCGCCCATTTTCGGAGTCGAAAAGAGCAAGTTTGAAGGTCCTGATAACTTTGTCAAGGAGGCGCGAAAATCAAGAAAAATACCTCATTCTGCTCCTAAAGGTGAGTTTTCCAAAGATCAAAACAATCTTTTTTTGTCAGAAAATTTTTGCCAAAGACCAAAACAAACCATACTTTAGTCAAAAATTATCATAAGATGCAATTGCCAAAGATCATAACAATCAAAATAGTCCAAATAAATATTTTTAGACTCGCCCAAATCGATTTCAAAATACTTGCAGAACCAATCAATTACAGAAGTTGCCCAGTTGGACAATTTTTTTCTGTCGTTTCCTGAACAATATCAAGATTACGATCCAGAAGATGAAAAATATCTAGCGGCACTTGAAGCAGCCAAAAATCAATTCAAAAGCTTCCCTAAAATCAAGGTAAGATATAACAAGCTTAATAAAAAAGATAATTTTATCTTTAAGGAATCGTATTTCTCCATTCGCTTTGGATCAATGTTCTCGAAATATAAACATATTCTCGAGAACTCGCGCTCCCTCAACGGCTTGAAATTGAATTTGGACCCGAAATACAGCTATCTCTTGGCGAATATCGATCTGCCTGACATGTCCTTTATGAAATCAGTATTTTTCTTTCTGAATAAGGCGCACACTCTCCTTCTGGCTTCAGAACAAAGAGATTCATCGGTAGGCTTCTTTTGCGCAATTCTTTTTAAAAAATCTTAGGTTCTCGAAGTCATAATCAGTATGGAAAATTTGGTCATCGACGCCTGCCGAGTGAGATCAACCCTTCATTTCGAGCAAGAATACGTATTGGACCAAGCGGAGAAAATCGGGAAAGCGGTTGTGGCGAAAATTATATCTATGTGCTTCGGAAGTGTTTGGCTCCCAAGTCATAATGATAAAATTTCTGGCATTGTCAACTCTCCCTCCGGAGAACCTCAACGATTCGTAGAAGTTCACATGGTTGCCGCACTATTACACTGGCCATACCGCCAACTCAAACTCCATCGCATGATTCGGGCGCTAAAAGAAATGGATGATGACTGTTTTTTCAAGACGAATCGAATTTTGATCGAAACAAAATTGAAAGAATGGCCAGAAATCGCCAAAAAGAAACTTCGATTTCTCTCTGAAAAAATTGAAAAAAATTCCTCGATCACTCAGATGATGACTGGCGACAAGTCCCAAAAAGGTCAAAGTGCGGACATCTACGACGACGATGACAAAACAGTGCCAGTTAAAGGAAAAATTCCATTATCCAAGCTTGACAGTGAGCTGCAGATCTATTTCAACTTGTCCACCGACCAATACGCCGAATGGAGAAACGCAAAAGTTGCTCCAGAACATAACCCCGAGTCGTTTTTCTTCAGAACATTCTGGGAAGACCACAAAATCCAAATGCCGACTTTATCGAAAATTGCTGGAAAGGTAAATTTTATAAATTTTCAAAATTTAAATAAAAATTAGATCGGCCGCTTGCCATCATCCTCAAACGAAGCTGAGCGAGAGTTCAGTTGCTTGTCGTACCAAATGGGAACAATTTTTCATAATCAAAAAGCAGCCCATATAGAAAAGAAACAACAAACAGCGGAACATGGTCGCTTCAAAGAGGCCTTGAAAAAAATCGCTGCGCGAAAAGGACTCAAAACTCAAGCCTTTGGAACATCTGAAGCATCAAAAAAAATAGTAAGAATTTTCTGAAGATATCATATTTCTTATTTTTTAGAAAATCACTCCGCTTACCCAGCCTTTCGTCATAAATTGTGGAAAGAAGAACGTCATAAAAATAGTTTGATAAATATATCCTTACTATTTAGTAATAAATTTTTTTGATCTCGACTTTTCGACTTTTTATTCGACTTTCGACTTTTTCGACTTTTTCGACTTCGTTTCGACTTTTCGACTAATTAGTCGAATTAGTCGACTCGACTCGACTCGACTCGACTTAGGAGTTTCACAAAGTCTTTCGACTCGACTCGACTCGACTAGGGATTTTTTGAGTGACTAGCGACTCGACTCGACTCGACTTTTGATTTTGGGCTCAGATTTAGAACCCTGCCCGCAAGGGAATGACTCCGCCCAGGTCACTTTTTTAAATTATGGAAAATAAATACTACAGATCCTCCCCTGAATTGTCTGGTAGTCAGTTGGTAGTTTTTGTAGCCCAAGAATAACTATTCATTTTTTTATAAAGTGACCCATTCCAGACAAGCATATCTATCAGTTTGATTCTCAGCAAGTTCAACAGAGACGGAAACAATGGAGTTGTCAATAAATGCTCCTGAAAACTCCGCGGTCTGGAAAACTTGATCCGTGTGCACAAGAGCTACTGTGTCATCTTCGTCAAGCCAGTTGGCAGAGTTGCCCATGAGTCGCTATTTCCAGGGGTCGAGAAGGTTTTCTTTTTGAATTTGATTATTTCGTGTTTTTTTTCTTTGTTCGACCCCGCACACGTCACTTTCAGGATCTCATTGTAGCCCGGAAGGGGACATGTTATCGTGGCGGTTCCATTGCGTGTCCAAGGTTGATCTTATCTCTGTTGCACATTTTGATTTGATCAAATTTTTGGAAGGAGCTTGATTTTCAACCTTTTCTTTGAGCGGCGTCGTAAAGACCTCGGGCTCGTTTTCTTTTGCAACACGGAGTTCTAGGAGATTTTGTCGGACTAGGCAAAAACACAGTTGTCTCGAGAGTGGGATTAGGAAGTACCTGGTCGACGGGCGCTCTATCCCAGAATTACAAAATTTAATTTGAACTTTCAAAAAAAGTAATTGACCCTCTATTCAAAAATTAATTATGAATTAAAATTATTTTCTTAAAATTAAAACTCTTATTTGGTATTTTTACTTCGTTTTTCCGATTTTAAGCAATTTTATGTTGGTTCGAAAATTTTCTTTTTACTAAATAATTTTAGTGAAAATATTCTATTACTGGCTGTCTATCAGTCATTTGAAATCCTCTTCCTTGTGGTGAACTTCGCAAAAGTAGTAGCCTTCGTCTTTTGGCGAAATTTGGGTGAGTTGAAAATCCTAAAAGAGAACCTTTGGTCCATTAGAAAGATAAACCGTGCTCGTTGCTGTTATCGAAATGGAACAAAATCCGCGATTAGAAGATTTTGTTGTAACCAGCAACAAACTTAAAACGTAGAGCAGCGCTGGAATCTAAAAACTGGAGCCTTCTCGATTTTGGTTAAACGTAAATGCAATCTTATGATGTGTTTGCTATTGCCAGAGCTGGCAGATTATATTATTGTGATTGAGTCTATTTTAATAAGGGTCAAACAAGGCGATTAGAAAGAATTTGCTGCGGTCAAAAAAAGGTGCAATAAATCGGTGATTTGAATATTAAAAAGAGGTTTGCTGGAACAATTTGCATACGAGATTGGGGAAGGGAGTCACTAGCGGTTTTATCTTTCTTATGAAAATAGTTTTATGCAAAAGGCTTTACGGTACCTGAAAGTTGGAGCGACTGACTTGAAGTCGATTTTGATACTCGCCGTTTACAGAAATTGAGACTCCCCAAATTTGAACGAGTTGTGTCCAACCAGATAAATCCTCCAAATTCTTTTTGAAATAGATAATTGCATATGGACTTGCGGCTAAATGATCAGGATTCCGGATTATTTCTGTTTTCAAATTGGTACCTGAGCGTTTGCATTGAATAATAGCGGAGTCCCCTTTTCTTCTAAAAAGTCTCTTTTCAACCCTCAACGAAGTATCAGCACCAGATAAAGATATAAAACTAACAACGAAAAGAAAAATGTTCATTTTCTTTATCAAATTTTGGAGATTCCTGAAAAACTACATGAAGATTTTTGTTTGGCAATCGAGTTTTGTCAACAAAGGATCTGACAGCCATAAGATTATCGGCTCATGCGAGGTGTACTCGCCGATGTCAACACCTAAACCACGGTAGTTCCTCTATGATCAAAAGTTAGCATCCATGAGTCATGAATTTTTTAACACAAATTTAATTAATAAGTTAACTTGCATCATCAGACATAACCAACCGTGTGCAATTTTGATATCAAGAGAAATGATCAAGCTCGAGCAGAATAGCTCGCGCGCGCCATCGGAGGTATCCGGAAAAATAAAGAGAGCTATTGGAAATCGCGGGGAAAAGTACGTCAAAGCGTGAACTCGCTCTCTAGATCAGCCAAAAACCAAAATGAAAATTTGGTGGGCATTTTCCGCACTTGCCATCGCTACAGAGAATGTTCAAGAAGATGAAGCAGGTAAGAGAACAAGAGATAAAAAGAGAAACCTTTGTCCCTAATTATAGAAAATCTAATCACGGCTCTTAGATTCAAGAAAAGGAGCTCCAGATCGGGGAATGTATAATCATGACAGATTGGATGCAATGACTTCCAGCATTTTCATGAGCGGAGGAAAAAAGAAACGAGGAGGAAAGTGTAAAAACGGAGGCTGCAAGGGAGGCAAGGGTAAGCAAACCGCTGCTAACAGTCACAGAACACCAGCTGCTCCAAAGCCTACCAAGCCAAATACGACACGATCTCCTGCTAAGAAGCCGCCAAAGAGAGGTGGTAAATGCAAGAACGGAGCCTGCAAAGGAGGAAAAGGGAAGAAAACAACCCCAGCTCCAATGAAAACTACAACCACCACAAGAACCACCACCACGACAACAACTACCACTAGAAAAACACAACCGCCAAAGAAAGAAGCGCCAAGAGAACAGTTGAAAGGCAGCGGACATAGCAACAATCAACAAGCAGCCTACAATTACGTCGGCACTGCTGGCCAAACCCAAGATGTCGTCGACGGTGGTGTACCACAGTTTTTCCTCCCTGGTTCCTTGACACCCGCTGATGTAACGAAGTGGGGCTCCGGTTGTTCCCTTCACTGTCTCCATGGATTTTCCGGACGATGCCAGCTTTGTGGATCTGCTGCTTGCCGCGTTGCTCCACACGAGTTCGAATGCCGTCAATATAAGCACTGCACTTTGAACGTCAACAACGTTTGCAAACCTGGTGAAGATTGCGACGCTGTCCGCACCATGTGGTGGCAGACTTGCTGGACTAGTCCCTGCACTAGCCGATGCTGGTACAAAGGATCTGTCGGTAACCAGGAGGCTTGTGATGAGTGCTGCGATCTTGCCTGCAGAGAAGATGACAAATACATTGGAAACAGTTGCTTCAGATGTGCTCTTTGCAAGGACAAGTGGGGACCCCATACTTGGGGAAAAGTCAGTCCCGAGGTCAAATACAATGGCCACGTTTGCTGGGGCCGAGATAGTAAGTCACCTTTTCGTTTTGAATTTTAACTAAATCTTACTAAGAAACGAGAGGAGCAATCATGCAAAAACTCAAGTACGATCTGCCAGAAGATGCAAGCAAGGTCATTGCGGGCACTTTAGAACAATCAGGTTCCTTTGCCAACTCCAAGCCAAATGGTTACAAGCCCGGCCAGTCATCCAATAACAAGGGTGACGTTGGAATCTTCACATCGGGCGTTGGCTCATTCGAGTTGACCAAAACACCACCAAAGAAGCTTGTGCAGGATAAGAACAAAGATTGCCAGAGGATTTGCCGTGACGCGAAGCGATCCACCACCCGCGGCGAGCCAGCTCATGTCCAGGCGAAAGAATGGAACCAGTGCAAAGGTAATAAAACATCAATTTAATATGTAAAACATGATTTTACATCACAGAGTGCTACTGCTGGGAGAATCCACAAATGGAAATGTGCGAAGCCATCGATTGCCACGTCGCTTGTTTATCCTCCAACATGTCAGGCGAGGGCTGTCTGACTTGCACAAGATGCAAAACATGTCCAGCGGTGGCGAACAAAGACAAGAACGACAACTTTGTGAACGCAGTCCAGAGCATTTTCTCGCGAGATCAGGCCGGTACAGCGCCGATTGAAGAGAACAACGGGCCACTTTTGCTCGGTGAAAGATCGACTAACAATGAGAATCGAGAATCGCTAGAAAGAACTGTCAACAGGTACTATTCTTTGTTGATTGTATAAAACTATTTTTTTTCTAGTCAATTTGGATACATTCATGCTGCGTCGCGAGAAGCTACTCTGGCCATCCAGGAGCTCGGAATCCTCAACGTCTTCAAGCCAAAATGTCTCGCTTGCAACAGAATGGACGACCGACAATCCTGCCGAGAATCTTGCGCTGCCTACAAACGAAACCCACAGAACCATATTGCCGCGCACAACTGCAAGCAAGGCAATTGTGCAGTAATCCTTGCCAGTGCCTGCAAACAGTGCATCAGAAATTGTGACAACATCAAGTCCGTTTCGCTGTCTGCAGCTGGAAACTCAAACCCTGATATTGCCGACACCTCATTTGAGAACTGCTACCATACTTTTGGATGCGCAAGTGACTGTAAAGCTGCTCTCAAAAAGGTAATTTAGCAAGATAAGATCCTTGATTTACCATTTTTAATAGGTCAAGGGCGATTTGGAAAGCCGAAGTGGCGGAGAACTGACGTCTATCGATGACCTGTCCCCTGAAGAAGCGATCCAATGGGCTCTCCAGCTACCCTTTGAAAGCAAAAAAGAAGCCAAGGAGAAGGGATTCTTCGTCGACGGAACTCTTGACTACTCAAACGATCAGCTTGAAGCTAAGACGAACCGAGGATTCTCTTTGATCGAAATGAAGAAAAATGGCTGGTGGTGGCGAGAGTAAATGTTTACTCACTACTAATGATAATTTTAATGATGTGAAAATAAGCATAAAATATCGCATTCGTTTTCTTCCTGTACAAAACTAAACTGAATATTTAATAAAAATTTTCTTGAATTTATTGCTCAATGAAATTGCTCGGCAGGTACGAAGCAATGGACGAAAATATATAAACAGGCGTAAGAATAGGCAAGAAGCTCCATCCATCTAACAATTCTGTAGAAAGGAGCAGCATCAACGAGAGCAATTATTTCAGAAATTTGATCGTCAAGCATACTGTTGGTAGCGGGCTCGTTGGTGATAGTTTCTTTCTCTTTGTAATACTCGCCATCGCTATCAACTTCATGCTCCGGCTCTGCTGATAGTCTGAAGATCATAAGGACTTGTTTTAGATAGATGACCTTACCGAGGTGGCTCTTGAGAAAGAAGAGCTAGACTTTCGCTGACTTGTGTTTCTATGTCTTGCAATAGTACTTCCGTTTCAAAAGCTTCATCGATGGCATCGTCGGAGAAGAATGTCATAGATGGTTGGATCCCCGCGTCGATTGTTTCCAATAAACCAAACATAAGAGTTTCAGTAGATTTTTCCTCAGTATTCTTTTGAAGGCTTAAAAATTTTTTTTTGATGAAGAAATCAGCTATCTCATAGCCTTTCCTTTCTACTTGTCTGATTTCCAGTATTTCTCAAGTACGGCTCAATCAAACTAAAAGCATTCACTTGAGCACTTTTATCATCCTTTTCTTCTATTTGCGTTGCTTGAACTCCTTCATCTCGCAGTTCTGCTGGCGAGACTTGAGTAAATTCATCTCTCACTTCGTTCTCGGAAACTTGTGTGAAGTTTTCTATAAGTTCAGTAGATGGAAGCCTCGGTGGAAAATATATTTCTTCATCCGCGTAATTTGAAGTTTGGTGAGTTGAGAGAAATGTCTCCCTGTCGATGAAATTACCATAGCGGTCTGTTGGGTTCCAGAAGCTGTCGAGTGAAGTTGAAGATAATTTCTGAGAAGAGAAGGAATAGTCCCCTGATGACGAGATTCTTTCTGGCGTCTAAAAAAGGCTTTCAATTTATATTTATTTTTCTGCTCACAATCGGTCCATGTTTCGGTATCTCGGGAACGTTCAACGGTACATCATCATAATCCGGCATTTTAGGGCGCACGAAAATCGACATTCTACCGCCACCTTCATCGACAAGGGTCTCTTTGAATTCTTTCGTCGGAACAGTTAAGTAACTGTATTGATACTCCTCGTATTCGCCGTCATCGTTATCAATATTATTTGACAGGTCTTTCATCTTCTCGGTTTTGGCAGAAACAGAGATAAAAATAAAGAGTTCTCTATTTGCAAAAATATTGATCACTCTCAATTTGTAAAATTTCGAAAGATTCAATATTTTTATCTCTGTCAGGAATCTTCTCTAAGACGCTCAATCCCCGACGAGGATCACCCAGGTCTGTCGATCTGCGAGATATTCGACGAGTTGCAGCATTTTGAAGGCGACCTAATGACTGCCGAAGTCTATTAGAGAAGATATTCGATGGAAATCCCTTTCAAAAAGAAAATCTTCAGACCCTTGCTATCGATTCTGAAGTCCATGCCAGCACTTGATGGCTTTGGCTTGAGCATTTTTGCACACTTTTAAACTAAATTTAGTCTGAATTTTATAATTTATGAAACAAATCGTTCTAGAAAGATGAACTTTCGCAATAAAGCAAACCAACAGTACTTGGGCCGATTGCACAAATCCTTATCATTGCAGGTTTGAGCGTCACGCAGAGCATGGCAGGAGCCCTGTGCCGGCCGATTTGGACGCAAAAATAGATTGATAAGAAGTTGCTCATGCCACTTCAAGCCTCAATAAATACCCCATCGAAAGGCAGTACTTCATCAGAGCTTTGCTATGGCAGCTTTTGGTAAAACCACAGAGAATAAAGCGGGAACTTAGCTTATGATTTTTAGATCGAGAACAGGCCGGAGCCGCGGCCAACTACCTTCGACTTGATGATCAAGCCCTTCTTACTTTGCGAACAGCCGAATTCGCTGGCCGAAAGGCCGTTTGGGTTCCTCACAAGGACGATGAAAAGTCCTACGTGAAGGGAATTTTAACTGGCGAGAAAAAGGAGGGCAAGTTGGAAGTTGAGTTCGAGGGAACGAAAAAATTCTTCAAAGAAGACATTGTTGAATTCCAAAATCCTCCGAAATACGATCTCGTTGAGGATATGGCGGACATGACGTACCTGTCTGAGCCTGCTGTTCTTTGGAATCTTCGGTGAGTTTTTGTTTATGACTTCAAAGTAATTTTCTTCATTAGGGACCGATACCAGCGATTCATGATCTACACATATTCGGGTCTCTTCTGCGTTACTGTCAACCCATACAAGATGTTGCCAGTGTACGATAAGAACGTCGTTGTTTGCTTCAAAGGTAAAATCTTAAAACAGCGAAGAAATCTTCTATGTTTTCAGGCAAACGACGAGCTGAAATGCCTCCTCATCTCTATGCCATCTCCGACAACGCCTACACCAACATGTTGATTAACCGCGAGAACCAGTCTATGCTGATTACCGGCGAGTCTGGTGCGGGTAAAACCGTCAATACCAAAAAAGTCATCACTTACTTTGCGATCGTTGCCGCTCTTGGACAAAAGAAGGAAGACGACGATGGTCCTAAAAATGCTCTGAAAGGAACGCTCGAAGATCAAATTGTCTCCGCCAACCCTGCTATGGAAGCCTTTGGAAATGCGAAAACGACGAGAAACGACAACTCTTCCCGATTTGGTAAATTCATCCGAATCCATTTTGGCCTCACTGGTAAACTCGCTTCTGGTGATATCGAGACTTACTTGCTCGAGAAAAACCGAGTCGTTGATCAACAAAAAGCCGAGCGTTGCTACCATATCTTCTACCAGATTTGTTCTGGAGCAAAACCAGAGCTTAATGAAATGCTTTTGATCGGAAATGACCCGAGAGAATACAAGTTCTGTTCCTTCGGTGAGATTTCCGTCAAATCCATTGATGACAAGGAAGAACTCCTTGCGACTGACGCTTCTTTTGACGTTTTGGGTTTCACAGCAGAGGAAAAAACTGCCATCTGGAAGATCACCGGCGGCTTGATGCACATGGGAAACATGAATTTCAAGCAAAAGCCGCGAGAGGAACAGGCTGAACCAGTTGGATCGGAAGATGCGGACAAGATCGGCTACCTGTATGGTATCAACTCAGCCGAGCTTCTCAAAGCCTACTGCTCTCCACGAGTCAAAGTCGGTAACGATTACGTCACGAAAGGCCAAACGCCTGCTCAAGTCTACAACGCCGTCTCTGCCATCACCAAAGCTATCTACGGTCGCCTTTTCAACTGGCTTGTCAATGTCATCAACAAACAGCTTTCAACTAAGCTTCCTCGCAATTTCTTCATCGGTATTCTCGATATTGCCGGTTTCGAAATTTTCGACTTGAACTCGTTCGACCAGCTTTGTATCAACTACACAAACGAAAAGCTTCAGCAGTTTTTCAATCACCACATGTTCACACTTGAACAGGAAGAATACAAAAAAGAAGGAATCGAGTGGGAGTTCATCGATTTCGGTATGGATCTTCAGGCCTGCATCGAGCTTATCGAAAAGCCCCTTGGCATCATGTCAATTCTTGAGGAGCAGTGTATGTTCCCCAAAGCAACCGACACAACTTTCAAGGAAAAACTATACCTCCAGCATTTGGGTAAAAATGCCAAGTTCGCCAAACCCGGTCCCAAAAAACGAAAATTTGAAGCTCATTTCGTTTTGGGTCACTACGCAGGTGACGTCGAGTACAACATTGAAGACTGGCTTGACAAAAACAAGGATCCTCTCAACACTACTGTCGTTGGTTTGCTCCAAAAAGCTTCGCTCAAGGTTCTCGTTGATACCTGGGCTGACTACGTGAGTCCAGATGAGGCCGGCGCTGGAGGCGGTGGAAAAGGAGGAAAACGACAAAAAGGCGGTTCTTTCCAAACTGTCTCTGCTCTTCATCGACAGTCACTCCAGAAGCTCATGACCAACCTTCGCTCTACTCAGCCCCATTTCATCCGTTGTATCATCCCCAACGAGATCAAAAAGCCTGGCTACATGCACGGCGGGCTCGTTCTCCACCAACTTCGATGCAACGGTGTTTTGGAAGGTATTCGAATTTGTCGAAAGGGTTTCCCGAATCGAGTTGTCTACAGCGATTTTAAACAGCGGTACCGGATCTTGAACCCAAATTTGGTTCCTGAAGGCCAATTCATGGACAACAAGAAGGCCACGGAGAAGCTAATGCTTTCAATCAAGGATTCTATTGATCCAGAGCGGTATCGACTTGGTCATACCAAGATTTTCTTCAAAGCCGGAACCGTCGGTGATCTTGAAGACTTGCGAGATCAGAAGATAGCTAGCATCATGACCATGCTTCAGCGGGAGATGAGAAGTAACCTTGCTAAACGCATGTTCAATCAGAAGCTGAAAGAACGAGAAGCTATTTATGTCATTCAAGCGAATCTCAGATCCTTCATGAGCTTGAAAGACTGGGAGTGGATGAAACTCATGTACAAAATCAAACCATTGCTGCAATCAGCAGAGCAGCAGAAAGAAATGGAAGAGCTCGTGAAAGAAGCTGAAGCTACAAAAGAAAAGCTCGAGACCGAAACTTCGAAGCGCAAGCAACTGGAAGAGTCGAATGTCACCTTGAATCAGGAGAAAAACGAACTGGTTCAGAAGCTACGAGAAGAACAAGATCAACTTGCTGACGCTGAAGACCGTTGTGAGCAGCTCATGAAAGCGAAAGTCGACGGTGAAATCAAGATCAAAGAAATGCAAGAGCGCCTCGAAGATGAGGAGGAAATGAACAACGATCTCGTCTCCAAGAAGCGAAAACTAGAAGACGAGTGTTCCGAATTGAAAAAAGACATCGACGATCTCGAGCTTACCTTAGCCAAGGTTGAGAAAGAAAAGCATGCGCTCGGGAATAAAATGAAGAACATGACCGAGGAGATCGCGATTTGCGAGGAAAAGAATGCAAAAATCATCAAAGAGAAGAAGGCTCTCCAAGAAGCGCATCAACAGACTCTTGACGACCTTCAGCAAGAAGAAGACAAAGTCAATTCCTTGTCGAAGGCTAAAGCCAAGCTCGAACAGCAAGTTGACGATATTGAAGCTTCATTAGAAGCTGAGAAGAAGTCAAGACTTGATCTTGAACGAGTAAAACGAAAACTCGATGGAGACCTCCGCTTGGCTCAAGAGGCCATTATGGACTTGGAGAATGACAAACAGCGGTTAGAGGAAAAATTCAAGAAGTCTGAGTTTGAAGTATCTCAACAGCATGCTAAACTCGAAGACGAGTCAGCATTGAACATGCAAATGCAGAAAAAGATCAAAGAACTACAGTCGCGAGTTGAAGAACTTGAAGAGGAACTTGATGCTGAGCGTCAATCTGGAGCAAAATCGGAGAAGCAAAAAACGGACTTGACGCGTGAACTTGATGAAATGGCTGAAAAACTTGAAGAAGCAATGGGACAGACGTCTGCTCAGATCGAGCTGAATAAGCGACGAGAAGGAGAAATGGCGAAAGTTCGACGAGATCTCGAAGAAGCGAATTTAGCTCATGAAACAACTGTGGTCATGCTGAGGAAGAAACACGCCGATCAAGCATCTGAACTCTCCGAACAAGTCGACAACCTTCAACGCGTGAAACAAAAGCTCGAAAAAGAAAAATCCGAATGCAAAATGGAAATCGACGATCTGACCTCCAACTGCGAATCATTGACCAAGAGCAAGCTGAACTTTGAAAAATCTCTCCGACAATCTGAAGATGCACTTTCTGAAGCGACGCGAAACATGGCTGATATGGAACGATGTATTGCTGATCTCAATGCGGAAAAAGCAAGGTTCCAGACTGAAGTTGGCGAATTGACACGAGTGCTTGACGAGCGAGAATCAATGGCTTCCCAGCTGGTGCGAGGCAAAAATTCTCTTCAGCAGCAAAACGAAGAACTCAAGCGGGCACTAGAAGAAGAATCTAAAGCGAAAACAGCTCTTGCTCATTCTCTCCAAGCGCACAAACACGACATCGATCTCCTTCGAGAACAATGCGAAGAAGAGCAAGAAGCAAAGCAAGAACTCCAACGAAACCTGACAAAATCGAACAACGAAATCAACATCTGGCGAAACAAGTACGAGACTGACGCTATTCAGCGCACGGAAGAGCTAGAGGAAGCAAAGAAAAAGCTAACAGCCAGACTTCAAGAGGCGGAAGAACAAGTTGAAGCCGCCCAGGCAAAATGCGCTACGCTTGAAAAAACGAAAAACCGACTTATGAACGATGTTGAGGACGTCACGAACGATTTGGAACGCGCTAACCAGGCCGCGTCTCAGCTTGATAAGAAGCAGCGTAATTTTGATAAACAAATGGCTGACCAGAAGATGCGAGAAAACGAGCTATCAGCGGAACTTGAAACTTCTCAGAAAGAAAACCGAGGTCTTTCAACTGAGCTTTTCAAAATGAAAAATGCTTATGAAGAGGCCTTGGATGCGCTTGAAACAATCAAACGGGAGAACAAGAATGTTCAAGAAGAAGTTGCAGATCTGACCGACCAACTCGCAGAATCAGTTAAAGCCACCCATGATCTCGAAAAAGCGAAACGAGCCATGGAACAGGAGCGAAATGAGCTGCACGCAACTTTGGAAGATTCCGAATCGGCTGTTGAAGCTGAAGAATCCAAAGTTCTCCGACTTCAGGTTGAACTCGCTCAACTCAAGCAAGATATTGACCGACGAATGCGAGAAAAGGATGAAGAATTCGAAAATACTCGAAGAAATCAGCAGCGCGCGATGGAATCCATGCAGGTGACGCTTGATTCTGAGATCAGAGCACGAGCGGAGCTGGCAAGGACTAAGAAGAAGATGGAGAGCGACATGAATGACATGGAAATTTCAATGGCGAAGTACCGAAAGCAGCTTGAGAATACTATCGGGACTAATAAGGAATGGAATTCATCTACTTTGAAAATGATTTAAAGCCAAAATTATTTGATTCAATGCTTGAATTCTTGAAAAGGATTACTCCCAACAAATCAAGGACCTTCAAATGCGTCTTGACGACGAAGAACGGAAAATGGACGACGCCTCCGAAAATATGCAAGTCGTCGAGCGTCGCGCAAATCTTCTTACTGCAGAAATCGACGAGCTTCGAAACGCTCTTGAGCAAGCGGAACGAGGTCGCAAACTTGCTGAGAGCGAACTTATGGACTCGAACGAGCGTGCGGCTCTTTTGCACACGCAAAATACAGCTCTCTTGAATCAGAAGCGTAAATGCGAGACCGAATTGCTCGCTGTCGCCAATGAAATTGAAGAAGCGGTTCAAGAGGCGAAGAACGCCGAGGACAAGGCCAAGAAGGCGATTACCGACGCCGCCTTGATGGCTGAGGAGCTCAAGAAGGAGCAGGATACTAATGCTCACTTGGAGAGGATGAAGAAAAACATCGAAACGAACACGAAGGCACTTCAACATCGACTGGACGAGGCTGAGCAAGTGGCGCTAAAAGGTGGAAAGAAGCAGATCGCGAAACTGGAGCACAGAATTAGGGATATTGAAGCTGAGCTGGATGCGGAGCAGAGACGAAACGTCGATGCATCCAAGGTTCAGAGGAAACTTGAGCGCAAGCTGAAAGAGGTACGTAATGAAAAAGCATTTTTAAAACGTGTAAATATATTTTATAGGTCACTTATGCAGCTGAAGAAGACAAGAAGAACGTCATTCGCATGCAAGATCTCATCGACAAGCTCCAAGTCAAGGTCAAAACCTACAAGAAGCAAGCAGAATCTTGCGAAGAAACAGCAAATGCAAACCTCAGCAAATACCGACGGCTTCAGCATGAGCTCGAAGAATCCGAGGAACGAGCGGAAATCGCCGAGTCTCAGGTCAACAAGTTGCGATCAAAGCGCGAAATGGACTCCTTCTAAGAAAGGCTTAGAGCAAGCTTTCCACTGATTTGCTTTGTGTGTGTTTTCATCTAATAAAGTTTTGGGTTTTCTTAAATTGGACTGAAATCTCGTTTGCAGGTTGTTATGGCAGCAGAGTAGTTAAGTTAACTTGGTGAGCCGGGCGTTCTTTTAGAAAGTTTTTATTATGCCTCCAGCCCACTTTACTTTTCGCGGCTTGGGTTTCCATTCTAGAGTTTTGACTTCAAACAATGACCTGGACACATTGAGACGAATGTCCTTGAGTTAACCTCTTACGCGAGATATGCAACTGACACTTACCGCATATAAGTGCGCCCGAGTCTTGCGTATTTACTTCGCGGTGGGTCTTTTACGATGATTCTAACAGGCACGAATGGAGATGAGACTGTCCTATCAAACTGTCGACGGGCCCGTATGTTCGTTATCTTTGGCTGTATGGGAGCTAGAAGTTGTTATCATTTTAATTCAAGATAGGCTTATAAAAGCCTATTAGCCCAATTAACCGGTCAGACGTAATCCAGTACCTTTTATTCCACGTTCTATACAGCCACGAAAATGAGTACTTTCTTGAATTTTCTAAACTTTGAAAATGTTCAGTACATAAATGGGTCAACGTGAGCTAAACTTGACGCATTTTCTTAATGACATTCAATCCGGCAAATCACAATTACAAAGATGCTGAAGTTGCTATTATTGCCAAGCCGTGAACCTAGACCGCAATTATCACTCGTTTGTTTGCGTTTCAGTTTATTCAAAAATATAGTCGTTCAAGAATCAAGCTAAATAGATGCGAATCATTTGACGTCTGTTTGAAGGTTTGTTGCAGATTGGACACACGGGTGCAACTCCAGTTCTCGTAAAGGCTTTCTCGAGGCATGATCTTCCAAATACGTGACCACATTTTATTTTAACAGTATGGTGTCCTTCATCATCATAATCTCTTAAGAACAGATACAATGTAATATGCAAATTTAGCGCTGAAACGTACCCCAAACATATACGACATTGAAGACGAGCTTCTAGCTCCTCGTATTTAGCCTCTGTATCTTCCCACTTGTCCTTTAGCTTGCCATACTCATTTTTTATCTTTTCGAGCTCATTTAGATCAACTCCAGAACCAGCTTCTTGAATAAGATACTCTATCGTAGCTTCACTATTGGCGATTTGGGCACCCAAGCACTCAATGGTCGCTTGTAGCTCATCTTTACATCGTTTTTAAAAAAAGTTATTTAATAACTTTTCTAATAGAAAATGTAATATTTTCAAAAACCCGTGCCTATGACTTCAGAATTAGACTTGTCCTTGCGTCTATGAATTGAGTAAACCGCCGAGTGTTCTTTTTTGAGAACCTCAATCTCAAACCGGAGGTTCCAAATGATCTCATCTTTTTCTGACATTTTCTCAGCATGCTTTTTCTTGAAATTTTCGAGTTCTTCCGTTGTTTTTACATTTGTGCCATAGTTTACGTGATCCCTTAACGGGAACGGGTGATCTTTCGTTATTGGACCTTGGTGTTGTCGTCGTGGGTCTACAGAACTGTTCAATGATTTCTTTAGATTCCGAATTTGTTGTTGGAGTTCGAAGATGTCTTTTGAATACTGATCCTTGTTAGACTCTATCATCGCTTGAAGAGCGGCTATTTCTTCATCCTTCTCTTTCGAGCTGATATCAACTGTAGGAGGTTGGTATTTCTCAAGCTCACTGAGTCGCTCCTGCATGCGATGGTTCAAATTTCTTTGATTACTGAGCTCCCGCCAGAGATTGTGCTCAAGAGGGGTCTTCAGATTTTTCGGCTCTTTCAAGTTTTGATCATCGCCAATTAATGTTTCCTCTCGTATGTACTCAATTTGACTCAAATTGACCTCTGATGGCTCTTCAACCTTTTCTTGCGTTTTCTTGTACCTTTCGTTCGTCGAGTCAGAAAAGGTGACTCCCTTTTTGCAGTTATTACAGCTTTCGGAAAGAAGCAACAGAGCATCACTTTGCTCTTTGAGCCTCTCATCATATTCCTTCTTCATTTTCGCGAATTCAGTTGTATAGTACGTCTGAGTACTGATAACCAGCTTTCTCACATCGCTGCAGTCCTTCCTCTCACACACTTCGGGGACGCTCTCTTGTTTTGCTGATCTTGGAGTCTTTGGGATCTCGGGCAAGACGCTGAACTTGGACGCACTTTGGTTTCTCAAGTTTTCGAATTGCTCTTTGCATCTTTTATCGAGTTTTGTCTTCAGCTCGGCGAGTCTGAACGGAGATGCGCTACAATCAATTTTCAAGTGTTAGCCAAGTGCATTTTCCCGATCATTTTCTTTTCAGAAGTGCAGAGTTCGGGATTCTTATCGAAATTTTAATTAACTTCTGATAATTTATCTCATTCCTGTTACAAGCTGCTTGATAATTCCCCACGCAGGCGAAATTCTCTCCATTCGTCAAGTTATACTTCCCCATCAAAGAAACCATGCTCCATTTGTACATGTACTCTTCATCCTCTCTTGCGCTTTTTCTAGCGCTTTCCCCATCATTCCAAAGCCTTTCGCACCAAAAGAGAATCTCCTTCGGTGAGTAGGTCTCTCTAACAGATCGGGATGCGAACTGGATCGAGGCATAAATAGGGTTAATCATGACTTAATTCAATCTGGTACTTCAAGTGAAGCGGGTCTTGGTGACAGCCAAACATGAAATTTGTTGGGTCCTTCCAAATAGTGACGTATCGGGAGATCAGTAAACAGAGAATTAACCCTCCTACAGATTCTACGCTTGTTATGGAATTGTCATAACAAAAGTTTTTCCCGTTCAAAGTTGGACCAGACAGGCAGATATTTCTAAACTAAGATAGATTGAATAAGTTTAGGGAGAGTCATCTCAAAACACGGAACACGACCGCACTTGAAAATAGCAGCTCATCATTTTATGAGCATTTTACTAGTGCTCTGTTTGGCGGTTTGTGGCCTGCGCCCTTGTGAAGGATCAGACGGGAGTAATATTTAGCGTGGTGGTAGTGGAGCTTTACCGAGGGATGCAATTTTGGACTTTTCGCATCGCGCCACGGTCTAAATACGATACAGCTCAATTCGCGTTTTAGAAGATTTTCACGGCGCCAATTTCGTGCCGATTCTTCTTAACGTGCGAGATTTCGCACTAGAAAGGGGCCCTAAATCCACTTTGCATGCTCAATTCAATCTCTTGTTTCTTCCTCACTGTAGACTTCGGGCAAAATCGTTAACCGAGTTTCGTTTGTTTTCAGACGAAGCAATTATCCGAGCTTGTTTTCATAAATATTGAATCTTTATACATCATTAACACTTGTTTTGACAAAGTACGCGGGAATATGGGCAATATGCATAGACAGGCGAAAAACGTGGGTTTCCATGATACAACTTTCGCTCGAACAAAGTTCGTAGTTCAGCTATCAGCGTAATCAGCTCTTGTATAATTGACAGTGACCGTGAATTTGAAGTTATCAGCGAGTGACGTACCGCGCGTTCTTTTCCTTCTGTCAAGATAAAATTCCTATCTCTCGACTAAAACTACCATAAAAGCCCCTGGTCGAATCCAATCTTCTTAGAATCGAGTAGATTTGAAAGTAGAAAATGGCGTCATTCAGAAGTTGGCAAAATCCAACGTAGGAATCGAGAAACATTATTTTCCCCAAAACATTAAACTGATAGGAACGACTGATAAGAAGGACAAGGACTTTGAGTACACGCCACAAATGTTTAACCCAAAGCGGCTTTCAAATTTATGTATACAAGTTGTTTGAAAAAAAGCTGGTCCAATAAAAACAGGAGTGAGTCGTTATTACAGTACTTTGTACGTTACTTGTTCTTACTACAGGTAACACAGTGGCTGGGCTAGCAAAGTGTTTAATTTCGATGATAGCTGGGGCGATTGATTGGCAATTATCTGGAAAATCAACTTGAATAAATTTGGCGGGATGAAAGGAAACGGACAAGAACCCTCAAAAAGCACGATTCGCCGGTTCAACAAAGAGAGACAGTTCAGAGCAGCTTGCCCGCAAAGGCCACTCGAACACGTTCCATCCCCTACCGCAGCAGTTACTTTTACAAATCAGTTTTCCCAAAAGTCAACACGGAAACTATTGGACACCGATTCACTCAAAGAAAAACCAACGAACAAATTGAAAAAGTCGATCAGTACTTCATAAAATCTGAAAATCTTTGATTTACTCTCAAATATAAAGAGCACCTCCGTTGTTTTATATTTTTGAGCTCTTTTTTTCGAAAAAAAACGAAAAAAAATTATTGAAAATTTTTTGAAAATACTCATAAAAGCCCATAAATTTAGACGGCCTTAAAAGTGTCCGTTCTAAAGTCACAGTGAAATAAATTTGTAACCTGTAATAAGAGCCTGTCAGTTATCAATATTCCACCCATGGTTTGGAACTTCCATAATACCTTCGCCTCCTTATCAATCTTCTTCAGTTTCCTGCAAAAACAGACACGATTTTTTGATTACTTAAAATTTTATTTGCAGGTTTAAATATAGCCAACTCAAGGGCGAGATCCCGTATGTAACTGTATGTGATTGTAATGAGCAATTTAAATATATACTGTACTGTGAAACTGTGATTTAGAATGAATGGGGCTCAGTGGACGGTTTTATGCAAAGATTAATTTTTAGGGTGTCTCGCGAAAAAGTTATAAACGATATTTATATGTGTTGGGGTGATGCGAGCATGATGCTGTGATTCAAAATGCCGCAGTGACCCCGGTTCTTTCGAATATACAGTAGTAATAAATAGTTACAGTGACAAAATCGGGCATATCGGTTGTGTGTTTGATAAGGAGAGCTAGAGTCTGCAAAGACTTTATCAGCTTCATAAAGTCTTGACAAACAGTAGCTCGGAACATGTTGATCTAACTTAAGGGTATCCGCCTCGATTCACCAATTCGCAAAATCTCTCCAACACTTTCTCTTATCTTGAAATTAAGAATAAAAGCCACTGAAAAGTAATTTTTGCGAATCGCTAAATTCGAGATTGAGATACAGTAACAAGTCCTTGAAGTTAGAAAAACGGTACTTTTCAAAGAAAAATAACGAACAGTGGCAACAGAAATAGAATAATTGAAGAAGCTGTGATTAGCGATAAACGATGGAAAATAATTTTTTGTTTAGTCAAAGCGGCAAGTAGGTGACTTGTTTTTTTGTTTGCGAAAATTTGGGCGACGTCAATCAGGAGTCAAATAACAACCTTTACATTTAGCCTTCAGATGGCAACTCCCGGCCGAGGGATTTGAGTTTCTCCTTGTACTCGTTAATAGCTTTCACGTGGGTTGGAATCGTTCCTTCGGGAAGCTTGTTTTCGGGCTCGGGAATTCCTCCGTTTTGGATTCCCATCATTTTCTATAAAAAAAAAATAAGCGAAATGAATATTATCAAAAAACTTACTCTCATAAGAAGCCAGAGAACAATACCACCACAGGCGAAGCCCATAGCAATGATTCCATATTTGATCATTTTCTTGTTCTGCATGTCGGTCTTGCCACCCAACATGGATGCCTTGTCGAAAACAGGGTTGTCAAAGGCGAAATTCGCTCTCATCGTCGACATTTCTAAAGAAAAATGTTGAAATTCATTTCACTGACATTCGACGAGAGTAACGATATATTGGTACTGTAACTAACCTTCTGTAGTAGTAGTTTCCATTGTCGAGGCAGTTGTTGTTGTCTCTGTGGTCGTTGTTTCTGTTTCTATTTCCTGGCTGTTTACAATTTCTTACAACAAGAAAAGCGGGGGGTTATTCAACCTCAGCTGCAAATATTTATCAATATTGGCCAGTGCCTGAAATTGACTTTGATTCTTCCTCGTTTTGCTGAGCTGGCCTTAGCCGAAAGTCCATCACAAAAGAGCCAGTTTCGGCATTTGAAGTGAACAACGAGTAAACCAAGTTGCCGGTGGAAACGATTGGCTCAGTTGTACTTTCGCACAGCTTGAAGTCGTTCTCGTTTGCGACATCAACAATATGCAGTGATTGGCGATCGCAGTTCGAAAACGTCGAAGAAAAGCCAAGCTCGATTGTGCGGCCTTCAGGGGCGGAAATTCTAAAAGAAAGTTCAATACTAGGGATTGACTTGTCAGATTTAAACACTTGACTTTTGTTAACATATTTCCAAATCAGGAGCTTACGTAGTTCGAATTCAGCAAAAATATACTCGTGCGTGTAAAACACTAGAATGTTGCCGGTAAGGCACTTTCTCTTACTGGAGCACCCTGAGACCCTGCCTAAGGATTATACACGCAAAGGGGTCAAGCACTTGAATAAACATAAATAAAACGCTGAGTTCTTTATTGAAGATTTTCAAGAAACAAAGTGCTTCTCTATCTGTAGCCTACAGATTGTAGGTTATTTCTCGAAATGGAATGAAGTACTTTTTTTAAGAGAGAGAAGGAGACATCGAATTAATCGATAAGAATGATAAACGAATTGGCCAAGACATGAGCCGGCTTTTGGTAGTCCTAGATTACAGATCCTTATTCAGGAATGAGTTCCGGTTTAGGAACAACTGCCGGCTTGAGTAGCATAAGCTGATCAGGCCCTATTCAAGCGTTTGCTATGTAAACGTGTCGATTCGTATGTTTCCACAACTGAAACGAAAGGACTGGTAAGTAGTATTTCACACTTTGTTTTCAATACGTTTTAAAAAGGGGATCGCATTTTCGAAGAAGAAAGAGTCGAGTTAAGTGGATGGCGCATTTACTGAATGTGCTCTCTATTGTCCGCGAAATTCATAATGGGTAGGTTCAACTTCGTAATAATCATCATTAAAGTCGGCTATCGTCAATTTTAGGAAAAAAAGACGTTCTTTAATGGAATTTGCTCAAGGAAAAGATAAGCTTTACGTGACTTTACTGGAGCAGAAAGAAGGAAATTTGATTAGTACAAGAATACACCGAAAACGCTTGAAAAACATTTGTCGGAAAAAAATAAGGAATATAAAAAGAAATTTATGATTTTAACTTGCACTTACATATACATGCACTCGGCTTGGCCAGCATCTCCCGGAAAGTTAGGAGATTTGATTTGGTCCCAATCGTCACCAGCCTCTACGGTCTTTGTGCAACTGGGACGGTTGCTGTTTTCAAGGCTCAAATCTTTTGTTTCCATGCTACTAGCGATTTTGGATGCAATTCGTAGTCATTCGTTATCAATCAAGTTCAAGAATTATTCGCACACGTCGACGGTTCCCTGCCCTAGGCGAAATTCTGACCAGTACAAAAATACAGATTTACGTCATAAGATTAAAATTGCAGGTTTTCAAATTATCCTGTTTAATTTTGATTCTGTATTGAGTAAAATTTGCATTTTGTACTTTCATGTGAGGGCTGATCTTTTTGAATGAGTTTATGATTTGAGCCTTTCCTAATGTTAACTCCATAGGCTACACATGAGAGTGTGGCGAGAGATAGTTTCATCTGATTTCGCTGATTCTTTTGTTAGTTAGGTCGTTCCGAGATCGTCTTTGATATCTGAACGAAAGATTAATTAAAATGAACCTGATTTTGGCTAATTTTTTCGGTACAAGAGTGATTTTCTTGATGCTCTTTCTCTATGCGAAGATTTTCGTGGATTTTCTTGAAAATGGGTTACCTCTATATTTATGTGTGCTCACTTTGGGCTAGAACTGTAAAACGGCTCAGGAGCGGGAGGAGCCGTCGCAAAATTAGGGTTGGCCGGCGCGAGGCGCCAGAGCACGCGATCCCACGTGGATTCGCCCGTTTTCGTGAATGCGCCGAGGGCGCTCCCGAGTCAATCAATCGAAACACAAGTACCAACCACGTCGTGTTCACGAGAAACCAAACTGTCCCCACCGTAAACTACAACCAATATTACGTAGTCGTCTTTAATCGCAGAAAAATATCAAACGAACAAGAATCAAATAAACGTTACGCGTAATGCGGTTAATATTCGTGTCACTTGACTTTGTTCTTTGATTGAATTACGCCTTCAGTTAAAAAGAATAAATCATCGTTAATCAAAAATTTCTTGACAAAATTATTTGATGAATGTTCAGCCAAAATGTACTCTTCCTTGATATCAAATAATTTTAAACAAGCCGAAAAGCATTTAAATTAAAATTATGTAAATTTATTAAGTAAATAATAAAATATTGTAAATAATAAGTATTTGTTCAGAAGGGTTTAAAATTTATAATTTTAAGAATTTATAGATAAGAATTTATGTAGCTTTGGACCCTTATTTCAAGTTTTTCGAGTCAGAATTTCGCTTACTGGAAAATAATTGTTGAAATAATGTCGCGCGGAACAAACGTTGCGTGCAGAATAACAGCAACGGTATGTACTTAGGATAAGTTAAAAGCTGGAACATGAGTCAAGCTCAGCTGTCCTGTCGAGAACGTAATTACAGTTCGCTGCCGCGCTCGGTCCTTCTAATTCCAAGCAGGCTACGTGAACGCAAGATTACTTAGAAAAGGAGAACTCATTTCCCCTTGTTATGAAACTGAAATGAGAATAATCCAAATGCCTGAAATCTTTTGGGAAGAAATCGGCTGAACTCTTGTCATTTTTTTCCAAAGTTTACAAAAAACAATCGCGTTAGAACTACAGGGAACGAGTCCTTTAGATCTTTTCCGTAACGAGAATAATCCTTCTGAAATTATTTTTCGACAATAAAGGATCCAAAAGGATCTCGCAGACTCAAGTTTCAAACAAACGAAGTGTTATGCCACTTTGCCACGCAAGCCGGAGAATTGTCGTACCTTCTAATGTTTGTTTTCGCCATATATTTTTCTCGAGAACTATGTGTCCAGTGGTTACAACGATTTGTGTACACCTAACGCTGGCTTAAGATTTTTGAAAGGATAAAGCGACAACATAGAAATAAGCAAAGATCAAAGGCATAAAAGAAAAAGAGCAGAAAAGAGTCTGGACCAGTCAAATTGCGCAAGAGTTAAGGTAGAAAAAAAAGGGTTTAGAAAGTTTTCATTACGACTTGGATGTTATCAGTAAATCACGATAAGCGCTTCTCCATCGCAGCAAAAGAGTTTCTTCTGAAAACAAAAAAATGTTTAGAATCTGCTCCCTTGCCACAAAACAAGTTCATTCAAAGGTCAAAAGCCGCGTTGTTGCTATTTAACCTGCCGCACGCAAATTTGCCACAAAAGGCTCATTTTTCATTATGGCGTCGTTTTTCAGCGGAGTTCATCGCTCTTTCGAGCTCAAGGAGAGCAGAGGAAGTTCTTCGGGGGATAAGATTGCTTCTGCAAATAAACCAGCCCAGCAGAGTTCAAGCTGTTTTTTAGAAATTTTATCTTTCGAATTTTATAAAAAAAAATCGACAAAAACTGTAAAAATGAAATCATGAAAAAGTTTTAAAATGTCAGATATTCTAATTGATAAAAAATTATTTTAATAAAAGAAATTGCGTAATTTTTGTTAAATTTTGATATTTTGAAGCGAGAAAAAAGTGCTTCGAAAAGCATGAGAAAATATATTTCGCGCTGAGAATTGTTACACGCAAGTTTAGAATATGTACGAGAATAGACTTACATAAAAATGCACATCAATCAGCATAAACCACTCACCCTCAAGAGGATCTATGTACTAAGTACCAGACCTTAAAAATAACTCAAGAAAACGTAAGGTTTCCCATTCGAACTCGAGTAATAAGTTCAATTTTTCAGAGAGACAAAGCGTTTAAAATTTACCTCATGGGCGAAAATTTACACGATTATTCAAATAGCTCCCGTTTCATATTTCAAAATGTCCGGATTTAATATTCAAGCCTTGTAAGACGTTAATCCGTGAGACGGAAATTATGAACTTGGCAATTTTTTTCACTTGTTGGAATCAAATTTTTTACCTTCTAAATAGTCGGTCACTTGGAAATGTATTCTGAAAATGAGACAAGTTTTGAGATTGGAATGATTTTGTTGTGAGGCATTTTTGCTCGTGGGAACGATTGTTTTTAATGCTTAGTCGAGGAAAAATCGTCACGATAGTGGAAGCCGTCGATGGCGCGCGGTTAGGAAGCTGAGCCAATGACTGGCGCCGCCGTATCCTTGTTGGTGTGGTGCTTAGCGCCGCGCTATTCGTGCATGGGTACGGTAGCCCCCACCGCCAAGGAGCATTTGGATCCACCTCTGGCGCTCAATAAGAAACCACCGGGGGAATTACAATTATCAGAAGTCATTATTTGTAGACGGCGACTCGTTCTGATTTGTTAACGTAATCAGATCAGAGTTGTACCAATAAATGGTTTACAGAGAATTAATTGAGGGTCATTACTCAAAGGAAAGCCGGAGGGTTAGGTTAAAAAAGCTCAGATGATATTAGAAGTAGAGCTTTTCTTTCGGATAGCCATAAGAATACGGTTAGGGTTAGGGATTATCGGGATTCAAGAAAAAGTAGTTTGACGATGACACCCTTAAAATTTTCTGAATTTATTTCAATCAATGGTTTGACCAAAAAACTTTTTTTGAATTTTTCTTTGAGATCTGTTAGAACAACGGGTAAAGTCGACACGTATTTTTGTTGGAGAGGTTTATGTTCCTTGGAAGTTGAACATTTCAAAGTTTGACATAACAAGTGCGCGTTTGTCCAGTGCGCTGCCTTTACCGAAAAGAACGCGACGCGCGGCTTCTTGGATCCAACCTCAGAGGGGTTCAATTCTAGCTTTTAAAATAACAGGTGTTGCAGTGCAAGTAGCGATTTCGAGAAAAAAGATTACCTGTTGAAAAGGGGATTACGAGTCCGAGTTCAACGATGTTACCAGTTCATAAATTATTGTTGCCGCAATAAACATCATCTGGGAAACGTATGGAGATTAGTGATGTTCAACCGGGGGTAAGAAGGATGACTGCCTTATCAAAAAAAAGGAGAGAGGTAATAAATCATTTATTTTTTCTCACAAATAAAACTCTTCATTTGGTTTGTACGAAGTCAATAATGAAGAAATTTTTGTTGCATTTTAAAACAAGAAGTTCTTCTATTTATGATTTCTCCAGGAGAAAAGGTTTTTTATATACAGATTTTGCATAAAGCGCCACCTTCAAACATCTGCATAAAATTTGCTCCAGATGCTCTAAGTACCTCTGTTCCAGCTTGCCAGATAATTCAAAGGAACAGAGATTTTATCTTCAAATACGTTTATGATCGATTCAATAAATTGAATATGCCATTGAAAAATAAGCATTTTTATTGAATTTTTAAAAGAAAAAGCGAATCGGGTCGACGCTGTCTACCCAGTTAATAACGCGTAAATTCCATTTTTACCCGTAAAATAAACTTTTCACGTTCGCAAAGCTAAAAGGGGAACAACCTTCTTAAAAATAGAACTGACCTTGATTAGAGGCCGAAAATAACGCCGTCTCTATAGAAGCCGAAAAATTCGGAAATGAAATGTTTAGAACATTGCGAAGGAAATTCTAGCGGCATGTTGGACGTTTCCTTTATTTGCGCGCGAAAGCACTTTGCGATTATTGTCAGTTTGCAAAATATGGGCTATTTACGAACATGACTTCTAGCCGAAATTATTCAAATCGTATAACAAAGGTGAACGATTTTAGACAGTTGTGGCGGCTCCTGTGGTCACGTGAAATCGAAAATTCGCCAGGTAGAAAGCCTTAGCTTTACTTCTATTATTGATAATGAAATGAAAGTTCATCGAGGACTCTTTTTTCATAAAAAAAATTCGCTAAAATCGGCACGAGTCCAGAAACCGCGACAGTGACCGGACAGTGAACGTGTCTAAAGAGCGCTTTGTTTGATGCAGATCAAAATGTTTTGTCGAAATTTATCTTTCACGGCGCAATTGTTTAGCCCGACTCAATCAAATAACGCACTACCTAACAGATTCTATTATGGAAGGTTTGACCTTTCTATAATCAAATTTTATGAAACCGTCTCAGATCATTCAACGCCTTTTTTCAGCAAACTCTTAGTTATTTTTCCTCTGTGAGAAACAAACATCTGATTAATGTTAACCAAGATCAAGAAGTCTTTAATTTGGAATAAAACATGAAAATTTCTGCATTTTGTGGCATTTTTTCAGCATCAGCATCGGAGCTGAGCGTGGTTACACCTCCACCATCATGCCCGTATGATTTTTTCGACAAGAGTTTATATTATCAGCATTTTTAAGAGATCTGGATAAATTCGAGATCTGCACAGCCAACTGCACTACCGCACTCGATTCCTGCAAAGACGCTTGCAACCCTGTTGACTACTCTTGCCCCGGTCGTTGTGATGCGACAGCTCTAGAATGCAATTCCTCCTGCCCATGTGGCAATGACTGTCCAAATGGCTGTCAAGGGTGCGCCAATGCTGTTTGCAGCGCTGAGGAGTACGTTTTGATCATCAACCACTATCATCTTTATGAAAACGAGGCGATTCTGTTCAACCTCGGCACTGAGCAGTTTTCGCGAGCTTCGATAAATGGCTTTATTGAATACAACTACGACATTGAAGACGCTTGCTATTCTTTCATGAAAGGAGAGCACTACTTCTTAGGGGGCTATGAGAATCCCCGCGCGATTGCGAAATTCAATATTGATACATGTGAAGTCAAACCTGGAACAGGATGGGACGACATTCTCGAAATCGGTCATATGGACGGCGTTTATGGTTCATGCGCTAACTACAACGATGTCACATATCTTTGCTTCTATGAAGATGGAATAGATGCTTTCGGGTGCACTGTCTTTGATGGAGAAAATCAAAAATTAATCGACGCGAAAAGTCAACACCCTCATGATTGGGCGGACATGACAGTTTATGACGATAAAATGTGGGTTGTTGGTGGATGTGATCCTCGGATTCAGGGCTTCTAATGAGAGATTCATTTATGTTCAACAACATTTTGAGCCTCTAGTAGACTTATGACTGCAATGGTATAGTTGAATTCTTCGATGGAAACTCCTGGAATCTTGCTGCCCATCATCCCGCAGAAGAAATCTCCGGTCATCTTCTTCTCGCAGATGCAAATGCATTGTACTCGATCGCAGGGCGCAGAATGAGCCAAGATGTCTACATGTACAAAAATAATATTTGGACTTTGATCGGGCAACTGACAGAGAGCGCTGCAGATTCGTGGTGGATATCATCAGGGAAGATTCTTGGTGACTATGCCTACCTTGGAGAAGAGTAACTTATTCAGACCTCAGATCATTTTTATGAGTATTTAGCTCGCTTGAGAAGGTAAAACTAAGCGATACGGACTTCTCCGCAACCAATCTTGGAAGTGGCGCAGATGACTATCTTTATCTATACTATGCTGCGTTCATTGCGGTTGATGGACCTGTTTGTTCGAAATAGAACATTTTTTCTTCAAAATGAAGAGTTATTTGAAATTCCTGAGAATTTTTCACAATGTCCAAAAGAGCAAGTGCAGCTTCTTTCTTCATAAAATCGAAAATGCAAAAATAATGCAAGGTGCTGGCCGCGTATGAGACGGAATTCCAATGTCGCGCGTTACAAGTACCAAGAATATCGAAATGACACTCGAATGCAACACGCTACACTGCGCCGAATTCTAGCCACTCGGGCACCTTTCTTTTTTCTTATAATTACGACTCAACTGAATTTTTATGAATTTTTTGAACAAAACAGCCACTCCGTAATCCATCTTTCAAAGTTCAGAGAATGCAGGTTTTCGTAAATAAAAAACGTAAGCGATTTTTAGATAAAAATATTTACGAGGGATTTTTACAACAGAGAACCGACTGATTGCAGTGGCGATTACGGTAAGGTTTGGGAGCCGAGGAATTGTCGACTTCCGCACTTGCGTAGTCGTGTCCTTTGCGTCGTAAGTGAGTTAGCAATCTTGACAAAATTAGGATACCTTAATCGCCGTCTATGTTCCACAAAAGGTTCGATCAAGTAACGCTTCCTTTTTTCCGCGTTTTTGCGATTCATCCTTGGGAAGAAGGCATCGTAAACACAATTCTAGGGACCCTGAAGCAATCTATAATTAAAGACTTCACGAAAAATATCAAAAGTAATCTCTTACGCAAATAGGCCAGGTATAAGTAAAGGGGATTAAACTCACCTGTTTTCTTATCTTTCGTTATGTGGACTGTCTTGTGGTTCTGGCCATGCGGTGGAGTATCAGAGCCGGAGATAAAAGCGGGAATTTAGAAAAAAGGTTCTATCAAAATAGAAAGACGTGGACTTATGGAACAAGCGAAAAGGTGAGTCGTAATTCCGGGCAAATTGGATTGAATAGGCGCCCTGAATTTGGCCCCTTTCGGGCTAGACAAATTATAGCTCACGCTGGTCGAAATTCAAATTCTACCACCCTGAACCACGTCTTTGAACGGTCAGAATTGATCAAAGACTTACCTTTATGCTAATTTATCGGTCCCTAATTGCGTTCAACAATGCTAATTATCCCGCCCGGGAGATGACTGAAAACTTCAGTTTCATTATTACATAACTATCAAGTCTTGGGAGATAATTTCACCAAAGAGAATCTAAAACAAAATTACGATGGTCACCATTTGATGCGGTTATAATAGAATGTGCCTGGCATCTTGCTTGCAAATTACAAACAAGGAATAAAAAAGAACATATTTTTAACTAAAGTGAGTTTATTTCGTATCAAAAAAATTACTTGGTAGAAAACTTGGCTCGCACGATTTCAGGTGGGCAGCATTTAATTCCAGAGTATCTTGTCCCTTGCTTGCAATCGCTTGTGTTATTCACTCCGCAAAAGCCAGCGGCGACGAGATTAGTGGGACAGAGCAGATTCTTGCCGTAAGTTTCATAAAGCCAGCCACAATACTGCTCGTCAACAGTACTCTCCGAACTACAGCAGTAAACAGAGTGTACGTCTTCGTCTTGACAGGCGCCTCTGCTGTCAGACCTGGCGGATGTTGAACAGCGACCAAATGCAAGTTGAGTGACTCCAGCTTCGCTCTATTAATGCTGTGAGCCCTGGAAAACAAGCAAAATACCTTTGGGCACTCAATATCTTCACCAGTGCCTCCGCTGACCCATCCACAGTCACTCAAGATTCCAATAGGAATGTTTCTACTGGCCGGACAGCAGTGAATTCCAAAAGACACCGCCGTTCCGAGGCCACTAAAATTTCAATAGAAAAAAAGAGAAATTTTAAGCATACCCGCAATCATCACGTCTACCAGACTCGCAAACTCCGTCGACGTAAAAATTTGGGAGGCATTCAAGTCGATCCCCTGAATTTCCCCAAATCCAGTTGCAACCACTTTGGGCAGAAGCGACTGAAAGCACGGCACCGATTAGCTTCATTTTTCTCGTAATCTAATGCCATTATTCTCATGATCACGACTTAGTGCAGAACATATTGAAAACTTCCCACTGTTGATCAAATATCTTTATGCAGCAACTTAGTCTTGCGTTAATTCAGCAGTCTACTGCAAACTCGAGTAGGAATTGACGTTCTCATCCATGATATCAAAAAAAAATTTTTTTATAGCAAAAAGCAGCAAAGAGAGTGGAAATGTGTTCATTCAAAGTGCTTATCTGCATGAATGCAAATCAAACCATAACGACATTATAACTTGAAACTTTGTTTTGATTGGAACGGTCTTTTTTTCCCAGAGCAAGCCTATTACTGACTTAGAGCCCGAGTCCAAGACCCTGAATTAGTTTGAATGAAGTTGGCTCATATTTACAATATATTTTCAAACTCACTTTATCACTGCATCCCTTAGTCCAGTTCGACCATGATTCCCGGCCGCAAACGCAGTCGGACCCGCTTCCATGCCCAGCAAAGACGTAGTTTTCGACTGTTGAGGCAGAGCTCGCTATGTTTACCTGGATGTCTACGACGTAAAGGAGCTTGGAGAAAAAGGTTTATTTTCTACTGGAAAATTTCTAGTTCTGTAAAGTAGGAATAAACACAAGATATTTTCATAAAAACTTACCATCTTTTCCTTGATTGCCAGGTTCGTCAGTAAATCTTTGTACATTGCACCAGGTTTCGCGAAATCAATCAAAATAGTTGTCGTTATCTGTCAAAACTCGTACAAACTAAGTCCTTGCAATTGAGATTACTTCACACTTTTTTGACAAGCCGCATAAATTTCTGCATTATCAATGCACTCTTTATAAACCTTACGTACGATTTAACTGCAATAGAAGGGTGAATTAATGAAGAAAAGAGGCGAAGAAGCTGATAAAGGCCGTTGAGCAGGCTGGTCAGCGTCCAGTTGCATCAGAAATGAGCTCGCCTCTCGATTCTGAATGATTCGAACGATGTGAAAAAACCTTTATGAAACCAAGAGGGCCTGAACCGACTGGCAACATCTGAAGAACCGGCCGGTTGGTTCAATTTTCTCAGAATTTAGAATAATTACTGATAAAAAATGACCCAGATATTGCTTGTCAACATATAAACAGTATTAGGGGTCGTTCTAAAATTATTAGTGGAATGTGTCCTTTTGCCGTAGTTCGAGGAAGCAGCGTGGAGCAGGAGAGCTTTAAATTATTTGAAACCAATACGCCGAAGCTAATCCATCTCGGTGTTGGGTTAGTCGTCGGTTCAGCCTAAAGAGAACTTTCTCAGACCGAAAACTTGCCGCGATGAAGCTAGCAGGTTTCCGATTGATAGAGTTGTTTAGTGCTTTAATTATTAAATTTTATTTCTAGGCGCATTATTAATACTACAGACGAGTCAGACAAGGGCGAAGGAGGCCCTCCTTGATGATTTCTCGACTTGGCTCGAGGATCACACAGGATCGGGAAGACAACCACTTTAGAGACATTAAACAAGAGAGATAATAATTTGAAAAGAGAGTTTATCCCGAAACAAGAAGATTTTTCTGGCGATGGAGCGCCAACAACAACGACTGAGTTGATGACCACGACATCAACCGAAGCTGGCACTACCCAAGAACCAGATACAACCTCCGTCCCAATAACTGATGACCCCTTGACAACAACAACGACTACTAGTGCACCAACTACAACAACAGCTCCACAAAGGAAGGGATGAAATTCCTATTTATTTCCAATAGAGTCAAAAACTCTAAATTTCCAATCAAATTTCAATTCCGAAATAAAGTTGGCTCTCTGAAATTGAAAAAATCGCCGTTTCAGTTTTCCCACAATTCATCGCTAAACTTCCAGGAGCTACAAACAGTGAAGAAGAAGACGCATTGAGATCTGCCTTGGAAGACGCCCTAAGCAATTTCCAGCCTGGAGATCTTTCTTACGACTACACATGCACCGTGCATTCAGTTGAAAAACTTAGACAAAGCAGTCACTTCAAAGTGAAACTTGAATGTCTCGTGAACATAGCCGATGTTGAAAGCTTGGACAGCCTTGAGAACGAAGAAGCTTTGTTGAGTGACATCCTTCAATCTGCACCGGCACCATTTAGCAATGGCGATGAAATTACCGAATGGCAGGACAACGTCGTTACGTACTCTTACGAGACGCCAGATTCATGCGACGCAGATAACAACGGCTGTGCTTATGACTGTTTTGAAGGAGTGTGCATTTGCCCTATTTGCTGGGAGCTAGACGAAGATGGAAAGTCGTGCAAACCAGAGACCGGCAGACTAAACATCGGCTGCTCGTCTGACAAGATGCATGTCTGGATCGACTCGTGCGTAATCCCACACGCGGGAAGTGTCTACATTGGCGAGGATGACTGTACAGGCGAGAAAGGAACCGGCTTTGTAACGCTTCTGAACTTTTTTGTTTGAAAATTGAAAAAAGGTTAAAGTTCAAGTCTGAAGCCGAACAAAGATGGAAACATCTATCACTTGACGAGTCCCCTTGATGGATGTGGCACTTCGCTAGCAAAGATTGGGTTTCGCATGAAAAAGCACAATTTACCCCCGCTCTAGTCCGTTTCCTCTTGATGCAATTTCATGATTACGAATTATTTAATTGCCGTAAAGATTAATTGCCGTTCTTTTTTGACCGAGACTTTCAAAAAAAATATTAGTCGTTCAAATAACCGTTCTTTTAAGCCCTAAACATTTTGCGGTCATATTCATGATAAAAGAAAATGCTCCACTAAAAGTTCACACTAAATGCATATCATCCATCTTATCTATACTTTACTCACTAAGAGTAGCGTCAACCGAAATAGCGAAACCCGTAACAGCAAGAAGACGGTCAGCTCAAATTTTCAAATTCACTTATTGCCTCGGCAAGAAAGAATTCTCTCATCAGACTTGGTCCCGAAACGCAAATTGATCTGAGCTGCAGGTAATTTTTTAATGAGAGATTCTAGAGCTCCCGGGCAGCGATAAGGAAGCTCATTTTGTATTTTGTATATGTGGGTTATTAAAGCGATAAGACTTGTTTAAGAATGACCTCGTTAAATTGTTGTTAGAGAGTTTTTTTTTTGCTTTGTTTTGAGATTTGAAAACACACGCGAAGGTATAAAATTACTATTATGACTCGTGGTTGCTCAGCTAAGCGGGGATGAGCGGATCGGTTTATGATGAAACGAGTCAAATTATCCGGCTTCGACGCTGCTTAACAGTTGTCTTAAGATACGATTCGGTTTACGACAACATCACTGCCATCACTACCATCGACTCGAACGACTTCAGCACTGGCGGCGAGGGATCCGGCAAGCTCAAATTCCATGTAAGCTCATATTCGCGCAAAGCTTCCAGATTAGCAGATGATGATAGCTCGACAGAACGAATATTTTTGAACTCTCATAGACCCGTATAATGTCATCATAACCTAATAACTATAGATCACTTCCTACACGGACGAAACTTTCGAAGAAGAGATCTCAGACGACCACACAACGAAGCTCGGTTCGAAGATCTTCTTTGGCGTCAAGATCGACCAGCCCATCGACGGTGTTGAATTTGCCATCAGCGGTAAGTAGACGCGCTACTGTATTGATAGAATGCGTAGAATGCATAGATTGAATTATGGCGATAGAACGTTCATGCGTAGCTGTCATTTCTCGATGAGAGAGACAACGGAAATCGTATGATTTTATGCTCGCATTTTATTTGAAGATCGCTTTCCTTGAGAACGAGTTTACTGACCTTTGCACGGCCATGATCATCAGTATAATGATCGTATTATATAATATAAAATTTAAAATGCGTCCGTTTGTTCCAATTTACAATGCGGCAAAGAAATCTAAGAAATTTCACCGCTCATTTTTCCAAAGTTCGTTTCTTTTCAGTAAATTTTCTTAGAATGAGTCAGTCAAATTAAAAATATTTTTCCGCTAATTAAACTGCTTAGTCGGCGCTTTGGCCGACGCCCAGGAGGGGTTTAAACTTATGGGGCCCCCTGCTGTGGGGATGACGCTCGAACTTGGCGCCTGCTCAATATTCGCACTTTTTCTAACCTTTTTGAATAGATTGTAAAGTCGTCGACGAGCAACTTGGCCTTGAACATTCGATCCTTGCCGACTTCTGTCCCGACAATTTTGTTGAAATGGCGGCGAAATCGACTTTTGTCGACAAAAACGAAGTGTTCATGAGTTACAAGTCATTCCTCTTCGTGACGAGCGAGGAAGAAATCAGCGAATTGAAACTTGTTTGCCAGGTAAGTTTCAACTTTGTAAAATTGAGACAGTAAGCTACAATCCGTCATAATGAGAATTGTGACCACTTATAGACATAGTGTTTCCATTAGTGTTGAGTCGAGTTGATGGATCGCCGCAGGGGCGTTACTGTAGTAGCTGATGGTGATTTCATCGACAAACACTTGAAACCGGACGTCACTGGACGCGTCCTTCTCTATTCTCAATAGAACGTACATAAGATAAACTCCCTTATTCTCGACTGTTCAATAGATTTATCCCCTAGGCACAAATTTTGACGACTAGATTTGGGTCCAAATTTTTTCATTATCGAACTCATCATCATCATTTTAGGCTGTGGCATGCGCAACAGACGATTTCAGCTCAGAGTGTCAGTCAACCAGTTGTCTCAACCGCCGCGGCCGTCTCTACCGACGATCAGCGGGATCATCACCACTTGAAGAAAATTCTAAAATCTACACGATTTCGATGAATCTCAAGCATCGAACCGATCGAAAGTAATAGATCAAAACTTTTCTGTAACACAAACGCATAAAACTATTCCTCCGCTTTCTTCTTTTTTAATGTTTTAATATAACCGATTGTATATTAATATTACCAACTTCTTGATTGATGAATATTAATATAGGTAGAGAAATTATGAACTTTCTTTTTTGAAAAATTATTTTTTTATGAATTTCATTCTTTTATAAATATGATGGTTTGCAGATTGCGAGTCTGTCTGGCGAGTCAGAAAGGCGTCGCAAGAAAAGTCATAACTATCATTTAGGTTGGGGATTAAATGATTTCAGGGGTGCTTCAAATTTAATATAGAAATGTTCAATTTTTTATTACTACGGACATGCTCGCCGAAATAAGTTGACCCTCAATTCTTCGTCTTTTCATTTCGTCAATTTACAAATCCCCTGTCCAAGAGCATGATGATTGCCCTGCTTCATGTGACTATGAGCAAGAAAGGCCGCTGAGGATTCCGGTCAATCCGGGGGCAATTACCTCTTTCCTGAATCATCTTTTTTTTTTGTCTTCCGTAGATTCCTCGGTCAGCGACGTCCATTTCGCGTAAATTGTAAATGAACGTAAAAAATTTCGTGCGTATCTTGGTAAAGCAAATTTGAGTTTAATTTGATGTGGTGAGATTTTGACAATGGAACGCTGGGTCCACCTTGTCTGGCAGAAGAGAGAAGTCAGACAGTTGTTGATTTCCGGACACTGGAAACGCGGAAGCTCGCGTAATACTGTGATTGCCGAGAAAACACTGGAATCACCCAAAATCACGTGAATGCCTTCTAGTAGCGAATTCCTGGAGGGAAAAAATATTTTCAACTTTTCAAAAGCTGCTTGCTCGATGCTCTTCTGATCGTCTGAAAAGTTTGACGTGCTTTCGGTGATCGGGATTATTTATTAGCTCTAATTCGAAGGCGCAATCTAATTTAGATCATTAATCTGTTACTGTTTACGGAAGTGTGTCTATTGTCGCGAAAAATGTCTTTTCCAGATTTTTCTCATGAAGATCCTACAAAAAACTTAACACTTATAAAAAGATAAAATCAATTTCATTAGATTGGGATTATTGTATTTTACGCGTATTTTTACACTACCGGCATTTTGGTCCCTAGAAAAGACGCTAATTAGGGCTTTCAATCAGACCCTGCATTGATTTCTGCGGTCAACACCGATGACAGCCGTATATGATGATCGGTCTGAGAATCATTTTCTCTACGCCAGCATTGTCACCTAGATTGCCGAAACGCAAGCCAAGCATTTCGCAAAAATAGAACACCAAAATATGGTAAAGAATTCTCAGCTGGCGCGCTTTTGACAGCGAGCGCGAAGAATGAGCGAGGTGATTCTAGTGGAAAGGATCATCGGTAGTTGTCGTTTTCAGGGGGCAACTGGGTTCAGCAGTTTATTTTGTAAAAATGTTTTTTTTTATTTCACTGTATTTTCGCTCGCTCCGTGAATTCTTCAGAAATTTTTAAATAATATTTCGTTAAAAAAATAATTTTTACTCGAAATGTTTTAGCCAAATTTTTTTGCTGAAAACTTACAATTAAAAGTAGAAGATTAAAGTAAAATCAAAGAGAATATTTTTATGAAAGAAACATGTTAACCCTCGGCGTTAACTCGCAAAGAGAGGCCTCCTCTTTGACAAACTCCAAGTGTTTATGACTGCAAGTGAATCAGAATTCAAGGTCGCCAAGTGGACTTCTCCGCAGCTAGAAAAACAATTATGAGGAGCATCAATGCTATTTTTACTTTGCATAATTTTTAACCAAAAAATAAACATGAAAAATAATATGTAGCCTTCGTTGAAGTTTGAAAACAAGTTGATTTAGAAACGATTATTCTGCTAATTTTCATTTTCTAAATAAAAAAGAGCGAGACGATGAACTGCTCCAGGGGGTCGTGCATGGATTTGATGTCCTCAACTTGTCTACTTAGTGTGAGAGGCCTGAGAGAAGTGAGGGTAGAAACGAGCGCATGGATGATGTAGGTGGCGCGTGAGGCAGCGGAGAGGGTGCCAGGGCGCCGAACTAACCATCGCTGGGCGGCCTCTGGTTGATGATTGAAAGCCCTTCCTCGAGTCCGTTTATCAATCCAAAACGTTTTCATTTTTTTCTTAACCCGTCGCACGTCAACTGCAGAGATTTGCCGCACGCGATGATCTGGCCCGCTTATTGGGCCATGCACGCGTAGTACCAAACATCACCTCTGTAGAAAGTCTATAGAACTCAAACAATACTACAGTTGTTTTTTGAATATTGTTCAATCAGAGACCGACGAAGAAAAATTCGCGAAGAAAGAAAAACATCTGAAGAGAATACATAAGAAAATCACAAAACAGATTGACCATCAATAGCCACGATGCGTTGTCGAACACTCTGGCTTCCGGCAATGCTGTACGCAAAGGTAGTAATGCGCGTGGCGCTAGAATCATGGAGTTTATCCTCACGAAGAGCCCCTCTTAGTCACGCAGCCACAATTTTAAACCCTTTTTCGTTCTATAATTATGAGGCGCGATAAGCAGACATAAATCAATCATTCGGACAAAAGAAAGTACAAATTTATTAAGGGCATAGTAGCGCGTTATTTTTTCTCTCATTGAGTTTACGGCGTCGTATGATGAGACGCTTAACGCGCGGCGCGGCCGGTAGCCAACAAAAGTTGGCCTTGGCGGCCGTCAGTACCTCACAATTCTTCTCTTAGCTTTGTGAACCTTTTATGAATGAAGGAAAAATCATAATTGACCGAGCTTAATCTATGCAGCAGAAAATTGATTTTCAAAAACCAATGAAAGAAAAACCGCCTGGGCAGTGTTTTTAGTGGAGTTAGCTTCAACTCAGCGTAAAAATTAAAATTCTGTAGCAGATAAATTAGGCGAACTTTTTCATTTTCATTTTCAAGTTGAAAGGAGAGAAAAATACATGAGTGATTTTGGCCTAATTTTTCATCACCGTGGGCTTGAATTAATACTTCCGGTAACACTTCATTTTCAGGTTGCTGCGGTGCTCAGAAAGATACCTCAAGGTAAAGCGAAGATTTCAGCGAATCCTCAAGAGCTTAGCACTTTTTATTCTGACGACAAATCAAGGCCAAATTGCGGCTAGATGAGCCTGCACGTCTGCCTAGGCTCATCCCATGCAAGACAAACTCGCTTGCTTTGACCTCCTCAAAAGCGCACCTCTCGTTAACTCTTTTTACCCAGCCATTGAACCTTTTCTTCTCAGCCTTTCCTTGATCCCAGAAAGAAAAAAAACTATACTCCGGAGTAGTTATCAAGCCTTATTTCGACTAGATTATGAACCTCTTTGACCCGCATAAAGCGAAAGTTTGATTTTTAACAGACATTATATTGAAACCGAGCTTGAAATTCGACATTAACTGGGCAAAGTCAAAACTTGATACAAACAATTAAGCGTTTAAGTGACAGTACTGTATTTGCGCGCGGCACAATCTGTATGGAAACAGATTTACGTAGTGGAACTTCTGTTCAAACAGACAGTGAGTGAAGTGCGACAGTACCTTGATAATGCCGGTGAGGGGGTATTCCCACGATCAAAGTTTATTAAATCCACCTTCACTCACCATTACCAACATGGGACTCTTCTGAATTCACCTTATTCCAATATCTGTTCAGACCAATATCATCAAAGATTACACAGCTGGGAAGAAGCAGAGATTCTAGTGACAAACTCCGAAGGTGAGTTTGTCTCGCACGATGTTCATCACTTTGCTGAACTCAGGCCTGCGTTGAACACTTAATTCTAATTTCGTACCCAGGAAGGCGTAGTCGCCGAGACAAATCGCTTCTAAATGCTCATTATTAGGGAGAAGCGGCATCAAGCCTTCGAGCTTGTCTCAAAATTCGTCATCTAATAGGGCTACTTTAGTGCTTGTTTTGTCGAAATTATCCCAAAACAATAGCCTGTCGTGTAGTAGACATTATGTTACAGTAGTTCACGGGTCGATAACGTAATTTATTGTTGCTGAATGCATGCTAAAGCCAACAAAGACATCACAGAAGAAGGCGTAATGCTGAACTATATCAGGAAAAAGGGATCGAGCAAGTGACAACTCGTAAAATTGCGTGCTCTATTTTTGGAATAGATTTGCAAGGAGATATATTTTTGATATTTATTGCTGTATATTTACTTTTATTTCAGTTTGTCAAAATTCTCTAAAAGTGATAATCTAATAGGTTTTTTGTGCTGACGGAAAAGTTGACCAAGCCGGGCTCAATCAGAACATTGACTTTGACCATCAGTTGATTCTCTGGACTTTCCATCATCAAGCCACACAATCAGTCAACTTTTTTGATCCCTGAAACAAGCTCCACTCTTCCAGAAGTAACGACGAGCACGAATCGTTTTTTGTGAATATAACGACGGGGTCGTTTACACATCATCTTAAACTGGTACATTCGGGAATACAACTCCACCCAGATGCCAAAATCATACATAATCATCACAACTACACGACTCACGAAGACTTTCATCCGAGTTATCATAGGTCACGGTTTTTTTCATCAAATAGAAATGAGACATGAGTAAAAAGTCTAAAAAAGGGAGAGAATATAAAGTTTAGCGCTCAATAAACATGATAAACAACCTAGAACACAGTTGTTTCATGACCGGGCACGTAGTAGGAAAGGAGAAGCTGTCAACTTCGTTGTCACTATGCGGCGAGGTTCAAGGACTTCTGGAGCTGGATGATGAGCACTGGTTCATCGAGCAGCCTCATCCAGACGAAAAGGAATTAGGATGTGACATGTTTTACTGAAATTTATATTAATTTTGAATAGCTTTACTCATTATACGGCGCAAGGTTTGCGCTCGTTCCTGTTCTCATCAAAATGAATACATGATCATTGCGAAAGACAGAGCTACGTTACATATCGGCGCAGTGCGATTCGGCCAAGTAGAACAAGAAGAAACTCTGACGATCAGGAGAACGACCCTTCCGGAAGCCCCTCGGAAGCATTTTGCGGCCATAGCGAGCGCTGGAGTGGGGCCAAAACTCGCCTCCGTCGAGAATCACGCCTATCCAACGAGTCAAACTCGGAGATGACCTCGGACCAAGTTGACGAGATTCTGCATCGCTCATCTAGGATTTATAACTCCAGGTACAACTCAAGGAGAAAGTCATACGCGATTCAAGAAAAATGGGGAAGGTTTCAACTTCTTTAAAAATTGTTTCGATCTTCAAAGCGTTCCAAAGTTCAAAATAACAAAATCAAAAGGTTGAAAACCATAAAAGATAGAAACTATTGTTGTTGCAGATTACTCCGTTGTTCGTTTTCATGATGATGTCGTTTTATACATCTGCAACCTGATACATTACGTAAGTTATTGATAATTTAATGTGATCAAGATTCATATCAGATGAATACGATTTATGCTCATGATGCTCTGAAGCCGTTCAAAATCAATATCGTCCTAAAAGATGTGATTCTTGAGCGGGATAGAAGACGCAGTGAAAGTAGGATCCACCCAAACAATGCTGATAGATCACTTGGAGAAGTGAAGAACTACGCCAGTCAGATTTACAACCAAAGAAGGCAGGACCATCTTATTTATCTGACAAAAGAGTTTTTCGGTCCAGCTGGGTACGTTAGAGCTTAAATTTTTGAATCTGACGATTATTGCAGGTTTGCTCCTGTGAAATCAATGTGCAGAGGCGGTGATGCTTCTACTCTCGTCCACGAAGACGGCTTTCAAAGCGTATTCGTCATGGTCCACGAAACCGGTCACAACCTTGGAATGGAGCACGACGGCGAGAATCAGAACATGTGTGGAGACTTCACCCACCAAGGGTCAATCATGTCTCCGCTTGTTCAATCGAACTTCAAGACTTTCACCTGGTCTCACTGTAGTCAAGCGTACCTACGGAAGTACATGCGGGAGTTCCGATGCATAAATACGCAACCATCGAGCTCGTATCGATCATGTGACTCTGGGACGCAGCGCGTTTATACTCTTGACGAGCAGTGCGCAATGGACTTCGGCAAAGATTTCTCCCTTTGCAAAAATGTGAGTGGAAAAAAACTCAAAAAGTATTTAATTTGCTGAGCGCATTCCTTCTGGAATGAGCATCCTAACTCTTGGAATTATCTACTGAAAGTCAATGTTATCCCGCAGCTTTGAGTATTACGAGCTCATAATTAAGCAAGTGATGACGTGAATCATAAATTTATCGATAAATTTACAATGGGTGACCCCGAACAACCGGCACTCCTCTCCCCAGGGCCGCTACACTGGAGCACCGATTAAACATTGTAAAACTCCGCCAGATGGCAGGTGCAGACAGCCTGCTGCACGAAAATTATTTATTCTCCCTGGCGCTAAAATTTGTTAATTTATCAGCTCGTGCACGGCCCTTTGCTGAGCAGCTCATATAACAATTTCAGAGGACAGTTATGTTAATGTCAAGAAGGGCTAAAAATAGGGCCAGGCTTATTTTTTCGTTCTCACAGTTAATATCGTATCATTAATTAGCTCTCATGAATAAACATTTATGATTATGTAATGTTTATCGAGGTTATAATTGTATTTTAAGTTTATCGACCACTGCGATGCTCTTTGGTGCTCGAGTCCGATGAATCCTACCTTCTGCAGAACAAAATCAAAAGGTTTGAATATAAATTTATATACCTGGTTAAATAACCAATTTCTAGCACCACCATTGGATGGAACACCTTGCCGAGGTCCGGATCCGAGGAAAGACTATCATTGTTTTGGTGGAAGATGCATTGAAGAGCCAAACGAAAATGGAGACATAGACGGTTCTTGGAGCAACTGGGGCAGCTGGTCGCAGTGCTCTGCAGGTGGTGTTACAAGAAGGACTTGCGGATATGGAGCACAGAATCGCAGAAGAGCGTGCAATAATCCAGAGTAGGTTTCGAGCTAAGTTCTCTTCCTTGATTTCAACTATTATAGGCCACATGGACGGGGCAGACCTTGCGAAGGAGAAAGCTTGGAAACGACAATCTGCCGCATCGGTCATCCTTGCCCGCCAGAACAGGACAATCGCGCTGCTGAGTGTCGAGCCACAAGTCTCAATCTTCTCCCCGCTGAATCACCTTCCAACGACCAGTGCAAGCTCTTCTGTCGAGATGACAATCATCGAGAGCGCCCGACAAATCAACTCGTTTCTCATGGAACGCCTTGCTCATATGATGATCCGCATAAATTCTGTATTTTTGGAAAATGTGAAAATTATGGATGCGACATCGGAGGACAAATGAAGTACTACAACGAGTGCGGGATCTGCGATGGACGAACAAGTGATTGTACTTTTGTCGATCAAAATGTTCGCAAAACGAATCGCCAATCTGGAGGTAAGATTCAATTCATAGTTGACCGTCAGTTAACTCTTTTTAGTTTCGGTGAAACGCGTTTACACGATTCCAAAGGGAGCATATAATGTAGCGATTCGGGAGGAAAACTCGAATAGTTACTACACCGGGCATTTCTTGGGACTCAAAGACGCCCGTGGAACTTTCTTAATCAGAGGAGAATACGTGACGAAACCTGGCGTTTTCAGAACAGAACACAACGTTGTTCATGGAAATACACTCTGGAAATATCAAAATGTTCACACTCAAGATGTTTTGGAGACAAAAGGGCCCACTACTGAAGAGTACACTCTTTCAATGAAGCTGAAGGAAGCAAGAAAAACTTACAATATCAAGATAACGTATGCACTCAAAGGTCGAGCTATCAAGCCACCTCCACCTCCGTCGAGGAACAATCAGTGGAACTACCAGTGGAAACATATGACGCCAAAGAGGGGAAGGTGCAGTGTCGAATGTGGAAACGGACACAAGGTTTGTCGAAATAATAAAAACACTTTTTTATCACTGTTCTCTAGACCACTCGTGTTCGCTGCTTCAAATATCGAGCTCGGCGTCGAGGACGGCCTCGACGTCAAAAAGCAAGAGCGTCGGATTGCAGTGCTCATCTTGGAAGACCTCCGCCGCAGAAGAGAATCCCTTGCGTTGGGACAAACTGTAAATATCAGAAAGGACCCTGGAGCGAATGTCTCAATGGAGTTGGTGATGCATGTCGAGAGCAGACCAAATACATGCAGGTTTTTACTCGGACAAGGACTGTTGAATGTAGAAATATGCGATCGGGAAAAGTTTATCCAGAGACTGCGTGTCAGAGTCAGCCGAAACCTCCGACAACAGAGGTGAAGTACTTCTTCGATATAATTAATCTATCGTTCTTCAGACATGCGCCTCTGAGAATATCCCGGAATGTCCTGGAGAGTGGGAATATGGACCATGGTCTGATTGTCTATGTAACAATCGCGCAACTTGTAGTTGCGATGGCATGCGACGAAGAAAGGTATTTTGACTATTTTATTCGTAAATTAACTCTCTAAGGTAACTTGTTCCGCATCGTCTGAAGTTCTCTGTCGCGATATGAAGCCGTCTACGAGCGAGACTTGCCGGGCTCCAGATTGCACCACAACTTCGCAGAGCAAGTGCGTTGACCAGGTATTCATCCTTGATTCCAAACTGAAGTTAACCGATTTCCAGACTGTCTTTTGCGAAATGGGTACGGATCAACTCATCGAGTACTGTCAGAGTCCAAAGTTTATTGAAATCTGCTGTGCAAAATGTCGAAATTTAGGAAGCAGAGTCAGGTAGACAATTGCAACTTTCGCTTTTATATTTACGACTTCTTTCGACAGAGCTGCCCATGTTGCTGTTTTTGACGAACGGGAGTTCGACTTTTCGAAATTGGAAAAGCCGGGTGGCTGGCTCACCTGGCCATGGGGGCGTTGCGAGATGCGTAAAGATACATCCCAGTGCGAGATGAGACGCACGGTTCAATGCGAACGCGATCATTCGTCGAGGAAAACAAGGAGGAAAGCGGAGAAAAAAGACAGATCTATTTTGAGAAGCCCTTTAACATACAGGTTTCTTATCATATCAATTATTGCTTAAAAATTTAAGGAATGACAATAGTTCATGTGACGAAAGTCTACGCCCAATGTCGACAGCGCCCTGTCCGTGTTCGTGAGCATTCCAATCAAATTCAAATCGCCTCTAGTTGGAAACTCGGGATGACCTTTTGAATTAACTAGAAATCAGTGTGCCCTGGCTGGCCAAGGCTCGTGGAAAACCCTCCGCTATCACCATGTCACTCAAACAAAAAAAAACAACGACACGCTGGGTGTGTGAATGTTCCTTCTTTTCGAATTCTATCATCCTCTAAAATGTACTAACGTCGACTAAGCAGCTGGAAACTGACATGTTACGATATAACAGTTTATGATTTTATCATCATAATTCATTTTTAATACATTTTATCCAATTTTCAAATATCCTAAGAAAATTTCTCAAAAAAAACCTCAACTAGCACTATCTTACCTACATGCGCTTCTACAAACATTTCCGGATATGAACAAAAAATAGTGCTTCACCTCATCAACAAAGTAAAATAGTATATTTATAAATATGTACCTACTTTACACACAAAGAACTGTAAAGAATGACTGTAGCCTTTCTTATTGCACCTGCCAACCTTAAAATTTCTTCTGGAAAGCAACGCACAAATTTGAAATATTTCAATGGAAATGAATATCAGAAATTAAGTTCAACAAGTTTTTGTCAAAAATAAAATACTTTTATCAAAAGTCCTTGTTGATTTCAGAATCGCCTGCATGATCGGAGTTATATTTTATACAGATTGGTTACCATCTTATTTACAAAAGGCCTTAAACAGAAAAAATGCAGTTGAACTAGTGAAAATAATTAGAATTTGCGCATAAAAGGGTAGAAAGATAATAATTTATAAAACACCGTCGGGATGTTTTTTGACGGCTCGAGTACAGAAAGTGTCGTGTTTACTTGGCTTTTCCACGGGTTTCTTTCTCGTGCATGACCTTGTCCTTCATTTTGTTGTATGCGGACTCGGCCATATCTGCTCGTTCTTCAGCGTCGTCAAGCTGAAGTTGGAGTTTTCGGGCTTTGCTCATGTGAAGATTGGAGAGCTCCTGGACTTCGTCAGAAGTAGACTTTTCCTTCTTCAGCTTCTCGTCGAGCTTCTCCATCAGCTCCATGATTCGAGCAGCATCCGCGCGGGCTTCCTACAAGTTTCGGATAAAATCGAGCAGACATACTGAAATTACCTTTTCTCGCTCAGTCGTTTCCTTGACCTTGCGTTCCATTTTCTTGACCTCCTTGACTCCCTCCGCGTGGACTCGCATAAGATCTAGCAGAGAATAAGATTTTGTAACATAGACACATCATACCTTGAAGCTCAGAAGTAAGCTCGCGAATGTCCATCTCAAGTTTCATCACGTACTTCTTGCCACCCTTGAGAGAACCAGACTCCAAATCTCGAATCTTCTGTTCCAAGTTCAAAATCTGACCAGTGGCCTTGTTTCTCTTCGCTTCCAAAGATGCATTTCGGGTAGTCTCACGAGAAAGTTGCTCAGCCATCTTCGCAGCGTCAGCAGCAGCACGCTTGCCGGCAGATTCAGCGTTTCGAGCAGAGTTGATTGCTTCTTCAACAGCAGCGTTGGCGGCGTTGACTTCCATTTCAAGAGCTCGTCGATCCTAAAAATATAAACGGTTGTTTTTGAAATTCTCTTACCTTATTCATGCCATTGATTTCCATCATAAGCTCGTTAATTCGATCGTTGGCGGCTTGAACTTCAGCGTCAGACTGTTTTCTGGCTTTCTCGGCTTGCTCGACAGAAATTCGAAGCTCCTCCAACTCAGCCTGCATGAGATTGGCTCGTCGCTCAGAGGCACCTTGTTCCTTGACCATCGTCGTAGTTTCTTTGCCAGCGAGCTCTAGCTTCTCGCCAAGTCGCTTGTTTTGGCCCTTGAGCTCTCGCTGAAGTCGGATAGCCTGCTCGGACTGGTGGTTAGCGTGAGTGAGCTGAACTTCCAAATCAGCGCAGTCAGCTTCGAGCTTGGTCTTGGCACGGACAGCTTCCTGTCGCATGGTCATTTCTCGATCTGAATCGATGTTAAATCAAAAGTATTTATGAAGAAACTCACCGAGATCCTGTTGCATGGATTCCATAGTTTTAGTCATATTAACTCGGTAATTTTCAAATTCGTCAGCCTTTTCCTTGACAAGTCGCTCGTGATGGTTGTTTTGATCCTCAAGATCCTGCGTGAGCTTTTTGATTTGAATCTCCTGAGCTTCCTGGGTAGTTTCGGCTTCTTCAAGGAACTGAGCAAGCTCATCTCGCTCAACAAATGCATTTCGCTTATCTTTCTCTGCATTTTCGACGGACTTGAGAGACTCGTGGAATTGCTTAACACTTTGTTATTTTGTGTAGATATTGTTGGAATCTACCTTAACCATGTTCTGGTTCTCATCAGTGAGAGACTTGTTCTGTCGCTTCTGATCATCAAGAGAGGCAAGGGTATCATCCAAATCTCGTCGAAGTCGCTTGATCTCGTTGCTCATGTCATGGTTCTCAACAGAAACCTTCTCCCAGGATTCCATAGCTTCGGCTTCCTTTTGCCTTTTGAAAAATTAGAAGAAGTTTTATGTTTTTTCATTACTTGTGTTCCTTGACGATGATGTCGTGGTGTCGCTGTTTCTTCTCAAGAGAAGCGGACTTTCGCTGGATCATTTCCAAATCAGAGGTCATATCAGAGACATCGCCTTCCAATCGGGCTTTAACTCGTTCCAATTGAGTAATCTAAACCCGGTCAGTTTTGATCTTGATACACTTATATCACCTTGGATTTTGAAGCAAGCATTTCATCGCCGAGGTCGTGCAATTCTTTAGAGAGCTCTTTGTTAGCGTCTTCCAATTGCTTGTTCTTCACAACAGCTTCTTCTTCGTACTTGATACGCCATTCAGAAAGCTAAATTTTTCTTGATATCAGTTTTCTTAATCTTTATTTTACCTCAGTGTTGGACTTGGACAGTGCCTTCTGCATTTCCAACTTAGCATTGACTTCACCTTCGTACTGATCACGGACGAAATCGTAATCCTTTTTGATTTCTCGATGCTGTTTAGCAAGTGCTTCTCGTGCATCTTGTTCTTGCTCGTACAATCGGTTGAGCTCGTCGTGATTCTGTTGGAGAGAATTGAGCTGTCGGGTAACTTGTTGCATCTAAAATTTATATTTTTAAACGTAAACTATAGGCTATAGACTATAGTCTATAGCTAAACTTACAGCATAGTCGAGATCTTTGTACTCTTTGCTCGCGGTCTTGGCCTCATCCTGAAGGTTTTCGATGATTTTGACCTTCAGTTCAATGGTATCCTCGTGCTCCTGGATAGTCTTCTCGTTGTCCTTTTTCTCCTCGGTCAACTTCTTGACTTGTCGCTCGTTGTGGACTTTGGTCTTGGTAAGCAACTCAACCTGGCGAGTCATGCTTTCGATACCCTTTTGGGCCTCATTTCGTTCAGATTCTAGTCGAGCCTTTTGAGCCTTGATAATGTCAAGATCTTGAGCAGCCTCTTCGGACTCCAAGTTCTGGCGCTGTTTGAGAGTTTGGATAAAGACCTCGTGATGGGATCGAGTCTCTTCGAGCTCGATCTTTAATCGATTGAAAGCATCCTGATTTTCTCGAAGAAGAACAGCCTTGGAAGAGTTCTCCTCATTGGCAATTCGAAGCTGTTCAAGAGCATCAGAGAGATCTTGTTTGACATCATCTCGAACACGGTTAGCTCGTTTACAGATATCTCTCTCGCTAACGACTTCTTGCTCGAGCTGATGAATAGCATCCTGGAGTTCTTTAATCTTTTTCTGGAGGTTAGCGACCTGAGCCTGCTCATCTTCGAGTCGAGTAGCAGTTTGCTCGTAGTCAAACTTATGTCGGCTGAGGCCATCAGCTGTCGTAGCTTGAAGTTTTTGGGCGTCGAGGAGCTGTTCAGTTTTCTGTCGCAAGTCCGTCTCTAGTCGAGTTTTAAGAGCCCACAAGTTTTCTCGGGCCTTAGTTTCGGAGTCAAGCTTGATAAGAGTCTCGTGGATCTTCTCCTCGAGATTCTGCTTGTTCAAGGACAAATTCGAGCATTTCTCCTCGAGAGACTGAAGATCAGCGTTGATGAGTTCCTGCTCAGAAAGGTTCTTTTCTTTCTCCATGTTCATCTTGACCATAGATTCCTTGAATTGCTGGATATCTTCCTCCAAATTCGACATCTGTTTTTCAAGCTGCTTGCGCTCGCCCTTCATTCGCTCGACAATCTCAGTTTGCTTTTTCAGGTCCTCTTGGAGGCCAGCAATCGTGTTTTTGAGATTATCTCGCTCTTCCTGCATTTCTTCGACCATATTTGTGTTTCCTTCAAAGTTTTCCTTCATTTCAGAGATCTTTTGCTCCATGATGAGTTTTGCTTCCTGGAGCTTTTCAGCTCTGAATTCAGCTTCGTCAAGAACATCTTGAATAGTGTCGAGTTCAGCTCTGAGATCGTTTCGCTCGTTGGTGATTTTTCCAAGTTTCTTTTGAAGCTCTTCTCTCTGCGCGGTTTCCTTTTCGAGAGCCTCCTTATTTTTCTTATAGTCCTCAGCCATCTCCTTCATTTCCTTAGCATTGTCGTGCTGCTCGACCAGTGGTTTGATCTTGTAGATGATGTCCATCCACTTGTCGGTCTTCAAGCGCATGAATGATCTCCAGTTAGCCTGGATAACTTCAGCTGCGTCTCGCTCCTTTCTGATTTTCTGGAACTTTGCCTTCGCAAGTTTGGCTCGCATATAAGTCTGAAGTGCAGTCAAAATCGCAGAGATCTTGTCGTCACGCCAATCTTCAAGCATACCGATCATACCGGCCTTGAAGAAAAGTTTGGTGTGGCCAAATCGGTACTTTTCTGGGAAGCTGGCATCGATGCCTTCCCATGTTTTAGTGGCAAGAACACCCATGAGGTCCTCGCAGACTTTCTTTGGATCAGGAGTTCGTTCGGGAACAACGTTGGGGTCGAGGATTCGATATCGCTGACGGAAGTCCTCGTAGATAACTCGCGATGGGAAACCTTTACGGCAGATACGAATACCTTCCAAGACACCGTTACATCGAAGCTGATGGAGAACAAGGTTGTTGTCCATATCTCCAGGGCATTTTCGCTCGTTGGGAATAATACATCGGACAAAGTGAGGATCAGTGGATCGAAGATTGACCATCAATCGGTTAAGACCTTCGCGATGAATGGAAGAAACAGTCTGGAAAGAACCACCCTTCTTTCGCTTGCCACCTTTTTTAGCACCACCAGTATTCTTGGCAGCATCTTCGGGGGATTCATAGGACTCCCAGATAGCACGGACAGTAGGTTCTTTGGATGACTTGTAGAGAGCAACAACAGAGTTGTTCAATGGATCCTTGTTCTTCAAGAGCCAGTCAGTAATATTGTAACCAACGGTACCAGCGTAATGGCAAAGTTCAAAGTGCGCTTCGAACTTTCTTTTAACACCAGGTCGAGGCTTGATCAAGTTCTTGGACTTGCCCAAATGCTGCTTCATGAGTTTCTGGAGGAATGTCTGGTCGGTTGCCTTGGGGACGATACATTCTTCTTCAAGCATGGACATGATGCCCATCGGCTTTTCAATAAGATTGATACAAGCTTCCAAATCCATACCAAAATCGATGAAAACCCAGTCGATTCCTTCTCGCTTGTACTCTTCCTGTTCGAGGATGAACATATGGTGGTTGAAGAACTGCTGGAGTTTCTCGTTTGTGTAGTTGATGCAAAGCTGCTCGAAGGAGTTGAGATCGAAAATTTCGAAACCAGCAATATCAAGAAGACCGATGAAATACGCTCGGGGGTTGTCGTTTCCAAGAGCTCGGTTGACAACAGCAACGAGCCAAAGGAAAAGTCGCTCGAAGCAGGCTTTGATCAAAGCACCCTGGGCAAAGATGACTTGTGGCACTGTCTGACCTTTGACGACGTACTCGTTGCCGACCTTGACCTTGGGCGAGCAAAGAGCTTTGTTGTATTCGGGTCCAGAAATACCGAGAAGGAAACCGGCGTTGTTAGCAGCTTCTTCTCCGTCGGCCTCGGCCTGTTCCTCTCTTGGCTTCTGCTTGAACTCCATGTTTCCGGAGTACATGAGACCACCAATAATTTTATAAATGGCATCTTTTTCCGACTTGTCGAAACCGAGAATATCGAAAGACTCATCGGTGGCGGCAAGTTCTTCTTTGTCGTCAATAGATTTGACGGTGACCTCTCCCATTGAAGCAATCTTGAATTCTCTTGGGTCAAGTCCGATCATAGTCATTTCATTGATATCTGGGCGACCACCGGAGCAGATTTGGTAGAAAATGTGGTAGTTACGCTCGACAGATTGCTGGAAAACGACTCGGGATTTTTCGAGAAGGTAAGTGTCAATGTCACCAGAAGCAAGTCGACCAGTGTTGCCGAAATGAATTCGAATGAATTTACCGAAACGGGAGGAGTTATCGTTACGGATGGTCTTGGCGTTACCAAAGGCTTCCATGGCTGGGTTAGCAGCGACAATCTGATCTTCAAGAGTTCCGCCTCCTTTGAGTTCAACTTTCTCGGCACCAGGACCGCCTGAAGCAGCGACAGCGGCAAAGTACTGGATGACTCGCTTCGTGTTGACAGTTTTACCAGCACCGGACTCACCAGTGATCAGCATGGACTGATTCTTTCTGTTGATCAACATGTCGCTGTAAGCATTGTCGGCAACGGACCACAAATGAGGAGGCATTTCCGTCTTTCTTTTTCCACGATAGCATGGGACGACATAATCAGCATACACGGGGAGCATTTTGTAGGGGTTGACGGTGACACAGAAAAGACCCGAATAAGTGTAAATGAGGAAGAGCTTGTATCGCTCGCCCAAATTATAAACAACTGAAGCCTCTGACAAATAGGTCAAATTGGCCATATCTTCTCCAAGTTCATATTTTGGAGGGTTCTGTGGCTCGATGTTCTCTTCTTTGACTTCCTTTTTGTCCCCTCAAGAGTTTGCTAGGTACATTTTTTAAAATTTATCTTTACCTCCATTAATTTGAACAACTTTGCATCCATCCTTGGTCGCTTTTTCGTCAAGCAAAGTAGCTTTCACATATCCAAACTCTTTGCTAGGAACCCAAACAGCCGATCGTCCAGCAAACTCCTGAGATCTGATTTCTAGCAGTCTCTTCTCGTCCAGTCGGAGGTACTCGGCGGCTGCCCCCGCCTCATCAGGATTCCACAACGCCATTCTTACGAATTTTTAAACATATATGTCATCGAAAATTCAAATTTTGATGGATTCAATAAATGCGCGCATACGCACGAAGTCGTTTTATAAGAGCTTGAAATAAGTTTATCCTACCTAGCTGCGTTTCTCTGGTCTCCCTCTGGCGTGTTGCGCTAAAAATGGCCTCCGAAGAGGCGTTAAGATCATGCTTTGACTCACCAACTGACACCTTATCCCGCCAGAGCTACCTAACCGATAACGATTAATTATATGCAGCCGGAAATTTAGAAAAAATTTCCACTCCAATCATTTCATTCATCAATTGCGCATGATGTATCAATTTTATAAGCTCAGAATCATTAAATTTTGAAAGGGCGGGTCGAAACTTGCCTAAGGGGCGAGCTCAAGAAAGTACTGGAAAATTTGAGTAATCATTATATCATGTTAAATTTCAACTATTTCCTGTTAATTAGGAGGGTAGTTCTTATCAGCATGTCATCTCTAATATCATAAGCAAAAATTCATTTTTGAGAAATAAAAAAATTTTTGGAATTATTATCTACTGAGGTTATATATTTCAGTTTTTGATGTGCTGTCACGGGGGTGTAGCTCAAATGGTAGAGCGCTCGCTTAGCATGCGAGAGGTACCGGGATCGATACCCGGCATCTCCACATCTTTTTCTAATTTTTTTTTCTGGCGCTCGCGGCTTTCCAAATCTTCTCGCGGCCTCATTGGTCTAATTTCTATTGAACATTATTGCGCAACCATTTTGCGTCTTTCGATGGGTTTCTTTTCGTAGTTAGGTCATTTTTCTTCAATAAATTGCAAAGAGGGTTAATTTTTTTGAGTACAAGATCGTTTTTTAGAAGAGAGAAGCAAGAAGACTTTAAAAATGGGATACAAATGGTTTTTCGAAACGGAAATTCGCGAAATGCCGAAGAAAGAAATGATCGGAAGATCTGGCAGTCTTGAGAGATTATTCAAAGATGGTCCGACGAATCTTTATGCTCCTCAAGATTACTACTGTCTTTTCGTCTTCTGCCCCCTCGCCGTGGTTGGTTTTGGTGCCACCTTGTGGTCTCTTCAAAAGGGTCTTTCGAGTAAGTTTTCTAATGCAATATTTTGATAAGTTATCATTTATTCAATTTGAATAAGAATTTGTTTACTCTATTTTGATAGTCATCGAGGTTTTTTTATCGAATCTGATAAATCTATTGTTATTTTTAAAATGACATTTAGACATGCACGTGATCAAGTATTCCCACATGCGACCCACATTTCAAAGTGCTTGTTTCATCGGCCTCATTGGCTACGGCTTCAACTCTTGGGAGCTTTACCGTGAACTGACTCCGGCAGAGTTCAACCAGCGAGTGTCCAACAGAAGAGAGCTGGAAGCAAAGTGGAGCAAGTGGCACCAAGAAAACAACCAAGAAGAAACCAAATGGTAAGCCACTTCAAGGAAAAATTAACTATTACACTTTCTTAGGGACAATCGAGGCCTTGCAATCGGATCCGTCAGCGCCGCAGTTGCTGACAAAATTGAAGCCGATGAAGCCAAAGCCCGACAAGCTTGAAAAACTCAAGCCAAATTGAAACAATTCGAAAAAGCAAGAAATTCATCAAACGCAAAAGTCCTGATTTTACTCTGTTGAAATCTGCCAGTCGGATTCCAATCTGTACAAAACGAAAACAATACAGAATTATTTAATTACAGTCTCTCTTCAATTTGACTCGTCTTCCAGCCGTAAAAGTCCTCCAGTAACGGTAAACCCTACGCTTCAATCTCTAAGTTCACGGAGCATCACGAGAAAAACGACATTTTATCCTTTTCTTTACGATTTTTGTCTTTCGAAATCTCACACGGGTCACGTGCGTATCATTTGTTTATAGCACCTCATCTCATTTTATAAAGATGACAAGATTGCAAGAGTAAACTTCTATTCAACTCTCCGAGAGAAAACAAGAACATGAGAGCCTTGCAGGTCCTTTTTGGGTTAATACCTTTCTTGTATGCGAAAAGACCAAACATAGTGTTCATTCTAACAGATGATCTCGACGTAGCGATGGGCGGTATGGTAAGCGACTAGAATTTTAGGGAACAAAGGGTGACCTTCCATTCAATTGAAGACGCCGCTAGAAAAGACTCGAAGATTGCTCGGCGAAGCCGGTGCGACCTTTTCAAATGCTTTTGCTTCAACTCCAATTTGCTGCCCGAGCAGAAGTACAATCTTATCAGGCCGTTATCAGCACAACACAAAGGTCTTGAACAATACTGTCGATGGAAATTGCTCCTCCCAAGCCTGGCAGGATAATATTGAACCAAGTACAATTGGCGCAAGATTACAGCCGCTTGGATACAAAACCTTCTACGCTGGAAAATATTTGAATATGTATGGGCTCAAGAGAAGTCCTGGAGGAGTAGGGCATGTTCCGAAGGGATGGGATAGCTGGAATGCCTTGGTTGGAAATTCTAGGTAATTGAGAAGTTCAACCATCGATTCTTCATCGATTTGATTGTTTCAGATATTATAATTACTCGATTTCCCGAAATGGCAAAGAAGAGAAGCACGGCGACGACTTCAATAAAGACTATCTTACCAACTTGGTTGCCAACGACTCCGTTGCTTTTATTAATTCCATGAAGGCCGACACACCATTTTTTATGATAGTAGCTCCACCAGCTCCTCATGAGCCTTGGGACTCGGATCCTAAGTACGCTGATCTTTATCAAAACCTCACTGCTCCGAGAGACAACCAACAGTGGAATATTCATCGGGCAGATGCTCATTGGGTCGTAAGAAACGTTCCCAATCCAATGTCGGAAACATCGACAAAGTGGTCCGACAACGCGTACAGATCACGCTGGAGGAAAGGGTTCAGTTTTTACATATTTTCAATTTCTTTTCTATAAAAACTCAACTCAAAGATGTCTCAAATCCGTCGACGATTTGGTGGAGTCAATCATGAATGCGTTGAATGAAACTCAAATGCTCGATGACACCTACATAATGTTCTCCTCTGACCACGGCTACCACACTGGACAATTCTCACTTCCGTACGACAAACGTCAACCATACGAGTTCGACCTTCGAATTCCATTGCTCATTCGAGGGCCGAATGTCAAGGCCTTGGTTTTTTTTTACTTTTCTGTCTTTCGAATGATTATCAATCAAAAACCTTGTCAAGCCTAATTCTACGATTCCCTATCCAGTCAGCACTGTTGATTTTGCTCCGACTATCCTCGACTTGGCAAATCAGAATTCGAAGAAACTTCGATTCGAGGATACGAATTTTGATGGTGAAAGCTTCAAGACGCTCCTAAATGGTTCTGTTGACACGAGTTGGCGCCAAAACCTTCTGATTGAATATCATGGCGAAGGGTTGAACGACCCAGCAACTGTTTACAACTGCCCTGGTCTTGGTCCTGGAGTTTCGGTTAGTTTTGACGTGTTGAATTTATGAAAACACTCTTTAGGAGTGCGTACCGGATTGTGTCTGCGATGATGCTTCCAATAACACTTTTGCTTGTGTTCGAAGACAAATTTACTCAGAAAATCTTAACCTTACTGACGATCTTGTTTATTGCGAATTTGTCGACAAAGAAAACTTCATCGAAGTTTACAACTTGATTGAAGATCCTGCACAGCTTAAAAATTTGAGAGGAACGCTGGATCCCACGATGCTTGAGGATTTAAATATGCAGGTATCGAGAGTTTTTTTTTTAACCGAGATTGCATATATTTTTAGCTTATTGAATTATCAAGTTGCACTGGCGAAGAATGTTCAACCCTTGATGTTCCTCCCTTTCGAGTCGACTTTGACCGAACTCATGAAAAAGAAGAAACAATTCAAAACGATCATATTTTCTAATTTTTATCTGTCTATATAAATTTATGCTGAAATTGCTGCCCTCAAACAATAAACAAGCAAGGACACAAGTAAAAATGAATGTAAGAGACTCTGAGTCATTGTCAATGACTCATTAGTTTTCCCTTTTTTGCTTCAATCAGATTCGCTACTTTTCAAATAGGAAAAAGCAAATAGGTTTCGTTTTTCAGAAATAAATCTCACTTTTTGAGCTTTGCGAGAATGAGTTTTGTACTTGACGAGGGCGAAACAGTATTTATCAAGAGACAATCCAAACCACGGCCAGTTCCGATGTTCCAGGTATCAAAATAAAGATATCAGGGCGTATTCAAAGCCTAGGTTGGAAAATTTCTTGGACGCGGAGGATACGGCGCGGTCTATGAAGCTTTGAACCTTGAAGCGAATAATGAAGATGATCAAAAAGTCGTGTTGAAATTTGAACGCGCTGACGCGGAGAACCCACAGAAATTGGTAAAATTATCAAAATTTTTAACACAAATGATTGTTACTATCAGCAACTTATTTACTTTAAAAATGATAACCAAGATAAGCTCGAAATTGAGTTCAAAGTTTACTCAAGACTTCACCGATGTGGATCTCAAAAACCGACGAATTTCGCGAAGTTTCATCGCTTTGGGAGCGAAATTCAATTGAATTGCAGAGATGTTTCACGTTTTGGTGAAAGATCCGAGCCTAGACAACAAACTTTTAATATCTTAGGAAAAGATGATTACTAATCATTTTATTTATTTTAAATAAACACTGCGTTCATCTTTTTATAGCGCTTGAAAAATTAGGACCTGATCTGGAAAGAATTCTTCGACACGCCAAAGAAATAAACTTCTGCAGTTTGAACAACCACTCAAATAGACAATACAACAAGGGATTGAGTTTTTCGACCGTCGTCAACACTGGGAAGCAAATCATTAATGCGCTAGAATATCTTCACTCAAAGGACCTGCTCCACAGAGATATCAAACCGCAGAATATTCTTGCTGGACGTGGTGATCGAAAAGGAACTATTATAATCGTTGATTTCGGAATGTCAAAGCGTTACCAGAACGAGGTAATATAAAGAGCTACTTTGGTAAATTAATTTAAATTATCAAGATTGGTGTGATGGAAGACGAGCGCGATTGCCGCGTAGGAACCGAGCACTACAAATCAATCAACATCACAGGTCCAGTGGGAGACATCAGCTCAGCTTCACTAAGAGACGACTGCATTTCAGCATTTTATGTCTTGCTCGAACTCTACTGCGGAAAACTACCTTGGGACCACCTCGAGCGACATCAAAGAGAAGAATTGTACAACGCAAAAGTTGATTACCTTGATGAGGAAAAATGGAATGCCCGGTTTCCAGAACTACTGCCGTTTTGGTCGATTTTAAACGAACTTCACAAGCTTGATTTTGCCGGAAAGCCACAATACAGTACGATCAAGCAAATTTTAGACGAAATGAAAAACCATCGATACTACCGCCCAGCTGAATATTTGGACTGGCTCATCGAGGAGAATGGATTCGACGTTCTCTGGTAGTCAGAAATGATCTCACTGCTTTAGCCTTTTTCGCTTTCATAAAAAATTAAAAAGAGAAAAAAATGAAACAAGGTTTTTTATTCATTTGAGTTGAGTTGAACTTGGCAGGCCCTAACAGCAAAAAAAAAATGATGCTAATTTTCGAGATATTAATCTCTTTTTCGTACAGAAAAATGAAGCAGCTGGATATCTGGCGGAATGCTTGAACTCATGTGTAGTACTTCCATTTGCTGCTAAAAAGTTTGAATCAACGATTTTCACGGAGAATTCTTTGTGAGACCAACAAATAAATACCGAGACATGTATTTACCTGTTGGTGTTCACGAGCTACTTTTTGTTTCTAAAATTGCAAGCAAGGCAGGCTAGCAGTACTCGGAATTTTGAAGCGGTTGTCCGGAAATGTAAGGACCGGCATCAAATCGGCCGCCATCATCGTCACCATCGCTTCCTAGAGAGCCAAGGATCATTGCCGCCCCAGCCAGAATTTTGACGACCATATCGACCCATCCTAATTTTTCGTTATTATCTTTTTTTTCAATTCAGAGGCATTACCTATTATGAGACAAGGTCCGTAGATATAATGAATACCACTATCTGATCTCATCATACTGCCATCGAAGTTTTGATATACAGTAACAGCGTAGTAATTGATACCGATTGCTACAAGTATCCCGGAAATGACTATAAGTCCTCCTGACACGACTCCGATCTTTGAAGAGAGTATTATCCTTGATTAACATAAGTAAACAAACCTTTCCCTTCATAGATTCTTCTCCATGGCTTGATTCTCCTAATTTCGTGCACTCAAGGCCGACAATGCCCAAAAGCGCGCTAAAGACAAGCTGCAATCAAGGAAGAGAAACCAAAAACTTACGCAATCAGACTCAGAGCGCAAGCAGTAATCAGTGTGCCCTTCGCTAGTTGAACCTCTGTCGAAAGTGTGAGAAAGAATCGTTTCTCTTTTTCGCAGTTCCAAAGGGCTCCGATTCTATCACATTCGTACCAAAGGCCGACGAATTTCTGTTGGGTCTCGATTTGCTTGCCGTAAGGATCGTCTCTTTTCCACATTGGAAGAACTTATAATTACGTTTTATTATTTCTTATGCTCATATTCAGATTACCTATTGCAAGAATCGTCAAAACAAAACCAATGACATTGAGAAAATATGCCACGATTTGTAGGCCCGAGTTCGCCATTATTTAAATTTGCACGTTACGTGGAACTGTTTTTTAGAATTTTCAAAATCTTGACAATTTCCCTTTGATGTTTTCTCTATAACTTGTAGTGGAATTAAGGTGCTCAACACCACCGTGTCGGTGGTCCGCGCCATGGCGAACCCCTGCAGGCGAAGTTGCAGAATGATTCAGACTGGAGTATCAGAACATTCACACTCTTGGTGGAGTATTTTATTAGTCATCACGGTGCTTGATTCACAGACAAAAATCAGAAAAGAGTTTTGTAGTTATTCGTTTTACTTTCATACTATGATTATCTTTCTCCATACCGAGCTGAAAGATACGGCATCTGATTCTATGATTTAATGTTCCATAAGGATAAGAGGTATGGAAAACTCCTTGGACTGAGTAAAAAAGGACCGCGAGTTTGAAAAAATTCATTTTGTTTTTTATGATATATTTCATTGCCAGCTCTGTTTTATATATTCTCTCTCGCCCTCAGATAATCCTGGAAATAAAATATATACGATGCACTGACAGATGCGATGGCTGTCTAAGGCGGACTCTCTTGACGTCTAGGAAGTATTACATATAATATGTAACATTTCCTTTTTTGTGAGGGGTATGAAAAGAACATCTTTTATTGAAGTTTTTAAAATTGATTGTTAGTAAAAGAATATTAAATTATTATTAAAAATTGCGCTTATTTGTACGGATAGGCAAAGGGCAGTAGAATTAACAGTTTGAGAGTAACAATATTAAGAGAGGTGAGTTTTATCATTTTACTTTCCAATATAAATATTAAATAAGATATTTATAATATGAAGTATTTACAGAAAAAGAGATAGAACGATGATTGCCGAACAAGTCATTGCCAGCGCATTGCTTCCTTCAGGTTCCGGTTCAGGGTCAGTCTTTGTATCAGCTTCGTCAGTTTCGTTTGAGCCTGGTTTCTTTGTTTCGGGCTCAGGCTCCGTATTTGGATCGGTCTCGTTTTCAGATTCTTCTGCTGCAGATTCTTTTTCTGCAGGATCATCAGCCTCTGTTGCATCGCCTTCTTGTACTTCCTCTTCCGGTGGCATGTTGGCTGTCGCAGCAGCAGTGATTTCATCCTTTATAAAATTTCAATGCAACCAGATTTTTATTATATTCTCTGCACCTGTTTGCTCCTCAAAGCTTCTTCAATTTGAAGTCTGTAATCCGTACATGTCTTGCAACAGATTTTGCCAAGAGTTGTGCACTTTGCTGCGATGTCGTCTTCCTCCATCTCATTGCAAAAATCATGTTGGTTCACGCAATCTAAGATATTTTACTTCAAAGCCTTTGTCAAAATTAATAATAGTACCATCAGATGGTGGCAAGCATTTCCACTCGATTACAGTGTCATTAGCATCCTTCCATTCCATTTGATCGGGACAAGTTAACGATCCATCAACCTTTTTAGGGTTAAATTAACGATTCGTAATGAAAAACTTTCAAAATTTTTAACCCATCCTGAGTTTCCGCTTTTCCTATTTCTTCCGTGATCATCATATCATCTCCGTCAATCTTAATCCATTCAATTATAAACGTTACGCATTTCTTCTTTGCTCACGTTAGTTTGCTTTGTAACATATAACGAAGGATGAACTTTTCCATCACTGCGCTCCCAATTCATCGAGACCAGGTTTCCGGAGTTGGTTGAGTCGCCAACGGATCTGTAAAGCGGAACTTCATCGATTCCGATTTTGATCGTCCCACTTGACTAGAAATAAAATTGAATCTTTGAAATTTTCATTAGTCAAAAAAACGTGCAAAGCTGAAAAGGTTAATTTCTTGCATCTGAGCGCGAGCTATCTTCTAATCCCATTTACCCATTATCCGATTATTCTATCTCCCCTGGCTTACGTCATAGGTGCGTCCGTTCCATTCAGCCTGGTGACAGCAATTCAGAATTCTAGCTTCCGCGCTTCTCTCGCTAGCTAACAGCAAAAACAAAGGATGAATAATTTCCTTAACGACCATGGCAAGGGGATATAGTAGTGAGCATGCGGAATTCCATTTCGCGAGCGATTTGGACCGCCACAGACTTTACGCCCAGAGGGCATGTTCTTTCATCCCTTTTTTATCTGAACGGTAGACTTGATTTTCCATGAAATGAAATTTATCACGTAACTCGATCGTCTCAACCATGCTCGTTTTTTTAAGGACCCCCCCGTCAACAAATTTCCTCAAAAAATGGAAAATTTCTAAAAAGCCATATTTTGGCTTCGAAGTGTTCCTGGAAGACCAGTTTACCAAAAAAACTTGTTCGGAGCACTTTTTTACCAAGAAAAATCTGAAATTTTAGCAAAATTTGGACTTTTTCGCCATTTTCCCTCAAAAAGTCCGATTTTCAAACGCGATTTTGAGGGTGTTAGAGTCGAGATAGACCCCCAAAAAATGCAGCCTCAAAATCGTTTTTTGACCTGTAGAATCCATTTCCGGGGTCAAAATTTTGAAATTCCAAAAATGGATTTTTCGAAAATTGTTGACGGGGGGGTCCTTAATTCAACGTTTGCTTTTTAAAAGATCATTTTAGCTAAAGTGCTAGTATCAAAAAACTTCGGCAAACGTTGATAAGTAAGGCGTACGCTCGTGACCGCGGAAAACCATAATTGGTATTTTATGAATTCAGATTCTCGCGCGAATTTTTGGTGGTAATTCGTCGAAGAATTCTAGTTAAACACATCTCTTTCATTAGTTTCAACGAATATTACCTATTTTATCTCTCTTGTTTTATTTTTGCATTCGTTAGTGTTTCAGTAATCATGTCTTCTTGGAGTTGATGCGCAATAAAAGATTAGAACATCTTCTTGAGAAATCGTCGGTCAAGTGGCTGTGAAATTTTGAGGCAAGCAGCGGTAGAGCTTGCATCAAAGTTGATCTTGAATGGCCGGGAAATATGATGTTGATTCTCCCAATACCGATTGGAGACTAACAAATTGATAATATTAATATTAAATATGGGTAAACCTTTGAAGCATATTTCTTTGACGACATCTTCATTTGTCCAAGGAATTTCTCCACGTTTGAGTTTTGCCCTGATCACAAACGGATTTTCACCGTAGATTTGAGTAAATGGAGCTGGGATTGTCAGCATTTCAGAAACATATCGAGCTTGTCCGATTAACTCGATTCTAACAACTGGACAGGTTACATTTCTAAGAGAGTCGGGTAAAGTGAAAATATTCATATTCTCGACCCATGTCGGTGCACCACAGTCGATAAGCTCCACTAAAGTTTCGATATAATTTGAAATGGTACTATCTTTATTTATTAACCTTTTGATGAGTCTTCTTCTCGTTTTAGGACTAGCGCTCTGTAGTACAAAAATGCACCACCGGTAATTTTATTTGTCCTGACCAAGACGAGCTTCCTTTCGGTGTCTATTTCAAGCTCTTCGTCGATAATTTTGTCTTGGATGCTTTCGTGAAATTGCGCTTGCGAGATGAACTGACTCCTCTCACCAGTAAGATGTCGAAGGACGAAAACAGACATCATCTGACGTGATTGAACGTGCGTTATTTGGATGATTGTCGACCCTTGAAGAATCCTTGTTTCCAGCGTCGGCACAGCTTTTCTTATGTCGCTTGATTTCTTGTGGAATTCTAGAGCTGACATTAGATCTGTCGAGTCCAGACTGTGACTGAGGGACTCAAAGATGAGCCAAGGTGAGTCCTTCGTGATCTCTTTTTTTAGATTTATGAATTTAGCTGGTATGGTCTCTCGAATTCTCATAGTGAAATTTTTGTGCGTTGAGCACATTTTTCCGAATTTTTATGCATGAAAGAATAGCGACATCACGCGGATCTGATGGATACAAATTTTCGTGAAATATATTGGGCTTGATGCACAAGAGTTGAAAAATTTTCCATCCAAATCGACAATCATCAATTCTTCTCATGAGCGAGCCTCATGTTCCAAGACTGATCAACATGAAATTAGAGAGTAGAGACCTTTGATCATCCACGGTCAAGATTTCGAAGCCGTGGATTTCATGGCTTTGCTTGTTAATCTTCGCCCCGAGCGAAAATTTTCAAGTAATCGGTCTTAACATTTTGACAAGAAACCGCTTCTTGAGACTTGGACTCATTGGAAAGGCTTATTTACTGTTGATTTAAAACACAGCATCAAAATAAATCGAATGAATATCATAACGTACCCCCCCCCTAGCTCGCTCACATTTTGTGAACATTTTTCCCTTTTTCGCTTAGTTAAACTCCAACAAGACCCCCCCTTGGTCGCTCGCTTTTTGTTACCAAGATCCGTTGGTCGCTTTCCTTCTTTTGCATTCTACGACCCCTTGTTCGCCCTCCTTGGTTTCGACGGCGCACCTTTGCTCGCCCGCCTTTCTCCGTCATTTATCCCTTGTTCGCTCCTGAAGCCCCGCGAGAACGCTTTATAACGCGTAGCTCATTTTCTTTTTCACTTTTAAAAGGCTTTTTAACTCGTAGAATGGTCTCAAAATTCGATTTTCATGATTTTTTCCAAGCAAACTTATTTTTTTATGCTCTTTCACGTCCATTTTGACAAATTTTCATATCTTCTTAATAAGAAGAAATTTGGACACTCCATTTTAAGTAAACATAAGTACTCGAAATACATGGATTGAAACTTTGAGACTGTTTTTATAAAAAATCAAATGCCATTTTCCTCGAGAGTTGCAAATTTTGATTAATTTTTCCGAGCTGAGCTGAGCTGAGCTGACCTGCGAAAAATTTTTCTGAGCTGAGCTGAGCTGAGCTGGCCTACTTCGGAGGTTTCTGAGCTGAGCTGAGCTGAGCTGGCCTTTTCAGAGGTCATTGAGCTGAGCTGAGCTGAGCAGACCTTTTGTTTAAGAGAGTTGAGCTGAGCTGAGCTGAGCGGACCCTAATTAGAGCTGAGCTGAGCTGCTTTTTACTGTTTTTGGTAGTAAAATTGTATTCAAATCATTGAGCTGAGCTGAGCTTAGCTAAGTGATAATCGTCTGAGCTGAGCTGAGCAGAACAGATCATGTTCGAAAATAATGGAGCTGAGCTGAGCTGAGCTGAGTGAAAATTGTCTGAGCTGAGCTGAGCAGATCAGATCATTTTCCAAAATCACTGAGCTGAGCGACTACTCAGCTCACTCAGCTCAGCAAATTTGCAACTCTGGAACCAGTGTCAACATGAAGATTCGACTATTTTGAGTATAAATGTACATATAAAGTCAAACTATCAAGTTTACGGCATAATACAGCGTTGCTACAAGATATAAAAATTTAAGGGACCTGGGCGAGCAGCGCTGAGCCAAACTTCACAGGCTCGCCGTTCTTGTTAAAAATAAGATTTTTGAAATTTCTTTTTGTAAACTATATCTCCAAGTCTTCAGCTTTCTCTTTCGATTCTTAGTTTTCTCTATCATTCTTGGTTGACGAGCTAGCGAGAAAAGAGAAGCCCAACTTCAAAAGGCATCAAGTCTTGCAAACTTTATTTTTCCTCATGAAACTAGCACCATTGAAAAGCGCGTTAAATTCTGAACAGATCCCACCCAATCAGCTTAACTAAATCGGTACTCATTGGCGTGTAAGGCCAGATAAACAAGATAACTTAGCGCCCGCCCAGCGGGAGTCATGTCCTGGAAGCCCAAAATAGCTAAATCGGAGCGTCCAGCCGTGCCGCGACCATCTGCGCGCGCTAAGTAGTTTTCTTTATCTGGCCTTACACGCCAATGAGTACCGATTTAGTTTAGCTGATTAGGTGGGATCTGTTCAGAATTTAACGCGCTTTTCAATGGTGCTAGTTTCATGAGGAAAAAAAAGTTTGCAAGACTTGATGCCTTTTGAAGTTGGGCTTCTCTTTCTCGCTAGCTCGTCAACCAAGAATGATAGAGAAAAACTAAGAATCGGAAGAGAAAGCTGAAGACTTAGAGATATAGTTTACAAAAAGAAATTTCAAAAATCTTATTTTTAACAAGAACGGCGAGTCCGTGAAGTTTGGCTCAGCGCTGCTCGCCAGGTCCCTTAACTGGACGCTTTAAAAGAGGAAATGAAGTTTAGTTACTCTCAAAATATTCATGAAAATGAAAATATAGTTCCCTATGAAAAGCTTGAGTCGAAAGTACAGTAAGAGCTGTAAGAGCGACCCAAGCCGAGCTAGGCTTTGGCGGTCTCGCGGCGAACAAGGGATAAATGGGTGAGGAGGAGCGAACAAGGGCGCGCGATGTAAAAGAAGGATGGCGACTAATGGAGCGCGCTGAAACAAGAATGAGAGCGAGCAAGGGGACTTTGATAAAATTTAACTAAGCGAGCAAGGGAAAAATGCTCACAAAATGTGAGCGAGCTAGGGGGTACGTTATTTCATTGCTGAATTTCTAAGAACTGTTACGAAGAAATTTAATTGCGATGCAAGTTATGCAAGTGGCCCCTTTTAATGCTAGAAAATTGCCGCGGGCAACAGTACCCTTCTGTGGAATAACACTTCCCGGGCTGGCATCTAGAATCCAACCAGCGATGCCAAGTATCTGACCGAAGTAGAAATGCAGACTTGGTTCCACGAAGTGAGCAGAATTGCTCCCGTAGTGATTCTGATCATTTATGTCGTGCAATTTTTAGAGACCCGAAAGCTCGAGGAAATAAGAGAAGAGAACTTTGGCGAAAACCAGAGAGAATTTGAACACAATCTCCTCGGCCAAGCGTATCAGAATCAAGCTATAGAACTTCCTCAAAGTCAAAGACAAGAACAACTCCAACCTGTTGTGCCTCCTGTAGCGGCAGAAAAACCATGGTGGGATGTTAATACTAAGAAGATAAAAGAAGAGCCAGTTTACCAAGATCTCTTTGCGTTCGAGAAGTACAACCAGCGTCCGGTCGAAGAATCACAAGCAAAACAACCGGTGAATAATTTTCTCCCGAAGAAAGAGCCACCAGCATTCGTGAAAAACAACGATTTTTTGAATAACATCCCTAAAGTTGAAAACAACGACTTTTCCTTCAACAAACAGGCTTCGCTGAATAATCTTATTTCGGATGCACCCAGCAAAGCACCAGGGTTTCCGCCTGCCCCTCAGATGCCTGTATTCCAGTCAGGTTCAGTCTCAACAAGCAGCTTTCGCTTTCCTGGTAAAACTTCACCTCCAAATAAACGAAAAATCTTCTTCAACCGACTTCCCAAATCTGGAGCAACATCCCTTCGATATATTTTGGAACGCCTTGCCAATCAGAACAAATTCACTTTCGACTACCAAAAGCTTCAATGTTCGACTGCCCGCCGAAAAATCCCGATTGTCAAGATGGACCGAATGCGGAGAAGAAATTCGGTGTTTACATCCGTCGAACTCACTGGGATACGAAAAACGTAAATTACATGATGATGAAGCAGCATCACTTCTTCAATTTTACCGAGTACAGAATCCCAATGCCTACATATCTGAATATGGTGCGCGATCCAGTCAACAGAATGGCCTCGGCATATTATTTTCAGCGATATGGCTGGGGTTTCGGGTCAAACTCAAGGAAAGGCTAGAGATAGTGTTTATTTTTCGTACAAACAATGATATTTTCACGCAAAATAGCAAAGTAACATTATTTGAAAGCCTGAAAAAGTAATAAGTTTAAAGGCTCGCAAGAAGATTTCAATCGATCTTTTGATGATTGCGTTGCTCAGCAGCTTCCTGAATGCTCTGTCCCTCTCCAGGTAACTACAGTTATCACCATCATGAGTTCGTAGTTCAGGTTTTCTCGAAATACTTCTGCGGGACATCAGAAGCATGCAATAAACATCAATACGGCTCGCCTGACGATGTGTTCAAGAAAATCGCTGTTTCGGCTGAAATCGCAAAGCGCAATATTTTGAATGAATATTTCTTCATCGGACTTTTGGAACATTTCGAGGACTCACTTTTTGTCTTTGAAAATATCTTGCCGGATTATTTTCGTGGAGCTATTGGAATGACCAAAACAAAGGGATACGAGGAGAATAGGAATGGATATCAAAAAAATCTTGCATTAAGAGTTTCCTTCTAATAGAAGAGTTGTTTGAAATCTAAGAAAGAAAAAATCTGCGGGTAAGAAGCAGGCTACTTTTTCCAACGCAACCCGTTCCGCTCTTGAGAACGGAATATTGGTAAGGCATCGTCGAAAATATAGACGCTAACCATCATTTTAGAGAGATGAGGTTGATATCTTCAAGCTGATACAAAAGCTCTTTTTGAGCGTCTTCAATTCTTCAAGAAGAAATAGATCTAGGTTCCTGTCATAACTGTACATAAACAAAACTCATGCTAAGTAATAGACAAGTTTCGAAAGAGTAGTAAAAAGTTTTATTTAAATATTTTACGATGGTGCATGCAACAACGCTAGAATTCAGCAGTTTCTACATTTGGTTCGTAGAAATTCTTCTCGTTTTTAATCGATATGTTCGCAAGATCTAATGAGGAATGCCTCGAACTCACGTCGTCTTCATCAGCGTGGACTTTTTGAAGTTTCAATTTGCGAATTAGAGAGATGTTAATTTTATTTTTGAAAATTTGCCTTGTGTGGCTCTAAATGTAGGGCGGCTAGATTTCGCCTGCATAACGTGGGTCGAGATCGAGGAGCGTCCCGAGTGGTAAATACTCTGTTTTGCGGTCGATGTGTATGTCATTTGCGTCACCCGACGACCCTCGCCAAACTCTTTTTCCATCTCGTCATCTCCTAGAATGCTGTCAGCATCATTTCCAGCTTGGAATCCTAAGTGTCTTTTCAACCATTCATTTTCTGAATCAGAACCTGAGCTAGAAACTTATAAAAGTATGATCAAGAACGGTTTCTTAGCGTCATAACGTGATTCTGTGCCAAATTAATACAGTTGATGACTATCGTTTCGTCTATCTTTTACATTGGTCAATCCCTTCTACAAGCCCCTCGTAACTTCCAATGTCCATATCTCGAACCTCAAGCATGTCGATTGAAGGGATCCTAGCTTCTGCTGAATCTCCCACTTCTAGCGTAGTTTGCCTGCTCTCTATATCTGGACGAAGGAAGAAAACGAGTAAAGTATCTTTGACGTCTGTATTTCGAGCTGGAGTAAAATAGAGGTTAATTCACGAACTGCGAGAATTACCGAATGAAGAGAAATACACGGCGGCGACCGAGCAAAGCTCGATCTAGATAAGCAAGTGACCTTAGGGGACGAGGGAGTCTAACGAATCTAAGATCCCAATACCCCCCATGAGACTGAAACGTCCTCTAAGGCCAAAGTGTGTGATTTTTGCAGGAGTATAAGCGTAAGATGAGTAACATGGCAGGTTCGAAACGTCGAGGCAGTCTGATTCGCGTTAAAAAACCCTTTTTGGGAAAAAGCTTGAATCAGATGCGAAGTTTTCGTGATGTCCGAGCGGTGATGACATGAAGGAGTAGCTGCACATGTAGAAGAACTCAAAATACGTCGGCGACGGTAAACTGTGATATTTTCCGTACCTTTTCAGGCCCCGGTCGATGAATAGGGGACCTGAGTGGGGCAGTACTTGCGCTTAGTCGTATGACTGACCCGAGTTTGTGCCGATGTTAAGAGGTTCGACGGGCCTCGTTTCACGGTGTGCTCGTTTTGTATGTTTCGGGAGATGAGCTGCTCCAACTTCGGTTAAAGTCGCATTCGGATCGGCGCCGGCTGAGTACTGACGATCTGGTGAAGACTTTGGACGGGTTCTTTTCTTGCTGTTTTCAGTTGCTGAGTCCTCAACTACTGTTGAGTTATGTTTATCGACTGACATATGGCTATTATCGGGCGCAGCAACCTCCGAAATCACTGTAGCATCAGCTGACGTGTCCTCGGCAGTTTCATAGAGAGTACCACCAGAGTACCAGCGATCTGACGGCTCGGCTGGAGCTACCGACGAGTCCAAAATAGATGTAGCGGTTGTATCTCCCAGATTTTCCATGTCCAATCGGCGTCTACTTTCCAAAATAGGTGATAGAGATGATCTTGGCGGTTTTTCCATAGCAACCATCGGAGTCGACGCGACCTGAGAAGATTTCCTCCCCCCATGCGACTTCGACCCGGACTTTTCCATCGGTTTGGAAGTAGGAACAGGCGATTTTTGTGGGACTTTCGACTTAACGATTTCGGTTAAATGTGGGAATACGTACTCGGCCTCGTAGTAATCAATCCAGCGTAAGTCGTGATTTCGTTCTGCGGCGTGAACCACGTGTTCTCGATGGATGAAATCACGTTGTCCTTTCTTATCTTCGACCATGACGACCCAGTCGTTGCTCGAAACGGCTTTCAGGGGACCTACCCAGCGTTCCTTCTTGCTTTTAGCGTCGGTCAGGTTTTCTCGCTTAATGTACACGACAGCGCCAGCGGGGATTGGTCTCGGCTTAGGCTCGTTTTTCAGCCTGTGCTCCAGTCGCTCGCAGCACCAGACAATGCTAAACATTTCCTTTTCTGAAGTGTTCCATTTTCTTTCAGCTTTGTTGAAGGTGTGGGAAATCGCGCTTACTAGGTGCACTCTCCCGCCATACTCTTGTAGCAGGACGCCACCCGCTGCGTACAGGCTCGCGTCTGTGTAGAGATGAAAAGACTCGTCAAAGTTAGGAAAACTTATGACTGGAGTCTCGGAGAGTCGTCGTTGAATTTCCTTGAGCGCCAAATCCGCTTCTTTGGTCCACTTGAAACAATTTGTTTCGTTCGCCGAATTTCGAACATCGTTTATGGGCTTCATTCTGCTCGAGAAGCAACCGGATGAAATAGCTTCGCCCATTTTCGTTTCTAGAAAACCTCGGATCCAATTCAATGACCCGATTAATGAAGCTAACTCCTTTTGGGAGCGTGGGGGTTTCATCTGACGAAGAGCGGAGACTTGCGCAGGGTCCGGTTTGATTCCATCTTCGTTGATGATTCGGCCCAAAAAGTGAGCTTCGGATTGTAGGAAAGAGCACTTTTCGCCCTTGAGTTTAGCGTTAAACTTGCGGAGCGCGATGAATAGGTTTCGGAGAGTGTTATAATAGCAGCTGAAAGTCTTCCCAAAACACACTATGTCATCGATATAAGAAAGCATCTTTTTCCTGGTGGGGCTTGAGTCGAGAATTGTGTTTACGACGCGCGAGAATATATTCCCCGAGCATCGATAACCGAATGGTAGTCTGCAGAAGGCGTAAGATTTCCCACCCCACTGGAAGGAAGTCTTGTACCTGTCGCTTTTCTTTACAGGGCACTGCCAATATCCACTTCGTAGATCAACTGTGGCGAAAAACTTATTGCCCGGTCCAATGTTCGCGATCGTATCCTCCATGCTTGGGAGATGGTAAGGGTCGGATTTGTCGGAGAGGCATTTGTTCAGGCTGTTTTTGTAGTTGATGCAGAAGCGCATTTCCCCAGATTTCTTAGGAATAGGCAATACCGGGCTGTTAAACCCTTTCTGGTCTTTGATCTCTTCTATTATTTTCGTTTCGAGCAGTTCGGAGATGTGATCGCTGACCTGACCATGAAAAGCTTGCGGAATCGGGTGTTGACTGATGTTTCGACTCGTACCATCAGTCGGGATTTCGATCTCGAACGGGAATTCACCCATTTTTTGACCGTCGCAGCCGAATCTGTCGTCGAATTCCAAACACAGCTCGGCGACCATCTTCTTTTGCCCCGGGTCTGCGTCTGCTGGTAGGGTTATTCCGAGTTTTTGCTTCGCTAGCTGAATGGGGCACCTGGCTGCGTTCTTGTTCGGCGCGTCCAGCTTTGGGACTTCTCGTGGTGGTTGAGTGCGGGACCGATCGCTGTCTTTGACCGCTGATCTAGTCGTCAAGTATTTCTTGATTTTGGTCCGCTTCACTCCGTCCAGCTTCACCACTTGAGTCTCAGTTTGTGTGAAGGCTTCGTTGTAGCAAAATGAGAGAGTACGATTCTTATTGTCGACTGTGAAGCTGTCCGTCATCGCATTCTCTAGTATATCGCGGCCCAGTAGACTTGGGTATTTACTGCCTGGCATGATGGTGAGATTCAAGGAGAATGCAGGGCCACCATTGAATGATAAGCGGCAGGGAAGGATACCCCTCGGCTGCTCGGCGGGGATATTTGGGCTGAAACCGGTGACCTTGAAGGGGCAGGGCTTCAGCATCTGGAGAAATTTGTCGGGAACGTAAGCAGCGGACAGACAGGAGGACTCGGCTCCGCTGTCGACTTCCATCGATACGTCAAAACTTTTAGAGCCCGTAATGATGGTAGCCGAAGCGAAATAAGCCTTTCCTGGTCGCTTCTTCTTCACTGTGTAAAAGTGAACATCGAATGGTTGGAAATCTTCGACGTTCTTAGTCGTATTAATCTTCTTGGATTCTGGTTGTTTATCGTCTTTCCCATCCTTAGAATCGGTGCTGGCGCGCTTAGCATTCTTCTTCTTTTTGTTCTTATTTCTGTTGAAGTGCTGGGAGACGGTCGCGCTGTCAACTCGATTCTGTCTTGTGGATTGGGCGAGACGGCAGAGTTCGTTGATATCGTAAACTTTTGATAGGCTTGGAAGGATTGCGTTGAAAACGTCTGGTTCTTCTTTCCTAAGATTCAAGTACAGCATCATCGTCGAGAATATGTCGAATATTTCATCGACCCCGGCGTCGGCTGACTTCTCTTGTCGGTAAGAGTTCAAAGTCGCTTGCTTCGCCTCGTTCATCTTTTGCAAGACGTTGGCGGTGTAGTGTGCAAACGGCTTCGAATGGTCGTATTCGACGTCGAAAACTTCGCTTAGCTTCAGTAAGTAGTGACTCTTCGCGGCGAATGATTTCTCTAGCAGCGCCTTGGCCGATTTCCAGTCTTGACAATTCAGAAATTCGGTTCCAAGTGAGCGTTCGATGTTCAAGTCGAAGTGGCTGTACACTGCTGCGATGAAAGGCTGTTCACGTGAAGGTCTGTCGCGGACGTAGGCGCGGTGATAAATGTCGGCTCTGCCCAAGAAGGTGTTGAAAGATGTGTTGCATGCGGCGTCCAGCTTCGGCAAGTCTTGGACGTGACGAGACCAGGTAGTGGCCACCCATGCTTCTTCTCTCATTGTAGCATTCGTAGATTCTTTTCCTTGATCGAGCTCGCAGGTAAGAAGCGTTGTACTGAGCTGTTCTAATTTTACTCTGCTTTCTGTGATCAAGGGCTCTAGGCTTGGCTTAAGTGATTCGTCATTTCGCACTTGTTCTTCGAGGTAGTTTACTCGATCGTTTATGCTTCTTATTTCGGTGACGGTTTCTAGCAGTGATTTGTTCGCCGCCATAGCTCGAAATATATCGGCAGTAAGGGTTTATGGGCCTTGGATTACCTTTCAGGCCCTCAGAAAATACTGCGACTAAAAGTCGCAATATGATGAGCTGAGGTGCCTTTTGCGCAAACGCCCGACGATTTCTCTGTCCAGCGATTGTCGAAATTTCAAGGTCTGGTCCAAGGGTCGATTCTTCGTAAACTTCTCTCGATTTTTGGTGAAAAGTGGCGAAAGAATTCTGTTTTTCTGAGTATTTTAGGTTTTCCCCGGCGTGCGTGCGTGGTTGCGTGGGCGCGACTTTCGGCGCGTGGGTCGTGGTGGCGCTCGTGTGGTGGCGCTCGCTCGGGGTGGTGTTGGTGTGGTGCGGCGCGGAAAATTCTCTGAGTGGAGTTTCTCCGGCGGCGCGGTGGCGGTTGGTGATTCGGTTCCCCTCGACTCCGCTGACGGCCAATCAGCGTCCAAGTTGCGAAACTTCGGTTGTCGATGGCGGAAAATTTACCTTTTCTCCAACGGGACTACTCTGATACCACTGAAGGGATCCTAGCTTCTGCTGAATCTCCCACTTCTAGCGTAGTTTGCCTGCTCTCTATATCTGGACGAAGGAAGAAAACGAGTAAAGTATCTTTGACGTCTGTATTTCGAGCTGGAGTAAAATAGAGGTTAATTCACGAACTGCGAGAATTACCGAATGAAGAGAAATACACGGCGGCGACCGAGCAAAGCTCGATCTAGATAAGCAAGTGACCTTAGGGGACGAGGGAGTCTAACGAATCTAAGATCCCAATACGATCGTAATCATTCTTGCCCCGGAGCAAGCCATTTTCACCAGCTTACTTATGATAACCTAGATAAATCAATTACAATTTCATTCGATACTAATTTACATTTTGACCAGGATAGAGGACATTGCCATTGAGTTTTAAGTAGGCTTCTTCTCCATAAATCCTCTCTTTTGTAGGATCGGAGTATTTGCAAGCGAGAATGAGAATATGAATAATGATTCCTAAAAGGATTCCATAGTAGGACTCGTAAAGCGCAAATAAAAATGAAATCGCCAGCGGCAATAAATCAATCTTCGAAGTCTTCCAGCACATTTCAACGGCGTGTGTGTTAAACATGGAAGCAGCGGAGACCATTATAACCGCCCCAAGTAAAGCTGCAGGAACATAAAGGAAAAGGTCAGCGAGAAGGTAAGTCGCAGTGAGAACAATGCCGCCAACGAAAACGCCCGATAAAGAACTCGCAGCGTTTGCTTGGAAATTCACAGCCGATCTAAGCAATGTAAAGGTCGGAATAAAAGGGCAACAGAAGTACCTTGAAAAGCTTCCAGTGATAGGAAAACCGCTACAAAATGAGTTCGCTAAATTTGCTGCGCCGATTGCGATAAATTCTTGATTTCCATCAACTGTATATCCATTTGCTTTGGCGAAGCCGGTAGCGATTGACAAAGATTCAAGGTAAGCAACGATAGGAATAATAATGATTCCAGCACTTGCCTGAGCCATCATCATTCCAGTGTCCACGTGGAAGATCTGTAAGTCAGTTGAGTTACCTAAAAATGCTGTTATTATAAATCAAAAATTTCAAGAAACCTGAGGAACAAACATCAAGTCCCGCATTCGCCTCATCAGAGCATTTGTATTCATAATCGAAAGAGAGTGTCGGTGGTCCCCAGTCAGGTCCATGCGCATTTTGTATATTCGTCAATGTTGCTGAAGTACAACCCTCCGTACCAGGATGGCACCCATTTTCAAGAAAATTATTAACTGCTTCTTCACTTTCCGTGCAAAACGCGATGATCATTCCAAAATGACGACGACTGCAGCACGGGCAGTCCCAAGAAACCAGAAAATACTTTGGAAGACACTTTTCATTGCTCATAAAATGGAATTAAATTTAAATGATGACGCCGAAAAATAACTGCTTGTTTTGTAATTTGTTAAACTTTTATGAAACACTGCCGTATGAAGCTTCGGATGGTCCTGAAATTGTTGTTTGAGCTCTTTCAAGACCACCAAAACAAAGATTCCAACAAATCCGTACGTATAATCGATCCAGTTAGTGTGACCAAGACTCATTTCTTTGCAGCTGTTCAAGAACTTTCCAATAGTTCCGTGGGCGAAAAATCCTGTGCCGTGACCTTTTACGCCAAATACCTTTCCAACTTGACCAAGCGTGATTGATATCGCTATTCGGGGAAATATTAAGGGTAATGGTATACATCGGCGCGGCGCTGCTCGCTCGACCCGCGCTCCGCCAGAACCTATTTCTCACGAAGCCGTAAAATCTGAACGGATAAAGATTTTTTCAAAATTTAAAAAGATTCTGAATAATCAAAGTCACTTCTATTTTCACAGCAAAAATGATAATGATTGTCAAAGAGGAACTATCTGAAAATTGCCAGTTTCCTTCAAATGACATTTTCTTCGATATTTCTCATCCAAAATTTTTGAAAATTAGACTGTCTTGTAGAGAATCGTCAGCTCTACAAATCCTGTTTTTAGATTTTTGTTTTAGGCTTTCATTAATCTTACATCGCAATTCGTAAAGAGCGCTACTTGTTCCCGCGCCTCTCCGCTCTCTATTTTTCACGCCACGACCTCACAGCGCTGACTTCAAGGGCGCATATTAAAATCCGAAGAGCTTAAAACAAAAATCTGAAAAACAGGATTTGTAGAGCTGACGATTCTCTACAAGACAGTCTAATTTTAAAAAATTTGGATGAGAAATGTCGAAGAAAATGTCATTTGAAGGAAACTGGCAATTTTCAGATAGTACCTCTTTGACAATCATTACGATTTTTGCTGTGTTAATAGAAGTGACTTTGATTATTCCGAATCTTTTTGAATTTTGAAAAAATCTTTATCCGTTCAGATTTTACGGCTTCGTGAGAAATAGGTTCTTGCGGAGCGCGGATCGAGCGAGCAGCGCGGCGCCGATGTATACCATTACCCTTAAGATTTATTGCTCCAAATGATGCATGAAACAATCAATTTCCTTTCCTGAAGCGTTCACGAAACCGATGATTACTGAATGGGATACAAAATGGACCAAGAAACCTAACTGTAATAAACCAAGGGCCATCAAAACCACGCCTTTAAAATAATATTGTTTTACTTGCAGCTAAGCGAATAATACTTACCAGACATTAATGCAAGAAAAACACATAGTTCAGCATAACTTGTCTGGTCTCCAGAATGCCAAACTGGATCATCTGGCATCGGCCAAGTATCTGGTCGCGCAGCGAACGTTGCTGTTAAAACTGAAACGATTGCTGTGGGTCCTACAGAGATGTCCTTCGATGTTCCAAAGACAGCATACCACATGATTCCAAAGAATGACGAGTAAAGACCGTAAACGACTGGCAAGCCTGCCATATTGGCATAGGCAAGACATTGGGGTGTAACCATCAGACCGATTGTAAATCCGGCTAGGTACTTTTGCTGGTTGGAGTTGATTTCAATGAAGACTTACCGATCAGATCCCGAATGATATCTGGTGGTCGGTAATCTCTTATCCATAAAAGAATGGGGACCAGCCTTGTGATTGCATATCGATGCTTTATTTGCTCCGCACAGCCCATATTTTTGATAAATAAAAATTCTAGCTCCTTGTCCCTTTTCGTGCCTGATCTCTGTCACAGAACAGCGACGCATAAAAATCCTTGAATAGCTGATAGATATTTAAGCGTTTGGAAGCTGTGCTCTTGCATGACGAGCGTAAAATTTGCCCTGTAATTATCCTAGAGGTCATCATTATATTCTTGAAGACTTGTGGTATTTCCTGCTGAGTTATTGATGTTCCAATTTAAATTGAAGCCAAGTTGAAGGAGAAAAAATGCCTTTTGGACAAAAATTTCTCATGCGATTTTTTAGAGAAATAGTCTTTTGTTTATGGCTGTGTTGGAATGTTCAAAAGTGAGTGGTGAAAATTTAGTATGCACAGTTGTTTTTGGTAGTGAACAGTAGTCTGGTAGTGAATCATTGTTGTTTGCAGTCGCGGCTGAAATTGTCGGCGATTTCTTCGAGCTTCTCTTCCACAGCTGCGTTTTCCTTGAACTTTTGCTCCGATTCTGCGTTTGAGAATTTACGCTCAGTTTTCATCCCGGCCTCTTTTTGGATGTTTTCGACCTTTATTTCCTTGTTGACTGGTTTCTGAGCTGCAAGGGGCTTTTGAGGACTTTCTTCGGTATCTAAACATCAAGTATATCAAACGTTGATTTCTGTCGCTTACCAGAAATTGATTTTTCGAAAGTCGGAGCTCTAAATTCGCATTTTTCTCCTCAACAAATTTGAGCTGGTTGTTGAGATCCTTAATCTTGTCGGAGAGGCCGATCTTGTCAAGCATAATTGTGTGGATCCGAGAGTTCAGATTTCGTATTTCCGCTTCTTTCTGGTTCAGTCTGATGCGGTGCTGGCTCGGATCAGATGCGTTGTCACTTTCCGTTGCCTTTTGTAAGCCCTAATAAATTATTCAGTCTAACAGTTTTGATGAAAAAATACCTTATAATATTCAGCTTGTTCAACAGCCAGATTTCTCGCTACAGTGAGCTCTTTATTCTCTTCGCTAAGACGCTTGTTGCTAGCCTCTGTGAAACGCTTGGTTCTTAGCTCTTTTTCGGCCGTAATCTTGAACCTTGTCAGTTCTTTGACTTTCTTCTCCAGAGCGTCAAAGTTTTCGATCTTTCCCTTGTAGCTACACAAATAATGCTTACGGGCATTCAGAATAATCTTACTTTTCTTCGAGGTCTCTCAACTTTTGCGCAGTAAGTTGTCGCTGATCCTCGACTTCGTTGAACAATGAGTTTCCCTGGCCAAGCGCTTCTGGAGCAGTTTGAGAATTTGACGCAGCAGCTTTGAGTTCTTGAACTTCGAATTCCAGATCGTTGACTCTCTCTTGCAGCTAATTTTTATCATAAAAATGCGGTCGTCGAAAGAAAACGGTACCTTATCAATAGTTTCGGATTTTTCGTCGTTAGAAATGACAAGCTGTTGATTTTGCTCCGTCAACTCCTTCGTCTGCTTTTGATCTTCGTCCATTTTCTTCCTTGCCATTTCGAGCGAGCTCATCATCGATCGCGCCTGCGTCTCATATTCTATCACTTTCTCTTCTATTGCCGATATCTTCTTCTTGTACTCTTCCTCTTCGATCATTCCGGTCTTCTCTGTCGCTTTCTGAGACTCTTGGATCTTTTCGCGGAGGCTTTTGATTTCGTTGTCTTTTTCTACGAGCTTATTTTGGGACTCTTCATTTTGAGACCTGAAATTCGGAGTTTTTAAAAACAGTAAAATTAAGAGTTCTTGCCTCAAAGAAGTAGCTTCAGTTTGCTTCGCAATCAGCTGTTTCTTTAAACTCTCCTTTTCTGCAGTCAAGATGTCTTTTTGTTCTGCGAAATCTCGCTCGCATCTCTCCTCGACATCAACGGTTTCTGCCAAGAGATCTTGACACCGCTTTCGCTCTTTTGCCAGGATCTCGTTGGCCGATGCAAGTTGCTCCTTCAATCGACCGTTTTCGCCCAGAAGCTGTTTGCCAAATAGCGCTGCTTGTTCGCAGTTTGATCTCGAGTCCTTGAGCTCATTTTCTGCCTTGGCCAGTTTTTCCTGGTATTCTTCAAGACTCATTTTAATCTGAAAAGGAGAAATGTGACATTTCATTTCGAAAAATGAAAAAATATTTTTAAGTTAAAACAGTAGAAAAATAATAATAATAAAGTATCATTTGGCGAGGTTTTTTGCAAAGTCCTGGAACTTCTTCTGTAACGAGAGTCGGTCATTTTCTCGGTCACGGAGGAGGTCTCGGAGTTCGTCCTCGACTTGTTTTATCTTCAAGGCTTGAGCTCGAACCAAACGGGCCAGTTTTCGGTTGTCCTCTTCAAAGTGGATCACTGTTTTTAGCTTTGCTTCCAGCTCTAAAAGAGAAGAAAATTCAAATGATGCTGCGCCGCGTACCTGTAAATGATTTCTCTTTTTCGCCGATTTCACTTTGTAGCTCGTTGATGATTTTGTCTTTTTCGGCGATTTCGCAGTTTAATTCGTTCTCTTTTTGTTGCTTTTGAACTGAAAAATGCGCGAGTTTCTCCTCAAGATTTTCGATAACGATCGTTCGCTCACGCCACTTTTCTTCGTTGGCCTTTTTCTGCGCGTAAAACTTCTCTTTTTCTTCTAAAACGGGTTTTATATTACTGGTATATTTGGGGATAAAGGTACCTAATAAATGCTCTCGATCGGCTTCTCCGCGAGCAAGTCTTCGTTCCGCTTTTTCCAAGTGCTTGATTTGCGAGTCGCATTCTGCTTGCATTTCAAACGCTTGTTTTCGTTTTTGGTCGAGTTTGGCTTTGAGATCTTGAATTTGTTGCTGCGCGGAATCGAGTTCTTTTTCTTTGATTTTGAGCTTTTTCTCATTTTGCGCCTAGAAATCGTTTCAAAAGAGTTTTTTCGAATGTGTACCTCTATTGCTAGTTTTTGCTTCAATGCATCGTTTTCCGCGATTAAATTGCCCTTTTCTTTCGCCAAATCGGAGGTTTGCGATGCTAGCCCTTTCGACCACTGCTCCCGCTCTGCTTTGAGTCCGTTGACGATTCCCTCTTGCTCCGTCAATGTCGCAATTAGCTTCGCCTTCGTTTTCTGCGATTCCTGAAGAGCCAGTTTGCTTCTTTGCTCATCTCTGTATCTTTGATCTGCAAGCTCTTTCGCTTTTCTAACTGCGTCAACAAGCCGGTCAATTTTGTCTTCTAACTCGGAGTTTCTCGCTTTCAACTCTTTAGCGCCGGATGCGACCATATCAACGGTGTCCTTCGCCTTTTTCTCCGAGAAAAACAACCTTTCTTGGTTGATTCTCAATTCAGCATGTTCCTCCTTGAGCTTGTCGATTTTCTCCCTGAGTTTGTTCTTCTCGTTGTCTTCAATTTTCAGCGCTTCTCTAAACTCTTGTTCGAGGGCGGAGTATCGTTTCTTTGCGTCGGTTTTGTACTCTTCCATATATTTCACTGCGACTTGGAGTTTATCTTTGACGTAGTTTTGCATCTCTGGCGAGTCTGGATGAATGCTAACTGACAATTTTTCTTGCGCTAGTTTGAGTTCTTTTTCTAGCGCAACATATTTTGATTGCATCGCCGAAGCCTCTGATACAAGCTTTTCATTAGCTATCGAAAGATTACGATTCTCCTCTGCTTGTTTTTCGTTGTGATGCTTTAGCTTGTTCAACTCTTCCTGTAAATTTTTCATAGCGCGTTTTTCGTTGCTGAACTCTTTCAACGTCCGTGCAAGAGTTTGCTCGTGCGACTCATTTTTCTCCCGTTCCGCTTTTGCAAGATCTTTGAACTTGACCAGACCGTCTAGGGCAGTTTGGAGCTGCGACGTTTTCTGATTGATGTCCAGCTGTTGGTCTTCTGTTAGTCTCTGCAATGCAAAAGCTTCGTTTTTCATCTTGAGTATTTCTTCTTGGAGTGTGTTGGTTTGTTGCTCGAAACTGGTCGCCATCTGGCGCATTTCTTTCATAGCGTTTGCGCATTTTGAGCACTTAGAATGTGCACTGTTTGTTGGAGGTCGAGGTTTTCTTCCGGCAGAAGCTATAATGAACCCATTCAGCTGATATTTGATTATAAGATCGTACCTGATGGCAGTGGAGCTTGTTTATTTTGATTAATGAGTTTTTGCAGTTGCTTTTCGAGCCTATCAATCTTTGAATTTGTTTGTTCCTGCTCTCTAGCCGCTGATTCCGCAAGAATCCTAGTCTGCGCCTGCTCCAGCATCTTTTGAGCCATCAGGCCGAAATCATCTGCTGTCATTGGTTTCTTTATTTCTTCTTGTACCCAAGGATTTTGATTCCTTGGAGTCGGATTTTGAGAAGTTTGTGGATTTCTGGATGGTTGGCTGTCAGAAAAAACAAGTGGAGGTAGAGCGCGGCCATCTCGACTTACTCCGTCGATTGAGATTATATGAGGGCAGCTGGCGAAGATTGTTTCGGCAGAAGAGGTGATAGGGTTATCCGCGATCGTGATTCTTTCTAAAGTTTTTGTGCAATCGAGCATTTGGCAGGTTGATTGAACATGCGAAATCTGATTTCCGTGTAAGAAAAGCTCTTGCAGTGACGATTCTTTGTTCGCAAACGCTGGTAGAAACCCCAAAGACATGAGCATATTGTAACTCAAGTTCAGGTGCCTCAACGATACTAGCGAGGCCATTTCCTGCGGTGAAATTTCTCCGATGGAGTTGCTCGACAGGTTGAGAATTTTTAAACAAACGAGGGATTCCAAGCCAGAGACCTTTTCGATCGAATTCGCAGAAATATCAAGCTCGACAAGATGGGTGAGACGATCTAGTCCTGAGATAGTTTCGATTTGATTTGCATGAAGATTAAGAGACAACACATCGGGCAAGAGATGAAGGCTTTCTATTTTCTCTATCCCTTCGTCTATTCGAGAAAGTCGCTGAACTTTCAAGTCCATTTCTGATTTCTGAATGACGTTTTTTTAATATTTTATTTTGATTGCCAAAATAGTGAAATAAATATTTCTGGGAATGTGAAAGAAATGGCAGTTTGTAAATGTGCTAAGTTGGTGAATTATTTTTTGCCGCCGAAAAGACGCTGCAAATTCGCCATTGCTTCATTGGCGTTCTTTCGGTTGTCGGCTATCTCGTTTGTCACTAGAATTGCTTCGTCAGAGCAGACAAATAAATTGTGACTTACAAGAATAGACTTTAGACTCGGCCGCCTGGAGCTTCGTTCGCAAGTCCGTAGCCTCGTTTCTTTGATTTTTAAGCTCTCGCTGATACTTCGCAGTCTTCGCTTTGTACTCCTCGATTTTGGCTGAAGAGCTTTCGACTAAAATTATTATGAACACGTATCACAAAGAGTCCAATTTACCTTGTTGAATCAGGGCCTGGTTGTCGCTGCTCAGGTCGATGATGTTCTTTTGCCACCACCGATCAGAATTGGACATGTTCGAAATGTATTCTTCGAGGCCCCTTCTCGAGTTTCTCTCCTGTTCTAACAGCAGTTCTAGCCCTCTTAAATTCTTTTGTTAAAATAAAAATATTTTTGGGAAGTTACCGAATCTGTCGTTTATATTCGTCTTCAATCATTGAGTTCCACTTATGTCCTGAATCACGAGATTTCTTGGAACTGTTGCTTACATTTTCTTTATCATCCTCGCATTCTGTGGACATTTCGCTGAATGATCGCTTTAATTTGTGAGGCGTACATTCGGGCATGTTTCTAGCACTTGACCCATGCGCGCTGTCCGCGATGCAGATGAAGTCAGTCGTCTCGATGGTAGATTCATTAAATCTGCGAAGAACTTTAACTCCAAATAGAGCGTTGTCTTTGTCGTCTTTACAAAAGACCAGATGACGGAGGTATTTTTGGAGGTGAATGTTCAGCTCTTTTGGCGGATAATTAAGCCAAGCAGCCAGTCCACAAAAGCCTTTCGCGACAAAGCTACCTTCTAGCTTTAAATTAACGATTTCGTGCAGGATTTCTGAAAGAAAATGTTTGCAATCGAAAAAATGAATGATTCGTACCTAAAATCGGGTCCGCATCGTTCTCGAATTGAGTAGAACTTTCAACAGGAGAAGCCAGCTGAAGAATTTCGGAGAGAATGAATATCTTCTGATAGAGGAAGATTGCATTCACATGGCCGGTCTTTCCAATTACATTCAAGATCATCCCAAGTTCGTTCTGGACGCTTGGTAAAAGATCGGGAATGTCTGCAACGCTTGTGCCGTTTTCGGACCAGTAGTGAAGACATAGACGACCAGCCCAGATAGGAAGGGCAGCGTGCTTCAGCGGGCACTTTCTGATCATCGCCCAGCTTCGTGGGGAAATCTCGCCAGCGTCTTCTTCGATCATTGAAATCTGCTTCCCAATCAGATCAGAAAGGGATTTCGATAGTTTTGTAAGATGGTAGAGAAGCTTTAGCACAAGAGAGATTTTATTTGAATCGAACTCGGATTGATTGCTGATCATTCGGAGACTCAAAGCAATTATGCTCTCACTGCTTGTCGCTTCAGCTTCATACAGAAGGAAAGCATGTTCGTCTCGAATGCACTCCCTGTAAATGTAAAAGCAGGCAGCGTTTAGACCATCAACTCCCCCTGTGTTCACTTTCAGTTCGTTTCTTACGAGATCGCGGGCATATCGACGGTTATCTTCGCTCTTCATAAAACTAGAGACGAATTGAGACGTCTGCGAGCTGGTAGAAACGGTGGCAAGATTGGAGATCAAACGAATAGATTGCAGCTTCAGCGTCATGTTCTCCCGACTCTCTTTTCTCTGCACCACTTCAAGCAAAAACTGCCTCGCAGATTTCGTCAGTTTCTCCTGAACCATCGGAACATAAGCAGGACTGAGTTGGGTGACAGAACTCAGCAGACCAAGCAAAATTGAGCTGGACGCACTCAAGGTCAAATTTTCGCAGGCCCAGATGATTAGCGTCTCGAGCGAGGCAAAGTTCTCAGTTCGTCTGTAGAAGTCCTTCGAGTCCATCAACCAGGTTATGAAACGCGCTACCGCTACGCGATCTTCCAGCGAGTTTTTCTCGGTGACTTTCGATCCGAGACAGACGATGAACTCCTCAATCAGCTTTGGAGGATAATGGATAGGCGCAAGGTTTTGGAGGACATCCATAACGGTCGATAACAGGTTTCCTTTATCATCAATTAGTTTTAAGCCTATTGTTTTGGACAACCTGTTATATAATCTTTCTTGAGAACGATCGGCATTCTCCATAGCCATCCTGCAATGTCTCTTGAATCGAATTCAGCGGGGATATCGATCTCTGATACAGGGCCATTATCAAGTTGGTCAAAAATGCTCATTTTCTGAAATGATGAAAGTGAGTTCTACCGTTGAAAACACCGTCTGCCACGTTGAATATTGAGAATAGATATTGATCAACACGTTTTTCTGGCGTGATTTCACGGATTTCGGTTGTTTTTGGGAAATTTTTTTATTGAGGCAGCTGTTTTTGCAGCTTCAATTTTCTGGCAGTTGCAGCAGGGAAAAAGAAAAGAAGGAGATTATTGCGTTCTTGCGCGCTTTGCAGCGGGGCCAAGGTCAGCTTCATTTTTGATTTTTCGACCTGTAGGACGAGGAGTCGGTTTTGCTTCGACTTTCGGGTGATGAAGCTAAACTCGTTATTTTTGATCAATTCGAGCATTCTTACTTCGATTGGCTCTTTATTAGGCGCCGGTTGGAAGAATATATGCGGATGAGTTCGCTGCATTTTCCCAAGAAGAATGTCGACTCTATTCCTCTGAAACGGTGTTGCCACTTTTTGGCGCTGTCGATGATATTCGTCCTCTTTTTCCTTTGCCTGTTGCTCTTTTGTCTTGTCGCCATCTCCCCAATTCCATGAGTAGCCTTTGTCGGGGTCGAAGTTGGAAGCTTTTTGGCACTTTTTGAAGGCGTTGTGAACGCGGTCGAGAGCAGTGGCGAGGCGGGAGTTCAGAACGGAAGCCAGATCTGGAGCCATATACACAGTGCCGCAAATGATATGGTAGTAAGCCAGGGGTTCTAGTTGCTGACCACTGTCTGTGATCGTTCTTCTTCGTTTCTAATATTGATAGAGATTTCGACTCTTTTTGTCAATACGATACCTGGATAATGTATAAAACTGGCTCTTGGTAATGATGCAGGGTGTATTCAATTCCCGGCATGTTGACGAGCGAGTCTAACGACCTACCCTGCATCCGCAACTGCTCATTATTGCACTGCCGATCGTAGAAAGGATTGGCAATGTTCGAGAAATAATCAAGAACATTATTGGCATTTAGTTGCGCGGCGAGAAATGGCTGAAATTAAAACTTAATGAAGACCAGAGAGAAGAGTAAAGCTTACCTCTCTATATGACATGTGGAGAAGTTCCTGCTGTTGAGCAGCCGCACTATCAGCTTGCGATGGGCCCGACATGATTTTTATCTAATTGAAGCAGGGATGAGTTATTTTTTGAAGAAAGAAGAAATATAATAATTAAGAAAAGGAAACTTCAATAATAAGAACAAATGAAAATATGAGAAACTATTCGAAAATAGGGGCAGCTTTGTTGGCCAGTTGTTGGAGAGCGTAAATAGGCACTTCGGCGGAGAATAAGAACACAATGTGGCGGTTGTCTTGCTTTAGTACGTATGCTTGAAAGAAGTTTGGATCGATGGGTGATTGATGAAGGCTTACATTTGTATTGCTTTCTAGCAGAGTAAAATTCGGAATGTGTAGGATTTTGCGTTTTAGTATCACGAAAGACGCTCATCAAATTGAGCTTTATTTCGTCCTCTGTCAATTCGTTTTCCATTAGCGAAGCTATCAACAAGTTAAACCGAGTTTCAAATTGATAATAATACATTTAGTAGGACGAATGTAAAGCATCGTCTTCATTATCGCCTCATCTTGAATCAAAGTTCCAATGAGACCTGGCGGAAGGCCCTTGGGACCTTTGACGAAATTTCTCAGTGGCTCGAGTTGGGAAATATCGTGTGGTGTAAATTTTACTACAAATCTTGAGCTATTGAAAGAGAGAATAACCCTTACTTGTTGTTAAATTCGTAACGCTACCGCAAAGAGCGACCATGGAGGTATTTCCAAAGAGTTTAATGAGAATAAGACGATAAGCGTTGTCTGGAGCAAGTTTATATAAATAAACAGGGAGTTCAACGAGCGCTTTATCAGAGTAAACACTCGCACAATAAGCAATAATGTTTATCTCGATGTAATCCAACTGCTCCCCAAAATCAGACTTCATTGAAATGATTTCATTGTCTTGGACAATCGCGACATATGGGGTTTCAAGACGATCAGACCAGAAGTCGATCTGTTTTTGGATTTCAGGAAGCTTTGAGAAAGAAAGGGAGTAAACGGGGAAGTCAGTGATGAGCCAAACTGGAACTTCGTCGATTTGGCAAATGAGGCCGTCGAGAAGAGGGTAGGCTAGGCGAATATCTTTTTTCAGACGAGGATCAGCAATCTCTACCAGGTCATCTTGGCCAAGGAGGAGGAGGATTATCTTGTCCGCATAATCAGTCAAGCGATGTGCGTAATATTCATTTACGTTTTTGTCGAACCAGCAAATAACTAATTACAAATGTTCTTTTTAAGCTTTTTGGAAGACTACTACCTGTGTGGGTTTTTCTTTTCAAGATATAAATCCTCAACGAATCAGTAATGCAACTAATTGGATCTAACTCTGCCTCCGATTGACTGAAGAGAACAGAGCTCCAGATTGTCAGTAGTTGTGTGGTTGCTACTGAACGGCCGTGGGATGATCTGACGAAGAGGATGTTCCCGTCGGGATTTATCAAACTCACTCCTTCCATGCTATTCTCATTCTAAAGACACTAGAATAAGAGATGGATCGATAAATGAATTTAAGAGTCTTTTTTAGATTGAACATATTTATCCATTTGCTTCGAGATATCCGTCGATTCAAGCTCTCCGTCAGAATGTTCGCGGATCGCGTTTCTAACATCTTCCTCTTGTTTCACTAGAAATTCTCGTTGCTCATCAGCCGTAAGCGGCTTGTGCCCGAAAGCAGAGAAAAACGCGCCCTTTGATTCTAGCTTTTTCACTTCATTGTATCCGAGCACAGCTGAAAATGCGCCGAACCAAAAGCCAAAAAGAATACTTTTTATCGGATTCCCGGAAAAGAGAAGAGTAAGGCAGGAAAATGAAATGCCACAGTAAATCGGGCGTTTGACGATTTTGAAGATCGGGTCTTGTTGGTCAATGCTTTGCCATATTTGAGCCTCTTGCGATGCAGAGATGACAGAATATCCAACTAGAGCTGTTGTGGCGTTTTTGAGACAGACTTTTATCAATCCCATTCTACAAAAATGGTTGAGATGGAACTGATTTTAAATGAATAATTGCACATTGTTTAAAATAGATATTTCGGATGCTACAAGCAGAAACTTGAATAGACGCAAGAACAGTCCAGATTCCAGGCTCGCTAGACGCAGTATCTTTTTGTTGAAAGATTATGTAGGTAGCTGAAAGCTTTCATTTCAGATCGGCAGAAGAGTAAAAATAATAACAGGTAAAGAATGATGAAGAACTAGGTTCAACAAATCGAAATCCGATGCCCGGAAAACCCGATATCGGATCGGATATTTATCGGGTTTTGTCGGGTTTTTTTTCACCCTACAAAACCCGATCCTGAAAATTTCAAAACCCGACGTAGGATCGGGTTTTTGTCGGAATTTCGTCGGGTTTTTCTTGCCTTTTCAGCCAATCACAGTCGGTCTAAATAGCCTCCCTTGCCCTTTTTTACTCAAAATGCACATTCACATTAATCTTACCAAAGATAATCTTCTGTCAATTGAGAGAATGAAATTCGGCGAGGAATTTCAGAGAACGCCTGAGCTTGAAGGCTTTAGTACTCCAACTATTTTCAACCAGGGTGGAACGTTGGGACCGGGCAAGTCGGGCAAGAATCGGGCGGGCGGGCAAATCGGGCGGCGCAGGGCTAGATTTTACGAGGTTAAAATCGGGCAAAGTCGGACAATCGGGCAAAATTCGGCGCCGGGGAAAATAGTCGGCCCTGTTTTCAACCCCATGGGTTATTTGAGGTCATGTGACCTCGGCAAGGCCTAACCCCCTAAACTGCAACTCAGCAATGTCTAAGCTTTCTAAACATATAAACAGGGGTGGGATTATTTATTCTCTATTCTACCGTATTCGACCAGGCGTTTTTATCGTACTAGGAGATGCACAATGGGAAAATGTACAAAAATCTAAATATTATTATAAATGATCCTCGAAAATTGTTGAAAAAATCCGCTCAAGATGAGTTTTTGACCTTCTTTTCACTTCATTTTTTTTAATTTTTGCTTGTAGGAAACCCGACAAAAATCCGACAAAAAACCCGATAAAAACCCGATTTCCGACCCGACAAAAACCCGATAAAATCCAACAAAACCCGATCCGATTTTTCCGACCTACTAAAAAACCCGATAAAACCCGATCTTGGTTTCGGGCGATTTTGTTGAACCTAGATGAAGAATCACGCACGGGGAGAAGGTTGAAAATGAATGAGAGATTTCTTATGTTGAACTTTTGGAGAAGAACGCGCCGAATCCACGTTTCTTCTTTTCGTTTGTCGCAACTTCTGATGTCCCGTTTAGGCCATCGGCTGAAAATGGCTGATCGTAATGAATAAAAACTGAAAGCAGACCTTTGTTTAAATACTGCGCCAGCTCTTCTGTCATCGTATTCAACTGAGCCTCGTATCCTTTTCTCGTGGTATCGAGCTCTTGTTCGAGTTTTCTCCTTGTTTCTTGTTCCTCTCGTAGCTGATTGATTCCAGAGAGACGCTGTTGTTCGGTGTGTTGTAGTCGGTTGCAACTTGCATTCATTTCAGCCCTAAAACATAAAAATAGTTATAGGAAACAAAAATGAACCATAAAAATAGATAATACTATCAGACAAGCAGTTCAAGGAGTCCCTAATCATCAATCTTTGACGGTGCTTCAAAAAAATGTCAGGTTCATTCGGTGTCCTGCTGTGAGTTGAGGTTCCCAAAATGACGCTCAACCCCGAACCAATGGCACACTTTTACATAAGTTTGTTTCACTGATGTGGGTTCGACAACTTTACTTGTCTCCAAGAAAACGAGCAAACCTGCTGAGAGATGTTGATGCGAGCATATGTTGAATTGTTTCGATCAAGTTATTGATTCTAATTTGATAGAAGGTCTCCACGCCGTAGACATTGTTTTCGGACCAGTTTTTCACCGTGCCTAAGTCGGACTCGTCGATGATCTTCAGTTCTTGAGGCAAGCTGACCGGATTTTTATTCGAGAGCGTTTTTGAAAGCTGAAATGATAATTTAAATTCAAAGCATTTCAGTGAATTCAAATTCAAAAATTAATTTCTTACCATTATCGCGCTGATTTCCGCTTCATGCTTCTTCCTCAATTCCGCAATCTCCGCTGAGAGCTCTACATTAACACCTTGCAACCGTTTAATCTCCGCCTGGTCATCTTCTTCGAATAAATTCTCAGTTTGAATCGCCAGTTCGAAAGTCTCTGGCGGCTCTTTTTGCTTTTCCAGAAGTTCGGCATTTTCATGCTTTAGCCTGTCGATTTGTCCGTTTAAATCGGAGATCTGCTTGTTGTGTTCAAAGAGGTGAGAGTCTAGTTCTGATCGAAGAGAGAGGATTTCTTTGCGAAGGCCGGAAGCATCGCCACCGGCTGACTTTGATTCTAGCTCTTGAATCCGTCTGAGACGTTTGTTAATTTTTGAAGCCTTTCTTCAAGGTACCTGTCTTTTGCTTTGAGAGCCTCTCTCAACTGAATATTCTGTTTTCTTGCTTTTTCATACTCTGCCGCTAGAGCCGCAATTTTCTCATCTACCATGCTTAATTGAAGTCATAAGATGAAGGTAGCTTTTATGCACACGATTTATTTCCTCTTTTTTGAAGAACACTTGATAATAAATTAATAAATCAAGAAGTAACAATTGTTAATTATTCTAGGACTGTTTTCTGATGCCACACAGACAGGGGGAATGATTGAAGAAAATGCGTAATTGTAGCTAGTTAATCTTTTTGCGCTTGACGACATCGGGACGTGAAAGAATAGGTTTAAGGCAGGCAATAATTTCGGTAAAGTTGGTGATCAGCAGATAGATGAGACCCAACCAGAGGCCGACGATGGAGCCGAGGTAGAGGTCGAAGATAGGTGGCCGCACCAAGAACTGTGACATGACGACTGAAATTTCAATGATGTTATTTGGAAAGTGTTGTTTGTGCTTACCTTCGTGAGTATTGTAAAGATCGATGCCCTGACCGACGTTGACGAGCTCGACATTGCTGGTGAAAGTATCCATGTGCTTTAAATTATTTATTATGTAAAGATTGGGCTTCTTTTTAGTTTCCTTTTCATACCTTTTTGATATCATTGAAAGATCGTTTGGTAAAGTTTCCAGCAGATCTTTGAGTAGCGGAAAGGTTCTCAACCCAGGCAAAAGCAGCATCTCCGTTCACTTCGATTCCATGAGTAATTGCCTAAGATTTATCAGAATTGGCTGCGGGAAATGAAAAAGAGGTACCTTGTCCTGGTAGAGAGTATTCAAAAGACCAGCTCCGATGGTCTTGGTAACAGTTGCATATTCTTGTTTGTTGATTCTGCTTGAGAAATCAGCAAGAGATCGTCGAGCGGACGATTCTGGGTCGGAAATTGTAGAAAGAGTGATCGATGGAACCTTTTAATGATAGTAAGAGACAGTTGAGGAAATTCATCCATACCTTCTTGAATGCAAATCGCTCATGCTGCCATTTTCGTGCTTCTTCTTGAATATTAATTTTCTTGTGAACGAGCTCTAGTTCAAGTCCGTTAGCAGAAGCAGCGGCTTGAAGAGACTTGTAGAACTTGGCACCGAGAGTCCCTTCAGCTGGGGGCTTCGAAACATGCGCATAGATTTTTCCTAAAGGCGAGAGTAAAAATTCGGGGCTATTGACAAAACACCTTCAGAAGAAGATCCCAAAGCATCGAGACAAATAGCAAGATGGATGTTTTTCAAATTTCCGGAGTTTTCATTTTTGTCCTTTGCGTCGAGCCAGTTCTTGGTGGAGACAAAGTTGATACTATCAGCGGGCATGATTGCGAATAATACGCTAGAATAATTTATTGGTCATCAAGATGGACAAAATATTTTTACTTGTATTGCGGTCGAGTGGAGTCGTCGATGAAAAGCATCGAAAGAGATCTTGCGATTTCAAGAGTAACACCAAGCCCAGATCCGGCAGAGTTAGCTCCACGAGCGAGAGCGAAAGAAGACGCAAACGCATCCATCTTCGTGGTTACAAGAATGGTTGGAGACCCAGAGATTCCATCAAGGCGTGATTCAATAGCATCAAGTCGTGTCTAGATGAGTTCTAAGCCAAAGTCTACGGACGCGAGTACCTTAAGAAGTTCTGGCTGCTTTCCTGTGACAGAAAACTGATGAAGAACCGATGATCCTGCATGAAGAATCGCGGAAGCACCGGTCAAATCCGAGAGATCCTTGAGCTCGTCTTGAATTTGCTTCAACTCTGCAGTTTCGTATGAAAAGTAAATAGGAATTTGTGTAATTGGAAAGTCCAAAAGCGCTTGTTCAGCATCAGCGAGCTGATCAAGGGTCTTCTTGGTCACGTTTCGAAAGTCTTCCGTTCTCATGAAGTCCGGCAGGATTATGAGGACGGATCCTGGGTTCTTGTCGAGGAGTGACTTGAATGACTGCTCGGAGGTGATGTCGAGGAGGTTAATGACGACGTTTTTGCGGGTGATTTGCTTTAATAAAATAGATAAGAAACAGACTTGGTCTGAAATATCACACCTTAGCATCAGGAGCTCGACCCTCAAAAGAAACAACTGCACCGGTAGATCCAAAAGCTTCGCGATCAGTGATATCCGCGCTTTGATACTCGTATTGGTACATTCGATAGGCAGGGAACTCATAAGAAGCTTCAGTAGGAGCAATACAAAGCAGAAAGATAGGGACAACGGCCATGGAAAACTTCCACTCTCCAGGGAACAGATCGTCCAGCCACATGAGCGTTACAATCTGGAAAGAAACCAGGAGGTTAGATAGAGATATTTCTTATCGTTACTTAGTATCAGTATTCAATTAAATAGTTTTCAGAATTCAGAGGGAAATTTTATCGCATGTCTTGACCTTCTGGAATTGTTATCGTTATTCCATCGAGTTCTTTTGTGAAATGCACGCAACATCCCAGACGCGAGCTAAAAGATTTTAAATTTGATTTAGGAAGAGGGAACCCCTTAGGGTCCTTTGTAGATATAGATACTTATATCCACGCATGTCGGTTTCCTCTTTATTAGAGGAAAGGTAGAGTTCATATACCGTCCTATTTATCAGCATTCAATCTAGTCAAAATTAATCGAGTAGCGTCTGATTCTGGTAAAGCTTGGGTTTTTTAATCATCCTCACGAACTGGTGAAGTGAAAATAAATTATCAATAGCTCTATTTTCTCACGGAATTATGGCCTCCACTTACAAGTCAGTTACATTCGGCGCATTATCCAACATATCACATTCTTCTTCTCCCCATGGATCTTCTTCTAGCGTCTTATCAAAAACACCGTCTTCAAGAATGACATGACACGTCGAACACGCGATTCCTCCTCCACAAATCCCATAGCCTTCCGTTTCGATTTCATTGTCTATCACTGTGTCAAGAATAGAATCGCCAGGTCGAGCCTTTACTTCGACGATTTCTCCACGTCGATCGATGAATTTAACATTGATCTTCTTGCCAAAGAATTGCATTCGCGATTTAGATACATTAAGCAACCTGACCGACTTTGACAGTAGCGAGAAATTCTTGAGCATTCTATTTTAAAGATTTTTTGTAATTTTTTGCGTGGCCTCAGACAAATGCCTCGTACATTTTCATCAAATGTTCTGACCCGATAACTACCCAGGGTTGGCACCCCGAGCAGCTTCGTGACAGTTCTGACTCGTCATCTAACGGATCATCACCGACCGGAATGATTGAAAACCAATCATGAGACCAACGAGAACAGAAAAACTATTGATAGATAAGACACATAAATCCCTTATGATTTTTATTTCATTTGTATTTGAATTTTCAGAATTTTAAGTTTAATAAATACGACTTCGAAGAAAGCAGCTTAGATGGGCCATTTCCACTGATCAGCTGGGGCAGGGGCGAAGAGATCTCCCCATGGCTGAAGATTTGAAAAATTTCTTTTCATTCAGAAATGTTCGTACCTGATCCTCAGCGAGGTTTCGTGCACATCTGAGCTCTCTCTTCAAGCTTCTAAGATACATCTCGACCTGCTCGCCGAGGGCATCCTCAAGAGCGTCAAGATCGCCAGAAAGTCGATCGACGAGCTCAGCTTGTTCGTTGATCATTTCGGTGACGGTTGTTCGGTAAATGTAGTCTTCTGGCATATCTTCAAGAACTTTAAGAATTCGCTTCTGGAAGGCCTGGATCTTGGGGATGGGCTCGTATTCGACCTCGATGCCTAGAAAAAGGGTTTAATGTGAGCTAGATAATATCGAATTACCGGTGATTTCAGTGTAAGTTTTTCGTGGAGAAGTATACGTCTTTTCTTTTCCCAGAAGAGGCATGGTAAAGTCAACCTTTCCGGATTCCTTGAGAGCTGGCTCCTCGATCATGTCATCTCCTACGAACCGGGCGTTGACTTCGTTAGCGTTGATGACTTTCTTCCAGAATTGAGGAGTGTTGGTGGTCTGCATGTCCTTCCAGCTTCGACCGCCGAGCGACTTGGACGAGTTCGACAGGGATCGAGCTACCTGACGGAACATTCTACAAATCGAGAGTTGTAAGTGAAAATTGAAATCAAATTGCAAAAAGTATCTCAATGAAAGATCCTTAGAACAAAATTCTGAAGATTTCTCACAAGAAAATTTCTAAATAAATATTAATTATGAATGTCTTTTAGGATGTACGAAAATGCAAACAACCTCTAAAGATTCTCCACCAATTGATGTGAACTTTGATTTCTGTTTTTGTTTACTGAAAATGATCAATACTAATCAAACAAACGTCCACTTGGCTGTCCCTTGAAAAGTGTAAGAGAATGAAGCTGCTCGTTCCAGTTTTACTTGGAGGTTTTTCGCTAGCCGCGAGCAAGCACAGTCCCAAGCGTTACCAGCGAAAGGATATTCGGGACGATGAAGCTCGCCTTGGCCTTCAAAAGCTGGGATTCAGTCTTTTGGAAGAATCAGACGGCAATGGGCTAGGTAGGTCTACGGTCTAGCCGTGATGATTTATTGACTTTGACAGCAGAGCAAAAATAGAACAGCTTTGAGAAAAGGGACTCTTTCAAAGTTCAAAATCAAGCTTGTTTCAATCGGGCATGTTTTGATTTGAAATCAATTGTTAAGATATTCACAAGAAATTCTATTAAGTATCCCCTCTTTCTCTGGCTGGTGTTCTTCACTTGCTAGCCGCTGGAGGAGTTGGTAATACAAGAAGCGAAATCTTGGAAAAGGCCCTTGGACTCGACTACGAAGAGTTCATTAAAAGTTCAAATGGCAAGTTCCAATACAATTGGGTCGTGGAACCGCATAACTGCGTGATGGAAACACTGATAGAAAATTCAAAAAGCGGAGATTACGAGTTTGAAAGTTACACTGGTCTCTTTACGAATTTGGAACATGATGATGTTATCAACCCATGCAAAGGTACGTATTTCACTGTTATTCCGATAATAAGAAATTTCTTAAGATTGGAACGACGATTCCCCATCACATCAGTGCGTGATCAAAAAAGACTTTATCAAGGTAGATTCCGATATTATCCTTTAATTTTACCCTAAACGAAGGAGTATCTTGGCGAAAACAAAAAAATCGACTTCCAGGGCAGCTACGATGTTCTCGAAACAGTAAATGAAGCGGTAAACAAAGCAACGCGAGGCAATTTCCCAGAGTTTTTGGATAGCTTACCGCCAAATACGCTTATGGTTGCTTTATCCGCCCTCTACATTGAATGTGAGCCTTCTTGGAATGATCAGTGGTAAATTTGAGTTCAGCTAACTGGTACAACAACAAAATCCCGGCACAGTTTTCTACAAAAATGTTCGACGTCGTAAGCAACGGTGAAATTCGTCGAAATCGCAACAACTACTGTTTCCACGGGAGCTCATCGCGCTGCGAAGCTCCCCAAGAATGGCTCAAATCGGAGGAGCTTCCCTTCGACGTCTACAATGACGGCTCCGTTCTCGTCATCGATCTCAACCTCAAATCTGGCAGCGAGCAAGACGAAATCATCTTCACGATCGTCATGCCCGACGACATGCGTTCATTTGACTACAGATCGATTTCTCCAACGCTGAAAAAGGCGCAGTCGGTTTGGCAATCGCAAAGCTTGGAGGAAAAATGGGCAGTGCTCAACATTCCCACCTTTGAAATCAAAATGAAAGAGGATATGATCGGGCAGTTGAGAAGAATGGGCGTTCACGCAGCTTTTTCGCCTCAGAACGCAGATTTCTCCCACTTATTCACGGATCACACCGACTCGCCCTTTGTCAAGTAAGTTCGATAATTAGCAAATCCAATGGTAATCTGATAATAAAATTAAAAGGGTTCTGCAGCATGCAGCAACGTTTTCTGTCAGCAAAGATGGAATAAAAGCTAGTGCAGCTACTGCAGCTGTTTTCGCAACGAGAAGGTAAGCACTGGTAAAAATTTAGAATTACAACACATATTCAGTCTATCAACTCAAGATGGCAAGATGATCTACGTGAACAAGCCCTTCTACTTTATGCTCTCGTCGCGTTCTACTGGAAAGGAACGCGCCCCTCTGTTCGTTGGGAAAATCTCAACCCTCGTTTGAATTTCTAAAAACCCGAAAGTGAAATATTTCAAATTGCGAGAAATAAACATATTTATAAAATTTATAATTTTGTCTTCTTTTCATATTATTTTTTGTTTCATGCGCACAGAGAGAAATAAATGTAAATTACTTTTTAAAGTAGCAGTGTATGAACAATTGAAAAAAGGGTTAAATGATGACGAAGAAAAAAAGGAAGCTTCAGGAGAGTCTCTTCTGAAGATGAGATACTTCAATACTGTAGTTGAGAACGGAACTGTGTGAAAAAATACGGTAGTAAAGAATGAGTTTTTATGAGCGATTCTTTGTCAGCGGTTTGTTTTCCAGTGATTTTAGTTAGCAGCAACAAGTTGGACGAGAAAGAGACTTTCGTCGATGTAGGAACAGTGGAGACAGTTTGATTCTCTGAATGAGCAGTTTGATTACAAATAAAAGGGACTGTGAAACGTACTTGTAGTCGTATAAATAGAGGGTCTTCGATTCCTGGACGTTTTTGTTGATTTCTTGAAGAGCATTGACGCCTACTGCGACGTCGTCCTGATCGATTTCGCCTTTGAGAGCCATCGTCAACCCTTTCAAATTTTGAATTCATTCAATATTTCAAAAAAAATCACCATTTTTATCTCCAATTGCGCAGCCGAGAATTCTCTCACTTTTCGCCAAAAACTCATCGAGCTTCTTGGGCAAATTCACGATCACAGAATCTTCAGTCATTCTAAAACGATTTCATTCAAATCTGATTCTTTCTCTCTTCGGCTCCCGCAGCCTCGATTTTCGTTCTTCAGGGAGTTTAGCCGCGCGCGCTGAGCCAATAAGAGCCGCGCGAGATGGAAATCCGTGCTTTCTGGATCCCGCAAAGGAAAAACCACAGACTTCCGAGAAAATGATCTGTCGGTTTACACTCTCAGACCTAGGGTCGGAAAATAGAAACCGATCTTGCCGATCGCTTTTTGAGAAGATATAAATTATAACTTCTATTAAATTAAATAATTGTCTGTAATAGAGTCTATTACAGTTTCAGCTGGGCTTTCGAATGATACCCATATATCCATACTTTTTTCGAAAATTTGTGGAGATACAGGGCTTCATGACCTGTCATTTTCAGGTACTTAACCCGTTAACAGCCCCATGGAGATTTAATCTCCACGCGTGGAAATGAGTAGCCAATCGCATGTCCGGATTCAGGATTTCACTCAATCATAGACAGGTAAAAGCGTAGGCGAAATCGACCGCCCTGTTAACGGGTTAAGGCGCTAGAATTTGACATTCCTCTTGGCTTGGACACATAAAAATTCTACCATTCGATTCCTTAGATTCTGCGCTACAAACTAAGCACTAAAAATATTGAGGTCAAGACTTTGCTCCGCAGAAGCCATTTTCATCTATCAGACAATTTGTAGAAAAAACTAACAAACCAGAGCGAAATTGACAACTGACGGTCTGACCCCAACCATCAAAAAAGAATTCTGCATAGTTGAACACGCTAACATTTGTGATTAACTTCACTTCAAGGACTAACAACTCGTTGCTCCTAGTTTACAAGGAATAAGCATGTCTAAGAGTAAGACACCTATGAATCATAGGCTATGATATTTATATTATCAAAGGCTAGTTACTAGAAGGTAGTCATTACCTACGGATTCGAAAAAGCTCCACTGGGGGAGTCTTTCTCGAGGACTTCATAGACGTCAATTGAATATAAGTTCATCATCTAAAATCGATAAAAGTTACAAAAGTGAAAGTGCCGGAAAGTTTTCTATCGATTTATAAACACTGTTGGCTTGGCATATAACTATCAACTTCGGGAATTTATTTTCACAATATTTTAAAGAGAGCGAACAAAAAAATGAGCCGAGTACAAAATATTATCCCCAAAGTAAGTTTATGCCAAAAATAATTTCATTCAATGTAACAAATGCTTCCAAAAACTTGAATTTACTTTCTTGATTAGGGAGCTGTGATCTGGGATGAAGCCGAAAAGGCCGATCGAATTGTAGTCGAAGGTCAGTATTGCGATTTTAAAGATACTGTAACGCATCTGTGTCGCTAGGTGCGACAGTGAAGATTGAGAATCCTCCAGTAGAAGATCCTCTGATTCCTCGCAGTGGCGTGATCCAAACTCGTGAGGCGATTAACCCCGTCAAAACAAGCTTGGGTTGACTCTAATATCTTGTCCTCCTTGATTTCACATTTTCTAATACCCAGCCCAAAAGCAGCACTAATGCCCGTGTGGAAACAAATCCGAAAAAGGTGGCAGCGATGCTGCTCAAGCAAGACCAAATGCCGAAAATTGTCGGAGTGCAGGCAAGGAATATCGTTTCAATTGCCTTTTTATGAATATTTCTCTAGCAAAAAGATATTGTCGCGCTGACAGAGATTTCAAAACAAGCCGAAATCATCATCCAGAACGACATCAAAAATGCCCAAAAAGATGTCATCAAGGTAACATCTTTCTCTTTACATGTGAACACCTATTATTTAGTTCTCAACAGCTGCTCAAGAATTACGGTAAGGACTACCTCTTAAAAAACGGGCTTATTTTCGCGCTCTTCCAGTGATTTCGTCCTGACGAACGAAGATTCTGACCCTCTACTCGTCTGTCCTCAAGTCAATCCTTTCAAAGGTTCGCTTCCTTGATAATTATTTTTTGAAATAAATATTTCCAGGAGCAACTTTAGCTGAGAGAATGGCAAAACTCTGCAAATAAAGAAATAATTCTGAAAAGTTTTAATGATGATATTGCATTTTTATTGAGTTTTAACTAAGTATATGTTGCTAACAGGTCAGTGTGTTCGATACAGTATGATGTCTGTACGTTTAAAGTCGAACGTTTTGTGGGTAGTTCTTGGAGAACCAGTCGCAAGTCTCCTTGATGGCTTCATCGAAGGGGGTGAACTTGAAATCGGGCAAGTACTTTCGGAGCTTGTTGTTGCAAGCGGTCTTTTTGAACTGGCCATCGGATCGAGTAGTGTCGTAGATCCACTCACCGGTGAAACCGTAGGCTCGAGCGACAGCTTCGGCGGCTTCTTTGATGGAGATTTCGTCCTCCTCGGCGACGGAGAGGATGATTGGGTCTGGCTCATCGTAAGATCGCATGACCCACAAGAAGAGTCGGGCAAGATCGACGGAGTAGATGAACTGTCGTCGAGCTTTTCCGGTTCCCCAGACGGTGAAGGGCTTGTTCTCCTGGGTGCAGACGTGGAGCTTGTGGACGAGACCGGGGATGACGTGGGACTCTTCGAGGTTGAAGTTGTCGTAAGGACCGAAGACGTTGGTTGGGATAACAGAGGTAAACTTGCAGCCGTGTTGCTGGTTGTAACCCTTGTTCATAACGTCGATCATACGCTTGGCGTAGGAGTAACCGTAGTTGGAGGTGTGTGGGGGACCTTAATCGTTGATGAAGACGAGAAAAACGGTAGTGATACTCACCATTGTGGACCATGGTTTCATCGATGGGGTAAGTAGTCTTGTCTGGGAAAATGCAAGTAGAGAGACAGGAAACAACCTTCTCAACTTTGAACTCCTTGGCGAGGGAAAGGACATTGTCGTTGATTGCCATATTGATTCGGAAGAACTCCAAGTTGGCCTTCATGTTGCCGTAAAGACCACCGACCTTGGCGGCCAAGTGGATGACGTGCGTGGGCTGGTGTTTTTCGAAGACCTAAGGAACAGGTTCTTTACTAAGTACTAGTAAGTGCGCGGCAAATTTTCCGGTCAAAATAGCTTTCGACTGGCGTTCAAATTGATAATTGCTATTTCAGGGGTCTAATTTTGAGCAAGTACCGAAATCGCTCAAACACGAGTTGATGTTTTTATGTCTTAATTAACTGCTCTAAAAGCATCTGCCTGGCTATTTATAGAGTAATCAAGCACCTTGCTTCCCATCATCGAAAAATGGAACAAACCTTTCGGGTGGATTCTTTGTCGGTGAGATCAGCATCCTTGGAGGAAAGGAAGATGAACTGTTCATCGTCTCGGGGGTCCCGCTCAGAAGCGATTCGGATACCGTTTCCGACGAGTCCGGAGCCACCGGTGACGAGGATAACTTTCTTGGCCATCTGAAATAGATTATTAATAAATGTTTATTCAACAAGATTTCAAATTATTGCTTTTGATATTGGGTAAATTTCTAGCTTTTTAGTTGCTATTTGGTAAAATTGAATTTTAGTAGTGATTTTCGCTTGAATCTCTTTTGAAGAAAACAACTGATCTCTTTTGAAAACTTAGACGGATACAAAAAGGGCAAAAAGTACTTTGAAAATAATTTACTTTTTTAGGAGGAGTTGGGTTGAGCAGCTTGCTTGGAAACTGTGAGGAGATCCGGTGTTCGATGTTCCCGATGGTGGCGGTGGTGGCGCCCACTACGCCCTTAGGCCACTGCCGAATTTACATTTTTTCACCGAAACCGAAACTAAAACATAAACCGGTGGATCATTGCCAAGCGATTTCCGTCTTTCATGCCAAAAAAGCTTAACTTCAAAAAACTCTTGGCTCCTTCAAAAAGTACCCTCTAAGAACCGCCAACTATAATTCTTGTATAAACAAGAGCTTAAAAACGTACCCTTTCTTACCTGTGTTTCCATTTGGAGCAGTTTTTGTTGGATATCTCTCAATATTTGAAAAGTTGCCTACCAACCAGGATTGAGTCTGACAGAAAATGACGCGCAGTAAAAAGTCCGATCTTTAAAAATAATGTGCGAAATGCTCCGGTGCGTAACATTACTGCCTCTTGCTGGTATTATCCGCTTTGAAAAGACGTTTTTGGAGGAAAAATCATTCGCCGGTAATGATTATTTATTATTTCAAGCAGCGGGGAAAGAAAGTATCCTTGGAAAAATTTACATGGTGAACTTTTGGATGATTAACGTGTGTTTGAATAGGAAAAATTTTAAGTAGTTTGGTTTCGCGAAACAGCGCTGGATTCGTACTTTGGTGGCTGGAAAGCATCGTTGTTGGAAGCTTCGTATCCAGGGAGATCGACATCGGCTCGATATTGAGGGGGAAGGGATTCGAGCTTTGCTTCCGGATATTGAGAGAAGTTCTCGTAGTCTGGTGGCAGATCAACGGCCCAATCTTGAGCACTAGTAGTTGCGTTGTTTTCATGACTTCGACTTGAGTCCTGAGCATGTATTCCTCGTGAATTTCTCGTGCAACGGAAACTCGAATGGAAATGACAGCATATGAAAACAGACATCACAAGGAATATGACGAGGACGGGGAGGAATATCTGCACCGCTTTTCTAAACAGTTTTTGATGGTTGGAAAGCGAAATGAGTCTCACCTTGTTTCTAAGAGCTCAATATTGCTGGGTATTTCCGCGCCTGGCAGATCTTAAAATTGACATGAATTTTTTCAATCGCATAACGAGAGACTCACCAAATATTAATTCAAATGGGGAAGTGTTTTCAACAGTGATTACAAGAAAGTAGATTCTGGAACCAGCATGCGATAAGAACGGGAGCTTAATGTTACCCTCGGAATCAGCCTCATCCAAGACTTTTGCGTCGTCATTGTCGTAAAACGAAGAGAAAATCGCTGAATAGGCTCAGAAATACCCCAGAAAATGATTAGGGTGTACCTGTGCTGTAGGAAAACATAAACGCGGAAGAAAAGGTTTCATTACTAAGTACAGTTAACGATCCCGGTTGAGGAAAGTCGTTATATTTTCCAATGAGCATTTTGCACTGTCGATATTCGCTTCGAACGAAAATGGAGTCATTTCCAAACGGAAAAGAATCACTTGTGATGCAATCTGCAGGGTATTTTTGAACAGTGTGGCTGGAATAAAGACCAACTAGAATCAAAAATAATTTTATGACTTAATTTGAGTTAACGACTTACGCATAACAAGCCCTGCAAGAAGAAGCAATGGGACGGAAAAATATAAATTTTCGGTTTTGACAAAATGTCGAAAACGTAACATTTTCAAAATTCTAAAAGTGCAGTTATCTCAAGCCTGAACTGCGATTCAAGAATTTTGAAAAAAAATTTGTGATTTCATTATTACGAAGCGTGGGCGGCGCGATCTAAGAAAAAGTTATGAACTCGCCTAGGGACCAGGCGTACTTATTTTTTCAGATTTTTTTTAGACTCAATTATTCTCTATGATCCAAGGATTGTCACAATTGCTTCAGATCGAAAATTGCTCATCGCAATCCTGAAATATTGCGTAATTTGTTATTTTCTCGTATAAACTATTAAATTATTAAACCAATACTAATTATATTGAATAAATGGCCATGCTCGGCCGTTATATGGCCACTTATGGTCGAATTCGGTCGAGTCTGGCCGGAGGACTTCCCGGAGGACCACCCTGGTGGAAAACTAACTGCTGGAAGACCAATATTAAAAAAAATAATAAATAGCCTAAGATACATTAAAATCACTTCTTCGGACCAAAATCCTGACCCCAATGTTTTTCGTTTTTATCTTGTAGCGCAGGTTCTGGGGAGTCGAATGGTATAATTTTATTTGGTCGATTATACTATATTATATCGGGTTCTAGAGCTATAAGTACGTGAAATTAACAAGTACTGAAGCCTCAGAACTCTGAAACTTTCTTTATAAAGTATAGTGATTTTGGGCTCTTTCGAAAGCCCAGCTCAAACTGTGGTTGGGCAGACTTTGTGCGACGTAAAATTTTGTGAAAAAAATTTTGAGTGGAAAGTTTTTTGACTAAAAAAATTTTTCTGTTGAGAATTATCGGCTGCCCACCAACTGCCCAACCACAGTTTGAGCCGGGCTTTCCAATGCTATCCATATGTTCATACTTTCTTTGGAAATTTTTGGAGATACAGGGCTTCACTAGAATTTTTCAATAGGGGCGCCTATGACGTCATTAATGATGACTTAGACCCTTAAAACTATGTGAATCGACTCCTCAGGAGTTGCCCTTTCGAATGAGCATAAGAAAGATGGAGGGCAGAATCTTCTTCCGAAGAAGTGATTTTCATGTATCCTAAGAGGAACAATTATTGCCACTTTTGTCGAGCTTTGGTCATTTTCTGCCGGAGGACCTCCCGGAGGACCAACCTGGTGGAAGACTATCTGCTGGAAGACCAATATTAACAAAAAATAATAAATAGCCTTACAGGAATAATAATTGACATTTTCGGCAAGCTTTGGTCATTTTCTGCCGGAGGACCTCCCGGAGGACCAACCTGGTGGATGACTTACCGCTGGAAGACCAGTTTTTACAAAAATTTCTGGATGACCATACAGGGCGAATAATTGCCATTAATGGCAAGTTTTGGTGATTTTCTACCGGAGGACTTCCTAAAGGACCGCCCTAAAGGAAAAATAACTAATTAAAGACCAACATTTGAGAAAAATTTGAAGAACCGTTTGGACCCTTTTGCTATAAACCAACTATCTCAGGGCAAATATAACAAAAATTGCCTAAACGGTCAAAAAACTTAGGGATGCCATAAATCCATGATAGACACAACAGAAACTGCATGTTTCTAAAAACCGTTTTCTTCGATATTATGCGTAAACAAAGCCTAAACATAAATTAAATTAAGTCTGAGAATCAAAACCGACCCGAAGGGAAGGCCACGCCTGTTTATTAAATTCAGTCAGGAACAGGACGAAGCCGACCCGAAGGGGAGGCCACGCCTTATTATTAAATTCAGTCAGTGACAGGAGAAGCCGACCCGAAGGGGAGGCCACGCCTTATTATTATGTGGGATTCGAGCTACTCAACTTGTTCGTCAGACTGTTTTCAATGTTCACAATATCCTTATTAGGAAATGTTCACATCTGCCTTTTCCACCTGCCACTTCGCTATTACGACTCCGAGTCAGGAGCCGGCATTCTCGATTTTGTAATTTATAATACAGACTACCTTGCCAAACTCGAACAGACTCTGATTGCAGTTCTGAGATCCCACAAATTGGTACCAGTCGCTCCAGAAACGAATCCACGTCAAATTCCGATTGGCCGAGAGATTACGTCATCCTGAAAATAGCGCAACGAAATCCCGCGAGGGTCACCCTTTGAACTAAATAAAGCAAGGGTGTAAAAGCAAGGTACGAGAATCCGGTGTCAACGAATAAAGCTTAATCTTCTTTCTTGCTCGCAAACATGGGACGAGCAACAGAAATCGCAAAAGAAATAGAGATATACGAAAAAGCGCTCACGTACTCGGAAGTTAAAAACGACGCGCAGAAGAAAGCGGACATCGAAAAGAAAATTAGTTCATTGAAGATGAAGTTGATCGCATCCGCAACAGAAGGCGACAACGAAGACGAATTCACCAGAAAAGATCAGAGTGATCTAAGCTCAATAAGGGCCCAGCTCGGCGAAGTGCATCTTTTCGAAGGAGGTTCCTTCGAGGTAACGAATAATTTCATCGCCCGCTGCCAAAAAGTTTTCGACTTATGCGTGAAACCGAATATGAAGCTAGAGAAGGAATTCTTAGTCGGCGTCAAATCACGATGCTCGGTTCACGTGACGCACAGGATGGGAACAAACCAGAAGAACTGGGACGAGCTGAAGAAAGAGATTTTTTCAAATTTCTCCGGTGGTATCACTCCGATTCAATCCCTTCAGCGTGCCCTGAATACTCCATACGACAAAAGAAAGGGGTTCAAGAAACTTGCCACGCAGATAAGCCTCAACTTGGAAGCAGCAAGAGCTACTATAGAGAAAAGCCTAAAGAAACAAGAAATAAAAATGGAACGCGGGAGCAGTTCCAACAGTGGGATCACGGTCGTTTCCGAATTGCTGACGATCGATAAATTCATGGAACATCTTGGGGCAAGCATTATGGCGACAGTAATCCAGGTACACCACAACGAGTTGTACAACTCGATGGCGCCAGTATGGAAGAAAATAGGCGATGCTGGCACGCTGGCGGAGCACGCGGAGTATTATCAGTCACAGACAGGCGGAGGCGAAATGACCACATACTACGGACATCAATCATATAGCCAACGGGGCCGATTCAGAAACAGTGGCCAGAACAGAAACAAAGACTCGAGGAGGGGAAGCCACGGAGAAAATCGTAAGCAGGGCACTTCTGGAGGCGGCCAGAGCAATGTAAAAGGAAACAAATTCTACAATAAGAAGAAGTTCATCAAGAACGAAGCCTACCCGAACGAAGAAGAAGACGAAAAATCGGAAGATAACGATGAAGATTACGATTCAACGGAAGAGCACAGAGAACAAACGCTTTTTATCTCAAACCCTCGGGCGGATTTCTCAGTTAGAGCTGATGCGGAGTGCTACGCATCAGACCCGATTAATAAAGAAGTTAGCACACATCAAGTTTTCGCCGGAAGAATACAGCCTCGAGTCGATACTTTTATCCAATCACAGTCCGGCACATTTGCCTCGCTCAACGCACTGGTTGATACTGGGAGTTCTCTAACGATGATATCGCGTGGAAACATTCCATCACAATTGATCGGCGACACCCAAAATCTCGTCGAATATTCTGCTTCGGCGTACCCAGTTAGTCCATTCGAAGCCGTCTTTGGGAGGAAAGCGTCTCCCCGTGGCATCAAAATTCCCGAAAAACAACTCCGACGAGGCACCCACACACGTCGCCAAGTGATTCCATATCAAGCAGGGCCTTCCGCCTGAATCCTTTATAGTCGAGGTAGTCACCATCGTTTCGTTTCTCAATATATTTTCAAAACTACCAGCGGAAAACCGTCTCGCCGGCAACAGCGTTTTATGTGGCTCAAAACCCTAATCGCCGAGGTAGAATTCTTACTTTCAAACACTCACATTTGTTTCGCCCGTCTAACGCGCAAGCGCCGAACTCAACAACGATCGTCCAACAGCCTAACGAAAAAGTGGGGGGACATGTGGGATTCGAGCTACTCAACTTGTTCGTCAGACTGTTTTCAATGTTCACAATATCCTTATTAGGAAATGTTCACATCTGCCTTTTCCACCTGCCACTTCGCTATTACGACTCCGAGTCAGGAGCCGGCATTCTCGATTTTGTAATTTATAATACAGACTACCTTGCCAAACTCGAACAGACTCTGATTGCAGTTCTGAGATCCAACAATTATATTCAGTCAGGGATAGGGCGAAGCCGACCCGAAGGGGAGGCCACGCCTTATTATTAAATTCAGTCAGGAATAGGGCGAAGCCGACCCGAAGGGGAGGCCTTGCCTTATTATTAAATTCAGTCAGGGATAGGGCGAAGCTGACCCGAAGGAGAGGCTACGCCTGTTTTTTCAATTCAGTCAGGGACGGGGCGAAACCGACCCGAAGGGGAGGCAACGCCTGTTTTTTCAATTCGGTCAGAGACGGGGCGAAGCCGACCCGAAGGGGAGGCCACGCCTTATATTTAAATTCAGTCAGGGATAGAGCGAAGCCGACCCGAAGAGGAGGCAATGCCTGTTTTTAAGTCAGGAACAGGACGAAGCCGACCCGAAGGGGAGGCAACGCCTGTTTATTCAATTCAGTCAGGGACAGGGCGAAGCCGACCCGAAGGGGAGCCAACGCCTGTTTATAAAATTAAGTCAGGGACAGGGGGAAGCCGACCCGAAGGGGAGGCCAGGCCTCTTTATATAATTCAGTCAGGGACGGGGCAAAGCCGACCCGAAGGGGAGGCAATGCCTGTTTTATAAGTCAGGGACAGGGCGAAGCCGACCCGAAGGGAAGACAAGCCCTGTTTACTCTATTCAGTCTGAAACGGGGCCAAGCAGACCCGAAGGGGGGGCAGTCTTATTTGTTTAATACAGTCTGAGACGTGGCAAAGCCGATCCGAAGGGTCGGCCAGTCCAGTTTATTTAATTCCTTCAGGTCACCGATTAAAATAGAATTTGAGGAATTTGATGATGATGGTAATGGATCGACGAGTATATGTCGAATTTATTGCGCTTTCTGACTGAAAATAAGAAAGCAAGTTCTTTGTCCGAGTACAAGTGTTCCACAGAAATGTTCAAATTTCGAATCGAATAAACGTTTATGTCGCCCCTTGTACTTATTTTGGGCTGGAGGTTTCAAATCTGTTAAGAGTTTCCTTGGAAAACTAGGATGGAATGCTCAAAAATAATGCTGAACAAATGTCTATGCAAGACGACACTTTATATGAAGAAACGCGACATCCACGACGATTCTTTCTTCGATGTTGCATATATGAAGGTTTGACCGATGAAGAATCCAGACTCCCATCTTCGAGGATGCATCTTTGATGATGTTTGGATAGAATTGATCTGTGGGAGAAGGCCCCCTCCTCTTAGGCATAGTAACTGGCTCAAATGGCGGACAAAGTCCCCGGGAGAAGTAGTGCAGTGGTAGCACACCGGTTCATGAACACGGAGGTCCCTGGTTCGACCCCAGGCTTCTTCAATACTTTTCACTCGCCTTTGCCTGATCCTACAAACTGGTGAAGACAGTGGGTTGTCTAGGTAGCCAAAATAAATCCTAAGCTGAGATTGACAAAGGGTCACTCAGTAGCTCAGGAGAAGCTGAAGGTTGGGAGGGTTGGTAGGCTTGCAACGGTTGGGGACCGTGGCACCAGACAAAGAACCAAAAACCCAAGGCGGCATATGTAAGACGAGTTGTTAGAGCAGTTACTAGGGGGAGTTGTGGGAGAAGGCCCCCTCCTCTTAGGCATAGTAACTGGCTCAAATGGCGGACAAAGTCCCCGGGAGAAGTAGTGCAGTGGTAGCACACCGGTTCATGAACACGGAGGTCCCTGGTTCGACCCCAGGCTTCTTCAATACTTTTCACTCGCCTTTGCCTGATCCTACAGATCAAAGAAATATGTCATTTACCGAGGATGCAGAAACAAAGATTAAGTCAAGCCTCTCAAACACTCTGATTTCTTGCGATAAATTTATTTTACAATATAATCATTTAAACTGAATCACAGAATAATAAAATCGAGCTTTTCTTCCGAGTTCGTCACTTCTATCATTTTCAGCCCTAAGAACAGTACAAAAATTTCAAGAAGCTTCTGAGAATTCGAAAAGAAGCTGAAAAAGAACACCAACAATCTGCAATCATCACTGAAAGAATTTCACCTCAGTAGTAAGAATTTAGTGCCGGGGTCCGAGCAACATGGATCTTTTTGTTCCCCCCGAGGGTTGAGCCCATTGTTCTCGGCGGAAGTTGACCCTTTGTTCGGACCGATTTTTATCAGACCCTGGCACCTCCTGTTTCTTTTGTTTGTACTGTATAATAATTAAAATTAATATTGCGAAATCAAGCAGCATTTTGTTTGTTATTTATTCTTCTAGAGCTTCTTGAAAACATGAGTTTTTAATCAAAACAAAAACAGTTTGAAGAGATATATAAGAGAGAGACAGAGATAATACGATTGACACTTCAAAATAATAATGACCAATTATTATTATTATTTTTATAATTTTAATTTCAAAAACTTAATAATAATGACATGCTTAATTCTTTTTCTTCAGATTTTTCGATGCCAGGAGGTCAAAGTTTTTGTTGTGTCATACCAGGTTGTCTAGACCCCGAGCCCTTGTACCACAAAACGGCTAGTAGCAACTATTTGAAGCAACACTTCTGTGTCCGATGTAAGTTCAGTGGTTCTTGTGTTTTTTTTCAAGATATTTAACCAAAATTCTGGAGAAAATTGTTCATTATCGACTCATAAAGTCAGCAGAAAATTTTGGTTGAAAAGCAAGAATTTTGTTCTTGAATGCATTCTTGTAAAAAAAAAACATGACTAGAATTCATTTTAAAGAAATATCTGTCGAAAAAGACGATTAAGCAGTCTATCACTTTGAACGGCTCTTTTGGGACATGACAGTGTCCATAAGCTTAGATGAAATCTAGTTTGACTTTAGCTGCGGCAAGCTTTCTCCGACAAGCGGCCAGGGCTATAATCAAATTGTCCAAAGTGGGCTTCAAGGGCGGACAAGTGGATTTGTGCTCCAGGCGCCTAAGAGTTGTTTGCAGAAGCAACGTGCCTTAGCTGCGATCGAGGAGATAATTCGGGTCTGCTTGGCCCCGTTTCAGACTGAATAGTGTAAACAGGGCTTGCCTCCTCTTCGGGTCGGCTTTGCCCCACCTCAGACTGAATTGTCTAATCGGGACTGGCCGATCCTTCGCGTCGGCTTGGCCCATCTTCAGACTGACTTGTCTGATCGGAGCTGCCCCCCCTCCGGGTCGGCTTGGCCTTGTCTCAGACTGAATTGTGTAAACAGGGCTTGCCTCCTCTGCGGGTCTGCTTGGCCCGACCTCAGACAGAATTGTCTAATCGGGACTGGCCACCCCTCTGGATCGGCTTGGCCCTGCCTCAGACTGAATTGTATAAATGGGACTGCCCCCTTCGGGTCGGCTTGGTTCCCTCTCAATTGGATTGAATAAACAGGCCTGGCCTCCCCTTTGGATCGGCTTCGCCCTGTCCCTGACAGAATTTAATAAAGAGGCGTTGCCCTCGGGTCGGCTTCGCCCTATCCCTGACTGAATTAAAATATAAGGCCTGGCCTCCCCTTCGGGTCGGCTTCGTCCTATCCCTGACTGAATTAAATAATAAGGCGTTGCCTCCCCTTCGGGTCGGCCTCGCCCTGTCCCTGACTGAATTGAATAAACAGGCGTTGCCTCCCCTTCGGGTCGGCTTCGCTCCGTCCCTGATTGAATTAAATAAACAGGTGTGGCCTTATTTTCGGGTCGGCTTCGTCCTGTTCCTGACTGAATTTAATAAACAGGCGTGGCCTTCCCTTCGGGTCGGTTTTGATTCTCAGACTTAATTTAATTTATGTTTAGGCTTTGTTTATGCATAATATCGAAGAAAACGGTTTTTAGAAACATGCAGTTTCTGTTGTGTCTATCATGGATTTATGGCATCCCTAAGTTTTTTGACCGTTTAGGCAATTTTTGTTATATTTGCCCTGAGATAGTTGGTTTATAGCAAAAGGGTCCAAACGGTTCTTCAAATTTTTCTCAAATGTTGGTCTTTAAGTAGTTATTTTTCCTTTAGGGCGGTCCTTTAGGAAGTCCTCCGGTAGAAAATCACCAAAACTTGCCATTAATGGCAATTATTCGCCCTGTATGGTCATCCAGAAATTTTTGTAAAAACTGGTCTTCCAGCGGTAAGTCATCCACCAGGTTGGTCCTCCGGGAGGTCCTCCGGCAGAAAATGACCAAAGCTTGCCGAAAATGTCAATTATTATTCCTGTAAGGCTATTTATTATTTTTTGTTAATATTGGTCTTCCAGCAGATAGTCTTCCACCAGGTTGGTCCTCCGGGAGGTCCTCCGGCAGAAAATGACCAAAGCTCGACAAAAGTGGCAATAATTGTTCCTCTTAGGCTATTTATTATTTTTTTTAATATTGGTCTTCCAGCAGTTAGTTTTCCACCAGGGTGGTCCTCCGGGAAGTCCTCCGGCCAGACTCGACCGAATTCGACCATAAGTGGCCATATAACGGCCGAGCATGGCCATTTATTCAATATAATTAGTATTGGTTTAATAATTTAATAGTTTATACGAGAAAATAACAAATTACGCAATATTTCAGGATTGCGATGAGCAATTTTCGATCTGAAGCAATTGTGACAATCCTTGGATCATAGAGAATAATTGAGTCTAAAAAAAATCTGAAAAAATAAGTACGCCTGGTCCCTAGGCGAGTTCATAACTTTTTCTTAGATCGCGCCGCCCACGCTTCGTAATAATGAAATCACAAATTTTTTTTCAAAATTCTTGAATCGCAGTTCAGGCTTGAGATAACTGCACTTTTAGAATTTTGAGAATGTTACGTTTTCGACATTTTGTCAAAACCGAAAATTTATATTTTTCCGTCCCAATATGAAGCAGCAGTTGCATCTCTCGGAGAGAACCCTCGACAATTGTCGACATTCGCCCGAAATCCTGTTCAGGTATCTCATTAAAAGCTTTATCTGTTGATGTCAGGCGAAATAATTTTAATGTTGTTCGAGTCTGAGCAGATGAGCCCTTCGTCGTAAAATCAAACGCTTCTTCAAGTGCCTTGTTTCAAGAAGAAAACGCTGTACGCCGTACGTCTTTGTTCCAGCAGATAGTAACAATGGAAAATATTGAAACGTGGGCGATTCTATTGGCAATTAGCAGTCACGCTACTCTGAGTTTACCGTAGCGTTTCGAAATTTTCGTAATTAATTTTTAGATATCAAGGAAGACTCACCTGCAATAAATATGACTCACAATGTTTTGAATTTGATATAACTTCATTTACAATTTATTCGTTTTATATATATATATATTTTTAATATTGAACAAAAGTTTTGGTTGAGCTTTTACTTCTTTTAAGATTGGATAAGATTGAGGACCTCAATCTATGATTTTGAGGTAGAATTTTTGTCCTCTTATTTTTGACTTAGAAATTGGAATTTTTCTTATTGTGACAAGAAGTTACAGTAATTGAACTTGCTTAACAGTCGTTGGCGTCACAGTTTTCTAGCAAATTTTTAATAGGAAGTTAATGAACTTGAGATAGGAGTCCGGCTATGTACGGTGATAAGGCAGGACGCGTACGTAATTTTATTTTACTACCGCGTCAATAATTAAATTTATATTAAGAGTAAAAAGCTAGGCTTTGGTCGGCAACAAGACGGCAGTGTTTTTGACTTGGACGTTGTCAAAGAGGCCGCCGTTGTTGGTGCTCGTCTCGTCGCGCTCGTCGAACGCGTCCAGGCCGCTCTTGAACGGAGAGGCTGAGAAGCGATGGACCGAGTTGAAAGAACTACTACTGAAACGACAGGTTCAACGACTGTTGTTAGATAGTTATCCCTTGAAGTGCAAGCTCGAGAAGATTCCTCTCGTTGAACCTGTTCCTGAAGGATCTTTGAGGACCCAGGGGATGCCCCTCATACATAGAAGAGCGGAAAGCATGGACAACACGAATCTGAAGGCAGTTGTTAGATGAAATATAAATGCCGCGCTCAAGTGTTTAGAAAGTAGAAACGCCGGAGTTCCAGGCTTAATTCCCTTCTCATTCTGGCATTTTAACATTGTCGGATCTTGGTGATTCCAAATTCTAGCGTTTAAATCTTAAGCATAACACGGCGTTTACTGTAAGTTCGTGCTTAGAATACAATATAGCAAAAGTATTAGATGAATATTCTTGGTACAAATGAAGAATATTGCCTCCGTTGCCCCGGTATATTGGGCCTGGGGTCGGCAACTCGACACTCAAATCTCGTGTCGAGTCGAGTCGAGTCGAGTTCATTTTTCTTCAGCGAGTGTCGAGTCGAGTCGAGTTGTGTCGAGTTTTGAAAATGTAATGATATTCATGATCATGATATACATGATCCAAAATTTTGCCTCGACCGGCTTTCAAAGGTGGTCTACCTCGGAAAATTTTTGAAAGAGACGATGACTTCGGCATTTTTGACCGTCAATGTCACTAATTCATCGCGAAAGATTTCAGCCTAAGTTATGAAAACTCGACAAAACTCGACAAAAACTCGACACAACTCGACAACTCGACATAACTCGACACTCAAATTGACTGTCGAGTCGAGTCGAGTTATCAAAAACTCAACTCGACTCGACTCGACAACTCGACTGTCGAGTTTTTGAGTTGTCGAGTTGCCGACCCCAGATTGGGCTTTGAAATATAAATTTAGTAACAGAAATCTTACGGCGCTCCAGCCTTTACCTCTGTTTGCTACCGAAAGATAAAATTAACAAATGAGTGAAAACACATCTTGCAAATCAACAAGCGAAAAAACGGATGAGTCTAAATACCAATCTTGGTGGGCGTTAAAAGCTTGATTTTTGGTTGTGCTCTGCAATAAGCTTGTGCATTCTAGCGCTTCTAAGAGGAGCACTCCTAGCTGCGAGGCCGTCTTGGAAAGCATTGATAACGTCTTTCTATTAAATAGGCTGCATTTCTGGTATGTTAAAAACACGACGATGATTGGGTACTTATTTGATGGCTAATTTTGTATTGAATGAGGGATTGAGATGCGAAATACTAAAAGACGATAATTACCTGCTGCTGGATTCTGTTGAGGCCTCGGAACCACAAGAGTTGGCCGCTTTTGTGGTTTTCTTCCTTCGCCTGCCCCGAAACATCCATAATGGTCATACGTCGCTGCAATATTTGGCTTCCACGCCTAGGCTCATCGGATCCGATCTAAAAATGTACATTTATAAGAAAATGATTTCAAGATGAAATTCTATTTTTCATGTTTCATGTGATGAGCGCTCGTGAACTTTTCTTTTGGCAGTTGAACAACACTTTACTGGCTATTTTATTTTACAAAAAAAAAACGGGTTTTAACCCGACGTCGGAACGTTTCTATTTTTTTACAATAAGTTCATCATCATCCGAAATCTTTAAGATGATGCACTTGGACCACCGCATATATAAAATTATATGGCCGGCATAAAGAAACCTCGATAAACTCGATTTTTCTTGGAGAAACCAAAAATCTTAATTTTTGGTTTTCAGCTATTTTTTATTATTTACATTGTCCTGATCAACGTTTGTTGATCGTTGGTTGAAAAAAGGACCGGTTTAAAAAATACAAAGTCACTTAGGACAGAGTTGATAAAGCGGGGCCTCCTTCATGGGCAACCTAAATCGGGAAAATGTAGAAAAAACTCTGATGAATGAAGTTTGTACTTACCGCAAGGCCTTTAGGAAGTCGGCTAGCAGGAATGCAGGCAATAAGCTGGTGCCAGACGAGTTCGAAGGCGCCGAGTCCGAAGCAGACAGCCCAATGAATTAGCTTCAAATCTCCGTTGCACGACATCACACTGCCACCGAACAAAACGATGAGGATCTATAAAAAATCTTACAAAATTTTATGAGAAAAAAGTTTTACCTGGACGATGAAAGTACCAATCATAATGCCAACAAAGATGAAGTTGTCGAAAATGCCCTTGAAGACATTTCGCTCACCATGAATTTTTCGGGCGTTGATTTCGTTGAACAACTGCATCAAGACGAAGGTATTGAAGATGATTGTAAAGTGGACAGATGGTCCAGATGTGAGGCCAGCGCCGATTCCGCTCTCGTCAATGCCGAAGAGATCATGTTTGAAGAGGAGCAAGAAAACAACGATGAGCTGAATTCGATGAACGGCTAGAAAACAACCCTAATAATACCTGATAGACTGAATGTCCAAGGATGTTTTTCGCCATTTCTCTGCTGATAAGTGGAGAGTCTCGACCGTAAGGCTAGCAACTGTTAAAAGATTGATAGGAGTAAGACTTTACCTTTCTGAGAAGAAGGTCCTCAGTTGGCGGTTCAGTGGCAAGAGCAAGAGATGCAAATGTATCCATGATCAGGTTGACCCAGAGCATTTGGACAGCTTTGAGTGGCGGATCCTAATGAATACGAATCAATCGATCATGATGCTTGATTTGAGTCGAACCCGTAGGAATATAATTAAATCCTTAATCTTACGTTGATAATGGCTGCGGAGAAGAATGAGACAACAACAGCGACAACATTGACGGTCAGCTGGAATTGAAGGAACTTTCAAAAATTGGCAAAATGAACTCAAGAGAAACTACATATTTTATCAAGTTGTATTTCTGCTCAACTTTCCTTAGCGATACTATCGTATACATTGCGTCCCCACATGACAGCCTTCACAATGGAAGTGAAGTTATCGTCTGTCAAGATAATGTCGGACGCCTCTTTCGCTACGTCAGTACCAGCAATGCCCATCGCGAATCCAACATCAGCCTTTTTAAGTGCTGGTCCATCATTAGTTCCGTCTCCCGTAACAGCAACAACTTCCCGATTTGAAGATATCTTTGAGTCGATGATGCCTTTGACAAGAGTATGCTTATCCGTTGGCGAAGATCGGGCGAGGACTCGAAGATTAGGCCAGACCTTCAATAGTTTTTTATATTTCCTCAGAAACAAGACGTACCTGATCAAGAAGACTCTGTTGAACAACGCCATTGCCATCTCTGATTCGCTGATTGAATTCCTTGCCATCCATGACAGTATATTGAGAGTCAGGCGAGAGAATTCCGCATTTCGTAGCGATACTTCTTGCAGTAGCAACGTTATCACCAGTGACCATTCGCACAGTGATACCAGCTCGCTGACATTGAGCGATGGCCTTTGGCACTTCAGGGCGAACTGGATCCTCAATACCAACGATGCCAATTAGAGTCAATCCGCTGATGACTGCTGCTTCATCTTCCCAATCAGCTGGTGCTTCACCAGCGGGGAAATGTCGGTATGCAAGGCCGATCGTTCGGAGGGCATCATCAGCAAATGGGCTGATGACATTTGAAACAACGTTTTCTCGGTCAGTTGAGCCAAAGGGAATAGCTTCACCATCACCGTTGAGCACAGAGCTGCACTTTCTGATGATGATTTCGGAAGCTCCCTTTGTGTACATTGTGAAGCTTCCATCAGCATTTTTGATGATAGTTGACATAGATTTTCGAGCAGAATTGAAAGTAAAGACTTTGAAAAATTTCTCTTCGGGGTGAATTCGTCGAACCTAAAAGAAAATAATGAGAATCTCAAAATGAGATTGAGAAGTTGTCTTGGAATACTTTGGATAAGCTCCTTTTTTCTGTCAAAGGTGAGAACGACTGAATATACAATTTTGCATATTGAAGCCTATTAATAAGCTTAAAGAGAGGGGTCAGCGTCCTCTGGGATTCGATCATGGCTTGAAATGATTGGTATCCACTTACATCATCATACTCCCGACCAAGGGCAAGGACGAAACCAAGGAGCGCGCACTCGGTTTTGTTTCCGACTTGGATATCCTGACCTTCAGTTTGACGCATGATCTTCGAGGTATACGAGGAGTTTATTGAGATACACGAGACGAGCGGGTCAATAAGTTTGCTCGTAACCCCGCTTTTAGGAGCTACATTGTAGACGTGACCGCCAAGGCAGCTTCGTACGACCGTCATTCTGTTCGTCGTCAGCGTTCCAGTTTTGTCGGAGCAAATGATCGTTGCATTTCCCATGGTCTCGCACGCATCTGAAAGTAAAAGTTGACCTCTTGTTCTATACTAATCTTTGATCATCCGAAGAAAAAGGATTTTAAGACTTATATAGCGGTCAATAGCTTTTGCTCAATGATAAATATCATATGCATCATGTGTATGTATTTTGGCTGAAAAAATGAACTATGAGAAAAAAATTGTTTTGCAGACATATTTTATATATTTTTTATTAAGACGTCTAATCGAAAATGTCGGGTAGATGACTTAAATGTCGGTTAGATTACCTAAATGTCGGACAAGGTTATTGTCAGCCATCATCTTCTTGACAGAAAAGGCGAGGGAGATAGTAACAGCAAGGGGAGACCTTCGGGTACAGCGACGACCAGAACAGTGACACCAATGATGACAAACTTGAGGATGTATTTGAAGTAGATGTACGCGCATGCCGGTCTCTTGTCGAGGCATGCATAGTTATCACCAGATTGAGCAGTGTAGTATTCGTCATCGTCAGTGCAATTGCTATTCATGAAGTCGTAGTTGTCGTCCGTTTCCGTATTCAGTCCGGTAAAGCCAGAAAAGTACATGAGTTTGATGATAAGAACGAGCACAGTGAGAGCAGCAACCCAGATTCCCATCTTTCCGATCAACAAAGCCATGTTTGTAAGTTTTGCCTGAAGAATTGACTTGTCTTCTCCATCATCTCCTTCTCCTCCAGCAGTAAGTTTCTCAGTTTCTGCGTTATCCTTAGCATCGTTGGTCTGGGCTTTTGCATCTGAAAAAATACTAAGAAAATGAAAGACTCTGATATTATCGATAATCAGAGAAAAGTCTTTCAAAAAAGCATCTTTCTTGGAAGAAAAACAAGGAAAGAATTAACATTGATAACAACAAAGACTGACAAGGACAGGAAATAAACCTGGATCTGGAAGCGTTTGCACTTGTACTTTGAATAAATAACATTTGAGAAACGAAATATTAATAAAGTTCTTGTGTTGAATAAGGGATTGAAACGAACCCTTCTGGGATAGCATGAATAAAATATTCCAGTAGAATAATGTTGACTTTTCCCCTATTTACTCATACTCGAAGCAAAAGAGTTTTTATGACCTTATTATGGTCAATTCATATTCCATCATATATAATTTCCCTTGAGGGACGAACTTATAGAATCTATATTGTGTATTGAATAATTTAATCCCTAACACCAGCAGGCTACATAAGTCATAAAAAACAACTACTCTAATTCTTTTTAAACTACTAAGTTTAAAGTTTGAATAAAAACTCACCAGCAGCCGGGTTTTCAGCATCATTTTTAGCCATTGGCTCGTCAGAATCTGCACCAGCACCGAGGAGCTTGAAGATTTGTCCAGATTGTGAGTTTTCGCCAACACAAGTGACGACCATTTTTCCTGATCCTTCCATGACATGAGTTCCGGAAAACAAAAGAGGATCTCTTTCCACGGATTTTTTCACGTGATCAGATTCACCTGTCATTGCGGATTCATCGATTTTGAGATCGTTTGACTTTTTCAAGTTTGAATATTATTCCAAAACTGTTGTTTTAAACATTTTTTCAGACTAGTTCCTGAATGATAACTCCATCAGCAGGAAGTAAGTCGCCATATTTAATCTGGCAGATGTCTCCCACGACAATGTCGGCTAAACAGAATATGAAATGTAAATATGTCGGTGTTATATGTTTTATTGGCTACAAATTGTGCCATATTGTGGCATAGATCGATCGATCTTCCCATGTCAGCTTCTCGTCAGTTGCTGATTATTGCTGATATTTTTCAGTAAATAAAATGCCAAAGTGAAAAGAAGGAAGAAAATAGGCGAGCCAAAGGGAGACCGATCGATGGGAGCAAAAATAAAACAGCGCAACAAAATGTTTCATCATTAAAATTGATTAAGACACTTCCGCAAAAGATAAAATTTATCAACGAAATTCGAAACTTTCGAAATGTCCGCATTTCTTACCGATGGCGATTTCGATTGACTTGTTGCCTCTGACGACCGTGAAAACTTGATCGGACTCGATCTTGTCTTGAAGTCCTCGGAACTGTTTCTCCTTGGTCCAATCATTGAAGGCCGTGACGACGACAACAACGATGACTGCGAAGAGGATGGCACCACCTTAATCAAGTGGGTTAATGCAAGTCGCCCTTGGAAGTTGATTTACAGTCGCATATCTTGTTTGACCTAATCATGCCTGGTTAATGGGGAGCCAAGAATCGCACTTGATTGCTCCCCAGGGCGAGGGCGAAAAAGCATGGCTTCATTTAATCCGCCAAATATAAGCTCAAAAGGCAACGGCGTAATTAACCGCTGGCCTAAGGACGTATACCGCGGAAATGAGAAGCGAGCACCGGCACTTTACCAAGACAGTAGACGACTTCATTCATCCAGTAAATAATAAGAGGCTTACCTTCGATAAACTCGATAAATGGATTGTGATTTTTGCTCTTTTCATCCTTTGCATATGATTCTGGTACGCAGTACAGCTGCGTACTCGTTGAAAAAGTCACATTTGAGCCAGTCGCTACAGATTCCTCTGATGTCTTCTCTCCACTCCCGACAAATCCGACGATTGCTAGAATTATTGACACCAGTGCAGCAACTAGAATTGCTCGGTTATTTGGACTCCGGATTGCAGGATAGCTCACCCATGAGGATAATTAGTGTAATTTCTTGAACGGCTTCCCACATGAGCTGTATGAATGTTTTTGGCTTCTTGGGTTCGATATAGTTTCTTCCAAATGCTGCAACGCGCTGTGAAATGTCCCTCTCGTCATCTGTAGACAGGCCAGACACGGGGTCGACTTTTAGCTTTTTACAAATTTCTTCAACACCGCCGATTTCCTTGACTTTGTCGAGGCCCTCAGCTCCGCGCAGCCCCATGAGCTGGCGGAGCTCTGCTGTGACGAATCCATAAATCGTTTGGTTCTCAATCTTTGACATATTTCGATAGATGGAGCAAGATACGGCCACTTATTCACTCAACATATCTGAAAGAAAAGGTTAGGGCGGCGCAAAACAATGGTTTTATTCATTCACCCGGGGAGCAATCCAAATTAATAAGAGTTATAAAAAAGTAGTTACGGCCTATAAATTATAAAAGTTAAAGGCTTTCAGGGCGACTTGTCAGTGTTTGACGGGTCACTTAGAGGAAAAAAGTAGCTGCACATTAAAATTTTACTCGCCCGAGGGTGAATTAAGCCCCAAGGGAGGCACTGTCAATGTGCAACCACCAAGATTGATAAGAGCACATGAGCATATCCGTGGTCTATCCCTGGCTCGGGCCAAAAACAATGTCTCTATCGGCTACAAAAGATGCTCTTGTGCTCTGTCTTCTCAAAATTATTGAATATTTTTCACAAAATGATAGGTCTTTTGGTCTCTCTGATAGAAAAATGTTGACTGCTTCTACCTAAAAAATTATATGCGGCTAAGAATTTCTCGTCTACTCCTACCGCTTGAAAGTAAAAGGTCTCTTTCGTCGTAAAAGATGTTTTGCTGCTGTTCTCTTTTTTAACGTAATAAATAGTACTACGGAGCCATTGCCTTTTTTATGAAATCAACTGGAGAATTCTAATTTCGCGCTCATTCAATGATGAAGCCCTCATTTATAATTCACTTCGAAAAGCTTTTCTAATAAAGACCTTTTTATTTTGACCGAGTTCTAAGCAAATTTGAAGGCGGTGAAATATTAATTGACGTCGTTTAGATAAAAACCTTGTATTTTCGCCGATTTTCGCCCATTTGTACTGGTAATTTTTGACTATCTCTTTGTTGAAAAAAATCTATTCTCCGTGCTCACAGAAGGTATCAAAATAAGTCTTAGTATTTTCTTTGTGTTCGTTAATATCTGTTAAAATGAGAGATGCAACACACAATCTACAGAAAACTGCGTGATGGGATTTAACTGCATCATCTTGCCGGAGGCTTGTGAGGCCATGCGCGGCCATGACTCGCGCGCGCCCTCAGTAAAAAGGAGGAAAATAGTAGCCAAGTATTTTTGCATAATTTTCCATACAGAACCTACAGGTTCAAAAGGATCAACAATTTTCACTCGCAATGTGGTTTCAAATCTGAAGTAAAAGTACCATTATTACGATGATTAAATTGAAGGGATTAGATCTACCGGCAAGGAGGCACATTCTCATCCTTCAGAATGTCAGCTAATGTCAGGTCATGTCGCCACTAATTGGCCACTGAAAGGGACGGTACTTATCCGCTTTACTGCGGGACGACGCATCAGCGAATTTCAGGCAAATGAGGGGATCAGCGTCTACTTAGGGGCCCAGATTTTCGCCGGGCCTCGTACCCGCCACTCAGCCATTTCACCGCGATTCCCGGCCGTCACCACCAAAGTAGCTTTCTGGACGGGCAGCGACGTAAGCGTGCCCGGAGCCGATTAGTAAGCCGGATTAGAGCGTTATATGCACACAAATGCTCTATTATTCCGCATTTACATCATTGTCGCAAAATGCACTCTTATGCTTGACTTTGACTTTAAATTTTTAAAAAGCAATTATGATCGAAAAGACCGTCTCCAAGAAGCAACAAAAAGTTAATCCTTGCTTGACTGGACTACGCCATATTAACCTGTTTCGTAGGGTTTGTCGAACGCGTCAATCATATACGCCACAGTCGGGATATAGATGACAAGGCGAATTCTCAATGAAGTGGGACAGATTCTCTAATAATTGCTGGTTTTATTGTCCGAGAGTCTCAGAAAGCGTGGGGGCCGCTGGCCAGCCCTGCTGCTCAGTCCGTCGAGACCTAGTGGATATTTGGATATGGAGAATTATGCGCCGGTTTCAAATTGGAATTGATTTTGATCTCAGGTATCGATGTGCTCCCCTCGGGCTCCGTCAGAGCTGGCCTCAGAGGATAAAAATGAACGTTTCTACAACTGGCGCTTATAAAATTGAGGACTTTCTAGAGGACTTGCTAGTTTATAACCTGATTGAATCGAAACTCTTTTGAACTGCTCATTCTTCATAAATAATCTCTTCTATGTCTTCTCGATTTCGAGGGTACCAAATAATTAGGTCCTATTATCTCTTTTGCGCCCAATGATTAGGGCCTAATCAGGTGCGTCAGAATCGACGAGGACGTAGACGTTTCTGTTTGTACTGAGCTGGGACACACGCCTGGGGCAGCACGCGATCCCATAAATTGAAAAGCTGAAACAAACCGCCCTCTTGGGTGAATGGAACGAGCCGCCATCGATAGAGAAGTTGTTAATTTCCGTAATGAAACCCCAAATTCCAAAATAGAGAGCACCGAGCTCTATAAAATATTTGCGTCGTCAAACGTCAAATGCACGGATGGACTAGAGAATTCAAAAATCTGTACCCGATGAATAATTTAAATCTTTAAAAAAGCGCGTCCCTCTAAACAAAAATAGCGCATGACATTGCTTGCTAATGAAAATCGGCTCACCTGGTGATCAAGGCCAAATTGAACTAACCAACTTAGTTGATAACAATTAAACTAATGATCTGCGTTCTAGAAACAATATTATGTAATTGTAAAACTACTATGTCGACCTTAAATTTTCATTGATATTTGAAGTGAAAAATGCTGCTACAAAGATTATTTCATCCAATTATGCCCTTGGGCAAATTCTAGCTTACATTTTGAAACAGTCCAAAAAGCAAAAGATGTTGTTTCTTCTCAGAAATTTGAGGCATTTGAAAATATTACTGTTTTTAGTTATATTTTCATTTTGTTATTGCATATATTTTTATCGAGAAAGCTTAGAAGATGAAAGCAAGAAGAAGCCACAAAGGATCTCAAAGTATGAAATTTACAATGAAGCTAGTGGACATTTGGATAAAAGAAGAACCTACAAAATATACAAAAATCGGCAAGAGATTGAATCAAGGGGCAACTTTTTCATTGCTACGATCCTAGACAGTAGCAAAACTCATTATCTACGGGTTCTCCGAGAGTCCCTGGACCAAATTATCACGATTTCTGCCGCTATTCTCGTCAATGACTTGACCGAAATGCAATCAATCGAAGAGGAATTCTCCCAATCGAACGTTCGAGTTAGTTTTTTAACACAACAAGAACCGGTTCAATCAGAAGATTCTTGGTTTCCAAATAATTTGCTACGAAATGTAGCGCGTAATTTGACAACAAGTTGCGCACATTTCCTTCTGATCGATGTTGATCTGTCGATTTCGCCGGGTTTTGAGGGACGATTAGGCAGGGGCTAAGCTTGTCATCTCGGAACATTACCATTACAGTAAGTCTAGCCCGCAGAAAACTTCTTGGAAAGTAAAAGCTCTTCAATCGATGAAAAAGAGCTCTTTTTAATTCCAGTATTTGAAAAAGAATCGAAAGAAGAATCTGCCCAGAACTTTCCGCAACTAGAAGAATTTTATCGAAATGGAAATGTTAGAATGTTCCATGCCTGGTGCACAGAATGGTGCTATTCATTTTATAACTATGAAAAATGGTTCGAAGAGACATCAAAGAACTCAGAAATCGCCAGGGTCGGCTACGAAATCAAATACAAGCTGAGCTTCGAACCTTATTACATCGGCCGGACTAATTCTACTCCATTTTACGACACGCGCTTTCAAGGTATAAATCCCTCTCCTCTCAATATGCGAATATTTTAGGATACGGATACAACAAGGTGATCCAGTGCTACGAAGCAGCCCTCCAGAATTACTCCTTCAAAGTGCTGACCTCTGTCTGGCTGACGCACGACGGAATTAAAAACGAGACAACCGGCTCTGGCGCTGATCAACAAGCCTTCAACCAAAAACTTTTCAATCTTGCCAAGAAAGAACTGAAGAGTAAATATGCCCTGTTAAAACTGTAATAAACACACTGGTTCTGATACATTGACGGGTTTTATTCGAGAATGAAACCTGAGCAAATGCTGGCAAAGAAAAATTGATTCTAAATTGAAAGGGCAGTCTTGAGCAGATCTAGAATATTTTCTAATTTTTGGTGGAGAATGGAGATAAATGGTAGGTGTTCGGCAACGATGGTCGAACTTCTAAGTGTGTGTTGAAGACTAAGGTAATGGCTTTTTGAGGATGAGAACTGTTTCAAATTAAATCGCTGATGATACATGGTATAGAACGAATTCAATCCTTTCCTAATATTTTTAATAGGGTCTTCCGCCGCCGCCGTATCCACCACGGCCACCTCCACCGCTGTAGCCACCGCCTCCTCTTGAACCGCCGCTACCGTAACCTCCTCCTCGGCCACCACTGCTGCCGCCTCCTCGGCCTCCTCCAAATGATCCGCCTCCACCACGGCCTCCTCCGGAGCCGCCGAAGCCTCCTCGTCCTCGTTTCATTGGTCCTCCGCCGCCTTGGCCTCCTCCAAAGCTTCTCTTCTGTCCTCGACCTCCTCCGCGGCCACCACCAACTGGTGCATCGTGAGAGAGTTGGACGAGCTCCGGTGGAACGAGCTGACCAGCTTGTTCAAGCAATTTGATCAGAGCAGCAGCGTGTTTTGCGTGCTTCGAAGTGATGAAACTAAAAGACGATCATTTGAAGTTTATCAATATTCAACTTTACCTGATGGATTTTCCCTTGTTCTCTCCACGCGCAGTGCGCCCGATTCGGTGAACATAATCTTCAACCTGGCTTGGGAAATCGTAGTTGATAACGGTTCCAATATCATCAATGTCTACAACGCAGTTTAAGAATCAAGTCTAAGATGGGTAAAAGCGAGGAACGCCAAAACACATCAGTGTCGCTTATCCGCTTTATTTTTGCACCCTATTCGCTTTTTGAAATTTCGATTTCGCGGTAATGAGATTGATAAATGAACCGCGATTCAATGACTTGTAAAATTTACAGGGGAAGTAATAATGATCTGGGTACAAAAACGTTTTGCGGACAAGAATAAGGGGACACAGTCAGTAGAACACGCGGAACAAAATTTATGCAAAGAGCTCATTGTCACCCTGATTATTTTTCGGGTAGAGGATAGTGTGGATAACTCACCTTATGATGTGATTGAAGTGTCTAAAATTCATGTTTACGTGAATTGGGGCACATTTTTGGGGACAATGAACCGCAGTGAGTTTGTTCAAAAGTGGTCGCGTATTCGTTTGATTGTGACTCATATCGACACCAATGGCAAAATTCTAGCGCTCAACGGCAGTACCTAAATAACAATTAAATGGGTTGACAGAAAGAAAGCTGAAAGAATAGAGCATCCTGGGCGTAAAAAAGTGTCACTCAGAGTAAATCAAATAATTTACGAATCGCCCGGGGCAGGCCGTTCGTTGGCCGCAGGGGCGAGCATTGGATTTCCGAGTTTTCACCGCCCTAGAATATCGCGAGTTTCAACTTGAAAGTGCAATCTTGCTTGCTTGACTTTCAGAAGAAGTGCGCGAAAGATAGTCTTTCAGGACATGCACGGATAAATGGAAGTATGACTGGGAAAAGGAAAACTAACCAAGACCACGCGCAGCTACATCTGTAGCTACAAGCACGTTAATGCGCCCGTTTCGGAAATCCATGAGTACGCGTTCTCGCTCGCGCTGATCTTTGTCGCCGTGAATGGCGGCGCAGCGCACTCGTCCGTTCGACATGGTGTACGCCAAGTTGTCACAGTCACGTTTTGTATCTGTGAAAACCAATATCTAAAACATTCCCGGTACAAACCATTTGCTTGCCATGGCTACTCACCTTTTTCGAAGTTATAGTCTGGAACCAGTAATTGAAGCGCATTGGCTTGTCGAAGTCGTTGACGACTTCAACGATTTGCTCAATGTTAGGGTTAGCAGTAAGCTCCTGGTTTCCGATGAAGATCTGGGTAGGCGTCTTCATGAAGTCAGCAGCGAGCTTCTGGATTTCCTTCGGCCAGGTAGCAGAAAACATAAGCGTCTGGCGATCTTGACGGATTTGACCAACAATTTTCCGGATTTGTGGTTCGAAACCTGAAATTCAAGGTGAATCATAGCTCAAAGGGAAAATTAACTTACCCATGTCCAGCATTCGATCGGCTTCGTCGAGAATTAAGAACGTTGTTCGATGAAGATTTGTTCGGCCTGTTAATAGATAAAGAAACTGTCTTCGTTAAAGGTAGGCCTTCTATGATTTCAATATCCTTTCCTGAATGAATAAGATCTAGAAGACGACCAGGGCAGGCAACAACAATATGAGCTCCCTTGTCGAGCGCGCCAATCTGCGAACGCTTATCGGCACCACCGTAGACAGCGACTGTATTGACGCCGCAAGGTCGACCGAACTGCTCGGCAACTTCCTGGACTTGCTTAGCAAGCTCACGAGTAGGAGCGAGAATGACGGCAACTGGTCCATCTCCAGGACGAAGGTCTGGCTGAGCCATAATGTGAATGATAGCGGGAAGGACAAAGGCAAGGGTCTTTCCAGAACCAGTTCGAGCGATTCCTTGCATATCTGCGCCGGACAGAGCTAGGAAAATCAATCTATTCGGGTCCGTTCAAAGTGAGCTTACCAATTGGCCAAGATTGCGACTGAATAGTAGTGGGGGTCAAATAGTTAGCAGCGGAAATTGTCTGCATGAGATAGTCAGGAATGCCAGCTTCGAGGAACTGCAGGATGGGCTTGAAATTGGCCGGTCCTTGGACGTAAACTTCCTTCTGCGATCGCCACTCCATTACTTCTGCTTCAGATCGATTCTGGACAGCTTCGCATTCTTGGTAGAACTCTTTGACGATTGGGATGAAATTTGCAACACTGTTGTAGTCGACCGCCTTCATGCCAGAGAAAGAGTCGCCAGTGTTCCATCTGTCGCCAGAAGATCCGCCGCCGAAGCTGCCATAACCTCCGCCGCCGCTTCCGCCACCGTATCCTCCTCCGCCGCTTCCGCCACCGTATCCTCCTCCGCCACCACCGTAGCTTCGACCTCCCCCTCCGCCAGAGCCTCCATAACTTCGGCCGCCGCCATAGCCACCGCCTCCTCCCCCAGAGCCTCCGTAGCTGCGACTTCCGCCACCGCCACCACCGTAGCTGAAATATTTTTTGAGATCTTTTTTTAAATCACATTTTAAAAATGAAATGCTGATTTTCATTTCAAACGCAAATAAATAAATTTAAAAGAATATGACGATCATTTTTTAAAATAAATTACCTTCGGCCTCCGCCGCCGCCACCATAACCACCTCCGTTTCTATCTCCGTATCCCATTGTTCTTCCTTATCTATTTCTCGTTATCACTGCAATCGGAATTAAGGGAAATCAGTTTTCGAGTCGAAAACAATCGGATTCGAGCCGTGGACTTGCTCGTCGGACTTCGAGCAGCAGAAGGCGTCGAGAATTGCTCCAGGGCAACCAATCCAAGAGCGTGAGCGCGTGTAGGCGCAGCGCACTTTTTTGCGCTCAAGGAACGATCCAAAATCGAAATCGCGGAAAATCGCGAGAAATGGAGAAAATTGAAAAATGCACTCGATGAGTGTAAAATTGAAATAAATGTCCAACTCAATTGAGTTTCTTTAGAGAAGAAAGAATATTTAAAATACGATAAAATCAAGGACTATTGAAAAAACTTTGAAGAATCTCTTAACACATTTACCGTCAATATGTATCAGTTTTATTCAATATTATCCATGTGTGCATAAATCTGAGTTTATCATACTTTCGTGAAATTACGCCAAGTCTGAGGAGTCTTCAGAAAGTCCATGAACCCCCAAAAATAGATTTGAACCTACCTACTGATCAAATATTTGCTCTACCTTCTCGTTGACCGCTCTGTCTCCTTTTATCTCCCACAAATTATCCCATCTTTTCTACGACTATCATGAAACTTCTTCCCTTTTTCGCTGGTCTTTTGAACTTGTCCGAAGCAGCTACAGTTGCTCCTTGGCCAGCTCGACCTGATCGACCAGAGCTTCCAGTGTAAGTCGAAGAGTTAATTCATTATCAGAGAAATAAATCCTCGTTTAGTAATTGTCCGAGAAATGTGCAGGTTGAAATCTGCTACACGATGTGCCAGAGTCTCATTTGCTGGGAATATCCTTTGGTTCACTACCGCCGTCGACGAGCTATCGACGAGAAGATGATGCAGCTCACTGACGAGCAAGTTTCGTGCTTCAGCTCGAATAGTGTTCCCTACTGTAATGCCAAACATGGACTTTCTTTTGACCCCCTTGCTTAGAATGTTGAATAAATATTCTGTTCCTCCCTTTTATAAAATGAATCAGCAGCAATGTGACCTGGTCGACCACAGTTATAGCAAACAATATTAGACAAAATGAATCCATCTGAAATGAATCCTGAATCCATTTTCTATAAAATGTTTTATAGAAGGAAGCACAAGAATTGAAAATGGGAATTCTTGAAAAAATCGCCGATATCGAGGCCGAAATGGCCCGAACGCAGAAAAACAAGGCCACCGAGTATCACTTGGGTCTGCTCAAGGGAAAACTTGCCAGGTTGCGAGCAGAATTGATGGAGAATCAGACGAAATCATCCGGTGGAAAGGGTGAAGGTTTCGATGTCATGAAGTCGGGTGACGCGAGAGTTGCCCTCATCGGTTTTCCATCTGGTAAAGTCATGTCTTTCTCTGCTTTATATCCATTTGAATTCAGTCGGAAAGTCGACTCTCTTGTCTCTCATCACCAAGACTACCTCTGAAGCCGGAGCGTATGAATTCACAACGTTGACTTGCATTCCCGGAGTCATCGAATACAAAGGCGCGAATATCCAACTTCTCGATTTGCCCGGTATCATCGAAGGAGCTGCCCAAGGAAAAGGTATTCATAGACCTCCCGTTCCTCATCTCACAAGAAAATCCAAGGTCGTGGTAAACAAGTAATTGCGGTGGCTAGAACAGCTGATTGCGTCGTGATGCAAGTTGAAGCGCACAAAGCTGAAATTCAAATTCCAAAATTGACGCTTGAATTGGAAGCTGTCGGAATCCGTTTGAATCAGGTTCAGTAAGATTTCTTTACGCCAGAAAGTCTTATTGTCGAATTTAGGGACCCCCAGACATTTACTTCAAGCAGAAAAAAGGCGGCGGTTTGGCATTCAACTCGACAGTAAAATTGACGAAATGCAATCAAAAAATGGTGCAAATGGTCCTCGCCGATTACAAAATCTTCAACGCGGAGGTGCTCTTCAGAGGCGACTATTCTATCGATCAGTTCATCGATGTCGTTGTTGGAAATAGAATTTATATGCCTTGCCTGTATGTCTTCAATAAAATTGATCAGATTTCGTTGGAAGAGGTTGACAGAATCGCAAGAACGCCTAACTCAGGTATCAAATAATAATCATTACTTTAAGATTCACAGTTTTTTCAGTGGTAATCAGTTGCAAGGACAAATTAAACCTGGACTACCTGAAAGATTGCATTTGGGATAAACTGGCGATGATTCGAGTGTTCACAAAGAAGCCAGGAGAGAAGCCGGATTTGAGGGACGAAGAAGGAATTATTCTACGAGGAGGGTCGACGGTGGAACACTGTTGCCATGCTGTGCATAGATCGCTCAAGGCAGATTTTAAATATGCTCTTGTTTGGGGAACATCGGCCAAGCACTCGCCCCAACGAGTTGGCCTCAGGAAGAGTTAGCAAAAAACATAAGATTCGGTATTTTATTCTAGATTAATTTATCGTCAAAAATAAAGCGACAGAAAAGAACTCGATACAGTCATATGTTACAGCACGACGATGTTATACAAATCGTGAAAAAATAACGAAACCACTAGTCTTGCAAATGTCAAATATTCTATGAAGGAGTCTTTCCATTTTCAGTTCAAGTTCCATCACTGGAAACTAGGTTCAATTTTACTCCCCGCTTTACCAAAAATACTTAGACGATATGATTTCGGGACAGTACGTCACCGTCGACGGCCACGAAGGCTACTCGATCGTCCAAGCAGCAGATTCAACGCAAATTCCCGTAACGCTCATTCCAGAAACGACGCCTTCCGAAGCGCAGATTCAAGCCGATTCTGGTACGGTACAAATCACTATTTACCGGACATCCTAAGACTGTTTTGAAGGAATCACTGATGAAAATCTAATAACGATTTCTGCGCGGGAAGTGAACCAACTCGCGAGTCATCTACCGCCCGAGCAGATAAAAATTCTAAAGCAACGGCGAAGGACGCTCAAGAATCGCGAATATGCAGGTAAAGTCAAGCTGTTCTTTTCATCTCATAAAAGAACTTTTCTTAAAGCTGCCTGCAGAAACAAACGGTCAAATCAACGAGAAGACCTCAAAAACGGCTGCTCCTTGCTGAATAAAAAAATTTCGTTGATCGACGACCAAAATGAAAAGCTTAAAAATTTATTGCTCAAGGCGACGCAGAACTTTCCAAATGTTCGTCTTCCACAATTTCTAGAGGAAATAGACAGTCAAATGGTCGTCCTTGATATCGTAAAAGAAGAAAGTTGATTCAAAAGTGATAATTATGTTACATTATATGTTATATTTATGTATAAATATTCCATTTTTCTTTCTCATCCTATTTTTTACTGCCTTATTAAATCTACCAGTCCAATTTTCTTGAAAAGGTTGTTTTTATTGGGATTAGATTTTTATCGGCTTGGCGGGTTACCCCACGAACTAAAAACCGTTCCTATTTTTGTCAAAAATCTGTCTATCCACCACACTTCCTCAAAACACCTGGCCCAAGTGCGCCATCGTCCAGCGATTTTACGCGAAAACAGCCAGCCAAACACTCATTCTACTGATTTTAATTTCAGAGATACCACGGAAGAAAAAAAGTCGTAGGACATGCAGTCCGAATACGGCAGTGACGAAGAAGGTTACGTGGGCCTTCAAGAGCGATTGAACCGGATGGCGAACAAGACTCCCGACCGGTTTAAGAGGACGCCAGCTCTTCAACCGGACAATGGCCAGGCTCAACGGAGAGGTGCCACACGGGCGCGAAGGTAAACTGATCTGACGAAACTGAACACCACTAATCTTGCTTTTAGCCCGAAATTCGCCACAAACCGCCGTGCCCAACTGCGCGGTGCTCGAGAGGAGAACCGGCCTGCTCTCAAGGAAAAAACAAAACGACGAGCTCGGGTAGGCGCTCCTCGTTTGCAAACTGCAGCGCGGGGCGAATTTCACCCAAAACCAGAGCCCGAGCAGTTCGATCATGAATTCAAAGCTAAACCTGCGCCGAAATTCAAGCAGCCTTCGACCAGGGCTAGCGTCAGATCGAACAGCTCTATCGCTAGTGGTAGAAAAGTAACACAGATTGAGCCTTTCTCATTCGATGGCCGGCCGAGGACAAGAGCGAGAAATAACGAGTCAAATGCATCTTTGCAGACGACAAAAGAAGAGGTCGCTCATGCGCCAGGTATATCCTCTTTCTTTGTCCAAATCTAACCTATTACTTTCAGGAGAGCTTCCGGACTACCAGAAGCTCCGTAAAATAGGCACTGGAAAGGTGAAGGCAAAGGAAAAAACTCGTCCCGAAGCCTTCGAGTTCCGCACATCAAAACGTGCGGAATTCAAGCCGACGCCAGTTGAGCCAAAGGTTTTCACTGGGCGGCGGCTGACAAGCGACGAGTCAATGAGAAAAGCCTTGCTTGGTCATACAGTAAAGCAGATCGCAAAGAGGGAGTGCACGGTTCCAGAAAGTGTAAGTTTTTGCTCTTTTGTCCGTTTCTTATGATTTTCTTTAGCCTGGGTTAAACTCAAAGGCACGAGCGAGATCCAGAAAAGCTTTCGACGATGCTCTCGACGCTCGACGCAAGCTCGAAGAAGAAGCGAAGCTAGAAAAAGAAAGAATCGAAAAGGAAGAAGACGATCTACGCTTGATTGAAGAGAGAAAGGCACTTGTGCACAAACCAACCGCGATCAGGGGCCAAACGCCACCGCCAGAGCTTGATCTTGGCGACAAAACTTTGACAATGGTAAATTTTTGGTTGAAATCAAGAAAGACTAACACATTTTAGCCTGAGTCGCCAAAGTTCCGGACATCCGCCCGTCTCCGGGCAAGAAAAAACAAGCAGAAAGACGACTCTGCCATGGAACTGTAAAAAGAACACATCACAAAAAAAAATCACCATCACGAAAAAAATAAACAAAAATTTCACATTCTGCCCATTTACACTTTTCACATTCCCTGTACCCTCCCTTCTCACTGAAACGCACACAAAACTTGAACACGGACGTGTTCTTGTCGCTTCCATTTACTACACACTTTTTTTTTCAAAATAAATTTCGCCACCTTGGTGAAAAAAAAATATCTTGTGTTTTCTATACAGAATGTCTCAAGGCTTTTACGAGTTGCTAGCAGCTTTGAGCTCGGAAGATAATGGAATTCGCAGTCAGGCAGAGGAGAAATATGCGTCTATAAGTGGAGAGCAGAAATTGCAAGTGTTGCTGCCTGCCATAGCTGATTCCGGTCTAGGCGATACAGCTAGACTTCTTGGTAAATAAAAGTACTTCGGCAGATCATGACTAAATTTTAAAGCTTCCGTTCTTCTCAGACGAACAATAACAGTTCAATGGGAAGATTGCTGGCAGCCCCTTAGCGCAAATGAAACCAGTAACGTCAAATCGAATCTCCTTCAAGTTCTTCATAATCTGGTCTTTGGAAATGTTCCAATGAATGTTATCGTTACACGTAAGCTCGTCGATGCTGTGGCTGAATTAGCAAGACGATTGATAGAAGACGCAGCGGAATTGAACTCCCCTGAACATGTTTGGCCAGAGATTCTCCAATTTCTATTTCAATGCGCGCAGTCCGAAAATGTCGAAGTCGCGCTTAATTTGATCCTCAACTGTCCGAGTATATTCGGACCTGATTTGGAGAAATATTCTGATGTTCTTAGAGAGCTTCTTCTGCAAAGTATGATGGATGATAAGCCGCTCGAGAGACGAGGGCTTGCTGTCAAAGTTGTCTGTAACATCGGTTAGTTAATCGAAATTCATGAATGTTATCAATCGTTTGTTTAGTTCTTGAAGATCCCGATTCAAAGATCGTCAAATCCCTTCAATCAATCCTCCCACAGATAATTACAACTGTTGGCCAATACTCAGTGCAATGCGAAAACCCAGACGTCCTAACCGCGATTGTCGAACTTCAAGAAGCCCTTCCAAAGTTTATGAAGCCAGCAACAGTTGAGCTACTTCAAATTGCAATTCAAATCGCCGAAAACAGAGATGTAAATGAAGACATCCGAACAATGGCAGTCGAAAGTTGCGTAACTCTTGGTGAGAGTCTTCCAGGACAAATCAGAAAGAAGGCTCCTCAAGCTATCGACAAGCTTTGCCTTGTCTGTCTTCAGATGATGATGGAGATTGACGAAGACCCAGAATGGGCGGATCAAACAGTTCCAGAGGATGACGACGAGGATTTGCCGAATGTGACTGTCGTTGGCGAGTCGAGTTTGGACAGAATTGCTCGATCTCTTGGAGGAAATACAGTTCTCAAATGTATCGCCCCGCAGATTGCTGAACTATTGAAACCTGAAAAAGTCTGGCAAGAAAAGCGTGCTGCTCTCTTAGGTATGCTTACAGGGTTCTCTCGTTTTTATCGATTTATTTCAAGCTCTCTCTGCTATTGCTGAAGGAACAGCAAAATCCATCAAAAGCATTTTACCTGATCTTGTCCCTGCTATGCTCCCATACCTCCAAGATAAACACGCACGAGTCCGTCATGCTGCTTGTAATTGCGTCGGTCAATTGTCAACCGATTTGAGCCCAGAAATGCAAAAAATGTTCCACTCCGAAATTCTTCAAAAGTAACTTCTTCTATTTGTATATGTTTTTATCAATTAAAGTCTCGTGCCTGTCCTCGACGACCCCTGCACTCGTGTTCGAACTCATGCCGGCGCTGCCTTAGTCAACTTTATCGATGACGCTCCTAAATCCGTTCTTATGCCTTATTTGGAGCCTCTCTCTCAGAAATTAGCCACAGTTCTTGAGCAACACCTTCAATCCACTGGTCCCTTCATGGTTCTTGAACAGCTTTGCACTACCGTTGCTGCTGTTGCTGATAAAGTCGAGAAAGATTTCGCGAGCCAGTATAATTTGTTTATGCCTAATCTTATGAGCTTGTTGAACGCGACGGAGAATGCGAAATGCCCAGAAAATGAAGGTGCTTAGAAATCGAGGGAGACATTATTTTAATTCTTTCAGGTGATCCGGATCTTCGACTTCTTCGAGGAAAAACTATCGAGTGTGTCTCTCTGATTGGCCTTGCTGTTGGTAAAGAGCACTTCCTCAAGGATGGTCACGGAATCATGCAGCAGCTTGTTAATACTCAGCAAGACATCAACAAATGGGCTGACGACGATCCACAAATTTCTTACATGATCAGCGCGTGGGCTCGCCTCTGTCAGATTCTCGGGGATGAATTCCACCAATATTTGCCGCTTGTGATGGGTCCCTTGATGAAAGCGGCTCGATTCCAGCCTCAAGTGCAGCTAGTAGACCCAGACGAAGAAGAGAAGGAAGATGATGATAACTGGGAATTTGTGAATATCGGTGGGGGACAGTCATTTGGCATCGCCACCGCTGGGCTCGAGGAAAAAGCAACAGCTTGCTCGATGCTAGTCTGCTACGCCAAAGAACTTGGAGGAAAGTTTGGTAATTATGTCGAAGAAGTCGCGCAATTGATGATTCCAATGCTCAAGTTCTACTTTCACGACGCAGTTCGCTGCTCAGCTGCCCAAGCTATTTCCCCGTTGATCAATGTGACAGCAGAAAGTAAAGGATTGGAAGCTGCGAATGAATTGTGGAAACACGCATTTAAGGAAATCCTGGGTGCCTTAGAATCTGAGCCAGAAAGTGAGATTGTGGTAAGTATCTTTTCATTTAGAAAATCTTGATTGTTTTTAGGGCTTCCTGTTTGGGGCTATTTCAGATGTCTCTGAAATTTTGGGAAAGAACTTTTTGGGAAGCGAAGAAAACATCGCCAAAGTGTTTGAACTTGTGGGAACTCGATTGTCCGAGCATATCGAGCGATCGAATAATCGAATCAAGGCAAGAACAGACGAGGATTACGATGAAGAGGTCGAGGAGGACTTGCAGGTTGAAGATGAGGAGGATGGCTTCGTTTTGAACAAGAGTAATTTATTGTTGAATGTATCTACTATCATTATTGTTTAGTTTCGGATGTATTCCACAGTTCTTTCGGTCTAATGGGAGGTTCTTTATTGCCCTTCTTTGAAAAGTCCATGAAAGAGCAGATGATCGAACTAATCAAGCCACAGCGAGTTTGGTCTGACAGACAGTGGGGACTTTGCCTCTGGGATGACATCATCGAGTTCTGCGGGGAAGACTCCTGGCAGTATTCAGAGCTTTACATCCAGGCTCTTGCTCGAGGAATCAACGATCAGCAACCCGAAGTCCGTCAAGCAGCATCATATGGAGTCGGTATTCTTGGAAAGTGTGGACCACAGGCGGCTCAACAAATGCTTGCGCCATTTGTCGAACAGCTAGCGAAGGTCATCGAGGGTCCCCTAGGAAGAGGAGGAGACAATCCTGAACAGACTGAAGCTACGGAAAATGCGATCAGGTATTACTACAGCAGAAGCCTTGATATAATGATTTTTAGCGCTGTTGCTAAGATTCTTCAACACAGACCCAACTGCGCGTCGCTTGAAGATTGGCTAGAGCGTTTCCTTACATGGCTACCAGTCAACGAGGATACAGAAGAAAGCGTAAACACTTACAGCTTCTTGGCCAACTTGCTTGAATATGGAAATGTAAATTTCTCTGCTCTGCATTTTTTCAACTTGTTTAGGAATCAGCACATGCGCACACCAACAGAATTATCTTCCTGTTGGCTGAAGCACTGACGTCAGGAGGACTTGATGAAGATGAGGAAGCCCGTGAACGAGTGACGAGGATTTGTGCAAGTGTAAAAGATGTATGTGAAAAAATTTCAGTATCTAATCAGATCTCCGTATTTGGGTCTATCCCTTAGGGCGGGGCCGTCTAGAGCGCGTGATTTGGATCAAACTAGTCTGAAGAAGATTTTTGTAAACGAGTATTTATAGGGAAATCGAGAGCTATGGAACGCAGTCCTTGGCCAAGTCGGTCAAGTGAAGGTCAGTCGTCTTCCAGCGGAACTACAAAATTAAAGAGAAAGAGAATTTAAAAAGAGATAAAAAGAGCTCCTACTGTTGACAAACCTCATTTTGCAAAACCACAACTAGTTTATTCAATTGTATATGTTTTTGTTGCTAGTATCATAATTCCACTCTAGTTCATATTGCCTATCTGTAACCTTTTCCCGACAAAATCAACTGTAAGTGGTCGTTTGTTAAAAGAATTCATGACTTTGTCGATTTGTTACGGACGAATACATAATTTAAAAGCCCCGTCGGAAGAGTCCGACTGGAATGCACGAAAACAAATCTAAAATCTGAAAATTTCGCGTTTTAGAAAAATATGGCGTGTCAATTCTTTCGAGGCAAATATTTGGCGGACCGAATGCTTAATAATATCAAGCAAGAAGTTTACAAACGCCAGGTTCGTCCAAAGCTCTTAGCCGTTTTGGTCGGCGATGATCCGGCTTCGCAAGTCTATCTTCGCCACAAGGAGAACGCGTGCAACTATGTGGGGATAGGTACTCCGTGTGATTCTCCTCCTTGCTAACATTACCGTTCTTCTTTTACATAATTCTTTCAGCTTCGGAGATAATTCGAGTACCCGAGACTCACTCTACTGCGATGGTATCTGAAATTCTCGTTGACGCAGGAGAGCGAGAAGATGTCGACGGCATCCTCCTTCAGCTTCCTGTTCCTGATCATTTGGACGAGCGATTTCTCTGCAACCTCATTCCCCCGACTAAAGACGTCGACGCGCACAATGCTGCGTCTATCGGAAATCTCGTGTACGGCCGCGGCATCTTCGTCCCTCCCACTGCTTCTGCAGTTGCTCACTGCATTCAAGAAAATGGCATCGACACCTTTGGAAAGCGCGTTCTCGTTGTAGGCAGATCGCGCCATTGTGGTCTGCCAATAACGCTCATCATGCAAGGCTTTAGGACACACCCCGAGCTTCCTGACGTTGGAGAAGCCACTGTCACCATGGCACACAGGTTCAAAGGGCTTATCACTTTTTGTTAGTCTTTTTACGTAATTAGACATACGAGCGAGTCAGATCTTGTCAACATCGCGTCGAATTCTGACATCATCATCTCCGCCGCCGGTGTTCCAGGACTCATCCGTCCACAAATGATCAAAGATGGCGCGATCTTGATCGACATCGGCTTCTCGAGAAAGATCTCCGGCAGCACAGTTGGCAAAGTGCGACTTATGGGCGACATTCATCCGGATTGCAGAGCGCGAGCGTCGTTTATCACGCCTGTTCCTGGTGGAATCGGTCCTCTGACGGTTGCCCATCTTGTCAGAAATACGCTGAATGCACATTTGCATGCGAATGGTCTTCCACGCGCTTCCCTTGCTTCTCTCTGCCGCCCAGAATTTGAAGATGAATTGGAATAAGGGAACTAATAGATTCAAGTTCAATTCTTGCCATTCTTTATACTGCTCTTTACGTTCACACTGTTCCTCTTCAATAAACCGAAATAGCTCAAGCTTAAAATTGCTCCTTTTGAAGAATGGTTTCCAAGAAAAGGGAGCCAGATTCGACCGGGCCGAGTAGTAAAAAGCAGAAACGCTCAGACTCAGATCCACAGGAGAACGAAATCAATTGGTATAAGCCGGGTGATATTGAACGAAAATGGGGTAAAAAGTGGGGACGTCCAGAGGGAGAGAAAGGAGAAGACCTCGTCTTCCAGCAGATTGATTTGGATAAATTCGTCGAGTTTGAAAACGGGGATCCAAAACCGACCATCCGAATTTATGGCACCGATAAAAAAAGGATCATCAATCTGTCTTTATGTCAATGGTTTCAAGCCATACTTCTATGTTCCAGCACCAAAAGGCTTCACTGAGGACTACTGCGGCCAATTTGTGAAAGAGCTCAACGACCGAGTTGTAAGCAATCTCGGTTCTCGCGCAGGAATTATGAAGGGCGTTACAAAAGCTGTACTCGGAGCAGAAATGTGCGAGAAGGAAGATATCTACGGATACAACTCACAGGGAAAAGTGCCATTTATAAAAATAACTGTTGCTTCTTGGCAGCTAATGACGCCGTGTAAAAATGTGTTGGAGCCGGGATGGAAAGTGACGACTGACAATGGTCAATTTCATCACAATTTTAAAATGTTCGAAAGTCACATCGATTACGAAGTCCGTTTCATGGTCGATTGCAAAGTCAGAGGAGCGTCTTGGGTAACAGTTCCTCACGGAAAATATCAGCGAAGATGGGATAAGGTAAGGAAAGTATCCAAACCATGACAAAAATCAATCTGTAGCAAACAACCTGCTCTATTGAAGCCGATGTACACTTCTCTGACTTAATTCCTCATGAACCTGAAGGTGAATGGGCGGACATCGCCCCCATGCGAATCTTCAGTTATGATATCGAATGCGCAGGACGAAAGGGTATCTTTCCAGAGCCGGAACATGACCCCGTCATTCAAATTGCTTGTATGGTGCAAAATCAAGGTTAGTCTGACGAAAAGCATTCAGAGATTTTTGATATTTTAGGCGATGCATCCAAAAATGGTAAAAAAGTGTAGATTAAGGTGTTTCGAATCATTTTTTACTAATTGGTTCACCATTAATCAATTAATTAGAAAGATCAGAGCTCGAATTCGCTTGATTCTATGTGCACTAATTCAATTATTCGTGGTCTGATGTTTACTTTAGGTGAACCCTCGCCGTTTATTCGGATGATTTTTACACTGAACTCTTGCAGTCCCATCGTTGGCAACCACGTCTTCTGCTACGAGAAAGAAATTGACATGCTGGAAGGCTTTGCCGAACTTATTCGTCTCGTTGACCCTGATATTATTACAGGCTATAATATCATGAACTTCGATACTTCATACCTTGGTAAATAATTCTCGGTAGATAACAACTCATGAAACTTTTAGTAAACCGAGCGAATACGCTCAAGAGTAAAACCTTCCCCTTCCTCGGCCGTGTCCGAAACACCGCTTCCAAAGTACGTGATGCCAAATTCTCGTCCAAGCAAATGGGCACGAGGGAATACAAAGAGGTAAATATTGATGGCAGAATCCAACTCGACGTCATGGTCTCTATCGTTCAAAACTACAAACTCCGATCTTACAACTTAAACGCAGTTTCCTACCATTTCTTGAAAGAGCAAAAAGAAGATGTCCACCATTCAATCATTTCTGATTTGCAAGCAGGAGATGAATCAGATCGACGACGATTGGTGAGTACTCTTCCTTGATTTCACCGACCGATAATTTATTCAAGGCTGTTTACTGCCTCAAAGATGCGTTGCTACCACTTCGACTCATGGACAAGCTGATGTTTGTGGTGAATACAATGGAAATGGCGAGAGTAACGGGTGTCCCTGTGTCTTATCTTCTTACTCGAGGACAATCTGTTAAAGTCATGGCCCAGGTAAAAATCATTTTGACCTGCTTGAGATAATTTCTTATCAGCTTCTACGTGAGTCCTCGATTCGTGATCTTGTCATGCCTGTTTTGAAAACAGAGCAGTCTGATCAGTACGAGGGAGCAACAGTCATCGACCCGATCCGTGGCTACTACAAAGAGCCCATCACGACTTTGGATTTTGCCTCTCTTTATCCCTCAATCATGCGCGCGCACAATCTATGCTATACAACACTGTTACAAAATAAATTAGAGCGCTCGAAACTTTCTCCGGATCAGTTCATAAAAACTCCGACTGGTGATGAATTCGTCAAACCAGAAGTCCGGGAGGGCCTTCTACCGATGATTTTGAAAAATCTTCTTGAAGCTCGAGGAAGAGCGAAGAAAGAACTCAAAATCGAGAAATGTCCTTTCAAGAAAAAAGTGTTGGATGGTCGACAGCTTGCTCTGAAAATTTCGGCCAACTCTGTCTATGGTTTCACCGGAGCGCAGGTTGGAAAGCTTCCGTGCTTGCCAATATCTGGATCTGTTACCGCTTTTGGCCGAATGATGATTGACGAGACAAAGAGACACGTTGAGGCAAACTACACCAGAGGTAAAAACTATTAAATGTTCGTTATTTCAAATGGACTCTAGCCAACGGATACGAGCATGACGCCCAAGTTGTTTACGGTGATACTGATTCTGTCATGATCAAATTCGGAACAGACTCGATCGCGAAATCCTTTGAGCTTGGTACTGAGGCAGCAAAATTTGTTACGGCCAAATTCATCCAACCAATCAAACTGGAGTTTGAAAAAGTCTACTGTCCGTATCTTCTTATCAACAAAAAGCGATACGCAGGGCTTTACTACTCATCCAATCCGGAGAAGCATGATAAGATGGATTGCAAGGTAAGGTTTTCACAAAAGCTTTTGTCAACGATAAAACAAGGGTATCGAAACTGTCCGTCGTGATAATTGCCGACTTGCTTCTGAGCTCATCTCCAAATGCCTTGACATGATGTTGATCAACCGGGACCCAGAAGGCGCGGTTGAGTACGCAAAAGACACCATCAGAGATCTTCTTCTCAATCGAGTTGATATCTCCAAGCTAGTCATCACAAAAGAACTGACGCAGAAAGCCGAGGGATACGCTTCAAAGCAGGCACACTGCGAACTCGCCGAACGAATGCGAAAGAGAGACCCAGGATCCGCACCGCAGCTCGGTGATCGAGTACCCTATGTGTTCATCAAAAAGCCAAAGAACACACCTGCTTATGAGAAGGCAGAAGATCCGCTCTATGTGCTTGACAACTCAGTTCCAATCGATGCTGGTGAGTCTCAAATGAACATCTCCTTACTAAAATTTTCAAAGAACATTATCTTCACCATTCGCTTGAAAATCCTCTTCTTCGGATTTTCGAGCCTGTTCTTGGTGAAGCAAAGGCGAAATCCGTACTTTTCAAGGGAGATCACACTCGAGTCAAAGCTGTGACGACTTCAAAAGTTGGTGGACTTTTCAAATTCACCCAGAAGCGAGAGACATGCATGGGATGCAAAGGTACACTATCTCTTCTTTCCATCGTACTTATTTGACTTCAGCGGCGATGCCAAAGGGTGTTGATGGAAATGTCTGCCCGAGCTGCAAAGAGAACGAAATCGAGCTCTACTTGAGCCACAAGGCGGAGCTCGATGATCTTCGAATTGATTTTAACAAGCTCTGGAGCCAGTGCCAGCGCTGTCAGAAGCACATGCAGAAGGAAGTTCTTTGTTCCAACTGCGACTGTCCGATTTTCTATCGCCGAAAGGTAAATGCTCTGTTTGATTGAAAATACTGAAGAAATTTAGAAAATCCGCTCCGATCTGATGAAAGCAGAAAAGGCTGTTGCCAAATTTGGTCCCATCGACTGGTGAAAAATAGCCCTCTCTCAGAGAGTCTCTAGAGAGATGTATTAGTTCAATATCTCACACATCACTTATCCTCAGTTACAATTTGCACTGCCGAATGTCACACAATACATTTCCAGCAAGCTCATCCATCAGATTCGCATTATTTTAGAAGAAAAAATGCCACGAAGTCGGATTTCGGAAACATCATCAGCTGACCGTGTCGTTGTCGTTTCTGCCCCTGGAAAGCTGATTCTTTCAGGCGAACATTCAGTTGTCTACGGTCATCCAGCTCTAGCAACAGCTCTTCAGTTGCGTTTGAGCATTCGGCTAGAACGTTGCCATACGAACAGTATTGCATTGATTTCTCAGGTATGATAGCAAGGAGGAGTACAGACAGTAACTGACTAAAGACGTTTAGCTTATCGCTGAGCCTAGAAAAATATGCCGAATGGTGGGCTGACCCCTCGCTTCGCCTGAATGACACTCAAGACAACATAGAAAGGATAAAAGAACTCATATCAGCAGGTTGTGAATCAAAATATGAATTTCAAATTACCTCTTGCTAGAGTTTGAAGGTATAACAGGCCCAGCTGTTTGCTCCTTCATGGCACTTGTTTTTGTTGCCGGCGAATATACGGAGCTGACTGTCCAAGCCTATCTCTTACGATTACTAGTCAAATACCTCTTGGCGCTGGGCTGGGCTCATCTGCCTCACTCTCCGCAGCTCTTGCGGGCGTAATCCTAGTCGATAGTGGTCAGATTTCCGAAGCAACAGGCGGAAACGGAACCTTTACCACGCACGAGAGGGGGCTTATACGCGATCTAGCAAGGTCAGGAGAATAAACAAACGCTCATTGACTGCTTTATAGCACCTGTGAAAACATATTCCACAGTCGATCCTCTGGTATCGACACAACAGTGATTATAGAAGGCGGTCTCATCAAATACCAACCGGGAAATTTCGAACCATTCCAGATCAACCACTCACCTCGAATACTGATTGTAGAAACTCATGTAGAGGTAAATGTAACCAATCAACCTTGTATGATCAAAATTTAAAGCGATCCACAGCTCAACTTGTTGAGTTCGTCCGACGCAGACGTGATCGTCTAACGGATATTGTAAACGGAGTCATGTCTGCTCTATCAGAATGCGTACATAAGTGGCTCGAACTGTTTCAATCCGAAGATATCCTCGGCTCGTATCAACAACAACGAGAATTGGTGGAAATCAATCAACACTTACTCGCCTCCTTAGGTGTATCCCACGCCTCCCTCGATGCGATAGTCTCTGCTGCAAGCGAAGTTGGTCTTGCAGCGAAACTAACCGGTGCAGGAGGGGCGGCTGCGCGATGGTTTTACTTCCACCGAGGTGAGATCAAGCTTATGATTGCTTTATTTGAACTAAAGAAAAGCTGACAATGTTGTACAGATTCTGGAGCTCAGCAACTAGGTTTTCTTCGAGTTTTCGCGCCTTCAGTATTTGTGGGATAAAGCTTTGCAATCCTTCCAGGATCTTAAACTCGATTAGAATCGTTATTCTGGAGATTTGAGTTCATTCTTACCCTCCGCCCAAATTTCCGTTCGGTATCCATCTGTGACGGATCGATTGGTATAAAAATTGTATCCGCTGAAGGGCCTTTGGCGAGGCGGTCGTTGACAGTGTAGGCTAGTTGCAAGATCGAAACGAGATCTTGATGAGTTTGCCCGTTCATCAGCTCATTTAGTATAAATTCCAGAAGATTTCGAGTGAGTATGTTGCCGTTGAAGAGCTCTCCGATCATTCTTGACACAGTGAGAGTGGTTCTCGATAGTTTTCTTACCTAACAACGCCGAGCTGTCTGTTTTCTCCGTAAAAGTTTTTTACCAGAAGATCGACTAGGATTTCGCGGAATCCTCTCAATTTGATATTTTCTGCCATTGCTTGTTTCACGCTTATACAGACGTACTTGTCATTTTCGCCAGTAACGAAACCGAAATGATCGAGCTTGAAGTGCATGTTGATGCAGAACTTGGTGTAGATTGGTGCAAATTGAGGCTTTTTAACGCATGCGTCGACTATCTGCCGAATACAGTTTTCTAGGGAGTCGTGGTCGTATGGCTTTGATCCTTATGAGAAATTTGATAAACATGTTTCTGATTTAAATATTTACCATTTATGAATTCATCTACGAGTGCCGTTTGCTGCTTGTTTGTAGTAGTTTCACAGGTAATATATTCCTGAATACGGATTACTGAATATCATAAAACGAATGTCAATTACCAGTATTTCTTCCAGCGTGAGACATTTTTCAGGTTTCTTCAATTCTTGGGCAATACTCACTTCCGTATTTACTTGCGGTTTTTGTTTTTGAGGCTCTCGAACTTGCCGGGCTAACTGCTGTCGAACTTGTCGAACGCGAGGCTGTTGAGGTTGCTGCTGAGGTGGGGGTACTGTGTGCGGCAATCCTTGAAGCTGACGAACACTAGGATGTTCCCAGCCTCGATTTCCTGTCTTCGGGGCACTTTTTTCAGGAACTTTTACCGGTCTTTCGGGCTTTCTCTCTGCCTTCTGCATTTTCGTCTTTGAACTGACTCCGTAAAAGACGCGGTCAGTGAAAGCGTGTCTAGAAAAGTATTATTAGGTCTTTTTCAATCTAGAAAAATCAGAATAATTTTCAGTGGAATGTCAACCCCAAATTCAACCTCAGAAGAACTGGACGTACAAATCGCAGTTCTACAGCAGCTTTTGAATCAGAAAGGATTCACGAGCATCGAAAGCACCATCGCCGAAGACGGAATCAGGCTCGACCATTATGAGTCGAACTTGCCTTGAATTTGCGACTGTTCCATTTTTCCTCGTTCAAAATTTAAAATAAATAATTGTTCAACTTATAACTCCATTTTATCCTTATCTCCTTTAGATGATTCGCCGAGGAGTCCAAAGACTCGGAATCGGACTGACGCTCGGTATCGGTTATGACAGGCTAATTGCCGACAATCTTTGGGGAATGCGAAAATACTCTTATTTTGATCGCGCCTGGTCAACAGGGGTAGCAGCTATTGGAAAGCTCACGTTCTTCGACGATGGTATCGGTACCCCTGATCAAATTCGCCGAGTAGATGAATACAGGGATGAAATTCTTGAAAACAGAATTGAAGAGATGATTGACTCTTTCGCAGAATCTATCGTTTTGAAATCGAAGAAGATCGATGGAGACTATCTTTTAATCGAAGGGGAACTTGACGCAAATTTGGATCTTGATGAAGAGCTTTGGCCCAAAGAATGCCGAAGAGGATATTTTCAGCTTGTTTTACCTGCTAGCGGAGAAGTTGAAGGAATTGTCATCCAAACGGCAGGCACTGGCGATCATGGATTCAAGCGAAGACGCGAAATCATCGCCAAGGTAGAATCACTCTCCCTTCTCAACTTTACATCAATAAGTTAAGCCATTATTGCAAGAGCATAACATCGCCTCCTGTATCATGGAAAATCCTTATTATGCGAGGCGAAAGCCACAGAAGCAACAATATTCCGGTCTTCGAAGCTTTCCCGATCTGATCACGCTTTGCATGGGTGTTGCTATTGAATGCAACGCCGTCGCAAAATGGATCAAAGAAGAGCTAAAGATCGAGCGAGTAGGAGTCACTGGGTTGTCACTTGGTGGACATACTGCGGCTCTTGTCGCCTCGGTTTCTCCGACACCAATCGCTGCTGCACCTGGATTCTCTTGGTCGACGTCGGAGGGAGTCTGGACGACAGGGGCGCTCTCGAATAGAATCGATTGGAACAGCCTAGAAGCAGATATAAAAGCACATCCTGGTTATGAACCTTATTTTAACTCCATCGGAACAGGACTGACAAAATGGCTCAATAGAGATGAAGAAATCGCAAAAGAAATAGAAAATCTTCCCGAATTGAAACGTGCGAAAGACGTCGAAGAAAACTTTGCCAAAAAGAAGCTTAAATTATTGGCCGCCCATTTTTCGCATTTGGGAAACTATCCAGTGCCAAAAGACGCCAGCTTGATTCACTACGTTGTTGGCGAGTATGATTATTTTTACTCAAAAGATCAGATGACTGGGATGGATAGAGTTTGGCCTGGAACTACGGTTGAAGTTTTACCAGCCGGTCATGTGGATGGCTTTCTTTTATACGGCCGCGTGTATAGGTAAATAGACAAAGGAAAATCTCGTTTTATGACTTGTATAGAAATGCGATAAATACTGTTCTGAATCGTCTTCCCAAAGCAAGCACCAAAACAATAAACCTTTCCATTGTCGAGAATGTGCCGAGCGAAGAAATCGAAGATGGAAGAGGAACAGACGTATTTCAAAAAGCTTTTCAATACTGTACTGTACAAACTGTTAATTTTCTGCAAAGGTCCTGATCGCCTCAGTCTCGCTTTATTTATTCTAATAATAACTATTCACAAAACAGTTTCTAGAGCCTTTACCGAAGGATTGTTGTCTTATTTTTCAAATCTGATTTTTCGTGGACAGCTGCAAGAAAACCGTTAGACGAGTTTCGCGACTAACGGGCCCGTTTTTTTTTGCCAATAAGGCATATTTTTAGATTTAGGCCTCAGTTTATATGAGAATTATTTTCAGAATGGTGCTATTCTCTCTTTTCAAGGGGAAAGCCGAGAAGGACACTGCCGCGCTTCTTGAGGATATTGAGAAGAAGTTGAAAGAACTCAAAGAAGATAGATGTAGCACTACCGTTAGGAAGAAATCGGCTTGTCGAAAGATTCATTATTATGGGTACTTATCATTTTCAACAATAATCTCTTATTGATTTCATAGGGGTGGTTTTTATGCTGTTGCTCTCGGATTTATGTACATAAACTTTCCATCTTCCATCGATTTCATGGACCCAAGCGTAGTCATCCCTATTGGAACACGCGTCCTCTCTGTTCTCCTTGGTATTCCAGTTCTCATTTATCTTCTGAGACGATTCTCGGTCTTTTACTATGAGCGGAAGTACAAGAGCATCGATAAAGACATCAAGAGGATAGAAAAAGAGAAAGACGCCTTGATCGATAATGTAATGGAAAAAGAACCGTATAACAAGGCGCGCGAGATCCTGAAAAAGTACAAACCAAGCTTGCTGAAAGCCGAAGAACCAGCAAAAGTCCAACTGTTCGTCGACGAACTGTTCAGGGCAACATCACGAGCATCGGTCCTAAGAAAATTGGCCCAAAGTCTGGACAAATCGCTCAAGTCCAAAATGTACCAAGCCCAATCCAAAGAAATCCTCAGCAAAAGCAGCCAATGGTAAACCAGGGAATGCGGCAAAGACCCCAGACTATTCGACCTTTGCCGTCGCAGAATTTGAACTCATCGAGGATGGACAAAATCGTAGGTGAAATGGAGTGATCCTTTTGCTATCATACTTTCAGGTCGGCTGGATGACTGGATCAAGCCCAGATCAAATGTACGCTTTGATTTGCAAGCAATGCGCTGAACACAACGGTCTTTCACCAAAAGAAGAATTTGACTATCTTCAGTGGAGATGTGCGTTCTGTGGCTTTAATCATCCTCCAAGGTAAATTTCTAGGACCCTAGATTAGTAACCAACTGGTGTTAGAAAGCAACGACCACGTCCACCTAAGCTCCAAGAGCAACGTCCGGCTGATCGACCCATTTTCAATACTTCTGCTGTCGAACCTCGACGAAAATTATCGGGCGAATCATCTGGAAGCGGCACCTCCAAGCATATCGCTCAAAATCCCAATCAAACAATGCCTGTTCTCGCAGCCAACGTACGCATGGAAAAGCGCGGATCTCTTGGCTCTTCAAAGAGTGATGATGAGAGAAAAGAAAAAGAAGACTCAGGAACTGAATCCGATCAAATCGAACAGAATCAGATGAGAAGCGAAGATGACAACTCGACTTCTGCGAACTCGATCTCTTCTGACGAAGAAATGGAAACAGAGGCCTCTAAAGACTCTATTCAAGCTGAATCTAGGTATGTCCAAAGTTGAGAACAGAGTGTGATGATTTTGTAGCGTTTTGAATGAAACAATCGAAGCCGGTTTCGAGCAGCAAGAAGCAACCGCCAATTAGATATTCCAAATTCCACATGTTATTACGACGAAACTTTCAAGCTGATATTTCTAGCACTTTTCACTGCACAGACTCACTCTTCATCAACTCTCAGTTCTCGAAAAGTTACATGTTCAATTCTTGAAATCCAAATATATGAACCATTCTGAAATCAACAAGGAGTAAGCCCGCGAGTATTTGAACTAGTCGGGCTTGTTCTATTTTCCTTTCGTATTTAACAATGAATCAACATTTGCATTTCGCCTTGGCAGCTTGAGAAAGAGCAGCGCAGTTGCAAACATAGCAGAAATTGAGAAAATGGGAATAGAAGGAGAGCTTAAAAATGGTGAAGCAAAGGCGACTCCGAATCGGACTTTCGCAGAAATATGCTCATGTCCTGTTTGCATGTATTTCTGATTTATATAAAAAATCGATTATATATTTAATATACCGCAAGATTTAACGCTTTCTCATCTTAGGGAGGTCTTTAAAGACCCAGTTCAACTGTCGTGTTGCTTCAATCATCTGTGTAGAGGATGTTTCGACAGGAGCGCTCAAGAGGGCTGTCCAATGTGCAGGAATCGAAATGTTCGATCCGAGCGCGTTGCTCCGAGTTTGAAAAAACATCTTCGAAAAGTCCGTATGCTTTGTAAGCACACAACTTGTCCACAGAATAAGGAAGGCATTTCAGTTGCAGATTATGAAAGGTATCTAGCTGATAGATTGAAAGTCATAATTTTTTTTTTGTGACAGTCACGTTCAATTTTGCCGCCATGCTCCTGAAATGTGCGAGTTTTGCGAGCAAAACTTTTCCCAATTGATGATTAGCGCCCACAAAGAAAATGACTGCACTGAAAGATGGAAAAGATCCGCACGGTCGGCCAAAGACCTTGAACAGGAAAATTCTCGGCTCAAAAATGAAGGTCATTTTCTATCAAAGCTACTTTTTATATTCCTTATTTCTAGTTCATCGATTGAAACGGGAACTACAGAATAAGGATGATGAAAATCAGAGGCATGTACGAGCAATTCAGCAAACCGATTACGACATAAAATTATTGAAAGAAGATATTCGGAGAAGAGACTCCGAAAGTAACGATCTTTTTCATCATGCATGCATTTGAATTAAAATTTTAGTCTCGATTTTGAAGGAACACAATGAGAATCATGGTCAAATTATGGCTAAGACGATGAGGGAACAAATGGAAGCAATGTTGAGGACCATGACCATTAACGGACAAGTACCGGTCCATTCGATGAATCCTGGTCCAATTCCATCTCAAGGCTTTTCTCCTTATGCACCTCCTCCTCAGCAAACGAATAATTCAAACATAGGCGGACTCAATCAAAGTTACCAGTCAGAAATTGAATACTTGACTAGTACCCAAGATCTTTCCCGGTCGGGTGGATCAACATCATCAACCTCCTCATTCGTGGTAACTATTTATATGATATAACTTATATCGATAAATAATATTTTCAAGATTATAAAATATTTCTTTTGCTTACCCTTATTCAAGAATAAATCATACGAAAAAGAAAATCCGTTCCGAAAACACCCAATCATGTCAACGCCAAGTCTTGAGAACGTTGAAGAACAGCGCACAACCAGTAATCAAAGTAAAATATGCCAATTAAAAAATAAATTCATAATTTCTAAGAGCACGCGATGCCAGCCCCACCTGCACCGACAAATGTCTCTGTTGCTCGTGGGTTCTGGAATAAAACTCGACTTACCACGATAAATGTCCAAATTCGTCACAAGGGTCAGACTGTAAAAAATGTTGTCTTGAACGGTTAGTTCTGATGTCAAAAGAAATTTTCAAATTTATTGGATTCTTTCAGTTGAATCTGCGGACAATCTTGAGGCACAAATTCTCAATGAAGTCCAACTATCCGGATTATACAGACTTTTTTACAATTTTGAGGGAGAAGAAGATGCAGGGTTCTTCAAAGATGAGTTTGAGGGCCGCATCGAATCGCTTCATAATAAGAGAATAATTGCAAACACAGTTTTTGTAGCTGGAAGAAAATGAAAATAAACTCGCTCTATCCATCTAGTAACATGCTAAACTCCACTCAAGAAGCAGGCGGGGCATCTTTGAAATAGCACAAGTCTCCTTTGGTGCACCTGAAATTCCACCGCCTCCCCCGTCGAGCGCGACTTTTGGCACCGCCCTCCCCGCTGTTTTGCAAGAAAGCATGAAATTCAATCAATCAGATGCAATTCGCGGCATTCTAGCTCTCAGAGTCTCATAACAATAACATCCGCATGATCTCCAGCAGTTTTTAATATGTTCTATTCCGTTTTGAAAAATATTAAAAGCACAGCACGCTGGTTTCTTCCCTTTTCAACCTTTATTTGGGCACAGTAGGGGCCTCGTTCACTCATAAATCTTGCAAAGTTTATTCAATTGGACTTTTCTTAACTTTTAATTGATTGATCGATATTACAGTCATATTAACAATCCCATAAAGATGATCACTCATATCTACCGTTTAGGAGGTGTTTGCTGGAATAGAAAGGATTCTCAAAATAAAAAAATCTGGGAAAAATAATATCGAGCTCTAAATTTTTAATTTTCCGTTACACAAAACTGTCACCTGCACGTTTTTTAATATTATATCGATATATACAGCCTTGTGAGAAACTCACTACGAATCGATAATATACTCTCGCTGGGAAGAAAACTCGGACAGGTTCAAACTCTGCGGGAGACGGCTAAGACAGCTTTAGCCTTTCCGGTTAGCTTGAGTTCTATATAACTGGCATAAATGTCTGGGAATGTCGACGAGTATAACAACCAGGAGATTATCTTGTAATTGGGCAAGTAAAATTGGTCTGCTGGACATAAAATTACTGGATCATCAAGCGGAAAGCTGAATACACTGCAACGCAGAGGACACAGACTGTTTCAACACTACTGTAGTTGACTAACTGTATTTTTTTCAATGAACTCAACTCATCATAGACCTGGACTGGCTGAAGATATCCGTAAAAGACAGACTCCGGAAAAGGAGAGCGATCAATAGCATCTGATCGGCGTTTTAATTCAATTAAGAAAAAGTCGGAAATTTCAGAAGCCATCGATCAGCGAAAAACATCTTCAAAGCGTCAGAAAGCCTCGGAACCCATCGATTGCTCTGAATTTTCGTTTTCCGAGATGAGTCGCTCGTATCATTAAACTACTTAGGCCGAGCGGTACCTTTCAAAATGGACATCAAGGAGGTGACTCTGAAAATGAAGATTCAGATAAAAAAATGCCTGACGTACAGGACTTTGACTATTTTGTACATCATTTTATTGACAAGAAAAGCTACTTTGCTATCTTATATTGGTTGATAAGAATCATTGAGGATTGACTAATATTCTTTATGCAACGGACTACAGGTACATGTTTTATTTCAAAAATTCAGTTGGTAATTGATCGAAATTAATTTTTTCGAGTGTCACGTGTCCAGGTGTATCGAGCTCGGCTTAGCTTGGCGCTCCGGTTTGGGCACACACGTGCGCTCAAACTTCCGTTTCATTATCGAGCGAGCTAGAGTTTATCAAATTGCAACATATTGGGTTTAATTATTCAATCTTCTGGTGCATAATCGAAATCGTCAAAATAACCGGAAAAATTGGAGAAACCTGAAATCAATTCATCAAATTAAGCTTTCGAGAGTCGAAACAGATTTCGCATTTTATTTTGGGGCTAATTCTAAACAGACTTTTCCAATCAAACTTTTCAGCAATCATCGAATTCAACTAAAGTGATCGGTTAAAAATGATATTGAACAAGTGTCCTCTTTTGGGGTCATTAGCAAAACCGTCCTAAATACATATCTCCCACTTCCGAAAAATCATTTTCCCCAGGCGACTTTGACCTTTTTTGATTTTCCAGTAGACCCGCAATTTTCCACAAGAAAGGGGCCGATTGATGACTGTAATCGATCAGAGCTGACTTTTCTCAGCTTCCATAATTTTCGGAATGAAAACCGCTTTCCCTCTTCCCACCTCGAAATCAAAGGAACTCGCCGCCGGGGCTTGTCGATAATGAGTTCCGTAACGAAATGCAGAAATTATCGAAGATCGGATATCGCGTGATTTCCCAGGCCTTTGATCAGAATGGAAATTTATGCAAGCGGGAAATGGGAGATCAGAAGAATTAACGTTTTCCTCTTTTTAAAGCGGTTCCTCCTTGTTTTCAGTTCTAATCCTGTCTCAAAAATATATTACAGTTACACACATTCACATGAGAAACTGACAAAGGCTAAAGCACTAAAACCTTTGCTTTGATGAAATCCACGTCTTTCAGAGAATGGCGAAATGGTTTTCAATTCTAAAGCTCCCCGGGGCGCCTTCCGTTTCAAAAGAGCTAAACTTCACCCTTTCTCAGCTCAATGTATTCAAACGAGTGGAAGTAAATTTAATTCTTCTTCAGTTCAGCTCATAAATCATTCTAATCGAGCAACCAAGCAAACTTTATTTTGCATCTTTGAAAAATGCGAACGCACATTTCTCTTCCATGACTTCAGACTTCTGCACTATGAAAGATCAGTTTCTTACTGAAGAAGGCATGCCTTACTGATATCCTTAGTAAGTCCTTCGTTAGTGGCTTTAGTTACTCAATATAAGCAAGATAAAATACTTCAGTAAAAAAAAGAAAGACACTGCTGCTGACTAAGATATCTTTTGCAACCGAAACCCCATGAATTTATCAATGTAATCCATTTGGAAAATACACAAACTTCTCCTTTGTTCTAACGACTTTCGCGGCTTTTTCCAGAGGATTACCTCCATTAGCCGTCACGGGATCTCGTTGGCCGTCTCTTCGCCTGGAGCGCCGCTAGCTCCGGCCTCGAGCGCGTGCCCCAAGAAAGCGCCACCTCGTGTTCTCTCGTGAATCCGTTCTCTTCCCCCAGGCGGTCTTCACTCACTACAGTTACTCCCGCTGAGCACCCGACAGCGAAACCAACTTCTCTCAAAAACAATAACTAGAAGTCCCACAGAGATATCTACTACTGTAATTCTAACCTTTACAGGTAAGTCATCAAAGACATTCAGTAATATGAAGGAGTCTTTCTTGAGAATTTTAAGTATACGAAACTAACTCTTCTCTTAGAAAAATGACAGTTGCTTCTGTCTCTTATCCTCAGGGCTTCGAAGGCTACTACCCCAAAGACACTTTCTACACCAACCAAACTCAACCTCAAACAGTCTCTTTCGGCCATGCAACTTACCTCTCCAGCCAAGACCCTCAATTCCACTCCTGGCAACTGGGAGGAGGCGTTTACCCTTCTCAGATCGGTTCTGTAAGCTCAGCCATGAGCAATCTGTTCCCTCCATTTTCCAGAAGCTCGGCGCAAAAGGTAACGAACATTTGAAAAATCTTTGTTCAATCTTCCTCTTAGGTTGACATTGCTTGCCAATGGATCCTCCCTAACGGTCAGCAGTGCGGTCAACAGTTTCAATTTATGTCCGACGTTGTTCATCACGTGACTATGGATCATGTTGGCGGACCTGGTAAGTCGAAACCAAGCAAAATCTTGAGATATTAACTTTTCTCCTAGAAAATGTTGATCACGCCTGCTACTGGGCTGGATGCTCGAGAGATTGCGCTCCTTTCAAGGCTAAATACAAGCTTGTCAACCACATCCGCGTTCATACAGGTAAAAAAATAATCCTTCGAGTTCATTCTTCTAAAAGATTCTTTCAGGCGAAAAACCCTTTGTCTGCCCCTTTCCAAGCTGCGGGAAAACCTTTGCTCGAAGCGAAAATTTGAAGATTCACAAAAGAACTCACACAGGTAAGAAAAACTAAGCGTTATTAATTCTTACTGATTGTTTCAGGAGAAAAGCCATTCAAATGCGAGTTCAAAGGTTGTGACAGACGATTTGCCAATTCCAGCGACCGAAAAAAGCACTCAAACGTTCATTTCACCGAGAAACCCTACCAATGCAAGGTAAATTTTAACTTTTGAAAAGTGCTCGATCAGTAACAGCTAAATGCTAAGGTCAGCAAGATAATCAATCAAAATAAAAATACTTTTCCGGTCAGATATTCCCTTCGAAAATCGATACAACGTGATAGGTCAATTAGGTCAGAAAATATCACGTGTTGAAGTTTTATGGGAGTTTTTGACGGCAGCGGACAGTTATTAATAATGATTTTTTAGGTTGAAGGGTGCGGAAAGACGTACACTCATCCATCTTCGCTGAGAAAGCATCTCAAAGTGCACGAAAATCTGGAGACTCCAAACAGTGAAAAGATTTCCGACGCCAACTCCATCAACTCTTCCAACTCTATCGGCTCTCAGTCCCCAATCAACAACTCTCATAATTCCGAAGATTCTCATCAGGTAAAAGTTATTTCCGAAAATCAAATTCTAAAATCTATTCCAGGATCATCGAGAACGTCTTCCTTCATTTGAGCGAATCCAAGATGCAAACGCTGGAGTTCCAATTGTCTACGACACTCAGCCAAATGCCTTCCCAGCTGAGCATTACAGCAGCTATCAAGGATTCTTAGAGACCGACCATGGCGCTCAGCCCGCTGCAATCGAATCTCAACCTCCTGGTAAGTTGTCAAAACCCCCGTCCATCTTTTCTAACTCCATCTTTCAGTTTCCAATTCCGGGTTAGACCTCAACCTCTGGTCAAACAGCTACTGGTCGCAGCCTCAAATTATCCAACAGCAAACCTTCTAAATCATCATCTTCCATTTCTGTAAAAAATATTATGTACATACGATGTTCATTTATCACGTGCCTAGAATTATTTAAATCTGAAATAAAACCTTCATAAACTTGAAAAGCTGTCTTTTTATGAAATGGTAAGCAAAAAAAACAGGGCGTAAAGAAATCAATTTGCCTTCTCAGCGCCGCAATTCCCGCGAAACGGACTCTAAGTTGTTTGATTGTGGTTATCTCAGTTGAACGGGGTTGAACATGGGCGCCGCGGGAGCTCCGCCACCTTTTTCTTATCACTACACTTTGCTCAAGAGAAAATGAAGAAGGCGCTGGCTACGTTACTATTTCAGATTTCTCGGGCAGATTGGCAGCTACCTTTTGGAAAAGAAATTCTAAAGGAGCTGAAAGAACTCGGCTTTGAAAGCCACAACATCTCGCACTACGGATGTTACTGTCGATTCGGCGGGACCAAATACGCTCCTGAAGGAGAAGCGCAGGACGAATACGATCGGGCTTGCTTTAATTACAGTCAATGTGTGAAATGCTTGGATCTGGACCAGTGCAAGATTCACTATCCAAGGTAGTCTTCCTTGATTTTCTTTTTTTGAAAATTTTGGCGCGCACTGCCAGGACAAATTGGTAAAACCTTTCATTAGAATACCATTTCGAGTGGGGAATGAATTTTGCACAGATGGAGACAGTTCTTGCGAAAATAACCTCTGTAAGTGCCAGAAAAAATTGATTCAAGACATCATGGATCTATCTTGGTCACAAATTCATCTTCGGTCTTATCTCTCCCGCGATTTCAACCACAACGAGGAATGCCTTCACTCCTCCAACTATCAACGACTCCACCAAGACGAGTTTGAATGCTGCGGCGAGTATCCTGATAGATTCATTTACGCTCCAGAAAGTGGCGCAAGAAAATGCTGTGGAACAAGAACTTTTAACTCACAGTATCAAGAATGTTGTGATGATAAGACTGTTAGACTTCATGGAGAGTGCAAAAGAAGCCCTTGAGTATTTGGATTCGATGAAATCAGAAATATTCTAACTGTGCATTTAAAATTTTTTCTAATAAAATTCAAAATTTTTAATTCAATTTTTTTAATCATGTGAAGATGCAGAAGTCTAACCTAACCAGGAAGGTTTCATCAATTCAGATAAGGCTATCTTTTAGTTTTTCAATTTCTGAGAACGACCAAAATCGCCAAGTCAGTCAAATTTGGCGCTCGCCAGGCATCGACCAATCAGCGCTCGCCTCCACCGTAGAAACACCAGGCAGCAGCTGTTAATCGTGTTTTTGACGGAAAATTGAATCTTAGAGAAATCACTGTATCAAAATGATACCTCTTCAGCCCCAAGAATTAACGAGAATATTTAAGAGATTTTATGTTAGATCGTCGGTAATGGAGCAACTAATTGAACTTTTCCCGCATATACTTCCAGTAACGAGCGATTACAATTCGAACTTCGAAACTTCTGTCGTCGGCCAAGAGGATATGGAAATGACGCATGATGCCGATCTTGTGAATGCGCCGCAACGAGATATTCATCTTGTGGAAGAGCAAGCTGTGGATCTACGTGCAGATGGTTTGAAAGTTCGAATAATCAAGAAGCTTGGTTCAGGCGCTTACGGCTCCGTCTATAAAGGCATTCTCTACGGAGAACCGTTTGGAGAAACTAAAGTTGCGGTAGAGTAGAAAATAACGTCGGAATCGAGTTGAAATAAACTTCAGGTCGTCATCAAAGTCGAGCATTATCTCTGCGAATTGCCACAGATCAACCTCGAACAACGTTTCTATACGCATCTCAAAGTATATTCGCAGAGAAATGTGAATCTCAAAGAAGGCATCCCAATCGTGTATTATTGTGGGCAAGAAGTAAAGCTGAAATACACTTCGCCGAAGCTTCACGGTCACAACTCGACGATGATAGGGTTATTCAACATTATCATAATGGAAGAGCTGGGAAAGGACCTCAAGGTCGTCCACAAACAGCTTTCTATGGGATTGCCTTTCGCCTGCTGGATAGACTTGGCGGGACAAATGTTCAAAATTATGCAGACATTAGTCGAAGTAACCTCTCATTTACTGAATGTAAAATAAAATTTTCCTTTCAGAAAAAACTGATTCACCGTGACATCAAGCCAAGTAACTTTGTCCTCGGCCGTGCCCGAGCAACTGTCACTGCCCGTGGATCAAGCAAATTATTCATCGTCGACTTTGGCCTTTCAAAGAGATGGGAACGCATGAAACGAGAATGGGGGTTGAACATGGTTGGGACGAAGAAATACATGTCGGAGCATGTTATGGCTGGTGACAGGCCGCATGTTAGAGATGATCTGATTTCCTGCTGCTACGTTTTGCGAGAGATGCTCGACGGGTGTCTTCCCTGGGACGAAATGATCCACGAACAAGACGATATGCGCAACTGGGTAGGATTTATAGCCAAAAACATCCTTATTTATTGAACTCTAGCACCAGACATTGCAGCGTATGAAACGAAACTTGAATGGAAATGCTCTCTTCGGGCAAGAGGACCCGGACGATCCTCTTTTCTGCTTCGACACTCCTGATGATCCACAGGAAGGTCAACCAAACCAGCCTGACATCACCAAGATGTGCTGGATTTTTGATCATATCAAGGGCCTCCAGTGGGGCGAACTGCCCGATTTTGGCTTCATTTTCGATCTTCTCAATGAGATGAAGAACGAGAACCAGTCCTTCCTCAAGGCTGACGATCCTTGGAAGGAGATTCTTCAAGTCATTAACGATTGAAGCCACTTTTAAACTTAAAACAATCCATTAACCATCAGTGCCATTCATTTGCCAGAAAATATGATAAAATATTATATTCCACCAAAAACCTTCAAATGCATTTTAACTGCCCATTTATTTTTAAATAAAATTGATAACGCACAACAAAACAATCCCCCTCTTGTTGGCAACAACGAAGAAAAGTGTCGAATCATCATTAATTCTAGATTGAAATCAACATGCTCGTACGATTACTATGTCTGCCACATGGTAATGCAACGGATCCGCCTGATAAAAATTAATTTTAACCGACTAAATTAATTTTAACGTCCAAGAGAATAAAAAACACAGTCTAAGAGATAAAAAGAAACAACAGCTGCTGATCATGATAATTGATAAAGAATCTAAGACGCGTACTCTGTAATCTAAGTTTCTAAGCTCTAATTGTTCAAAACCTACCTTCTTCACTTTAAAATAAAATAAAAAAGGATAAACGAGAGAATTAATTATAACTTTCTTAAACTCTGATTTTAATTTCTCCCTATTCTAAATGAAACCTTCTCAGATGTCTTACGACGGTGGATACGGTAGTTTTGGTGGAGGAGCAGCACCAGCGGGAGAGGTAAAAATCTATTTTGGAATATTTGCTCAAGCTTTAGGCCGACTACTCCGGTGGGGCTACCTCTTACGGTGCTGGAGCTGGAGGTGCTTCTGCACAAGACGCTGGTGGATACGGCGCTCCAGCAGCTTCAGGTGGAGGTTACAACACAGGTGGAGCTCAGGGCGGCTACGGAGGAGGATATGGCGGCGGCCAAGGTGGAAACGCACCGCAGGCAGCTATTCAAATCAAGTCCAATCCAAAGGATGGTCAACTCATCAACTCTCCCGATTCACCAAATAACCAAAAGATGTTTATCGGTGGTGTCTCTAAACAGACAACTACTGGTCAGTAGATTTCCTTGTGCGCTTTTCAAATTTATCTCAGCTTCTCTTCGAGCTCATTTTGAGCAGTTTGGCGCAGTAAAGGACGTCGAAATCAAAGTTGATCCCAGTACTGGCCTTTCTCGAGGTTTTGGTTTCGTTCTATTCGAACTCCCAGAATCTGTGAACGCTGTGGTCGCGGCTGGCCAACAATTCCTCGATGGCAAACGAATCGATCCCAAGCCAGCTGAGAAGCGAAACTGCAAGGTCTTCATTGGTGGTATTAACCCAGCTACCGCTAGCGAGACCGTGCAGGAACTGATGGAGACTTTCGGAGAAGTCGAAAATTTCGAAAGGTACTCCGATTTTTACCAATCCGAGACCTTCCTTAAAAACTTCTAAGACGCACTGATCGCAACCGAGGCACCCTTCAGCCATTCGCTTTTTGCACCTTCAAAGATGATGCCGTCGCATCAAGCTTGGCCAAAACCCGTTGGGTTGAGATCGAAGGAAAACGATGCGAAGTAAAACTCTGTAAGTTCATCGATTTGATATTGAATATTTATTTGAAACATTTAGCCATCGAAAACAAACAGAAGCTCTTCAACCAGGGTTATGGTGGAAATAGAGGCGGCTACGGCGGTGGAGGTTACGGTCAACAAGGCTATGGGGGATACGGTGGCTTCGGAGGCGGTGGCTACGGCCAACAAGGAAACGGAGGATTTGGCGGCTACGGTGGCTATGGAGGTCCTGGCTTTGGAGGACAGCAGGGAGGATTCGGCGGTCCCGGTGGTTTCAGAGGCGCTCCAGGTGGCCGAGGAGGTGGACCTATGCGTGGTGGTCGAGGGGGTGGCCGCGGAGCCGGCAGACCTTCCCCGTACTAAGATCACCGCAATCTGACCCTTATACGATCATTTATTCGGCAGCCTTTAAGGCATCGAACCCATTTTACTAGTACTTTTTTGACCTACTGCCTAAAAACTATCCCATTACTCGGTGTCACGCAAAACTACTATTACTTTAAGAGAAACCTGAATTGTCTCCTCTACTTTCTATGAAACCCATTTTTATAACTTGAAAACTGTCCCCTTGTATCTACCCTTGACTGTAGGAGGGTTTCTATACCAGTATAAAACAACTCGTCTTTTGTACATACTTGGATCATCTTCTTGAGTCTCAGTCAAATACAACTTGTTCGAAACTGAAATGTCTCATTTTTTTATCGTCTTAGCATGGATGATCCGTACGCGAACTTTGATTATGAAGACGAAGGCGCTGACGCTTTTGATACGAACATTGATAACGATGAGGAGTTCAAGCGCGCACTGACTAGCCATGGTCGCCAAGGATATCGAGGCGGGACTAGCGCTGGCAATAGAAACATCTCTACGGCTTTCAAGCCCCAAAATGACAACCGCCCAACTACAGGCATCACTGGCGCTGGATATCAGAAGTCTACACTCAACTTGAGCAAGAAGAACTCAAATACGATCGTAGAAGAAGGAGATGAAGAACGAATGGAAGAAGAGAGGATTCGCGAGATCGAGCGAAACATCTCCAAGATGGTCGATCAGTCAATCATCTGCCAATCAAAAGGTGATTCTCGCAGAGCCCTAGAAATCGCAAAGAGTGCAGCGAGAAAGGAACGCGATGTGACCAAGAAGCGTGATGCGAGTGGACTCAGTGATGGACAGAATATGGATCTGACTTTTTCCGTTCATTTCAACGTAGCTGTTCAGTACGAAATGAATGATCTGTACTCTGAGGCTCTGCAAGCCTATCAAGTCATCGTGAAGAATAAAATCTTCCAAAATGTCGGTAGAATTCGAGTCAACATGGGAAACATTCATTTCAAGCTGCGGGAGTTCTCCAAGTCAGTAAAACAGTATCGCATGGCGCTGGATCAGGTCCCATCACACTATCGAACGATGCGAAGCAAGATACAAGCGAACATCGGCGCATGCTTCATCAAGCTCGGTCAATTTCACGACGCTGCCAGCGCATACGAGCATATCATGTCCGAACATCCCGATTTCAAGCCTGGATTCAATTTGATCATGTGCTACTACGCGATGAAGGACGCAGAGAAAATGCGACGAGCGTTTATTCGTCTTCTCAACGTCACCTCTGGCGTCGACGAAGAAAAATATCAAATTGCGACAGACGACAAGAACGAAGCCGCTCATTTGGAAGCCATTTCTTCCGACCCTCTTAGAGCTCTCGAAAGACAGCGTAAGACACTTGCTGAGCGAACAATTGTCCAAGCGGCGAAGATGATCGCCCCATACATCGAAGAGCACAATTTCTCCGCTGGCTTCGATTGGTGCGTCAATCAAGTCAAACAAAGCCCATATGGGGAGCTTGCGAGTGATCTGGAAATTCACAAGGCGCTGACATATCTCAAGGAGCACAGCTTTGAGCCCGCAATAAAAATTTTGAAAAACTTGGAGAAGAAAGACTCGAATGTCCGTTCGCAGTCCAATAACAACCTTTCCTTCATCTACTTTCTCCAGCAAAAAAATGCAGAAGCAAGTACATTTGCCTCAAAAGCGCTACAGGCTGATAAGTACAATCCGAGCGCGCTGGTGAACAAGGGAAATACGGTTGCTTTCGAGTAAGTTCAACCATTCTCTTCTATGTTTTCAATAAAATTTTAGTGGTGATTGGAGCAGCTCGATTCAATACTACCAGGAAGCCCTACGAGTAGATGCAGAATGCAGAGAAGCTCTTTACAACCTCGGCATTGCTTGCAAGCGGGTAGACCGAAAAGAAGACGCACTCGAATCCTTCATGAAGCTGCATCAAATTCAACGAACAAATCCACAAGTCATGTTTATGATTGCCGACGTCTACCGATCGATGGGCGACAATAGCGCTGCTGTTGAGTGGCTTCAGCAAGCGTTGTCTGTTTCTCATAATGACCCGAAACTGTTGCAAGAACTCGGAGCTATATTTGACCAGGAAGGAGACAAGTCGTCGGCGTTCCAGGTATGCTAAAACAAATCACTTTTGGTAATCATGTTTCAGCACAACTATGACTCCTACAAACTCTTCCCCGGCGACATCCGCGTCATCGAATGGCTCGCTAGCTACTACATCGAGTCTCAATTTCCAGAGAAAGCCGCCAACTACTTCGCGCGAGCTTCCGTCATTGATCCACATGAAGTAAAGTGGCATCTTATGAATGCAGCCTGTCTCCGAAAGATTGGAAATGTCCACCAAGCGCTTGAAAAATACAGAGAGACGCATAAGAAGTTCCCTGAGTCGAGAGAAGTGCTCGAATACCTGGTCCGATTATGTACGGATATGAGGATGGATCAAGAAGCAAAGGTACTATTGTCCAATTTTGAAATATCTCGCTTATCTGTTATATAAGGAATTTGCTCATAAACTGAAACGACTCGATAAATCACTCAGGGAGCGAGAAACTCGTGAGACCCGTGTGGGATCAGCGACCAAGGGTAAGTCAATACATTAAAACTTTCGCTAACTAAAGTTCACCCGATCTCACATGAGCCGCTTTCATAAAACTTTATTTCAGGAAGACAAAAAAGTGCAAGCTCACGAAGGGGCTCCAGTAAAACTCGCAATAATGACCGAATAGGATCCGGTCGTATCGGTTCCGGCCGTGCTGGATCTGCAAAATCGCGTGATGCAGGCAGCGCTATTTCGAAAAGCAGCTTGGAAAGGGAGGACTCTGAAATAGTTTATGAGAAGATTGAGCCAGACGTGAACATACCTGTAAGCCATCGTACAACTAATCAACTTCTCATATCCAATTTAGGAGTCAGTTCCGTCGAATGCTGACTATCGACCTAAGACATCCGCTGGAAAGCGCCAAAATGACGATTTTGATGATTTTGATGACAACGACGAGCTCCTTCCAGAATAAGCTCTTCATATTTTTCTACTGATTTTCCTTTTCTACCGCAATCTTTTGTTTAGATTTATATTTGTTTACTCAATAAAAGCCATATTTTTCGTAAAATTGCGTTCAACCGGAACAGGTATCATCGTTTCCTCATCAGAATGGCAGAGGACTTTGAGAAATTGGTAAATAAATGCACGATCCTTTCCACGGAGATCATCCACAATCTGGAACGCATCTCAAGCTCGCAGAAGCAAGAGGAAATCGACGATTCTAATGTTTATGCTTCGCGAAAACTCGAGAGTTTCAAACAAACTTTGGGAGGCATAGAAAACACTATTGTCCCCGGTAAGTCTACTAGTCTTGTTCTGTTCGTGTTTTTGTTCTGTTTACGGTGTTAGAATAAGTACCTCCTGAGTCATCAAAGTCTCCACATGTTCCAGTGGCGGCAATTTGTTTGCCAGAGAGTTGGGTGTCGAAATCGTAGGCATCGATGAGTTGCATTCTGAGTTTTCCACCAACGTTGCTAAACGGATAAGAGCCGGTTTCTAAGCCAACAAAAGGCCATCCAGTAGTAAAATAATCTTGAGTAGTTTGAAAGATTTTCCTGTGGTGTAATAATATTCCGTTTTAAAACTATTCCTTCGCTATCGGCAATTCCGTAGCCAGAACCAGTTTGATCGACGAAGAATCCTCCGACTCGTCGATCATTTGTCTCGGTTATCTTAACATGAATCCATCCATCATCAAAGAAATAGGCTATGGGGAGAGCGCTTGCTGCCAGATTAGCGAATGAAGTGACCATGCCAGCCTCAAAAGTAGGGAGAGAGAAGGAAAGTCCATTGTGCCCAATTTTTTCACGCAGTCCTTGAACCTTAATTTGTATTAGTTATGAGAATTCTTGAATTAATTTACGGAGTATCTGGTCTCATCATAGACACAAAGCGAGAATCTAAATTCACTTGACTCTTTCGCGTTCTGGAGTCCAATGTGAATATCACCAACTGGAACGAAATTGGCATCGAGAGATGGTCTAAAAGTAACGGTTTTCCCCGCTTCAACGGTAAGCGAAAGCTTCGAGCTTTCATCGAATTCGACGCCTTTCTCGTTTTCGTTGTTTTCTAGCCATCCGCCGATAGGTTTTGGGAATGTAACATCGATCTCGCCCAACTGAGTTGAAAACGGACAAAGTTTGTAGATCGACTGCACTGGGTAATCATCATTAGCCGTTCCAGTTTCACACCCAGTGGTGATAAACGGATTCTCTGTTCGAAGCACGTATCCGGGATGACCAGTTATCCGACCAGAAACATCGGAAATTGCGAACATTTCACGATCAGCCTTATTATCATTATTCAACTTGTCATCTCCGAAGATCAGCGGGCAGTTTTCGAAAAGGTTCGAATGGAGAGCTACATTTTCAGGGTTAACTGTAAAGCGAGAGTTGTTTCCAGGGACGATTGGTGCTCTGATCGCGCCAAAGCCGGCACTGTCTGGGAAAAAGTCAAAGAAGCGGTTGTTAGAAATGATGGTTGGTTCGGATGATGCGGATACCACGATACCGCCTTGGATTTCATCTCGTGGGAGAGGAGCTTGTCGGTAAACATCATTTGATGGCTTATACCAGCTGTATTTATATTCCTCTACTGAGTTCGGCTTAGGAAGCTGTGGCTTATCATCAATCGAGCAGTCCATAAGCTGGTCAAGACTCTTTGATTTTATGCTGCTTCCTTCATCAAGCTCATAGCAGCGCATGTGTCCAGTGTTTTTTGTGAAACCAACGAAGGTTGAGTCAGTAATTGTTTTCTTCGCCCCGTATACACCCTCAGATGTTACCAACTCGAAACCTTTGGCGTTGTCAGAAACCTGCCAATTTTCAAGATGGACGTTTGCTCCTTCAATCTTGTTCGTTTTCGTTGTATGGTGAACTTTAAAACCAACAAAATATTCGTCCGCCCAGTTTGACTCTGGTCGCTCCCAGAGATTTGGTCGCAAATCGTCAATTTTTCGATCTTCATTTGGCTTGAAATCGCCGTCTTGCCACTTTTCTGGCATCGCAGTGTATTTCAGTCCTGTTGGATCGCCTTCAGGAAGCATCGACAAGAAGGGAGCGTTATGGGATGCAGTTGGTCCATCATCCTTCACAGTTCCCGAACGAATGATTCCGTAAGTAGCAGCAGAGGCTTTGTTGTTCCTCCATTCTCGGCGACCAGTTTCTTTACTTGGCGGAATGGCTTCGAACTGATATTTTTCTGAAGCAGTGTGATGGAAGAACCAGAATCCGGCAGTGCCACCGACAGCAGCGTTGTCATGGATCCAGTTAGCACCGTGAGACATCCAAAAGACTGAAAGAGCTTCGCAAGGTGCTCGGCCAATTTCAGCGCCGTTATATTGATCATTTGCTGCTTCACAGATCGACCCATCACGATCAGTTGGAAGAATGATTCCAGGCTTGACGACAATGCCCAAGTTTCCAGTGATGTGATTGTAGGTTTCAACACCGTCTTCCATGAAAAATCCGTGACCGACAGTATTGTATCCGACGAAGTTCTTCACTGTTGCTTCATGAGTTCCGTGCACGGTGACGAAACGTGAGAAGCAATCGTGAACAGAGACGGATTCAAATGAACTCGGATCTTCGTATCCTCCCATTCTGCCAACATACCCAGCGTGATGCCAATGGAGAGGATATCTAGCGAGCCATGGTTGCCCCGCATTAAAGACCTCAATGTGAGAGACGTGGAAGTTCCTGAACTTCTTCGTTCCGACCATGTGGGCTCCGTGTCTGTCGATATCTTCACCCTCCATTTCTGCAAAATATGGGCACCAGTTGACCTGTCGATTAGGGGAATCTTCGTTCAGCGATTCTCGAGTTCTAGCGTAGTCACAGACCGGTTCCATTTCTCCGTAGAATCGAATGTTTCTAATACGATTTCTTTTTGCTTATTTTTGAGCATTATTCTTACCTTGAAAGAAGTCCCACCTCCGCTCTCTGATCAATGCCAGTTCGCTGATCAATTCGACCCCAGTGAGTAAAGTCAGCCGGTCGGTCTAGCATAATCTCGAACCTAGTGCAATCATCGCATGGCCTGATGGTGAAGACTTCAGAATGTAATGGATCCTGGTCCGTAGAAGCAATCACAATCTTGTCCCCAACTTCCCAGGAAGAAATGTCATGTGATACCTTGATTTTAGGGATTTGCCAAGCTGTTGAACTTGAGTACTCTACACGCTGCTCGAAGGCATTCCAAAAGTTAATTGCAGTAGCACTTCCGAAAGGGTTGTCAAGTATTTCTTGGAATTCAGATATCGGCATCGTCTCGATCGCAGAGTCTCCCCAATGCGATTTCATTTTAAGTACAAAGTCAAAGCCTTCTTTTTCACCTCCGAGCGGAACTGGCCCAACATTAATGTACAGCGCGGCTGGTGCTTTCCATTCGTTGGGAATAGATAGTTTTAGATCTGATTCTCCATTCGCTGTATTAATAACACCTGCGAGCTGAGACCACTTTTTCTTGTGGAAAGTACTGTATGCCTCAGAAAAAGCGGAGTTTTCAAAGCCAAGTCCAACAAGAAGCTCACGGAAAGGCGCCGTCAGAGTGTACTGAAGATCAGTAAAGAAAATAACCATTTCACCTTGATTCAGGTTTTCTATATTGAGTTTTTGCTGAATCTCTTCAGAAATTGTGCTTCCGCTATTGATGCTGAAAGTATCTTTCAAATCTCCTTCAGCAGAGAGGACGTGAAAAACCATTCGCTTCTGACCCCGAAGTTGGGTTGGCGCCGCGTTATTTTTATCTTGCGACCAGTTGAGCTGTTCGACAGCAATTGAGTCTTTGAAAAGATGATCTTCCAAATGCGTCCAATGCCACTTTTCTTTTCCGTGCACCTCTACAACACCATCTCTATCGGCGTGAAAGTACTTTCTTCCGAAGTCCTTGTCCATTGAGTTTCGATTCCCATAAAGCGCAATATCAAGTTTTCCTTGATATCGACACTTTCTTGAGCCAGCCCAAATTTCTCCACCATTTTCGGCCTTCAAAGCAAGTGCTCGAAATTTTATGAGATTCCCGGTCGGTCCTCTATCTTTGAAAATGAGTTTTCCTCCAGTTAGGACTCGTACAACTCCTGTATCGATACTTCGGTCGACGATGACGACTCGATTCTCGATTGTGACATCGCCAAATGGGTAATCCCAAGCCTCAGCAGCAACGCTGTCTGGACAAGTTCCATCTACGTCCCACTGGTTTGTTGGGAAACGGAGCTTGAACTCGTCAGCTTCAAAGCCTCGTCTTCTCTTATCAGAGCGACCAGAGTTGAAAACCTGGCGCTTGAATTTGAGAAAGAATTCTTCCTCATTAACCTCCATCTCTGGATCGATGTTTTTGAAGATCTTCTTCCATTCTCTTTTGCTCAGATCTCCATATTGCTCCAGTTCAGCGTCGTCGAACGGTGCAGCTGAATTATTTTAATATATTTGCTATAGCCTATAGTATCATCAAATTTTAACTAGAAAGCTCACCTTTATGTCGGTCTTTCTTCCCCGCCAAGACGGTTGATAACAACAGGTGAAATAGCTTCATTTTGTCGGAATTTCTCTGACAAAGTGAACTCGTCAGATTTGAGATTAATTTTAAGTACGATTTTATCTCCGATGACGATTTCGGAGCCGGCTTATCTCCGGTGGAATTTTAAGATTTCAGCGAATAAAGCGTTTGATTATATTTAGGTTGTCCAAAATTGTCCAATTGCGGTATTAAATTAATTTAAACTTTATTGCTAGTTCAGTTAAAGACCAGTTAAAATGTCCATAACGGATTGTTTGTTTAGACAACGATCACCAGGTCCTCACATCGAAAAAGCTAGGAGAATCATACAACAAACTGAAATCGGATTTGAGGCTGAAAATGAAGAGCGCGGAAGCAAGACTGCAAAACCTCGACCGAAATAGCCTTCTGGGAGACAACAGTAAAAAACCAGCGGCAAAAAGCGGCCCAAAGATATCAAATGGTGAAGCAAAGACGAGACTGCGGCAGGTTAACCATTTGGTTGGAAACATTCTGAATCAGGGTCAAAGAGCGCAGGAACAGCTGGTTGATTCTAGTTATGTTCTAAGAGGGACCAAAGGAGACTTGGCGTCTGGATCAGATCATTTGAAGAATTCTAAACGCCTTTTGGAAAAGGTAGGATTAATCAAATAGAGATATCTCAAAGATCTGTTAAGCTTAAACGAAGAAAGAAAACTGACCAACTCATATTCTTTCTTTGCCTGGCATTCTTCTTCGCAACTTGTCTGTACATTCTATTCAAGCGTTTCACTCCTGGTTTCATACTTCGTCGGGTTAAAAGTGCCTTATTTTTGTCGTAGAATTCTGTAGTTCATCATTTTAAAAGTGCAATAATGGAAAGATTACACGGGTTTCTCATACTCATATTTTAAGAATGAGCGATAATGTGAAAGTTATCGTTCGATGCAGACCCCTCAACTCTAAAGAAAAATCAGGGGGCTACAAAGAGGCAGTTCAGTGCGACGAGGTCAACGGTCGGGTTCTTATTGAGCGGCCAAATGATCCACCAAAGGTATTCTTTTTTCTCTGCCTTTTTTTCACTTTTATAAGTCTTTCACATTCGACCATGTCTTCGGAAAAGACAGCCGGCAAGTCGACGTCTACAATCTCACCTCTCGCCCAATCGTCGATTTCGTTTGCGAGGGCTACAATGGAACCATTTTCGCTTACGGTCAAACTGGAACTGGTAAAACATTTACGATGGAAGGCGTGCGCTCAAATCCAGAGCTCAAGGGAATAATTCCCAACTCATTCGCGCATATCTTCAGCCATATTTCGAAAATTGGCGATTCTGGTAAGTCGAAAACTATTTTTCTTGAGTTTCACATCTATGCCTTTAGATCATACTTTTCTCATTCGCGTCTCTTACCTCGAAATCTACAACGAAGAAATCCGAGATCTTCTTGGGAAAGATCAGAAAAAGCGCCTCGAAATCAAGGAGCGCCCAGATGTCGGAATCTACGTCAAGGACAAGAAAGAATTCGCTGTCAACTCAGCTGAGCACATGGAGAAGATTATGTCTCAAGGAAACCAAAACAGATCAGTCGGAGCGACCCTGATGAATGCCGACTCCTCCCGATCTCATGCTATTTTCACGATCACGATCGAATCAATGGACAAGGGGCCTGATGGACAACAGCGCGTACGAAAAGGACAGCTGCACATGGTCGATTTGGCCGGTAGTGAAAGACAAGCGAAAACGGGCGCTACTGGAGATCGACTAAAAGAAGCGACCAAGATCAACCTCTCGCTATCTACCCTTGGAAATGTTATATCCGCTCTTGTCGACGGAAAATCAAGTTTCATCCCCTATCGAAACTCGAAGCTTACCAGATTGCTTCAGGACTCCCTTGGTGGCAATTCAAAGACGCTCATGATTGCTACTTTTGGGCCGGCAAATTACAACTTCGAGGAGACTATTTCTACGCTGAGATATGCGAATAGAGCGAAGAACATCAAGAACTCGGCAGTCATCAATGAGGATCCAAAAGACGCGCTGCTGAGGCAAATGCAAGAGGAGCTTGATGCGCTAAAGAAACAACTGGAAAAAGTTGGAGAAGGCGGCGGAGTACCGACTGATCAACTCGCACAAATGAGCATAGGTATGTTATTATTTTAAAATTCTTATTTTTTTACTTTTTTATAGAAATTATGAAGCAGCGAGAAAACTTAGAAAAAGATCGTGAACTGGCGGAGAAAGACAAGCTCAAGGCAATGAACTCACTGAAGAAAAAGGAAGCTGAAATCAAAAAGACCGAAAGTGAACAAGCCGAACTTGAAGCTAAAATGGCGCAGATCAATCAAAAAGTTGTGCACGGCGGCGTCAACTTGCTGGAAAAAGATGAAGAGCAACAGAAACTATTGGAAGACAGTAACAAGTAAAAATAAGGGGCATAAAGACTTCTGTATTATTATTTTAAAGAGAGCTACAGCAAAAAATCGCGAGCCAAGAAGACATGAAAAAGCGTATCGTAGAAGTCGACTTTACTCTAGAAGACATCAACAAAAAATACTCTTCGCTGCAAGAAGAAGCGAGCGAAAAGACCCGCAAGCTGAAGAAAATCTGGACAATGTTCAACGCTGCCAAATCAGAACTTGCTGACATCGAAGCCGAAAATGCAAGAGAAATAGAGTCAATGCTCGGTAAGACAAATTCTCACCACATATGACCCAATAAACGAAATCTTCTTTTGACGATAATTTTTGTGTATCGGCCCCATAACAGTTTACAACCTCGCAAATATCAAAATCACACATAGTGCGTCAGTAATTAATTTTTTTAAGATAATATACGAGAGTTAGAACAAAGTCTGCAACTGAAGCAACTCATCATCAGGAGACTAATCCCGCCAGAAATGCAACAACTGATAGAAGAAAACATGAGCTGGAATGATATGATCGGCGAGTGGCAAGTCAAAGGAATAGGTAGCTCTTTCCAAGGAGAATTTTTTCAATAAACTTTTTAAAACAGCTTACACTGGAAATAATATGATGAAACGTCGCGAAACACCACCTCCTGAACCAGAAGAATTCGACGAGGAACAAGCATATCTTGTTTATGGCGACCCAATCATGCCTTCTGCTCGACCAAGGACTTCGAAGAAAAGTCGCAAGAAAAAGAAATCCAGTCGGAATTACGAGCTTGAGCAGCTATAATAAAATTCAACTTTAGTTCTTATTCAAAATCATCAAATTTCTCTTTCTGTATCGAATCAACTTTTCAAACTTTCCATTTTCATTAGTACTACTTCTTTGTACTTTTGCTTCTTATTGCACTTTTATACTGGTTTTATATTGAACTTAGAGCATGCGAATTGTTGTTTCTGTCACGTTCTGCCTTACTACCATTTTTGTATGAATAAATGTTATTTTCTTAAATTTGAACAGGACTTTTTTATTGGGCTCTTTCAGCATTTAAGCTTGCGTTATCAGTAGTAATAAGTTATCACAGTGAGTTCGAGAGACAGTTCAGTGAACCTTCGAGTAAATTTTTCTGGGTTTTCCATCAACCATCGTAATGTAGGCGACTTTTTTCGTTTTGCCATGTTCTGACGATTTTCCCGACGAGGTCGTACTTTTTGCCTTTTTCACGGCTTTTGGGCTGTTCAGAAGCGGTTTTCTGTAGTCTTTCATTTTTTGATTTTCTATCTGAATACTTTTGATGGAAAACTGATTTGCCCCTTGATTTTATACCGACAAAAAGTAGCGACATCATGTTACTCTCTATCGCCTGGTGGGAAGAATCTTTTACTAGCAATTGCTAAATTTTGATATTTACGCACTAAGAAATATTTGCCTACTCTTTCCGATCTCGTCAAAACTAGTACTTTCGCGAAATAACCGAAGAGAATCATGAAAATCTGTTGTAGCAACGGGAGATTTTCTTAGATACATTAAATTTTAGCGGGAAATGATAAACTAAACGTCATCGACGAACGGTACTTTGGAACTCTTTATAACGACCTGTGTTTGATTTTAGAAATGTTTGCTGCGTTCAAAAAGAAGATAAATCCAGCAGGTGCGAGTTCGGGCAGTCTCGATGCTCGCTCACCACGCCCAGAGCCTGTTTCGCCCAAGCTGCAGGCAAAATTAAGCAAGGGTAAGTGGTTAGCTATTTATTTATTAATGATAAAGAGAATTATCATTCTGATTCTTTAGGAATATCGACAAATATGAGAATTCTCGTCAGCGGCCGAAGAAAATCAGGCAAATCGTCTCTCCTTAGGCGTCTCAAAGGGCTGCCACACAGAGCAGAATATACTGAAACTAAGGAGCCAGTTGCGGCAGTCTCTGTAAATTGGAATTACAGAGCTACTACAGATGTCATTAAAGTCGACGCATGGGAAGTTGCAGACGAGAATTTAGAGTGTTATTTACAGGGCTCAGCTGCTGTTATTCTGATGTATCAAGCAACTGAGCCGTTCGAGGTGAACTTTATTCAATAAATCTCTTTCTAAAAATGCTTTTAGATGGACTTTATTCTGAAACGCATTCCTGACATTCCCCGTAATTTGCCCGTCCTTGTTCTAGCCAATTTCATCGACGCAGAAGAAGCTGATGTCGACAAATGCGACGTTGAAAGATTACAGAAGCTATCTGAATCTCGAATAGCTCCTGTTTACTTCTGCAAAAGCGCGATGACTTCTGGAAGAGGGCTCAATATGATCTACCAATTCTTCAACATTCCATATTTAATTCTAAAAGAGCAGGAGTTGTCCTTATCACTCGGTAAGGCTCGAATGTGATAAACAAGATTCAACTGAAATTAATTTCAAGCAAATACAAAGAACGATCTATCAAACTCCTTCATGTCGATGCAGTCCCTTCAACAGTCCCAATTCCGTGTAGAACAAGTGGCTCCTTCGAATAACCCAGTGCCAGTTTTAAAGACGGACCCAGCTTCTAAAGACCTGCAAAATAATTTGGTAATGGAGGAGGAAGATGAGATTTCTGACGAAGAGATGATGGTCAACTCGATCTTCAAAAAGAAAGAAGATGAAAGTGCGACAACAGAGCTACAAGAAAGAGAAAGACCTATCGGAAAGTCTCCAGAAGCGCTAGAAAGGCTTTCATCTGGACCAAAGGATACATCTTCTCCTGTTCTACTCGCCCCACTGGCAAAAGATGATTCGCCTTGTGGGAGTTTAGGAGACACCTCTACAATCACACTTCAAAGGTACTTTTTTAGCTGAAATTTATTGTGAAGGACTCAAATTTGTTGTAGTTCTCCATCGCTTCGTTGATTCTTTTTTCTTCGTTTTGTTGATCGGGGATTTCCATATCTTGCCCGATCCATGATTCAACCTCTTATTTATTTGCTGAAAAAGTGCGCCACTCTAGCCAAATTTTAGCCTAAAATTGGTTCATTCCACACCTGTTTCATCGATTTAATTCTAGCTTGCCTGAAGATGAAGAAGTGCAAAATCGCCCTGCTTCAAGCAGTTTCGAACTTGACTGGAGCCGCAACAACTACCTAGCATCAGAATCCACTGAATCACTTGAAAAACTCAGCATCAGCCACGGTACCACGCAATAAGAATTCATACTGTACTCGTTTGTCTCTCTTGAGTTTACTATTGGTTATCTTTATATACGAATGTTTGCCTGTTTCCTCAAATGTGCACGTCTTGTTTCTTCATTATTATACCCAGAATAAGATATTCCCTTTCTTCACTTTACATTGTTCTGACAATTTTCAATAAATCTATATGCAGAAAATCAATGGAGATAAATCGCCTTTTTCTAAGCCGATTTTTCTTCACTTACAAGTGGCGAAGTCGCTCTTATCGATCAGTTTGAGGAGATATTATATCAAATAATTAGTCTTTGATTGCTGTGACTTTTTCACGTTTCGATTTTCGTCGTTTCCTATCCCATGACCTTAATGGCAGTCACAAGGAATATATCTTTATTTTCATGCATTAAATGTTTGATTAAAAGCGCGGGTTCGCACCAATTAGCCTTGCATCGAGTTGTGCACCGATTGGCCTTGCTCGTTCGATCTAGGGCGTATTCCCTTGAGGACATCGATCTGCATCCTTTTCTGCCGCGTTCTCCCCCTCTCTCCGCCACTGTTCGTCTTCGTCCCTCCGTCGTCGTCGTGCTTCTATATTTTGTTTACTTTTTTGTCGTTGTACTCTTTGCCTTTGTAAACAGAAACAAAACAGAAAACAGGAGAAAACATGTTCTGGGTGCCAAATACCACCGCGGCCGCCTCGGCAACAGCTGCCACCGCTGGCTACATTCCGGCCAGGACGCCGTCCGAAAGCGGATCTGAAAAGGTAAACCAGTCCTTTGATTGTTTCTGGATTATTGAGGGTCTCTTACCTTTGGCTAAAAGTTCAAAGCTAAGAGCAATTATAGGTATAAGGATCGATAATTGAAAAATTAACTCTTCAAACTCTTCCTTGATTTTAACAAACAACCAGGGATGTAACCGTTTTTACATAACAGCTTCTACTTAATTTTTCAGTAGAGTCGTTGATCATTGTTTTCTTATGAGCATTTTGTACGAAAAAGAAATGTATGCTCAAGCAAAAATGTATTGATTAGAGGTAAGACCTGAGGGTCTCTCTTTTTGATCAATTTTAAACTTGGTGAAGATCTTTAATATTTAAAAAATTGAATTTAATGCCTCTGAGTCACTTCCGGGAAACGCAAAAATAAAAGAGAGACAGACAAATCGATAGCAGGATTTCATGCACCACTCGTCATTTTTTTGAAAAGCTCGATTATCAACTCGCGGCAGGTGTTTGGTAAGGTTTTTTACGACCTTCGCCAGTTCCAAAGTTATTTGAGGTTTGCGTGTAATTACTGTCACGGGAGGGACTGATCAAAGAGGGGTACTTTTCCTCTCATAAACTGGTCAATTACGATTATCAGTTTCTAGTTTTTTGAGAACAAAAAATTTTACAAATCTTAAAAAAACTAACATTCAAGACATTCTCCTTATTTCAAGCCAGGAATATCGAATTGTTCATTACAAATCTTAAAAAAAAAACTGAAAATCTAAACTAATCTTTCAATCATTTCAATGTCTGAAAGTATTGCATGATAGTATTATTTATACAGAAAGCTGCATAAAACTACATGCTCGATAGAAAAAAAAGGGTTATCGATAAAATTAATATTGTTCTTGACGGATGAGCTGTCTGCGCAGTGACAGGACTTGAAAGAGCTTGTCTGATGACGTGTGACTAATCCCCGTTCTATATGATGACCTATATTGAGGCGATTCAGGAGGAAGAGGATTTCGGGCGGGACGTGTTCGATTTTCGGCCCTTCGCGGGGTGGCCAGATGCTCACCCGCTAAATTTGAAGCAGGGGCCATCTGGACATCGATTCCTTTCCTGCCCAAAGTCGATATTTCTATCTGTCTCTTTGCTGCCGACAGGGGAAGATCTGAAATTATTTAAACTTTCCGACAACATTCTCCCTGAGTCAAAAATCCCGGACTTTATTTACGAGAGATAGCTTATCCAGATAAGAAACGCGAAAATAAATATTCAATAAGATTTTTGAATTGCAAAAGAACAAGAAACGAAAAATGATGGAAGTTGTGAGCCCGATTGAAGCGACTAATTTGAGCAAGAATTTTCTCTCCTCAGAATGGGTAAGACATGTTCTAGATCATTTTTACTGACAGATCTTTTATCAGACTCTTTCTTCTAAAATGCTTGTTTTTCCGGCTACAGTTTTGAAAGTAAAAAAGCCGCGTCGCGGCTTTCTGAAACATGAATCTACCCAGGTAGAGACACCGGTACTCCTTTTTTGAAAAGAGAAAGTCAATGTCATAGGATGACTGTAAGGGAATCTGAAAGGATTGAGCTGCTGATAGGCTCATCTTGCCTTGAAGTGAAAGGGTTAGGCTTTATTACCAGCCTCTCTTTCTCTTTCCTTGGACAAAGCCGCAGCGAGGGTCAATTTGCAAATCAATCTCAACTCCTGAAAGATCCTCCTGACTTTTTTAAAAGTTACAATTTGAATCCTCCGGCTACAGATAAACCAATTAATAATTGGGCAATTATATAATTTTGATACCGAGAGACAGAGCAGACGATTGGATTCGGGACAAAACATACTCAAATATAAAAAAAAAATAAAAACTATTTTAAATGGAGATTTTTGGTCCTAAGAGCAATCAGCGGCGAATTTTTAAGATAGAATTTAGGAGCTGCGTTTGGCATAATAATGAAAGAGTAAGAATAAAAACCGGTTGTCTGACCTTTTTTCTTGCCTTTTTTTGATATTTCTTCGAGAAAATAAAAGTAATCAACATTCCAATGTTAAATGACGTGCAATAGCCATCTTGCTTCAAGGTTATCGTGCATTAATGCAGCCCTATTCTCTAGCCTATCGATAAGTGAGTCTAGTGACAGTTCCCAGGAAGAGCAGTAAAGATAGAATTTGTTATTTTTGAACGCGGAGTAACAGAGGAAAAGAACGAAAAGAAACGCCTCTAAAATGAAATCTTAGATGGGGGCAAAGACCAAGACTGAAGTAAACTCAAACGACAACTGCGAGGCGAACAACAACAGAGAAGAAGACCGAAAACTATTCGTGGGAATGCTTTCGAAAACGCAGACTGAAGAGGATGTCAGAAGGCTTTTCAACAAATTTGGGCCGATAGAAGAGTGCACTATTCTCAGGTAAAATAGCATCAGTGTCTGAGAAGGAGCAGATCGACTCACGTGCGCAGAATATAAACCTAGTTATAACCAAAAAGATACCGTAGAATTTCGGTCAAGCTCTTATTCATTCATAAAATCGTCTTTACCAAGCTTTAATATTTTTTATAGAACTCCTGAAGGCTCCTCAAAAGGGTGCGCTTTCATCAAACTCGGCAATGTCCAGCAAGCTCAAAACGCAATCGCTCAGATGCACGGTTCCACAACAATGCCGGTAAGTGTACTCGTCATCGCTTGAAACGAATGATAAGCGTCATTTGTGATAAAACATATATCATGAAACAGTTCTACACGAGCGCTCATCTGAAACGATTATTTCTACGGGATACATTAAAAACCTAGCACAGTTCAACGTATTCGGAAAGGATCGATAGAAACTTAAAATCTTGTGATATAAAAGTCACTCGAGGGCGCTAGATTTTCATTTTTTAGTAATTTTATTGCCCCCTTTTCGTTTCTGAAACTGATTTATAAAGAGAATTTCCAATAGTAAACAACAAAAAAGGTAATACGAAAGACCCCCAAACTCTTTAGACTTTCAAACTGCTACTTTTTCTTACAAACTGTCCCCCCATCGATAATTTTTTCCGTGTACGCATGATAATTTTCCGAATTTCGTCCAATTGATTTTTCGGCACTGACCCCCTTTTCGTCAAAAATGCTCCAGCTTTGGGCTTCCTCAAACGAGAGAAATTTGTAACAAGCTGTAATTGATACGGTTGTGGTTTTTTGTTTGGACAAGATCGACCACCTTTACTAATCGGACGCTTTGCTAGAAAATTAAAACAGTTTTTCGGCTCTTTAGCATCTTCTTAAATTTTGACGCAGGTTCGTTAGAGAAAATTTTCAGAGATTACCGGCGTTTCATTTTTAAAGAAAACTGTCATTATTACGGTGAGAAGGAGAAACATTCTTATTTTTTACTTCGCTAAAGAGCTGAGAAGGTGTTTTACGGAGATCGAGGAGCAAAAAAACAATTGAATTTTTAATTCGGAAAAAATGCCTTCTATTCTTCCCCAGATCATTTGGGCGAGAGAAAGCGTGTTTTATTCATCATTGCTCAAGAAAAAAAAAGAGTTTCATGATGAAATGTATCCGTAACGGAGAGAGAAATGCAAGAAAGGATTGAAAACCAAGATTTTAAGGGTGCGAGCTCATCGATAGTCGTCAAGTTGGCTGATAACGAGAAGGAACGTGCGCTGCGAAAGATGCAGCAAATGGCGGCGAACGGCATGGTGTCACCGATTCTGAACTATGCTTATCCACAGGTAAAGAAACAGTGAACTCTGTCATGCGATCCATTCTTTAGTCGATCGGTGGATTCGCTAACAACATGTGGGCAGGAGGCATTGTCGCGCCGATGGGAATGCAAATGGTCAACCAGATGGTCCACGGCGTCGTTCCCAGTAAGTTTACGCACATTCTCTTTAGAACTACTCGTTTTTAACATTTCTTACTGGTTGTTCATTATTGGGGTCGAATGATTTTTATTATAAAAATTAACCTTCTTTCTAAGGTTAAAAAATCTTAACATGGACACGAAGTGAGTCTATTCGGTAATTTATTCGGTATTCGGTATTTCTGTCTATTCGGTATTCGTCCAACAATTCATTTGAAAGTGTTTAATAACTGTCCTTTCTGTTGGTCGGTAAAGTAGCAGTCCCAAAACATAGAAGTGAAATTAGAGTTAACATTTAATCAATGTAATGTTTCATCTTTGTTAGCAATCTATTTGATCGTCTCAAAAAGAAACTTGATTTTTCAAAGAAAGAATTTTCATTTTCGCAAAAATCGAAATAAGGTCAACCTTATAAACCGGGGATCGTCTCGGCATTTTTCCCCTTTTTCTTCGTTCGATGTCTCTTTCTGTGTCAAACTTAAATTTTTAGCTATGATGCCCCAGATGCCCTCTGCTCCTCAGTCTCCCATCGCCATTTCTACCGCCGGTAGCACTTCGGCCGAGTCTGCCCAAGCTCAAGCGCACGCACAAGTTCAAGTGCAGGCTGCTGCCATCGCTCAGCCTCAGCCAGCTGCTGCGTATTCCCTTCAGACCGCTTACGATAGCACCTTGGCCCAGTATCAAGGTAATGTTCTGTTTTTATAATGTGTTTTTAACGCATGTATTATGGTAGCTCAAACCGCGGACTTATCTTCTCTCGCGGCGACGGCGGCATATGGCGGTTACCAATTCGTGATGGTCCCCAATCCCGCGGGTGGTTATACTCAAGTCCCGCTGTCGTGCGGCACGCAGAGCATGGCTGCTCTCAATCAGAATCCCTGTGCTCCTCAACGTGAAGGTAAGCAATCTTTCAGACATCTTCAGCCTAGACTTGAAAAGAACACATTTTCACAAATATTGTTTATAGGCCCGGACGGGTGCAATCTGTTCATTTATCACCTCCCCCAAGAGTTCACAGACGCCGATTTGGCCAACATCTTCGCGCCCTTTGGAAACGTCATCTCGGCCAAGGTCTTCATCGATCGAGCGACGAATCAAAGCAAATGCTTCGGTAAGGCACACAACCTCGAGGCCTGTCACTTTCGATCTTTGGCAGATATCCTAATCACATGCATTATTGATTTCGCGCTCTTTGTAGAGCAGTTTGCCCGGATTAATGAATAATGAGCAGAAAACTCTTAAACATATCTGTATTTATTTTTTAGGCTTCGTCTCCTACGACAACGTCTCCGCTGCCCAAAACGCAATCAACGCAATGAACGGATTCCAAATCGGCATGAAGCGCCTCAAAGTTCAGCTCAAGCGACCCAAGGCCGGCGAAAAACACTTTTAGCTAAAATTATATTTTTCATCCTTCTACCATATTTTCTTCTTCTAAAGAGTTGACCTCTTGAACCAACTTTACCAGTAATGCAACCCTTGCTTTCCCCAAACTCCCACTGTAAATACGCCCTTTACCCTTTTTAAAAGACTCATTTTAATGAGTCTTTATTAAACCCTTCTCTTGCACATCAAAACCGCTTCAATACTTTAATAATAATTTTAAATTATTTCTTTTCGCTTTTATTTTATTTTTTTCTGATGATTCTTTTTTCCTCCACTGGTTACTTCATTTTACCTGCAATAAATCAACGAAGTTACAGAACATCACTTTTCAATTAGTAAAATTAGCTACCTCCCTCGCTTCGATTCGAAAAGAGATCAGTCTGAACCTGAAAAAATGGGAAATCAACAAGGAAGTTTTTCTCCTGAGCAAATCGAGCAATATCAAGATTGCACCTTTTTCACTAAAAAGAGATAACAAAGCTGCATGCACGTTTTCGAGAGCTTGATCCGGATACAATTCCGTGGAATATGCAAACCGAACAGGTTCCACATTAAATTTGAGTAATCTTGTAACTTGTTAATCTGAGGCAATGAATTTATCTCTTCCGCCCGATGTTGTGACAACAATGACAGAGTTGAGGGAGAATCCTTTTGCAGAGAGGATTTTGGAGGTTTTCAGCGAAGACTCCAGGTAACAACAAGATTTGCAGAAAGAAAAAAAGTCATTCTAGCGGGCACATCACTTTCAACAACTTCGTGGACATGTTCAACGTTTTCTCGGAACACGCTCCACGCGACTTGAAAGCATTTTACGCCTTTAAAATCTACGACATGGACAACGATGGGTATATCAGCATGGACGACCTCTACAATACCCTTCGTTGCCTAACCCGAGAAGAGCTGACCAAAGAAGAGATTAACCTCGTGGTTCAGAAAGTCCTTGAAGAGTCGGAAATGGACGACGATTGCCAAATCTCATTCATGGAGTTTGAGCACGTGATCTCAAGAGCGCCCGATTTCCTCAAGTAAAATAACATTCAATTGTTTCATTTTGTAATATCATGTTTTAAAGCACCTTCCACATCAGAATTTGAGGGCAAATAAAACAACATGACCTGCTCTGTGTGCAACAAAAATAAACTTAGTTCTATCCATGACCATGAACATTTAGAAATGAATATAAGCCATCAAAAAGGGCGACTTGCAGAGATTATAACATTATTTAATAACCATCATAAAGTTCATCAAACACTTTGGGCAATTTCCTATCTCAATAATCCACTTTGGCAGAAATAAGAAAAATCCTTACTCTTACATAGTATGTACTAGCAGACTTAGTTATCTTTCTTGCGGCAAAGCGACTTTCGCTTATCACGCTTCACGGGAATTCTCTTAAATAACACTCAACGAGCATAAGAGTTAACAAATGGCCTTCATCGTTATATGATCCACTTAGTAATAAGTTGTGATAATAACTTGTAATCCTTGGTTTTTTCCTCACGGCTGCGCCAAAAGTAACCCCTTGTGATGTAAGCAGGCAATTGATCCACCCATACTTTTATATGGCTACGAATAGGATGTAATTTTTCTTAGAAAAATTGCAATAAACACTGATTACTGCACTAAAATTAGTATGCAGGGCTTAGATCTCCCCGCGAGAGCTGTGTTTTTACGTTGACGCAACGAGTGAAAAAATGTAGCGCTGCTGAATGAAACGTATTTTGCTGCTGGTGGTGGAGGAAATCGAGCAGCGCCACCAATCAGCGCGAACGGCGGAGACTCGGCCAGGCGCGATTGGCGCAGTCCAGTACCAACCGCCCGGGGTACCGTCAGCGAAGCACTCATTCTCGCCATTCATAAAAGTATCTTCTTAAAAAGCATTCAATAAGCACTCAAAACACTGATTTATCTTTACGCAGAGACCCTGACAAGAGCATAGAGATTTTAGGAAGATTAGACAAGCGGGAAAAGATTCGAAAAGAAGATACAAAGAGCACTGGTAAGCCTGGTTTAGAAGATTGACCTGATTTCAAATTCTATAGAAATTTATTTGCCAAATACTGAATTAGATTGAAGATTTTGTTGGTTAAAATTTTCACGAAAATGATTAATATTTTGTACGGAACCTTAAAATACCTTGGTACGAAGCATGATAATGTTTTCAAATCAAACAGACAAACTTTAAATTGTCCTAAGTAAATCGACCATCCATTTTTTAGACATTTCATTGAAGAATTCTTTCGTAAAATAAAGTTAAACATGTTCAAATATCCGAATTATTCTGGAATTCGAAAAATGCGTCAAATTAGAATTACACTTTGTCTCACATCGCAAAAAATTTCGATGCACTGGAGGAGCGAGAGACTTCATCCTCTTTAAACTTTATTATTTTTAAAAGTATCCGGTCTTAAATAAGCCCATTCGAGTTTCTTCTCGCGCCGGGCCAAGTGGAAGGCGGTGCGTTGGTTTATTTAAAATCTCACCTTTTAAATATTTATGCCGAATTTTTAAGATAAAACTCACGCGAGGGTGAATGAGCCGTGACAGATTACGATTATGAGGTCCAAATTTTATATATTCACGTTATGCGGCCTTGCAGGCGTTTATACACAGGTTGAGTTCCAAATAGAAAACAAAATTATCAGTAGTTTATTTCTGAAACCAAAAAACTGAACTCTGAAAAAGTCAACAAATGTCAATCCGCCTGGGATGTGCGCAGGCTACATCAACAAATACACACATTCTGACCAATGTGTCTACAGTTTTACCGTCCCGAAGCGGGATGTCAACGATTGCAAAGGGCTAGAAGACACTGTAAATAATATGAACGAAAGAACAAACGCCCTGGAGTTGGAAGTTGCCGAATTAAAGAAAATCATCGAAATTATCAAAGACAACATGGATGCAAATCGAATGATCGGACAAATGCAGCAGCAACAGGCCACGTGGGAAGAAAATGACAGGATTATCAGAGAGGAGAACGCGATGAAATCAGCGCAGCTTACTGAAATGGAAATTAATTTACGAGAAGTCCAAAATAACCTCGAACGCGCGAATGCTGATCTAGCTGCATTGAAATCAGAAGCGACTCCGCTCGAGGAGGAACTTCTCAAGTCCAGATCGCAAACTCAACAATTCCGAAACGAGCTTGTTATTATGACGCAAAAGTACACCGACCAACTCAGTTTGGTGGACGAAATGATGAGTGCGAAGAACTGTTCGGAAATCAACAAGAATTTGCCCTCGTGCGATGCGATTCGACTCTGGGGCTTCAAAAAGTCAGGCTACATGATGATCGATCCTGACGGAGAAGATGGTAATCCCCCCTTTCAAGTTTACTGTGACATGGACAGCATCCCCGGCAGAGGAATCACCCACGTGCATCATTCCAACCAAGGAATCGGCGTGGATGTTCAAGGGTGCGAAGAAGCCGGATGCTTTTCCCACGAGCTCAATTACCAAGGAGTCTCTATGTCGCAAATGGAATCGCTTATTGATATCCACACTGCTTGCGAACAATCGCTCAGATACGACTGTCTCGATTCCAAGGTACAAAATCAAGTTAAATGCTACATGTAGTTACATAGTTTAATTCAAGATTATGCGAGACAGAACCGCTTGGTGGGTATCCCGCGATGGACGGCGGCAGAACTCTTGGGGAGGGGCACCCATCGGCTCAGGCAAATGCGCTTGTGGCCTAACGAACACCTGCGTTGACCCTAATTACGTGAGTGATTCTTAATTTTTATTGCTTTATATCAATTTTGTTAGTATTGTAACTGCGACGCTGACGACGAAAAGTGGCACAATGATGAGGGTCTTATTTATGAAAAGGATCTCCTTCCGGTAAAATTTTTTTAGAGTTTTAACTTGACTAAATTTCGGAATTCAGATAAAGGAAGTGCGTTATGGTGACGTTACTACTGATAAAGGCGAGAAGGGCAAATCGCTCGTTGGCGCGCTTGTCTGCAAGTGGGATAAAACGATGGCAGTCACATCGTGTCAAGCACTAGCGAGAGATGGTGTTAGGGAATCTGGACATTACATGATTGATCCTGGTAAGTGTTGACTAATCAGTACTAATTCGCAAAAAGAGAGTTCGAAATTGGGGGCGGATAGCGTAGTTAGTCGTGCGTACGCAATCTCTGGTGAATCTCGCGGGCGTGAGTTCGAATCCTTCTGACGAGGGGATTCTTTGAACCTAACGCCTACGTTGGCATCGCAGCTAGTCGGTTTCCCGAGGGTTAACCACAGTTTGTGCGACTATCGAGGACTTGTGTTTCCTCGAACAATTGGTAGATGTAAAGTCAATTCGTCACGAAGAGCCAATGCGTTCCCGGCGCATGAGCTCCCAGAGTACACAATTAACCTTGTCACCAAAAAGAACTCCAAAATGACGAAAGGCTGCACGAGCCCTGAGGTTTCTCCCTGCCCCTAGTCGGCTTCGAGACGTCGAAGTTAGATCACCAGATTGGGAGTTTTTGTAAAACTTGTATCGTCAATTTCTCGAGACGCAAAAAAATCCCTGCCTCTTCCCTGTTTTCAGTAAATTTTTCTTTGAACAGAATCTAGAAAGATAATATTTCCAGAAAAGAAGGCGCATCCGTGGGAGCGGATAGCGTAGTTAGTCGTGCGTACGCTGTCTCTGGTGAATCTCGCGGGCGCGAGTTCGAATCCTTCTTCCGAGGGGATTCTTCTCTTCGCCCACGGTGGCATCGCACCTCGCGAACGGGTGGTGGTTGGGTTGCCTACATAAAATGTAGGCATTGACAGGACTTGTGTAGGGAGGAGTGTCCATTGGTTGATGTAAAGACAATCCTTCACGAAGAGCCAAAGGACCACTCCTGCACAAAGTACCGAGTCTCGCGGATAACCTTGTCACCAAAAGAACCCTAAATTGACGAAAGGCTGCGCGGGCCCTGAGGTTCCTCTCTGCTCCTAGTCGGCATCGTGTCCTCGATGTTAGATCACCAGAATGAGAGTTTTTTCGATTTACGATTATCAAACTAAGCCTTTGCTTCAGATGGACCACATGGAGTAGAACCGCCACAAAAAGTATTCTGTGACTTCTCAAATGGAATCATGCCCATCGACGATTCCGTTGATCCAACTACCGTCGTTGAAGGTGGTGGACTTCTTCCTCGTAAGTAAAAATCAAAAATTCGTTGACTCGAATGCCAAACTAAGCAAGTTTAATTTTAAGCTGATTACTTGACAACGCACTGACATATCAAATTTTGCCATTATGCTTGATTTTGAAATGCGCTCAAGTTTATTTGATTCATCTCATAAGAATCAGTTTTTATTTCTATACATTCAAAATATTTTTAGCTGCGCCTGTGCCAAGCAATGTTGGTCCTCGCCGTACTTGGGAATTCAACGATTGCGGAGCCAGTGGTCGCTTTGGACCCACTGAATCAATGTGCAAAACGGTTTATGACGAGGACTATCCCGGTTTCTTCGTCAAGAGTGGCATGCAATTCTTCTACGCGCCAAAAACGGGGAGATACAGAATTACTGCGACCGCACCTGGTGGATTGGCTGCCAAGAAAGGCGCCGGAAAGGGTGCTTCTATGTCGGCCATTTTCAAATTGGAAGAGGAAACTGAGCTGAGAATTATCGTCGGTCAGAAAGGATCAATCTCGCCCAATAGGGAGTTCTTTGGCGGAAGTGGCGGAACCTTTGTTGTCAAATTCGCGGTGAGTATTTGGTCAGACCGAACTATAAACAAAAGTTCGAAATAATCCCATTCTAGTCGATAGAAAGTGCAGGTCTAATGATATTCAAATGATATTTGTCGCTTGCAAACTTGAACTTTGAAATAACCTTCTGTTTATAGTCCTGGGTTCATGAAGCACTTGTTGTCGCTGGCGGTGGTGGCAGTGCCGGAGCTAAGGATTCATCACCGAATCCTGAAGTGACTGACGCCAACCTCAAGCGTCAAGGAAAGGATGCGTCAAAGACTGGCGCCTCTTTTGGCTTGGGAGGTGCAGAAGGTCAGGGTGGTCTACGTGGAAATCGCGCCATGGGTACTAATACGCCTGGTGGTGGTGCTGGGTAAGTGATCGTTTCCAAAATATGTCTCAATATTCATCGAGTAGACGTTTGAAAAACAGAAAAACTTTGACTGTCTTTACACTGATTTTTCAGTATGATGGGCAACGGTCAACCATCAGGCGATTCCCGCTGGGGAACTCCCGAGCCAGCTATATCCTTCACGAACAACGGGGAAGGAAACGAAGCCCCAGGAGTCGGTGGCACCTTCTTCGACGCTTCCGGTGAAGAGATCGACGGTGGTTTCGGCGGCGGTGGATCAGGCGCGCGCTGGGCAGCAGGTGGCGCTGGTGGATATTCAGGTTTGTGAACTGACTGAAGTGAAAGGTCGTCTCGCCGCATTGTCGGTGTCAAAGAATTCAAAATAGTGACTTGGTCACTTTTTCCAGCTCATTCGCGCACACTAAGCGCTAATAATTCGAAAAAAACAGAATAAAGAATACGAATTTACCAATTATTTTCAGGTGGTGGAGGAGGCCCTGACGAGGGCGTCTCCGGCGGAGGTGGAAGTTACATCAATGACGAAGGCGAAAGTCCTAAGTCTGAAGTCACCAACGAAGGCCTTGGCTCTGTCGTTATCGAGCTCTTGAGCTAGCCTTCACCTTTAGCAATTTTAACGTCAAAATCTAATTGTGTACAAACTTCAACAAAACTCAAAAATGTCAAAATCTTCTCAATTTGCTCAAAATGCTCACCTCAAAAATGCACCAATTGTAAAAAACGGTTCCAGAAACAGACACTTTTATTTTTACTTGTTTATTCGCTCATTTTGTTTTCCCGAAAATACTTATTTATAGAAAACAAAAAGAGTCCCTCATTGCAGTCCTATTTCATACTGAATCCTGAAAATACTATTTAAATATGCAGAAATCGTTATTTAAAAAATTTCTTATTGAATAAATGCAAATAAAAAGATTCTCGTCGTTGATTTCAATTTTTCAAAGAGCAAATAAGCTGTTTAATTTTGAGGGATTGTCCGAAAATGCCAAAATAGGTCACCTGGGATCAGCTCCAGCTACTTAGCACCAGCTGTTTTCGTTATCCCAAAAAGAGCTACGTTGGATTCCGATGTTGGCAACTTCCCATGTCTTTATCTTGCATTTAGTCGAATAGACAAGTTTCTACTTTGACCGATAGACACTGTTATCGAAACTCAATTAAGTTTATGAAGCCGGCGAGTGTAGCCGGGATTAGCGCGACAAGAGCCAGGGAGGAAAAATTAGGTAGAACTGTCTAGTAGATTCGAGGTCGTCCAAACATAACCACAGCGTTTTTTAAAAGAAGAGAACATCCATCTAGTTGAAGGAGGAAAGACATCAAAGCTTGTCTTTTAATTCTGATTAAAAATATTCTTCGCGGCGGAACAGATGGCAACAACAAAACCAGGCCATCACCAGCTCGTTATTAATTATTTTAGGCGACACGAATTGCTTTCCAATAAGGGCGAGTACGCGAGCGCGTTTTCCCAATCGTGAAATTTGTCAATTTTGAGCGCTACCGTATTGATTCCTAATCAGCAGCATGTTCTTTGAAGAATGAAAGCCATAGCAATTGTGATGATGGCTTAATTTATTAATCTTTGCTATGTTTGCAGCTTTCAGATTTTTAAAAGGAAGATGTTATCGTCTTTTTAAGATTATTCAAAGGGCCTTTAGAAATATCAACTCTGAATTTTAAATGAAAAGTCTTTTCACTCAGAATACACTCAAAACTGACCTCAAAGTTCAATTTGCTTGCCCGAAGTCATGATTTAGTAGTCATTGCAATAACTCCTTCCAAATGCTACCAAAGCTTTGAACTTTGGTGAAAATATACTTTGCTGCGGAAAAATATTGGTATATCTGACAAACTGTGTCATTCAACTGTCAACCTAAGTTCAGAGCAAAGTTTCAAGCCCAATCTTTCTCCAAGAAACATCTCGATGAAATCGAAATTGTTTTGCATCAGAGTAGAAAGCAAAGAAGCCATGCTTTTATCAATTATTTGTTAAACATCAATGCTAATTTTATTGCCGCAACTTGAACGAAAATGAAACATAATCATTTAAAGTCGTCCTTGCTGGATAATAGACTTAGCTACAATAAGAAAAACATCGTTTGTCCACAAAATGAAGGCGTAATTGTCGTTTTGGTTTATTATGTCCTGCCCCAAGGGGTGAAAAGCTGAAATTCGCGCTGGCACGCCACCTTTACTTTTAGGCTGCGGCGCAACCCCGTCCGCGTCAATTACGCCTGGTGACTTTTTCCAAACGATAGAATCACTCGGCTCTTATCAACGTAAACTGCCATAGAATTTTTCAAAGGACAAAAATGAAGTTTGCAAAGATAGCAACGCTACAGATACTGCTTGTAAATGCACAAGAGAAGAAACCACAGGAGAAAATCATCAGTCGAGGTGGAGATGTTCGTCTCAGGTTAGCTAAAGATGATCAGGAATCTTGACTCAAAAGTGTTTGTGGCACTGAATCGCAAGTTGATTTACTCATCTTCAAATTGTATTGAGGATTAAAATTAACCCGAAACAGGGGATTTGGCTCCTTAGGGTGCAATAAAAGATTTGTGCTCCTGTAATTGAGGTTGGATTAATTGAAAAAGGTTACCCATAATTTAATTCCATGCCGATTCGCGATTATTCCCTGTAGATCCCTTTCAATACTGTATGGAAAATACAGTTTTCCTTACATTTGCATCAAAATGATGGCCAGTCAATGACCCGTGAAATATCGTTGAATAGTGATAATCCGCATACTGAGATGATACAATACTGACATAGAAACACACTGTAAAAGATATTAGTAAGGACATTTATCAGATCATCTACGAACTTTCTCCAAGCAAGGTTTCATCTTGTATTCTAGCTGCAAAGTCAACACAACGGATTCAATCGTCTGGATAAACAGCAAAGCTGGTGCAAGTGGGGAGCTTTCCATACCTCGCGCCGTTTCTATTGGCATGGAGCAACTCATGGACCTCGGCAAAGTCTCCTTCACTAGTGGAGGTAAATGCAGCATTATATTTCTGTAATTAGAAGTTAACTCTTTACGGACGACGCCAGTGCCAATTTTAGTGAATAATTGATTGACTATAACCTTAACTCAATATTCTGAGATTAGGTTTTTGCCCCTGGCGATCAGCCAGGTGCAATCGCCGAGAGCCATCGGGCGATCTCGCTTGACCTGTATACTTATGTCAGCTTACACCATCTAAATTAATTACAATACTCATATTCTGCAGGCATAAATAATGAACTAACGTCGCGTTTACGTCGCTTTTCTGGCAGTGGAGTATAAATAGTTGAGCACGGATACTCTTGTATCGATCAAACTGGCAATGATAATATATAAAACTAGACATTAGGAGTAATTGACTGAAAAGTCACAAGATGAGTTGAAATGTTTTAAGATTATTCTCTGACGATCCAAAATGTTGATGATGATAAACAAGGACTCTGGAACTGTCAGCAAGCGGGTCGAATAGTCGCGTCTTACAATCTCATTGTCGATGGTAAATATTCAAATGAATGCTTCCAAATCCATTTAACACCGTCTTTCCCAGTGCCACCTGAAATTGAAATGGTGTCATCCTCGCCCGTCGAAGTAGGTGAAGATTCGACGTTGATCTGTCAGGCATCTGGGCGACCCCGACCGAAGATTTACTGGACACGAAAGGGAGGAGAAACTATAGGTATGTTGAATCAATGCGTAGAGTTATAGAAAATAAACAATTTGCGTGGAATCAGAGTTATTGATTTTGGATTATTCAGACGGAGCCAAAACGATCGAACTTGCTGATGCAGATGGAGTTCAGCGATCCCAAGGTACATCTACATGTCTTTAATCCCTTCCATTACAATGCAATTATTCCGACCCCGTTTATAAAGAAACCAACAATAGTACCTCATAGTATCTCATTTTGATTTCAGGAACTTTGGTGGTTCAAAATGTGACAAAATCGATGATTGCGGAAATTTCCTGCAACGCACAAAGCCGCGCTACCACGGCCACCCAAACGACAGATGTGAACGTGAAATGTAAGCGCGATTTGATTTTTGACTGATCATTAGCTTGGAACACACAGACACAAACGAATAGAGGCACAGATGCTCGTTAACGATAATTGTTTTGTATTTTGTCCCGAAATCATCATTTCCCTTGAGTGCGCTAATCACAATTACATGAGCGCGTGTTCGTGATTTGTTTTGTGCCTTTGGGTTGAAATGATGTTCTCGGGGTCAAGATACGCTCTCATGCATGCTAGTTCATCATCACAATGTGTCATTTACATTTCCATCTTCAATGAATTTCTATTCATTTACGCATGATCAACATTTCAATAAAAATTTTGAGCAATAATTAATGCTAGGCTCAAGGTTTTTCCCTCGCATGATTTTAAACAAAGATTTTAAAAATTGTATAGCTGCCCCCGTGGTGATAACAGAGGAGGGTTTGGGGATGACGAAGCGAAGGTATGCCAAAGTAGGCAGTGCCACCCAAGTCTCCTGCATCGTACAAGGATTTCCTATTCCTACTGTACGATGGTGGCTCGATGAGCGATTGTAAGTTGCTCACAAGAGATAGGTTTTATTAATGATCATAGCTTGCGGATTGATGAGATCGAGGACGAGCGCATAAAGTTATGTACGAATGTCAGGGATGACGCCAAGTATGGCCGCATTATAATTTACACGATATGGAAGTGTTCATCAATTTTTAAACTCATTTTTAGTCCAAAAATGTCACTCTTGCTTTCTCGCCTTGCTCTTTAACGACAACGATACAGTAATAATGCAATAGCTCTAAGTACCATCGATGCAAGTCAAGAGCTTGAGTAAAAATCATTTTTGAGCACTGTAAAAGCAATAAAAGAAGTGAAAGATGCCGACTTCGGCGTATACAAGTGTGAACCTTCTAATGAACTTGGATCCGACCATTTCAAAGCAGTCCTTGCCCGTAACAAGGCAAAATTTTAGATACAATTTAACACTCATCCTAGGCCTTCCGAAAACCACGAACGAAGCTCAAACTCAAGCACGCAAATCGGGCCAAAATGGAGCCTCTACTCGATCTGTGAATTTGCTAACGCTTGGATTCCTGCTTGCGTATCTCCTTATTTAAGAAAAAATACTGCTTTTCCGAAACAAAATCAGCCACGTTACCTCCACTTATTTGTACAGAATCTCAAAATTACATTCACTTTTGATAATTTAGTAGAACACATGTGACACATGTATTTACATCCCTTTTTCAAGACTAAAATTGACAAGTTGCAATCCACCCCTTGCCGAGGCTCGCTTGGCGTCCAAGTTCTTGCTGTAATGAATAAAATATTTCAAAAAAAAACCTGGGTGTTGATTTTGATTAAAACAAGAGAGAGATCACAAGGATTGTAGGATTGAAGGCATCATGTGGCTTATCATAAGGCAGCCTTTTTGTTTAATAGACAATAACAAGTACTGGAATTTAGTATCTGCAAAGTCCAATTCATATCCTGATCAAACAAGGCAGTTGATTGAGCATCATGACTCATGATTCATGAGTCTACTAAGCATATGATTTTTATTTGCTTCTTGTTGAAAACGCATAGCAAATGTTGTCTAGTCACCGTGCAAATAGTGCCATGCCGTTGAAATTCAAATAGAACGTGCGTCCAGAACGAAAATTTCAATAACACACTAAATTTTAAATATGCGTTTTGTAAGAGAGGTCGGAGAACTGCTTGATGCCATCAAGGACAAGATCGATGGTGGAGCTGAAGGGCTCCTTGGCGATGCTGGAGATGCAGTAGCAGATGCTTTCGGCAATGTTGGAGAGAGTATCGATAAAGCTGTCGGCGGTGCTGTTGACAACGCTGGTGATGCATTCGAGGTCGTCCAAACATAACCACAGCGTTTTTTAAAAGAAGAGAACATCCATCTAGTTGAAGGAGGAAAGACATCAAAGCTTGTCTTTTAATTCTGATTAAAAATATTCTTCGCGGCGGAACAGATGGCAACAACAAAACCAGGCCATCACCAGCTCGTTATTAATTATTTTAGGCGACACGAATTGCTTTCCAATAAGGGCGAGTACGCGAGCGCGTTTTCCCAATCGTGAAATTTGTCAATTTTGAGCGCTACCGTATTGATTCCTAATCAGCAGCATGTTCTTTGAAGAATGAAAGCCATAGCAATTGTGATGATGGCTTAATTTATTAATCTTTGCTATGTTTGCAGCTTTCAGATTTTTAAAAGGAAGATGTTATCGTCTTTTTAAGATTATTCAAAGGGCCTTTAGAAATATCAACTCTGAATTTTAAATGAAAAGTCTTTTCACTCAGAATACACTCAAAACTGACCTCAAAGTTCAATTTGCTTGCCCGAAGTCATGATTTAGTAGTCATTGCAATAACTCCTTCCAAATGCTACCAAAGCTTTGAACTTTGGTGAAAATATACTTTGCTGCGGAAAAATATTGGTATATCTGACAAACTGTGTCATTCAACTGTCAACCTAAGTTCAGGTCAAAGTTTCAAGCCCAATCTTTCTCCAAGAAACATCTCGATGAAATCGAAATTGTTTTGCATCAGAGTAGAAAGCAAAGAAGCCATGCTTTTATCAATTATTTGTTAAACATCAATGCTAATTTTATTCCCGCAACTTGAACGAAAATGAAACATAATCATTTAAAGTCGTCCTTGCTGGATAATAGACTTAGCTACAATAAGAAAAACACCGTTTGTCCACAAGATGAAGGCGTAATTGTCGTTTTGGTTTTATAATGTCCTGCCCCAAGGGGTGAAAAGCTGAAATTCGCGCTGGCACGCCACCTTTACTTTTAGGCTGCGGCGCAACCCCGTCCGCTTCAATTACGCCTGGTGACTTTTTCCAAACGATAGAATCACTCGGCTCTTATCAACGTAAACTGCCATAGAATTTTTCAAAGGACAAAAATGAAGTTTGCAAAGATAGCAACGCTACAGATACTGCTTGTAAATGCACAAGAGAAGAAACCACAGGAGAAAATCATCAGTCGAGGTGGAGATGTTCGTCTCAGGTAAGCTAACGATAATCAGGAATCTTAACTCAAAAGTGTTTGTGGCACTGAGAAAGCCAGTTAAATCGCAAGTTGATTTACATCCTCAAATTGTATTGAGGATTAAAATCAACCCGAAACAGGGGAGTTGGCTCCTTAGGGTGCAATAAAAGATTTGTGCTCCTGTAATTGAGGTTGGATTAATTGAAAAAGGTTACCCGTAATTTAATTCCATGCCGATTCGCGATTATTCCCTGTAGATCCCTCTCAATACTGTATGGAAAATCTAGTTTTGTATTTGCATCAAAATGATGGCCATTCAATGACCCGTGAAATATCGTTGAATAGTGATAATCCGCATACTGAGATGATACAATACTGACATAGAAACACACTGTAAAAGATATTAGTAAGGACATTTGTCAGATCATCTACGAACTTTCTCCAAGCAAGGTTTCATCTTGTATTCTAGCTGCAAAGTCAACACAACGGACTCAATCGTCTGGATAAACAGCAAAACTGGTGCAAGTGGAGAGCTTTCCATACCTCGCGCCCAGGGATCTAATTTTTTTCGCGAAAATCGCAATTTGCGAATATTTTGCGATTGCGATGCGAAATTTCGCAGAAAATTCGCAATCGCAAAAACTTTTTTGATCGAATCGCAATCGCATCGCAATCGCAACTCAGTTTTCGCAAATAATTCGCAAATTGCGATTTTTTTTGCGAATTTCGGTCTTGTCAAAGTGCTCCCTTGTTATTCTGACATGAGTTTTCTTTGACTCAGAGCCTATGTTCTGTGTTCTTAAGGCTTAATTGAAAGCCTGACCTCAAAAAATTTTCGTAAATTCTATGAAAAGTTACTTTTTTCGCTAAAATTTCGCAAATAGCGACGAAATCGCAATTCGCGAAAAATTCGCAATTTGCGACAAAAATCGGGGGCGCTCGGTTAGAATACCAAAAATTTTTGGTATTTGAATACCAAAAATTGGTATTTGAATACCAAAATTGGTATTTGAATACCAATTTTTTCTAGCGGAAACAATTTTTTTCCCTGAAAAACATGTAAATCACCTCTAGAGCTTCCTAAAAAACAGGCGCGGAGCGCACACTCAAATTTTTTGGCGGGCGAAATTAGTATTCTTTGGCGAATTTGGTATTTGAATACCAAAATTGGTATTTGAATACCAAAAATTGGTATTTGAATACCAATTGGTATTCTAACCGAGCGTCTCCCACAAAAATCGCAATCGCATCGCAATTTCCGGAGTATTTTGCGTCGCAATCGCATCGCAATCGCAATTGATTTTCGGCAAAAATTAAGATCCCTGCTCGCGCCGTTTCTATTGGCATGGAACAACTCATGGACCTCGGCAAAGTCTCCTTCACTAGTGGAGGTATATGCCGCATTCTATTTCTGTAATTAGAAGTTAACTCTTTACGGACGACGCCAGTGCCAATTTTAGTGAATAATTGATTGACTATAACCTTAACTCAATATTCTGAGATTAGGTTTTTGCCCCTGGCGATCAGGCAGGTGCAATCGCCGAGAGCCATCGGGCGATCTCGCTTGACCTGTAACTGTAAAATACTTATGTCAGCTTACGCCATCTAAATTAATTAAAATACTCATAGTCTGCAGGCATAAATAATGAACTAACGTCGAGTTTACGTCGATTTTCTGGCAGTGGAGTATAAATAGTTGAGCAAGGATACTCTCTAATCGATCAAACTGGCTATAAGATGATAGTATATAAAACCAAACATAAGGAGTAATTGACTGAAAAATCACAAGATGAATTGAAATATTTTAAGATTATTCTCTGACGATCCAGAATGTTGATGATGATAAACAAGGACTCTGGAACTGTCAGCAAGCGGGTCGAATAGTCGCGTCTTACAATCTCATTGTCGATGGTAAATATTCAAATGAATGCTTCCAAATCCATTTAACACCGTCTTTCCCAGTGCCACCTGAAATTGAAATGGTGTCATCCTCGCCCGTCGAAGTAGGTGAAGATTCGACGTTGATCTGTCAGGCATCTGGACGACCCCGACCGAAGATTTACTGGACACGAAAGGGAGGAGAAACTATAGGTATGTTGAATCAATGCTAAGACTTATAGAAAATAAACAATTTGCGCGGAATCAGAGTTATTGATTTTGGATTATTCAGACGGAGCCAAAACGATCGAACTTGCTGATGCAGATGGAGTTCAGCGATCCCAAGGTACATCTACATGTCTTTAATCCCTTCCATTACAATGCAATTATACCGACCCGTCCATAAAGAAACCAAAAATAGTATCTTATTTTGCTTTCAGGAACTTTGGTGGTTCAAAATGTGACAAAATCGATGATTGCGGAAATTTCCTGCAACGCACAAAGCCGCGCTACCACCGCCACCCAAACGACAGATGTGAACGTGAAATGTAAGCGCGATTCGATTTTTGACTACTCATTAGCTTGGAACACACACACAAACGAGAGTAGAGGCACAGATGCTCGTTAACGATAATTGTTTTGTATTTTGTCCCGAAATCATCATTTCCCATGAGTGCGCTAATCACAATTACATGAGCGCGTTTTCGTGATTTGTTTTGTGCCTTTAGGTTCAAATGATGTTCTCGGGGTCAAGATACACGCTCATGCATGCTAGTTCATCATCACAATATGTCATTTACATTTCCATCCTCAATGAATTTCTATTCATTTTCGCATGATCAACTTTTTAGTAAAAATTTTGAGCAATAATTAATGCTAGGCTCAAGATTTTTCCTCGCATGATTTTAAACAATGATTTTTAAAAATTGTATAGCTGCCCCCGTGGTGATAACAGAGGAGGGTTTGGGGATGACGAAGCGAAGGTATGCCAAAGTAGGCAGTGCCACCCAAGTCTCCTGCATCGTACAAGGCTTTCCTATTCCTACTGTACGATGGTGGCTCGATGAGCGATTGTAAGTTGCTCACAAGAGATAGGTTTTATTAATGATCATAGCTTGCGGATTGATGAGATCGAGGACGAGCGCATAAAGTTATGTACGAATGTCAGGGATGACGCCAAGTATGGCCGCATTATAATTTACACGATATGGAAGTGTTCATCAATTTTTAAACTCATTTTTAGTCCAAAAATGTCACTCTTGCTTTCTCGTCTTGCATTTTAACGACAACGATACAGTAATAATGCAATAACTCTAAGTACCATCGATGCAAGTCAAGAGCTTGAGTAAAAATCATTTTTGAGCACTGTAAAAGCAATAAAAGAAGTGAAAGATGCCGACTTCGGTGTATACAAGTGTGAACCTTCTAATGAACTTGGATCCGACCATTTCAAAGCGGTCCTTGCCCGTAAAAAGGCAAAATTTTAGATACAATTTAACACTCATCCTAGGCCTTCCGAAAACCACGAACGAAGCTCAAACTCAAGCACGCAAATCGGGCCAAAATGGAGCCTCTACTCAATCTGTCAATTTGCTAACGCTTGGATTCCTGCTTGCGTATCTCCTTATTTAAGAAAAAAAAACTGCTTTTCCGAAACAAAATCAGCCACGTTACCTCCACTTATTTGTACAGCGTCTCAAAATTACATTCATTTTTGATAATTTAGTAGAACACATGTGACACATGTATTTACATCCCTTTTTCAAGACTAAAATAGACAAGTTGCAATCCACCACTTGCCGAGGCTCCCTTGGCGTCCAAGTTCTTGCTGTAATGAATAAAATATTTCAAAAAAAAAACCTGGGTGTTGATTTTGATAAAACAAGAGAGAGATATTGAGATCTTGATCTTGAGAGATTTTGATAAAAGAGGGATTGTAGAATTGAAGGCATCATGTGGCTTATCATAAAGCAGCCTTGTTTGTGTTCCAGTACAATAAGTACTGGAATTTAGTTTCTGCAAAGTCCCATTCATATACTGATCGAACAAGGCAGTTGATTAAGCATCATGAGTCTACTTAGCATATGATTTTTATTTGCTTCTTGTTGAAAACGCATGGCAAATGTTGTCTAGTCACCGTGCAAATAGTGCCATGCCGTTGAAATTCAAATAGAACGTGCGTCCAGAACGAAAATTTCAATAACACACTAATTTTAAATATGCGCTTCGCAAGAGAGGTCGGAGAACTACTCGATGCCATCAAGGACAAGATCGATGGTGGAGCTGAAGGGCTCCTTGGCGATGCTGGAGATGCAGTAGCAGATGCTTTCGGCAATGTTGGAGAGAGCATCGATAAAGCTGTCGGCGGTGCTGTTGACAACGCTGGTGATGCCGTTGCAAGTGCTTTTGGCAATGCTGGAGATGTTCTTGGAGACTCATTTGAAGGTAGTATTTACGTTTTATATTTTAAGACTACCTATTCTTATAGACATGCAAGACGTAGCTGGCGATATGGTCAAAGACATTAAAAATGCGTTTCAGCAGAAACTCAACGAATTAGATGACAAATTTGAGGATTTGGCCGACAATATCAACTTCGGAGGTTGTTCTAATCTTCATCCGTCCAATGACTTCCCGGTAATGGAGTGGGCCGCTTGGACGATGGTCTTTCTTCCGCTCATTTCGATCATCATCAACTGCATCTTTACGAGAAAGCAGACCAGCAAAGAAGATGATGGCGAAACATCGCCAGTCCAAAGCAAATCGGCAAAAATAAGACAAATTTATCATTTTTTTATTGTTATTTAGGTTCACTCCTCATCTGTTGGACTTGTAGGCATTCTCTCGATGATTGCTGGAACTCTCTTCCTTATCTTCTACTACAATGTATGTTCTGGATACTGATAAGGTTTATAGATTATTTTTAGTTCAAAAACTGTAACGAAGCTACTTTCGGAACATGCTGGAATCAAACTATGCTAAAATGGCACGTTGGAATGACCCTTGCTGTTGTTGTTGCCGGAGCCATCTGCTCGACATTGATCACGATTGTTATGATCATGCTCGTAAGTTGAAACAAGCCCTACAAAAATGATTTTTTTAGGTCTGCCAAGGTGGTGGATGCATGCAGGCAATTTGCTTTCACATCTTCCTTCAATTCCGTAAGAAAAATTTACACAATTGTTTTCCAATAAAAACGATCATAGAAATCACACTTATCTTTGCCGCTCCTGTTGTTGCTGTTGCCTACGGATGGGACTACACTTTCGGAAGCTGCGAAATTTTGAATTTATTGTAAATAAAGTGTCTCTAGAACCGAAGTGTTGTTCATCTCAATAATTGACAGACTGCTCAGTTTAAAATGAGCCATTATCTATCCCAAAAGGATGATTTTGATATAATCGACCACATTTACAGACTTGGTCAAGATGCTGAGAAGCAAAGATTCAAGGAATATGTCTCGGCGACGAGAATGCAAAAATGGTGGCGCGGACGCGCAGCCCGACTGAAAATCAAAAACGTGGTCGAGGCTGCGTCTACTGTCAGCCGATTTCTGGGCACAATCAAAGCGAAAAAGATTCTGATGCGATGTATAAAAAAGACAGTTCTGGAAGATCAGCGAAAATACTTTGACAGCAAGATTGTTAAATTTCAAGCTTTATGGCGAGGATACGCGAGTCGGAAGAACATATTCTGGTATTATCAGTGGAAACGTGACCTTGCGGTAAGTCGAACGTTCAGATTTTACAGCTAACAAATATTAAAGAATCTTGAAGTCATGAACGAAATCACCTTGCGAAATCTGGAGCAGTATCAAATCCGTAAAAAGCTTGATGAACTCGAAGAAAATGAACAAAAAAGAGTCGAAAAACGTGAATCCGCCAAAAAGCGATCTAACTACGAGCCTATCAATTATCTCACGTGTTCTTCGACAAAAATAGTAGACACCAGCAATGTTATTCACAAGAAAAAGCGCTGCGAAATTATCCCTACCTGCATGATAAACGTATTCGAGGAGAAAGAAAAGAAACCGCCCGTTCAACTGAAACCGATAAAAGCACGTGGTAGACCAAAAGGGCCATTTAGAAGTGAGGAAGCCGTCACAATGCAGAAGACACGAGCACCCAGTCCGACTTTGAGAGTAGCAACACCCTTTGACCTTCAGGATGAAAGCAAACGATTCGAAAAGAAAATTAAATGGATAAACAGAATTCAAGATCCGATGGTAAGCAACAAAAAGTTTCCTTACTTATCTCTACTTTCAGAAATTCGCAACAATGTCAAAAGCATCATATGAACGAACTCTGTGGGGCCTAACGCCGTACAATCCACGTGACCTGACAAGCTGCAATTTACGCGAGGAATACGAAGACCCCTTCCGACCAAAGTTCAGATCCCAAGTTCCTAACATACCGATCTTTGACCGACTGGGTCGATCCTATGATGAAAGATAAACGTCGTATCTATTAGACGCTTTTATGTAAATAAATTATTTAATCCATTGCCGAACAAGAACTTGATTGCCGCGAGTGTACCCGAGGAAATCAAGGAAGAAAATTTTCCATATTTTTCAAAGTTTTATTAGATAATTGAGGAAGCCGCAGAAGATAAAGATTTTTACAAACTTATAAATTGACAAATTTCTATCGAACTTTAGACAAAACGGTCTACTCCATGAGTTTGAGGTGATCAAGTTTTGCGATAGCCAGTAAATATTTAAAGATAGATTCAGTATTTGAGATGTCTGCCCCTTATTTGCAATTAGGCAAATGATGAATTATATTTAAAAACAATAGGATGAAATTTACAATGTAAATTTTACATTAAAATGAGATACTTTGATTGAAATAAGAAACAAGGAAAAATAAGGAGATAAAGGAAAAAGTATTTACTTTTAATGAATTTTAATGAAAGAGAAAGCTGGAGAATCCTAAAAATATGAAAAGATAGAAGAGATAAATACTTTTAAAAGAATAGGACTCAGTTCATGACATGAAATTTAAAATCATCATCATCGGACACTGGTTCTTGTTTAGTTTCAGTTTTAATCGACTGATCATCGTAGATCTTGCATTCGATGGTCTCCGTCTCTTCTTTTACTTCTAATTTTGTTTCTTCTTTGACACTTTCGTGAACCACGATGGTTAACGAGGTGTCATCGTTGATTTCCGGATCGTCGTTCAGGAGAGAGCTCTTTCGTGGCTGCACGGGATCAATGATTGGAATCTTGGTTCTGCCGGTTAGCTTGTCGGTGTATTCCAGGCCTTGTGGAAGTTCGGAGATTTTCGCGAGGTCGATTCTGTCCTGTAGTTGATTTTCAAGGTAGTCGTTGTTGTTGACTTGGTATGCGGTAAGTTCGACAAATTCTTCCGCCGGCCCGCGCGTCATTTCTTCGTGAATTCGGAGTCGTTTAGCATCTTGGTGGTATTCTAACCTATCGACGCGTTTTTGGTTTTTGTTGAATTGCGGGACCGTCAGTGTTCCCTTGATCCTCTTGTCATCCCCATCCACTGGTCGTGGGTAGAGATCGTATTCGCTCACATTCAAAGCATTGACTTTCTTTGGATTGCAAGTGTGGATGTGCTTGTAGGGATTGAAGTGAACATATTTGAAATCGGCGAGATTGAAGTCGTTGGGATTGTTCTTCAAAAATTCGTAGTAGGACTTTGGATCAAGGGGCGGGCCACTGAAAGATTCCGGAAAGACGATCCCGATTGCGGAGAGGCATTTTTTCTGGATGCAGCGGAGAATGCAAGAGTTCTGAGAAAATAATTAGGGGCCGGTAGTAATAAATTAATTACCTTAGATTTCGATGTTGATTTGACTCTCAGCGTCGTTATGTACAGTTCTCCTTCGATTTCCAAATGAAAATGTATCGCACCGTGTTTAGATACACCGACGGCGTACATGTTCGGATGTTTCTGAGTGCCAGTATTTCTTTTCGGGATTCTCGCTAGAATTTCCTCCGAATTCATGATTTCCAACGCAATCTGAAATAACTGGTTTGAAAGATCGGGGCTTTCATAGAGAAGATTAGTCATACTTTCTTTAGGAACAAGTTCCCTCAAGAAAAATAAAGTTGAATCAGTAAGCCATCAGAGAGTTCTGTAAAAATAGCCAGGCCTTCTGATTTCATATACACTTATGATTTACGTTAAATGAATGTGCGTGTATTAACAAAACGATACAGAGAATCTCTTATTTTACGACATCATTAGCCGTAACGAATACTTTGAATTGTTAAAATACTCAAGAAGATAAATGAAAATTGCCATTTATGAGAAGATGATGGCAGTATAACTGGAGCTTTAAAAAAAGAAAGGAAATGTCAGCGATAAAAGACTTAATAAGAGACTTAGTAAGTCATCGGCTCCTGGAATTTTCGAGGATTGGAGCGTGCTGGCATGAAATTTCCTCGAGGAGCCCCTCGACCTCGGCTATTTCAGGTGTCCATTTTGTTTCAAAAGTTTTTTTTTCTTGGGCAATCAAACACCATTCCTGCTACTTCCTCTGAAATGTCCACTGCCTCGTCCACGCGCTCCGGGCACAGTTCCCCGCGCCGAGTATCCCCCTCGACCTCTAGTTGGTGCAGTTCCGGTTCGTCGATTAGGCATCATCGGCTCGTAGTGCGGGTTTCCATCGTTAGGAATTGTTCGTGTTACTCCAACGGGCTCTGAAGCAGCCATTTTCTTTCTGGCGTATTCAGACTCGAATTTTTCCGGTTCAGGCATGTAGTCAGGTTCATTGGGGACAGAAACGCGGATCCCATCGCCAGTTGCTCGAGCTTCTCGGGTGTCGCTTAAATTATTCCTTGAAACTGGTCGGAAATAAACAATTTCATACTTATCTTTCATAGCTGCTCGTTCCTCTTCGAGAGCTTTGTTCATTTTATTGCGCGCTGTGACCAGCTTGGCCTTCGTTTCTGCTTTCTCTCTCGTGAGTCTTTTCTGTTTCGATTCGTCAGCTCTCTTTTCATCTCTGTAATCTCTGATGGACCGGCGCGTACTGATCAGCTTCCTTTCATTATCTCGCTTCTCTTTGGTGTATCTCACGGCCGCTTCAAGATCATTGTCGACTAAAAGTTTTAAAGTTAAAGAAAACTTACGATTTCTATTTTTTATCTCTCGACTCACTGTTTCTTTTCATTCTAGAGATGTCCTGGCGAACAGATCTGTATTTAGACTGCGTTTCATTTTTCTTTTTGCGTTTTTCGCTGATCGTCTTGTCCATTTCTTCAATCTTCTTCATCAGCGCCGCAAGCTCGTCATTTTTATCCTCGTTGGTGAGATCGATGAGCGTTTTTCGTCGAGTAGGGTCGTTGTCTTGCACTGAAGATTCATTTTATAGACGGATATTGATTCAAAAAAGCTTACCGCAAATGTCCACAATATTCCCGCAGAGTTCGCCATTCAGTTTGCTGTGGAGAGTTTGGGCGTCTACGAGACATAAGAATTATAATCCAAATCGACCAAGAGGAATTACCTTTTGATGATTCACAAGATAGCAAAATCGCCGTCTCGTTTTTATTCTTCGCGAATTTGATGCCACAGCGAATTCCAAATTTTCGAATAGCACGTGCCGCCGTTTTTGGTTCAAGATCGTTTCTGACTTTTGTGATCCAAAGGATCTTCATATTTTCGTCAATTTCCATCTCCTCGCTCTCGTGATGGATATCTTCAGAAAAATCGAGCTCATCAAGGTTAACTTCGTCTTCATTCATTTGGAGATTATCACATTGGCTGTCTGCGTCCTCGCAAGATTCATAATCAGCGATTCTTGCCAAGGGTTCGTCGTCGTCATTGTGAATTTCTTGGACTTCATTGTCCTCTGCGTCCATGGCAGCAGATACTTGTTCGTTTTCTTCGACAATAGACAGTTCTGATATATTTCATAATATGAAAATACCGTAAGAATATATTATTACCTGGTTCGGAATTAGAAAATTCATCAGAAGATTGTTTTCGCTGGGGGACATCAGCAGCAGCAAAATCGTAGGTATCGGGATCAAAGTCATTGTCTTCGATCCAGTCGGATAATCTTTGGAGAAGTTCAGCTTTCTTGCCCTCCGTACTTTCGTGTCGGGCAGCAAGTGCTTCACGGATTTCTGCTACTTTGAGATCAGTCAACAATTTCACCATCACAAAATCCTTCTAAAAAGTTCAGATTAAAAATAAGGATTATCGTTGCTTAAAGTTTTAATTGAAGAGACACTGGCTATGAGCTTGACTAGGCTCTTTTTGAGTGCTGCAGAAAGCGGGAGATGCAGGATAACTGTCAGAGATATCAAACGAGTGCTGAGTCGATTCTGTAATTGAAAAAGGGCAGCTATCTTCGATTTCCATCGTAAGGTTTTTATTCGGATCTTCATCCTCGTTTGACTCAACTGGAGTCGGCGAGATAATTTCCAGGGGCGGACTGGACGGTGGTGTTTCTTCCAATGCTAACGAAGGTATTCGTGGGGGGCTTTCTTCGTCTTCTAACCATGGCTGTTGATTTCGAGTCCTTTGGTTTTACCCGGCATTTTTTGCCGGGCAACCCACAGATTTTTCTACGGGTTACTCGCGCGGAGACCCGTGCGAGTAAATCGAGTAAATGGGTAAAGGATAATCGCGAGCTACTCGCGAAAATTTCGACTAGAAAGAAGAAAATTTGCTCGTCTGATTGGCTCTCGAAAAAGGGTTGCGGGTAATCGCGAGCTACTCGGCGGAAAGGAGAAAACAGGTAGCGCGGGTAGCCCGTGAAAAGACTCTCCGTGCGAGTAACCCGCTGTAAAATCTGCGGGTTGCCCGGAAAAAAAGGCCGGGTAAAACCAAAGGACTCAAAATCAACAGCCATGCTTCTAACGGCAAATCTTCCATCGTATATTCAGCGATTGGAATCGTAGTTTGAGATGCTTCTGCAGACCAGCTTGGCTCCTCATTGAAATCTGAATAAGAGCTCACAAGATTTTGAAGAAACGACGATTATACCTCCAGTGACAACAATTTTGTATCGCCCGAGAAAGATTCGAATGGTCTTTGGGTTGATTTCCTTGGGAATATTGAAGCGTTTTTTCCAAAGCTGTTTCTGTGAATAATCCATGCACTTTATGATCACGGCCTCCTCGAATGTACCGCAGGAAATGTGCAACTCGCCAGCATCTTCAGTGAAATCAAGCATTTGCGTCCAGTGCTGATTTAGCCGCAGTTTTGTGTAGCTACGGATGATTGGAAGATCCTCTGTGAAAAAGCTGATCCTGTAAAAATGTTTTACAAATGATATCAAGAAAACCTTTCCTTGTCTCCATGGATTGTGTTTGATCAACCAGTTTGCCTCCCCAATCCTTTGCATCCCCGAAAAGCCCTGCTTCTCCGAAATCAACTTCCATGGTTTTTCTCTTTTCAATTTGATATTTGAAATGCTTTTTTCAAAAATCAATCCGCTATTACAGCTCGTTCATTTCCTGCCGATAACGTGAGATTATCAAAATTCCTCTTCCTTTCAATCAGTTAGGTCGCGAGAAACGCGTTCTCGAACGCGTTGATTGAGGATTCAATGATGCGGCTTTTCCGCTAATCTAGAGATCTGAGGAAAGAAGGTGTGAAGACTCAAACTGGGTCACACTGGGAGCGCTCCTGAAATTTCAACCGCTGCTAAAAATAGAAAATGCAGGAGAGCGCCACCAGTTTTGATGGCTCTAGGCGAAGCTCTGGGGGAGATATAAGCATGCCCAGCGGGGAATGTCTCATTTATATCGTTATTAATCAAAAGAACAATTTACCCTCTTTTATCATGAACAGCGATGCGTGTGAGAAGACCGGATTCGAGTTCCTCAAGACGGCGGGATCGTTTATTCTCGAGCTCACCGACCTCACTGCGAAGAAAAGCGCCGAAAAAAAACCTTTCGGCAGAAAATGGATGACAAGTTATGAAAAACTGGATGCGCTGCTCGATGAAGTAAAGAACCTTGTGATTCTGCTTCCAGGAGACAGCTTTCAAGACTGGGATTTCACCGGGAATCTTGAGACAAATAAGATCGAGATCCACACTATCGAGGGAAAACACAATCGGAGAATTTTCTTCAGACAGATTGATGAAGTTGTTACTGCCGAAATTGCTGTAAACTTTGATGAGGAACACATTTCTGTTGACTTCTACGACTATTTTTTGTAAATAAATTCAAATAAACGAGAATCGAGTTTTGAAACTATCATTTTATTTGAATAAGGCCTGAAAGCAGAGTAGCAAGTTGCGGGAATACGCATCTTCTTGGGATAAATGTAATTGATGAAAGAAAATTGTCATGAAAGAGAAGAAGCTAGAATTATTTTTTAGTTCACAGAAAAAGTGGTTAGGCGTGTAATGAAAAACAGGATCCTCCTGCGCTTCTGGGCGAAGAAAAAGAACTACAGTTGATTCGAGGTGAGGGTGTTTAGACGATTGGGAAAGACGCGCAAGTAGCAATGCCGCACATGTTCTCTCCTCGTTTGATTTTGAAGAAGCCTTCATCTCCCCACTCGGCGCCCCAAGAATTCTTGACGATGTAGTAAGGGGTATTACACTTTTTGCACGTTCCATAGCCGACAGCGAGGACGGCGTGGTTCACATCGGTTGGCCCGGATCCGCATGTGTCTGAAACAGTAAGATTAGCAAGAATGAGTCGAGTTTTTTTTTAACCTGATTGGTAAACGCCTTCTTTGTAAAATCGGAAACCATCGACGACCTCGAACACGACGGAAACTGGATTAAAATAAGCAAGAGCAATGGTCAGTTGATCCTCGTCCGTTTCAGTAATGTTGAAAACTTCTCGAACAGTTCCAGCAGTTTTGGTCGGGTCGAACTCGCAGAGACCTTCTTCGGCATGATACGCGTAGTCTTTTTCTTCTTCCAAACCTCCGATGTAGCTAAATAATGAAGTTAAATAGGGATAGTATCGTGATTATCCTACTGGATATATTCGAAGGCGTGGGAAGGCAAACCACCGTTGCAACCATGATTGTCGAAATCTTGAGCACAGTCGACCAACTGCTGCTCGGACAAGTTGAATGCCTGGTTGTGGTGAATTAAATGGGCAGATTCCAGACAACCAGTGGTGGAAAATGTCCAACAGGACCCGCAGTGGCCTTGGTTTTTGACTGGAGAAACTCCACCGTGCTCTCGCCAGTCGAAGTTTTCAGGAAGGGAGAGGACGTCGATGTCAAGATGTCGGGTGGAGGTGGCGGAGCAGTCTTGGTTTACCATCAGATATTGGGACTGGAATTCCGCGAAGGAAAGATCAGCATCCTATATTTTTGATTTAAATATATTGTGATGAGATGGTCTTACGAAGTTCAATCCCATTTTCCAAGTAACATCTTCGCGCTGATTATGCTGCATAATCATTTCATAGTTCTTGCTAAACGTCTGCGCCCTCAATCTTCTTTCCTCCGCAGTTTTATACTTCTTCGCGAAGTCATTTTCGTATTTTCGAAAAGCGCGAAGGTTGGCCACGTCGACCCCGAGCTTGGCAGCTGAAAAATGAGTTCTAACTTGGTGCTTTCGCCTGTCAAAGAGGGCGAATTCAACTCACCTTCAGCAAAATCATTTTGCATTTGGAAGAAGTTGGAGCTGACGCGGGCCATCGCCCCGGCCGCCAAAATCGCAAAAAGTTTCATTTTCTCCTTCGATTATCTAAAAAGCAATGGATAATCTCTTGAATATTATTTACATATTATTGTATTGCACACAAGAAAATAACTGTCTCTTTTCAATTTAAGTTAGTCTTCAACGAAGCAGGAAGATTTTTGATAATTGCTTTGCTGAACTCAGCGGCTTCCAACGACGTCTGTCTCAGCTCCTCTCGGACTCGGGCCGCTTCGGTTTTGTTTTTCACTTTTTCAAGGATCGCCTCCGTTGATTTATCGATTTCTTAATAAAAAAGTTTCGATTGACTATTCCGTAATAATGAGCTTAATCACTGATTTCAGCGATAGGAGTCCTTTGTTTACTGATGCTTACGGCAATTTTGTTGAATATAGTCGAATAAAACGTCACTAATGCATGTTTTTTCGATGTCATCCATCACAACACCCATGGAGGGTCTGGCAGGAAGGGTTGGCCGCGCATCAAACTTGATCCCTTTCGACGACATCGATTTTATCCGTCTAAAAAACAAGAAAAAGCCGGGGAAAAAAGTATACCAGGAGTGGGGTTCGAACCCACGCGGGGATGCCCCCATTGGAACTTAAGTCCAACGCCTTAACCACTCGGCCATCCTGGTGTGCTCTGGCCACGACAAAAATGCACCAAATTACAACGCTTCTTATTTGCATAAATACGAAACGGGACTAAGCCCGTTTTAGCTCGGTCAAAATTGGTTGATAGTGTTTAAAAGAGCTTAAAAGCAATCAAATAGTAAGTTGTATTTGAATGCCTTCAGTTTTAAACACTATAAACCAATTTTGACAAGTTAATTCGTAGATAAAAGTTCGGTAGTTGATTTTTATATGAATTTATTAATAATACAAAAAGGAAACGGTCCATAACCAAGAAATAATTTGTCGGGAAATTGAAAAATATCAAAGGCAATATTAGAAAGTCTGCAGTAGCAATTCGAATACAATTTTCATAGTTTTTTCTTTGGTTTCAGTTCTTTTTCGATAGTTATTTAGCGGATCAGGGGCAAAATGATATTTTCTGAGTAATGAAAACGGGTTGTTTAGCATAATGGAAAAGAATACAACTTTGGGAGAAGAGAAAGAGGAGTTGTCGGTTTGCCCAAGCCAGCAAGCGAACCAGAATCCAGCTGGTGTGTTTTTTCTTTAGATAAAGAGAGAGAATGAGAAGGATGGCTCAGATGTTTCTTTACTTTGATAGAAGATTTCTTAAACAAGACTTTTTATGCTGAGTGGAGAAGTTCACTAACCAGGAAGGTCGAGTGGCATGTGTTTCAAAGTTTAAATGTTTCGCTCAGGTTGACATTGAAGTAAGTGAGATCGTTACGTTGATGCCCAAGTTTCCGTTTTCGGAAAACATCTGAGCAACCGCCGTGTCAAATACGAGGCAGTCCGAGTTTTGAATGGCACTGAAAGAAAAGAGATCGAAATCGTTTTTGGAAAGAGATCGACTAACCTAGAAACGCCTTCATGAATTGATCGAGGAGTGGCTTCCCAAGTCAGTCGACGACGATGGCCGTTCAACTCCAGGCGATAGGCGAATTGTTGAGCTTGTTTCCGTGTTCCGATGAGTTGGACGACTTAGAGGTTGATTTTACCAACGATCGAGGAGTAAAATATCTACCTGCAAAGAACTGGACATGTCCATCGAATTTCTCCTGTTTCTCCAGAACGAGCATGAAGTGGTTATTGAAACAGCTCTGCATCATCACCCAGTCCACAGCTCCTGGTAGATTAACGTCCGTAGCGAGGAACACGATGTCCTCGCCCTGGAGGGTGGTGATAGACTAATGGAAATTTTCTAGTATGATAAAGAAGTGATGGAGGTACCTTGTGGTTGACTAACAAATGTTCCATAACTTCGTCCAAGTTACCGCTCCACTTACAGGAAGCGCCGGGGCAGGGACAGACATAAGGGCGGAATTCGCATTGATCTATCAATTTCTTTTAGCTTTGAGAGGAGGAAATGACAGACCTTCATGAGTTGGCTTTTCTGTATGAAGCATTTGCTGATTGCAGCCATTCTGCTTGTACTTGCATGGAAAGTAAACAGTAGCAGCGACTTTTTCCATCGCAAGGTTTCGAATTTGGGGGATTTGTCCACGACATGTTGGGCAGGTCTAGATGAATCTGGCGCGAGAAGTTGGTGTAAGAAAAGTTACCTGAAGCTTCGGACGACATTGTCCGCAAATGAGATGTCCGATGGAACATTGGTGGATAGGTGGTAGGACGTAATCGTAGCAGACTGGGCATTCAAAGAGGGCGGCTAATTCGGAGTTGTTCGAGTTCGGCTAGAACGTTCTTTTTGCGAATTTTCTTTGAAAAAAAGAACTTACCATATCCGCCTCACTCTTGATGACATCGACATGCATTGGAACGGCTCGTTGACTAGCTCTCGCTGGATTTGCAGATTGGCCGAAGGGACCTGATTTCCCGATCGTCGCAGAGTTCTGATTTGGCATACTTTCGTTTTGGCTGTCTCGTTGGAACGCGGAGTCGCGATCGTTCCCCGAGCTCCCGGTGACCGTCAATTTTCGGTCGGAGAGGCTCGGGGTCCCCTCAAGACCCATAGTCCGACGTGGTGAAAAATCTTAAAAGAAAAAAATCTGTTTTGTGCATCTCCTTTAAAATCATGTGTGTTGTCAGTCAAATAATGATAAAAAATCCGAAAGATAAAATAAAGAAAAATGACCAGCAGTACGATACTGAAAAATGCGAAACAGAAGATATATCAGTATATCGGGAAACGTCTTGAATAGTTGAATAATGAGAAAACAGGACTAAGATAGAAAAATTCATCTACTCAAGATAATCAATAATGATGAACGAAATTTCACGGAAATTTCATTAATTAAAAAGAACAGAAAACGCGAAGTATTGGCACAGAAACGAAGAAGTGTATGTAGCTGTAACGAAAGCCCGTCGAAGGGATTAGGCAAAGTGGTGAACTACTGCAGAGGGTACTTTCAAAAAAGAATATTGCTTACGAATGAATATGGCCTAGGGTTTCTCACGGGAATTTCAAAGTTATAACAGGTTTTTTTTAACGTTGCACCATTTTTGTGGAGCGCTTTTCAGCGGGTTAGAGTTGAGATATTTTGGTCATCTCTTTTGCACCATGTAGGGGAGGGTCTGTAGTATGTTAAATAAGCTTTTGGTGTCGGCACCATCACTGGTGGTGGAGTAATGACGTCATTCATTGTGAATTCGCGGCAAAGCGTGTATGGTGGGAAAAAATTTGAAAAGTCCCTAAACGCACCATATATGGTTATTTTATCATACAGGGATGTTCCCTACATGTATACGAAAAAACCTGATAGTTTTTGGTGCCAGCACCAAGGTTGGTGCTGGAGTAATGACGTCATCAAGATTTTTTCCTATGATTTTAGTGTATTTTGGATGTCGTGATTACTCCACCACCAGTTATGGTGCCGGCACCAAAAGCTTATTTAACATACTACAGACCCTCCCAAACAAGGTGCAAAAGAGAGAATTTAAATATCTCGACTCAAACACCATCAAAAACGCTCCACCAATTATGTGCAACGTTAAAAAAAACCTGTTTATGCTATGTTTCTGAAATTCACACTGTAGACTAAATTTGACCCGCTGATTCCAAAAATACCAAAATCGGAAATCCCCGGATGCCAGCATCGAACCACCTGATTTAGTCACCTTGAGAAAAAAGGTTCGGACTGCTCCCCGGGCGCTCTGTAAATAAGCGCCCGCCCAGGCCCTTCCGATTAGTTAACCCTCAGTTTGAGTATCTGCTGAATGTTGCTGAATTCTGAATTTTTGAGAGATAAGTGATAAAGGTCTATTATCAATCATATCTCAAAATCAGAGGTGTATTTTGGTGTACTCCGGGAGAAAAGTAAGAAAATTTGTCCAAAAAGAGATTTTTCGGCATAATTTGACATTTATATAGAATAAAAATTCGATATTTGGAATCTGCGACCTTTAATTAGTATATTTGATAATTTAAATTTTCATTTTTGATAAAAAATAAGGGTTCGATTTTGGCGGTGGAAGGCCCGGAGCGCGCCGCGCCGTTCCCGTGAAAAACCCTAAATATGGCTATTTGAACAATATGTTTGTGACTGTTTCTATTGCTTTGCCACAGTAGTTGCACTGACCGCTCTTGGCGATTGTGGAAGAGCAAGTTTGACAGTTGGCATGGCTAAAATAAAAGAGATAACAAACAGAAAGAACTGATGGTTGGCTCACCCGCACGGAAGAAAGATCGACCAAGCAACAGCCCGTCGCGAGCACTGGCGACAACGCTTGAAGCCCTCGTCCTCCGACGAGTCCGAGTCTAGCATGCAACAGTCGGGCACTATTCTCGAAATCGACTGCTGGGTGAGACATGTTGAGTTTTCAGCGATTGGGGGGTCGATGGAGGATTTCTTGGGCTTGGAAAAGGAGGCTCGCTTTTTCGAGCTGCTGCCGGTCTTTATCGCCACGGCTGCTTTGGACGTTTTGGCGCTTTTTGAGAGCTGATCGGTGCTTCGGCTTTTTGAGAGCTATTTTTCTGATTTACTTGAATTGAATTTGGCCTAATCAGTAGGTAAACTTGATGAAAAATGAGCTCTTTTTAGAGCTTATAAATCAGGGAATATAATACAGTTTTAGAATCCTCAGAAGCTGGGGATGATTTTGACTATTCATACTTGGGGGTTTTGCTCATGCCCTGAGGGGTTTTGGGCCTTCCAAAGTCCCGAAATGTGGCCAATCTCGGTTAGGGGCTCATAACTTTTCTTCTCCCCATTTCTGGAGAAAGCCCACCATATGAGCTTGTAAAAGAGGCTCTAACGATTCAGAATATGTATAGAAAACCACCGGACACCCCCCATTATAGAGCCTCTAGAAGGCCCGAAAGTTGAGGAAGTCAACGGAAAATCAGTACTATTTTCACGAAAATAGAGCAAAAGTGCAATATTTTCATCGGAAATCGTTAGAAAAACGTTTTTAATGACTTTCTGACGTACAAAATTTAGTCTGGGAACCTTCCGGGGTGAGTTGTTACGAGATTCAATTTTTTATCACAATATGACCCCACGTGACCTCAAATGACCCAAGAGTAAATTTTGTGCGTCAGAAAGTCATTAAAACGTTTTTCTAATGATTTCCGATGAAAATATTGCACTTTTGCTCTATTTTCGTAAAAAAGTACTGATTTTCCGGTGACTTCCTCAACTTCCGGGCCTTCTAGAGGGTCTAGAATGGGGGGTGTCCGTTGGTTTTCTATACATATTCTGAATCGTTAGAGCCTCCTCTACAAGCTCATATGGTGGGCTTTCTCCAGAAATGGGGAGAAGAAAAGTTATGAGCCCCTAACCGAGATTGGCCACATTTCGGGACTTTGGAAGGCCCAAAACCCCTCAGGGCATGAGCAAAACCCCCAAGTATGAATAGTCAAAATCATCCCCAGCTTCTGAGGATTCTAAAACTGTATTATATTCCCTGATTTATAAGCTTTAAAAAGAGCTCATTTTTCATCAAGTTTACCTACTAATCAGGATTTTATTGGCAAAAAATTAGTTGGGGTAGTAAATTTGGTAAAATAACTTGTCTTAGATGGTCGGGAAGATTTGAGCGGGAGGAAGAAATGTGAGACGATCGAGAGTAGGAGTTACGTAGACTCGTTGGTCGGTTCAAATCGGCGGCGGAAAAGGAGGAACTCACCAGGGACGATCGAGGCACTGGGCTTTCCCGAGCCAGAGGACGCCTAGGTCGCGCTGTTGCCAGATTTTTATCCTACAAATAATGATAATTTTTTCTTATTATACATGCGCGCACATCTGCGCATTCATTTACCTATAAATAAACTACAGTTACATATGTAATTGAAAAAAGCAAAAGAGAGAAATCTCTTTTCTCTATCTCCGGTAGACCAAATCAGACAAAAATACAACAGCTGACAAATAAAAAAATTACCTGTCGCTGATTGAGATTCTCCAAATAGGTGCTCTTGATTCTCAACTGTGCGATTTTCTGCACCGCGTCTTCTTCAGAAATTATCTCTTCCGTTCCAGATGAGCCAGCGCCCGCGGCTTCTTCGACAAGAAAGCCGCTTGGGAAATTGACTTTGAAATCTTTTAAAGTCTCCATCATCTCGTATAATTCTCCTCGTTTTGCGTTTGATAGTGTACGATTACGCAGCCGCGCTTCTCCAACATATCTCGTAAATTTATACCAAGCCTTATTTTTAAAGGAAAGATTCGAAAATATGAAGTCAATACGTACGGGAAACCAGACTTCTTCAGTATCGTCAAACATATCTAATAGGTACTCGAGAGCAGCTTTATTGTTCGTTGTCGCGTTGTATATCATTTGAAGACGAATAGAATTCAAATCCGTGAGCTTCATTTTCTCGAAAACGTCTTTTCTGAGTTTTCAGATCATGGACGACCATGATTTGAGAAGATTCGCCGAGAAAAGATACGATTTTGAGCATTATTTCTGGCTCTATCGACATTTGTCATCATATTTAATGATCATTTCTGTTGAAAACTTTTCCCTAAAAAGTACGTAGCGATGCTTTTCATTTCATCATCGAATTTGTTCGTTTCGTAAAGTCTCAAAATGAGATACACAGGCCAGTTGTTGTGAATGCGCGCCAGCTCAAGAGGCGTTTTGTTTTCTGGATCTCGTGAAATCAAAAGTGCTCCCTGAAGAATCAGTCAATAGAGAACGATAGCGAGAAAAAGTTTCTTTCTTACGTTGTTTATGAGCATATCGACGACCACTACGGAGCGGGCCATTTTATCGACGTCCTGCCCGCTGCGGTACTCGTTCAGGCGCGTCCCAGTCCCAATAATAGGAATATTGCATGCGGCAGAAATCGGAATGTTTCCGTTTGAATCTCTGAATCAATTTTGATAGAAGACAGTTGGGGAAATTTAGCTAACCTGTTGTTGCACTGACCGCCAGCTTTGATCAACTCGTTGACGCATTTAAACTGCGCTTTGCTGCAACTAGCAACTAACGCGCTTTCTCCCTCGTATTCCCAATCTGGCTGTGCTCGGTTTCGCAAAAGCTTTTCATGGATTCAACTTTCAGTAATTCACTAGTCTATAACCACCTTCTTTCATGATTTTCTCATCCCGTGACTAGATAATTAATAAATCCGACTTGACGAAAGCAGGCTTTTCTCGTCACCAAGCTTGGCGTATTTGATGAAGCTCTTCTTTTTGTTGACGGTGCTCTGCGTGCGCGGAAGGTTGCGCCGCGGACTCGCTTGTATACTCATCTTAACGGATTCAATTAATTTAAAGGCTACTGCTTTGGTTTTCTGTGTTTCTGTTTATAAAATTCTCGCAATATAATAATCGTGCATGTAATGAATGAATTGGACGGAACTGCGCCGTGCCCCAAGGCATCGAACTTACCATCTGCACCACCACAGATTACCAACCCATAGTCGACATTTCTGATCTGACAGCGTAAACTTTAGTTTCTCTCTTACTCTTTATCTTCGTTTTATTTTTGCTAGTACTTCTTCAAACTCCACTTTCCGAAATTATTACGTTCCGATCCTTAGAGAACATGACGGACTACAGTTAGAATCAGAGCTACTCTACCTAATTACGTAACATAAATATATGCCAAAATCATATGACAGACCTATTCAAAGAACCTGCAAAAAGAAAGAAAAAAAAAGGGATGAACGTGAATGTGAATATTTTTTATTAAAGCACAGGTAAATAAGAATAGAAGAGGAAGTTCGGGATTATTCTCAACCGAATAATATAGAATAATATCTAACGAGCCTTTCTTTCAAAATGATATTTTGGCGGCAATTGCTGGCTATTGTCATTGAATATTATTTGAGTTAATTACTGAAAGTTGAAAAATCTTAACAGGAAAAAAGGCAAACACATTTTTACTTTGCATAGAAATGAATTGAATTACTTTGAATCTTTACCGCGAAAAATTGTGGTTTTCTGATCTACGAGGTGCTAATAAATGAAAGATAATTAGTCTTTTTAGCTCCATTTATCAAGAATACCAGCTGAGCAATACTTTAAGCACCATTTTTAAATATTAAATATACCCAGAGTAGAGGTTGACCATTTATTCGACAAAAATAATTAAGAAAATTGTCGAATAACCGGTCAACAGCTCACTCAGATTGAATCGAAATAAATATTGAACTACGAGAAATAAAAATATTTTCTTAAATTTGAAAGATTGAGAGACGAGCGGCGAATTTTAAGAATGGTAATATTGGCTGAACGGCGTTTATATTTATATATATTTTCATTATTTACTTTCTTCATTTGTTGTCCGTTTGGTGGAAAATTGAAGCGATCCGGAGTTAACCCATTTTTGGACCAGCTCAGCCAAAAGGCCAGCAGGGCAATTGTGACGCCTCGTGGACACTTTTTATCGGGCTGAGAAACCGACCGGGCAACTTAACTCGAAATAGTTAACGAACGATGTAGGATCGTCCGGCTCCGTCGACATCTCCGGCCTATCGCTACTAGTCTCGCTCGCACGGCTACTCGGCCCGTTCCCGCTGGTGTAAATTTTCAGGTCAAACTGAATTAGCTTCGAAATCGTGCGCATGTCGACCGCCGTGTTTTGCTGAAATAGCAAATGATAAAAAGAACAGGGAGAAAAAGATAAGTACCTGAACTTTCTTGAGAACTTCCATGAACGATGTATTGAGCGTTCTCAGGAGCGGCAAAAGAAGCAACACCTTACTCGTATGTCTTCTGTCGCGCGAATCTGTCAGGCCGGCGCGCTCCATGATTCCGAGGAAATGATCTCGCGACGCAGCGATTTTGTTGCGATCCGCAATGCAGCTGTTTTGCCGGTCGTCTGAGAAGAGCGCAACGAGCATGAGTAGGAGAGTATCTTCTTCGGTCATGTTGATTTCAGCTGAATATTTGTTTCAATTTATTTCAAACAATGGTTGTTATATAGACTATATAATATAGTGTACAATATAGTGTGGAGAATCTGGTGTTCATATATGTAATATATTTTAATTCTAACCCATTTTTGCCATAAGTTCCATCATATTATCGATAAAACTCGTGTCACTCGTGGCGAAGAGAAAATCCTCCCGATAAAGCCACAATCCTTTAGCTCCATTGACAAAAGAGCCATCCTTGTAATCGAAAAAGCACTGAATAAGTAACTTTAGGTAAACACTCGTTTCGACTTCCAATGATTACCTTGAGGATAAGCAGCTCTAGAATAGTGTTTCTGAGGAGTTGAATTTGGTCGCCAAGTGAAAGCGAGACGAACTCTGGGATTAGCTTGCTAAATCGATTGAGTTAAAACGGGGCGAAAAGTGGACGCAGAAATACCAGTAGTTGATGATTTGCTTGATGCCGGACTCCATCAAATCGGCCAGAAATTCGACGAATTTCGTTCTTTTCGAAAGAACTAAAATTAAAAATAAGAAATAACATTTCTTTCCCAAAATGAACCTGAAGAGTCTGAAACGCTGTGCATCGAAAATTCGTCAAACAGCCCGGTGGAGTTGTTATGTTGCACAAATATCCTCTCGTTGCTCTGAAGCGATCCATTCGGCGTCGTCAACGGTTCGTGGTTCTTGCTGTCCAGGTCTTCGTGCGAAACAGCTGTGTATTCGGTGGTTGACTCGACCCAATGCGCCAGTCTCTCGTAGCTTGCACTACTTAGTTGGCTATCCGTGTTTGGGCTTTTGCGGCCACACAAGTCGCGTTGCTTCTTTTCCTTAAAAATCCGTTGAATCCTTTTTCACGCTTTCATAAATATTGAATAAAATTAACGCCGCCGTCAAGAGGTCCAATTCGAACACTTTTCTTCCGTCAAAATCCAATCTCATTTCGATATTTACCTGAATTTGCTGAGCAATGTATCCATGATGTCTAGCATTCATCAGATAGTTATTTTCCATATCAAAGGCTTTTCTCGCCGCCAAAACAACGCCGAGCGTGGAGGATTCGGTCGAATTTATCGACGATCCGGCGACATTATTTGGCGTTGGACAACCAGTAGAGTCGCCATTCGAGTTTCCGTTTGGTAATTCTTCTGTTTGTATTTGCGGGGTTTTTGAAGCTCGGAGGCAATTACTGGATTGCTTTGGGGACTGTTACTGATTGCAGGACTGTCGAGTAGGCTTGGAGCCTCTGTTATAGCGGATTGAAGTGTTTGGCCAAAGATTTGATCTGCAAGTTCCGTTGAAGATGTGGAACAATGAATTTGTTGCTTACCCATGTTATAATTGTTGTTATTTCTTTGTGGATTCAAGTTGGGAAGAGTAGAATCGAAGATATTGCTTGGGATGAAAGGACCTTGTTGCTGGGTGGAAACTAACGGGAGACTGATAGATTGCTGAGGTGGTTGGATAGAATTTTGAGGAGGATGATGAGGAAGCTGGGGCATACCAACTCGACCGTACTGAAAAGAAATAATCAATATTTAAAAAATAGACAGCGACCTACCTGAAACTGTGGGTTCCAACTGTTTTGTGCTGCGTCGAGAAAATTGTTAAAGCCCGCCGCCGCCTGAGGATGGGGATTAGGCGGTACGCCCAGAGGATTCTGATGGACCAAGGTTTGCGGGAATTGCGGTGCTACATTAGGTAAAGGAGATGAATTCGAAATCGCAAGGCCGGGATGGCACGGTGCAATGGGAGAGGCGACGGCTTGAGGGGGCACTGCTGGCATTGCTTGTTGAGGTGTCACCGGCGACTGGGGAAGGGGAGGCGAGGTCTTTTCACGCTTGATGTCAGGGTAAGAGAATTGAGTAGCGGTGGGTACGATTGGCCCGGTCGGACCCAAATTGGGGATGAAAGGCGCGCTATCATTACTCCTTGGTTCAGCCTCATTTGTAGCTTGCGGAGATTCTAAAGTAATCTTGAGTTAACGGATATGAACGCGGTACCCTTACCAGTTTTGATGATCATTTTCTCTTCCTCTGGAGATTTCGGCTCATTAGAAGCAGCGGCAGCTGCTGCAGCAGCAGCTTCGGCCGCGGCTTTCTCGGCCTCTTTCCGTCGGCGCTCTTCGGTACGTCGATTCTTTCGATGCTGACCGATCATGATTCTATCTCGTCTCATGCCGGTGCTCTCGCATTTAGCCATACGGCAAGCTTGGCAGTTTTTTCTCCGTTACAGGGTGAAAAATTAATCAAAGAATCAAAAGAAACTCATAAAGAAATAGAGACGAAGCTAATGAAAGAAATATTTTCAGCCCTGGACCTCCGCTCGCCAGTCACGTCACAATTCTTCTCATAATTGCAAATAAATCTAGCCCCCTTTTGTACGTTTCGTCTGAAGAATCCCTTAACAATTCTAGTCAGCCACGGAGTTATTCGAAAAATGAGTCAATTGCGAACGGGTTCCATCCGAAACCGCCGCCTTCTTACCTTGCATCCCTCACATGACATTACGCCAAAGTGGTAGCCAGTAGCTCTTCCGGTGCATATTTTGCAGATTCTTTCTTCTTGCGCGCGATTCTCACGTCCGCTCATTGTCTAAAATAGATGAGCGGTAAGTATCTCTCTGCGTCTCAAATGAGGTCAGTGTGCGCCAGCTCGTAAACAGTTCCAGTGTGAAAGCCAGGATATTCTTGCTGAATCTCTTTCGGGTAGTCTGTCATCGGGGTTCTTTTTAAGCATCATTATTAAGTTCGCCAGTTCGTGGCAGTCAAGAGTATCTAGCGATAATATCTTATCACCCAAAAACAAGGATCATCGCGAACTTTCGCTATCTCCCGCATGTTGTAACAAATTATCGTTCCGCCTTGATCGGTTCAAGTTGAACCCTTGCCTAGAGTGAAGACAACTTTGCACTTTTCCAAAAGATGATGATGCTCATCTAAGAAGTTTCTTCCGGGATCGCCAATAAGGACTCTGAATCTATAAATTGGTTCACAAAGGGAATAAATAATTAGAACCCTCTGATGCTCTGGGAATTTCTACAACGAGTACTGTATTGAATCACTTGACTATTGAATCGAACCTTGCCTACAACCATTCGAAGCCAGCTTCAAGAGCCACGAATACACTTGATCGCAAAATTCTGAGGAGTAAAACATGTCTCCAAAAAGAATAGTGTCGAAATCAATCACTTGATGATCGAAAAAATCGGTATCGGTGAATTCTCATCAGTGCTTTCTTTTAGACTTTTCAATTCAAAAACAACACGTGTTCCAGTGCCAGTCAAATGTTCGAAAACATCATTGCATATCGAACTGGTCCTGGGATAAATTTGGTGTAATGCCTGAAATGAGAAAAGAAATCGAACACTGTTCCTATTTCATTTCCACTGGGGAGGTTGATTGCGGCGTTCAAACGAGCCGCGGAAAGTGCTACTTCATCAATGTCAGCTTAATTAGGGCGATCAAGAAAAGATGAAATATTATAGCTAACCAAGTACCCCAAAATAGGGTGTAAAAAAAGATTCGTTACATCGAGAAACATAAAACACAAAACCGATTATAAACTTCTTATCGCGCATGATTCACAGGGATAAATAAATTTTGAAACCGTTGTTATAGGAAATAAAACTAAAGATCCACCTGAAAGAGGAAGCTTCCTCGTTCCTTTCTCAGTAACTCTTCCTCTTTGTATGAAGAACTCATCCTCGTGAAATAAGGTTGGTCAAAACAGAACTGCTCTTTAGCCTTGATTAAGCTGTGCTTAGATGCTGATTCCTCACACCCACAGGTACAAGATCTAGCTAAATCAATACAGATTTGACGCCCTTTACTGCACATACATGAGATGCCCTTTTGATCGCCGCCGCTTTGATTGGTTATTAAATAAAAGGTTGAACGTTTGAGAAACGAACTCTCCTCCAACGTCTATTTTTCATAATTAATTCTATAATTAACCAATTAACTATCGATGCCGATCCGCAGCCGCAACCAAAGTCCAAAATTCTACCAAAATCTCTATCTTCAAGGATTATTTCTTTCAAGCTATCAGATAGAAAAGATCGGTTTTTAAAAACAGGCTTCTTATCGGTTAAGATTCACGGAATTCGAAATTAAGTGACGTATCTCCAGAAGGGTTAATTATGTCAAACAAGATAAATCCCTTATCAGAATCCAAAAGATACCGTGTCAGGACCTGTCCACCAGGCCAATAAAACGCCCTAGGTTTAAGCCGTTGTGGCACAACAATAAACACGCGATAAAACATACCAGTATGGCTCTTGGAAAGGAAAGTCTTCTTGTGAAACTTTATACGCCGGAGTTTGTGGTGTCACCAGCGCAAGCTTCAGTTCTGGTGTCAGATGGTCACGCGACTTCTCGGTCACTGAATAAACTATTTTTAAAGCTGATGACATATTATAACCTAAGTCTAAAAACCCACATTTAGACGAGGCTATCAATTTAGTTTGAGTCTTCCTTATTCATATAAGACCATATATTTCATATATTTTTATAAGATTCGAAACGATCAAATAAAGTTAAAGAATCCAACGCGATAGGGTAAAAGTTAAATATTCAATATTGAATAAGAATTTATATTCCTTGCAAAAAATATATTCGACATGATATTATATATACTATCCGCTGAAAATTATGACATGACAAACCTCTATTGATGGAATCAGCTATTTGGCAGGAAGTAAGTCTTCTATGTTTTATCAGTCGGTTCATTCTGAAACCTCTATATAATATTACATTAGAATTATGTTAAATATTATCTGTGTGTATTCAGAGGTGACGGTAGATAGAATACGGAAACTGTTAAGATAAGTGAAGACTTAGAAAAGTTTATAGTGAAGACAGAGTGTGTATGTGTGCCTGATTAGTTCTCCTCGATAAAAATCATTGTCCGGGAGGGAATGTTCTGCGCCCAGAGGGGTGCGTCTAGTATAAGCTGACGTCTAGGAACTTCGTTTATAAAGGCAGTGTAATCATGGGCAATTGTGGCGCGGTTAGCTTCGGGAATAACTTCAGTTATGATCTAGGGAACAGATGGTTTATTGATGGAATCAATCGAAATTTGGGAAAAATAATCAATCGGTCTTTTTCACGTGACGTAAAATTCGGTGATTTTTACGCAACGTTCATAAAGTCACGTGAATACCTTTTTGATCATTATGAAAATCATCACGAAAATGAGCGATTTCAGATATTTGCTTCAACACTCAATAAATAAAATCTGAGCTCTCGCACCTGTCGAAGCGGATTTGTGTTCTTGATTGACTGTACCTGTAGAGGCGTACGTTCTGCTGAGTATTTTATATTTGCGAGTCGTCGACCTGAGGGTAGTCTCAGTGCCAGTTGGAAGTATTCAGGACCAGCCCCGCGGCCGAAAGCGATGGAAGAGGCGGCTGATGAGCTGGAATTTGAGCATGGCGATAACGGTCTAAAATCAATGTAAGGGTCATATTATCTTTAAAGAAAATCAGGTCCTATTTAGTCAAACAAATAGAACATTAGGAATAATAAACTATATGGCCTAAATAATTGATCGCGCGTAACTCTCGTCGAAAAAATAAAGGACTACCTCTATTTTCCTTCACATGAATATTCATCAATAAATTCTACTTCCTGTGCTTTTCTAACGCACTCTGACTTTCAATAAACAAGAACAATGTTATTTCCTTCTCTGTTCTACAATAAATTACAATTATTCGTCAATGAAAAGTATCTCAATTTCAAATGTGTCAAACTACGACGCAAAGCTGCGGGCAGAGGTAGTAAATATGAATTATCCTCGTAAAGGCACGCGCGCGTGTTTCTCTCTCACTCTGAAGTCATAACTATTACCTCTCTTCATTTTTATTTAATGTTGTCTTCTTAATAGTTTATTTTTATGGCGAGCGGGTGGCTTTTAATGTCGCTTTGATACTACTCGGTAATCGGGGAAATTTCTTTCATGTTTTTTCTCTCTTTATTCACACGTTTCCTCGAAAATGTGGTTGAATGAAAAAGTGGGTCGAAACATGTTTCCACTGGTGGATCATTTTTCACATGTGAAAAGTCATTTTTTGATGAACTTTTTTTCTGCGCGGTATCTCGAGCACCATCGCGTGGAATTTACCGATTCTATGGCGAGAATCGAAGATTGAAGGAGAAGATATTTCAATCATATTCTTCTCTATTTGGTAGAGAGACAATAAACCATGCGTAGAAACGTAGTAAAATTAAATCGGGACAAAATGATATTTTACGTTATTCAATAAACTTCAAAACTCATCCTGTCAAAGATGAAAAAACTGCTAATTAGCCAGCCGAAAATAGACCTCCGCTGCTCCTTGCTCTTGACTTTGAAGTCTTCGTCTGATCGACATCAAGTTAAAAGTCTACATTTTGGAACATCAGAGTAAAGTGGGAGGACAAGTTTTACATTGTTTTGCGACAGACGTGCAGAATTTTTAAAGCAGAGAGAAGAAAAAGGAGCATGCTCGTTTATTTTTCATGCGTGGTCAGGGATGACACTGAGTGACAAATTTTCACACAGGAAAATTATTCTTCCGTCATCAAAATCGACCGAAAACTACGACTAGCGAGATGGAGTTACTCTGGTAGAAAGACGATCTAAGGGATCAAGATATGCGGTTTAACTCTCTTGTACCACAGCTGCATGTAACATACTGTATGTTATAGATATGTTAAGGGTAACTGGCGATGAAAAATGTGCTCTCAAGTCTTTAAAATCAATGGAAAGGATCAAGCTAAAGCACTCTTATATCTTTTTACGATCGATTAGAGAGTTACAGTACCGACCAAAAACACGGTGTTCGACAATACCCTGCCCATTAGTCTACAAAATTAGCCTCAGAAGTAGAAGACAAGAAATCGATAAGTCTGTACCTTCCAAGATCTTCAGAAAGCAGCTTGACACGTTTTGTTTGATGCTGATGCTGGATAGATGTGTTTTCTAGTTGCTTTCAATTGGCTCGAAGAAAACAAGAGAATCGTTCTTTTCTTGTCCCTGAAGATAATTTTAAAGGCCCCCGAAGCCAGTAAGGTACCCATGCGTAAAAAAGTTCACAGTGAACTTTTTCTCAAATACTAACGGCGCTACTTTTATTAGCGAAGGATCAAGAGCAGTTCGTAAAAAATTCCTTGCTATTTTTCTTTTACATTTAAAAGCAAAAACAATTATGAATATAAAAATAAAAAAGAGATAGACGCTTTTCCTCGTTTTTATGCTCGGAGAAAAGTAGACAGAAGGAAATTAAAACTTTTCAATTAGAAATCTGTGGCTGCAATACTGTCAAGGAATTTTTCGGAGATGCCTAAATTCTCATTCATCGAGCCGGTCCTGTGTGGAATTGTCGAGTTGAAGCTTGAAGACGTCCGTCTCGTCCCCTTCTGAATTTTGTTCTATTTCCAGGATCACAATCGATGAAATTAAAATAAAAAAATGAAAATGTTCAAATATTTTATTACTCAAAATTGATCTTAAATTTTAAGAGCTACAAATGAGCAATCAATCTCATCAACTTCGACAACTGCAGTATGAATCTAAGTGTTTGTTATTCCCCGAAACAAGTCAATATTTATACTTCAACTCTTGAGTCAGAGGGAACTCCTTCGAGTTCGCTCTACTCTACTTTGCTAGAAATTTTTCTTGTTTGAAAACCGGAAGGGTGTCTTTTTGGAAGACAACCCAGCAACAGACCAGCCACGTCCGTAAAAAAAACAACAAGTTAAGCTACTCTTTTGGGTTCTGTGTTCTTTTCGGCCCCGCCTTGGGGCGATTTTTGATACAGTAGCGATATACTAATTAAGAGAGGATTAGGGCTGTAGCAGGTGAACCTCGCCAACCGGGTTAATTATTTTCATTTTATCGTTTGGCCATGTAATTATCATTCTAATAATCATCTATCATCAGCCAGTGATATTTGAATAATTGCCACCGTTACTATTACAAACACATGTATTTATCCACTTATGTAAACAATAATTCAAAGGAAACTTTAGGTACACTCATCTTAGTAGAACTTTGACAAAACAATTCTCTGTCAAGAGTAAAGAACCCGTATATATTCTTTAATCTTTTAAAAGTCTCAAATATCTAATCCTCACTGCAAATCACCCATCTAAGTATAGTATGCCTTCTTTAAAAGAATATTCTAACTTACTAAACATTCTGAACTTTTGCCACATACAAGAGTCCTACATTCTCTCTTTTCGCCGCTGTCTCGCAGACAATATCGATGACATAAAAATATATAGACACGAAAAAGTCAATTCTATTCTTAATGGTGTCTATTTTAATTTTCACTTCTTGCTTTATATACGGTATGTCAGTTATTATGTCGAAATTCGATCGGCTAGTAGATTTGGCTTAGGTAGAAGACGTCTGTCCTTAACTCTAAACCTGGTTCGTTCTCAGGGGAGACGTTTTTGATTTAGACAATGGCGAACTTTTTGAAAAAATAAGTGTTTCCTCGAAAAGTATAAATATGATTTGAGAAGTCAATATTTGACTTACAAAAAGTACTACGTTGGGTCATCCAAATTTTGAAACACGTTATTTTCCGAGAAAACAAATGAAAAGTATAAAAGATGTCAAAACAATATGAATCAAACAGTTATTAAAATACACTATTCAATAACTATCAAGAAGGGACCTTACCATGTTTTCGTTTCATTCTTTTTCCTCTATTTACTTGTTCATATCTTCAAAATTCAACTCTCTTTAAAAGCGCACCAGATTTCTTAACAAAAATGTAATAAAATTATTTCATTTGGGAGCAATTCTCTTTCGCGAAAAAATCAAAAGATCCAGGTCTCCTGACACATCTCAGATCTGAAGGGGTAGTTACGTGAGGAGAGAGCGCGTGGGCGTGGCACTAAATGCGTGGGCGCTGGCTGCTCGCCCACGCGTTCGCGAGCCGAACTGCCGAATCGTGACCCATCTGCGCCGTGAACTGGTGACTCGCGAGCGCCACCGCCAGAGTGACAACACGTGATTAGCAATATACCGAAAATAAGAAACCAATATTACCAAAATACGCACAATTTTACGTCTGTAATCTAAACAAATACGCAATACGGAAATCGACAAGAAAACAGCTGTTCCGTTTCCCAGTAGCTACAGTAGTAACAGCTGGATGATTATGACGCAACTATTGATAGACATTTTTAGGAGCTTTCGTCACGTAAGATTCTGATAAATCTAACTTCTGTCACATTGAAATACTGTAATTTGACTGCTGAAACTCAGTTTATTGACCGTTGCGTTTCCTTACAGTATGTTTATTACAGTTTTGCCTCTGGCAGACGCTCGATTCTCTCTACAAAAAGACTTACAGTAACAAAAGCTTTCAAAATTTCAAAATTGTATAATTTCTGAGAAGTTGTACCAACGAAACCCGGTAGGTCAGGATCAACTGCTCAAAAATCCTTTCTTTGGAACTGATCGTCGATCCGGCACTAGTCTCGCAGACAGAAAACATGCTGAATTGGGCGGCGGGTTGGGTTTTTCAAAGCCGACCGCGGTCGCCGACTGGCGAGTTTTGGAATTTGCATTTCGCCAGATTGCGAAAGGCCGTTTGTAAATATATAAGTTAGGCTGACGCGGCGCCAAGTCCGATCATCCGATATCCGAATGTTAGCGCCTCCCGCGGGGCAGAAACCGGACGTGGCGAATTCTTCCACTACTGCAGCCAGTAGGTCACGCAAGAAGAAGTCAAAGCTTGGCGATTCGTCTAAAGCGGATTCGGCCGACTTTTGCGGCAGCCTCTTTTTTCGACAGTTTCCTAATTTTGCAATTGATATTTTCACAATTCAGACTGGAGCATTGTGAAATTCAGAAGATATGAAAATGGAAAAATCTAAAAAGGATGAGCTTTCACCCTGAGCTCAGCAACCTGTGGAGAAAACCTGAGCCAGAATCTGAAAGATGCGGCTTCTGACTCAGGTTTTCTACACAGGTTGCCGAGCCAACTTTCCAACTTTCAATCCTCTTTTTTCAGCCCTGGTTAAAAATGCATCTGTATATGCGAATTTTGTCCTGTATGGAATAAAATGAAATGCCCTGAAGGTTTGATAAGTTAGAATTTTCAATTTGAAAATTTCAAGTACTCGATGGAACTTTTTTCCCCCGTTGGAAGTCCACTAAGTTTCGATGAAGAAGGACTGCTAATGTTTGTGACTTGTTTCTCTGTTGCTGTTATTCGAAACGAGTCCGATTAAAAGTTGGCTAAGCTCGAGATGATCCCTTCTTTCTTGGCCAGCGGCGGCAGCTTTCTGAAATGAAGAAACTAAAGTCGGAAGAAGATCGAATTCGATTGAAAAGGGGGTTAGAAAAGGAGGCTTCTTTATGACACAGATGAATACTATTTTTAATATTTTTGTTAAAGTATTGTATAAAAAGCTTCTTCTTGTTAAAATTACCTGTATCCTTTGGGGGGCTGCGGAACAATCCTCCCCCTCTTGCGCTCTTTGGTCGAAGAGGCTGCATTATTCGCTTCTCTTTTTCGATGGATCCGAACAATCTATTATTGTATGTCAATTCCTGTGAAGGAACACAAGACAAATAAATGATTGACAGTTCTGGAGAATTGTGTTCGCAATTTTGAACGAGCTCTTGGTGTTTTTAGCCTCTCATAGTAACCACAATGGAAGACAAAAAAGCACGTACGGAATGTAAATGTTTACCAACTTAAAAAGATCATAACCCAGGCGTGGCCTTTTGACACTGAAAAGAACCCTTTGTTTGTCAAAAATGTATGATAAGAAAAGCGGATACTGTAATACGCTCTAGCTTTTACCGAGCTAATCAAAATCAAAAGCAGAAGCATGTTTAGTTGCATCACTCAGATCAATTTTCAATTAGCGCTAATTTGAAATTAGCTTCATTCATTCGGCAGATTTTTGATTCTTCCCGCAACTTTCAGAGAAAATGCACTTTTTCACCTTCGTTTTTCTTTTCAAGGAAATCTCCTCGCAAACAGAGAATGAAACAACAACGACAACGGTGATACCAACTCCCATCGGGTATCGTCGACGAACCTCGGCTGATTTTCTCGACGAGCTTTTGACCGGTTACGACCGTTTTACCCACCCAAATTATTATACAAAAAAGCCAACGAATATTTCAATCAACTTATTCGTCAATTCCATCGACTCAATTGAATCGAGCACGATGGACTATAAAATCAACGTCTTCCTCCGAATGAAATGGATCGACAAGCGACTTCGTTTCAGCCAAAAAGACGTGCCAGATCCCGTTTTGAATGTTCATCCGTCGATGTATGAAAATCTCTGGGTCCCTGATCTGATTTTCTCGAATGAAAAAGTGGGCAATTTTCACACATTGACTACGGACAACCGGCTCTTGAAATTGAGCAGAAACGGGGAGGTCTACACGTCGATTCGGATATCGTTGACATTGGGCTGTTTCATGGACTTTCGCCTCTTTCCGATGGACATTCAAAACTGCCCGATTCAAATGGAATCCTTTGGCTACAGCATGGACACTCTCCAATTCAACTGGCAAGAGAAAGACGCGATTCAGCTGAACGACAACATCGTTCTTCCACAATTTAAAATCAAAGGCTTCAAATTAGAAGATTGCACGAAAGTTTACTCGTCTGGAAAATTCACTTGCAAGGAAGGCCAGTTCATCATGCAACGACAACTGGGTTATTATTTTGTGCAGATGTATGTTCCGACAGTTTTGGTAGTTTGTCTCAGTTGGATTAGCTTTTGGATAGATATTAACGCGGCTCCTGCGAGAACTTCTCTTGGTGTCACTACTGGTAGGCTTTTTTTGACTTTAACAACTTCAGAGGATCTTCTCAGTTTTGACGATTACACAACAGGCTCAAAGCTCAGCAGCTGAAGTTCCCAAACTTTCATACATAAAGGGTAACATTAGACATCTCTTCCTTTATTCTTTTTCTATAAGGAATTGATTATTGGATGACAACCTGCATGATATTCGTTTTCGCCGCGCTGCTAGAATATGCGATCGTACAGTGGATATCTAGGAAAGACAAAGACAGTGCTTTTTACAAGCGTAAGATTCAAGAAATCCGGGCAAGGAATGATCCAAACGGCGAATTTACTTCTCAATTTGAGAAGATTAACGGATGGCTGCAGGTAGAATCTTCCTTGATTTCAGTATTGAGAATATTCAGTCGTCCGTTTTTTCCCTTATTCCGGGAATCTCGAAAATATCCGGCTACATACAAAGACATTTCGAGTTTGTGTTTTTGAACAACGAAGAACCAGATCAGAAGAAGTTCTACCAAGAGTTCGCCGTGATGATTGACAAACGAGCACAAGTTCTTTTTCCTCTTGCATTTGCTGTCTTTACACTGCTTTACTGGTCTGTGCTCTTTGGATCTGAAGAAGCTGCTGAGAAGGTTTTAGATGATGCTGTTCCTTATGTTGCTAAATATGAAATGAAATAAATTATTGAATAATAAACTCGTCCGCACAGAGTTGAATTGAGATTCGATTTGGAAATTTCTCTAGAAATCTATGTTGCAATGGCTGTCTTTACACTTCTTTACTGGTCTGTGCTTTTTGGATCCGAAGAAGCTGCGGAGAAGGTTTTAGATGATGCTGTTCCTTATGTTGCTAAATATGAAATGAAATAAATGATGTGCTTGCGGGCGCGCGCTTCCCTTGATTTTCTAGATTTCACCCTACTTTATTGAATAAATAATTGAATAAAGTTCTGACTCGATTCGCAAAATCCGAAGGTGGTGCGTTTTTAATTTTTTTGGCTGACGAATCAGCGTCGTCTGAAAGATCTGAGTGGATGATTTCGAGAACACAATTCGAGTTGCTGAGAGTGCTTTCGGTTTTTTATCAATAGAGAAATTAATAAGAGATTATTACTGCTTTATCTTCTCAGTGTTTTTTGGGACCCTTCTAAAAATTTTGGCAGTTATCGCAAAAACACGGTTTCGCAACCACTTGGAAAATGATTGCAATCACTAACAGTTGACCACATATTTCTCCCTTGCATCACCTGACTGCTTCCTTCCGCCTTTATATTCCCTTCTGCTCTGTCTCTTGAATCCAATTAGCGACTTTCAAGTGAAAGTTTAGAGAAATTCTTATATTATATAAGAAATGGGCATTGATGCCGATATCGACGAGGCCGCAAGAAGCAAGGTCGACGAAAGGCTGAAAGACAGTATCTTCTGTCCAGTTTGCAAATTAATTTTGGAGGTAAAAGCGTTATTTATTAATTTCTTTTTCGAAATCTTTTAGGACCCTGTTAATCTTAATTGCTGCGGAGGTCACCTGTGCTCCAAATGCCGCGATGGTGTTCTACGGACCGGGTATTCGAACTGCCCGTTTTGCCGAAAGCCGAACTTCACTGCCACAAAGGGGCGATTAATGGTGGATGTTTTGAGCACTCTCAAGCTTATTTGCCCTAATACAGACTGTCGATCTTCTATTCCCTACGAAAAGTACGAAGAGCACAAGAAGAACTGCCTGGCACTTCATGAGAAAAAATGCCCAGAGTGCGAGCAGACTACTTCGTTGAGCAAGTTCCACGAGCATTTTAAGTGTTTCGAGAAAATGGCGGCTAAAAATGCTGCTACGAAAGAAGAAAATGCATCTCTGAAAACGAGACTAACGGAAGCGGAGGAGCGACTCGCAGGAATGACTGGTGAACTTGGAGAGATGAAGAAGGAGCAACCACCCTCTGCTGGAACTCGGTCAAAAAAGCGAAAGAGAAACCAAGCTGCTTCGAATGAGATACAGCACCAAAAAAAGAGATCTCAAAAAAGGAACGAATTAGAAAGGATGGAAAGAGAAATAGGAGCGATTGGCGGCGCTGGGCATTTCTTCGAGAATGATGTTGATCCCTTACTTAGACATGTATTCAATGGGAATGGAGTAGTAAGACATGTGATGGCGGAAAGAGAAATCCGAAACATCTTGAAGATGCTGGCACTCGGCGTAACCCAAATAAATTTGAAGGAACGGGAGTTTTAAAATTTAACTAAGCGTAATTTCCACTGCGTTATGTAGTTTCAAATTGCTGATTTCTATAAACTCTCCGCGAAGTTTGCGGTTCGCCAGGCTTTGGAGGTCGAGGAGAACGGATGGAAAATCAAATTCATTGGTGCCCACTACACTTGGACAAGACCCAAGGACACACACCTTTGGCATCTTCTCTGGATTTCGAACAAAGGTAAGCAAAAATATTTAAGTATCAAAAACAAATTTTAGACGGCGGCGTGCCATTCACGGCGGTGGTCGATGAAATGAATTGGGATGGGGATGTGGAGACCACAAGAGATGGCACATCCGAGCCGGAGGGTCAGAAACAATTGATGAAGCACAAGTGGATTGGTGGTAAAAATGTACGATACAATGTCACTTTACTGTAAATAAAGAATTATTTAGCAAAGCTTTGTTATATACTGAAAACATTTCTTGAAGTCTACTCAAGAAAAAAAATCAGCATTGACACTGTTTTTTTTATGTTTCCGACCTCATTTTCGACCCTCTGTAAAAAAGGGATGAGTATATCCTGAGATTATCTTAACCCCCCTACGCCACAGAGTAGACCTTCAGCTCTTATTTGAGCCCTTTCGGGTATTTCCGAGTTGATGACGTCATTTGTGAAAGAACACGTGTCAATGACATTTGCTCAGTGTCCCTACGCCATAAAGCAGACCCTAAGCTACATTTTGGTACCCTTTGGGACTCTCTGCGACTTCTCTGGTCGGAGAACATAGACTCCCTAGTTGTCGGAAACATAAAAAAAACAGTGTCATTGCATTTTACAAATGATAGCAATGCAGGGAAGATGAAATCTTTTTAAATTAAAAAGACAAAAGTTTGGATAGCAACATTAATTTCCATTACTTGCCCATATTTTCTCAGCAAAGCACATTACTATGGATTCTCAAGAATCCAGGGATTTCCATTTTCCCCGAATCGTGATTGGCTAGAGCGCGTAACTGAGGGATCGAACCAAAAAGCTGTAGAACTGATTGTTGGAGAGCAGTTGAAAATAATCTTGTTTCGTGACAAATTTGAGTCTGTTTTAGAGAATCATTGTCCTTTTAATTGATTCATAATTAACAGAACCATTTTTTTGAAGAAAATGCTTCGAAGTCGTTTGAAAAAAGTGATTTCCCTCCGCGCGAGTGGATATCAGTCGAAATGGAATATGCTGAAGTACAGAACCGATGTAGAAGAGTACCCTTATCATCAAGAACAGTTTCATATCGACGAAAATATTGATTTTTCATACTTGTTGCCTAAAGATCATCCCGACTACAAACCTCCAGGTATCCTTCCTATCAAATCTTCAGTTTAACAAAATTGATAAGGAGAACCGCTCCGATCTGAACTTTCGTCTCTCAGCGAAGAAGAAATCGAAGAAAAATATCCCGAGTTCTTGAGCTGGGCGGAATCTTGGCTTCACAACTACGAAAACGCTTTCCAAACAAAAGACTACGACGAGATTCCTCAGATGGACGCCGAACGCGAAGAAGAAAAGTACAACTTCGATTTGCGAACAAGAAGAAAGCTCATTAACCCGTTGAAGACGATGAACATGGTGCAACGAGACATGTGGGAGCAGAAACTCCACGGCGTCACAAAAGCCGAAGAAATTTACCACGAAGAAAACGGCGAAGAATCCTTTCCAGGAAAAAGCGTCAAGTCGATCAATCTCCTTTATGAAAACTCGTATGATTCGGAAGATATTCTAAACGAGCCGATCGGAAAACAGAAGTGGCACGGCAATCAACTCGCTAGTAAAGGCTTCACCCTGCAAGTCGATAACGATGGCCAAACAAATTACAAATGGGCAAGTCTCTGGCCAACACACAGAAGTTTTACAGACTCACTGATTCCCTTCGATGTTCGAGCTGGTCACAAAAGAGGCAGCGCGCAACGACTGGACAAAAACTTCAACTCGCAACTCAATCACTCGCCGAATCTACTTCATCTTTCACCACCTGTCGTCAAAGCTCATTGCGCACAGCTCAAGAAATTCACGACCAAGTTCCCGGAAGAGTACAAAAAGGACTTTTCGAAAATGCGCGAAGACTTTCCTCTAGAAATCCACACAACCTCAAAGTGCATTTCTGCGCCGTATCAACAAAGTTCCAACAATGCCACTCGATGGGCCTCTCTTTTCGTCAATTTCGGTCAACTTGGATTGACCGAACAGCAGCGAAAGAAATTCGAAGTTTTTGTCAATGGACGGCCTGATGAGGGAGTGACGAAGCGGCTTTATACGAAAAACTCTCATGCTTGGTACGGCTCTCCCAGGGCGACTTATCGAGATAGAATCGCACAGGATTATAGAATGGGGGAAGATAAGATTGTCCATAGAACTGGGATGGTAAAACTCGAATCTGCAAGGTACTGAGTCTATTTTTCTTCATTCTTACTTATCAAACTTTCTTTAGATGTCCGTTGAAGTCACAAAACGAAGGCTATCTGTTGTATCTTCTTGAAGAATATTGGACGCAAGCTAGAAAAGTATTCAAGGCTGAAAATCGTGGTGAACTTAAGCATGGAAAATTTGCCTATTCTCGCTCTAGGGCTAAAAAGAGGTTTGTTCGGAAAAATCCGCAGCAGAGAAAATGATCATTTCTAGGGCTGATCGTCTTTTGAAAATTGACGAACATCCGGAAGAGTATAAAGTTATGAGCGAAGCAGTAGAAACAATTTTCAACGAGCATTCTTCAAAGAGCAAAATCAGAGGCCACGATGGATATGTTAATAAAGCTCGGTCACAAAAGCCGGCATCGAAGTGTGCTAAACAACAGGTGAAAAAGCCCCTAGTTGGGCAACCCTTAATTAGTTTTCAGGCTTACGATGATTATGCGAAAGCAATGGAGAAACTTTTACTGAACGAAGAGCAGCAAAAAGTTTCTGCATAAAACTTGATAAATAAATTATTCTGCCGGAAATAAAATGCCAACTTTTTTCTCATCAGAATGCGGTTAGAAATCGTATTGAGTTCATTTTTTTGTCTCGTGAATGCCGTTGCAGATCCTTGGAAAACTCTAGGAGTCAGTAGAAGCGCCTCGACGAAAGAAATCAAATCTGGTAGATTGATTCCTTGTTAACAAGCTGATATATGATTGTTTTAGCGTACAAAAAGCTCGCAAAAGAGTGGCATCCAGATGTAAACAAGTCACCAGAAGCGGAAGATCGTTTCGTCGACATTGCTGAAGCATATCAGATTTTAACGGACGACGATAAGCGTCGAGAATGGGAGTCTTCTCAGAACTCCGGCTTTGGCTCTTCTTTCCGTCGCTCAACCAAAGGATCTCGCTGGAGCGGTGGCTTTTCGCCTGATGATTTGTTCGATCAGTTTTTCGGGCAGTCTAATTTTGGCGAAGATGGAGTCTCAACGAGGGATTTTTTCAATAATATCCTGAAGAAGACGAACAGGAGTCCGCATGTTTTCTTATTCACATCGCCTTGGTGTTTTGAATGCAGAAGAGCGAAGCAAGTCTTTTCTCAGGTAGAACCTGAGCTTCGAAAATGGGGCTTTGGCACTGGAAAAGTCAATGCGAATGTATATGCCAAGCTGAATGACTTCATGAACGTCCAAAAAGTACCATCTGTTGTTGTGGTTTACAACGAGAATCCGTATCCAGTTCCTCTTGCGGATCTTTATCGTGGATCACAGCCGCTCAAGGAGTTCTGTGAGAATTTAGCGAGCAGCTCAGTTGTTATCGAAGAATTATCGACGAAGGAAAAAGCAGAGAACTTCATGAACCAGTACAAAAAGACTATGAGGCCGCGCATCTGGCTTGTAACGGAGAAAGATACGGTCGCTGGAATGTTTTCTTCAATCGCGAGTCAGTTTCGAGGAGAAATCGACTTTGCCTATTCAAAATTTAACGATGATGCGATCAACATGATCAGAGTCTCGCTTAAAATCTCAGAGCCTTCTCTTGTGTTCTTCACAGGTGTGTTTGAGCCTTTTTCTGTGAATAGAATAATTTTTAGAACAAAACACGCCATCCGAAATCATTCCAATCAACAAGCTCAAGTATCATGGTGGCATCTTGGAAAAAATTAAAAAGTACAGGACTCTGGAACTCACTAGAATCGCTCATCCTGAGCAATTCACTACGCGCTGCGAAGTACATACATCTGGAGATTCTCCGCCACTCTGCCTCATTTTCGTTCATCATGGTTCTCTTGAAGACCCAGTTGTGAGCAACTTCGCCAAAGTTAGTCGCAATTTTTTCTCCTTTTCAATAATTCTGTAGTGGACCGCTCAACATGCTAAAGAAATGAAATCGGAGGCTGTCATCAATATCATGTCCGGCGATAATCAGTGTCACTTTTCGAAAATGATTGGAACGGACGGAAAGTCAGCTGCTGTCATCGTTCAGCGACTTTCAACTGGGTTGAGATTCCTAAAGATCCCGCACTCTGAAAGTTTTGAGGGATTCACTGCCGCAGCGTGGAAGGAAAGGTGTAAAATTTTCCATCTTAGAATTTTTTTGCTTCTAAGCTAGTAATCCTTTTGCAATTTTAATCCGAAAACAGGCTATCTTCAGCAAGCAAGACTACTCATTTGCATCATTCGTGAATATCGTCGATGAAGATCAGGATCAGACTTTCTTCGGAAGCACCTATCGCTACATTTGGAAATCATGGAGGAGAATTCGCCACTTTGAAGAGGAAGAACTGCTTCTTTACATTTGTGCTCCGTTGGCTATCATTATGCTCACCGGTAATTGAATCATTCTTATTTGAAAATTAATGTTTTCAAGCTTCGTTTTTCATGACCGCAAATGCTGAAACAAACCCAAGGAGGCCTCGAGTCACCAAAAGAGAGCGGCAATCTGCAGCTGACTTACCTCTCAGACCTTTGAAGAAATTAGAGAAGGATGAGATCAGCAATTTTCTGACGGAAAAAGTAAAGTTTATCGTCGTCCTTGTTATCTCCGATAATAACCAAAGGTATGTTGTTTATCGTATACCGGTATTATTATCGTTATTGATTCAAAACATTTTGATTATATATAGAATACGTTTATATAGTCTATACAGAATATAAGTCTATACACTGATGATTACGATTGATTTACAAAATTTCAAATGATATTTATGTATAGTTGTCGTAAGAAATTCTATCTGATCATGTCGCTATTTATCTACTAATTATGCAGCTGTTCTTATATTTAAATTTAGCGAAGCTGAACGAGATGTAATGGTTGAAATGACGCGCCAATTTGCGATAAAAATTCAGGAATTTAAATGCGATCCGCATATTCCCGACTTTTTCTGTATCAAAAAAGGAAATGTTGGCGAGCAATTAGCGTCAAATCTCGACCTTATTCCGGGAACCGTTCTCGCGTTAGGAGCGAACTGGTGGGCTGGATACCAGATTGATCAAGACGATGACATTTATATGGACAATATTTTGCCAAATGTCGAGCACTGGCTAGCGAGGTTGCAAGAAGGTGCTATTAAAAGACAGCGTTACAAATAAAGGAACTTATTTCTTTCGAACTTCTTTCTATCTGCCTCGTTGTACAACTCTTGAATGTTCATTTTTCTGCCAGAATCCCATCTGCTTTCCATGATGCCATAGATAACTATTATTGCATGATCTTATGTTTATTGATATTGTACGTAAATTCCCTTTATCACAAATTTTGAAAATGCAATTGCAAAGACAGGTTTTTTTTTATATTGCACAAAGCTCGGGAGTCTAATAACTCCGAATAGGGATATCGTAGAATGCCCCAAAAGTGCTCAAAATGTAGCTCAGGGTCTGACCTATTGTTTGAAGTAATATGGGAAATTTTCGATCACGTGATCTATCAGAAATTACGTCATCAACACCGAACTCGCCGATTTTACCAATATCGGCCCAATTTTGGGAGTCTAATAACTCCAAATATAGATATCGTGGAGGTTCCCTAAATGGCGCAAAATGTATCTAGGGTTCCAAACTATTGTTTGAATGAGTTTCAAAGTCATGTGACTTGCTCATCCCTATTCTAGAGGGGCGCGAAAATCGCTTGTGCAATATAAAAAAAAACCTGTCAAAGCTAAATGTAAATCAACCTTTTCTGCTTCAAATCATTACGTTTTTCATATCGCTCTACTGAAATTCCGTTCTTCAAAACATTAAATAAACAAAAATATGCTTCTATTTTTTTCTTTAGAGAAAAGATGAATGAAAGCGCAAATATTTCCACGAGCGAAGTTCGATTTGAAATTTTACTTCTGAGAGATGATGCATCTTTGGACGATCTGTTCGCCGATTTCATGGCATTCCTTGCTGCGAAAAGCTCAACTTATATCTGGAATTTTTCCTCTCCGAGAGTAGAGAAAACGGGACTTGGATTGGCCGGAGCTCTTGAATTTGGCGACTTGTATGACGAAGAGTGGCTTTTGCTTGACTTTCTAAAGGGTAAGGGAGAAGGTAATATTTTATTTGGAAGATTTTGAACCTGTTTTCAGCGAGGAACTGATAAATTTCTCAGAATTTACGAAGACTAACCCTGTTGCGGCGCGAGTTTTCGATGCAGATGGAGAATTTGTGCTCGTAGAAGCGGCTGATGTTCTTCCGAATTGGGTGAGTCCCAAAACTGCGGAGAGGAAAGTCTGGATTTATGATGGAAAAGTGATCATCTTGGACGAAAAAACATCTGCTGACTTAATAACGGTATGTTTTGCCTAATATTCTTTTGTTGAAGACGAATTTTAGAAAGAAATGTTGGACAAATTTGTGAACAGCCTCGATTCACGACAGATAAATATCGAACTTCTGGCGAAATTGAAGCAAGTAAATGAAAATACTTCCATTCATACGGCGAATGTTTATCTGCCGCAGCGATGTGCGTCTATTCTCAAGCAGAACCCTCAACTCATATCTGGTAAAAAATAGACTTTTTGAAAATCAATTATTTCATTTAGCATGCGTGGCCGCCTTTTACACAAGGGATCCTATTGATCTTCGAGGTTGTCGAACACTCACCGATTTTCCGAGGAACACTTTTACGGCCGCTCAATTACCACTCAATAGATGCTCTCTGGCTCAACTAATGTCCCAAACATTTGTTCCCGATAAACGAACAGGCTATTTACCCTTGCCGCTCAAAGACGACCCTTGTAAATATGTTTTTGATTGCTGCCATAAAAAGTACTAATGTTTAGTTTATCTGCCGTACACTCTTGGAATCAAGATCACAATCGGGCTCAATATCCTTCTTCAATCTTCGAAAAAATCTTCCGATTCATTTGACGGAAGCTCCTTTTCTAACTTCGTAAAGAAGCTTGAGCGAAACGGGTATTTCGAAGGGGAAATTGAGCACTCAAAAAGATGGACGGAACTTCATGCAAAAGCCAAGAATTTTTTCATGACGAGTTATGATGACAAAACGAGTAACGATTCTTATCGCTTTCAAGGGACGGGTCTCACTTTGATCAAGATAGGAGTTAAATTGTATATGCAAAAACATATATTTAATAGCGGATTCATCAGTGAATCCCATTTCCCAGTTAATTTTGTAGTAACTAAATATATTGCGTCAGAATACAAGTCAGTAACATCGTATAAAATTTTTCGTGCTTTTTTCATTGTCAAACGTGAAATCCTCTGAAAGCGTCTTGCATTATAAAGGAACTGTCAGAACGATTCTCTCGGCAAAAAGACCAACCGGCACTTATTCCAAATTTCTCAAATTTCCCACCAGAATCTTCAATGGACTGGCTCTGCCTCGATCCCAAATCTTTTGATCAAATGCTAAATGAGCGATACAATTGGGACAAGAAAAATAGCGAAGTGAATGAGGAAGAGAATTTCGCTGATCAAATGGCGGACATGAGCAGAAAAATGAAGGACTTTGTAAAAACGACGAGCGATTTTGAAGGCGTTGAAGTGAGCGAGAGTCAGATGAGCAACGAGGCTGTAGTCGAGCTTGATCCTGCCAAGGTAGTTTGAATCTCGTTTAGCCATTTATATATTGGATTTAGTTTTCGAAAGCACTGAACAAGCTCCTTGGCAACAAGGAGGACACGGACTCAGATGATTATCTAGATTCAGATGACCTCGAAGATCTGCCGTCTGATGATGAGACTGGAAAGTATTACACAGAGATGGATAACGAGCTTGCAGGATCGAAAGTCATGGAAGGCTTTATTAGGAAGCCAGTGGAAGCTGAAAAGGAAATGAATGCTGAAGATAAAGAAGATTCTTCGGAAAAAGAAGAATCTTCTCAGTCGAGTGTCCGAATTGAAGAAAATATTGGGAAACCAGGATTTGACCACAACGGTATTTGGGTGGGCGAAGGACCGCTCGATATAGATTTAAATGTTGTAAACGGACTTCTGAAATCTTACGCATCTCAAGTGGGATACACGGGGCCAACGGAGACGATCTTATCGTCCTTCGGCTTCGAATTACCCGATAATGCTGATACTGCCAATAAAGAATAATGAAATCGTTCCTCATAAAGTTAAATTCAGAATGAGTGTCGAGGAAATAAAAGAGGAACTTCAAAATACTTTCGATATCGAAGAAGACGAGGTTAAGGAACTCGATGAATTGTACATGGTCTATCTCAAAAGCGGACAGAGCATTGAGGACTTTCAAGACTCCCTGTTCGCCTGGAAACTCAACTCAAAAGAATACAAGTCCATTCAAGGAGTGTCTTCGGAAATGATTAGACGATTCGAGGGAACAATGAAGACAGCTGAAAAAAAGAAACCATCAAATCAGAGTAAATTTGGGACGCCAAAACGAGGTCGTGATGGCACACCATTGAAGGGAAAGGTACAAATGATGACACCGCGAGCGAAGGTTCAAAAGTTGGAATATGTTCTTGACTCGCCTGCGTCAGCGGCCTTCAAGGATAGAAAAGATAGCGGGAAGATTATAGCTACTTTAGGTAAGTGATAATTTTAATGTCATCGTCTGAAGCAGGGATGTAAATCACCCCACCATTTTCACCCCACCACAGCAAAATGGTGGGGTGGTCGTTGGTGAAAAATCACCCCACCACCACCACTGAAAAAAGGTGGTGGTGGAAAATCACCCCACCACAGTGGTGGGGTGGCTGTGGTGATTTACATCCCTGGTCTGAAGTCTTAAAACTATATTTTAATATGGCTTAAAAGCCCTTTTATCAGTTTTAGTAGCACATAAAATCGAAATCCTCGTGCGTGATAATCACGTCGTGATACATGCTTGAAATATATACTAACTTTTAAGGTGGTGATATTCAACCAACGATGTCGGATGAAATCGAAATTGAGAATCTTATAGGTACAATTAATTACTGAGCATAATTTTCAATTACTGATCCTCAGATACGAAGTCATACAAACTCCTGTCATTCGATAGACGACATATTGCAGATGAAATAGCATATTTTATCAACGAACGGTGCGAGGTCATTGAAAGTAGACTTGGGATCGGTAAGTGCGTTTTTTGGAACCATATTTTTTAACAGACGATTCAGTCGAACAAGCGAGCTACTCGATGATAACAGATGTGCCAATCAAAGTTTGCGGCATGATCATTTGCGAGGGGTCGAAAGGAGCTGATGGTGTTTACCTGCTTCGCGATGGAGAGCAAGTTCAGCTTGACATTTCCGAGCTTGAGGGAAGCTCTATTTTTCCTGGGATGATTTGCGCTGTTGAAGGAGTTAATCTTACTGGCAAGCTTATCGTTGTGTCGAAGATCATTCAGCTTGATGACCAAGGAACAGATCAAAAATAGAATACCCTTTATCAAATGATAAGTTAAAAAGAAATTATAAAATAAAAAAAATCGTTCATAAATGACCTAACGATAAGCAACGGAGGATGAGGGAATCAAGGAAGATACTACAATTGTGATATGCGCTGGGCCTTACTTTACATCAGACAATACTTCAAATGAGCCTTTGGAAGAGCTGATAACGCAAGTTGCTTCGTTGGCGCCACACATGGGTACGTCAGTGGTATCGGAATCTAATAAATATTTTTGATAGCTATCTTTATGGGACCGTTTCTGGATGAAAATCATATGGGCGCGGATTGCATCAGCCCGCACAACCTCAACGATCTGTGGAAAAAGCAAATCGAAAGTCTTGCTCAAAGCGGAACTAAAGTTCGAATGATTCCATCCACATCAGATCTCTTCGCGGACCCAGTCATACCAACCCGAGCAATTGATGAAAAAGAGTTTGCTTATTGTAGGGAATATATGGTCAGCAATCCGTGTTTCTTGGGCGCAAATAAATGGACGATTTCCGCTATTTCAGCGGACCTACCATTGAACTTGATGAAGACGGAAATAGTCAAGAATCCAACAAACTCGTGCAAATTCACAAGGGTAAGATCATCTGATTGTATAACTTTTGGGACACACAGAAGACAAATAAATATAGATAATACGCTTTAAATAGATTTCTATAACGGTATATGTCCGACTTTATTTATAGTAATAAACCGCAATTGCGCTAAAAGTGAACATAATTCAATTTTATTGGAACAAATTGTGGTTGGAAAGCACGAAGAGGACCCAGTTATCGTGATTGAGGCTCGCTTTACACGGAATTTTATATGATCTTCCAAAATAGAAAACGTCAGACAATTTTATTGCTTCCGAGTTTACGTACTTCTATCGCGGGGAAAATGCCAAAAGTCCAATCTAGACAATTTCAAATGTTCAAAAGGACACCACCAACGCAATCAGATTACATCAGTATATATACTTACAACTTGTAAATTACAGTGGCGTTATTCATTCCTTTTAGATTGGCGAGCATCTTCTAAACCAGCAATGTATGATGCCACTCTTCCCTGCGCCAGAGGACATCTCAGTCGACTACTCCAAGTTCAAAGAGAGTGTCTGCTTTGATAAACTACCAAATGTTCTTGTCGTCCGTTCGGAACTCAACCCGTTTATCAGAACTGTTGGAAGCACGCTCTTTGTCAATCCAGGAAAGCTCACAAAAGGTAAATCTACCCAGCTCTTGCAATTCTGATGTTTTTATAGGAAAAGGCGGTGGAAGCTACGCAACAATCCAGCTCAACTCTTCAGGCCATCGAGCAAAGATCCAAAAACTTTAGATCAATCATGAACCACACATTGCCTCTCACATGATCTCACTTATTCACACTGCCTTTTTTCGAAAATAGAGAACCCACAAAGACCATGATGATTGATATGATTTTAGTCATTTTATTTCAATCAATGATTGTGTACAGAACTTTGCAGGACATAAAAAACATGAGCAGCAAATGTAGGAGCTAACTCCCCGATCGTATCAAGCGTGGACCTCGGGCCGCAGTCTTGGTTATTGAAAGCCCTTCGGTTTATATCATGGCTGTTACTCTTACGAAGAAATATTATCCTAGGCGTACATGATACCAGACAGCGGACTGCAGCAGTTTTGCATCGAAAGGGCGGAGCAAGCTTTCTCAATTCTATCGTGAATTCCTTCTCGAATTAGATGCCCTTGTGACTGGTGTAGTCTGCAGACTGTGCACATTCTTGACAATCTAGCACCAGACATTCTACATCTTGAAGCGACTGTGAGTTGGAGAAGGAAGGAAAAAATGAAGAATAACCTCATTATTTTTCTAAAGGTTTGGCTGTGAGTATAACTCCTCTATGTTCCATCCGTCGCTTTTATACCTTCGAAAGGCGCGCCGCACTGAGGGCGCCGCGAGAGTAACTCTTATCTTCCAATGTCCAGTGAGAATAACTTTCAGGGATACACTGGAGTTACTCAGATGTACATGGATAGCACTGTATGTCAGATTGATGACGGAAAAGGAACTTTCTTTATGGAAGGATTGACGCTTGTTCTCTCATATTTGTGTCACCTGTCTTAATCTTATGAATAAATTAGTAGAACTCTTTATTCCTTGAAAAATAAGGTTTTTGTATTTGACAAGTTGTAAAATCTACACAATGCTCCTCATAAAATAGTCTTTATATGCCGAAATCTAACTCCAGTACTGATTTTGAATTGTATAGATTTCGATAGCGAGTACCAAACTTGAAAATTTTACTATATTTGATTGCAGTTATTAGTGAACTCGACCAAGAAATTGATCGATTATATAATTATTTTCATAACATTTTGTATCCGAATTCGTTTACAACTTTGATCCTTCAATTTAATTGGTTTCACTTAAGACCAGTATTATTTGAAGAATGAAATTAAAATAGTTGTATAAGAGAACGGCATGGTTTTCTTGAACACGAGATGTTCTTATTCACTGACTAATTTTTACGAGTATAAATTAAATAACAGAATTAAATAAATGCGGTTTCTTGAATGATTCGAAGATATCTTTTAATTGTATACCGCCTGGCAATCGTTACCTGGTATTATACGGTACGCGATTCACATTCGTGAGTGACCAATTCAAAAATCGTTTGAACATTTCCCTGTGTTAAAACATAGGACTTTTGTTCAAACGTATTACAATAGAAATTGATTCTGGTCAGTCAGAAATGTGAATCAGGTATAATGAAGGATTTTTAGGAATGTGTTTTGTGTTGTTTGAGTAATAATATAGCACTGAATTCACTATGTTCAATTTTTCCCATATCAAATATTTCCGCCAAGTATTGAAGCATATGTCACATGACCGAATCATTTAGTTCTCAGACCGCTTCTAGACAGTGCTCTAATTATGAAAAGGATCTGCTTTAGAAGACATGCATCACAATGTCGTACAGCATACTTGTTAAGAACTGCATTACCAGTGCCAATACTGTGTATTTTTTCAGAAACCATCTGTAGGTTTCGTGCCTCCAGGATCGTCGAGCAATCAAAAGGAATCTTTCCATAAATTATTTTGATCTACATCTGCCTCATATTTTTCTTATATTTGGCTTGCAGACATTTATAAATAAACTGATACGAAACAACCTCATCGAATCGTTTCATGTGCCACTAATTCTATGCTGCTGAATTACAAATTGTCATGATAGTACAACTTAAAGTAGAAATAATTTAATTGAAAATAGATGGACATTTATTTACAGAGAAACGTGGGTCTACTTTTGCCCAAAAAGGTTTTCAGCGTCCCTCTTGGAAACATACCAACACTGGTCATTCCACGCATGGTGTTGAAACTTCGCTCCTACCATCTTACCATTATAGTAAAGGAGCCCTCTATTTTCCTTTAGCTTCTGTACTTGATAAGAATTTGGTTTGATGAGCGTGCCTAAAATGCCTTTCGCCTCGCCAGAAATACCCTCCGGGTCGACTATTCTTATATTCACATTTCTGTGTTTTTCAACAAATTGAATTTCTAAGCTCGGCCCAGACTCGATTTTAATCGTTGCTCTTCGGCCTCCATGTGGCATTTTTCGGATTTTTCCAACAATGAGGTCGCCGAATTGAGTTGTTACTTGCTCATCAGATAATTTTGGAACTGCTTGGCCTCTGCGGAGTGTATGCGTGTTATACCTGAAGCCGTCAATATTGATATCAACGAAGATTTTAAATGGAGTGATGAGTCTAAAAGAGGAAAAATAGACTTTTCCCTGCCCTTTGGGAGTGAATAGCTCTCCTTCGATAGAAAGTCCTGTAAGAGAATCCTCAAGAAGGAGCATTCCAGTGAGTGGCTCTCCGTCAAGGTCAAAGCAAAGATCAGGCTGGTTTGCTGATCTACCAGAAATGTGAAAATGAGGATCTTCGTAAGCACTGGCAAAAGCTTTCTCGGCAAGCTCATTCCAGTTCTCCGGGAGGTGATCGTTTTCGCCGATCGGAACACAAATCCCGTCAACAGTCGTTTGGAACCCTTCATCACATTTACACGTGAATCCAGTGCAGTCATCCACACATGTAGAGTGCTGAGGACATTGCTGAGTAAGGCACTGGTTCTCGTCGCAGCATTCGAATGGGTCAGTGGAGTTCACTCGTGGACCGAAATTTTCCTGTGATGATTGGAAAGATAGAATTCATCTGAATGCTCTAGCATTCTACTAGTGAAAGTGGTTGCTAAGGAAACTGGAACAGTGAGCCGTTCTTATTTTCACGCGAGCGCATATCTTTCAAAAAAATGGCAGAGAAAGCTCAAAAAGAAGCGAAGGTCTATAACCAGGTAAGATGATCCTCAATTTTATGATTACGATTTTAAGGTGCACCAAAACTCGATTCTTGAAGAATTGGTGACCAAAGAAAAGAGATACGCGAAACTCAATAAAGTCTGTAACCCAAATCCTACCAAGAAATACTTTGACGGGGCAGAAAAACCAAACTCATTCGCCAGAAATGATCCTGCAGACAATACGTTTTTCGGTAATTGTTTTTAGTGAAGAACAACTTGAAAATATTTTTGTAGAAAAAGCAAAGGTAGCATTTGGTTCACCTCAAGAGAGATATGGAGATGCGCCTGTGACCGTAAATCAAGAATATGGCTGGGTGCATACGCGGTTAGAAATCAACGCTCCGGATTACGAATATGCTCTATACAAACCAAAGTGCGCTACTGAAATGACTCGCCGAGGCTACATCAAACGCTGAATAAAAATGACTTTCCAACCATTCCTTACACTCACAAGAATATCCAACGCATTTGTCTCTACAAACGTAATTTGTGCTCGGACAGGGGCCAAGTGGGTTCTCGGGTGTTATCTTGCATTGATCCTCGTCGCAGATCGAGATTTGCGAAAAAGAGGAAGAAAAGAGAGCAAAGTTCAGAAACTTCATCGATTCTGGCAACGTGTCGAATGGAAAGGCTCGATTTTGAGTTTCGATTGAAGAATGAGCCGTGGAATTACGAATTAGCTAATTCCAGAGATAAAGACGATAGGAACAATTAGAAAACTAGATGAAGAGGGTAAAACAAATTCTCGATTTTCCGCTGATTTGGTCGGACAAGCGAGGGGCTTCCTAATTCTGTTAAGCAGTTCTGTATTGTTTTATTAGAATCCTTTGTCGTATAAGAAATCGCGAATGAAATCAGAATATTTGCCAGTTACAGTTATCCTAGCTTCTGGCTCGTCGGCTTGACCAGCTACAGGCTCGCCCGAAATTTCTTCCAAATAAGCACAGATCTCGTTTCTAATAATAAGTCAAAGCGAACAGAAGCAGGAGTACCTTAATTGAAAAATATCGCCACTGCAGTTATACAAGTGAGTAACAGGCATATCATCTGATGGGTTTCTTCTTCGCAGAGCAATATCGTGTTTGTCTTGATACCTATTATCGTAGTTCAAGTCGAAGAATTCAGTGGAACGCTCTTCTTCGACCAAATCAAGCTCGTGGAATCGATTTCTACGAAATTTCGATGATAAATTGGAGGATAAAAAGTTGAAGTACCTTTCAACGAAATATGGATAGTCGAAGGTCTGAAGATCAGGAGAAGGCGGCTGCCATCCTGTAGGAGTTGGGAACTTCTGGTTCATGTCTGGAGTTGGGATCTGAATTGGAGGCAGAATATCTTCGACGAATTTCCATGGGTTAATGTTTTTAACTTGGGCGCTACTCGCCAATTTTCTGATATTCGAAGCTCGTAACATGTCTCTATTTTCTAAAAACAACTCTTTACGAGACCCTTTGAGAAGATAAATGAATCAATTTGAAAGAAGTAAGCTGAACTGACGGATTGCATCACAATTTTACAGTTGGAAAATTTCTATTCTTGAGCCAGACGTTCAATTTCCGCTTGTGCTTTTCTGAATTGAAGTGAGAATTCCTCGACGAGGCGTTGTTTTGAAAGCTCTTTGAGCAAATGTCGCATTTGTCCTTTGTAATGGAATTTACAAGTGCCTTGGCTGCATTTCTAAAATTTTGTAAGCACAGAGTTTTAGTATTGGGCGCTTACGGGTCAATATCATCTGGTACAAAGCGCGCTCTCTCGCTCGGTGTCGGTCCTGAAGGTAGACTAGGATCTTGTGGGCCGATTAAAGGGTTCGTTTTTTCTGATCCCGCTTTTACGAAGTTCCAATTCAAGGGTGCCTGCCGCTTGCGCATCGCAAGTCCGTCAGATTGACTCTTCGATTGTTTTCCGGCAATCGCCACACTTGAATAATCAGAAGCGAAAGGGAAACAACGGGTTTTTACCTTGAATCAACTTGATTGCCAGAAAAATTCGAAACTTGATTGGTGTGGCCCTTTTTACTCGTCCAAGTTAGAATATCTGTTCGATTGATGACGCTCTGCTGATGGTAGCCCATGTCAGGAAGGGCAGACATTGGAGGTGGAATCATTGCGTTGCCTCCTTTTGGAACTGGCTGAGCAGCGATGATCTTTTGAGCTTCTTTTTTGACTTTCTTTTCGACGAAGCCAATTACTGTGTCTTCTTTAGCCGCCATCTAAATTACTTGTCAGTTTTAAAAACAATGACTATTTCACCTTTTTCTTTTCTTCCGTTTCAAGCTTCTCCAGCAGCATCAGAGCTTTCTTTCTCGCAGACTCAACTCTCAACTTTTCCATCAGTTCCATGTCGCAATCCAGAACACCGTGTGCCCCTCTTTCCCAGGATCTTCGCCCAGACAGAGCTTCCTTTCTTACTCCATTTATACATTCGAACCAATGTTCAGAAGCGTGAAAGTGCCAGGCGGGTTTAGCGCGCATTTCTCTGTCGAGAATGAGGTCTTCGTCGTCTGGTTGATCAGGTTCGTCTTCAATTTGTCCGTAGAGACCAGGAGGGCGATGAGGATCATTTCTCGCCATTTCTATCCATTCTCCGTCGGGCCCTCGTACCGTTCGGCAAGGGATTTCATCTGAATAACAAGGTAATTATGTGATCAGTATCACTTTGATAAACCAAAAATTGAAAAATGGTTCGACGAGTTCATAGGCTCAATTAAATCATAAACTGATGAAAGATAGTTGAAATAAATATCCCTTAGTATACTACTAGTGTCTACCTTTCTTTGGAGCTTTCGCGAGTGGCTCTGGAAAGGTCAAACTTCCAGCCACTGGCGCCGTAAGCTCTCGATACTTGTAAGTCATCTTCCAATCAATCTTTTCCTCTCTTTGAGGTTTCTTTCTCTTCTCCCACCTCATCGGAGCGCCTCGAATCGACTCATTTTGAGGCGCATAAGCGCCAACGCCAAGAATCTTCTGCTCCAACAGCTGCTGCCGGCGAACTTCTTGTTGTCGGGTTCAATTTGGGCATTTTCTAAAATGCGCTAATCAGAACATGATCTTCTCAGAATTCAAGAAGATCATGTTCTCACACGCTTATTTACTGATCTACTGCTCAAATCTCTCGAAATTATTTCAATTATTTTTGGCGAAGCTGGACTTGAGCAGTAAGAGAGGCTTTTCTTACTTCAAATGAATTGAAAGTGATTTGAACCAAGGGGGCCCTTTTTGCGCGACGAAGGGAACGTTTGTGATTCCAGTAGTTTCATCTCGCTCTGTAGGGATGTAGGTCAGGGCGAGATTAGTTAGAGGACGGTCTTGAGCTAGCCGAGCCGGGTCTGGAACGTTTGATTTGTCGTAGATTGGCTAGAAAACTTGATAGAAGCTAGTGAAATCATCAAAGCCGACCTTTTGCTCGTATCCAGTGAGCTTTTTATTTATTTTCGCCGCTTTCTCCGCCGCCGCAATAAGACTTTTCTGGTGCTCCGAAAGTTCTTTTTCCTTTTGCAAATCTTCATCAGTCTTTCTCGACCAACCAGAAGATTCAGCTTCAATGATCTTTCTGCTCTTCTCCATCTCCGGCTCAAGAAAACGAGGATAATTATAAGAAGGCGGGAGTGGGATATCTTCTTTTTCTGGTGGCGGTGGAGGTGGAGCGGGAGCATGTTGGGCCATCGCTCCTGCTCCGTAGCCATAGCCAGGGCCGAGGTTAGGCGTAGGGCCAGGATCAGCTTGGCGAGTGTTGGAAGATGGATAGCTTCCAGTTGGTTGTGCAGGGTTGTATTGGCTCATCATAGTCGACCTGAATTAGCGTGGATTACTTGTTTGATTTATGGATGACTCAAAAAAATGGCGAAATTATGTAAAACGGCACTTTTTCTCCTTAAAAACAAGCATTTTCGGCATAAAATTCAAGACTAGAGTGAGAAAGAATCCAATAACTGTACTTACATAACACCCATGGCTGCCATAAAATTTTGCATCATATTATTTTCGTCCATTTTCTTATCTTCTTATCAAAATTCACAGGCCTCAATTCGTAAAAAGCCCACTTCGTTTTTCAAGCGAAATCTCTTCTTTTTTTCGGCGCCAATTATTTTCGCGCTTTCCACAGTCCTCCGCCAATAGTGTCGCGCAGAGAATCCCAATTACTGACGCTTCTCTAGAACGCGTTACAGTTGTTATTCGGCCAATAATTCCATCAATTAGAAATAATAGACAAGGGATTCGAGCCAAAATGGACACTCCGAGGCGAATTACAAGATCTCTATCGAGGCAGTCGTTGGATTGCACGGCCAGGTTACTTTTTTACTTGTTCTTAGACAAACGGGAGGCTTTGATTGTATTTTATATTTTAACAGATGGAGAGAAACAGGTATTTTCATCCCGTTAACTTTTCAAGCAATCAATTTTGGTTTGGTACAGAAAATGACCTCACAATATTTCGGCAATCTGCCGAAACATTTATCCATACTACCCTAACTTTAGCAGTGAGCCAAAGACTATTTGTACCCTATTTTAGAATCGAAGAGTTAGATACCTTAGCATCTGCATGTGCTTTGATTCAAAAATTTTGAACATCATATATATGTAGATATCGACGTTCGTTGATATATGTATTCTGGTGTTTTATTCCGAGTACTTTCGTCCATAAGGACATCATCAGGGCAAAGAAAACAGTAAAATAGAGGAAAATTAAAAGGTGCTTACTGAGAAAGGCGCATGGCCAGACTTATTTGAAAATAAAATAACAGTCGAAAACAAGACGAAAACAGCACCAAGTTCACGCAAGTTTTGCAGTTATGGGGCGATTCGCTGGCTCCCTTTGCACCTGCAAAACTTGCGTGAACTTGGTGTTGTTTTTGTCTTGTTTCCGACCGTTATTTTATTTCAAATCAGTCTGGCCATGCGCCTCTCTAAGTAAGCACCTTTTAATTTTTCTCTATTTTACGAAGAGGATGATGTCCTTATGGACGAAAGTACTCGGAATAAAAGACCAGAATACATATAATTTTGAACATTTTTAATAAAGGTTCCGTTTCAGATCTGAGATAACATATGTAACCGACACATTATCCCGGAAGCGGAAGAACCGTAACAAGCAACAACAAGATACAGTCTTCAACGATACAGTGAGTTGCTTCGAATTCGGCGACAATGCGATCAGACGAAATATGCGACAAATGCCGGCGATTCCAGACGCTAGTCCAGAGCAGCAGATATTCGAGCCGTTCGATTTGCCTTTGAGAAATAATAGAAAAAAAGAAGAACCGGTGGAGTTATGCCAGGCGCCTTTTCCGTCGGCTAGACCTCAGAATCAGGAAAATAATAATGCTGACTTGTGAGTTTTAATTAATCAATTCTATCTGATGTTCTTTTAGGTCCGAAAAAGACTCACAAGATGAACCTGTAGATACTCAAGAAGAAATAGAAAAAAATCACCTCAGAAAAATCTCCGAAATCATCACGAATATGTACAGAATAGGAAAATACATCATCGACTCGAAATGGTTCTCGCACGCAATTACAGTCATTCTTCTGCTCTTAGGTAAGCTTTTCTTCCAATCTTTGATTTAAAATAATTCTAGCCGTGCAATATATAAATAACTCGGAAAAAAAGATCATACAGTCAGAGCCAGCGCATGTCTCGGATAGAATCAAAGACACAAATGATCCGGACATGAACTTTTGATCTTCCAGCAGTCGAGGATGGAAAAGGAAATCAACAACCTCCGTCATGAGCTTGGTAAGTTCTCTTCCTTGATTTCACCGCTCATTATTTTTATTAAGAAAGTTATGCGATAAAGTCAAAAGAAAGTTACTCAATGGAGCTCAAGAACTGCTTGAAAGTTGCCTCGGACATTCGCACTGAGATGGGAGCACATGTGCTCTCGCTTGAAGATAAACTTCGCCAAACTCAGGTAGAAACCCCTTTCCTCATCAAATCCAACCGTTGTCTTTAGTCAGAACTAAGTTTGTATGTTGGCAGGCTACAACAAGATGTGAAGGAACTTCTCAACTTCAAGAACGACACTGCGCAAAGCGTCAAGATCAGATTTGATCATTGGATCAAAGATGAATACAAATCAGACGAGTTCAAGGCTGTCGTTGGTAAGAAAAGCCTTCTTTACGTTTGCAATGATTTACATTTTCAGAGGAGCAGATTGATAGAAAAACAAAGAAAGGATCGATCTTTGACTCATTGGGCTCTTTTGGATCTTCTGCCAAGTTGGAGGATGTCGAAGCATTGATTTCTGCAAAACTTAGACGTAAAAATTCAGCTTGAAATTCTGAATGAAATTGTTCTAGAGTACCACGAGGATAAAACGGGCCAAATGGACTTCGCCCTTTCATCTAACGGTGGTTCTATCCTTGAGCATCGATGCACAGCTTCAAAGCATGACCACAGTCGCTATTGGAGGATCCTTGGCCTTTCAGTGATGCACTTCCATAATCAGCCAACTCGAGCGATAGAAGACGACACTTCTCCAGGGAACTGTTGGGCCTTCGACGGAGCAAGAGGGCACTTGACCATCAAACTGGGCAAACCAGTAATGGTTACTTCCATCACAGTCGAACACATTCCCACGAATCTCAGTCCTACCGGGAGCATCTCTGCACCACGAGCATTTACGGTATCGGCGATGAACAACGAAAACGATCTCGTCGGACATGAACTTGGCCAGTGGGAATACAACATCAACGACCATCCGATTCAGACCTTCAATGTGATGAGAAAGATGCATTTCCCTTCAGGAATCATAGGTAAAAATTGCTCGGAAATTGTCTCTCAAAAACATTATCAGACTTTCGTTTCGAGTCCAACTGGGGAGGAAGCTACACCTGTATCTACCGAGTTCGTGTCCATGGTGATCCGTTCGACTAAATTCTTCCAGCACTTTTCATTCCACTCGCTTCACATTTCACTCTGCCATTTATTCACTGATAATATATTTATTTTCACAACTGATCCAGTTTAACATTTGTGTTACCCGCTGAAAGGTCACAAATGTTCATTTGACCTCTGATCGGGGCCGTCAAAAGATTGTTTGAATCCATTGATTTTTGGACTTTTGCGAGATGATCCGCGCGTCAAGAAGTCCAGGGTGGTAGGTCGTTGGCCGGTGCTGTACGGACGGCCAGGGCTCGACGCTTCTTTGCTTATTGGCCCAACGTGGGAATTGTCCACCCTCTTTCTACCACACCACTCACGTGAGCAGTCAAAGCGGCCACCAACCACACCAGCGGCTCATTCACTCGAATTGAACTTGGAATTTTAGACTCAAAATAAAGAGAAAGTTTGCTGCAAACGCAAAGCGTAGAAATAGTGAGAGATTGTTTGAAACAGATTTGATAATGAGCGAAGTTGTCTGTAAAGAAGAGTCAGCATCCGAAGAAGACACAGAAGAATTTCTTATCAAAAGTAAGTCACCGCTGTTTATTTTCATAATTTCAGAAAAGCTCTGTCTTGCTTTTTCATCCACGTAACTTGATATTTTTATAGATGAATCTTCTCAAATGATGTGCATGGAAAATGATAGTAATTACCAAGAAAACGTCGAGTTTCACGTCAACAACTCGAATCCCGAAAGTGTTACGATCATCGAAACACCTTACAACGAGTTCGATGATAAGAATAAGGCCTCTGGAAAAGGCTTTGCATTGGGAAGCATTTCGGAGAAGATTGTGCCTTGGCTTCAAAGTCGCTACGACATTAAAGAAGGTGGCAAGACGGCGATCCAAGAAATCATCACTTTATACAATCACGATTTTCCACGCGACTGCGTTTACTTTCCTCTCGAGTCTTTTCAAGTTGGCCAGCTAGTTCGACAAGCCTTTCCTGAAATCAGCCTCTGCAAGGTGACATGCAAAGAGTCCAAGAAACGGTATCGTTGCTACAAAGGACTGACGCGAAAAGAACCAGAAAACGGTCCTCCCCCGATTTTCCCCTACGAGCCACCAAAAGTTCAAAAACGAAAGTCAAAGACGGTTCCTCAAAATCCCCCGAAAGGTTGATTCCAACTGTTTACCTTTTTTTAATTCAATTTAGTTATTTTCATGCAAGTGGCTGGACTGACTGGCAGTCAAATCGCCTCTTGTAAAATTAAACTTCCAAATCCTTCCCGTCCATCAAGTTCATCAACAATTACGCCTTTACAACACCTTCGAGAACCTCTTCGAGTCCAGTCACCGAAGCAAGATGCAGCCATTACTCTCAGTTCTGCGTCATCTTCCCCGAGTTCTTCATTACACTCGCCTCGGGCACCTTCGAATCTCACAAAGAGGGAGATGCCAAATCCATATTTCGTGCCTTTTAGCAAGCCACATAATGAACCACAAACTGAAGGAAAGGGTCTTGGAAATACATTTTATCCTCTATGTTTTCGACTTTCTCGTGCTAAGACCCAAAAAGCTCAAGAACCATTAGCAAAGAAAACCTGCAAGCTCGAGCTTGTCCGACTTTCATCCGAAAAATCAGCTGAGAGTATCTCCTCGCATCAGCAAGAGATGCTCTCCGAATTACCAACAATGGTTGCTTCCCAGCCAAGTAAGCAATTAACTTGAACCCAGAATTTTAATCGGCGGGGCTAAAGACATCAGCTTGATAAAAATATTTACCCTAGCGTCTTCCGCTTCGAAGAGAAAGCTTGAAATAGGAAAACTCCACGTGACGCAATCGTTGGATTATATTGAAAGACAGGCATATGCTCAAGAAGACTTTCAGGTACTGTAGTCCACTAAAATTTCTGTACTTAGAGCTGATTGGAACTTTATTGTTTATACTTATGTTCTTTAGGAAATTGAAGACTTCATCCTTGAAAGACTAGATCAAATACGCTCCAAACAGTTCGGATTATAATCAAAAGTTTTCACTGCCGTAAAAGTTCCATAGCATAAATAAATAATTTCATTTGAACCTCCTTCGTCTTCTGTCAAGGCAAATCAATTTACTCTCAGCAAGATACCGTCTCTAGGATACAGTTGTTCGGTCGATTGAGACAAAAAAATAACCTCTAATCCGGAAAGGTCACTCGGGGATCTTGATATTGTATAGATCTCGCTTCCGGACTTTAAAACGCAGATTGATTTTGATTGTTTACGATCAAGAATGAGCTTCTAAACAATTGTTTAAACCACTAGAGCAACACGTTGGATAAAAATGCGCTGCAGATCCGGTGCATCAAGGACAAAACAATCGCGCAAAAACATTTTCAGAGCAATCACACATGCGCTCATCGGGTGCTTATTGTTTACGATGCTCAAATTTTAACTTTAGATATAATTTTTTACTCTGAATCATGATTTATTTCTTTGATTTTTACATAAAATTATCAAGGCATAGATCTCTTCTACAGAAAGCATCAGTCATTCTTCGTAAACTGGAGGAGGCGTTACAGACAAATCTTAACTCATTCTCAAAGTGCGTCCAGCGTAATTCTTTGATACGTACCTTCAAACAATGGAATTCGGTCTTTGAAAGATTGCACTAGGATCACTATGAGTCCAATCATCCTGTAACAGGTTAATCAAAGCCGCTCTACTGTAATAAGAAAATGCCAATTTTGATATCAAGGAGGAAATGACTCTCTAAAATTAGCCATACTTCTTGATTAACCGTGAATAAGGATCCACAAGAGAAAAACAATCGTCACTGCTCCTAGATCTCTGATACACATAACCTCTTGCAAGAACTTGAGTCTTTATTTCGGGGTTCGTCGAGCGCGTGTCATAATAAATTAGAAAATATATTATGCTTTATTTCAGACGATTTCGCACGTCTCCCGTTCCCAGAGGGCTTCTTTACTTCAATTTCGATGAAATCAGTCATTGAGTCGAGCGCAACGATTGTTACGATGCCACCAGACGCATTAACTCCGCTTCGAACAACACTCTCGCGCTGACTTCGATTTTTGAAAGTCGCATGGCTCGTTTTCCGGCTTCTGAAGTTCATTAGTTGCTAATAAGTTGATGGAACGTACCCTTGTTGAATAGTAGGTTCTTTTCTCAAAATTCCGACTATACTATCATTTCTCAACATGACTTTAGTATCATTAGCCGTCTTCGACATGACTTTCGCTTATTTTATACTTCTGTAATAGAAAAAAAAGAATAAAAGTCCATCAAATGGTGCTTTGAAAACAGTCCGGTCCAATCAATTATTAAATTTTCGAGTAGATTTCATCTTGTAATAGTTAATTTTCCATTACTGACCCGAATGATAATTGGCTCCCCGAGACGGAGTACGGAATCAAGTGTTTTCGAAACACATTATGCAGCATAATAAATTCGGCTGCTTAAAAATCGGCGTTTCTACAAAAAATAAGTCGACGAAAAAGTTTTTATTCTATGAAATCATCAGAGCCAAGCTCCGCAATCTCCATCTGCACAATCTGCCATGGAATAAGATGAAATTCCATGACCAGTAAAGTCTACTGCAACACCGTAAGAGTCCATTCTTCTTATGGATCTGTTTGAATGCCTCGATCTCAGGCTCCTAAAAAAAAGAAAATCCGGCTGAGACTTTCTCAAAGTCAAACGTTCTCGTTGAAGGTCGCTTCGTTTCCTCTCTCTTACTCTGAATACAACCCATTTTATGAGTTGATTATATTATTGAAAATCTGAATAAAGAGACGAAAAACATGAAAATCTTCTGCATTTCACTAACGAAAATCGCTAAAATGCCGCAAATATTGATTTATGGCGTCTTTTTCTTAAGAAAATCATTAATTTTTTCAATTAAAATAATTGATTCTTGGCTTATCCTAATCAGATAGACTGCTCTTTGTCAGAAAAAATCATAGACGCTCATTGTTTTCTGATCTTCATTGAAGCTTGGCAAGGAAAGTTTGTTTTCAGTCAATAAAAATAATTTGACCAGCATTACACAAGCATTTTAATTCCGCCTCGCCTCGCGAACAACGTGAATTTATTTAGATCCAGCTCTGATTGTTGATTTTTGAGTTGCACCAAATCGGGCGCTCCGCCACCACCCTCTAGTGGGAATCGCCGCGACGCGCTGGTACCAGCCCAGACATTTAAAACTGTCTTCAATTTTGAAACAATCACCAAAGCAAGCCCGCCGAGCAAGCAAGAGTTGTTTAGAAGAAATCCTTTGAAACACATCGATACTTTTATACTTTTCTTGGTTTGACGATAAAAGAGCAAAATACACTAAAAGATCATCATGAAGCTTGGACTTCTTTTCGCCGCTGTTAACAGCCAGAGATTCGAAAGACCACCACCATCGAACCCCGCCGCTGTTGTGGGGCCAACGAGCACTAAAGTAACTGAAGACGACTTCGTTCTCGTTCCAGAAGGATACACCGGTGGTTTCCAGGTAAGAATGATAGAAGTAAGCTTACATCAACAAATGAATTAGGACTTCAATGTTACAGGCCTTCTCGCAGAGAACGCTGATGACGACATCTTCAACGAGTTTGAGAACCTCTTTGCTCAGGTCACCTCTGAGATCAGCCGAAGTTCGTTCACCGATGACCAGAAAAAGAACATCAAAAAGGTTGCAGAGATACTTAAGTTTTAGAATCTAACTTGTTGTAGTTCAAATTGGTGAAGAACATGATCTTGTACCTTCAAATGCTCCCAATTTTCGGAAAATTTTGCTTTTACGGCTGCTACTGCTTTGCTATGGGCCCCTTCAAACTGCTGCAAAATGCAGGTACCGGGGCCCCAATGGATGCTCCCGACTCTGCTTGTCGACGTCACGGAAGATGCAACATCTGCACCAATCGTGATTTCGGTGGTGAGGAAGAGTGTAACCAGTTCACACCTTATGGATTCGAAGCTGCAAAAGATCCAGTTACTGGAGAAAAGTTTATCAGATGCAGTGAGTAGCCCTCTATCTGCAAAAATATCTGTCTTCTACTTTAATTTGGTCTTCCTTAAAATTTTTTTCTAGCTGACGAAATCGGAACCTGCAGCCGATCAGTCTGCGAGTGTGATGCCAAGCTTGCCTATGACCTCAAGGACCTCGAGTTCTCCTGGAATGTGATGCACCACGGACGATGGGCGGGCTTTGACGCCAAGGGTTCCTGCATCGCCGGCGCTCCAGAAGATCGTATGGACATGGACAAGTCGCCCAAGGTCAGCGAGCCAGTGGAAAGCTGCTGCGGAGAGTACCCAATGCGATTCCCATTTTTGAGTGACAATGGCCGCCTGGGATGGGAAAACGGTTCCGGCAAATTCCGCGAATGTTGCGCGGGCAAAACGTTTGACCCCGCGCTGCTCGAGTGCTGCGACGGCCAGATCACCGAGATCGGCAGCTGCTAAATCAGTCGGATTCTGAACCGCTCCACTTTTTCCGCGCGCATTTTCAAAAAAATTCATGCTCATCCGAATTCGTCAGAATCAAGGTTCTGTGATTCATTTCATGGCCGGCAAAACGCAGAACCTGAGGTGCTGATGTTTCGTTTTCTTTGTACAGTTTTCTAAGTCTGTAACCTGTCAGCTCAAAAACACTCACAAACTCACTGAAATCTTTTGTTTCGCTGAAACAAAATCTGTAAATCAAGTCACCTCGTCAAGGGATTCAATACTTTTCTAATAAAGCTTTATTATTTAAAAAAAACGATTGTATTTTGTTGTTGAACCTATTTATTCTTCATTTAATAATGAAGAACTAGAACGAGACTCAGTCAATTGGGCGGGAAAAAGATTTTCGCTATAAATGTTTACAAAGATTTCGGTTTTAGACCGAGCGATTTCGGCCAGCTCGCCAGAATTCTGATAAACATTTAATCCGGACAACGTTAAGGGGGAGGTCGACGAGAATCGGGATTTTTGTAACCAAAAATCCGGAAAAACCTGCTTAGATAGGCAAATTCTGACTTTTCTCGTGGAAAGAAAAGGGTTTCAAAAATACAGCGGCGAAAACTAGAAAAAAAATTTTCTCGAAAAAATCTTGTAAAAATTAGGTCAAAGTGGGGGTGTTTCGTAACCAAAAAATCTCTGAAACGGGATTATTTTTTCTCAATCAAATACTGTTAATAGTAAGTTCAAACCCTTAAAAATACAGCGGCGACAATAAAAATAGGGATGCTTTTCTTGAAAAATTTTTTACTGTTGATTAAAAATATCCGATTTTCCTTAAAATCATCATTTTTGCTCATTTTTCACTGCAAATTTTACAAAACTCGCGGGGACTCTTAATTTTTTACAGATAATAATTTAAAAAGCATTAAAAAAAAATATCTAGCAAATAAAAATCGGATAAAAATTGTTTTTGGGTGAGAAAACCAACATTAAAATTTCGTAAAATGTCGAATTCCAGACACAAAATCGAAAATTTTGTTAAAAAGTTAGTCAATGCCCAAAAAGCTGGAGACCAAAAATGCTCCTTTTTTATTAAGGAATCCAAAAATATAATCAAAATTTTGAAAATGCGAAAAATTTTTTCTCGTCGACCCCCTCCTTAAGGCCAAACAATTTCAAGGAAATTCAAATACTTTTGAATATGTAAAATTACGAAAACGTTCCAAAATCGGTTACAAGTTTGATTCTATCTCTTTTCAACTCGTTCGCCATCTAGCGCTAGATCCTTCAACCCCAGTCTTGGATCGTTGAATATTTTTGAATTTCGCGCACTCCAGTAACCGTTTTCGAACAACTCGGACGCACCTATTTTCCTTGATTTTGAGACTTTTTGGGTCGAGGGTGGCGAATGTTATCGAGATAGTTTTAAGGCTTACAAATGTTAAATTGTTCGCGCTTGTTTATTATTGCCCTTGACACCCGTCGAAATGTCAAGATCGAGAAATCGAAACGATTTTTTCAAGACACGGTTTCTCGCACTCAAAGCAAGATTCTAGTAGACAAAGATAGCATTTTAAACCCTCTAATAGAGACTCTACGTTGGATCAAGATATTTGTCAGAACAGAGAAGCAGACAACGAAACATGAGTAACACCGAGATTCAAGTACGAATAGACCCCATTCCCGACGAAGACGACCGCAACGTCACCAGAAGATCGAAAAAGTCGCGCTCCAAGCATTCCAAGTTCGATCTTCTTTCAATTCTAATCAGGTGACTGACTGTTTTTGATTCAGGAATAGATTGAGCAAGATTCCATCGCAAATTTGCAAAGTCCTGCGAAAAGGATCGAGGTAATTTTGAAGTTAACGGATGATTGACTTAAAATTTTTCAGGTCTGAAGATACCGAGCCAGTTTCCTGTGCTTATAAACTAGCTGGGTGTTCTTTTACTGATGTGTAAGTTGATTGTCAAGATCGTAATCCGCTATCAAAACTTCTTAGTGCAAGCAAAGTAAACTCGCATGAACGGGAATGCTCCTTCTCCAAGATAAAAACAAAAGATTTCCACAATATTTTGCAGGTGTGTTTTTTCATCCAGTTTATACTCTTCTATGATTGCGATTCTAGGACCGCCTCAAAGAGGAGAATACAAGAGTCAAGCTGCTAGAGAACGTCTACCCATATCTAAGTTACAATGATGCCGAGTTTACAGGTGAACTAGTTGTTAATAGCAAATCATCAACACTTTTAAGATCTTTATCTGACAAAAGATGAAGACCAGGACGAAGACGCACCCTTCGTTTTCACATCGCAGACATTTGATTCTCTCAAAATGAGCTGGAGAGTTATTGTTCAAATCGAAGATGTTCCCGATGAAGCTGAGAACGCAAACGTTTCAAGAAAACATGGTAAGATAAAGAAAGAAAAAATCGATTAATAATAATTCATAGGAACGTTTTTCTTGTATCAGTCCGGCTCTTCTGCGTTTTATAATGGACGAAATCCCTCTCACAACAAAATCGTCTTTCTTCTCACTGATAGCGAGTGCACTAGCCATAATGTAAGAATGATTTTATACTAAGTAAAGCCCTAAACTTTCGTTAGCCTGAGCCAAAAGCCTTCCACCATGAATTCTCCCAAACTCACAAGGAGTCAAAACACATCACACTTCCTATGGGTGAGCTTCTAAATCTTTCATAAATCAAGTAATAAAAATTCAGCACAAGCTGTCGTCGACGACTTGAGCGAACGCCATGCCTTCCAGATGCGAGTTTGGCTTTTCAAAAAATAAGCCTGCGTCTTTATCAACCACTAGAATTCCTACTTGAACATTCCAAGAAATCACAGAGTCGCCGAAAGCCTTTTACTTCATTTCTTAAGTTTCCTGTTTTGTTCTCCTTTAGTTATTTATGTTTATGTGTCTTCTGGTCCATTTCATGGCCGGAGACCTATTTATTCTTTAGTTAAAATATTCTTTTAAGTTTCAACCTTTCAAATAAAAATTAAATTTCAATGTCAACCCTTCTTTATTTCTTCAGCAGATTTTCCATTCAAGCGAATCGCATTTTGAAGGCGTCGTATTTGCTCATCTATAACAAATGCATGTATTTTTTTCAAGAAAATTTACTTTGGCGCGAGTTGGCGTTCTGCCATTTTTCGATTTTCTCAATTTTGAATTGGCGCGCAGCGCTCCGCTACGGGCCCGATTGGGTCCGTCAGCGCACCCCGTCTAGCAAAGACAAAGAGAAAAGGCGAAAATCCTTCGAATTTCAAAAGGGAATGAGCTGCAGAAGGTCGATCGGTTCGTCTAACTGGAAAACACAGAGAATTGCTCAAGAATTCGTCTAGTTTTCATACTGAAAGTCTAAGATATGCGAATTTTATGAAAGAACTACCGAAAAACTGTACTACAGTTATTGTAGTTCTCCAGAAAGAGCAGTAAGAACTCAAGTGATACCAAATTCGAAGGTGTTGCATACGAGAAATCATATATTTTTTCAGTTACTCAAGCTTTTTCTCAATCACAACGCACGAGAAGCTTTCTCATTCGAACTTCCTTATTCGTGATACCTTGTTATTATTTGTTATGTAATTTTTCCTATGTGGGTCAGAGAATAAGGAATAAATTTAATTTTTAAGAATGTATCGAGCGTTTCGAAATGGCTCTGCTGCATACAGAAGAATTATGCCATCAGTCAGAAATGCTGCCCAGAAACCGGTAGGTCCGACTATTGAAGCTTGAGGCTAACCGAATTCAGTCGAATTACCAGAAGAGCGGTATGGGAGTGAATGAGTTAGCCGGAATCGCTGGAGTTTCTGCTTTTCTTTACTACGCCACGAACCAGCAGTCTTCAACTCCAAAAGCCCCCGTGGCGCCCAAGAAAACAGTAGTTGTCCCGCCAAAAGGAATCGAAAAAGATGCTCTCCAGAATGAAGATCCTCTTGCCAGTCTGAAAGAAATTCCTAACTTGGGTTCTCCCAATGATCCTAAGCCAGCTAAAGAGGAAGCCGTTGCTCCAGTTGTTCAGGAGACTGTCAAAGAAGAAGTTGTCGAAGAACCAGTTGTTGTAGAAGAACCAGTTGTTCTAGAGGAACCAGTTGTTCTAGAGGAACCAGTTGTTGTAGAGGAACCAGTTCTCGAGGAAGAGCCTGTTGTTGAAGCTACACCAGAAATTGTTGAAGCTGAGCCAGAAGTTGTGGTTGTGGAAGACGCGACTGTTGAAGAAATCGTTGAAGAACCAGTCGTGGAAGAACAAGTTGCAGAACCTGTTGTGGAAGAAGTTATCGTGCCTGTCGTTGCAGAATCTCCAAGTGTTGAAGAACCTGCCGAGCTAGTCGCTGAAGAGTCCGCTCCTACTGAACCTGAACCTGTTGCCCAAGTCGAAGAAACCGTTGTTGAAGTCACTGTTGAAGAAACCACTGTAGAACCTGTTGCCGAACCTGAAGCAGTTCCAGAACCAGCCCCCGTTGAAGTTGAAGTTGCAGTTCAAACTGAAGAACCCACTGCTGAGCCAGAGCCAGTCTCTGAGCCTGAAGTTGTTGTTGAGGCTCCTGTTGATGCTCCACAACCCGTTGTTGAACAGGAGTCAGTAGCTGAGCCAGTTGCTGAGCCAGTCGCTGAGCCAGTCGCTGAGCCAGTCGCTGAGCCAGTCGCTGAGCCAGTCGCAGAGCCCGAGGCTGTTCCTAAGCCTACCCCTGTTGAATCTGAACCAGTTGCTGAACCTGAGCCTGTTCCCGAACCCGAGCATGTCGCCGAACCCGAGCCAGTCGCCGAGGCCGAACCAGTTCCAGAACCCGTTGTCGAAGAACCCACCCCATCTGAATCAGGTAACGGTCAATAAATATCTGTTCTGCTCTCAAAATCAAATCTGTATTTCCAGATAGTCGAAAAGCCCCAAATCAACATACTGTTATTTACATCAAACCAGATGTCTGATGCCGCCACTGTCCCTGTCTAACTAATTTATCTACCTTCGTAATTTATCCAGAATTTCTTTTGAGTCTATCTTCGCTTTCCTATTGACCTTACTTTTTCTCTTACTATTCTCTAAAGTATTCTATTCTTGCGCGCCTATTCTACTGTAAATACTTTTAATAAAGCCATATTAGAGTCAAATGTCGATCCAATTGTTCCTGAAGCAGGAAGTGCTGTGGAAGTTGACCCAGCTATAGATGAAGTTATCCCAGTAGTTGATGAGCAGTCTAAGCCCAAGGTTTATCCAGAGGTCCCTCCTGAAGTTGAGTACCTTATCGTTGGTGGTGGAACTGCTGCGTACTCTGCTGTCCGAGCTATCCGAAAATATGATCCTACTGCCAAGATTCTCATCGTCTCTGATGAAGCGGAAATGCCTTACAATCGAACTCCACTCTCGAAAGAGCTCTGGTTTGAATCTGAAGAAAATGCGGCTGTTGGCAAATACAAAGGATGGGATGACAAGGAGCGAGTGATCTTCCACGAAAAACTGGAGAACTACTGCACTGGAAGAGAGCTTCAAGAAAGAGAGGGTTACGGTGGTACCGCTCTTTTACTCGGCGCCAAGGTTGACCGTTTGGACGCAGACAACAAGAAGGCCATTCTTTACAATGGAACAGAAATCGGATATGGAAAAGTTCTTCTTTCTATCGGTGGCAAACCAAGAAATCTTCCAGAATTCGAGAGTGTCAAAGACAAAGTTACGCTTTTCCGCGATCTCAAGGACTTCAGACAGCTTTCCGAGATTTCACAGAACGGAGGGAACGTAGTGGTCGTTGGATCTGGGTTTTTGGGCACAGAGCTGTCCTATGCCCTCGCTGATAGAGCCAAGAAAGTCGAGAACTTGAAGGTGTCGCAGATCTGCCGAGAGCAGGGAGTTTTGGGGGCCGTTTTGCCAGAACATCTGTCGAGTAAGTGAAAGCATATATTCGCTAATTAATCGATTTTTAGACTACTCATCCGAAGTTCTCGAAAAAGAAGGTGTCAACATCGTCCGCGATGCCGAGATTTCTAGCGTTTCCCAGGAATCTGGCAACATTTCGATCAATCTGAAAGATGGTCGTTCCGTTCCTGCTGATCATGTTGTGGTCGCAGTCGGGGTTGATATTGATCACGGCCTGGCAGAACGATCTGGACTCGAGGTGGATTCAAGACGAGGAGGATTCATTGTCAACTCAGAGTTGGAATCAAGAAAAGATATCTTTGTCGCAGGAGACGCAGCGAATTTTTACGATCAACGTCTTGGACGCCGTCGCGTCGAGCATTATGATCACGTAAGTGTCAAAAAAGCTTCCCCAAATGTCAAGCTAATCCGTAGGCGATCGTTACTGGACGCCTTGCGGGTGAAAACATGGTTGGGAAGAGAAAAGCATACACTCATCAGTCCATGTTCTGGTCCGATATTGGCCCCGACAATGGATTTGAAGCAATTGGCTTGGTAGACTCTAAGTTGAAATCAGTCTCCGTCTTTGCCCAGCCAGAAGCACAGAATACAGAAGGCGATAATTTCGAATCACGTAAATTTGGTGAGTTAATGAAATATCGACCGTTTTAATCAATCCTTTCTTTAGACAAAGGAGTAGTATTCTATCTGAGAAACGAAAAGGTCGTGGGCGTCATTACCTGGAACATCTTCGGCAAGATGGGCGTCGCAAGAAGACTTCTAGCGCACCAGAGCGCGGAGGAATTAAATTACGCTGAAATGGCGCGCTTATTCAACGTCCACAAGTGAATAAAAATTCACGACTTTAGTTCAAAGAACACATGACTATTTATTTGTACAGTTATACTTTTATCGTGCTCTCTTTTACTTGACAAAAATATTTGTGACAATCTTTACGTGGATTAATGTACTTTGATAATTTATAAAGCAGTCCCTTTTTGGATAGCAATAAAAAGAAATGGAAAAAAATCTTTGATGTGATATCATTTTTCATGCGAGGGTAGAATCATTAGAATGAAATGACGATAGCCGACGAGGAGGTGAACGCCGAGACAGAGGATGCCATCGAAGAAAGCCCCTGTAATAGATGGCACTGCCGAAATGAAAAGGTCAACCACATGTCCGGCATCGACGTCGCCTACCTCGCCATGGACATCGAGGAGGGCGTCGAGGTCATCTGGAACGAGATCATCTTTCAAGAAGAATACAAATCCGTCTTCCTCGAGAACGAGCCGGGAATAAGAAACAACCTCGATGCGCTCAAAAATTTGGCCCATCCGAATATACTCAAAGTGAGTAGCGATCCATAAGCAGTTAAAAATTCAAATGCTGGTGTTCAGTTCCATGACTACTGGATACAAGGGGTTGATGGGCCTTGGACAAACTACCAAAACAAGGAAATGAGGACGATACGGGTCGTTTTCATCACCGAATACACTGGCGGCTCGGGCACTCTAAAGGACTTCCTCCGCAGATCCGTCAAGGCACAGCCCTGCGATAAAGTGAAAAAGTGAGTTTAAGCCCCCGCGAGTTTAATCAGTATAAATCTCTTAAACTCGTGTCTAAGTACTTGTCTCATTGCAGCCTACTAATTGGGCGGGGTAGACAATGATTAGATGAGTGTCTAATATGGTTCGTTTTCAAGCTGGACCCGATGGTGCAATCAAATCCTCTCCGCTTTGCACTACATGCACTCTCTTGGGACGATCCACGGCAATCTGAGCACCGACACAATTTTCCTTCAGCACCAAGGCCTGCTCAAGATTGGCTACTTTTACGTCGACCTGATACGCAATCACAGGGATCCAAAGTTAAACACAAAGGTTCGAGGATCACAGAATCAGCGTTACTTCCCAGACGAGAAATCTTCCTCTGCATTCGACATTTACTCTTTTGGTGTGATTGCGCGCGAGATGCTCATCCCTTCTACCTTCGCTGAGGCCGAATTGCAAAAGGCGGAGCCTGGAAAAGACGTTTCAGGTAAGAACTTTCTCTTGAACAGAAGCTCTGAATGAATGCCAGAATTGAGTACCTTTTTTAGACTTCGCCGAGAGCCTAGTGACGTTCAGACAAAGGTTCACATCCGAAAGCGACAAAGCTGAATTCATCGAGCTCTGTCTGATGCCGGCGGACAGAAGGCCAGAAGCGAAATTTCTGCTACGGCATCAGAGTCTTTTCGAGGTAACATTAAGAAATTTGTAGTTTATTACTAATCAATCAACACGTCACTGGCGGTCGTGACGTTTTGTCAATGAGAATTTTATCGTTTATAAAATGAATATTTACCGATTATTTGCCTTTTTACAAAGAGACTAGTTACAGATTCAGTTTTGACGACGCAAACGCGAAAAACAGGGCTGCTTGTTAGTACACTTTAGCAGAAATCGATTGACCTAGAATAATCTCTTTTGATACTCCGAATTTATCAATATTCATCCCTTTTTGTCTTTGAACCTCAAAAGCAATCTTTTTAAAAAAGAGGAACAAGCTTTTACCCAAAAGAGAATTTAACATTCAGTAAGTAAAACAGTTGATCATTAACTAAAATTTTCTCGGGATAACGATTTCTTGCGGTTTTATTTTGTTATCGGGCGCCACTATTTGACGAAAAATAGTATATAAAATCTACGAGGACTTCTATTATGAATTGAAAATTATATTTTAAAAATGACGCTACATCAGTAGTAATAACTTCCGGTTTCTTAAACCGTTTACAGATCACAGCCAAAGATAAATTCAAATAAACTCTGAGTACAATGACTTCGAATCTCTATTTCTTCAGTTCATGACGCAAGTAACAATGTTTATCGTAGTTATCTCCCCTGCAAATCCTCGCTGCACACACTGTTAATCAATTTCGAACGATAATCAAAGACATAGACGGGAATCTTAAAGAGCATCAAGACGAGTACGACAAGGAATAGGGCTCGAAATTTCGAATGATTTAACACCCGATAAATGCTTGGATACACTTTTTATTGCGATTTAGGGCCGCGTTTATTTATTTTTGGAAATTTGAAAACTTGACTTTCAATCCTCAAAATTCAAGAGCCCAGAATCAGATCATAGCAATGTGCGTGATGAGTGGCAAAGAAATGAAATTCACGAAACAGGACAACGCGCGACGCAATTTGTACCAAGACCTCGACAGATTGTTGCTGGACATTCAAAGCGGCCTCTACCCGGTTAACGGTGGTGCTGGAGTAAGAGGGGAAGTCCTCAACAGTGAAAAAATGGAGAAGCATACAGAGCCGAGAGAAATAACTTGTCCGGTAAGGCGTTTTTATAATTACAATTGTTGCGAAACGGATCTATTTTAATCATGATTCGGGGGAATATTTTTGTCTCAGTGAAATCAAGGAAGAGGTAAAGATTTTCTGCGTTACGTAGTATTCTTTGACAATCATAAATATTTTTATTTCGACAATATTTTGAAGGCATTCTTTGAGGTTTATTGGAGCTTGTTGTTGATGGTTTTATATCCGTTTATGATAGTTCTGATTTGGCATTTTGCGGATCGACTTCCCGTTTTTGAATTTGATTTTGTGAGAGCAGATACTACGGTAATCGGTTAATCCAACGTGACCTCAATGTTCCTTCGATTTCCCACTGGGTTTTTGCGTAAATTCCCAGCGCACTATTCTCTTGATAATAGGCGCTAATACTCATAGTGCACAATGAGGTCAATCACGGTCTTAACATGTCGACATTGATGCTGTCTCAAGTTGACATCTGTTTAGAACGAGATTGATAATTCAGTGCTTCGCTCATTTTCGAGCATGAAATTTTAAGAGACAAAAATATAACAGCAAAGAAAACGATTCTCTCTGGAAATTCTCATTTTTATAATTTCAGCCGCAGAAAATGGTCAAAGAGAGCGAGGAAAAGAAGTGCGAAGAGAAAAGAGCTGCTCACATCGAGTGCCTAATTACACAAGAGCCAAACGGAGGGGGATACTCCATCATTATCGATGTTGATCTGGCAGGTCCCTTGAAACCAGAAGATAAAAAGTGAGTTTCTAATCATCAAGATTATTTTTCTAAAAACGTATTTTGAATTTTAAAATGATTCACTATTTCCGTTGAGTCAAGTTTAGTAAACTTAGTTTACCCGTCGATAGAATTGAGTTCAAAAATCGTTCTTGTCTATTTTATCTGACCATATTATTCCAGAGACGCATCGAGAACACCGGAATGCAAAAGACATCTCGAGACAAAGCTAAACAGCGCTGACACTCCGGAATCCATCGCCCAGGAACTCGCCGACTTCGCCTTTATAAGCGAGCATGACGTAGAAGTCATGCGCATGGTGATAGAGGTATGCTGTCCTTCAATAATCAAGCTCTTTACTTTGTTTAGGATCAATATAAGCTTGTACAGAACATGGTCTTCACGAATACGGCGCCAGTTCGCGAGACTCCAGGCGTGTAACGCATGCGGCATGCCCCGGCGGCCAAGAAGTGCCAGTTCAAGGCTACCAACAAAACAACTATTCCAAGAAGAAAGCCACCGCTGAAACTGCTGATAACACTCTTTTTTACAGCTCATGAAAAGCATCTGTATAATTTTCTCTATTTACATATATATATTTCAAATGCCCTCTAACCCTATTTCTTTTCGAAAAAGCTACTGTTCCATCAAAAATCCACGTTCACTACCAGTTGTCGCAACTTAAAATCTTGAATATTGAAAATATTTTCTCGTGGGTTTACAGACCAACAAAATAATAACAATAAAAAACAACAAAGCTTCCATCTTTTTGAAAAAATACACCTCTACATGTTCTGTCTAAACAAAAATACATATGGCTTCATGCATTTGCTTCAGATAAAATAACTAAATTCAAAAAAGAATGATTCTAACAAAAATGTATTTTTTCTTATCAATGAAATCGCTTTCAGAAAGGGATATCAAAGAGCTCTGTGGCGATGAGTCGGATCGATCTACCTCAAAAAGAGAACAATCTCTTTCAAAAATTGATGAAGTGTTATGAGCAAAAGCAGTTCAAAAACGGACTTCGTCACGCCAAGGTTCGAAGTTCGTTCAGTCTTTTCAATCGAAGTTTCAATTTTCATCCTTGAAAATAGAAAAACATCGCGCGCGTCCTATCGCCTTTTGTATTTCGCGCCTCGGCGAGCCAATCAGTGGCTTTTCCAATAATTTCCTCCCATCAACAAATTAAACATTTTTTCAGGCGATTTTATCTAATCCGAAATGTACGGATCACGGAGAGACTCTTTCCATGAAGGGCTTGATTCTTTCGGCGATGAACAAGAGGGAAGAAGCATTGGAGCTGGCGAGAAAAGGGTTGAGCAAAAACTTTCGCTCGGGAACTTGTTGGCATGTTTACGGACTTGTCTTGCGGTCTGAGAAGAAGTATGAAGAGGCAATTAAGGTAAGTTAGCGTAAATTGCGCATATTTAATTGTGCCGTTGAATATCTCGTTATTACAGTCTACTTTCAGGCGTACTCAAACGCTGTAAAATGGGAAAACCGTAATCAACTCATTCTGAAAGATCTCAGCCATCTCCAGATTCAAATGCGCGATTACGAAGCCTTCAAGGTATTCTTCCCTTCTTCCTCCTTCAAATTATCTTCCTTGATTCCTAGAAATCCCGCCTAGACTTGTTGACACTTCGTCCTACTCTGCGCGCTTCCTGGATTGGTTTCGCCGTGGCTAATCACCTTCTCGGCGAGCTTGATACGGCATTTGATGTTCTTGAGGAATTCCGCACGGTGAGTACGCTGATTTAAAACATGGATTGTCCGGATAATTGTTGTTACATAAAAGTATTATAAAATAAATCAGTACAAATTATACAAGTTGTTAACGGCTGAACGAGCACGATTCGGTTGAAAATCTGAAATTAAAACTGATTTATTTCAGACTCAAAATAAAACTGAAGGACAACGAAGCAGGGACCACGATTCTGACTATGAGAACTCGGAGATTATCCTCTACCAAGCAAAGATACTTATCGAGCAAAAGAAGCACAAGCAAGCCGTTGAGTTTTTGGAGAAGAATACGGAAGAGATACTTGATGTGCCGCAATACCATGAAACCCTAGGAGATGTAAGTAGCTGTGGTTATTTTTTTCAGAAAACTTGAAGATAATACAAACTATCGAATTTTATAGCTTCGCCTTATTCTCGGAGAAAACGATCAAGCCGAGGAGCACTTCACTCTTCTTGTCCATCGAAATCCTGAAAAACGAGTCTACTACGAAAAACTTGCTCAAGCAGTCGAAGCGACTTCCGATCCCCTCCGTATTAACGAGTTTTACGATGCGATGGCGAACGCCTTTCCTCGTTCCAAAGTGAGTGTAGTAACATACCATCTTTCTTACATAACCGCTCTCTCTCTCTCCCTTATATAGATATATATTATATATTCGAAACTAGGTGACAGTCGGACAATTAATCTATTTTTACATTAGCTCCCGCTTCTTATCCCCTTGGAAATCGTCGATGGCGAGATCTTCAGCAAGCGTCTTCGTCACTACTTCAAATCATCCCTTCGAAAATGCCTTCCAAACATACATGTAACCCTCCGCCCAATTTACAACGACGCGACGAAACGCAATGAGCTCGAGCAGCTGGCTCTCTCCTTCCTTGCGCAGCTGGAGAATACGGAATCGATGGAAGACGGGGACGAGCGCGAGTCACCTGCATGTCTTGTCTGGCTCTACCACTTCCTCGCGCAGCACTTCGACTACTTGAAGGACTACGAGATGGCCTTACGCTATGTCAACCTTGCTTTGGAGCATACACCTACTATCACAGATCTGTATGTTACCAAAGGCAGGATATACAAGCACGCTGGACACATTCAATACGCTGCTGCATGCCTTGACGAAGCTCAGAGTCTCGGTATATCTACTGACAAACCATCATTTCTCAAATTTACAATTAGACACTGCCGATAGATATCTCAATTGCAAATGCTGTCGCTATCTTATCCGGGCCGGAGAAGTCGAAAAAGCCGAAAAAATGGCCGAACAGTTCACTAGAGAAAACACAACAGTTCAAGAAAACCTAAAAGAGATGCAAGTTCTTTGGTTCCAAATAGAGTGTGCTCAAGCCTATTACAGACAAGGTACAATCGTAGAAGACGTGATTTTATTTCAATATTTCATCAGGTAAATATGGTTTGGCACTTAGAAAATGTTGCGAAATCGAAAATGTCTTTGCCGATGTTACAGAGGATCAATTTGACTTCCACAACTATTGTATGAGAAAGATGACTCTAGGAGAGTACGTCGAAATGCTCAGATGGGAAGACTCCGTTCGGTAAGAATGACTTGCATCTCAATGGCTGTTATATGTCTGAATATAGAGAACAGAAATACTTCCGAGCAGCAGCCCTCATCGCGGTCAATATTTATATTCAAATTCACGATGGAAGCTGGAATCCTGAAACAGGAGGAAGCGCATCTGCCGAAGCGAATCTAAGCGAAGCGGAGTTGAAGAAACTCAAAAGCAAGAAAAAGAAAGGTAGACGTTCGTTTCTTTTCATTATTATGATGCAATATTATGTCTGTCTGAAATCCATATTCTCGTTCTTAGAAGCGCTAAAGAAAAAGAAGGAGGACGAGAAAAAGAAGAAAGAAGGCGCGAAGCGAAACGCAGAGCCTGTGAAAGAAGATCCCCTCGAACCGGAAAAGCTGCTCAAAGAGGCGCAAGAAAAGGCACTTGAGAAAGCAAAAGAATGGTGCCAGTGGCTTGAAACGCTGAGGTAATCGCTTTTCACCTGAGATTGTGTCTTTACAAACGAATTCCAGCCCCAATTGGCTCCCGGGACAAGTTGCTGCATATGAGCTAGCAAAGAGGCGTAAGCAGCCCTTCCAGCAGCTGAGAGCGGTTAAGCGGCTTATTAATCATCACGGACTAGACAACGCGGCCGTGCACTTCACTGTCTGCGACTGGATCAGCCAGGCAAAGCAGACAATTGACTCCGTTGAAGATGAAGTTGTCTCGAAAGTGCTAGCTGATGGACATGGCGAGATCCAGGCGCTTACAGGAGATGTAGCTTCTTATAACAAAAAGTATTTGACAGGTACTCTTCCTTGATTTCAGATCTTCGTAAGATATAATCGATTTTGGAAGTCTTCATTTATAACATCAAATATCTTTAGATAACAGATCATCATATCCTCATCGCCTCCAGGTCGCCCGCGTCGCCAAGATCGTCGAGAAATCGGACGACATCGAATCTATCATCGAAGGCGACTTTTCCGCCGGTACTATCGATGATTACAAAGAAGGAGTTGCCTTGTCCAAGAGCTCAAAATTGATTGAAGCTGCTAAATCCCTGTTCCCTCTTGCGATTGAGTTCGGAGCCGAATCGGATAATCCCCCTCGGTAAGTCATCTTTTCCGTTGGCTATTGGAATCAGGCTCCATTTAGAATGCTGAAGGAGTTCGACCAAAGCAACGGTCAAAAGAACGAAAAGTAATCTGTGAATGAGATCACGAATACCGTCTTCCTCACAAATGGCTTGCAAATTAGAATATTTTTAATATTTATTTAATTTCATATCAATAATGACTTGTGCATGAGTTAACACATGTGGGTTTACTTTTTTCTATCTGCCAACCAAACGCCACACAGAAGAACGCCTTGAAAGAACAAGCTACCAAGTGATTAGACAAAATTAAAAATCGCAACAATCTCCAGACTTTTTTTTAAAGATTATGAATCGGGTCGTAAGTCGGAAATTGAGTGGGTATCAAAAGCTAAGACCAAAGAAGAATGTCAAAGCAACAGGCGTAGGGATCAAAGTCAGTTTTATTGAAGAATTAAAAAAAAAAACGAAAAGCGTTTTTGATCCCCAAAGGAGCTGGTAGCGCCAAACAAACAACTCGGCTTTGTCAAGCCGAAAACGGGCTATCTTGAAGTCGAAACCGGACGGACCATCGGTGGCAAGAAAGAGATCAAAATCATCGAGTCCGACGAGATGCTCCAGATGCGCATGATCGAAATCAAGCGGGAAGAAACGTTCCAGAAGGTGCGCTGGTATTTGCCCATTTTTCTTTTCTTGGCATCGTCGTGGGTGTTTCTTGGCTTCAGTGACTCACAGATCAAACCCTCGGATGCGTATGTCGACTATTGGCAGGAAAAGAATCCGGAGAAGTCTTTGATTGAAATTGCTAAAGAACGATATCAACTGATGAAAGAATATTATAATGAAAATGTCAAATGATTCCTTTTGTCTAATTCAATCAGCTAATTTTATATTAATCACTTTTTATTTTTCAATTATTTAGAAAAAATGGTGGTGTATAATTTGTATATTTTGGGCAAAAACGGACAGTCGTTGTTCTACCGAGAGTGGCTAAGGGAACAGAGCTCGAACCTATCGAGGGATGAAGAGGACAAGCTTATGGTTGGCTTGCTCTTTTCTCTTTCAAATTTTGCGAGGAAAATGTCGAGTACGCCGGGAACTGGGGCCTTCAAGTCATTCAAGGTACACAGGACTTTCTTTCGTCTTACCAAAATTTAGACATCCAAATACCAACTGCACTACTGGGAAAGTCCGACTGGAATCAAGCTTGTGCTGAATACATCTACAGACGTCGAGCCTTGCCACGACCACTTGTCCACCCTCTACCACCACATATTTATCCAAACCGTAGTCAAAAATCCCCTTGTTCCGCTCACGGAGCCAATCAACTCTTCGTTATTTGTCTCTAAGCTGGATGCCTTCATAAAACAACAGACATTCTTTCAGGATTAGTGCTGCTTTGTTAAAATAACCATGTGCAATTTTTCAAATTTATCGCGCTTGTTTTCAAGTTCGTGGCGAGATTCTAGATCTATACCCTGTCTGTTTGTGCAAATCTTCATTTCTAATTATTATTCATCCGCCTGCCATCGTTGGATGTTCAGTCCTCATGACTACCTTAAGACTTACGGACGTGAGAAGTGGGATTCCCTGTTACAAACCATGTCTTTTCCACCAGGGGGACCCGCCAGTCAAGGACTGGGGTCACAGAACCCACCTCCTTCACAGCCAGCACAAGTAAGTTACCAAAATGTACGTAAAAACGTCTGGGTATAATGAACTCGATGTTTTCAATCTATCACGTGTTCAAAAAGGCTTAACTTCTAGATACATACAATTTATCAGGATATAATGATAAGGTTTTTCATAATAGATACTAGATATATATTTTTCACTGCTGCCAGTAAATATGTCGAAGAAAAAACGCTCTAAAAAGAAGAATGAAAATATTACTAAACAAAACGCTAAAAAGAGCACTAAACATGCCTCTAAAAAGCCCGTGGTCTGGTACTTGTACACGGGGATACACCCTTGGTTACAGAATCAGTTTAACATACAGCCTGCCAAATACGTTGACCTGAATACAGGAAATTCCGGTTTGCAGTTCTTCAATGAACAAGTGAAAACTGAGTATTCATCGCCACCTGTTATTTATACTCGTCCACACCCTACTCCTAAAATAGATTTTCTTCCCGCACCATTGCGCTACAAGGTTGTTTTCATGAAAAATATTTCCTTCTATCTTTATTTTCATAAATTTTCTTTTAGCTAACACCGCCCAATTCGCAAGCTCCATCACAAGCGCCATCAACGTTAACTAGCACGCCAAGTCCACAACAAAGTCCATTAGCTTCTTCAATTGCAATGGGGACCTCTTCGCTCTCGCTTTCTAGCTCCCTTCAGTCACACAATAGGTAAGATCCCGTTGAGATCGCTTCTATAAGCGGGTTTTTAGCTTGAGCCAACAAAGTCAAATGTCTGCTCCTCCAATGACCGCCCCATCAATAATGAGTGGCAATACGCAGCCAAATAATAATCTCATCGCCCCTTCCCTTTCTGCAAACCAGCCAAACCAATTCGAAATGCCCCCATCTAACTTCCAGCCACCTCAACAGCCTTTGCAGCCACCGCCAAGCTTGCAGAATCCACTTGGTAAGCGTTTCTTTTCGCTCAATACATACTCACGCTTATCGAAGGTCAACCCCAACCGCCTATGCATACACAGCCCAATCTTGGAGTTCTCGGAGGCTCTTTACCTCCTCTTACTTCCGAGCGGCCAATGAGCCTCGGATCATCCAGCATGGGATCAGCGAGCATCGGTCCTCCCGGATCTAGCATCAGCGGAATGTCAATGGGCCCGCCTAGCTCCATGGGACCAGGACCGATGGGGGGCAACCATGGTTTCCCACCAAACCCATCTCCTTCGATGTCTGTCGAGCGATTTCCTTCAGCAGCTCAGCCTCGACAAGGTATAATCAAAACTTTTATTTCCTGTCTCATACTCTATTAGGAGCTCTTGATGGATTCACAGCGCCACAGAGACCAGGACTTGGCAGCAGTGGCAAACAAATAGTGCTAAAAGCGAACTACTTCAAAGTCAACATTCCCAACGGCGATCTTCACCACTACGATGTCGACATTCGACCGGACAAGTGTCCTCGTCGTGTGAACCGGGAAATCATCGAAAATATGGTTGAAAACTTCAGAAATCAAATCTTCCAGGTAATTTATCCATTTTCAAATTAATTTCAACTGAACATATCTAGGACCGACGACCTGTATTTGATGGAAGACGCAATATGTACACCGCACAACCTCTTCCAATCGATCGACAGCGAGTTGAGCTCGATGTCACTCTTCCTGGAGAAGGTCGCGATCGAACTTTCCGAGTTGCTATCAAGGTAAAGTACTTGTTGTAGGACTTATTCTAATATTCTATCAGTGGGTCGCCAGAGTTTCTCTTTACTCGTTGAAACTTGCGCTCGATGGACGCCTTCATGGCATTCCCTTCGAAACTATCCAAGCTCTTGACGTTGTCATGCGCCACTTACCATCGATGAGATATGCTCCAGTCGGGCGGTCATTCTTCTCAGCTCCTGTTGGACAAACTCCACCACTCGGAGGCGGCCGAGAAGTCTGGTTTGGATTCCATCAAAGTATGCGCCCTAGCCAGTGGAAGATGATGTTGAACATTGATGTATCTGCTACTGCCTTCTACAGAGCACAGTCTGTCATTGACTTCATGTGCGAAGTGCTCGATACTCCACGAGATGAACTTCGCCAGTCGAGAGGCCTTACTGACTCTCAGCGTGTCAAATTCACCAAAGAAATCAAGGGACTCAAAGTTGAAATCACCCATTGTGGCCAGATGCGAAGAAAGTACAGAGTTTGCAACGTGACTAGACGACCTGCAAGCCATCAGGTACTTTCATATACGATTATGTCTTTCTCATTTTTCATAGACATTCCCACTTATGCTCGACTCCGGACAAACCATTGAATGCACCGTGTCTCGATACTTTCAAGAGCGTCATAACCGGGTAAGCAAAAATTTAGTTGAAACTTTTTTAACATTACAAGGTTCTTGAATATCCCTTCCTGCCATGCCTTCAAGTGGGCCAAGAGCAAAAGCATACCTACTTGCCCATTGAAGTCTGCAACATTGTCGCCGGTCAGCGATGCATCAAAAAATTGACAGACTCTCAGACTTCTACAATGATCAAAGCCACCGCCAGGTTAGCTGATTGAATAGCGACTGATTATTAATTTATCCTATCAGATCTGCCCCTGATCGAGAGCGCGAGATTACAGACCTCGTTTCCAATGCAGGATTCAATAATGATCCCTACGTTCGAGAGTTTGGCATCGAAGTTATCGATGTAATGACAGAAGTACGAGGACGCGTCCTCCCCGCCCCTAGACTCCAGTACGGTGGCGTCAATAGGACACAGCTCCAGGTTCAGGTAAAAGTTGGAAACTAGGTCTTGCTGATCATTTATTATTCAGGCGATTCCGAACCAAGGTGTCTGGGACATGCGAGGCAAGCAATTCCACACTGGTATTGAAATCAACGTCTGGGCAATCGCGTGCTTTGCTCACCAACGCCAGTGTCCAGAAAACAGCATCCGAAATTTCACTCGCTCGTTGCAACGCATTTCAGAGGATGCTGGTATGCCGATCCGATCTGGACCAGTTTTCTGTAGATACGCTCAAGGTAATTTATTGTATTGGATGCATAGAGGACTACCGAAAATATTTAGGATCTGACCAAGTTGAGCCGATGTTCAAGTATCTGATGCAAGAATTCCGCAACCTCCAGCTCATCGTCGTTGTCCTCCCCGGCAAGACGCCCGTTTACGCCGAAGTCAAGCGCGTCGGAGACACCTGCCTTGGCATTGCCACACAGTGTGTCCAAGTCAAGAACGTCAACAAGACCTCGCCGCAGACACTATCTAACCTTTGCCTCAAAATCAACGTCAAACTTGGTGGAATCAACAACATTCTGGTGCCGAACATGCGCCCAAAGATCTTCCAGGAGCCCGTTATCTTCATTGGCGCGGATGTGACCCATCCACCAGCCGGAGGTTTGTGTCGTGTTATAGTTAATCATGCTCACAAAAGGTTTAGACAAGCGCAAACCATCAATCGCTGCGGTTGTTGCGTCTATGGACGGTCATCCGTCTCGATACTGCGCCGCAGTACGAGTTCAAAAGCACAGACAAGAAGTCATCGACGATCTTGCTAATATGGTCAAGGAGCTAATGATTCAGTTCTACAAGAACACTCGCTACAAGCCTGTGAGAATCATCGTCTACCGGTAATTAAAAATTGCGAATGGCCCACTTTTACGAATTTATTAGCGATGGAGTTTCCGAAGGTCAGTTCCAAACTGTTCTTGCTCACGAGTTGCGCGCCATTCGCGAAGCTTGCGTCAAGCTTGAGCCATCTTACCAGCCCGGTATTACCTTCGTCGTTGTTCAAAAACGCCATCACACTCGGTAAGTGGAACTGATTACAAACAACCCAAAATCTCTTTTTAGACTTTTCTGCAAGAACAAAGACGACAAAATTGGCAAGTCTGGAAACATTCCTGCCGGTACTACTGTCGATGTTGGAATCTGTCACCCAACAGAGTTCGATTTCTATCTTTGCTCACATGCTGGTATCCAGGTATAAATATAGTTCAAAGATAAGGCCGCTAAAAATGATAAGGGAACCTCACGACCATCGCACTATCATGTTCTATGGGACGATAACAATTTCACCGCTGATGAGCTCCAAGTGTTGACCTATCAGGTATGTCTCAAGTTGAAATCATTGAGGACTAACACCGATTTTAGTTGTGCCACACATATGTTCGCTGCACACGATCAGTGTCCATCCCCGCGCCAGCTTACTACGCTCACTTGGTTGCCTTCCGCGCGCGCTACCACTTGGTCGACCGTGATCAGGACTCCGGCGAGGGCTCGATGATGTCAAGTGTCAACTCGCTCAACGACGCGGGCTCCCACTATCAAGCGATGGCCTCCGCTGTACTCGTCCACAGCAACACGAAAGGCACCATGTACTTCGCCTAAAACGATCATCACAAACACTTGTTGCTTTCTATACTTTTTTCTCTCGCCTGTTCCTTGTTTATCTCTTTTATAGCTGCACCGGGTTACTTTTTGTCCTTTTTTCGCGCGCCCGGGCGCTTTCCGGATGTGAAATCATATTACTTTTTCCGTCGATAATAATTTTTGTAATGCGCCTAAAATTATGCCTCAAAACAGCCGTCGCGAATTTTTTACCAAAAAAACGTTTCTGTTCAACAATTTAACACCGAGCAGTTTTCTTACATTGAACCGCGTTAACAAACACTACTAAAAAGCCAAGGCCACAAACGTTCTGACAAAGGAATAAAATATATTTTTGTTCATATTTTATCTTGACACCTGGTTTCGCCTCTTCATATCGTATCGAAATACCCATCCCGTGTCCTGTTTTTATAACGCTTTACAAATGTTATGCTCTACAAATTTTAACGGTCAAATACTAGCATCAAACAAAATCATCGTGATTCTCCAATACTCTAGGGTCGTTTCTGTGAAGCCTAGAATATGAAAAATACTTAATACTTGTTCCTGTAGTATCCACGAACCTGATCATCAACTAGGATCGCCTATTATCTCCTATTTTGAATGTCAAATCAGCATATAAAGGTGTTAAAAACACCCCGTGGTGGGGAAAAGGTCAAGATATCTAGCCATCAAATGATCTCATAGGAACGTTTTCAGCTGGATATTATTCATTTGTGTCTGTTCCTGTTTGATCAGATGAGATTTTCCCCGAAATTGTGTTCCTACTTCTCATTTTTTCCTCCTCGTTAACGGCAGTCTGACCGTGAGTAAAAAAAACGAAAGCTTATATTTACTATTTTTACTTTCTCTCCCGTCGCAAGAGCTTGAAACCGCACAAAAAAATGGTCACAAATACTCAAAAGTAAATGCAGCAAATGGTACCACCATCTAAACATCAACCTGCTTAAGTCCCAATCACTCAGAGCCAATCACTCTTTATACTTAAAGTCCTTTCTTCGCTGGCCACTTGATGTCGAGCTGTAACAAAAAAATAACGCAGTTGAGGTCTTTTTTAAATCCGTCTTCATTCCGACCAGGTCATCATTAATAAAAAACCACTTTACTCAATCTATCTTCATTATTTTAATTGATACGAAAAAAACCTAATTTGCCTATAAAAAGCTCCAAACTACTTCTACTACTTTCTGTTAGGCTCGGCCCCTTGGGAGAGTTTTCTATCTGACTAACTTCTTGGCCACCCGAAAAGTCCACCCCCTATTCTTTGAAATCTCGGTTGAAAAAGTTGCTGAACCCAGTTTTTAATCAATAGCCTTTTCGCTGGCCGTCCGACGTCAACCTCAAATGGCTACCTAATAGTCCTTTTTTCCCGAATTTTACCTTACCTTTGTTATTCCTTAATTTTGGCCTTAGTACAACTGAACACTCTTCACCTTAAAACACACTGTTACCAACACACAGTCCCTCTTGAACTGCGCCCGAGCTTGAATTGAAAAACAACTTTTAATGTTACAACCAATAATTACACCTACGCCCGAGTATGTTCCATTACCCACCTGAACACCATCATTTTTAGGTGATCGATCTTTCTGCTCATTTTCAATTTTTGATCTTTGCCAAAGACACAATAAAAAACCTTTTGCTGTATTCTCACGGGTCTCCCTGATGTCTAGCGCTGGTCCCAAAAGTTCCACAAACTTCGGTTCCGTATTTTTCGTTCCTTATTTTTATCGCTGAAAATCTTTCTGTACTACTAATCATCTGATATAACCGTGAAACAAGATGCGCACACACACACATAAGAACACTCTCACACTTTTACATGCTTGTTTTTGCAAAAATATATAAATATATAAGAAAATAAATAAGCTTCAAATTCTGAATTCGGTGATTTTCTGAGCTTGAGTCTATCGCTCTCATTCTTTTTTCTTTCTTCATTATATATCTAGCCTATACATTGATGCAAACAGGAGTCACTCTTGAATTACTATTAGCAAATCATGCAAAAAAAATCAACGAAAATCTTCATCAAAACGAGTTTTATTATATTTACAAGATTATTTAATTTTCCTTGTTACAATTACGCATGCATTGGCAGAAAATAAAGCTAGATGAAAAGGTGATTTGCAGCAAAAAGTTTCATGTTCTTCAGCTTGTGAAATTCCTTTTGAGGTAAAATGAGTCCATGTCCACAAATCAATTCGATTCAATGCCGGGACTTTTTGTTACTTGAACGGATGACAGACCACATTGCAGGCAATTTTGTTAAACAAAATCAGACCCACATTTAACGATCCATTTATCAGTTTCATCCGCGGAATTTTCCACAGTTATTATCATAAAGCATTAAAGAAAACTAAACCCGCTAACCTCCGATGATATCGCACAGACCGAGTTTCTATTTGACCGATTTGTTCCTTGATCACCTACTATGCTCGCAAGCTCGTCAAAGCTCCTCCTTGATTTAGCAGCTTTATCTTCTCTTACCTTATTTTTGCCCCTTATTGACTATTGCTCAACCTGTCTACCGCTGATCTTCTTTTACCGACTTTAAACAGTAGCTATACTCATTTTAACATCGTAAACTTGTCTGATTTTTACCGAGTACAAATCTCACTCAAACGCACTACTCTTTTATTTAACCATTTACTTCGATTTTCATTATTATTTACAGAGTTGTTTTAGGCTTTTCCAATTTTCCTTATTTTATCCGCTTATATGATATTTCCACCGATTGTGTTTCTTTTATCTCTGCATTTTTTACAAATTCTGCGCGTTTAAGTTCTTCACGTAAACCGAGAATGAAACGAACTTAACCTTCCAATCGTCGACAATATATTTTGTAACAATTTGGTTTAATTTCATGTGACTCTAATGCAAATAAATTTAGAAGGTAATTCACTATTACATTGAAAGCAATCAACCCAAACGGTGGGACGAGCTTCGGCTCCGACGTACCAAGGTATCTTTATATCTGATTTCTTTTTTCTTATATTTTTAGTTATTACCTCGACCCTTCTTTTGAACAGAGCATGCACTCGTCCAAATTTGACTTCAATAATAACGCGTCGGTAAGACTCTCTTCCACAATTATTCTATTAAAAACATGGTTAAACAGTCGTCCAACGATGAGTCCCCACCAGTCTCAACTCGATTCAACAATGGCTCGCCCGACTTGAAGTCGCTGCCTTCTTTCTATCCGGGAGACCATCCAATCTCCCCCGTCGGCCACCCATCTTCTCTATCAGTGGGATCGCATCATCCTGATCGATTCTCTGGAGGCACAGCAACAACTCGGAATGAACAGTTTCCTCCTCCATTTCGCCCCGATATCGGCACTCATGGACGGGCTATAATGCTCAAGTCGAACTACTTCAAAGTCGATATCCCCAACTCTGACCTGCATCACTACGATATCGATATTAAACCCGACAAGTGCCCGCGCCGAGTAAATAGAGAGATCGTGGAAATGATGGTTGAGAACTACAGGAACCAAATCTTTCAAGACAGACGGCCTGTCTTCGATGGAAGAAGGAACATGTACACAGCGCAGCCCTTGCCAATCGACAAACAAAAAGTGGAGTTAGATATCAGTCTTCCTGGTGATGGAAGAGAAAGAGTTTTCAAAGTGTCAATCAAATGGGTAGCGAGGGTTTCGCTTTTCTCATTGCAACTAGCTTTGGGAGGCCAAATCCATGGGATTCCATTTGAGACAATTCAAGCACTGGATGTCGTCATGCGTCATTTGCCTTCGATGAGGTACTCTCCTGTCGGAAGATCGTTTTTCTCAGCCCCTGCGAATGGGATCGGCAGATCCCTCGGTGGTGGGCGAGAAGTGTGGTTTGGTTTTCACCAGAGCATGCGCCCTAGTCAGTGGAAGATGATGCTCAACATTGACGTTTCTGCCACTGCTTTCTATCGCGCTCAATCGGTTGTTGATTTTCTCTGTGAGGTTCTTGAAATCTCCAGGAATGAGCTGTACCACGCTGGGGGTCTCTCTGACTCCCATCGAGTCAAGTTTATGAAGGAAATCAAGGGGTTGAAGATCGAAATCACTCATTGCGGCTCTATGCGAAGAAAATACCGCGTCTGCAACGTCACTCGCCGGCCTGCTAGTCACCAGACATTTCCACTCGTGTTACCCGAGAACGAACAGACAATCGAATGCACCGTTGCACGTTACTTTCAAGAACGGCATAATTACACGCTAAAGTTCCCCTTTCTTCCATGTCTCCAAGTTGGTCAGGAGCAAAAGCACACTTATCTTCCACTGGAAGTTTGCAACATTGTTCAAGGCCAACGGTGCATCAAAAAGCTGACTGACTCGCAGACATCAACGATGATAAAAGAAACCGCGCGCACTGCGCCAGAGCGTGAGAGGGAAATCTCCAATCTTGTCAAGAAAGCAGGATTCAACAATGATCCATATGTTCGTGAGTTCGGAATACAAGTTATCGATGAGATGACGGAAATACGAGGCCGCGTCCTTCCCCCGCCAAGACTCCAATATGGTGGAAATAATCGAAATAATATCCAAGCAACGCCAAACGGAGGAGTCTGGGACATGAGAGGGAAACAGTTTCATACTGGAATCGAGGTCAATGTCTGGGCGATTGCGTGCTTCGCCCATCAAAAACAATGCGCGGAGCAAAAGTAATAATTTATCAGCTCTCACTTTTTAGTAAAGTTTTAGCTTGCGAATGTTCATTAAAAAGCTCCAGCAAATATCTGAAGACGCTGGAATGCCCATTCGATCTGGCCCCGTTTTCTGCCAATTCGCACAGGGTTCAGATCAAGTCGAGCCGATCATGAAGTTCTTGATGAATCGGTATCCCAATCTTCAACTGATCATGGTCGTCCTTCCCGGTCGAACACCCGTTTACGCTGAAGTCAAGCGTGTTGGCGATACGCTCCTTGGAATCGCTACCCAATGTGTTCAAGTAAAAAACGTGACTAAAGTCACAACCCAGACGCTGTCCAATCTGTGCCTCAAGATCAACGTAAAACTAGGCGGCATCAACAACATCCTGGCTCCAAATGCGCGTCCACGAGTTTTCAACGAGCCCGTCATTTTCATAGGAGCTGATGTCACTCACCCACCTGCTGGAGGTAACGAATTAATCAAATAGGATGCTAAGTTTATTCAAAAAAGATCGTCGCAAACCATCGATCGCTGCTGTTGTAGCGTCAATTGACGCGCATCCAAGCCGCTATTGCGCTTCTGTTCGAGTTCAACGCCACCGTCAAGAGTCCATCGAAGACTTAGCGACCATGGTCAAAGATCTAATGCTCGAGTTTTATAAAGCGACGACTTACAAGCCCGTGAGAATTATTGTATACCGGTTAGGCTCGGCTTTTATTCAATTTTCTTGACAAAAACAATTCAGCGGAGGAGTCTCCGAGGGACAATTCCAAGCTGTTCTCACACGAGAGCTGAAAGCGATCAGAGAAGCGTGTGTCAAGCTAGAAGATAATTATCAGCCTGGAATCACTTACGTCGTTGTTCAAAAGCGCCATCATACTAGGTTATTAAATAAGCTATCGCTGATAAAGAAATTAAAATGAGAATTTAGGCTCTTTTGCCGCCAGTCAAGCGACAAATGTGGAAAGAGTGGAAATATTCCAGGTTAGGAAGAGCATTAAACGCACAGCTAACTTATTATTTCTTATAAAGCTGGAACTACAGTAGATATGGGAATTTGTCACCCAACAGAGTTCGACTTCTACCTTTGTTCCCACGCAGGAATTCAGGTTTGATCGATTTTTTACTCAATCAAGGTGTGAAAATATTTCTAGGGAACATCAAGACCATCTCATTATCATGTTCTTTGGGACGACAATGAATTTTCAGCCGACGAGCTGCAAAATCTTACCTACCAGGTTTTCATTTCTCGTTGAAAAAAAAAAGATTATTTCTGTAGCTATGCCATACTTACGTCCGATGCACTCGATCTGTGTCTATTCCGGCGCCGGCTTACTACGCGCATCTGGTGGCTTACCGCGCGCGCTATCACCTCGTCGACAAAGATTACGACTCTGGCGAGGGTTCCCTCATCTCCGGCACCTCTTCTCGCGACGTGACCGACATCAGTCAATACCAATCGATGGCCAAAGCAATTCAAGTTCACCAAAACACGTTTGGCTCAATGTACTTTGCTTAAAGCATCCCTTCCCAAAAAAGAGTACCAACTCATGAAATTATATGCACAAATGTATCCTCCTTACGCAACCCTCTTTTCACAGTGATCTTTTGCCAGAAGATAATTTCACCCAACCAACCAAGGGCTGTCTCTTGAGCTGTACTATCGTTACACAAAAAGTTCATTCTAGCCACTTAAAACCTAAACTCTATTATCAACAGAAAACGTCTCCCAAATGCTCCCCCCTACTTCGCCCATATACAAAAATGTGCTACTTCTGCTTTATTCTTATTTTTCCTTGACCTTTTTGGTTGCGCAAACCCCGCAAATGCGCGCTTCGAACTTGGAGTTTATTTTGAATAGTTCGGACGTGTGAAACACAGTCGGGTTTGTCGGATAATGCCCAGAACGGTGGCCATCTTGTGATGGATTCGCAAAATCGAGAGAATCAAAGAGTGCGATTCTGGCCTTATCCGACATGCTTTCTCTTTGTTGTCAGCTAACATCTCTAAATTTTAACCTTCTTTACTGTCATTGTGTGCAGTACAATATTCAGCAGTAGCATTATACATCTATTCAGTGTACTTTTCAATCGGTGTTTCTCGTTTTCAGCCTAGTTCTGCTATCAATCTAATCCCTCTTTTACCAATTTTTCTATCTTTACTAAACCAATGTCTTCTACTTCACCAACTTTACTTTCAGTTTTCTCCAGCTTACAGTACTAATACGCTTTGCCTTCCTTTTCAACCCTTTTTCGTTGTCACTTCTATTATCAACAAGTGTTTCTCTTCCGGAGCTGATCCCCATTCATTATTTCTTTCAACGTAGCTTCTCTTACTTCAGAAACTTATGTTTATGAAACGCTCGTTTTTAAGAATTTCCCTGACGTTTTCATAAAAAAGAATGGATCCGGCGCTGGGAGCCGCGTCGCCCATGTCAGGTGGCAACAATCAGGCCCCCGGTTTAGCCGCCCTTCCGAAACGCGAAGAGATTCCTTCAAGTCGAAGTTCGATGGCCGATTCTGCCTCCGAAATGTCCGAAAGCGACACTGACGCAATGTCCTTATCAGGTAGCCTACTAGAACCTGCTCGCGAACCGGATTTTTAAGGCATTTCAGGATTCTCTGACTACAATCGCGGCTCGACAAGGCAAAGAACGATCATTGAGGAGCAATCTCAGCGGATAAATACGATGGCACAGGAGAATCGAGTGATGAAAATTGAAATCGACAAATACAAGATCCAAGTCGGAGCTCTCCAGGAAGAAATAAGAAGACTCCGACAAGCGTCCGTCAATATTCAAGCGCGCGCAGAGCAGGAGGAGGAATACATCTCCAACACGCTTTTGAAAAAGATTGAAGAGCTCAAAAAGGAAAAGGTAGATCAAAAAGCGCTCATTTTTATCTATGCTACATTTCTAGGAAACGCTAGCAAATTATTACGAGAAGGAAGAAGAATTCTTGACAAATCAGCTCAGCAAGAAACTTAACCACCTTCGACACGAAAAGTGCAATTTAGAGGTATTTTCCTGAACCCTTTTTCCCTCTAAATTTGATTTTCAGAGAACCCTAGAACGCGAGCAAGAATATCAAGTCAATAAGCTCATGAAAAGAATCGAAAGAATGGAGCGGGAAGCTCAAACGAAGCATACTTCCTTGGATCAGGTAAAACAAGGTAGAAAAAACTCAACGAATAAGATCTGTTTCAGCTTCGCCGAGAAAAAGTAGAGCTAGAAAATACTCTCGAGCGAGAGCAAGAAGCTCTAGTCAATCGGCTCTGGAAAAAGCTTGAGCGGCTTGAGACCGAGAAGAAGCACCTTCAAGCAAAGATTAATGAAAAGTAAGTCGTTCTGTTCTTACAGAGCTTACATAGTATTCAGGCATGCTTCCGGTACCCAAGTGGAGCAACCAAGCAGCAACCCCCGCCCAGTTGTAAAGAACGACAATTCAGAAAAAGTAGAATCACATGTAAAACACCTAAAACGAGAAGTCGACCGGCTACGCAAGCAGCTCTTTCAATCAACCCACGAAAGTAAAGTTTCTTTTTATCGTTTCAAATAATTAATTTCTATTTAGGTTCTGCGCAAATGCGCTCGATGGAGACAGAAGAGAGGCAGCTCCGAGAGAAGAATATGCATCTTCAGAGAAAATTGCAACAAGAGATCGAGCGGCGCGAAGCACTCTCCCGTCATCTTTCTGAGTCTGAGTCCAGTCTCGAGTTGGAGGCTGATGAGCGGTAAGAAACAGCCGTTTTAGTACACCTTGTTTAACATTGCGAAATCCTAGTTATTTTCAAAACGACTTGGCGTACACTCGCGGTCGTCACTCGCCTGGCCCGTACAGTTCCATCCACCCAGCCACAGTTTCTTCCGTTTCTTCAAGTTCATCCGGGTTTGTCCAGACATCAAGCTCGGCTTTCACGACACCGGTCAGTCCTTATCGAAGCAACAACCATCAAAACAACGCCATTCCACAGGTATTCCAATATGACAGCAGAAGACCCCTTTTTATTTGATTTCTAGCGATCTTCCCGTTCTGTAACGACCCCGGACCGGTTTGTAAAGCCGAGTCCCCCACCAAGCCCAGGTCAACAACGCTTAAAAGACTACTAATTAATCACACGTCATGAAACTTTCAAGAAGAAAACTGAACAACAGAAAACTACAGATAACGACCTTACTGTGCATCAAGAGACATCCTTTTTTACTTTTATCTTCTCCTAGGAAACTTCACCTAAACTACTGGTAGATAATTTCAATAAAATAAATGGACGTCAATAATAAACCAATGCCTTCAAGCGTGGAAAATTTTTCGTTTCACGATTGATGCTATCTTTGTGTCTCTTCCTCGTTTTATCTTCAAAAGCATCTAACAAACAACTAGCTTTTGGCCAGTTTTACGCAAAAACGGTCAGTCGAAATATTGCAAAACAGAAGTAAGAGCTTTATTTTTAAGAAAATTTTTGAAAGATATGAGACTGGAGGAATTTGACGTGAGGAAAAAGATATCCAAAGGAGCATTCGGTGATGGTATGACAACGGTTTTCATTAAAAATAAGAGAGGTTGATTTTTTTAAAGTTTACCTTGCGAAGCACAACGGACAGTACTATGCTCTGAAAGCAATCGACAAGGACAACATCTACCGAAAGAATATGCTGAATGAGATTGTCGCTGAAAAAGACATTCTATCACAGTTGTCAGCGCCGTTTGTGGTCCAAATGACTTACTGTTTCCAGTCGACGAATTTGATCTACTTTGCCATGGAGTATTGCTGCGGTGGAGACTTACAGGGCCTTCTCAAAGGAGTTCAATATTTTGAAGAGCCAGAGGTATTTTATCTTTTTTTTTTATATAAAAAATAACGGAACTCAGGCCGTGTATTACATAACACAAATCGCAGTCGGACTACGTTTTCTCCACGAGCGCGGTATCATCCACCGCGATCTCAAACCAGCGAATATTCTGTTAACGGCAAACGGCACGGTCAAATTGTCTGATTTCGGTTTGGCGGCCAAGTCGACCCAATACCGCAGGCGGAAAGTCTTTGGAACACCTGGTAATACCTCATCAGTTTTAGCATCTCACCAAACCGAAATTAGGACAAGTGAGATCTTTCAAACAGAGACTCATTCTACGCGGAGTGTTACCAGAGAAAACACCAGCGCTGATCGGTAAAACAAGAACACAACATGCTGGCGGAGACGGGCCTCCTATCCCTTTGGAAATGGGCTCGAGCGACGAAGAGGCAGACTCAAAGGATCCTTTTTCGGAAGACAACATGATTGTATCGAAAGAAGGAACGCCAAAAACACCTGTTTCCGCTGGCAGACGCTCCACCGGCGACAACATGAGCTCGACAACTCCCAGCAGACATATGCGTCGTCTGAGCTCCGCTACAAAGGTCGACATGTGCGAGTACACGCCTTCGAAGATGGTCGGTAGTCCAAACTACATGTCCCCGGAGCTAGTGCAGGATCATAAAGTTTGTTCGATGAGTGACTGCTGGTCACTTGGTGCTGTTTTATTTGAGTTTTGTCTTGGCTTGCCTCCGTTTTACTCAGACACAGTTGATGAGGTAAGCTTTGCGTTTTCGTCTTATCTTTTATATAAATTTAGGTCTTTGATAAAGTCAAAAAAGGCGATGTGGATTGGGAAGAGGCGAGCGAGTTCTTGAGCGAGCAGATGAAAAATCTTCTACAAAAGCTTCTACAACTGACGCCGAACGATCGTCTCTCAGCGGGTGAAATTCTACAACATCCAGTCATCAATGAGTATTTTGGCGAGAGATCAACACTCGAAGAAACGATTCAAAAAGTCAAGGATGCTGAACCACCTGTAACGCCGGAATTAGACGACCCAGAGGATCTTTTGTACTTTCAATGATCTAAATTTAAGTGCACCTGAATTTCTTTACTATTCACATTCAATGGTACTTCCACATTCCTCTATCGTCACACTATCAACTTGCCTTCGTCTTCGAGTTTACTTAAAGCTTTATTTTTTAAGAAAATTATGGAATCGGTAGTTGAACGGTGTAAGAGAGAGACACATAAGTTCAAGAAATTGTACGACTTCGAATCGGCATACTGGTGGGCAGAGAAATGGTTCTCCTCGTTATTGAGCGATGATGAGACTTCTTCGAATGCCAAGAATTTGAACTTGTTTGATTCAAAATGGGTTAACTTTCCAAGTAAGGAAAATCATCCTTTCGTTTCGATAACTTTTTCCTAGACAATGTAATCGACTCGTCATTGATGGAGCCGCTGGAGGAAATGATCAGCTGTTTGATTCACAATTTTGAGTTCGCTCGAGCTGTTCATTTCATCAAGACCAACGGGCTGCACATCAATTCCAAGACCTTCTTCTTGCTCCTTCTTCACTGCCAAGTGCAGCTTCGCGATTGGAATAACGCAGAACAAACTCTCATCGACTACGATGACAGACTGGTTGGCAAAGCTGATCTGACGAATCTGACAGCATCAGAAGATCCCCAGCAGGCCAGAATCGCCCATTTGAAAGGAGTGGTTTTCAACGCGCTAGAGAAACGAGAACTGGCAGTCGACGAGTTTAAATTCAGTGTCAAATCGGACGCAACGGCTGTTTCGAGCTTATTGACACTGGCGAATAGAAAGATGATGCCGGAGAAAGAAGCTCAGTGTTTTATCGAAGACCTGTTTTCCGATCAGAAGGAAGGAGAGTTGAGAAATGTGTATGAAATGCATTTGACGCCGACCGAGTATACTCAGAAAGTAAATCAAAAAGAAAATCCACTATCGAATATGTGTTCTATAGGTATTTCTGATTGGTAAAATATTGTTTTCAAAAAATATTCAGAGAATCTGATTTGGCAAGTAGAAGATCAGATGTCAAAATTTAACAACGACACCGCTTTACGGTTAGTTTTCAAAAACCCTGATCTGATAATATAAAATTGAAGGCTCTCTTCAAAACTTATGAAGATTGATCCTTACGACGAGCGAATTCTTCTCAATCACATAGGCCTGCTTGCAGAGTCAGACCAGTCCAATGAGCTGTATAAACTTGGGCATTTATTGATCGGACTTGATCCAGACAAATGGATCGGTTGGTATTGCGCGGGATGCTATTACATGGTCGTGAAGAAACATATGAAAGCTATTGATATGCTTCGAAAGGCGCTGACAAAGGACCCGAATTTTGGGCATGCCTATCTAGCACTCGGGCATGTTTTCAGGTAGGAATATTAGTTCAAAGTCACTTCTATCATCATCTAGCGAGGAAAAAGAACATGATCAAGCGATGAACTCCTACCTCTCCGCCCAAAGAGTGATGAGGGGCTCGGCGTTGCCTGATTTATATGTGAGCGTGACCTACAGATCAATAGGAAATTATGAAGATGCACATTCATTCATCAAACAGGCCTACAATTGTGAGCCACAGAATCCACTGGTGCTTCATGAATACGGAACGAATCTGATAAAGCTGGAAGATTATGAGGATGCGACCAAGTTTATGAATATGGCGCTGAATATTCTCATGCAGAACGCTCGACGCAACCGACAAACTGAATGTAAAATCTGTTTCCTGAATCTTTTTATGAAATTTTTTAGTGTCTCCGAAATGGGCTCCATTGCTCTTTAACCTCGGCACTGCCTTACGCCACAAGGGAGATTTCAACGAAGCGATAGAACTGCATAAGCGAGCACTTATCCTCAGCTCCAATTCTGCCGAAGCGCATATCATTCTAGCCACCTCGCTCTTTGCCGATAATTTATTCGAGTCAGTCGAGCAGCTTCAAAACGCAATGACTTACAATCGCCAGGATTCATTTACGAACGATATTTTGACAAGAGTGATGAATGAACTTGGTAAAGAAGACCATTCGGTGCTGTTTGAAGATTCCAGTGATGAAGAAGACGAGCAAATAAAACCGCTTCCTTCGCAGCAGGATGTTCAGCAATTCGTAACTCCTCAAAATCGACCGAGACTGCAGGTAGAAAATAACTATCTTTGATTTAAAAAATTATGCGCTCCTAGTCGACTCCTCGAGAGTTCCAGTTCAATGTTGATGATTCATTCGATATGAGTATCGACGAAGATTCAAACATGGAGGATGGCGAGCGACTCGACAACTCCGGCGATTTAGACGCGTCTGACGATACATTGCCTCTTTAGAAGAAACAAAAATGAATACACTCACTGGCACATTTAACATGTTAAACACACATTTCCTTCAATTCAGTTCAAAAACTGCCAAAATACACTTTTTTACAATCTAAACTCACGAATTTTATGCAGAACATGAACTTGTCGAGCAGTCGATTCGCAAAAACGCTTCTTTCTTACAGACTTCAAAGAAGCCTTCATGTCATCTCGCAGTTTATTCCTCCTTCGAGCAGTGAAGTAACTAAATCGGATTTATACGTATCGACACAAGCAGATATAACGAGGAGATATTTCGAAGCTTCTGGTAGAAAAGCGCAGTTGAAAATGTTCTCCATCGACGGAATTCCGGCCAGTTTCGCGGATCACATGAAAGAGCTGTGTATCGAGGGAGTCCCTGAAGAGCCCGCTTTGAATTTTGAAAAAGTTATCCGGTGCGCGCATTTAAAATGATAAAAAAGATTAATATTTTCCTAGTGTTTTTGATGACCTAAACCAAAAAGGCTTCATCAAAAGAAAGAAGAGGCTCCACTGGGTAGACTCTGGGAATCGTCGATTTACAAACCCCGTCAGTAAGAAATCCACGGCTCAAGTTCTCGATGGCCATGGCTGTCGCTTGCAAGTTTATCGATATAATTATTTTCTTCTGGACGGAGACGAAGCTATTCAAGTGTTGAATATCTTCCCAGAGGAGATGTTGACGGAAGGATTCTTGAAGATTCATTCGAAGAATGTAAAATGTGGGCATTTAATTGGAAGAACGCTCGTAAATCCAGCAGGGCGAGAGCTCCAACTGATTGCGGATGACTCGCTGGAGATAACTGGAGATCCCGTTTCTGTCAGAGATCCTAACTCAATCGAGGTAATTTTCTGCAAGGAACGACTTGCTTTCACAATATTTTAAGCCATTCTGTCCTTATAAATCAACGATTTCCAATGAAGACTCGGATTTTTCGGGATGTCAAAGCGTGATTTCACCGAATTTATTCAAGAACAAGGGTCAAAAGAAAATACGGAGTGGAAGTACCGTGCGTGTCCTGATTCGGGCGAATGTCTGCGTCCACAAATCGGTGACGCTGTTCTTTTGTCTTTCAACGAGTCAGTGCGGAATATCTCTCAGCCGGATGGATTTCTCAAGATTCCTAATTGCTCGAATCTCTTCTTTTCTGACGAGTTTATCTCCGCTTCTTGCATATACGACGGCAACGGGATTTTCTCGGCGGATCCAAAGGTGGTTGATCTTACTCGGATATTGAATTCTACAGAACGAGGAACACGTGATCTTGCTGAATCTGATAAAACAAGAACAATTAAAGTGATCAACGACAACTTCGAAGTGCTCGAGGATCAGAAAGAAATCTGCAGATGGCTCATGTTTTCTGACGTATCAAATAAATTCGATGAAATGGATTCGAACTATAAACCTATTGAACCAATCGAAAAACTAACAAAGCTGCAAAATCAAATCAGAAAAGTATGCAAGTTGATTGAGAAGATACATCAAAATCACGGAGAATGTAGCGCTGACTCTGCTCATTTGGGCGGACTCGACAAGTTGTTCATGGCAAGATTCGTTCAAATGGCTGACAATCTTCATAATTCTGTCGAGGAAAATAACTTTGATAACTTCACCAACGAATTAGCGAACTTCTGGTTCAAAAGCATTTCTTGGAGAAACAAGGGTTACAAAGACTACGCAATACCGCTGATGTCGAAACCAAACGATGCAAGTAGAGCAGTTTTCCATCAATTTGCTTCCGTCGTGGATAATTATTTGCGATTTTTACGTCTTATTCTTCCTTCTTTCGCTGACGAAATGCGAGCACATCTCCCGATGTCTGTTCGAAAAGATGATGAGTTGTTTCCAGTTGAGAAGGCGAAGATGGTGCTCGAGCATTTGCCAGTTGATTACATCGAGGGATCGCATGAAATGGCACGGGCTGTGGTGTCGAGCGTTAATAACTTCGTGGTGCTCCTTGAGTCGGCCAATAAACTAGAAGGTGCGTAAGAGGAGATCTTTGTGCTTACTTATCCTGTTTAGTAAATATTTTGGAGTATGGAACTGCCATCGGTAGCGCAATCAACGAATTCCCCCAAATCATCTCGAAAGATGCGACCTGCAAAGTGAAGTATACAAAGCTCGCTGATCACATGTTCTTCGAAGATATGTTCTCACCTTATGATGGATATTTGACATCGAATGAAGAGGCTTGTGGAAATGCGTTCTATCTAGTTATTAACATCTCTGGGATGGAATACCTTTTGCCAAGACAGCATAACTTGATCAAAAAGCTCAACAGAAATATAGAATATGCGGAGATGGATCTCAAAACTATAAGAAAAAGGATAGCGACACTTGAAGGAACCAAAAGAACAGGTATTTCATCACACTCTTACAAACGCTCATTGATTTTTAGAAACGAAAGCTTACAAAGACTGTATGAAAAAGCATCAAAAGATGATGTACGAGCAAGAAAAGTGGATGATCAAGAAGACAAAAGTTCAACAGATCATAAACTGCATCGAAGATTCATCCTTTGCTGAGCCATAAGACGGCAACGAAAAACTGTACATGTGACTCTTCCTTGATTTCAAAATTCTTTCATTTCAGACCAAGATGCCCCCAAAAAGAGGGAATAAAAAGACGACAAGCTCCAAGAGATCTTCAGAGCTGTCGTTATCTGCGATGATTTTGATGAGTGTTTCTATCCAATCACTCTCGATGGGCCAAAGTGTCTCCTACCGATTGCGAATCGACCTACTCTTGCATATGTCCTCGATAATCTTGTTTTTCGATGCAAATTCCAGGAGATCCTTCTCGTCTCCAACAAGTATGGAAATGTCATCCAAAAATTTGTTCAGTCGAACTACAAAGGTAACTTCATCTGAGATTAACCAAAACTGTCAGTTTCTAGTGAACAACATCTGCAAAATTGAGTATCTTTCTTCTTCCGAGTTCGAGTCTGTCGGTGATATTTTCCGATGTTTCGATCGAGATAACATGGTTTCGAAAGGTATCCGAATATTTTTTAACTTCCTAACCTTACTAAGAGCAACCGTTCGTTCTTCTCTCCGGAAGTGTGGTCACCAACGTCAATATCCGTCGCGTTTTTGATGACTTTCTAAGAGTCACCGCAGCCAATCCAAATGCTGTCCTTCACATGGCTCTTTCAAAATGCTCACTATCTGACGATCAGAGTTATTTCATTGCCCACGACGACGGCAAAAAGGTTTTATCATTCAGGAGCCCTGGACCCCCTAACCAACCATTCGACGTTGAAGCTGGTATTTTCAAGGTATGTAAAAAGCCTGATCTAAGCTCATAGACAATTTCTAGTCCAAAATCCGAAAGCGTGTGCAGCTTCGTCTCGACCTGCGCTCGGCTGGCTTCTTCATCTGCTCTCCCAAAACTCCAAGTATTTTCGCTGATCCAGCAAATCTCGATCTTCAGTCCATGAACGATTTCGTGAAGCAAACTCTTGACGACGAGCACATGGGTATTGGAACCAGCGAAGTCTTCTTTTCCCTTATCAAAGAGGATGAGTTTGGCGATGTCGTCACATCGCTGGACAGAATGAAGTTGATAACAGAAGCTGTCTTTAACCGAGTGATTTCTCCCTTCACTCCTGCTTACCAGTTCCGAGCGAAACAAGTTTCCTCGTATCAGACAAAGAAATCAGAGAATTATCGAGGCGAGCGAGTGCGTCTTTCTCCAACAGCAATCATTGAAAAGCGATGTGTTCTTGGCAATGGCGTCGAAGTCGGCGCTGGTTCCTTCGTAACGAATTCAAGCATCGGCGATGACTGCAAAATAGGCGATAATGTTCGAATTGAAAACTGCGTTATCGCGCCTGGCGCTAAGATAGAGTCGTCGTGTGTTATCAAAGGGTCTTTCTTTGGCAAAAATGTATCGATCTACGAAGGCTCCAAGATCGCTTCCCGCTCTGTCATCAGCCACAATGTTGCCATGAAGATTATTTCGGAGAAGCCGGTAATTTTGAGCTGCGGAGATGAAGAAGAGGTGGACGATTTCGCAGACTTGACGGCGCTGTCGATTGATGATGTTAGTTTTGAAGGAACCATTGACGGTACGGCTTTTCTCTTGTATTTTCCAATTTAACTTTGCACTCTTTAGGCAAAGAGATTTTAATTTGGGCGCACGACGAGGACATTGATAAGGCGGATGATCTTGCTAAGATCGATTTCGAGTCCACTGCCGAGCAACTTTGGAGCGGAGTGAAGATCGAGGAGGAAGAAAAATCTCACGAAACGAACTCCCTAAATTCAGAGGACGAAGAAGAATCCGACGAAGAAAGCTTTGATGAGGAAAAACAAAGGCAAAAGAACTTGGTGCTTTTCAACAACGAAGTCAAGGAATCAGTGACAAGATGTATTCGAGAGAAACTTTCTTCTGCTGATGTTGTCCCGGAAATAACAGGCATGCGAAAGCTCTTTCATTTTTCTTTCAATGATTAGGTTCCCGAAACTCGTACGCAGTTGAAGTTCCTCAAATTGTCAGAGCCATTGGTCTCGCTATTTATGGCCTGTCGAAAGAAGATGAAAAATTCTCGATTCAAAAGTTCCAAACTCATGTGAAACAATTAAAAGACATGCTCGGAAACTTTCTCTGTCCAAATGAAAACCCAAATGTGAAGATGCAAATGGAGTTCTTGCAGTTTGTTAATGAAGAGTTTGACACGACAAAACTGTTAACCCAAAAGGTAATCGACAAGCAGTATGTCTTGATAACCTTGGTAATCTAGGTTCTGATGGTTTTGTACAACACTGACTTGTTGGATGAGCGCGTTATTCTTCACTGGAATGATAAGTTTGAAATCAAGGAGGAACTCAAAGAGAATATCGTCAAATTCATCGAGTATTTGGAGGAAGATGATGAATCATCAGAAGAAGAATCCGATTAAAGTTCATTATTTCTGTCTATTAGGCAAAACTAGGCAAATAAATATTGAAAATATCGTATCTCTTCTTTTGGGCAACAATACATTGTATGCCCTGAGATTTGCTAATAAAAAATTGTTATTCTTATAGCATCATCTTCATCATACTCAGGGGCAAAAAAAAAAGCTTGTGCGTACACGAATCCGGGTCAGGCAAGGTAAAACAAGCTTTATTTCCGTCAAATTAGAACCAATTTATGGCACTGAACAGAGATTTTTTAGCTCTGACGGAGAAAAATAAGTCATCAACCGAATCGACTGACTTCCCGAGTTCTGCCACAAACTAGTTCTTGCTGCTACCTATATCATGCGCATTTCTCTTTCTCCGCCAAATGATAAGTCTTTAAGTTTGACATTTTCGTTAGATTTTTCGCAAATTTTCAATTTATAAGAAATACCGCAGCTTTCACGTAGAGGTTCACTATCGTAATCGGGGTTGATTGAGGAATTCTCATGTCACAGAAAATCGCGGCACATACTTGTCCCGAACAAGTGCCTCTCAAAGTCCTGTGTTCTCCGCAAAGGCCTATAATTTCGTAAAATGATTGATAGCCGCTCTCAGTTTCTCCCAAGCAAGGAGACACCTGCTCATAGTTTATGAAATCAGGGTGTTTACATATCAACTAGATTTACAAGAATTATTTTTTTGCAGCGCTGGCATGAATTTCTTCTCGGCTTATCTTTTTACTTATCTTATCGCGTGTTAAAAATATTTTTACTCGAGCTCCGGGTCTTTTCACATGCAAAAGGCTACCTTTCTGTGGGAGACAATTTTTACTTTAGATTTTTGTGGTAAAGGACAGTGCGGGATTAAATTTATTCTCTTTCATAATGAAATTAATTAGCTTTTGAGAAATCGTCTTCATATGAGAGAGATCATTTCTGCCAGAAATCATCATAAATTTAAAAAACATACAGAAATACCAGGTATATTGATTTCTCGTTTCTTAGAAGACCTGGTCGTATTCGTAAAATACCAATATTTAGTTCTGTTGGTTAGTTTTAAGCCAATTCTAAGTCAGTCAGTCTGTTGTATTGAAAGTCGAGCTCTTTGCGGTTCATGTAAAAATTACTTTTGCGTTTTCTAATCCCTCGGAGAAGCCAAAAGAATGAGCCGATGAGGAGTGCTGATATCGGGGCTCGGCGGGTGACCGGCCCTGAGCTGCCAAAACAGTACCCCGCTGCGCCTACCGAGCGATAGGAGAGCGAGAAGGGCCCCACCCGTCAAGCAATAAAAAGAGCAATCTGGAATAAGGGAAGATTATCGTGGAGATCTCGACGGGAGCAGAATAAGAAAAGTAAAGAGATTTGAATTTTGAAGAAATTATAATGGAAAAATGGGAAATTTGATTGAGAAAATGGGCTGTTTTGGTAAGTAATTCAGAATTATTAATTCAAAAGACGAAAATTCATTATAATGAAATTTTAATTTACCATTTCCCATACGATCAATTATTTGATTTCCAGGACAAAATGCGGAAAATGAAGATAAAAACGCAATGGTTGAATACGCATCCGCCACGTTACGTGATACAGAATCCACGGCTTCTTTTGGACAATTCATAAACCCAAATGATGTTGCTCGCAACCCGAAAATGCTCAAACGTTTCTGCAGCTTCCGACATGTCCACGAGGGCTAGACCTTTTATTAGGCTTGTCTAAAACTTCCACAGAATGCTACTAATACCGCAATATTTAATAAATAGAACGAGTGCTTGATTTACTTCAAAATAAAGATTCAAACTTGAAAAACGATCTGTCGCTTCTGAAAACATTCGTAAAAGTTGAACTATGAATTGAATGTATTTCGTGTTTTTGAAGTAGTAAAGGGTTATTCTTTGATTTGAGCATTCTTTTGATTCATTCAAATGTAACGGGTTCGGGCGATTGCTTCGAAATCCTGAAATAATTAACGTTAATCCTTTGATGGCATAACAGAGTGAGAAAGAAATCTATTCTACTTCTTCCAGAGTGAATATAACCGGCCGTGTTTATTACAAAATGCGTTACAAAATGGCCATTTGTCAACCGTTAATTTGCTCAACTGCTTATCGCAATGAATTGAATTACCATTTTTCAACCGGGAAGATCTTCGCCAAAGTCCAGTTTACTTTTGAATCGGCCGCCATTCGGCAAAGCTGTACTTGGATTTGATGACAGTACCAGCGGACGCAATCTTCTGTCCACAGGACACCGCCAATTATGCTGCCAATGTCTTTTCCCCCGAAATCGAAGCATGTAACTTCAAAGTCGTCAGTTTCTTGCTTGAAGCGTTTCTCCGCTTCGGAGGATAAGTGAAGGATTTTTGAAGTTTTTCCATCACTAGAAATAATTTCATCGGATGTGTTTTTAACGACGAATCAGTATTAATTATTTATTTACTCACCTGCCACGCAACCTCAAGAAGCTTCTTCTACCGATTTCTGATCGCGCAGGAGAATACACATAAACACGGTACTTCACTCCCGGGGTCAATGTAAGCGGCTTCACGTTTCGGGAGAGCTGTTTGCAAACAGGAAACATAATAGTCCCGCGGCACGATAGCTTCTTTAGCAAGATGTGCTCACAATACCAGGTGTCAGACGGCGCCAGATGAGAAAGATCTTAATAAACAGTATGAACGACGAACTTTTCAAAGAAGGCTAACCTAATGATACTTGATCCACATTTGGGATCATTTCTTTATCCTTAAGGGGGTAGAAACAGCTTTTGCCAAAGATGGAATTTTAAAAATTTTTTTAAAGATTTTGATAACCCAATGCATGAAGAATATAATTTTTATCAAAAACTTTATTCTAACTATGTTGGAACGCCTTTAAAATTGCCCTAAAAATTGAAATTTTGGCGCAAATTTGAGTTTTTCGAAATTTAGCGATAGTTAAAATCGTTTAATAAGGGGATAAACGCGAAAATTATAGATTTGCTTTGATCACATGATCATCTTGAATAATTTTGTTAGGACCATAACTTAAGGGTATCACGAAGAAATGGTCTTTAAAATTGAAAATTTTGAAAATTTGAAACACAAGTTTCAATCGGCCTCGCAACATTATCATTTTTTGACATTACGCAATTTCAATCATAGATGCTCCTAGAAAAAGTATTGAACTTTCTTAAAATGAGATTAGAAATTCTCGGTTAATCACATGACTCGAGATAATCGTGCTTGAAAATGGGCAAAAATCGGCATTTTCGACGAGATGGGTTGATGTTTCGCTCTCTACCGCTTAACTGGGTAAACAAAAAATAATTTTAAAAACAGATGTTCTTAGATCTAAGATAAATCTAACTAAAATCGAAGAGCAAATTAAATAATCTAAGGTTTGCTGAGCTTGGGCGCCGTTCAAAAACCGGCTTTTTTCAAAAAAGCTGTTTCTACCACCTTAAAATGGATCGTATCAATCCGATTCCCTGTGAGCGCTGGAACTTGTAGCCGGGCCATCACTGTATTTTGTGTTCGAAGAGCGAGATTTACTGTACTTTCTGGTGACAGAGATATGTTCTGATTCGATATTGACATGACCCAAGTTTGCTTTGTTAGGTTGAAAATTTTAAAGTGTAAGTCATTTAAAACACGGAAATGTGAAAAATCTAAGAACTTATAAAAGTAACTTTTATGGTCTTTGATCAACCTATTCTCAGATTGTCTTTCAATAAAGGAGCTCCTCACTCCGCCAGACCTCGATCTCGTAATAAACCCAACACGGGCGCTGGATGATCCTGGTAAAGTCTTCGCAATATCATCCCAAGAGGTTGAAAGCTTGAGGAAGGATTCTCGATCACTTGTGCAAAGCTCCACTCTGTGCTGATATTCTTGCCCTTCCGGTTTGAACTTGATCCAATCGTTGATTTCAAACAAAATTCTCTTGTCGAATTGTATCCTTAATTCGCTTTGATCCAGTACTTCGTTGCGCGACTTTTGAATATTAATCTTTTCGAGATAGAGGTCTTAATAAATATTTTAACTATGATAAACTTGTCAATTTTCTACCTGCGCCAGCGTTTCCCTCGTCTAAATAAAGCACAACTTTCTCAATCAGCCCAAGATTTTTGTCATAGAAATCAGTCTCAATTTCAGACCCGACCCTCAAGGCCTTCGTATTGAGCTCATGAACTTGCGAGCTTGTTCGTGATCCAATAAGCTTGATCGATAGCTTAAATTGATAGACTAACATACAAACGGTGCGTAACTCACTTACTTTGACAGCATCTTTTCTCAACTTTTGGCCAGTCATTAGAAAAACTTTGTATTGGAAGCCTTTGAGCGCGAGCATCCTATTCCCAGATTGCTAATAATTGCCGGTTTTTAGCAACATCGGAGTTTCTTCTACCTGTATATTTGTGAGCAAAATAGGACTGGAGCTATCCGGTATGATCTGCACCCAATCAATTGGAATTGAACGTGTCACATTGTCAAAGAGCACTTTCTGAACCTTTCCAATCGGCTCCAAATCAACGCATAAGTACTGCAACTCTCCGGTGAGCTTCCCATTTATCGCGATGGGATTAGACCAATCTTTAGTGCCAATTAGCGTCATTAGGATGCCGTTGAAGCCCTCCGTAGATAATTGACCGCATGTCTGAAAATTTTCTAACTATCTGATCGAAGTTACCTTTGTATCATTTGCATAAATATTTTTAATTCTTACCTTGATCCGGATCCAATATTTTATCTTCCTTTTCGGCGAGTCAAAGTTTCTGTTCATTCTTGTTTTCTCTTGCTTGAGATTGCCTTCCTAAATAAAATCGTTCAATCTTGTCTCAGTTCATAATGCATAGGTTCCAGTTGAGCCAATATATTTCTCAAGAGAAATGGATCTGGACAGTGGGCTGCCAGAAGCCGCTCTAGTGCAGCGCAGTTTTGTAAATTATTGAGCGACACGGGGTCGGACTGGGCAATCGGGGAAAAACGAGAGAGAGAGAGAGAGCCGCCGACTTACAAGAATTCCCACGGGTAGGCAGCCAGAAAGCAGTGAATTTAGACCAGATGAGAAGTCTACGGCGGTTTTATGAGAAATTCGATTTGTCATGTGACATATGATTCCGACAGATACACAACTTATGCTCAAAACTAAACAAGCGCTTGATACAGGACTTCTAATTCCGATGACGCTCTTGACGGAAAATTAAAGTTCAAAAAATCATAAATTATGATTCATAATCCCCTCCTGCGACATTTTGATGAGGAAAAGATGACTGTGGACGCAAGACCCGACTTTCCGTCTTCGAGAAAATAATCTCGCCGTTGAACTCCAAGACAGATCGCCAGTCGAGTTCTCCTTCTCTCAATGCGTCAAGCCGGAGTCGCTGGCAAATCCATTTAGGGGAAGCTGTTTTAGGATGATTTTTTTTGTTTTCATAATAATTTGTATCTATTGAAAGAATCTGATCCGATTCCTAGGGCCTCGAAGTCGACTTGAAGCTTTATGTAGCTGATTTTTGATGTTCTTGGTCGGCAAAGGGTAACCTTAATTAAACAGATATCGCTTAAGCCCAGCAAGTTGGCAATTGAAATCAAGGAAGAGTAACCATTTGTCAATTTACCTCAAAAATGTCGGTTTGCCGCGATCTGAAAAGATTCTTCGTCAATTTGTCACTCTCTGCGGGTAAAAGAGACTCAATAACACTTCTCTCCTTCGATGTGTTTTCTCAAAGAGCTCTTGAGCTGAGCTCATTGAATCCAAATTAATTTAACTTTTGTCGCAATCAGAAGGAGATTAGAAACGCGCGCCCGCGAGGCAGCGATTTACTCAGAAGGCAATTTCAATTTCACACAAAGAGGCCACCTTCAATCCAGTTTACAAACGAGAAGCACTGGTGCACTGGTGATTGATCAATTCAAGAAATATCATTATTATGAAATCCTAATGAGCTTTTACACGGCCCTGAGAAGCCATCGCTCAGAGGGGCCAGTTTTGAACGCGACTTCGATGAAGACATCTTTTGCACTTTTCCAGTGATTAGTTTGAAGCTTTTCAAGGCTTAAAAATAGAAAATAACGTATCGAGAATCTCTGTCAACGGAAGAATTCCTTGGCATGGAATTATCCTAGACTTGCGCCTTAAATAAAACTTCCAGTTTGTCGAAGATTTTGTCTTCATACTTTTTGTCCAAACGACTGATCGGGTTGGTCTGGGAAGATAGATCAATATGTGTTTTGGATCGAAAACGATATGTTAACATCGTCAGATAAAAATTTAAGCTCTTGTCGAAGCAATGCACTGATCTTAAGATCTTTTCGTTCGTAACAAACAGTAGTTGATGCTACTATCACTGTTCCTAAAGTACGAAGGACCGGAGGTGATGTCTATCCTCAATTTTTCTATGGCGTGTTGGTTTTCTCGCTGCGCAGAATTCATAACTGTGGCCCAAGCGCACGTGTGGTCCGTGTATTCATCACAAAAAATGTTATGAAAAAGACAAAGAAAAAAGGCAGGAAGCTTTGATTTTGAACAAAAATAAAAAGGAAAGATGTTCATCAAAGGGCTTTGCCATCTGGATGCTGGTAAATGAATTTATATTGCTCGAGAGCTATTACACAGACAAAATAAACTCCTTTGAACAATAAATGTTAGACTTACTACAATCTTACTGTTTGAGTCTTCGAAAAAGTGCACCAGAGTTTAAAATATTGAACTACATCTCTTTGACTCTGAAATCTTGTTAGACTAACAGATTTGTGAATAACAAAAAGGCCAAGAGTCAAAACACTCAAGTGCTTTCTACCAGCAGACATCTTCCTCTTCAAAATCGGAACTCAGCTTTTTTGAACTTGATCTTTTCAAAATATCGATTTCCTTGGAAGGTGTAATTGAAAAATTTTGCTTTTCAATCAGAAGGCTATGAATGCTAATTAGTAATTAGACTGTAATTGATTGAGTGATGGCTTCACTTCTTCTTTTTGACTTTGTTATTTTGAAATGGAAGAAAGAAAAAGAGATTCTATTTCTTCGCCAAGGTTGTATTTCTTGCCCTGTTTGAGCTAAGTTTTTTTTCCAGAAACGCAGTCGTAGAAAATGCATTCAACAAGTGGGCTTCAAAAGTTCATCCATGTCAAGATGACGAAGGAATGGCTATCAGAGTGTTTTAATTATTGTCTTAAAAATGTCATACATTTGAAAGCCAAACTAATAGAGGCGATTCGTAGAAGGTTCATAGTTTTTTCTTTTGCAATTGAGTTTTCCGTCTTGTAATTTAGTAATTTTGCGAGCAGAGGGAGATACTCCACTGTTATCGAGACAACTCCAGGTATGATTTTCTAATTTCTTAAAAAAAACTTGTCATTCTAGTGTCATCATCTCAACTTGGAATGAGAGAGTTTATTTCGAGCATCTTCTCCAGCCAAAGCTCAAATCTTCAGGTAAACAGAGTGCAAATAGCTTCACAGAGGAAGGAATAAAATTTTCAGCTTCATCGAGGATCGGGAGGATGGAGAGATTCAACCACGCACGAGGAAAGTTTCAAATTTAAGGAGTCTTTCGCTTTATTTTTTTTCAAAAAATTAACCCTTGAAAGTTGATGCTGGGCCCGACGAGGATGAGTTTTTTCTCGAAGAAAAGTCTCCAGCGACATCTTTATAAAGGTAGAGAACAATTAACGGGCCGACAAGTTGCAATTACAATGTCTGACATCATAATGTCCTCCTCTCACAAAACGCACAACGATCCCTTTTTCATACCCAGTAAATTTTTGAAGAAGCAAAAATGGTTTTGAAGAAAAAAGTGATCGGTAGGTTTAAAATTTACAATCGTAATAATTACGCTAGAGACTCTAGCCTAGAGGGAAAGCCATGAGTTGTGATTAGCCTTGTTATGCTCATAAAAAGTCGTATTTACCGTTCTGGCTTTGGCGGGTGAGAGAGAAAGTCAGATTGGCCTTAATTGAAGAGAATTATGGTTTCGCGGTTGTTTTCCTGCGCCTCGAAGAGCGAGGACACGGAACTTGTCGACCATCATCACCATAAAGGTAAAGTCGAGATTGGCCCTGTTTTCATAGTATAAAACAAACAGTCGATGAGTGTTTTTGAACCCAAAAATGATCGGCGCAAGAATGACAAACGCCAGAAGCAAGAGACCCTCTATCAGAGCTCCTCCAGGCGGAAAGAGACCTTCAGTTAAAAAACGAGTCTCAAAGTCACTTTCGCCGAGGCAAAGCGCTTTCGGGGATGAAGATTTTGTCGACTTTCGTCGTTATGTTTCAGAATCATTTACTTTCAGCTCTCCCAAAATCATATTTTTGAAACAAAAATGGCAGATCGAGTTCGCTCAGTTCATCAACCGCAGATCTCTTCAAGCCCCTCGAGAAAGTATTCTTCTTTTTGGGGCAGAAGAAAGAGATCATAGGTTAGTGATCCGCATGTTGTATGACCCTTCGCCTTGATTTATTATCTCCGAGTGAAATTAATTTTTTCTCCATGTCTGATCGATTGCCCCTTTTTTGATTTAGCTTCATTTAGAAAAATCACATTCAGTTTGTTAAAAAAAAATGAGAGATAAAAAGGCAGTGAGCAAGAGCATGAGCTGCTCGTTGATAACGCTAGAATCTATCGACCTAAGGAATGGAAAAAAAACTTCGTATCGGTTATACACAGTAACTTAGTCGCCCGCGGATTTGAGCTGGTATTAATATAAATAGCAATAATGACAGATAGTGTGCGTTTATAAATAAACAAGTGGCAATCTGTTATATCTAAAAGCGGCTTCGTCTGAGAATGCCATCACATAATGGTTTTGCTGCGGTCTAGGTCGCAAGGTAACAGAGTTTTACTAAATTTCCATGATAAAGAGATACACCGACCCATCATTTGCAGTTTCGGAATAACAATAAATTTGAATTCTTTTCTTTTCAATAAGTTAAAATCCGATGACAAGGAAAACCATGATAGAAGCGTTATAAAGAGAATAACGCATTTCGTAAGTTGGAGAAGGCCAACTAATGAGTCTCAAAGTAGAGCGAACGCGGATGGTAAAAAATCCCCCGGGTGAGCGTGAGCATCTCTTTTCGTAACTTGAATATCGTTTGATAAGGCACAAGAGCCACACGAAAATCCACTTGGGACATCAAAAATCAAAAGGTAAATGCTTCTCTTGGACAGCGAGGATTTGCTAAAAAGGATCCATGTCGAGGCTTTCAGATTACGCGTGCTAATTCAAAATGGGATCAGACTGTCATCTCTCATCAATTACTCTTTTATCGCTTGATCAGGGCCATTTATGAAGACGAAAAGCTTTAAAATTAGAATTATATGAAATTTTTCAAGACGAAAAAAGAGAAGCCGGATAAGGTGGAAAAAACGAAAACCAAAGGTTATGTCGGATACACGCGGATATATGAAAGTGTTAAGGAGAGTTGTGAGGATTTACTAGGGCAATAAAATGTGCAAAACCATAGTTTTTGAGGTTGATAATTGACAATTGAATATGGAGAGACTAAGCGACTTTAAAGACTATCTAATTGAGTTGTTTTTCTCTCAACCAGAGAGGCTTTCTTCGTATCATAACTCGAGAAAATACTCGGTCAAGCTTACTGGTCTACTTTTTCGCTTGTTCACTTCGGACTGTTTAATTTAGAGCCACAAATAAAGGCGGTCAAGACACGACTACAATGCAGATCAGGACTCAACCTTGCGATGAAACTAACAGACGAAGAGCAGCCTAAATTGCAAGTATGCGGAGTCAAGTCTGATGGACCAGAGACGATTTTTTACCTGATTCCCGTGGGGCTCCGACAAGTGGCGATTCAACAAGTGGAAACGCAATGTTACGTCGGGATGAATGCTTCAGGGAAACTTTTTCCTGCTGTAAGTCAATCGATCGACTTACTTTCTCGGAAATATTTCTTTCAGGAGACGTATACCAATGAGTGCAAATTCAAAGAAAATGTTTACGAAAATTACTGGTGTATCTACAGCTCTGTGCAGTATAAGACCGTCAATCCCGATAAGCAGGTGATTCAACTCAATAAATACTAATTAATGCGAACAAAAAGAGGCCGTGGCATATTGGAATTAACGATAGTGGCAGATCTGTGAGAGGGTCAAAAGCGAAGAAAGACAAGGAAGTCTCTCATTTTCTTCCTCAACCTATTGAAGGTAGATCACAATTGGCATTGATTTTTGGCAATGATTTTTATCTTTATTTTATTTAGTACACATGATGCGGGAACCATCGCAAGCAGAGCCTCTACTTGGCCCGTCAAGAAGCAGTTCAGAAATACAACATTCGAGTACAGAATTCAACGGCTCGAAGAATGTTTAAAAATGTTACTTATTATGGCAAATATACTTTGTATTCATTCATACTAGGAAAAAGTAGTTTAAGACATGGATAACTTTAAATGGAATGATGAAATCTTGTGTCTGACAGATAAATCCAATCTTCCTTCATACGGCGTCATTAGGAGGTGTGAGGAAAGTAAAGGTGATTCTAATGGTTCATATCATATGGCCAGGATATTTAGAAATGAAGCACTGAATGAAGAAATGAAAGCACCTCTGACCCTTTTCCGGAATTGACGCGACATTTTCGTGGCGAATCATCTTCAGCAGAAGTAAACTACTTTTATACAGTTATATCTCACTCATCTTTTTTGGTTACCTTATTCTTCGCTTTTTTGAAGCAAATCAATAAGAATTTCGACTATGAATGCGCGTAGCTCTGGTATTTGAGCAAACTCGCCTAGTTCAGCTACGGACGCAATCAGACGACTTAATGAATCGGGATCTTCATGCTAGACAGGGATGCGGCTATCATTCATCAAATTTAGTAGCTCAATCGTCTATGCTCTGACGCTTAGCTTATCTTTTAATCCGGAAGTCGCCACTGCCAAAAGAGCTTTTTTATGATATTAGGGTATTCTAAATAGGGTATAAGTTATACCGTTGAACATATATCTAAGGGCCAACTAGCCGTTAATATGTAGAGAACATATTCTCATCTAAGTATGCATCATCCCCACTCCATATCTGTATGGATTCTATCAAATCATCAACTTCCGACATCTCGTCATTTCCATCAAGAAGACGTTCCGGAAGTGAGGTTTCCCCGACCTAATGAAGAATATCAGACCATGAAACGTAAGAGAACTTACGTGTAAGTCTAACATCGTCATCGCTATTTTCACGTCGACAGACTTGTTCGAGATTCTCTTCGCGCGCTGAAAAAATTTCTTGGCGTGTTCGGGAAAGTGTCGGACGAAGCAGCCAGCTTTTACCAGCAAAAGAGCTAAAAAGTGGAATAAAGGATTCATTAGTCCAATGACCCAGAAGAACTTCATATGAGAACCTAATCATTACCGCTGGTGTCGTCATTTCGTAAATTGGCGGCCTTTTCAATAAACGATCGAAGTTGAATTTGATTATTTTCGCGTATTTGCGGCTCCTCAATTGCTTGGTCGTAATATGGCGCGGCGGACGATTCCGCTAGCTTTTCAGCAGCATCAAGATAGATAGCAGCGGCAAGTTGCTCGCAATTTGCTTTTTGGTGATGCTGTGCAGATTTTTGTAGCAAATCAGTCACTTGTAATTTCTCTGCATCGTCGGCGAGACCCTTGTTTAGAAGATCAAAAGCAATCTTTTTCTCCCAGATTGCAGCGGATTTGTATTCGCTTTGTCCCAAGTCGAGCTCTACTATTCCTTTTTGGAGGTTTCCATGTTAATGTTTCACTGAGGCCAAGTGAGTAAGTTACACATGCTCGTTACGGAAAACGAGTGTTCGTTTGGTGATTTCCACAATACTATTTTTGCCTTCTAGATGCCAAGACTGTTGGAAAGGTTTGACGGAAACCTTCCTTTGGCGACATAAGCTGCATAGTCAGGGTCTAGCTCGTCTACTAAGCTTTTGTACAACAAGGATAATTCCGCTCTCGCATCTTGAATCGCTTTTTTCCTACCAAAACCTATGAATCGCTTTTTCGTTTTTGACATGATTTCTTTATACAGTTTTGGGATTGACTGCGTCATTCTGAAATACTTTTGCACTGTATTTGGATGGAAACGGTGAATCTAAAGGTGATCACAGGCAGTTTAGCAGTAGATTAAATCAGACAGTTCCACGGAAAGATTTCCTTTTTTCATGACACAGGGAATAAGAGCTTTTGCCCAACTGGATTTAGCTCGGAGACCTTCAAGAACGCAATTTCGCAGATTCTCTTCGATGCCTTCAGGTATTTTTCCCAGCTGTGCTTGAAGATTTGCTCTTGCAGAACACATGGTCTTTAGGTCCGTGTTCTTATTGATAAACACATATGGCTTGCCGGAAGCCCTTTGTGCGAGAAACTGATAGACTTCCAACGCTTCTTCTGAAGATGGATGTTCTTTGAGAATTTGAAGAACGTCAGGCATCCATTCAATTGCTAAAACCTCTGAGATTTTAGCCCTTGTCAGAAACTCGAAAAGAGTTGGGTAGATTCTACGCTTTTTTGCTCGTAGAATGAGAGGAGTTACAGACTTGTGAAGGTCTTTGTAGTGGATAACTTCTTGCGTCAATGTGGTGGAAATCTTGATTAACTCGCCAGTAGACGCCGAGAAAGACACAGTTTTTAGAAAGTCATCGCTACCTCTCGTCTTCAGAGAATTCATAAAGTTAAGGCATTTTCCGAGCTCCCACCATATGTTCATTGAGCCATGATGATTATAGCAGTCTAGCATTTTGAGGACTGACGGCAGAAACTGGCAGATCTGTTGGAAACTGAAGCATATTCATTAATATTTGTGACTCGGAACTCTGATCCGGAGCCAAGTTACTGTACAGTGGCGTTTGCTGTTGCCTCCCTATCCAAACGCGTCTAAAGTAGGGCTCGCCAAAAAAAAGTCGAGGTCGATTCTCCCCTACGAATTCTGCCTAAAAATGATCCCCTTTCTTTCCTGATTCGAATGATATGTTTATGTCGGTCGTTAGTCTTGGGGAAAAAATTCTAGAGCTAGGCCAAAATCCCAGTTTTCGGGACTTCAATCACGTGCCATGACGTCATTTTTCGGAAATTTCATCATTTTTTCAATTATTCTAGCGTAACTTTTCCTGCTCTTTTCAATAAGCTAATTGAGTTTCTTTTAGAGGTAAAATCAGGATTTCACCCGAAAATTTTTACTCAAAATCCCTGAAATTCATCATTTTTCGGCCTCGTTTCAACCTAGAAAAGCTTTAATATCTCGAGTTCCCCATGCTTTCCCGAGCCGGCAAGGTACTAAAAGGAAGCGCAATGCTCTGTTCTATAAGTGTTTTGTCTCATATCTGGGGAGAATCGAAGAAAACTACTGAAAAATATTGAATGACTGATAAAAAAATACGTCAATTTTTGATTTTTTCTCAAAAAAGACAATTTTTTCATAAATAAATTCTTAAATGGAACCCTAACCAACACTGATTATTAAAGCTCAGACTCTCAGCTTTATCTTTATATCAAAAATTAGTAGATTCGGGAGGGTTTCTTCGTTAATTTTTTCGTTTAAGCCATCAGACCCCCAAAAAGAGCCATTTTTATCGAAATTCCGCTCTAAAATTTTTTTGCCTGAGTTTCAGGGTATGGTTATATGGGGAGTTTTGGGTTTTAAAACATGGGGAACAAGAAAAACATAACCACTGGGGACTTCAAAATTTCATGGCGAGCCCTAGTCTAAAGAGGGAGGCAACGCGGGACGATTTCTGGTTCGATTTAATGCGCCCTTCTAGAAAAAGAGCGTCTGGATAGGGAGGCAACGAGGGACGCTCCAACAGGGAGGCAACCGCAAACGCCACTGTACCTCAGAAATCGCCATAAATAGTCAAACGAGCAAACTCTCGTTGGAGCTCTCTTCACCAAGTAGGAACAAATGTTCAGCGCTTCAGGCATTGAATCAAGAACTCTCAGCAGATGAGGTGCAAGTTCTTCCCAATTTAGTAGAGTAAAAGCCAGATGTTGCTTGCGTTGGACATTGGTAAGGAGATACGTGATCAGAATCTTCAATATTTCCGGAGAAAATGAAATCTGGTTGAGGAAAAAATTGAGGATCAATTCGACGATTTCAAAATCAGCAGAATGTGCATCTTCGGCAAGTTTTAGAGATGTATATCTTCTGGATATATCCAAGATTAATATGTAAAGAAAGTTATAAAATAAAACTTAAAACCATCCTAATATCGGCATGAAAATTCGGAAGAAATCGATCGGCGGAAACTTTAGTTTGATTTGAATGCATCTAAAAACCGACAAAATTATGAAAGATCAAAAGTGGGATCTCCTGCCTGAGAAGTTTCAAAAGCCTTTGCCGCTCCGTCGAAGGTTTCAATTGCGAGAAAATTGTCGGAAGCATGAGATGCTCGTCAAGGTATTGATAGCTCTGTGGGAGCTCATGTGCACCACTGCTATGTCCTTCCGACCCAAGGAGAAGGTACTCGCCGAGGAAGTCAATTGCCCTGTTGAAATTATTATTACTGATTTCATCATTCATTCTTACGCGATGGAAAGAATAATTTCAGGATGCTCCTCCATGTTAGAGCAAAATCGAGACAGAACAGCAAAGGCATCCCGTTTGGCTCGTTCCGGATGTCTGAAAAATAGTATCCGGGATCTCAGCTGTGCGAGTGAGATTCCACTACCTGTTTGAATGGAGAACGCCAGCAAAATATGATAATGATCCTAGGCGTCCTTTGAACGTTTGTCCATTATCATCAAGAATAGCCTTGTGTGTGTCCGCATCCAAACATGATAATGATCCTAGTCTGTATGGATCAGCATTTTCTGCCGGCGCGTGTGAACCAAATCCATAACGGTAAAACATTTTCCGATGTCTGACGAGTTTGTTCGCATTCAACTTTTCTTCATACGCGGTTGTAACAGTCAGAGCGCCAACAATTCCTTCAACTCTCATAATCTCGCTTCTATTGAGATCAACATCTGTCTTTTCTATTTCACTAGCAGCCAAATCTTTGAGCTGCTTATCTATGATTCCAAATTTTACGGCATTAGCACCAAGAGCAATCATTTCAAATGGATCTTTGTCTTCTGTGTTTCTCCAAACTGCCTTCAACCGCGAGCTGTACTCTTCCGCGAGACTGGTGTAATTCAACTCCAAAATAACAGGTAAAATATCCCCCATGATGAAGTGGGAAGCGTCCTGTCCCGACTGGCTTGTTGTTATCCTTCCTGTTTGTGAGTCTGCTTTGTAGTGCGACCAGTCAAGTAGTCGGTACCGCCGCTCGGCATCATCACGATCAGGCATTGAAATTGCAGCGAGGGTTTCAATCGCTGACTCTAGATATGTTTGAACGTCTTCACTAACGTCATGAACTCGTCGATACATCCACAACGCGAGTATCAGTCCGGAAAGTCCGAAAATAGAATGAACTTGAGAACTTGGAGAGCCCCGTGACGCGTTATTTAGCTCTGCATATATCAAATTCCACGCTTCTTTGGCCGTAAATCGCTCCGACACATCTTCGAAGCGAATTTTTATATACGCAGACCAAGCATTCTTTAGCATGAAGAGATATCGAGGGTTTCCCGGCTTGACCAAGGTGTATCATTTGAATAAAAATTCATAAAGAAAAAAATAACGAAAATGCGCCTGGAATTAATTTGGGTGAATACTAATAAACGAAAAAGCACCTTTCCTCAAATGGTGTATCAGTCAAAAGGGCGCGCAGCCTCTTGACAAGCTGCGGCTGTTCATATTTAGGGCAACAAAGCTCTGCAAAACACATTCTTGAGCGTATTTCAGGAGATGTACTACGACTGGACAAATTTAGCTGGATAAATTCGAATAATTTATTCGTCCTTTCAGTTTCTTCAATATTTTGACGACTCTTTCAATGGGTTCTTCAATATGATAATTTTGAGATCATTCAGTGTCCTTCATCATTATTCTTATCAATGTTAATTATATTCTTATCCATAGGAAAATAACGCAAATTAATACGAAATTTGAATTATTTGGTTCTTTTTTCGTAAACAAATGGTACAATAATCAACATCAATAAATAAAAATGAAAATAAGAACTCGTCCTGTCTTTGTCTTCGAAGGGCATTGTGCGCAGTATTTCTAGGTAGGGTAGATATCTCGCTTTTTAGAACTTCTGAAAGAAACAATTCGCCGCCTTCGTAATCGAGCAAGATATTGAAAACATTGTGGTTGAGAACATCGGCGCTTGATTTCTGATTAAAAACAACGGGATTGTTGACCGATTCCAAAATGTCTGTCGGAATTACGTCTGTATTAAAATAGGTGATTTTTATACTGCCAAGCGTCTGGAAAGCAGCGCGACTGACTTCTTCATTTTCATTGTCAACCTTGAGCCACAGCCACTGAATTATGTTTTCGACGATTTGCTCGAAATCTGCGAAATGAGCACCCTCTTTGTTTTCTGGTTCAAACTCCATTATCCGATCAAATAGGTTCAAGAAGCTTCTCAGTACTTGCGGCCTGTTGGATGATCAACGACTTTGTATGAACACAAGATTATAAACGTGCGAAAATATGAGAGGTTAAAATAATTTTGATTCGGAAACGATACGGAAATTTCATTTCATCAAAATATTTGGAATTCAAGAAATATATTTAGAGGGAAAATTTTTACGTAACTTTATCACAAGCTCATCCCCGGATTATTTTATGACGTTGATCACAGTCCTGAGCTCATCTTCTTTGGCCCACTGGGAATTAAAATGTTTCCACAGCGATAAGAGATTTAGCTCCTCGTAGTCAACCAAAATCGCGAGAATATCAACGGCAAGGGCGGCAGCGTCTGCATTTTCCGTCGGTGATTTTTCCAATACGGCCATTGCCAGTCGACAAATTTCCGAAGAATTGTGAGGAGATTGCGAAACATAAGAAATGATAGCCGCGGTACAAATGTAGATAATACTCTCGCTTGAGTTACTATCAAATAAAATCTTATCAGCGGTTTTGTAAAACTTTGAGAACAAAATGGAACACTCAACAGCTTGCTGGGCTTGAAGGATAATACCAAGAGGGATAAATGAGACGGAAGAAGTCAAATGCTGAGTAAGTGCAGATGAGGATAAAACAGTCATAAATCGTGGAAAGCAAACATCTGACAGGACAGAGAGAATCATCTCTCTGGAAGCGGCTTCCGTCATTGCCTCCCACCGGATCGAAATGTTAGCTTGAAATTACTTTACTAAGATTTCCGGTAATGGAAAAGGTGAATGTAAAATCTTCGAAAAAGAATCGACTAGTACGTGATGAAAGTGACTTTGACTCTGCAGATCCGGTTTCCTTTGGGTTAGAACACAGAGCTTGAATCTTTCCAAATAATTCCACAACAACACCTTGATCATTACCGTCGCAGTTTTGGATTCTTGTCTTCAATATATCAATAGCTTGGATAGAGATAGTCGAGTCAGAAGAAAGGCAATAAGCAAGAAGACTATTTAGAACATGGATGTCAAATTCAACTTTTGAAATCGTTTGAAAATTAGGAGGCTGTGGTTTTTTGGGGACATCTTCGAATGAGAAAAGCTTCTCGATGAAGGAAGAAACTTTTGGCTCTCTTGTAACAGCCAAAACAGAAGCAAAAGCCGCAGTGATTTCAAGTTTCTCATGTCTTCCCAATCGACTACAATCAATGTGGTCAACAAGTTCCTTGCTTATACCAAGGAGATTGAATTCGTAAGCGCAGGATGAGAAAACTCGCAAAAGAAGTGGGTGATTTTCCAGGATAATCTTCAACAGTGGTGTTCCACAGCGTTCAGGGAAACTTATAAAGGTGACATTTCGAACCATGAAATCAACGAGGAAAGTCTGATGCTCATCTAGGATTTTCTTTTCCACGTGGATTATCGAGAAGACTTTCTGAAGCAAAACTTTCACATCGATCAGCTTGGTCTTCCTTGATATTGCCAAATCAAGCGCTTTGAGCAAGTCGGCTAATAACACTGTCAGCAGCGGCTCATTTCCGGAAATGCTGTCAAACATAAGCCGCGCAACATCAACGCCAATCTCATCGTGCAACATCGCTGTACGCCCCACTGCTCGCAGCTTTTCTAAAATCATGTGATCTATCAAATGTTGGAGATTGAGGTCATCTTACCGTTTGACTCGTCAAAATTCGCGCTGAAGCTCTCAAACAGGATGGGAAGAAGATCTCTACTGTATCTTTAGTATTCATTAACAATTAGCCTCTCTATCCTTCCTTGAGCCATTCATAAGGATTTACTTTTGCGCTACGGAGAAAACTCAGCACCACATCGTAGGAGGCAAACAGCATGGCCAAATCATAAATGAATATCTTAGTTTCCCCGGTGGGCACATATGCCAGAAGAATCTCACCAATACAGTCTTCGGAAATCTGTTCCTTTTATGGCTGCCAACAAGTGTTTGAGTCGGATTCTCTACAATAAGGAATCAACTAATCCTTGTCAGCCTTCCTGTTTTGAAACGGCTCGGAGGATGGACTTTACAGAATCTATACTTTGGACATTCACCGCGTCGAGTAGAGTCGGCAGAAAGCTTTGAATATTTTGAATATTTATGAGTTGGATCAGCTGAGCAATTGAGCTTTCACGGAGGATGACAAGCTCATGACCTGGAAATAAAATTTTTATGTTTTTTTTTTCTTTTTGAAGGAAACTTCCGACAGAAGTTTGGCGCCCGCAAAAATGCATATTGTTTGATAAACAAACAAGTTGTTACAAAAAAGTGCCAAAAATCTCAGCCCTGCTCATTTTGAATCTCATCAACTTGTTTTCGTAAGACTCGAATTTGTTTTGTTTCAAAATCTAAGTGTGTAATTCTTTGGGTTACCTAAGAAGCCGACGCAATCCTTCAGTATTGCTTGTAAGTCCGACATAATCACATCTAAAACGGGATTTATTTAGCGGCTCTTCTAAGGAAAAATAGAGGTGGCCAGGTGCAAAATACGCACTACAGCAGATGCTATGCTGATTTTCAATGAATTTATTCAGTTGATCCGGCTAAGATTTAATTGAATTAATTATGAAAATTAAAATTGAGACCGGTAAAAATTTCCTAATTTGAAAGCAGCGAAAGAATACAAAGAGCTTATAAATATTGAAAAGTTCTGTAACAACGCAGGTGCGACCGTTCTTTGTCCGCGAAATCTGCACCTGGTGGCGAATTTCGGGAAATGGCCGTAAATTAAACTTGAAGGTACTTTGAGGCGTATTTACAGTACACTTTCGTGATGAAAACAAAAGCGACTGATCTCAAGTAGCCAAAACTGGGCCCTTGTAAAAATGTAAAAGGACCTGGTGCGCAGAATTACCGCGTGGGAAGCCCAATTTATAAGGCTACTTGGCAGAACGCCTGAAAACGCTTGACCCAGGAAAATTACCCAAATGTTTACAATCGAGGTAAATGGAAGAAGTCGTTTTGATTGACAACACCAGTCAATGTGCCAAGATATGGAGTTCTGGCTACTAAAAGAATCTTCCCATAGAAGAAAAAAAAGGACCAAACAGAATTATGTTTTCGTAGTGAGATTTCCTTGACATGTTGGCCGTAGAAAATCTGAGGGGAAAGTTTGTCAGTGAAATCCGGAAATTTACTGATCTTGATCCATGATTGTCCCACAAGATATCCCGATTATCTCCCCTAATCTGCCTGGTGTCAAGTAATGTATTCAAAAACTCGTTCCCGTGAAGGGATTATGCCCAAACTCGGATCGCTAGATCCCTATCGTCAGTTGGATTGTACCTGTATGTGTGTATACAAAAATACGGCCGCTAGAAACAAATCAATAGCGAGGCACACTTCACTCACTTGATCAGTGAACTGTAAATGGAACAGTAAAGATCAGTAGAAAAGAAGCACTTGGATATTAGAAATGAATCGGAGCTAGCCGAGGATCCGATCGATTGCGGACGATCAAGTGGAATGATGGGGATCGCGCACTTGAAGTTTTCTGCCCCAACGATGTTTCTGTTTTTCTATGTTCAAAGAATAGTACTAACTGAATAAAAAATCTCTGAAAATTAGAAAATTAGTTTTTACGCGATAATAAGGGAATGATAGGACGATAAGCACTAAACAAGCATCCAAGGAATTTACACAAATCAATAAGCATGAAGTTTTCTTCCACTCAAGCTCGGATTTCAAACTTTTCCGAAGAATCTTGAACATTTCCGGTACATTCTTCCCCTCATAAATAACTAGAGAACAAATTAATGGTTGAATAAGGGAAATACAGAGTTTGGTAGTTGACAAAATAAAGTTCATTTTTTGTTTCCAGTTTTCATGATTCGTATATTGCACATTTATAATTAATAAGTAAATCATGAATTAATCTTTCTGGCGCCAACTTGATATTATGCATCATATTGCCAGGCGAGAGGATTCTAAATTCCGTAAACGGGTATATAAATTTCATCTATATTAACCGGCATAAATACAGTCATCAATTTGACCAAAAGTTTTAGTTGCCTAAGCTCTTGAAGATTTAAAGTAAAATGCCTCTATCATTCCCTTCCCCGAAACCGGTCTTTAGCGGTCTTTAACCAGCGTCGTTTAAAATCAGCTCGTTCGATCAGAGGCGTAATTACCGTGACCGCATATCATTCCCGCGCTGACCCGCTGCTATTCAAATTTGGCGCTCCCCGCACCGCCATTCAATACGGTCAGAGAGCGCCCCCTACTGCGCTACATAAATATCCCCCCTGTTTTCTCTCTCCAACACTTATCAATAGAGCTCAACAAGAAAAACATAGAAAGATAGAAAAAGAAAGATTTTTTAACAATGTTTGGAAATATCTCTTCCCTTCTTTCCGCGACGCTTCTTCAAAAATATTCCTTTTTCCTTCTCATCGAGAGTATCTTCTGCATCGCCCTCGACATCTTCATCATTTTAATCAAAGAGATGAACGACGATTTCCCTCGCTCAATTCAGCTACGACCTGAATTCATCTTCACCGTTTCCATCCTCGGCCAGGGCATTTGGGCTGGTCTTCTTGGAATCTCTGTGGCGATTTTCTGCAACAAGCTGCAGCAAGAGAAATTCCGCGAGCAACTGCTCCCCTTGGGTGCTTTTACTGATGGAACTCTTCACATGGAAGCCGGTTTATTCGCTTGGTGCTTGTTTACTTCGCTTGGGCAGTTCGTCGCTGTCCTGCTGTCTGGATACTCGGCTCTTGGAATCGTTGCCCACGACCTTGTCGCGACGCAGGTTGAGCGTGCAATGAGCATCCTTATCGTTACGGAAATCTTCATGCTTCTGGCCCTCTGTCTGACCGTCTTCTCCCTCCTGATTTTTTCCTTCAACGCTCTCCTGCCTGTTTACTTCCACGCACTGATCCAAAAAATGGCTGAGCTTCTGTGTAACCGCTATTCATCAGATCGATGGAAACAGAATCCCAGCTGCAGTTTTTCTCAAGCATCCTTCGTTGGCAGTTCTGTCGAATTCAAGACGATTGACGTTCTCGCTGACCTTTCGATTCCAACATTAACCCGCAAGCTGGCCCAGAAGAGATTAAAAGATTCCAGACAATCTTCCTATGCAAGCTCCAGTGGAAACTCGTCGAATCGATCGGAAATTCTGCTGCTCTGAAAATACGGAAAATTTGTTAATTTATGAATTTCAAACACTGCCAGTTGTTTCTATCTGTAAATAAAGTGAGAAAAAGTAATATTTCTATCTTCGAGGACTTGATGAGTACAAATTTTTTGTAAGGGAGGTTTTTGAATATTTAAGAGGTTGACTTTAACAGAATAGTGAAGTTATGGCGATAATACAGTTCAGCATATAAATTTAAATAAATTTGATGTTAGAAGCAAAGAGACCAGAGTTAGGGTTAACCTGATTTTGATAAGAAGTGTATAAAATATGAACACGAAAGGAGAATAATATTTTGAAGCTATCATTTGTTTCTTAGGACTGAACAATCTGAACTAGGTAAAGTTCCTTGACAACACTTGTGGCAATTAGTTGAAGATTTTTCTGTTTGTAACCTAAAGATAGAAAATTATGACCAAACGCAAATAGGTTTTTGCAACCTGAGACCGTGATAAATTCTGTTGCAGGCGATTCTCCAGTTTCCTTGTGCTCAAAATACGATTCTTCCCTTATAAAAATTAACAGTCAGTCATAAATCACTGCGAACTTACGAGTATCTACCCTCCGCCAGAGCTTTCTCCACGCACCTGCTCACACCGTCAGCGATATCATCCCTACAATTCGAGTTTTACTACTTTATTGACCTCATTCAAAAATCGCTGACATTTCTTGACGGCCATCGTAAAAATTACTTACTGTGTGATATCTCCTTTTCGAAAGATGGTGAGTCCATTTTTATCGCCGAATCCCGAGCCGATAATTTTTTCGTTTTCCTCCATCAGTTCTTCCAAAGCACCCGAAAGATTTATGACATTATTCATTCGTAAATTACAAAGACCGTAAGTTTAAAATTTCACGAATAAATATTCCAAAACAAGCCTTTCTTTCTCTTTCAATCGAAATAATTGACGCTCAACGAATCTTCTAACGACTCTGATTGGCCGCGTTGCGAGGATTTCCACCAATTGCGAATTCAAAAAAAGGCGGGCCTCTTTCGGTGATACAGAGAATTCTGGTGTCCGAAAAAGAAATTTTGATGGCGGTAATGAAGATCTGAAAAAATCAATTGATCTCGTGATGCTTCGACTCGAATCATATGTAGCGCCTTTTCTGACGTCTTATTTGAAGGTAACTCAACTTGTCAACGCGATTGCTTATCATTTTCATAACAAATCGATACATTTTCTTTTCATTTAATGAAATATGTTATTTCTGTGAAAATTCTAGCGCTTCATTCGAAATCTTACTAGCGAAGACCTCAAACTTTCAATATGGAGTGGGGAAGTAGTCCTTGCGAACCTAGAGATGCGCCTCGACGTTTTGGAAGCGGAGCTCAAGCTGCCCTTCAAGCTCGATTCTGGACACATTCATGAATTGCGAATAAATATTCCTTGGATGGCACTGGGATCGGAATCTGTCAAAGTTAAAATTTCGACGATTGAACTTTCCGTCAGCTTGAGCAAGGAAGACGAGGATGATGAAGAGGGGGATGAAAATTTAAACCAGTCGTATTTGAGCTCTGAAACAGCTTCGCATCGACAGAAGCCGAAGATCTCACAGGAAGGGGATTACTATATTTCTTGTGCCGGTTTATTTAGCTTCACTTCCGGGTTTTATATTAAAGAGGATTGTTGATAATCCCTACTAAGTCAGGAGAAGATTTGACGCCAGGTTATTTGGAAAGCCTCTTGTTAAAAATTGGAAACAACGTCGACGTAGAAATTCAAAATCTTATCCTTAAATACGTCGAGAATGACATCGTTCTCTCCGTCAACATAAAAAGTGTTCATCTATTTCCATGCGAGGATGAAAACTGGACTCATGGCTGGGCGGAGATTTCTGAGCATGATCCTGTTGTTAGGAGGCTCTGCGAAATCGAAGATTTAACTGTTTGCTTGGACAAGGTAATTAAATTTTGTTATCCTTTTATAAGTTTTATATTATTTATATTTTTTTCACTTTGCGGGTTTATCGACAGACGATTCTTTCTTTATTTTGGTACAGACGAGAACAAAAATTATGTCACGAGTTTCTAACAGGCCGTCTTTATATCTTTCAGAGTGACATGTCACATCTGTTTAATTTTGTTTTCTTTCCGCTCTGGTCTGCAAGTCTTGGTGGAACATCTTAGATATAACACCAAACTGGCATTTTTCTACAGACCAGAGTCACCAGACTGTGACTCGCTCGGCATTTCCGCCGCATCTTTTGTTATTCTTATATCACACTATTTCAGCGATCGCCATCTGGTCAAATTTCATATTATGAAGAACCAGTCATTTATCGATGTGGCATTACAATCCGTCTTCTTGGGTCGTATTCGTCTCCGTTCCAAAGGGCCCCAGACCGACTGATCGTTTCAACAAAAATCAATCATGTTTCTGTATCCCTCAGCGAACAGCAACTTCCTATGCTCCTGCGGCTCTCCGAGCTAGGGATGGCTTTGTACTATGGAAAGTTAAAAACCTTAGCGGACGACACCCCTATGTCAACGGAAAACCCTGGTGAAAACATGTCTGTGGACTCGCCAGGGGACGACTCTGGCTGGGTAAGCTGGGCTTGGAACTCCTTAGTTGGCGAAGAAGAAGACGCGGCACATCCTGGAGAGCAGGGTGCTTCCACTGGAATAGCTGGCGATTCTCTAGTTGTCATCGTCTAGGATTGCTGAATCCCGACATCTATTGATGCAATTTTAGACCTGAACTTATCTCTTTTTCCGGTGTTAAGATTTGGCCATCCTACTTAGTTCAAATATATATGGAAAACGTCTCGGTAAGACTGTCGACAAAGACAGCAACAAAGCGCGATTTGATCACGCTCTCTCTTAGTGGCATCGGTATAGAAAATGTTATAAAAGGTGATGCTTGGTTCAGGAACGGTTACCTTATTAGAATTAAATCGTATTTATGACGACAGCTTTGAAAACGGCATTTTACCAACGTTACATCACGTGAACCGCTTATTAGCTCTGTTGCTGGGATAACTGAAATCATTTGCTCCTATCAAGATGATATCGACGAGCAGACGGATATTTTGCACCTTGGTACGCCTCTAAAGGATCGGATGTCGTTGTATGACAGTCATGCAGCTTGATCCAGTTTCCATTTCGTATGATTAATCTTCTTCTTTTCATCTACGAGACGAGTTCTATGAATATATCATGACATCTTGAAAAGGATAAAACGGTTCTTAACTACACGACTGGGTCTATTTGGGATTTTCGAGCACCGGAAAACAACAACGGAAGATCTAAAGTAGCTCTTAATATGGCTGATCATGATGAAATTTGGACAGAAGAGTATTGTTGTAAACGATTCGGCGCATTCTTTACCGACTACAAGTTTGAGATGCAGCCTGATCTTGGGCTCTCAATAGGAAATGGGTCTTATTTAATGCACTGTTGATCGCAGTTGATAAAAATGCTTGTGGAATTAACATTTAAATGACCTTTGAACAGTGGAGCTTGCACAGCCAGAAAACTGGAGGTTAGCAAAAGAGCACAGCTGCAAGCGGTTCTTCATTCCCGTCATCACTGTCAATCTCAAGCCATCGATCCGCGAGCTCACCAAGCTTCCGGAGATTATTCGACATGAATATCAGCCTTACTTTAAAGAGCAAATTCCGTCACCATCCGCTCAGGATCCGGATTTGACGTTGGAAGAGATGCTTACGTTGCAAGAATATGTTCCGACAAGGGAAACGACCGTCACAATTAGTTCCGTCAATGTGAATGTTGATTTCGGCATCGACTCGCTGTCCTTCAAACTCGACAACATAGACATTGCGAATAAAACGATCATGTATCAAGAATCCTTCACGAGGGCCATCTATAAAACTTACGACAAAGATACTCAAAGCGGCTTGGAATTCTACACAGATGTTCATTGGAAACTATCAGTGGAATGCATCAAAACAAATTTCAGCTCGTTCGATATTTTAAGCATCGGGAATGTTGTCCTAAACCTTGCGAAGAAGATTCATCCCGTCTTCTGGCCTTCCCAACGGACGCTAGATATAAAGGCTTTCATGAACAGGGCGCAACTATTGGTGAATCCATTGATTCAAGAACGGCTCATGTATCATGTCGCGTCTCTAGCTGAACCGGATCTTATGTTCACCGCCAAGGCTCAAATAAAGTCTTCTCTCGTCATTACGATGGAAACGCTAAACCTTGCTTACGCAAACGATGTCTACCTAGAGGAGAAACTCAGGAATCGGTCTCAAAGATAAACATTCTCTTAAAAACTGTCAAGTCCGACCGCCTTTAAGCACGTTCCGTATCTTTCTCGATAGGATTCGCTGCGAACTACACGATGAGCATGGACAAGAACAGCTAATTTTCGGCAACAAAAAATCTCTGATAGAATGTTGTGCTCAAATTCCAGTTTCGAAATCAGACCCGGCGAATCAAACGATTTTAGTAGGAAAACTCTGTAGTTTTTCCGCGACACTCTCGATGCCAGTTATCGACTTTTTGAAAGAAATGATCAGTCTTTTTGCAGGATTTATCCCAACAGATAAAGCGCGAAGCAATGGAAATCGCGATCTGAATTTAGTAACGAATATATCTTGGTCCGAGTCTTCGCTTGACTTCAGGATCAATGATCATGTTATCCATACAGGAGAGGTCTCACCATGTGATCACCATTGTCAATAGATAAGATATTCTGCTAATTTTCTAGGCTAACTCTTTCCGTGCTTAATTTTTTCATTGATTTGTAAGGTGAATCTTTGGTAGTACTACCCACGGGTCGAATTTGCAACGCTGGAATGTCGAACTTAGACACATTGATCGAACTGCCTGAATGGATAGACATCCCCATTCATTTATCAAAAGGTAAGATTGTTTATTATATAATTGATCTGATAGAACTGCCGAAATTCCATTCAAATTTTTCTCGGTGCAATAATTGTTCTGCAAAAAATCGATCTAGCGGCCCAAATAATGTGTCCAAAGCGAAACCAACGTCCATGTCGAATTTTTTGTCGAGCGTTCTTCCTTTCTCGCCGCCAACACACCAGTGGTCTTAATTCTTTGTATCAAAATAGGCAAACGATAGCAGACGGGCAATGAATAGTTGGTAATAGACGATAGCTTCTATTTTCCGACACATGTGAGGCTTGGAATTTTATTGAGAGTCATATATTTATTTGATTCACTTCAATGTTACCTTTATCCCTGGCGCGCTCACGGTAGCACTGTAAGCCCTCTTCTGAGAGGACAAAATTCTTCCTTGTGATGACTTTCTTTAGCTTCAAGAACTCTTCTATCTGTTCGATGGCCACCCATGGTTTTTGAAGAAACTCTGTCCCATCGACGACTAGAATTTGCTTCTAAACAGATATTTTTATCGATGGAATCTATTTTTTCTCAACTCTGTTGAAATATTGAAGCCATCGAAGATAGAAAACAGCGTAAAATCCATCCGACAATATTCGCTCTATCAAATCATATTGACTTTTCACATGAAATGGTCGTTGAGCTCCGTCGAGTCTATCCATTAGCGCATTAACTAGACCCGAAATTGTCCCATTTCCTTCGTGAACGGCGATGTCATTAAGAAAATACTGGAACTCTGGGAGACGGTGTCTAAGCATGTCATTGAACAAGGTTAGATTTCCGCCAAGAAGCTGCGCTTTTTTGAGGTGATATCTTTGACATGTGAAGATATCGGCTCATTGTTCTTCGGGCGTTGTCGCAAACTTTTAGAATGAATAAGCATAAGGGGAAAATGAATGGTCTGCCTTACCTACGGAAATTATTTTGACTGTGGAGTTCATCGCCAAGATCCTGCTAGGCGCAGAGAGTGAATTGTAGTATTCCGCGCTTTTTTCAAACCAGGTCTCATACTTATATCACGATTTCCATACCGTTCTATACATGAATAAATTGCCAACCATGGCGAATTCCGTCAAGGTAACCATATGGTCCATCGTCATCGGACCCGGATCTAACTTACGGATCTAATTTTATATTTAATTTTATATTAATAAAATCGTGATCCTTTTCCATTGCCGATTGGAAAGAGGCTTCGATAGTAGGTGAAACCTTTATCGTAATTTTCATCTTTGTTAAAGAAATTAGGTTCCTTATTGGCCTGGAGCATGTCTTTTAGGGCTCAAGTTTTCATTTAATAGATAATAAAAATTAAAAATTGAGTCCTAATCTGGATGACTTTCTAAAAAATTAGCCACAGCCGTTGTCCCACATTTCATCACGCCGGTTATAATCACGCTCGGCAGACGTTTTCTTTTTTCAGGATAAATAACTTTCGAAGGGATTTTGTAGCGATTGTTCATTGCATTTTTCGACCACAGCCTTTCGTTAATCTCTGAATATTTTCCTTGATTTCGGAGACATCCAACGCCATCTTTGCAGAGGAAAAAATAACCGACGAGAAACAAGTTTATAAAGCTGCTTATGATCACGAATGTTCTCTTCTTGATTTTTACCGTGATTTTTCTCATTTTTAACGAATACTTAATTCATTTCAAAATTCTTTTAGGGCCGATGTCAATTACGGTTAACGTTGCCGAGCTGCGGATGTCAAGTAGCATCGGCGGTAACACGAGCGATGTTTTACTCTTCCCATCGTTGTCGGCTACCTTTACCGTTAGTCATGGCGAGAAAAACGCGCATGGTGTCTCCGCAGTATTCATCAGCTCCTATGTAGAACTTCAAGCGCTAGAAATTTGCTTCACAGACGACTTGATTTGCCTTTTGTCATTCATCGTGGAGAATATACTGACAAACTCGTCAAAGAAGCCTCTGAAACGGGATCGTTCTATCCCGTTGTCGCCCGATTCCAGCAAGTCATTTTTATCCGATATTCCTGCTGTTAGCTATCCTCAAAGGAAAACGATGATCTATTTCGATGTATTTCAGGCTGAGAAACGATTTGATCGTTATTCCATTGATAAATATACGTGAATTCTACAGTATGATCATCGCGTAAAAGCTCGTCAGCAAGCGTAAAAGAATGCTCAGATATTTTCGTTTCTGATCCAACGAATGAATCTCCTCCTGGCTCAGTCTTAGATTTAACCCTCAAACTTTGTCTGCCAGACATCAGGATCAAAATCAAACTCGAAACGCAAGAATTGCTCGCTACGATCAAGGAACGGCTCATTTATTTTTTATCAACAGATAATATGTAACATATTATATGTTTCAAGATCAGTATCATGTGATGCTCATGAACATCCTGGGAGAAAAGCATCTCGAACTTTTTTCGAACTTGTGGAATTAACCAGATGCAGAATGGATGATTTTAAGAGCTAAAAGTTGATCTCATGACCAGAAACAGCTGGCGTTGTGGCTCACCCCACATGTGTTGCTAACAGAGTACATTTCTACAGCATTTCTCCGTCAGGAAGTCAAAAGTAAAGCGGATCCGTAGCAACGCCTCATTTTGAGCCATGTTCAGGACGTATCTGTTGACTTCTCTTCTAATTCTACTTTCCAACAGTTTCAATGCCAAGTTCCTGCTGCGTTGTGCGTCGTTGGCAGTCAGACGATTTTCTCAAGCGAGGGTCGTGGAAAAATACAGATGGTTGGAAACAAAGATGGAGAAAAAAGGTAAAAAGAGCCCTCATGACAATATCATATGATTGCAGGGAACCGGATTTCGCAACTGAATTTATTATAATATTTTTTGATTAAGAATGGCTCCAGACAACACTGGTATCAAGGTCGTCTGGACCAAAGCAAAGACCGAAAACTGGCATCAGCGAGAGCAAATAATGTGTGATGAAACAACTTTGTTGGCTGAATACGTTGAAGAATTGTCCTTCACATCAAGTGCTCTGGATATTGTACTTGATAAGGATATCCTTTTTGAATTCGGTTGGCTAACAATAACAAGTTCTTAATTAAAATTTTATAGGTAAACTCTCCTCCCTCCTTCCAGATATGCCTTCGTCATCAACAATCCCGTATAAAGGACGCTTTCCGATGATATTTGTCGATGTTCAAGATATAGTAGTTTTCATGAGGGTTGATGATTACTGCTCTTTAGGAAAAGATGGCTATATTCTCATTGAAACTTAGAAAACAAATTGTTCTAACTGTAAGATATCATTGTGCCCATCTAAATGTCAGACGATACTTTCTATCTCTACCTACGTCAGATAGAAGTCAATCCAAGGCCTGAATTTCCCCTGGACAGAGTAGTCATCAGTAGTGATGACTTCGCCATAGTCGAGGAGAAAGGATTACTGGCTATGCCTGGAAGTACCGTCGAAAATATTCAGTTTGCTGTTAATCTATCCGAACTAAGGAGAGGGTTTAATATCAGCGGATAGCATTTTGCCCAATTTTACCTTTAATTGTCTGAAAACGGCCGAGAATTCTTCTTTGAATATTAATAACTAACGCTCAAGGTACCACATCTTGGGTTCACGTATACATATAATGAAATCTGAAATAAGCGTTGGCTCGTGCAATTGGTCGTGTACTGTTTCTAAACGTTGGATTTGCGGAATAAACTCGAAACCATTCGAGGCACAGAATCCTGCACTCGAATGGAACATGAAAAAAGAAATTAACACTGAAAGTGAAGCAAAAGTTGTCTATCCGCTGCTTTCTCCTACAGGAGAGGATCAATATCGTAATAGTTACATTCGTACTCATTTTAAACTAGCATGATTATTGATTCTCATACAGATGTTTCAATAATTTTTGCTCCAGCGATATATTTTAAAAATCATGCTATTGCCGCCCACTCGCTCGAAGTGTCTCTCCGTTCGAAAGTTCTTTGTTACGGAAATGTTCCCCAGCTGCACCTTGTCTACAAAATGATCAACTCGTCTCTGAGGAAGGTGGGCTCGTTTCAACAACTGTCAGACGTCTACTCGATCAACAAACGAAGACGTCTTGGATTATTCAGGAATGTTTTTATTTTTTCCTAATTAAGGTCATTTCTATTCGATAGACGATTAAATTCGAAGTATGCGTACTGTATGAACAATCAAAAGACGTACGCGCAAGCGCACTATCTCTGAGTCGAAACGGAAAACTCCTTTGCTGCTTACCTCACCCATTCACTTTCTTGCCACAGGCGAGGAACTGTCTCTTGTTGTTTACGATTGCAATGGAAAGTTTTCTGTTGAGCCATTTTTTCACTTTATCCTCGATCAGCCTTCTATCAAATTTGAGTTCTTGGGCTTGCATCAGCGTCATTCAATGAAGGTCATCTGCTTCGATCTAAATCTGAAAACATACGCTGGAAAACCAGTCAGGAAGAATGTTCCGTTTCTTCCAGCTGAAGATGATTTTTCTACCTCTTGGATTTCGTCACGAGAAGGTATGACCGACAAGGAAATGTTCCATCAGATCTACTCTCATTCGTCAATAGATGGATTTAGCGCCGTTGTGCGGAGATAAATTTTGAATATTGATCAAGTCCGAATTTTGTCCTCTTTTTTCCATGTGCGTTACGGAATTCATGAACCCTGACAATGCCGAAACCGTTATTGAGTTCAACCGATGCCTCAAAATTGTGCTGGATTTTCCAAAATTGGCCGTTGCCGCCAATTTCATTTCGAAGCTGCGGAAAGATATCCGGCTTCATTCTCGCCGGCGAAGATCATCCAAACCGGAATCTGCTAATTCTGTAAACGGGGACTCTACTCTCAATGATATACTTCCGGGTTTGATAAGAAGGACTAAGATTTCCGTTCATCAAATTGTTGTGTTGGCTCAAGAGAGTCAGATTTCAGTGGAAAGTTCCGTATCAAGCTGCGAATTGACAGTATCTGCGGATTTAACGTCGAAATTAGCCGCGAAAATTAAATATCAGGGATGCACTATTAGACTCATGGAAAAAGGAATGGAATCATATGCAAAGTACAGCAGTTCTCCTTTGCCGCATTTAAAAATGTTTCAACGGCGGGCGAAGGCGGACAAGAATAGTTACTCAGAAATGAAAATCAAGGTATAAAATACTGAGATTATATCATAAATTATATGGCTAGGACTCTATGATCCCTCCCAAAGGATTCGAGTCTCACACTCTTCTGAAACCCTCATGTGGGCAAATTGATGTTGTTGGAAAGAAGGACCCACACAATTTATCAGTGGATTGGATTGGGTCTTTTAAAGGTCTCGGTGATGAATTATCCCATATTTAGTAATATAATATCACTGATATAATCACAGGAAGAATTTTCTTCCTGAAGAATTTTCCGGCTTGTCTCGCACTTGACATACACTAACATCGTACTAATATCACTACTTTCATTTCGATTTGGCCACCAGACAGAATTTTATTGCTTGTCTGGCACTTGACAGATACAACTATCATACTACTGTCTAAAACATGTACACATGTTCACTACTATCATTTCCATTCGGGCTAACCATCTTGGGGTCCATGGTGGAATTTATTTTGTCATAATTACATTTGTCTGTGTAAAAATTTTACAGTTAGTTTCTCGATTTATCTAAGATAATGATCACCGAGTTTCAAGCCCCCAGAATCTTCTTAAACTTTGACTTCTACTCTCTCGAATTTCAATTGAGTAGATCACTACTACGGATCATGTCGACAATCAATAATCTTGTTGAACAACGAACAAAGGCAAAATCAAGTGCATCCGAAGCTACTTCAGAAAACTTAGTTGATAATTGTGTGGATACGAAAAAGATTGAAAGAACTCAAAACGATCTTCACTCTGGCATGTTTACTTTTACGAGCGAAGCATTAAATGTTGATGAAATTATCAAGTCAGGAACTTGCATCTTCTCTGTAGGCAATAATGAATGCCCAGGGTCCATCACTTGGAGATATGATCAACCAAGAGCAGTCGAACATTTGCTTTTTTCTCCACTTCCAGTCGGGCTAGAGACACCTTCAGGAACAGTGACTGTGTCGTTGGAAATGTTTGATGATATCACCATGAAATACATGCCAGTCAAAAACTTCCCCGTATCGGAGTTATCCCAGACGATGATCAAGATACAAAACCTTCCTGGTAAGAATCATTCATTTTCACGCATTAACCAAGCTGCTCAATGGAGAATGACGTTACCTGGCGATCCTCCTGAAGTAGATCTGGAATTTCAAGCTGCTTGTCTGACCCCTTTCGCATTGTGTGGTTCATGCAGGGTCGACTCTTTTTATACCTACGAGATGATTCCAATGATAACTGGCTGCTTGACAGTAGGAGAATTAAGTTGTCAGTTTATTGATGATTTTGGTAACTCCCTTTGCAATGCAGGCTTACAGAACTCATCTGTCGTTGGTGATTTTTGGCCAAAACAAAGGATTCTCAATATCGATTGTCAAACCGAAATATTTGCTGAAATACTCAATAGAAGAAATTTACATTCGGAAAATATCATTCAAGGATTACAGCCTAGGGTGAAATTTCTCGTTGAAAATCTTATGATTGGAAAGAAAAAGGGGCTAGTCGTTGACGTTGATGCTAATTTCGGCTCTCCTGAAATAGGATCGTTAGAAAAATTTATTTCTAGGAGCGTGTGTGAATCACATGAATTCCAACGATCCTTCCTAAAGATTTGTCATTTGAGTCTATCAAGACTTTGCATGATATAATTGCTGATTCTGAAATTAAGGAAGACTATTATTTCCTTGAAACGAATGTTATTGATAATATTTTCCTGAAAAGAAAATGCAGCTTGCCAAACAAAATTTCATTGTATCTATGCTTTGGCGAGGAATCGGCTGAAATAGATACAGCTATAATTGGAAAGCAACAGAATATTTGTTTGGGCGATGCAGTCTATCATGCGACTATAAAGAAATGCGGAGAAATTCATGTGAACACTGATACATGTCTTCTCAATCTGACCGATTTTCCATTGCATATATCGCTAGACGATTTTTGTTCTGGTGCAGTGGAAATGACATTGTTTGGGCTACGGAATTTCGATACGCTTATGAAAGAGGTTATTTTACATCTAGCTTATAACAATATCTATGGCTAAAATTATATATTCCGACAAAAGAATCCGAAAGAAACACGATGTATTTCCACAAAAATTAAAGGGATAAAACTAAAAGCACATGGTTCCGAAAATGACTTCACAAGAACAATACTTGTTGACGAGAATAGCCACACAGCGCTAGAAGTAAACGGGCCAAATGGCGAAGTGTTACATGTTGGATTCTCAGTTATCTCAGCCCCTGAAGAGAACTCGGCGGCCAGTCTTGTGGCAACCCGCATGATTTTCGCTCCTCTATTTATCCTGAAGTCTTTTCTACCGGAGCCCATTGACGTCAGTCTCTCTTCATCAGCTGTAAAAGGGAATCTTTTGGATGAAAAATCTTCTGCCCAAGAGTTCCGACTTCCTGGTAAAGGCTGCTCAAACATGATTTACAGGACCGGTGGCATAGAGTTTACTGTCCATAATCTGCCGGCGAGACTAAATATGGGCATGTGGTGACACAGCTTGATTCAGGTGGTGACACCGTGGTGTCATCCGGTCTTCCATTTTCCACCCTCCTCTAGCCTCCACCCGCATCTCACTTACCATATGTGCGTCAACTTGCCGACAGTTAGTCTTCCTCCTGTCTCCATCAACTTGGGTCTCATATCCGCCCTGACTGATACTCATGCCAGCATTGAGTCCGAGACCTTCATCGTTGAGGATTCTCCTTGGCCGATGCGGGATGATGCAAATTTGTCCTCAGGACCGGTTTTTATTCACAGCTAAATTGGAATGATTCTTCCACTCATCTTGAATCACAAGGGATGACTTTTACTCGAAGGCACAAGTGAAACCCAAATAAAGATAATCAACGCCTTACTGATGACTGTCTCTCGGTCAATCTTTCACCAAGATGGCCTTGTTTGCCCTGTATTCTTGTGACATTAACACCATCTGTTGTCCTCTTTAATTCTCTTCCATTTACGTTGATCATATGCCCTGGCGGTCAGGATGCCTTTCAAATTCCATCAGGGGAGGAGGAGTACACCTCTAACCTAGGGATATTCCGATTTGGTTTGCAGCTGGACGGAAGTCCTGCGATTTATTTCCGCCGCAGCTTGAATCTGGTTGATCATGTTCGACCTCAATGGGCTGACGAAGCAGCTGAACCTTTCGAAATTCCCTTAGATGGGAACACAAAAGTAAGGATCAATGACGCGTAAGCTTAGTATGACATATCCTTATATCCGGTTGTAACGGAAGTGACATAAGTTTTTAAAGTTTCAGATCCAGTTGAGTGGAGCAAAGAATATCGATGTTGTTGTTCACTCAGTTTGCAGCCATGGATTTCAGCGAATATTCGTCGAGTCTTCGGTTATAATTGAAAACATGACCTCCAAAGTTCTTCAATTCGAGACCGAGAATTCTAAAACGATCGCGAACCCAAAACTAAACGAAAGAGACGATCAATCATTTAGGATCTGCATTCCTAGTCAGTCGGACCATCATGTATCTCTAAATATAGGCGACAAAAAGATTGCGACATTCTCAACAGACGAGTGCAATAAAGGAACTAAATCGATAATGCTCGAAAATCCCCCGCTTTATCATCACGACTGGGCAATAATTCAAATCGAGAAAGAAAATGACTTTCAAAGAAAAATTCTCATCAGGGAATTGACCATAGAATGCCCTCCAAGATACGTGGTTTATAACGACTCTTTGGTAACACTGTACATCACGGGTGCTTCTACAAATAATCACAAAAATATCGCGCTGGAACCTAAAATGACCATTTTCTACCATCCTTCGAATCAGGAAAGGATCCTTTATTATCCGTTAAATTTTCCATTCCCGCAGGCGCTAACGTTGAGACTCTCAACTTAAGAGCACTAAAACGGATCCTATCAAAGTCATCGAATGAAAATAGTCAGCTTGTCGAGCCAAAGATTAAGTTAGCATGTGGTGGAATAGTTCAGCTAATTCCATTGGCTCTTGGCAAATATGGAATGAGACTGACGGATGTTTCTCTGGTGATAGAAGTGGAAGAAAAGTGTAGGAATCAGCGGAGGATTAGCATTTCAGAATTCCGAGTCGATTCTAAACGGGCGAATTCGTCAAAAATGGTTATTGCTAGAAGAGGAAGGCAGGGGTTAACATGAGTTAAAGTTCAATTTCTCGTCCGAAACAACTCGCTTTTTAATAAAAGTTTTTATATCAAATATACTTAATTAAGAAGAATTTAGGCTTCCCTCATGTTTTAATCCGTGTTTAGGCTCACCTTTGATAGCTTCTCTTTCACTTTGTCAAACAAAGGTCCGATTTTATCAACAAATCTCTCAAAACTTGACCTTCAAATGGAAACCAGCCATGCCGAGACATACAGACTTGTTATCCTCCTAGACGGTGGTCTAACTGTTGAAAATTCAAAGTTTGGAACGAATGGTCTTTTCAAATACAGAAATGTATTACAGATAAATGACGGATCGACATTTCAAGCAGAACTTGTGCTTTCTAATGGAAACTGGTTGAAGAGCCTCGACTTAAAATTACCGAAAATTTCGATCTCAGTCGAAGGAAATTTGAAAATTTTTCAATGAACAAGGTTGTTCATACTTTATAAACATTAAAAATAATTCTCAAATTATCAAAGATGTTTTTGTTTTAAAGATGCTCGATGAACTAAGCACGCTAATTGAAATGTCAAATGTACCAGTCAACACTACTAAAAAGGGATCTTTTTCTAATGAAGAACAATTTATTTTCATGGAACATTTGTCAATTGACGAGACAGAGATTGAAGTATCAGCAAAGTCAAATTATGTTATCAGTCTCGCTGCTGATAAATCCCGCATAACTTTGAAGAAATATGAAACTGGGCCTTTCAGTGGGTACTCAAAGGAGCTTGTTGACCAGTTGGCAAGCCATTATTTGTACCAAGTGATCAGGCAGGCTGGCTGGTTTCTTGGTGGACTTGAGGCATTTGGCTCGCCAGGCAATTTCATTCGGGGGCTGAGTGCTGGGATCGTTGACTTCATCACTCTTCCCGTAAAAGGAATACAAAATGGCCCCCTTGGAGTTATACGAGGGGCAGCTGATGGCACTAAGAGTCTAGTCAAGAACGTTTCCTATTCATTTTTATCCTCGATTACGAATATTGCTGACTCAGTGTCGACAAACGCAGAACTACTCGCGCTGGACAGCCATACGTCCGACTCCTTAAGTTCCTTAAATCTTCGGGATCCAGTTTCCTCCGTCAATGGTCAACTCAAGAGTCTGGGCATGACGCTCTTGGGATCAGTCGCAGGAGTTGTGCAGCATCCGATAAATGCGGCCCTGGAGGAAAATGCTGATTCAGGAAAGTGGATGTTTCTTTTTTTTATTGACTCATAATTTTGTTCTTAGCTTTTCCAGTAGAGCGTTGCGTATCTGCTGGAATCATTTTTTCCCATCGAATAAGTCGGACTTGCATGAGAACACTATGAACAAGAATGAACCAAAATCAATGCAGAGACACACTTTTTGACTCCAGTCGCGTCACTAAATCTGCACATTCAGTTTTAATGAATATAAATAGATAAATTCTACAAATAAAAATTCCTCAAAAAAGCTCTTCTCAAATCCGGCAAGGTCGCCTTCGCTGCCGGACGCGGACTTGCCGGCTTATTTCTTCAACCTGTTGGTGGACTGAGCAAAGTTATTGCTAAAACAGGATCCAGCCTCCTTGCATCAAATCAATCGAATGTCCGGACGATTCCCCGCTCTTTCAGGAAAAGAGTTTCGCCCAACTTTATAGAAAAGGCACTTGGACTTAAATTACTGACTGCTGAACGATGCCAGCTACTGAAAGAAAGGAAAAAAGGGTGGGTTTTGGTTTCAAGACATGGTGTGTGTATCCTACTTGACGGCGACTCTGTTTCTTTTGCTACATTTACGATTAGCCAAATCGAGGTTCGTCACTCGTCGAAAAACGGAAAATCTATCATTTCTCTATCTACGTCTGGTCTGGTCCGGGCAACTTCTCGTGTTCAAGATTACTTGAATCATCACACGATACATGATAACGTTCCCGAGAACGAGCAACAATTTTCAGCTGAAAAGGAAACCTCAGGAAATCTTACCGATAAAATAGAGCTTGAAATAAGCGAAAGTTCGATCGAGAACTTCATCGCTTCCATAAATATACTAAAAGCTCAAGCTGCTTCCCTCGGGTTTCATGTTTTATGAGATCATAGAAAAAAACTCTGAAGACTTCTATTTTTCTGTATTTCATATATTTTCAGCCATATCAGTTCTTGAAAACATATCATTGTGCAATAAATCAAAGACAATCTTATTTTTCTGTTTTTATTGGATGGCAGATCAGTTGATTTTTGCAAATCTAAGCACCGCCTAGATAATTCACGTAAGAGAGTCGACGACGAACTTTTTCAAGATCTTTTGGTTCGTCGACTTTGTTTACTATCATGAATCGGCCAAGGTAGCTCATTAATTCCTCGTCGCAGTTGTTGTCGCAGTGGACCGTAACCTTAGGAAAGACTGGCCATCCTTCATCAAGTTGGCTGTGGTACATTCGGAAGGAGTGCGTCCGAGCGTTGTTCAGCCCTCGGTTGAACGAAATGCTGTCGCCAAGAGCCGCTGAAAGAAGAAGAACATTAACGAGCATCGTGAGTAGCTTGTTCTTAGTTCTTTCTTGTCGGAAACAAGTCGTTGATCTGCGAACAGTATTGAAGAAGTCAAGCTTATATTTAATTCCAAATTGTAGAGGGCATAGACGAGCACGTCGGAGATGGCGCTACAGTTTGTGATTAATTCTCGGCAGTCTGGCAAAAAAGGAAGATTTCAATTGAATGCGGCATTCAGAATGCCCTTGTATCGATCATTTTTCTTTTGTAAAGTACGAAATCTTCCCTTTTGAATGAAACCATTATAGAATACTTATTACATAATTTTTTTCGTAAATTATTGATTCTAGCTATTTAACGAAATTCGATAGTCATATGAATTTAAAGTTTATCAACGATAAGTTATTAACCTTAGCCGGCCAAAGTGTTATTTCTGACCCTACCGGCCAAATGCACCATGAGTGGTACATCACCTGCTTTTATTCTTGAAAAAATCAACTCAAAGTCTCTTACGTTCGTCTTTGGGTTTGTAACAAACCGTTTGTTTTTGGGTTCTTGGTTAGGGTTCGGATTTGGATATTAGTTTGTGTTTGGGTTGGGGTGCGGGGTGCGAGTTTTTTGAAATCATCATGGGTTTCAGCATCAGATCAAGTCCTTCAATTCGAAGAAGGAGACTATTCTAGGGTTCGCAATGAAAAAATTTTATTCACTTGAAAATATTTATTTCAATATTGCTTTTATCATAATTTTGTCTCCCTCAGTGTGAGCGCTATCAGCTATCATGTTGATCAGCTTTAGAATAAGACAAATACGCATACATATTAACTTCAAAAAGTTCATTTCAAAATTACACTAGTTAAAAATTGACCACATCATGCTTAGGTTGCAAAAAAATGCCGTTTTTCTTTCCCTTGTGTTTTGCGAACGAAAAATGATATGAAAAATCTGATTTCAGATTTGAAATCAGGATGGCCGAATTAATATCTAAATTTATTCGAATTTTAAGAATTTACCCAATTACGTCCCTCGAATTTTTCATTGCGAACCCTAGACTATTCGGCCAATTTTTCGGAAAAATACTGCCTACCGGCCAAGAGCACCATCACTGATGGTCCATCAGTGGTGTCGGCGCCATTGTAGCAATGCACCATACATGGTGCATGCAGTTATTCTCAAAACAAGCCTTTTTCCGAACCCTAACCCTAACCAAGAGTAGTCGAAAGGTAACCTATGGGTAGCTAATCGATAAAGCCCTACAGTTTCTTCCGTTTTTCGAAACTCAAAATCACTTCGGTGGGAGACGTAATTCTTTGACCCCTGTTCCATTGATGGTGCACTCTGGCCGGCTAAGGTTAATTGACATCATTTTGACGTTTCGAAATATGTGGAATATATGATATCATATGCCGCATATGATATGCGTATCATCTAGTACGATATGCTAGCATGGAGTCTCAGAATTGATAATCTGAAAGATTCACTGACTTTAGGCTTTTTTTCATATAACGTAAAGGGCCATTTCCAAAAAATGGGTCGATATGCGTTCCGTCGAATAAATGTTCATTTCAAGTGTCCCCTCTTAATCGATTAATAGTAAAATTTAAAAAGATAAGTGACTTGTAAGTAAGTTCCATTATGGAACAGTAATGAATATAATTTCCCGTTCGTCTGCTCAGTTTACATGAGTACAACTTTCGGCACAGTTAAGAGAGTAGATTAATATGAAGCCGGAGCCGGCTGAGTCTGTTGGCTAAATTGAATAACGAATAATCGGAGATTTGCACACGAATAAGCATTTATTGATTAATTTAATGCGTGTTCTTTGATACACAGAAGATCAAATTAAAAGCACGAAGAAATTACCCGATTGAGAGAATAGAAAATACAAATCATGAGTGGGCACAGCCTTTGTCAGGCAAAATGAATTCGGTTTGATTTTTAAATCTGAATTCATTTAGGTCATATTTGGTGTTTCAGCTACATTGCCGTCGAGGGCAGGGCTGGTAAATTAGCGCACTATTTTCTCTCGAAGAGAAAAAAATTTGCGCACTAATTTTTTTTTCGAGTCATTTTTGCGTCTTTCGCGTCTTTAGTGCGCTAAAATGACACTAATTTTTCCTCTCGGAAATTTTCGCGTCTTTTCGAGAGCTGATCAGCGCTAAAGACGCGAAAAAAGAGGCTCTTTTCATTATCCAATGGGCTCTTCCCGGATGACAGTCTCATGGAAGACGATTTTGATCAGGGAAGAATTTCTTCAAACTGAAACTTTTTCGCAGTTTCAAATTGAAACTTTCAATCATCAATGCATCGTAAATATGTAGGCCTCGGACGTAAAAAAGACGATTTTCACCATCCGGTCATTGTACGGGAACATGAGAGGGCTCATTCGAAAGGTCTTGATAAGGGCTTTCTATTTGACCGATAAAAAAACTGGGCCCTCCCTTTCAATTTAATTTTAAAAAAATTTCTTATTTAGTAACAAATAAGTTGAAAAGAATAAAAGTCAACTTTTGTTTGAAATTCTCTCTGTCAAGCATTTAAATGATGAGCTAAGATAAGCTCTGTTAGGGAGGTCTTCTCCCTATTTTTTTTTTATCGCTGGGCCATCCGCAGCTGGATCTTCCTGCTTCATTAATTTTCTTAATTTTTTGCCTTTCTTCTTCTTGTCGTCGTCCGACAACTTCTCATCGCTGTCCTCAAGGAAGCTAGAGCAGCCTTGACAGATACGTTCTACTTCGAGGTCTTAGAGCTCTTCTGAGCATCTTTATATAATTCTCTATTCACAGAATCATATTTATTTGATAATTTAGAAGGGAGGTCTCCTCCCAAATTCACGCTAAGTTGATAACTGCTAATGAAGAACTCCTCTCAAAGTTGTTTATGTTTCATATTATAATATTTCTATTGTATTTATATTATTATAAGGTAAGCATGAACTTGGGAGAAGATCTTCCTTCTCAATTATAAAATATATTTCATTTTGTTAATTAAGAATTATATTAACAACTCGCACAAAGCTGCTCCAGCTTCAGACTATTGAGGACATCGAAGATAAGTTGTCGAACGACGACAAGAAGACGAATGGCAAGAAAGGGAAAAGGCAGGAAGAACAAGCTGCGGATGGCCCTTCAAAAAAAAATTAGGGAGAAGACCTCCCTAAGAAAGCTAATCTTAGGCGAAGAGTCTAAGCTTATCATAATGATAAGCTGAATTTCAAATCTAGCACAGAAAGAGTTGCAAACAAAAGTTGAATTATATTTTTCCCTGTATAATATAGCCTATATTATATAGTCTATATTTGTTTCTTTATATTTATAAATAAAATTAACAAATGGATTGATAAAGTCTTTTTTGACTTCATATTAGAAATTCACGCCCTCTATTACCCTATCCACTTTATTGAAACCAAACTTTTTGAAATTCTAGTTCAGACGAAGTTTGAAATTCTCAAACTTACGTAGTCTTCAGAATTAAAGAGCCCGCGCTCATTGGCGGGCCAATCAGCAGCCCTTATTTTCGACAGTTTTCGAGACACACGCGAAAGGCACGCGAAAGTCGCTAAAAGTCTCGACAAAATAAATTCGCGCACTAATTTTAGCGCACTTAAAATTTTCGACAGAATTTAGGACGCGAATTTACCAGCCCTGGTCGAGGGTTAGATTCATCAAGAATATTTAATCATGAAAACGAATCATGAATCGACTAAATTTGACGAAAAATATTTTTATAGAAATTTATGGAAGCTTATTATAATGAAACATTTGTGATTTATCCCCCGGTAGATAATGTATATAATCTGTTATTTTCTTCATCTATTTCTGCTCGAGGCTTACCGTTCCGGATTCGAAAAGGGGCACTGAATGTGACCTATTCAATTTGATAAATAAAATCCGTAAAAAGTTCAACCCAGCCGAAGAACACCAAGAAGGCAAGAAAAAAAGCATTGGTCGTCGAAAATCGCCATACGATAAGTTTGACTTTGCTCGAGTGATAGTTTTGCAATACCCCTTTCACCATAAATTCACTCTCTCAAAATAAACCAAAAAGATCAGTAACTGACTTGTAAGAGAGAACGTGTATCGCAAGATTTGTGAGGTAGAAAGCCAATGAGTACTGTACATCTTAAATTAGCAGAAGTCGCTAATGAACCTTGACCTCAACATGCAACCACAAGTGATGATCGGTTCCAGCAGCGTGGATTATTGTAGGGATTTGATTTTTTCGTCGCTGAGGAAATTTATTTGTGACGCTTGACGAGTTACCATGGATCGGTAGGGTCTATTTTAGAATTTTTTGACTAATTTTCAATTTCGAAGATCAAACAGAAAAACCAAGCGAGAGGAAATTAGAGATTTGCAGAGATACAAAGATATTGGCTATTTGACCTCCTTGGTCAAGGACCGGCAAGATAGACAGGTAAAAATGAGGTCATGATTTCCTTCCCTTGACTAAGTCTATCTTAGCATGTATCAAATGTTTCGATGTACAAAGATATCGGTCATATGTTTCGACGAGCAACGAAGCTATTCGATCGCGTCACTGCCGTTAATAAGGTAAATCAGAATACTTTAACATAAGAGTAGATGCGCACGCATTCATCTGAGAACTTTACTCTTGGGAACATAATGTGACATTATTAATGTCCTCGAGAATTGACGTAAAAATGAGAATAAATGATGAATTTTAGGAGTCGAAAAAGAGCTCATACAATGTGCGCGAGCTGATCGAACGAGCAAAATCTACATATAAAAAAGTTGGTAAGTTGCTTGGTAGTCAAATGAAGATTTGTAATAATAACGGGACCTTATTTAGATGACATTCTTTCCAGACCAGATGTGAAAAAGATGCGATGTGTAAGCGCAGAGACGACCCTGTCACAGTATCGAAATTTCTTCAAATGATTTCTTACTGTCTTTCTTCACTTCCAAATACACGAAAGTAAAGAAGTATTGCTATAATCTAATTTGAACTTGAAAATTGTTCGACTGATTAACCAACAATATATTTATGTTACATTACTTATGTCACATAAGTTATGTGACTTAAGTATTGTGAGAAAGGTGAACGAAGTTTAAGCCTGCCTTTCATTTTTTGACAAGCATTCTCTCTCATGGTATATGCTTTTGTCGGGAATGACGACTCAGTTCGTTGCGACTAGGCTCGTGGGACTAAGTTCGTGGAGGGGGTTATGCCGCATAACTTATGCCTAGGGATTCTCACGGAAAAACAAATTGTACTCAATTTTCGTGAAACTTTCCGTCTAGATGTAATTTTTTCCGCTGATTCTAAATATGCAAAAATCATTGTGAAATTCTGAAGAAGTGGCAAGCTATAGCCGATAAGGTCGCTAGGTGGTAAGCCCTAGTATTTGCTTCGTTTTGGAAGTAATCCTTCACTATGAGTCGGCTAATTCTTAGCAAACGGGTAGCTTACCACTTCCGGGAACTTTTTTGTTCAGATAACCCGCCGTTATTTGTGACAGATTTCCTACAGTAGGTCAAAGTGTGCACCCCGGGACCTTTGAAAGCCTTCTAGTTTCTCCCCGGTCTTCAAACTTTAACAGACTCTAGAAAAACGTCTGTTCTTTGACATATCTCAAAATCAGAGATTCAGAAGGTCGGTTAGACACATAGAGAGCAGGTTTTCTTTGGATTTTCGTAAAAACTACGCTTTTTTTATGAAAATTTAAGTTTTTGAGGTCAATTTATGAACAAGCGTCATCTTTTTCCATATATTCAGAGGTTTTTCAATGAGATTCTGTCAAGTTACGCGAAATAGATTGCCATCATTTTGCGCGAGAAGCGCCTCGCCGCGCGCCGTTTTTCCGTGAGAATCCCTACTTATGCCAGACTATTGAAAAGGGGGTATATTATATATTACAGCTTATAAACAATATAACGCGTGATCCAATTTGACAATGTCACATTGAGATTGTCTATAGCGATCGTGACGTACACTGGAACGGATTCTTCATTATTTCCGGATGTAAATGCTAGTAGACGAGTGCCACGCTCGTGAAATTCTCTGTAGCAAATGCGTATAGATTCCGGAATTAATTAAAATTAACGCGAATCTCCTCATCGGGTAGAGTTTGAGATCATGTGATCAAAGAGATGAGCACGAACTTAACGAAATACTATTGATTCTGGAGTTTATTAACATGATAAAATTCTTTACCCTGTAAAGAAAGTTCTCCAGAAGACTTATATTTTTCTCTATGCTTACTTCGATTCTAGCCGCAAAGGAGTCATCCGCCGATCGAAAGATTCGTGCCATCCAATAACTTAAGAATAAAGACAAGTTTAAAAACTAATTATTTATAGGAGCATTCCTCTGCTCCAGCGTTAAGTTCAGGAGCCCTTATTTAAGGCACTACCCCTTGAGACTCAAGGCTTGAGTACCTTGGTATTATCGCTTAGAAAGTAAAACATTCGTAAAAGACGAATCATTATCAGTAATTATAAGGAAAAAGACCCTTACTGCACCTTACGAACCAGTAAATTCAAAAAGGCACGAGAGCGCTATCAATATTTTCTTTAGCTCTAGCGCCATCTTTGGAATAAACTCTAGTATATAAACACGCGAAAATAAAAGAAGCCATCTGACTTTGAGAAAGTTCTAAAATCGGGAACATCTGCTTTTCCTACCGAAAAATGAAAGTCGCTAAATTCAGCTCTTTTGTTTTGACCGTCTTTGGCGACGCACTTAGCTTCAATCGCGGATTGAACAACGGTCGAACCCACTTGCTTCGATCTCAGGAAACCCCGAATCCGATGGCATTTCGCTGTGCTCGATCTGATGATTGTACTCTTGAAGAGTACATGGCAATTGCTCATCTCAATCGAATTCAAGGAAATCAACGAAGAGAGCGCACCCACAATGGCAACTTCAATCGAAAGCGGCTCTACCGACAAAAGATGATGGGTCGCTATTAAACGACTTGCTTTGATATATGCTCCTGAAAATATTTCAATCTGAAAAAAATTAGAAAAATATAATTCACAAAAAAACAGAAATCACCTTTTGCTTGTACATTTTGTTAGTTTATTTTTGAAACTCAATTGGGATACCCAAAAAACGTTTCCAGGTCCTCACCAAACACAGGTCCAAGATCTATGATCACTAATTCTTAGCAGGTGAGGTTGTTTTCTGCTGAAGATATGGCTCTCCTATCATGGAAAGGTGCTGATATCAGGGTTTGTTCAATTGAAGATAACTTAGGCGCTATTGCCTCTTCTGACCATTTTGGAGTGGTGTCAGTCTGACCATATCTAATTTTGTCGTCAGAAGAATTTTTACGAAGTTTGAAAGAGAACACGAGAGAAATCAAGAACCATGAAGCTCCTTGGCTCACTTGTTCCAATAGGCCAGGGATAATAGTACAGAAGCTTTGACTTAGCATTATCATTAAACCGGCTTGCCAGTGCTTCGCTGAGCCTCAGATTATAGTTATTGTCAATATATGGATATTCTTTGCAAGCATTTCATCATCTCTGTATAAGTAATGTCACAAAAACAACTTGCCCAAGTTTGCTCAAACGAAAGTTGGCTCTTAGATGAAGATGTGATTTGTAGCAAAGGGAATTTAAAAGATTCCTACTGCACAATGTTCTGTCCGAAAGGGCTTGAACCCGTCATGTCGGAATGTCTCTGTGGCAAGCAATGCAAGTGGATGCCTGCGCGGCCCTTTTGTACAAACCCGGCAGATTATGAGATGTACTACGTAGATTCTTGGGATGTCACAGAAGAAGAAGTTCAGCTAAGGATTTCAATGATTTGACGTAACATCACTATCTGTTTTTTATCTTGAATAGAAATAGACTTCATTGTTCTTTTTCTTCTATTATTTCATGTAGCATTAGGCCTACTATTTGCGATAATTCCATCTAAAAAAATCCATCAATAGACACAAAAGCCAGAAGTATCTCCCGGATTATCTGCAGATTCAATCGAATCACCAGAAAAATACAAGTCGGTTAATGCAATTGCTCCACCAAAATGGACAAATAAAGAAGAAGAGACGACCACCGAATATGTAAGCACAACAGTAGTTGCAACTACTTTATCAACAACGGAGTCGCTGATCATTTCGCTCTCTACCCGAGATCCAAAAGATGATTCTGACCGAGCAAACAGCGAGAAAAAAACTAGTGGGAAACGAACTGAGGCTGAAAAAGCAGTGCTAAAACTTCAAAAACAGCAGTTGCGCAAAGCAGCGAAAAAATCTGCGAAATTGGCTGCGAAAGAAAAAACACAGAAGGAAGTCGAGAAGCCGGAAAAAGTTAGTAAGCCAGTGAAAGTGGAAAACATACCAGAGCGTGTGTGTGAGACACCATCCTGGTTCGAATTCGTGTCCTGCTCAGATGGGCGTCAAAAGAATTCAGTCTGTGAGACCTCCTGCTATGGTCAAGGGATCACATTCGACAAAAAAGAAATGAAGTCCACCTGTCAGTGTACAGAAGGTGTCTGCGAGTGGGACAACAAGAATGGACCTTCTTGCGTCATCATTAAGTCAGAAAAGAATGTTACTGAGGATAAGGAGAAAGAAGTTCCAGACTTTTGCGAGGAGCTAGAATGGCTCGAATCTGGAGATGTCATCTGCTCAGAGAAGAATCATAAAGACTCCGTTTGCCTGATGAAAAGCTGTTCAAAGAGGCAGATCTCGACGGCGGTAAAATGCAAATGCTATACGAAAGATGACGATGTCTCAAAATGCAAATGGCAGGAAGAGCTTAAGGATGACTTTACCAAAAGAGGTAAAGTAACAAGAAGAAATAAACAATTATATCTTATTATAATTACTGTTGTTTTGAGAATGACATATCTTGAGTTGACTGGATCTTAGAACAGACACCTTTTCTATTGTCTGCTAGCTCGATGATTGTAAATCTGAATAATTTCAAGGAAAAGCTGTCCATTCAAGAATGATCCAAGAATGCAAATTCAAATTTCCAGCTATGTTTTTCTTATTACAAAGTATAATTAAGGTCCTCGATGTATTCGTCAAGAAAAACGAGGACTAACAGACGAACGATGCGAAGAAGAAGACTGGTACGCATCTTCATTTGGCGCCAATCCTAAAATAGAGTGCACAAAGATGAATAAGGATAAATCCGTCTGCCAGCATACTCAGTGCAAGAAAAACCAGGCGCCGATTCCAGGTAACTCTATTTATTATTTCAAAGAGAATCTAAACCGAAAATGAAGCTACGTGCATGTGCTTCGACCGCTCAAGTGATACCAAGAAATGCAAGTGGAATAGAAGGCCCGATTGCGGAAATCCAGATAAAGTCGAGGATCCAATTTCGCTCGGATTTAGGTAACGCTAGACCTCTCTAAATCAACAATTATCTGACGGAAATAAGGAGCTCGCAACGATGCCATAAGCCAACGAATTGGGATTATATCAATGCTGTCAAGTGTACTAACGGATACAACAAGGTACATTTTTCCTCGATTAATTTACTGATTTCGATCATAGGGATCTGAATGCAGGATCAATCGATGTCCAGGCACAATGGTTCAGGCAACAGCAACATGCTCATGCTATGGCATTCGATGCACCTGGCTCTACGATCATGGAGAAAAGCAGCCGACATGTGTTCACGAGCCGCAGCCAAGCTCCAAATCTCAACAAGGCAAGTCTGATAAGAACATTCTAAACAAATCATCGATTCTATCTCAACTTGATTTTCTAAAATGAACATTTTCGATCTCTAAATGAACAATTCAAGGCGATGGAATGTTGAGCGATGTTGGTATGGGCGGTTTAATGGAGGTGGAAGAACTTGAAGAGCAAGACATTGAATCTTTTGGTAAATGAGTCTTTGTTAAGACTTTCACAGATTTTTTCAAGACTTCTCAAGCCGGGAATGTGATTCGATCGAAAATGGTTACACAATCTGCACAAGTAGAAACCACGAGGGCAGTAAATGCCGTCGCCTTGACTGTCAGTCAACAGAAACCATCTGTGTCTGTGGAGAGGTACGTTACTTATGATTTTTTCCAGTCACACGATTCTCACATGTGACTTTGTGAGGCTGAGTCTGATTGTCCGAAAATAATTTGCTTATCAAGGATTTTGCGCGAAAAAATTGCTCAGATTTTCTCACGTTATTTTATAATTTTCCACTCACATGAGCCTTTTTCGTAATTTTTGAAATGGTTTTATATTCTGATTCCATCCAGATTTGCAATTTTGCTTGCTTGTTTGTGATATTATTGCCCCCTGGATAAGATAAGGTATAATTGGATAATATATAATAATGGATAATATATGATAATTTCTCAAGGAAAAGATCTGTCGTTTTGGAATTTATTGTCATGAGACAGCATAACAGCAAATAATACCATAACAAGAGAAAAATCCTCAATATGATTTTCACTGGCTAGAATGTAGCTAGAAAGAATATATTTCGCCGGATGTAGATAGATTCCTTTAATGGTCTCATCAGGGTTAATCATCGGCTCCTTTTAACTTACTATTTTGAAGAACGGATGCTCTTACGACAAAGGGCTGCCAACCTGTATGAGCAAGGCTGTGATGGCACGAGGATGCGACAAAAATGGTAAGCGCGGAACGTATTTTGGAAAGTAAAAGATGAAATCCTTCATTCAGGTTGTGACGGATGCGATAAGGCCCCGTGGATGGATCAGCCAACAACTCAGTGTACCCATTTTAATTTTCCAGGCTCCCAATGTTACAGGTATTTAAAATGTCGATTTGGCGAAATAAAATGTTGCGATTGAAAACTCATTTTTGACTAATCACGGAAAATTGCCGTAATGAAAGGAGTTGAGAGAAGTTGCCTCACGTTACACAAGCCCGCTTAGATTAAGATATCATTTATCAAAAATCCTGGCGGATGAAAAAAACTCTGACTTGTCCGAATTAAGATCGAACTGCTACCACCCGCTCCAATCGACGCGTGCGACTTGCCTCTGCGAATCCGTCAATGGAGTCACGAAATGCGACTGGAACTCAAGCCCAACTTGCTTCCGCCAGGCTAGATATGGGCGTTAATAAAGATCCGCCCAGCTTGCGCCTGTATATAACTTTTTTATACTCTTAGAGCGAAATAAATCCACAAATGTTTTTCATTATCAAAATTTGAAAATGTCCTTCAAATTTTCCCATTGTCAAGAAACGATCAAGATTGCCCCTGTGAATTAGAAAACCTTATGCTTTTATTACAAACTTGAAGAGTTGTTACGTTCACCTTGCTAAGAGAAGTCTCGTAATCCTGAGCCGATTTGGTGGAATGTGGTGGAGCATATTTTAAGTGTGGTGTCATTCTAGGGTCTCCCCGTTGAACTCGATCTGCTCGATTCTTTGATAAGACCTCGGAAAAAGACAAATTGATGGCAAAGTTGTAATTTAAAATTTTCAACTCTTTGCGACTTTTTCTTCCCTTTTTCTGCAATCTAATTGGTTGTTATAAAAAAACGCCATCATGCGGAATATCAATCTCTATTCCTCCAAAAAGACTCCCTGGAGACATTTTGGTGGCGACCCTAGATGGTGGAGTAAAGTTGGTGTAGGCCACGAAAAGGCAGGTAGCGACGCTCTAAAGCAGTGTTAGAAAGCGTCTCTCTTGTACTAGACCGAGGAAAGTCAAAACAGACAGTTGAACAAGAAACGATCACCGAAGCGGGGTGACGCAATCCACCCGCCACTCACGAAACCGTCACTTTTCTTTCTTAGCCAGCTCTATTGAACGGCTTTTGAAAATATTGAGATTTTACGCATTCTTATCATTTATCATTTCACTCCATTTATATATTTTTAAAGGGCATTAAACAAATATGCTAATATACCAATTCTACTTGTAAGGACAGTAGTGCTAAATCGTATTAGTCCAGAGAAAATAATTGAAAATTCACCATCGAAAAAGAATCATTTCTTGCTCGATCCGCTAGAACCACGTTTTTTGTATTGATATAATTCGCATCTAATCGACAAAATGGATTGATATTAGATAAGAAAAAACGTGACATTTATCGCAAAAGAATATGCTTCTTATATCATCATTTGCGCCAGATATTGCGCATAATCATTGTTGTGATAAGTGTGTCCATAAATTAATAATAAGTCAAAGATACATTTGAGCAGGATAGACCATCAATAATACACAGTCACGAGGTTATGCAGCAACGTAAATAATCTTTTAGCAGCGTTCGTATAGTTTCCCTTATTCATATATGATATATCAAAGAAGCTAAGAAAGTAAGAGCTTCTGATGAAACACCAATATGGACCATATTATATGGTCCATATATTATATGGAGAATTGATAATGGTCATTGATAAACAAGGCGCTTTTATTCTGACAGGAATTTTTCATCAAAGTGGTCTTTTTATTGTGATATTTAATATATCATATATTATTATGGCTCGTAGAATGTGAGAATGTCAATATTATTGTCACTTTAGAAAATAATAAATTAACAAAATTGAAAGGCTGGTTCTTGACTCTTTCTGCTACCGGAAGTCTTCCTTCTGAAGTGATTTAATATAAAGTTTTGATGGTATTATTCGAGTGCTCTAGTAAATTATAGCAGGCTTGGCGATGGTAGGGTTGTTCATTGAACGGTTTCTAAAAAGTGGTGGCGGCGTGCATTATCGGCTGAGGCGCTCCTATGCGCCATCGCGGACTGATGGTGGTGGAGGTGCCCGCGGCAACGAGCGCAGAGCCAATCAGCGCGCGCATCACGTTCTGAAGAGGTTTAGAAGGCTCCTCCAAGAGCCGAATTCTCAGTAATCGCCCTCTTCGGAGAAACGCGCCAGAGCAGGCTCACTCACAACCGAGTACCGCGTATTTCGTGAACATCACTTTCAGAAAAAAAAACTTTTTTAAACTTAAGCGAATTTCATAATAAATTTTGAGAAAATCAAGAAAGAGCAAATAGAGAATCCAAGAAGACATCATCTGGTGAGTTTACCTTTTGGACTTAGAGAGAGAGATTTTGATGATGGAAGATACTTTTCGTTATGGCGATTTATAGGGAGAATTTTCAGGAAATTTTTATGGTAAAAATAGAATGGGCTAACAAAAATGCCTTCATTTATATTAATGGATTGTAATGTAAACGGTCGATTACCATAAAAAATACTTTTATCCAAAAAATAAAATATTTCCAAGCCTGCTATTTCGGAAAATGGTTCAAGTGTTTATCATCAAAAAATTGCTTGGCTGAATTGAGATTCGGAATTGATGCAAAATTCGGTGGAACCATTTCTTTTCTTCGTAGATTAAAATTCCGGCAGCCTTTTTACGGGAAATGGACCAAAGCCAAATGCGCACGAAATTTGGAAAATTAATTCGTTCTGAATTAATTTTATCATTGTTACTTATCATGAAAATGAATTGAAATTCGTTATTAATCCTTAATCGGATGACATTGATCATTTTTCTCTCAATATAAAAAATTCCGGCACCCTTTTTAGGGCAAAAATAACATAACCAAATACGCACGAAATTCGGAAAATTCGCTTTTTTCTGAATTAATTTCCCTTTTTGTACGCACAAAAACTTCTATCTGTAGCGTATTAGATGATTTAATAAAGATTAAATTCTTGAAGGAATTTTGCGCGATTGACGGTCAAAGATTTTTCCGAAGTAAAAATTTTCTTTTGACCGTTCTTGATCATTTTTACAGTAAAAACGGGATATAAATATTAAGGATCTCCACTTTGATAAGCCTGGGATTGATTAAAGAGCTTGTCGAATCGAAATTTTCCGAGAAAAGCTTCTTCTTCTGAGTAGGCCGGGCGCGCGCTGATGTGGTTTGATGGTGCAGTTGCCAAGTGCTCACCTGAGCCGGGTGTAGTAACACCACCACCGCCATTCAGAGCTTACCTGACTAACGCAAAGCTTTACGTAACGAACGCTCCAGCGAAATTTGGGTTACATCAACCCTGTTTGATATGTCAGCACAATCCGAAGCTCGCTCAAATTCCATTCGAGACCATATAATTCTGCAAAAAATATAGCTCGATTTTTCACTTGAAAAAACAGTCATTTTTTGGCGTCATTATCAAAAGGTTAATGCGGACATTTATTGTTATTTTTAAGCGAAAAATATCAAGAAAAATAGTCATTTTCAGACAAATGTCTACACGTGCACGGTTTTTCATATATTTACCCATAAAAATGAGGAATAAATCACCTAAAAATCCGTTCAAAAAGACAGGTTCTGGAAATATGCAAGTCAGTAGCGTCTATTTCATCAACGAGCCGAATTAATATGTATTTTGTCGGTTTTTATCGGCACCGATATAAAACAAATGAGTTGAAACATCGGTAAAATTACGACCCTGATTTCATTTTATCGGAATGAACGCGCCAAGGGCCATAAAACCAATTTTCGCTTATACGAATTTCCAGGCTCAGACTGGAATTTTCATCATCAAAATAACACTCTTTTTTTGCCATTTTCTTCTCCAAAGAGATTAACGAATTCATCCTTAGAAAATAAAAGAACGACATCTTCAAATCGATTCTTCCAGAGGAAATCTTCACAGTTGGTATTCATCGCATCCCTTCTTCACTTATCGAAATCATATTTTACAAAAAAAAAGAGAAATATTTAAAAATTTTGAAGAACTATTCAAAATTTTACAAATTTTTTTACTAAAAGAGCATAAAAATTATCGAGGATATTTTCTTCCGACAAGAGTAAAGATGAACGGCGCTAAAATATTCTTTTGCCGAAATAGCGAGATCGGAAATGAGCTGATAATGTGTTTCCGCGGTTATTTAATGCGATCTTTCTAAAACAAATTGATTAGCTACTGTTCAAATTCTAGCATATAGATTCCATGCCGAATAATGACATTTTAATAGCATTTAAGACGTAATTTTCAATATCCAAACCCTTGATTTCTAATTTGAACGAACGCGACTGTAACTTGCGAAAATCTTATCACTACGGATTGAACTATCGAAAGAATGGTTGTTATACAGATCATCGGAATTCTAGAGCTCTGTGTGTAGGCACTTCCGCTTTAGAATGGTGCTGGTGGAGCACTAAGCGCCTGGCTGGAGCACAAAGCACTGGCCCTCGGGCGCCTCGCTCCTTTGTCCTTTTTAGAACCACTTTTTCGTACTGTAGCTCCACTATAGATTTTCGAAGTCAACATATTTGCAATCCAAAAAGTAGCTTCAAATTTATTTCAAAAATGAGTCAGCAATTTTAGAACATTAGGAGCCATAAAAGATGAGCGGTATTTAAGGGAATGCGGGAGTAATGCCATATTGACAATATGATATTGTGGTCAAGTTAGACAGATAGTGACTCCACCAAATACCACAGATGGAATCGACTTAATTCAACCTTTTTGTCATTTCTGAGATGATTAGCCTTAAAACATACTGATATCTTATTAGTTTATACATTAGAAGTCGTATCAATCATTTTTCATGAAAATGTCCTTGTTGATTTTTGCTATTTGATCGAGCGTTTTATGTTATTTTAACTTTTTACCAGAATTCAGTGACATGTGCTAACGATCATGCAAATTTCTTTGAAGCTGGTCAGCCAGAGGAACAATCTACCAGACGACAAATAACCAACTATAAATAAACTTATCGCATCCAAAACAACAGGTTTTTATCAGCAGAAATGCGGTTGTATAACCTTATCTTTTTAATCCAAAAGTTTCTTCGAAAACATCCTTAAAATAATTCTAGAGCTAATCCTCTTAACATGGATACAATCGGTCTCACTGCGATTCCGCGTCCGATTCCGACAGTCGGCCTTCCGAAAATTCCAACAACAATTTCCGCCGTCACCACTTCTTCCACAAATTCAAATACAAAACTCAATTCCCAGCCTCACAAGACGTTGCCTCCGAAGCGATGCCTCAGTCCTCCAAGACATTCGCCGCCAGACCCAAATAAACCAGTCATAAATCCAATCACCAACCGGTATTTATAGAATCAGCTATCTAAACGCTTGTTTTTATGAATATGAATTTTTCACAGCTATTTTTCTTATTATCCGAAGTCACGACTCTCGGACTAAATATATGGAAGTGCATTTTTGGATTACCAATGAGATTGCTGTATTCGGCCTACAGACCAATCAAAACTCTAATCCATATAATCACTTCCATATAAAGGTTCACCCCCAATTTTCATAAACATTTTTGAAAAGTCGATTTTTGGAATTACAAAATTTCGACCCCGGAAATGGATTCTACGGGTCAAAGGACGATTTTTTGGGGGGTCTATCTCGAATCTAACATCCTCATAATCGCGTTTGAAATTTGACTTGGAACATTTAAAATAGCTCTCGCTGAAAAGCTACTATAATAATTATCTATCAAACTATTAGACTTAACTATCCGTTAAGAAAATCATATGATCACATCACCGACCGAGAGCTTCGAAAAAAGCTAAAAAACCGCGAATCGGCGCAGGCCGCACGTGATCGAAAGAAAGCAAAAATGATGGCCCTTGAAAGGCAACTCGGAGACATGGCCGAAAGAAACAAATTCTTGGAAAACGAAAATCGCGACTTGAAAGGAAGACTTCAGAGAGTTGAAGCCGAGGCTTTCTGGAGGCTCGTAAAACAGCCTGGCGAAGGTAGAAATAACAAAAATATCGTAGAATCGGGGATTCTAAATGTGAAAACTTGAGAATCGAATGAGAAAATAAGATTTCTAAATCAAATCTAGGAAATATGGAAGGCAACCCCATGATGCCCAATGGAATGCATCCAAACATGCACGCAAACATGCATGTCGAAGGCCAGCAGATTCCGCCAGAGCTCCACCAACTCCACCAGCGACAGATGCAGCTTCTTTTCGAAAACGGTGCTGCTTTCAACCAAGCTGCGATGCAGCAGGGACAGAGTCAGCAAATGCCAATCAGTAAGCAGAAGAATTGTTCATTTTAAACTATATTAATGATAAAAAGTTCCTTCTCTTATGAATTTTATTAGACAATCAGCAGCAACCGCAGAAGAACCAGCAAAGTCAGCGACCAGAGACTCCAAGCATTTCTGACATCGATTCTACCGACTCCAATCCTTTCGCTTCTCTTCGCTTGCCCAAGGGAGAGCCTCTTGACGAAGACCAGCTCGCTGAATTAGCTTCAGGACGCGCTAGGTAATAAAGTTATACAGTGTTACCTCATATGATATGATATCATATGATATGATTCATATGATAATTTTCCGTCAATTGCTAATGGAAAAACAATAATCGCTATTATTAGAAGATATCAGAATTTCAAATTCGTCCATGATCATTAATACAATATATTTTCTCTTCGAAAAGGCAATATAACAGCGTATTAAAAATATGTTAAGCGATCTCTTGGCCCTGACTGCTAGACGATTCAGCCTCAGTTCCGCCTCATCTGAGCTCGCTGCGTCCGTAAATCCAGAACACCTGGATGACTGGATCTTGCGAAACTTTAAAGGCGAAGGCTCACCTCTTTCAAATAAGGCAGCCTCGACTGGCTACTCGTCTGGTTCCTGTGACTCTCCCGATCATTCTGGTGAGCCCGCTTCGCCCGAATTCGCCGGTGCCTGGGCCGCGACTTCCGGCTCCAATCGAACCAGCTCATCTGACTCGGGCTGCATCGTCAATGAAAACTGCTTCAGCCAAAAACTCCCCCCATTCAAGCTCGAGAAATGAGTTACTTCTGGTGTTCTCTTAATTTACAAATACCCACAGTCAACCGAGTCATGAGGATCAAGCGAATAAGTTCCGAAACGTCAAACAAAAAATAATAATTCGATCCCATTTTGCCACGCGTTTTGTTTGCCTTGCCACCTTACTTGAATCTTTTTGCTTATACCATTTGAACCGCTTCGATATTTTGCCACATCTTTCTGTAGCTCAAAAAGCCAACAACGAAGATTACTATTCAAGGTCGCGATTTTCGAATTTTCTGCTCGTGGCTTCTCGCAATTCAGTGAAATTATACATCTTTTTCGTAAGACTTGCATTTTATGATTAACTCGGAAGAAGGGAGTACGAGCAGCGCGATTCTTAAAAAAACCCCCAATTGCCATAAAACAGAATTAAGTTCAAAGCTATAATAGTCACTACTTTCAGCGACCTTCGTGTATATTGCCATTCAAATTCACATCTTTAATGATGTAATTTTGTGCCTGTATAAAAACACTTGAATATGAGCCACCAAGGCCTTTCATGACAATATTTCAAATTGGACGCGGTTTTCACAATAAATTATTTGTTAAAAAAGCTGTTGTTTTACTCTTCCTGGTTGTAGTGAAGACATAGAAGAGAACAAGATGTTTTGAATTTCAGGCAGTGTTGTATTAGTTGTGATTTCTATGTACAGTCAGATAAAGAAAGAAAAAATATTTCAGTGAAGGGATTTAAAGCCATTTGAGAGCTGCAGCTCGTCGAATCTGCATCATTTTAATTTGTTGAGCAGTTGGTTGTCTGATGACAGTTTGGCTAGCGAATTGTCGAGATCGGATAGCTTTGAGATGGTATTGAGCGGCGGTGGAAGCCGAGACTGAGGCAATGAGAGCGATGAGGAGAACGAGAAACTTCATTTTTTGTTTGTTTTGAGTTGCTAGTTTGATGCTTCTGATGCTGACTGTAGCTGTTTAAATACTCTTTGAAGAGGCCTCGACTGTGGCGCTAACAACTCGCCACTAGTTGCGCATTCTGTAAATCCGGGATAGCCGATGCTTCATACTGGCGCACCATGGAATTTATCGACTGCGAGTAATGATCTGGACAGCTGAGAAAGAATCTATATCTACGAGCGAGTCGTCAATTTGCACCATCGCCTCGTCAGATCTGAGCAGCGGAAACAATGATTTTTAACTATTTAGGTGGAGATTGAGCTTTAAATAAATGATCATAAAAATGTATTTTATTATCATTTCGGGAACATTTTTGACAGTATTTTTTAAATAATGAATAGTAAGAGTAGACAGTATGAAGACACTTTCTTAAAGGATTTCACGCACCTTGAACATCACCCACTAATTCAAGCTAATAAGAGCTCGTAAATAATTATTAAATGTTCAGAATTTTGTTCCCACGCAATTATCATAATCTTGGATATCACACGCGAGGAAATGATAATTCAGCAATCGTTACAAGTTCACATCAACAGTGATGTCCCGAAAAAGTGAGAAACGACCTCGCAGATGCACGCGGAACCATAATTTTGTCTTTGAACCGAATAATGATTCGATAGGGAGAAATAGCAATGTAAAATTTGATGGTTTTCAATATTACAGATGACGATTCGGGCAAATGACGACAACTCATTTCTAATTGCTGATTAACATTATGTGAAACTACAAAATTATCATTCAGTGTGAAATTATACGATCATTGTTAACTGCAGATTGTGTCATCTGCAGATAACACACAGTCTGTATTAATAATAATAAAATTAAGCTCTTGAATTTTTTTCGAAGCAAAAAAAAATTTAGTAAAAAAATACATTAAAACTTGAAGTCTAAAAGTTGAAGACAATTTTGAAGTCCAAATTATCGCTCATCTTTCAGTCAAAATTTATCTCACCCAGCTTTCGGTAGCACGGCTAATTACGAGTATAAGCGACGGATGTCATTGTCGACCCTTGTGTGTGGCTGTGACGTTTTTGATGATCTTACTATCTGTGCATAATTCGGCGCTGAGGTTACGAGTTTGCTGCCGAAACAACCCGTCTTCAGAAAACAACTAACGCTTTTACGCGCTATCTGTTACGTCGCGGGGGAAATAAACTCAGCAAGAAGCAGAAAAGAGAGCTGACGAGTATAATAACGACGCGTGATTATCCTTGGCAATTGTACATAGCTCAGAATCGAAAAAAGAGATAAGAAAATGACGAGTATATGAAGACACTAGAGATTGTAATAAGAAAATGAAGGCTCCCAAGAGAAGTTCACAGGTAAGAAAAATCTTTCATTTTGCTAATGCCCAAAGTGATTTGCTTCTCGTTGAATAGTGAAGTTTTTATATAGCTACGGATTTTCGCGGGAAATCACAAATACGGTTAGTTAGATAAGGTAACCCTTGAAAATTAGTTATCTGCATCAGTTATCTGTGAAATTTTTTTAGTTTTTTCTCTCCCGTGGAATTTTGATCTCTAAGAATTGAATTCACTTTCAAATTTGGTCGCTCCATTTACAACTATGTTGATCCAAGTAAGCAGCATCAAAACCGTTTTTGTCTCGCGCTGACTTCCGAAAATCGACCATAAACCAATTAACCGCAAAATGATGATTTTATTGCTTTGTGATTATCGCTTTTATTAAACTTCCCGGAAAAAATAGCGGCCATATCAAATTTTGATAAAGAAAGTTTACTCGGAGCGTGCTGACAGAATGTAAAAAAAGCAGTCGTCTTCCTTGATTTCACGCGCTATTGCGCGCTCAGAATACGTCAAAGAAGAAAATATTTTAAATGCTTTCGAAAAAAATATAAATCCTCGCTTACGACTTTCAAAACCAAAAGAAGACCGGGCGACAAAGTGATCCGCTTGATTTTTTTATTATCCGCGTTTAAATCCTTAGTAATTATTATGAGTTTGTCATCTCCGCTGAGGGAAACAGCTTTGAAACTTAAAAAGCGGCCAATCCTACTAAATCCAGCTCATCGAAAGCAAGATTATGGAGGATAGAAAGTAATAAAAAACAAGAATTTATGATTTTCAAATTAGTGTCGAACGAATCAAATCTGAATCAAACTCTAGTAGCTAGACTTTAGCTTTTTTGGTGGGAGTCACGAGGCATTAATAAGTTTGATTGAAAAGGCAATTTTAACAAACTCTAAGAAAATTAATGGAAACAATAAAATCGAGTCGACGACGTTATACCGCATCTTACACCGCATTATGACGGTATTACGATTGCTTCTACCATAACTGGCATGCTCACATTTGAGTTTATCGTAAAATTATCTTCATGATTTCCGACCTCCTTCTTCCTCACCATAGGAAAATCGTTCAATCATAGAGGCTATCAAATATTGAAAAAGAGTAGCATATGAATGGACAAGTTAGAGTGCGTCGAAGGATGATTGATGTCTGATTGATGAGCATAGTTATCATCGGTTGGACTGAAAGGGAAGCATTAGGGGTTCGTAAAAACTCAAGGCTTTCTCATGAATTTATGGAGATTCTAAAAAACAAGACAGGCTTCAGCATGGAATTTTCTAGTGCTCATAAGACAAATTATTTAAGGGATATCTTTCGACTCCACAAAAGCGCAAACTGACAAATTCTTGAGAGTGGCCAATTTTCGGATAAAATTTGCATTTACCTTGAAAACCATTAGCTGCCTGGTGCGCGCAGCCGGTGCGCTATCAATACGCCGCGTGGTTAGCTCTGAGCCTCTAGAAAAAATACAGAAGGAACTATCTTGATAAGCAAAGTGTGCGCTTTAAATTATTGACTCGCAGAATTCGATAGCCCTTCATGTTATTGCAGCAGGAGAATAAAATAAACGAAGGAGAGCTTTAATTTTCAAGCCTTCTGAAAAAAAAACGAGTCAGGTGAGTTCACGAAAATTAAGAAAATAAATTCTGACAGCCTTTTAGAACCTCTTTTTGATAAAATATTATTTAAAATGACGGTTAAATAGACGGTGTCTATTTGAGTATTTCGTTGGGACTCTAAATGGAGTTTGTCTTTTTGAGCTACAGTATTTCAACTACAGTCTAGATTTTTTAAAAAAGATTTTAAAGGAAAAATTTGTGAAAAAGTACTTCGGACATGGTTTTTCGAAGTTGTTCCGAAGCTCATGTTTGCGGATGGGGCGGCTCGGCTTGGGATTTGGCAGAAGGCTGGCGCCAATCTAATCTCGAACTGCTACTACAACTTGTAATCACTATCGCCAGCCGTTAATAAACACAACTCTACACGTGCCGTCCTATTCTAAGCCCAATTATATCGCGATCGCTCATTTTAAGAGCTCATATCGCCACCGAATTACACATTTCGTAGATAAACTAACATTACCATAATCATAAAAATCGCGTCAGAGAAACTTCTTCAGTAATATTTCAGAGTTATTTCCACAATTTTCTACAGCTATATTCTAGCAAGTCATCGCAAATATACTGTTATAATAACAACTAATTATAACTCGTAGCGGCGCATGATTTGCATTATTAGCGCAAGTCGCGAATCGAGCGCTTTTTAGACTAAGCAAGCTCTCTTCAACAATACAGGAAGTGAAGCCGCGAATTCAGAGATCTTTAAGAGGGCAATTCATCTCCGCCCTTTCTAATTTGAGGTTATGCTCGGGAGCAACGCATGAAAAGTGCTCTTTTGAGGCACTTTGGTTTCGGTTTGCTTCAGCGGTGTCTTTTAAAGTCGAGACCTTTTCAAGCACGCGTTATTCCGTTCTTTAGTTGAAAAATTCAGCGGCCGGACAGGCTGTGTTCCCTTTCGATTCTTTCGTAATGAGATCGAATTTCCTTAATCGTTTGCTAAAACAAACTCGCTGGACGGCAAGTTCCGTTTTAGTCTGTTCAATCTGAATCATCTAAAAAATTCGCTGAGAGATGAAAATCACCGTCAACTCGTCCGGGTCATGTTCCGGCGATCGTGTTTGCGGCTAGCCGCAGTAAACGAGGATTTGTAATTGTCGGCGCTGGGTTCTTGGTTTTCAGGTTCAAACCATGCTGAGAAAATC